AGTGCCAGTCTCCTCGAGGAAAGAACTCCTGCACGGCCGCGTTCGAGGGAAAATGCGCGACTCGTGAGATGACGCTTTCCAATTCAGAAGAGGCATCCAAGCTGCGAAAGCAATGTGCTGCCCGAAATAAGCAATCATAGTAGTCATTGATAATACCCACTGTGCATCAACCACGACCCAGTGCCGGGTGTTGTCAGGTCCCTGGCATGCCAGGTGGAGGGTTCCGACCATTGGAGGCGATGCAGCCCTCAGAGCCCTGCACTAGACCGAGGGGCATGTTTGCGATCTGCCTCTGCATTTTGGCCATGTCTATCATTCACTTGCCGCACTGGGCAAGTCCCTTACGTTGTCAGGTTGTACAGATCCGAGGACCCTCTGAGATGGTTATTGGAAGTCTCCTTCTCCCCGCGAGGCAGTCAGATTCCTCCGTTGGCGGGTGGGGATTCATTTCCAGTTCCCTGTCCCTGCAATGCTCTTATCCCTCACGAATCTGGTAAATCATGATCAATACTGGAGAACGCGCGACGGGACATGTGGATCTGCATTCTTTGGGAGCCTTGGGAAGTGAGCTGCATGGCTCGTTGCTCTCCGGTGCCTACGTACATAGAATGAAGTGTAGATCTGGGCCAAGATAGATGAATCGTGCCGGTCGGAGGGACTTGCGGCATTGTAAAACGGCCGAGTCGCATAGCGCCCATTTTGTGCTGGAGGTGGAGTCATTCCAGGATTGAATGGCTGAAGTTTAAGCCTCTCAACCTTACTCCGTAGGCCTGGAGAGGAACAAGGGAACGAAGCAAGGAGACCCCACGCAAGCTCCGAGTCGCACCATGAGAGGGTGGAACGGTCACGACTCGGGGGCTATACGATTGGGTGGGGTTTGGAGGTTGACTATGGAGAATGGGATTCTAATTGTGGTGGTTGATGTACGTGGTGGCTCAGGGGGCGGTCGTGTCGCGTGTCTCCCCCGAAACCCCGACTTCAGGGCTGCCGCCATGAATAGTAATGGGCAATCTTCTGGAAGGCGAAAGGGATGCCATCGAGACATCTCACCTGTCCAAACCTCATGGGGGGGCTGCGAGACCAGGGACAAATCAAGTGCAGTCGCTTGGTCTCACAAGCAGGAGACAATAGTGACAGTCGCTCCCAGGGAACGGCGGCCGGTTCCCACGAAACGACTCTGAGAGATGGACATCCGTTGCGTGTGCAACCGGAGAGCGCGGCGTCCGACGAGACTAGTACGAGTGATAAAGTCCCGAGAAAAGGGCGAAACGGGACCTAACTAGTATTAGTAGTCGGGTCAGTAGTAAAGGGGACGTGTCGATGGCAGCTGAGGCCAGATACCCAGATCCAATCGAATCAGGATCCATGGAAGAGGATCGGGGAACGTGGGGCCTGTAGATATGTTGTCGGGGGATGAGAACCTGCTTTTGCGAGTCGTCCCCCACATGGGAGCGAGGCGAGATGATATCCCTGCAAGACCAAGGAGGCTCGGGTCAGAAGAGGGGCCTAAGGGGGGGCCGCCGTGGCGCACCATCCGTCCTCCGCAGGAAGGCAGGAAGCAGCCAAGCCGATGGCTGGATGAAGTCAATGGCAGGGCAATCCTGGGCGCCGGGCCAGTCAGGGAGCCCAGGCTGCAGGAGACCCTGGAACGCGACCGTATCGGCCTCGCTGCTAGCAGGTGAACCAGACGCTAGCTGGGCTAGCAGTTCCCAGGGGGAGGGCCCCCTCTGACGAGCCAACGAGAGAGGCGGTGCAGCTTCCGAGACGCGGTACGCAAGTCGATCCTGGGGCCATGCGCGCTCACAGTGTGGTTGATTTGAGACTGGGGGGGTGTGAAAAAGCGACCGAGTATAGAGTTGGTTTCACAGAGGAACGCAGTGTGGTGGATGGCGGTGGCAGTAAAGATCCGCCTCCTCAATACGCCAGACACGTTCCTCATACTCATACTACATAATAGGGTATACTCGGCCCAGGAACACATAGTAAATCCTCGGCTGAGCACCTGAACCGTGGATCTCCTGCTGACGAAGGACTACTGTTGGACTAGTAGGGGATCGGAAGGCTGGAGATTACTATGGAGTCCCGAACAGCAGGCTGCCTGTCCAGAACGATCGTCGCGATGTGCGAACCCACCAAGGAGCAAGTGCTGCTTTAGGTGATTTTCGAGAACAAAGCCTGCTTGCGAAGTCATTTAAGGAGTCCTCGAGGGAGTCCGTGAGGAGGGAGCAGGAATTCGTCTAGTTTCGTCGATGCGGCGCAAAACGACTGGATCGCGGCAGACGGTCAAAAACGCGATCTGGCACCACCGCTGGTATACAGGTATGAGCGAAATGCTCAGGCAAGCTACAGGCAATCGCCACGATAAGACTGCAGGGAACCCATCCAGCCCATCCGGACAGGCGTCGCAGTGGTCGACACATCCAGCGTAATGGACCCGTTTTCCCACGCGAGCAAGGGCCACTCAGGGCTGGGTCCGCGTCGGTACAGAGTACGCAGTACTGTATGCGCGTATTAGAAAGGACAGCCAAAAATCAAAGGAAAATGTAAATGTAGAGGTCATCGACACGCTATCAGTCCAAAAGTAAGGTTAAGCCGAAATGTTATTCGAATTTCGATGGAGTCGAATACATACTATTGAAGTTCAAATTACTTAATACTTAGGTATGCGCAGGTACGGGAGCGGCTCAGGCAGAAAGCCCGTTGAAGAGTCAAACCACAGTGCCCTAATTCATCGACCACTTGTGTCTGCACGTATCTGAGGTTGTTTAGCTGACTAGGGATATTCATCCCAACACCTCATTTCATGGCGTAAATTGATCTCCTACAGTTTCACCTGGCGTCCTTGCAGCGACCCCCGCCTCCCTGATACCGCGCAATACGGGGACAATACTGGAACCTCAGCCTCCACCCGGAAACCCCGTCATGACCGTACGGAGACCGCACAGCTAAGCTGCTCTTCTGTCTCAGCTCGTCTTCTTTTCTTTCCCACACCCGCCTGGAGAGAGAATCCCATTTCCTCCTCCTTGTACCTCCCTCCCCCTCCTCCCCCTTCTTCTCTTCGTCGATACCCTTTTCTTCTTCTTCCTCCCCTTCTGCCAATTTGTGGAGAGCCCGGAGCCTGGTTGACCGAGAATCGAGCACCGTCTCAATCCCTCAGTCCACCACCTCCTGTCGAGTCGAATCCCCTCCTCGAACTTGACGATCCCTCCCAATTCGACTGTTTGTTAGCTCAAACGGCGAACCCTCACTTCGTCCCGTCCGCCGGTGCCCTCCTGATCCCCGGACCCTCCGACGAAACCACCTCCCTGATCCCGCTCCTGCCGGTTAGACGAGCGAACGGTGGGGATAACACGGAACTCTTTCGGATGATTTGGAAACTCGCTGTTTTCAGATCTCCGTTCATTTAGAGCCAGTTAGCTTGGTGAGTCGACGAAAAAATTCGTCCTGCAAGGTGTGTGTTGCTCCGGCCGGAATCTTCGAGTCTCCGAACATCATACTCCATATCGATGGATGGGCCGTAGGGCATAGACTGGCATTTCAACAACGCTGTCCTCGGAAGGTGGAAAGGCATCAACGCCGAAAAAAGTGCCCAAAAAAAGGAGTCTGTTGTGTGATGGATCCGCCAGATGGTGGTGTACCACGTTCAAATTAGAACCATGTACCGAGCATCGTCGAACGCCGAGCATGATATCGCCCCTCTTCGATCGAACCGAGAGATACACTGGGAGCTGGAAAATGGGTGCAGAGTCCACGCAAGCAGGTTGTCCGGTCACTTGCGGACCCCGGCATCAGGGGGGATGATATGATATTCAGTTGGACATCAGTGCGGAATGCATGCTCCAGGGCTCTGATGTCGAATCCCTCCAGGACCGGGGCTATTTTTCAGTGGAAACTACCCTGTTCACTCCCAGGGATCGAGGTTGGCCGAAGGGGTGGTGAGAATCTCCTCCTAGACTGTGCTATTCAACATGCCGGTGGACGCACGACAGTCGATGATCAACACCCGGGGCAACACACATACCTTTTTTGTGCAGGACAATTGTTTTGGCTTTTTTCGATCGGCGGACATACATGCTGATGCTGTTCATTTCTGCAGGTTTCGGTTTTCATAACCAGTGACTTCTGTATCGTTTCCGCTCGTGTGTAAATGATATTGAGTCGTTGATCGACCAACACCCATCATCACGGCCTCTTTTTCCAATCTTCCTGGAGGTTCATTACGAACACGTTAACTCGTGAAGTGTGAGTTGTGGTGTGATTCCTTGCACGTTGCCCTCCCCTGACGATCGTGGAGGCCCCCTACATAGGGTTGTCCTGTGCCTTCATACTCCACATTCCGCAGACGCAGCGGCCCCAGGAGTGAAGGCGTTCACTCGTGCTTCATTTCTAGGACTGGCATCCCACAGAAGCCTAATTCATTGGATCATTCCTGCGTTCTTGCTTAGCCTAGATGCCAGACACGCCGTCACGGTAAGGGTTGCATTGGTACCCTCTGCCTGAAGGCTCGCTATCTGGGTTAGTATTCTCCGAAGGAGTTGATCGGCCCTGGCTGGCGTTGGATATCAGATGCCAACGGACTCGTTATCTTCACTCTTCATCATGGTCGTTTTTTTCACCTTTCCCACACACTCACTTGCATCTTTTATCGTTATTATCGCCGCTTTAATCATAATCCCTTAATTTCTGACCGCCGTCCGCTAATTTGTGCCATACCGCCTTGCAGCACCCGATTCGGCGACTTCCTCTAGGCACCCCGTCGTGGCCTTGTCTTTTCCAACTTCCAGTCTATTGCCTGGTCCACTCCTTAATTTTCCAACTACTCTCCAGTCATTCCTTCGCCATAACTAATACCGACACGGCTGTCACTCTCTATCTTCCGTCGCTGCCTGGATTACCGCCTCGGCCTTCAGGTTACTACTTCTCGACTTCTGCACTTTCGCACTTTCGACTTTCGCACCGTTAATCGACTTCCCCCTCTGCTCTTGCACGTGAACTCCAATATGGATTTCATGCGTCCCCGTTCAGGCTTCCAGCCTTGCGAGACTTTCTTTGTGGAAGATGACTTTCATCATGCCCGTGAGGAGAGACTAGCCAATGAGGAGCATGACAAGCACGTCTCTCGTGAGCGCCAGTTCGTGATTGCAGACCAGCTGTCCCGCCTTACCAGCGAGGAGCTCCGTGACGATGTCTTGCAGCACATGCTTGAAATGGACGTAAGTACTTACCATGCACCCTACAGGTTCCCCCCCCCCCCTTTCGCCATCTTACATTGACCCTGTGGCTATAGAGTCAAACTATCCCCGACGTCGAGTCCATCGATATTCAGACCGAGATTCAGTGGTTCATGCGCCCGTACCTTCTTGACTTCCTCATCGAGGCCCACACTGCCTTCCAGCTTATGCCGTCGACGTTGTTCTTGGCCATCAACCTGCTGGACCGATACTGCTCTAAGAGGGTAGTCTACAAGCGACACTACCAGCTGGTTGGATGTGCTGCTCTCCTCATTGCTGCGAAGTACAATGACAAGAAAGATCGTGTCCCCACTGTCAAGGAACTGAAGTCGATGTGCTGCTCGTTGTATGACGATGACATGTTCATCCAGATGGAATGGCACGTTCTGCAGACTCTGGGTTGGACCATTGGTCACCCTACTGTGGACAGCTTCTTGCAGGTCGCCACCTTGGATGAGGCTTACGACGCGGAAGTGGAGCACATGGCTCTGTACATCCTTGAGATTGCCCTGTTCCACCGTGATTTCGTTTCCAAGTCCTCCGCGGAGCTCGCTCGCGCTGCCTTGGCTCTGTCTCGCTGCATCTTGAACCGTCCCCAGCCCCGTGCTGCTGCGTGGGTCGCTCAGTACGACTCGATGACGCTTGTTGGTCTGTCCCAGCAACTTCACCAACCGTCGTCTGTTGTTGCCCGCAAGTACGCCTCGGCTCACTACTCTCGTGTTTCCAAGGTCCTGGAGCACTTCCTCACCCGCCAGGCTTCGCTGGCTAGCTACGCTCGATGCACCCCTCCGGTGGAGACTCCTGTGGAGTCCAAGCCGTACAATGGAGAAATCGGTCTTGCTACCCCTCAGAAGTCCCAGCAGTTGACTGCCGTTCGGCACGGAATTATGACTCCGCCGGTTACTCCCGACGGTGCTACCCTTCAGTGCCAAATGGCCTCCCAGGACCCTCACCAGGTCGTACCCGCCGTGAATATTTACTCGCCGTCGCCTGCTCCGGAGGCTGAGATGCAGTACATGCCCACCGACGCTTACCAGCAACAGGAGGCCATGTACGTCGCTCAACTGCAGCAGTTCCCTTCGCAGCAGATGAGCATCGACTCGAATTTTCCGGCTGCGATGTGAGGAATGAAGCAGGACTTTCGAAGAAACAACAGTTCACCCAAAAGTGTTTCGGCGTCTTGCACATATTCTTCGTTCGCCTCTTATTTCTATCACTCGCATAGAACTTTTTCGATGGAGCGACTGCTGATGCGTTCATTTTCGACCCGGTTAATACGTCCCCTAATCACTAAACTGTGGTTTCTTCGATGGTTCTGTCTCTTCGCCATCTCAACCAGATCTCAAACCATCTCTTCCCATTCGACATCTTCACGCTTTGCATTCGGCTTCGGTCCTCAAAACCGGAGTCGAGACCAGCCTTTTTTTTCTTCTTGTTCCAAAAATTGCATACCCCTTTTCTCTCTTTGTCGCCCATATCCCCTGGGTCATCATATGCATTTGTTTTTCTATCTACCTATTGCATTGCAAGAGCGAGCCTGATTTTGATTTTCGATTTGTGATTGTCATCTACTTTTTCCTCACTTATCCCCCCCCACCCTCCCATCCCCACATGCACACCACACCTTCTATTCGCTCAATCGTCGTCGGATATTCTTACAATGTTCCACGACGATGTTTTCTATCTGCTGCGCGCCTGCTGGCGCTGCGCATTTACACCACCATCCAACTCCTGACGATCTTTTCGCAGCTATGGCTGCTTCCCCTCTGCCCTCAACAAAAAAAGCCTTTAATGTGTCTGGCCTGCGCTTTGTTTTCCACTCTGCGCCCTATCCTTGCTTAGTACTATTGACCAATGTCAACCGGGAACAGCAGATAGGTATGGCACCACACAAAAAAAGCAAAAAAAGAGCCAAAAAACCTGCCAAAAACAATGCCGCGCTTCTGGGGATTCGCGGCAGACCCAAGATTGCCAATATCCCCACTCCCCCCCATGTGCCCCCTTTGCCTGTGTACCTAGTTTGCCAGCACCTTCGCCTTGCCCGTCTTTTGCAGATGGGCCCCGGCAAGTTCTGCTGAGAATTTTTCCTACTGGATTCCAGATTGCCCTCAGGCCACCAATGATGTCCAGCTCTGTGAACAACTTCTTTTGTAATCAATGTCCAAAGAGTAGCTTTTGTAAAGAGTAGCTTGTGTAGTTCCATGATCGAACTTTAGTTGTAAAATACGATTCCAAATAATAACCAAATTATTTTGTTCTTGGTGAGCCAACGATTATTGTGTATGTAATATATAGTGAATCTCATAGATTGTCAGATAGATGCATCCTCCAAAAAGAATTTTAAGCCCACGTGCTTCCTGAGTTCATAACCACCACATTCAACCGTTCAAGATGTTTACATCAATAATAATTTCAACAAAATAAACGATGAAATTAGTCTTACAAATTATGGGTCCACTATGAACATCACTATCGGATCCTTTTCTAAATCAATGCCAGGATTTCAACAATTTAGTTACTTAAGTAGCACAAGGACTCCAGAGTTTCTAGACATTCCAGTGGGCGTATGGATGAGCGGTTAAGATTTCCATGATTAGAGTAGAGTAGGGTAATCCTGCCGAAACGAGTTAGAAGGAATGTTCTCAGTGAGACCCTGCCAGGCGCGGGAGAAATTGGGTATGTGGTCACTACCGGGTATGCCTAGCATCACCGATTAGTAAATATCCCACGATGATCAAAGAGTACCAAATGTATCACCATAAAATATCTAGAATATTGTTAGAATACGAGGTGGCTCGCGTTATGATACTAATCCAAAAGAGGACGACGATGGTCAGACCGCGTGTGGCGCAGGAATCTATTCGGGGTAAGGAGGTAAGTCAAATTAGACGAGTTTCAGTAAGGATGAGTTATTGCAGTATGTACTGGACTCGTCTGGCAATTGAAAATGGTCTAAATTCAATATATGGTTCCTCGGGATAGTTGGAAGATACACTATCAGATAGCAGAGGTAGCTGTGTGGTCATGCAAGCTTCGTGCAAGGTAAATCTTGTCTCACAGAGTGTGATATAGTCAATCAGGGTTTGCTGATAGGTGCGAAAGTCTTATTCCGACGCGATGTATATCGACGACTCAGTCAGTTGCTGCGTCGAGACCGCAATTTGATGAGTGATTTTCGTCTTGTGGCATTTAGTGCAAGCACAGAGCTTCAGAACGTTGCCCGCGGCATCTCGAGGGCAAGAACCCGAATTTGTAGTATTATGAGAGCGCTTGCGTTCCAAGGCTCTCCACCACCGTTTCCTTTGTCTTTGCCGGGTCTGGCAGTCATAGCCAAGATTAGATAATGCTGCGCCGCGGAGGGCTCCGAGTGGATCGACCGGATGTGAAACGCGGCACTTTGTGCAGGCTTTGGAAGCTTTGGAAGCCGGCTGACTCGACATTTCGAGTTTGATGGGAAGAGATGATGGAAGGGAGTAGTTGAAAATTATAAGTAAAGAATTATAAGAGAGCTTCTACTCTAATGATGATAGCATGTGTCTGAAGTGAGAATACATAGCACCCAGATGGCAGCATGTGATTTCGGGTCTCGGAAACTTGAACTGCATATTCCCGTCTTTACTCAGAAGTCCAGATCAAATGTTATCCCCCAAAAGTCAACCAGGTCAATCTCCAGAGAATTACTTCATCACAGCAGTAACTTGTCACGAGAGCTCTGGCTTAATAATTCCCATTAGCAATGGACATCAACCTCAGAGATATATCATGTGGTTCGGACGCTGCTTTCCCCACTGCCCATAATTTGGGGGATCTGCTTGACAGCCACAAGCGGGTGATCATTTTTGGGCGTGCATTGATGCCCAAGTTATTCGCGAGATCTCCCGAAATCGGCACTTTGAGAAGCTTTCATTCGCTTCGATCGAACAGAACCATTGAAGAGAGCTGACTCAGTCAATGGATGGTGCAACATGAAGGTCGAAACTTCAAAATTACAACATGTGATCGATGCTGCATCGACCTCAGTTGTTACAGGACAATTGTTGGTTAGCTTACGGGCGGGCACGCAGCCATGACTAGCCTCGCTACGCAAGATTTCGCAATTGAGGTAAAAAAGGCCATCTGAGATACAAGGATATGGCTGTTTTCCAATTAATTACATGCTCAATCATCTGGGTAACGATTGTTTTGCTATTTCTACATCGAGATATAGTCATCTCCAGTGGGCCGGCCTTAACCACGGATCGCCAAACCTTTCCTGCAGCATCGGCCAATCACACACCGCTTAGCCAGGAACAGCAGCCACGGAATGGAGAAGAACCCGTGGATCATTTCAACACTATCTCGAGCACCATGAATCACTATTGGGAATGCTACAGCATTGAGAAAGAGAAAATTTGATCACAGTATTGGATGTTTGAATTGAATTCAGTAGAATATCCAACGTGTCAGTAAGACATAGTCCAGAATAGAAAATCTCGCTCATTGCAGTAATTCCAGATTCCATTAACCCACGCTATGCATCGCAACAAACCAAATGAGAGATTTGAAAGAAAAAAGTAAAGGACAGACTGGGGATGTCTCTGGCAGTAGGAGAACACCCATTGCATGAACCCCGCAGAATCACGAACTCTGCGAGGTATGTGCGCAAAAAAGGAATAGGACACGTGTAACTCTCTCCGAGGTCGAGGACGACTCGATAAGAAAGAGGAAGGGGAAAGAGGCGGGGAAGAAGAGGGAAAGTGTATCGGCCAGGGAGAAAAAAAAATCCCATCCCGAAAAAAAAAGAAATCAGTGGTCAGAGTGGAGAGTGAAGAGGTCAGAAGGTGAAGGGTGTGGTCGGAAGTGAGAGAAGGGGGATACCAAAAAAGCAAAAGTAACACAGTCGAAAACGCCGGCTAGCCCAAAAACTCCGCAAGATAATGATACAAGGGCGCGCAGAAGCCAGGGAGCAGGGGGGTGGACCCTCTCTGCTGGCTTCCCCGGCCGAAAAATCCGGGGCAGAAATTCTAGCAAAAGGGTACAAGTCAAAAAGGAAAAGAGCAGCAAGTGGTTGAGTTAGCAATCCAATTCCCTCATCCCCCTTGGATTCCCCCAAAGGGAGTCCAGGGTCCAGACCATCAACGTGATCCGAGGGTCAGGGGTGATCGGTGATCGCGGTTTGAGCGGTGACGAAAGGACCCATCCCTTCTTAGTCCCAAAATGGGACTCAGTAGCGAAAAGGGTAGGAAAAAGGGGGACAACCGAGTAGGACGGCGCGTGGATGTTGCCAGAGACAAGTCGATCACCGCCTCACTTTGGTTTTGCGAAACGTCTCTTCCTTTTTTCTTTCCATTTGGGTGTCGGCCAGCCGCGCGGATAAAGGGAAAAAGTTGGGGATGATGAGGAACGCGGTGTCAAAAGTCCCTACTCGGCTTGCTTGCTTTTTCGGCGCTCCCTTTGCTGGAAAGACTGTTTGTCCCCGGATGGAAGCAGGACTATTTCCAGCGTTGTTTGTCCCAGTCCGATGGCCGGGTTTCGTCGTAGATCTGGCCGCCTTTGTTGTGTACGACGACCGGGGGTCTGCGGACGGGATTGGCGGCTGGGGCGGCGTCTGCATTAGCCGGGCTCAATCTGGAGATCGGGCACGGGGGGTAGCCTTTTCCCCCAGGACGAATGGGTGGGAAGTGGTCGATCGACATACCTCGAACCTCTGTGATGATGACTTGGTCGCCGCTGCTGCCTCTGCTGGCCAGCGTAGAATTTGAGTCGTTGTTGACCTTGTGCGGCATGATGGTCGAGAGAAGGAGAGAAGTTGAAAGCAAGTGCGAAAGCGAAAGTAAAGGTAAAGGTAGGCGCGCGAGACGAAGGCTGAGCTTGAACTTGGAGACCAAGGGAGCTGAGCTTGGATGAGCTGAGCTTGGATGAGCTGAGCTTGGATGAGCTGAGCTGGTATGGGCTGATCGGTCTCGAAGGGCCAACAGTGTTGAACTGCGCGCAATGAGAGATCTATAAAGATGTGGTTCAAAGAAAGAAGATATAGACAGAAGCGAAAAACGGCGGGTTGGTGATGGATTAGAGATTATATGTGGTTTTCCGGCAGCGGGAGGAAGAAGCGACGGGCGCTTTTTGTATACCCCAGGCCATTCCCTGATCTACGACTCTGGGGAACCGTATCGTCGCCAGGGAGCTTCGACTTCCACGGGAATGGATCGGCCCCTGACGCATCTGTGCCTGGTATTACGGGCAATGGGCTGGATGATTGGCCTCGAACCCCAGCCGAAAGCAGGGCAGCCAGTCAGGGCGTGTTCTCGAGGGAAATTGTTGTAATTGCTGTAAATCGCGGTAATTCGTTGTCACAAGTGTACGCGGTGGACTGGTCGGAAGCGGTGGACCCAATAATGATGAGTCAGCCATTCCTCGCCCAGAATAGAAGACGGCATTGCGAGTGCAGGGCCCTGCCTGAGAGCCACCAACGAATGGGATCCATGGCCACGCTGGGGCAGGCGAGGATTCCTCAGCCTCACCGCTTGCTGCGAGCTCAGGCGTGCAGGGGGAATCGCGACTCGGTTGCGCGGCAAAATGACGGTGATGTCAATGATCCAGGGGGCGCTGTCCATGTCGGTGAAGCTGCCCATCCTCCCTACGGTCCACTCTGGTCCAGATTCCCCTGGCCGAATCAATGAGATCCATCCTGGTCCATTTTGGTCCATCTCGGTCCATCTTTGGGTTGATCATGTGCGATTATCGCGCGGCCTTCGCCAATCGTTGCTCCTGTGGGCCCCGGCCGATCCTCGTTCCGCTGGTGAACTGGTACAACGAGGTATGTAATTGAACGCCTGCCGTATACCCATTCGGCCCTAAAGAAGTATAGTGGTATACAGATATACCGTCCATTCTGCATTCATCAGGCCCTGGGAGCAAAGTAGCGGTACGTCACTCCCAGACCGATATTCTGCGTAGCCCGTGACTTGGGCACGAAAGACAAACACGGGGTTGATAGATCATTCCCTTCCCCGGCAACCACCACCCTCCAACGGAATCGTAATGAGGCTGTGAGACGTGTACGCACTCCCGGGCCCTGCCAAAACAACTTGCCCCTGGGTATGAGATATGTAATAGTAACAATTGGGTCATTGGGTCAAACAATCTAGATTCTAGACCCGCTTCAACGGACTTGGCCACCGCCCTCCCGCTTCATCCGCTCCTCCCATCCATTCATGCTCCGCCGGATTCCAAGTGTCCGTCGTGCCGGCACCTGGGCTTGCTGGCGGACCATCGACATTGTCGTAGTATGAAATGAGACCGACTGAACGGCCGGGTTCTGACTCTCCGGGCCACCCTGACTGCTGCCCGGGGTGGACCGCTCCTGTTTCACTTCACCTGGCCCGGTCCTTGCCTCCGCTCTGTTGTCTCCATTCGACTGCTCTGCTCGCATACGGCCGGGTTTCACAGCAGGCCGTGAGGGAGCCGCCAGCCACGTGTAGTTACTGGGCTCGGTGGGTTCTAGGGCTGGCCGCGCTGGATGAAGCGGCCGGGGCTGAAGGCGACGGGAGGAAAGGGTCGGCGGAACGAAATTGGAACTTGGCCGTTTGTTTTGTGATACCATTTGGTTCGGTGGTGATTGCATGGGCTGACGTTGCGGTGGACAGCTTGTTGGGAGCAATGCTTTCTTCTGGGAAGACCCTGGGCCACCAAAGAAGTTCGAAATACTGGCTTGAGTAAGTCCGTCTTTGCTATTCACGTTTTTGGCCTTGTCAACAACAGGTGCGGATTCCTTGGAAGGAACAGATGAGATCTCCGTAGCAGCATCCTGGTTGGCAGTTGAACTAGCAGCATAGTCCCGAGCCGACAAAAAGCCCCCAGAGGACATGGTTGTAGGGACAATGAAGCTCGATGGGTTGCTCATGTTGTAAACGCCAGCTGACATGAATGTAGTCGAGGTAGATTGATTGCCATCGGCTCGTCGTCGTTTAGGATATGGCCCTTCCGCCGAATCGTCACGGCGGTCCCACTGACTATCGAGATCGCGTTTTTCCTCACCTTCGGCCGTCCACCTATCATCGAGTGTCGATGGAAGCGAATCGAGCGCCCTATACATTTCCGCGGGCGATGGCCGCGGCCGTCGTAAAATATCGGCAATTGAATACACCACTTTCTCTTGCAGATTGGGCCCTTTCGGACGAAAATGCGTCGTCGTGACCCTGGGAGGAAGAAACGGTGTCAGAGTGGTGGATGCGTCCTCTCCTTCGCCAATGCGAGGCTGGCGCAGAGGAAGACTCAGATACAAGAGAGCCTGGGCTCTGGTCATTGCGACATAGAGCAGACGTCGCTCTTCATCAATCACCTCTGCTCGTGAGTGTGGAATGCTGCCATTGTATACCGCGGGGATAAAGACAACGGGCCATTCCAAACCTTTTGCGGCGTGGATGGTGGAAATTGTGACGGTTTCAGGCGCTTGCTCACCTTCTTTGCCCTCATTTTGGTTTGTGGCCTCGGTGGACAGGGCAATATTCGCTAGGAAACGAGACAGAGCCTCTTCGCCTGCGTGTATTTCTTGCTGCTCAATGCCTTCGATTTCAGGCAGATCGTTTTCTTGGTCGGCCTCCTTGCCGGAGAGGGCAATCTCGTTGGCCTGGCCCATCAATTCTTTCACGTTCGCCCAGCGACCGTCTTCATCAAGAGGATAGGTTCGAATGAGATACTCCTGGAATGAAAGGCTTTCCGTGATGTACTCGAGAAGCACACGAGGAGCAGACGCGTCTTGACAGTCTTGCAATTTTTGCTTGGAGGCGTCGATCATTTTCACCAGAGAACAAAGTCCCAACTCAGCTGCCTTCTGCAGCTTCCTCTCAGTCGATCGACGTCCCTGGATGACATCTTTGATAAACGTCCACAAAGGAACTTGGGCCTTCTCGGCACCGCCCGTCAATTGCTTGATAGTTTCGTCGCCAATCCTGCGCGGCGGCACGTTGATAATACCGAGCAGTGCATCATTGTGGCCCGTATGACTCACGACCCGAAGGTAATTGAGGAGCGTTTTGACTTCTGTTCGGTCAAAGAATTTCCGTCCTCCCACCATCTTATAGGGGATACCGGCTCGTCCAAATGCCGTTTCGATACGCGTGGAGAGCGAAGCAGATCTAAGCAACACGGCAATGTCGGACATTCGCACAACACCACCCGTCATCGCGATACATCGCTTGATCTCGAGTACCATCCAAAGAGCCTCCGCATTCGCACTGGGAAGCTTTCGAAGGACAGGCAAAGTACCGAAGGAATGCGTAGGCTGCAGCTTCTTATCCGGCCGCGTGGTATCCTGCTCAATCACTTCCTGGGCGGAGTTGAGGATGGAGGCCGAGGAGCGATAGTTCGATTCCAGAAAGATTGTCGACGTGTTCGGGTACCGTCGCTGCATTCGCCGAAGATTCTGGATCTCCGCTGATCGGAAGCCGTAGATACTCTGGTCGGGGTCACCGACGATGGTGATACGGCGGTTTTTGGCCGCAAAGAGATTCATCAACTCATACTGGATGATGTTGGTGTCTTGAAATTCGTCCACAAGCACAGCTTGCACGTTCGATACACATTCCGGGTGCTCTCTGAGAAGGTCACCGCATCGTAAAAGCAAATCGTCATAGTCGAGGAGGTTTGACGCCGTCAAGGCAATGTCGTAAGCACGGTATATATCGACCAGCTCCATTTCTTCTGCTTTGGCTTGATCTGCCAGCGCATCCGGAGTGAGCCCGTGGGCCTTGTGGCGCGAAATACGCCCTTGAGCAGCCTTGATTTCCATGCTAGAATTCAGGCGCTTGATGATTCTCTGGGTCACGTATTAGCAAGCCCCGGTTAAACCCAGGTTGCGAGAAAATTCAAGCTCACCCGAAGAATCGCTCGACTATCGTCTGAATCCGCAATCCCAAATCCCTTGGGAAGTCCAATCATATACCCATACTTGCACAAGTACCGCCGACAAATCGAGTGAAAAGTACCCAGGATAAGCCTCGACTCTGACCGTTCACCAATTAATTTCGCCAGACGCTCGCGCATCTCCCGACTCGCCTTGATCGTGAACGTGCAACATATGACATCTTGAGGCAAGTATCCGTGGTGGGAGAGCAGGTACGCGACGCGCGCGGTCAGTGTCTTTGTTTTGCCAGACCCCGGGGGTGCAAGCACCTGCAAAATTGGTGCAGGCGAGGTCACGGCCTCGCGCTGAGCGTGATTCAGGCCCTCGAGAATGGGATCCATGGCATTTCGAGGGTCTGCGGGTTCCTGGTTGATTCCGCGGTTGCCAAGCGGGACGCGATGAGTCGCGGTGTCATGTGACATGTACCTGCATGAAATGAATGCATGAGGACAAACCGCAGCTATTGGGCTCAATGCTGTATGGTATGCAATTTGAAAAAATAGGTTTCTATTAGAATGCCTGGTTTTAATTGAATTTTGGTTGTGGCGTACACCCATTGGAGGCTAGTCAGGATTCTGGATCGAGGAAATTATACACCCAAAGTTCAGCATGCACATTCCAATATCATAGCATCACACTGGTGCACCCTAAAGGAGCATTTGTGTAAAACGTATCTTTGCATAGACTCATATCTCAGCATCTTGTAATCGATATGTTTTTGCCTTGTTGTCAGAGGGATAGCTGTATGTAATTTTGGTAATAGCTGGTGGGATGAAGTAAGTGGGACAAATCCCTCTAAGTTAGGACAAGTTCCTTCTGTTTGGGAAAAAAAAATCTCGCTTATTTGGGACAAAATTCTTTATATTGTATCCTGAAACAGATCATTGAATCTGTCTAGAAGGTGGCCCATTGTACTAGTAGTATACAGCCAAGTGTGTCCCTGTTGGCACTAGTCTGTGGGTCTTACTAGTGAAGCGATCACACCCTTTATATTTTTAAATTTAACTTAGGTCACAAGAACTGTGTAAAAATTTGAATTCTGACGTCAAGCAGGGGCAGGCTTGCAGAGTGGCTAATAAATGGCTCAGGTACTGCGGTCTACCAACCAGGATGTACCGCCGGGGCTTGACGACCTAATTCCTCGAAAATCAAATTCACCACGATCTCTCTAGAAGAACAAGACACTGGGCACAACGACTACTTGAAAAAAACTAACTCCTTCAGCTCCACTTTGGCCTACTAACTGCAAGCTGAGAATGACCTCGAGCTCACTTGGCGATCAGTCTTCTCAAGAAAGGAGGCCTACATTTTAACAGAACAACAGCAGCTGAGATGATTATATTCATAAAATCTCTAGTAATAGCGATCATCACTGACCAACTCCGGGGCATGTCGCCTCTATCCATGCAGAGAAATAAAAGGGCTAAGTAAGGAACAATGTAATATGTACAACAAATGGTAGAATGATTAAGAGCCATTCAAACGGCCAGGGTATCCAACATCAACGCACAAGAAAGGTTCAGGGTTTGCTGAAAATTCCCAAGGGGAGGCTGGCCGCGACTTCGAAGTTGGGCATGTTTACCACCTCGGCGATTTGGAGGTCGGCCGCAACGCTGGCCAGAATGTAGGCTTCACTGCGGTTCAGGCCCTTGGTCGAGATCAGCCATTGAATGAGGCTTCGGACGGCACTCTTCGCGGCCTCGTAGAGATCCGGAGAGACGCCCAGGGCGCCGTAGGTGCCGAGGTCGGGGAGCGGATTCGGTATTTGGGAACGAGGAGGAGTCTGGTATTGGGGTGCGGTCACCCAGGGTTGGTTCTTGCACAGTTCGAAGCGGAGGGTGGCCTTGATGGGTGTTTCGATGGCGGTCCCGCAGACTTCGCCGTGGCCCTGAGCCGCATGGCCATCACCACAGCTGAAATAAGCACCGGCAGTCTGGATGGGGAGGTAGACGGTTGAGCCAACGCTCAGTTCGCGGCAGTCCATGTTGCCACCTGCGTGGGTGGGAGGCACAGTCGACAGTTCGGAGTCATCGGCAGGGGCCAATCCCATACATCCGAGGAAGGGACGCAGCGGGATCCGCATATCTTTGAATTGGGCGTAACCCTTCTCGCGATCGAGGGACCAGATCTTGATCTCGGGCTCTGGGTAGTCGTCGGCCAACAGGCCAAAGCCGGGGATGATGGCGGACCAGCCCCAGTCGGCGACTTCGAGATTCAACACATCGACCTTGAGCACATCACCGGGCTGGGCGTCTTGCACGTAGATGGGACCAAAGACAGGGTTGGCAATGCCGAGGTCCAGGGTCTTGATGGCGGAGGCATCGGAGCTTGGAGTGAGTTGCCCGTTGCTGCTGTCTATGGCGTCGAAGCTGACGGTCTGGCCAGATGAGACGGTCAACTTGGGTTCGATCTTCCGGGACCATTTCACATGGCCGCATTCTCTTCCCACGTGGAAAGTGTTCCATCCGGCTGAAGCCATGCTGCAGGTTGGTTTAGTTTGAGTCTGAGTTGAACTCATTGAGAGAAGAGGAGGCCGTAGCAGATTTTAAAAATAAACGAGACTCCAAAACGTGGATCGCGTCGAGAAAAAAAATGGATATGAAACGTAGCGAACCGAGGAGTGGCCAGAGCATTTGAGGCCTGGCAGTGATCCTCTGGTGGGCGTACGGTTAGGGAAGGTAGTTAGTGCCGGATCTTACTCATAGCTTGTTTGCGACCATCGCACTCCACCCGGGCAGGCCAGGCTTCACGGCCTGCCTAAAAGGGACTGACAGTTTTCGCAGAGCAGCTGGGGTTCCAGCACAGACCGGGGATGCAGTATTGATTATTGGCCTGGGCACTGGCGAGGCGGTCCACGCCGACACGGCGCGAAGCGACACTGCGAATGGCCACGCTTATCCTGCTAAATGGTTCAAATTTGGTACATCGTGGAGATAACCTTGTCAGGCGGGGTCCCTATCGATTGCGATCGTTGGAGTGGTTCACGGCTCTGTGGTACCTGGCGACTACCGATGGCAACATAGCCGCTGGTGTCCCTAAGATCGAGGGATGGCCTCGACGAGAGTCAGAACGATTTTCCCACCAACGTCGCATCCGCCTCTTCCTCTATGCGACTCATGACAGTCATGACTATCATGACTACCACGACTACCGCGACTACCACGACTGCCACTACGAACTCCTGACATACGAGTCTAAACGAGGCCAAGGGAACAGATCGCTCGGAATGTCCGAGCACCTCCCTCTTGAGGACACGATACGAGCACGCCACCACCCATTTGACATTCAATAATTCCACAAAGGGCAATCTGGCCGATACACAATCCAGTGGTTGCTGCAGTGCGGCAACAGTGGATTGACTCGCTGCCTTTCATTCGTCTCAGCCCCGTGCATCCTTTGAACATCGGGCAATCATCCAGAAAATTCTGCCCTGGACCCGAATTCCGCCACACAAAACCACCTTCTTGATCCGGCAAAATGGATCCCAGTCCCGGCGCTGAGTGGACACCCCAATGCATAACACCCCCGGTGGAGCCGGATCTTTTCTTTTTTGGGACTACACAATTCCAAAGCCAGAGGTTGAGGTGTACATGTGTTGGAGATCTCGCCAGACAGTGCACGCCTCAGCTCGATTGTCCGTCGAGGAACACCACGATGCACGAGGCATTGTCGCTGTGGGGGTGACTGCCACTGTTGGTGGCGACGTCCATCGCAATGTCGCCCGCCCGCTTCCCCCGCATCGACAGCTTCATCACGTGTTGGATCAAGGTTGCGTCGTCAGTGTGATCGCTGACACCGTCCGATACCATCACCAGCAGGTACCGTCGGCCCGACGACAGCGTCCGCCGCGATGTGTAAGGGTCGTTGGAGAGAAAGTCTCCACGCGTGGGCGTGGATGACGACGAGGCGTGTCGGTCGCGGGGCATCGAGTTCTCGCCTACCACGCTGTTCACCGGATTCTTGTACTGCAGGTCCCCTAGCGCGCGGGACATGTTCAGGGATCCTGTACTCGCGAGCCCCTCCGTTAGCTCTTAGCTCCCCTCGCAACGACTAGGATGATGTGCAAAAGAACAAAAGAACAGACTGAGGGAGCATACCAACACGCGCAATTCCGCTGCGCATCTCAACACTGCCTCCAGCCTCTCTAATCCGGGCCCGTTCGCTAGGCTCCTCGGGCTTGTGAGCCTTCGTGAGTCGTCGCTAACCCAACCAATCGTTGTATCAGTCTTGGTTCGATATTCTAGATTCCAGCCAACGTTGCTTGGTTGTTGGGGGAGGGGGCGGAGTGGGAACATCACTCACAATATGGTACGCGCATTCCCTCTTGGGATCGCGCTCGGCCAAAATGACATGCGAGTCTCCCAGATTCGACACCACCAGTTCGCCCGTGGTGAGGTTGATCAAGCAGATGGCCACGGTCGATCCCGATATCGCAGGCTCCGCGCTGTCGTGCTTGAAGCTCTCCAGCAGTAGGGCGTCCTCGTCGGCGAGAGCCGCCTTGATCGCCCCGGCGTAATCGCCCTGCGCGAACTCTGGCCGCTGGGCAAGTAGGCAGTGCAGTCGCTTGCTGGCGTGGACTGCAACCAGCCCCGAACCACTTCATCACCGATTAGGAAGGTTACTCGAGATAGACAGGGTGGGAAACACATAGACGTGAAGGGGTCTCACTGTCCATCGTAGATAGCGAAAATCGCCAATTTGTCCTCCGTCTCGACGGGGAACTGCTCCGGGCGGATCAGTGTGTAGCGATCCTCTTGAAAGTCGCGACTTCCTTGCGCCTTCCAATCTGGGTCAGTGGTACACTATTGTGAGATCGGCAGTGTTCCAAGGGACCGTACCTGACCAGCTCCAGCATCGAAGAGCGTCACAGCATCGAAGGTAGACATGAGCGTGTTCTGGAACATCTGGTTACTCAGCTCTCGGTGTGCAATGACCATATTGAAGCATCTAGCCGTCGAGAGTCGACGACCTTCACTTTGGTCGCAGGTCAAGCTGCCCGGGGCGCCTGATGATGATGGTGGGCTGACATCATGCTGGTCAGTAATCTCTACGCAGATTTCAGAATATATCATATTTCTCGATTTGGTTCTCGTTTTGAAACGTCTCGATTTTATGATTGAGGTCAGGTTGAGATGTCACACATGCGACACGGCGATACCATTTTCCATAGGAGTTGCTACTGTTAGACCAGAAGAATATATATTGCCATTTCATATCAATGTATTACAATACAACACTGAAACCAAGTCCTTAAATTTGTGTGAATATCTCAGTAATGAAGCCCAATTTCACAATGTATTGGAACTCTCTTTGTACCCTCGACATGAGATTGCACGATGTCTACTTTGTACTTTGTGTTCTCGGCGATCTCGACCGGAGTGCACGGACCACAGGTTGCCTCGGCGAATCTGCAGACGCGATTTGCAACCGACGGAACGCTGCTGCACCACCTCCGTTGAGTGTTCACGCCTTCGCTCCTTCACCTTCGAGTCCTACATGGGCTGGAAAAGGCATGGCGTCTCTCTTTGCTTCGGCCGGCTCTCTCATCTCACGTTACACCGGTCGCAACTTCGCCACCCAAACACCTTCTACCCCGCTGGACTCGAGATCCGAGGCGAATGCATCGGCCGACCAGCCTGCAGCAAGCCTTGACGCAGAAACTCCGAACCCACCCTCGATAGAGACCGAGGAGGACTCTCCGCAGACTACACCCAAGGCCTCGGCGTCAAATGCGCCACTGCCCATTCTTTCAGTCCCGACCCTGAACTTGGACGGAGACACCAGCAACAAGGACACTACTAGCGTCGCAGCGTCTTCTACAGAAAACAGCCATGGATCTTCCAAGCAGACACCATCTGCGAAGCTCGACAATGGTCCTTCGGAAGCCATGTCCCAGAAGCCTCTCATGGCACCCACTCTAGTGCCTCAACCGAAACAACAACCGACCCCCTCCACAACATCATCTAACACAAACGCATCCTCACTGATGCCTCCTCCCTCCGTCCCTCGCCTCCGACCAACCGGCACACAATCTACAAACCAGCTCCAACCCCCTCAACCCAGCGCCAGTAGTTCTCTCCGCCCACCTCCATCTGCCGCAGCAGGTCTGCGCGTCCCTCCCACCAGCAGTGGCGGTAGCCGCCTCAGCAGCAGTACGCTGGCCCCAGTCCCCGTGAAGAAATCCACATCGCGGAAAGTCGTTCTCGAGCCCGGATATTCTCCGCTGGACTGGGCAGCCCGTACCGCGGACCCAAAGAACCAGCTCCGCGGCGCCAACATGCCCCCGGGTTACTTGCGCGTTACCCCATCGATGCTGAAGGCGCAGAACGGGCGGAAGGGCCGCGATGCCTGGACTTCTTACCAGGGGAAGGTATATAATATCCAGCCATACGTTCCCTACCACCCTGGCGGAAAGGGCGAACTCCTGCGCGGCGCGGGAAAGGACTCCGCGCAGCTATTTCAGGAGATTCACCCGTGGGTCAACTGGGATGGGATTCTTGGCGAATGCCTCGTTGGGATTCTGGTTTCGGAGAATGATGCCCAGGCGGAGAATGCCTTGGATGCGATGGACTGAAGGAGGCGACTATAATGACTGGTATATATGCAGGGACGAACGACTACATAACTGCCCTGTCCGCGGACGTTACCTGTACACATATTCCCACATACTAGATGAGATACCCCCCCCATCGCGAAGGAATGGACTAGTATAGAAATGAATCAAATTGATTCCAATAGACAATTCCAATAATGTTCTGGGTATATCCAATTCATCTCGTGCCAGTTTCGATGTGTATCGCGTCGTCGCAGCAGTATCTGATATGATATCAATTTTAGAGCTCATCCTTCTCAACGCCCTCAATGGCGACCAGTTCAGTCTCGAAAACTAGGGTCGCACCGCCGGGGATAGGTCCGACGCCACGGTCACCGTAGCCGTACTCGGGGGGAATAGTCAGCGTCCGCTTCTCGCCAATGCACATATTCTGAAGGCCCTGGTCCCATCTAGAGAAAGGAAAGAGTTAGCCGTGATCCACTCGTGCATGTAAAAGTACAATCTCTCCACAATATATTTACTGAGTTGCAAAGACAACAACCAGCAGAGACGCAGAAAGACCAGCCAGCGCAATTGAACGTATGTGAGCCGAGGCCAAACTTACCCCTTAATAACCCGACCGGATCCCAGCTTAAAGTTCAACGGCACATTTCGCTGGTAGCTGGAGTCGAATTGCTTGCCCGAGTCCTGGAGGGTGCCGCGGTAGTGCATGGAGATGTTGTCGCCGTTCTGGGTCTTGCGGGTGCATTCGACCTTGTGGGTTGTTTCGATGCCGAGCTCCGCGGCGCAGGCGAGAGAGGCGAGGGAGACGAGGAGGGTTGTGAGACGCATTGCGAGGGTGGTGGAGGTTATTTCGTAGACGTGTAGTGGGTGACGAGTGGATTGGGGTCGGGGTGAGGGGAATTGAATGGAGGAGAAGATTAAGACCAGATTTGGGGGAGAAGAGGAGAACGTGGTCTGCTGCGGAGCGAGGCGGGTCTGGTGGGGCCGGGCTTGGAGGAAACTCCGGAGCATATCTAGAGGGGCTTTGAATTGCTGTGCACAATTAGTGGCAGGGTCCTTTCGGTAGCATTTGAATTGCCGGCATAACTTCTTATCATGCAGTTAGTATACTGACTGCTTATTGCTTAGCAATTTGTTGAGGCATCTAATTCTGATAAGCATCTCATCCATCTCAATGCCAAGGGATTATTCCGCTCTAGGAAGTTGGCGCCACTATACACCTTGGAATTTTGCATGAAAAATTGACATATTGCTCTATTGATTATCTTAGTACTAATTGATACAGTCGTAAGGCTGACCCGATGCGGCAAAGCAGATAAATCTCTGCCAAGTCGAGGTTCACTTAGCTTCACCCGGCCGTCAATCACTGCCGCTCGTGGCCGCATGTGGCAGCGGAATGTGCCACTACCCGTGCCACCTCAATGCGGTCTCCAATGACCACCGCGTTACACGGCGACCACGATGGGCTAGTCCAGGGCAGCTGCTGGCATGACCCTGCCAGAAGCGAAAGCCTTCAATCTCTCGACGTCCTGTTTCTGCTTCTCTTCTTCAAGGAACCATCTCAGGCCGCATCGTCACCGTGGAAAGCTCAAGTATGGCCTCAGGAACAGATTTGACCAGCAGTTCGCAGCCTGTGAGCAAGGTTGTTCATGCCGAGGTCCACGATACCGACAATGCAGACACCGATCCCTCGCGTGATGTCTCTCGGAAGCGACAGAGCTTGTCGGATTTGCTCACTATTGTATGTGGATGCCACGATACTGTTGCGCATCGTGTCTGCTCGAATCTCACTAGCGCTGTTCTTTTTAGTTCGCAAGTGGCTTTGCCTTGATCAGTGATGGATACCAGAACAACCTGATGTAAGTCTGCCCTCGCCATTGCGAGAATACCGATCACAAACTCACGCTTGACAGGACCATGACCAATGTGCTTCTCAAGAAGGAATATCCCAAGGAGTACACCTCCGTGGTTAGCACCCGTGTATCTAACGCTCTGCTCGTTGGTGAAGTTATCGGACAGATCATCATCGGGTGAGTATCCATGCTCAAAACCAAATGACTTTTTGTATGTATCTAACGTAGTGCCCAATAGACTGACTTGCGACTACCTGGGCCGCAAAACGGCTATCATATTCACCACGGTCATGATCGTCATTGGAGGTGTCCTCGCTACTGCATCCCATGGAGTGACCATCGACGGCATGTTCTGGATGATGACCGTGGCTCGAGGCGTCGTCGGATTCGGTACGTCTCCATTATCCCAAATTATCAATCGACGAGGATTAGATACTAATAACGTACCACTTCAGGTGCTGGTGGCGAGTACCCGGCATCGTCAACTTCAGCCTCCGAGTCAGCCAATGAATTGACGCCCAAGCACCGAGGCCCGGCATTCATCATGGTGACCAACTTCCCCCTGTCTTTCGGTGGACCATTCGCAGTTTCCATTTTTTTGATCGTCCTGATGGCATGTCACGAGTCGCACTACAGCACCGTGTGGCGTGTGTGCTTCGGCATCGGCTGTATCTGGCCACTGTCCGTTTTCTACTTCCGGATCCGCATGCTGAACTCCACCCTCTATCGCCGTGGAGCCATCAAGAAACACGTGCCGTATCTCCTGGTCATTCGGTACTACTGGAAGACGCTTATCGGGACGTGCGGAGCCTGGTTCCTCTACGGTATGTGTTGACCCCAAAAGATTTCCAACTACTCATTCTCTTGCTAAAGATTCATAGACTTCGTCACTTTTCCAAACGGTGTATTCTCCGGCACTATCATCTCCAGCGTTGTGACAAACGGTACAGTCCGCCAAACCGGCGAATGGCAGCTTCTACTAGGAGCAATTGCCTTGCCAGGGGTCTTCCTCGGCGCCCTCCTTTGCAACAAAGTCGGCCGTAAGAATGTGATGATGATCGGTTTCAGCGGCTACCTGATCTTCGGCCTGATCATCGGATGCGCATATGACAAGATCACCAAAATAATCCCGCTCTTCGTGATCTTCTACGGCCTCATGCAAAGCTCCGGTAACTTCGGACCGGGCAACATGCTTGGTCTGCTCTCGTCGGAGTCATATGCCACTGGTGTTCGTGGTACTTGCTACGGACTGTCAGCTGCGATCGGTAAAGCGGGTGCTGCAGTGGGAACGCAGGCGTTCCAGCCAATCCAGAATAATCTCGGCAAGAAGTGGACCTTTATCATTGCTGCGATCTGCGGCGTTGTCGGGGTCATGGTGACTTATTTTTTCGTGCCGAATATCTCTGGTGAGGACCTGCGCATTCGCGATGAGAAGTTCCGCGCCTATCTGGTGGAAAATGGCTGGGATGAAGCTATGGGAGAAGATGATTTGCAAGCCTTTGCTGAAGATGGGGTTATAACTGATGATAGTGAGAAGGCTAAGGGTGGTTGAGCTGATGGAGCTGCGGCAATGAACAAACCTGGTGTGGGTGGATATGACTTTTACGACTTTCTAGCCCTATCGATTCAATGTCAACTTTCGTGCGATCATGGTACAATTAGCAACTTCCATGTTGTCTAATCGCAGTCTTTCAAGACCATGTTCCTGATCACTCCATATTGACCCAACCGATCCCCTCCGTGGAGGAGATTATTGCCAGTGATATTCTTGGAAGTGGGGACTCTAGCTGCACAAGGTAGCACTTTTCGGTTGTAGAGATGCCATACCAGCCTTCGAACATGTCAAGTACAGCTTGGTATGAGTGAGCCGGCACTTCGACGAGTTTAATTGGCTCAGGTACACACAAGGCTACGCTTCAAGAGGATGCTTAACAGATCATAAATAATTGATATAGGTTGAATTGTTTCAATCAATAAGCTCAACTCTATATAGGGTAAGCTAAATACAAATCCATCATAAGAACCGTCTTCCAAGACGCCTTTATATACCATCCAGATTGCCGCGGGTATTAATGCATGCATAGCGGGGATACATCATCATCTTTCCCTTTCCTTTTTGTGCAGGTAAGATAAAAATTATAAAGAAAGACAGAGAAAGTCCAGGTCATTAAACATCTACGCCCACTTGCCTAGAAGAGCCATGAGAGCAGCACCCAAGCACAGCAGGATGAACGCAGCCAGTACGTCACGGATCGGAGCTTTGCGCATCGAGTGACTGAACATGAATTCGTGCGCCATCAGCTCGACGAGTGCGGTATAAATCAGGATACCGGCTGAGATGGAGTCGAACACGCCATTGACAATCAGCGTGGTCCGTCCCTCGGGCGGGTAGCTCTCGCGAACACCAAGGCCGATGGCGATGGCAATAGGAGTCGAGATACCGAAGGCCAGCCCCAGGAAGTAGGGCGTGTGGCGCTTCGAGCGCGGCCAGGGCAGCAGGGCAAGTCGGGATCCCAGACCCAGACCTTCAAAGGTTTGGTGGAAGACCAAGACAATATAGAGGGTGGTGAACTCGGCGCCAGACACGGCAAGCGTGAGACCAATGAAGACTGAGTGGAAGATAATGCCGAATTCCAGGATGAAAATCGAAGTCAATTGGGCGGTGTAGTCCTCGATGGCAGCAATGTCTTTCTCATCATCATCGGAGTCGTGGTGTTCGCGGGAGTGGCCGAGATGATCCTCGCCGGGCATTAGATGATTGTGGTGATGGTGACTTTTGTTTTCGCCTACTTCTTCGACAACGGAAGGCTCGTCAATCTGGGTGTGGGAGTGACCTTCCTCGTCATGCAAGTGGCCTGCACCAAAGTGGGAGAACCGCATGACCATTAACTCCACGAAGAACAGGACAATGATAGTCATTAAAACGATGCCCTCCACCCAGCTGTATTCGGTAATCGGCCCAGTCAAACAGGGGTTGGTCAAAGCTTCCTCGGCCGGCGCCAACAGGTGAATAAAAGCAGTTGCGATGATGACTCCGGAGCCAAAGTATTTGGCAATGAAGAAAATCCAGCCAGGGAAGCCGCTCCTTTTGCTCCAACGACGGGCAAAGACGGGGAACAGAGCCCCGAACGAGGATCCGACAAGAATGACGAAGATGGACGAGATCCGAAGGCCCATCCGGCCGTCGAATTCATTTCCGGTATCACAGGCATCACCTTCCCGCTTGAAGAGTGTGTTGACAGAGTTGATCTCCATGATGGCACGAGGGGACAGGGATTAATCCTCTGCTTGTCTAGCAACGAATCGACTGGACGGGAACAGCGATATGAGCAGCGCGACAGGATATCAGATCCGACGATGATCAACCGGGCCCAGCAGTCTCAGCGGGTATATACTATGTGATTGCTGATTGCACCAAAGTGTGAGCACCTTGAGAGAAAAGGAAGTCGAGGAAGAAGGCTGGCAGGCCGGTTTGACGTGGAGGGGTTCCCACTGGGGGGATGGTCTGCTAATTTTGTGTGGGTGTCTCGTTGCTTTGGCCGTAACCCCCAAGGTCCTCGAGTAGAACGAGGACGGTCCAATGAAGGCGCAGATGACAACCGGGTTGGCCTGGCGAGATATCACGCTAAGGCAAGCGACGCAGACAAGTTGACGCACGTCTGCGCGAAATCGACCGTAGAAACTCGTTTGGCAATGCACTTCGAGTGTTCGGGGACGAATTGTACACCCGACCGGGAGACGGAGAACTGTCGCGCGGGCGTTGCGGAGACTTCACACCAGCGTGAGTACCTTGGGAGCAAGGCTTCAATTTGCACGTCCCGCGCTGGCCGCAATCGGCTATACCTTGGTTTATAGAAGCGGAATTGGGACGACTTGCAGTGCTTGGGCTTCAGACTGAGTAGTCGAGAAAAAAAAAATCTCAGTAATTGACGTCGCAACAAAAAAAGCCTGCGGAAATCATTGCCGTCATGCCCACGGGAGACAGCGGGAACAGGGTGGGATCCATGGGGACCTTGTTGGCTGTGGTTGATGGCGCACTGCGCACACAGAAAGTACCAGGTACCTCTTTATTCATATATTTTATAGTGTAGAGCAAGGTACCTAATACCTTGTTGTTAGTGAGGACCTTGGGGACGGTCAGGTTCTTTCCGATTGCGGTGGTTGGTGGGGTCACGTGTGGCCTCCCAATGTTGCAGCCGGAGACACTAGCAGTAGTAGTAGCAGTATGTTGGAGGCTGAAGAACATCAGCAGCAATGAAATTGACTGGTACCATGCTGGCCGGGCGATGGAAGAGGACGGGAGATTCGCTGGGGTTTGGTTGAAGTCGGGGGTGATGAGTGACAAGTGCCCTGCATAGTCACCTGAACGCCAATCAGAGCTCGCCAGAACTCGGCGGGTAGGAGCTTCAAGTTCAATGAGCTCACATCGGCATCGTCACTTTCTATCTAGTACACAACACACCTCGCCATGGCTCCCATCCGGCGTTACTTGCGCATCAGCAAATATTCGGTCCTGGAATGTCGCATCTACACGGAAAAGCCATCCGATGCTCGCTGGCTGCTGAACGCCCAAGACCCTGTCTTGCCACGCGTGTTCAAGGCGATTCGCCCGCTGGTCTTGCCTAGACTGCGCGAGGAGAACGAACGACTGTGGCTGCGAAAGAAGGCCAAGCCAGTGAAGGATGTCATCACTGAAGGTAGATCGACCGCTGTGGAAGGATTCTTAATTTGAATGTCGCGACTAATCTCGTGTCCTTTGATCCAGATGACTTCGAAGTCGGCATCTTTCTCCGCGAATCACGCACCCGTCATTCGCTCCTAACACGTCACAAGAACTTCGAGCAGCCAGAGAAACAGGAGGATACAGAGGCGCCCTCAGTGCCGGGGAACACATTGGCAGATGCAGAGGTCATTGAGGACAGTGAGGACGAGCCCGTCATCGACCTGCAGGGTATCCCTCAGGCGGCCGATGACGACATTGCACCAGCAGACAATCGCTCGTCACGAAGGAGAAGAAGGAGAGTCTCGGCCAAGGTAGAGGAATCAGAGGATATGGACCAGGACAGCGGGGATGACAAGAAGATGGGTTTCAGTACACATTACGAGAGTTTCAACATCTGTGGCTGGGTGCTCTGTTTGCTCATCTCGCGCAAAAGCGACAAGGCCGTGAGCCGACCCAGGGCGGACCCCTCAGCACCCAAGCAGCCTCTGATGGAAGAATGGATTTCGACTCAAGCTCAGCCGACCCTGGACGAGGACTGAGTACGAGGACACACAGGTTGCCAGGATGATTTCCACTTTCGGCCTTGAGCAGACCTGAAACATGATCTCCAGGTTCACATGTGTGGCTGAGGAACCCCTTCCGCCCACCTCCGTCAACCCAACCTTGAGCTTCCAAACTTCCTCCGCATCTTCACAGCGGGTACCCGCCGTGGCGTGATCAGATGCAAGTCGGCCCCTCTTGTGACACATGCTCAAATTGCGGAGTCGCATACGTCTACGCCCAAGTATGTGATGTTCCGCGTCTCTCCTGATGCAAATCCCCCATGTTTCGGCAGCAAGGGTGTTCATCCTTGCAGCAGCCGAAGCTTCCATGTCACGCGGACCCGGGAACGCGTACCCATGGCAGGGTCAATGTCCTCAGCCTGGGTTGAGCAACCCGTCCCTGGCTGATGGACGAACGGGCCGCTGCAGAACGCTATGGCGATGCAGTCAGCTTATCGGGCAATTGATGTTCTACCTGACCCTAAAGGCAAGGTAGCTTTAATGTCACTGGCCACAAGTCGCTGTTACGCAGGTGGCGGCCATTTGACCCTCTCAATGGACCAGAGTACATCGCTAGCCTTCCCAAGCCTCCAAGATTAGAATTCACGCGAGGCAACCTTGTTGCCTTGAATGGAGATCCTACACCTATACCTACACCTATATCGATCATGAGACAACAACATACTGTTTGAGCTCACATTCGCTTTGTGATCCACCTCGGTTTGCATGTCTCGGTCGAGTTCATGATATCACTAGTAGCAACCCAAACAGATCCATAGCTCCATTTGGCGGAGGAGAGAAAAGCTGCGCCTGACACCGCCATCATCCCGTCAACATCCCGTCAGTATCCCGTGTCTCTTTGACCAGCGGGATTCCAGTTCCACCTGGGCTCAGGTCGGCGGCCGACGCTATACATGTGGTGTCCACAAACCTCGGCACTCCGTTCTTCCCGTTCTTCCAGAAGCCCGCGTAGAAGACGGGTAGTCGTGGGTGGAGCCTGTTGAAACAGGCCGCTCCTCCACTTCTTCCCGTGACTCCATCGCCGGCCAACACCTTCCTGCCAGCGAGCACGTTGGGGGGGGGGAGCAGGAGGGAAAAGTGTCCCGGCCAGTCGGATAGGGACGAAATCACGACAGGCTGACGAAGTGGCTGCGGTAGGCCATTGCGTATACCCGATATGCTTTGATTGTCGATGCGAAAGTACGATTACGGTTGCCTGCTCGGGTAGCTCTCCATGTCCATCGCAATTCCATCTCGGGCCACCGTGGAATCGGACCTCCTCGCCACGTGCGGCGATCCGCCGAACCGAACAGGCAGTTCCTTGGGGATCGATCAGAGCAGTCCCAGCAGTCCCAGCAGTCCCAACCACCCGTGGAAATCTTCCGAGTTTCCAATCGCAACTCCTTTTTTCCCTTCCCTCGCTTCACTAGCCAGCGTACTCCACACCGAACTATTCGCTCTTTGTTTTGCTCGTTTCCAACGGCGCGGAACGGCGGCCCACTCCATCCCACAGTGGATCCCCACGCGGCCCTAATCCGCTTTAGACTCGTTTATTGAAGTTTGTGGCTTGTTAGCGCGTCGAGGTTTTCTTTCTGTGCTGCCAGGAACAACGAGGGTATCGCCACCCAGCTCCACCTGGTACCTGAATGGTGCCTGTTTGAGAACCGCTAGAGCCGCGAACTCACCCATCTGCCAGGTACAGACGCTTTTGGACGGGGACGCCTGCAATCCTGCAACGCTAGAGCCAAATCTCAAAACCCGGTTGCACGGACAAGTCCGACCGCCGATGCCCACCCACGGCGAGATGTGCCACCCGTATTCCTACAACATTTGCCGGATAGGGCTGTGGTCATGCGCTCGTTGCTGCCCACTCTGCCGGGTTTCCTGCAGTGACGAACTGAGAATACTGGGCTGACCAAGTCCGGGTTTTGTGGGGAGTCCCAATTCCATGTTCGCTTTCCGAGACTTGCCGGAGGATTTGAATTTCGGTGACGTTTCTCAAAATCGGAGATCTGCCGCCCCCATTGGCACTCTAACGTAGACCACAATTGCGCGGACTGTCACCACTACGTTTGAGGATAGTACCTACTGGAGTACACAGGGAGTATTGTGCGACACGGCTTCAAACAACCGAGTCGCACTCCAATGCGACCGGCTGCTGAGCACGCAATGAGCGCCACGCTCTGAAGAGTTAAGCGGATCTTCTGGTCGTGAAACACCCGACCCAGTGATGTGCGGGATCAACTCTGGGGAGCAGGGGTGGGATTACAGGGTGGCGTGGTCTTGGGCCAACGAGTCTGTCTTGCTTTTAGGGCCTGCACAGACGGGAAATCGATATGCATGTACATGCCTAAGGGTACATGACACATCCGGCAACAGGAACCTGCACGGCAAGCTTGTCCTACCCTCCAGTACCACCCTGGTAACTATCCTATCGGACTCACATATCAAATAATGATGTGCAATGCACTGTCCCTCCTACATACCCCCCGCCCCTCTTCTTTCCCGCCACTATTGCTGCAGAAGTGGGATGATCTCACGGCTAGAGACAATACAGTTTTATAGTGGCATGGGCTACCAAACGGAGTCGACTCGGCTCTGATCTCCGCTATGTGCGCGTGTTAGCGTCGCGAACCGAGAACACGCTACCGTAGTGAAGTGTGTAGTGCCTTAAGGCATGGAGGACGGCTCAATTTTCGGGGATACATTAGGGCACATTCTATTCGTAACCTGCCGATAAGACCCATCGCAGAAATTCCCCGGAAGGCAAAACACACCTCGGTTGAGAGGAGCGGAGTGGTACCTGAGCCTACGCCTACGTTACGATCGGAGAGGGACTAGCTCCAGGTACAGTGGCAAGTGACACGGCTTCATCCATCAATAATCGGAGGGCGGTTATTTGCCAGCACAGCTGCCTCCCACGGGTACCAACCACGGTATGGCGATGGGACTGGTGTCGAATGAATCCCCGGCTATTCTCAGGGGGAGGCGAAAAAGAAAAAGAAAAGGAAAAAGAAAAAGAAAAAGAAAATCAAAAACAAAACCAAAACCAAAAAAAGCAAGCCTAAGCCACGGTGTCCACCCCAGACCGTTATCTGAACCCCGTTTGAATGCAGTCATCACGGTGAATACGGTGAATGCGGCAGCCACTGGGAGAATGGCCTCGCCCATCCGATCTGCTCAACAGTCCGAGTACCCGGGTTGACGGAGAGCAGAGACAATTTGCGGTCGAATCAGCAGGCTGAAAGCCCCTGCGCCACGAGCAGCTTGTCCTGATCAACCTGATCACCCAAAAGCATGGGGTTGCTAAGGTTCGGGTGAGGAAGTAGTCGACAGGAAAACCCGGCACGTCGGGGCTGTCACAATACGAAACATGATTCGATCGGCGTAAATCCGGCCGGTAGTAGGACCCATTGGGGAATGGTCCTTATTTTCTGCCTGCTCGATTTTCCAGCGATCGACCCGCGCTGGCTTGGACCCTGGTTGCTGGGTTTGGCCCCTTTTGAGTCACCTGCGAGGCCCGTATTGCTTGTGCTTGGGCCGTTGCTCCTTCCTGCTACGAACTCAACAAGTACAAAGTACGCGGGCTACACAATACGCTTATTTGCCTTTGACAGGGAGTTAAAAAAAATTAAGAAAGAAAGAACAATACCAAAATACATTATTGAAAAAAAAAAGTAAAAAAAAATATCCTGTCCCTCGTTCACCGCATCGAGGAACCGTCCCGATGGAGCCGGTGGTGGAGCCACGGGAGATTGCCCATTCCCAGTTGTCACCTCGCGTGGTTTCATGATTATTCGGCCGGCGAACGCACTGTGAAACCCACGGCAAACGAAATTTTTCGCGACTAGTAGCCTTCACGTAGAGTGCCCTCGCTAGTTAGAGTGTTGGCCATTCGCGGCAAGATTGGAAACCAGGCTGGCTGTCTCACCCCGACCCTATGAAATCATGACTGGAAATGAATAAAAAATAATTCATGTTTACTGTATCGAGCCAATCCACTATTACTAGTGGTTCACCCGCGCCACAGAAGGTGGGGAGCTTCTAGAAAAACGCAGGGATTTCCATTGGATTTCCGGTTGGGGCAGCATTATTCATCCCCGAAGCGCTAAGAACATCGCAATAATTCCTACGTCAGATCAGGTGGAGACTCAGCCTCCTGTTCATGGCAGGGATGCTCGATGGGGGTACTTAGCAGCGGCACTAACTGAAATTGGTCCTACTGTAGGCTGACCGGGGCTTGGGATCCATTCCGGCTTATAAGTAACGTTCGTGCTCGTGCTCTAGCTTTTTCTATTTCTCAACCATCTCACTGCAATTCTACACTATAGTCATACTCGCATCCACTTCGACCGCGACTCAACTCTACCACTACCACTCGCACACTCAACTATCTATCTATCTCCCTTCGGGATTTATCACCACATCACACCACACCATACACCATGCCTTCAGTCGGCTCCTCGTCTCAGTTCCCTCCCTGCCCCGGTCCTCCTCCCAAGGGCCCCCTGCCGCCTCTGCCCAAATAAACAGGCTCCTCCCAAATGACCGTGACGACTCTGGCGCATTCCGGCCTCGCCAAATGCGCCCACGACCTGGGAGGCCCTCTCCTCGGCATGGATATGAAATGACCTCGATCTTTGACCTCGACCTGGTTTCGGCTCACTCGATGACTATACTCTCGATACGGTTTTGACTACTCGTCTTAATTCCAATCCCTACCCGGCAATCCTTTTCCGGACTGTTCTGCTCCTGCGACATATTCCCACCACGGACGCCCTCACTCTCGTGGCTACGCTTTAGCGCCTGATACGCCAGCGCAATGCGCGCGGGAAACCCAAGAGATGACGCTTGCAAATGTATTTACAGGCGTGGCGAACAGTCTTTCCCATCTTCGCATTCTCTTTCTCCATCTTACGGTCGTTGCGATGGGGCCCAAGAGCGCCGGCCGCCTCGGACTCCCTCAGCTTCTCTTGCATCATTAGCCAATTTTTATTTTTATTTGTTTCTCGCCCGATCCGCCGTTTCACTCCCGAGTGGAGTGGCCACAGCGTGATTATTACTCTCGTGCGGGGTGTCGCTATCGATCTCGATTCCCAGCATTGACGCGCAGATGCGGAGAAGCCGACACACTCGACTCATTAGCGCCAGCAGCAATTGGCTCCACCGGCTTCTGCTGCAACCTACCTCGGCCTGTTTGTCTCTCCCTGATCAGCTGCGACGGCATCGCTTTATCACCTGTGCGTCATTCTGCATCGATCTCCTGCACGGGCGATTCCTCACATTTGATGATTCCCCAATTGGATTTGATTTTCTTTACTTTCTTGACCACTTCGCTTGCATGTCGTTTTGCCGGGGCATTATCGACTGTTTCCATCTTTTTTAATCTTCGCCTCGGGCCTTTTGCATTCCTTTTTTCTTTCTGTTCTTTTAGCCTCATGCATTGGGCCGAATCATAATTACCGGCATATCTTACTTAGACTTAATATACCCCCAGCAGAGCAACTTGATTTATTACTATCGGATCATCCGATGTCATGCATAATCTTCCACCCTGGACCTTACTACAGTGGTTTTGCCACATTACACCTTGTACCCAAAGACATCCCTGAATCGTAGACCATCCCGGCCTAGCACTGTCGCACCCGATGAAACACCGCGCCCCGCCCGCTCGTTTCACCAACACTGTTGCCGCCACGCTGGCCGGTGCCGCCATGAAAAGAAGGCGACGCCAGCGTCAGGCGACAACGAATGTGCCTGGCACGGACGCGGAGGCTGGCTGGGGTGAGCTCGGGCAAGTGGGGGTTTCATGGCGGAACGGAGTATAACAGGATGATGAATCATGGACTCCCGTCGATCGACACCGATCTGACATCTTATCGACTCCTGCTTACTCCATTCCCATGTCTAAGGTACAATCTACTACCTACTACCACTGAGATGTACACGGGCCAACAATAGTACCGTGTACATCGCCAGGTACATCTAATCCCTCAAACCACCGCGATTCGAGACTATCTCATCCGACACCGCCAAGGCGGATACGGCGCGATAGCAACGCATGGCGTTATTTTAGTGCGACGAATCGCGCGGAGGCCCGTGACCGGTATACAGCATGACGCCAGACAAAGCCCCTCTGTAGAGAGAGTACCTTTACTATCGGCGTGCATGCGATCATGCATGAATCGACAATCTCGCGAGCTCAGACTATTGGAACGGAGCCCCACTCCCCGTCAAGAAATCAAGATGAACAAAGACATGTCGAAGTACAAGCACAACAATGCCGTCCGAGCGCTCGGCGGGATTTGCCTCATGCCTGAGCATTCCAGGTAGCTGGCACGATCTCCCGATTGCAATTGGGGAAAAGTTTGTGCCTTGCCATCTGCAACTCAGCTTGACGTTGCTCGGAGACGTGCGGCGCCGAGGTCGTAGCCGCAGTGCGCAGTGCGCAATAGGTTTCAGCAGGTACGTGCCGGCGTCGACGGTAGCCGTTGGTCCAACGTTGTTCGCCTTGGCGTCAGCATTTTGGTTTTCATCATCGTGAAATGAGACCCCGCTTTCTATTGTTTTTCGGTGCTTGGGGCCGCCCCGCTTGGAAACCGGTTTGACGACTGAAAGGGCGTGTGGAGTTGGACCTCGCGGAGGCCGGCGACGGAGGTCATAGCACCCCATGGTCGACCTAAGCTGCCGGGGTTTTGGAGGTGAGGCTATTTTCAGCCTATTCAGGCATCCTCCTTGTCGAGGGGCTCTTGCGCAGCCACGTGTGAGTGTGAAGTCATGGTGAGCCGCGATAAGAGCGGCAGTGTCGATGGAGTTGCACATGCAGATGCAGGTGCAGGGGTGAGATGCCGGGCAATTTGGGGTGTGTGGCATTGCCAGTGTCGCTGGGTTCTGGAAGAAGGGAAATCCTGAAAGCGGAGAGATGCTGCGATGAAAAACATTCAGGTTGCCAGGGAGTTGGGAATCATGTCTCAGGTACAATACAAGACGACTACTACACTAGGATGCTTCACAGGAGCCATGGATGTCTACTTTCGGCAGGGAGCAAGGTAGCGGCCATGGCGAAATCTTGAAACCGGACATATTGTCCAATTTTTATAAGAAGAACAAAAATTTTCCCGTTGATTAATATTCTTGCATCAAGGGTTGTTTATTCAAGACACTGCTCCTCCCCGTGCGAAACGGTTTCCAACAGCCACAATACTACATCTAGTCCAACCCAGGGATTTGGCCACGACTGCAGTTTCAGCCGCCAGAATAAAGAATCGATCGTCCGAGGATATCAGCACCCCCGCGACAGCAATTGGCCCAAAGATAGAGGATGTTTGCATACTCTCCGAGGGTGCGGTCATTGGATGAGGAGACTGCTGTATAGATTGCGCCACACGTGATCCGCCGCCCAACTCGGCCGCGCCCGACTTTCTCCCTCGACGCGCAAAACATCATGGTGCTACAGCTGCATGTGTGGGGACCGGCCTTCGGGCTGCCCTCGATCGAGGCGCATTGTCTCGCCACCATCGCCTACTGCTCCGTGGCACTTCCGAAGGGCTCCTGGGAGGTGGTCGCCAGCAGCGATCCCTCCGTTTCCCCTACAGGTGAGTGACGTGATGCACGGCCGGCGCCCGAGGCTAGCCAAGGGGGCGCAAGACGAAAGCACGCCGTGAGCTGATCTGCTTACGCTGTCTCTGCAAATTAGGTGAGCTCCCCGCCCTCCAAAACGGTGCGGTGTGGGTGAGTCGGTTCCGCAATATCGTCGACTACCTCCGCCAATACTCGAACGGAGCCTGGGATCTGGATCAACAACTGGACGACACGTGCCGCGCCGATAACATTGCGTACGTCGCACCACCAATGGGCTGATTGATGAAACAAATCCACCTGACCTTTTGTCGTTACAGATTCTCCTCCTTTATCGAATCCCGCGGCCAGTCCCTCGTCGACCTCTACTTGTACGTGACCAGCCAGAATTACTACCGCAATACCTCGCCTGCATACGGAAGCCTTCTCCAATGGCCCAACCAATGGATCCTCCCGCCGCAGCTGCACAGCGCCGCCAAAGACCGTACCGAGCACCTGGGTTTGTCATCGCTTGACCTGCAAGCCATGGAAGACCAGCGGCAACGCGACCACAACGCCGCCGTGGCCGCCGGCAAAATTCCCAAGAACCTGATACAACGGCCCCGCGATACCGTCTCGAGCCTGCTCGGCCGCACCGCGCAGCAGAACCATTTCCGAATCGAGGCGCTGACCGGCGAGTTCTTCGAGCCGCTCGAGGCCATGTTGGGCCGGAAGGCGTACCTCCTCGCCGCTGACGCCGACGACACCCCGTCCAGTATCGACTGCGTTGCGCTCGGGTATTTGTCGCTGGCCCTGGTGCCTGAGATGGCCTTCCCGTGGCTCCGAGACGCCATGCGCGCCAAGGCTCCGCTGCTCGCGGAATATACGGAGCGTATGCGACAGCGATGCTTTGGCGAGGCTCCCGTTGACATTGCACATGTTTTCTCACCAGAATCTGCGCCCGAATCGCCGCTGACTTGGCGTGCTCCTGCGCGGATTTCCGTCGCGGCCGTCGGCTCGACTCTGCTTTCTACCTTAGCGGACTCGACTCCGTTCCTACGTGAGATTCGCCGGAATAACAGTCTCAAAAAAGCGGCGCAGTCTGAGGATGCCGGTCTCAATTACATGGAGAAAAATATGGCCAATATAATTACCGATTCCAGTAAGAAGGATATGCTGGTATCCATCGCTGCAGTGGTGGGCGGTTTTGCCGCCTTGGTCGGCTATGCCGTGCATACCGGCATACTCTCGCGCGAAGAGGACGAAGAGGAGGAAGATGTCGAGGTGATGTACAATCCAGGGACAGTGGCTGATATGCTTGCTAGTGGCAAGTAAGCAGCTAAACAAGGGTTCATCAGCCATGATACTAGTAGTATCCTGCTGGTACCAATTCATTTACGGCGTGTTTGACCATTTCCCATTTCCGAGCGAGGGCTACAGATCCCGAAAATACTGTACAATAGACATTTCATTATCTGGGAGCATGTTTGCAATAGTGGATATATTCGTGAAAGAACCGATATGTACACCTACCCTGCCTCTTATTGTTTCCGCCTCCCCATAGATTTTCTCCAGATCAGATATTCTGATCACGAACTTCCCCCTCATCAGCAAGATTCCACGTCTGACTCCCTTTCCCCTTGGAGAAATAAGGCGCAGAGACCCAATGAACCCCCGGCCCGTCCCCATAACTTTCCTCCATTTCAATCCCCCACCGCAACTCACCATCCTCATCAACGAACCACCCCAACCTCGTCCGAAGATGCTTGTAGTCCTCCAAAAGGAGTGTGCCGGCCTGAATTTCCCGAACAACTTGCAGCAGGTTTGCACTCCCAGCAATGAGGACGAGCACGTCGCCCAGACACTCGACGTTCCGGACTAGACTGCCGAAATAGCGTTTTTGCAGAATGGCCACAACCACTGTCGTCAGGATTAGCCAGGCCATTATGCTTATACTGAGCCAGACTGCTACCGCGTTCATTTGGAGGAGTTCCACGCGGCGGGTGAGGTGGGCTTCGACTGTGCGGTTGGTGTGCGAGATTGGTTGGATCACATCTTGCTGTGCCGAGGCCTTGTTCCCAGGAAGATAGTTGTCGACCAGTTCGAGGGCCGGACCGAGCTCAGATGGGAGACTGTCGTTGATCTTCTGGTAGCCCCAGCCGCCGGTCTCCATGGAGACTTCGTTGCTGACGAAGTGTTGGAAGAACGTTGAGAAAGTCTTTTGGGCGAGCTCGTTGAATGTGTCGGAGTCGAGGAGTTTCTTTGGGTCTTTTCCAGCCATTGAGTACATTGCGTATGTCATAAAGTCCATGTTGAGACCGTTGATCTCGTCGCGAATGTTGTATGTGTTGTCGTCGAGGTCTTCGAGCGTGTAGCCTAATCCGTGTAGGGCGCCTGCGATGTTGATGGTATCGGCTGCGGTCAACATTGATGCCATGAAGAGTCGGCCGTGGCTGTGTGCATTTTTTTTTGTGAGGATTGCTGCTTCTTCTTCCTGGCTGAAAAGATTCAACTTACCTAACCGTGACATTATATGTCATCTTGCCGGATTCTTTGCTCCAGTGAGTTTTGTTATGAGGCAGGAAATTATCCGAGAATCCACTCGACATTTCTTTTGGCTCGTCTGTGATATTGAAGCTTTGGATTTCGCCGTTGTCTGGGTTCACCGAGATGTGCGCATTTGCAGATTCGACCAATGGTCTGCAGGTGAGAAATGATGCCGACGGTGGGCTGGTGAAAAGCACGTCGTCGGCGCGCACATAGATGTCGTTGCTAGCATTAGTCGTTCGGACCCCGGTAACTGCATTTCCGTGGAAGAACTTCGCGGTGAAGTTTTGCTGCCAGTGGCGCGTGCTCCAGACGTCTGGGTCGACATTGGGAGACCAAAACCCAATAGCCACTGTTGGGTCCCAAGCATCGCTGCTACTGTTTCCGCAGCAGGTTATCTCGCTCGGATTGGCAAATGCAGTGGTACATCCAATGCAGTCTGTCATGTTGTGGGGATAGACGAAAGGTGTAATTGTGCTGGCCAAATAGTCATTTCCCCATCTTTTCCCCAATTGAAACCCCCCTTCAAGGCCGTGTGGAATCGAAGACTTGTCCCAGTTTGCGGTACTGCTGTTTTTAAACTCTCGATAAGTGAGCCAGTTGGAAATGTTCAGCATCGCTTTGAGTGGGGGCTCGCTGCATTCAATCCGACCTCGCATGGCTTGCGTGGTGAACGAGACATTGGATCGAGCTCCGTCGACAGTGCTGTCGGACTTATCGAGGTCATTGGGCAAGTCGACATTGTGCAGGTTGTTCATTAGGGCCGGCACAAAGCTCCAGCCGTCTTTACTCCATGCGGGTTGAGTTCCATTGAGGGTGAGCTGGATGGTGGCAGTATACATCCAATGAGTAGAAAGGTTGCTGTAAAGATCTGCGATGATTCCGGCCGTGTAATCATTCGAAGAGCCAGGATAGAGAGATTGACTGGCAGGGAAAACAAGCGGTATTTGTCGAAGCTCTAGTGTGCGGTTCAATGTAACGGGTTGAGAGACAACACCCGGTCCACGATCAAACAGGGCAGACATAGTTGTAGTAACTAGAAGCCAAGATCAGTTGTTGTTTTTCCGAACCCAAAAATAAAACAGACTCACAGACAGGTGAAAGTGAGCTTCCCAATGTAAGGAAAGCAAGAAGCCAGTGCTTATTGAGAGCAGCCTTCGCGCACGCCCAGAGCCAGAAAGAAGACCGGTAGGATAGGCCGGCACCCCTGGAGACAGATGGACTTCCTTTTGACATTGCAATAAAGGGTTGCAGACGCCGAAAGTTGTCATCCATTGCACTCCACCACAAACCAATTCCCGTTGCTATCACAGTGGGAATCATGGCAAAGGGTGCCACTGAGGATAGACCATTGTTGATAAAGGAGATTTGGACCTGGTAGACAAACGCTTTTTCGTAGAGCCCTGAAGTCTGGGCAAAATGATAAAGGACAGACACGCCAATTACCACCACAACCAAAACCAATGATAGAGAAAGGAGAGCGGGAAGACGAAACAATGCCGGCGTTCCGTTCTCAGATTGCGACGACTCGTTTCCCATGAGGTCGTCTGTATTGACACGCGAAAGGCCCTGGGGGGTTGTAAAGAACCATTCTCCAGCAAGTTTCTCATGCAACTCCTTGTCCGACGGTTGCCTGAAACTTCGGAAGCCAGACTCAGCCCAAGAAGCATGCGTTATTAAGCGAGCCGTGCCCAGAGTAGAAGCCGGGTCGTCTGTCAAGTGTAAAGGTCGAACATGCTCCCGAGAGAACCACCAAATGGCTAGAACAAGGATAAAGGAAATTGCGAGCAAAACTCCCAAAGCAATCGCAGGTCCAGCTTGAACCACTACTCGGGGTTCGATATCGTGAACATAGCCATTCATGGGTGTATAGTCTGAGGCACCTTGGTGAGTCAAAGCTGCCTGCAGAACCTCACCAAAATAGCGCTGCTTTGCTTTGGCTGCTGAGAGAACCCAATTTGGGTCGTTTACGATGGAGGTAATATTGTAATCGTATAGAGCACCCAAAAGAATCGAAGGACCTCCAAGCAGCCTATCGCCCGAAAAGAAGATCGAGACCATGTAAGTGGGCCAATCTTCGTCCAGGGTAAGGTTGCGGAAAAGAGTCGTACTCAGCAAAGTCTCAGGAATGGTGACTTTCTTCTGATCGAATTCACTCTCATCGTAAGAGATTTCCGGCTCATCCCCACCCAGGGTAATGGTCGTTGTGACATTAGCCATGTAATAGCTACTGTCGCATAACTGAGCTGAGTATTTAGCCCCCTCAGATTTCCACGGCTCAGTCAAGATAATGATGTCGCGATTGTCACATTCTGCAGTACTGTTTGTGAAGAACACGGATGTCATTCCCTGACCAAGTGGAGCCAGGCCGTTGTAAAATGTAGATGTATCAGACCAACTGCCGCCACCATCCTCGAAAAAGGACGTTTCGACCGTCAGTCCGTACTTGCACCCATCGGAAGAAGACCAGATAGTAGAGATAGAGGGCAGTTTGCCTAGCAAGCCATATTTCGGGCTGACAGATGTCTGACGGTCCAATTTCATCTGCGTGCAATTGAATTGACTTTTGAACATCACCGTCTCTGCCTCCCACTTCTGCGAAGGACTCGTCGGCAGTGATTTGATGGGAACGTTTTGCATATCGGTTGGCCAGAAGGGGAGGATGGTGTATTCATCTGTGATCCAAGGAGAAGTGGAGACATTCTGTAGTAGATTGGCAATCGTCCGGAAATGGGTCGCCCTGTCTGAATCGAGGGATAATGGCGAGTCTTTGGTCGGCACTAGGCTGGTAAATGCGGTTGACTTGGGAACGACCACATCTTCAGAAAAGAGAAACGCAGAAGAAAGTGGTGAGATGGCCATAAAGCCAATAATGTTGAGAAATGATGCGCAAATAAGAACAATACTTCGGGAGCCATTCCTCTTCTTAGCGAAGCCGTCGTATAGTGCATTCCACCATGCCCCCGGCGCCTTGAGGATGCTGGCTGATGCCTCTGCTCCTTTTGGTCGGGCCAAGCGAGCATAAGGCTCCGTCCGCTTGACATCCTCGAAGAGCACGCTGGTCATTTGGACGTATATGACAGCGATCAAGGTCGGGCTGTATCTCCAACCGAATAGCATAGCAGATGAGCCGTCATCAGATCCTAAGCCATAGTTTGTCGATGACCTCCACCATAGGAGGAACGAGACAAGACAAATACCAAATGAGACAAAGCTGAGAGAGGCTAAGAAAGGAGGCTTGAACGTATATGGAATCCAAGTTCTTGTTTGACTTTGTTGTTTTTCATCGCCGGTTGAATCTTTAAGTCGTGCTACAGTATCGCGGACATTTTCAACACCGGAAACTGTCGATTCGCTGCTTCCTTCTCGAGAGGACGATCGGCTCGGGCGAACGGTAGCGGTGAATAAATTGGACTTTTGACCAAGTAGATTCCGGTCTTCGCCAGGTGTATATTGTCGGGTGTTCATGATCAGGCGAGCAACAGACCAGCTATAACCCACAATTGCAATGTGCAAGGAAAGAAAATTAATATGAGGGAGCTCAGTATCCCACATGCTTATAACTGCCGCAGGGGCCGCCTCAGATTGGAAGGATTCACTGCACGCGAAGTGGGCAGCGCGCTACGCAGTGACCCATCATAGCAGCAGTGAAACTCGATACCCAATAAGACAGGACATATAGACGCAACCTGGGCGCGAGATCAGTCGAACGCGGAATCAGCCTTGGTCGATTTGGCTGCGGTCTCCGCTTGGTCACGGAACATTTGGGTTGTCATTTGTTGCTTGTCCCGATGGGTGCGTCGATCGACGTACGAAGGTGCAGCGCGACGATGAGGAGCGCCGTAAGGTAACCCCGACTAAAAGCGCAGGGATCAAGTCTGGCTAGAGCATCAAGGAACGGCTCGATATGCAGCAGAGTGCATACTTGGAACAAGCGACCTCAGGAACCCTAGACGAGCTAGCGGAAGGTCGTCCTCTCATAGACCTCGATTTCGCGCCGGGCTGAGATATCAGTGGGCTGGATGCTGGATAAAGTGGGCAATCTGTAAGCGCCGGCAGCCACTGGGAGGGAGGTTCTCCATAATCATGCAGTGGTGCAGACAACGGGCGTTTTGGATAGGCGTTGAGGTATGTGACGGGGGCCAAAATGCCTTGGCTGCATGCCCGCCATGCATGTTGCCGCACACCCAACACATTCCAACATTACTTGGCCCCGCCGTCTCGACCTTATAAGAGGGCCGATCTCTCGCCGAGCACAATTCGCAATTCAACACCTTCAGCCTCAAGATCACTACTTCGAATTTTCTTCCTTCCCATTGCTTCTTTTCCACTGCTGTCTGTACCTGCGTTGCTTGATGTGGCTTCAACGGTTTCGCTTGTCGCTATGGTCACACTCGTGCGACCCTGCATGCACCCTTCCGAGAATGGCTGTATCATCAATTGAACTTCGATTCCAGAGAGCAGTCGGAGTCTGCCTGGATGCCTTGGCCCGTGTGATGATATGGAATCTACTATATTACTCATGACTTGGACCAAGTACTCCGGATCTTCAAGTACTCTGAACCAAACGTCATGTCTTAATTCCAAAGGCGTCATTGGAAGCTATGAACCAAAGGACTTTGGAGTTTACTCAAAGCTAACATGCGACCTCTGGGCATCACACCCCTGCAGAAGAGAATATCACAGGACCCGAGTCAAGTGAAAGAGAAAAGAAGATCGATATGGACTAATAACTCAGGTGGTATATGTACAGAGAATCATAAAACGCTGGTCATGATCACGAAGGTATGTCACTTTCTCCCAACAGATTGAAAGAAAAGAAAAGGGCATCTGTGGGAGAATTGCCGGAAAAGTCGGATGTGGGCAGGGCTGTCCTTCTCAACACTGGAGCAGACAAGGAAGTCTGTACCCGCACACGCACACTGTTGTGGTCAAGAAAAAAGACGTTTTCCGGCCGGAACCATTTGCGTAAGTAAAAAAAAAAAAAAAACCTATCACGAGACGACGGACGAGACGCTTAAGCGTAGTCGAGGTCGACAACCAGGCGGATGGCACCGGGGCCACCGGTCACGGCCAGGTTCTTGGTGCCCTGGTCGGCGGAGGTGTAGGCGTTGAGGAGGCCAGCCAGACCCTTGCCGATGTAGGAGCAGTTCTCCTTGTTGTGGTCACAGATACGCATACCCTGGATGTCCAGGCCATTGAGCTGAGCAATAATGCAGGAAACATCCCAGCCGGATTGCCCGTCGTTCTGCTCGTTGCTCATGTCGAATTCACCCCAGGTGGAGGCATACTGGCCGAAGAAGGTGGTAGGGATGTCGCCCTGAGCAGCAGCCCAGCCACCCTGGGTGTTGTCATCGATGGCGACGTACTTGACGGAGCCCTTGGGCAGGGAGAACTTCAAAGCGGCGTGGGGGCTCCAGAAGCCGTCCATCTTGCCATCAGGACCGTAGGTGTTCCAGAAAAGGAGGTTCCAGGGCTCATCGTGGGCACCTTCGAAACGGATGACGTGCTTGTACTTGCTGGCATCAGCCTCGTCAACCAGAGCGATGTTGCTGCCCCAGGGGATGCCGACGTTGCCATGGTAGTCCCAGTCGAGGGGACCAGTCTTAGTGCTGGCGGTAGTGCCACCGAAGGCGTCACGGGAGAACTGGCCATCAGAAGGAGCGTCGTACCAATTGCCACCAGAAGCACCAGAGCTAGAGCCGGAGCCAGCGTTCGAGGTCGGGACGGGAATCACGGTCGACTCAACGGCGCTCGGGGAGGCAGTGAACTCGGGGGTGGGAGTGGGAGTGATGGTGGTCGAGAAGGAGGTCGAGGTGGAAGTGGAAGAAGTCTCGGAGGCGACCTCGCCGGACCACTCGTTGATCCAGGACTGCAGGACACCATCGATGGTGGCATACACCATATCGCCGACATCACGCTGCTCGATGTCGACTTCGGCCTTGGGGGCCTCAGTGGGCGCGGGACCCTCCAGTTCCAGTTCCAACTTGGGGTGGGCGTGACGGCGCTCGTGGCCGTGAAGACGGGCGACGGCTGACCCAGCGGTCAGGGCCGCCGCGAGAAGGACGGAGTTCTTGAAGTGCATCTTTTTTGGGAAGGAAAGTGTGCAATTGGGACTGAAAGAGTGACTGGAGCGGAAACGCTCGAAAAGAATTGCAAAAGAGTGTGTGAATAGAGGGTAAGGAAAGGGCAGAGATGGGTCAGGAGTGGGTTTAGTATTATGGGGGGACCCTTCGCTCCTTTCAGCAGGCCCTCAGCGTTCAGAGTTCGACCCTCGCCGGAAATCAGGGTCAGGGGCAGCTTCGTTATGATTGGTAGGCAGCCGGTGGTTCCTGGCGCCATCCAGCCACTGCTGGGCGTTATTGGCTCGATGCGACAAGTGGAGCGAGGCCGAGACCGTGGGTGGTCTGCAGTGTTTACCGTTCTACTCGTACTGTCCTTCCATTAGAGTACCAAAGGGTACTGTAAAGTACTGGTACCTCCCGCCCAGCACTCCGCCCGCAGAGCGGGGAGTACTGCTACTTCCCCTTTGTATACTCGTAATGTGTGTTTACCCGTCTGAGCAGATCAGGCTGCCCATCTCTGCCGTCTGAACTTCACTCTTCCCATCCCATTTGCGATGTCAGTATCCCCGTCCTCCCCCTGCCAAACACGTGTGCGATCGGAATGTTGTTGGCTGGAATGCTGGACCCTATCCAGACCCTGGTCCTGAAGCCACCGCCTCCGCAACCGTCCAAAGGACCCTCAAAACCCTCAATCAATCTATCGTCAAGGCCTCGGCCTCCACCATCCACCACATCTTGCCCTTCCCCACATCGCCCAATCGGCGCAAACTGCCCCCCTGTCTTACGTGTCGTACACTGCTGGGCACATCCCAGTGCCAATCCCTTTTCTCCGTCTAGTGTCTCTTGGGTCTCGTATGGATAAGTCGCCGAAAGCCACGCTCGTGATGTCAGACGCGTTCGAGAGATCATACGTCGACCGCCAATTCCATACGCGCCCGATGCCCTCGTTTGCTGGACAACGCATCAATCAAATTCCCGATCGTCTCGACCTGGCCTGGCCACCAGACGATCGCCACCCAACGGCAAACGATTTGCACCGGGGCTCCATCCCCAACCGGGAACTGGGTCAGGGGGAGGTGTGTGCGCGCCAGGGCAATGAGACAACAGACCTGTAAGGTACTACTAGCCCGGCTGCTCCGTCCTGCATGATCGTTGGCTTCGAAATTTCCGGTCCCACTGCTCTTTGTGCAGCCTCTCAGCGACTGCGGCACTGAAACCTCGCACCAGCGGTCTCCACCATGACAGTGCAATGGTGCAATGCCCCAATCTTCTCCTCGCCGTGCGACGTGGGTGTTCGAGTCTGGAATCCTTCGATTCCTTGGCTTCTGTTGTAACCGAATACCGAAAACTTTAACGTTCCTTGCCAGTGGTTAGTGTGGTTTGTTGCATACACTGCATGGCTGCCTCAAATCGGATGATTTGATATAGTGCTGTCATTGCAATGCCAGGCACCAGAATGCTGCCCTAACACGTCGTATAGTATACTGTACTGTACAATTCCAAGGGGTCGCGCGGGAGTCGTTCCGTGGTTTGGCTTGCGATCTGCACCCGGTCCATTGGCACTGGAGACATTCTGAAACGCGTGAGATCAGACCCGTCAAACCACTGCTCGAGTACACATGTACTCGTCTTCCGTGCGGAGTATATGTTCATCACCCTCGCGTTTTTGTTTACTGCGTTGCCTGGGACCCAAAAATAAAAGAACCATGCGCGAGTCAATTCCATTCAGTGGAGTCGTTACTATTTACAGGGGCGGCTGAGCTTCTACCTACAGGTACTGCCAGTGGGCACGACACTGCCTCAGCCCAGGGCCAAGCTGGGACACGAGTCCAGCCCCAAAAGCCCAGATGACCGTTTCCCCCTTGATCAATTCTCGCGCAGGTCGACGCCGCCCTCGAACGCGCTTCCGCCTGCCTCCGCGTCCAGCTGGACACTCCTGTCCAGCCCACACACTCGGAAGAGCATCTGCGGTGTCAGTTCCTTGTCCAACCCGGGAATACCATCCCGCTTCAACCTCTCCAGCCCCTCCCGCATCGCCGTGAGAGCCGGTCCGATCGTCGCAAAAGGGAAGATGATGATCCGAAAGCCCAGCTCACGCGCCTCACACGCCGAGATATTCGGCGTCGACCCGTGCTCAACCATATTCAGCAGCAAGGGCCACGGGGCAAGGTCCTGCACGGCCTGACGCGCCATCTCCCGAGACGTCAATCCCTCCAGGAACCCCACGTCGGCGCCAGCGTCGCGGGCTGCGCGCAGTCGGGCCAGAGACTCTTCGTACCCGTGCGACTGCAGTGCATCCGTCCGGGCAATCACGACGATATCGCTGCCCAGTCGTTGCCGCGCTTGCACCGCTGCCCGAATCCGAGCTGTGTAGGTCTCCTTGTCTACGAGCAATTTGCCAGACAGGTGTCCGCACCGCTTGGTCTGCACCTGGTCCTCGATATGGAAAGCCGCTACGCCGGAGCGCGCGTACTGCTCTGTGGTTCTGGCCACCATGATTGGGCCGCCGTACCCGGTGTCGGCATCTGCAAGGAGCGGTGTGGTGGGCGAGAGGTTGGCCAGCATCTCTGCGTTGGCGCGCATGTCATTCAACGTGCAGATGCCCAGGTCCGCTTGTCCGTGGACGGAAGCTGCGGTGCCGGCGCCTGTCTGTTGTGTTGTTGTTGGATCAGCTTAGGTCGAGATACTCTCACCTGCAGCAGTGACTTACCATGTACAGCGCATCGAACCCCGCTGCCAGTGCCAGACGTGCCGACATGCCATCATAGACACCCGGAGCCACGACGAAGCCATTGGGGTCCGCCAACGTCCTTCGCAGCTTGGTCGCAGCCGAAGCAAGAGCCATGACGTCGTCGATCGATAACGCAGGTGTTCGATTAACGTTCCAGCAGGAATAAACTGAGGTCTTGTACTGTACAGGGTTTCAAGATTAATAAGAGAAATAACCCGAGCTAACGGCCTCAACTCTCCATTATATAAATGTAACATCCACGTGTGTCACCAAGCTTTTCTCTTACCTTTCCCCACCTCTTCACATCTTGTTCGGCGATGATGCGCTCTCTCCACCTTTGCCGTACGGACGGTGCCGATACCGGGCCGCTTATGTCAGGCTCAGTCATGTCTTCTCGGCCTTTTCTCGCTGTCGCCGAAGTCCAGTATCGAGAACAGAATTAATTGTAGGTCAATCCAATAGTATTATTGCCATTTTGAGCTGGGAGCCGTTCGTCCGGCGAGTTGCCCAAGATGTAGATATCGGCCTCGGAATTGTAGGGCTTCCACGGCTTGCTCGGGCGGGGTAGTAACAGTCGCAAGGAATCTACATGACTTTTCTATATACATATTAAATTAATAGCAAAGCGGAGATATTGAAATCTTTGATCTGACGATATAGTCTCGCTCAACGATTAAACTGTAGCATAGAGTAATGTTGTATAAGATGCAGGGGAAACTTCATGTAACCAACTTCGTGGAACCCAGTGGCTGTCTTGGCACCGTTAGATTGCGCCCATATTCGCTTCCGGGAGTGACCTCTACTACACTAGTGTAATAGTAGCTTTCGTGGTAACTGTACAGGGACTCGCAGTCGCAGCACAGGAAAGGGTCATTGCTTACCACTGCACTACTCCCTCGGATACTAGGAAATTTTGGATCTTCTGTATAACACTTGTGAAGGGGGGCGACACCGACCCCACGTCCCACGACTGATTTCATGAACGTCCAGCAGCTTATCTAAATCTTTGAACTTTCCATGTTTGCAGGATTATTTATTAATCGAAATCGACTCGCTTTAGGCATTTGTATCCCAATTTTGGACTGATTATAATTACTGTTTTCAGACTACAAGGAGATTTGAAAGAAGCACGAGCTGAGAATGATCAATTTCTGACAACAATTAGAAGCCGAACTAGATTCTTGTGACTATCCATGTGAAAATGGCAATCTTGAATATTGCTGTGAACAGTCATGATCGGCTGCTTGGAGTTAGCTGGTTAGGGTCGTTGTGCATTTGACCCCCCTTCTTTTTTTTTTTTTCTTCTTTGTTTTCTATCTTTTTTTGGGCGTTTCTTTTCTTTTCGTGGGCGCTGGAAGTTCATGCTATGCGATATCTGGAGTCTCGACTCCACCTCTTTTGACAAATGTGTCTATCCCTCCCGAGACCGCGCGATGGCTTCGAGTTCATTGTCGACCCATCTCCAGAATTCCGTGTACATACCTGGGTTTTCATTGATCTCCAATGTGAAGATGTCGGCGGTTCCCGTGGTTATCGAAGCGGAGGGGCTGGGGTTTCGTGTGGCTGCTGCAGAATCGACGTCTGTCAGATGGCTATCGTCACTCGGTTCGCGGAGCTTCTGGCGCAAATCGATGATTTTTCTCATCAACCCTGTCATGATTGCTGCATCTCCGAATCCCAATGCTTTATCGAGCGGCAGAGAGGTCAATGTAAGCTTCTCCCACTGGGTGAAAAAATAATCAACGCTAGACAGCATTTGTCTTCGGTCGGCAGGAGTGTGGCCTTCTTGGTTGAGATAGAGCAGAATCACGTGAACACAATTCTGAATGGCATGGTTACGCAGCAAATTCCAGAAATATGGGGCAAACAAAGGAACGTCGAAGAGGTCCAAGTATCCCCGGAGAAGTTTGTCGCACGCAGGTACAACAGATTGCCAGGTCAAGTCCGAGTCTTGTGCAGGACCCTGTGGTGGGAGTGCCAACTTTGGCAGCAGCGTCATGATCTCCATTTTAAGGAGTTGAAGCATGTTATTGGTCCACCTTTTGACCACGTTGAACCTGTCAGCCAGGTTGTCTTCGGAATCAGAGGTCCAAGGACGACGGGTTGGAATCATGATTTCTGGCGGAATGTCGTCCGCTGTGGATTCGTCATACGCCGGGATCTTGGCGATTAAATCATCGACCTTGCCCCGAAATTCCGTGATGGCGACTTCTGCATCGCTAAATGCTTCTTCCCGGGGCACCAACCCACGAAACTTGGCCATTAGTCGGTTCAGTAACTTTGCCTTCTCAAATCGACCAATCGCGCCGAGCATCATCACCGATACCGTTCTCCTGGTGTTGGTCTTGAAGATGGATGGCATCTGCACGTTCTGAAGTAGTTCACCTCCGCAGAAGGTTGGCAGGTCGCTAGCTAGACTTGCCTGCGTATCCATCCACACAAGATGCCACCATACTCGCCGTCGATGGTCTCGAGAGTGTCCGACAGGGCCACGGAGTATAGGGTCTTGGTGAAGCCCAATGCTTTGGGCAAGAAGAATAGCTGGGCCTATGAAAAGGCGTTGGGACAATCCTGTCTCTCCGTTGATATGGTGGACCAAGATAGAGGCTACCAGCGTATTAATGGTTGGATATCTGAAATGTTGGCATGCACGCAGACTGTCAGAGCAACTGGTTCGAAGCGCATCGATCAGGTCTTGTTTTCCCACTTCACCGACTATGGACAGCGGGTGCACTCTCCATCCAGCAGCAGGCACAGCCGAGGCACCGGCAAAGAGTACGGCCAAAAGGAGGCAGAAAAAGGGAGGGTTGTGACTTACCTTGGTCGAAAATTTTTGACGCAAAAATTTGTGGTAATCGCCTAGGAAGCTCTGGATATCAACCACGGGATAGATTGGGTGTACCCCGACCATAAACCATTTCACAATCGCATCACACACCGGTGCGATGGGAAGGATTCGTAGGCTATAATTTAGCAAAGAAAGCGAGATATGGCTGGGGATTGTCGTTTCGAGAAGGATTCCTGGCGTCGAGGAAGCGGCATTGGGCGTTTCGAGACCGATAACTGTCCAGGCGGCTGGTAACGAGGGAAGGTGCACCGCATCGATGTCTGTATCATCTTGGAATTCTGATTCTGTTGTGTCGTGGGTGTGTTCACTTGCTTGGGATGTTTGTTCTGCCTCCATAGCGCGAAGATCGGACTCGCCAACCCGGGGTCTTTTGTGTTGTTGATCACCCTCATGGGACGGGGAACGCGACCGATTGTGCTGGCGATTCTCGGGTAGCTGCTGGTCGAAAGAAGATTCCATTATGAGCAGAATGCACAGGAAGAGAACGGTTCGATGATTTGACGGATGTTGTGATGCGACTCTGCCACGGTGAGTTGAAGGAGCGAAGATGATGTAGAGGCAGCGGCCTACCATTTAGCATGTGCCGCACCTGCCTCACCTGCTCACCCCACCAAACTGCGTCGCTTACGGTTTGAAAACCAGGGTCGGTATCAGTACTATGACCCTAAGCTAATTTCCATTTTCACATAAATGATCATTATACTCTTCAATTTCTAAGAGTTCAATATCACTCGTAATTTTATAGAGCCCAAAAATATTATTCGAAATTACATGAAGCTCACCCCATTACGGCGTGGAATGGTGTCGGAGTACTCGATATCTTTCCATAAATATTGCCTCATAATTTATATTCCCGTTATTTTGCTTACCATGCCTACGGCGCTCTCTAGGAGATAGGCACTTACAATCTGCTATACACCTGCTATACACCTGCGTACTCCGTATCCGGACAGCCCGCAGATCGCCTTAGTCAGCGGCGTCTCGAACCGTGGAACTTCCATCGAAGCCCATTCATGAACTTCTCACTTCACCCTCACTTTTCCCGTGAAATGCGCCCACTGTCCGGCTAGTGCCTCCTTCGATCCCTTCCACCCCTACCGATGGCTCGCACCTCCATTGTCCAAGAATATGCCGCCCCCTCAGCAACTCTGACTCTCGACCAAATGGTCACGCACGAGCACCAGACCTACAAAGTGCCGCGCCCACAGGGCTACCGTGTATCATGGCACGCCAACCCGGCCGTGGAGCTGCACCATTTCGGCCAGTCGCATCCAATGAAGCCGTGGCGACTGACCCTCACCAAGCAGCTCGTCATGGCCTACGGCATGCACCACGCGATGGACCTGTACCTGGCGCGCGCGGCGACATACGAAGAGATGGCCGAGTTCCACGAGTCGGATTATATGGATTTCCTGCGACAGGTCATGCCGGCTGACATGGATCGATCGGAAATGGGTGAGGATATTGTGCGGTTCAACTTTGGCGACGATTGCCCCATCTTCGACGGGCTGTACAATTACTGTTCGCTATACGCGGGCGGGACGGTGGACGCGGCGCGCAAGCTCTGCAACGATCAATCTGAGATTGCGATCAACTGGTCGGGTGGTCTGCACCATGCGAAGAAGTCGGAGGCTAGTGGCTTTTGCTATGTCAACGATATTGTCCTCGGTATCCTGCAGCTTCTGCGGCACCACCCGCGCGTCATGTACATTGACATTGACGTACACCATGGCGACGGCGTCGAACAAGCCTTTTGGTCCACGGACCGTGTGCTGACCGTCTCCTTCCACAAATACGACAAAGATGGTTTCTTCCCAGGCACCGGCGCCCTTGACGACACAGGCCCAACACACCCCCTCAACCCGGGTGCTCATCATTCAATTAACGTCCCGCTGAACGACGGTATCGAAGATGATGCTTACATCGCGCTTTTCCACGAAGTAATCGGCGCTTGCGTAAAGAACTACCGACCCAGCGCAATCGTCCTCCAATGCGGCGCCGACAGTCTCGGCTGCGACCGTTTGGGCTGTTTCAACCTGAACGTCCGCGCCCACGGTGCCTGTGTCGCCTTCACAAAGACCTTCGGCCTTCCTCTTCTCGTCGTCGGCGGTGGTGGCTATACCCCGCGCAATGTCTCTCGTGCCTGGGCCCACGAGACCTCCATCCTCATCGACGCAGACAAATCCCTCAACCCCACAATCCCGGAAACAGTGGCGGCCCGCAACCACTTCGGCCCCGACTACTCCCTCTTCCCACCTCTGTCCGAGATGCGGAGGCTCGAGAACAAAAATGATCGTGCCTACCTTGAAAATATTGTGCAGGCCGTTCATGAACAACTCCGTTATATCAAGGGTGCGCCAAGCGTGCAGATGAGCTTCATTCCACCGGATATTCTCGGTCTACGCGAGGACACAGAGAAAGAAATCGAGGAGCAGCAGGCTATAATGGAAGAAGAACGCGAAGAGCAAGAAGGCGGAGGCTCGGCATCCGCAGCTGCGGCTGGAGTCATTACCGGCGTGCCTGGGTCTGCTGGAGCCATTCCCCGTGCAAACCGTCGCCGAGACCTTGAACGTGGATCCGGGTCCAAGGGCGAGCTCTACTCATGACGGTCGTGTTGGTTGGCTGTACATAGCCGAACCAAGGGGGGTCATTGGCTTGGCGTTCTGCTTTGCTTTTGCTGGGCTGGTTCCGGCACGGGTTCAGGCGTTGTGATGGGAAAAATCTTGTTTAATGTGATTTGGCCCTCGATTCGGTTTGAGAAGAGGGACTGGAGTTGGAGTTTGACCATGTATGATTTCATCTGCCGTCTTTTACAGTGATATCCCCTGAGAGAAGATTTATATGCTTGTATAGTAGAAAGCAAGGGACAACTTCAAACAATTCATTGACCAATTGAAGTACATGAAGTTAAATCTCTCCCATCATTACGCGGTGAGCACACCGTGTATAGAACTCTGCCTGTAGTCTATCCGCCAAGAATTGTCGTTGCACACACTCCATAGCTCCAATTCGGGCCGTCCCTCGGATCAAAACAAGCCAAGCGGCCGACCTTTGCTGCCAGTGCCTTGCTGGATCGATGTGGTTTTTTTTATTTTTAATTTTTAATTTTTTGTGTTCTTTTCTCATTGATTCCGCAGGTGAATATGCGTTACGATGCGATGGATGCGAGTCCCTCAAGTTAAACATTACTATAAGCCTCTTTCAATCCTCTTCCAGAACCAGGACCGGGCCGTCAAATGATTGTCATGAGAGGCAATAGATATAGTACTTTATTTCTGATATTTTTTTTGTCGGTTTGCTGTTTCTGTTTCTTCTTTTCTTTTTGTTTCAGAATCAAATCGGGTATCCAGCAATGGCGCGGCATTGTCGGCCGGGAAACGCTTGTGTTGAACATCATGAGGGAGAAAGACGGATTAAAGAAGGCGAAACTTTGTCGTCTCCGGCCGCCTGGGGTAGTCGTGCTGGGTAGTCTGCGCAGGTTGACTACGTCGGATGGCGAACTGCCAGTGTGGAAGGTGAGATGGAAGGGCGAGCGATGGAAAAAGGCGGCTTTGATGGGATGGTGGGAGGTCATGTTAGGAGCCGGATTATGTTGTTAGTTCACTCGCTCGTTCATTGGTTTTCCTCTGCATCCACGAATTCTTCTACATCCCCGAGTTGAGTGTCCTTTCGCTGCACAGTGTTGTTCAAGTGATCTCCATCGGCGCTAGTCCCTGCTGATTGGCCTGAAGTGACGGTATTAGCTGTCGAGTTCTGTGGTTGTCGACACCGGATGTTCCTTCTATCGATGCGGTGGGATTTGAAATTGTGTTGACTGTTTCTGACCTTTGACGATAGGCGCGATGGCGAGAATCTGCTTCTTGGCAACCTCGGGGTTATGCGAGTCACTTGCAGGTGTACGTCAGCCATGGTATGTTCACCAATGAGAACTCCCACAAAACTTACACATCGGCGTTGATGATCCAATCGAGGTCCTCCTCTCCTTCATCTCGGTCACCAGGTCCACCCTCGACCGCGCGGAACAGCCGGGGATGCCATTCAACACCTTCGACGGCGCGCTTGGCGGCCTCGTCTCGTTGGCGATCTTCAATCTTGGTCTTCTCGTCCGTCGCAGCCTCGTGATTCCGCGCGTTGATTGCCTTGACCGTCTCGAGCCAGAGACGCTGCGATTCCCGTTCTCCTTGCTCGTCGAGCGGGCGCGCAATTGGTTTCGAGTGCTTCGCGTGTGTCGCGTCAAACAGAATCTCCTTGTGATGGGTCTGTTCCTTTAGTTAGTAAATACTGGCAATATCTACAGGAAAGTAGTGGATGGAAGCGAACCTTGACGTTCTTTAGGTGCATCTCGCCGTTCCAGAGACCAGACAATTCATAGAGCACCTCGCCAGTCTTCTCGTTCTTGATCGTGCCCCCGATAGCATTATATGTACCTGAAAAGTAGCCCTTGGTCTTAAATTCGATATCGGCCAAAAGGCTATTCTCCGGGCATCGCACGTAGCTGTGGTCGCCGAGCTCATACTTCATCTTCCCGAATAGAATTCCGCGAGCGTACATGTTAGGTTGGGTCAAAATACTAGATATTCATCAGTCTTTTATCTCTAGTGAATGTAGAAGTTATTGTCGGGAACATACTATCGCTCGCCCTTTTCCTTGTCCTCGCCGCGGTTCAGTAGCCGCAGGATCGCAATTCCTTCCATCATACTGGCAGCGGAGTTGCCCAAGAACTTGCTGCGGGGTTTGAGGGTTCCATCAATGCGGATGTTGTGCTCGGGGGCCATAAAAAAGTAGCTCGACTTGGGCGGGTGGTGAGAGGTTTGCTCCGAAACATAGTATCCACGCGTGTTGTCGGGATAGTCCCAGTAGCAAGTGAACGTCTCGCCAAGAATGGGATTCAACGGCTTCTTCACACCTCTGCATGACGGGGATATTGTGTATTAGCTCTTCGAGTCAAGGTGAAAGAGGCGGGAAACCGGGAAACGCACGGAGGCTTGATGTGCCACCCACTCAGGTAAAACTTGATCACCGAAACAAAGCGCTCGACCGGATCGTCAATCGTGGACATGGGGAGGAGGGTTTCGGGGTGGGCCATGAAGCTGTTTTGGATGTTAGCGAAGCGCCCAACGCTGGGGAACTTGGGGATTCCAGGCCGCGGACCGCAGCGGTGCGGGACATACTTGGTGATGCGCTCCAGCATGGACCGGGGCTCGAGAATGAAGGTCGGCAGCACGACTCGACTCAAGTCGGCGCCCGGCCGCAGCTGGGAAATGATGTGGGAAAGCACTGCGGCTGGTCAGCATGGAGGCCGGTGGCCGCGGGGGGCCGCAACAGGCTCAGCAGGAACATACCATTTCCCTGGTCGGGCTCGACGACCTCATCTTCTCCACTGGCGGGAGAGTCGTCGACGGACGATCGACCTGGGGGTGGATGGTCAGACATGGTGGGTTTCAAGGGCGTTGCCGGTGGTGGAGGTCAGAAGAACTCACTGGCCCAAGAAGCACGGCGGAGGCCCGGGACCGGCATTGCTGCGTTCGGAAGCCAGAAAGAGTAGTGTGTTGTGGGAACTTCAAGGCTACGACCACATCGGGAGGGGGGGGGCCCTGGCAGAGATGGGGAGTACAAAGGAGGAGGGATCGAGGCTGAGTTTACGAGGTTTACGGACTTAGGGGAATTTTTTTTTCTGGGATGATTGGGGCTGATACGGTGGGAAAGGCTTAGCCTGGTGACGTCGAGTCTCATGTAATGCTGCCTGCTGGACTACTCGACTACTGCTCCTTTGGGCAGGCGTCAGGAACCACCCCCAGCCAAGACTCGACTACGATCTTAGAGAGCGATGGTGGCCCGCCGTCTCGAATACCTCATCGTCGCCCGTCTCCTCCTCTTCTCTCCATCTTCCCCTCTCCGATCGTCATGAGGGGCACGGCTTGGCGCGGCGGGGGACAACATCGTCAGGTCCGCGCAGTTGCAGATTCCTGCGGGCAGTCAGATCCACTCTGGAGTACCGAGTGCCCCCCTAGAAGACCCTGGCTGTCCGTTTAGATACGTTCGATTAGTGGAACGTCGCCGTTGGTGATCTCTCCCGCACGAATGCCATATCTGGCCGATGGAGCATGACGTGGAAGTGTTCGACCGCATGCACTGACTTGAGCGACTTCCAGTTCTTGAACCACACGACGTCTTTGGGCGCCACGCGTGAACAGAAGGTCTGCTGCACATACGCCTCAATGGCTGCCCACGCCTCGGCCGTCAGTTCTCCCGTGGCTGGGTCATCTGCGAGCTCGAACTTGGTCCAGACCACCAGGTGAATGATGTTCGTGTCGATACCATAGGGCCAGTCGTTGTAAAGGATACGAATGTCGTCTAATCACTCATAAGTTAGTCAGTCACGTCACTCCATCCAAGTACCTCTAATGCACGGCAGGGAACAAGCCATACCGTCAAACTCGAATGGGCGTCCCAGGGGTTTCAGGTCCTGAGAATCACCATTGCCCCAGCCCAGTCTCTCCTTGACCACGAATCGCATGACGGATCCATATTCGGCTTTGATATGGGCCGTGTATTCCAGGTATTTGCGCAGGTCGCTGGGGACACGTTGAAATCGATCGATGCGGTTCGTCTCTGCGGGAGAGGCACCCTGGTCAGCACACTAGCCCTGCAGGGCATAGGGAGGAGCTCCACTAAACTAATTATCTCCTGTACCAACTTCCAGTCCTGTCGCCGATACTCTTGGTCCGGTGTTGATAGACAGTTGATGTTCTTCTCGGGTTGATCGCGTAGAAAGCTGGGGCATTCGGCCGGCCATTGCGACTGAGGTACATTCACCAGCCAGTAGGGCAGGGTCTCGGAGGTGAGGTGATGATCGTGGAAGAACTGCGCCGGCGCAGCTCTATCGGCATCGGTCAATTTCGCGTCGAGTGTAGTGATCGTCGCCGCGGGCGTCGACGCCTCCGGTGCATGCAGCATGCTGCAAGTCGGAATTTTTCAAGGATCGGGTTGTTTGGGTTGGAGTGGTTGTAGTCGTCGTAGAGACAAAGTCGAATGCCCGCCCCCAGCGACGTCACTCTGCAGAAGTGCCGAGGGATGGGAGGATGTGAGGGCAACGTTCCTGAATTAAACCCCAGGCCGCGAGTGTTACTGTCGATCATCGGGTCAGTCCACTTGAATCCACCCGTGGCAGCCGGCGACTGATGACTGGATAGACTTGACTACATCTATGCAACCGAAAGGAATGCAATCAAACAAAAAGCCGGATTGCCAGAATCGAGCTTGTCTACAAGGTACCCTAAGGTAGTACTAGAAGATTGCAGAACGATCAGAATGGGCTGAAGCCGGTCACGACGATGCGACCGCCAGCTTCCGCATCACCGCGTCGTCAGCATGGATCACCGAAACTCCCGCCGCTCGCAGCTCCTCCTTCACCGTGTCCCAACCAGCAGGCACAACGCATTTGGTCCCTTCTTCGATGAGCCAGCTCCGGAACCCAGCCTTGACCGCGTCCACTGCTGTGCACTTGACACAGTAATCCCCGGCCAACCCGACCACGAAGACATCCGTCACGCCCTTGGCTCGAAGCGCCGATATCAGGTCCATATTGACCGACTGCGCCGTGACGGCTGGATCCAAGTTCCCGAAGGCATCCGCAATGGCAGAATACATCTCGACCTGCGAGTGTTTGCCTTTGTAAACCAGCAGGTCTACACGGTTGCTTTCGATCTCGGGGATGATGGCTGCGCCTGGACTGTCGGCGACACAGTGAACGGGCCACAGCTGCTGCAATTTGATCTCTGTTTCTTTTCCAGGTGCCGGGTTCTGCATCTCAATGAAGGACTCGAAGGGCTTGTTATTCGGTGCGGGGTGGTTGCTGGCAAAGGAGATGTGGTCAGTGGGGTGCCAATCGAGCGTTGCGACGCGCGCTACGAAGCCGGGCTGGGCGAGGAGGGTATTGATCAAGGGTGCAATTGTGCGGCCATCTTGGACCGCGAGCGATCCGGTCTGTTCCTCGGTCATCGTCGGTTAGCACCAGCTCGACCAAGCTTGGGGTTCAACCCACCGGTGGGCAGAAGTCCTCCTGCATATCGACCACGATCAGGGCTGGCACGAAGGCGCCTCCATGTATTGACCCCATTGTGGCAACTGTATCTTGTCCAGGAAACTGCGTCCACTGTCGTATGAATAGTCATACTATCCTAGTAGCCATGGCTGTTTTGATTGTAGCCAAGGTCCGCCTGCTTACTCAGCCGCCCGCTAAAAGCGCGCACTTTCCGCTTTCTCTTCTCTTCCTCTTCTTCTCGCAAGGGCTGCGGCCCCAATTGAGCTTCTACATCGATCCGACCCGACAGTATAATAGCCCCGGCAATACTAGTAGTTCTACGGTAAGCGTCCCTCTTGATATTCTCCCCTCCTCCTTTCCCTCCACATGATGATCCACATTATTGGAGCTGTCTGAGCTTCGGCACTGCGGACAAACTCTTTTATACGCTTTTCATCTTTCTGAACCTCCTCCCATCATCTCGTTTCATGTCTATTTGAACCATCTGAGGAACCTATGCTGATTCCTAGATAGCCAATAACAGGAGATTGTAAACCTACATATTCCAGCCTCCTTGATCGGCGCCCAGGCTGCCATCAAATACTCTTCTCCTTCATAGTCGTTCCATAGTACTTTTTTGTTCTTTATCTATTACCACCTACCACCTCAAGACTACACACCATGGCGTATGACCCTCGCTGTGCAAACACGGGGAGTACCACTCCCCAAACCACTCCCCCTCCACAACCGCCGGCGGACTCCCTCCCATCCGAAGCGGCCACAATGAACGACCAAGTCGCCGCGAGCGTCCAGGCCGAAGGCCTCGCAGACTCCTGGAAACTGAAATTCTGCACGGTCTGCGCTTCCAACAACAACCGTTCCATGGAAGCCCACCTTCGCCTCTCCAGCGCCGACGCCGCATTCCCCGTCATCTCCTTCGGCACAGGCTCGCTCGTCCGATTGCCCGGCCCAACTATCACTCAGCCCAACGTCTACAGCTTCAACACAACCTCCTACAACCAAATGTACCAAGAACTTCACGACAAAGACGAGCGCCTGTACCGCGCGAACGGCATCCTAAACATGCTGGACCGCAATCGCAACCTGAAATGGGGCCCCGAGCGCTTCCAAGACTGGGTTCCCGGCCGCCCACGCATGGATCACCTCGAAAAGGGCGACAAGGGATCGACAGGGACCGAAGCAGGTGTCGTGGACGTGATCATCACCTGCGAAGAGCGATGCTGGGACGCCGTCGTCGATGACCTCATGAACAAAGGCAACACGCTCAATCGCCCCGTTCACGTCTTCAACGTGGATATTAAGGATAACCACGAAGAGGCCCTACTGGGCGGCAAGGCAATTCTGGACCTTGCAAACCGCCTCAACGAGGCTGCGATTGCCCAGCGCGATCTGCATGGTTCCAGCGGATGGGAGAATGGGACCGGGGCGGCGCGCCAGAGCTTCGATGAAAGTGTTCCTGAGATCCTGGCTGATTGGCAAGAGAAGAACCCTAATTTACCGGCGTTGTGGACTTTGGCGTGGCTGTAGCACGGTCATTTGATCTGTCGACGCAGCGTTTACATACGGGGATCTTATTGCTCAATCACCCTTGACTTCTTCAAGCCTATGCTTCCATGTCTGTTGTCTGTGATGCTTTCCAGTGGCATAATACCTATCTGATACCCCCTTGCCTGGCTGGTTTCATTGTCTTTTTTAAAAAATAACACTGTTTTACGTTTACCACTGCAAAGGTTTCATAGTTGTAGTCAAATATTTCTACTGCAGTAAAGTCCAGTAATACACTAGTGTAGGAATTGAAAGCAACGGTTCATTGTGGGTATAAACAAGCTATTATTATAGACATGGGTATCATCGCTGAGCAAAAGCAAACGTGGTGAAAGGTGGAAAGGGACAGGGTCAATACTGGGGCATTTTCGAGGGCCCGAAAACTTGTATGTTTCCCTCTGGCTCATCAGAGGCCTGCTGGGCATGACGACTGAGCTGTTCCTCAACTCGAGAAGAGCCAATCACTTCATTGTTGAGATGCGTATACTCAACGCCAGCTCCAGCGAGGATCGCTTGGATCGGATCATGCTTGCGTGCAGGGGCCTTGGGCTTGGTATCTTCACCTTCGCCGCGAATCATCGCAGCAAGTTGGCTCATGGCTTCATCCTCGGCCTTGGTGGGCATGTCATCGGCGTAGCCGGGTGTCTCTTCCTTTTTGAAGTCGAAATCCATGACATTCACACCGGCTCGACTTTCGGCGATGTTGGTCTTGTCGAGAATATCACGCAAGACAAGAAATTCATGTTCGTACTTGAACAGGTTCTTCAAGCCGAAGATCTCGCCCTGTTGGTCGGCTTTCGCCTGGACACCTTTAAAGTATCGGCGCTCGGAGCTGGCGGTGTATCCGATCTCTCCTTGCTGCTGTTTGTAGATTTGTCGCGCGTAGACAATTTCCTCAATGGTACCAGCAGAAACAAGTCGAAACACCTCAACATCTCGGACTTGACCAATTCGGTACGCCCGATCTTGTGCTTGGAGATCGTAAGATGGGTTCCAATTGGGATCCACCACTACGACCTTGTTTGCAGATGTAATATTCAGACCGACACCACCAGCCTTGGTGGATATCAAAAACACAAACTGCTTGGGATCGGAGTTGAACTCATTCACGGCCTTTGTGCGATCGTCGTATGGCATCGATCCGTCGAGATAGCTCACGTTATAGCTAGTGTGCACGAAGAGCATTTGAAGCATTTTCAGTAGACGGACGCTGTGTGAGAAAACAAGGACCTTGTCTCCATTTGAATGCCACCACTTCAGCAGCTTTCGAAGGACTTTCCACTTGCCGCAGAACTCAGGAGTTGCAAAATTGACAATCGAATCTCGAGATCGATACAGTTCTTTCCATTGATTTGGCAACGCGATCTGGAGCATCTCCATTTCCTTCTCTTGCTTTTCTCTCGTATCAGAATTCTGTGGTATGAGAATAGCAAGGTGATTGCTGAGTTTCTGCAGAATGTTGATGGCCGGGAAGACAAATGATTGCCAGGTACTCCCTGTGCCAGGAACAAGCTTTCGACAGCACCATCCGGCGTTCCTACCTGAGCCACAGCCGCACTTTTCCGTGGAGTACATGATATACTCCACGATGACACTGTCCAAGAAGTTCTCATAGGCTTCTGCTTGCGTATCAGTCAACGGGCAAAAGACTACCCGGTCACTTTTCTTGGGCAATTGATCTGCAATCAATGTCTTCATACGACGCAAAAAGAATCGTGGCAGCAGGTTATCAACTAGCCTTTTGGCTGTCCTTCGGGCTTTGCGGAGTTGGCTCCAGGTCGCCTCGTGTGATTGTCCGACTTTCAGAGGATCCGCAATGTGCGTTTTCCATGTAGCTATGGGACCGAGCTTGCCTGGGTTCGACCAGTTCAAGATCGTCCACAACTCTTCATATCGGTTCTGAATCGCCGTGCCTGTAAGGCCGATGCGGCAAAGAGCGTTGATTTCGTTCATGGCCTGTGTGATCAGAGCCTTTCGCTCCTTGATTTTGTGACATTCATCCGCAATAACGCAGTCCCATTCTACCATATTGATCGCGTCTCTGTTACCTGCGTAGGTGTCGTAGGTCGTGATGAGAATTTCGACTCTCCCAGACCTTGCAGCATGGAGGGCAAGCTCTTTGTTTGGGCCATGGAACTCGTCCACGTGCCACCAGCCCCATCGTTCGAGTTCGGCCCTCCAATTCGATTTCAAAGTCCCGGGACAAACTATGAGAGTTCGAGGGTACCAGGTGGCTCCCTCAGTTCGCCGCATCTTTCGCATGCGTTTCGTGTCACGTTCATCTCCAGTCTTGCCGTAGGCCGCGGTCAGAAATGCAATGACCTGGATTGTTTTGCCTAGACCCATATCGTCACCGAGTATTCCGCCCTTCTGGTAGACAAACATCTCATGGAGGAAAGCCGCTCCCTCCACCTGGTACGGTCGAAGCCATTGCGCGACAGGTGCAGGGATCAGGCCCGCGGAGCAGGTAAGTATTATATCTTTGTACTCGCGGACTGGAGTCATGTCCCGGAAGACTGGCCGCTCTTGCAAGTGTTCAAGACGTTCGTCATCAGAAAAGTCGACCTCGTCGTAAGAAGGTGGTAGTTTTAGCCCGTGCTCTTGGAGATGTTCGCGTTTTCGGTCGAACTGGGTTCTCCGACGCTGGACGTAGTCTGGAAGAGAGTCCTCCAACAGTTCATCCTCTGAGTGTACGTCGTCGTAGTGTTGTTGCACATGTCCCTGATCCCTGGTTGTAAGCTGCTGCTGGCGAAGGCCCACGCCGCCATCACTGGGAGGTTCTTTCTTCGGTTGTTTCGCTTTACGGTTGGCAGCCGCGGTCTGCTTGCGCTTCAGGGATTTGCGATCCTTGAACTTCTTATACACAGCCTCGCCGTCGTTGAAGTCGTCGCCGCTATGATCGAATTGGAGTTTCACCGGAGGATTCGTCGCTAGGGGAGACGGCGCATTGCTAGCTTCTCGCTTGGCAGATAGGGTATATGGTTTATCTTCGGCTTTCACTCGTTCGCGATCCCTGCCTTGTAAATGTCAGTCGCATGCACATTCCGTCGCATCGCGATGGGTCGCATACCAGAAGAAGCGGGCTCCTCCGAATACCGCGTCACTTCTAAATCATCGTCGTCCTCTGAGTCGAGGATGATGACCTCGTTCTCTGCGCCGTATCTTTCCATGTTCCTTGCATATTCAAGATGGAAACCGGAGCGTTGACCGAGTTGAGAGTGTGGGGTGTACAAGTCGCGTCGGCCGCGAAGGCGGAGAAGTTCCCAACGGCGATGTCATCCCGATCGGCGAAAAAAAGCTGCCTCCGGCCAACTCTTTCGTTCCAGACAGTCGCTGCCTGCCCTAGTGTCGTGCAATCGACGTGATATCCTAGTAGAGAGTTCTATGTGAAGTACGGTATACAGTAAGTCTTTGCATGTCTGGAATTGAGGGTGGATGAAGCGATAGGCGACCTGACATCCCACTTTACAGGTTCCGATAGAGCTTGACGAGCTTGATTTACAACCAATCCACCATCGCAAAGTTCTTTTCACCCTCGCAAAGGAGTCTGTCGCCATTATGCCGCTCGATACCTCGACCACATACCCTTTGACCCGGCTGCGCCTGGATGGCCGCCGATGGAACGAGCTACGCCTGCTCCAAGCACAGATCTCGACCAACCCGGCCAGTTCTGGCTCATCATATCTCTCCATGGGCAACACGGCGATCATGTGCTCCGTTCATGGTCCAGCTGAGGGCCGTCGAGGTGAAGCTACTGGTGCTGCTGGTAGCGCCGGCGCCATTGTCGAGGTCGACGTGAATATCGCTGGTTTTGCTGGCGTGGACCGCAAGAGGAGGGCTGGAGGCAGTGACAAGTATGTACAGTTTTCCCTACGCTCAATCTCGTGAGACCTTTTGCATAAGCAAACGGGCCGTGGACATTTTTCTAGTAGTAGATTCTAACCTTCTCTGCAGACAATCCTCGCGCATTGCGACGACGCTGCGCTCGGCTTTCCAGTCGCATCTGCACGCCCATCTCTACCCGCACAGCACGATCAGCATTCACGTATCGGTTCTCTCGTCCGACGGGTCTCTGCTGGCGGCTGCGATCAATGCTTGCACCCTGGCACTGGTGGATGCCGGTATCCCCATGCCTGGACTACTGTGTGGCTGTACCGCCGGAATGAGTGGAAGTGCATCTACGCCGCGCGACCCCCGTCATGATGAACTGGATCCTCTTCTGGACATGTCGGCCCCAGAAGAGCAGGAGTTGCCATTCCTCACCGTGGGAACTACCACCGCTCTGCCCGTCGGCGAGAACAACATGGACGAGGAGGAGGAAGAGAGCAAGGTTGCTGTACTGAACATGGACTCCAAGCTCCACTGCAGCTACATTGAGACGATGCTGGCGGTTGGAATGGATGGGTGTGGCCAGATCCGCGAGTTGTTGGAGGGGGTGATTAAAGGCACCAACAGGGGATGAACCGTGGGAGCCAACCTGATACCCAGTGCATCTGTAGGAGTTTAACGGGCGTCGCGTCAGAATTGGATTTTATTGTTTAATGACCTGAAATCGAACTGTCGAAAATGTGCTCAATTGCACTCGTCACACCTTTTGCTCTTGCGACCTTCTGTAGGGTACACAACAAACGGCCTCAACTTCCCACCTCTCTTCTTCCTCTCTCTCCCCTGTTCACTGCCACCCGCTCTTGTTTATTCCTGAGTCGTGAAGTACTCGCCTTCTTCTGAGACCCTTTAAAAGGATCTCATTCGATTCTCACGTTCGCCAGCCCACGCTCTTTTCGCCAGAACCTCCACCTCAACATGGACTCGATGGGTCCCATGCCTTCCGGCATGCCCACGAATATGTCTCTCACGAACGGAACTGACCTGCCCCCCAAGTCTGGCATGATGATGTCCACCTGCAAGATCGATGTATGTTAACCTAACCCCCACGGAAACAAGTGACTTACGACCTTGGCTGACCTCGCGCTCGTAGATGCTCTGGAACTGGTACACCATCGATGCCTGTACGCTTCACCACAACGCGATCAAGCTCCCTGTACCATCAAATACTGACTCAGAAACTAACATCTAGGCTTCATCTCGCACTCCTGGCACATCACTTCTCGTGGCATGTTCGCTGGTTCTTGCATCGGTGCCATCTGTCTCGTCCTGTGCCTCGAAGCTCTCCGTCGCCTGGGTCGTGAATACGATGCTTTCATCTTACGCCGAGCTCGTCTGCGTCAATTGTATCTGTCGAAAAAAGCCAGCAAGTCTTCCGCTTCGTATGCTTCCGCCGAGGAAAACCACGCCATCGAGACTGCTGCCAAGACATCCCAGGGAAACGACGCTCGGGAGACGGTCACGGCTGAGCCTGTGGAGCAGCAAGACCAGATCATCCCTGCTGCTACTGCTGCTGCTGCTGCTGCTGGAAACTTAAGTGAAAAGCCCTCCAGCGAGTCCACTCGTCACGAAAAGAAATCGCAGAGCTGTTCCTACCCGATCAACAACGCCGATACCACCCTGTCATACCGTCCGTCGCCCGTCGAGCAGGTTGTCCGCGCTTTGCTGCACACGCTCCAGTTCGGTGTTGCGTACATCATCATGCTCCTTGCTATGTACTACAACGGCTACATCATTATCTGCATCTTCATCGGTGCATTCCTGGGCTCTTTGGTCTTCTCGTGGGAGCCTGTTTCCCTGAACGACGAGTAAGTGATTCTCCTTCATCGAACTCGAGTGGTAATGACATGTGATATACATTTACTAACATTTTGTGCTTTTACTATTTCTAGGAACGATGCTTGCCAAGTTACCAAGTGCTGCGGCTAGTCTTGTCAACTTGTCGGCGGAAGAATTCAAGGATCAAGACTTTGCTCTGGATTCAAACGGATGCTTTCTTGATATTTTCGTGGTGTTTCAGGGGGCCTAGGTTCCTTGAGCCACATGTTGTAATGCCTTCCGAGCTGGTGGTATGGCACTTGTTCAAACAAAACGGTTTCATTCAGATGACGACACATGGATAAGGGGCAAGGACAACTCCATGTAATATGCTATTTTTCTTAATCAAACCTGGTCCCGTCAAGTACACATTAATCGTATCTTCTTCGCCCTCAGAACCTCCGGCCAGCTACACATCTCTCCATAAAGACCAGTCTCTCTCCTCTTGGTCCAGATGGTTTCAAAAACCTGCTTTGCAAGCGCCACATTCGAGAGACCAGTGGTTGCGTAACATCGATCAAACCAGGCAGAGAAGAACAACTGCGACGCAGGGCTGACAGCTTCACAGGCAGCTATGAAAGCCGGCCATATAAGGCTGGCGGTATTTCCATAATCCTGACCGACTTCTCCTTGCTGTATTGTCTCCAAAGAGTCTCTCACGGCATCTACCTCTGTCTGTAGTAGAGCAGCGTCAAGGTCGTATATGCGACGATGGAAGAAGATTAGCAGGGCCGTATACATTGTCTGGGCTCGTATATTTGCTGCCTCGGATTGATTTTCGTCTTCAAAGTTATTCCGCATATATCCTGTTCGGCATGAGGAGACGAGTAGATGAATTCCTTTCTCGATGGCCTTTGCTCTTGTCCAAAATTCCTTGAGATTCAACATTCCCTCTTTGCCCTCTCTCATGGAGAGATCTCTCTCATTGGCAAGACGAATTACCTGAGATAAAAGCATGAGAAAGCTCTCGGCTACCCCATACATTTTGGGGAAGAGTGTCAAGCTCCAGCGACCCGGGATAGCCAGGTGGAGGTCACGTTGTGCCACGTTAGGGTCTTTCTCCATGGCCATGATATTATCGGAGAAAGCAATATCACGAGATATTCGAAAATCTGCATGGGCGGTGCCATCATCTGATAGACTTGTATTGGCGAGCTGTGTGCTTAGGCTGTCGATACTTGTAGTCTCGGCCATGATGCGCATGTATGCATAACAATGATGCAGCGCCCTTCGCTTGGGAGATAGGTTAGACTGTGAGAATCCATTGGCATTGATGAACTTTTCTGCTTGAATGAGACAGGCGAGTCGTTTCTCCGGATCTCCCTTTATCATCTGCGAATTGAATTAGATTAACCGCATCATCGCGTCAGTTGCTGGTTCTGGTACATACGTAAGCGGTAGAGAGGCTCAAAATTGCCATCAGTACCTCCTTGTATTTGCTTTTCTTAGTAGCGGAGGTATATGCTTCCTCAATGCATCGCATGAAATGGTGCTCCGCCCGCTTCAGATAAGCTTCCCCTGTCGTGATCCAATGCTTAACTTCCATTGCTGAATGCTGACCCATGTGAAAAGAGCTGGCGCTCAACAGGGCATGGAGTAGTGTAAAACGCGCATTGGAGGGGTTACCATTCATGACAGTCTCTCCAAGTGTATTCACTGCGCATGAGACCACGAGGGTTCCCCAGGGAGCTTCTTGGCCGTGTTCGAACGGTGATATCAGCGGAACTATCTTCTCCTTATAATATGACAGGATGGCCCATGCTTCGACATTCTCGTTGAAATGCATTGGGACAATATCTGGCGGAGACGGTGACATCTCAAAAGCCCCTTCTATATCCCTGGGCGGAGATGGGATCAAATTCCATAACTCGGTATTGTCGTTCAAGACTTCACCCGGATCATGTATAAGACTGGAAAAAAAGTCGATCTCTTCTACCGGTAGCGGAAAGGTGCTTGGCTCTGAGAACCAGTCGTCAAATGGAATGTGGCCATCGTTGGATTCGGGGCTCGTGTCTTCTGGTTCTGAAAGAGGCGGCAGCTTGGAAACACCGAATGGTCCACGGAAGAGGGAAAATGGGGCGATATCGTTGGTTATGGACTCGAATCTCTCTAGGTCCAGTAATGCGCGACCAGGGTCCTGATCAGACAAAGAGTTGATGACCTCGTCACTCATATGTTGACGCTCGGTCTCTTTTGGGGCTTGAATCAGTATGTAGGAGCTGGAACAAGGATGGGTAGGGATCGCCAGGCACTCACCAGTAAAGATCGCATGACGATGCTTTGCCGCGTTTTCAGCACTCAACCTTCGAACGCCTTGCTTATTATCGATAAATGTCAACCGGTGGCCTGGAGGCGTGAATAGCAAGTCGACTTCATCACTAGGTGGAGCCAAGTTTGTAAAAGGAGTTGTGTATTGTTGCTGGGGTTTCCTGTAATTCTGCATAAGTGGCAGGAGGTCGAGTTGAGTGTCGGAAACAAATTGCTGTAGTGAGGTCGGCGGGGTAGGCGAGGCCATAGCATGCCACCGCGTTAGAGAGGAAGTAATAGTTTCCGGTTGGGATGTTATCGGTGGCGACCCCCGCCATTATCTTGTCGCGGTTGCGAAAAGGGAATGCGCCTCCGAGGAGATGCGGGGTCCCCACACCTTGCCGATATACATCGCGCGTCTCTGAATCACTCCCAACCTGCTCTTTCAGTCAAAGAGTCAAGAATTTGGTAACATTTCCATTCTCTTTATCATTTATTTTCTTGCCATTCTCTACATATTTTGCTAATTTCCCGTACTTGGATGCTCGGGATTTGTTGGCGCTTTCGGAAACAATTGCTATCTAGGTTTCATCAGCGATAACGCAGGCTCAGCCACAAGGAACCTCGAAACATCTCTCAAGAGCGATAAAATATAATATTGATTGACATATCCTGCTTCATTGGTAATACTCTTTCACCCAAGCCTTGATCTGCGCTACCTCCGCATCAATAATCTTCTGGGCTCCTGCGTTCGCAGCTCCATTTTCAAAATGAGATCAGAGCAATGGAATCCACCTGGAATGACGTTGACAGGAACTGAGGCTGTTGACCGGAGAGGCCCTCCGGGTCGATACTTCGAAGATACACCAGAGTCTCTCCAGGGGTCGAATTGTCTAATATTTTATGTCAGTGCTGGCCTATTTTCCGGAGTCTTCGATTGAGACGAATCAGTCACATACCCATTTGCCCAGATTAGCCGATTTGTTTTGGTTAAATCCCAGCCCTTGGTCCATGCATTAACAGTCGAGACTGTTTTTCCATTTGCGCTTCCATATGTGTGGCCATTGACCTCTGGGAAATATAGCGCACATTGTCTTTGCCAATACTCTGCGTTGACGGCGCGAGAAACGACAGTCGGGACACCGGATGGTGCGCCACTAGGTATCATATACAATTAAACAGTGGCCTCGGACGTATATTTTGGTAAATTACTTACTCCTGCCAGTAGAATAATGGTTCGTTGCACAGAATCCATTGCCATTGTCGGTCAATTGTATTATTGACGGATATATCTGTGAACATCGGGTTGGATGTATTGTAGGTGTCATAGCACGCTGTGGTGTTTTGATCGGACCAATATCCATAGTTGGCGCAGGCTGAGTATCATTGAATTAGATTACGAACTGCTTCGTCTGAGTGATTTATGACTCACATCCAGGGAGATGCTCATTCCGGAACCATTTGGCGTAGCCATGAAGTGCTTTCTTCAACCCAACGCCATTCGGGCCCGGGAGCCTTTTGGAACCCTGCTCGACGTTCTAAACCCATATCAGCAAAAATATACATATTAAAAACACAGACAAATTAATTACCTCAACATAGTCACAGAACTTATAAAAGTCTGAGTAGCCAGTGTAAAAGGTGTTGGACTGCCACAGCCAGGGACCATTTTGGAGCGCACTTTGAAAAGTTAATACCCTAGTATTCTTAGACAATCTTTGCTGAAGGATCGATACCTTGCAAAATCATCGAAATGATCTAGTTCGCCGAGTCCAAACATATCTTTCAGTTTCTGCATCTGTGTCTCCGATCCAGACGCTTGGACATTGTCAATATACTCGATAACCCGCGAGACATCTTTGCTGCAATTTTTGGGCATGCCTTCTTGAACAGGCGTAAAGTATTGCCACTAAATCAATATATTAGCATCCATAGTCAAAACTAAATAGAATTTAGCTTACAAAGTCGTAGATACCCTGCACAGGCGCACTGGACGCGTGATATGCCCAAAATGTGCCTGGCGAGGTTGATTCGGTCCATGCTGCTAGGGCGCCACTATAAGATCCGCCGCTGAAGACCCAGGGCTTCATCCAATATAAAGGTCAGCCGGACTTGTCCTATCTTTAGTGGATTAGATAACATACCGCATTTTGAGCATTACTGCTATTATTGGTGTCGAAGGCTAACTTCACATTCCGCGCGAAATATGTAAGATCAGCAATCGAATTCTCCAGAGTAAGATGTTGCAAATTTTCAGTCGTCAGGTCGTCATATGGTGAAGAATCTCCCCAGTAGCGATCTATAATAACGCGGTTCAGACTCTGGCGCCGTGGCCATCTTTAGGGCTGGAGACTCACGTTCGAGCATGAGGACTGCTCCCTTTATTTCCAGTGCGAGACGACCAGTGAGAGTTTTATTTGTCAAATAACCAGTAAACGGATCAGCAGACTCCTCACCGGGAGTGAAAAGCACCACCTAATTTTTCCACTGCGATTAGCGCGGAACCAAAGGGAATAAACGAGATGAAACTACCGGCGACCCTTCCCCCGCCCACCATTCTGAGTTATACCAGTAACGTTGCGAGAATGTCCCCAGACTCGGATTTTTGTGATCGATTAGTTGCTGGAATGTCGACTGCCCAGAAAACGCAACCGCCTCGGCTGATGAAGGAGGTGGAACGGGCTTGGGCGGAATGGCGGCATGAACAGGAAATGTTGAAAGGAAAGAGAAGACTACGAACGAAAGAAAATGCATATTGAGGAATACACAGCCGATGGTTGTGAATCAATGCCACCTTTATGAGCTCTAGCCTGCCGTCCGGCCTTATTTATACGCTGTGCTAGCCAAGTCCGAGTTGGCAAGACGCTACAGCAGCGCTAATGCACTGAGGTTGCGCTTTCATCTTGTACTGTGAAAGCCAGCCTAGCTAAGATGGGCGAAGCAGATACCTTAGTTCGGAAGCTTCGATAGAGCGGAAGAAGGCGATGGTGTTCTTTCTGACATCTATGAATGCTTGATATGGAGCTGTCTTCGGTCTCATTTTGGACGCTGCGAGCCAGAGATGATGCGTGATTAATAAGGCTGCATTTTGTCGTTCATGCTTTGAACTTGATTTTCAGAAATGCCCGAGATCGAAGTGTAACCATTAGCAATCACCCGCAGTAGCAAGAGGAAGTGCAACCCTTTCCAGTCTCCGAGACAGATTCAAGCTAGTTCGCAAATTGCCGTCGGAAGCCCGAGATTGCGGTGATTCGAAAACAAACCAATAAGCAAGCGGACCCCGCAGTTCCAACATGGTCAAAGGGACTGCCAGTGGTTGCTGACAAGTTACCATTCCCCTCTTTTGGGTAAAGAGACCCCTGTACCTGAGCCTCGAAATTGGAACAATGCATACCTGGTGATTGTACTACCCAAGGTACACCCGAGGGCATGTCCCCTGCCAAGAAACAAGGATTCAACTCATTGGTAAGCAAAGCCTGCATCAAACTTGACTTTGCATAAGCATTGAGGCTTCTTGTCTCCTGAAATGTATCGTGCTTCTCGCCTCAGATATTCTTCGGCTTTTCTCCATGAGCTTTGAAGGCGAGGGACGAGGCAAGATGGATAATGGTGGATTAACCATGGAGAGCAGCTCCACTATTTCCTGATTGTGGGATGTATGTCACGTGCCAATGCTGTTCGAGCCTAGAGGCACCAACGGCGTAGTTAACTATAGCTATAAGTAATGTCTGTGAGCCCTTCAAAACAAAAGCAATATTCAATCACAACGATGTTCGACCCCCAGACTCTCTTGAAATACTGGGACTGCCTTGCCGTAGATTTCAGAAGGGATAGGAAGGGACACTCATTCATAGGAGAATCAATGACAACTTGTCGGGCAACACTCTGTTGACTAGAGACTTTTGGATTGTCATTCGATTTACAAAATCTTTTTAGGTTTTGGGTCGATACATTTCAAAGACACATGTATTAACTGAGCTACAATTAAACTCCAGTTTTGTGACTCCTAGTTCTTGTAAAGCCCATTTTTGGCGCGATCTAAGATTTCTCAGACTACCAAAGTAGATAGTGCGGCATAGCTTCAGTTTACTATCAAAACTTTAGCGTGGAATGATTGCTCTACTCATGCATTAAGCTGGAAACACCTTCGCAAAGGAGACAGCAATTGTCGCTTTAGACCCAGAGACTGGAGTCTGAAGCAGCCACGATGTTGGACCTGACTAGGGCCCAACCAGGAGAGGCTACCATTGCAAAATACGCTTAGATTACGGAAAACGGGATGAGGAAAGAGTCCTGCCTCAAAGAGGATGTATAGGTGTTCGGTAGACTATCTAGATTACAAGGCAAAAGAAGAGTTCAGACCACCAAACAGAGCACCCCGCATTGGAGCAGAGTGAGGAATTTTATAAAATACACGCTCAAAAAGAGACATTGTCGCCGGACCAAAACTACATCACCGATGAGCAGGTGATTTAGATCTCACCGCAGTTGACGATGGTGGGCTTAGTGGCGGAGCGGATGGAGCCGGAGGAGGAGCCAAGGGCCTCGATCTCCTTGACTACCTCCATGGACTTGGCGTCAGCAACCTCGCCGAAGACGACGTGCTTGCCGTCGAGCCAGGAGGTGACGACGGTGGTGATGAAAAACTGGGAGCCGTTGCTGAAGAAAGCATGTTAGTGCTACCGGTTGCGTAATCAGCAGCATGATGGCAACTTACGTGTTGGGGCCGGCGTTGGCCATGGAGAGCAGACCGGGGCGGTCGTGCTTGAAGATGAAGTTCTCATCGGCGAACTTCTCACCGTAGATGGAGCGGCCACCGGTACCCTATGCAGGAAAAAAAAAATTAGTCTTCGTGTTTTCCTCGGTGATTTTCGACAACCAATTCTTTGGGACACTTACGTTGTGGTGGGTGAAGTCACCACCCTGAAGCATGAACTGGGGGATCACACGGTGGAAACTAGAGTCCTTGTAGCCCTGGCCCTTGGGGAGCTTGCAGAGCTCACGGAAGTTCTTGGCGGTCTTGGGGACCTTCTCCTCGAAGAGGTTGAAGTTGATACGGCCAACCTTGGCTAAAAAAAAAGTAGTCAATACGGAATGTCCATGAGTGGAAACAAGATTTGAAGTTCAATTCTTCATGGGTGGAGGCAATTGATAGCAAAGTGGAGGGTGGGAGTAAAGAAGTAGATATAGAGCGATTCGTGACACGGAATACTTACGGGCACTGGAGCCCACAGGGGCGTACTGGACCTCGAAGAAAGCCTTGGTGTCGGCCATGATTGCGGAAGAAGCGAAAGAGCGTTTGGCAACGGGGTGGAAAGCGCAGGGAGAAGCGAAGAGAGAGAGTGGGGTGGACTTGAGACGGAACATGCTGAGGGGCAGCTGCGCGGAGCGGGAATACTCGTGGCCGGGCTAGATGCGGGTTAGCTGCTGATTCGGATGCGGAGAGCGACCAAGTGCGCAGTTATCGCTGCCTCAGCCGGAGAGAGACTCGGGGAAAGGCCAGGATGTCAGCTTGTCTTCATGGCGGAGCAATTCGGGTCGAGATTGAACGGCCATTGAAGACAGAGGCCGCAAGTAGCACAGTATTCCCCAAGCATTAGATGAACATACATCAGTAGGGGATGGATAAGGATGACAGCGGAGAATGGAAGCTATAGGGAGAAAAACGAAGCTCGACGCAGGAAAAGCTTCCAAAGCTCCGATGCTTACATAAGGCCGATGAATTGTTCCGGGGAAGCCCGCATTTATTACACGTCTTATCTATGGCACTGTATTAGAAGTACTGCGGACATTATTTATAGAAGTTACTGATCGATACAAGTAAATACAACATTTCAATCCATGTGCTCAGATCTATTTTTTCATATGCTTAGATTCGATAGAAATTCGGATTCCTTCGATTCATGTGCACAGGGATGCGAGGGTCGGTACCTAAAGGGACCGAGAACGGGCAAAATAACAGTATGGTCTGGCAGAAAAGGGGCAAGGGGTGGAAAATGAAGAAAAGATATCAAATCAAGATAGAAATACAACGAATATGGTGAAAATAATAGGGTGTGAGAAGAAGTAGGTAAATGAGAAAGAAATCGGGAAAACATGAATGCCACGCGTATCAGGACATCATTTCGACATTGTCGGCTCGTTGCCACAGATGAGAGTCGCTCAAAAGCCAGAAGAACAGAAAAGAGACCAGGGTGAAGATCACAACGGTAAAGATAGATGGGAGAAGTAAAACAAAACCAAAATGCACAAGCGGTTGGAATCGTGCCGCTCAGTTTACACCAAAGAATCAAATCAAAAGAAATCTAGGTCATCAAGAGAACTCATCGTCGTCACTCAGGGCTAACGTCTCTAGGCGCTGTACAAGCTCCTTGGTCTGGCGGGCAAGCTCAAACGCAATTGGAGGCAACCGGTTGGTGACCTCGCGCAGGTGCTCGGGGGTGTTGGCATCAATGCCCTCAGTTGCGGTGCCCGTCAGACGGTCCCGGCATTCGTACAATGAATGGATGATGGGTTCGGTGCGCTCGCGCAGAGAGGAGTCGCCACTCCGTTCGTGGGTAAGATGCTCGGTGGAAGACACCACATTGGAGACAATGTCAGAAATGGCAGACACGTATGTCTGCACGGTGTGCATGTCATGTTCCGCACGGATACTGGCCACCAGGGCCTGGATGGATTGAACCATGCTGTCGGTCTGATCCTCGACATAGAACTTCAGTTCTTGAACTTCGTGGTCCTCCTGTGGAACCCCGTAGTTGAAGCTCGTGCCATTGTTAAGGCCGTTCTGCATCGCTGGGTGATCCTGGTCCGGAGGACTCAAGATGCTGTACTCAGAATGGTTGCTCATAGGACGTTGACTAGCACTCGCGTCGAAGTAGTCCGGGAACTTCTCGGTGGAAATATCAACATCGGCATCATCCTCATCCAGCCCGTCGGCAGGCGATGCCTGAATCTTCACAACCCGGACCAACTCCACAACGGCTGTAGACAAGTGTGATGCGGCGGCATCCAGCAAGGAGACTGGAGAAAGACCGCTGGAACTGGCAAAGTTGCGAGCCGCAGTGATCATGTTGTTGGCAGTAACCGACACTCGCGACTTGGCCTTGATGCGCAAGGTAGCGGTTCCATCGACTGGGGGAGGAGCCTGGTCCACATCCTGGATCATATGGCGAATTGCCATAACGACGAACTTGATCTGGTGAAGGACAGTCTTTGAATCTTCGAAACGAGCCACTCGTAGAAGCTCGTCGATCGACATTTGGAACTTGGTCACATGGATGTCTTTGACCACACCATCGGCCTGTACAAGCTCATGTTCCTTGGCAAGGATGCTCGCGTCAGGCCGAGAATCACTAATTCCACCAGAGGAAGTGCGCAGATGGCGCAACTGAGATTTTGCCTTTGCATAACGGTGCTTCCAGTCATTGACCTCGGCCTCCAATCGATGGACATCAGTAGCGAGCTGCTCTTCACGTTCCCAGTTGGAATGGCTCTGGGCTGTGAGAGATTTCATCTCCATGAGGAACTCAGAAGCCTCGCGCCGGACCTCTTGTGTAACCTGCTGCTGTTGCTGCAGCTCCACCTGGAGGCTCTGGTGTTTGCTTTCCAAGTCGGCATAACGGGCTTGCAGGTCCGCATCGCCTGCACTGCGGCTAGCCTCGTCAATCTGATTACGGAGATCTCGTTCCATGCTTTCATGCTCAAGCCTAAGTCTATCAAGTTCAAGCTGGAGCGAGCTGTTGAGATTTTCGGCTTGGGAAACCTTGCTCTCCAGATCCTGGCGGAGATCATCCCACGCCTCGCGCTCATTAACGCTGGCCTTATTCGATAGTCAGTACAATTGTTGCGATCTTGCTGTGCGAAACGAGACTTACCCCAGACTGGCCTGCGTCGGATGATCGGGAAAGCTCCTCATCCTTGGTGCGGACTAACTCCTCCAGCTTTTCGACTTTCTCCTGCAGCGCAGAGACTTGCGACTGGCTCTCCATTAACAACCGTCTCTCGCTATCGCCGAGCGTGGTTGCGGTTCCTCGTCTGCTCAGAACTGCGTCCAGCGCAAATGCATCACTCCGAGCATCGTCATCGTCCTCGCCTCCCATATCGTCGCTATCTTCCACCATCGTACTCTTGTTGGGGACCATGGTGTTGCTCTGGAAAGATCGAGGCAAAGGACCATCTCCATTCATCGAGGGCGGGCCACCAAGTGAACCCTGACGCGGAGGGAATGGGCTGCCCGGCGGGCCCCCAGACGGATATCCGCGACCCATGCGACTCGGGGGACCACGAGACTGCGAACGACGCGCATCTGGAGGAAAACCGGGCGGCGGTCGGCCTCCAGGACCGGTGAATTGTGGGAATCGGCGCTCCAGCTCACAGTAAACATCGGTGGCCAAGTCCCGGAAGCGCACGTGTTGGAGGGAGGCGAGCCTCTGACGGGCGTGGTTACGTTTCTCGTGGAAATTCTTGCGCGGAGGGAGGAAGGGTGGTACATCGGGGCGAGGAGGGTATCCGGGGGGAGGCATGGCCTGCTGGCGTCGGATCAATTCGTCGTAGACATCTGTACTCAGTTCATGGAACTGTGTCGGCGAGAGACGTAGGAGCTTGTCCCGGGCCTTGTTCGACCGGCCGTCATTTCGGTCATCACGATCGGCGGCATTCAGGAACCGTCGCAGGGCCACATAGTGCTGGTGTAGCACACCCTCCATCTGCCGATGTCGTCTGCCGCCATCGCGCGGCTCGCCGCCTACTGTTCCTACGCTGGACCTGGCGGCGACGGAGCTCGGAGGAGAAGGGTTGCCGCTGCCGGTGGGCGAGGGACCGGAGGGGGAATGCCGCTGGGACTTAAGGGCGCGCTGGGTACGCCGGAGGTCGGAGGAGTGGCTAGGTTGCCTCGCGAGGAGAAGGTCGGAGAAAAGGGCGGATCCGACTTCTGATATTGGTTGAGGCCGGACCAGTCGCTGCCATCGACGGAGACAGGCGACATGGCTCCCGAGGGCACATTCATATCAGGCCCGAGTAGCGAAATCTTGGCTTCTGCCAGCCGGTCGGGCTGGTCGAAACGGGGGTCAATGATTTAAGGGTCAACGGTCGACGGACAACCAAGTCGAAGCCAAGGCTGTGGGACGCATTCACGGTCACCGCACACGTCCCAGGATCTCCACCGGGGGATCTGAAACGAGGGAGTCAGGGGGAGCGACCGGGGGCCAGCAAGCGTCGACGAGGGAACAGACACGAAGGACGCGATCTGAATGAAAGAAGAGAAGAGCGCTGGTCCGAAAGAGTGAAGGACACGGCGAAGTAATTTCCAAGGGAGGGTGGAAAGTGTGCTAACACTTTCCCTCCGCTGACTCCGGAGTTCCTTAGTTCCCTTACGGGGGACCCGCCGTACAGCATACAGTGTACAGTACGGGGTGCACTACTCTAGTACTGCAATGTACTCTACGTACTACGACGGGCTCAGTACTAGTAGATGCAGGAACAGTCAGGCAAGGCTCTTTGCGATGACGATTTGCTCTTCGCGGTTAGATGCGCCACTCTCGGGACGGAGCAGCCCAAATCAACAGCGACTCTGCGCAGCTCGTGGGCATTTTTTGACCTGTCGAGCTGGCCATACCCTGCGATACCCACAGCCATTGTGATGTACCGACAGTAATACGCGGATACCGCGCAATACTCCGCTGATACGGTACGGTAATGCGCTAATGCGCTAAGAACTCCCCTGCCAAGCGGATCAAAGCAAAGCCACAGGGGCTGAACGCGATCTCCCTGCAGGGATAATTATCTGCCGTCCTCACATGAGCTGCGCAAGTACAGACGATGGCTATCGCGACGTCCCATGCTGATCGAGCCCCATGTCTCACCACACCCGGACTGGGGCTGTGAAACAATGCCGGGCGTCGCCAAGGGGCGAGCAAGCGCCGCTCAGGAGTCGGCGCATCTAGACCGTCTGGTCCCCCAGACGGCGAACGGTGGGAAGCTCGGTTACCGCCTCGTATCGCGTATGGCAGGCCAATCACTCATCTACATGTCCACATTTATTCAGGTAATCTTAAGCAAAGTCAACCAACCAGGAAATATCCAACCCATCCAATGGAATGCATTGGACGTTACACTGTGTGTACTCTCATGGAACATACCGTGGCTTCTCGCAGGCTTTGATAGAGATTGTCCAATGACAGAAGCCGTTTCCACAAATAATGGCAAGGTGACCCTACGATACTAGAATAGTTAGGGCATTGTCAATACCGGCCGGCGAAGCACTACCACTAGCCCGATTAATACTCGAGGTACAGTACTACTACCCTACAAAGGGTCGTACTATACACAGGACAACAAGATAGGGCACATTAATATAAACGAAGAATACAGGTTTCATAGGCCATGATCGACCGGCATATCTATCCAGGAGGAAAAACTAAGTACAGAATGTAGAACAAGAGCGTAGCTCGTACTCGCTCGCCGCGGTTTTAGGTAATCCCAATAAGGGTTCCGGGCATGAAGCTGGAAGGCTCAACACGATGAACCTGACAGCGTAGCACCATCATGGCTGACCCGATAGATGCTCGCAACACCACTCTTCAAAGAGCCAGGAGTGCGAGAACTATAAGCGGAGACAGATGCAGACGCAGTATGCAAAACGAGGGACAGGACAGGTGGAGCCGTCATATGCTCCATTCTCCGCTTCCTGGCCCTTCGCCGCAGATGGTAGCGAGAGGAAGATTTTGATGTAAGGTCGCGAGTGGGATATATAGAGGACTTGACTCATTACCGCGGGCCAGGAAAGTGCTGGTCGCGGACCAATTATTTCGAGGTCATAGAGAGACCGCGGGCCGCGCCCACGGCAGCCGACACGGGGGTCGAGGACCGCGTGGGAGCGGCGCTGCGGTTGTGGGCCATGTGTGCCTTCACAAGATGTCCGGCGGCAAGAGCGGCGCACAAACTGAGTTCACCAGCCAGCACGGAGGCGGCAATGATGCGGGACAGCTGGCGGGCGTTCTCGCCGGGGGTGGTAGGGTGCGATCCCCGGACACCGAGCATATCTAGCATAGCGGACTGCGCTTCGAGAATAGTACCACCACCAATAGTACCGACCTCAATGGAGGGCATCGAGACGGCGATCTGGAGGTTTCCATTGTTGCTGTGACGATAATTAGTATCACTGTTGAAGAGGGGAAAGAGCTGTCTTGGGGTCAAACATACTTCTTCATAGTCGTGATACAACTGCTGCTCTCGACGTTCTGGGCGGGATCCTGGCCGGTGGCCAAGAAGATGGCAGAGACAATGTTGGACGCGTGGGCGTTGAAACCACCCAAGCTACCAGCCATGGCGCTACCGATCAAGTTCTTGCTGACGTTGAGTTCAACCAGAGCGTTTACATCACTCTTCAGAACGCTCTTCACGACATCACCAGGGATGATGGCCTCAGCCACAACGGACTTACCACGGCCATCGGTCCAGTTGATAGCCGCGGACTTCTTGTCGGTACAGAAATTACCGGAGAGCGAGATGATCGACATGTCATCAAAGCCACACTCCTTGGACATAACATCCAGGGCCTTTTCACAACCCTTGGAAATCATGTTCATACCCATGGCGTCACCAGTGGTGGTCTTGAAGCGAATGTAGAGATAGGTACCGGCAAGAGCAGTCTTCAAGTTCTGGAGACGGGCAAAGCGACTGGTCGAGTTGAAGGCAGCGGTAATAATGCTGCGACCTTCTTCAGAATCAATCCAGACCTTGGCAGCGGCAGCCCGAGCCAAAGTAGGGAATGTTACGCAAGGTCCACGAGTCATACCATCACCGGTGAGGACAGTCACGGCACCACCGCCAGCGTTGATAGCCTTGGAGCCACGGCTGGTACTGGCAACAAGAACACCCTCGGTGGTAGCCATGGGGATGAAGTAGCTCTGACCGTCAATCTTCAGGGGACCAGCGACACCAAGGGGCAGGGGCAGGTATCCAATAACGTTCTCACAGCAAGCGCCGTGAACGAGACCGTAGTTGTAGTGTTTGTACGGAAGCTTGGAGGCTTCCAGGGAACCGGTAGTAGCAGAAGTAGCGCCAGTGCGGGAGATAACGGCACGACGGATCTTGACAGCGCGAGTGAAAGCATCCACACGGCTCATCAAGTTCTCATCCTCCATGGTCTTCTCCAGAGCGTAGCCAGGAAGCTTTCCCTTGAGCGACAGAGCGATCAGTTCCTCATCAGTCATCAATGGAGCCTTCTTCTCCTTCAGCATCAGTTCGCACTCCTCGAATGTTCGGGTAGATTCCTGCTCATTCGGCTCGAACTGGGGGTAAACCTTGGGGGCAGGCTCCTTGGGAGGAGCAGGAGTAGCCTCGGGCTCCTTGATGCTCCAGCGAGCCGCATTGAAGAGATAACCGTTAAGAATGATACTGAGGGTCAAAGCAGCGATAATCCATTTGCTGATAATGGGGTCCTCAACGCTCTTCAACAGGCTCTCAAGGACCTTGCCACCAACAGCATCTAGGAGCTGGTCGGTATACTCAATCTCGAACGGACCAGACTCGGCCGCGGCATAGTGGACTGAAGGGTACTCCAGCTTATACTTGACGGGCGGGATGATAGTCACCATAGTCTCTTGCTTCTGGCTCTTGGCGGTCACATAGATGGAATCCAGACCATTCTCGGCGACCTTGAAGGGGTCGATGGGAGTAGGAGCCATGACATGGGAGAGGCGCGAGATCAACGCACCGTTACCGGTGTTGCGGAAGGGAATAGCAGACAGGTTCACAACATTGACCAGGATCAGACCACCGACCATGAGAATCTTGAATCGGCGCACGCTGCTGGACTTGATCTTACGTCCGAAGATGCTAGTATCACCCTCGTTACCATCCGAACCAACGTTGGGCCAATCATTGTTAGAAGCAACATTTTCAGCCACGCTGTGAGTGATGCCATCCTCCTCGAGAGCCTTGCGCAGCGCAACATGACGCTTAATGCGGGTGATCTCGAGCTTGATGCAGAGAATGGTGGTGTAGAAGGTAAACAGAAGAACGCAGTCGAAGAACAGGATCCAGGCAGCGAGGAAGCAGAACTGCTGAAGACCGCCCTGCACACCAGAGGCAGCGCCAATGGCCAACAGACCGATCTCAATGCAGTAGTGCTGGATGATCTCGAAGCCCTGCTGTTTGATCGCAGCCGAGATGGAATCCTGAATGGAGGCCGGGGTGCTCGACGCGAGGGGCCGCGGAGCCGCACCAGGAGCAGGGCGGCGGTTATCCACAGAGGCATTGAGGACCGCACGGGTGAACATGATCGGCTTCTCAAATCCAATAGTCACAACCAGGAACGGAAGGCCTTCCGAGAGCAGAAGCAGGTTAATGGGCACACCAAGCTTGGTCGTCACCAGAAGACCAAACAGGAAAGCGAAGGAGCCGGAGAAGAGCACAGTAGCCGCAAGCCAGAATTTGGAGCCGAGGCGCCTCATCGAGAAGAAAAGAGAGACGAAGCTGAGGTGCATCGAGATGTAGCCAAGAGCCATGATCACGATGTCAATGGTCTCGGCATGCTTGATCAGATCCACAAATGAGCTCCAGGCATCGGTCAGCCAGATCTTGAGGGCAGTGCGCGAGCCAGTGGCGCCGCGAGCAGCCCGCATGATCCATTTCTTCGATTCCTCTTCCTCCTCCTCGTTTGAGGAGTCTGGGATCTCCTGGACAGCCCTAAGGAACTCAGAGACCTGGTCAAAAGGCACGGCATAGGCAAGAGCGGAGTCGTGAGAGAAAGGCGAGAAAAGATTCGGGGTGCGGGGCACCGACTGCGCCGAGACATTGCTAGGGATGGGGACATCATCGGCGAGGGGAGCGGTCGACTCGGACTTGGAGGCGGAATCCGGGAAAATGAAGGTAGTGAGAGCAAGGTGGTGAACAGCGGGCTTCTCGATCTGCTGTGGAGGAGGACTTTTAGCTCAAATGGTTCCATTCCACCGGTTACACAGCGCCGAGGGAATGCTTACCGTCTCGTCGGCCCAGGAGTCTTCCGCCTGCCACTTCCAGGAGGTGGACTCTCCTAGTCGCAAATTCCTGCTCCCCTGGAGAAGGGTCTCTGTGTCCACTTGACCCGCGACATTGCGCGAATTCCGCGCGGTATCCAGTAAGCTGCCTTCCAGCAGACCAACATAGGTCGTACTGGCGAGCAGCGCGATCACGACAATCGTGTGAATTGGGTGAACACAAGCCCGGCGGGAGATGAATTGGAGGCCGCAAGTGACCTGACGGCGGATCCAGCTTGGCTCAACATCCTTGTCGGCGTCGGTTGAGCGCAATCGCTTGGAAATGAGGGAGGATGCCATGGTGACAAGGTTGGAGGGAAGCGGTGTGGACGTCTGTTGAAGGCGTTGGGGAGGGTTTATGACGGTCCGCAGGGACCAGGGCCTGCGAGAATCACCGCCGTGGTGCTGATTATGTCGACCAAACCGGACGAGGTGAGGAGATCGGAATTGAAGAAGTCCCTAGATCGAGGGCCGCATGTGGCTCACGAGGTAGTCGTTGACAGGGACGATTTTCCCACGAGGGAACTTTTTTTGGGGGCTCGAGTTAGCAACACATAGTCTGAGAGTGTAGGCAAAGGGGGCCGATCCATACCAGAACAACCAAAGGAAATCGACGCGACGAGCAAGACCAAGCAAGACGGAAACGAGAAGACGACCCCCTGAAGGCTGCAAAATACTCGAGCTCCGGGTCCGCCAGGAATTAAGTATCGCCGACAAACGGGGGGCGCCAAGCCCTCCTGGTGGGGAGGACTAGCGCAGCGCGACGCAGTGTAGACAACCCTGGGGCGTCGACCTCTGGACTTGATCGTGCAGAAATTATTACGGTTATTAGAATGAAGAGCACTGGCAGTGTATAAGGGAAACGAGGGATAATAGGATATGTTCATATGGCAGGCTACAAACAAAATGATGGGACAATGGGCACAATCGGATCTCCAAGAAGCCTCAGGAACAAGCCCCAAGTCTGGGGTTCGTCTACTCAATGGCCGCGTGCATCGATCCTTCTCTTTCCTGTGCGGGCATTCTAATCTCCTGTCATTTGGTCCCATGGTATGTATTCAGTTGAATAGGCCAGCACCCATTTCTCGTATAGGAAAAAGGGCGGTGGCGACCACGAGACGCGAGCACAAAAAGGCAGGCCAAAAAGAAAAAAAAACAGCTGCCAACTCTGCATGCACCCGTTCCCGATGCGGTTTAGTGGCACTGCTAGTTGGGATCGGCTCAACAAAGCCTGTCCTCGCAGCCTTTGGAAAGCACCCGAAGGCACACACCGTTGCAGGGCTCCGATTGCAGCGGGGCTACTAGTAGACTCGCGAGAATTCCTCGACCACATCGGACGCCGTCCGCCATAATCAGTCGTGGGTGCCACTCGGGTGCCGACACTCGACAGTCGATCGGCACGCTCCACTTGTCCTCGTCCAGGGTTTCCACTGTGCACCGCCGCGCACCTAGAGCGTGAGGGAATCCGGTCCTGTAATCAAAGCGGTCCATGCCGTCCACGTCAGCGAGCCCAGTTCTTCTAGTGAGAACGGGCCGTTTTTCGCCTCAAGGCGCCCTTCCGCAGGACTCCGCTGGGCATCGAGGACGTCGACCTGTCTTTCGGCGTCCAGAGGGAATCCACCGGGTGGAGTGCACGGAGAAATCAGATAAAAATCAGATAACTCAAGTCAAATCATCGTGGGCAGGCCCCGCGGCTTCTATCCACAATGGGACTCGGTTACCATGCCAAGCAGCAGGTAAATCGAGAAAATCCATCAAGATAAGATGCAAGTCCGACGACGGAGGATAGGTGGGCTGTCTCCGAGGTCTCTGGACGAGAAGGGTAAAGCAGACCGAGTGCATTATTCACAGAAACCGCCGCAATCGATTGGTTCGCTGAACTGCCGATGATTCGAAGCTTGCTTCACCACACTGCGCCGGCGTGACTGATGAGTGCTCGTACTGAGCAAATCATACTCGTGTGTAGGGAAAGTGGCATAGATCTCGGTAGGGTTGGGTACCATGCCTTTGGGTTATGGTAGACACTATGATGAACGCCCTACCCAAAAACGCCTTGAGGTAGGATCAGCATACCACAGTGGGCGAAATGACCGATAAAGAGGATTTGGCGGCTGTAAAGGCAAGCAGAGATATCTCACAGGTGCTTGAGCCGGATCACTAGCTAGGCTCGCGGCCAAGACCAAACAAGTATAGAGGCAGGATCGATCGGGCTGCAGAACTGACCACATCGACCATCTCCCGCCCGTTCTACCTATACCTTACCGTTCGATGTAACTACCGACGATGACGATGGGTACCCTTAAGGTACCTTAAACCGCTCCGGTTACTTATCACTTCCAGCAGCGATTCACTGAAGAGCCTCTTGACTCATCCTCTTGGCTGCGCAGTCTAAATGCAGAACATCCTGCGTTGCAGAATCCCACACGCTAATTAGCCCGGCGCCAATCGACGCGCCCGCTGGGCCAGGGAAAACCTGCAGGCCTGCAATGCCTGCACGATGCAAATCGGCCGATCGCTGATCCTCGTCAGGTGCTGCCCAGCCTATTTCCCTCTAAGCGCCAGGAGCTGCGGGTTCCCTTCTGTCTCAGGGTCAAAAATATCTCCGTCCGTCCCCATCCTGAGGCAAGCTCCGTCGCTTTTCCAACCTCCTCATCCAACCATTCTCCCCAGAGCCTCTGGTCCTTTGGCACGAGGCTAAATTAGGCGTGGTTGACGGCGGGTATAGTTCGTTTCATCCGTGACGTCGATTCCGGCCGGGGTTCGAGTCTGCAGTATTGATGTCTCCAACTAGGTGCGACGCCTGCCTCCCACGATGGACGGTCTCCATATATTTGGAACGAGGTCCCGTGGGCGAGAGAACAAAGAGCGGCACTTCTATTTGTCTTGATCGTAAAGATTCTTTGTTCTTCATCTCGAGGCCTGTCTCGCCTAGCTCTGCTCCCGTGGGATGGCAGGACCCTGAAACAAACTGTTTGATCTCTGCTTTGTCGCCGGATTGTCGCCCAAGTATCAGCATGGTGTGGTGTGAATGCCTATGTTCTACTTTCGTCTCATCTCCCACCATTCACTGGTCCTACAAATAACCACGCTTCACTGCCGAGGCAGCACTCTACCGTCCCCCTCTATAAGAATCATCGACGAAGGGGATTTAGTTTCCACTTCTGCACATCCCAACATACGTCAAAGTCAATACCTATTTCAAACAAGACGCCGCGGGCCGGTGTCCCTACAGCGGCTTGATATCCGATATCACCGCCTTTCATCATCCATCCAGCCTCTCTTTGAACACGACAGAATGATCCTTCCAGCGCTAGCAGCGCTCCTCGCACTTGCCCCATACGCCGATGCCCACTCGTGGGTGGAACAACTCACAGTCATCGCACCAAATGGGACGTTCGTGGGAATACCGGGCTATGCTCGTGGAAATTATCTTCGCACAACAGCTGGGTTCAGCGACACTAGTATGACCTACCTGCTCCCACCCAGCACTCGAGCAAACACGACACTGCTCCTTCCCAGTGACAAGCTCTGCAAAGACACGCAACAAGATCAGACCCAGAGTGATGGGAGCCCCCGACTGCAAGCCAGCGCTGGCGCGGCAATTGCGCTCCGATACCAAGAGAATGGCCATGTTACTCTTCCCCAGAACCAGCCCGGCAAGCCGAAGAACCGCGGCACGGTATATGTGTACGGCACAACGCAGCCCAAGGTTGGCGAGAAGTTGCTCGATGTCCATGGCGCGTGGACCGCCGACGGTACTGGCGGAGATGGCCGAGGTGTCCTGCTGTCCACGCAAAATTTCGATGACGGCCGATGCTATCAGATCAACAGTGGCGAGATCTCCGAGACTCGCCAGCAGAAATATCCGCACCAGGCTAGCCAACTGACCGGGGCCGACCTTTGGTGCCAGCAAGATATCCAGTTACCCACGACTATCCCATCTGGCAAGTTGTATACTCTCTACTGGGTGTGGGACTGGCCCACCGCCCCGGGCGCCGATCCAACATACCCACAGGGCAAGACCGAGATCTATACCACCTGTATGGATGTCGATGTGCAAAACACAGCGGCCGATCGTCAGAAGGTGGACGATATATATGCGACGGGACAGGACCTTAATAAAGCTGCCATCCCGTCGGAGTTCGATCACCTCTCTGCCCAGCAGATCCCCGTGGAGTCCCAAGCCGCCACAAGCGCATCGCCCACTTCAACGTCAGCTGCGGGGCCCAAAGAGAAAGCCACAGTGACGGCCTGGCACACCGTCGGCAAGACCGTGACAGTGACCCAGGACGCGACTGTGACGGTTGATGCCGGTCAGTCGGGAGAGACTTCGTAGTCGGTGGGAACTCTGCCAAGGACCATAACGACATTGGAGGAGGCTCTTTTGCTATGAGCGCGCATTTCAAATGGAAGGATACCCTTGATAGACAATGAATGGATTCGAATCTCACATCCCACAAGAGGAATCTGTATCGAAGTGCATAGTCAAGTGTGAGGTGTTACTGTAAACATCGTAGGCTGGCCGGTGTGACATGCGCCATGTTGCGCGCTTGCCTAAAGCAGAATGGCTCCGATCTGAAACACGCTAGCACGTGATGCTGACCTAAGCCCCGCGAAGCTTCAATTCACACAGGAGACTCTTCGCCTGCAAGTCCAAAGAAGGTCAAGCTGTCCAGAGATCTCGATCTGCTCTCTGTTCGCGCTGACACTGTGCGTCTCGGCATACCCCTGCTGCTACCGCCGCCTCCGCACCGCCCACCACGATCCGCGCTGATCATTAACCCTGAAGGAGCCTCGAGGTATGGCCCCCGATTCCGAGGCGCATTTTCCCTCCGGTGAAGAAGAGGAGAGAAATCCCCCTTAGTGAGATCTTCTCATTGCGGCCGACCCTGCGCTTCTCTCCAATCCTCATCTTTGCCGCATAAGCGCTGTGCCCGGGTTGCATTCTATATCTGACACTTGCCGTGCAGTTTCTGCTATATTTAGCATTGCCCTCGTCAACTGCGGGACAACGCCTGGAACAACAACCTTCCGACCACGGCGCCCGTCACCTCCCACCGCGCTTGACGCTGGACCTTCCATCTGAACTCCCCATTTCTTCACAGGTTGCAAGGGACCTATACCTGTCGACCTTTGGTTCCCAAGTCTCGGCCCTCACGTCCAATCTTCTTCCCCTCCCCTCATTTCGCCCTCAGCCCTCCCCCTCTTCGAAAGTTTGCCGATTCCCGAACCCACACCCAGGGTCCTTGTCCACATCCCATTGGATCGCTGTCATTCTAGACAACCCGGGTCTAGCGAGACTGCTGCCGGCATCTTGTGTGAATAGCTTCATTGCCCAGGACTCTTCCATCTCGCCTTGCCGTTGACTGCATACAGCCCCCCGCACACCTCTCCATCTACAATCGCAAAGTGCGACAGGGTTTGGCGCGCCATCAAGCAAAATCGCAATGCAAAAATAGAGTCCGAGCGCGACCGATGAACACCTCACGCATCCCTTGCTAGCCTCGAACCTCATTTACCTCGCTACCTATCAATGCCCGTCCACCCGTTGGGCTCTCGCGAGATGTCGTCCCCGGCACCTGCCAACACTTCCGGGAGCAACCTGCAGGTTCTCCCACCTATTCTCACGAATGAACCAGTGAAACACTCGCCGAGTGCAAAGGACCGCTTGTCGACCTACTCGAACGTGTCCTTCACGTCGCAAAACCGCTCGCGCCCGGGCTCGCACGTATTCCCGATCTTCCATTCCAGCCTTTCCTACACTCTGGTGCGAGATTTTGCATACCCCTCGATACACCCGCTGCACTATGGACCTCCACCCCCACGCGGTTCGGGTGTTTCCACCCCCGCCAGTGAATATCGCCGCTTGTCGGACCCCCCCGGTTCGTGGGATACCTCACGAGGTCCGTGGGCATCTGGCCCCTGGAGTACAGAGAGCAGTCATGGACAAGGTCATCAACAGCTGCCAGCCATGTCGTTCGGTGATGGTCCGCCTTACAGTGAAGATGAAGACCTCCATAGCCCGGTAGTGACCACGGCGCGCCAGCGCAAGAAGTCCACGGGTACAGAATTGAACGGCGATGAGCAAGTTGCAGGAGCTGGACTGGACCGCGGTACATATGTTGGAATGAATGCCGATGGCAGTGAAACATATTACGTGAACAGCGGGGATCCGATGGAAGATGGGCCAGGTGGAGAGTATGTCACATACCCGGCAAATCAAGGACGGCATTCATACTATGGCAGTGGCCCGCAATGGTTTGTGCCTGCAGCTGGCTTTGAACCCGAGGAAGACTACACGGGCGGCGACCGGTACTCCAATGACTATCAATTTGCGGTCGGCTGTCCGGATGAGGAAATGCATGGAAAAGCCGTGGCTCTCTTTGACTTTACTCGCGAACATGAGAATGAGCTTCCTCTCACAGAGGGCCAAGTGATATACGTCTCATACCGACATGGCCAAGGCTGGTTGGTTGCAGAGGACCCCAAGACAGGAGAAAACGGTCTTGTCCCAGAGGAGTTCGTGCGGCTCCTTCGCGATATCGAAGGTGGGCTTACTTCTCTAAATGGAGAACCTGGCCCAGATATTGCGGACGATAGTGCGTCTCTCAGCATAGACACGAGCGAAGACAGTCATGATTCAACCCCTGTCAACACCGGTCAATCTACCCCTACGCCTAACCAGGGCGATCATCACGGTGCAAATGGCAATACCCCAGTGACCATCTCGGTTGGTCACGCAGATGAACCCGATACCGTCTCGGAAAGCAAGACTTCCGGTGGCGGCAATCGTTCTAGTCAGTTGGCGAAAACCTGAAACGGACTTGCCAGTACTCCTAAACGGATCCACCTGACCAGGAGCTTGGGCCAGCAATCACCTATATGGCCAATTTTATTAACAGAGTTGCGGATGCCGTCTTTGAGGGGAATTGGAGTCTGTCAAGACTTGCGCTCCTCTAATCGACACATGTGAACAACGTGCTTTCTCAACGAAAAACGCACCTCCCCGCCCCTGTCACCGTCCCGCACCGCTCCTATTGATGAATACCGAAGCCATAAGAAGGCGCAGCGAGTGCTGGGCTCCACGCCTCATGGCCGGCCATCACGAAATGGAACGCATGTATGGAACCAATCGCTCCACGCACATCTGCTTTCCTGGCCTAACAGTCCCTCCCCCTCCACCCTCCACCTCCTACACCCTTCCTGAGTTCAACTGATGAATGATTTCTACCCCTTCTACGCTTGATATCCCACCCACGAATTCCCATCCATTTTGATATAACCCTGATCGAGGAAGAGTTCAAAGAAAAGAACAAATTTACCTGTCTCCTCTCGGCTTGAGTTCTTTCCATCTTCCCGATTCTCGTCTTCTTACAAATGCCTGTTTTCTGAACCCAACACCCTCTTCTTGTATCTAGCCATTTTTTCAGCACAGGCGTTGTTTAGCATCAATTAGCATCAGCGTAATGCTTATTCAAATTCTCTAAATTCATTCTGCGTTGTTGCGTAGGTCTGTATTGCCCCTAGGAAGCCATAAGTATGTTTTTTCTTGGGGCCTTCAACAATCACAATTTTTTTGGTTATATCATACCGTGTGTTTTCCATACATACGATCCATGTCAGATATAATAATGCATGTGACCCTTTCACGAAAGCACCGAGGTGTCAAAGTAGTGTTGATACCACATACAATCAGATCTATCACATACCTTAATCATACACTAGTGTAGTGTTCTTGGCATTTAATTGATAATGCTCGTGCATGTCATCGCTCTAGTGTCAAGTCACCCTGACACCATACCGGACTTATCATCAAATGTACTATCATTCATATATGTTGGTTTATATCCACAGATTCTTCTCAAAATCCAGTGTTATAATTGATAGCACGAAACACCATTCAAATCAGAACAATTTTGAAAGGGCACCGTCGTAGCTATAAGATGGAGACTTGGAATCAGAACATCATGAGGGTTATACACAAGCTAATTACCGTTTACTAGCAACAACTCAAGACAGAGTTCTTTTGCAAGGAGAATTTTCAGACTCAAGAGCTGCTCTGCTAAAGCCGTGGGTGAAACAATCCGATAAAATCAGTGGGAGAAAGAGAAATGAGCACAAATAGGTCGGGGGAAAGGAAGCAACAATACAGAAAGGGTGGTCAAGAAGGAGTAGATAAATGAGGTCAAATTATGAGTTTCAATGCCGGATTCACTTCGTCCCCATATTTTAATGAAGCCTATACTTGATGAAAGCAAAAGCCGAGGAATGGAAAATGCCAATATGGATTCAAGATTGCAATCAACCAAGCAGGTCATCGAATGCGGAGCCACCCTGCTTTTGCTGGGTTTGACCCGACGGCGCGGGGGAAGCAGTGTTGGAGGCCGGGGCACCCCAGATACCGGCGCTGGCCTTTTCCTTGGCCATGCTGGCCAGATTGGGGCCCTTGTTGGCGCCGGTGTTGTTCTTGGCAATGCCCGCGCTTGCACTGGCGGAGGACCAGAGAGAGCCGAAAGCATCACCGGAGGGCTTGGGTTTGGAAGCCGCGGCGCCGGGCTTGTTACCGGCAGCTGACGGGATAGTCGCAGAGGACATGGAGGAAGTAGCGGTGTGAGAGGAGAAGGGCTGAGGGGCGTTGGTAGAAACAGAGGTGAAGTAGTTGGGGGTGGCAGCTTGGTAGCCTGAAGGCTTGGAGGCCATCGGGGCCATCACCGGCTGGCCGCCAGATGGGGCGTTCGAGACGGGCGAGGCGAGTCCGCTGGTAGGCGGGGTGGGACTGGCCGATGTGAAGCCGACCAGTCCATTGATGTTGGCACCCTGCGATGCAGACACTGGTTGAGGGGCGACGAACTGAGTGTTAGAAGTCGTGCTAGCTGTTGAGGCGGGAGGCGGAATACCGAATTGGTTCGACGATGTTTGCGCCGAAGGCTGAGGAGCTGGAGTCGCGGACTGGAAGTCGTCGAAATCATCGTCATCGATGGGCGCCGAATCCAGCATGTTCAATGCGCTGCTAGCAGGCTGCTTGCCAGCCGTGTTGGAGGCAGGCGCTGCCGGAGCGACGGGCTCATCATCACCAAAGTCGAAGAGGTCCTCCACAGGTGCCGGCTCGGGCTTCTTTGGAGGTGGTTTCGCCGCAGCAGGAGCTTCGCGACGCGGCGGGCTGATATCTCCCTCATCATACTCATCATACTCGTCAAAGCGATTGCCCCGACGGCCGCCGCTGCTGCCACCGCCACCTTCTTGAAAATCACTCGAAGCACCACCGAATCCTCCGCCATCACCGAAGACACCTCCGCTGTAGCCGCCGTATCCCATACTGTCGCTTCCAAAGCCACCATAGCGACCGGAGCTGGCGCTGTTCATTCCGCTCACATTCATACCGCCCTCAAAACCGCTGAACTTGTTCCGGTTTGAACGGGCCTTCTTCCGCTCGGCACGGATTTGGTCAACATCGCCCAGCAACTTGACCAACTCCGAAGATCGATTGCGCACGTTGATTCCCTGGTCCTTTCCATTCATATCAATGTAGTGGAACTGCCGGAGCATCCGTAGGAGTGACATATGAGACCTCGCGTCGTCGACCACCCGCTCCGATCCGTTCTTCACCAGGAATTCGAGAAGTTGAAGACTCTATACATCGCAAACAGTTAGTCCAGTCCAAAGACAACAGTCCAATTCATTCCGAGGTCATTGTCTACCTTGTAGATCTGTCGCCATTCCTCGGCGCTCTTGTCGGTGAAACGCTTGTAAATCAAAGGCATGATCTCGTTCAGCATTTGGCTGTGGAACTGTATTAGCATATGCGCGACATAACGAGGGTACTCGCTCCTCCGGCGCCACTGACTAGCTGTGTGTTCCATTGGCAATCTCCTGCATCAACGTGGTCGAAGCACCCCAAGGCTCGTTGTTTGTAGCTTCCCGGACCTAATCGGCATGTGTTAGTCATTGCGTGTAGCTGGTAGAAATCGCACGGGGATATAGATCTGATCGAGGGATGGTGCGCGGAGAGTTTGCTGGGTGTACGAACCTTGGACTCCATCTCGGTATAGTTCATGACAGCTACAAGGAAGCGGTCAGCTCGGTTTTTCGGAAACATGCAACAAAGCGAGATGCTTTGTGAACCAGATTTCTGTCATATGCAGGGGGCCGATACATACCATTTTGCATCTTGCGAACACCGGCCTTGATATCGTACAAGGTCAGGTTGCTAACCTGATCTCTGAGGTTATTGAGATCCATGGCGAAGGGGGACGTGTCCGTCGGGTTGGGGTGGAAAGGGCGCAGGAAGAATCGCTGATTGAGGGTCAAGAAGCCGCTAGGTCAATTGGGAGACAGAAAGGAAGAAGCGATCCGCGCCCGCCGGGATTGGGAGTTGGGGTAGAGATGTTGGAGGGGGAGATGCCCGGCTTCCAGCTGGCCGATTCCACGCGCCACGCAGTCACGTGGCAGCCCCTGATCCCGCTGTATACTTCGGGGAAGTCTTGGCTTTGGGCAGCATCAAATCCGATCATTTCGACGCCGACTGGCCATCATACGAGAAATAAGTGAACAGAACTTAAGTTACACTAACACTGGATGGATTATTCATATTGTGTACATGTCATTCGGGTGCTCGTGAAGCCGAGACGTATCGCTATGGAAAATCATCAAGAAAAAATACCCTAGGTATTTGCAACAAAGGAAAGGACAGAAGAAGTAAAAATATCACTAACAGCACCCACCCAGTTCATACTTCGTAACGTGGACGTGAGGTTTATTCATTGTAAAACTTCTTCATGATCAAATGCAAGAAGAGGTTCACATTCACCCGCATCTGCCCGTCGAAGAAGTCCATAAACTGTGTGTTGTTGAATTGTGCCTGCAACAGGTCGTCTAGCGGTACCTGCGCATTGGCACCGGGCACCATCATGTTGCCACTGCTGCCATCAATGGTGAATACTCCAACCTCGTTGCTGGAGATGGTCAAGTCAACTCGCTCAAATTGGCGATCGCTGTAGCCCTTCCAAGAAACCAGGACACCTCGGTCGGCCAGAGTGCGGGCGGAATACTTGTACGATCCGAACTTGAATACCTTGCCCGACTTTTGCAGTTCTCTCTGATGATCCCATTGCTTGGTGAAGGGCATGAGGAATCGCTTCTTTCCCTTCTTGTTTTGTAACGTGATCATGGCCTGCTCAATGTAGTCGTTGTAAGTCTTGAGCTGTTGATCGAGATAGATCGCCTGGTCGCTCAGACGGGCTGAAGTGAGACGTGCACCCTCCAGTTCGCGCTCTCGCTGGATTCTCCGGCGGTGCTTTGTGCGAATATCGATTGCGATGGCATTGAGTAGATCTTGATAGTGGTTGTGTCGACTGATTTTGCCGGCCTGTTCAAGACGCAGAATGTTCTCAAGAGCGGTACTCTTGAGTTCCGTGTAGGCCATCGATCCGATATCAATCAAAGTGCTAGCCTCAGAATAGGCACCTCGTCGAGGGTTGTTTGTGTTGAGTTCGTCTCGCACCAGGGTTTCCCATCGTTGCTCATCTTCCTCGGTCGGAGGCTTGAGCATGATATCCATCAAGCTTGCTCCACTCTGGACACGGATTATGTACAAAATGCATCTCTTGGTCTCCATGAAGAGTGCCTTGATCTCCGCTTCCGGATCTGTGGACATAATTAGTGGAGAAGAGAGTGATGGATTGGGGTCATTCTTACCTTCAACCTGGGCTAACTTGGGATTCAAAGTCAGGTTGATCTCAGTCGTGCTGACACTCATCAATTCATTTTCGTTGCTCTTCACGTTTCCGAGGTCGCGAATGAGCTGTTTGAGGAAATCGTCGGGGTTCGGGCACATGAATTCGATTTCCGAGGCCACAAGTTGATGAATCGAGAAGATGTCGGACATTTTAATGTACAAAGTGGGCTTGGCCTTGGCGTAAAGATCGTTGAACTCGTCAATGTCGAAGTAGGACTCAGCATCCTGAACCGAAATCACTGTTTTGCGTTAGTTAAGGCGGAACTGCAGCATTGCAGGAGACAGTGGGCTACTTACTCTGGCCCCAAATTCTCCCGAGCCTTTGGATCGATTCCCCGATGTAGGTGTTCAGTGGCTGGAGATAGACATTCTCGGCTCCAAAGAGTCTCCCAGAAGCAACTTGAGCCACCACCTTGGAAATCTCGCTCAGGTTCCTCTTTTGTTCCTGGGTAAGACCTCGGTCCACCACGCCATACCTCTCGGGCTCCAGCACTGCAGGCTGGAAATAATTCCTCCAAACCCAGTGTCCGACTGTTTGCAAAATGAATCCGGGATCCTCGTTTGAAAATCGCGCAAGAAGGTTTTCGTACATCTGCTGAGCGATATAGCGGATACCGAAGGGCATGTGGAACAGGAAGTCCTCGAACGCAGCGAAAAATTGATCGGCGATATCGCGAAGGTCCTGTAAATGCTGGATGAAGGTCTCTCGAGTTTCAGGGTCGCGGATGGCTTCTTCACGTGGTAGATCTGGTCGCCTTCGGCTACGCTGACCTGTGCGAAGCTCTTCGTTGTTGATGGATGAGCGGTAAATTTGGATTGGATCGCTCTCGAGATCCAGTTCGGGGTTCTCAATGACAGACTCCCGCACAACAGTGCCCAGAACATCGCGCATAAACTTGCGATCTCGAGGAGATTTGGCGTATGAGCCAAAAAGCTTGTTCCAGAAGGAAGTCGAGCGCAAGTATTCAGGAAGAGAGGCGAACGTTTCGATGTCTTCCTTGGCGGATCGTGCAAGCAGTTTGACGAGATAGTACTCCTCGCGTCGCTTTTGCGAGTATCCGAAGAGACCCATCATCAAATGCCTGACTCTTTCATATTCCTTGTCCGACGTATTGATCTCACGAAGGCGGCGGAACAGACGAGCCAAGTATTGCGATTGGGTCTGGAGAAGGAAGAAGAACACCTGGTATTGATCCAGCTTCCTCCGTGATGTCTTGTTCAGAGCTTTGAGGTCGTAAGGGTCCTTTGAGGAAATTTCGGTGTTGGAAAGCAAATTGCCAATGTGGCCACCGAAGTGCTTCTGGTGCTTGACAACTTCATCGAGAGTGATCTTGTTCTTGACGAGCAACGCGATCTTGATGTCCAGCTGGCTGATGTACTGCTCAGCCATCTCATTCTGCCGCACTTGCTGAACAACCACCTTTCTCAAACGTTCAAACTCGATCTCCTCATCGAAATCAAAGTCACTGTCGTTCAATAGGTGGACGAATCCCTTGACTGTTCCGACAGGGGGGTTCTTGCCGCTTGTCAGACTCTTGTACGCTTGACCCTGAATACGACCTCGGATGACGCTTTGAGCCTTGATGACCTTCTCCATGTTCTCGTTGTAGTGGCGTCGTCGCTCCTCGAAGCGATTGCGGATGATCATTCCTCTGATACGGGATTGGAAGTCGGTAATAACTTCCTCTTCATCCTCGAGATCTGTGAGCAGGTTGCCGACCTGAACTCGGACCATCATGGCTCTCGAAAATGCCTGAAGCTGGATAATTTCCTGTTCACTCTCCTCGAGGCGGGTGAGAATATTCCCAACTTTAATGCGCTCTAAAGCCGCGCGGGAAAGGGCCTGAAGCTCCACGATAACGGGTTCCTGCTTTTGAAGGCCTTTGCGTTCGGCCTCCAGATGTTTGCGTACCATGAAAGCCCTGGCCACGGATTGCAAGTCTAGAATTCTGGCCTCTTCCTTCATCAAGGCAGCCTGCTGGTTTTTCAAGGAGGCTCTGAGCGCATTGCCCCTCAGAATACCTTGTAAATCGATAAGTGACGAGCGATGTTTCGTGAGCTCTGCACGGAGAGCCGCATTTTTCTTTCGCACAGCGGCTCCCCGTGTGAAGGCTTGCAGAGCAATCCATTCATTCTCAGACTTGGCAAGAGAGCCCAAGATTTGGGAGTGGTTTTTTCTGGCCTTTTGAGCCCTGAAGGCCGCTTGAAGCTGGGTGATATGAGGAGTTGCGTGTTGAAGAGAGGACTTGAGTTGGCTAAGGTGCTGACGGGCATGTGTACCCCGAATCACTGCCTGCAGTGTTTTGACTCGGTCATTGGCCTGTTTCACATCTTGATACTGTACACTCAGTTGATTGCGTCGCAGGGCACCACGGATCAGGGCTTGAAGGGTCGTAACATCGTTTTCGGCGTATTCAATCTCGTTGTATTGATCAGAGACATTCTTTCGTGACAGCGCACCCCGAATGGCGGCTTGGAAGTGCTTGATTCCAGATTCTTCACAGCGAACGCGATTCTGGAGAAGATTGGCTTGAGCTCGCACCTTGGAGGCACGGATCAGACTTTGCAGCTGAAGAACATCTTTCTCATGGGCTTTTTGCCAATGCATTTGGCTGCGTAGACGACTACGAACAATGCATCCGCGGCTAATGGCCTGAAGTTGGACCGCGAATTGACGCATGCTGAGACGGTATCCGCTGATTTGGCGTGCCCAATCGCCACGAATGCGCGATTGCAACTCAACCAACATGGGCTCCCAATCCCATAGATCATTCATCATACTGCCAAGCTTCATACGCAGCATTGCACCACGTATTTGACCCTGCAAGTCAAGAATGACATCCTCGTTCTCGTGCAGCTCACGATCAATTCGTTCCTCGTCTGTCTCGATGGGCTCCGGTTCCGGCTCAGGCTCTGCCCCAAAATTCGCGGCCATACCAGCGAAACTGGGCATGCTGACACCGGACTTATCGAGACCCTTTTGAGTCTTCTCAAGCTCATGGTGTTCGAACTCGAGCTGTCCAACCAGGTTGCCCATACGGAAATCCAACATGCCATTCTTGAACAGTAGCCATGACAATGCGTGGATACAATGAATAACCTTGGGGATGTTCTTCTTCTCGTACAGATCGATTAATTCGAACCTGAAGAGCTCTGGTAGCTCAATATCATCGAGGAATCGGAAAAATAGGGCGATGTTATCGGAGTGGCGGTACTGCAGCTTGGGGTTTCGGAAGATCCTCAAAGGGGTATCGGGGTACATGGCTTGGACCAACTCTGCCAGCGTCACACCATCCCGTAGTGCCTCCTCCAGTTGAACAATCGGCGGAATTTGCTTTTGGATCACTTCTTCGATCCATTCCTTGGCTTCACCGATGTGACAGAGGTACTCGTAGGCTTGCAAGAACTGTCGCTGCGCGTCCATCCAGTTCCCTGCCGCCCATGATGAAGTCTTCGGCTTCTCTGGAGAGATCGCGCCACTTCTTCCAGCCACTGAGTCGGCGCGCTTGAGTCGGCGGCGCCCCGATAGTCCGGTGACAGAAGCTGTTCCGGAGCCAAATTGGAACTCTTCAGTTTCGCCAGATTGCGCAATTTTGGAGAGGGTTCGGAGGTGGCGGGTTGAAGACTTTTGGAAGGTTTCGAGATCCGGGGCGGACAGGGCGGTGGTCAACGGAGGCGGGTGAGGACTATTCGACAAAGCCTTCTGGGGCGATGCGGGCCGGGGTGATCCTGGTGTCGGGGTGGGCGACCAATGGCGTGGGGAAACTCCATGAGGGGGTGTTTGAGGCTCGAATGCTGCTGCTCTGTAGCGGGGTGATTCATTCTCCTTGAGATGGATTTGATGCGCGTCTGGTGTGATCGGTCGGTTTTCCTTAGGGTAGTGGTGCTCATCAATGGTGTTGCTGCGCGAATGACGATAGGCGGCGGCTTTCGGAGGAGACGAGGTGATGTTAGGAGCTTGTTGCAGAGGCCGCAGGGAACGGCGGATGCTTTCGTATGTTGTCCCAGCGTTGGAGGAGATTCCGCGCTCGGAGAAATCCATCGCACCGGGCGTGACTTCGCTCTTGCCCCGATAATGGCCTAGGTTTCCTGGTATCGACCCATTTGACGAGACAGTGCTGGTGCGACTCGGCGCGAAAGAGCTTGACGCGATGGAGTAGGCAGATGAGTTGGTAGACGCGTTAGAGCCGGTGTGCCGGAGTGGACTTGTTGGCTGCGCCGGGAGGTCCGTCTGGGCGCGCTTGAGCGATGGGAATTGAGTCGACATCACTATGAGCGTCGCGACAAGAATGCGAAAACCGAAGGGAGATTCTTGTGCTCGAATGACCGCATGCCTGCTTCAGTGGCAGCGGTGGGAAGTTGTTATGAACCAGTCGGCTTCAGAAGCTGGTTGTGCGCGGGAAACAATGCCCTTGGAATGTGAGATCAAGCGCGAGCGCACGGTTGGATGAATTGAATCGGCCGTTGCAAGCGAGGAGGTGTGCAGCGTCGAAGCGTCGGAGCGTCAGAGAGTCGAAAATGAGCCGCGAGACCCTCCGATGATGAGATTCCTCGTGACGGTGGGGAGGGGCCGACACAGCAACAGGGCACAACAGGGCAGGTGCGGCGCCGGGATTCCCCAGCCCAAAGCGGACACGCCCAAAACAAATCTCCCGATCAGGCATGGCGCCATCAGGTGACGCCACGCCGATCCTAGCGGTCACGTGATAAGTCACCATCCCCATCGAGACTCGTGGATTTCGGTCAGGAAGCGTGTGCCAGGTTGTTTCATCGCATTTCATTTACATTGGAGGTGCTTCGAAGATAAGCGCATCGAATCTGCGGTTATGCCGCTGCTTCGGAGTTGGTGGGACAAGATAGGGACCGTCTTGGCAATCGTAGCCAAGATCGATTCGGCAGGTCTGGGAGGGTCTGCAAATGTCGTGGTAGCCCCGCGCAACCGTCACATTTGCTCAGTTGGGCTGTCACTCACACCGCGTTTTCTTCTCTGGCTTGCGGAAATTGCCAATAAAATGGATGCAGAGTTGATGTAGTACTCAATTGCTATTCTATGTAGGTTTTTGTGGTATTATGTCTTTAAGATGATGCCCAGGTGGAAATCGATTGTCGATGGAGCCAGATCTTAAGGCCCACAATATATATCGACAATCAACATTTACTACAATTAGCAGCAATAATCAAACAAACCACGTTCCCAGTGAAGTAGCCATATGGCAGCTACACTAATTAACCAATAATCAAAACTCCCAAGGAACCCATCAAGCGAAACTGACTCAGTTTGTTGACTCCGAAAGTCTCGACGACCGCGACCCCGCCCGCCGTGCGTGACTCAAGCGGCCGAACCGGTAAACCCCGCCTGTTTGGCGATTCACCATCCATGACATCCATAAACCCACCAGCAGGCCCCTCTTGGTTCATCTCTCACCCACTGGACACTGGACTCTTCAGGCCTCCTCCATCATGACGACGCTGAATACCCAGCCCCTCTACATCTACAAGATCGTCCCCTCCTCCGCTGGGGTGCGGGAGCCGCTGCCCGAGCGACTGCCCGTCAGCGAGTTGGATCAGAACTCGGGCTTCGTTCACCTATCGATGGCTCATCAGGTCCCCAATACATTGAAAATGTTTTTCAAGAATGAGCCTTTGGTGTATATCCTGCGCATCCAGTACGCCACAGTCATGTCGGATATCCGATGGGAATCCCCGGATGGCAAGGTCTGTGGTCCACGACCGGATGAAGGATTGTTTCCGGTGAGTATTTTTGCTTCTCTCAATGCTTCTTCAAGATAAAGAATTACGCTAAATTATGCCAAGCATCTCTACAATGGCCTAAAATTGGGCCGGGATGAGGTGGAGAGCATTGCGATTTGGCAAAACGACGGCGGATGGGAAAAAGCACTGGAAGGGGCCAAGCCCTGGCTTGTATACTGACTTCAGGATAGTGTTTGATAGGTATTAACGTAGTCCTCTGCATTATAAATTGAATGATCGGCTTAACTACACGACATTCGACGTGTAAGAGTGGAAAAATGGAACTGGAATTCTGCGAAGACACTTGGATAGATAAATGCACATTGCGAACGGCTTGCGAGCGGGACCAGCTTCCCGAGGTCGCGCGTCAAAGAATGGCGCCACCACACGCCTCTCTTACAATTAGTCGCCGAGTGCGTAACAATGTAAAACCTGTCCGTCTGTTCATAGGGTCATCGTATGAAATTAGCTCTATTCGATATTAATAACAATTCCGGGCCACCAGGTACTCACAATAAAGTGAGGCATCTGCACTGGCCAGGAAGACAAAGCTGGTTGCAACTTCGCTGGGCTCCCCTGGTCGACCGAGCCCTACTTTGCTCCCCCAGCCTTCCATTGATTGGGCATCCCGGGTATCTGCTTGGATAGGAGTGTAAATAGCACCGGGACTATATCTCAGAGCGTTAGCTGTCTCCACAATTCATTGGAAGCGCAACTTACGCCACGGCATTCACCCGAATTCCCTTCGGAATGAGGTACTTGGCCAGCGACCTGGTGAAGCCTATAATTGCCCCTTTGGTTGCAGAGTAGTCTATCATGGTTCCAGATCCCCGAAAAGTCACAATGGACGACGTGTTGAGAATGCTATCGGAATTAGTATCCGGTGATTTGGCTTTTCATGCCAAGAGCGCGCAACGTACGAATCTCCACACGACATATGGGGGAGTGCGTATTTGGCCATCGTAATCATCTGGATGATGTTGGATCTGAAAATATCTTCGGTCTTGTCTAGATCGATATCCTCGAATTTCTGGGTTATATACTGCTTCGATGCATTGTTGACAAGGACATTGAGTGCACCGAATCTACAAAGAAATGAGAATATGAGCTTCTTGGCAATGGTGTGAAACAGGTACTCTGGACTCACCTCTTGACATGTTCCTCGATTGATGAATGGCAGAAATTGCGATCTCTTAGATCGCCCGGTATGAGGAGGCATTGTCTGCCTTCCCCCTCGATCATCCTTTTGGTAAACTCGGCGTCCTCCTGCTCCTTCGGCAAGTAGACAATGCTGATATCTGACCCCTCTCTCGCCATCAATACTGCGACTGATCGGCCAATCCCAGAACTATGATTCTCGAATTAAACCCGCACTTGGAAAAGTGTGGATGTAGAGATACCTACTCTCCTCCAGTGATGAGTACTTTCTTGTCTGTCAACTTGCCTGAGCCAGTGTACTCGATGAATTCCCCTTCATGCTCTAGCTTGGATGATTCGCTAGCAAACGCCATCCTGCTTTCTAAACTGGACAAACGGTTAGCACAGATGACGCCAAGCTAAGCCCAAAAAAAGAACACTTTACCCCGGTTTGTTTTGGGTCTGTGCAGACTCTGGAACTTTGAACACCCCATGCTCGCCCATTGAAGACGACATTGTGAATGCCTTGCAAGTATATTCAGATCGAAGAAAATGCGAACTTTGACAGGGGTTCAGAATTAAATGAGCTGGCTCAATTCCGGAAGGAAAAAAAATAGTACGCTTGAATAGTTTTCCGTATAATCATTTTGTCGTCATGGTGCTGTCAAGTCCACGGGTTATGGTACCGGGGCGGCTGTCAGGAGTAAGACCTACTAGCTGCCCGCGGGGTTTAAGCAATCTGCCACTGTTTAGAAGTGAATTTTTATTGCCATTGCATGAATTTTTTAGCCGACTAAAATTTTAATGTTATTCGGTTTGGAGATTGATGCTTCCACACCCCCTTTGTCTCAGACCACGTCCCCGCCATCGCTTCGCTCAGATAATACAGCACTAGAACCTTGAACAAACAACGTGCCAGTTCCGACGCAGAATACCCAGCCGAATATGGTCTTGATAACCATCAAATTGAATGCTCAGTTACCTACGTGACCAGCTTTCTGGATAGCTATTCTAGGGAGCGATGCGCTATACAAAATAAATGGGATGGGGCCAGAATAATTCTTCCCTATAGAGCAGAAAGCTCATTTATCGTCTCGCATGGCCAGGACACCTAAGCCGAAGCACTCGCAGATACAACTCGCAGATACCTAAAAAGTCAGGGAGGGGGTGTGTTCTGAGGCAGAAGAGGTGTGGCTGTATCGATTCCCTTCTTCTTTTGGGGGTTGGATGGGGCGACCACAGCTCTGACTGAGCGTGTCTCAATGCAGAACGGTCGGAGGCCGAGCAGAGACGAGGGGCTTCGCAGGCGCTGGCCTCTGACTCTGGCAGATAACTTGCGCGGCGAAGCTGGTGCCCGGTGGTATTCAAGGCAATACAAATAGCCCCGATTTGGGGTCCCGCCAAGTCGTCAAAAGGACCGCTATCAAATGTGAAAGGAGGGTTTACTGATGGGATTGGCACAGTTCCTGAGCCGCCTGCCTTTTAGAGTGTTGCTCTAGGGGCCGGCCCTTGAGTCAATCGGCGCCATGACCAAGTGGATAATGCGCTTGCGCAGAATCCGCGACCCGGCCGCTCGCAGTGTCACCACCGCCAGTCACTGGAGCGCGCAAGCGGCTCCTGTGAGGCTAGCAGAAATGACGATTCGTCCTCATCTTATTTGTGCAGGCTTGGGGCGAACCCATATCCACCCATCAGCCCTTTCGGGACGTTGTAGTCTCGTAGAGCGATTGATTCGGGCTCATGTAGGTCCCACGAAGCTGGACGTTGTCTTCCTTTCTCTGCCTCCAAACCTTTTCTGGCACCTTCACCAATCCAACAACAATCATTAAACCCTTCCTCGCAAGGCACTGGCAAAGGCTGGTGCCATAATGTGTCCTACGGACGGGCCCGTGCTAAGGTAGCAGCTCAGATCAATTTTAGATCGTGTCGACATGCGTTAGTCTGCTCCTGCCTGTGTTGGACCATCGATATCAGCCATCCTGCCTGCTCTCGTGGGAGTGCAGCCAGCTCTCAGCTGCGTCGTTGCAGAGCCTCGGTGGTTACACAGACGGGGCCTCTTAGATGCGCTGAATCAGCACCATTCACAAGCCTGAAGGTAGGTGCTTTCCAGTTTGGGAAGCCCATGGACCGTGCGCGGCATTCAAGCGTGCCTGAGGTTCCTCCGGCTGGGGTACCTGCCCCATTTGCACTGGCGGACATGGCAGTCGTGCTTCCTCCCCTTCTCAACCCCACGAATTTTGGAATTCTGCTGCTCGAGTTCCGTCGAGCATGTGGCTTACTCTCATCCCCTCTCAGAGCGATCCCGGAATCTCCAATGAGCGTGCAGCCCATAACGAATTGCACACGGGACTGCCCCCTCGTCCGCAGTCTGAGCCATCGCCTCGGTCCTCATTGATGAACAGGTCTCGCAGGGAACTTCCACCACTGGTTGCATTAGCCAGAGTGCGTCCAGCCATGCCCACTCCCCTGCCAACACCGTCCGGGACGTACGACCTGGAGACGATGCGACAATGGCTGCAAGCGAAAGCTGAAGAAGATCGCCGTGCCCAAGAAGAAGAGAAGACGCGCCAGGAATCATTGCGGCTTGAACAGCGCAAAGTCGAGCAGAACATTTTACAGGAATCTCTTCGCGGGGGCATTACCCCAACTACGATCCCCTCGATTTTTGCTGCTATGGGAAGAGCCGGCAATCCAGGTTTCACAACGGATATGTCACTGCAATATACGCCTCAGCAATCTCAAAATTTGCCTTATCCAACGCAGTCACGTTGGCCTTTTCCCGGACCAGGCCAACCAGCAGGGCCATCCACAACTCTTCCCCCACTCACTCAGACATTCGACCCTCAGAAAGATGCTCGCGTTGCTGCCCCTGCCCCTGTTTATCACAATAATCAACATTTGTCTGCGAGCAGGGCGAATACTCCATCGCATATACCCGAGAATGGCGGTACGTCGGTCCTCCCTGCGAACACCACAGCCCATTCGCCACTGCCGCCGCCAGCAACGAATCCACGCTCTCAGGCAGCTACACCAGCGTATATGCAAAACAGAGATAGCCCAGGGACGAGCCAGCCTGCTTCCGCACGGCAAATCCCACGGCCCCGTGGGCCATCCAACCCAATATCATTCCACCACTGGGTCCCCCCGGGCCAAGCGCAGAGCCAGCCGCAAGGTCAACTAGAAGGTCAGCCACAAGGTCAGCCACAGGGCAATGATGCACCATGTAAGATAACCGAACCAGATGAAAAGAAAGATACTCCAGCGGAGGTTGACGCTGGGAAATATATCCAGAGCTCCCCTGGCCGCAAACGAAAGTCCGAGTCGACTCACCGTGCTAGTGCTTCGCCATTCCTTCGCCACCCACGTCTAAATCGCTTACACTTACACGAGACGAGGGTCCAACGAAGTCAGAGTGGTCTTGGTGGTGGCTCCCCCAATATTACGACAAGAGATTATCGGTTGCATAGAAATTTTGCAGAAAATCCCGAAAAATCACAGACCCAACCAAATGAGAGAGGAGAAGGTGCCGTGCCGACTCAAATTTCAGAACAAGATACGCCAGAAAATGCTTCGAGCGCAATCGATCATTGAATGGCGCCGAACAGAAGCAGTCGTTTACTCGCAACCATCATTCGAATACAGCAAAGAACCGATTCTTCACGGGATGCACTTTATATTGACGAGGAGGCCCACAAGCACTGGAATATTCACCATTGGATCAATTCAAGGGATCTCACCCTATTTTTATCAGAAACAACGACAGAATGTATCAATAAGAGCAGCGCTCCATGATCTATTTATTTGTGATCATAGAGAAGCTTTTCTACGTTCTCTAATGGACGAATAACGCGAACACAGAATAATACTCATTGTTACCAAATGCACTCTAAAAATGTTCACCATGAGGTATAAAAAGATGAGGAATCGTAAAAGACCTTTCGCACGAGTTTGAGAGCAAGTATAGCTAGAGTGTTCAGAGAACCCAAACGCCGATTATCGCAGCACCAACAAAAGCCAAGGGAGCCGGTACAACGGATGTAGCTGCAACGTCTCCAGAAGATGAGGTCGAAGAGGTCGGCGAGTCTGTCGCAGAGGTAGAGGCAGACGTAGTCGACGATGCACTCGGCGTCAAAGTAGGGAGCCCACTCGACCCCGTCGCGTTCGTTGAGGCCAAAGAGCCACCTTCAATCTTGAAGGGGGGAGAGTAACTGAAAGTATTGGCATTGTCGATAGATCCAATCTTGATATAGTATGTCTCTTCGTGAGACAGCAGAGTGCTAACATTCCATTTGAAGTGACCCTTGCGATTACTTGTGTCGGCTATTGCGAGGAGTTAGCTGATGGCCCCAAGTATGCGACAAACACACAAGATATGTTGGGACAGGAATTACTCACTGCTAATACACGCCACGAATTCTGTGTTTTCGGTGCTGTTGCCACTCTCGAGCAGAAGGTTCACTGAGTCGGTGTCGGTGGATGATTCGGTATTCCACTTGATAGTGTAGGACTTGCCGGCTGTGAGGGTTTCACCCTTTGTCGGTTTGGTGATGGGGTCGAATTTGGCTGCCAGACATAGTGATGAAATGCCAACGAAGGCAGCGTAATATTGAAATCGCATTTTCTGTAGTGGGAAGATAAAAGGACTTTGAATAGTGGAATTATTTTCTTTTGATTGGGATTACCAATTAATAAATTCTTCGTCATTTGAGAATCCCTGCTAGGTCAAGGCGTTCTCTGCTTCAACCAACACCGAAGCGTTGAGGCTCAAATGTGCACGGACTGGCGCCTGCAGTATGCTTAGTGACACTATGTGATGGCATCTACGCTAGCGTAGGGCACGATTTATCTGGACATAGAATCCCCACAAAGCTTTACTGTTTCTGCGCAAAGTAGGGAGTCCGGTTGGGGGCGATGCCTCTCCATCTGCACCCAGACAAGCTAGCCCCCACAATATGGGGACCTTACCTGCATGGCCCCCGGGGCCATCAAAGGCGTATTTTAAAGTACCTTCCATTGCTAGCTTAGTGTATAAGTACCCACAGGGCTCAATCTCAAGCGAAATATGCTAATCCAGGGCATTCCTACATTGAAACGATGAGCCCATGGGAGTTGGAACGAGGACGGTTGTTTGGAATTATGGAGTAGAACGCACGCAAGACTTGTGACATTATGAACCGGTAGATGGGAATGAAATCTACTCCCCACTAAAAAGCCCCCAACGCTTAGAAAAATCCTCTCCATCAAGCGGGGCTAGCGGCAGCGCCCGCTTTCTCAGGCAGGGTGGCTGAGGCTGAGTGCAGGCCGTCGTGGTGTTGGCGATCGACCACATCTTTGGCGTGCAGGCCTTTATCCCGAACTTCTTCAATCAGACCATCCAAATTAGAGTGACCGGGCTTAGTATGCCAAGGCTTGGGACCACCATCACTGAAAAGCTCCTCCACCTCTTCGATCGTCTTTCCGCAGGTCTCGGGATAGCTGAAGTTTAGAGTCAACAAAAGGGAGTCTGGATACCATAAGGATAGCGATACTTACGTGAAGAACACTTGCACGGCAGCGGCAACGCAGAGGATTCCGAAAACGATGAATAGTTTCCAAGTAATATTTGCAAAGCCCGGAGGAACGAAGAGACCCAGTGCGAAGTTGAAAAGCCAATTTCCGACAGCTGCAATACTCTGTTGATTTGATCAGTCTCTAGGCTTCATCTGATGACAAGCCGACAAGCAGAGAAGGTTGAAAAAGAGCTTACCATCCCAATAGCCCGAGTTTCCAGAGACCAGACCTCTGCAGCATACACCCAGGCGACGGGCGCAAGTGTCAGGGCGTATATTATGATGAGCAAATAACAGAAAGCAATCACCGTATGAGCTTTCGGGCCTTTTACTCGGATCAAGACATTGAGGTTGTTGTCAACACCGTCTGGAACATATTCCCCTGCTGAGAGTACCCCCCCAACGACGAAATGACACAAAGCCATGCCAATCGCCCCATACATGAGCAACGTGCGACGACCCGTTTTATCGATGAAGAAGAACATGATCGAGGTGAAGATGATGAATAGAGCGTACTGGATGCCGGATGAAATGAGCAGAATATTACCAGTCATGCTAAAAGGTAGCGAAGATTAGCATTGCAAGGGCTGAATTTGGAATCGGAGGGTGGTTGACTCACTTGGCCATTTGGAAGACATAGACAACGTAGTATGTCATGACATTGGCTCCTGACATTTGCTGCCATGCCTGGACAGTGAATCCAGCCATGGTACGACGCCACATTCCATTGTAAAAGAACTTGCGCCAGCCAGGAGCAGCAGATCGCTCTGCTGCCAGAACCGTAGTGATTTCCTCCCATTCGGCCACAACCAGGGGATCATCCACGTTACCCCCTGCTTGAATGCGAGCCAGTGTTGTGATAGCCTCCTCGGTTCGATCGACCTTGGCCAGCCAGCGAGGAGATTCAGGCAGGAAAGGCAATCCGATCATCAAGATCACACAGGGGACAAACTGCAGGCCCCAGGCAAGTCGGAAAGAAGGAGGACCTGGAATAAACGAGCAGCCGTAGCCGATGAAAAACATGATGAAGATACCCCACTCGATGGCCAGTTGCTGAATCACAATGATCGACCCTCGTTTCTCCTTCTTCGTGATCTCAGCCAGATATACGGGGACCTGGGAAGATGTGATTCCAACGCAGATCCCATTCAAAACGCGACCTGCCATCAGGGAGCCAAAGCTATTGACACCAGCCTGGACGGCAGTTCCAATCAGCCACCAGAAGCCAGCGAAGAAGATCGAGTCGCGACGACCGATCTTGTCGGAGACGGGTCCGGCCATGAGTGATCCGATCACGGATCCAGCTGCCAGAGCAGAGTTGATAGCGCCCTGCCGGACGCCATGGGGGTTGTCAAAATAGTCGATATACTGGCTTGTGCCGATTATGGCTGACATGGAGGAGATGTCAAAGCCAAACAGCATGCCGCCGACGGTTGCAATGATTGCAACGAAGTAGGTGTTGTACACCTTGGGAAAGGTGGGGAGCTTCATATTGAGGCGCAGAGACTGGCCACAGTCCAGTTAACAAAGCAAGATGGCAATCGTGATATAATGGATTTTGAGGCGATACCTAAAGAATTAGGATATGGACCCCACAGCTCTGTGAGCCTCTACCAGCACGCGCCGGCCCACATCGTCCCTTTATAGCGTACATCCCCAGAACTTCCCCAGAAAATCCCGGATCGAAGAAAACGGACGACTAGCCGAAACTTGACCCAGGAATATAGGCATGAAATTGATGGTTGCGAGACCTCATTGGACACAACTCACGGCCGGGGCCGCTCAAAAGCTACACATGGTGATGAGAACCTGACCCCAAGCAACTTGGCACTCGACATGCCACTCACGAGGAGGCGCCGAGCCTTTTAAACCTTCGCCGGGCTCCGACAGCATGATAGAATGCCGTAAATAGGATGGCTGGGTTCGACCCCACCGGAGTTTGGCCATTTATGGAAATAGCCTAGGCGGGGAGCAACGCGATGGGAGTATCTTGAGTTTGATGCCGCAAACTGCTATACTACGTGTGTCATTGTATGCAGGCCCCTATACCTGATTGAGTATGGCTCCAGAAATGCATGACTGTGGGATGAATGTCCAAATCAAGATGTAATAACTTCGACTTTCATCAGTGAAGTTGGTTCTTGTCGATCTCTGGATCAAGACCGGGAATATGACTGTCATGTCTGTGTATGAATCATTTCATAAAATAAAAACACAGACGTCTCGAATTTCACAGTGATACAGAGTACTCGTGGTTGGTGGGAAATCTGGAGAGTCTCCGGGGGGGAGAGAGAGAGAGAGAGAGCTGTCTTGGTCTCGAAGGATAAGCTGAACACGCCAAGTGACCGGGATGTATGTAATCACTGGCGGGGAGGTCAAGAGGCTGCGCCCTGCTTGGCGAAATATAAGATGCAAAAAGAACACTGCTTGCAGGTTGCCCCCAATTTCAAACTCATAATCATGTCCATATCTCGTCATGTGCAAAAAATACGTCCGACGCCTGGTGTCTCGCCGTGCAACATAATAACACTCCCTACTAGTACACCGAATATGAATACAAAAGAGCCCAGCTCGATTCTTCAATGGCAGTGACAGAGCTGAATCCACTGCGCAACAATGTCCTCCATATCATGAGCAATTCCCCACTGAGAGGAGAGACAACGGAAAAGCTTCTGTATCGAGTTGAGCTCGTACAGGAGATTTCGAACGGCCCCTCCAATCGACGCCTGGGAGTTCGTATGCTCGGATTCGACAAAGCGACGAGTCTCCGACCCGGATGGCGGTCGCATATCGTCATGATCAATGTTGAGGTCCGAATGGGAGAGTAATGCATCTTGCCAGACGATTGTTCGAGGGAGATGAATGGTCGCTGCACCGGCAAGTGAAAGGACCACATAGATTGTGGCTGCCGCGAACAGTGAGCTGGGCATATGGACCACATGAGCGCGTCCCCGAGGAAGCTGCTCGATGATATCTTGTATGGCAACCGCGTGGAGCACTGCGCGACGAGCATCTTCGCTGTTGGCCCACTTGATCAGGTCGAATCCGGTTCGAATATCTCGGCCGCCTCCAGACACATGCTGAGAGATATTGTAGCGAGAGCAGACATGGCGAGAAAGCACAGTGGAGTTGACCATTGTGTCTAAACAAACGGTATGCCACCGGAGCAAGATCTCCAACCGCTCTGCAGCTGAGAAATGGATGCTCATTGAAATGGTTTCATGGACCTGGGCAAGAGCTCGACGAACATCAGAGCGACCAGGCACCCCAACAGCCAGTTCATGATCGTTGCAATCGGAGATCAAAGACTGGAGGCCCTCGAGTACAACCCGAAGTCCAAAAGCGGAGAACTGATACTCCAAGGGACGGAAGTTCCCGACCGGCGGGAAGAGCGAGCGGAAGATGACCAGGAATGAGGATTGATCTGGAGTCTGAGAATGCATGTGCGCGAGCCAGTCATCGGGATTGCTAGCATCGAAAGCGGCTTCGCTGCTGGGCAGACTCAAGGGATTCGAGACATGTCGAGCCGAAGCTCCATCCCCCGACATTTGAGCGACGAGCCCATCTAGCACGTAGTATGCTAGCAGAGCACGTTGTTGAATCTCACGAGCAGACCAAATCCGCCATTGATGCTCTTTCTCAGCAGCCGTAGAATCGGCAGATGGTAGATTCTCCATTGAATAAGGCGCGCTATCGTACATGCCGCAGTGGCGCGCCCAGAAAAACACAAGCGGACGGAAAATTTGGCTTGTCGTTCGAACTGCTCGGTTCTTGGACAACGCTCCATATACCTGACTCAAGAGAGCTGTGACCATGAGTTGGACCCCCTTGCAGCCATCGTATGGACCATGGTGTGTGATCAGAGACTGCCAGGAGGTGGCCACAGCAGTGTGTGCAAGTCGCCAGAGTGCTTCGCCCTTCGCGACCGAGTCCTTCGGGCCTAGATACAAAGATCCAATCGCAATGGCATTTAACAGCAGAGGATAGGTGCATTCGCGGAATACAAAAGTCGCCCGGTGCAGAATAGGGAATGTTGGAATGAAGCGGACGAAGAACATGTGAAGACATTCGTCAAGGAAGACGGATGTAATGGAAGTGGCCTTGACGGCAGCCGTTACACTCGATGACTAGAAGAGAGATTGTCAGACAATGCCTTTCCACAGCCATCTCCATTTTTCAAGCCTTTCTGGCTCCGGGGGAATTATCTAATAACACAGCGAACCGACATACCGAACTGGTTACCATCTCCGTCACGTCACGCACGGCTTGATGTCCTTCCCCGGATGGGATCGCTCCAACTGACGAGCTTCGGTCGTCAAACGAATTGGGAGACCCAAAATTCATGCCATTGACATCCTGTATAACAGGCGGAAAGGGCAATGTACCCAAGGGCATCTGCCATTGATCCGTTGTGTCGGAGGACATCAGACTCTGGAATAGATTTTCCGAGTCCGGCCAGATGAGGGCAAAGTCCAGATCAGAGGCAACATTTTGCATGCCCGCATGCTGACTCGATTGAGACTCATCCCATGAGTGACTGGTGGCCGACGTTGAGGCCGGGGGTGCAGTAGATGTGCTACCCGTGTCCCATGAGGCCATCGAGTCCAAGGACGCAGATGGAGGCGCTGAGACGGACGGTGAGCCATGCTTGGCGTTCACGTCCCGCTGGTGTAGCTTTTCATGGCGGGTAAGAGCATCCTGTCGGGCAAACGGCCGACAGCACTCTTTGCAGACATATGGTTTGGCCCCGGTATCTGCAGCATTTCCGGTAAGCCGACGGATTCAATCAGAATTGACGGAAGAAATTAAATAGAATTTCTGCAGAGGATTCTTCCCGATAAGAAAGTAACTTACGGCAGCGTTCATGTCTCTGCAATGGTAGTCATGGAAATTAGTATATGGCGTGCCTTGGCGCAAGGAGCTGCCCCTCAAAATCGTGGAGACGTGGAGAGACTCACTCTGAGATGTTCAGCCTTGGTGAATCCTTTCTGGCACACGCGACACACCAACTTCTTGATGCTTGCAGAGGGCGACGATGCGACCATGATCTCCATTGACACCATTCCCCTTTGATGTGAAGGGGGTGTTGCCAGTAAGAAGTGGGAATGGGAGAGGAGAGAAGAGGAAGGAGTGTGGAGAGGCAGGAGGATTGTGGGGTGTGGCACTTTCCTTTTCCACTTTGCCTCGTGCATCCTCCGCTGCAGCTTGTCCTGCGACACTCTGACCAACGAGCATCACGGATTGCCCGAGCTAGCCAGATAATCAATTGTTGAGAAGGCACCGGCTGACGAATCCCTTAATTTGTGGTTGTTGCAGAAGCCCGAGCCGGCGTGGCCTTAAGGTCCTACGGTGTGTGGCTCGAAGGACCAATCTTGGTACTGGGACTTGGCTCTGCGTACCCCTGCCATGCAGCCACCCAGACGCAGAGCCACAATGCTTGTGTGAAACGGTTCCTATTTGCTGTGTCCTAGTACAGGCGATCGACGCTCTACGGTATGTTTGGCGTCTTCGGTACCGATACATAGGGTTTCCCCCCCGGGGGCACGGCTCTTCTCCCCGGCCGAAACGCCAACCAGCGCCATTGCCATGGCCAGCGAGGGTCTCATGGACCTCGGAATCAGCCATACAGAGACGAGGATATTGTAACAGTCCGACGAAATCTGGAGAAGGGGAGGCGAACGACGGGGAAGGGACCCAGTGGCACAGTGTTCGGTACTTGGAGACGGGCGAGGGTGCCGCGATGGCAGCGAGGATACCAGATCGGCTAGCCGTGCTCAAGTGCCAGGATGGGTCGTGGCTCATCCGGAACGGGGATGCTACTGGGGCGGATAACAGTCGAGGGCCGCAACTCGGCCACGGTGACTCGTCGGGGCCGGCGTGGGCCGTGGAGACTCTCCGCATTTCTCTCCAGGCGAGCCGACCAGCCCGGCAAAGAACACTCTGTACCCCGACATCTGCGATGCCCTGATGCCAGTGGGTCTTGTGAGCACTCACCTCGCTCTTCGGCACCGCCAAGCCCGCCGGTCATAGTTTTCGCCTTTGCCCAATTGACTGTACAGAGACTATCTAGTCCACGTCCTGAAACCCCCCTGGCATCCCTCAGACCCTGTAGTCCTCTTTCCATTCCAATTGATCCGTTCGACACCACTTGACCTCTCCTAACCTCGAGAACAAAAGGGAGGTTCCCTTCCAAGCATTGTGCTTGATCTTCTCTCTGGCCTACGGGCATCCCCGTCATGACATCCGTTGAGTTACAACCCTCGTCTTCTCGCTCGGCCGAACAGACCAAGCAGATTGAGAAGAACGAAGGCTCCAAAGCCGATATTGACCTCGTTGAGAGCACCGGGGGCCAGGCGGCCACCTACGGCGAGTCCGTAGCGGCTCGTCTGCCCAAAGCCCATCGCGACTATCTGCTTGAGCGCCATGGCACCCTTGAACTCGATCCGATTCCAGGCATGGGCCCGGCAGACCCGTACAACTGGCCTGAATGGAAGGTGAGCATCCTTTGACCCCCTGGATTATCGGCAATCGAAAGGAGAGACGGGAAGGAGAGAGAAGGAGGAAGAATGATGGAGGACGAAATGCTGATGCTCGGTATTGTAGAAAATGACCAATCTGATCCTGGTGGCTTTTCACGCTTGTATGGGTACATTTACCGCCGCAGCCATCATCCCGGCCTATTCAGACATCGCCCAGGAACTCGGCGTGGGCCTGCAGAATGCCAGTTATTTGACCTCGTTGCAAATTGCCATCCTGGGAGGCGCCCCTTTGTTCTGGAAGCCGCTGTCCAACCGCTTCGGCCGTCGCCCCATCTTCCTCTTGTCTCTCATCTGCAGTCTAGTGTGCAACATTGGCTGTGCCAAAAGCACCAGCTATGCATCAGTTGCCGCCTGTCGGGCTCTAGTAGCCTTTTTTATCTCCCCTGCTTCTGCTATCGGTAGTGCTGTGGTGATGGAAACCACATTTAAGAAAGACCGCGCCCGCTACATGGGTGTGTGGACGCTGATGATAACACTGGGTGTGCCAATCGGTCCGTTCTTGTTTGGTTTCGTCACCTACCGTGCTGGGTATCAGTGGATTTACTGGATCCTCGCTATGGTAAGTTCTCTCCGGGGTGAATAAGACTTGTGTTGGTGCGTCTTGCTGACCATATGCGACCGGGACAGATCAACGGTGGTCAGTTCATCCTATATCTCTTCCTCGGCCCGGAAACCCGCTATGTGGGTAGTGGTATCGGCCGTCCAGAGGCAAACTGGAGGGTGGAGTACCTGTCAATCCGTCGAATTGATCCCACTCCTTTTACATGGTGGGAATTTGTCCGGCCTCTGACCATGGCTCGTCACATGTCCATCCTCATCCCCACCTGCGCGTATGCCATGGTCTTCCTGTTCGGTAGTATCCTTGCGACCGTCGAGGTCCCTCAATTGCTGCAGGAGAAGTTCGAGTTGAATGCTGAGCAGCTGGGTCTTCAGTTCCTGGGTGTCATTATTGGTTCCGTCATCGGCGAGCAGATGGGTGGTATCCTGTCCGATTTTTGGATGAGTCGACGCGCACGTCGTCTCGACCGCAAGCCTGAGCCAGAGTTCCGATTGTGGTTGAGCTACTTCGGATTCGCCCTGACCATCATTGGCATCATTGTCTTTTTGGTCTGCACGCAAGAGTCACCGGCCGGCCACTGGAACGTGACGCCCATCATCGGCACAGCCATTGGCGCTGTCGGCAACCAGCTGGTGACCACCGTGATGATCACCTATGCCATAGACTGCTACCCCCAGGAGGCCGCCAGCATTGGTGTGTTTGTCACCTTTGTGCGCCAGATCTGGGGGTTCATCGGCCCATTCTGGTGAGTATTCCTCAGCCCCACGTTTGCGATATCCCTATAGCTAACAACTTCTCCCAGGTTCTCCCCCATGTTCGAGAACGTCGGCATAGCACCGAGCGCTGGTATCGGCTCGGCGATGGTCGTTGCCGTTAGTGTCATTCCGACTATCATTCTGCATAAGCGGGCGAAGGTCTGGCGTCGGAACGAAGTCGAGAAGTAACGGTGACCTTTATTCGTTTGTCGTTCTAGCTTCAACTCGCATCGATGTTCGATTGTTTTGTTTTGTCGATTGTTATGGATAGAATTGGGTATAAAAGAGCCGGGATTTGGGAGGATGGAACGTGGTATCTCAAAGAGATTGCCTGAGACTGTATATACGTGTGAGCGAACCAATTTATTATGTTTCAAGAACAGCCATAACACTTGTGAAAAAGTTAGATATCGATGTGAGCGGAGCAATTGGCCAGAGCTTTTGCTCAATTGAAGGGGGATGGGTGCGTCGATGCATGCACCGCCAGGGTATGCATGCGGTATATCAAGCACTCCCAAGTTGACTGATAGCTGAAAAGACTGAATTGGCAGTAAGTAGAAGTTGGATTCGAAAGAATCAATACGAGGTGAAGAGTTTTGAAAAAATAAAAAGCAATCAAAAAGAATCAGCTTAAGGCTCGGCTTAAATGAACAGCCGCAGCCCATCCTTTAAGGATCCAGTCCGACCGGGACAGCTCGGTGCCACAACCCGATAAAATGCCGTAACACAGGAGCAGTCCATCGGGCCATTATGCACCTCGTGGGTCCATCATGGCTCTTCTAGGCTAAATTTTAGGGGTGGTGCGATTTTTACGGCTTTTCGCACGGGTTGCACCGACGTCGCTTAGGGTGATTTGGTGCTTTGATGGCCCCTGGGCTACATTTGAGGTAGTTCTTGGCATGTTTGCGGGTAGATTCACGGCATGCCGAGTTTTCGGGTTTTTCCCTACAGATGTACAAGCATTATTTGAATTTGAGCATTCTCTTGTCGTTCATTCCTATTCTTTTCGATATGCTATGAGTACGAACATAAGAACACCGAATACTATAGAATTTTATCATGATATGTCTCGACTGGCCCTGTTCCTGAGCTCTTGGTGTTGGATAAAGCGAGGCGCCAAGGACAAAGTCTGCATGACGGGAAATATCTGACCCGCCAGGGAAAAGATTATATCCCACGTAGCGATTTGATTGGCCCACAGCCCTGATACCTTGCCCATGTTGATTATGGGTATTTCAATTGAACGTGTCCTTCAAAATCAAGATATTATCCCCTGCAAATAAGGCTTCACCGTCTCGTGATAGGCAAGATTGCAAGTGCGTGCAGTCAGAACAATGGTGGCGTGCGGATATTGGGCGATGTGATCTGCGCTCGGACATGCCACTTTCGGACGAATCAGGCTCGACAATTAAGATTTGACAGCTGCAGGTTCAAAACAAAGTATTGTGATGTACTCGAAGTGATGTTTCAATGATCTATAGAAAGCACAGCTATTTACATTCTAGTAGCGATGTATTGGCTATATTCGTCGTTTCTGCATTCGTCTATTGGTTCTCAATTTTGTTGATGAGGGTTCCCACATGAGGTAGCAGCTCGACGGAGAACTCATCGCCGGCCTTGATGAACTCCTTTGGGCTCTTGGCCGCACCAACGCCGGGCGGGGTACCGGTCAAAATAATAGTACCGGCGGACAGGGTGGTGCCCTGGGAGAGGAAGCTGATCAGCTGCGGGACGCTGAAGATCAAGTCACTGTCGAGGTCAAGTTAGCTTCGTCCTGTGGCCATAATGTTTCAATTCACATACCTCAGAGGGCAGTCTTGCATCACACGACCGCTTTTGATACCACGGATGTGGAGCTTGCTAGCATCGGGGATCAGAGCAGCAGAAACCAAGGTGGGGCCTAGAAAGCTTGTCAGTGCCATTGAACATCATCTTGAATAACTTGCGATGAGCTCATACCAATAGGGCAGGCTCCATCAAACCCCTTGGAAAAGCACCATTGGCTCTGGTTCATCTGTGAAGTACGGCTGGAGACGTCATTGGCAGCTGTATAGCCCAGCACATAATCCAGAGCCTCGGACTCCGGCACATCCTTCGCGTCACGACCGATGACAATAACCATCTCTGATTCGTAGTCGCCGGTGTTGTCCTGCTGGGTAAGCTTGGGCAGCACCGTGGGCGCGGGCCAGGGATCAGCCAGTGCAGTCGAGGGCTTCATGAAGAGGGTCGGCACATCGGGAATAGCGAGAGACATCTCCTTCGCATGCGAAACATACTGTTCAAGCACGTTAGTTTTTATGTCGCGTTGTATTCTTGCGCATTCATACGCATAAGCGACGAATGATACTCACGTTCAACCCAATGCAGCGGATGGACCCGACTTCGGTCTGCGCCAGCGGAGACAGCAGTCGCGCAATGGTCTCGGTCGCGCCGCCAGTAAGCTGACCAGGGCTCAGGACAGAAGATCCCGAGAATGGACGCACCGAGACTTCTTTGCCCTGATACACGGCCAGTCCCACGTCGAGCTGCGGATCGACAGGCTCGCCGATGAGAACCTTGGCGGGATTCGACTTCGGCACAAAGCGCACCAGACCTAGCTCAATTAGCTGCGATCGCAACGCGCATCAAAAATTGGACTCACGCGAAAAGGTGGATGCGATCTTGGACATCTTGCGAGTTGTGAGTTGGAGAGAGTGAGGGGGAAGGGCGCGTTCTTAAGATCGGCGGAGTATTTCTACCCCGGCCACCCACCCCCACACGATTGTGGGGAGTGGCGACGAAACCGGCGCGCGACTTTTAAAAAGCCCCGCGATGTCGCAGGCCAGTTACTTCTTTGTATTTTTCCCTCCCACATACACTCATTATGACTGCTCCGAAGGGCCCCTTCCACCTCGTTACTGTCAACACCGCCCCCGAGCGCGCAAAGCGTCTCATCGGTCGTGTTGCTGAGACGCTGAAGGACCGGTACACCATCATCCACGTCGATAACTGCGAAAGTATGTCCTGGAATAGCAATCGGTAATTGATCCCACAAGAGCAATTGAATGCTAACGACCGCGCAGATATCGGCCAGGTCGAATCCAAGGTCAAGGAGCACATGCCCGAGGTTTTGGTAGGTGCCAACTCGGGATATCCGAGACGCATCCGAGAATGAACCATTCAGAACGAAAATGTTGACCTGTCACTAGTTCAGTGCCTCGATGTGGACCGATGAGGAGGCCAAGAAGATCCACGACATCGCCCGCTCAGTTAACCCCAACATCAAGCTGCACGCCATTCCCACCGGTCTCCAGGTCGAGCGCGGCCCTGATGCCATTGTCGAGTATCTCGTCGAGAAGGTGCCGCCTCTGCTGGAGAGCTAAACGGAGAGACTGAATATAGATATGAATGTATATACTTTATGAAATACCACACCGCATGTTCTGAGCCGAAAATTGGAATATGAATCGGGAATTCCGGCTAATTGCGTACATGGAGTGACTTGGAGAAGCAACTCACCAAGCTGTCCCACCCCCGCGCCCCACAACCGAAATCCGGGTAAGGGTATGATTTAAACAGTGCTCTGTCAGACCCAGTGGACATCTATTCGGGCCTCGGCCGCATTTCTATTAATGGACCGATGCGAAATAGCGTCTCTAGAATTGAGAATGCATGGCAGCTCCACAGAAACCATGATCTACTGACCTACTCTAAACATCCTTAAGCTGTGCGATATTCGTCCGGTATGTATGCGTCTGAAATTGTATTCCGCCGAGCAATGAGCCAGTCCAAAAATACAACAGATGTCAATAAATCATTTGAGCGAAAAGAAGCAGGTCATATGAAGAATAGTCGCCACGGAAGCCCCAACAACCATCCCTTGGTCTCCCTTGCCAGCTCCGATAGCCACGTCGAAAGCTTGAACTGCTGCTGCCGCGAGAAGAACCGAGGATGTCATGGGCCCCTGGAAGTAGAAAGGGAGGATTCCCGAAAGTATTCCCAGGGGTATAGCGCGAGCCGTGTACATGCGCTGGTAGTAGAGCTCCCCATCCGTCACCTTTTTCGAGCCTGACAGGGACGAGGGGTTGATCAGTGCGATGATACCCCCTGCGGTGGAAACGACAGAAGTCACCAGGTTGGGAATGAGCCAGAAGGTTTGCATGTTGACCCAAAGCCTGACCCTTGATGGGTTAGCAGTGGATTGGCGAGGAGTGCACTGGCAGATATGTCGGGTCCTGGCTCGAGCCAAGAAGGTCTGAAGGGCCCTACTGTTGATGAAGTCGCCTTACCAAGGGCTTGATTTGGATGGCGGAAGATGACTCTGGCTTGGCAAAAAGTCCACTTGAGGTGTGTTGTGTTTGCGGTCAAGGTTATCGCGAAGATGAGATGCAGCGGGTCAGCCGGATATGACCGCAGTGTTTCTGGCCCCTGCCCCGCTCTGGCTCGCCAGAACGTCAAACGACAGCCTCAGGAAAGTTATGCTAGCATGTAGTTATTAGTCAGCCCCGTCGGGAAAACCCCCAACCGGCGGGACATCGTAGAACAATCAACTTTCTTTCACACAGGCTACCACGTTACACCTTCGTTAGACCCTATGAGTTATGTTCTCATTGCAATTAAATCATTTCATAATGTGTACGCACAATATTTACTAGAAACTCTTGAAAGCACCTGGGATCTTTAACATGGGATGAAATCAATTTATTGCTCCTAATTTTGGAGTAACCCTATTTCCGTGAGGCCAATTATCGACAAAGCTATTCAACCTTCTACCACCCGAATTCCTATTTTTGCGTTAGTCATGCGTGATATACCCCATTTTGTATTAGCAACTTACTTCAGTATGCAAAGTAGTAGAAGGTCCTTTGTCATAGGTCTCCTTTGAAACGGTTTCTCGAATCGCTTTGATCATTTGAGCTGGGCCGCAGGCGCCCACACCAATGCGACTCTCTATACCACATTGAGAAATGCAATATGCGACGAGGTTCGGTATGTCCGGACGCCCTTTGCGGACACCAACTAGATGAATTGTCTGGCCCGTTATCCCTTCTTTGCTCTTCTCTAGGTCTCCAATCAATCCAGTTGAATCCAGGCTTGAGGAATCCGAGCCAGGATCATCTCTAGAGACATATACGAGAAAATTCACACGGGAGCTATCCTGCAGCTCCTGTAGCTCTTGCTCAAACCATCTGAGCGATTCTACATGACTGTTAGCAAGGACCCGCATCCGTTCCCATATGATAATCTGATCAACTCACCTGAATGTTTGACTGCCCAGATAAAATCAACAGTCTTGCTCACGTTAGCAGCGGCAGCGTCTCTGATCATATTCAAGGCAATCGAAATGGTGAATGTGGCGCCGCTTCCACCAGCAATCAAGATAACCCGATCAAAATTCATGAAATCGGGCACCTGGCCGTAGGGCCCGTCGACCGAACATCGAATAACCTTCCCCGGTTGTGCCTGTGCGGCCTTGTACAGAGACCGGGTGTACCCGTTATACTGCCGAATAAGAAATTCAGCAGGGTCGGCACTCACGAGAGTGAATGGGTGGGTCTCGAAAACGCGTATTGACGGCATCCATAGAAAAGCATGCGATCCTGGTGTACAGGGAAGACGGCGGTGAAGTTTCACTCGAACTGCCCCATCAGCCATCGGTGTGATAGTGGCATAATTTCCGAAGTAATTCCAGCATAGCTTGCCGAGCCGTAAGAGTCGATCGGCAAGCCACAAGCATGCCGTGAAGATTATAATAATCAATGTGGATGTAGCAAAGTCGGGTCGATGCATCCCGACCATGACGATGATAAGAAAAAACATCGAGATGTGAATGGCATAGAAAGCTGAAGAAAGAATTAGTGACAATGGTGACAATCATTCTTCCAAGTGAAGCACACCTTCATAATAGTTTCGGGCTAGCCATGTTATGGTTGAGAAACCAATGATCACCATGGCCAGTCCAGCAATTCCACCCGCAATGTTACTCGTCTCGCGCATGTTGTCAAGATCTCCAGAAAGCCCATATGAGCTCAGATATATACTAGCATGCAGCATTGTGGTCACAATGCAAGTGTAGCCTGCAGTCTTGTGCAGCGGACGCAATTTCTCGTAGGAGTGTCCGGATAGAGGCGCAAGGAGGGTATTCTTGAGGGCGAGGAACACTAGTAGAACGAAGTTTGCCACGGACATCCTGTACCAATTTAGCCTCAGTAGTATACATTGGTATTTGTGCAGTACATACCAGCCAAAACGTTTTGCAACCTATAGCCTAGTCAGCAATCCGTGAACAGTCGTAGGAAGTTCTGGGTAACCAACATATTTTAGATTTGTCAAGTCAACGTCAGTCAAAGCAAGAATGAGATTGACAGCCCAGTAGATGAGATACAATATCCACCTCTCCCGGTGCAGACCAAAGGTACTTTTGCTCAGAAATCGTGCTCCAGCGCTTCGAAGATCAATACTTGTCCTCGAACTTGCAAGAATAGTACTCACCGACGACGCTGCAATAGTTTCTGCATAAGTGGCCCATGGCTTCGCGACCCAAATCTCATATATGCTGCGTAATACCAGTAACAAGCAATGAATACCACCATGATTGCTCCGAAAGTAATCGCAAAGTATTTATTCCTCCCGATATTGGCAGCCAAACGGACTTCTTTAGAGCTCATTTTCGAGTCGGTTTCTCAAAAAAGAAAAGGGGTGAATATGGGAATTGAAATGAGTGTCTTGTCGCAATATATGCATGGCAGCCTTGAGACCAACCCCAGACTCAAAATCAAAGTGGCTGGCAACCTGGCATGGATTGCAGTTATCAATCAATCGGCTATATCAATCTCTTGGCGTCCCACCAACCCATGGCACGGTCTCTGATCCGGACCACTCACGGACCTTGGAAACAGGGCCTGAAATTTAAAAAATCGTGTTAATCAGATAGACCACGAGCCATTGACAGGCTACAAGATTCGGGAAAATTCCAATTTTGCAGTGCGGTGGAGAGCCAAGATGGGCGCCGGACCCGATCAGATAACAGACTAAGTTGGCACTAACCAACTTAGTTCCGCGTAGCGCGGGTGCAGAAGCTTGGTGAAGTCCCGTCGAACGGTGCATTTTCTACTTTGAGCCACCCTCTTTCCATTTTGGGTCAGTGGCCCGTACCTGCCTACGGTAGCCCGACTTTTGTTGAGGGTACCCACCCATGCCCCCCGGAGACCCTGCAGGGTGATCGAGAATTGACTCGCAAATGGAGTGGAGTGTGCGATACCACTGTGCTTGGTGGGGTTTCTCTGCGAAAATTCTCTCTGCTGCGCCTCGACGATCTCTACGATGACAGAAAGCCGTATTTGGGTGCCAGGGTACCTATAGTGTAATGCTTACCAACCACTGCATGATGGTATGTCACCTTCCTCAATGGACATCTTTCGATGTGGAGAGCGGTCAGATAAATTAGCCTCAAGAAGCTTGACAACTAGCGCCAGGACTTACGGAGGCCCATCAGGGTTTTATGTGACATGATCTCGTATCGAAAAGAGATTGTTGTTGATCAAGCGGCACGTGCGGAGGGTTAGCGTTCGAAGAAGATGGTCGAGGTAGTCGTCACGGGGCCAAAAAGCTCTCTAACGTGCCTAGATTCAGGGTCCTGTCTTTGTGGGTATGGGGCGGCGGATCTGCAAAGAACAAGAAAGCCAAGGCCCGAGGCTTTGTACTTGGCGTTCAGCAATCTCGTAAACCTAGTTTTGAAACAACGTGCCGCTGGATTTGTGAGCAGGTTCTTCAAAAAGCGAAAGCTCATCTCGTTTCGCCAAGACGCAGACTTTGATTAAGTCTCGGGATTTGCGCAGGCAATTTTCAACCATCAGATTAAAATTGAATGAATGAGAATGTAGATCCCTAGCAATGCAATCGTCAAGGGAAATATCTTCTAATGAGCAAAACAAGAGCATGACATTCAGTAACCCTTTCGGCCGGGTATCACCCCGTGGCATGGTCCTCCTTTCCTGAGCATCGCGCGCAGATCACCCACAATAACATCTGGGACTTCCCAGGCAGCGAAATGACCTCCACGCTCGTGTCGGCTCTGCCACACTACTGGACCCAGCGTCGCGGCCCATGTCGATGGTGCAGCAGCGATCTCGCACGGTAGATGGGCTAGACCAAGCTTCACGCCAGGAATGTAGGACATGAGCTTAGCATAAGAGATCCCTTTCACGGACTCTGAGTGGAAGCTCTCGTAGTAGATACGAACACTGGCCTCAGGTCCTGCCCTGGAGAACCAATAGATCGATACCCACGTCAGGATCTCATCGTCGGTCCATGGATATGAATCTGTCCAGTCATGAAGCTTCTCATAGATCCAGGCTAGCAATGCGACCGGACTGTCGGCTAGCGCGGCGCCGATGGTTTGTGGCTTGGTGCTCTGAAGCTTGTTGTAGCCGTATCCCTCTCGATCGAACCATTCGGCGCGTCGACGACCAGCCTTTTCTGCGGCCGAGTATGGTTGCAGAGCGTGCTGTAAGGCTAAAAATGGGCTCGTGCTCCACTTTGGCGGTTTCGCTTCAATCATGTTCACGTGAGAAGCTTTGCAGCTTCCAGGGTAAAGAAAGCCAACACTTCTGGTGATCCAGTAGCCCCAATCCCCACCTTGGGTAACTGTTTGCTGTTAGTGAGCATACCATATTGATAATCGGAGGATGGTCACCCACCATAATCGTCGTATCCCAGCTTGATCATGAGTTTATGCAAAACTTCGGCATACTGCGCGAGCCCAAATCCACGTCGAGTGACCCCGGAAGAAAAGCCGAAGTTGGGCAGAGAAGGTGCCACGACGTGGAATGCCGGATGCCCATCACCACCTTTCAGCAAAGGTAGGAGTTTGATCACCTCGATGAATGAGCCAGGCCCTGCCCTGAGGATTTAGAAAGAACTTCTTTAACCGTAGATTCTGACAGAGACACGGGCCCGACATCACTTACATCCATGACTGAAAAGCAGAGGAATCGCATTTTTCGTTGGGCTGATTTGATGAACGACTGAGGAGACGTAAGTTGCGCCGCCAAACTCTGGCCTTGGGGCAAAAATTAAAACAAACAATGGATGTTCAAGCTGCCAAACCCATCAATGTCGATTTTGGTCTCGTATTGTGGTAGCTCGTTCAAGCTTGCTTCGGCCTTCCGCCAGTCAAAGCCATCCTTCCAGTAGTTTGTGAGTCGTTGGACGTCTCTCGAAGGGACCCCAAAGTCCCAGGCATCCTGATCAGGAGACTCGAGCTGGGAAGGGAACTTGGCCCAGGACAGGCGCTGGCGAAGCTCTTGAAGCCCCTCATCTAGAACGGAGATCGTAAAGGGCTTCGGGGCGTTGGTGGCTGGAGTCTCGGACATGATCGCGTAGGGCCTCAGCTCTCTGGCCGACAGCAAGATATGAATGTTTTGGAGCAAAGAGACAGGCAAGGTCCTGTAGTTCTTTGTATGCCGCTCCGCATGTAAGCGCTAGCCAACAGTTCTGCGCATATGACGCTGATTGAACAAAGACTGGATCCAGGCAAAGTGGGAATTTGTAATCAACAGCGAGGAGACTCCCCAGAGTGCAGCGGTGAATTTTGGCTTGGCTTGGAGACCCCGCCTTCCCAGACACACAGACCGCCCCCCCGGGCCTACGAGCTCTTCACCTCCCCGCAAGTCTAGACCTTCCCTCGCCCGCGTTCGTCACTGGCAGTCCTGGCCACGCTCACGCCAGTCCCCATCAATCGTCATACAACTCACCCCTCACGTTCCCTTCGAGTTATCAAGACTGCGAGTCCGCTGTTGGAGACTCTACGACTCGAAAGCTCGCGGACTCAACCCAGTCTCCCAATATGGCGCCGATTGAATCATGCAATTGCAGTCCCTGCGACCACGATTCATGTATCTGCACTGACCCCTTCCTATCCAGAGATGCACCCATGAACAACGACAATGAAATTAATTACATCCGAGGATATATCGTCGCAGTCAAGCTTGCCATTGTCGTGACTTTAATTATGATCACGGTTTGTCTGGCGCTTTTGTTCGCCGTGGGTCGTTTCCACCATCCCTTCTGACAAGTCATTCGGGGGTAAGAACAGTTTTGCAATGACGCGTCGCATCAGGATTGCAGCGTTCCTCTTCCCGGTCATCGGAAGATCTTCAGCGTGCAACCCGTTTCTCAATGTTGGCTCTTATGAGCTTCAGCACTTACCTCGCTCATTCACGACACCACGGAAACCGTTTTCACGCGGACCGAGTGACGAATCTCCTGACAGCCCGGTAAGACTTGCCTCCTCCCAATGCGTTACCTAACATCTACTCTGGCATGCCTTCGAACTACTACCTCTAGTAGTTAATCTTCCGTACGAGCACACCTTGACACAAGAAGCCTTTTTTACGTTGCACATACTTAGCCTTGGATTAAATGACCGCAGCTACACCGAGAACGATCAGATGGCTAACAATTGCGACTGGAACATTTTCGTAATTTCCGTAACATCTCACCAGAGACACAATACTCAGAAACATGGCACCTGTCTATGCTGCAGGGGAGGAAATCATATAAATTTAGTTGCAAGTCTAGGTTGGCGATTATTTGTAAACATCGGCTCTAAAACCAACCTTCTCTCTATTGTAATAAAACATTAATTTTATCAAACTGATCAGAATATAAACAATCGCATGCCGGTATGATTAGTCATCACGGAGTGGTTTCCCGATCGCCATCGGCGACAAGTTCGCGCTTCCCGAGACATTGAAGCATCTTCATTGCAACATGTCATTCGTTCGTACGGCTGTCACAGCCGCCAGAGGCACTGCTGGGCTCCGTGCCTTTTCGACGGCACGCGTCTACCACGCTGAGCTTGCCTACCAGGTGTACGGCCCGGAGAAAGGGCAGGCAACTAGCGATCCTATCCTGTTCCTGCATGGACTGTTTGGCTCTAAGCAGAACAACCGGAGTATCAGCAAGCATGTAATAACAGTACCCATCTGATATGATTTATGTTCTAACATGATCCGCAGAGCTTTGGCCCGCGACTTGAAGCGCCAAATATTTTGCCTGGTGCGTGCAGGTCCTGATTCCCGGCCAAACCGGGGAACCTCGAACCATTATAAGTAAATTGTATAATCTAACACGCTTCATCAGGATCTACGTAATCATGGACAGTCTTTCCACGCTCCTGAGCACAGCTATGGTGTGATGGCTGAAGATGTTCAGGAGTTCATTCAACAGCAAAAGCTGGACAAGTGCGTCCTCATCGGCCATTCCATGTAAGTTTCACACCTCACTCAGGAAGAACTATCGTCGAAGCAAACCTTTCTGTTCATTTGTACTCACTTTGAAAAAGGGGCGCCAAGGTGGCGATGACTTTGGCTCTCCGCACCCCCGAGCAGGTGTCGGGCCTCATTCCCGTGGACAACGCGCCGGTCAACGCGGCGCTGAAAAGCGACTTCCCGAAATACGTCCGCGGCATGCAACACATTGAGAGTGAGAAGGTCTCGAAGCAATCGGAAGCTAACAAGATTCTCGAGGGTTACGAAGAGGTAAGAAGACCTGCCGTCATATGGCGGATGCACAGAGCATTCACGTATATCATCATCGCGCTAACATATCGCTCAGTCCCTTGGGATCCGTCAATTCCTTTTGACTAACCTTGTCCGCTCCGAGGAGGATGGTTCCTACAAGTTCCGTGTGCCTCTCTCTGTGCTGGGAAATTCGCTTGATAACATGGCGGATTTCCCTTTCAGTCAGTCGGACTCGATCCAGTACAATGGCCCTACGCTCTTCGTACGGGGTACCAAGTCCCAGTATGTCTCGGATGACACGGTTCCAGCCATCAAAAAGTTCTTCCCCAAGGCGCAGATCGCCGATGTCGAGGCGGGCCACTGGCTCATTTCTGAAAACCCCGAGGCTTTCCGACAGGGTAGGTTTTTCCAATCCAAAATTGCGGATGAAAATATCTAACACCAATACCACAGCCGTGGTTAAATTCCTGGGATCATCCTGATGGGAAGTAGGGTGGATTACCACTCCTGTATATTGAATATATATGTATATATGTATATATAAGAATAGAACGGTGCGTTCTTGGACTTCACTCAGAAGTGGGTAGGTATCGAGAGATCCAAATTCCGTAACGCCCTAATGCACCGCGCATTTGGAAATCAAAAAGCCTCCTCCAAAACACAGTAGAACAGTTGTAGTACGAGGATCAGATACATGATCCCATATAAAGAAAAAAGAAGAAGAAATTAAAAATAAAGTCTCCACCCAATGCCAGCAAGGTAGATGGAGGAGAGCAATCCCCGTAGACAATATTTGCGTGAGGCTAATTCCGGCCCAACGTGCTTGGTAGATTCTTCTTCTTCCGCTTCTGGCCACTGACATCTGAAGCAGAAGATGTCGCCAGCGACGGAATTGGAGTTCCCGCAGGAGAAGAATATGTAACATCATCAGAGTCTCGGACGTCCCATCGACGTTTCTTGCTGCTAGGTCCAGGAAATGGCCTTGGTGAAGCCGCAGGTGTCTCTGCAGAAGAACCGATAATTTCAACACTCATCGAAGCCATATTCTTCGTGGGCGAGGCAGAGATCCTACGGCCATTTGGATTCCTTATCCCATTCGCACTCCGTTGCGCGCGTGGTGTGCTTTTCAGGGATGGAACATGAGGAATATGTGAAGAGGGATTTCCCGGGTCTGAGCAGCCGTTGGACAGACCAGGCGCAGATATGTCAGGGACTTGAGACTCGGAGGTTGAGTTACTTGGCGCCAGTTCTCGAGACACTCCCTGGTTTGTCGCAGTTGACGACTCGCAGCCTGTCAAAGCTTTCGATTGGGAGATCTGAGTCTCGAAAAGAGAGTTCACCTCAGTCGCCGCTTTGACAAGTTGGTTTCTTAGGCTCTCCATTTCGTCCTTGAGAGTGCACATTTTCTCATGCATCTCTTTATCTTCTCTGTGGAGCGACTCCTGCCTCGAGGGCTCTTCCATCTGTGGTTGCCGTCGCAGACCATTCAAGGATTCTTCCATGATTTGGACTCGAGTTCCCACGTCTTGGTCTTGGCCTTGGCCTTCTAGTCGCGAAAGCCTGTCGAGATGATCAGCCAGGTCCTTCTTCATGGCTTGAAGGAAGTGGTGTTGGTCGGCGTTTTGTGCTTTCAACTGGTTGAATATGCGTGTGGTTGTTTCCATGGAGGTACCCAATTTCCGCATCAGAGACTCGAGCTTTTCGTCTGTTGCCCTTTGACAGAATTCAACAGATTGCATGCGTTCATGCAGCTGTTTGGCCGTTGGATACATCTCTTGCATAACTCGAGCCATGTGCTGCACTAGTTCGTCGGTATTGAGATTGTTATACCGAGTTTCCAGCGATCGAACGGCAGTTATCAGTGTATCGCTGGTTTGATTGTAGTTTTCCACCTTCGCAGCCGATTCAGTCAGGGCCGGCAGGCTGCGTTCGAGGTCTTTCCAATTGACTTGTATTTCTTTCGATCTCTCCTCTAGGGTAGACACCCGGTCTTGAAGCCCAGGCCCCTGTTCGTGACGGAGGACTTCAAGCTTCTTCTCAATCGAGAGGAACCGTTCACTGAGAGCACTGACTTCTTTTGAAGTTTCACCATAGCCTTGGATTTTTCGATTGAGTTTTTGCTCGAGCGCGACAATATCTCCTTTGGTGCTCCAAGGATCTTGTGGGGTTGGTTTTGGGGCCGGCACCACGACTTTTGTTGATTCGGTTTCCTTCAGTTGCTTTAACTCGCGATCTATCGAAGCTTTCCACTCCTCTAGCTTCTTGATGTTTCCTCGCATTGTCGTTTGGCCTCTTGATTGCGAGTCGACGGTTTTTTCAAGCGCTGTCAGGTTCGTCGGAAGGTCATCCTTGCGAACCATCGATTCCTTCAAAAGATTTACCTGTTCTCTCAGCTCCGCCAATTCACGACTAGACCCGGCTGCTGTCTCCACGCGAGCTGGAGGCTGACTCTCTGGCAATATGACTGTTTGGGAAAGGAGTCTTTGAATCCGATCGGTCAATTCAGCCGATCGCAATTCTTGGACCTTGACCTCCTCCGTTCTCCTGCTTATTTCGCTCCGATGGGCATCGGAGATGGCCTGAAGCGAGTCGATTGTAGCCGGAAAAGCTTCGGATCGTAGGGCATGAGTCAATGTTCGTTGGTTAAAAGCATCTTCTTTGTGGATTTGCGCCAGTTCTGCGCATTTGAATGCTCTGGCGGCATGTACGTCCATCAATTCTTTGAGCTGCGGCATGATGCCGCTCAGATCAATTTGCATTCCATGTATCTTGTATGCCATTCCTTGCGCGCCGCCACGAGGCGACTGGATGGGAATCGCTCCAATTGGCTGCACTTGCAGTGTCCTCTCTGCGGCAGATACGGGAGTTGTTGTCTTCGCCGGTGAGGAGGGTAAACAGGGTCGGCGGGGAAGACTTGGATGAATATTGAGAGCCGGACGAGGTGGAGTCGGACGAGGTCGACTGCGCGGGTCACTTGTTGCAGGAATAGGAGGCCGCGGTTTTGAATGAGGAGGCTGTGGATTGTCGGTCTCCATCCTGCGAAATTCAACTCTAGCCTAGAAGGAAATCACACGTGAAAGCTGATACCGCCTCTGCATATCAACTGATTAGGTCAAAATGAAAGTGTGAGGCTCGCATGCAAGTTGGTTAACATCGTCCCAGGAGACTTGACGTCGATAGGTTGCTGGAGGAGAGTATTTTAGAGGGAGGCGACTGTGTTGGCACAGTTCTTAGCTCTATCACATCCAATTCAAACGCAGGAAGGCGGACAAGCCGTCAAAGACAATTCTTAGGGTTCCGACTTGAAAGGCCCAGAAACAGGTAATATCTAGAGAATACAACTAGAAAAGGAAAGAACGCGCTGCAGAAGGTCCACTAGGAAGGCACATACTCCAAAAGCCCAAGAAGGCGCTTTGCGACCATCGCGTGTTTATCGCGCCTCCCAATTCCACGCCGGCAGAATCGGGCGGTGAGGGCACCTCCTTCCCGATCGGCGATCTGCTCTTCTTTCCTGCGCAGCTTTGGTTGCTTCCCACTCTGCTCAACCTTCCCCAGCTGTCTGATTTTCTGGAAACCGGTCGCAATGGCTGTCGTGAGTGTTGTAAATCCCCCATCATGCTGCGCTCGCTAACTCTCAGATAGCCAATTTCCACCGTGGCGGAGAGTAAGGAGCTCCGCGGCCTGAACCTCATCGCCGCCCACTCCCATATCAGAGGTCTCGGTGTCGATGTCGACTCTTTGCAGCCCCGTGGCGCATCTCAAGGCCTCGTTGGCCAGGAAAAGGCGCGCAAGGCCGCTGCGGTCATTCTGCAGATGGTCAAGGAAGGCAAGATCGCTGGACGTGCTGTTTTGATTGCCGGACCTCCTAGCACCGGAAAGACCGCCATCGCCATGGGTATGGCCCAGTCGCTCGGCTCAGATGTACCATTCACGATGCTCGCCTCCTCCGAAATCTTCTCGATGGAGATGTCCAAGACCGAGGCTCTGACCCAGGCCTTCCGGAAATCGATCGGTGTGCGAATCAAGGAGGAGAGCGAGATTATTGAGGGTGAAGTCGTGGAGATCCAGATTGACCGAAGCGTCACCGGGGTATGTCTTTTTCCTATTTTCCTTCGCAATCCTTGGTTGTTACTGCGGACGAAACGCTGACCGATACAGGGCAACAAACAAGGCAAGCTCACGATCAAGACCACCGACATGGAAACGATTTACGATATGGGAACAAAGATGATCGACTCAATGACCAAGGAGCGTGTGATGGCGGGCGACGTTATCTCGATTGACAAGTCTTCTGGCAAGATCACCAAGCTTGGTCGTTCGTACGCCCGCTCGCGCGATTACGACGCCATGGGCGCCGACACCAAGTTTGTTCAGTGCCCTGAAGGTGAACTTCAAGTTCGTAAGGAGATTGTGCATACCGTCAGCCTTCACGAGATTGATGTCATCAATTCGCGCTCACAAGGATTCTTGGCTCTGTTCTCGGGTGACACAGGCGAAATTCGCAGTGAAGTTCGCGACCAAATTAACACCAAGGTCGCCGAGTGGAAGGAAGAGGGCAAAGCGGAGATCATCCCGGGTGTTCTGTTTATCGACGAGGTCCACATGCTTGACATTGAGTGCTTCTCCTACATCAATCGGGCCCTCGAGGCTGAGCTGGCACCCATCGTTATCATGGCCAGCAACCGCGGTCAGGCCAAGATCCGCGGCACCAGTTATACATCCCCACATGGCTTGCCCCTCGACTTCCTGGACCGAGTTGTCATTGTCAGTACCCAGCCATACACTGCGGATGAGATCCGACAGATTCTGGCCATTCGCGCCCAAGAAGAGGAGATCGATGTCTCACCGGATGCCCTGGCTCTTTTGACCAAGATTGGCCAGGAGTCCAATCTCCGATATGCGAGCAACATCATTACCACCTCTCATCTCCTCAGTCAGAAGCGCAAAGCCAAGGAAGTCAGCATCGATGATGTCCAGCGCAGTTTCCGTCTCTTCTATGATTCGGCCCGCAGTGTCAAGTTTGTCAACCAATATGAGCAGCGCTTCATTGGCGATCAGGGGTTGTGAACTTCTCGGCAACGACCAACGGCGACGCCATGGAGCTGTCATAATAATCGTCTGCTCTTCTTTTTCATAGGCGCGTTCAATGCTTAGGGGAGATGGTTTAGCGGGAAGAAAAAACTTTTTTATTTAGTTCTTTGTTTATTGCAACATCAGATGATGTATGATATAGGACTGGCGCTTTGTCGAGGTGATCATTTTGCTTTTGGAATTGAATCAACACCCTGTTAGAATTTGCTGGTATTTATATTACACGAAATTGACCGTGCTTCTCCACGGTCCGGGGTCTCCGACTCGGTGGAACTCCACGCCTTCGCCAAAGTACCCGGCGCCTTGCCAGGACTGCATCATGAGGCTCTCGTACGGCCCATGTACATTGCCCCCATCGCGGGCATCGGACCAGCGATACTCCCACATCGTAGGCCCTTGCTCAGACTCCATGTTCGCAAGTGTTGAAGAAGGGTCGACCCAGTCTTCCCCAGTCTCGCTCTTATACTGACGGGTGAGAAGCTCTCGCTCCGTGTCGTAGATTTCGGGTTGGTCTCGGCCCATGAGGATATCGGCGGCACCAGTAACAGCCTCAATTGCCCTCCTTCGAACGGCCTCGTCCGAGGTTTCGTCGGCCATTTCAGTATCTTCGGCTTCTTTGCTCTTCTTGTTCTTCTTTTTGGTCTGCCATTTGGGCTTCCGCGGGAGACCCTTGCCTAGTCGAGCCAGCGCCTCAAGTATTGTCTCGCCGCGCTCAAGGTGCGTTATAATGGTTTTTAAGGCATCTGCTGTCAAGACCTCGTCGTCCCGTCGGTCCTTCGCTTTTCTTTCTTCTTCGCGCTTGTCCGCGGCTTCCTTTGCCTTGCGAATGTCCTTCTTTGACACGCCAGCTAACCATGAGTCGTAGACAGCATCTGGGTCGACAGCTTTCCGCACGTAGTTGCCCTGGTCATCAAATCGACCTTCTTCTTGCTCCGTGCTCATGTTGAAAGCATCAAGCAAAGGCGCATGTTTCTTCTTGGCGCCAGCTCCAAGCTCTTCATCCAGCTCTTCGTCGGCCCTGGCTCGTTCCTCTTCATCAACTTCACTGTCACTGTCCCCGTCTTCGGTATCGATTGACTTGGCGCCTTTTCTTAAGTCGGCATGTAGCTTCTTTCCGCCTGTTGAGGAAGCGACCTGACCCTCGATCTCGTCATTTTGCAGAAAGCGAACATTCTTCTTGTCTTTCTTCGTCGCGTCGTCGCCGCCGGCTTCACCCTCGCCAAAGTCCTCCTCCAGTTCAGCAAACATATCATCGTCGTCGGCGGCGTCGTTCTTCTCGCGCTTCGATTTTTCCTCCCTTCGCGCCGAGAACCCCTCGTTATCGCTGTCGGATTCATAACCGTCAATGTTGATGGCCTTTCGTCGCACTTTCTGGCCACGGCGACCGATCTCGTCGGCGTCTAGGAGCTCATCATCTTCGGGCGCATCGGCCGCTAGAGCGGAGGGGTTGCGGACATCGAATCGGGGCTTCTTTTCGGAGGGGCCGTCAAACTCGTCCTGGTCGGGATCTGGGCCTGTGAAATCGTCGCCTGCGCGCTTGGGGCGGAAACTCGAGCTCGCCATGATGCTTCGGCAGACATTAAGACGCTGGTCAAGAGCTTTTGCGCAGCTGTGCAACCTGCCACTGTGTCGCGGCGGTCCATCTGGGGTCGGAGCGGAAAATCATGGCGGAGCGACTTGCGTCACTCCGCCGAGCGGCCACCGGCAGTTCCCAAGCTGCAACTCTGCATCACTGCTTCGACGTAGCACGGAATCTCATTTTGACAAGTCGCTCACTTCCCTGCTGGTACTTGTGATTCATTCTAGTGCTGCACCCAGCCATGGTAAGCTCACTGCTCCCTCCATCTACTTACCACCTTGGTAAATTCCCGAGGCCGATCTAACAGCTTCCAGTTCCGATCCAACTACGGCTTTGACGATCCCATGGAGGGCGTTCTAGGCGCCGGCATGATGCGCGGTACCGCTCGCCGCTTTGACGAATATTACCGCTGCTACCCAGTCGCGATGCTTCCCGGTCCCGAACGAGAGAATGTCAATCATGGTGGCAAAGTCATCATGCCGCCTAGCGCTTTGGACAAGCTCACACGTCTTCATATCACCTATCCTATGCTCTTCGAGCTGCACAATGGTGCGAAGGAGAGAATGACCCATGCTGGCGTACTGGAGTTCATCGCTGAGGAGGGCAAGATCTATCTGCCATTTTGGGTAAGGTGACCAGTAGCAGTGAAGTTCGAAGCCATTTATCATCAAGATAAATTCTAATTACGAATCATTTCTCTAGCTCATGCAAACATTGCTTTTGGAGCCTGGTGATCTTCTTCAGATTAAGTCAACAGATCTTCCCCCAGGTCAATTCATCAAACTCCAGGCCCAGTCAACTTCCTTCCTCGACATCAGCGATCCCAAGGCCGTCCTCGAGAATGCATTCCGTAACTTCTCCTGTCTCACGAAAGGGGACGTCTTCACGTTCGCATACAACGATCAAGTCTACGAGATGGCGGTTCTTGAGACCAAACCTTCAGGCTCCAGGAGTGCGGTATCCGTGCTTGAAACCGACTTGGAAGTCGACTTCGCTCCCCCGTTGGTTATGAAGAGCCACAACGCACCAGTGGTACTAGTACTCCTGGAAGTGTCATAGGTGGAGGCAAACTACCTGCCGGGGGGCTCCTACACCCTCACGGTACTATGGCTCAATCCATCAACTATTCCGCCATTGCCCCGGAATCGACAGAGGCCGCCGCTGGAGCCAAGGCAGTGTCATCCAACTTCTTGTCCGGAGGTCAACGTTTGAATGCGAAAAAGGGTAGCAAAAACCCGACACCCAAAGCGAGCACCCCAGTTCCCGGAGCCACCAATCCCCAGCACCCACCGCCAGTCCGAAGAACCAACGGTCCCCAGCCACTTCGACTCCCTCCCAACCAACTGTTCTTCGGTTACGCAATCAAGCCACCCAAGCCGCGCGATGAGAATGGTCAAGTCATTCCGGAGGATCAGCCTAAGTTCCAGGGCATCGGACAGACCCTGCGGGGCAAGAAGAAGGATCTCGGAGAGTCGGCGACGCCCACCTCGGGAAGCGAGGCCGAAGGCCAGAAGGGCAAAGGTACTGGTGGTGGTCGGACCCTTGGCAAGAAGCGCTAATCGACTTTTCATGAAACCTTGCATGATGATACGTTGAAAACCTCTAGACATGATGCCTCTAGATGACGCAAGTAGAGGCACTATTGTTATGCGGGCATAGCGAGGAACCGGCGTTTTTGGTTTTGATTTTTTGTTTTATTGCTCCATGGCCAAATATACTCGGTACTTTACTCTCCTTTCCTCGGTCTTGGTTGTTTTGTAGTTTCTAGGTAACGAGACTGGCAATTATCCACTCCCTTCTAGCACATCACTCTACACTACAGTCTTATCGCCTACTAGTACCTAGTCGTCTACCCAGTCAACTACGTGATCCGCCTCTGATCCTCTGCTGCTTACTCTGATGTCGCGGAGTTCAGGCAATGCAAAAGGCCCGGGCCATATTGTTTACTCCCAGAGACAGACGGCCTACTTTTTCCACGGCTACAAGCAAGTCGCCCGAGGTACTTCTAGGTGAGTGAATAGTCGGAGCTGGGGTGTATAGCAAACCCCGGAATTCTATACGTCTTATGAAGTTGCATTTTGAGATATCTTCCGTAGATCTAGCTACCAATTTTGATGCTTTCTCAGGGTTGTCAGGAGGTGAACTTGTGATTTATATCATTCGTGCACTTTAGGCCGGGGCGCCTAAACGCCTCTTGGCCGCCGCGGTTCGCGGCTCGTGTTTGCTCCTCGTCGACAACCGTCAGGAGAACATCGCACAGTGCCAACATGGCTACTAGTACAGATCTCAATCCCTTGGCACCGTTTGTCAAGCTGGGTCCTTCCGTCTATCTGCAGGACCCAGCAAATGTCACAGACGGAGATGATCGGCCACTCATCTTCATCGCGTTTTGGATGAATGCACCACCCCGCGCCCTCGCCAAGTACGCAGTCGAATACAGACGCCTGGTCCCCACTGTTCGCATCGTTTTCGTCCGCAGTTCTTCCAACGACTTCTTTGTGCGAGCCACCGAAGGGGCGCAGCAGGCGCGTGTGACCCCTGCTGTGGACGCAATCAGCTCATTTGCGACCCCTGAGAACCCAGTGTTTATACACCTGTTTTCCAATGGAGGTCTCTCCAAAACCACCCATCTGCTCAAAGCATACAAGGCCGCGACTGGAACCCCGCTGCCTTTCTCGTCGATGATCGTGGATAGTGCGCCTGGAACCGCAAGTCTTCGTTCAGCGGTTCGAGCCTTCTCCTTTGCGCTCCCCAAAATGTGGATCCTGCGTTTACTCGGCAAGACCTTCCTTTGGCTTTCCTTGATCATGATTAAGGTTATCCAGGCCATAACGAGAGCCCCCGACGTTATCAGTCGTGCCCGCAAGGTGATCAATGATCTCTCCCTCGTGCAGGCTGTCAATGCGAAGGGCGTCCCCACTCGCTGCTACATTTATTCCGATGCAGATGACTTGGTAGATTACCACGACGTAGAACTGCATGCGTCCGAGACGGAAGCTGCCGGTTGGCTCGTCCGTCGTGAGCTATTCCGGGGTTCACCCCATGTTGGTCATATGCGAGCTGAGCCAGATCGGTACTGGGGTATCGTCAAGCAGTATCTGGAATCCTCTGCCTTAACATGATTGCTTTCGCTTGCTTATATGGATATACACTTTTTGTAGAACCAGACATGTTTTCTTTTCTTGGGCAATGCTCTTCATTTTTCTCTTTCGTCTCGCGTGATCCCAGCGCAATTGAATTTTGAAGTCCGGTGGATCCCTAACACATTTAGTCACCATGATCATCAAGTCGTGTCTCCGGGGTTTATCTGTCAATCTCACTAGTGCCACGGGTACTTGGTACTAGTATCTAACATCCAGTGTCTTCCGCCGGTACCGTTGAGCCCGGAGCGTGATTCCGGGATCCGCATCGGCAGGGCTGTTGGTAGATCAATATATACGATGCATGTAGTGGATGACGACGGCAGTGATGCATCATTCCAGAATACTGACCTCTTTTCGGGATTACCTTCGCCGCGCATCTCGCCTGAGCTTGGTTTGTTCTCAGTGTTGCTTTCTCACTCACCCTTGTGTGGACTTTCACTGAATTGGTCTCCTTGATCACGGTGAGCTTCCCTCCTGCGATCTACAATCACGACGTTCGCTAAAACAACTCAACATCGCAGCGTATTTACTGAATCTCGTGCAAAGCAATGTTCCAGAATCCGGGCCACGGGGAAGGATTTCTCAACGTCAGCAAAAATGTGGACTTTCGCTTCCTTCTTCCCGGATTTGGCCGACCATTAGATTGGGCTCCGTTCGAAAAGAACATTTACGGAGTCGCAAGCCGGAGCATGTTCCCGACGGCTGCAGATGATCGAGATATCGAGAATGGATACACCGAGTATGCCGATGTTCACTGGTTTTGTTCAAATTCAACGCTGAGAATTGATCAGGTTGCCCGTACAAACGCTTCGTGAAATGGCCATGGTGGCTGTCATGGAGGAGATCACCGATGTTCCTGAATGGTGGAAGAAGGTACTGAGTTGAGTTCCCACCCTTTATATTACGGCTCTCTCTAATCAATCCATCCGGGCCAGATATCAGATCCCAAGTTTGCAGACGAGTGGAAGGAGAAAGCTATGAACAGCGGCAGAGATATCACACAAAACATGGCCGAGTGGATTATTGATGAGCTCGTATACAAGGCGATGATTTATGAGAGGTTCCACTCCGTCGCGCTCTACAATGGAGATATCACCAAGTCGGACACCAACGTACCCGACTCTCTCATCCAAAGCTTACAATCTGCAATAAAGGTGCTAGAGATGAGTCATGAAGAGCTACAGTTCTACCATCCACGCACTCGGAGCAAACAACGAGACCTTCTTGCCATGACCTTGTATCCACTCGTTTATGGCAAGAGTCGCATTCTTCCTGACAGGCTCATTGGCCTGGACGATGCACTGCGACACGCCGGTCAAGGTGAAGTGATACCTGTACCCACTGATACTGGTATCACTAGGGAGGATATGGCCTGGCGGGTACGAGCTCGAGCAGACATTTCCAAGAAGCCGTTCAGTAAGCTTTTCCAGATTCTCCCGTCGGACTGGGAACTTGGTGACGATGGCCGATGGCACATTGCGACATACATCAATAACTTACATCCCGTCAAACACCGGGACATATACAAGATCATCGAAGACACCTTCAACTGCCTTGTCCCGCAATTCAATATGACCATCACCCCGCTCAAAGATATGCTTCACTCTCGTGCCCGCATCGAATACCACAAGGCCGAATACTACCCTGTCTCGAAGGAGGTCGCCCAGCAGGCGCCACAGATCAAACCTCGCGAGGCACAAAGCGAATTCGAAGAACGATACGAGAAGTGGCGGATGGAGCACTATCGTGTGATCCAGCCCGATGCCGGAAAATTCATTCCTTGGGCTGTGCCGCCGTGTTTGATGTCCAAGCTTCCAGAGGATCTACCTAGTGCTGTTCGCATTGAACAGGCGGTTGACCTCAACAGAGACTACAAGGATCGTGGATTGCAGGTGATCACACGGCTACTGGGTGTAGACCTCACTCCAGATGACCCGTACTTTCAGACAGACTGGCACGTTGAAGGCCAAATGGTGAGGAAAGCCTAATCTATTAACATGGAAGCGAAACTAACAAGATCTCAAGAACGAACATATCTGTGCCGCGGCTTTTATCTTCTGCGAGAACGAAAACATGGAAGTTCCCGTCATGGAATTCCGCAACATCGTCGAAACAGCCATCCTCGGAGAAGTGGAACATGAACCCAATGACTTCATCTGGCTCCGGCAAGTCTACGGCATGGACAACGGCGAGCCGGCTCTTCAACGACCAGGCTCGATTAAATGCACTCTCGGACGCACCACGATAATCCCCAGCACTGTGCAGCATCGCATCACCAAGTTTGAGCTCTCTGACAAGTCGAAGCCTGGTAGAACCCGTGCGCTGGCCTTCTACCTCGTCGACCCCAATATCCGGATTGTTTCAACAGCAAACATTCCACCTCAGCGACTGGATTGGATCTTTGATGCACAGGCTGAGGAGGGAGATCTTGCGAAGCCGATGGCTCAGTTGGCCGTGGATAATAAGCACGAGAAAGGAGACATGCCGATGAGTTTGAAAGAGGCGCTTGGGATCAGAGTTGAGGCACTGAATGAGCTCATTGAATTCACGCGATATCAGCATGTTGCGTTTGAGTCTAATGTTTTGATGCTTTAGATGATTGGATTCGGATGCTTTTTTGTGCCCTATCTCAATTTTTTCCATGAATGCGATCTATCATTATTCGAATTTTCCTTCCTAGACCTACAGCCATTGAAGACCCAAAGAGGCTTTTATGGGCCAGATGGTCGGTCATATTTCAAATTACTGTAGCCACGTTCTTCTAGTCTCCTACATATTTGAACTCCTCTCATTGATGATACACTAGTGTACTGTTACGAGAGCCGGTGTATTGATTGAAATCGCCGCGCTATGCCATTGATGTTGAGAAATACACTCACTATATACGAATACCCAGATACCCTTCTTTTTAATTCCGAAAACACCACATCATATAGCCCGAGAATGCAAACTTCTACCGACCCTTCATCTCAGGGAACTCATCATCCAGCTTCAACCGCGGAGCTACATTCATACTCATCAGCTCCTGAATAAGAAGCTTGGCGGCATAGGGCATGACCATCTTGACAACGGAGCGAGAAGACTTGCATCCGGGGCACCAGTTCAGATATCCCATGAAGCCACACTTTTCGCAGATGTCCACTTCGTGTCGATCGGAGGAGATCATGAGACGCTCGAGCAGAAGTTGGCTGGTTCCGTAGGCAATCAGACAGTCGCGCTCCATCTCACCCAGACGAAGACCACCGTCACGCGAACGACCTTCGGTGGGCTGGCGAGTTAGAGTGGCAGTGGGACCACGTGCACGCGAGTGCATCTTGTCTTGAACCATGTGCTTCAGCTTCTGGTAGTAAATCGGGCCGGTGAAGACGTAGAATGGGAGGGGCTCGCCCGTAATACCGGAAGTGAGCATGTCCTTGCCACCGTAGCTGAAGCCGTGGTCGATCAAGATCTGCGACATCTCCTCGACAGGGCTGCCTCCGAAGCAAGTACCGTAGCCGTGTTGACCGGATAGAACGCCAGCTTTACCAGACACCAATTCCAACATCTTACCGACTGTCATTCGAGACGGGAAACCGTGGGGGTTCATGATAATGTCCGGATTGATGCCTTGGTCGGTGAAGGGCATGTCGGCTTGATCGACGATGATACCAGTGACACCCTTTTGACCATGGCGAGACGAGAACTTGTCGCCAACCTCAGGTCGACGGGTCTGACGGGTTAAGATTTTGATCAAGCGTGTCTCGCCCTCGGTGGCGGACAGCATGACCTTGTCGATATACGCCGGGTCGGGGAGCTTGTAGGCCATCGGTGCGGGGTTCCAGGAGATGGGTTTACTAGAGTCGGATCCCATGAATCCCATGGTGTGTGCTTGATCTGGGACTCTTTTGTTGACGTAGACCTCACCCGACTTGACCTTCTCGCCGACTGCGGCCAGACCATCAGCCTCAAGCAGTGCATGCTTGAGAATCGGTGCATCATTCTCATATTCTGGGCCAACGAGCTCATCCTTCAAGCCACTGGGATAACTCTTAAGATTCGTAACGTACTTGCGGAAGACCTGGCAGCGTCCGAATCCACGGTCCACTGAGCCCTTGTTCAGAACCAGGGCATCCTCAATATCGTAACCAGAGTAACTCATGACAGCAACGGTAGCGTTTTGTCCAGCGGGGAGCTGGTCGTATTTGGTCAGCTCGATGGTCCGAGACTTGACCATCGGCTTCTGCGGGTATACCATGAGGTAGAGAATGGAATCGATTCGCTGGAACTGGTTCGACGCAATTGCTCCAATGGCTTGTTTACCCATGGCACTTTGGTATGTGTTTCGGGGAGATTGGTTGTGGTGGGGGTAAGGGATAAGACCAGCTACAGCACCGAGAACAGTGAAGGGCTCGATCTCAAGGTGTGTCGTGGCTTCGTTGATATCCTTCTCATAGATAGAGATGTAGGAATCATTCTCTTCGTTCACATCAAGATATTCGACAAGACCTTGGGCCAGGAAATCGTCGAAAGACATGGTACCATCGCGCAGTTTCTTCAGGTGGTAACGCCGAACGCGCGATTTGCCGTCCTCCACGATGATAAGTGGTCGGCAAATACGTCCATCATCCGTAGCGACATGCACCGAACTTTGATGATGGTTGATGTAGATGCTCACGAACTCTGAAATACGACCCATACGACGGAGTCGGCGAAAAGAGTTGAGGAAGTGCTTCGGGCGTCTAGTCAAAGCCGTCGGTGTACCGTTGATAGAGATGGTATAAGTTCCGGGTGCATACAACTCCATTCCGCTGACAGTGGCAATGTCTTCTGCGCCTAGCATAAAGATCAAGTTCCGCACCGGGCCTTCCTCGTCGTTGGTGGTGATATGTGTCATAAGAGCCAAATTCTTGACCAGACCGCATGCTTCACCTTCGGGTGTATCCGCAGGGCACAGCATGCCAAATTGAGATGGCTGCAACGCACGAGGGCCACTGACCTTCCGAGTCTTTTCGAACTGACTGCTAATACGAGTCATCATACCAAGGGCAGCAATGTAGCTGAGGCGACTCAGCACGTGAGTAACACCAGCCCGCTCCATGCGGAAACGCTTCAAGCTCCAGTTTCCAGTGGAAATGGCGCGATTCATTCCTTGGGTAATATGATTGCCGTGCATGCTCATCACGCTCCAGGCATCAAATTGTTCGGCGCGGTTTCGCTTGTTTAGAACTTTGTCGACATTCATCTTGATATCGTAGCAGAATTTCTTGAATAAATCTTCGAATAGCAAGGCCAACAGTTGCCCTGCCAGTTCCAGGCGTTTGTTTCCAAGGTAGTCGCGGTCATCCACCATGGATGCATCGTTTTTGGCCATAAGGACACGACGGGCCATATGAGCCACGTAGATGGCCTTCGGTCGGAAATCCATGTTCTTGACTTCAATGTGGGAGATGATAACGGATGCGATAGCCTCCAATGCCTCTTGAACATGGGTTCTGCGGTAGGCACCTTGCTTGCGGTTGATCTTGATACGACTGCCAATCCATTCCAGAGCCTGCTGCTGAGTGTGAATACCCAGGTTGATAGCTTCCTCGAAATTGATCGCAAAGTCGTCCTGATAGACACTGTCAGAGCCAGCAACCAGCTGAAGCATCTCCTTATCGGTATGGATTCCCATGGCCTTGAGCAAGACCACAATTGGAATATCCTCACTCAGCACGTTATGCTTCACGACCAGTCGATCTTTCTTCAACACGATGTAACTCTTCGACTTTCGCTCGTTGGAAGAACTGGTAACCGAGGCCTGAACGATCTCCTTCTTTGGGTCGGTCTCCACAATGATACGATTCTTGCTCAACTGTTCTTGGACAAGAATGACCTTTTCCGTTCCGTTCACAATAAAATAGCCACCAGGGTCCAGTGGGCACTCGTTAAGAACAGTCATTTGCGCGGGGGATTTGTTTGCCAACGCACACTTGGAGCTGCGGAGCATCACTGGCATCCGACCAATTGAGACTCCCCTACGATGAACTCTCTGTCCTCCCCTAGCGTACTCAAAATCAACGAAAATCGGTGCCGCATATGTGGTGTCGCGAAGTCGGCACTCCTGTGGGGTGACGTCCGACTCGAATTCAACACCGGCATCCTGCATTTCATCGGCACGTCGAGGCGATCCAACATAGACATCCGTAAACTTGACGTAGAACCGGTGGTCGACATCACTCTGGATTATAGCGCTTGACTCCACAATTTTCTTCAGCTGCACCTCGACGAAGTAGTTGTATGAGTCAATATGCTGCTTGACCAAACCTTTGACCTTGAGGAATGCGGGCAGTAGGTTCCATTTGTCCTTTGCCGTATTGATCGGATCCGTGAGCGACTTGTTGTAGTAGAAAGGCTCCAGAAGTGCATCGAAAGGGTCTCGAGGTTTGGCATTGGACTTGGCCCGAGGAGCCGCCTGTTCATGGCCGGGAGCATTGGCGGCACGTTGGCCCTCGTTGACGGCAAAGGAAGCACGTTTTCTCCTCGAAGGATCGGTCGCGGAATGGTTCATAGCCTTTTGCCACAGAGAAACTCAAGTCAGTATTGCCGTTCTATAGTGTATGTTGGGATCAAAAAACTTTTGTTACCTCCGAGGGGCGCCGACCGGGCACGGTCGCAGAAGCCTGCGACTTTTTGCGAGGCGGCATGGTCGCTAGACAGCTGAGGTTGAGAGATACGAGCTCCGCGATCTCAATCCACACAGGTGTCGGAAAATCAAGCGACTGGAGTGCGCATCTGCCAGTGTCATGCACCGTGGAGGGGAAGCCGACAAGAAATTTGGAGACGGCTTATCTCATCGCCTGCTACCCACATCGGGCTAGTTTTTGTGCCTCAGGCATCACAGATTCCCTTGTGAGAGCATCTGGAGACTTTCTCGTCGTAATTCAGCAAAGATTCCATTAAACTTCCTTCGATTTTTCATCTGATCTTAAATAATTCCTAGTCTAATTTCAAGTTTGTGACCAGCTTGAAGATTGCGTACATAGTGCCATGCTGAGTCTAGGTATCGAAATCAAGAAGCCATTACCTACATAGTTGTAGTTATATGGTGCGAAATTAGGCAGTGCATCATATGGGTTTGCAATATTTTCGACATGGACCTGATGTATATCTGCGCTGTTGTGTGCTGTAGGACTTCCAAGACGGGCATATATAGAAGTGTATAGTGTGTATTATGATTAACCACTTTCGCGTGGTACATCCAGGAAATCTTTGGAATCGTTCCTCTAGAATCGAGGCCAAAGTGAGAGACCCCACATAGCTACAACAGAGTCGCTGCGCTGTGAGATTAAAATTCCTCATACAATGCTCCTAATGATGCATGTTAAGATCAAGAATCAAACCAACGCCTCTCATAAAGAATTGTGTTGGGATTGTTTCTTGGGATTCAGGGATTACATCTGAGTGGGGCCTGAGACTCATCGCACATGCATCTACGGAGTACTTCAGACGATTCTGATGTCTGCACGGACGACCGGTTTAGAACCCACAGCCTGCATGATCTACCTGGCTATGGCTCAGTGGAGATTCGAGCGAATCTACACCACCCGCGATGCCCCTTTCAGCTAGCCTGACTCAGAGTGGAGAGCAAGTAGCCACGGCAATTTATGATTCCAGACTGAAGTGGCGGCAACCCCTCCCTGGTTCGATCCCAGAGCAAATAGTCTGAATCTGAGATACGGGCTATCCCATGACAACCAGGATGGGGTTTGTTATTAGAGATGGTTGCACAGCGGCCATTGCTCTTGTGCCACGCTGATTTGTCCGATGCCTCGAGACATGGAGCCTTGCGATTCTTGATTCGGAAATGAGAGAGAAATCGGTGATGTCTGTGGCGAAGACATGGCTTGACCGAAACTTGTCTTGCAAATCGCCACACTGGGTGTCGGGGATGGACGGTAGGTGGTGTACATCTTCCGCCCAATTTCCCCGAGGTCGGGAAGAGAGCCCCTTGGGAGCCTAGGAATACCCAGTCTCTTGGAGACGTCGATATTCAGGGCCCCCAATCTTGAGAAATTGCGCAGAAGTACGTCTCCGCACCGATCCCTTGTCTTTAGTGTAGTACATGGTACGGAGCTGGAGGAGGCCCGACTATACCGATTGGGAATAGGATTTAGATCCCAACAAAGAAACGAAGCACACGTGGCTGAGGATGGAATGGGCCCCGGCTGCGGCGAAATTTCTCTACCACTTGCGGGAGGCACAGGAAGCATACTGTAGGGCTAGGATGTACTCCGTACTTCGTCGCCGCAGGAAGAGACAGCGCTATCTCGATCATCCGGCGTGTTCAGGTGTACTCGGTACATCTGAGGGACTTTCCATTGACTGCCAGTGCTCATACATTGTGCCCATTGACACCCTTCAAGTCGATTGGCGGGATGGACCTTTACAAGACATTAAATATGCTCATGAGGACTCTACGAGTACGGGATTAGGAACGACCGAGTCAGCCCCCCTCTCTCGGCGATACCAACGGTGTGGGAAGGCAGACAGGGATGGGAGGATATCGGGCCCGGAGGTGTCTCGATCCATGTCAGAAACCATTGCGAATCGGTCGAGGCGCAATTTGCGTTGGGCATGAAAGGCGGCCCCCTCATTCTTTGGCTTCTCTCGGGCCGCGATGGGAGGCGCTGACAGGCAATCCTTCGGGAGTGGCACTCCACTCTCTGTTCAATAGTTCCGTCGTCTATTGTCCGAAGAGAGCGCAACGATTGGAAAGCCGGATGGATGTGTCATTTTGCAGAGCACTGAGATCATCACGTCGCATCATCCGAGCGAGGGATTCCCGCAATAAGCGTCGGATCACACGGACCTGACCAGCGGGGACAAGATCTAGAATCCGCTTTGCCCAGGACGATTGGATTAAAAACGCGAAGAGGGGAAGCGAGAAGGGCGATTGATTGGCGATCGCCGGTCCGATTGCCAGGAAGTGCCTCCATCCACGGCGACTGGGGTTCGTGCAGGATCTCCACACCATTGGTATGCTCGTCATTCGGTGGATCAGGGGCTCCAACCGACGCGATCAGCACGGATGGCTTGTATCACGTTCACCGCTTCTCTCGCCAGTTGCCAGTTGCCAGTCGCTGGTAGATTTGCCCACAGTGCAGTGCCCACCGAGGGTCTTATCGCGTGGCTCTGCAATCATTCCGTGCTCTACTTTAGCTGGGGGATCTGTGATCCAGCAACCTAGCAGAAATCCACCGAAATCCAGAAGAAAAAAAAAAAAGGAAAAAGAAAAGAATGGAGAGCATGGCAGCCCCCTTTCTTTGTATGGTGGATCCGATTCGGCGTCACGTAGATGGTTCAGCTATGGGGGAACCTTGGAAAGCGAGGGGCGCGAACCATTCCACGCGAGTTCCAGCACTCATTTGCCAGTACTCCTAATGGCAGTACTGGCAAAGTACAGTACTGTAGTAGACGGGGATTGCTCATCAGTGCTGAATCCTCGAAATTGCAGGACCTGTGGGTAACGGACAGCGGTAATTTCGTCTATCCGGTACCCAATTCGAAGTGCACATCGCTAGGGCTCAATCCAGGCACGCCGCCCCCGAGCACCCTTAAGAGGGCGATCTGCTTGTCACACCGGCGAGACCGCACCACTCGGCGCGTCTCCACTCGCTCACCACGATACAGTGGCTGCTCAATTGGCGTGGGCAAGACGCACCTGCAGCTGCCACGCCGCGACCAGCACATCTTCTTCTCTCCGCTCTTCCCCCTTGCGCAGGCATCGTAGAGCCATCTCCCAGTCCGGCGTGGAATTCAACCAACGGAGCTGCCATGACTACCCCGGCTTGTTAGCCCCGACAGAGCTGCACCCTGGTGGTACAGCCGAAGGGCGTGCGCCAATCAGCAGCGAGTCTCGATCGATTTCCGAGTAACGATGGCGATTATCTGCTGTGGCCGTCAAGTTTCGCATGGGTTTGGTGGTGGAGAGGTATATAGATGCTGAGGACGAGGCGAGAGTAGATATTGGCCACCAGGGGAGGTTGGCAGTGATGTATTTGTGTCCAAGGGGGCGGTGGCCGTCGTGGACTAACCTTGTAGATGGCAATCCCCCAGACTGCTGGAGTAAAACTGCTTGTATCTCCCAGTGCCCGCGTCGTAAGAAGCAGCAGATACAGCTGAAGCCCTAGGCTAGGGTAAAGTCCAGCAGGGCGTTCGTACGGCGATTGCCGAATAGGGTTGGCCTAGTCTCCCCGCTCTTTCGCTCTGGAACATCTTCCCAGCCTCTCCCCCTTCTTCTTTCCTCCCACCGTCCTCCGTGTACAACATCTCTTTTGCTCGTTCCCGTCCGCGTTCCGGCCGCGACACACTCGTTTGGACCTCATCGGTTCTCTGCGGTTTCGCTAAGTGGAGGCCCTTCGGCGGTAGGTGTCTCCATCCCACTCTGCAACTCCCTGCGGCTGATCTCCGCACCCTTCAGGAACACACCACGTCGATTTTTTTGTCTACATCCGCCCGATAGATGCTGTCGCGGTCTCTGGCCATCGATCTGTGAGACTTCTGTGCGCGATCTGTGTCCTCTCGAGGCGTTCATTGTGTGAGTACGCCCTGGACCGTGCCCTTTTTTCCCGCCAGCGATCGTCGCGCCCACCCCTCAGCCCCTCTCGACCTTCCCCTTACTTGGAGACAACCTCCTCCGACAAGCACCACCACACCGCCACCCCCGGTCAAAGCCTGCTCGACCAGGCCGACCACTGTCGAACCCCAGATTTGCGGCGGGTGTGCCACATTGCGGAGGCTGGTCATCGGTTCCCTCCGTGCGGACGCCTTAAAAAGTGCTCCGACACTTGTCAACAATCGTGGAGAGACCATCTGTGTGCTGACGGAATCGGGTCGAGCTGTAGTTGAACTGCCCAGTTGCGTTGCCCACCATGGCCTTCAAGAATGGGCTGAGTGAACGCCTCGACGAGCTCCGATTTCCCTCCCCTCGATCCCCACCGTCGGAGTCTGCATTCCCGGGATATACCTCGCTGTCACCGGGCCATTCCAACTTTGTCTCGGGCTTCTCGCGACCTGTCAGCGATGTGCGCGCCAACCTGCAGCGTCGGTTCACCACCGACTCGAGCAAGTTTTCCTCCTCTTGGAACTACTTGAACCAGGGCACCGCTCCCATGGCGGACCCTCTCGACCTGCTATCTTCGGTAAGCTTCAGAATTTCTTTCTCACACTTTCTGCGTTCACAGGGGCACTGCTGGGGGTGATTGCACTCATTGTGTGAATGTTTCTACTGTGAAAGGGCCAAATAGTTGGCACTGGAGTAGTGGGCACAAGGAACGCCTGGGTGTAAAGGTGGGCGAGGACGGCTTTCACATGTCGATCGTAGGCGACCGTCTCAGGCTACGCCCGCGAGCGAGCTTCACTTCCTCAATGGGGGAACATGTGAAGCCTCACTTTGACCCTCTTGAGAACCATCCTGACCTCTGCTGCCTAATTCACTCGGTTCTTCCCTCAAAACCCACCCGCTCTCCTTCTCTTCTCCTACCATCCTCACCATCTTCGTTCCCACACATACTCGTCCTCGGATTCTTCAGCAGCTCTTCCTTTTCACCCCTCCAAATCCACTGGCATTCTCTGAGGGAAGCCTGACAGTGCTCACTCATTGCTTCACCAAGCTACGTTTCGAATCCTCTGCCTCCCTTATCCTTATTAGTCGTTCCCGTTCCATCCTTAACCCGCACTCCAACTGCCCAACATATACTACTTTCTATCTCACCAAGTCCACAACTGACTGTGCTCAGTTCGAGAAGAAGCGTCAGCATATCGAGTACATGCGTGAACAGAAAAGACGCTTCGAAGAGGACATGAAACTCCTCGACATGCAGCACGAGAAAGAAAAGATTGAGATGGACCAGCTGGCCCGCGATCTGGCCAAGGCTGGTCTCGGTGGTCCTGCGAGTGAACCCACCACTCCGCCGGAATATCGTGAGCCTCCCGTGTCCGCTGCGGTGTCTCGCCCTGGCCGATTCTCCACGTCGAGCGTTACCTCGTCCCCGGGCTTCTTCAACGTTTTTGCTCCCTCTTCGCAGCTCACTTCTCCTCAAGCCCCATCCCACCCGAACCAGCAGGCCGATCGTTTCGTTGGCCATTCGGTGCCTGGTTCGCGCCGCAACTCCGAGAAGGAGGAGTTCGTTATGGAGTCCAACTTTCGCCCGGGTCCTTCGTGAGTATACTCCTTTCATTACGATGTCCTTTTTTCGATTTCCGTTTTGGATACATCTTGCTAACAATTCTGTCGGCATCTAGTCTTCACCGGTACTCTCTGCCCTCTAGCAATTTCAATGGTCAGTACCGACCCAGCACCTCCGGTTTCAGCGGCTCTGGCGTCGATTCGTTCGCTGCGACGAAGCATCTGTTCCCCAACGACGATCACAAGCCTCTCATCCGTGACGAGGATCGCCTTTCGACTCCTGATATCAAGGGCTACATAAAAATGACTGAGCCCGATGACAAGTTCCCGACTCTGTCGCGCCGGGATGGCTCGAACATCCTCTCCGCTAATCCCGATGCCTTGGATCTTGCTGGCTCGCGCACCCCCGGCCCGGATACCTACTCGTTTCACAGTCGTCATCGCTCTGCTCATCAGAGCATGCCCCAGAGCCTCGGAAATTTCCGTTTGGACCAGCTGGGCAATGGAAAACCGGTAAGCGATGAGCACTCCAATGGCTCCCACTCTCGTCGCACCGCTCGCCACTCCCTCGGCGAGGGCTTCACCTTCCCCAGCGAGCGCGGCAATGATGCTATGACCCCAATTGCTTCGAGTCGGCCCACTCCGTTGCAGTCATACTCCACCAACGATTTACCCACTGTCAAGGGGACTGGCAATGGTTTCGATGCTGCCATCACGCCTCCAAAGACCCAGGCTGAGCATCTCCACCATCACAACACGAGCATGGGCCGGATCCCCAACAACTCTGTCGGCTCCCGCTCCGCCAAGGAATCCCCTGAGGCTGAAACTGTCAAGACTAGCCAACCCACACACACTATTCTTCAGGCCAATGCTGCTCCTTTTGGCCCCCAGTTTACTCCGGCCTCAACCAACGCCGGCGTTCCTGGTGTTCCTGGCGTTGTGGCTCACAATGCCCTGCAGTTCCCGATGTACGGTGGATACGGAGCCCAGCCTTTTGTCAACCCCGGCGTCTCGGCGAACAACCCGATCCTTCCTATGCCAGCTGGAAACCCGTACTCGGGCTACCCTAACTTTGCTGCCGCCAGTGGATTCCCGCGTCTGAACGAATCTCCCACCCGAGGTGGAGTCGGACATCGCCGCCAAACCGAGAGTAGTGACTCGAGCCAGCTGACTCGATTCTCAAACCACCCTCTGGAGTCTTACAAAGGCGATCTGTACACTCTTTGCAAAGACCAGCATGGCTGTCGATTCCTTCAGCGCAAGCTGGAAGAGCGCAACCCGGACCACGTTCAACTCATTTTTAGCGAAACCTACATGCATGTCATTGAATTGATGACTGATCCATTCGGTAACTACCTGTGCCAGAAGCTTCTCGAGTTTTCCAACGACGAACAGCGAACTGCTCTGATTAACAATGCTGCCCCCAGCTTGTCAAGATTGCTCTCAACCAGCATGGTACCCGTGCTTTGCAGAAAATGATTGAGTTCATTTCCACTGAGGAGCAGACTCAAACCGTCATTCGTTCTCTTCAAGACCACGTTGTTGAGCTTGTGCAGGATTTGAATGGCAACCACGTCATCCAAAAGTGTCTCAATCGCCTCGCCGAGAAGGATGCCGACTTTATCTACGAATCTGTTGGTGCCAATTGTGTGATCGTTGGTACTCATCGCCACGGATGCTGTGTTTTGCAGCGTTGCATCGACCATGCTTCTGGTGACCAAAAGGTCCGTCTGATTGAGCAAATCACGAAAAATGCCTTTGCGCTGGTCCAAGACCCCTTCGGCAACTATGTTGTTCAATACATCCTAGATCTTGCTGAGCCCGCCTTTACTGGACCTCTGTGCAAAACCTTCCTGGGAAATGTCCCGGGCTTGTCCAAGCAAAAGTTCAGCTCCAATGTCATTGAGAAGTGCCTGCGCACTGCGGATCCCGAGAGCCGTCGCGCCCTGATCGACGAAATGCTCGGCGGCAACGAGCTGGAGAAGATGCTGCGTGACTCATTCGCCAACTATGTGATCCAGACTGCGATGGACTTTGCTGAAGATGAACTGCGGACTCGAATCATCGACGCTATCCGACCTATTCTCCCTTCAATTCGCCAGACTCCTCATGGTCGTCGCATTGCTGGTAAGATGCTGGCATCGGAGTCTAACGGTCGTAACGGCGGCCAGGTGACTCCAAACGAAATGAGCAACACATCGCAGGCGCAGATTCCAAAGCAAATGATGCAAAAGCCCTATGGATTCCAGCAAGGCCCTGTTTCGACCTACAACGGACACAATGCATTCAATGGACCAAACGCCCTGCCCACTCCCGTGCAAAGCTCATCCAACACCCCTCCGGGTGGCCCTGCCGACGGTTCGATGTTCGGTTCTCCCGGCAATGCTCCCGGCCTGGGCGTCCAGAACCAGCTCTTCACTTATTACTGAACAGGGATTTGTACAGCCCCCTTTGTGCATATTCCCCCGTCCAACTGTACCCATATCCGACATGATGCTACGATATTTTGATGATTTCACGGAATTTCACACGACTGTCATCAGAAGCGGGCTCCAGTTGCATGATCTACTCTCCGAAGTTCGTTGCAGCAAATTTTCCAGCCCATTCGTCATTTTCGCCTACATTTGACTTTCGTTTACCTCTGCATATCTCTGCATATTGCGATGCGTCACGACTGTTTTCCAAATCTGGCAAGATCCACGCATTGCTAGATGCAGTCTGCATTGGGATGTTTGATCCTCATGCTCCCTTTTCTTTACCTATGTACTCTTGCCATCTCCATTTTTTTGACGTTGCTCATTTTATCACCATTGCCATTCTTACCCATTCCTACCCATTCTTGACCATTTTTATGCTCGATGGCTTTGCAGCATTGGTCGAGGCGTGTGGCATTCTGGAAGCACTGACTATCCCCATGATTCTCTGGAACTCGTCTTTCTTCTGTCATGGCCTTGACCGACAAGAAATTCTGCAACAACCATTTCATTTCCCTTCATGTGTTTACCCATCATTTGATCAAATTTAGCACTGATCTTGATTTGCACCTTTTTATTCTTACTCAGTGTTCAGGCCATTCAATAGAACATCTCGATCCAAGGTACGTTCCCTATTCGAAATGTTCACCTGAAGATTATCGTGTGGGCTGCGATGCAGAGTTACTGCAGGGGGAACTGGCTTTTCAAGCCAAGTACTGAACGATCGAAGTCTGGTGTGTCCTTGCTGCCTGATTCTCTCACAGTGCCGCGTGGTATTTTCCTGTGCCTCTTCACATTTTGCATGTTTGTATTTTAGGAACCGAAATCCAATTGTCGCTTCACATAAGATGTATATCCTCTGAGGTAGTCTAGACTCTCGTGTAGATCAGGTAGGCCAAAATTTCCAGCAGTGGTAGTGCAGGGTATGACGATTCCATTCCATGTTTTGCACACATTATCTCCCTAGGATGTTTAGCGATCTTTATTCCAGGGGGTAGTTAAAGGCGAGCAAGGCGAGCAAGGCGACTAGTCTTGCTCCCACGACGCGTCACGAGACCACGTGACCAAAGGGACCGGAGTCGCCAGGTGAAGTCCGCACTCCGCGGCCCGCCATAACTTGACCAGCTGGACACCATTGACCCACGAAGGCTCTGAGACGTCGAGAAATTGGTCCTGATGCAACCAGCTGAGGTTGCCCGCTCTTTGAGCGAGCAGTATCCATATCGAGAAGTCCAGGCGCGGCAGCTTGCCACTTTATTCCATGTAAGTGCCTCTGGTGTCTCCAAGGAGCTCCGCTCTCCATTGCGATCCTTTGAACGCAACTTGAAGGACAATTGCTAACCATTGGATCTCACACTATAGCCCTACCTTCCTAGTCCTCCGACGCTAGTCGTACATGGGATTTCGGCAACCTGCAAATCTACCATCATCCGCGGCGTCCTTTCTACACTCCAAACACCGCACGCTGTGATTCGGAGCTCCGAATGCATTACCGGACGACATCTGCTCACTAAAATCATTTGGAATACTCTCGATGCTTTGGATCAAAAGAGCGAATGGGAGAAGTTCGGGAAGGGACGATGCGAACATGTCAGTTCACTTGCGGTGTTGCTCGAGGAGTGTCTCGCGGCGCGAGCTCCGGAGAAACAAGGAAAATTTGTGTTGGTACTGGACGAAATCGACCGGCAAAGAGAGGCACCGCACACACTGCTGTCAGCATTGGCGCGACTTGGAGAAATTGTGAGTAACCTAGGAACTCTGGACGACAACGCAACATAGGATATCCCTGGTCAGTACTGATATCATGGCCAGATCCCCTCGCTTTGCGTTGTCTTGGTTCTTAGCTCGACACCCCGCCCATTATTCTTGCAGAATGTGGCAGTTCCTCATATCAGCTTTCCCCCGTACTCTCGCAAAGAAGCCATCGACATCCTCCTGGCCTCGCCCGTGCCTGTCGTGGAGGGCTTGCCCGCGGAAACAAGCGCTCAAATATACCCGCACTTCGTCTCTACAGTCTACGACACTCTGACCGGACCAACTGCCGGCTCCATTCCTACATTCCGATCCATATGCCAGCGCCTCTGGCCTCAATTCGTTGCTCCCGTAGTTCAAAGCGAGGCAGCTCCTGGCGGAGGCACAGAATGGGACTTTGCACGCCTGGTTGTGAAAAACAGGGTTCTCTTCCGTCATCAAGGAGAATCGTCTCTGGTGCACCGCATCGTTCCGGGAGACTCTTCTGCTCCTGGCAAGACAAACCGGACGCCATTCGCGCCCACGGCAGCTTCCTCAGCTCTACCTCATCTTCCATATTTCCCGACCTTGATCTTGACCTCGGCGTATCTGGCATCTCATATCCCGCAACGACTGGACACAATCTTCTTTTCGAAGTTCTCTTCATCCTCTCTATCAGCTCGAAACAAGCGGGCCCACCACCGACGTCGTTTGAAGGTCCTTTCCCAGGCTCAGGCAGCAGACAGGGCAGCTGACGATCCGTCAACACCGAACAAGAAGGGCAAGCGATCCAAGACTCGCATTACAAAGTCCACCCTTTCCTCTGCGTTTGAAACGTCCTCGGCGACAACCTCGGCCATCGGTGGCAGCGCCGGAATCACCGGCCCATCAACCATTCTCACAGCGCGTCCCTTTCCGCTTGAACGTCTTCTAGCTATTTACCACGCCGTTGATCCGAACCCACCCGCCAACCCAATTCATACCCCCGCAGTTGCCGATCAAATTTACGCTGAGCTGGCCACCCTACGCCGTCTGCGCCTTGTCGTTCCCGCCTCGGGCAATCATGGCGGGACGAGTATGGGCAGCGGAAATACCAGCGCGGATGCAGGAGAAAAGTGGTGTGTTAACGTTTCTGGGGACTGGATCGGTGAGCTAGCCAAGGGCATTGGTGTTGAAGTTGGGGAGTGGTTGGCCGGTGGTCTGGATTAGGTGTTTGATAAAGTGTCTTCTTTCTGTTTACATTGCATGGAGTTATGTTGCATATGGCTCTTGGTATCCTATTGGTTTCTGGTGGCATAGCATCTCTGATGCAGATTAAATCATATACCCGTTTCTCTTTATCTCGCTTTCAATGCAATACAATTAATTCAACAGTAGAGTGTAGTAGTGTAAGTTATGGTGTCATCGTACGACCGCGGAATTCGAACGAGGTATTTACAGGCTAGTCCTGGCAAAGCACAGGAGCTTGAGACTGTTTCCGTGTCGCAAAATTCTACCAAGCCCATTGATCGACCGTCGCTTTCGCACAAACCAACAAACTTGGCGTCTGTGGACCACAGATTGCAACACCTCCCTCGCTAGGTTCGAAAGATACGCAATTAATCGGATTTGAGTATTGATACTTGGATAGAGGCGAGGGAATGAGGTCGCCAGTCTGAAGGGAAAAGAGTTGGATTCGGCGGTCATCCGAGGCTGAGGCGAAGAACTAGTTGTCAGCAGTTGTCACTCAGGATTGTAAGGAGGAGCTACATACCACTTGCGAGAAGGCCCAGTTCGCCACTCACGTCAAAGTCGGAGATTATGTCGGGCGAGTATTCGGGGAATGTCAGGTAGGGTCGTGTGGAGGTGTGCGAGGGAGAGGTGGGCTTTGGTTTGGGTTGGAGGCCATTCGGGGCGAACCGAATATCGTACATTTGGAGCTAGAGGGGATGGGTCAGTCCATGATCATATCCTAGAGACCATACTGCAGGGGCACATACTGAGTTGAATCCAGAGACAACGAGCCGATAGGGATCAACTTTGCGGATCTTCGAAACAGCATGTGGGTGCTGCAACCGTGCTGCACTCCCTCCACTGCGAAGATCGTGCAAGAAGACGGATGAATTCCGCATTCCGGACGCAATAACCTCCGGTGAGAGCCACTCAACAGTACTCACGCTTGCATGGGAGGAGCTACCATGCTCACGGAACCCTTGCTGGTTCCCTCGTTTGCGGGAGCTTGCATCGTTTGGGAATGGTTTTTGAGATACTGTCCAGTGGCTTCCGAAGCCCTCGAGAGTGTGCAGGCCATTTGATGTTCCGATGGCGAAGAGGGCCTTGTCGCCTGTTGGACATGCGGAGGAGCACCATAACGAAGGTGTTGTTCGGATGCGAATGGGGTGAGAGACTAGGCCAGTGTGAGCTTTGCGAGACTGGAGCTTGAAGACCGAGGAAGAATGTACAGAAAGAGGGCCATTGATAGTCGCCTTGATCATCTGGCCCTGGAAGCATTCGAGGCGAGAGGAATGAATCACCCTCGGGCCCACTGTCCATCGTCGCTCTATCAGAACTGTTAGCCTTCATCCTCGTACGAGGGAACTTGCAATATTGAGCATACAGTAAATAACCAGTGTGACTTAAGGATATGGACGACAACTAGAAGCACGTGTCAGCATTGGTTATAGGTATGGATAACAATAAAATTCATGTACCCGATATGCCTCTTTGAGCAGAACTCTCTCCATTGTGCGGTTGTAACTCCACTTCTTCTCTTCAAAGTCTGGGAAGCATACTCTTTGCTGACGTTAGAAAGACCAGGGAATATCTGAGAGGATATGACTCACGATACTGATGATTCCCCACCACGGTGTCCACCTGCATCCACAGTCAGTAAATGTGGCAAGTGAGAGGATGGCGAGGTGACTTGCTGGCAATGAGAATCCCCGAGCGTGGATTTCGGATAACGTGCTGGATAGAATAATCGGGCCAAGGCTCGAATTGATGCAACTTTTTTCGATGCAACTGGCTCACGTATGCCCGAGCTTGCCTCTCCTGTTGAAGCGACGGGGGCAGAATGCGGGAGCCGAGTTCGCTGTCATTGCTGAGCAATGGATGATTTGAGAAACTGGCTTTGCGAACCTTTTCTTCGGATATCCGCTGATTCAGCTGAACTCTCTTATGTTGTTTCTGCCAAACATTAGTATTGGTTGGTCATTGGTTACTGAAAGGAGGATTCTCACCTCTTGCTCCGCACGCTTCCTCTTCACAGATTCTCTCGAATATTGTGCGCCCGCCGGCGCAACATGGTTGGCCTGAATCTTGAAGTATTTTTTTCTTCTCGGTATCTGCCATGGTCACATTAGTATGCGATGGCCATTAGTGGGGCTTCAAGTCCCCATCAAACATTGTATCTGTTCGACGAAAAGAGGAACCTGGGCCTCAGCAACTCACCGTAATAGAAGCCTGGAATTTCTGGGTTCATTTTGGTCGACAAGTCCACTGGGATAACCAGGTCGTCCCAGAGGAAGGCGCTCGTCCAGAATAGGCAATTTAGGAGTGCTTGGTCTGCTAGATGAAAGTGGCGGATGGGTGATTTTGATGAAGCGGTGTCAGCCCGACGACAGTCCTGGACTTGCAAGAGGCCGAATCGTACGCTGTATCGCACGTACAGACGCTTCTTGTTGTCTTCCAGACTTGTCGCCAGCATGGGCGAGTCAAAGGGTTTCTGCAGGCTCGTTTGATGGCGACGGTGACGTCCCTCTGATTACGTAATATGGTGCCTGAGGCCATCAATATTTCCAGTTGCCCTAGACGGACGACCATACTTGTCGAGGGTTTATACTACTAGTGAGTACTGGTATTGCATATTCGCATATGTATGCTGATTATCGACGTATCGTATAATGCAACTGGAGTACAACATGCTACTTGAACTAGACACATTACTCTTGGCAAGAGGTGATGCCGGTATCTCGTCTCGGTGCTGGATCCCTTTGGGAGAGGCGCCTTCCCATCGCGCCTTCCACGTTCGTCTACTGTCGGGTCACGATACCTCCAGGCAGCCAAAGCAAGGGCATTTCCACTCATTCCGACCGTGTTTGTTTCTCTTCCCCTTTCATCATTGCTCCGCCGATTCCGTTCCATTACTTTTCTTCTCATTTCTTCTTACCTTTTACTTCTTCTATACAATCGTTGCCTCTCCATCGTGTCTGTTGCGCCCACCACTTTTCGGACTCAATCAATCCCGCAGCTACCAGCCACAATGTCTCTGGACGTCGGCGCGCTCGGGGAGGATGGCCCGGAAAAGGAGGTGGCGGCAACCGTCGCCGATTCCCAAAAGAGATGAACGAGGAGAACCTCGATCTTTTGATTGAAGAGCTGGAAGCAGAAGATGGGAAGGAGAAAGATCCCGAGGTCCTCACGATCAACACCGGCACCGGCCCCGAGCGAAAGGCCGTTACGGCACTGCTGCAAACAGACCCTCTTCAAGGCCTCGGCGAATCCGAAGTCATTATTGCTCGACGCAAGTATGGATGGAACCGGCTGAAGGAGCAGAAAAAGAACCACCTCGTCAAGTTTCTCAAGCTCTTTTTCGGCCCTGTTCAGTTCGTCATGGAGGTACGTGATATCAACGAATCCTGGGTGGTTTGGTTTACAGAACAATGCTAACGACGTAATTTCATACAGGCTGCAGTACTGCTAGCAGCTGGTTTGAATGCCTGGGTTGACTTCGGTGTCATCATCGGACTTCTTTTCTTGAACGCAATCGTCAGCTTCGTTCAAGAATACCAAGCGGGAAACATCGTCGACGCCCTCAAGAAGACGTTGGCACTGAAGGCGATCGTGATGCGAAATGGGGTGAAAGTTGAGCTCCCAGCGGAGGACCTCGTTCCGGGCGATGTTATTTTTCTGGACGATGTGAGTTTGTGCAGCCATGCCTAAGATGCATGAATATACTGACTTTTCTTTTTGTTGCAGGGCACAATCATTCCAGCTGACGGTGTTATCGTCTCCCCTGACGCCCATGTTCAGGTTGACCAGTCTTCGATCACCGGAGAATCCCTTGCTGTGGACAAGCACACTGGGGACGGTTGCTTTTCATCATCGGCTGTAAAGCGTGGAGAAGCCATTATGATCGCGACTACGACTGGTGACAATACCTTTGTCGGACACGCTGCTGCGCTATCCAGTAAGACCGACGGCGTGGGCCATTTCACCCAGGTTCTTGACCAGATCAGTTCGATTCTCTTGGTGCTGATCTGCCTTACCCTATTGGTTGTGTGGATCGCGGCTTACTATCAATCGGACGACATGAAAACCATCTTGGAGTTCACACTGGCCATTTCCGTTGTGGGAGTACCTGTCGGCCTCCCAGCCGTTGTCACTACTACCATGGCCGTGGGGGCTAGCTATCTGGCGCAAAGATCTGCGATTATCCAAAAGCTTTCCGCAATCGAATCTCTTGCTGGTGCCGATATTCTATGCTCTGACAAGACCGGAACGCTCACTCGCAACAAATTGACCCTGGGAGAGCCGTTTACAGTCGCCGGTATCACGGAAGATGATCTTGTGATGACGGCTTGTCTCGCCGCAACCCGCAAAAGAGGCGGGATTGATGCTATTGATCGAGTCTTTATCAAGGGTCTGAAGAGATACCCAGAGGCCAAGAAGCAACTCACGTCGTTCAAAACAATCGAGTTCTATCCATTCGACCCTGTATCGAAGAAGGTAACCGCAGTGGTGGAATCCCCCGACGGCGAGAGAATGACTTGTGTGAAAGGTGCTCCCATTGCAGTGCTTCGGGCCGTCAAAGATGACCACCCCGTCCCGGAAGATGTAGAGGCTGCATACCTAGAGAAGGTCACTGAGTTCGCAGGACGTGGATTCAGATCACTGGGGGTTGCCCGGAAGCGTGACTCTCAGCAATGGGAGGTTTTGGGTATTATGCCCTGCTCAGACCCCCCTCGTTACGATACTGCGAAGACTATTGCCGAGGCCAAAAGCCTAGGGCTTCAGATTAAAATGCTCACTGGTGATGCTGTGGGGATCGCAAAGGAGACCGCGCGCCAATTAGGTCTGGGCACCAACATCTACAACGCGGAGCGCCTCGGGGTTACAGGGGCTGGAGAGATGTCGGGATCGGAGGTCAACGATTTCGTTGAGAATGCCGATGGATTCGCTGAGGTATTTCCTCAACACAAGCATAGTGTTGTGGAGATCCTCCAGAGCCGAGGTCATCTGGTAGCTATGACGGGAGATGGTGTCAACGACGCTCCTTCTCTGAAGAGAGCCGACACTGGAATTGCAGTTGAAGGCGCCTCAGATGCTGCACGCTCCGCTGCAGATATCGTGTTTGTTCAGCCGGGTCTGTCGGCTATCATAGACGCAATCAAAACTTCTCGCCAAATATTCCATCGGATGTACGCATACGTGATCTATCGCATTGCTCTCTCTCAGCACCTGATGTGGTTTTTCGGACTGTGGATTGTGATCCGGAATGAAGTGCTCGACTTGCGCTTCGTGGCTCTGATCGCCATTTTTGCCGACATTGCAACCCTTGCCATTGCCTACGACCGCGCACCCTATGCGTTTAGCCCTGTGAACTGGAATCAACCCAAACTGTGGGGGATCTCGGTCATCCTGGGAGGAATTCTAGCCGGAGGAACATGGATTGCTTTCGGTACTATGCTGCTTCGAGGCGAGTCGGCAGGCATCAGCCAAAACTACGGAGCCCGTGACCCAGTGCTGTTCCTTGAGATCAGCCTCACACAAAACTGGCTGATCTTTATTACTCGGCAAAGCGACGGTCCTTTCTGGCCAAACCGGCCCTCCCTGCAGCTTTTTCTTGCTGTGCTCGCCGTTGATGTCACTGCGACCTTGATGGTTGCTTTCGGTGCATTCGGACTTCAAAATCTGCATGTTGTCACGATCGTTCGCGTTTGGGCCTTTTCATTCGGTGTCGAACTAGTCTGTGCCTTGGTGTACATTGCCTTGACGAAATCAGATACATTTGACAACATCATGCATGGTCGCCTACCGGGAACCCGACACCGAGAGAGATCGTGGGAGGATTTTGGTAAGTTGATTACCCTTTGACCTTTTCAACTATCTTTTGTTCAAGAGCTAATCTGAAGAAGTTGTTTCTTTGCAGCGTGTGTCCAGTCAGCACGAGAAAGAGAAAGGTGCGTGAAGCTCTTACTGGCCAGGGAACTTGAGTTGTGTTTATCGAAGGATCTAGGGCATTGCCCTCTGACAAGAGACAATCTCGAGAAAGCGAAGCTTATTCATATCAAACACTTATTCTTATTGTTGTCGCGCTGGAGGATATCTGATTACGATTCGGCAAGTTTATCATTACCCCCGATGTACGTTCATTGACCTCTGCAGCAAATTCAAGTACCGCAGCAACAGCGCTGTTATGCCTTGCCCAGAACCTATTCTAATCTTGTGCCCTTCTCGGGCCACTTGTATGGTCTTTTCTTTTTTCCGGCCCGAGACAGTGAGTGATTACGATGAAAAACTTTACACTGAGTGTGACGGATGAACCTGGGAATAGCCTCGTCTCGTGGAAGGATGCCTGAGGCATAATATTGGGTCGTTTGCACAACGCGTTTGCTGGGGACTTAACCCCTCTTTTTCTGGCGGAATTTCTTTCTTTCTCCTTCCTTCTTCATCTTCGAGATTCTCGTAAGTAGGCACCGAATGAATATGCTTCTTTCGAACGGCCCGTAACACTGAGTATCTCCCGTCAAAATATCTCCGAGAAACATCAGTCCCAGGGAAAGAACCACTAACCACAGATGTCACTGTTATTTGGGAGTAAATACTACTTCTTATACAGTAGCTTGCAAAATCGCCTTGCGCTTTTACACACACTCTTTCTTTCTGAAGTCTAGATGCCAAGACCACGTTAACCTGAGTTGGTTATACTAAAAACAATCCCTGACTAGAACCATTTGAATGGTATGATAACTAAGGAACGAGACGATGACAACACATGTGCAACCCTAGGTACCCCTCATTTTCTGCTGCTTCTGTTGTTCAACGTCTTTCCACTCCTCAACACCCATCGTTTTAACATGCAAAAATGGCTCCGAACTTATCCCCATCGAAGCGGCAGCTGATTTGTGATATGATCGAGAGCAACCTAAAAACCACTGTTATCGCTAATACAGCAGAATGTAGTAAACAGTCTGTTAGATATATTCGTTCCAACCTGCGGATGTTCGGCAGTCCCAAGGCACCCCCAATCCTCCCCGGCCGACCCAAGAGTATCACACCACTTATGGTTAAGGCTCTCCGTGGACACCTTTCCGAAACCCCTGGATTGTATCTCGACGAGATGGCAGTTTTCCTTCGGGAGGAATTTGAGGTCTGCGTGGCCAACTCCACTATCAGTCGGGCTCTGGCAGCGAAAGGCTGGTCCAAGAAGACAACCTGGAATCAAGCGAAGGAGCGAAACGCGGATTTACGAGACTGCTACCTCCATAATCTATCGGAATTTGAGTCGTATCATCTGGTCTACATAGGCGAATCTGGATGTGACAAGCGGATAGGGTATCGGCGAACAGGTTTGGCCCCGCTCGGAGTCACCCCGGTCCAGGTGGCCAAGTTCCATCGTGGTCAACGATACCAGATCTTGCCGGCATATTGCCAGGACGGTGTTCTTCTTTCCCGCATCTTTCGTGGTTCAACTGATGCTCTGGTATTCGAAGACTTTATTGAACAGCTTCTTCATCATTGTGGCAGATGGCCGGAGCCTAAATCGGTATTGGTGATGGATAATGCATCATTCCACCACTCTGAGCGGATAAAATGCATGTGTATGGAAGCAGGAGTTAAGCTGGTGTATCTTCCACCGTATTCTCCTGATCTGAATCCCATCGAAGAGTTTTTTGCAGAGCTAAAAGCTCTTATCAAACGGAACTGGCAGTTGTTTGAAGATGATGCGCATAGAGATTTCCAGGAATTTCTGGAGTGGTGTGTCGATGTGGTTGGCGCAAGAGAAGGAAGCGCTGAAGGCCATTTTCGCCATGCAGGTCTGACAATTGAATACCGTTGATTGACCTATTTAGACATATAGAACTAACATACATATATATTTCCATATATTTTTGCGGCTGATATTTTGCTCTGACAGTACCAGTAGATTTTTCCCTCTATTCTTGCTTATTTGTTCTGACTCTCTTTTCCCCTCAAAATGATAACAAGCGTTCAGTCGGGTGGAATATACATCTGCTGGCAGAATGAGGCTATTTAGATTCACCTAGGACGCCGCCTGATGGTGTTGTTGGAGACGGGAAATTTGAAAATCTGGCGACTCGAGCCCCACATTGCAGGCTACTGATTGGTTCTGCTGCTGCATAATCACAACCCAGTCGCCAATAGTACGGGATCCCTCATGCAGTTCGACATCATTATATGCAATGACTGGTCAAAACGCCTTGTTCGCTGATGGGGGCGGGCGCTTAGGAAGTAGTTAGCCTTTTTCACCTTGGTGCCTTAGGCTGACAGGAAGGCGTTTCTCAATCCCTCCTCATCACCCTCTCCCGATTACTGATGAAAGGCTGAGTTCTCGACCTTTAACTACTCTTACAATTAGCGATAAATTGATATTTCTGCACCATTACCCTTGCCATATCGGCCACAGCAGTAGCACCTTCTGCTAGACAGTTGTTTTCCCACGTCTATTGAGGGAAGAAGCCATTACTCATGGCGAACATGGCGTCTTCAGCATCGTTTGGGCATTCAAATTCGGGAGCCCAGATAGGTGTGAACCACGGCCCAGTCACTTACCACTTCCACACGCCCGTTGAGGGGATAAATGAGACAAACACCAGGCCTTGTAAGCCAACAGAAAACCCAAAACCAGCCGTTAGACTCACTGATTCATTTCCAGGGAATCAGTCTCAAACCCACTATATAATCCCTTCCTTGGAAAATCGTCACTTTACCGGCCGTGAATCCACGCTAGAGGAGCTCAAACAGAAGCTTTTTCTCCAAGCCAATACTGAGAAATTAGCCTTGTTCGGACTAGGTGGTATCGGCAAAACCCAAATTGCGCTTCAGTTTGCCCGCTGGGTGAAAGTGCATGTACCAGACTGCTCTATTTTCTGGGCTCCTGCTCTTAGTTTTGAGAGTTTTGAGCAGGCTTGTTCGCAGATCGCGAAAGAGCTCCAACTTCATTGGAGTCCAGGCGGTGAAAGTGCGATGGAGATAGTGCACCGACAGCTAAGCTCTGATAAATCCGGAAAGTGGCTTTTTATTGTGGATAATGCTGACGACATAGAATTGCTTTCTGATGAGCTTGATCAGTATTTTCCATCTAATAAGCAAGGCGTGACTTTGCTCACTACTCGTTCCCGCGAGGTAGCAGTATCTTTCGCAGAGAGAGACATACTCGAGCTCCCAAAGATGACAATAGAGGAAGGGATTGTGTTTCTCACCAAGATTGTGGGAGAGGGCTCGCTTTGCAACCGAGAATCTACTATACAATTACTAGAGGAACTTGACTTCCTACCTCTAGCCATTACGCAGGCGGCTTACTATATCTCTCGACAAGATAGCACGATCACACGGTACCTCGAGCTTATGCATAAAACCGAAAAGGACCGGGTTCGTCTAGCGAGCTGGAACTTCCGCGATAGCACTCGCTACCGTCAAATGCGAAATGCTGTGACTACCACATGGTTTATCTCATTCAACCAGATCAAGAGCTCAGATCCTTCGGCTGCCGATTTGTTAGGATTTCTAGCTTACCTGGAGCCAAAGGCGATCCCGCGATCTCTTCTTCCTGCTCTTGATTCGGAAGAAGAGATAGAGTTCGCAATTGGCACACTGTGTTGCTATGGGTTCTTAACTAGAAGGGAAACTGGGGATATGTTTGATATGCATAGCCTTGTGCAGCTATCAACACGAGCATGGATTACAGAGTCACGGAAGACAGAACAGACCATTACGACTGTCATACAACATATGAATGAGACTTTCCCATCAAGTCAATATACGAATCGTGCGATATGGAGAGAGTACCTACCACATGCTGTTGGAATTCTTCAAAGAGACGAAGTTAAAGATTTGAGTGAGAGGTATATCCTACTTTCAAAGGTTGGAAATTGCGTTCTAGCAGACGGCCGAGCGAAAGAAGCTGTGTCGCTTTTTCAGGATGTGGTCGCGGTACGCAACAGAACCCTTCATGAAGGACATCCCTCCCGACTGGCGTCTCAACACACACTTGCACGGGCGTATCAATCCAACGGGCAAATCAAGCAGGCCGTGGAGCTACTTGAGCATGTGGTCACAGTGCGTGAGAGAACACTTGATGAAGAATATCCCGATCGACTGGCATCTCAGCACGAACTCGCACGAGCGTATAAATCCAACGGGAAAATCAAGCAGGCCGTGGAGCTACTTGAGCATGTGGTCACAGTGCGTGAGAGAACACTTGATGAAGAACATCCCGATCGACTGGCTTCTCAGCAAGTGCTCGCAGGGGCATATGAATCCAACGGGCAGACCAAGCAGGCTGTGGAGCTACTTGAGCATGTGGTCACAGTGCGTGAGAGAACACTTGATGAAGAACATCCCGATCGACTGGCGTCTCAGCACACACTCGCATGGGCGTATCAATCCAACGAGAAAATCAAGCAGGCCGTGGAGCTACTTGAGCATGTGGTCACAGTGCGTGAGAGAACACTTGATGAAGAACATCCCGATCGACTGGCTTCTCAGCAAGTGCTCGCAGGGGCATATGAATCCAACGGGCAAATCAAGCAAGCCGTGGAGCTACTTGAGCATGTGGTCACAGTGCGTGAGAGAACACTTGATGAAGAACATCCCGATCGACTGGCGTCTCAGCACGAACTCGCATGGGCGTATCAATCCAACGGGCAGACCAAGCAGGCCGTGGAGCTACTTGAGCATGTGGTTGCGGTAGAAGGGAGAACACTTGATGAAGAACATCCCGATCGACTGGCGTCTCAACACACACTTGCACGGGCGTATCAATCCAACGGGCAGACCAAGCAGGCCGTGGAGCTACTTGAGCATGTGGTCACAGTGCGTGAGAGAACACTTGATGAAGAACATCCCTCCCGACTGGCTTCTCAGCAAGTGCTCGCAGGGGCATATGAATCCAACGGGCAGACCAAGCAGGCCGTGGAGCTACTTGAGCATGTGGTTGCGGTAGAAAGGAGAACACTTGATGAAGAACATCCCGATCGACTGGCGTCTCAGCACGAACTCGCATGGGCGTATCAATCCAACGGGCAGACCAAGCAGGCCGTGGAGCTACTTGAGCATGTGGTTGCGGTAGAAGGGAGAACACTTGATGAAGAACACCCCTCCCGACTGGCGTCTCAACACACACTTGCACGGGCGTATCAATCCAACGGGAAAATCAAGCAGGCCGTGGAGCTACTTGAGCATGTGGTCACAGTGCGTGAGAGAACACTTGATGAAGAATATCCCGATCGACTGGCGTCTCAGCACGAACTCGCACGAGCGTATAAATCCAACGGGAAAATCAAGCAGGCCGTGGAGCTACTTGAGCATGTGGTCACAGTGCGTGAGAGAACACTTGATGAAGAACATCCCGATCGACTGGCTTCTCAGCAAGTGCTCGCAGGGGCATATGAATCCAACGGGCAGACCAAGCAGGCTGTGGAGCTACTTGAGCATGTGGTCACAGTGCGTGAGAGAACACTTGATGAAGAACATCCCGATCGACTGGCGTCTCAGCACACACTCGCATGGGCGTATCAATCCAACGAGAAAATCAAGCAGGCCGTGGAGCTACTTGAGCATGTGGTCACAGTGCGTGAGAGAACACTTGATGAAGAACATCCCGATCGACTAGCGTCTCAACTCACACTCGCATGGGCGTATCAATCCAACGGGAAAATCAAGCAGGCCGTGGAGCTACTTGAGCATGTGGTTACGGTAGAAAGGAGAAAACTTGATGAAGAACATCCCGATCGACTAGTGTCTCAACACACACTTGCACGGGTGTATCAATCCAACGGGCAGACCAAGCAGGCCGTGGAGCTACTTGAGCATGTGGTCACAGTGCGTGAGAGAACACTTGATGAAGAACATCCCGATCGACTGGCTTCTCAGCAAGTGCTCGCAGGGGCATATGAATCCAACGGGCAGACCAAGCAGGCTGTGGAGCTACTTGAGCATGTGGTCACAGTGCGTGAGAGAACACTTGACGAAGAACATCCCGATCGACTGGCGTCTCAGCACGAACTCGCATGGGCGTATCAATCCAACGGGCAGACCAAGCAGGCCGTGGAGCTACTTGAGCATGTGGTTGCGGTAGAAGGGAGAACACTTGATGAAGAACACCCCTCCCGACTGGCGTCTCAACACACACTTGCACGGGCGTATCAATCCAACGGGAAAATCAAGCAGGCCGTGGAGCTACTTGAGCATGTGGTCACAGTGCGTGAGAGAACACTTGATGAAGAATATCCCGATCGACTGGCGTCTCAGCACGAACTCGCACGAGCGTATAAATCCAACGGGAAAATCAAGCAGGCCGTGGAGCTACTTGAGCATGTGGTCACAGTGCGTGAGAGAACACTTGATGAAGAACATCCCGATCGACTGGCTTCTCAGCAAGTGCTCGCAGGGGCATATGAATCCAACGGGCAGACCAAGCAGGCCGTGGAGCTACTTGAGCATGTGGTTGCGGTAGAAAGGAGAACACTTGATGAAGAACATCCCGATCGACTGGCGTCTCAGCACACACTCGCATGGGCGTATCAATCCAACGGGAAAATCAAGCAGGCCGTGGAGCTACTTGAGCATGTGGTCACAGTGCGTGAGAGAACACTTGATGAAGAACACCCCAATCGACTGGCGTCTCAACACACACTTGCACGGGCGTATCAATCCAACGGGCAGACCAAGCAGGCCGTGGAGCTACTTGAGCATGTGGTCACAGTGCGTGAGAGAACACTTGATGAAGAACATCCCGATCGACTGGCGTCTCAGAAAGCACTGAAAGACATGAAGCAGTCAATGGCGGTTGAGGTTATAGAGAACATGTACCAATGCATTCACCTTGACATTGGTACTTGATCTAGCTACTGTGTTCACAAATTCCACTGTGTTCGCAGTCATGTGACCGCACCGCCCGTTTGACCCCCATATCTCACTATAAGTAGCCTAGATAGTTCCTCAATCAATATCTCCATCATCTACGATCATCATCATCACCTCCCCTCATTTCCTAACACCCTGTATATGGTTTTACGAAACAGTCATTCTTAAAAAATAATCGGACATTCAAAGGAAAACGAAAATTAGCTATTTAACTACTAATCACTAGCGAACCGAAATGAACATTGTTACGTGTTATTACAATACTAGTTGGGATATGAAGGTATCGCAAAGGCTAACTATATACGGTTAGAGTAATCTTGGCGTTCGGTGTCCGGAAAGAAAGAGTGGATGTAAAAACGCAAGGCGATTTTGCAAGCTGCTGTAACATAGCTTTTTTTGAGAAACGTAAATGCAGCAATGCGATGCCGGCCTGTCCTGTACAATAGGAAATAGCATCAAACAAATCCCCATCGAATGGGTTTGACGCAAATAAAAACGTAGTTTACCACCGCAGGTTCCCTGAACAAACTCACTCGCGATATGATGGCCATTTCGTAGCCTCCTCTCGCAGCAAGGGCTTTTCCGGTACAGCGAGCTGCTGAGTTGTCGCAGAATCCACAAGAGCCACCCCAATATCCTCTTCGTTGACTTCCAAGCCTCGGGCCTCATCCTGCATGTTCCTTTGTTGTCGTCTGTACATTCTCCAGAAAACCAAACTACCGTGGATCTGGGCAGCCGAGAAAGCAACGTGGAGAAGGGGTGTGGCGACCTTGAAAGCGATCTCCCAGCGATGCCAGAGACTGCCAAACAGCCACATTGTCACCACCGTCTCACAGAATGTACCGCTTGCTGTCGTCAGGCAGGAAAGAAGGAATACGCGACTGAGGAAGTGGTGGCGGTTTGGATAGATGCGGTAGAGGATGATTGCGATGTGCGGGAAAAACTCGGACACGATATCGAAGGCGCCTAGGATTGACGGAAACGTTAGTCTTCTTCAGGAGCCGACGGGGATAAATGGACTTTTGAAGGGAACGAAGCTGACCCCAAACAGTGCACAGGATAAACTCAACGTCAGCATCCGGTTCCCGCACCAGCCTCAAGCTGATGGCGATTGCTGATTGTCCAATAAGAATGGTGCCTATGTGGTGCAACACGGCGACAGGTGATAGTTTCATGCGATAGAGAAGCTCAAATATGTACATGGCAATCAGCAATTGAGCCACGACAATCAGAAGATCTCCCATGGTGACCGGAGATTCACGAGTAAAGCGAGTGTGGAATGTTCCTTCGCAAAATGTCACATTGATGAACGGGTAAGCGGCGACAATCAGGATGAGAATCTTAGTCACTCCGGCAATGTGGTGGTTGACGAACCCACGGCGGTTAACCTCATCGAGCCCCGTGTAAATAGGGCCGTATGCCCACTTGATTAGGAAGCCCTCGAGAATGTAGTAGCGGATTAAGAAGAAGACCACCAGTGCAATGGAGATTATGAGTGCCGAAAAGGGAGCCAAGATGGAGATCGTCTCCAAAGGCTTGTGGTCGATGTTGGAACCATATCGTTCCAAAACTGACATGGCTAGAGATTTTCAGAATACGTGATAGCACCAAAAAAAAGCAAGAGAATATGTGCGGCTCCAAGTCGAGGACAGATCACATCACGAAAGTAGAAATGGGCGACGGAAGGAAGTGGGCATCAGGGTCGAGCACACATTGAGAGAGAGAAGAAAGCACGAATGAGGTGAGAAATGAGTGGGCAGAGGAGGTGCTTGCTTCTGTAAATCTGCCAGCGGCGGCCTCGTCCCCACCCACTCCAGTCTATTTTCACAATGCACACCTGCAACCAGGACTCAGCCTCACAGCCCCAGAACACTCGCGAATCCCATGCGACCAGGCTTTAACCTGGCAGGTCTGCGCCATCTGCACTCCTATCCCGTACTCGGGCTTTATTGCTCATCTCAAAACAAACTACAATAGTCCGAGGCAAATAGAAGCGATAAGCGATGGGCAGCAGGGCCAAGCTTTGCCCACCCGTCGGTCCAAAGCTTAACGGGGCCAACTCGCCGCGTGGTTGGCCCCCTTGCCTCGGACGCCGTGGGTCAGGGTCCCCGGCGAAAATGGCTGATTTCACACTCTATTCTGACACGAGAAGGTAGGCAGCAGCATTGTCAGCCTCGCACTATGGTAGCCCGGAAAAAATGCTCAGGGTCAAAAAGGGCTACCTCCTTGGTAGCGCTGGTTTAATTCGAGAACCAACAGCCCCTGGCTCCTCCGATCTCCCAGAGGATACAAGATGCTGTTCACGTGTTTTTGCAGCGGCGGGGTTGGTGTGTGTAATACCAACTTCCACGGTTCATCGCACCCCTTCCTAATAGAGTCGGCGTCAATTCTTTCAAGGATTGCTTCTTAAAATGGAAAATGTGGTATTCGGTTTTGAGCCCACACACTAGTAGAAAGAGTGCCTACAGTATAATTAAGCTGCCTGACGGTGTTGCATCGCTACCAAGTAGACGCGAGGTATTTAGGGTCGGCTACCGAGACAAGACGGGTGCCAAGTGGATTTTGTTCTTCGCTGGGGCCACTTCTATTTATAGGGCGGATATTATCTGGTTCTTCTCGATCTTTGAAACCAATTAGATCCGATCATGCAGTCATACACTTTTTCATGCAGCTAGCACCGATTGTCCTCGCAAGAGGGGCAAAGTATTATCCCCGAAAGAATATTGGAGTTGCCATAAGCTTTCGTGAGGTGGCCCTGATTATCACAATACACTAGTGTATCAAATAGAACATTGAGCCCAGGGAAATCTGGGAGTTACCGAGTGCACCTTGAGCCTACTGCAGTATGATGGATGAGCTGGCAAATCTAACTATATGCCAGGTAGTTGTAGTTAGTCATCGTAGTACCGATAATTAATACGCAAGTACATAGTTATGAAAGAAGTAGATGCATATAACCGGAAAGATCTATAATCGCTGAATTTGGACCTGCATTTTATCAAACGCAGAAAAGCGCAATTGTTCTAAACATCTGTCACACGCAGGATGTTACCATATCAATGCCGCCCGAACAAAAGGGAGCAACCATGACGATGATCATACAGTATGCCTCGGCGTATTTGAAGCGAATGATTTAGAGCAATCCTTTTTTGACTGCCTATTGGTGCTGTTCCCATTATTCGGCATGGTTCGATGGGAATTTTTATTTTTATCTACGCGAGTGTACTACCGATGAATTCATTAATCCTATCATACAGCACTCGAGGCAAGTTGCAGTCTTTCAAGCTACTATTGATCTTCGGTTGTGTGCCAACTTTTTCTAGGACCATAAGACACCTTGTGCGAGCGATAGTACGTGCAATATGCTGCTGTCAATTCGGTATATACCGGGACAAAGATGACCTGCATTAACACTAAGCGCGTGGCTGGAGGATAAGCCTAACACGGCCCCTTGATGGGCTTTCGGGCAATATTTGAGTTACAAGCGGACTTTTTGAGAGCATCGACAAAACATGAAGTACCATCTAGGCATTGCGAATAGCCTGGCAGGCTAGTACAATTGCTGGATATGCTGCCAGTTTATGCTTGAGGCAGCGAAGTGCCTTCCGTTAACTAGTGAAGAGGGGAACGCTCGATGGCAGCACGCGCTGAGACGTGCGGGTCGATTCAGCAGAAAAACCACCACAGAACACACGCGTAGCAATCAGGAAATAGCGAGGACCCCAAATGTAGGGGTCAGGTCGGGGAGGTGTAAGAAGGTGTATTCTAGAACTAGCTATCCGGCCACCGTATACTGCCAGCTATGTCTCATAACATGAATGGCACCCATGTAGTAGGGGAGGGGGTCTCCCCACTACACTAGTTACTGTACTAGTCCTTGGAGGGGGAGAGGGGGACTTTAGCTGCTTCACCTCTTATCTCTGTAAGCATCATCGTTGCTCAGAACATGAATGCATCATGGATCTAACCTGTATCTGTCGATTTGCAACTCATTATTCTCTTCTCGGCTTTCTCGCTCTATCGCCGATAGACCAGTTTGTGTGCTGTTAGTCTGACTGCATTGGCATCGGCACTGTGTCGCGTTCGCCGAATCAATTTATTACCTCCGAAGACAAGCCGACCGCACTGCACAACTACGCAGTCGAAAAAGCCGTCAAAATCATTTACATATCAGTGCCAAGGCACAGACACAGTCATCCGCTCCGCCAACTTCTCCCGCAGCAGCAAATTACATTCCCGTGCGCGGCGGGCTCAGATCGGCATCATACCGAGGCTTCTTCCCGAGGCTGCAATTCTGCAGTCGAAATCCAGAAACTCGGAAACATTCCATGAACCACGGCTAAATGGCAAGTGACACCTCCAATTAGCGATAGTGGCAGATATCTCTTAATACGAAGCCACTCGCCTTGGTGAGCAGCCCACTTTCAGCTTCGCTCCTTACGTCCTCGGTCCAGTTTAACCAGTTGTCTAAAAATGACCATTCGAAGCGTTGGCGTCGAATCTAATTCTGGAGGGTATTCAATGGAGGGAGCTACTTCTGCAAAAACCCTTCCATATGTCATGGACAACGCAAATTCCTCGCTGGACAGACCCGGTTTCGACCAACTGCCTCTGCAGCCTCACCATCCCAAAGGGTCTGCGTGGGGGCTTTGGGGTACCGATGATGAGCGTGGGACCTTGAATCTTCTGACGGAGCAAGTCGTGTGAGATGCAAGTGTGGAGGTTAAATCTGGCAAGGTGGTTAACCTGAAGTAAGCAGCCCTTGAGTTGCTCGAGGTTCAACTCTCTTAACTATGTGGCTTAGTTTACCTCTGAATGTGCCTCTGAGGCCGATGAACCCACGACGCAAGGAGTGTGTGCATTCGATCATTGCAAAAGGTCATGCGAACGACGATGAAGTACGAAGAGCCCCTTTCCTCAAGTAATGACATTTAAATCGCTAACCCAAAGGTCAGATTGATTTCAACACGCAAAGCTCAAGCCATTGGGATGGATTACGCCACTACCCATACTCGGAAACAAAGCTTTACTACAACGGTGTCACAAGATGACATCTCTGGAGCTAAAGCAAATTCGAAGATCGGAATACAAAGTATGTCGAAGTGGACTTTGACCCAATTGTCAGATCCTGCATATTCATGATTGACAGACCTGGCTTCAAAGCCAATAATTTCGCGCGGAGTACTGCTTGATTGGTATTCATACGCACAAAGAGAGAAGATGCCTCATACCCCATTCAAAAACCAGGCCATTCCTCTCTCCCACCTGCTCCAAGTCGCCAAAGAAGAGGGTGTGACCTTCCGTCAAGGAGATATCCTACTCATCCGTACAGGATGGACAGCAGCATACCATCAGTTAACTGACGACGAAAAAGAGAATCTTGGGGGTAGAGATGATCGCGCGTCGTGTGGAGTGGAAGTAACCGAGGAAAGTCTTCGTTGGCATTGGGAGAATTGTTTTGCTGCCGTCGCGAGTGACACGGTCGCCTACGAAGCATGGCCATCTCCCAAATCTTGGGGCGTGAGTATGCATGAGGTATGTGGTCCTTTTGATTTTCTGATATACGTTGCATCAGCTAATTTGCGATTGCAGGCAGGTTTTTCTTAGCGGATGGGGAATGCCGATCGGCGAATGCTGGGATCTTGAGAAATTGAGTCAGACTTGCAAGGAACTGGGGCGCTGGACGTTCATGCTGACCAGTCAGCCCTTGTACGTGCCTGGGGGTGTTGCAAGTCCGGCTAACGCGACTGCAATTTTCTAGATCTAGCCCACGATGACCAATTATAATCCACGGCGAAGCCTTCTCAGAATCAGTTCCAGTTGTTTATCTAACTCGTCCATGCATATTTTCCTCCAATGAAAGTGCGGTGTTTCAAGTGTGCGGAGGTGGTACTCTGGAAGTAGATGATGATGTCAAGATTGGATCCACATACGGCCTTCCCAAGTTCAGCCCACGCAGCCAGTGGCAACCCAACTTCTAATTATTTGCTCCAGAAAGAAACAAAATCTCAAGTTACTTTTGATTCTATCGCCAGAATCTAAGCAGATATGTTCTCACATATAACATTCAGACAAGCCGTCCGTCCGGCGCTGATCCAACGACTTCCTATCGTCGCGCCACGGAAATGGCTTACGACCGAGCAAAAGCAGATCGTGAAATCGACCATTCCCGCACTAGAGCAGCACGGTGTAGCAATCACCACGCTCTTCTACAAGCGCATGCTTGAGGCTCATCCTGAATTAAAGAGCATCTTCAACACCGCACATCAAGCAACAGGCGAGCAGCCGGCCGCTCTAGCCCATGCCGTGTGGGCATATGCTGTGAACATCGACCATCCTGAGGCACTGAGTGCAGCCGTCTCTCGCATTGGACACAAGCATGCCAGCCTGGGAGTCACTGCCGACCAGTACCCGATTGTTGGCGAGCATCTCCTCGCGGCAATCAAGGAGGTCCTTGGGCCGGCCGTCAATGCACATGTCGTTGATGCTTGGGGTGCGGCGTACCAGGAACTGGCTGATATATTCATCAATTTTGAGAGCAATCTTTACGAGAAGAACTCGAAGGCTCCCGGTGGTTGGAAGGGCTGGCGAAAATTTTTCATCTCGAAAAAGGTGTCGGAAAGCGACGAGATCATCTCCTTCCGTCTTACCCCTGTCGACAAAGATGTGCTTCCATCCTACCAGCCCGGTCAATTCGTAAGTGTGCGATGCTATGTCCCCGAGTTGGGTTCATACCAGCCGCGGCAGTATAGTCTATCGGATTCCCCGAGTGGAGATCATTTCCGGATCTCGGTGAAAAGGGAGTTCGCCAGTGGCCCGAGACCTGCAGGTCGCATTTCGAATGTTCTTCACGAGTCTCTTCCTGTTGACGCGGAGTTGGACTTGAGCATGCCGTTTGGAGATTTTGTTCTTGATGTCAACGCGACCACGCCAGTTGTATTAATTAGCGGTGGTGTGGGATTGACACCGATGATGTCGATGCTGAAGACTATCATCCATCAACAAGGCAACGTGCGACAAGTTGTATTCATCCACGCTGCGCGGAATGGTCGTGTCCATGCGATGAAACAAGATCTTACTCGCATCGTTTCTGAGAACCCGTCTGTGAAACGGATAGTGTTTTACGAAGAGACGACAGACCGCGATAAGCAGGGCGTTGACTATGATCATACCGGTCGTGTCGACCTGGCCAAGATTCAGAAGGAAGCTGTCATTCCCGAGGCAGATTACTATATCTGTGGACCCCAGCCATTCATGAAAGCGCAAAGCAATAGTCTTGAAAGAATGGGTGTGTCACCAGAGCGAATTCACATGGAGGTTTTCGGCTCTCCTTCTGATTGAATACATAATATCTATGTAAGGTTTTAGAACGTTAGAATACTATGAAATTACGCTAGTCAGATCCCAAACGCATTTCGATTCCCCGGCTATATATGATGTAGCCTAGGGCGAGTAACACTCATACAAAGAGACTGATATCGACAAAATCATCACCAAGGAGATTATGAATGCTGATGAGCAAACGAAAACCCGGCATGTAAGTCTCGATTCCGTACTACCAAGCCCTCTTTGGCAGTGAGAAGAGATGTTGCCTGGGTAATCATCTGGGACAATTTGACAATGTCGTCAAGACTAATGACCTCCTGCTTCTTCTTCCAGCCCAAGTCAGTCGGCAATCGCTCGTTTTCTAGATCCGTCATTAGTTCAAGCTCTGCTGCAGCACCGATGGGATGCTTTGACCTACCAAAAAAATACTCCACAAGTGTACGATTGACAAGACCAGAATCCATGTTTCCAAAAGCAACAATAGGAGCAGAGACTTCTCCAATGCTGAATGCCTCCGTTTTTGATGTAAACGTATATTGGGGGTTAGAGGCACGAGAGTTGATTTGGCGCGCGAGTTTGCTGTTTGCAAGCATGTTGGGCGTTAGGATGGGATCGGTCCAGTAGGCGCGTGTCTCGTCAAAGATGGTCCTGTTGAAGATATGGTTGTTTCCGAAGTATGCGTCCGAACGACTGTTTGCGTTATTAATAGCCTTGTAGGAGACTTGGTTTTTGATGCCAGGCTTACCTGAGACTGGCATCGTGTTCGAGGACATTGTGCCGATTCAGATGATCCCTATCCTCTTGTTAGCAAAACCTTCCGCGTCATAAAGGGCTTTAGTGGGCTGTTTACAGCGTGAAAAATGTAGCGTTGGGCTCTGGATTGGCAACAATGGCCATTTCAAACATCAAACTTCCAAGGGAAGTATTGAAGTTCAATGCAGATTTCAACGCCTGGACCACTGTCTTCTCGGTGAGGTTTTTGCCATCATGAGGTAGGAAGCCGTGGTTTGCGAGAGTATTCATCATGGGACAGGGTCCGCGGACTTTGTCAAGACATTAGACATGCACAAGAGGGCCGGCATTGGTTGTATCTTACAATCACCAGGCCCGGGTGGCTTCCAGTGAGAGGGCGAGCCATGACCGTCGTGGTAATGAGCGAATGCCAAAGGCAGGGCGAGGATAACCGACAGATATGAGGACCACATCATCAAGCCTAGTTAACGTTCCAGTTCAGTATGTAATTTGAAAAATAAAAAGATGAACTGGGGAAGAAGATGGATAAATAGCAATCGATCGATTTCCGATATCCGGTGGAACACGGACCTTAAGTAGCTTCCTCATAGATTGACTCGTGACCAGGCGGTCATATATCAAAGACCCAATTCGCTATAGTATATGGAAACATGTCATATTCGTGAGGCCCTGCTGTTTCATGAGGGTGAGATTTCATCTCGGCATCGTATTCGGGTTCATAACTCTATCGGATGACACTGAATAACCGTAGGTCCAATCAAACACCGGGCATTCGAGAAGCTCAATCGCCATTGGCGGTTCATCTGAGTAGCTGTGGCACTTGTGTTGGCCACAGAAGGCCCGTTGTAGTAGACCTATACGAGTACGAACCAGTCGTCGATTTCCCGAGGTGTGGGCCGTGCCTTGTGTCTTTTGGTTCCATGCTATAGAATGCAGCATAAATATAATGACTGGCTCTTATGCCTGGAATGCCCTCAGTCAGGTCCATTGAGAATTTGGTGGACATTAACCGCAGAACGTTTTGGTGGTTGTGACGACACTCCGAAATGGGAAATTGTCCTTTTGTCAATGCCGCCTTGTCTCCGTGGTTCTGACTGTGGGGTCGGTGGAAGTGGAAGAACCATGAAAGAGAAGAGACAACGCAGCAAACAGAGCTCGCATCTTATTTCAACATTCGATAGAGTAGTATTGTTCTTGGGTATCCCTCGGTGCACATCCTACTTTCAAGCGTTCACCAGGGGTCTTTGCCTGAGTCTGCCTGAGGTAGAGTATGGTGTGGCAGTAACTAACTATCACAGACCATGGCAAATCCAATCTAGAGTGCCAATAGGAGGGCGAGCTGGGTAAAGGAATGGTCTCCATTATTGTCAGTGCGTAGTTGAGTTGTCAGTCAGGGGGTTTTCTCGAAGGATGATCTGCAGCCAGGCTGCCGGTCAACTCGGAGACCATCACCAGCCGTGATCTCATTTGGCCACAGCCTTACCCTGGTCGACTCGAGCTGCTAGATATAATTAGCCTTCCCCAGACATGCTGCCTAAAACGCCCCTAGTGTCATCGTGAAGCAAGCCACCGAAAGTGGTGCCGAAGATCGCCGGGGAAATCGTCTCCTTGCGTGGCCGTGGCGGAGTCCCGGGACACGAGGGTCAATCCCACCAAATATAATCGGGTTGGCCTATCAGGCGATGATAATTTTTTTGGGTGGATGCGTCATGGCGGGCGAACTCCACCAGGCAGATCGATGGATTGGGAAGGGCGTGATGCACATCGGGCCCGGCGCCCACTGGACCGGCCGGGCTTGGCTTGGGGCCGCGAAAAGTCACGCGTCGTCAGAGGCTCAGCCTCGCCGACGTCACGATAAATCTCACCAAGTCCCCGACGGCCACGCTCGAAGGCGCCCAACATTGCGGTCTTCCAGCACTCGCAGACTCGACAACATCATGTGTTCGTCCTCGCAGTCCTCGATGAACACCATCCGCAAGGTGCAAGTGGTAGTCGCGTTTTGCGCCTGGCCATGTGCCCTCGCGACCGTTCTCAAGAGCCACAAATCCCCTGAGAGCGTGTTCCAGCTCATTGTCGTACGTATCCGCATGTTCCGGTTTGTCGGGGTTGAATTTGAATTCGAAATATGCTCACCGACTGTTGCGACAGCTCTCCTTTTCGTTCCTTGCGGAGCTCGGCATTCTCTTCGCAAAGCAAACCTCCCGGAAACCGCAGGCCGTTCACCCCCCGAGAGAAATCCTGATAGATACCGCAGTGGGCTCGATCTTGCTTGCGACTTTCATTGGTGGCATGGTGATCCTTGCCAATCGGGAAATCAGAGAATGGGGATATACATACAGGCTGGCCAGGGGAATTCCCGAAATTTATTCCAATCTGGCCTGCCTCGTTCTGGGGTATGAAAAACTCCGAGGGAACCACGTACTGGAAGACAAAATATGCAGGACTAACTTTTGCATTCTAGATTATTGCACTTCCACAACATCGGCAAGACAATGTTCTACCGCTACGCCCTCCCCAGGATCAAGAACCACCTCGGAGCGACCTATTTCATGTGCCCGGCGTGCGCACGCTCGGCCCACTCCAACGCGATGGGCGATCTAGACTGGAGAGACAGCCAGGATCAACAGCGCACGACTTTCATGCAAGACCTGCACGGGATATACTCGGATAATGAAGTGGAGTATCGGCCATTGCTGCGGGAGGACCGCCGAAGCGAAGAGGATAAGCAGGAAAATGGTACCATCAACATTCACGACCGCTCCTCGCATGAGGTGTAAAAAGAAGAATACTTTGCAAATACAGAATTGATATCAGCTGGCTCTGACACACCATATTTTGGGCCCAAATCAGTGGATTCTAAGCCACACTGATCGTGACGATGCAATGACACGGCGCAACGGTAGATCATTCTCGATTATGAACCCCGCTATTTAGGCAATCATATATACTACCATATGACTCTAGATGATGTACCGCGGACCGGCCTCTTGGCTTTCGGCAGACGACATATCAACCTGCTGCCCCAGCTGAACAGGCCCGTAGATGCGGTCTCGGCGTTTATTCTCGCGCAACAGTAGAAAGCTCAGCAGTGATGCCGCAGCAGCCGATAACAGTGCAAAAGCACAGCAGACCCATAAACCGGTCCGATAGGACGGGGCATCCGAGTCGGGAAACATGTTGGTGCCAAGCAGAGGGCCACACTGGCCAACCGTCATCATAATCCACAACCCACCAGCTTTCTTCGAGCCCGTCGAGTTCGTATTCGAGTTCCACACCAGCGCCACAGACGTGGTTACGAAGATAAGCACCACCAAGAAGGAGCCGAAGTAGCGAGGGCCGACGGTGTCGGTGGTGCCGAGCAGGATGAATCCGATGGCCGAAAGGATGGCAAATAACGCGCAGAAGGGCCCGCGCATGCGGTATTTGTCGGAAAGCACAGACACGGTAATGATGAGAATGAAACATAAGACGTAGGGCGGGGCTGTCACTCCATTCGACTGCACTTCAGTGAAGGAACCCATTTCGGAGACGATGGTTGGTAGGAAAAGTGGGAGTGCGGCGAAGCTGACATTGTTGCAGAAGTTCATCAATCTAGTACATGTTAAACTGGTAAGCAGGGTCAAATGGCACCAATCCCCCATTATCTGGCACGAATCCTCCTCCTGCATTGAAAAATTCCCAATCATGCCACGTAGTATCTACATCCATAGCCTGCGTCATCAAGCTCCCAATATTCTCATCGTGCATTTGATCCTGCGGACTCAATTGACCTTCTCGCCGAGGTTCCATGGCCTCGATAATCCCCGAGTGTGTTTGCAACTGAGGAGGTATAGCTTCCGCACTGTGATAGCTCTGACTAAGAGGACTCTTCAATTGGCCATAGGACGGACGGGTTGGAAGCGTTGACTTGTTGTGTGTTCGCTGGTAACTCGGCACTGGACCTCCATCGGGTGGCACCCGGATCTCAAGCTTACTTTGGACCTGAGTGCCAGTGTATGTAGGCATCGTCTTCGGTATCAACGTTCTCTCTTCTGGGCATGGAGTGAGATGTGACTTGATAATATCGGTACTCCTCTTTATTCCAGGTGTCTGTCGGGCTTCCGACTCCAGCATTTTGAGCGTGGTCGACAGTCGGTTGGACGCAGCGGCGGCTAACGCAGAGTCCTCATACTGCACCTGCTGAATATCGATCGTAGCGGCGGTGTACACGCAATAAGAGACAAGGTATGTCTGGTTTTGGAAGTTAAACGTGCTGCCATACAGGCGGAAAAAATCGTTTACTTTTGTCGCTGCCTCGGTGCAAACCTGCTGCGCTCGGATAGCCAGCGCGTGCTCTCGAAGTTTCTCGTTCCGTGACCATGCAAAAAAAGGTCGAAAGATCAGAATGAGCATTGTGTGGTATAGGATACTGCGCATGTATTAGAGACCGTTGTAATTGACATGGGGTTCTTTGATCCATGACGTACTTGAGACAGAAGATATGAGGCGGAGGACAACACGCTGACGAGGCCGATTGTTGAATCCGAAGTGGTTCGGGTAACGCTTGGTAGAAGGAGCGAAGCTTTGCCTCCAGCTCAAAGATATTCTGCAGTTTGAGATGCTGGATGCTTCACCTATAGACTTTGTCATAGGCCTCATCAATGATCTGCAAAGTTAGCTTTAGTGGACTCATCGAGGCGACGAGAACAGAGAACCAACCTTCGCTAACTTGCAGAAATGAATGAAGTTCAAGGTGTTCAATGATTCTGTCACTGGATAGGCACTTTCAGCCCCATGCAAGTAGACTGGCTTCCATTCGGTATCATTGTCGGAAGTGTCAACTATTATTCATTAGTTCCGTGAGTTTCTGTGCGCTTACGTTCTAGCTGTCGTGACTTCTATCACTTACATAGGCTGTCAGGAGAATATGGGAGGTCCGTTAATGATGGAGGACGGCCAAGGCAGAGACTTATTGATCTGATCACAAGTGTCAGCACCGGATTGCTCCGCATAATTCATTGCATACTTACTTATCCCACGCGTAGGCTGACAGATAAAGGCGTTTCCGCACTTCCAGATTGTCAGGCTCGAGCCCATCCAGCCCTTCCAGGTTTCCTCTATATAAGTGCAGACCAAGGTCCGTGAGCATTCGGAAGGCCTGTATGGTCAGCTCCTGCTCAGAGATTCAAACTTGCCGAAGATCACAAACCATTCCGGTATACAGCCAGCCCTCGCTGCTTTTCCCTGTTGCGCATTGACGGCCTGCAAGAATGAGTAATCCTTGTATGGTGCAAATCTTGGGCTTCTCTTGCTCCATTTCGATCAATAAAAGCTCTTTGGCCTTGCGCAGGAAATATTCTCCCTTTTCCAACTTGTTGAATCTGGTGTCCTCGTCTTTCGTGTGGCGCATTGCATGGGCAAAAATGACGTTCACCAGGAATGGAGAGCAATAAGGACCTCCGAGCGCTAAGTCTCGATAGAAACCTTTGTCTTTCTCATTAATTTTCCAATTGGGCCATGCACGGGTAACAACTAGTAGACTTACATCGACGATAGACGCAGTTATGCAAGGGCGCCTGCCATGTCCAGTATATCTGGAGAGGAGTGTCACAAACATCGAGAGGGACATCCGCATGATTATCCAAATTCTTGAGTGCCACGTTCTCAATTGATTCTTGGAATCGGACATTGGAAGCCAGCCACTTGCGGTGGTATTCTTCGGAAGCCTTGTGCTCTTGCTTCTCCGTGCCTGGCATTTTGATCAATCGGCTATTGCTCGAGTCGAGAGGATGAAATCGCGAGGTTGCCCCATAGTACTGCGAGGGAAGTCAGGCCCTCTTCTCAACATTATCTCCACGTTTCGGAAAGACTCCGAGAGACACGGAAATATTGATACATGCGGTACTCACCTTGCCATGTTCGCCCACACTGAAACCAGCGGGGCATCCATAGGGAAGGTCCTCGCTCTCAGGATCTCGGTCGGTATCATACGACTGCGACAGCTCCGTCATCTGGCCGGGCGACCTTTCCACGACGTTCAAATCGTCGAAATCGCGCACGATCTCGGACAGTCGGCGGTCCCGCTCCTCATGGTCGAGACTCGCCAGATCGCGCAGCTGCGCCTCCAGGTCATCCACGCGCTTCTTAGATACCTGCAGCTGCTGCACCAGGTGAGTGTTGTAGCCGGGGCTCTCCCTGTAGCTGCAGATCTCCTTTGCCTTGACACAGTTCGCGCAATTCGGCTTCTTTCCGTCGCATTTGATCTTCCACCGGCGACACATCAAGCACGCAAACCCATACCGCCGCGGGGGCGCCTGGTTCGTCGAGGGGTTCATCATCCACACATCGCCCCAGTGCGAAAGCTCTTGTTTAGCGGAAAGGGACTCCCGCCAAGCGCTGCGTGCAAGCCCTTTTGCGGGGTCAAAGCTTATTCCTTGGGGAGTAAAGGCTTAGTCAGGGCTTCTGTCTAGATCTACGGGTGTTCACGGGCATTGCGACATTAATCGGACAGTGATTGACTCGATTGACCCTTGGCTGCTTTCCAATTCGAATGCAGCAAGTATAGGAACATTCAACCCCTGGTTACCCCAAAGTCAATTGGCCTTACCCGCCTTCAATCTGGGGTGGACACGAGGCTTGGCTCCACTCGGCTGGAGCCTCGGCAGTGGACCAGTCAGCTCGCACTTGCTGTATTTTGAACATGATTCGGGCCAGATTTGTCGAACAGAGAGGAACGTGTGGTTAATTCTCAGAGAGTGACAGACAGACAAGTTCTCATCTCAAATTCATCACGGTTGTCTATCTAGTATGACTGGTCGGTGGGAAAGAGTCCCAGTGGGTCCAGCATCATCCCGTCCTCTGCGATCCACGAAGATCCAATTTTTCCTAGTAAATCCCTGGAAATCTCTGGGAAGCCAGACATGACGGTACTCGAATCAGTGGAGGCACCTGCAGATCCGTCAAAAGGGATAGGACCATCCGCACTCAAAGGGTTGTTAGCAAACAAAGTATTTCCGATGGCTGAAATGTCTAAGTCCGTGTCCGTAGCGAGACTCTGGAGATATTCCGGAGTCAATTCCGGTGCTGCAAGAACCTGCACCGCAGCACTTGTGGCTGACCGAGCTGCTGGCGTCACTGGATGTTGTGGGTTGTTCCTCGAGCACTTGCCAGCGGACAGATCACTATGGAATTGCTGAACCAGTATCTCGGCTTGCGTGGCACATCTCCGCTTAAAATGGGCAGTCTCCCTCGAGGATGTGGAGTATTTTGCCATCAGATCAAACGAATCGATGGCGGTCTGGATACACTTGCGGGCTCCAGGCGAAGGAGCGCATATTGGATTCGCAAGAATGAACCCCAGAATACAGAGAGCGGCATCCCACTGGTACTGGACGATACTGGGCCAGCCGCGCAGCAGGTCAGTGTCTTTCAGAACTTGATGAATGATATTGGTCAAGGCGGTAGCGTGGTTGAGACAATTTATGCTGTGACAGTCAGACAGCGGGGTGAGGGACGAGGAGCCAGGTGGAAAACGCAAGAACGAGCGAAAGCTTGATAGTTGCAAGTGGCGGTATAGTATCTCAAGTAAGATTCTCTGTCGTTGCAACCAAAGTGGGCTAAAGGTATCAAGTTTCGAATACGCTCGTTGGATGTGTTCAGAGCCCTGAGGGAGACCAGATTGTGAGCGATAGGGCCCAGAACAAGTGGAGGGTTGATCACTGTCAGGTCAAAGACGGCTTTTCATCATCGATAAAGTCCCAGGCTGCTCGCTCGGCAAATGTTTTGCTGGCTCGATAGGCGTTGGCCGGGTTCTCGTTCGCTTGCTTTGCGGTGATGGGGCACCAGTCCGCCTGTGTGTCTGTTTAGCGATCATCTTGGAAAGTCCATTGAATTGCTTGCCTTCGTACCTCAGAGTAGACTTTTCCCTCGGCCTTTGCGTAAACATTGTTGATTGCAGCAAAAGAAGATGTGACTACGACACGCTTGATCGTCAGGCGTACTTTTGCACCGATCGGAGTATTCCGGTGGTTCCAATGATGGCTGTATCAAACTCCATCAGTCACTATCTACCTTATCAAAATCTGACTCCTTGATTTACATACCGGGATCTAGGATTTCCTTCGCGTCCTTAGCATGAAAATGGTAGCCTCAAATGGTGGCTCAGAAACGACCACCTCATCGAATGCTAAATGTAAATGCTAAACGTCAGTTTCAAGTTAATTGATTGCAAGGGCTTTCCCCTTACCATTGTCCTGTGCCATGTCTGCGACAATAGCACAATCAAGCCTGTTCTTTGATAGCTCTGGATGTGCTTGTAGGATTGCCTGTGCCTTTTGCTGGGATCGCACAGTCGTCACGACCGAATGACCACGCGCGAGCAAACTCTCAAGGCCATGAGTAGCGATGAAGCCACTGCCGCCTATGATTAGTATCGTTAGATGGTGTTTTGAACTATATAATTTCCATCGGACTAACCTGTAAGAAGAACACGAGCCATTGTGTTTGTTGAGAGCGGGTCGTTGTTACCTGCTTGGTACTTGGTATTTGGAGATGAGCTTCGAAATTGCTTTTGAAATGCACTTGAGGATTCTCTTTGTATGATGAAGCAAACAAGATGTCGGGTCGTTTAAATAGGAACCGCTATCTGCACATCAAAGCGTATCCAATTTCAGATCTCCCAAAAGTCGGCTGAATCGGCGTTATCCCTAAGCCCGCAGGATGATCACCTTAAGGAGCTGCATGCTCAGAAGTTCCGAGAGAAAATCACCCTTTCGGGGTTATGCGTGTTATCCAAATTCGACTGCTCCTTTGAGAACTCCGAGAGCTCTGATTGCTCCTTTTTTGGGGATAGTGCTGTACCTAGAGTGCATGAGTAAGCAAGGCGACGCCAAGGTAGTATCAAGTCCAGTCAAAGCTTAGGGGCTACCCAGAAGCATCGGCTCGGTGATAATCCACTTGTCGAAAGTCGACGACTTCCTGTGGTCAAACACTACTATGAAGGTGCATACCGCGCCCGCAGTCTCGTCTAAAGCGAACCGTCAGTAAACGGCCGTACATCATACAACAAAACCCCGATACTGCTTTCTACCTAGGGTTATATGTTACATGTGAATCTGCAATAAGCTCATAGAATTAAGTGGATTATGGGTAATCGTAACCTACACTACACTGTAACAAGTGACACATGGGACAAGATGTCGAGACACAAAATTCCATCCCTTGAGAACGTTCAATGACGAAAAATGAATCCAGACCAAATCGGTGACGCAACATGATGTGGGAAAGGCAAGGAAATAAGGGGAAGAAAGAATGTACACGACGCTGGGCGAGAGAACTTGACCGGAGGGATGCGGGTGCCGCCTAGTCCCGTTCATATCGCAGGTGGAGAAAAGAGAATTGGTCATCAAAGGAAAGGCATCGTGGAAAACAGAGATATGTGTGGATGATATGTGCAATGTAAGAGACATCAGATTTAGGTCTTCGAGGTCAGGAAGTCGGCCGCCTGTAATCAAGTTAGTCTTGGGGACCTTACTAGCTGGTGCAAAATTCGGTAAACGTACCTTGTCAAGGTTATAGTCAAACTTCTCCAAGGCAGAGAGGGACTCCTCTCGGGGGAAGCCCATGCCCGTCAGGCGCTGAAGGATCTGGTCATCCTCACCAGAATCGGTGTTGAGGGCCCAGCCAGGTGTCTTAGGGTCCGATCCGTTAGCGGTTTCATCGGTCACGGGCTTAGCATTGTCAAGGGGTGCAAAAAGGGCATCCCAGTCGTGGCCAGTAGCTTGAGAGCTACCGCCATTGGGAGATCCAACTGCATGGGTGGTCGATGATTGAGCATTGTTGTCAAAAGAGAAGAAATCGGAGGAGCCAGGCTGGCCAGCATCAGTGCTGGATGAAGCTCCGTGCTTCTGAGCCGGTGAGTCGAAGGAGAAGTCGAAATCGGTGGCATTCTTAGTGTCATGACCCGCAGGCTCATCATCATCGTCATCCTCAGCCTCCTTGGCAGGAGCAAGGTTAAGTCCAGCGAAGGCTGCCTCAAAATCGGGACCGCTAGTCTTTGCACCTCCCACGGTAGCATCCTGAGAGTCACGCTGGGGCTCGTTGCCAATCATAGGTGCTCCGGTTCCCGTTTCGACGGAGTGGGGAGCGTCAGGAGCTACAGTAGGATCCGCCCGGTCGGGAAGCAGTCCGCTGTACTCGGGAACATGGCCGGCGTCGTCGTTGGTAGTGCTGGTCTCATAATGCGGAGGACTTTGTTGTGAGTCAGCGGCTGGGGGCTGGGTCGCAGGCTGAGCTGTTCCCGGCGCAGGAAAGGCTGCGAGCTGGGCTGCATCGATGGAATCGGTTCGCTTTTCTTCTTTGGTGACATTTGGTGAAACAGGGGTGAAGTTATCGTCAAATCCCAGAGGACCCTCATCATCCGAGCTCTCATCGTCATCTTCATCGTGGTGAAGCTCTTGGATAGGAGGGAATTCCGACTGTGCAGCTGCTGCACCGTTCGCCTTGTCTCCGTCAGTTGAAGGTTTCATGGAAGCAAAGGCCTCCTCGAAATCGTTCGCATTCTGCGACTCGGACCGCTTGTGAGCCTTGCTACCAAAAAGTTCGTCAAAGGAAGGGTCCTTGTTCGGCTCTTGGTTTCCAGTGGGGTTTGGAGAGATGGCAGGTGCGGTTGGTCCAGTGGCAGAAGTAGCGGCCACCGCAGGCGAGGGGATTTCGTCAAATGGAGAACGTGCTGGTGTTTCACCCACAGCAGAAGTAGGACCACGGCTGTAATCACTAGACTCCGCAATGGACGGAGCCCCCTGATCACTCACGGTAGCCTGTGAGGGAGTGGCCACACCGGTAGTATCAGGTCCACCAAATCGGCTGCCCGGGGGAGAAACCACGGTAGAGGATGTCACGGACTGATTCTCATTGAAGGGCAGGAAGTTTGGGGTCATCTGTCGAGACTGTGGCGGAGGAGGAGGCTCGTTTCCCGAAGGGAAAGCGCCAGGAAGGCTGCCAGGGCCAGGAGACACAGATGGAGTCGGGACATTGGATGTCACAGGAGACTTTGCCGTAGCCAGAGGCGACTCCGAACGGAATGAAGTAGGAGGGGGGCCGGCAGCCGAAGCAGCGGCAGACTGACCGAAGAGGCTATCAAACATCTTCTGGTGGTCGTTGGAATTGTCCGGAGAAGGACCACGTTCAATCGAACTACCGGTGGCTGTTCGTCGGAAGAAAGGGTTGGTGTTCTGGCTGGTGGTAGAGGCAGCAGGGCTGGCAACCTCACTTGCGCCCACGGGTGTCGGTTCCTCGTTATCAAGAGCAGCCTCCTTGGACACAGTGTCAATCTCGCCCTGAATCTTATCGCGCTCTCCCTCGACTGTAGCCAGCTGCTTTTTGTTGATTGCTACTAGGCCTTTTTGCTGGCGAGCGTCGAGACGCGCCTTCTCCAAGGCAGGCTTAAGTTGAGCAACCTCCGCATTGGCTTGGCGAATCTTTTCCTTCAAACTGGTGTTCTCCTGCTGATCCGAAGCCAAGGCAGTCGCAACTTGAGTGTATTGGTTCTGCAGGTCCTGGCGACTGGCCTCGACCAAAGCGTAGTCCTGCTGCAGCTTAGTGGTCTCGGCCTTGGAGACTCGGAGCCGCTCTTCGAGGGCCTTGAAATTGGTCACTTCTTGCTCGTACATGGTACGCAATTGGGCAAGGCGGCTTTCAAAATCCCGCTTTTGCTGGGAAGTTTGAGTGATGTCCTGCTCCGCCGAAGTGCGCTTCTCCTGTACATTATGCATCTCCTTGGCCAAGGAACCAATCTGGTTGGACAAGTTGGCAAGTTCCGTTGTCTCATTGGTAAGCTTCTTCGATTCCTCGGGATCATTGTCTCCCAGCAAATCATCCGATGGGGGAGGAGGTGAACGAGCGGTTGTGGGTGTGCCAGCCGAAGCTCCTGTCTGTTGGGGTTGTAGGCTCTGGCCGAATGTTGATGTCGGAATGAATGGTTTGAATGTGGTCGACGCACCCTGTGAAGAGGTACGAGAAGTAGGTGATCCAGGAGCTTGAAAGGGGACGTTAGAACCACCCGTAGACTGCGCGACTTGCGGCTGAGTTGGAGGTGGGGGTGAATCAAGACCGAACAAGTCATCGGCAGCGGATCGAGGAAGGATTGCCGGTGCAGGGGGTGCAGGTGCCATGGCCGGTGCGGGAGGAGCACCGACTCCAGGCATTGGGGCCTGTCGACGCATGTTGGGCGGAATCAGGGCCGGAGGAAGAGTCTGAGGCAGAGGCTCCTTTCCACTGCGCTGCAATCTCACGAGGTACATAGCTACGGCAAACTCCTCCCGAGTGAGTTGACCATCAGCGTCAATATCAGCGAGATCCCAGATCTGCGCAAGAACCTCCTCAGAAAGCTGGGCCTTCATGAAGAAAGCCACGGCTTGGTCACCAGTGATCACGCCCGCTCGAGCAGTATCCACGGTCTCAAAGATGCTATCGAAATGCGCTTTCTCCTGAGGGTTAATCAGCCAGTCGCCAGTCGACTGAGCTGAAAGAGGAGTTCCAAACTGAGTTCGGCTGGCAGGGCTCATGGGGCTCGAAGTCCGCTGGGGACCGGTGAATTGCTTAGGGATTGCAGGTACAGGGGGCACCTCCGGGCGCGCTCCGAATGATCCCCGTCCAGATCCTCGGCGAGCTGCAGCATCGTATAGACCAGGAGGCAGTGTCTGGGGGATGCCACGGAGCGCACCAGACTTGAATGAAGTCAGAAGGTGCATGGCAATGATGAATTCCGTCGCATCAAGAGCTCCGCGCTGCTGGGTATCAGAGAGATTCCATATCCGGCCCAAGGTCTCGTTGGGCAATCTGGCCCGCTCGAAAATCTGTTTGGCAATCTCGCCGGAGAGTATGCCGTTCGCGACACCTGATTTCTCGAAGAGGGAGAGGAACTTGTTTGCGTCATCAGGCTGGAGGGGAGGCACTCGAATGGGCCCCCCGCACTCGGGGGAGGACTCTGTGAGGACTCTGGAACGGGAGCATTTGCATCGACATGGATACCATCGAATCGGGGAAGTGGGCCGGCTGTAATCATAATATAGTCGGTCAGCACATGTCCGCCTGGTCACTTCGACAGCAACAAGAGCACAGAACGGCTATCGATATCACTTACGCTGTAGAGCCAGCTCCTCGGATGGCACACGACCAGCTTGCGCATGTCCGATCAATCGTAGTACGATTCCGAATCCAGATGGGGTCAAGAGACCTCTGTTCTCTTTATCCGCAAGCTGCCAGATCTGGAAAGGTGTCAGCTCTTGTAACTTCACACTGCGAACCGTATACATCCAACATACCTCGCCCAATGTGCCAGATGGCAAGTGTGTCTTTTCGAAAAAGGGGACCGCGATTTCGCCGGTAATAACACCAAGGTTCGTGGTATCCGCTGCTTGGAACAACTGGTAGAAGACGCGCTTTTCCTCGGGAGTGAGGTTTAGGTTTGGGTGCCGTTGGGCTATAATCCTCGCAAAGAATCTCGTCAGTTATGTTTCTTGTTTCAGGCCAGAATCGCGAGTTGGAAGTCGGGACTTCGGGAGAGGGGAAGGGGGGCCGCCGGAGCTCGGCGGGCCCTCCTGAATTGCGCCGGAGCTTCTCTAGCGATGGTCTGAGTCGAGAGGGGAGAGAAATAACAGGATACTCACGTTGATCGGCCATGGCTGTGTGTTATGTAGGAGTGAGACCCCTCTCCTTCCAGATGATTTTCCGAATCGTTGGGGCCTTAGGAGACCAGTTGGATAAACGGGGCGGCCGTCAGCTTTAGCCGGAGGCCACGGGCATGGACTTTTGCCAGCGCAGGATGTGAGAAGAAGCGATGCCGATATTAGCGATCGGCTCTCGGGTACCAGACAACAGAATGGCTTTGGTGGTGAAATGGGGGGGGGAAAGTGTAGAGTGGCTGGAGTGTCAGTGGATGTCGTAGGGAACGTCCCCCCAAGGCGGTCAGTTGGTTTAGCGCCCATTCCATGCTCCGCCAGGGTCTCGGATGCATGTCCGCGTATGTTCGGGGCGGAATTAGTCAATTTTAGTCTTAGTTATTCCCGCGGTGCAATTGTAGGGTTCTTGTTTACGACATCTCGACCAAGGGAGTGGTGGGCGATTGGAAGACGTAAAATCAACTTGAGGTTTACATGCAGCAGGAGCCTCGTGCAGCTTCCCGGGGTAAACATGGGGTTCAAGTTGTACCTACAGAAACAAGCTAAAAGAGGGTGGTTTTGGGGGGTAATTACAATTCGCATAGAGGAAAAATGAAACAGGTAGAACGAGCGGGAAAGTATCGCTGCTTCGGGGATATTAAAGACATATCGAAATCAAAGCCACAAAACATCATCGGGCTGAAACCAGTAAGTGAGTCCATTCTATTTGCAAGCCCAGTTTAGATACCGGAAATCTGAGCCGCCACAGTCGAGTTTGGTTCAAAAAGCAGCGCCATAAAACCAAAGAACGTCCACGACACGCTCACGAAATTTCCTTAATCTAGTACTCAGGCTCCAGCTCCTCCTCGTCCTCGAGGGAGTCGCTGGCGACCTCCTCGTAGTCGCGCTCCAGAGCAGCAAGGTCCTCACGAGCCTCAGAGAACTCACCCTCCTCCATACCCTCACCAACGTACCAGTGAACGAAGGCGCGCTTGGAGTACATGAGATCGAACTTGTGGTCGAGAGCGGACCAAGCCTCGGCGATGGCAGTGGTGTTGGACAGCATGCAGCTAGGAGGTATGTTAGTATATGGTGGGTGAATATCCACATGGAACTGGAAGGGTGAAACGTACACAGCGCGGCTGAGGTTGGCGAGGTCGCCGTTGGGGACCTGCTGGGGAGGCTGGTAGCAGATACCGAGCTTGAAGCCAGTGGGGCACCAGTCAACGAACTGGATGGTGCGCTTGGTCTTGAGGTTGGCGACAGCAGCGTGGGCATCTTTGGGCACAACATCACCACGGTACAGCAGGCAGGTGGCCATGTACTTGCCGTTGCGGGGGTCGCACTTGACCATCTGGTTGTTAGGCTCGAAGCAGTTGGAGGTGATCTCAGTGACGGAGTGGGCCTCGTGGGAAGCCTTGTCGGCGGAGATGACGGGCGAGTAGGCGACCAGAGGGAAGTGAATACGGGGATAGGGAACCAGGTTGGTCTGGAACTCGTTGAGATCGACGTTCAGGGAGCCATCGAAACGGAGCGAAGCAGTGATGGAGGAAACGACCTGGGCGATCAGACGGTTCAGGTTCTCGTAGCTGGGGCGCTCAATGCCGAGGTTGCGGCGGCAGATGTCGTAAATGGCCTCGTTGTCGACCATGAAGGAGCAGTCGGAGTGCTCCAGGGTGGTGTGAGTGGTCAGAATGGAGTTGTAGGGCTCAACGACAGAGGTGGCATTCTGGGGAGCAGGGTAGACGCAGAACTCGAGCTTGGACTTCTTGCCGTAGTCGACGGACAGACGCTCCATCAGGAGAGCACCGAAACCGGAACCAGTGCCACCACCGAAGGAGTGGAAGACCAAGAAACCCTGGAGACCGGCGCAGGAGTCGGCAACACGGCGAACCTTGTCGAGAACCTGATCGATCATCTCCTTACCAACGGTGTAGTGGCCACGGGCGTAGTTGTTGGAGGCATCCTCCTTTCCAGTGATCATCTGCTCGGGGTGGAAGAGCGAGCGGTAGGTACCGGTACGGACCTCATCGACGACGTTGGGCTCGAGATCGGCGTAGATGGTACGGGGAACGTAGCGGCCCTGGCCTATTAAGGTGGAGGGGAAAGAATGTTAGGGAGATCATTTCCACGAACATTTTTCGAGAAAGGTGGGGAAACAAAGACGTCTAGAATATTCAGAAGAAATTTACTCACCAGTCTCGGAGAAGAAAGTGCTGAAGCCGTGGTCGGGGTCGGCCTTCTTGCGCTCATCGGTGAGGTAACCATCGGGCTATTACTGTTGTTAGTCGCGGGTGTTTGCTTCCCGGGTAGAGGGAATAGGGGGTTCCGGTGCCCAAGTTCCAGGGATTGGGCGCCACAGAGTTGGAATTCCAACGTACCTGAATACCGTGCTCCAGGCAGTACAGCTATTGTGTGGGGTTCAATTAGTTTGGCTGTTCCTTGAGCTCACAATTGGGGATGGTTGGTGATATTTACCTCCCAGCAGGAGTTGGCGATCTGGCAACCGGCCTGACCGACTGTATCGAGACACAACATGTCAGCGCGTGATTTCTCTTTTGAAAAGCGAATACCATGAAAGCAGACAGCGGAATTCAGCACATACCGTTCAGGGAGATGATCTCGCGCATTGTGATAGACGAGTGTTTTCCGATTCGAAAAAAAGGAGGGGGAGAGGGACCCGACTGTAAACACGGGTCTGGGAGATTCAGGGGTCAGCTTGGAGGGGCAAAGGGAAGGTTTCTCAGGCACGACGACGGATCAAAGCAAGAGGGGGAGGGGAAGATTTGCAAGGGGGACGCACCAGGAATGGGAAGAATGGGGTCGAGGTCGAAGAGAGGCAGAGAAATGTTGTGGAGGAGGGCGTCTGTGCTGAGGGAGTTCGTTGTTGACTTGGGTCGCGTCGCTCCTGCTGATTGGCGGCCGCCCGCACAACACGCCGGCCCTTGACCGCCTGTTGTCACGTGTGTTCACGTGTTGTTTATTAGTAATGACGTCGATCAACAGATTCTCGGCAGTCGCAGCAACGACCAGGTACTATATTACCTAAGGTAGAGTCGTTAACAGTTGGGTATGCTTGACAGAAAGACCAGAGCAATTCAAAAAATTGAACATTAAATTGGGTTCTAGTGAGTCTGAAAATCTCGATTCCGTGCTGATCCCCCTCACCGCCAATGCGTCACCAGATCTACAGCCGCAGATATATCTCCACTGGTGCAGAGTGATCTCGAGCAAGCTAATCTCCGTCAGGACAAACCATACATCAAACACCGAGACATCTTACACCAAGCAAAGGCCAACGTCACCAATTGCATTACATCATCGACTATATCCCGGGGCTGTCGCAGCTCTACCAACCCAAACATGCACCCTTTCGTCCCTTGGAGCCTATTGCTCCCTTTTCTCACCAGCATCGCGCAGGCCAACGTGGAGAAAACCATTTTCCTTGGGCCCCCAGAATCAGCAGTTCCATCCGAGGAGCCAGATATCGACGATCTCGGTCTTGAGCGGCTCTCTCCTGAAACGCCCGTCGTGCGCACCTTGCTAAATTCCTCATTCCCAACCAACGACGCGCCAGATGGCACAGACTCATGGTTCTTCCTGGAGAATCTCACACCGGGACAGCGATACGAGGTACGAGTATGCTGGCTAGCAACTGTATGCATTCTCCTACTACCTTTCAAGTCACAGGGACACATAAGACTAACGGAAATACCATAGCAACCAACAACCTTTACACTTACTACCCACTCCCTACATAACACAATTGAGGATCCTTCCCTCTTCTCCTCTCTCAGCGTCTTTTCTACAGCCCGTCTCGCCACACTAGATGATAGGCTCCAAGCCAATGCCATCCCGCAACGCGCCGGAAAAAGCGCGCTTGATCCTTCGCCCAGCTTAGACTCCGTGCTTTTTCTGCGGGTGCGTGCGGTAGCTGACTATTTCACGATGAACGAAGAGTTGTTGGCGAAACCGCCGCCTGTGACCGTGGATTTGATTCTAGATCCCTTCCTTGGCAATGTATTCCCACGCTCGCTGGTGCCGACTGGGTTCTGGATCGTGGCGGTGGCCGTTGTGGCTTTCTTTGTGGCACGGTGGGTGAACAGGGAGCTTGGGAGGGTGATTGATGATGCCAGAAGGGAGGTGAAAGAGGAAAATAGGGAAGAAGGGAAGAAGAGAAAGTAAATGGATCAATTCTATGAGACTTTGTATGATAATTCAGGTGTACCAGTATGCTGGTGATGAATACACTGGTTATTTTGGATTGTATATAGCTACTGTCACCCGCACGAAACTCGTCGTCATGGACTGTGACCTAATCACATATGATCTGACTATATTTGACTGAATTCAGCAACAAATGACGGATTAAGATGATCATTATACCTCAAATTGGAAATCACACTGCATCTACTTGGAAGAACTACGCGATGAACAAAGTAAACGGACTCCAATAGCCGTTGATCATCAGCAATACATACATTAAATAAACCAACTGGCTCGACTAAGGATACATGTCGAGAGAGTACAGGATGGGGGAATACTGGAGAAAGCAAAAACCAATTGAGAGCTTTGTCCCAAGAGCGAAGCGACCTGAGAGGAAATCAAAAATGGAAACGCCAAAGCAAGCGCAAAAGAAAAGCCAAAACTAAGAGCACAACGTGACATGCCCCTTGCTCTACTCTATGTATATTTCAATGTCTTGACCACAAGCGCACTGAAAGGAGTAGTTTCCAATTGAAAGCCATTGATAAACCGTCATATATTACCACAATGTGCAGTCATAAAAAGAAAATTCGCATGTCGACTGTGCACTGAAGATTGGAGATTGGAGATTGTTCCACGCAAATAGATGGCTTAGTCTTCAAAGAAGTTCAAGATAGCCCGGATACCCTTAGATCCAAGTCCGTGGGCGGGATACGAGATATATAGAGGATCTTCGGTAGCACCCAGCTTGGCCCGGAACTCACTCTTGCGGACAAGGTGGAATTGCTTGGCGAGCGCCTCATAGGTGTGCTCCAGCATCTTGATCTTGGTGCCATGCATGTTGTGGCCTGGGATGAGCTGGGAGGTAGCACCAGCACCGAAAGTGAGACCCTTAACGCCACTCTTCGCGGCGGTTTGGATGGCCTCGGTGACGATGTATTCAATCACACCATTAGGCGAGCCCGGGAAGTCCAGACTATACTTGACCTGCATGCCATGGTCGGGTGAGAGCATGGCGAGGGCAACGAATGCACATACGGTACCGTTCCGGTCCAGTGCGTAGAAGTACCAGCGGTGCTCAGAGTCACACCACGGGCGAATCTCCGACAGGTGAACCTGAGTACCCTTGCGATTGGCCAGCCATTCGTGAATACGTTCATCAATATTCTTCCGCACATCCTCTGATGGCATCTCGCCTTGACTCAGGGACACCACCTTGATGCCTTCGGACTCAGCACGGCGCAGCTTACGGGCGATCTCGCCGTCCGATGCAGCCTTGTTGCGAGAGGGCTCCACCCGCTCCTCAGCAATACAAGACAAGCTGCGCCATCCAAGTCGCTCTCCAAGAATAGTCTCAATGTCAGGAGAGCAAAGAATCCAGACAGGCTTAAACTTGGTCTCACGACGCATCCACTGTAAGAATTGGGTAATGGTGCGCGTGTACTGAGAAGGATCGCAAGCGGGGTTACCGGGAATGATGGCATAGTTGTGGGTGCTGGGTACGTATGCGACGGCAGCGCCAGTGCTCATGTCACGCCAAATCTTGAATCGATCATCGAACCAAGAGGTCGAGGTGGCATCACCATAGTTAGCAACCAGCTTCTCCAACGGCTGTAGCTCACTGGTATCCATGGCCACCCGTCGGGAAGGCGTCTCGTGATGCCATGGCGGCTCAATAGTCGAGGCTTCAGGGTGGCGAAGCGTCTGTGCCGGAGCCTTTGCAGGTAGACTCTTGGGGTCGCGGTGGAAGAGCGAAGTGAGACGAATGTTGCCCACTTGGAGAAGAAGCATGAGCAAACGCTCCAGGCCAACACCGGCACCCGCATGGGGCGGAGCGCCCCAGCGGAATGCTTCCACATAATCCTCCATGTCATCAGGATTAATACCAACTCGGCGCATATTCTCCTCGAGCATATGTGGATCGTGTATGCGCTGGCCACCTGACACGATCTCCTGGCCACGAATGAACATGTCAAATGAATTCGTGTACTTGTCGTCCTCTGGATCCGGCATGGTGTAGAAGGGACGAGCGCCCCGAGGAAATTTGTCGAGGACATAGTAGTCGGTGTCGTATTTCTCCTTGACTAGTTGTCCTAGACGAATTTCATCGCGGGTCGCCAGATCCTCATCGAGGGGAAGCGGGTTACCATCCTCATCCCGCCAACCCGAGTCATTCAGCATTTGGATGCCGTCCGCGAAGCGGATGATAGGGGTTTTCTCCAACCATTTCACATCCTCCGAGGGGAATTGATGTTTGACCAGGTCGATTTCCTTGCGATGCTTGGTATAGATGCCGCTCAGAATATTCTTGATGACTGCATCCAGGGTCTCCAGCATCTCGTGATAGTGCTCTTCGATAGCCATTTCAATGTCCAGACCCGTGTACTCGGTCAAGTGACGATGAGTGTTGGAGTTTTCGGCCCGGAAGACAGCACCAATCTCGTAGACGCGACCAAAGTCCGCGGCGATTGCCATCTGCTTCGCAAGCTGAGGGGACTGGGCTAGGAAGGCAGGGCGACCGAAATAGTTGACCTGGAACACACTAGCTCCAGATTCCGTGGCAGCTCCCTGAAGCTTGGGAGTATGGATCTCGATGAACTCGCGCTCGTCGAGGGCGCTGCGGAATAGATTACAAGTTGCGGATTGAAGACGGAAGATGGACTGCGAGGTTGCTGTGCGCAGGTCAAGTAGACGGTTAGCCAGACGGGTACGATCGGGGATGTGGCTGCGACGGCCTTCGGCCTTGTCCTCCTCGTTCGTGCGGATCTCCGCCTCGTACACGCTAAATGGCACGGGCTCCTCGCGCCTCACAAGGAGATGCAGAGACTCAATCGAGAGCTCGACATTGTGAATGCTGCAGCCGAGGACGGGGACCTCAGGCTTCCGGATGGTACCACGGACGCGAACGAACGAACCCACGCGCAGGTGCTCTGCCCATTGAATCATCACCACAGATGAGACTCCAGCGCGCTCGTGGAGCACGCCCTGGAAGGTCTCTAGCTGCTGGCGGAAGACCAGGAAGACAAGCTTGGAGCTCAGCCGACGCACCACGTGCAGGCGGGCCGTGAAAAAAGACCTGCTGTCCCACCATGTCGGGAGTAATATGGTCCAGGCGGAGACGCTCCTCATGGAGTCGGTCCTGCGACTGCATCAGAGGAAGCTCACCATACCTGGCCTTCATCTCTGCTGTTTCCTCCTCTGCCGCCCTCGCAAGCTCCTCCTCCTTGCGGTGGTGCTCCGACTCGGAGAATTGCTCCTCACTGAGGCGGCTTCTCTCCGAGCGACGCTGCTGACGCACCAACCGCTTCTGTTGGTTCTTGCTGAGCGCGCCATTCGACGAGTCATCGGAGAAGTCTTCGGAGGAGGAGATATAGTCCTTTTCGCGGAGGAAATTGCCCAGGATGCTGCGGCGAGGGGAGGTTGGGGAGTGCCCATGGGACTCGCGCGAGGTGGAGGTGCGCGCCTTGGGCGACATAGTGGAACGAATCCCGATACCAGAGCCGGACGAATCGTCGTCACCGATATGGCCCTTGATCGCTTTGGAGAGGGCCCGTTTGATAGACATGTTGGGCAGGGGTCGAGGGTCCAACTGGGTGAAAGCGGGAGAAGAGTATAGGAAAGGAGGAGTGTTGATTATTGATTAATCTCGGGCGGGGAGGAGGGGCGGGAACCGCATGCAGCGATCGTTCCAGCTTGCCCGAACAATGCAAATGCAGGACTGGAGTGCCTCGGCCCAAAATTTTTCACGGTGGTAATGCCAAATGGTTTGAATTGCGAAATTGTCGGTCGACCAGGGATCCGACACATCCGCCCTCTGGTTTGAAGAAATAAGGAGAGAAAGTAGTTGCTCCCAGCATGACATCATGTGGGCTGCCCGGATTTCCCTCCAAAATGCTTGTTCAGCCCAGGGAGTCCGGTCATATTATTTTTGCCTAGGTTATTTCATTAGGACAAGACGCGAAGTCCTGATAAATATATATATATATATTAAATCGGATTTTAATTCTCTCATGACAATGGGTGCCTATGGTCATACCCCTCGTTGTGGCTGCCATATATTTTGTGGCGCGTGGAAAGGCCTCGGTATAGTCTAGACTTTCCTTGGTGCCTGAGCGCTGAGGTGTCGAGTCTTACGTAGGCCTTCGGAACACTTCAAGCAGGCACTCCCACCTGGTTCCTGGCCAGGAGAGCCAGTACTCTCTTCCCTCACTTTTTCAATTCTGCCATTCCTCTTCGATTCAAGTTTTGGTTGCGCATAATTCGCCTGGGGTGACTTGTCTCATCCGGTTGCCCGTTTTTGCCACCCTGCAATCCTTCCGAGTCCCTTATCCATCGGTTCTTCCCCCAAATTCTCCAGTTCACCTGCCGGCCTCCTCCGGACGCCGTCCTCCCGATTGACCGTTGATTACGAGATCTTGTCCGTGACTTTGCCGTTCGAAGAGAAGCAGCGAGAAGCTCTCTACCAAGATGGGCTCCCGTTGGTGGCTGCACGTCCAGGCCGTCTTCTGGCGGTTCCTGATGCGTATCGGCATGTTCCTGCACGACCTCACGCCCCCGCGCTGTCCGAGCCCATCTTTCACCCGCACCGTCGAGTCCGATGCGCATGGCCATCCCGTGGTCATCCATTTCTACGTTCCATCCGACTATCATGAAAAGCGGCGCCGCGGCCACAGATTCCCCATCCTGGTCAATTTCCATGGCGGCGGCTTTACCCTCGGATGCGCTACCGATGACTCCCGGTGGTCGACCATGGTCGTCAGCCAGGTCGGGGCGGTGGTCGCCAGTGTGAGCTACCGTCGGGCACCCGAGCACCCCTTTCCGGCCGCGGTGGATGATGGCGTCGACGCCCTACTCTATCTCGCAGGCCATGCAGCCGACCTAGGCCTGGATGCCAGCCGTATAGCGCTGAGCGGGTTCTCAGCCGGCGGCAACTTGGCCGTGACGGTGCCGCTGCGTTTGCGAGATCGGCTGTCGACGGAGGTTAAGGAACACTTTGGTCGGGCTGACTCGACACAACGCCTTGTGGACCAAACCAACGATCTCAACATTGTGGCGCTGTTTTCCTGGTATCCTATTCTTGACTTTCTCGAATCTCGCGATCATCGCCGGGCGATGAGTCTGATGCCGGACAAAACCCTTCCTGCCTTCTTCACCACCCTCTTTGACGAATCTTACCTCCCCGATCTCAACGATCGGTCATCGGCCTTTGCATCGCCGGTCCGCGCCTCCGACCGTATTCTATTGGAGGCTCTGCCTCGCGACATTTTCCTATATATCTGTGAATGGGATATGCTCATGAAGGAAGGTCAAATCTTTGTCCGTCATTTGGAAGGTCTGGGCAAGCGTGTTCGTGCTATGATGATTGAAAAAGCTCGACACGCTTGGGACAAGTCGCCAAACCCATTTCGTGATCAGGACAGTGTCAACGTACTGTACCGCGATGCCTGTGCGGAGATGAAGGCAATCTTCGATCGGTAATTGACCATTTCCTTGTCTTTTCCCTTATTCTTTCCTTGGATATCATCATCACTGTATACAAAGCGTTGCTTATAGCACTGTGTATCCTGATTTGTGGCGTTTCACCGGGGCATTCATGGCGTTTCAACTCATCCATATACGAAATGCATCATCATCTTCTATCCGCGGGCTCGAGCGATATTGGTATTGTGAGCAAGGGAGGGATAGTCTCAGCCGCTCCACTCTGTCTCCGCGGGAAAGTTCACGAGCGACCAGACGTAATCTGTACGACATGGCCGGCGTGCATCTCCATGTGTCATCCTCGTGTCGATCGCGCCTTGTAGGGCCCTGTGCGCATCCTGTGAACGATTGGCTGGTTCTTATGCCGAAGGCAGCTGTCACAGCAATAACAACAATCCTGATTCGTCAACTGCAATGAATATTGCACAGACCAGCTGATCTGCAAGCGACGTTTGGGATTCTCCACGCAAGTTGAAAATAGGGTATAGCCGCAGCCGGACCCAGTTTCAAATGATGTCATCAAGGATCTTGTCATTGTCCCGGGTGATATGTAGTCTGGGGTGATAAACACTCATGCCAAGAGGGCACAATCAAGGCATGGGGAGACTAATCAGCATTCCACTGGAGGTTCGTCAGAATTGTGTTTGTCCCGACGAATGGAGCTAGGAAGGGCTGGGGTTAAGCTTGATCTTGATGATGGCATCTGATTTTTGAGACTGCGACCCTCGCGGGATAGGTCGGCCCGTGACTGCCTGATTTGATTCTCTGGACCGAGCAGCAAGTTCTTCCCCATTCAAAAGTGTTGAAGATCAGTCCCGTTCCTATTAGCGGGTAACAACCTACAGCACTTAGGGTCGCGGTGGGATTTCCATTCTTGGTGTGGCATGCACGTTGCAGACCTTAGCTTCATCTCAAGTGTTTTCCTTGCGGTTTCCGACGGCAAACAACTACGATTTTGCGAAAGAGTAACATCGCCGAGTTCTCCTGAATAGTTTCAGGGTTGTGCTAATTTGAGAGACTTGTGCATCGCAATCAGATGTCTAAAAATAACCCCAGTAAAGTTGTTTCAATCCAAGGAACCGGATCTACCCGGCTTAACCTCACATTGTGATTTTAACTTAGAAATATTGTTCAATCCTTGGTCCTTGATCAAACTTTAAAACAGGAACACAAATGCAATCCAAATGGCAAAGCGACTCAGAAAGGTAGAAAAGCTCCTGGTGGGAGGATCTCCGGAATGCAATCCCTTAGTTGACGCCATGCACACAGCCGCATGATTCTCATTGGGGTTTCCCAGTCCGATTTGATATTTTCCTGCCGGGGGAAGGGAAACGGCTATTTTTCAAGACCTTGTGGAACACGTCAGTCGAGTATCCCATAAGTATACTTGATAGTGAAGGTACCTACTATCGACAAATTTCCCCACATTTTGGGCAGATGCATTGAACACTTGAACACTTGGTTTCGTGGCACCGCATTATCTGCAACTCATGGAGGTAGTTTCCGACATGGTGCTGCAGTCCTATCCAAATCCAGTCCAGGTCTTTACAACCAGACTTTACGTTGAGTATATCCTTTCGAGATTTTCTGAGTGCCCCAGACGGTTGCAAGTGTAATCGTAGTGAGAGCAGTGTTGTGGAGATTAAGTACCCCACTTCGACACCCAGAGAACAAGACTTTATTTTTGCCTTTATACTTTCGAAAGTCCTTTCCAAAAATTCCCAATCGCATAACCATTCACGCTACTTCCGCTAGCCCCGTAGTATACCGGAGGAAAGTAAAGCGAAAATTCCTATACAGTCCCAACAAAACGTAGGGGTGACCAGCCTGACGGGATGACGCGCATCTGGCCCGGAATCGATCGGAAATATACATGGAAAAGTCTGATTCAACTTCAAGAAGTGATTGGCTGGAGCTTCGACGTCTTAACTTAGCAGACGAGTTGTAATTCAGAGCCTGGCTATGATACGTCTCTTATATATCGATTGTGGCATGGGAATGAGCTAATAGCAAATAAAATCAAGGCCGTCTTTGGCAGTATTTCCAACTGTCTTCCCGGGGCTGAGCCGCCACTTAACCGCGCATTTGTCAGTCTATATGCTACAAATGACTTGATGTCCTGTTGACCGTCCGGCAGGCTCGATCTGCCTAAAAAGGGTGTATTGCATGCGCTTGGTCTGTAGACGCCCACATGTGAGCGTGCCTGCTGATGCGAGATACTGTGACCCCTATAAAACTCTTTAATGTTCTCTGTATATCATTCCTAGAGCTCCGTCTTTCGCCACTGCAGTGTCACACCGGCACTCGGGCCGTAGGGGGCGTGCCAAGTATCAAGTTAGCACTTCGATATTCTCAGCACCCTTATACACGGACAGATCCTTTTGGGTGAACTACATCGCTCAAGCCTCCTTGATACTATCAGCCAAAATCTGCGATCAATTTTACCTTATCTCTAGCCATAGTTGGTCTTGCTTTCTGTAGTTAAATCCGAGCGGCAAGATAATCTAAACAGGGATACACCGGCATGATGCCGGGTTAGATATTCAGGGAAATTGGCGTATAGAAAAGGGATAGAAGAGAATCGAAAGAATCATTAGGTCGAATGGGTCACAGGTCGCTAAGCCACAAATAAGAATATTCCGATGTAATGAGAAGGGCGCATAAATTCGGGATCGTTCGCACAGAACAAAGAGTTTACACTCCGGCGTTCCGAGTATTCTTCAGAATCATCGTCAATTCCTCTTTTCTTCTCGTATAAGTATACTCTACCATCGCATTCTAGTCTTCTCCGAAGACTAACAGCAAGACAATTTACTATAGCAAGGCCATTCGGGAAGTCAAAGACGTATTTAGTTGGAAACATAATTGCTTGACGTCTGATTTCGGCTACGCTGCTATTATCTTATGACGTGGATCAATCTCGCAAAGTAAAAGTCTTTCGACAAAGCAAAAAAGCCCGGACCAACAAAAAAAAAAAAAATTAACATTAGTGTTTTGCATTGATCTATTACATCGCTAGTATTATTATGGGCCAGTCACTGAGTCTGACTTGGATTGAGATATACTAATAGTGAGTCTGAATCTGAAAGGCTTCATAACAGCGGCCAGGGCGGGTCGAACCTTGGAAGTAGGAAACCCGGAGCTATCAGGGAAAATCATGGTACATATAGCGGCCTCAGCACTCAAAGTGTTACCGTTGGGAGATAGTGTAACGATGGCCATAATATCTTAAGGTGCATTTTGTCTTGGTATGTGAGATATCCTCGAACTGCCTTAACAGTTTGATCGTATGGAGTCAGGATAATCTCAAAGTCATTTTGACATCGTATCACCGAAAGACACTGTCCTCTTCAATTCCAAGTTATATTTATTCATCTTTGCGTGGGATGGTCAAATGTTATCGTGTTGATCAAACAGGCCTAAAATAAAGTGGATAGAGGAAAATCTGTCGATCTCACGGATAGAGAATACCATAGCCTTAAAGCCAGGTATAGCTCTGGCTCGTACACATACAAGTGCCATCGATCGAAAAGAAAACCCGAGAAGAAACATTTATGTCCGCGGAACCCGAAGGTGTCACCGTGAAGATATTCGGATCATTTGTAATAGGCTCGGTGTCGGCAGTAGACGCACGCCAACGGATATTTGCAGCTAGTGCTGTAGCTTCTATAATAGCTCAACTGGCATATCACAAGAGATCCAGCACCGGGAATTTTGGTAGTTTGAACAGGGATAATCCCAGTAGTGAATAATGAACGTATCTTAAGGGGATGAGCCTCAGAGAAAGGAGAATAGCATATAAAGCCCTTCACGACACACCAAGCCAGTAGTTTCAACCTTAACCACTTTCATTGATAATCCGCTTCATCCAAAAACCATCTCGGTGATGTGAGATATCATCAAATGCAGCCTCAGAAACTGACAGCATCGGCTAATTTCGAAGTCCAATTAGATCAAAACGCCATCATGAAGTACTTCTCCGCAGCAAGCCTTCTGCTCGGCCTAGTCGCCGCTGTGCCCGCAACGGCCGAAAAGATGATCGCAATGCCAAAAATGGACGACATGCTTAACATGTACACGCCATGTCTGATCAACTGCCAACGAAGCCTGCAAACCTGCGTTAGCCAAAGCGGGCCCATTGCCGAAACCTGCGCTCAGAATTTCGCCAAGTGCCTTCTGACTTGTCAGGATAATATCTTCTCGACCATGGGCATGGATAGATGTGCCAACGCCTGCACTTCGATTGCAATTGATGATGGAGCCGAAGGAAAGGACATGAACATGGTCCAGTCGGACCTCAAGAGCTGCCTCAAGCAGCGGTGCTCTCGGAGCATGAACTAAGTGAGAGCGCTATGCAGATGAAAGCCATGGTGATTCCCGATAGCTAGCTTTCAGATTCTCCGGGACGAGGGCATTCTTCAAGCGAAGCTCGATGTCTGACATATGGCCATGACTGCTCTCTGGAAAGGTGTCGGTATTCGGGGTTTCATGTCCCCCAGGGACCAATACCGGAAGATCCACTCTTATTCATTGTTTCTTTGCACTTTACAGCAACCTTAATAACGAGATCCACTGCTTTATCTGACAATGCATTCATCGTTAACCCACATCATGATTGGAATTTCAAGCAGCTACAATATGGGGCACCGTCCTAGGTATAGAAATAAGGATTGATCTCAAAGTTTCCCATTTTTTTCTTTTTTTTTGACTATGGCAATGATAGCCTGGTAAGATTATGCAGGGCGCTCGCATAACTTCGTAAAGCCCGGGCCATGCACGAAAATGGTAATGATATGATGGTAAGAATATGTTGCAGCCCATCTCATAGAACCATTGGAATCCTTGATCATGCTCGTAAATGTTGCGAGCTAAAAAGTAGCGATATCATCAGGCGGATATCATCAGGCGTAAAGTGTGGTATCGAACCTTTCAAGAAAATAGCAAAAATAGCAATCCAGACGCCGCGCTGAAAGAACAAATATTCAGTAAATCAGGCTCATGCAAATGCATCCTCGAAAAAGAAAAGAAGCGAAGCGATCATGCACTCAGTCATCGTCCGTTGCGGTAATATCCTCCTCGTCCTCGTTGTCATCCTCGTCAGCCTCACTATCGGAGTCGTCACCGTCATCGAGACCAGGAATGCCACGCCACTCAATGTAGTCCCCATCCAACCAGTGTCGGCTGCGCGGAAGCTGGTATGGATCAAAGGGGAAGTAGGCATCAAGTTGATAGCCCAGGTGATCACCGGCACGGACGTCACGTTCGACCTGACTGGAGATGCTCCGAAAGGCAGTGATACGTAGACGCTTGTTCGTCTCCAGCAGAGGATAAACGTAAAGAAGTTGGAAATGGTGGGCGATACGAGCAAACTCGTTGACAATCCCGGGCGAGCACACCTTCAAGGGGTTGAGGCGGGAGTAAATGGACTTGTGGAGGACTTCCTTGACGTTGGGTGGGAATGCCATTTGGCTGGGCTCCAATTCTTCCACCTGCTCTGGACTATCTCCCTCGCTAGCGGCAATGGTCAGATCACGCCAGCGGAAGCAGAAAATGTAGAGAACGGCCTGTGCAGTTGAATAGAATGGGCCAAAGCGGCGTAGGTCGGGGCCACGGCAATTACCCTCATAGTCATTACGCAAATTGTCAAGGTGCGTAAGCATCAGGTCGAAGACATCGCGAATAACCTCGCCGGGGATATGAGCACCGCGAGCGACGAAGCTGGCTAGGTACGCTGCTGCGGATTGACGAATAACACCAGGCTGGAGTTTGTTGAAGATGATCTGGACGCAAGCCGACGCGAATCGATCAATCAGCACTGGCGAGGCCTGTGAGAAATGGAAAAGGAGGAATTGAGTGTGGCGAGAGCGATAGGTAGGAAGGATGATTGTCTGGAAGTGGCTCAAAAGGAGGTCCAGGGCATTCTCCTTCTCGTCCATGCTACCAGTGGTGAATGGAGGCGTGTAGTACTCAAAAAGAATATCGATCATCCCGTCGACTTTCTGGATATTTTCCTTGACGGCCGAGAGACGTTCGCTTTCTTCATCAGCATCCGACTCATCACTCGCAACCGAAGCATCGTCCTCAACATCTTCTTCGGGCGAAGTGCTAGGCAACAAGCTCTCTCCGAGTTCATCCTCAAAATCTTCAAGGTCGACTTGAATCTCAACGTCAATCTTCACCAGGTTTTCGGTGATCATAGAGAGAATATCGGATTGTAGCTCCGGGGAATAACCGATGATTTGAATGAGGTTTCGAGCGTAGGAGTTGCAAATGCTGGCGTCGCTATAGGTCGGGAATTGCTGAGAAAGGATCCGTGACAGGGTTCCGCTTCCAGCGGGGAGAAGGCGCACGATATGTCGCAGTGCCATATGGATCCGGCTGAACATCTCATCAAGAGACACTCGGTGATAGTTGACGAGTTGACCACTACCACGGGGGATCTTAGCGAGTTTGGTAACCAGCATTTTGAACACAACAGGAATGTAGCTGCCCTGTGCAGCTGTCAGATTGCCCAGGAAACGAATGAATAATTTGACATAGAACATGTCGCGCCCGAGCCATTCACTCTCTAAGATGGCAAGTACTAGACTGCTGCAGTTGCGGTCAAGCGATGCGACGTGCGCGGTCATAGCCATGAGATGATGTTTCAACTGGGTAGGCGTGGGCAGATCATAAGAGTTCTCGTCGGCTTTCTTCGGGTCGGCGGTGAAAACGTGAATAATTCGATCATAGGCTTCATCGTCTCCCGCCGAAACATGACGGTGGATGGCCTTGCGGACTTCTTCACGAGTAACTACGATGTCGCTTTTCTCGATTCCCGGGATGGTGTGGCTCTGAATGGTCTCAGCGAAGGTAACGCGGGGGCGTTTCTTGGAGTGAGCGTCGTTGGACGCGTCCGGGGCCGGAGGGGAAGAGGGAATATCGAGATCAGCTTCCTCCATCTTGCGTTTTGTGCCAGCGGACTTAGAGGGTTTAAGGATGGAGCGGGGAGACGATGTCAGCGGCATTGTCGAGGGAGTGGCTGTAAGCGCCGAGTTTGAAGGAGCAGTGGCAACGGATGGCATTGCCGAAATGCGAATGTCGACGATTTCCCGTGATTCTCTCTAGAGAGGGCGCGAAATGGTTGGAAGTGACCGGTCGGGATCTCTGGCGCGAGGGGCAGGGACAGCTCGAGCCGTCGACGGGGTTGAGCTCGTTTGAGGCACCCAAGCACACGACCGACTGAACGGTCTGATATCGAGGTGGTGCGGCAGGATTGGAAGGTTGGACCACGGGTGACGGTCGGCACCCGTGGCGGGCATTCAATCGGCTTTGGTTGATGATAAACAAGATGTAGGTAGAGATGTGGATGTGTTGAAAGGTGCTCCAGCTCGACGTGAAGCAGCGAAATTTTTCAAGTTCTTTTCAGGTTGTGGGGCGGTGGAGTGAATCGGGCGGTGAGGGATTGCTCCATTCACTGTAAGGTGATTATGTCATCTACTGCCTGAGGCAGCGATCTCCTTAAACCGCAAGTTCTACCCCATTGTAAGCCTCACAATATTATCATTTATTGTTATTCGTACAAAATAATAGAGTACGGTAGTAGTGGGAGCTGTCTTTGATTCATTGCAGGTCGGCGGATGTTCTGAAGTATCCAATATTATATTTCACCTTTCAATCACATGGACAGTTTCGTAGACGGATATCTACATTCTGGCTCTTCTGGTTCTGAACAGTAAGCAGATAAAAACAATAGTCTTATTCATGGAAACGAGTATGGGCGTACGAGAGCTACGTAGGTGACAATAGATGTATATAAATGGCAGATATGATAGAACGCGCCGGTCTGAAACCCGGGTCTTTACTTTCCGGAGATCAAACTTGAATACATCCATAGAAAACAAACCAGATCGCACATAAGCCACTCATGATAAACGAAGTGAAAAGCAAAATCAAAGATCGAACGCAGGAACTGAAGAGGCTCCTCCCATGGTATAATGCGAGTCAGGGAAATAAACAATCGGAGAGTCGTCAATGAAGGAATAAGAGTTAGTCGTAGCGAAGCTGATCTCGAAGGGGAAAGCCAGTCCCTCCCTTCGCCCACTTCGCTTGGGGTCGTCGTTGATCACCCCGGGTCAACCGGGACGGAAGATATTATCGATGAGTTTAAAACCAGGCACCCGTCCGGAGGGGTCCGATATTATCATCAAAGACACTGCCGTAGAGCTCTTGGATCTCGTTGAGGTAATCATCGACAGAAAACTTCTTCAGTCCTTTGCGACGAAGGATTCGCTCTTCTTCGTCCATCAATGGCGTAGCGCCAAACTCCTCGGCCACCTCGTTGACTTGCTCCAGTTCCTTGCTGAAAGGATGCGCATCCGCTCGAAACATATCTTGCGAAGCACGCATGGTGGGGTTGCTGCGTGGGGAAACGAGTGGAGGGGGCGACATCCGATGCTGAGAGCGCTTGCGCGCCAGCTCTTGGTGAGACCGCTTGGTGTGCGAGAGGGCTCGTTTGGGGACCAGCGGAGTCTCTGTGGACGAAGAAGATGTAGCCGAGGAGCGCGGAGCGCTTGTTACAGTCGCCGATCGCTTGGGGAAGTACGACGGATTCGCCTCCACTGGCGAGGACTCGTGGGGGGAGACATCGGGCGAAGTGATTGAAGACGAATAGCTGTGCGGGGAAATGGCGAAGTCAGAATCGTCGCGCGACTGCACCGACGAGGCAGACGAAGAGTTGGACGAGCCAAGATCAGGGGCGTTGTAGGCCAACATGTTGGTGGTGGATAGCAGCTGGACAGGGCCGGAGATGTTGCCGCGCTTTATGGAGCCCGAATTGAATCGGACATGTCCTTCGCCGCGATACGGCATGGGCGCCGACACTTCCGGGCGCTTGTTGCGCTTGGTGAATGCGCGAGTGATGGTCGACATGATGAATTCGGTTCAATGAACGTCTTCGGTTGGTGGAGGCACACGAAGAAAATAGCGATACGGAAAGAAACCGACTGTCGAACACAGACACTGCGTTCTATCCAATTTTAGGTTCTTCTTGCTGTTCGTTGCGATCGAATCCGACGGTTAATTTCGCGTGGCGGACGATCGCGGGATGCGAAGACGGCGAAGAATGGAAGATCAGTACCAAAGATGTCCGGTACCAGAGAAAGCGAATTTGCTGTGGGTTGTCCTTTTATTTTCGGTTTGTTTTTTTAAGATCCAGTTCAATCCGATTGTGACTTGCACAAAGGTGATAATGAATGTCGAGACTTTTCGCAAAGCGGATTCTGCGCAGCAAAATGGGCCAGGGCAGTCTCTTTGCGCTAGGGCGAGAGGGACGGAATGGGGGTGTGCAACCAGGACGCTCCCCAGGGATGGTCAAAGGATCAGAATGAAGTAAAAAAAGGAGTCCAGGATCACAGATCACCGTCTTTGGGACTCGAGAAAAAAAGAAGCGAAAGGAATGTAGGACACAAAAAGAAGGACGGTGCCCGGCGGTGGTGTGAAGAAGAGAAGGGGGGCGGTCCCTTACGGGGGATTCCTCTGGACCGCCTTTCGCAGAACCGTGGAGTTCGTGGGCGCTTGCACCGTTGGGCCTCGCCCGGTTACCCACTCACCTCCAAGGCAAATTCCTCTGGCACGCCCAAGGTTCGCCGGTGCCGACGATGGGTCTCTCCAAGTCTATGGCCAGTCAAGCGTTTCAAAGCTCCGGAGCCAGGAACTGCGTGTGGCGAACGGTTCTTCCAGACCCTTTCGATAAGACCAAGGGCAATGGTTCAGCTACTCGGATTGTTCAACTGACCGACGCGAGGTTCCATCTCTTCGATCTTCTATTTTCTACGATTTTGCCATCCCGGCCGACCACGGTGGAAAGCACCGACCACTCGGCGTCATTCGCTCAGGTCCCATGTCCGTGCCGGTAGGGGCCACCCCCTGGTCGAAGGACAGCACGTCCCTAGGTAGCGATCGGAGAACATGACTGTACGCAGGACGGAAGGATGGAGGAGACTGCACATCCCCTCCGTCCCTCCGTGGGTCATCCGGCGGTGCCCAAAGGACCTGGACTCGACGTGTGCATGCCCGGGCGAGACACATCGCAGTCACAATGGACGATCTGCTGCATTCCACCACGTGAAGTCTTGCCAGAGACCCTCCAAGTGACGCCATGATGATTTGCGATCAGAATTTGAGTGAAACCCCGGACTCTTGTCCCGGGGCTTTCTTCTCCCACTGGCGTTTCACCAGCGGCCACTATCACCCCGTTCCTCGCTCGATGGAGTCTGTGCTCCGTGGCTAGAAACGATCGACAAGCCCAAGGACGGCCGGCAGGATGAATGCAGGCCAATCACGTATCCCACCGAGATGACCGAATCAGCCGGCGTGGTTATGGTGCGACCGGCGCTTGAGGCCTGCAGGGACACGGCCAATTCCCTCCGACAGCCACGGATATGACCAGGTTCTTCATCATCGCTCTTCATCACCACCAACACGAACCTGTGAGCAGTTCTGTAACCCTCATGGGGAAATTTTGGGTTGGTGGAGATGTGTGGGCCACTCGCTTCATCTTAAATTTCGGGCCTCCACCGCTGGGCTGCGAACCCAGACTGTGGGGCCGGTGACCGAATTGTTGGAGACTGCCAACGCGTTTATTCTGCGTCCAAGATGTCCTTCGCCCTGGGTACGGAAGGGCAATGGCTTTGCTCCGAAGGAGGAGTCTCCCAGGGTATTCTGAACGACTCCTGGGAGGGAAACCATTCGAGATGCCACTTGGACATTTCTTTCTGCTTAGTGTCACGCCACGTGATCGGGTATTGGCTAGCGCGGCCGCAAGTAAAGTGTGTTGCCCCATCGGGTTGACGCAGCTATTGAAGATTGAAATTAGAAATATATACTGGATTCTCTTTTTGACAGCTCTTCCGCCCTGGCAGGATGGTTTGCTTCGTCACGGTCCTCATTCGCCATGGCGACTGGGGCATGTTCGGCATTCGCAGCTGGAGAAGCCATGTTATCCGATCCGCCGGCGGCCTGATGTCGCGGGTATATAGGCGAAGACATCATGGCCGGGGGATGGAGATGATTCTCATAGGGACTGCCAATGTTGATTTCCTCTCTTGGCTGCCAGGCATACACAGATGACGCGCCTGGCGCTTCCATCGCCACCTCTGGACTATGGGTATGGATATCGCTGTGGACTGGAGAGACAGGGATTGGATAGGCAGCCCCCGACGCTCCAGGAAGCTGTAGACTCTGGGGTTGCTCAATCGTGAACTGGTCGGACATAGAGATTAACCATCGCTCCATATCTGACCACCCTCGTAGAGGCAATTGAGACCATTCGTCCATGCGCGCAGCCTTTTGTTTCTGCGGCGAGTCAGTCTTCACCGATACTTGGGCCATGGTTGATGGTTGCGTTGCGCGAAGTGTCACAAGAGCCCCATACAGAGCTGTTTCGGTCTCAGCTAGTCTTTGCTCCAGCTGATTCAGATATCCGAGTGGTAATCCTCTGCCGTGGCTAAGTTACTAACGTTGCTGGCAACGAGTGCAGTGTACCCGAGTGTGTTCACGCACCTCTTGCCACTTTCTGGGTAAACACATCTCGATGGTCCATTGGAGCACTGGGAGCAGTGAGGTCTGTGATAGAAATGGATCCTGGTCAAAATCAAAACTAAACCGTCATACATCAAGACCTGGTCGTTCCTACAATTTGCGGTCACACTAATCTCCGAACGAGATCAGCACTGCCAGGAGCCCGGAATTTCCAATTGGACTTACTTTGCATTTCCGTTGTCTGCAAGTCTCACATGAAATTGGACTTAATCTGTCATCATCTTCGTTATCTTCAACGTTAGCCACGTTAATCTATCAAATGGCCCATGCCATCGCGGTTGATGAAACGAAAATACCTTGCGTGGCTGCATCAGATGGCCGATTTCGTCTAGCTCGAGACGACCCCATGGAATATGAATGCCGGTAGCGTATATACCACTAGAATAATAAAATAAGCGGCACTAGAACCAATAGCCAAGTCAACGGTTTTGCTGATCAAGTCGTGTAGATAAGATAGATGGTCGGGGAAGGTGGCGCTGATGTCCGGACAAAGACATCTCCGGTAGTATCACGTGATACAAACGGTCACGACCACCGCGGCCATCAGGCACAACAATCAGCCGGTTCGTCGGCAATTTTCTTTGAGTACTAGCAGGATGAACTTTTTCAATACCAAGCCTTGATTGGCTAGGGAAACGGTAGCATATCAGAAGCTTTTAATGATTATCGACATATGCTCGTGTAAAAACTGATGCAACCTCTGCGTGAGCTTGAGATATTTGGCTACTAGTAATCGTACCCGCTGGATTTTGGACGACGAATTTTGAACTCAAATTAAAACCTGAAAACCATGAATGCCATAATCTCTCCCACGAAGAATTCCCTTTGTGTCCTTTTCGTTTCTTTTCCGTTGGAGACGGGCCTTGTAAAAACTACATTACGTAAACGAGGTAATGACTAAGCGACTCGGACCATGCAACTAGCGCGATTGAGGTTCTTGAAGCTATCGATGTCCCTGCAATCATTGCCGTCCGTTTGATAAAAATGTGACACGAGAGGCCATCATGGCATCACCCTCCTCGGTCAGCACCCGCCTCGAAGACCATGAGCCCGACTGGCAGTACGGCCTTCGCGCCAAGCGGCGCAAGCGTGCTTCGACGGCTGGGACGTCACGACCCTCTCCACGTGAGATTGGATTCATGAGAGAATCACAAACCAAAGGTTCGGCAAGCTTCCTTGGCAGCTCTAGCGGCATACATTTTGTTCGACATGTCTGCAATGCCTTTGCGCGTCGCTCGGCGGATCTACAGCAAAGCCGAGCACGAGACCGGAGCTCAGTGCCAGGCGAGGATGATCGGCTACACCAAGGAACTCTTGATACAGATGGATTGTGGACCAGAAATGAAGTGAAAATGACCGAATCTGCCACTTTCGTGTTTGAAGATCTCGTGAAATGGACGCGTGGATACTTTGAAAACTGGCATCCAATTTTCCCATGTCTGCACGCGCCGACGGTCCTTCAAGCCCTGGAGAAGCTTGGCAAGCAAGGGACGTCATTGATGAGCCATCTGGAGATGCTCATTATCCGTTCTATTATATCAATATCATTGGCAGACAGCCGACAAATCGAAAGCCCAGCATCGAAAATTGGCCCAGTGCCGGCGTCATTGGTCTTTCATACTGTGCGACACGTCATGTGCGATGTCCAGAAGATTCTCGCAGAACCAACAACACTTCCACTACTGCAAGCTGTTTTCACTGCTCAGCTTGCACTTACGTCTCTTTTGCGCTTGAATGCTGCATCCCGAATCGGCGGAGTGATCACACGGACCGCCTTCCACCTTGGTTTGCATCGCTGCCCTGGACGATTCTCTGTTTTCAGTGACGAGGAAATCGATATCAGAAGACGCCTTTTTTGGTCGATCTATTGCCTCGAACGATATCTTTCGCAAGCTTTGGGAATACCACTGGGAATACGGGACGATGACATCGACGTTTGCTATCCCGGTGATGAGAAACATGTCACTAGATTGTCTGTCGTGCAAGATGACCAGCGCCTTCGTCTACTCTCACATCTTGCAAAGTTTGCTCGGGTACGAGGTCTCATTTTGGAACTACGCAACAAGTCCATCATGCACAGCCGGTCGGACAATATTGAGGCGTCCCGTGTGAATGGCGAACTTTCTCAATGGTGGAATGAAGTATACGATGATGTGAACCCCATCGAGGAGGAGCATGAAAACGATGACCCAGACCAAAAATTGCACCCGAGTCCCTACCACCGACTGCTCCTCATGATATTAAGACACGAGGCCATCATATCCATGAATCGACCACTGCTGGCCGCTGGAAGGCCGAGTCCCGAATACAAAAATGCCTTGCAAACCTGCATTGCATCCTCGCGCACATTACTTGTAGCTCTGAAGAGATACAAATCACCCACTTCGGATGCGCCGCTAACATGGCCTTCCTTTACCTGGACGACATGGATGGCCTGTTTGATACTGATGTATGCCTCTTGGGAAGGCGAACTTCCCGTATCGACGGCTTTGAAATATGCTGGAATGGGCATCAGCGTGCTGGAAAACCTAGCCTTTCGTGGTAGCAGCTGGCCTGAAACTTGCATCGAAGCAATCAAAGGTATGGAGTCTGCCTTGACAAACACCAATTCCACCGGATCGGGGATTCCGGGAGCGCACCTGTCGGATCAGCCTCAACCAGGAGCCCAGGCCGATAGATCTAACGCGAGATGTTTTCAAACCCCCAATAAACATCCAGCCCAGCACACCCGCGATCATCGATCCGTGACGCTCAGCCACAGACCCCCGCAGCCTGATGATCTCCCTACAGCCAGATATCAGCATGGGTCCTCAACCTTGTCCGCGCAGCCATTTGATAACTCGATTGGTTCCTCGACAGGCCGAACGGTCGACCCGGGAGAATCTGCTATCATATCTCCTTTCGATGCTCAAGAGAGTGGCGTTGAAATGCCGGCCGATGGCCTGTATCCGACTGGGCAGTCATCTGCGGGTCTGATATTCGGCAACATGGTCGACGCGAATGCGCCTTTGTATCCGGGGATTGCGGGACATGACCCTTTACCTTTTTCCGACCCGTCGTCCCTCTTCATGAGTGACCTGTGGAGTTTGGCAGACGGACCGTGGATGATTCACGGAAATCTCTTGTGACGGGTGTAGCGACTGATCATTTCAAAAGTAGTGACAAAGGCATATGTTCCTGAGTCAATGGTGGCTCACGATCTTGCTGGTCTGAAACCTTACGGGATGGAGGATCGAAAACATGAATCTGTTTTATTACACGTGTTTCTCGTCATCTATCGTCCAGCTTTCCCAGGACTACCATGCGTCCGCATGAAGAGATTAGATGGTCTAGTGCGAGACGCAAACTCGTCATCGACCGAATACTCAATTTCTGGCTCCACCGCTTGGAATCCCATCTTCCTATACACATGACGACCCATGCTAGACCCCTCGAGGATGGCCTCCAGGCCACCTCGTCGCTTGGCTTCGTCTAACCCCCACTGCACCAGCGCTCTTGCGATTCCCTTCCGCTGATGAGCCGGATGAACGGCACAAAGATCCAGAACCATCACTGCAGGTGGTGTCGCAGCCGCTTTGTCCTTGATGACTTGAGTACGTGGTCGGTGTAAAGAGGTCATGACCTGTGTGACATAGCGCTGCTCGCGCTCGTTTCCAGGGTAGAGGGATTCCAGCTTCATGGCTTCTCGCACGTTTTGTGCCGGTGGATCTCCATGGCCCTCGATGCAAGACGCTTGTGCCCAGATGGCGATGCCGGCAATGATTCGCTCCCCTTCTGGCTTCGGGTTCGGGAGCGTGGCTTTCAGATACATCACATTGGGCTTTCCTGCCTTATTGGTAGTCGTGTCCCGCCAGCTCGAGGCCATCCGAGTTGCCCCGGCTGTCTTTCCAGATGGCGTGTCCCATCCTGGGTTCATTGCGATCCAGACACCATCCTGCGCCTGACGACCAAAGGCCTCACGCACGCAATCAAAAGCCTGATAAAAATCGCCGGGTTGGTCTATGAGCTCGACGCGCAGTCCGATATCGTTTGGTGGGTTTGTGGACGACATCGCGACTCTGGAAGATTGGTGGTACCCGAGAGGTCACAAGCGAGTGCTGTAGGTGTAAGAGGATTTCCGCAATTGAACAGCTGTCTTGATTCTCTGATGTCAATCGCCAAGGCGCTAACAGGGCAGTGGGGGATTGTCGTTGCACGTTTCGGTAGTTCGGGGTTCCCCACTGCAAGTCTCCCTTGCGCCGCGGTTTATTGGGACAAGCCATCGGGGCTTACCGCGACAAGACTACGAGTACATTTGTGACTTGCACCATCACCAAGCATGGCTAGGAGAAAACAATGGCTTTACAGACTTTATTCGCATCGGTGCAGCTCCTGGCAGGATGGAATTGTCTTTTCTCTATGGCGATATGAGCGGCTAGGGTCGCTGCAACCTTACTGTCGACGCTGTTCCCTGCGCACAAGATATGCGATCAAGCCAATGCTGGCGAATTGCAAGACCGTCGTCACCAAATTAGACAGGAAACCGGCTCGAAATCGTGGAGCATTCACGGCCGAATACTGAGAGATCTGCGTCCAAGCAGCCATGGCCTGTCCTATCGCGCTCATGCTGGCTGTCACAATGGCTCTTTCCTCAGCATCGTTTGCCATGGCAGTGGTAGCCCAGTTCATGGCGAGAGGACTGATTGCTGGAGGTTGGGGCTTCTCAAAAAATGAAGTCGTTTGAAAGCCATACCTCCTTCGAAACCCGTGATGATAAATGCCGCGACACGGCCGACCTCGCCAATATCATAGACCACCAACAAGATGATACCCACAAGCACGGGGATACTAGTTGCCACGGAAGGAATACAGAAATTACGGAGGTGATCTGCAGTGATCCCGACCGCAAGTGCAGCGACAACGGATATCGCCGTGACAATGGTCGGCAGCGTGTTGACCCGCGAAATGGAGTAGATATCTGGGTTTGCCTTCAGATATAGTCTGAATGGTGTAGAAAATGGCATGAAGTTTTGATCCATCAAGATCCAATGAACGACGAAGACATAAAAGTGCCACCTTCCTAAGACACGTTTGGAGATTGCCTTGGAAATCCTGAGTTTGCTTGGGGCTGTAAGACCTTTGAGGCGTTCATTGGCAAGACAATGCTCGGCAGTTGTCAAGAAGCGCGGCTTCACACGATGCGGCACATCGGAAAAAACAATGTAACCACTGAGATCGTATGTTAGATTCAGGGATTCGCAGAGGGTACGGCTGCAGTGTCTCACAGAATGCAGATAGGGATAGATATTATGGTGCAAACGATGAAAACCCACCTATCAAAATTAGACAAAGTTCCCATGTTCTCCAGAGCCAACAAAGGTGGCATTACATACCTCCATCCGGCCAGGCCATGGGTTTGATTCAGGTATATGCCGCTGACTGTAGGTACCAGCGAACATCGTCCCAAGTTGAGATGCGATGAAAAAGAGTGCCACACGTCGAGTAACTTCTCCAGGCTTGTACCACGACCCGATAACATATATGACTCCAGTAAGAGAGCACGACTCGCAGATCCCCACGAAAAAATCGCATTGCATAGATAGTGTTGAGATTCTGAGCCCAGGCACAGCCGAACGTGAAAAGGCCCCATCCGACCTCTAATGTCGGCAAAGTGATGTTAAATCGAGTCCGAGTTAGCCGATAGCATGCTGGAATCATGGAAGTGCAATAAGACGCCCAGAATACGGCGTTTATATAGTTGATGTCATTCCCGCCTAGGTTAAGATCTTCATGTCTCCTAGCTCGGGGTGGTCAGCAGAAATAACAAAGGGCCATGATATTGTTGATCACGCACGAAACGTATGCATTTGTTATCGCCTGCTGATACAGATATTTTGTAAAGAATGACAAGCAGCCGAATAGCAGAATCAGTATATCCAGTTTCAATATTAGCTTTTTTCGAGGTGCGATATCACTCCTTTGGGTACCACCCCAGGAATGTCAATGAGCGAAGCCATAGTCCACTTTTATCTTCAGACTCGGGATGAATCTCGCGTGTGGATGTTCTATTAAGAGTCTTTCCTGCTGGTTGGGTTTGTTCATCCATGATGACAATAGAGTAGGAATCAATGGACCTGCAGGATGCGAGAAAAAGAGTGAAATTAATGTAATGTAGCTTTTGCAAAACGGGCTGCCGGGGGTAATGCAATCGCATAGATAAGACATAGTCTTTCATTTGAGGCTTTTATCATTGGATACAAATAGTATCGTGGAAGATGTGTGAATTATCGCGTTTGATGGTGTCATCTTAGCGGGGTACAATTGAATTCTACGGCTTGTCGAAGCTCTACAAATAATGTGAGGATACCACTAGTAGGCATACACAATTTCAAGAATTTCAGTACTGTGAACTTATGTCCTAGGTCTGCTCGAGGTGCTATTCTAAAGCCAGAACACCAAGACAGGTGATAACTCCCCACCACTGCATGCTAGTAGTACTTTTATTTTCTAGTAATGACTTGGAAACCTCGGGTGCGTCACGTGCTACTGTGGTTCAGCCTGGATCATCAACCGAGAAAAGCAGAAATACCATTTATGCGGCTCACGTTCGGCCAAGATCAGACTTCGCTTTATTTGCTTCATATTGGCCAGTCATGAAACTTGTTTTCAAAATGATCGTTACCTTGATCGGGTCCTTTGTTGACCAATGGAATCGATAGTATTGTAAGAAAATATGGAGATGTGCTGGCTTACTAAACTGTCAAGGAATCAAAATGATGTCAGAGTGAACGTTATACCTTTGGGTATTAAATAAAGCTGAGGAAAGAAAAAAAACCTTGGGCTCATACTTTGCGAATCCGACCCTTAAAACCAGAAGACACGATGAATCCTTCTGTAGTCCGAGCTACAACGAGAGCCACGATGCTGTCCCGAATGCATGGCCAGAGAAGCTACGCGACGAGCCCAAATGAGGCTGTCTCAGGTAGAAGGGCAACCCAAGGAATCAGGAGAAAGTATTATTTACACTCAATGGGTCGTTTATCGATGTATGCGGCGGCTAATAGTGAGCTTCTGCCATAGTACGATGTGGTCAATCCTTGTGGGCGTCCCCCTATCCGTCTATCTCTGGCAGAAATCCCGATCGGCGAAATTAAGCAATGACGTTTCGGGGAAAAGCCGAACCTATGAAGACTCTACAAAGGTAAGTCGACAGTTTCGATATTGTGATTACCCAGTTCCAATGCCAGATTTTGGCTTGGCATGACCTAGCATTGGCCGTTGCTACGCATGAAACATCCAGCTAATACTCGTGTGGCAGCCCTCCGCACGGGGAGAACCTGGTGGTCCCGAGACCATGTCATTCAAACAGGAAGGCCTTTCTAACACGAACACCTCGAACCCATACGTCAACGAACCAGGAAAATCAGAGAAGGGGGAAGGTGAAACCGAGTCCGCGAAGGTCAAGGGAACGGTTCGGCACGATAGGCCACAGGTTTGAGCTGCTTTGTACAATATCGTGATAAATGTAGTCATGCAACCCAAATCGCCTATGGCAGCTTGATACATGATATGCTTTCCCGACTCAAGTTTTCTATGGCCGAGAGTATAATAGGCGTAGCAAAATTCATAAATACATTTAACGAGAAAGAATTGTCTCCACAACCTTTCTGTCCTTATTCAACACCACTCGCAACTGCCCTTGGTAAGGCTGATCAAATCGAAAGAACCCGCGGCGGAGCTGGTCCAGATACAGCTCGTAAGCGGGCATGTAGCCTTTGACAAATGCCACAACCTGATCATCGGTCATTCCGCTACTAGTGCGCTGGCGAAGAGCATGCTCCTGCTGGATTCGCCATTCGTAGACATTAACCAGGTCGTTTGTATCGAGATGGACCAGGAAATCAAAGTGTTGTGGACCCATAAACAGGTCGCAGTATTGACGCAGATTCTTATTCACCTGTAGCAGATGCTCAATGGCATGTTCTTTCAAGGTCTTTGTAGGATATTTTGTCGGTATTTGGTATTGTGATGTTGCATCCCAACGCAATCGAACATCTTTTTCATCCAGTGGCTGAAAGCCAACGCACCACCCTTCGAAAACAATAACGTCCACCGTAGTGCCTTGAGGAATTCGACGCCAGGTCTCTATTGGCGCGCGACCACCCTCGCCATGAAACAGACTCTTATCGAAAGATGGGATCAAAATCTCTGTTTTGCGATCACCCAGGCTCTGGAAGAAGGCAACCGATAATTCTGCATCATGCGTCCCGGGCTGACCACGTGTCTGGAGGAGCTTATTAGATGGGTTCTCGGTCCGAACGCGCACCAGGTCATCATGGTCGAGGTATAGATCGTCTAGCGACAGATTTATGGAGTTGTAGTTATGGGTTTCGTTGAGGGACTGCACTAGGGCATCCGTCCAGGTTGATTTGCCACTTCCCTGGAGGCCAGTCAATCCCAGAATGAAGGGCTTGGAGGGGGCACCGTTGGCCTGAGCTTGGAGGTGCTTGCTAATATGGGGTATGACATGGTCCAGAACACCCTGAATATTCTCAGGAGCAATGGTTCGCGCAGGCATTATTTCGAAACGATGAAAAGAAGGGCGCAAATATTGTCAAGTCCACCACATACTCAAATAACAAAAACTCAAGGAAATGGGACATCAAGTCACCTGTCGTACCGATTTCCCCCAGCCTGTGTGATGCTCTCCAGGTTCTGGCTGAACTATCGGCCTCGCCTGAACCTTACCCGGACATGTCCTTCTCCGCCGGCTCCACCGCCCGCGGCGCACTTCTTCACCGACAGCACGTTTGGCCGGAGATGCACACCTCCGTCATCTACTTTCGCCGGCATGATTGGCCATCCACAAAGATGAGGGGCACCAGTATGGGATGTCCATCGCGACCCCAAAAGCAGGCCGATTCGCCGCATTCCAAAATGCAGCCTTAAATATCCCCCGCATGCACGAGGTCCTTGCCCCTCCGTCAATCTCACATCCTGTGATCATCCCATAACGCGTGTTCTGAACGTCATCATGTCCAAAACCTACAGCATCGCCGCCATCCCCGCTGATGGAATTGGCCCCGAAGTCATCGAGGCGGGTATCATTGCCCTCAACGCCTTGACGGAGACCCTCAAGACTTTCAAGCTCGAGTTCAAGAACTATGACTGGAGCTCCGAGACCTACAAGAAGACCGGCAAATACATTCCTGATGGCGGTCTCGACGAGCTGAAGAAGCACGACGCCATTTTCTTCGGTGCTGTTGGCGCGCCTGGTAAGTGCACATGCGATGCGGGTGGTTGACTGAGAAGCTCGACTAACGGCAATTCCAGACGTCCCGGACCACATCTCCCTCTGGGGTCTGCGCCTGTCCATCTGCCAGCCCTTCCAGCAGTACGCCAACGTTCGCCCAACTCGCGTCTTCCGTGGCACCGAGTCTCCCTTGCGCAACTGCAACACCGGTGACCTGGATTGGGTAATCATTCGTGAGAACAGCGAGGGTGAATACGCCGGCCAGGGTGGTCGCTCTCACACCGGAAAGCCGTGGGAGGTTGCTACCGAGACGGCTATCTTCTCGCGCCACGGTGTCGAGAGAATTATGCGATTTGCCTTTGAGACGGCCCAGAAGCGCCCGCGCAAGCTGTTGACTGTCGTTACTAAAAGCAATGCTCAGCGCAACGGCATGGTTCTGTGGGACGAGGTGGCCAAGGATGTCGCGAAGGACTTCCCCGATATCACTGTTGACAAGATGCTGGTGGATGCCATGACCACCCGCATGGTTCTGAACCCCAAGAGCCTGGACACCATTGTTGCCACTAACCTTGTAAGTCTGGACCTTACTTTCTCTGTCATCATAAGCAAAGTCACTCACAAGCCATTAGCACGCCGATATCCTTTCCGATCTTGCTGCCGCCCTGGCCGGCTCCATCGGCATTGCGCCCACCTCCAACCTCGACCCTACTCGCCAGTACCCCAGCATGTTCGAGCCTATCCACGGATCTGCCTTTGACATCACTGGTAAGGGTATCTCCAACCCCGTCGCCACCTTCTGGACTGCCGCCGAGATGCTCGCCTGGCTCGGTGAGGAGGAGGCTTCCAAGAAGCTTCTGGACTGCGTTGAGAATGTTTGCGAGAAGGGCATTCTCACTCGCGACTTGGGCGGCAAGGCCAGCACCAAGGAGGTGACTGATGCTGTTGTTGAGGAGATCAAGAAGCTGGCTTAAAATATGTGATTCCGATGATATGAAGTTTGATGTTTGATATGCATTGTTTGTTATAGGGACAGGTTTAAATCTCTATGTCGGACTTTAGGAGATCGGTATCAACTAGTACTCATGAGGGCCAATTGAGCCATCCCAGCGATCAATTGATTGACTGAAGAACTATCTGTCGGCTCCCGTTCAGAATGCCATCTAATCAGTGGTTTTTAGGGTGTTACAGTGCTGTTTTTTCCGAGAATACCCCTATTACTATACAACACAGATAGGAGATTGGGTATCTGCTGAATCATCCCGTTCCTGATTGTAATATCAGTCTCTCCGATCGATACTCTCCAGTAAATACACCTCTTTACCACCCATCATGCGAATCGACATTTCAGGCTTCAAGATTTACTCTTCTAGTGATATAAAGGCTCAAGGACTCGAAAATTGACAGCCCGGACTCCTTGAAATAATGATCATACTATACTGTAGGTAGTATGAAAGCTTAGTATAACTACCAGCCGAGCCTTTCGGCAAGAGAAAATACCCACCAACTTGCTACTATTGCAGGGGCCACGAGGCAATTAACCAGCGAATTGAAATTGCAGCCCATGTACACTATCCCAATTGCAAATTAGACGTCTCCACGCAATGTCTTTCTTGTGGCATGACCTTGCTGGTGACGTGTGGATGGTAAATTACGGAGATAGCATCTTTCGAGCAGTTGGACTACACCCTCACTCATCCCAGACGGACCAGTCAGCTCAGATATGCCGACAGGGAACACGATCCTTCCCGTCAGTTAATTGTCTCGTCTCCATAATTGCGGGGGTGTATTCGTCCGCGATCCCAGTTCTATGGGGACCCCATGCCAAGACGAAGTACCGACCGACAGGGCGGAAGCTTGTCGTTCTAGGCATGGTACGTCTTCCGCATTTGCCATATATAATGGCCCTCGCAGTGTCTTCTCTGGCTTTTCCTCTCCAGCTAGTTCTGGAAGCTGGTCCCTTTCATACCCTTTCATCTGTTTTCGATTAAGAGAGGCCCAGGTGGATCACTATGTCTCGCCTCCTAATGGTCTGGCCGGGAAGGCATTGCGCATGGCGCAGGTCATTCTCATCATCGCGCCGGCATTTATTATTTTGGTTATAACCAGGCCGGTATTGGGCCACTTGCAACGCTCGAGAGCTGGGTGGATATTCTTTCCTCATTTTGATACCATCCACACCGATGGTGCCGTCAAGTCCCACAACTCCACGAACAAGGGTGCTGTCATTGCGTCTTTTCAAATCGGAGCTCTCATCGGCGACCTGTCTTGCACGTGTATCTCTGAGCGCCTTGGACGTCGAAAGATAATCCGATCTTCAGTGGTGCGATTTTGTTTTGACTATTAACTGTCAACTGCTCCAAGTATCCGGCAACCCGGTGATTCAATTCACCGTCGGACGAATCATCCTTGGTGTAGGAGTTGGCTAATTTAGCGTGGCGGTTCCTGTGTGGCAGTCGGAGTGTTCGTCTGGAAAGAGTCGTGGTCAACATGTCGTCGCCGATGGAATTTTCATGTCTCGGTTATGCTCTACGCAACTGGACCGACTTTGCATTCACTTTTTTGCCCGAAGACAATACCGGCCGATGGCGAGCACCGCTTGCCGTTCCATTTTTCCCCTCGCTCGTCAACTTATTCTCGGTATTCCTCTTACCAGAGTCGCCTCACTGGCTGGTCTGGGTTAGTCGGATTGAGGAAGCATTTGCCAACCTCGCTGCATACAAGGGCACGACTGCGGGCGACGAGATGATCAAGACCGAAATTGCCGGCATCGAGCTTTCTCTCGAAGCAACCGCAAAGTCAAAGAGTGTGGCCAAGGAAAAATTTTCCAAGGACGACGAGGAGCATCTTTTGTATCGCTTCAGTCTGTGTATTGTCTTGCAGTTCTTCCAGCAAATGTGTGGCGGCAACCCCATTTCAGTGTATGCGTCGATTTCAAAGAGAAGAATCTCGGTATGAGCTCGACCCTCTAGCATGCTGGCTGCCTGTGCATTGACCAGGAAATTCCTCTGCTCGTTTATCGCTTTCTTCGCGATCGATCGCCTCGGCCGACGTGCGGTGTTCATGATCAGCGGGACTAGCATGTGTATTTGCATGCTCGCGTTGGCGGTGACAAACAGTTTTGGGTCTGATAATAAGCATGCTACAATCGCTTCGGCAATCTTCATCTTCGTGTTCAACTGCTTCTATCCCATTGGCTTCCTGGGCGGCAATTTCCTATATTGTACTGAGGTTGCACCCGTCAAGCTGCGAGTGGCCGTGGACATGTCCTCTGTCTCAACCGCCAACCACTGGCTGTGGAATTTTGTCGTGGTGATGATTACTCCGGTCGCCTTGGACACAATCGGGTATCAGTATTAGATCATGTATGCAGTGCTGTCTGCATGCATCCCCGGTCCTCGTGTACTTCTTCTACCCGGAGACGATGAACCGGAACCTGGAGTTGCTCAATCACGTCTTCCGGGACGTATCTTCTCCCTGGCAGATTGTGTCCATGGCGCGGCATCTGCCTCAAGGAGAGGTCACTACAGAAGAATTCATTACGGCCAACAAGGATAAGGGTGACGGATGCTCAGTGGAGGTGGAAGAGAATGCTTGATTTTTGTAAACATGGTATACTATATCTGCCAATTAACGCAGACAAATAAAATGTACTAGACAGAGTTTTCGTTGACTAAGAATAAATGATCTTGATGACTTTTCACTGTGCGTATCCGGCATTGCCCGTCATCAACCTCGAGCTTTCCGACGTAGTGACTCTTAGCAGTAGAAATCGAGAGGGATTTATTTAACTTTGGCTCCTTCAACGATGCGGCCCCTCACGGCCTATTTCCGTAGCCCACTTTTTTTAGTGGATGCAGGTTCGTACGCTGGTTGAACTTCCGGCTAATCTATAGGACGAATATGTTATTTTCTATTGAACCTACGTCGGGTAGTATACAAGTCGCACTTCTAACAACGTGTTTTACGAAGAGACTTGAGTTCAAATGACGTTCTACTGCGCATTCAGCAAAGATCCCGAATCACTGCAGTCTGCTGAATCCTCGAAGATACCTCAGGCGCTCGGCGAGACCGGACTCTTGGCAGGGGCCTCGGCGAGACGAGGCCACATCGGAATGCCGATGCGGAGGAAAAAGATGCCGGGAGCAAACCTCACCCGCAAATCACCGCGCGCTCAAAGGTCACCCCGGCCACCACACGCCAATCCAGGCGCCGCGCAAGTCGTGTTCATGGGGCCCTTTATGTAACGCGGCTCGAACGCTCGGTCGCAGAAGCCAATTGCAGGGCGGACCCAAGCCTGCTCAAGCCTAGCCGCAAACCACTGACAGTCCCCTCCGTTTATCGGTACTTCTACCCCGGAGTCGACCACCAGCCCCAGCAGAACATGGCACCGGCCACACATACGAGGCCTTTGCGTCATGGTGTCAGGCCGGAGGAGACCACCACCACTTTCATCGGGAGGTGAGCGCGGGACTTTCGGCGGCAAGAGGCTCCGTCATTGGTTCTGGGTGGATTCCGTCTGGCCGGATATCCGATGGCGGGATCCGCCGAGGACGACCATGGCCAGGGGCCTGACGTGCAATGGGCCTGGTTGATATCTGGATGCTGCGATAATTGCTGCCCGGACTTGTTACAAGCCGACCTGGTATCCGTGTTGCCGCGGGAGATTCCGGATTCCTGCGAGATATCGATGGAGAGAGCGGAAGAGGTGTTGGAGGCGGTTCTATACTTATAGATATGGTTCCCATGAAAAGTTCTTAGTTTAGATCTTCTCTTTATTATAATAGACCATTGCAAAACTATATCCTCATCTCTTCATTGAAACGATCTTCACTTCATTCAAACTGACATGGCTCCTTCAATCAACGACGTCCCTGTTGCTCCTACCATCTCCCCTTCGGCCTGCAAGGTCGGCATCAATGGCTTCGGTCGGATCGGTCAGTATATCTCTTTCACTTATGTTATGACATGGCTTACTGATTTCTCACAGGCCGCAATGTCCTCCGTGCTGCTCTCGTCCGCTCCGATATCGACGTCGTCGCCATCAACCATACTTGCGTCACCGTTGAAGACTTGATCTACCTGATCCGCTATGACTCCTCCATGGGCGATCTGGACGAACGAACCGATATCCAGGCACACTCAAACAACCTCATTACCATCGATGGCAAGCGTATTGCCCTGACGTCAGAGCGTGACCTCAAGCAGCTCAACTGGGCAACCCTGGGCGTCGACTATGTCCTCGAATGCACCGGAAAATTCACCAAGCGTGACCTGGCCATGGACCACGTCAACCACGGCCAGGCTAAGCGGGTGCTCATCTCAGCTCCCAGCTCCGACTCTCCCACTTTTGTCTACGGTGTCAACTCGGATTCCTATACACCTACTGAAGACTGCCGTGTCGTCTCCAATGCCAGCTGCACCACCAACTGTGTGACCCCGGTTCTGAAAGTGCTCGACGAGACCTTTGGCGTTACCCAGGGCTTCCTGACTACTGTTCACGCTGCTACCCGATCCCAGCAGGTTCTGGATGGATACAGCAAGAAAAATCGCCGTCTCGGTAAGGCAACACAAAGTTATATGGCTGTTTTGCACTGGTTACTTTGCTAACAGGCTACGTGTCCAGGTCGTGGCGTCTTTAACAATATCATTCCCACATCCACCGGCGCCGCCAAAGCCGTCGCAGCTGTTCTCCCTGATCTGAAGGGTAAGGTCACCGGCGTGTCCATCCGCGTACCAACGTAAGTCCGTCTGCTTCTCTTGTGCGTCCTATCTGTCAAAGACAATAAACTAATAGTATCAAATCCAGCCCCAACGTCTCCATGATCGACCTCACAATCAGCACCACCAAGCCCACATCTCTCCAAGAAATCCTCAGCGCCTTCCGTCTCGCCTCGAAAACCACCATGGCCGGCGTTCTTCGCGTAACCGACGAAGAACTCGTCAGCCAGGATTACAACGGATCTCCGTACAGCGCTATCATCGATGCGCCTGCGTGTTCTGAGCTGAACCCACAGTTCTTTAAGATTATGGCGTGGTATGATAATGAGTGGGGATACTCGAACCGCTTGCTGGACTTGACGACTCATGTGCATGCCCTGGAGGTTTAGATGCACTTTAATTTTTATTTTATTTTCATGTGTGGTGTTTGGGTAGGTTAATGTTATTTGATTTTAGATATATACATCTTAGAACTTCAATATACATGGTTATGGATTTGCCTCATCGTTCCTACGCCAGGGTGCTAGGCGTCTTATGTACAAATGTACACTAGTGTACCGATCAATCATTTGGTGATGCCTGACGTAATGGTACCCGCGCGGAAGGACAGACTACTGGTAGTTTCGAATATTCACAGTGTTTTAAACAAAGCGGAGCTTTTGAAGAGAAATGAAATCTATTTTTCGTACATCAAGGCATGACTCAACGGGTATCGATACGTATCTAATCCTCATCCATCGACTCCCACCCATCAGGGCCATCAGCTTGAGCACCCTCGCCGCCCTCAGCGGCACCCTCATCATCAGACTCCTCCTCATCATCATTAACACCGAGTATACGCTCGGGCACATCGCCCGCGAGATCCGGCATGCGCGAGACGAAGGTTCGGCGCACAGCACCGTTCGTCGACGCATCCCAGATCTGCACGGTACCCTTGCTGCCGGCAACGGCCAGACGGAAGCTGACCTCCGGGTCGGGTGCGAAGGCAGTCGAGAAGACCTTGCCAACATCCAGCTTGCGTGACACGACGAGGCTGGGCTTGTCGTTCTCGACGTTCCACAGCTTGACTTCCTTGTCTGTGGAGCCGGTGACAAGGAAGCCGGGGATAGTGCGGTTGATGTCGAAGGAGGAGACGGAGGAGTCGTGAGCCTGCAGAGACCAGACGGGCTTGGACTCGGCCGGAGTGGCGGGGGCATTGCGAATGTCGTAGCGGTAGACCATGCCACCGTCTGTGGTGACGTAGAAATAGTTCGGATCATGCGGGTCCCAGCGGACGTTCTCAACGTCCGAGTCGACGCCCCAGCGAGCCTTGGAGTCGGGGGAACGCATGTCGGCGGCAACGATAGTGCGGTCGTAGCTACCACTCAGGAGAACTGTCGACTCCTTGGGATGCCAGTCCAGCGAGCAGACCTTGTCGGTGTGGTGCGAGTAGGACTTGGCACAGCTGGTGGTGTTGAGATCCCAAAGCTTGACAGTTCGGTCTGCGGAGGCGGAGGCCAGAAGGTTGCGGTGCTGGCGGTTGGCAGCGAGAGCCAGGATGGAGTCGATGTGGTACTCATCGTTGGCCTTGCTCTTTTTCTTGGACTTCTTGGGCTTGGAGTCTCCGTTGTCCTGCCCACCTTGCCCCAGGATGGCATTGGGGTACATGCTGTCGACAACGTCCAAATCCCAAATCTCAATATCAGGCTCCATGGTTCCAACAGCCACAAAGTTTCCGGTTGTGCGCTCCTCGTTGGGCTTGCCGCCGACGGGGACATCCAGCCACTCCACGCAGAGAGGAATACCGGGCAGCATGATATCGTGGTGGACGTAGAGGTTGTCGGCCTGGTCCTCGTAGACGTAGACCTCGAGATGAGCGACTTCGTCCTCGACCTTACCAGCCAGAAGCAGGTTGTCGGTGGGCATAATCTGCAGCTCCTCGCGCTCCTCATCTTTGTCCTCGTCCTCGGGGATGACGAGGTAGGGGTCCTCCTCGTTGGGCTGGTGGTAGGCCAGAGACTGGACATTGCCGAACATGGTAGCCCTCTCGCCATCCTCGTCAATCTCATCATCATCGTAGGTGTCAAGGTCGAACTCCTTCAAAACATCATCGTCCCTGGCAGAGGTAATTAGGATATTGCGCATCGTCAATTGGGCCGCAGTACATACTCGGTGCTCTTAGAGCCAGAGCCAGAGCCTTTCTTGGAGTCCTTGTTCTCTTTCGCACCCTCAGAGGCTTTCTCATTACCCTCGTCCATAGCTTCGTCCTCGTCATCACCATCCTTGCCATCCTGAGCGGCACTCAACCCCTCCTGCGCATCTTCAAGCTGCATGCGGGCCAACTTCGATATCCGGCCCATTTCCTCCTCGTCAATCTCATATTTTGTAGGGAACTGGGCTGCGACACCGCGCCGCACCCAGGCCGTAGTTGTGATCATCGAAGACATTTCTGATGACAATCGCTTTATATTGACAGTCGACTCCAACTTTTTTTTATCGGCGATATTTTTTTATCGGTGTGTCGGGCGGGGCGGACCGGCAGAACGGGACAGATCGACTCACCGCCCGGGGATTTTGCGGCGTCACAGCGCATGCCTCGCCAGCTCCGATCCATTGCGTTGAACGTCACACCACATTGCTGCACTTTCGTTGGGTCTTGGTTTGCTCAAAAACATCAATACGCCATCATGCATTCTCACCTGCACACTCCCTATAACGTCAGTACGTACATCCAGCGTTCATGGCATCCCTCCATACGTTACACATCATACGATGAAGTTGCGGTCCTAACAATTGCAATGCAGATTGTGAGGAGGTAATGACGGCCCTCGATGAATGCCACGCACGCGGATTCCTCTACAAAGCTGTTGGCAACTGCAACGACATCAAGCGCGAAGTCAACAAATGTCTCTCTGCCGAGCGAGCCGACCGGGCGAAGCGCAACCGGGACGATGCGCGAAACAAGCGCGCGCGGATTGAGGAGATCTGGGCTCGTGAGCGGGGACAGGATCGTGCTTCCACTTCTGCTGATGCTGGTTCTGGTGCTGCTGCCAATGCAGAGAGCTCGGGAGCCAAGCAATGAGTCGTGATAGTTTAATGCGAACATGGGATTGCAACGGAGTTCTTCATGTCGGGTTTCGGTGTTTTCTTTTTCGGCGAATCTCTTCTCTTTGCAAAAGTCAGAGGCTTGTACGATACTGGGCATGTATATATAGATATATATCAAAAAAATCAGCTATTGCATATGCTACTATATTCTTCTAGTGCAGCGGGAAAGAAACAAGGTCCATGGCAAAACTAGCCTGGTAACCTTGAAACACATTGTAATGGATATCTACATTGCACAGGATAGAGCTTCGTCTGTAATCGGTTGACATGTACAAAATTGACTTGTCTCGTAATATTGGATGTACATCTAAGAATACACCATGTCACTTTTTGATATGGTACCTGATCCGAACGCCATGCCGTGTAGAAATGAAAAAGGGGAAGGGTATGCAATCCTCGACATTTGACTGTTACTCGTCAACCTCCATGGAACCGGTATTAGGACCAGTCTCGGTAGATGGCGCAGCATCGTCGTTGCCATGAGGAGCAGCATTCTTGTGATGATGTCGGCGTCTCCTCTTAGGCTTAGAAGCACCTGCCTCTTCACCACCCGGCTGCTCAGCCGCATCATCGTTCTTGCTTGTCTCCTCAGTGTTCTTCAGAGACTTGCCCTTCTTCGGAGTAATAGCGGGACCAGCAACCACCTTCTTCTTAGACTTCATCACACTGAGCGGGTTCGGCCCCTTCACCTTCGGTCCTTTCTTCTTCTTGGGCTCTTCTGTCGGCTTATCCGACGCAGCATCGCCCAGGCCAAAGCGGAACTTCGCCTTCTCGGCGTTGTCCCGCACGTTCTCGGACGGGCTACTCATGGGCTCCAGGACCATAACCGAGCGCTTGACGTAGATGATAGGTACACCCGGAATGGAACGCGCGCGAAAACGGAGCATCTGTGCGCGGCGGACCGCCCGTTCCTCTTCGCGCTCTTCGTCGCGCTTACGCTTGCGCTGTTGCGTATCATTCTTATCTTGCTTCTTCACGGGGGCGTCGGCCGTAGCAAGGATGTAGTGCTCCTTGTTCTTCTTGGTATCGGCATTGGGCGACAGCAATGAAAGAAGACAGTCGATCTCGTCGATGGGCTCGGATTCAGTGTTGTGCGAGCAGTGACGGAGCGGAAGTTCTGTTGGAGGGGGAGATGGCGGGGACGGTAAGGCTGGTTGGTCTTGGGGTTGATTGGTTGCGCAGCCATGATGGCAGCCAGGGAGCACTTGGTCAACACTTAACAAACGGCTCTGTCAGTTCCAATGGGCTTTCTCAATCGCAAATCGTCCGGTTCCATCGCCGAAGGCTTCATGCCCGGGATGTCTGGTGGGCCGAAAGTACTCACGTGGCTTGGGCTTTCCCTGGAGAGTCCGCTCCAATGAGGGAATCAACTCCATCTTGAAAGAATCGATGGCATGGAGGAAGTTCGAGTCCACTGTTTCGTCGTTAGTAGATGCTCCAGATCCCGGCTTGAAAGAAGCACATACCAAGCACCTGATAAGGCTCACGAAAGCCAAACGTCATCTCATACTGGTGCATTAACTTGCGATACTTCTTGGAACGTTTGGCCCTCATTTTGAAGGTCCGTCGTCAAAATATTGAGCGATGAGATCTTCGATGTTGCTGTGGTGCTACGGACGAAACTTTTTTTTTAATTTGCCGGGCGGCGGGAAAGGCGGCGGGAAAGGCGGTGGGGTAGGTGCGGAGGAACTCTTGAGGTATACAGGGTCTCCCGTCTAAAAAACCATGAAGCTCACTAAGACGGAGAGTAAAATACAGTGCCATTTTTTTCTCTTCTGGATAATGAGTGGAGTCTGCTGTTATTCTGCGCTTGGCTTCCAAAGAGAAACATTAAAAGTGCTAAAAGTAATCACAAATTCGGCTCTAGTTGGCCAGGTCATGTAACGCCAGTATCCTCCATGCAAATGTAAAAGTGCCGAGTCGTGAATCATGAACATAGAAAATAAAAGACATTTTCGTGGGTGGTATTTGCCCATTAGCTGACGGGGTTGATGAAAAATGCGGTGAGCATTATCGGCTTCATCAGGGCCATCGGGGCCATCGGGACCATTGGTGATGCGGCCAGGCTTCGAAGATGTTACTCGTACCTGGTGGTCGAGCGAAGCAGCTGCGCAAACAAGAGAGCCGTATGTTCTGGGACTTTGCTCTGCTCGTATGCTTCCTGGATGTCAGGATAGAAATATATGCCTGTTGGTGGTCACGTAGGTTGTGGCGCTCTGCAATCATCCAGCCCGCTTCTTGCAAGAGGCAATCACGACTGAGATATCGTCCATCTTTCCTCCCTCGATGGCCAATCCTTCGTCGACTGCCTTCTCCATGAATGGACTCTCCGCAAAAGGGTCTTGGGCGATATTCAGAGCTGCATTTAGAAGCTCTCGCGCGGCATAGACCATCCGGTCATTCGACAAATCTGAAGGAGGAGCCAGATCACCCGGCTCCATCCGTCCCTCGTCCCATTTTTTTAGACTGTCCAGAACGACTTTCAGGACTTCATGTTCCCACAGATTATCCATGACTCCGTCGGACACGGCTAGAACCAGATCGTCTTCTTGGAGGGCGATCTTGGAAAGCACGGCGTCTTTGCGGGGGGTGTCAACGCTGTTGGTCCCGAGCTGCATCGGGCAGTCGAACCAGTGCCACTGCTCCGCCGTTCGGAAGAGAATCTTCTGCTCGCTGGGTCGGATCACCATAATCTTGCAATCACCCAGGTTCGTGACGTAGAGTAGGGGTTTCTGGGTGCCATCTGGTTCGCGGTTCCAGTGGAGAAGGGCCGTGGCAGAGGTCGTGGTCCCATACCACTCGGTTGGGGAAGTTGTTGCTTGGAAGGTTTCTTCGTATGCGGATTGGAGGTATTCGATCGGGTCGACGGTGGTCGCATTGGAAGTGACTCGGCGCTCGATTTCCAGGGCCCAGAAATGCAGTAGCAGTCTCGACCACAGGCTGTCACGGTATTCCATGTTAGACCCATGCGACACCCAAATCGCAAGCCAAGCAAATAAGGGAAGAAACTTACGCTGCATGGCCATGGGGCTTGGTCGCCCAGGCGCCTACGCCGTCGTCGACGCCGAGAAAGTTCTCCGCAACGATGATCGCATCGTCGCCATTGTTCAGGCCGCGGATCAGCTCTCCCTGGACGGACAGGCGCTTGTCCTGGCTTAGAGAATGGGTGGTGAGGGGATCGGAGAAGGAGGAGGACGGAGGGGACAGGAACGGTGGGGGGAACGGTCGAGACGGGCGCTTAGCGCAAAGGGCGTATCCCGTCTCGAAGAGAAACGGCGACCTGGCGAGGCTCACGTCGTGGCGGTCGGGAACAGGCGTGGTGGTGCCGTACGAGGGCCACACAGCTGCGTGGTAGGGCTGGGCAGTGCGCGGTCGCAGGGTCTGTCCGGAGGGCTTGAGAGCGGCAAACCAGCGCTTCGCAGCTGGCCATGGGAGAGACGAGAGCACGCCTGCCGTGGTCACCATGCCGGACGGAGCGCCTCTCCGCGCACCAAGGACCGAGAATGATAAGAGAAGGGGGCCTTAGGTCATGGCCGTGGGAGGAAAGAAGGAGGGAGTGTCTGCGCCGTCTGAAAACCGGGCGGGCTCTTTCACCGGTGAGGCCGTGGAGAATGCAGTCTCTCACTGGCCTGCGCCGCCGAAGTGTGCTGGACTCTACTCCGTACGGCGTGTCATATGAAGACGGCAGCCTCCGCTACGCCGCACTTCTCAGCCTGGCTGGACTTTATGGAAGGCACAGCGGGATTGCATATTCATACGTGTCTTCAACTGCAATAACTACACTACCCTAAGGTATTATACTACTAGTGGTGTGGTTTCGGGGATAGTCGCTGGATGCCAGTGGGGACTTTTTTACATTCTGAGTCTTATCAAGGCGACCCAAGGCTCTCCAGGCTCTACGGCTGGGTCCCACTATTCGATTTTGATATTATCTACTGTCCTGTCCTAGGGTACCCCTGGCTGAGTAGTGCTGGGGTATCTCAAATCAATAGAAATAGCTTCATGACAGGCACATCAAATCGGGGGGTCGATGTTAATCGGCTTGTCGAATAGAAAGTACTTACCTTGGGTTACCTTATTGTACGACCTTCACGCAAACCCGAGAGGGTTTAGTGCAGGGTCGTGCTATCAGAAGATGGGACCGTCATTGACAAAGCAAGTAGTTCACTGGGCCCCTACCTATTGGGCACTACATCAGTTATGTAGGTGTCATCTACCCTCGGGTAGGAAATCATCATCACCGTAATCTGTGAATGTCGTAAAACAAAGAATGTCTCTAGCTCCGCGAAAAGTTAGGAATGGGCGAACGTTCCTTCGTGATCTCCGATTCAAACAGGCGCATCGCTCTGCACAGTTCCTTAGTCATTTCCTCATCTTCAACGTTGCGCTGAAGGCTGGCCAATCCCTGGAAACAGGCCCATCCCAGGGTGTCCACCCGGGCCTCAAACTTGTACCGACCGGGACCCTTACGATAGTAGGACAACGCCACGCGAAGCTGTCGCTCAGCGCACGGACAGGCGCGCTCCACATTGTAGGTGCATTCGCGGGCGCAATAGCAGATCGCGTGGCAGATACACTTGCGTTGCTTGGCGAGATGCAAGAGATGGCAGGTCGGATCTTTGCGGCGCTCATCACCCACCGATTCACCTTCCAGCTTGGCCAAGGTGGCAATGCGATGGTCTTTGATAATATCCTTCTCCCAGAGGGCATAGTCAGCAGCCTTCATGTGGATAAAAGGGAGCGCGGTGGTAGGCACGTCGTTCTCAGGCACTGCTTTGGGCACCATAGCAAAGTATTTCTCGGAGATCAATGCCAGCAGCTCGGCTGGGATCTCGCTGAAGAATGGAAGAAGAGCAGTCCATTTCAGGGTGAATTCGCAGGTCCTCTCATTCACGATATTCATCGCAAATCGGCGAAAGCCTAGCAGGTCGTCATTGTTGAATCCCCTGTTTGTTTCCTTCTGCCAGAGCCGGCGGATGTAGTCTTCCTGGTATCTGTGCTCAACGGCCTCGTGTCGCTGCGCACATACATTGGGCGAGTCAAGCAAGTCCTTCATCGCCAGGAAGACGCGATACATATGGTTCGGATCCGGTAGATAGAATTGATGGCCGTTCGAGCGCGGGCGAGGTTCCATTTTGAATTGGGCACATAACTCGATGGCCGACATCTCAAGGATGATTCTGGAATAGAGCACATAGTACAGGTTCTCCACGATCTGAATCAGGGTCTCCAGAGAGTCAGTCCGTACCTCAGCCTCAGCACACTTGATCCAGTAGGCAAGCCCCGGGTAATTCTCGTCAGTCTATAAAATGTCAAGAGTTAGCAAGCTGTGGCTTCGACGGCGGGTATACATACCTCCACGCCATAGGCCAGAAACGCAACATGGAGGATCTTGGCCACGGCAAAGAGCTGAATGAAGATTTTGAGCACTGGGCGAAGATGGGCGGACCTTTCCATCCGGTCCAGTCCCTCTGTGCCCAGTACAACGGACGCTCTTGGGGTAGATGGATCTTCGGAGGCCGGAATCCATTCACTATCACTCACACGGTAAGGGTGAGTGTGTCGCGCGGAGGTAGTCATCTGTACAAGGATTGATAGTCAATATGAGTTCGGCAGGGCGTGGAGGTGGGAAAAAGGAGGTGCAGAAGGCAACGATGGAGGACGCCAACTGGGATGGGACCACACACCATGGGGTCAACGGTCTCGTCTGCTGGGGAAGGAGGCAACAGTACCGATTGAACGTCCGAGGCTTCCTTGTCATCCCGGCTGTAAATCGACGAAGAGTATCGACAATGGTCATTCGGCGTGTTGACACTCGATTCCTCCTGCTTATCTGGACTCGAGGGACTGATGGTCGACGGAGTGATGATTGACGGATTGATGGTTGATGCATCGCTTTTCCGGGAATTTTTCTCGTCGGTGATTCTCAGACGTTCCGCGCTGGACCGAAAACGCCTTGCGATCGAGCTCCAGGCCCGACTCTTACGGCCTTGTTCCATGTTGAGTCGGGGCCAGGAAAAGAGCGGGGGTTGTAGTTCTGGTTGTGACGCATACAAGGGTCGACCGAGGAAGAAAAACAAAAAGGATGCAGTAAACAGGAAAACTTCAAGCCACCGGGGGGTAAATGTGCGACAGCGGGCTGGACGAGGTGGTAAGTGAGGCAGGCGCGGCCTGGCGCCGGCACTTGCCTTCACTTCACCTCACCTCGCTTCACTTCATCTCATCCGACCAGCCAAGGCCAACTTGAGGACTACCTTCAGGAAGAGTAGGTCATGGAGGCCACCTAAACAGATACTGGCAGTGAACGAAACACAGATCGATAGATGGAAGGTACAGTTTCAAAGAAAAGTCTACAATGGAGCAGGAGCTTGCCTTACAATGAAAAGAATTGCTGATTCGTTAACGCTCTCCAAGGTAATATATCAACAGGAAGCCGTTGCGAGTCTAGCTCTGCACACGGAATGTTCGTCCACTGGCAGTCTTGCGCTCGCGCTCTTCGTTTTCGGGTCGGGCACGGTTGAGGACTTGTAATAGTCAGCATGTAACGTACGAGTAGTCTTTGGGGGAAGCGAAATGCTTTCATACCTTGGAGGAAGTCTGCCGTCCGCTTGCGCATTCGAGTGTGGATGTATGCCTATCATGGATGATCAGTCAATGACAGCAGAGATTGACGGGGGAAAATGCCGACATACCTTAGAGGCCTTGATATGGTAGTGGAAGTAATCACGGAAGGTCTGGATGTGGGAGATGTTTTCATAGCGGCGCTGAGGGGTCAAGTGTCGGGGGAACAAGACTATGAGAGGAGCCATGTCAGTATTGCGGCACAGAGAGATACTGAAGGACTTAGACTGCTCAGGTCTCTTACCGAAGGTGACGTAGCTAATCTCGCCCTCGCCGGTGTTCTTCAGGCCCGGGACTCCCTCCAACTCAAGTGGGGGATCACTACGGAACAGCACCTGGGGCGCATTCTGTAGAGTCACGACACGGCGTCTGGCATCCACGAATTCCTGCCAGTTGTCAGTATTTGGCCAAGGACCCCTGAATATCTGGGATGCGACGAACCTGCAGGAAGACCTTGCCGAAGATCCGATCGGTCTCCTCGCGGAACACAGTGCTAAAGATCACCGTCACACGGTCCCAGCTGGCTTTGATATAAATAGCCTCCTCCTCACGGTAGTGAATCGCCATCACATCACCGCCTTCCTTTACGCCTTGCGGGGCGGACTCTGACGTGTATCGCGATGCCTCCTCGGCAAGTTTGGTGAATTCATCGAAGGCTCGCTCGAACGGCGCGGCCATGGCGTTGCGCTTCAGCAGGGCAAGCTTCATAACCAGCTCATCACGGGCTTCCTGTTCGGCGGGGAGGTTCTCCAGGTCGACTTGTACTGAGAAATCGTAGCCGGGTTCGGGGGTCACGATGTACGGGCCATATTCCCGCTCCAGCACGGCCTGGGCGCCATACTGCACGAGTTCCTTGAAGCACTTGACGTTGATCGAGATGAGGATCTTGGTCTTGGACTCGGGTGTCGAGAGGTGGAATGTCACTCCGTCAAAGTCAGAGACCACCTGGTCAATCGACGCCGGGGTAGCACTGCGGGCAACTGTTAGCTTGGGAGCCTAGGTGGCTGTGTATACAACGCCGCAATGGAGGAGGGGTGGAAAGACGATCATGAAGAGGGGTGATGTGTACCTGGAGAACCGCTCCGTTAGGAGAGATTGGATCAAAACGTTCTGATAGTCCAAGAGAAGCATGATTGGCACGCAATGGGGAGACGGATGTTGTGAGGTTGGCAGTTGGGGGCAAGCCGCGCGATCGTCATGGGCGGTGGGGGAGCCGGATAGGTCGCTGCCGCCGCCCGTAATTAATTTTGTGCTATCGATAGCAGCGTCGGCGTCTCCAAAAATTTTCCCATCCACCCAAGATGGTGAAATCTTACTTGTGAGTGTCGCTGGCGTTCCAATTCTGGATCCTGTGTCTCTGACTTCTTTCTTTTTAGCAAATTCGAGCACTCGAATACGTTCGGGCTCGTCGCCTCGGCGACCTCAAATGCGATCTGGACAAAGGATGAGCCGACCGGCGGCGCAGTTCGCCAGACAGGCGCAGGTCGGGCCATTGTCGGTGCTAGCGAGGAGGTACTTTGCTGGGATGTGAAGAAGGGGGAATTGTTGGGACGCTGGCGCGACTCGGCGTGCAAAGCGCAAGTGACCGTGGTTACGCAGAGTAAGACGGACGAGGATATCTTCGCGGTTGGGTAAGTTCCACCAATACCAATTCTACATTTTTCAGAGATTAACATTGGATACTTCTCCTTGTAGATATGAGGATGGCAGCATTCGCATCTGGGATTCTAGAACCAGCACGATCATCATTTCCTTCAACGGTCACAAGTCCGCCATTACCCAACTCGCCTTCGACCACGCGGGCGTGCGCATTGCCAGTGGCTCCAAGGATACCGATATCATCGTCTGGGACCTGATCTCCGAGACCGGTCTTTTCAAGCTTCGAGGACACACCGACCAGATCACCTCGCTCCACTTCCTCTTTCCGTCACCCGAAATACTCCAGGCGTCAGGCATGAGTGAGCATTCGGGCTTCCTGTTGACCACTGGCAAGGATGCGTTGATCAAGATTTGGGATCTGGCATCACAGCACTGCATCGAAACCCACATTGCGCAGACAAATGGTGAATGTTGGAGCCTGGGTCTTTCACCCGACCAAGGTGGCTGTATCACCGCCGGCAATGATGGAGAGTTGAAGGTCTGGTCGATTGATGAAGGAGCTATGGTTGAGATTTCGAAGGAAAATTTGAGCGCAAATGGTCGCCGAATCCTTACTGACCGGGGAACTTTCTACCGCCACGGCAAGGATCGTACACTCGGCATCCGATTCCATCCTCGCCTGGATTACATTGGTGTCCATGGCTCCGAGAAGTCGGTGGAGATCTGGCGCATTCGATCACAGACCGAAGTGCAGAAGAGTATGGCGCGGAAGCTTAAGCGCAGAAAGGAGAAGGAGGCGCAACGCCAAGCCGAGGAGAAGGGAACTGATGCTGACAAGGAAAAGGCCAAGGATGCCTCTTCTGCTCCCGTCTCGGAAGTCTTCGTTCCCCACGTCATTGTCCGAACCGGTGGAAAGATCCGTTCGTTCGACTGGATGACCAACAAGTCTAGCGGGTTGAATCTGCTTGCCGCAACAACAAACAACCAGCTTGAGGCATACAACGTTGTTCCGGCGAACAAGAAGACCAAGGATGAGGAAGACTCGGAGTATACCCGTAGCCTGGCCGTGGATATCCCAGGCCACCGCACAGATATCCGGTCAATTTCTTTGAGCTCCGATGACCGCATGCTTGCCTCTGCTTCGAACGGTAGTTTGAAGATTTGGAATGTCCGTACTGAGGCCTGTCTGCGTACTCTTGAGTGTGGTTATGTCCTCTGCTCTGCATTCCTGCCTGGTGACAAGATTGTGGTTGTTGGAAACAAGAATGGCGAACTGGAAGTGTTTGACATTGCGTCTTCGACCCTACTGGACACGATCAAGGCGCATGATGGCCCTGTCTGGTCTCTTCATGTTCACCCTGATGGAAAGTCCATGGTCAGTGGAAGTGCAGACAAAACTGCCAAGTTCTGGGAGTTCAAGGTTGTTCAAGAAGAGATTCCCGGTACCAAGCGTACCACTCCTCGTCTCAAGCTGGTGCACACCAGAACCCTGAAGGTCAGCGACGACATCCTCAGCCTTCGCTTCTCGCCGGATTCCCGACTTTTGGCGGTCTCTTTGCTGGACAACACTGTCAAGGTCTTCTTCGTCGACTCCCTCAAATTATACTTGAATCTTTACGGCCATAAGCTTCCAGTTCTGAGTATGGATATCTCTTATGATAGCAAGCTGATCGTGACTTGCTCGGCCGATAAGACTGCACGCCTTTGGGGACTGGACTTCGGTGATTGCCACAAATCTCTGCTTGCCCACGAGGACAGTGTGATGTCTGTGGCCTTTGTCCCGCACAACAAAGACGGAAACGGTCACAACTTCTTTAGTGCCAGTAAGGACCGGGTCATCAAATACTGGGATGGCGACAAGTTCGAGCATATCCAGAAGCTGTCCGGGCACCATGGAGAGATCTGGGCTCTGGCCATGAGCCACTCGGGTGATTTTATTGTCAGTGCCAGTCATGACAAGAGCATTCGTATCTGGCAGCAAACAGATGAACCCTTGTTTCTGGAGGAAGAGCGCGAAAAGGAAATGGAGGAGGCTTATGACAACACCCTAACCGCATCTCTTGAGCAAGACGAGGACGGCGAGGATGGTGAGAAGGCCGAAGCAGTTGATGCCGGCAAGCAGACTACAGGCACCTTGATGGCTGGAGAAAAGATCATGGAAGCTTTGGATATCGGCATGGAGGATCTCGCGATCGTTCAGGACTGGCGCAGAGTCAAGGCGACAAACCCGAATGCCGCACCTCCTGATCGCAACCCGTTGTATCTTGCCCTGAACAACGTGTCCGCTGAGCAACATGTTCTCAATACCGTGCAGAAGATTCCAGCGGCCGCTTTACAAGATGCTCTCTTGGTTCTGCCCTTCTCCAAACTCGACGCCCTCTTCACCTTCCTCAATATCTGGGCCGAGCGCGAGTGGAACGTGCCTCTTACCTGCCGCGTTCTATTTTTCATGCTGAAAACACATCATCGCCAAATTGTTTCAAGCAAGATCATGCGCCCGATGCTTGACAGCATCCGTGCCTCGCTGCGCCGTGTGCTTGCTCGTCAAAAGGACGAGATAGGATTCAACCTTTCTGCCCTGCAATTCATCGGCAACCAAATCCGCGAGCACAACACCAAGGATTATATCGATGAGGAGAACTGGACAGAGCCGCAGACGCAGCAGGGAACCGGCAAGAAGCGACAGTTCATGAGCGTCGCTTAAACGGTGAAGAATCGATACGAGCATGGTCAATTGGCGTTGTCGGGTCATTTTTTGACCTTTGTTTACATTTATGTTTGTCGTATAAAAGTTTTATATCCTTGGGAGTTTAGAACAAGGGATGTATCATACTGATCTGTTTCGAATATGACCACTGGCAATTCATTCTGGATTATAATAAAGCTATGGAGCACCATTTTCTCACGCACTCAGGTCTAGTACCTTTCCTCCAACGTAAACATGAATCGAAATGTAGCAGAGTATAAGGGCTATATAGCAATTCTTGACCTATGAATCGGAAACATTGTTAGAAGCCAATCCATGTCACCAACGTCTCCCGCCGACGCGAGCAAGAAACCAGCTTCGAAAACTCCTTTCAGCAGAACCATTATAAGCATCGACGACAGACAGTAAGTACCGCTGCCATACCTTTTCCGGCTCTTCCTAAAATTTTTGGTTCGATGATAGGTCTCATCACTTTGGAGTGCTTCGGCTGGTCTCCTCTGCGCGTGGTCACGGGGGATAGGAAGTGTGGAACGTACCGAGAGGTGGGTAGCCAACATGAGAAAAGAGGCTAGGACATTTCTAGGCTCCAATCATGCTGGCACGTATGTCGAGGGCGATGTTGGGATTTTCCCTGGTGCAATCGAGTGCAGGAGAGAAATAAATGGGGAGACGGCGAAAATAATTCAGTGGAGGGATTGCTTACATAATTGTAGTCTCTTCTCACGTGCTGTGTGGGGCGGTGGTAGCTCTCTTAATACCATAGTGAGGGCACCCTTTATTTGAGGTAGATACTCAATAGTATGAAGATAGTAATAATGCTCGAAGGTATCTCGTGGTCCCCAATGATCGGCTAGCTAGATTTTCTATGCATGTCTGATCCGACAGGGGTAGGTGTGTGGGGGAGGAGAGATGGCGACTAGCGAGGCTTTAGTAGATAGAGATACAACAGCAACGCCAACATAAGATCTTAAAGTGTAAGAACATTACTCGGCCTGTTAAAATTGAGAATTTCATTTCAGTATTGGGTTTTCCAAGCTCAATACGTCGCTTGCTCAGATAACAGGTCACGCCCCCCTGTCAGTCAAGAGGACTGTTTCATCTTCCCACAAGCCGAGCAAGTCCACCATTGAGTCTCCATGAAGCTACCACACTGATCGCAAAGCCATCCTAATGGGCGCTTACTATGATCACGCTGTAGGGAAGCAAGGGTGTCTAAAGCTCGGGTCCGGTTCTTGAATGCGAATGTATCCCGTGCAGGCGGCCCGTCCTTTTCTTCTTCGGCTTGATGTTGACGTTTCTTTGTATTGTTTTGTTTAGGGCGCTCGGTCCCTCCTGACGAAGCACCTGGTGCGCTGCTTGATGGAACTGGCCGTTCCGAAGCACAGGCATCACAGCAGAGATAGCTGGCAGGGTTTTCAAGTGTACATGTTGGACATGTCCACGGTGTCTCGTAAGAGCTATTGTCCGCACTATTATCGGCAGTCAGGTCAAATAATGTAGGTGTCTTTTCCGGTTTCGATATTTGTTGCTCTTTTGGCGCGCTTGAAGCCTCTGCTTGGGAAGACCCCTGAGGAATCGATGGGTTGGGCGATTCCGCGGTGCGAGGGCCGGCTGGGTTTTCTTGACTCGGTGGAATGTATGAAGATCCATACTTCTCTCGCTCTTCTTCCTGGATTAACTCAATAAAGGCCTGTAAAATGGCCTCTTCGTTCGCATCATCCTCTTCCGCCTTCGTCCTGAACCCATTCTGTGAAGCTTCCTTGGCCAGCTCTGTGCTTCGGTCGGTTCCAGAGGCACAGCCGTTCATTACCTCAGCTCGACGCTGTGCCGCGTCCGCTCGTAGTTTGCGAATATCGGTCCCCCGAAGGTGCCGAGTACCACCAAGCCTTTTCCCGGAGGTTTTTGAGATAAGCCGTCGTTGCTCTGCAGCCGCCCGAGCCTGCCGGCGCGCCTCATCGATTGGGATTCTGCTCCCGCCAAGACGTTTGCCTTCAGACAAGAATCCCTCGCCGGTGTATCCCTTGATGACCAGCTCCTCATGCTCATCTCTGAGCTGATTCCAGAGAGCATGGAATTCCCGGTGATGAGGGCCATGGACAATATGGCAGAGCCTAGTAGCCTAGGTTAGTCAATGTCAGGTCGGGTATCGGATAGAAACAACTTACTCATGCAACATAGTGTCCACGACCTGTTCAAAAGGAAGGAACTGCTTCTGATCGGAAGCGTACCGTAGTCTCAGGCAAATCTTCTGGCCAGAGTTGACATTCAGTCCCAGCAGGTTACTCTGCCGTGGGTAGAACTCGCAGATTGCACCAACTCGCCATGCACGCTGGCGCATAATGGGTTTGACCACAGATGCGACCTTGCGCAACATGAAAAGGGCCTCTGACTCGCGCGGGCGTTTCTTCTCGTGGCGGTACTCGCCGATTAGGGCGTCCAGTTCCCGCATTGTGGCGGTTGGTAAGAACTTGCAGGGCCAAGGAAAAAAAGAGCGATTTAAAAGATAGGTGCGTGTACAGGTTCACCAGTAGAGAGTGAATGTTTTAACTGGAAATAACATCCAACGCCGACGGGTAAAGGGTCAGCTTAATATTGACATTGTCAATGCTGCCAGGGACTGGATCTGGGTCTGATTCAGGACCCTGTGTATCGGTATGAATCGCTTCGACCAAGACGCAATCAACCCATCACAAGCCCCTTCCTTTGTCTCGCAGTCGAGACGCTCAAATCTCGTTTGTCAGTGTCGTCTTCAAGTCTGGGAGTGGCAGAAGCAGTCCGATCGTTTGCCAGGCAACCCTGCTCGGTCGATGACTAATCAAATGGGGCCCACTTTAAGTGGAAGGGACGCTCGCTGATTAGTTTGTCTCCCTCCCGATGTCCCAATTTCAAATGTTAGTACTAGTAGTCACGGTAGTACCCTCACTTCAAGTTGACCTCCAGGAGCTCTCAGGGCAGTCAATGATGGTGATTAGATCCACTTCGAGTATTCCAACGGGTTTTTGACAGTACTCGAAAATAATATACATTTTGCTCAGATCTATGATATGGTGTGTGCCCGAATGTAAACGCTGAATATATGACAGCCAGCTAAATGATTTTTCCGAATTACTCGTATTTGATAAAAATTTGCTATTACGTCCCAATACGCAATCAGCACATACTGAAGAGCTCAAATTTTTGATAGTGATGGTAAGGAATCAGGGAATCATAGCAGCAAAGGCCACGATCGGCTATTTGACGCATCCACGAAGCTGTCATGTGACACGATAGCGAGCGGAGACTTTATCGCTGCGCTTATCACCATCACTTTTCTTTGACCAGATTTTAGGGCACTCTAAACACCTAACAAAATGACAAGCGACGATCAGTTCTTCTTCGACTATGTGAGTTCTGTCGCCTCCTCGACATCCCTTTTGACTATCTGGTGCTGACCCTTCTCGAACAGCTTGCGTCGATACCCCATGACGTAAGGCGATATTCCACTCAGGTTGCCGACTCAATCGACCAGCAAGTCGACCAGGCAGCCACCGCAATCCGAAATACACTGTCCCAGCAAACCTGGCTACCGTCGCAAGTGCGCCCGTCGATTCGCCAAGCCCACAAAATGCGCCCGCGCGGATTCACAGACCGAGTGCAGGACTGGATGACTCGAAACCGTGCGTGGACGGCGGCTATCATCGCGTTTGTTGGTACTGGAGTTGTTTTGTGCTACGGCAACAAGAAATTGAACGGGAAGAAGAGGAAGGCGAGAAAGGCCGGGAATGGCGCGCGGAAGGAAATTGTCGGTATGCAGGACGAAGCTTCGTTTTGACACGAGTCGGAGTACTAACGGTCTATCTAGTGATCGCTGGTTCGCCTCATGAGCCCATGACACGCGCTATTGCCGCAGACCTGGAACGCCGGGGATACATTGTCTATGTGACGGTTTCCTCCGCGAACGAGGAACATCTTGTTCGGGCAGAAAACCGAGCTGATATCAAGGCACTTTGGCTAGATTTGACGACTGTGAGTTTCCAATTACCGAACGAGGCGCCAACAGAAATAGAGCTCTAATTTCTCAAGAAGAACACTCCCAACTCATCTGAGCTGCATCCGTCATTGCATGAGCTCCGATCCTTGATCACCCAGCCCCAGTCTCCTCATCCGGGCATGCCTCCGCACACTTGCCAGCTGAGCGGCGTGGTTATCTTGCCCTCCCCCAACTTCGCCGCAGGCCCCGTCGCAACCATCCCGGCCTCATCGTGGGCCGACACTGTCAACAGCCGCCTTCTTTCTCCCATTCTCACCGCGCAGATCTTCCTGCCGCTCTTGACTCTTCGCAACAACAGCAGCGCTCTCGTCTTCGCCTACCCGTCCATCTCATCATCCCTTTCTGCACCCTTTGCTGCACCCGAAGTCGCCACTACCCGCGCCATCTCCGGCTTTGCGGCTTCTTTGCGTCAGGAACTCCGCCTCCTTGAACATGGCAATGTCGACGTTGTGGAGCTTCGACTGGGAAATGTCGACCTGGGCCCTTCGTACCGAAACGCTCAAAGCCAGATCGCCGGTACTGAAATCTTGGCCTGGAGCGCACAGCAGCGAGCTCTTTACGGCCAGCAGTATCTCTCCAGTGTCGAACAGCGACCTGTTGCGTCTGCAGGTCCTAGTACTGTGCGCGGATCGCCTGCGCGAAACCTCCACTATGCCTTGATGGATGCTTTGGAGCCGGCTTCCGTGAATTTCCTCGGCCGTCGGACTCGTAAAAAGGCGGTCATGTACGTGGGTCGCGGTGCCCGGTCGTACAACTTCATCGGTGCTTGGGTTCCCAGCGGTCTTGTCGGACTGATGATGGGGTATCGAGGCGGGTATTCCGTGCCCTCGGGCAGCCCCAGCAGTGGCAGCGAACCCAGCTGGTAGCGGGTGTAACTTGGAAACCTTGCCAAGCTGACCTTTTATTTCTACCGATCTGCACTGTTGAAAAGCTAATCTCTACTTGAACTTCTTGAAATCCTTACTTTGCCTAATTTTTGTACATACATTCATGATAGTCCTCACTCTTAATGGTGCCAGTTGCACGGCTAAGTGCCATTTACAATATTGCATATCGTCATAGATTCAAAAGTCGTAATTACACTGCGTCGGATATCGTTTGTGTGTCGTTGCTCGTGTCCATTTTCAGGATATGAAAACCATGGGGGGCCACGCTAGACCCGCTCGTGCTTCACTTCGCTTGTTTCAGGCTGCATCCCGGCTTCCAGGCTAGATCGATGCTGCCCGTAAAAAGGATCCTTCGGGGCCCTCTTCACTCGGCCCTTCACCAGCCACGCGCGCAGCTTGATCACAGCCCAAGAAATGACGAAGATCACTAGGATCGCCGCGAGGATGCCGAAGCAGTATCCCGCCACTACTCCCGATTTGTTCCCGCCCTCAGTATCTAGGAAGCCGTATGTGTAGAAACCTTCAGTATGAAAGGTAATGTACACTACGCAGAGGTAGAACAGCAGGATCAGAATAAGGAAAGGTAATGTGATCCACGGGTGCGGGGCCGTGGTTGCGAGTATGATTTCTAGAAGTGCGTAGAGGGAGTTGAGGGCGTGCTGGGAGATCTGATTTCTGTTAGCATCAGTCCACTTTCTTAGTTCAGGAATTAGAGGGATGCAGGGGGCTGCGGAGGGTGGGAAGTGGGGGAGGGGGGGGGCGCAGATTAATTTCGTGTTCTAAATGGGTTGGGGGTGCAACATATGTGAGACATGCGCTTGGACGCACATGATGTTGCAATGATTGACAATCGTCATTATGGCGGGGAAGCGAGACCGACTATGTATAATGAGACGTACATTTGACCAGGTTGTAAAGGCGTCCTTGAAAACGCCGTTGCTGTAGAGGATGCCCCAGAACACGATCGTCACTAGAAAAGGCAGCGTGGTCACGGACGAATAGAGGATGGCGTGCATTGCGCGCAGGGCCCGCGGCCAGCGGTCGAAGAGCACCGAGCGTCCGGTGATTGCGTAGCAAAAGCCATGGATAGCTGCGAAGAGCGTGTAGAAGCCCAATCCCCAGTACGTGAGCCAGGTAAAATAGCTGAAGGACTGGCCGATGGCGGCGCGATCACCGTGGGTCCCATCGAAGATCCAAATGGCCAGGATCGAGGCGAAGATGTAGATGGAGATCAGTCCGCGCAAGCCGGCGAGAGTGGCGGGAGAGAGCAGCCAGCTTGTTTCGAAGCAGTGGAGCTCATCGCGAACTGGAGCTACGCCGAAGAGGTGTGCTGGAGGGATCCGGCGCATTGTGGGATATACTTTACCCTCGGGCAAGGTTGAGATCGAGGATCGTGGATTGCGCGAAAGACGATGGGATCTTAGGGCAAATAGATCGGATCGATCCGAGATCGCCTGGAGTGTCGTCACCACTCACCGTGTACCGCAACCTGGCTGCAGAGCCTACGGTGCGGATATACCTTGAAGCGCGTGACCACCGGAAATGGACGAGGCAGCACGCGACCTGGTCCAGAAGCCGTATATATAGTAAAAGACCTCACTGTCATTTTCTAACTAGCCTGAGTCCCATCAGCAGCTCAGCTACCCTCTCCCGGCTTACGTCGCTTACCCGAATGGTCCAGTAACAAGCAATGCCGCTCTGGTGGTATAGACTCCGCTAGGCGAGCAGCAGCTAACAGCAGCTAAGGAGGATGCTAGAGCCATTCGCTGCGTCGGCCAGTCAACGACGGCGCATGTTGTCGCCCCACGGCTGCCAGATCGAGGATCGAACCAAAAGTGGTAATGCTCCGGCTGCACAACATCAGTACGGGGTGTCGGCCGAGGCGTACCGGGTCGCTAAGCGATACCAATCGTTAGTTGCAGGGCCATCCTCGCCATTGACCGGGGGGTATCTAAAATAGTTCTTGCTGACCCCTCCTTGGTCTCTGCAGGTACTCAGGCACGATGCTGAGGGCTGCAGAACAGAGAGGAACGGTTCTGCGTCCAATTTAAGAAACACGGTCCACCGGGCGTCCATTATTGGAGAACCAGCAAGAGGGCGTGGGACTGGCGCACGAAACAGCCCGTGTGGGGAGGCGAACTTCTAGAAGGAGGCACTCCGACGAGGGAGAGAACCCCACCGGAGGGTCAGGTACCTGGCCATAGTGGGAAAGTAGGGGGAGAAGGATGTACCGTACTCTGGAAGGGAGAGTAGGAGGATGGCGAATAACCCGCGCGGGTGGTGTGTGCAGGGCTTGGCGCCCCTGAGGCCGCGACCGCCCTGGCAGTACCGTGACTGCAGAGAGCCGTCAGTCGCACCTTCCCCTGAGTGGGCCTGTGTTTACCGCATTGTGATCGTCAGGGCCTCGCCCGTTTTCTCCCTTTCGCCTCTGCCTCTGACGCACCTGCTCCCATGTCGTGAATCTTCCCTGGGCTGTCATTCCTTTGGCCTCTGTTGCCTCCGCCCTCTCTCCTTCCCCCAAACTCCCGCCGCCAGAGAGCCGCTCTCTGATCTGGGTCTCTTTCATCCAATGCCCCCCGCCTGAAACACCATTCCGGATGACCTGAAAGTTGGGAAATTTGTGATTGATTGGATTCAGACTGACTGTGACCGGCAAACCAAGCCTTGCGTTTCGACGAATATCGATCTTATTTACCCCATCCCCCGAATTTCGGACCAGAACCTCACTCCTTTCCTTTTCAACCACAACCCCCCACGATGGCGGCGTGGCGTGGCAACCTGGGCGATTGTCGCTCCAACTCGCACGACACTCTGCGGAGTGGCATCCCCTCTCCGCGCATCGAACATTATGACGGCGAAGTGCCCCCCGCTCTCTCCCCCTGGATGCGTTCGCCGCCCAGGGCCGATTCCTCGCCCGCCAACTCGACGAGTCGCGCCGTGGCGATCGCCGCATGAGCCGCCTGCCCCCTCCAGCGTGGCTCGGTCGCTGTCCCATGGCCGACCCCGATACTTTCGTGGGAACTCGAATGAGTCCCAAAACGACGGACTCGCCCGCAGACCGACACAGAAGAACACCCTCCCGGAAGTCGAAGAACCAAAATACCGTCCAGTCTCCGAACATCCTCGATTCAGCTCCGTCTCGCACGCTAGCAGCAGTGGGGACTTCCAAGATGATGACTCCACCCCTCGTTCGACGATGCTACAAACAAGCCCCAGCGGGTATGGCATGCCCCGCGCAGACTCCCCGGAGGAGGATGCGTCGCTCGCCGGGGATACCTCCGTCGGCATGGCTGTAGCGAACCCCTCGCGCGACAACTCGACTGATTCCGTCTCGCGGTTGCACATCCCGCGCACCTTGGCGCCGCCCCATTCCCCGAACTCGCGGCCGTCCAGTAGTGCGAGAGTGATGCACCCCGAGCGGGAGAGCTCAGATGATGACTACAGCAGTTCCAATGGCGGGTCAACCTTCTCGAAGCCCCGGAAGCTGTCCTCCAGCAGTGCGGTCTCGCTGCCGTACTCTCCCATGTCGACATACCCGGCGCGACCACAACCACGATCGCCCTCAATGAGCTCCGAAACGTCGAATGGGTATCTACCTCGGCCGTCGTTTAACTTCTCTCGCCCGCTCAGCCGATCCAGCACCAGTCTGTCCGCACCGGGTCCATCCGCGACATCGGAGCCCACCACCGCTCCTCAGGCGCAGCAATCGAGACATATGCACCGTTCGAGCAAGCCGACTCCGATCCTTCTGCCCCTTGCCACAGATGAGGCAGGGTCATATCCTCCGCAAGAAGGCGAGCCTTCTTCCGCCGTCTCTTCATACACCTACGCCAAGTATGCCCTCCCACGCGGCCGGGAGTTGTCGAGAGATTCCGTCGTCTTTGCCGGCCTACAAACACCGCATTTCGAATGGAACGAGCCCTTGTTTGAGAATTCCCCGCCTCGACGCTCAGAAGAGCCGCTACGCTCGACTCGCACCCCACCACCCCCTGCACGCAACGAGACGGAAAACTCACCCAAGCCCCACTCGATGCACGAGGTTCCTGCATCGCAGTCCAAGCGAGCCGTACCCGTCCCAGAATCGCCGCCAAAGCCTCCACCAACAGCAGCGGCACCGGTGACGCCAGTTACGCCGCCTCGGCCATGCACGGAGTCGACCAAGCCAAAAAACAATGAGAAGGATGAGACTGTCTCATCCGCGGACTCAGCCAGTACCCTGCGTCCGCAAACTGCCAACACCCAGTCCTCTTCGAAGACTCTTTCCGCGGACGACCATGTCTCTATGGGTATTGATTTGCACGAAAAGGGATCCTTGAACGAGTCGACTTACCATATGCGGATTGCTGCCAAGCAGAACCACCCAACTGGCATGCTGTTATATGCGCTGGCTTGCCGTCACGGATGGGGCATGCGCTCCAATCAGCAGGAAGGTGTACGATGGCTCCGCAAAGCTGTGGACTCGGTTGGCTTGGAGATGCTGGAGAACCCCGATGCTCCTGGCGCATCCAAGGCCAAGGAGCTGCAGAAGGCGTATCGGGCTCAGTTTGCTCTTAGCATCTATGAACTGGGTGTCAGCTACCTCAATGGCTGGGGTATCAACCAAGATAAACCACTGGCTCTCCGTTGCTTCGAAATTGCCGGACAATGGGGTGATGTCGATGCCATGGCGGAAGCAGGGTTCTGCTACGCGGAAGGTGTTGGCTGTAAGAAGGATATGAAGAAGGCAGCACGTTTCTACCGACAGGCCGAAGATAACGGTATGAGCATGGTCGGAAACAGCTGGTAAGTACCCCAGACCGCCAATTATAATGCGGAATATCTCTAACCCTATGACAGGATCTACAAAGATAAATATATGGCCGAAGATTCCGGCAAGGGTCGCTCCCGTGGGCGCACTGTCAGCAGCGAGAAGAAGCCGCGCAGTAAATCACGGACCCGCAGCATGTTCCAGCGGAAGAAGTCTGCGGCAGAGGCATAGACTGTCTCGATTGTACAGAAGTCGCCTCTTGTATTATTGTTGGGCGTCCCCCTTGGACTGTTCCAAGTATCCATTTTGCATCTCGACGCAATGTGTTTTCTGGAGCGTTTCGAGCCGATTCTTTATGAATTGCTTGACCACCACTACCCCGTCCTTTGGGGTATTTCTGTTTGAGGTGGTTTGTTCATTTCTTCCACTCCTTTTTTGGTCATTTTCCTTCGTCATTTTTTTCCCTTTGCCATTTCGTTTCTTCCAATCTTTGTGCATCCTTTTCCTTCCCAAAGCCGCCCGGGCAGCTGTTTTCGATAATGTTGGGCGGACGTCCTTTCTGCCCCTCTGCATCGCAGGCCTAATATTTTCATTTCTTCGTGGATACCCTCTGCTTTGTCACCTTTTTTATTTTTATTTTTATTTTTTATTCTTATTTCCCAATCATCCACTCGCTGTGGCTTCAGTTTCTTTTTCTCTTTCCCACCTCCTTCATATCTTTCCATGGCCATAGTATTGCGGGGCTGATCTCCCATGTTGTGGACATTTTCTTTTCTCTTCTATTCGAACGGCTCTTTTTTGATTATTTCCTGGCATTTGCCTTGGTGAATCGCGCCGCGGTTCGGACGAACTCATGACACAATTCGGCTGAATTTCTGTACAGGCATTGTGTTTAGGTAGCATGTGACGATTTCTCTAATCGATCAATCATTGTCGTGCTTCAGATTGATGACAGGACTGTCCCTCGTAATCATTATATTGAATATTGGCTCGTATCTTCCTCTCGATAATGCAAGTGTAATTTCAGCGGGTGTAAGGAAGCGACCGACCCGGCCCTTTGTCCTAACCGGGGTGTCTCTTTTGACGGGCGACGCCACGACGGGGCTGCTTCCCACTGCGGTGCTCTGCTCACCCGACCCCAACTTCCCTGAACCATCCGCCAGGTCAACACCAGTCAACGCCTTCCAGCCGCCATCATCCCCGCTGGATTCGCCCTCGCTAGCATCCATTCGGACTGGCTGCTCGGCCTTGGCGAGCGCCTCCACTGCAGCTAGTCTCACGGGCAGCCAATGGGGCTGGCGCACCCCGGATAGTCGGTGCAACGGTAGACTGGTCTCTCCAGCGAAATTCCCTGGACGGCCGGTCACACAGCCAGATGGGCTCTACCGTGGCGCGCATTATGTCTGCTCCTGCATATGATCTCTATTCAACGGCTTCGGTTGCCCTTTGCACGATTGGGCTGATAGACAGAATCCCTCGGTTTCCCCTAATTGCAAGAGCACTCTCTACCTTTTTGATCTGCTCGTGTCTGGACGGGATACTAAAAAATGATTCCAAACTCAATCTGAAACGCCCCTAGCGCTGTCAGGGTCGAGCGATGATCAGTCGATCGACAGCATGCTCGAGATATTCAGGAACCGCCCCGCACTGGCACCGGAATCCGGAGTCCCCAGGAATGAGCGATCACCAGACGGAGACCCCAGGAAAGAACCAAGAACGAACATCCCGGGGAAGACAGGAAAAGCAAAGCCAAAAAACCTTGGGTCTAAGTTCCGTCTCCACCTCGCTTGGTCCCTTGGCTGAGATGCAGCGAGGCAAGACTCGCGACAAACATGACATGTGATGCTCTTCCTCGCGGCCTTGTTCTAGTTCTAGTCTGATTGCTATTTCCCTCTTTCGGTGCAGCGCACGCTTGCGTCCTTAGCGGGGGAACTAAAAGTTATTCTCGGCCTGCTTAATATAAAGTAAAACCCCCCTTGGAGCACTTGGTCCGCCGAACTGAGGCTGCCCTTTTGTGTCACTCGTTTTTTTCAGTCTTGTTTCGCTTCTCTGGCTAGGTCTTGACCTGGTATGCTTTGATTTTGACTGTAAGGAATGCGATAGTGGATTCGAGACTAATGTAATACAGGCTTACCCCATCATGTCCGATACGAAAGCCGAAGCCACAGGCGTGGAGGCCGCTACCCTTCCATCGGCACCGGCGAAACGCAGTTTCGGCGCAAGGGTTGCTGCCCATTACAAGAAGTGGTGGTGGGCACACTTGATTGCGTTTGTGATTGTGGTGCTGGTTGTCGTACTGCCGGTGTAAGTATTCCCTCCAACAGAAAGTTATCGTGTTGGTGTTCGACATCCGGATATTTCGACTATGATGAGCCCAAGCTAAAACAAAGTACAGCATCTATGTTGGATATCCCAAGATCGCGCAGCGCGATGTCAACGACTCAACTCTCGACATCACTAGTATGGTCATCAGCGATCCAACGCCGGACTCCTTCCAACTCAACCAGACCCAAGTCATCGGATCCGACAGCTCCTACCACCCACAGATCTATGCCTTCAACGCAGCCGTTTCCCTGGCAGGCGCTGCAGCACCCTTCACCACCGTACGCGTCCCCGGTGTGAAATCCGAGGATGGCGCCGAGATCGAGGTTGTGCAAAAGGTCGATCTTTCTGACGTTGATGCTTTTGGCGACTACGCGAAGGCTGTTATGTTGAATGAGGAGGTTTCGCTGAATATTTATGGAGAGCCTGAATTGCGCCAGGGCTCGTTGCCTAAGACGAAGGTTACGTATAATAAGACGGTTACTATGAAAGGTAAGTCGCGGCTTCCCATACGCCGTGTCTGGAGTTGGTTTCGGATGCAAAAACGGAAGCTAACTGATTTTATTCAGGTCTCAATCAGCTCAAGGGATTCGACGTCACCGAGTTCCATATTTTGCTCACGACCAAGAATGGTCGCAACATGGACGGAACCGTTTACATCCCTAATCCGTCTGTCATGACTATTGAGATGGTACGCAACATGCTGATCCCGTAAAAATGCTACATTACTGAACTAACTTGGTCAAGGGAAACCTGACTCTCGACCTCTCCGTCGCCGGAAAACCAATGGGTCAATCTTTCCTCGACAACCTCATTCTGAAACCTGGCAACAACACTATCCCCATGACCTCCACCGTCAACCAAACCGCCATCATCAGCATGCTCACCTCCAAGAGCAACCCTTATAAGGACGGCGTAGTGCCGTTCGATATCACCGGTAACTCAAGTGTCTACAACGGCAAGACTTTGCCTTATTTCACCGAGGCTCTGAGCGCGAATAACCTGACTGTGCACTTGAATGTTACCAAGGCGCTTGCGGAGATTGGACTGACGAATTTGTAAGCTCTTGATTTCTGGCGAGGGGAGATTTGACTCAGCGCAACGGGCGAAAGCAATGCTTAACTGTTCTCGGTTGGTGGTGGTCATTGTGCCATTTTAATGATCGGCATTTATACGGGGATGATGGGCGGATTGGTGTCTTTGTCTGAATCAGGCTGCACAGCAGCCCTGTAAGTTTATATTTAATATATCTATCTATGTGATGGAACCATCACCCGTCACTCTTCTATAGCTTTGATATGTGCCTGTTTTGCCAGGTAGGCAAATTTCATGATCAATTCGTGCGTAAAGTGGAAAGGCGGAAAGAAGTTGCCGTCTTCGTCTGTTTGGCGGGCTGGTGCAAAGATACTGGCTGTTTGTTCGAGGATTTGGATGTCGCGTGTGAATGTTGGTGCGGTGGGGAGGGTGATGAGGAAGCGGAAGAGTGTGAGGACGGCAGTTAAGACGAACTGGGCGTGGATCCTGGAAAGCAAAAGTCAATGGTGCATCATTTATTTGAGGGCGAGAGCATTGCTCACCAGAATGTATGATAGTTGATGTAATGCCTCACACGGCCGAGGTAAATCAGTGTCGACCTCGCTGCCTCATAGCATATCTCCGAGCTAGAAGGGAGTGGCGAGAGGCTTTTTGACGAGGGAATTTGAGCCGTGTTGCTCGCACCATGGATCTTACCAAGGCAGTAGTAATACTCCAAGTGGACACTGACGCCGCGAATACTCAGATCATGAAACAGATAGTCTGGTGCGCTTTCTGTTGCGAATGCATCTGGTCGACACTCCACTGGATATTCCGCTTTCAGGTCACTCAATTGATGATCGAGTTCTCGGATGTGTTGCAGTCGTTTCGCCTCTGAGTACTCCTGACTTTGGACGGAATATAGAAGTTTATGAATCCGAGATTTAATCAATGAAAGACGCAGATCGGATGGATAGAGAAGCTCCTTGATTGAAGAAAGTGGTCTCCAGAAGATGTGATGTTCCGATGGCTTGCGTGCGTATGCTGCGGGTAGATCCAGGTCACACTCGGCATCGTTGATGAGAGGCGGTTGTGACTTGCGAGTCGCAAATTCGCGGTCCATGCCGTAAACTATCCAGAACATGACTCGGAGATGATTGTTTTGCTGAGGGCGGACTTTGTGGCCTCCTAGGTTATAGAGGACCTGGACGGCCATACCAAGGAGCATCTCTGCGTATTGGGGTTGGCCAAGGGGACAGATGAATATTGCCTGTAATGTGTGAGCAATGAATTTCTACAGGGTCAAAAGTAAATTCGTGACGGGAGAAGATACCAGCATCATGATAGCCTCTAGAGTCCTGAGATCAGGCGGTTCTGTTAGCATAGCAGGAAGTAGTGTCAATGCCGCATGTGCATAGGCGTCGGGGTCGGTATCACGGAATTGTGGATCGTGACGATGCATCTGCGTGATGTTTGCTGTAAACGCAGCTAGACAAGCTCGATTGGCTGCCCGGGATGTTTCAGGACGATTGAGGACGTCGGCATTGACGAGGACTTGTAGAGCCGCGGAATCTGCGAACGGAAATAGAGTGTAAAGCCCGCACTTTGCATAGTACTTCACACATTGCTGGACCAGGGATAGTGGTGGCCATTTCACAGTCTTTGATCTCCTCGCCCCTTCGAGGCCTTGCGCGATGAGTGGTTGAGCCAATTCGTTGAGAAAGTCGTCGAGATCAAAAGTATACCCTGTCCGCTGATAGATACTCGAGTAGAATGCTGCTCTTGTCGTTGAAAGCGACTTTCCGAGCCCACAATATGCCATATGCCATTTAAATGACGCAAGGGCTGTATCAAGACAATGTGTGTCCGTCACAAGCCCAATTGGTACGGAGTCACAGGGTACCAGACTGTGAGAGGCAGGCGAGGTGCTGCTGCTTAGTAAAGCCGGCGCGGAAATTATGCCGCCGGTTGGTTCGTCACTCCTGCCAGGGGTAGACTGAGCTGACTTCTGAAGAGCGGCTAAAGAATCTTCCAGTTGCTGAATGCGGGCCTGGCTGTCAACCAATTCCCTGGCGGAGCCAATTAGTTACTTTCCACTTCAAACAAATTAGCCCGGCGCCACAGCATAACTTACTGTCGGAGCCCCTTCCGGTTCTGTGTCGATGGTGGGGTGAATGTGCATGGGAGAAATGCCAGGGTACAGGTTTCGCAGGCGGGAGTTGCCCTGTCGCAGCGGATCTATGCGGGTAAGAGGACGAGGTCAGCACTTTATACTGCCTTTCGACAAAGGTTGGTTTGCATGTTTGCATGCTCGTAAGTTCTCGGAATAACATACCTTTCTCAACCGACATAAATCACAAGCACTTTTCACCTTGGACGACTTACTTTGAGATGGGGTCTTACCCCGTGGGGCAGTTGGGTCCATTGCAGACATCTCCCAGAGACTGTCATGCGCATACCCTTGAATGTATTATTAGGTCGATGCGAGGTTCATCAAATAATCACTCTCAGTAGAGCATCCTTCCCTAATAGCCAGGTCACCCCAGGCCACTCACGGGTTCTCCACTGCGGGTCGAACAGCCAAAGAACAGATGAATGGATCCCGCACGAAGTCGTTTGAAGCCGTGGAAAGCCAAAGCTCGGCGCCAAGAATTCCCGGAGCTTGAAATGATGAGTCAGCGGAGTCAAATGCTCCGAGTCGTGGAGAAGATCAGCCATCTTCATCGACCTTTTGTCGACTTCGCGGAAACTCAGGCAGTTGCAACCGTGCGGAGTCCATTTCCTCCGAGCTTCCACGCAAGCTGGACCGGTTGTGGGCTTGGCAGATGAGGCGATGAAACGATCTCTACGAAAGTACAGGACAGCAAGAGTAACGGATAGAGGAGATGAATCTACACATGGGCATCATCATTGTCTGGACTTGTGCAGAAAGCTTGAAATGACCAAGGCCTGAATTTTCTAAAACCTGGTAGAATTGAGATTATCTAGGCTCAATGAACTTCCGGATTGACTGCCAAAAATTCGCATGACTACTATATTAGAAGATGGCATCCTGGTTTCTGTCCCTGGCAGGTTCACCCCACAGTGCATAACAATGCCCAATGCCTCGACGACTCCACAGCCCCGTGCGGGAAATATGGCTGCAGATCACGATTTATCCACAAATCCTCGCCCGAAGCAGTCGGCGCTTGCAGATATAGCTCCATAATTTCCATGGTACGGGTCCAATTGCGGAAAGCCTGTTCGTCAGCTGTGCTCAATGGAGCTAGCGAGGCGTAATCCCATACCTTGTGGGTAGTTCGAAATAGCCTGAAGAATCACCGAGATTAATCACAATTGTCCCATTTCACACTATAGCTGACGACGACCATGACGAGTGGAGGATTCTTCTTTATCAGACACAAGGCACCAAGCTGAGGATCTTGGCAAGTTCAGGATATAAAGCCCAAGTCATCCCTCTCTTATACTTATATCCTCAAGCCTTCAAGAAATTAAATCACCAATTCTATTTCTGCCTTCTTTTCTGACCATGCATTTTCAAAAACTTACCGTCGTTGCCCTCAGTGGTCTCGCAATGGCCCACCCAGGGTCTCATGAACACAGTTCCTACTCAATCGCCTCGAAGAGAAGCTTCCTGAGAAATGCGCGCCGCAGCCTTGATCTTTGTGCCAATCACCTCGAGAAGCGTGGAATCAACGAGCGTGCTCGCGCCCGCCGTGCCGCCATGGCCGAGGCCAACAAAAAGCGCGCCGTGCTTGCTCGTGACCTCGACGAGGTTGTTAATACATCGCATCATTCCTCCCTCAACGTTACGCCCAACACTCCGGAATCTGAGCTATTTAGCGCAAACCCGACTTGTATCCTGGCCCCCGAAGGCGAGGTTGGTCCCTTCTGGGTCAAATCGGAGCTCATTCGTTCGGACATCCGTGATGGCGAACCTGGAGTCCCTCTCATTCTGGACGGTCAATTTATCGATATCGAGACCTGCGAGCCTGTCCAGGATCTATACTGGGACGTGTGGAGCTGCAATGCCACGGGCGTCTACTCGGGCGTGCAGAGTGATATGAATGGAAACGGAAACGACAAGTCCAACCTAAACAAAACCTTCTCCCGCGGAATCCAGAAGACTGATGAGGATGGTGTCGCCCAATTCTACACCCTCTTCCCGGGTCATTACTCTGGCCGAGCTACTCATATCCACATTATTGCACACACTCAAGCACACGTCCTGCCGAACAACACTCTTACCGGAGGCACAATCAGTCATATCGGTCAGATGTTCTTTGATCAAGACCTCATCACCAAGGTCGAGGCTACCTCGCCGTACAACCAGAACACTGTTGCTATCACCAAGAACGCGGATGATCATGTCGTCAAAGTTGAGACTCAGAACTCGGATTCGGATCCCTTTTTCGAGTATGCCCTTCTTGGTGACACAGTAGAGGATGGCATCTTTGGCTGGATTACCCTGGGTGTCAACGTCAGCGCTAGCCACGACTCGGATGCTTCTTATGCTGCTACTTTAACTGCCAATGGGGGCGTGTCAAACTCAGATAGCCAGGGAGGATTCTGAGACCCTTGAGAGTAAAATTCCCTGGACAATGTGGATTTTCATTTTGCAATATTCTGTTAGTATTTTGAGTTATCAGAGGTCTTTTGCATAGTGGCTCTATCTTCAACTGCTTACTCTGCGAATACAAACTTCGCGATCAGAAGAATTGATAAAACAATTTGGTAAATTACAAACATTCATATCGTAGATGGGATGGAAATAAGTGTCAGGATGAGGAATTGATGTACTGGCTAGTATTGAAGATATCCAATAGAATCAGATGATAAATTGAAGGTTGTTAAGATCGGTTGAGCAATCTCAGGGGTCTCCCTTGTTGAACTGTGGCATGTTGTGTAACCACATTAATGGAAATTGGGCGAACGATGAATAGGCCTTTCCCGAAGTGTCCTAGTGGTATTTGAACCCTCTCTCCGTTCGTCAATAAACTTAAATGTCAGGATGTCGGATACGTGTATCATCTAGTATCGAGGGACGGCCAATTGATGCATGAGATGGATTAACGAGAGTGTGTCTGTGTGTTCCGATCTGTTGAAAATGATCCAGGGGCTATAAACTGCGTATTACATCACAGTTCTTCCGAGAATGACCCGAATTACCATACAATTACTATTGCAATGTGGGTGGATGCTGAAAAACCAAGAGCAGTGGAGAATCCACAGTATTTTACCTCTCTCAGAGTTGACATTAAAGGCTAGATGAGCTTAAAGATCGGATGGAAGTAAGATTAAGATGTCATGTATATAAGCCAAAGGCCGCGTTCATATTCAGCCGTAGCTAATAAACATGGGACTTGTCACAACCTTGGTCCCATTCCACCCCCGGCCCACGAAGTAAATCGAGCGTGCTCCCTGAGAACATCGAAGAAACGCTCCCCTCAACGCGACGAGGCAATTCAACATCAGGAATTGCTTCAACCTGAACAAAGAGTTGGGCAACTCCTTTGATCTCAACCAATTTTTTCATCCTTCGCTTTGGTTTCCTCGTAATATATCTCGGGCCAGAATGTAGGCTAAGCCTTATGCGAGTTGCCAGCTAGCGCGTCTCCAAACTTGACATACCCTCCAAGTAAGCCTGTAATCTTGATCTTCGAGGGGCGTTTGACCGCCTCAGAAGGTGACATTGGCCCCGTCCAGGTCTCCGCTTGTCTTGCTTGAGAATTCAGCAGAGCGATCATCAGTGCGCCGAACAGAGTCTTCCGGGCTATGTTCCAACCCACCGAACGGACGGAGATTTCGACGGCCACATCCTCCGAGATAGAGATAATCCCATTCCAAATTGCTTCGCGATATCGGTCATATAGCCTAGCAACACCCCATATAACTCTGATACGAGTCTTCGGCTCTGTCTCGGCTTCAGACCAGAAATGACGTTGCCAGATCAAACCAGTGTCGTCAAATTCCTCAATTGAGGAGAAGCCCCGCTCGCCCAGGAAATGATAATCCAGCTTTAATCGCTCATTGGCGGCAAGAGAGATATCATAGCCTTGAAGGGCAGAGCCATCCTTTGTCGAGATAAGGCCAACCAATCTCTGATTTGTCGTCGCAAAGTTCTTCTGGCCTGTAACGTATTAGCCACATCTTCACGTCAACCTTATTAGCCAGGATGCCAGTCAGTCCACCTCGGATGCCAAAAACAACTGTCCCTGGAACACCATCGCCGCATCGACCACGGTTTTCATGAGAGTTGGCCGAGACGCCCAACATTCAGCCTCGGCGCACAGCATCCTGAAGGAGCCACTCAAACTTGCCCCCACGCACTCCCAATTTCAACCAGCCGCTCCAGATTCGGATGATGCAAGGCGAGATTGCAGCGGCATCCTCCGACGCGCGGAACCAGAAGATGGGAATTCGCGTCTGCGGAATAGGTGCATTATACCTCTTCTAGAGGCCAAGCGCCAGAAACAAAATCTTTGGGACCTTCTTCGGACCACTCGAATGAGCGCGCAACATTGCCATGACGATCGAATGGTAACTCAGGTGGATTCTTCCTTGAATCAGCCAGAAACACAACGTTGTGGTCACCCCTCAGCCTCCGAGTTTCCACACCTTTCTGTGCCGGGAAAATCACCAATTTCCTGGGTTTGTTGAGAGATTTGATTAGCTCGAGTGTTGCGTCCAGCGTTCCTTCGTAAACTGGAAGTCGTTGGCTGTATATCCCAAGACGTCTAGACCGGCATTTTGGCGACCGTACTGTTATAGCGGCTATGGGGAGATCGTCCTTATGACTGTCGGTCAAGAAGAAAATCCACCGAGAAGTTGTATTCGCTCGATTCGACCCCGACCGTATCTGACGAATGAACATGGAGGTCCCAGAAGAGGATCTTGGGGACTATAGCCCCGGGGGATACAGTGAGATGAGCCTTTTTGGAGGCAATAGTGTTTCCTTGCTCTTCCAAAGAAACTGAGATGGTATAGTCTCACACTCCATCAGCGTACAGACTGAGGTTAGAAAAGATGGAATTCGTCCATCCCTGACTTAGTGTTTGTTGCGTCCGAGTCAGGGCATTAGACTTATCAGACGAAACATCCAATGTGAGTTCTAAGCCGGAAAGACTGTGAATAGCATTTCCCCAAATATCTCCGCGTGAGCATGAATTGCAAATGAGGCATTCGGGTGACCCAATCGCGGCCCCACAACTTGCAGATGATGAGTGACCCCAGCAACAATGTCCCAGAATATGTCAGGCTTGATACGCGCAAATTGATTGGCCACCAGCACGTATTAGCAATTCTTGTCTGTCCCGAGATTGATTTGTACCTAGGTATACTCACGAAGTTCCCACCGGATCTATATAGAATCGCCAGGTAAAATTCTTCTCCACGAAAGACTGCAAAGGTATACCTTTTGATCCGAATCGACGATCACCTAGACGACGGAGAACCCTATCACCGGAAATGAGATAACCGTCTTCAGTATCGACAATTATACCGCTCTGAAACGGCCGCTCGTGTGCATTTTTGCGAGAAACTGACTTTCAGCGACTGTACCGTCGCTGATTCTTGGCCCGCATGCAGCGATCTGGAATCACATATATATTCGGTGCTAACGTAGATTTCCTGGTAGGATCAGATGTTTGGAAGAGCGCCCAGACCTGTATTGCAGAATTAGTACTGGCTCGAATACTCAATATGTGAGACAATTTGAATATGATAACTCACTGAGTAGAATTTGAAAGTTGCTTTGATCCAAGCGCCATCGGCAAGACATAATGCGCCTACTTCATAGTCTAGCAGAATCTCCGTCCATTTATCGGCAACTAGTGAGGTGACATTGCTTTTGACTCGCCCCAGAAAAGGTAGGCTCTTTGTATACTCATACAGCCCCTCATGCGCAAAATAATCCTCCGCCAGTTGGCGTCTTTCTTCGAATGCGAGGTGCTTTATTTTCAAAAAAATATTATCAACCCAATTCAGTGCTCGACTGATAAATATCGGCAGCACGATTTGGTAGTCTTAAGCCCGCCGATCCTAACGCGTGCCGTGCGGGATCCACGTTGCGCCATCGCCTTGCTAAATCTCAACATTGCACTTCTTTTTGTGAAAAGTGGCATGTCTGATAAATGTGTTGCCGACTAAGCATTTAACGCCGTTAAGATCATTGAAGAAGCTTCGTTCCTTCTGATCGGCAATCTTCATTGGTAATTTTAGCTGTAAATCAAACTTGCAGCAGAACCGTGCCTTTTTGTCTGGTCCATTTTTGTACATAACATTGCAGTTCATTGTAAATCGTTCAGGACTTGTAGTAAGAGCGGGGAATATTGTCATAATAAGGCACAACGACCGAGTTCGGATCATCTGTCAGTCCGACCATTGCAGTTGTAATTGGATGGACTGGCTTATGATCCACAATCAGGTCAATGCAGCCTGGCCCCGTCTTTGATTGGAGTCTAGAAACCGTGCTTTTAATGTCGGCAATGTGATCCAGTCTGGCGGTTTCGTTCTGTAGACCCTCTGCGACAATGTCGTATCGAGTCCCGGAGCTGAGAGAACTGACGGGTCGGGCAAGATGGTCTGACCCGTAGACCAGGTCCTGGCCGTTGATACTCATTCCCCAGCGAGAGTTATTGATAACCACTGTCAGAATGTTCAGATTGAATCTCTTATACGTATCGAGCTCCATCAAGTGAAAGCCGGCAGATCCATCTCCTTGGATGTTGACGACTTTCCTCTCCGGGGCACCAATTGCCGCGCCTATACTGGAGCATCAGCATATTGCAAACAAGGGGGTCGGTATAGAGGCATATTTACCAAGGGCATATCCGAAGCCATTACCAAGACAGCCAAGATATCCAGTTGCAGTCATCACCAAGCTTGGTTGGCATCGCGATGAAAGGTCACCAGCCCAAACTGATGCCTCGCCACCATCCAAAACAATTATACTTCCTGGTTCGATGGATGACATGACATGTTCGACAGCGTGGTAGGGGTGAAGTCGGCCCGAGCTTGTTTGTTCAGGATCTTTTTCATAGGGCGACTCGGCAGAAGACAAATTGAGTAGAGCCTGAACCCATGATTTGTCGACTTGCACCTCGGGCGAATTTCCTAACTTCTTGTTCAGTGACGACGCAAATACTCCAACATCACTCACAATTCCAAGGTCTGTTGAAAGTGTACGTCCGACCTCACCACCATCGCAATCAACATGTACCAGCTTACAATCTTGCTCTGGTATGATAGCGTGGCTTCGTCCGCCGAGGAACATGCCAGTTCGAGTTCCTAGGAGGAGAATCAGGTCGGGGCGAGGAAGATGGACTAGCGGAAGTGTAGCTAGTACACCGGCAGTGGCACTAGCGAGCATAGCTGATTTTGGGGTAAAGCTTGCGAACTTGGAGGTGCCGAAAACTGGAACATTGCATGCTTCTGCCAGCTGAAGGATGCCTTGCCGTGCCTGGGTAGAGTTAGCCTCGTATTTTTAGCAGCAAGAAATCCCGGTACTCCCTACATTCCTTGATCCAGTGCCTGTGATTATAACAGGTCGTTTTGCGGTGGCCAAAAGCTCAGCTGCTGCTTCGATCGCCTCTTCATGCGGGCCTGGTAGGTATGACCGAGGAGAAGAGATTGACCCCCAGGCGATGAGCTTCGCATGAACTGGTGTGAATAGCACATCGATGGGAAAATCAAGGAGAACTGGGCCTGTACAGCGATTAGTACGGATAGGATCCCAATAGGGATATTAGACACACCTGGAGGCCCCGACTGTGCGACGCGGAGAGCATGCGATACGATCCGAGGACATTCTTCAGGCGCGACCACCCGGTGGGCAAACTTGGTGACCGGACGCGCAGCCACAACCTGATCGATCATTCCTTGGAGAGCATTGTTCTCGGTATCGCGGAGGGGAGGCGACGATGTAATGCATAGAATGGGGCTTCGGTCACCATAGGCCGTAGCCAGGCCGGGGAAGCCATTTGAAAACCTAGAAACGATGAGTTGGGAACTGAAAAGAACAAAACAATGTCGGAACACACCCGCTGTTGGCCGTCACAAAGGCAACTACGGGCTTCGTGCTCACGCGACAGTAGCCCTCAGCTGCTTGGACGGCCGCCGTCTCGTGTCTGCTATCAACCAGCCGGATGCCAATATTCTCGCATCCCATCAAAAACGCATCAAGATGGCCGCCATGTAAACCAAAGGCAACCTCCACGCCGAGGTGCTTAAGTGACTGGGCAAGTAAGTCTCCACCGGTCAATTCACGACCGGGTGGGTATTGAAGTGGAAAACCAGACATTGGTTTCTCACTGCTTTAGCGGATCAGCTCAGACAGAATTGCTGAGGGGATGCATGGACATCCGAGGCATATTTATGCCCACCCCGGCTAACCTGAGTCATGTAGTTAGCCCCATTGTGGAGAACCTGGCAAAGAGAGGGGAAGCCGAGAGATCCTATGCACTCCCATGCATGATGAGCGCACCTTACAGCGTGCAGTGCAAGTGCATGGCCCAATTTTTGATTTTCGACGTGATTTTCATTCGCCTGAGACACTACTCAACGACATTGGCTCGGAAATATGTACCTATCTCATGCATGCTAATGCTGAGCCTCTCTGAGCTTCAACATCACGCGCTCTTCGTTGTCCGCATTATCCAGGATCGCATTTGCACTGGCCAACAGCCCACCCTCACCCTTATTGACTTCTCTAAACTTCCCTTCCCAACTGTATATCACCTCGCTATTCCGGGCCGGGTCGGCAAACAGCAACACGACGCTCCGAGCTACGGCCTCGGGGCTCTGAACAGTGGCACCCAAGGACTGAATTAACTCCGCAGGAACGATCCCGGTCGCTGTCCACGACGGCGCAATTGCATTTAATCGGATACCTTTTGCTTCAAGCTTCGAGCCCATACCCCGGATCATCCCCAAGACCCCGTGTTTTGTAACGGTATAGTCCCCCGCAGAGAAATTCTGGAACGAGCTCGCAGAGGCCGCGAGCACAATACTTCCACCTGATCCCTGAGGACGTTGACTCGCTAGTTCACTCATATATGCGGCTGCCAATCTAGTGGTATATATTGGTCCTAGGAGGTTGATATCCATGGTTCGGAGATTGGGCGGGGCCAGTTGTCCAGATTCGTCCAAGGTGATATCGAGAAAGTCGGTTGTAGGAGAAACCCCCGCGCATGCGAATACAGAGTCGATGCGGCCGAACCATTTGTTCGCTTGTTCGAACATCGAGCGGATGCTTGTCCACTCGGTGACATTAACCTCGATGAATTTGAGCTTTTCGGCGTCTCGAACAGTAAGCTCTGGGTTGGGAGGCGTCAAATCCCCGATAACAACTGCTGCACCTAGGTCGAGGCATAGTTGGGCCGTGGCTCTGCCGATTCCAGAAGATCCGCCTGAAAGATAAAGTCAGTTAAAGCGTAGTCGTGAAGGTGATGGGAAACCCTACCGGTTATCAAAACGACGTTGCCTGCCACCTTTGCAAGTGTGTCGTCGGAGATGTCGATGTTTCCCATTGCGAGTGTTTCCAGCTGTCTTTGGAGGTGAATGCCAAGTTTGATTATGCGTCGTTGTAGACAGTGGCCGCTTTGCTCTCGGTATTATTTTGAAAAGAGAAGAATGGACCGAGGCAAAATAGCTGGGGAGGCGACGACTCGGATTGCCGATCCTCCGAATGCATGGAGGTGTTGCTCCGCACCTTGGCTGCCTCACAATACAAGCCTGCATCGTGTGGGGCTGGCGAGGCTACCCCTCCAATTTTAGTCAAAGCCTAGGCTCCAACTCAGCATGTCTCAGTATTCGATTTGAGGTACTTGAGTAGTCGATCTGATCAACGCGTTGCACATCCGCCAGAAGTAATCTGCTTTTCCAAATTGTGATATCCAGTAAAATTTAATTTACAAGTATTTATTTCTGATCACTATCACCTTGTAGCATCGTTTTCATGCAAATATTCAACCATCCTCCCCCTCGCCCGCTGAACTTGATCTTCCACGTCCAGATCCCACAGCCACCTTAAGCGCTCTTGGAACGTTTCCTTCAACTTAGTCTCATTATCCCTCACACCATCCAGGCACAGACAAAGTAAATACGCATTCTCCTTACTACTCGTGACAACGCGTTGGCTTCGCGGCCGGCGAATCTCATCATACGCCTTGAAAGCAGCTACAACATCTTGCGCCATCTGAACTCTAGCGTCGCCGAGGAGCTCGGCGAGTACATGGGCATCTTCAATTGCTTGGCCAGCACCAGCGCCTTGATGGGGAGTCGACGCGTGTGCTGCGTCCCCGAGAATTGCCACTCGCGATCGATAAAATGTTGAGATGTGCGGGTGCTCAAAGATTGCCCAACGCGAGGCATCGGGCATATACTGTTCACACTTTAGCATGAGCCATGGTTCGCCACAACGAGAATTCTCTTCCTTTTAGGTAGCAAGCTTACCTCAACTAGAGACCTCACAAATCTCCCCATATTACTCGCATCTCGTACCATATCCTCTCGATTGGCAGGCCGAACCCAAGTATCGCAGTCCCAATTCTCATCCAACACATATAATCCCACATTGACCTTCTTCGCCCGCATGATGGGGTATGAAATGCCATACGCCCCATCTCCAATATACATTGTGGACACCTTGGCGCGCTGGTCACCGACCGCTTTCACCATATCCTCCATATCGAGCACAGCGCGGTACCCATATATCCCGCTATATCGTGGTTGGGCAAACTGTGCTTCTTCCGGCAACATGGACTCCTTCACCTTGGACTTGATCCCATCGCAGCCAACCACCACATCGGCATGAGCTGTACTCCCATCATCAAACCGCAGCATCACGCCTTCATCGGACTCGGTCAATGAATCCAACCGCTTGCCGAACTGCACAATCCCGGGCGGGATTAAGCTAACCAACGCATCCAGGAAATCCGCTCTCCGAAGCGTCGTCTGACCTGACGGGAGTGCCTTGAGATCCATCAAGAGCTCCCCTTCTTGTTTTCCGCTAGCCCAAATGATCTCAAACCAAGTCTGTTTGAATCTCTCGTAGCCCGGACTGTCGGCATGCGTGGTGACGAGCGAGTCGTAGATTTCCCGAATGCGAGGATCAATCAACGGCATTGCTCGGTGTGCGGCGGGGCCAATGGACAGCCCCAGACCGATCTCTGCAAATGCAGAGGCTGCTTCGTAGATGCGGACTTTGACATCGCGGCGGAGGAGGCCAGCGGCTAGCACTAAACCGCCTATCCCGCCGCCGATGATTGTGACGGTGAAGTCTTTCGCGACACTCCCCATTGCGACTGACCCGCGGGGGAGCACTATATATTGGCTATTCGACTTGGTTAATTGAAGATGTCGATAATTATCACGCTGAGTTGGCTGGCGAAATTAATGCGGGGTATTAGGTGGCCCGTGGGGAATCCGAAGGAAAACAAATATACCCGTTGGTAAAAGTACAAAGTACGAGGAACAAGCGGGCCGTTTATGCATCCAGCTATGATCATCCCTGCGCCCCGGGTAGCATCATGGTAGGACAAAGTCTACAAGAAAATACTCCTACTTTAACGAACGCGGGAGGGGAATCTTCTGTGCAGAATGGTATTATGACAAACTGGTCATCATTGAAAGAGATAATCGCGATCCCGTCGCGTACATGGAAGGAAATCCAAGTCATTGGAGCCATTTCATTCTCTGTGAAATGCGCTGGCTATTCGTTTTCGAAGCCAGAGTGGAGTATCTTGGTCCGATGTGTTTATGCCAGTTGATTCATCGAACAAATTCGGGTATTGTTCATGTTGGCAAATCTTTATGAGCATGAGTAAAATTTGGATGCCGTAATAGCACCAAATAATCAAGATACCGAATTGAGAAGATCGATCCAGCACCTACAGGCATCGGCCTGGGCATGCGGTTGCCGACACAACGAAATGCTAAAGGAAACCCGAGAAATAAATCGTACAATATCGCCACAGCGGTCAGATTGAGAAAACTAGATCATCGGCGGGGCTACTGTCCGCTGCCCATGCTCCCATTTGGGAGGAGTAAAGGGACTATCATGATGACCATGGGGGTCCCAGTCCGAGGCATTGTCGTAAGCAATGTGCTTCTCATCGACCTCTTGAATCGGCGAGGTATCGGAGTCGTCCAAGGCACGGCGGAATCGAAGGAATTCCTGCGAGTCGACACTGTGAATTGGATACATTGTCCCGAGCTCCATAGAATGCAAGGCCGCGCGCTGGAGATGTCGCAGGTCATCGCGAAGAGTAGCAACCTGGCTTTCAAGATTCCGGCGAGCCGTCTGTTCGCGACGAAGGAGAGCCACCAGGGTGCTGAATTTCTCAATGGAGACACCGTTGAAATCGGATAATGATGTTGCGGACGGGGTGGGGCGGAGTGTGCGGGAGTTCATGGTGTCTGGGCGGATGGTGCTCATGCTGCTTGGACGCACTGTTGGGAGATCCGCCAGTGGGCTGGGAGACTCGTCGCGGTCAGCTGTACCCAAGAATGCAGATGTCTTGTTGCGCATCTGTGGCGTGACGGATTCGCTTGAGGGGGCCTGCTTTCGAGATGGCCGTTCAGTAGCGGAATTGTCATTTGAGTTGGCTGAGCTGGACTGCATGCGGGCAATGGCAAACTCCAGATCGATCATCTTTACTTCAATTGTATTCAACCGCTGTTCCACAGTCAAACCGTCGTCTCGTTGCATGGTATGAACGAGGTTGCTCATATTCGGTGGGAACGGACTCATGGGCTCGGGGTGGTGATCCGATCCCACGAGCGATGGCGTCGCAGACGCGCGCGAGACACTTGTCACAGTAGTTCCCGTGGATGGTCTCGCAGAGCGGTCGCTGGCAGAGCTCTCTTCCAGCAGCGGAGGGGACTTGGAATTAGGGGCCGAGTGCGGGACGGATGTCGAGCGTTGGGGCCAGGCCGCAGCCGATATTGGTCGTTCACCGACCATTTCCCGAAGTGCATCTGTACTCCTTGACCTTCGTCGATCTTGAAGCATGTTGCGGGTTCTTTGTTGATCGGTTATGTGCGGTCGATCTTCATAGGGGTCTGAAATTGCGCTCGATGCGCAAGCATAATGAGACTCGTCGTCCGAGAAGATCACACTCGGAAGCGTTGCGCGTCTTCTCCGAGACACCACCCCAGGTGAGGGTAAAGATGTATGGCTCAGTGCGGTCGGTGAAAGGTGGTAGTCCGCAAGCTGCAGGTTCTCCTCTGAGAGTGGACTACTCCGTTTGGAATCTGAGGGCGTCGGAACCGCCAGGAATGATCTGCCTTCGACCGGTCCCGATGAACGTGCGGGGACAGACGAGTAGTAGGACTCAATCGGGCTCTCCTCGACGCCATCTGTCTGGCTCTGTCTCTTCCGGTTGAAAATCTTCCGCATGACAGTCTTCAAAGTACTTCCCGTCCGGCGATGTGCAACGGGGGCGTGATGAAAGTTGATCGGAGGAAGGGCGGTATCATAGTGGTTCGTCTCCATCGAAAAAGAAGCAGGGTTCGAAGCGGAGCGTTCGCCCCGCGCAACAGACGACGATCGTTGTCGGTGACTTCCGACGGACTCGCTGCCGGCGCTAGCGATCGATCTCGTGGTCGGTCTCGACATGGTGAAGGCAGACGATCAACGATATTCGTCAAGATGGGTTCAGTAATCCACGAGGATCATCAGAAGGGAATATTCGTCGCGGCACGTGGGTATCAGGTCGTCACAGAAAGAAAAATGTAAAGGAAAGTGTGAACGGTGGAATGAGTAGATTGAGCGAGTGTCAAGAAACGAAGGAACGGGGTATAAAGAGTCAACCGCGCAGCGACCGAACGATTCGAATCACAGCTAGGGGACTGAGCAGTTCAGTCGAATCGCAAGTCGATCGAAAAGAGCTGTCCAACAATAATTAGCACTTCTGCCCCTCACTCGAGCCAGTGCAAACGAAACCCTAGCAACACACCGCACTTGAAGATATCTGGAGGATCATAGTTGCAATGCACAGTTCCCGTTCCTGCGGCGTTTGCCAGTCTCGGGAATGAACTACGGATGAACCACGGATGCGATCGAAGGTACCAAGTCGGAATAGGGCAAAAGTAAACAAAGGCGAAAAGGGGTGAATTGAAAGGTAAAAAGTTGGACGAGAGTGGCCACAACCGCAAAGGAATGAGTGTAGGAAGACAAAGAGAGAGGGAGGAGGGAAGCTCGTGCGGGTGCAGTTTGGGAGATTAGGAGAACGAGCTACCGCCTCCCCATGGGACTTGCTTCTTTCTGCACGCCACACCCGACTTGGTTCCAGTCGCATCTCGCGAGCACCGCTTCTGGTGGCACGTCCGACCTGTTCCAGTCGGCAAGATTCAGTCCAAGACCGACCAAGTGGAGGAAGGCTTCTGCTAAACTCCTGCCTAACTACGCTTGTGCCAGTGACGATTTTTCGCCGTGCTACGAGGGTCCCGGACGCTCGTTGGGGATAGTACCTAAAAGACGCTACACCTTAGTGGCGTCCACTTCCAACCTTCAAACCGGAGAGCCAACCCTAAACTTGCAGCCAAAAAAAAGAAAGGAAAAAAAGGGGGGCCGAATCAGACCGCGCCCGAACGGTGGCCCCTCATTTCAAACGAATGCCGCGATGGATCCATGAGCCGAACCAAGTGGAGCTCCGAGAAAGACTGGCCGTTACGGACTGCTTCCAGGTGCATCCAGAATGTGGCGAACGTCCCCAAAGGAAGGGCCTGCATGGGGAAGGGGGTGGGCTCTGACCGACCTTAGGCTACCCAAAGAACTTAGCTTTGTTCGCCCCCTCGTCATCGCGAACGAGGCAGCTGCTTGTCCGCTCTGAAACACCACATGGCCGCCCTGTTGATCGCAGGAATCTCAGCCGCGCACTGACCGCGATCGAACGCTGAAGACTGGCCTGTAAACGGTTGAAGCCTCGTCGCACGGGGGGGCAGGTGAGACGAGACGCCCGACTACCGTGGCACAAATCAGTTTTTTGGGGTCGTTGATATCAGGCTGCACTCCGTACGATGCTGTCAGACTTTGGGCATTGCGAATCTTGTCATGCCAATTCGTCCACATTTTCATTGCTCGTTGGTCGGCTACAGCCTTCCATCGTCAAGGCCGATCAGCCCCTCACGCTGCACTACTTCCAGTAACGTATCTCCGACGCCTCCGCGATCTGCCAGCGGATCGCAGTGGAGGTCTGCGTGTTTTGAAACGTCCTCCTTCTCACCGCCTGCGTGTCTCGCAGACACGGCTCGATGCACGGGTGTCGGGCCAGAATGAAGTATCGAGGGGATCCAGGCCCAAATCTAGGAACGGCCTGATCTCTAGCCTTAGAAGGTACCGTCCAGCCATATCTAAGTGGGGCATTCGCCGGCACAATTCTGCTACGCATACCTTAATGGCGAGAATTAATCTTGGCCCACCGAGGACGGTACTTCGTGCTCCGGTTGTATGCGATACGAACTGCACACGGAGTCGGCTCGGTTGGACATCTGCGTTGCTACAGGTGTGTTGGTTTCGGTAGGCTCAGCATGCAGCACTTGCTCAATTGATCTGCTGCTCTGCTGGAGAGCTGCGACGAGGCCCTTGCAAGGCCGAGATGTAGCCAGCAAGGAGGCTACCCTACAGCAAGTCGCCCGCGTCGGGAAAGCGTAGATCGGCATTCTCCTCCAGATAGTCCATCCAGTGTTTGAGAAAGCTGCTACCCCTGCAGGAGAAACAAATATAGATTAACCTCGGTTTTTGTGGCACTCGGTGCAGCAGAAAGGGACAGGGACCTACCGGTTGATGGTGTCGGAATCGCCAACCACACAAAGATGCCGCTTGGGCCGGGTCATGGCCACTAGAAGACCCCGCATTAGTTGCTGCTCTGCACGAGAGATTTTGAATGACTCAGGATTCACGAGGGGCAGACTTACCATTGAGTCGGCGTTTCTCGCCAAGGAATCCCACTTCATGCTTTTCGTTGCTGCGGACGAGACTAACCACCACGGCCTCCTTCTCTCGACCTTGGAACCCGTCAATACTCCCAATTTCCAGATCGGGGTATTTCTCTCTAAGCATCTTGGAAAGAATGGCTTTTTGACCATTGTAAGGCGTAACCACAGCAATGTCCTCGGTTTTGACCCCGGCATCGACTAGTTCGTCAACATGTCGTGCAACCACCATCGCCTCCATCTCGTTGCTTCGACTCTCCATGCCCACAGCCTTCTGGTCGACTTCTGTATCTTCTGCCCTTTCGGGAAAGTCCCCACCTTGCGTGTCTATAAAGACCAAAGGCTCTATTGTATTGTCCGTGGACTCGACTTCATCGCCTAGATCGCTCAGGACTCGGGCTTTGACCGAGTCGGCCGCTATCAGTTTCGACTCGTAGAGCTCGTCCGACGGGAAACGCATGATCTTCTCGTGCATACGATATTGAGTAGTCAACATCCGTTTAATCCCTGGGCCGTGCAGTGACAAGAGCCGATCGAACAGGGTTCGTTCGAGCGAAGCACTCTTCAGGATCTCTTTGGCTTCAGCGGAGGTTTCATATTTCTTCTCGGTATTTCCCTTTCCAACCTTATCCTTTGATTTAAGGTTGGCGGATTTCACAGTTGGGGGTAGTTGGAGGTGATCACCGGCGAGGACTACTTTTTCAGCAGACATCAGCGGGATCCAACACTGGGCTTCGAGCGCTTGACTCGCTTCGTCGATGATCACGATGTCGAATTTTTGGTTCGTGACCTGGCTCCCGCCTGCGCCGTGCAGGGTTGCCAGAACGACACTGCTGCCCCCCACTAGCTCGTTCACACATCTCGCCTCCCGATCACGGAATTCCTTGCGGAGTTGTTTCAAGTCGTCGTAGATCGCCCGTCTTTCCCGTCCTGTGCGTGTTTTCCGGATGCTGGCCTGCTTTTCGTCGATTTCCTTACGGATATCTTTGACGATGAGCCCAGGGTCTGATGTATGGGTCAAAACTTCGAGGGAGTGGTCCAAGACGGACGGTAGGAGTCGGGCTGGATGGCCGATTCGTACAACTGGGATCTTTTTTCGAGCCAGTCGCTCCACAATATTATCAACCGAGACATTGGAGGGCCCACAGACTAGGATCCGCTTCTTGCGCTGGACTAGCTGCATGATAAGCTCGATCAAGGTATGTGTCTTTCCCGTCCCTGGTGGACCGTGAATCAGGGCGATGTCTTTGGTGGCTAAAGCGTAACGGATGGCCTCTTTTTGGGAGTCGTTCAATGTGGGATCTCCGAATTCAATGGGACCCGCGGCCTCGTAGTCTGGTGATAGAGGTGTTGTATGACCAAAGGCAACCCGCATAAAATGCGAAAGCGAATCTGGGGGAATTTTGCCATTTTCTCCATGGTTTGCTTCATTCTGCATACACTAATCAGTATTGCTCTTAACTTAGTGTTGAAAGAGCGTACCGTCTGTGCGTCACATCGTTGGCTAATTTCATACTGCGAAAGGGTTAGAAGAGCGAGACACTGTGCAGGACCTGGGAGACACATACGCCCAAAGCTTTTTCTCCCATAATTCCTCAATAGCTTCATCCTCCTCCTTCGAGGGCCCACCACCTTTCCCTTGTTGCCCAAAGGCAATGCGGATAGACTTCTCACTGACGCGCACGACGACACCTTCAGGGCCGCCCTTCTCTTTCTGGTCTTTTCCATCCTTGCCTTTATCTTTTCCACCGGCCTTCTTCCCCGACCCTGCAGAAACATCGCTCACGCGAACAACATCGCCAACCCGAATCCCATGCGATCCCAGCCCATCTGAGCTACGCTCTGAGTTCTCATCTTGGGACTTGCCCGACGAGACCGCGGGGTCAGCAACGAACTCGCCGACGACACGTCCTCCGAGGCCAGTGCGGCACTGCGAGAGGCGGAGGCCCGTCAAGGCGTGACCCGTAGCTTGTAGAGCTCGGCGTGTAGCTGGCGACACAGATGCCGCTGTGTTTGCGAGGGCGGAGGAAGCGACATCGGCCTCGTGTTCGCGAAGGAGGAGCTGGATCTGGGCTTCGGCGAAGGCGGGGACGGGGATTGGGACTGGCGCGGCCATTTTGCGGTGCCCTGGTGGGTGATATGAACAGACGGAGATGTTTCAGATGCGCCGGTTGTTCATCTCAATCATATACTCATCGTACTGGCAGCGAATGCTCAAGGCCCACTGTGAGGTCGTGTAGTGGGAGTCGCGGGGCGATCAAAGCTGTCGAGGTCCCGCATGGGAATCAATGGCCGTGACTCCATCGGTTCCACTTTTAGTCATCCTATATATCGAGGCATAACCAACACAGCCGGAATTTAGGACATAAGTATGAGATAAATAATACGAATCATCATTTATACAGATACCGAAAGCTATACATCGTATATATCCAAGGCCATGGCAAGCCAACGCCCAGTTTTCATCATACAGACTCAATCTTAATCTTCGGCTCCTCATCAGAGCTCTTCACGTCATTCTTCACAGGGGAGAGACCTTTGATCTCGCTCTTGCAGAGCTTCGTCCCAGCCAGATAGCACTCGCCGCATCTCCTCTTGACCGGCAAGCAGACCGTCTGCCCTAGACCAACAAGCAATTTGTTAATTTCATGCCACTTATCACGCGGCAGCCACGACTGAAGCGCCATGCGAGTTTCCTCTGGCGTCTTGGTTTTATTCCAGCCCCACAGATTTGTGATCCGGTGGACATGGACGTCGACCCCGATTCCCTCGTGTTTGCCCCATGCGGCACTCATGCAGAGGTAGGCCATTTTAGGACCCACGCCGGGTAGCGCCATGAGTCCCTCTGGGGTGGATGGGATGTCGCCGTCATGCTGATCGCGAAGAATTTGCGCCGCCGATTTGATGTACTTAGTCTTGTTGTTGTGGAAGCCGACTTTTTCAATCAATTCGTTGAGTCGAGTGGGTGAGACGGCGAGAATGTTTTCCAGATTTAGTGTGCTGTCCTTTGCAGGCTGAGGTTTTGCCTCGTCATCTTCAAGTTCGAACTTGACTTCGTCTTCCAGCTTGACCTCACCCTCAGTCTCAGTTGTCTGCTCCCCAAGCTCTGTGTGGAGTCGTTGCATCGCAACGGCCGTGACGGTATCCTTGGTTTGTGAAGAAAGCATCAACGCAACCAGAGTTTGGAAACGACGGTCTTTGGGCGATGACGCCCGCCAATACAGCTCCGCGCAGCCCATGGTATCCACGGGCGCCGTCGGGTTGTCCTCGCGCATTTTCTTGACTGTGTTGTACATTGTCTCCCAATTCGAGGGCGGCTCTACCACAACCGTCCCATCGGCGTCTCGGGTTTTCCGTGCTGGCATACGGCGAGCCTTCTTTGGCGTGCTCTTAGCGCCCTCTTCCTCCTTTACGAGAGGCTCGTTTTTCACCACAGGCCCTTGCTTAACGGCAGTCTCTTTTTTCACGGGCGGGTCGCGTGGTTTCCGGGTTGTGCGAGTTCGGGCTGGCGGCGGGCTCGCGTTGCGTTTTTGGCGTTTCGTAGGGGGCTCGACGAGATCTTCAATATCGGCAGTATCGGCTGAAGAGAGGGAGGACTCATCGTCGCTTCCGGGTGGCAATCGTGCAATCGTTGAAATGGGCTCCGTCTTGACCGTGCCATCGCCATTGAATGCGAAACTCCGCAGCGCGTTGGTATTGAGCGCAGCACTGCGCGTTGAGCGACGCGCTGGAGGCGACAGCGCCTGCAAGACCTTGGCGGTCTCCTTGGAAGCGCGCGAGGTACGCATGGCGACGAGATGATGACAGGAACAGAAATGGATGGACCCAGCGAATTTCACATGTGGACGGGGATCCGTGGATGGCGATGGGGCAAGTTTCCCCAGCCTCGGCGACGATCCCGCCGACCTCCAACTCCCGAGGACCTGCCCGTCGCAATCTCCACCACCTCTTCCACATTCCTCTGTGCAGAAACATTCCACCATGGCGGCTCCGTCTGGGCAGACGACGCAGCGGCTTCTGCGGGAGCTGAAGGACTACTCCAAGTCACCGAATGAGGCATTGTTGCACCTCGGTCCTGTGGATGAGGAGGACTTACTGCGGTGGGAGGCGGTCCTCAAGGGCGTGGATGGTTCTCCGTATGAGGGTACGTACTCCTGCTCGACTCTCAATCCCTTAACTTTCCCCTCTGCGCGTCTAATACCTACTACAAGGACTCTGGCTAATGAATGACACAAACAGGCGGGCTGTGGCACCTCCGCATCGCAATTCCCCCCAACTATCCCCTCGCCCCGCCCACCATCCACTTTACGACGCGCATTTCGCACCCCAACATCTCCTTTACCACCGGCGAAATCTGCCTGACCCTCCTGACAACCGAGCACTGGAGTCCCGTCTACACGCTCTCGTCCACCCTCACCGCCATCCAGCAGCTCCTCACGGACCCACAGCCCGACTCTCCGCTGAACGTGGATGTGGCGGCCCTCCTACGTGACGGCGATATCGCGGCGTGGGAGAGCGTGGTGCGATACTGGACAAGCGAGGAACGCTGGAAGGGGCCGACCGGTCGGTGATTGGGGAAGGGTCGGGAACCCCGTCACCCACATTGCCGTCCTCGGGGCAATGGGGGCAGGGATTAATGGAATGGAGTCCCCCGGGAGAATTTCATATATATTGGACGCAATCCTTTTTTGTTTTTTTCTTTTAATTGGCTCACAGATGCTCGGCATTGGTCACGCTACATACTACAGTACATTACATTATTTGAAGATATACCTCGATTACAACAATTGAAAGCATCACATAACTAGTACCTTACTGGAAAAGCCACTTCATATGAATGATAAAAGCAGGCCGATCCCGGCCGGGATAAACTCCATTATGCACCGTGGACTAAGATACATTCACCCTATCTAGTCGCAAAAGAATAGAAAAATATGCGCTGTAAATGTTGATTCCCATAAAATGTTGGCAAAAAACCAAAAAAAATTCGAACTTCGCAGATCGTAATGCTAAACGCCAGAAAAGAAGGAGAGGCATGAGTCGGTCGTAAGGATCGTGAATCTGACACTAGCAGTGCAATTGAGATGCTGAATGTAGGATGAAATTGGCGCTAAGGACGATGGGATTGGGAAGATCCGGCAACCACAGTTTAAAGTGGTACAGGTGCTCACAGAGCCATGGCAACAGCCACCGCTCCGCCAACAATGGCGACCACCTCACGAGTGAGGCCGACCGTAGCCACGGCGGCTGCACCAGTCTGCAGACCAGCGTGGGCTCCAGTGGTGGCCGTAGCCGAACCGGTAGGATGAACCTTGACCACGGTGGTGGAGGTGAGCGTGCTCACCTCACCGTTAGGCAGAGTGGTCGTGTGCTTGATGGTGGAGGTAGAGGAGCTCTCCGGGGCACTGGTGCTGGTGATCGTGTTGGTCGACGAGGAAGACGAAGATGAGCTGCTGCTGCTCGTGGTGGTCAGAGTGGTCGGCACCGAGGAGCTCGAGGAGCTGGAGCTCGAGGAAGACGAGGAACTGGTATCTGTGGTCTCCGCCGGGGTGGACGCAGAAGTGGTGGTCGTCTTATCGGTGGTAGCGGGGGCTGAGCTGCCCGTGGTGCTAATAGTCGAGGTAGTAGACGTGGTGGTAGTGGGCTCGGACGAGGAGCTGGTGGTCGCCTCGGACGTAGTGGGAGCCTCGCTGCTGGACGAAGTAGTGGGAGCCGGAGTAGAAGCTGTGGACTCGGTAGTGGTCGCATTGTCCTGACGCTTGACGAGCTTCACCAGATTGGCGATGGTCTGGTCTTCATCTTGCAGGGCTTCGGCAGCAGTCAGGTCAGTTTCGAATATGCCGTCGCGGAACTTGGAGGAAAGAGCGTGGAGGGCGTCGTGGAGGGTATTGCTGGTATGTCCTTCGCCGGTGCTCACAACACCCTGGTGAGACTCACGGGCAGCGTCGGGCTGGTCGGTCGCGAAGACGAGCGACAGCAGCATCAGCGAGAGAACGAGCAGCTGGAGAATGCTGACACGAGGCATGATGGCGGTATGGTGGAAGGAAGAAATTGGGAGAGAAAGTGAATGTGAAAGTGCGGCGTAACAGTAGTTTTATAAAGGCGGAGCTCGACATGCGGCGGCCTGAGGTTTGTCGAACAAGGAAGGAACAAAGAGGCGATCGACACCTGCCTTGTTGGGAGTGCACTAAACTAGCGTGCCGGATGCTCTCCCAGTAGTCTACCCTACTACAGTAGTAGGGTGCTGTGCTTGATCCACCCGGCTGGAAATAGTGGTGAGCTTGTGGCGGATTGACTGGTTCCTCTTGTCCCGGTCGTTCCTCCCGCGGCGGCGCTTTCCAAGTTCTGCAATCTATCGGATCGACGCTGACACATTCCACTGCAGCGACACACCTCGACTTCCTGCGACACCTCGCTCTTATTTATCGTCCTCTCGCCCTCTCCAACTGTCCTCCTGTTGAGCTACTGAGACACGCGGATACGACCAGTCCCCGCACGCCGAATGCCGGATGCGGTGCACAGCCTGGAAGCCTGGCAACGACTAGTTGGCAGCCCCACTTTTGATTGGTGCGGTCTCACTGAAAATCTCAAAATAGCACGAGTCGTGTTGTCATCGGCCTCGATCCAGCCGATTGTGCGATCCCTGTTCGCTTGTTCGGTCGCACCGTCAGCAAGATACCAGCAGGTACCAAGGAACACCCGCGAAAGGGGCCTTGCCGCCAACCATGGCTCAACGCCGGTGAAAAAGAAAAACAAACAAATACACCAGCTCATGCGGTATAGGGGTTCAGGAGGTCTCGATGGGTAGAGCTAGTGATCTCCTATTTTAAGGCGTTCGGCCGGGCTGCCGAATGTTCGTATCCATCCCGACTGGCAACGGCGATCGAGGGGACTATCGACCGACTAGCAGCTGCCCAAAATTAAACTCAATGATCGACAGAGCAGGCTGAGATCAAGTTCACCGAAACCTTGCCGGATGTCCTACGTGCCAAATGGCTGAAGAGGATGATTCATATTAATCTGCAATTCGTGTGTTCTATGTGCATCGCCATGGCAAAGCCATCGACGTTTCTCAGTGGCGGAGATGCTCCTCAAGTGTATGTATAACAGAGTCCCCTGCCGGTGGGGCTCATGACTTCACCAATCCTTCGCGGACGATCCAAGGCCCCAAAATCCATCAGTGTGTCCAGCGTAACGTTGTGGGCCCACGGCGGATTCAAGATGGTCGACGTGCCATTAATCGCATATCTCCGGGTCCGCTCGTCGCCGTCTTGCCACTTCGCCCACAACCGATCGATCATGCAGTGGTGCAGCATAAAGGCTGGGTCTTGCGGGGACGCGAACAGGTCCTGCATCGAGTCGCCGAGGCTGAAATGGCCTCCGCCGTGCGGGCCGAGGACGCCCTCCGGCCTGGCCGGCCAGTGGTCCATGACGGTCTGGAATTGGACGATATCCTTGGATGCCATGAGGGCGTTGATGAGCGTGGTGTTGGTATAATCCTCGGCAACGACGTTGTTGAGACTGCGGATGAGGCATCGTGGGTTGTAGGCGAATCGGGGCTCGGGGATTTCTGTGTACGAGGTGATTTGGCGAGAGAAGGGGCCCAGGTGGACTTCGAAATCGCCCTCTCCAAAGGCCCCGCAGCCTTGAGGCACACATCCTCCGCCGGATCCTCTTGGAATGGTGATATTGCCCGCTGTGAGCGGCTGTTCATCGGGATTGAATTTTCCATTGCCTGTGGACCTGTTATCAGCCTGGATCCGAAATCATGGAGGGCGTCAAGCATGTTACCTGAGAGGCTCGTCTCGCTGCAGTCAAAAAGAGGGCTGTTCTCGAGATCATCGGCCCACAGAGGCCAGTTCCAGTATCTGCGTGGGTGGACCATTAGTATACGTCCTGATCCCAGGTTTGAACGAAGAAATCTCACGGTTGGTATCCAATGTATCCACACTCATCTCGGAGTGCCTGCTCCCACAGCCATACGAAGCGGCGATGCCAGGGCAAGAACAGTCCACTATAGTGCACTTTCAGGGTTTGGTTGATATGGGTGCTGTCAAAAAGAGATCGTCAGCGGAATATCATGTAGATCTCGGATAGCTTCGACTCACGCGGCAAAGTCATCGAATCGGCTGCGGACGCCAGGATACTCGGCAGTCGAAAGTCTCGGAGGCTTTTTTGTCAAGCACTTGATAGCCTTGATGTAGCTGGTTCGCTCGGCGGGTAACATTTCCCCCCTTCATGACCCACGATGAGCAATTGGGTCAACGGGGGTAGGACGAGGGTGTAACTTACCATTCTTTGCGTACCGTCGTCTCCTCAGGCCGGCACTGGCCATAATGTCTCAGAGAGGCGACAACCACTTCTCCAAAGGCAATGAGAAGCAAATACTTGAACCAAATCATGACGATCCCAAAAAAATCTCGCAAACCAAACATGCACCGGCGGGAAATTTCCAATGTCCACTCCCATTTCAACATAGGTGAAAATTCCTCTCTTATAAACAAACCCTTGAAATGTGATCCTTCACTTCCAACCAATTACGGCCATCGTCCGTCCAAAACCTGTCTCGAGGGCCTGCGCCAAAGTCCGCTGCATTAGTCCGGCCTTAGTGAAGCCGAAAGCATGCTAACGCGCAGGTACCAAGGGTGACAAGACAGGGGTTCGGGAGGGACCGATTGGGAATTGTCATTTCCACATAGAGCCCAATGTCCCTGCATATGCGATATATCTCGAAAGGGATGCGCCTCTTGTTACAATCTAATGTGAGCTACCCTCAATGCTTATTTTGCCACTCGTATATTAAACTTTGCGGCCTTGTGTTTGCTCGCAAGGGGTTCGTGGGTGGTGGGGTTGGCGCGAAAATACCCTGCAGCTGACACCTCAACCATGTGGAGAATTCTGGTCCAGGTGCTTTTTGGGGGCCGGTTGGCGTTGGAATCTGGACTTGTCCTGCAGATTCATTGCAGTCATGCTGATCGGAGTCGGAGCACACGTTCGTTGATGTGAACCGGCATTTCATTCCATCTTGAGGGGATCCCATGATCTATCACTGCGGAGTTGAAATGATTGGGTCGCGGTGTTCACTAGAGTAGGCAGCTGTGAATCGTCGGGGATGTAACCGTGGTTGAATTTTTAACTCATGTCACAGATGTACATAGTTGAGTGCACTCGACTCCGTGGGGTGGGTAAGTGTGACGTGGAATGTGGGATTCGGATGGAAGATCTCAACATATAAACATATTCCACAAATACACTGAGCCGTGGTACATGAAGCAGTCTGCTTCACTATACGATCATTGCTATGATGGCCCAAGTTACCTTATCAACGAATGCAATGTGTAGCAAAATGTCAATTCTATTTGTGGTGTCCTGGGGGCTCGTGCTATTCTGCATGACGATTCTGCCTTGGGGCTTGCTCAGGGCGTGCTCGTAAATGATCCATCTGACCATGCAGCTATATCAAATCAGGCGTGCTCCATACAGATGCAAGCTTCGATCCAAACAGCAGACATCAGCCTAGGAACATCCCATAATAACTAGTTAGTTAGTTAGTAGTATGTAGATTATTAATGATCTTCAGCTTTTCCGATGGGGGGTTTTCATTGCATTAAAAAAAGAAACGGGTATTGTCTATGTAAGAACGCCACCAAAAGCCTATCTCGTGCCACCAGTGAAAGAGAAGTAATAATAATTGGGCTGAATCACTCTCCTCACTTCAGCTCACTCCCATTTACGCTCATACACGCCAACCCACTCTCCCCATCCGACGACATTGCCCTCAATGGCCGTCGCAATCTCCTGGTCGGTAGGCACCTGGCTCAGCTTGCTCACATCAAGAGGCTGACCAAGAGCAACCAAGGTAAAGAAATACCTATGCGACCCATGTCCCAAAAGCGGACGCGGGGGGATATAGATATTGCCACGGCGATTCTTCCCATATTTGAAGCCACCCTTCAGCGCGTGAGCGACTGCACTCTCCAAAAAATCATCATTGCTCACGCCGGCCACGGAGGCAGGGATACCGTAGTAGATGCCGTGGATGATCGGACTTAGCAGGGGCGCATCTGGGTCTTCGCTGAGCAGCAGGAGTTCCTTGGATTCTGGGGGTGCGGCGGGCCAGCTCAGAGACAGGAATCGACCCACTCCGTCGGCAGATAGGTCCACTTGTAATTGCGACCCAGACGGGCCTTCGGAGCTTTCGAGGATGATGTTAGGCTTGGGAAGCTGCGCGAATGCGACGCCCTTTGTGAAGAGGCGTGCGTCAGGGCTTTGGCGTTGGCGAATAGCCTGGATAGGCCGTATTCGATATAACTTGCCTGTTGTACATTGCCAGGGTAAGCTGATGCTCACTGTTCACCGCGGACATCCGAAGGTAGAACGTCGTACCATGATCGAACTCGAACAGAAGACTGGAATGCTTGGCTTCGGAATTTGGATGATGAGAATCAGTCACAGAGGTTAGTCTTCCAGTTTTTTTTATCGTGTTGTCAGCCCGCGAGGAATTTAAAAGCGTCGCGTGGCCATTGTCGGGCCGCTTGCGGTGAAGCGTGTCGCCGGTCGCGGGCCGGTCCAGTCTTGGACGCCTTATGGTGCCTGGAAAAGTATGCCACAACTCTACACAACTAATTAACTAACTAGTTAACCAACCACTCAGCTTGTATCGATTGGATCATCCATGCTACCACTGGGTTTGGGCAGATTCTGGCCAAATGTATGTCAGCAGAAGAATCTTGAATGCCGGCCTGAACACCTTCACATGGCGCGATCTTAGCCGAGATCCACCGAAGATCGATCGAGGGGTGCGGGAAAGAAAGGTTTTCCGGGGTGGCCGAGGTCTGAAGCCACGAGGTTAAGATGTGACGACCTCTAAGACGGTCATGTCGGGGCTACAGTTTGATCTCCATTTAAAGTCACATCTTGGCATCCACCTGTCTCCATTTCTGGTCTCATTTTTGCGTCTACCTGTCACTGTCAACATGGAGGCTCTGCAGGATTATAGCGCGCAGCTGCTGTGGCCCGTCATAACTTTCTGGACCAACATCGTGGCTACCTACTCAGCGTCGCAGATTGAATTCGTGGGCACTCTGCTTGTTCAGCTCATTTTTTTCTGGTTCCCATCACTTGCCTATTTGTCTTTGGATGCTGTCGCACCGGCCTTCAGTCAGAGGCACAAGATCCAACCAGCGCCCAGGCAGCCCAGTCGCCGCGATATCATCCACTGTTTCTCGGTTGTTCTCCAGAACCAGGTTCTTTCTTCGGTCCTGCACCTTGGCCTCATCAACATTACCTCACGCCTGGGTGGGCAGTCCGCCTATCGAATTGAGAAGTCACTCCCTACCGCACTGGAATTCGCTAGGGACTTTGTCCTCAGTTTGCTCATGCGCGAAGTGATGTTCTACTATAGCCATCGGGTCTTGCACGAGAAACCCCTCTACAAGCTGATCCACAAAAAGCATCATCGCTTCACGGCACCGGTGGCCTTGGCTGCGCAATACGCACACCCGGTTGAGCAGATCTTCGCGAATGTACTTCCGATCTCATTGCCTCCGCAGTTGCTGGATAGCCATGTCTTGACATTTTGGTGTTTCCTTGCTTTCGAGCTCTTTGAGACGAGTACTGTTCATTCGGGTTACGACTTTTTCCACAGAAAGGCGGCGATGCATGATCTTCATCATGCGAAGTTCAATTTGAACTATGGTTCGTTGGGGTTGCTCGATTGGTTCCACCAGACCGATCGTCTGGGGAAGCAGCATTCGGAGTAAAGGCGGGGTTTAGGTCCGATTATTTTTGTATACGGCAGAAAACGACCATCTGGAACGACAAGTTTAAATGTGACGTTGGTTCTTTCTGCCCGATCTGCGTGGGATATATATAAGCCCCCTCATTATTTGTTCTTTACGCGTCTATTGTGCACCCTTAACGAATGTCAGCTTTCGCAAGTTTCGTGCTATCCGCCTGTTCTATTGGTAGATGCCCACCACAATCTCTTTGGGTGGACCGGTGCTGCTTTGGCTATTTGGCTATCTCATTTTCCCTTTTGAAGCGCATAAGCAGAATCCAGTGTATTCGATTTTCCGACATTACTTGATGAAAGATGTTTTGAGATCGATGCTTCACAATTATTGTTCTTGGAACGAAAGGGTGTCAGCATATGTATATATCTCGCGATATTGATCGCTACATGACCTACCCCGCGAGCAGGCCAATAATATCCCTGAATCCATCGCCAGTTCTTTCAGGACAATCTATTTTCGTACCGATTGGAGGACTCCTCGGGTGCTCCAAATCCGGGATGCCTGCGTTCGGTCCGCTGGGAACGGCCGGAAGACGCAGGGGCGGCCCGTCGCCGCAGTCGATTTGTGTTGGTGTGCACCGCCCGGAACAGCTGATGCCGTGACGTGTGGCCTTTATGTATTTCTCCAGAACCCCGTCGCCGTGCAGAAGGGAGTTTTTTTCCCTAGCCACAAACCACTATGGCCGTCCTATTCAACTACCTGGTCGACGTCTACCAGTCCTTGCGGGGTGTCAACTCCACAATTCTCACCGAGAAAGATGTCCCTGGCACCGACCTGCGGGGAAAATGGATCATCATCACCGGCTCAAATAATGGGATTGGCTTGGAAGCAGCCAAGTCTTTCGCAGGATGGGGAGCGAACCTCATTATGGGCTGTCGCGATCCCCCTGGGTGGGAACTCCACCCCACCGCTGCTGTCAAAGAATGCAGGGATATCGCCACTGCGCATGGTCACTCGTCCACCATTGAGTGGTGGGACGTCGACTTGACTAGTCTGGAGAGTGTGGATGCGTTTGCTGAGCGATGGCTCGCGACGAAGCGGCCGCTTGATATTCTCTGCAATAATGCCGCCATCTCGATTGCGCCATTGACAGCTAGGACGGGAGACGGATTCCAGCCGGTCCACCAGGTTCGTTTGCTCCTCCATGTCTCCCCATGACGACACAACGAAAGGAGCATTACTGATCGGGGCAGATTAACTACCTCGCGCATGTTTTAATCACACTTCGACTTCTACCCTCCCTGGCACGCAGTGACGAGCCTCGGATCGTATGCACGACGTCATGCTACCACCATCTCGGCTTTTTCGATCTGACAGGCCAGGACTATGGCGCTGCGGATGGCACCGGGTGGATGGGCAATCCATACCAGAACAATAAGCTCTTCTTCCAGATGTTTGTTGCGGAGCTGCAAACCCGTCTGCTTAAGCATCCGGAGTATAAGCACATCACAATTAACGGGGTGCACCCCGGTTTTGTCGCCTCGGGTATCTGGAAACCACTCGAGGCGACCGGGGGAAAGCTGCTGGATTTGTTCCTCCGCCATATTGCTATTACTCCGCAACAAGGGAGCCTGGCCATCACCAACGCGGCCACCAGCCCGGAGCTTGGGCCCGACCCCCAAACGCAGGGTGTTGGACAGCCCGGCGGGCGAGGCGGAGGCCACTATCTCAATCGGATTTGGGTAGCTCCGTCGAAGAGACACTGCAATGAGCCTGAATTGAGGGCTGAGCTTTGGGTTCATACGGCCAAGGAGCTACAGCTTCAAGAGAAAGGGCTGCTCGATGTGTTGGGTCTCTAAGAATACATTTACGTGGTCCCGCTGTGAGCGATTCTTTCGGATGAATTTCCGGTACATATCGAGTCTCCAGCTCCCAGGATATTTCCCATATCCAGGGACACATGCAACTAATCATCAATGTACATAACGCTGCTGTTTGATTTTCAATCTCGGTGATATAAACCGGGCAATTCATATGCTATTGGAAAACTCGCATTTTGATATTCATAAGCGTTTGAGCTTGGCTGAATCGTCGTGCATAGATAGTGTGATCTGAGCTTTATGGTATAAATGGTCCGGTAATAGCTTTGAGGACTCGGTGATAATGCGATAGTTTCCCCCAGCACCTCCGGTAGAATCTCCAGTGGGCTGCCATATTATTCCGATATGGATATATACCTACTCCAAATGCTGCTCGGCACTGTGATGGGTCAGGTACCCGAGTGTTCCGCTGGTAGCGAAGGCGGTGACAGGCACACTGTTTATTGATCTGAACATTGACAGCATGAGGTCAATCCGATAGCCAGCGATTATTGGCCGGCCGATGCAAAACTGATTCTATCTTGGCTCAGTGATCATAATGTTTGCAGCTCGAACCGAATGGACCTATCGCATGCAGTTCCCTGTTGAATGATGAAATCAAATGTTCTGCCTACGCCAAGCGGCGCTAAGAATAGATCGTCCATGACGGTGATTGGCCAATGGTACCCGCGGAGGAGCTGGGTACGCCAATGGCAATCTCTCTTCGACTCGATTGTCGCTGTTTGAGGTAAGACAGCGTCGACAGCCACTCAGCAGGACGCGGTTGGCAGTATCTTGGTATGGTGGAGGCCCAGACTCCTTGTACTGTACCTGGTAGGTGCCCAGCCGGTCCGTGGCAGTGCCAACATGTGATAAGAGCCGAAGACAAAGAAATCGATGAGACATCTGTATCGACAGATGTTCTAACCAGTAGTTTACATAGTCCAAGTGTTCTTGGGTAGTGCCATCGAGGGTCTAGATGGTGCGTTGAGGCGCAGCAGCTTGCAATTTGCCCAAGTTGCCCTTGGGAGAACGATCGACCTGCCCATCTCCACCGCCTAGACTTCGCGTCATGGTGCCAAGCCAATATCGACAGATTGTCGCAGCACAGGGGCAAGGGATGGATGAGGGAGTGATGGAAAGGAGAAAGCGAGCACCGCGAGAGCCCAGGAGTCTGGTGAACTGATTTCTGGCCTCATGAGGCGGGCGGGCAGGCACAGAGGACTGCAATCCTTGGGTAGGGCACCTTCTCGACGCTGTAAATAGATGTTTCAGTTCCGGTGGACGACCACAGGGCCAGTTTTGGGTCGAACGAAGCCACAGACACTCACGGGAATAGGGGTTGGCCACAGAACGACGCAAGTTTCAGGGTCGGTGGGGCGACGAGACCCCCTTACGCTGGGCGACCGGCCAGTCGGGGGATAATTTGAGGGCAGCGTGGACGCTGACAGGGTCTCAGGGTCTTCCCAGAGGGTCGAGGTGGAGTCGCTAGCCGGTCTGGGGCCAAGACCCCCCAAAGGCTGGTCGACCGCCGGCCGCTACATAACAATTCTCCCCCTTCTTCCCTTTCCCTTCATTCTCCATCCCTCGTTCTTTTCGTCGTGTTCTTTTTCATTTCTATCGCTCGCTTGTAATTCCCAACTATCGTCTCCGACCGCCGACACTCTTTACACCAAACCATCATCATGAAGGCCAGCTTCGTTTCGCTGGCTACTGCCCTCTCGCTGGGCGCCTCGCTCGTCCAGGCTGCTCCCTCGACTGCTGGTGTTCAGCAGAAGCGCGACAGCGACATCACCCCCATCACCGTGAAGGGTAACGCCTTCTTCCAGGGCGATGAGCGTTTCTACATCCGCGGTGTCGACTACCAGCCCGGCGGTTCCTCCAAGCTCGCCGATCCCATCGCCGATGCCGAGGGCTGCAAGCGCGACATCGAGAAGTTCAAGGACCTCGGCCTGAACACCATCCGTGTCTACTCCGTCGACAACTCTGCCGACCACGACGAGTGCATGAACGCCCTGGCTGAGGCCGGTATCTACCTCGTCCTCGACGTCAACACTCCCAAGTACTCGCTCAACCGCAAGGACCCCCACACCTCTTACAACAGCGACTACCTGCAGTACATCTTCGCCACCGTCGAGAAGTTTGCCGCCTACGACAACACCCTGGCCTTCTTCTCCGGTAACGAGGTCATCAACGACGGCCCCTCTTCCAAGTCCGCTCCCTACGTCAAGGCCGTCACCCGTGACCTGCGCTCCTACCTGAAGTCGCGTAACCTCCGTCAGGTTCCCGTCGGTTACTCCGCCGCCGATATCAACACCAACCGTCTCGAGATGGCCGAGTACATGAACTGCGGTACCGAGGACGAGCGCTCTGACTTCTTCGCCTTCAACGACTACTCCTGGTGCGACCCCTCCTCCTTCACCACCTCTGGCTGGGACCAGAAGGTTAAGAACTTCACTGGCTACGGTATCCCTCTGTTCCTCTCCGAGTACGGCTGCAACACCAACACCCGCAAGTTCGAGGAGGTCTCCGCCCTGTACTCCACCAAGATGACTGGTGTCTACTCTGGTGGTCTGGTCTACGAGTACTCCCAGGAGAGCAGCAACTACGGCCTGGTTAAGATCTCCGGTGATGAGGTCTCCACCCTCAAGGACTACGATGCTCTGAAGTCTGCCTTCGACAAGACCGACAACCCTAGCGGCAACGGCCAGTACAACACCACTGGTGGTGCCAGCGCTTGCCCCTCCAAGTCTGCTCCCAACTGGGACGTCGATGGTGACTCCCTCCCCGCCATTCCCGACAAGGCCAAGGACTACCTGAAGAACGGTGCTGGCAAGGGTGTTGGCTTCAGCGGCAAGGGCTCCCAGAGCGGCGGTGGTGACACCTCCGACGGCACTGCCACCGCTGGCTCCGGCTCTGGTGTCGCTGCCACTGGTACCGGCTCCAGCGGCTCCTCTGCCACTTCCTCCGGTGCTGCTTTCTCTGTTCGCCCTGCCACCTTCGGCTTCTCCATGGCCCCCGTCGCCGTCAGCATGGTGACTGCCTTCTCGACACTTGTCGGTGCTGGCATGATTCTTCTGTAAACCTTGACAGATATTTTGACCATTTAAATCTTTATATGACGCCGTTATTGTCTTTCGCGCGGTGTGCAATTGCATTTTTCTCTTTGCTAGGCTTTGCTCGTTTGGCTTTTCGTCGGATGGAGCTTTTACGGGGTTTTTAGTGTACAGTAGGCCATTCCGGCTGCTTCTATGGAATATGATTCTTCAATAATGCCTATCCACTCCCGTATCGAGTCAAGCATGTGGGGCAGCTTAATTACATTCTACTATTTAGAGCTTCGCCTTCACCTCCGCCTGTCGCAATGTGTATGCATCCCAATCTACCTTTCGCCCACTTTGGAATTCCTTCACGCCGAATCCCCCGGGAGAATCTGGCCGCATCATCTGATCAAAGAGCGCTCTGATACCAATTGCCTGCTCTTCGCTCCCTCCATGCGCCCAGGCGAGTCTAATCAGCTCTTTCGACATCCTCGAGGCTTCCGGCGACGCGCTTCTGAGCCTTTGCAACAACGCGCTCAGCTTCTCGGTTAGCTGTTTCGCATCACTTGCAACATCGCAAAAAGTCCGACGAGCCAACAATTCCTCGGCCTTGACTGGCCTTGCCGACAGCATTGCCTCTCTTGCAAACTGCAGCCCATATTCCCTGATTACATACTTGGAGATGGTTGCTGGGCATAAACCGAGCTTGACTTCGCTGAGCGTCATGGCCGTGGACCTTGTCGCCAGACGAATGTCGCACGCAAACGCCAGGCCAACACCGCCACCGAATGCAGGTCCATTGATAGCGGCAATCGTCACCTTAGGTGAACCGTCGATTGCTTCGAATAGTCCTGTCAGACGTTCAAATTGGGCTTTGCTCGCATCACCACCTTGTGCGACTGGCGTACTCTTTCCCAGGTCCATCCCTGTGCAGAAATACTTCCCGTTCGCCGTTATAATGATGCGGGATATTTTTGGGTTGGTGCTCGCGTCGGTAATTGTGGCTGTCAGATGCGAAATCATGGTTGCTGTCAAAGCGTTTCCGTTCTTCGGTCTGTTCAAGGTGATTTTGAGGTTGACGCCGGAGCGATGGAGGAGGAGGCCCTCTGATTCCGACAGCAGTTTCCACTTGAGGGGATCGTTGGCCTGCTTAGAACAGGTCTCCGGCTTCACAGACCTCGAGTCAAGCTTTGCGCCGTTCTTGACTGCCAACGCGACCCCTGCTCGACTAGAATTGGATTTTCCAAGCTGACCCGATATCCAATTCCCTGTCTCAACAAGCTTCTCTATATCCACACCCGTATTGATACCCGCATTATGAAACATATACACCAGATCCTCAGTCGCGACGTTTCCCTTCGCACCAGGCGCAAAAGGGCACCCGCCGAGACCCGCGACACTACTGTCAAAGGTAGTCAAGCCGCAACGATATGCCTCCCAGACATTCGCCACTGCCTGCCCATATGTATCGTGGAAATGCCCGGCAAGCCGGTCGACGGGGATTGCATGACTTTTCAGGTAGGTGATTAGGCTTCGCACGTTGTATGGCGATCCTACGCCGAGGGTATCTCCTAGACTGATTTCGTAGCAGCCTGCCTGTAGTAACTGCTGGACTGCGTGCAGGACGGCGGACTGTGGTGTTGGGCCGGTGTAAGGGTCCTCGAAAATGGCTGAGACGTATCTGGCAGAATCAGTACATACGGATACTCGTCGAGGATCCTTCTCAAAATTACGTACCCGCGCACCTGAATGCCAGCCTTTAGCGCCAACGAAATCACTTCTTTCGCTCGGCCGATTCCCTCTTGAACCGAGCAATTGATGTTCGCCCGACTAAAGCCCTCCGTTGCACTAACAAACACAGCAACCTCACGAACATGATGCTGAAGTGCAATTTCCAGACCCTTTACATTCGGCACGAGTACAGGAAGTTGGAATCTTGAATCGGCAATCGAATCTTTGACGTGGGTATCGCGAAGCACATCCTGACAATCCGCCAATTGAGGGATCGCCCGCGGCGACACGATTGATGTTAATTCGATCGTGGTCAGTCCCACTTTTTGGAGGCGCGTGATCAAATCTAGTTTGACATCCGTTTGGATTGTTGACTGAATGTTTTGTAGGCCGTCCCGTGGTCCTACCTCACAAATTTTGACGATATTGGGAGATTTCTCCATGGCTAGCGGCTATGGAGACGAATTCAAAGCCCAATTTTCCATCATATTTTACATGTAGTACAGCGCATTGTTTCCCCGTCGTTGCCGTAAGCTCTCCGTGTTCCTCGGACCGCAACACGTGGGTCCGGACGGATGGCGGACCGAGACCAGGCATTATCCCACAACACAGAAGTATGTCCCGACGTCATGCAAAGAGCACCGAGCAAACTGTAAGTGGGCCATCGCTTCACTCGAGGATGAGTGATGACCTTCTATTAGGTGTGGTGGTAGCGTTATCATTGATTCAGGTAAGACGCGCCGCTGCAGTGCATAGTAGTAAACCCTGGAATATTATTGAACTCTGATCCGTGGATACGAGTACAGAACCATTCATCAAGTAGATTATAGGATGCTCAAAAATGTGGGGATATTTCAAATTCCAGCTTCTGTGACTTCATACTCTATAGTTTGGCTTTGACTGGTCCTTTGTGCACCAAGCGATTTCCAATATCTCGCATGATATGCTTTTGATGTTTGCCGGATCCAGTCTTGGGGAAATCAACGCCGACAGCAGCATCACCAATCCAGAAAGAATACACAGGAGCTTTATGACTCCCGAGAAGCTTTCCCACCCACTGTCTCAATTCCTCGTCGCTTGGTCGAGCTTCATTGACTGCTTTCACGAAGCATCCGACCACTTCACCGTATCTCTCGTCATGTATCCCAACCACACTTGCTTCGCTGATGCTAGGGTGCTGCACAATTCTCTCTTCAATCTCCCTCGGAAATATGTTTTCTCCACCGCGGATGATCATGTCCTTGATTCGACCGGTAATATGCGCATAGCCATCATCATCCAGTTGAGCTTCATCTCCAGTATGCATCCACAATACACCGTTCTCATCCGGCTTCATCACTTCCATGGTCTTCTCTTGATTCTTCCAATACCCCTTCTGTAAAGCAAATCCGCTTGTACACAGCTCACCCCTTTCACCTCTGCGGAGTAAATTCCCATTTTTATCAATGACTTTCGCAGAAGTATGTGGGATAATCCGCCCGACGGTTGTGGTCGCTTTCGACAGGGGATCATTGAGCGCAGTAATAAACGTCACAGGGCTTGTTTCCGTCATACCATAAGCTATCAACATGCTTTCAACACCCATTTTCTGTCGAAGTTGATCCATTAAGCCCCGTGAGACTACAGACCCGGAAGCGAGACCCGTTCGGAGACGCCGAGGTCGTTGATTTGTCTTCGACATCACCTCAAGCTCTGCGACATACATAGTTGGCACACCTAGGAGGACCGTTGCGTCTTCAATCATGATTGCGTCCACAACCTTTCGTACGTCGAAGAAATCCGAGGGGAAGACAATCGAGCTGCCGTGAGTGTATGAGGCCAGGAATCCAAGGACGAGACCGAAACAATGGAACAAAGGCGGTGGACAGCAAACCACGTCGTCGAGGCTCAGCTGCATGGCATCTCCAACGAAGCGGGCGTTATTCAGAAGGTTGCTGCGATGTATTAGCAATTGTCATTTCGCGACTAGGTGCTGAGTTGTTACCCACTTGTGTGTTAACATGGCCGCCTTCGGGGAACCGGTGGTGCCTATGACAGAGAGTTAGCAAACAAAGACAGAGGGGAAGTTGAAAGTAGATACCAGAAGTAAATTGCAGATTCAGCACATCCTCAGGGTGTACATCTGCCTCCGCGCGCTTGAGAAGGGAGTCGTCCTGAAAGGTCAAGTAACCATTGGCGGTGAACGAGTTATAGAATTGCAACTCGACCCCAGTATCTTGGATGACCGTATCGTCGAGACAAACAACGCGGCGTAACTCTGGCACTTTTGGATTCGTCGAACCTACTCCACGTAGCGTTTGAATGTGGCCCGAGAGATCCTTTGAGCCAATACATGAGGCAATGACAACGAGTTTGCAGGCTAAAAGGCCGCAGTTAATCGGGATAGAGATAAGGGCCTGGTGGTAACATACAACTCCTCTGGACAGCATTTTTCAGCTCCTCCGGCGTATAAGTGTTGTTCAACACCACCACGGGACATCCAACCCGGCCTCCACCCAGAAAAATCTCAAGGTATTGATGGCAATTTCCGGCCATGATCCCCACACAATCGCCATTTCGGAGGCCCATTTCCAGCAACGCGCGCGCGACAATCTTACTTCGATCTGCCAATTGGCGATATGTCAATCGAACTGATTGCCATGGGAAAATTGCGGCCAGATGGGTCTCATAGCGAGATGCCTGTTCATCGATGAGAGAACCGACTGTCTTGTTCCATAGTGGCGGTTCGTTTGGACCGTGAACCATGGCGAGTTTTGTGTTCATGATGAAGACGGATGAAACTAATGAGAGTGCAGAACCCAAGTCCGGTAGTTGGTCTTAACTGGGACACAGAAACAAGCATTGCTTTCTACTTGCTGTTTGCTGTCCTAAGTAAGGCCTCTTTTGCAGTCCGCATACTTGCAGGCCGGAGCTCAGCCGGGCGGACCCCCGGACTCGGACCGCTCGTAATCGCACCCGGAATCTACTAGTACCCTACCTCAGGGTAACTTACAACGAGGATATTCGATATCGCGAACTGTCGGCCCTCTAGCTACTTGATTGCGACCTCTCAGAATTCCAGACTCCGCCTTATCCACTTCTATCATGGCAACCACGTCATCATATCCCACCATGAGCGCCAAGCTGGATCTTCGCGGGGAGCAATACCAGGCGAACAAGACAAGCTGGGAGCCAATCCTGGAGAAGTTCGAAAACGCGCTCAAGCAGGTTGCCGTGGAGGGAAATGAGGTCTCTGTTCGTCGACACCAAAGTCGCGGCCAACTTTTACGTACGATCCGCCAACTATCTTGCATATTGTTTATCACTGACCACACCGCAGCCCGCGATCGGATTTCTCTCCTTTTAGACCAAGACTCGCCATTCTTGGAACTATGTGCCTTTGCCGGCTATGAGAACGAAAACTCAACGCCATGCGCCAATTTGGTTTCGGGAATAGGTAATATCTGTGGACGGCCATGTTTGCTTATGTCCCATATACCCACGCAAAGCGGTGGAGCCTGGAACGAAATGACTGGTATGTAGTTATAGAGTAAATACGAAGTGATAGCTACCGCTCGGAATTAAGCTCAAGACCGGAACTAACTATCTTACAGTCCTAAAGGTTAATAGGATCTTGGAGATATCGCTTCAGAATGACCTCCCCTTGATATCGCTCGTGCAGTCGGCTGGGGTATTCCTTCCCCAGCAGCGAACCGTATTTCATAAAGGTGGCCAGCTCTTCCACGACCTTGCGATTCGCACAAAGATGGGAAAGCCATCATGCGCTATCGTGTTTGGGTCATCAACTGCAGGTGGTGCATACCATCCAGCACTCTCTGATCATACCATCTTTGTGGAAAACCAAGCACAGGCCTTTCTCGGGGGTCCTCCTTTAGTGAAGATGGCGACTGGAGAGGTTGTCGAGGCCGAAGAGCTTGGAGGAGCTAAAGTTCATGCTACGATGACTGGACTAGCAGACCAGATTGCGGTAGATGAGTATGATTTGCTTTATGAACACTTGTAATGCGATGCGTGCTAATTCCAAATTACTAGATTTGATGCTATCGAAAAGTCGCGCGAATGGGTTGCATCCCTGCAGATGAGTAGCCCGACGACTTCGGATCTACTTGAGCCCGTTTCTCCACGATATTCTATTGACGATTTGCTTTCGATTGTCAACCCGGACATTCGTAAGCCATTTGACATGAGTGAAGTCCTCGTTCGTCTTGTCGATGGCTCGCGTCTCTCTGTTTTCAAGCCAAAATATGGAGCGAATATGATCACAGCCTGGGCTCATATAATGGGTACAAGAATCAACAAATTTTATTGAGACTTGAGCTAATTCCAGATCCCAGGATTTCCCGTCGGCATTGTTGCGAATGCGATATCTATAATCAATCCACAGGAGGCGTCGAAAGCTGCACAATTTATTCGTCTTTGCAACCAGCAGTAAGCCATCATTCCATAGCTATCACCCCTCAGGTACCTCAATTAAAACCTCCAGGAACACTCCTATCATATTCCTACACAACGTTACTGGCTTCATGGTGGGTCAAAAAGCAGAGCACGCAGGAATCATCAAAATGGGTGCTCAGCTCGTATCTGCCGTGAGCTGTTCCAAGGTCCCACATATCTCCGTTATACTCGGAGCGTCGTACGGCGCAGGAAACTACGCAATGTGCGGCCGGGCATATAAGCCACGCTTCATTTTTACCTGGCCAACTGGTAAATGCAGCGTAATGGGACCTGATCAGCTGGCTGGTGTGATGGAGACGGTGCAGTTGGCCAGCGCCAAGTCCAAGGGAAAGACTCTGTCACCGGAAAGTTTGAAGAGTCAGATTCAGGAGTTCAGAGACACGGCACAGAAAGATGCAGAGTGCTATTCAACTAGCTCGATGTTAATCGATGACGGTATTATTGATCCTCGTGATACTCGTGACATACTTGGCATGTGCCTGGACGTGGTGAATTTGCAAGGAGTGAAGAGCCAGGGAAATCACCAGTTCCTAGCAAGAATTTGATTGTTAGCTGCAACAGTACTTCCAAAATCTACATGTGATGTTTATACAAGATTTACATTCTCATAATCTCCTAGAGCACCCCAAAATACGCGGAAGTGATTTGTCTCCTATGCTTTTGAGAGAATTGAAAAGACGGGTTTCATTCAACAGTGTTCTAGCACCTACACTGTGAGGATACAGCAACTTGAGTAGAAGATCAGATTAAAGCGTAGTAAAAGAAAGCCTTGGAAGTTGGCAACAACATATTTTGACACGGAATTATCATTACTGACTCGGTTCATCTGGCTATTGCGGATCCCTCCTCAGCAATGTGGTGGCTGCCCTGCGGTCCGGCATTTCGGACCGGCGGGCATCTGGGCGGCACGCCCTAGATCAAGACAACATTATCAAAATTGACTAGAACTTATCTTTATTGACTTGTAATCAGATAAATCTCCAACCTTGTTTTAGAGGAAGCAAAAATTAAGCGCTCTACAGCAAAAGGACTCAGATACAATGACCGCAAGCACGCCGAACAGCTCAAACGGGTATAGCGCTAGCCCCCTTCGTCCACCGTTGTTTGTGGCACAACAACCCGTCGGTGAAAATGGCTATCCTGTCATCCAGAAAGTCTTGATTGCCAACCGCGGTGAGATTGCCTGTCGCATTATCCGAACCTGTCGCAAGCTCAGTATCACTTCGGTGGCAATATATGTTGATGAGTGAGAATTATGCAAACCATGGTCAAAATCCAGTGCTAATCAAATGTCAAGGGATTTCACATCGCGACATGTCACCGAAGCGGATGAGTCCATCAATATCGGGAGCCTTGAAAAAGCGCCGCGCAATCCGTTCCTCGACATCGAGCTGCTTGTCCAGACAGCAGTCTCAGCTGGCGTCCAAGCTGTTCATCCAGGCTACGGATACCTTAGCGAGAATGCCGACTTTGCCAACCGCATACGAGAGGCAGACCTCATTTTCATCGGTCCATCAGCCAGTGCGATGTCTACACTCGGGGATAAGAGATCATCGAAGACTTACCTGCGAGAGCATGCGCCTGACGTTCCTTTGATCCCAGGGTTTGCGGGATCGAGTCAAAATCCAGATGCACTCAGGCGAGCGGCCGAGGAGATCGGATTTCCAATCATGGTGAAGGCATCCGCTGGAGGAGGTGGTAAGGGTATGCGCGTCGTTCGAGAGTCAAGTCAGCTCAAAGACGAGCTTGCACGGGCACAGTCCGAGGCGAGACGCTCTTTCGGTTCCAGCGACTGCATCCTCGAAAAGTACATCGAAGACAGCAAGCACGTGGAGATACAGGTCCTCGGCGATTCTCATGGAGAGGTGGTATCCTTTTTTGATCGAGACTGCTCGGTGCAAAGACGGCACCAGAAGGTTATCGAGGAAACTCCCTGTCCGTTCCTGACGGATGAAACTCGACAGAAAATGATCAATGCTGCGGTTCGCATCGCAAAATTGATCGAATATGAGAACGCTGGCACAGTCGAGTTCATTCTCGATGTGGCAACCGACCGGTTTTATTTTCTTGAGGTCAACGCCCGCTTGCAAGTGGAGCATCCAATCACAGAAGAAGTTACAGGTGTTGATCTCGTGTCATTGCAGCTGTTTGTCGCCGCTGGTGGAAGTATCCGCGATCTCCCTGCAGTGTTGAACAGCAAGATTGAAGGTCATGCGATAGAATGCCGTTTAACAGCCGAAAGCCCCGAGCGAAACTTCTTTCCCGAGCATGGTCAAGTTCATTTGTGGCGGCCAGCTCCCGGCGTTTTCTCCCCGGACGAGATATCCGGTATGAGACGGCGATCCAGACTGGATCCTCGGTGTCGATCCATTTTGATTCAATGATTGCCAAGCTTGTGGTCTGGGCACCTACGCGTGAGCTAGCCATAGAAAAGATGCGAAAGGTGCTGGCGGAAACCGCTTGCGTTGGGGTCAAAACGAACCAGCTGTTTCTGCAGTCCTGTCTGCTGAGCCAGAATTTCCGCGACCCTGCATATACGACTTCATTCATTCCAGCCAATCTTGAGCTGCTTCTCAAGCCACCTTCGATCTGCGAAGACACCCATACAAAAGCAATGCTCTCAATCATTCCAAGTCTAGCTGTGCGAAGACTTGCCGACTTCCTTCCGACTTCCTTCAAGCGCAAGCCTTTTCATAGCGTGCGCAAGCAGTTCCGCAATCAGCGATATGACCCCGTCAGTGCTCATTGCGATATCATCACGCCAATGAGCTGGCAAGATGGAGGCAAGGAGAACAGGAAAACCACAAGCTCACTGTGTCTTTGGAAACCGGCCCATTCGGGGTCACCAGCTGGGACAGATGAAGTGCAGGTTTGGTCGGTTCCCGAGGAGGATGTTTCGCAAAAAGATCTCAGGCGCGCTGCTGCCCAAGTATCCGCCAAATACAATATGATAAGCCAAGAAATACGCGAAATACGACGCGGGAAATACACTACCTCCGGCTCCTACAAAATTCACATCAAATCCTGGCAGCCAGCAGAGGGAAGTCCTGCCTTAGCTAATTCGTGGCTTACTTCGACAATGGAAGTGATCGTCAATGGGAAGAGCGCGACTGCACATGTTTGTATCCCATCAGCTCAGGCCTATACTCTTGCCGGACAAGTTGATCGCAGTCAACATATCTTGTGCCATTTTCCGACAATGGGGACCTGGCTTGAGTTCGAACGAGACACGCTTCTTTCGTTCGCAAGAAGAATGAGGTCAGTTGCAAAGTCCAACAACGATTCAGAGAATACGACTGTCATTGCGCCAATGCCTTGCAAAATTCTCTCGATCTTGAAGAAGAATGGGGACGATGTCAAAGTTGACGAGTCTGTGATGATAATCGAGTCTATGAAAATGGAGATCGTCATTAGAATGTCGGCTTCTGGGAAATTTGAAACAAAGTGGAAGGAAGGCGATGCAGTCGAAGAGGGAAAGGTTCTGTGCTCAGTAGTTTGATATAATTATGAATATGAATCAAAAAATCATTTTGCTTTAAGTGAGCTGCAATATTGCAATAAATAAGTTCTCATAGAAACACACATTAGGTGGAACACTATTGCTTGAGCCAAGGATACGAGGACAGATGAAGTAGACAATGAAGTGAAGGTAGTCTAAACCGCGCCTCCGGGGAGAGGGGAATAATCACTGTGATATACAGGGTAGTCATTTGACTGCTTTCCTTCACTTCGTAATAATAATGGAAATTTTCTGTCATATATATTTCCACGAGTAAGGAGAATAATGTCATGGATATGGAGTGATTATCCTTAAAGATTACTCTGCCTCTTCATACTCTTGATCTCCTGGCTAACAGCCAACTCAGACAAAATCTCCTCACTTCCTCCTCCAACAACCATGACGCGAAGGTCGCGAGAGATTTGTTCGATCCTCGCTCCGCGCCCATTCTTCGAATACCCAAGCCCGCCCATCACCTGCTGCGCCTCCCGATTGACTCGCTCGAGTGTCCGACCCGCGAGAACCTTGAGATTTGCAAACAGACCTCCCATTCCAGAATCGACACCAGATTTCTTTGATTCCTCTTCGATGTACACCAGCTGTTCCATCCAAGCATACGCAGAATCCAAATTTCTTGCCATCATACTGAACTTCGACCGAATTACCTGATTCTCGATAAGCTTTTTACCGAAGGTTTCACGACTGATGGCGTGCTGATATGCGTCTTCTGCACAGACCCTGGCCATTCTGAGTGCAGTGCAAGCCAGCCAGAGACGCTCGTGATTGAAGTTTTTCATGATAACGGGGAAGCCTTCATTTTCCTCTCCGAGTAAATTTGCAACTGGGACTTGGACTTCGTCGAACTCGATGTACGTACTACCACTCGCATGGACACCGGAATTCTCAATCTTTCGACAAGTCACCCCGGGCAACTTGAGCGGAATGATTAACGCCGAAACACCCTGAGTGCCCTCGCCGCCAGTCCGGACTGCTGTTGTACAGTAGTCTGCAAAGATGCCATTGGTGATCCATTTCTTCGCTCCATTAACAATATAGACATCTCCTTTGCGCTCGGCCGTTGTGGTAATACCAGCAACGTCAGATCCCGCTTGGCATATGATTAGCGTCTGCAGCCATTATTTCTCATATGGACTTACCATCAGGCTCAGTTATCCCTAAGCAGAATCGGATATTTCCTCGAAGCATATCCGGAAGGAAACGTCGCTTTTGCTCTTCGTTGGCTCTCAGGATAAGAGGAGGGCCACCAATAGAGTTGCCGCATCCCAAAGCCCAAACAATGCCTAAATAGCCACAACGAGCTAGCTCGTCGATGACAATAATATCATGGAATCCATCCCATTCATTGGGATTAATGTCACCTGGAAGTCGTTGTCCTTCCAGATAATCTGCTGCCAAAGGAAAAGAAGCAACGGCAGTATATCCCAGTTCTGCGTGCTTCTTGAGGACCTGAAAGTGAATTTTTGTGGAGTATCAGCTCACTGTTCGGAGTATATTTCACAGTATGCCTTGACAAACCTCGGCAGGTATGACGCCAGTCTTCTCCCACGCTTCACAGAATGGCGAGATATTTGTATCGACATATTCGCGAACCTCTCTTTGGAGACGGCGATGAGAGTCTTTGTAGAAAGGGCTGATCTGCCGATTGAGCCATAGCGGATCAGCGAAAGGGATATTCGAGAAAGACATGCTTTCTGTAGAGAAGCGAGGTATGATGAGAATAGCCGATCGTCAATGAGAGAGGTAGTCGGTGTATGCCAGGGACTTGTTAATAAATTACTGAGTTCTACTAGTAAAAGTCACGTTCCCACCGGGCCCGAAGTCCGCACTGCCAAGTGTACGGTATAGAGTGTCCGGATCGGGTTCGGACCGGGCTCCACGTGTACGGAGCGTGGAGCGGACCGAGAGATGCGACAGCCCTACTGGCCAAAAGGTGCCTCGGTTCAACTTCGATGAATTTTGAATTTTCAGAAGGGTGTGAAGATGCGCAACAATGAAAGATACTGGTTTGTTTGAAAGTAATTCCGGCTGGAATAGATTGGACAGATCAAGAAGACATCTTGTCTCTATCTGCATAGCTCCAAGAGAAATAGAACAGAACGAAGAAATGAAAAAAATTATGAGACAGGTCGCTGTTTTGGACTGTGATACAATTTCGTCACGAAAACACTACGTATGTCCGTTCAGCCATTGCTCATATATAAAGTTGTCTACCTCAATTTCCTCCGCTTCAAAGTCATGGCAAGAGTGTTTTCGATTCTGCGAAATATTAGAATCTGGAGATTAGAAAGGGCCAAGAGTACAATACCTTTCTTTGAACACCATAGTGAAGCCTTGAACAAGCAGGCCTTTCGTCAGCTGTAGAAGAAGGCCTTTGTACAGCCTCAAGACTCCCTCATTTTGAAGGATAAAACAAAGGACCTCGCTGAACCTCCGGAAGGGCTGTCCTGATCGAGAATTTATAGACCGTGACTGGAGCATGGCTTTTGCTACTATCAGTGGATGGGTAGCAATTGTGGCAAGCATTTTGGATAGGGCTCCGAGCACTAGAGCATTGAAGTCAATTAGCCTGCTCGACGAAGCTTGGTGCTTTGGAACTCACAGAAAGCGTCGGTGGAACCCAGATTCCCCCTCAACGTCACCAAGCCTCCTCGCAGCCACTGATAAAAGCCATATGTGATCATAGGGTTGATCACAAGAATGAGATTGACTTTGAGTCCCGTCCAAAGGCCCGTCCATCCATCTTCGCTGTTGAGTATGTCTCTGATTGATCCCCACATGGATAATTTGTCCTTTGTTGACCGGCATGTCTGCTGGCGTGTAGATATGACGGATATTGGCGTCGTACACAGTTGAGCCAATACACCACCAACAGCGCCAAGGACGAGTTCTTTCGAAAGGCTATTGGGTTCTGCAGTGCCATGAGCGCGAAGTACTGCATGGTATAATCTTCTCGCCGTGACCGAAAAAAAAAAAAAGTACGAGAAGTTCATGGACGCTGTGCCAATGATAGAGCTGCTAAGCCCGTTATATAGTCCCGGGGGGCCTTCATCTCGAATAATTTGGAAGATTTCGTTCACTGCATTCCTGCAACGCAACCCTTTTACTGGGTAGGGCCCGCTAGAGTCATGCCTCTGCAACTCTCTAACCTGTACTTGCAGGCGAGTCTTGACGCTGGTGACACCTCAGCTGCCGTATTGCAGAATTTTGATAGGGGTACAAAGTCGAGGACGAAAACATACAGGTCAAGCGGATAGATTATGACGTTTGCAATGATAACCGCGGTCGTTCCCGAGACCACGTTGTGCCAGGGCGAGGGCGCTTTCTTTGCTCCCATGACTGCGACATAGAATGCTGACTGTCCAAAAAGAAAATGATTTCTTGATTCGGGTTAGGCGTTTCCTTTATCCTGAACCCGTGCATGGTGTTTTTCTTGCCGGACCGGCGGACCGAGGATTTATAGGTTTTTAGAAACCCCAAGTGCAGCTCACATCAACACGTCAGCACCAGGACTACAGTTCAAAAGGTTCTCAACCTCGTTCAATCGCATTGTGGGTGTCAATCCACTTGAAATGTCGGTGTTATCGATGTCAAATCTTGTTGGATCAGTGTGGAGAAGCTCCGACCCCAAAACCCACGAGTTTGGCGAAGGAAGATTCGAAGTGGTTGTCCTCTGAGGACTAAGTGGCTTTTGACTTGGATCTGCGCCTAGAATCCCATAATCAATCATAGCCCACATGATACTCTCGTATTCAGGCTGGAGGTCTTCGGCCGGGTGCGGTCGAAGAAGGGTTGTAGCAAATTGATCCGATATGTTGTGGAATTCACGAAGGCGGACGGTCTGCGAAGTGGGTTACAGTTAGCCTCAGCCTAATGAGACGCCAGAATGCTGAGAAGAGAAGCCGGGCCTTACCATATTAGCCGCATGTGTCCATAGTCTCCCCAGTCCATCCAAAGCATCTACGCTTCTCTGGAAGTATTGCAAATGCTCAGACTGGCCACACGTTTGAATTTCAAGATGAGACACAAGCGAATGAATGCCTCCGGCTATTGCAATGCAATACGCGTAGAAGGATGACTTTACCTCATATCCGCTCTGGGAGGAGTCCCTCAGAAGATCCAAAAGTTGCTTGGCATGGTCACATCCACTTCGAAGAGCTCTTGTTGAGAAACTAGCAGGGGCCTTGATGCCAAATGGTTTCAAGCGTAGGCGAACCAAAAATGGATGATTCAAAAGGCAGTGGCACAGGTGAAACAGGGTGTGAGCAAATATAAGATGCCCGATTTCGTCCGATCGAGTCTCATGCACGATTTCAGAGATTGGCCGGTCGCCAACCTTTGAATATGATTCCAATAGCAGCATTGCACTCTTTATTGCCGAGAATTCGGATTTCGTGTCCCAAGGAGGAATCTCTTCAATTCTCCTGTCTTGGTGTACGTATCTCGTACAGCGACCGAATATAGATGCCATCAATGTGACCAGAGCGAAAGGGCTCGGGTTCTCAGTCACATTAGAGTTCCAGTCCAAGAGCTCACTCAATGTGTTTGTCGTTTTCCACCGGCCCTCTTTGAAAGTCTGTTCATCGCACGGAAGTTGGACGTTGCAATCATCGTCTAGAATCACCAAGGGCCTGGACCTTGCGCATGATATAAGTTTGTCGATAAGGTATGCAGACCAAAAGCTCCGCCGTCGCTCTTCTTGTTCTGGGTATGGGAGATAGCCGGCAGGCTCTATCATGAGCTGAAGATCTTGTGAGATGCGCGCTGCCAGTCCGATTTTGAGCCATCCGGAGCTAACGCGTCCGGCTATATTCTCGTTAGTAATGTTAGGCCGCTTGGTGATTTTGACAGCAAGTGGGATGTACACACCGGTATAGTCCACCACGGCGAGCAAATTCACTGTTTGCACAGTCGATAGATCCAAGCCGCCTTCTGCTGTGAGGTCTTCTCCCAAGACAGCTAGCCAGCACTCTCGTGCATAGGCGTCCGCCGCCTCGCGGGTCCTGCCAGTATAATAATCATGCGATGAGAACCGTACGGCGGATGCAAGGATAGCCAAGACCAGGCAACGGGGTAACTCGTTTCTCTCCAGCTTCTGTCGAAACAATGACTCGTGGAAATACGAATAAGGCTGGTTATGGAGATGTTGGAAGTATGTGTCAATGACAGATTTGAGAACTGGGGTCGGAGGGTAAGATCTAGTAGCCGGATAAGTCAGCATAGGAAGCAAGCGACATGTTATATTCCACTGAGAGGAGACACGAACGAATAGTCGATCATAACCGGAGGTTGCGCGGGGAGAAGATTCAGACCCAGGTTGTCACTTGCGGGTAGCCCGAAACTGCATAGCAGGTTCCTGCATGACCGCTCGATTAGAACTGATTCTGTCCGAGGGCGGGTGCAAACCAACTCATTGCCATTGCGCTCATCCCGTCCACTGAGCTCCGCTAGACGGGACTCGATCATGCTAATGCGTTGCAAAAGCTCCTATCCAGTACATCAGTTTTCGCGATCCTTCAGGGTCTGAGCATTTGACAGCTTACATTGTCCGCATTACTCGGTGAGTTTGAGAGGGGCTGGCTGCCAGTGGCATCTCCGAGTCTCTGCGTTGTATTGGAATACGGTTCCCATATGCAGGCTAGTCGATTTCGGCGGCAATGAGAGCAGACAGGGCGTTCTCCTGAGCACTTTGTCTTTTTGCGTCTATAATTTCCACGTTACACAAACATTAGCCGACGACGATGTTCGGTCGAGGTAAATGTGCCGCGGGTGATCGACTAACCTGCAGTTGGCGCAGGCCTGTCTGATGCGCTTGATGGCGTGGAAGGAGTCGACCGACATGATTAAGGTGGAACCATTCCACGAGTTCTCAAGAATTGGAGAGAGCAGAATCTCGTAGCGGAGTGTCGAGGAGCTGAAGGGCGGGTGCGGGGAAACATCCGGCGTGGATGGCGGCCGGGGCTGCGGAAGTTGCAGATTCCCCACAGCCGCTTGTTTACTCCCGCCGTCACACCCCACAAGCTGGGGTTTCATGCTTTTGGAAAATGTCGAGGATATTTGTCATGACCTGAATACAACTAATGTACACAGCTAGTTCATATATTTTTTGGTTTGTTTGCCCCTTTATCTTCGGAGCATCGCTACGTTAACGTAGGGTTTAGTGGCGAGAGTGAGACCCAGTCATGTGCTCATGGTACGAAGAAAAATCTCGAGTCGAAGCTGAATTTCGAAGAATAAGAGTAGGCGCTTGGAACGATCGGACTCATTACAAAGCAATTCTCGCTTTGTAACCAATCAATGGCTAGACAAACGTCAATTGTCAATATTTGCGAGATCTCCATACTCCGATCCGCCCCTGACCCACTCCGGCTCCGATTAGCAGCCAAATCCAGTAATTGTGTCACTGCGGAGGAGCGATTGGCCATTTCCCGATACGCATAGATCTAGCAGACCTGCCAGCGGAATTGGAATCTCTCTTCTTTAACTCTTTGTGGAATATTCGTCAAAACTTATTTTTGCTACAATTGTGGCCTTACATGGGTTTGGAGTTATTGGGCGTGAATATAAAAAGTCGTCCGTTACAACAGGCTAATGTGATCCAACTTCCTCTCTCATACTTCAGTCAGTTGAATCAAGAAAATTTCAATAGCAGCGCCTCTGTGAGAGCTTTTACTATTTTCCAACATGACTTCTCGCGACGGCTTCCAGTGGACCAAAGAAGGTGGCCTATCTCAAGGCGTACCAACACTGTCCGTCATTAATCCACCTACCAACATTAAGTCTGCAACCGATCAAGGCGATTACGATGTCATTGTGGTTGGAGGCGGATACTCAGGCCTCACGGCTACTCGTGACCTCTGTCTCGCAGGTAAGAACCAACCAGCTCCCACATAATCAAGATTGAATATCTCACACATCACAATATACAGGGTTCAAGGTGTTGCTAGTTGAGGCTCGCGACCGCATTGGTGGGCGCTCATGGTCATCGAACATTGATGGCTATCCGTACGAGATGGGGGGAACATGGGTTCACTGGCACCAGCCCCATGTCTGGCGAGAGATTTCCCGATACGACTTGCGAAAAGAGCTCGAGCCTTCCTTCGACTTTTCTCGTGGAGTGAATCATTTTCAGCTGCGCACCAATCAGGGCTCTACAACTATGAGCCACGATGAAGAAGTAAGAATGCCGAGTTAATTGATGGGATTTTAGACGGCTGACTTTTTAGGATACTATTCTCCGGACAGCACTAGAGAAATTTGTCAACGTCGACGGCGACATGGGAAGAACGATCATTCCTTTTCCCCACGATGAGTTCTATAACCCCGAGGCAAAGAAATATGATAAGATGTCGGCACTTGATCGCGTGCGAGACATAGCTTTGACCCTCAGTGCCAACGAACGTGCCTCACTTGAAGGTTTTGTTCTTCTATGCAGCTGTGGAACCCTGGAAACAACAAGTTTCTTTGAATTCTTGCACTGGTGGGCTTTGTGTGGTTATTCTCAACGAGGATGCATGGACTGTCTGATTTCTTATAAGTTCAGAGGCGGACAATCTATTTTTGCTCTCAGATTCTTCAAAGAGGCGGCCTCGACCGGGAACTTGTCCTACATTTTCAACAGCCCGGTCAAGTCAATTGATGACCAGAGCGGCAAAGTGATCTTGACAACTCGCGACGATTTCCAGTTCACAGGTTCGCGTTTGGTTTCAACAATCCCCCTGAATGTCCTCGAGACCATCTCATTCAACCCTCCACTCGAATCGCTGAGGATGGGAGCCGCCAGGACCGGCCACGTTAATCAATGTGTCAAAATCCACGCCGAGATTTCGGACAAAGATATGCGCTCCTGGGCCGGAATGTCTTATCCCTTGAACAAAATCACCTACGCGATTGGAGATGGAACAACCCCAGCGGGAAATACTCATATCGTGGGATTCGGCGGCTTCCACAACCATATCCACCCGGAAGAGGATGTGAAAGAGACCAAGAAGGCCGTTGAGAACTTGGCTCCTGGGAATATGGATGTTCAGCGGCTCGTGAGTATACCGAGAGAATAAAAAGTATTGCGATTTGATCGCTAATATGCCTCAAGGTCTTTCACAATTGGTCGAAAGATGAGTTCGCCAGAGGTGCATGGTTCTTCGCGCCCCCTGGACTGGTATCTAACTCTCTTGAATCTCTGCGAAGACGTCACGGAAATGTGCATTTTGCCAATGCCGATTGGGCACTGGGATGGCGAGGTTTCATCGATGGTGCAATTGAGGAGGGCACTCGAGCAGCCAAGGATGTGAAAGATGGACTGAAGCCGCCTCCTGCTCCTCGAGCCCATCTATGAATTGAAGGGGGCTATTGGTTGTCCCAAGGCCCCTGTAGGGGCTGCGAGATAGGAAAATCAGTATCCTTTTGTTTTTGGTCTGCCCATTTTTTGCAGAGATAGCATCAATCCTGTGCTCTCATAACAATTACTAGTCTGTTCTTAGAACCAACGAGCTCATGAATCCACCTTCAATAGCTTGAAGATAGCCGTATTAGATCAATCAACCCGAGAGGTGCAAAGAAGAAGTATGGAACACGAACAATTCAAAGGTATCGAAACATTAACGGCGATACAATGAATTGTTGTAGGGAGCAACCCTCGGATTGTTGCGCTAGAACTTCTTCGGTCCGAGCCCCGCTCGATCCTCCACGCGGAGACAGCGTTGAGAGCAGACTCCGCAGGCGCCTATCTTCACCGTGCCTTCACCCAAACCCGACGGTCTATGCCTAGAGTATTCAAAAATTTATTAGATCCAGTCTAAGGCTGATACCAGACAAATGCCAGTTCTCAACGACAAGAAGAAGGGCAAGTCTTCAATCCAATCGCGGCCCCTGCATCACTGACACTTTCCCAGGCTGCTTCCAATGCTCTAAGCGGAGGATAGTCTGCGACAACAGCGATCCAACATGTCTGAAGTGCCAGAAGAAAGGGATCGAGTGCTCGGGCCCAGAGCGAATTCGTTTTGCCGAAGGTGTTGCTCGTCGCGGCCAACTGAGAGGGAAAGCTATTCCGGTGCTCTCGCCAGCGACAGAGACGCGCCCTCCTAGTTCGGCGCAATGCAAAATACGATGGGCGAGCGACCGATCGAAGCGCACCAAACAAAGACACGCCAAACGCACCGAACAGGCTGATGGAGCGATGGCACGTCCAGCATCGAGAGATACAAGCCCCACGGATTGCATTGTATCCGTATCAACTAGCCAACAGTCTACGGGCCCAAATATACGTATAACTGGTCATACTGGCAGTCATGGTCCGGGCTGTGAAGACGCTTTCGATGTAATATTACCAACGACAATTCCATATTGGATAGCTCCCGCGAATCCTCACGCCCGGATGCTAATGTCGCACTGTGAGTTCACATGCCACCTTCACTACGAGATGTCGACTTAACATATATAGTTGCTGACCATGTGGCTCCCGTCATGGTTGTCTTGGATTCCATATCTAACGGCTATAGGGACATACTTCTCCCGATTGCCTGTGAGAATGATCTCCTTCAGCGTGCCGTGGGAGTGGTCGCCGCTCAGCACCTGGCGACGTTTAATCCTGTCTACCGAAGCGTCGCAGATAAAGATCGAGCCGCGGTAATATCTCAGCTTCGACGTGAGGCTTTCGAGGCTTCTCCCAATCGCGTCTTCAACAATTTGGTGACCTGGGCGACTCTGATAGTTCTGCTAGTTGGGGAAACTATCACAGGTAGCCCCGACTATAGCCACTTGCTACAGACACTGTCGTGTCTCTTTCAGAATATCAGCCATATAGATTCATCCACTACACGTTTCTTAACGCAGCAGACACATATGTTTGAGTTCCTCGGCAATCCTTTTCTAGGGGAGACCCGAGGAATCAACGCCCTGCGCTCTAGTCCATCCTCCTTGGACTATTATTTCGACTGGATTGACTACGACCTTCCACCCGAATCCGAGCACAACGTCGTCCTTCTTAATCTCCGCATGGCAATTGTCAAGGCGTCACACATCTACCTCGGCCGCACAGCCTCAAATCGAGACCAATGGAAGCTCCTCGAGAGTCTTAAGCAGCTGGTGGGTCAGATTGCCCCGGACCAACCCGGATCTCATGCGCTCGTGTGGGTATGCTTTATCTGCGCGGCGGATAGTACGGATCCCGAGCATCGGCAGTTTTTTGTGGACCGGATGGAGAAGATCTTCCACCAAACTAAGTTCAACAACATCACTGCTGCGCTCGATTCATTGCCGAGAATATGGCGCCAGATGGAGGCGGGTTCGTGGACAAAGAACCTGGCGCTAACAGTGCCCGCTCTGGTTATGTGATACCTGCCCGACTTGACCTTCAGGGAAGACCTTTGAATGAATACCTGTTGCACAGCTCATATATGAAGACAGCCTCACTCTGGAATAACTTTGCACCTCTTGATGACCGGGGTCGGCATGTGGAATTGCTCTATTGATTCCCCGGCGTCTGTTGTCTCCCGGCGAATCAGCTTGCCAGCATTCGCAACTACCGAGACCACCAACCGTGCACCGAAACTCTAAGAATATCGCCCCGCAAAAACAAAAGGGCAACTCCGAGGAGTTCCCCAACAATCCGGTGTTCTCCTCAATCAGATATGTCGGCTGCAAATGCGATCAGTTCTCCCGAAACAAATAAATGCGATAAGCCATTATCAACATCCGGGAATTACCAGTGCATCGTCTGTTCAAGACAGTACAAAAGACGCGAGCATCTACATCGGCATCTGGCGAGCCATACGTCAGAACGGCATTTTCGCTGCGAATCCTGTGCGGGAGCATTCCAGCGGGCCGATGTGCTCAAGCGTCATACTAGAACCTGTGATGGGCAGCCATCTCGGGCTGGGGCTAGACGACGCGCTTGCGACCGTTGTGTTCGGCAAAAGAAAGCGTGCAGTGGAGGGCAACCCTCTTGCACAGCGTGCTCCAAGAAGAAAATTCTTTGTGTTTACTCTGCGCCCGAGTCGGGGAAAACTACTATTCAAACAGAACCAAGGGCTTCCTTTCCCACCTCAAATGTGCTCCTAGGCCAGCATGGAAGCAACTCGATATTTCCGTTCGGTATAACGGGGCCTGAATCGGCTGAACTCGGTACAGGACTATTCGACAACCTCCTATGCCAGAGTCTTTTGGACGATTCAAGTTCAAGCTGGGAGAATTATCTCCATTTGATGTCAACATCTCAAGTCCAGGTTCCCTGTCAAACGAGCGATGCCCATTGTTTGCCATTTCTCCATCGCTTCACAAGCAATACCGGACTTGTTGCTAGCTTTGAGTGTGGCACCCAAGAGCAGAGAGAACAAATCGCCTCGATGCTAGAACTTGGAAGCTCCGATATGGTGCCAAACACAGAATCTTCTAGTCTTTCCTCGCTTTCCCAGGTGTTTTCGCCACCGCTTTTGGAAAACCTCAGCGATCCGAGTACTGTTGATTGCATCCCGCACAACTGGCTGAGTGACCCCCTTTCTCTCAAGACTCATGAAATCTTGCTCCTGGTGGAAGAAGTTGTCAGGATCAAGCCGCGAAACAGTTCCGTGACACTGGACTGGTCACCAACTCTGAAGGTGGGTTGCCTCCAATACTTTTCCGAAAGGCTTACAGAGTGGCTAATTTTCCTAGAATGCGTGCCTGCAATTTTTTTCGCCCAGAAACCTGCGAAGATGCCTGGAGTTCTATTGGTCAATTTGGCACCCGAACGTGAATATTATTCATAGACCAAGCTTTGACGCTGTCTCAGCGAAACCTGCTCTTCTTGCGGCAATGGCACTCATGGGTAGGCGCATTCTCTCCAACGCAGGTACACCATGGCTAAATTTGACAGGTGCTTGTGTATCTCCCGACATGCCAGATAACGAAGACGCACGGATGTATTTGAATTGCGTCGAAGAGATCGTGTTCATCGACAATGACTTTAACAGTGATCTGAGCTATTCATCATCGTGCAGCCTGGCTCACCACCGTTCTAAAATACAGATCCTCCAAGCGGCATACATAGTATGTCTGTATCAGAATTGGGAGGGCTGCGAGAGCTCTAAATGCCGCGTGCGTCGTCATCGATTCGCGACACTCGTATCAGTGAGTAGCTGGGTCTGTGAAAGGGTTTCATGAACAGCACAATCGCTCATCATAAATTAACCTTAGACCGCAAGAGATATCGGGATTGCCACAGCGACGCACCTCGACTATACATGCTTGAGCCGGGCCGAATTTCAATGGAAGGAATATTCAGCGAGAGAGGAAATTATCAGGTCGGACTTTTCAAAGACGCATGCATTTTATGAGTCCAACTCTTCTGACTGAACGAGAGCAGGCTATTCACTTGGACCTTTCTACTCGATACTGCCTTTGTCATATTTAACAACCTCCCACCTCGCATGCTCTTCAAGGAGATGAACATGCATTTCTCCACACCCGAAACATGCTTTCAAGCAGAGACCTCGGATCAATGTTACCAGCAAATTCTGATACATCTCCCGGTGGGAAGCCCATATTGGAACCTTTCTTTTCGCCGTGCCTTCGAGGCGCTTTCCAAAGACTATAATTCCCCGACAACGTGCACATCAATTGCCAACTTGGGGCCGCTCAATATGTTTGCTCTCGCTTCTGGTCAGTATCATCCAAACTGAGTAAGTCGGGATCCTCTGCTGACCTTGGAAAGCGATCCACTCCCAAATCTTCCAGTACCGCAGTTCATTGAGCACATATCATAGTCTATCCCCAATCCGCAACACTTTACACAACTGGCGTGACGCCTGGCAGGCATTTGTCTTATCACCTGCTTCCAGCATACCGCCCCACGTGCTCGTTCTCGAGGCCGACCTGAATCCCAGGAACATGTGGAAGAGGAATGGGTTTTATCGAAATTGTGCTGAATATTGGCTTTTGGCAAGCCTTATGGCTGATCGGCTTGCTATGTCTGACACATTGTCCAATGCAACCCCGGCTCTTGCTCATAATAGCGCGTTAGATCCGATTCTGGATAAATATGATCAGACTAGTATGCGGCAGATTAATGATCTTATTACGGGGTTTCAGAGCTTTCAGCTATGAATTGACAATAACGTCTCTTTTCCTACTGTGATAACTCAACAGAAGGGATTGTCTGGTTCTGAAAACTATCTGGGGCATACGGTCTTATATACATTAGCGTACTGAATCGGAGATTCAGTATTCCGAATGGAACTTAGTAAGCCTGTTCCACACTGTACTGACTGACCTAACCAGGGTTGTCAGTACCAGACCATACCGCGTATTCTGTGCCAAATATCACATCCTCCCCCACTAGATTCGAGCTCGCCCTCGAGATCAAAGACGGGAGGAACTCAGATAGCAATTGGGTAGTAATCAGAACCGGAGTAAGCATGTCAAACAAAGAGTACCGAAATTAGTTCAGGGAAGAGCAGGGATTCGGTACTCCACGTCCTTGTTCGGTACCAGTATCATCTCCATATCCACCTATTGAAGGATAATCCTTTCAGTAGTGATTCAAAGAGATCAAAGAACGTTTGGTCACCGAATCAAAGACGGTATCAAGGAATGTGTTATGGAAAATCAGTGGGTAAGGGACGTTAGCCTTATAAGGAGTGAAAAGGCTCTTCTGTCTCCGTCTGTAAACATTCAACCACTCATCACCATCGTCAGTCCCTCAGCTGCCCGAGCGGCTTCGGACAGCCTGGAGGAAGCTGCTGTGTCAGCGGCCCGTGAGCGACTGGAATGCTTGTGGTCGCTAGAACCCGCCATCATGGCCGGTTCTCAGAGCGGAGATTCGGTTTCTGGGGATCCTCGCTCCCTACGTGACTGAACGCTGCCCTCTCACCAGGAAGAAGCAGAGGAAGAGGAGGAAGAGGAAGAAGACGAGGAAGAAGGAGAAGAAGAAGAAGAACGGACGGTTCCTGAGGAGGAGAATATTGAAACATCTTCTCCAGTTCCTCGTTGGCGTCTGCGTTTTCAAAGCCAGGTTCCGTTTTTCCAATATTCCGGTCTTCCAACAACCAAACTAGCAGAGTGGTTCATTGATATGAGAGGAAATCCCCTTCTTTCATCATTCACTACCGACGCAGACCGAGCGGTAATTAGGAAGCTGCCTGAGCCACCTCGGTACGTGGATTGGAGGGTGGTGGATGGTATTCCACAGTTCAAAAACTGCAACCGCGCTCAACAGCGCCGAGCAGCAATGGCGCAGCGTTTCGGACAGCTTGCACCTCTGGGTGAGGAGTGTAGCTACTGTTCCTCTGGAAAAGGTTCCTTTGAGAGCTGCCGTGTGGCGATAGATGACAGCAACACTCTGATGTTCCAGGGTAGTTGTCTGTGTTGTGCCTTTCTGGATGGAGGAGCCAAATGCAGCTTCCGTACCATGCGTCCTCTCTGGATAAGGGCGTACGAGAATTCTGAACCCCTTGCAGCTATAGGCTCTGCTCCTTCAACGGTTCAGCGACGAGGTCGTACCAAAGCTTTGGCCAAGACCGCTCCACCTCGTTCTGGCACAGTGATCCGGCATTTGGAACAGCCTACTGCCCCTGTTACTCAAGGCCACAATGGTCAATCCCGTTCTGGTGTTTTCCGAGGATATGGAGCTAGTTCCACTCCGGGAGGCCATTCCCATGGCTTAACTAGGGGTTCTCGTCGTGTTCGAGTCCGTTCCAATATTCAGGAGCATCCGCGCACTTCAGTAGAATCACCTTCTCTAGCCATTCCGACCTCCCTGACCCGTTCAGGCTGGTATTTCGACCTTCCACCAGCAATTAATCCGCATGAGGACATGCCAGCTGTGGATTCTCGCCTATATGTGTCCCCAACCACTCAATTGGATCGGCAGGAGTCTGATCTTCGTGTTCTGCGCCAGGCCTACCATGATGCGCTTTCAGTTCGCCAACGAGCGACATGTGATGCATACCGAATTGGACGTCGGATCCAACTTCTAACCCAGAAGCCACCTACTCAGAGCTCATGGCAAGGTAGTGGTCTTTCGGAATCAGAGAGAGAGCAGAACTAAGAGTCGTAGTGGACATGGTTGAATCTGTCTCTTCTTAATACTGGATCAAGTCAGGGTTTCGGTCTTTGGTTAGCTTCCTTTGGCGCGTGGATTTCCGGATGGGTTTCAGTATCTCCAGAGCGCTCCTGCCCTCCTGGCGTTGGCCAGATGTACTGTATTGAAATGAATCCAATTCAGTATTCAATTGTCGTTCGGTAACCTTTCTAGCAGCCCTAGTTTTACGAGTTTCCGCTCCTTCTGTATCTTCTTTACTTGCAGCAGGGCCTTTTGCTGCGGAAGATTTGACAGCCCTCACGGTACGTTGCTGCTTCATTCGTTTCTTCGAAATGACACGTTCCGTGATAGCCTCATCCTCCCCCACTGAAACTGAATGTTCCCCTGAACGTTCACGTGCTTCCCACTCAGCTCTGGTGATGGTGGAGAGTTCTGAGTATGAGGGGGGTGTAGGCTCCTCGCTGTCTAGGATCTTGCGAATTTCCTGTGGTTTGTGTAGCGTGTAGCCCGCTTTTTGAATAGCCCGCTTTGCTAGTGACGATGTCCACAGCCTAACTGGATTATCAACTTGCGCTTCGATAAGCCTCGCTCCGTTGATCAAATTCCTCAAGACCCTTCCTCCTGGTTCGGCCAGCGCATATGTGCCCAATGGATGCGCCTTCAAGATCTGGTAGGGGCCGTACCAGCGGCAATCCAGCTTCTGTCGATACTCATTCCGAAGCAATACCCATTGTCCTGGTTTGAAACTCGTTTTGGTCACAGCTTCATCCCTAATTCTCTGGGTTTTGATAGCTCGATTTAACAGAAGCTCATTTGCTTTAGACCGCGCATGATTTATCAGACGGACTCGATCTTCCCAATCTTGGAAAGGTCCTACTGAGTCGTCCCATTCCGAATTCTCGTCACTCGGAATCCTTGGATGTTCTCCGTACACCAGATAGTACGGGCTCACACCGAGCACACTATGTTCATGAACCCTTGCGGCAAAAAGAGCTTGCGGTAGGTATTCATCCCACAGTCGGGTTGGTTTACCCATTAGGTATTTTGTCAGCATCCGGCCCAGTATCCCGTTGAAGTTTTCAACTTTCCCGTTCGTTCTGGGGTGATACGGGGTGGTGGTCCGGTGCTTGGCTTTCAAAAGTTTGATGTAATATTCCACTGCTTTAGCAATCAGGTTCCGGCCATTGTCGGTAATTATTTCCCGTGGTGCACCGTATTGAATGAAGATATCCTCGTGTAAGAACTGGCCAATGGTTTCTTCCGTGGCATCCGGTACAGCACGGGCCACAGTCCAACCAGTAGCGTAATCAATGGCGGTGATGATCCATTGGTTACCGTTCGGAGTCTTCGGTAAGCGACCCACAAGATCGATCCCCCACCTTTCAAACGGACGGATTCCTTCCTTCACAAGGTGCTGTGCAGTCTCTCTTTCCAGGGATTCGTTTAATCCCTGGGCAACCTGACAGTTTGGACATCTCTTAACAGTTTCCTGGATGTCAGTTCGTATTGTCGGCCACCAGGCGCGGGGCCGTGTTACTCCCTGAAGACCAGGATATCCCAAGTGTCCAAATTCCTCGTGCATTCTGCGCACGAAATCCTCTCGGAGGGGCATTTCAAGATATGGTGCCACCACCCCGTCAGCATGTGTGAAAACCAGTTGACGGTTAGTGTCTGCATCAGCTCTCATCGGTAATTTCACTGTTCTGTAGCCGAGGTGTGGTGCAAATTTTCTGACGTATCGGCTCAGCTTCTTGTTGGTAGGGAGGTGTCCAGAACGCAAGAATTCCTCAGTGGCTTTGAGCCAGTCTTGTTCTGAAAAATCCCCTACTGTAAGAGTGTTTAACTGAGCCACCCAGTCAGGGCGATCTTGAGCTATATTGGCTGGTGTGTCTTCGACGAAATCCGGCCGCCGACTGATTGCATCTGGCACCACAGCTTCTGACCCCTTTCGGTACTGAATCTTAAGGTCATACTGCTGAAATTCATCCACCCATCTAGCCAGTCGCTTGCTATATGTTTTAGTTGTCTGGAGGTATTGCAGGCTGGCATGGTCTGTGATGATTCTTGTGATGGTTCCGTTCTCGATGTATCGATCCCACAGTCGGAGTGCTTCCTTGATTGCAAGCAGCTCCTTTTCATGGACCGGATAATTCAGTTCTGCGGTACTCAATTTTCGACCGTCAAATGCTACTGGATGCAACTTTTGATCCTCGCCTTCTTGATACAGTACGAAACCGATAGCCCATTCTGATGCATCGGTCTCGATAATGAAGGGTTTGAGTCGGTCTGGCTGCATCAGAACCGGTGCAGTAACCATGGCTTCCTTAAGATTCCGAAAAGCCAATCCTGCTGCGGTGTTCCATCTGACAGGACGAAATCTTTTTACCCGAAGCTGAGCATCAGCTTCTTTTAGAAGCTCATGTAGCGGTGCTGCAATTCGTGCGAAGCTTCGGATAAACCGTCGATAATATGTGGCGCGACCAAGGAACTGTCGAACTTCGTGCACATTCCTTGGCCGTGGCCATTCCTGGATGACTTTGATCTTTTCTGGTTGGGTACGAACTGTTCCATTTCCGACGATATGACCACAGAACTCTAGTTGCTGGGTAGCAAATATGCACTTTTGCGGTCGTGCATATAATTGTTGCTGTTCCAATAGCTGTAGGACCTGGTCAAGATGTCGGTAATGGTCATTCATTGATTCAGAAAAGATTAAGATGTCGTCCAGATACACAACCACACACTTTCCGAGAAGTGGCTGTAAGGTTTGATTCATCAAAGTCTGGAATGTGGCGGGTGCATTGCACAGCCCGAATGGCATGGCGAGCCATTCGAATTTCCCCCAGACTGTGTTGAAAGCTGTCTTCGGAATGGCGGATTCTTCCATACGAACCTGCCAATATCCCGACGCCAGGTCAATCTTTGACAAGAATTTAGCCTTACCGATGATATCAAGGAGTTCTTGAACCCTCGGTAAGGGATAACCATTCTTCAAAGTGACCTCGTTCAGTGCTCGGTAATCAATACACATCCTCCATTTATTGTCCGGTTTCCGAACAAAAACGACTGGGAACCCCCATGGACTTGCGGACGGTTGGATCAGGCCCTTCTGAATCAGATCCTCAATTTGGCGGCCCAACTCATCCAATTTCTCCACGGAAAGCGGATATGCATTAATATTCACAGGGTTGGCGTCCCCTGTATCCACCTCATGCGCGTGGTCACGTTCTGGCGGTAGCTCCTTCGGCAATTCTTCCGGAAAGACCTTCTGATGCTTCAGAAGAATCTCCCTAACTCTCGAGTCGTCATGGTGCGGAACGACCAGCTTGAATTCCGAACCCTCAGCCTCATCTTGTGTAGGCTGCACAAGAAAAAGATAGGCCTGAGTAATGCGCTTCCTCAGAGCGCGTCTCACTTGCTTTCCTGTAAGCAAGTCGAACGAAGCTATGCCCTTCGTGACAACCGGGCTGCCCTGCAGCGGCAGCACCGTATGTTCCCTTCCTTGGTCATCTCGAATCCGCATTTGCGAAGTACGCCAACTTAGCCGCGGGTCGTATTTCCGAAGGAAGTCTCTGCCTAGGATCATATCATGTTCTGGGATATCAAGAACCCAGACATTGATCCTTCCGAACCATCCTCCAATCCTTACAAGGACTGTAAAGGATCCATGGGTGGGGATCTGTCCGCCGTCCGGTAATCGTACCGAAAGCGATCTCCCACCTTTCTGATACTGAATCTCTCCCCTCATTCTCCGCACTAACCTTTGTGACACAAAGGTGTGGGAGGCTCCTGAATCAAGGAGTATCTTAACAGCGGTTGGTCTAGCTGTTCCCTGTCTTACCGTCCCTGCGAAATAGATCAGCGAGTCTCCTATGACGTTGAGGCTCGCGTCCAAAAGCTCTCGTTCCGACACTACAGTCTCTGAATCAGAATCCGAAATTGCAGTTTCTGAATCTGATGAGTACTCAGGATCCAGAAGATCCTGTACTTCCAGAGGCTTCTGTCTAGAGGCTTTGTCCATTTGGTCGATCAATGCCTCCACATTTACCGACCACTCACTTTTCCCGACGGCGATGTCATTGTGTTCTGCGTTTTCCTCCTTGAGGTTTGGCAGTCTCTTTTGTAATGTCCAGACAGGCCGCAATTGAAACAACGGCCTCTTGGAATCCTGGGCTTTGACTGCTCACCCTTCTTCTCTGATGTCTGTTTGAATTCTTTCTTCCTCCCTGGAGTGGATCCTAGCGGTGCACCTTGCATGTATGAGAGGTCCATAGGGTCACCTGTTATTGATACAGCATGTCCTCTAGTAGCTCCCTCTTCCAGGCCCACAAAGGCTTTCACAACGGCGTTCCATTCGGTAGGATGCTTTGGTAAAGCATGCCACCGGACCTGGAGATCTGCCTTGGCACCATGAATCAGATCCGCTATCATCAGGTCTTCGGACATATTTCTGAATTCCAGATCGTCTGCCGCTTGGCGTAGGTCGGCTGCATACTTATGAAAAGGAGTTTGGTTCCCCTGGGTCATCCTTCGGTATTTGGCATACCTCTTTTCCGGACTGAGGTATTCACTGAATTGTTCTTCAACCCAAGTTTTGAACTCTTCCCATTGCATGCCTTGAATTGATTTTCTTCCGTACATGACCCGCCATCGGTCTTCGGCAGCTTTCCGGAGATTCGATTTGGCTGCAATAATTTTCTGAGTATCTGAGATCTCGACTTCGGTAAGCCCTTCCACATCCTGGAAGTGGCGCTCACACGCGAGTATCCATTTGCGCGCCGCATCGTCCTTGAATTGCCCAAAGTACTCAGGGATTCCCACTAGGTCCTTGAGGAGTGCCTTCCGAGTCTCCCAATCTGCTCTCCCAGGAAGGAGTCCAGCTGTGCTAGCTGTTCCACGGATGGCTGATCCTGAGGAGTTACTCGGAACGTTGGCTGCCGCTTCGGTAGCTCTTTGTTGTTCCTCCTGTCGGCGCTGACCTTCCTGGATCCCCCACGCCAAGGCCTTGATGGTTTGGGCCTGGGCTGTCGGGTTTGTAGCGGATAGCCACTGAACGTACTGGGCTTCCGCCATTTCTGCTGGGAGTGCATGCAGAGCTTGCATTGTCCCAGGTGATATGGCTCGTGACAATTGGGGGTTCGGAACGGCCCCTGGGGTACCAATGGTCTCCGGTATCGTCCCCTGGGTAGGACCCGTGGTTTCGCCCGATTCCATAAGGTCTCCTTGATTGGACATAGGGATTGTATAAGAACGATCAACAGAATAAAAGATTGAAGAAGCAGTATCAAAGAAACGCAGAACAAAATTGAAGACATAAGATAAAATTCAGTATAGGATGGTTCTTTCCGACTGGATGGTCACTATGAGTTGTTCTCATAGACACTCTTTCTCAGCCGATTCCGAGGCACTATTTATGCCCTCGAAATAGCACTTCCACTTCATGTTGACAAGGAGATTTCAACTGAGGGGGTCCTCTCGTATTCACTGAGTCCGCATCTCAGTAGCCAACGCCTACCAATGGGCGTTCAAGAACAGTGTCGACTTGCCGTTCTTTCCACAAGAGGTCGTCATAGGCTTCAGAATGAGGGACAAAACACACGCTTCCACTAGCCTTGCTCGCTCCTAGCGGCTTCCTGAGGCGTTTCCCCGCTCGAAATAAGATTTCATGACGTCCTCGATGTGTACCGAGCGTCACGGGAGGAGTTGACTGTCCTTATTCCGGGGTAAATGGTGCTCCCACATCTCATGGTAGTCCAACTGTGGAAGAGTATTCTCATTCCTGCTCCTTATCTGGCACCCCCAGTCTCCTGTTCAGGCCCTTGATCGAACTTGGGCACGTAGACCGAAGTTGATGGCGAGTAAACAAAGCTCGCATATTCCGAAGAGCTTTGGCCGAAGCTCATCAGAACGAGCAGTTGCCCGCCGGCCAACACACCACTGGGCCTGCCGTAGGAGGCAGGCCTAGTAGGACATGCTACCAGATGTGATAACTCAACAGAAGGGATTGTCTGGTTCTGAAAACTATCTGGGGCATACGGTCTTATATACATTAGCGTACTGAATCGGAGATTCAGTATTCCGAATGGAACTTAGTAAGCCTGTTCCACACTGTACTGACTGACCTAACCAGGGTTGTCAGTACCAGAGAATACCGCGTATTCTGTGCCAAATATCACACTACTATATCATTTTCAAACAAATGCTAGAATCTCCGTAGCATTTTACTCATGTCTTATTTTCCTTATATTAAGGGACTTCTCTCTATCCTAGTGTATGAAATGCATCGTCGCGGCCTTCGTGCCCCAGGCAGCAGATACTGACCAGCCTTGGCATCGTTTCAAGTCAAGACCGGAGACCTCCTTCTTCACCCATGCATCCATGCTGCCCGCACATCTTCCGGTAATCTACATTGTCATCATATACGCATCGACGATCTACTCGATACGGTCCCGGGTCTCACGCCGCACTTAAGAACGCTGGCGATCCCCCACCCCCGCATTGATCCTCCCACATCTCCGACATTGTCTCCCACCGATTTCCGACATGGCCAACTCTATACGACAATTTTCTGGCTGGAGGATATCCGGTATATGATGTAGGGTCTATAAGAAGAGGCACGGGTGTCAGACATTTTGTCGATGTTCTTTTGCCTCTCCAGACCTTGTTCATCTTTTTCTGTCGTCTCAAACCCCAAGCGCGCCAAGATGATTTCAATAACGCCTTTACTCGCCACTCTTATCTCCATGATCATCCTCTCACGGATCCTCCAGATTGGCCGTCGTCCCAAGAGGTATCCCCCTGGACCTCCTACTCTACCGATACTTGGTAACATTCACCAGGTTCGTTGGATTCAAGAACTCCAAAAGCCTTTCATCTTGGTCGCTGAAAATTCTCCAATCAGATGCCTTCACGAGATGCCCATCTCCAATTTGAGAAATGGGCACGGGAATATGGTCCTATCTACAGCCTCATGCTTGGCACGAAGTGTCTCATTGTCCTCTCGAGTGATGTGGCCGTGAAGGAGCTCCTCGACAAGCGAAGCGGCATCTACTCCGATCGTCAAGAGATGTATATTGGCCAGACACTGTGCAGTGGTGGTCTTCGACTACTAATGATGGTAATTATTGACCTCTCCCCTATCGTATTTGTACGCTACTAACAGCGTGTGAAAGGGCTACGGGCCGAAATGGCGAGGCTTCCGCAAGATGATCCATTCTTTGCTCAACATCACGACCTCGAAGAAATACGTCCAATACCAGATGTTAGAAAATCGCCAGATGCTAAGCCAATTTCTTCACGACCCAGAGAATTTCCTAAAACATATTCGGAGGTATGAACACCACCACATGGACCTGGGTTGTGTCACAAAGACGACTGCGCGTGGTGGTTACTGGCAGCTAACTAAATCCTTATCACTAAGATATTCTAACGCGCTTACCACCACAATGGTATTTGGATGGCGAACTCCAACTTACGACGACCCGAAAATGATGCAGCTCTTCGATAGGTTTTCCGAATTCGCAGCCATCAACCAAACCGGCACGGCAGCCATTATCGATTTTTTCCCATTCCTGCGGCACCTCCCAGACTTCCTCTTGCCAGCACAAAAAAAGGCCAAAGAACTGCATGCTCGCGAAAAGGCATTATATCTTGGTCACTGGCTACGAGCAAAGAAGGAGACCGAGGAAAATTACATCAAGCCCTGCTTCTGCGCCGGAATGTACGAAGCACAGAAGAAGGACAGATTCAGTGATGACCAAGCGGCCTATATATCAGGAACGCTGCTGGAAGCAGGCTCTGATACCACTTCGAGCACCATATACGCCTTTGTACAGGCAATGCTACTATACCCGGATGTCCAGCACAAGGCACAGGAAGAGATAGATCGCGTTGTTGGTTCAGAGCGCCTGCCGGTCATTGAAGATCTTGCTGGTTTGCAGTATATCCGCTGCATCATGAAGGAGACGTTGAGATGGATGCCAACTACTATCCTAGGCGCAGTGCCGCACGCTGTCACCCAGGACGATGAGTATATGGGGTACTTGATCCCAAAAGGTGCAGGGATCCTCAACAATGTCTGGAGTATTCATATGGACCCGTCAAGACACCCGAACCCGCGAACCTTTGACCCGGATCGCTATCAAGATGACTGCCAGAGCTTTGGCGATGCTGCGGCTAACCCAAATCCATCCAAGAGAGATGCTTTCACGTTCGGTGCCGGACGTCGCATTTGCCCAGGGATACATGTTGCAGAACGCAGTTTATTCTTGGCTTTTTCGGGAATCTTGTTCGCTTTTAACATCGAGCCTGCCATCGATACGGAAGGCCGACATATTATCCCTGATCCCGACCGCTTGACGCAGGGCTTTGTCTGCATGCCTGAGGAATTTCCTGCCAAAATCACGCCGAGGTCAAGGGAACGAGCCGCTATGGTGACCAGAGAGTGGGCTGCCCAAGAAAAGTTTTTGGACTCCAACAGGCAGTGGCTGCAATCTCTGGTAGAAGGTTAGGGACTATGAAATTTGGTTCCTTTAGATTCCTCTAGCTACAGCCCTCCATGGCATCTGTTGGATACTCGGGTAGAACATTGGTCAAACACGGCGCCAGCTTCGCCATCAAATGCTACTTCGATCATGGTCTTGTTACTTTGAATATTGTATCATACCCGCCACCTCGTTCTATACCAGTCACCTGTCTAGCCATATTGATGCTCGTCCAGCTTGACCAGAGGCAGGAGCAACGAGTTTCTAGAGACAAGTCAAAGCCAAGATATAGAGGAATAGAGACATGGCAGCAGCATTGGCGAGTTGGCTGACTGTTTCAGTCATGTTCGGCAAGCGTCACCCCACCTTTCTCCCCAGGAACCTTCTCCAGACAGATGAGCTGTTTCCAAGGATTTCTATCGGCACTTCGACCCCTTATACTTTGATTCCAGCTCTGTACGTTCGGCCCACCAGTAAAACTGATCTTACAAGTCAATCCAAATGTGAAAACCGGTCAGGATGGTGGGTAGCGTCATCTGGGCACGATTGCCTTCACCTCTACTGTTGACTACCAGAATTTGAAAAGGTACCTCAGGCCACATACAATAGAGTAATCCATGGGCAAACAGTTAGTTAACACGGGTGAGCTGTCAACCCTATCCACTTAAATGAGGACTTGGTAAGACTATAAAGTTGAGGGGGGCTCGATGGGCGTTTAAATAACTCCTTTGTTCCTGCTGTTCAACGAGCCTTGTCCCATCGCGTATCCACTTAGCCACTTGATCAACGCCCGGGCGATGCACGGTCGGACGAGGCTACCTAGACTTCTTCAGGGACAATATGCTTGTCCCTTCTTGGTTTCGCCCTTCGCATTACATAGTTCAAGTATTTTTTCGAACCCCTGTTCAATCGTTCGAAGCCATCGATATATCGAAGATGCATGTTGTAGACAGTGAACCACTCAAACGCCAATATCGCGAAGGCAACGTGATTCGGCATGATACAGATTTTAGTCTAAGAATCATGGTAACAAGCCTTGGTGATCATTTGACGAAAGGAAATTGATTTAGTGTTTAGCCTCTCAGTTGCTATATTTCTGTGCCGTGTATGCTTTGAAGAGTCCACCAGTGTGATGATGGGGGCCAAATTTCCAGTGGACCGCCGCGTCCGTGTCCGATACCTATGGAGAGGAATGGAGTCCCGACGTCTGACAGCCTTGCTTTGCACTTATGCTTGTTCTTAGCTTGTATGTAGGCGTCCAGTGCGAGTACATATATATATGCTTTGAAATCTCTGCCATTTGCCTAGGTACTGGTGGAGTGCGACCGGCAATGGATCCCCTTCTGAACAAACAATTAGAATCGGTCACATCATGTCCAGTCCCGCAGAAAGCTACCCTCAAGATCTGGCGATGCGGAAGTTGTTCATGGAGATGTGTTTGTTATCAATTGGCCTCGCCTCCATATAGAATATTGGATCATTTTGTAGACGATTAGAATTTCGAGGAGGAAAAGTGCCTGTTGTAGCGCGTAAGTTATGGCCGGCCCGGTTACTTGACGATCACATGAAGACGAGTAGCAATCTCGTAAACTCGTCTTTCACCATGCCTGCAAGAATTAGCCACCGACAAGTCTCGACCAAAGATATCACAAACATCGACGGTCATCTCAGAGGCATATCAAAATTGGTCCAAGCTCAGTACCGAGAGCGAATATTCAGAGCCACCCATCCATCACGGCCGGCGGGTTGAGCAATATTCCGTGTCGCCCAAGGGCGAATCATTGGTTGTTACACAAGCAGGGGATTCGGTCTCCTGTTTTAGCTGCTTTGCGTGTGAAAGAAATATAAATACGAGCTTGGGATGGTCTTGAGCAACCTTCAGAATCATTCAGAGACGCAACAGCTCAGTACTAGCATAAGTACGGACAATCGAGTCGACATGGCCAGAAGGATTCCTATTTGAGTGATGCCCATACGAAATTTTTCGGTCGCATCTATCCAGCGGGCCATTTGCAAAGGTCAGTATTGAGTAATGATTGATTTCCATGGCAATTTGATAATATCCCATCGCCCTGCGGCGATAGATCCAGAACGCATTAATCCTGATCCCTCATAGGGGCTTTCAGGAAGCTTCGAAAAGAGCAGCTGGTTAGCATGGGCGACGTTCCCGATCCAGGAGTGGGAGAGCGGAAAGAAAAATCAGAAATTTTCACGGCATCTAGGAAAGAAGAACCCCCCTCCCCCTCCTTCCCAATTTCGTTCACTGTGCTGGAGGGATTCGATGTGTAAAAACTTCTTGAAAATAGACGAAACAGCAAATCATACACAGGAGTGGTGACAGCACATCAAATCCACGGTACTTAGGGGTGGACTCCATCGGGATTCCGAAGTACGGTGACCGACTTATCTCGCTTGGAGGCCGCAATAATGGATTGGATATAAAAATGGCGCATAGTATTTTCAAAATACCGCATGGGAGCTGGTGGAGAACCAACTGGGCACGCACTTTGGATTAATTATTTTGGTTCTGCGATTGGAGCGTGCTGGAGCTTAATTTTTCTTAATTGTGCCTCTTTTTTTGCTGGCGGAAGACGTTCCTGAAGCAGCAGGCACAGGTGGATCTCACCAGCGAAGGAACAGAGAAGGGTCGATTGTGGCCATAAATTTGCGACGAGGGCGATGACATCAACTCAGTCTATGGCTGGGATTGTCTTGTGAAACCAGCCTCGGAACCGCCCTCGGAACCCTTCTAGGCCGCATCTGTCACGAGAATCGAGAATTGATGGTGGTGCGACGCCACTTACTGAACGCGAGTGCACAGCCACCTCCAGATGCAGGATGGACCCCAATCTGAAGCAGTACTCTAGGGTAGGTACTTATGCGCTGTTCGTGATACCATGGCCACGGCCGTGCACCTGCCCGCCGAGTGCAGCGATAAAGCGATGGTAATTGGACGGCGGGTAGGAAATGACGATAGCTCCTCGGTCCAGCAGGATACCCCGAACTGGTAGTCCGGAGTACCTACTAGGGAGATGTGGTAGGGCGTGCCGCAGCTATGGTATTGTGATATGAGGGATTTCGTACTGCCGATGAATCTAGCGCCGTTTTGGCAGCCTGGAGGAGTAGAACGTGTAAACGCTTTGTTGCTGGGGGATTTTCCGGTTCGACTCACTGGCGCCGGGTTTTTGGTACGTCCGTCGAAAATCCCTCATAGGAATTTCCGATTGTTCTTCGTACCGCTCACTCACCCCTAGCGAGTTGCTCGCTTGCTACGTTCGTTTTCCCACCGAATAATTCAGACTGGTCCAGCCGCTAGGTAGCAGGATTTCCAAATTTCTCATTGCTCTCATACCTTTGGCCGTGAAACTAGCACCGGACCCACGTTTCTAGACGCAAGTGTTGCTACGCCAAAATTTGGCCAAAGCTCCCATGGAAAATGCAAAAAGCCACTAAGACAGGATGAAACCCACCCGGCCGATCGTCTGTGGCTGTGAGCTGCATGCCTTGCCCTAAGGTACTACTAATACTTACTACCCTAACGTAGTGAGTGCATGGGAGGCCGGTATCATCGCATGGATGTCATAGCTCCCACTGCCCCTCCGTCCTAGTCCTACCCGGAATAAAAACTTTGGAATATGATTTTCACGGGCATATACAATTAGAGCAAAGCACAAAATCACGGTGGGCCGGGGCTGGTATAAAAGCGCACCTCTCCCCATCTCTGCCTCCCTTTCATCTCATCGAGGGATGCTTATCGACGGTCAAAAGTGGGCTTGCGAAGCTTGCATACGGGGACACCGTGTGACCAGCTGCAAACATCATGGTACGTTGTTCCTCCCCATTTGCTCTGTTTCAATCCTCCGTGGTTGCAAGCTGTGAGCACTACCTCGCCGCCACAACCTATGCCACGGCCGCGAGATCCAGCTGACGTTCTCCAGATCGACCGTTGATTCGCATAAAACGCAAGGGGCGACCCTTCGCCACCTGCACCATCTGCCACTCAACCCCGTGCACCGCACCCAGCGAACATGCCCGCGCAAAGCGCGAAGCAGAGCTCAAGACTTCATCCTCAAAAGTAACGCAAACACAACACGCCTCATCCCCCACCGAGAGGAGCAAGGCAACCTTGATCATACACATACACATCTCGGCCTCCTCCCGGGCACTCTCTTAAGTCGAGTTCTGGCAAGCAACGAGGAAACCGAGATGCGCGATCGGCATGGTGCTGATGCTTCTTTTGGATCTATAGAAAGCAGCGCACGGCAGACTATATCCCCGCCACCACAACCCTCACGGTTTTCTTCCCATCGCGCCTCGCCCGAGTGGCAAAGAATGCACTGCACGGAACAGCGCCAGCACGCAGTCTTCGGTGCGTATTTCTCGCTCCGGCTCAACGAGCGCCAGTGCATCCGAGTCCAATACTCCCGTCTATATCGCGTCGGTCTCTCGAAGGGGATCCGCCTTGACGGATAAATGGTCGGGGTCGGAGTCAGGGAATGAGGGTCGCCGCACGCAATCCACTACGACCATGCCGGATATGTCGAGACCCATTAATGTTCCCCATGTTCAGAACCAATCCCAGACGTCGTCGTCCCTTTCTTCCTCGGCGCCTGGAACACTGGCACTAGACCCCATCTTGACCCAGCATACCTTTGACCCTATGTATAGCTTGCTTCCTTCCACCATGTCGGAAGCACAGCTCGCACAGAATCTGCCCATGATCAGTCCACTGGAGGGTGACAGTCCGTTTGATTTCCCATTGGATCCATCACTGACATTGAATGAGTCGATATCCTTGGGCTATCCGGAGGATACGAATGTCGATGTCACTGAAGGCTTGTTGGATGGGGGCTTCTTCGTCGAGGACTGGTCCCCGGTGCGATTTATGTATTCGCCCCACACGGGCAATTTGGAACCGTTTCCTCCTGTAACGCAATGCGAATAACAATGACTGATGATGAAACTCATTACTCTTGCTTCTCCTTACGAAGCTGTAGGACAGCACAAAGTGTAGTTAGAGCGTGATTTGCGGCAGGGTGACCTCCCGGCAACGTGGTCTATATCTATTATGATTCCCCGAGGTTCTCTGCACTTTTGATTAATGGAAGAGATAGCTAGTTTGCAACGTTGATTTAATTGCTCGAAATATCTTGAATTTCACAGATGTACTCGCGATGCAAGCCCAAACGCTCCACTCCGTGCTGATGCAGATCGTTTGGTGGGCAAGAAAAAGAAATAGAAAAAAAAAAAAAAAGCAACGCCAAGCTCAAAGGGAAACACCGCTCCACCCAGATTGCCTGTACTAAAGATCCTCTGTACATTGGACGTCGCGTCTAAACCTGCTGAATGTAGTTCGCCGGAACGCTCTTGGTGACACCACCACGTTCAACATCCGCCCAGCCATCGCCGCTGTCCTTAGTGATCAACACAAAGCGGTCACCCTCAGCCATTGTCCATTCCATGTCGCTCCGAGCTTCGTAGTCGTACATAGCTTCGACATACTGCAATTTCTTGGCGCCTCTGCGGGGCGCTACCGCCGGCCCGACGCGTTTGGGCGCGGCACTACCCGCAATGGAGGCCGATGAGTTTGAATAAGTTGATCCAGGTCTTTCGGGAAGTCCGGGACTAGCTGAGGGTACGGGGGATGGGGTAGGGGCGGCTTCGACGTAGGAGGCTGGGACAAGGCCTTCTTGGGAGCCAATTCGGACACGCATCCAACCAGAGCCATCTGTACATGGTGTCAGATTGAATCATACTATGGGAAATAGAGGAATGAGGAAAGACTTACCATCCGGGTCGACGATTGCCACCTCGTCTCCGTCTTGAACAGTCACCTCATCGGCGCCGGTGGCCTGGTATGGGTACATCATCCTGCCCTTCGGGTCCTTCGATTTGGAAGCGGCGGTCTCGCTCACGGGCGGTGCGCTCATGTAGGCCGTTGGAGGCGGCGCCAACACACGATGGCTTCTCTTCGCTGCAGTCGGCTTGGTCTCCGCGACGGGTTCTGGGTCCGTCTCAGCCGGGTTCTCAGGAGTAGCTTGAGCCGCAACATTAGACACCGATACCGATCGTGCTGTACTGGCGGCGTAGCCTGAACTCAGGGAGTTCATCGTGTTTTGACGGGTGAGAGATGGCGCAGCCGTTGACTGCGCAGAGGACTCGAGATCGACGGCAGGAACAGCGCCGGCCTGTTCTTGACGTTCAAGCTTGAGTTTCTTCTTGTCCTCCTTGGACTGCTCGCCGGGACATTCTGCCGGAACCTTCATCTGGCACTTGCTGTGACAGGTGTACCCGCAATCGCGGCAGTCAAAGCCCTTGGCGGATAGACCCCAGATCCGCTCCCCGCATAGATCACAGTTCGTGGGGATTTTGAATGTTTGAGATCGGAAGTTATGGTTCTTCGCTCCCATAGATAAGTCGCCTGCGACGGATATAATGGTCGAGGTTTCGACCTCCGCTGTGAGCCATTTGCGTTCCACTTCATGCAGAGCCTCTTGCAGGTAGAAGATTGATCGCACGGTATCCACTTCGCTGCGGTTGTCCTTGCCCTGTTGAATATTATCCCGAATCTTTCGGATACTCTCCACCTCACGCTTCTTCTTATCTGCCTCAACCCGAAGCTCACGCACCGAGGCTTTGCTCTTTCCAAGCACATTTCGAAGGAACACCTTGGCAGCCTCGTCAGTTATGATGGAAGCATCGTCGTGCCATACAGGGCTGGGCTCAAAGCCCATGTCGCCAGGTTCTTGGGACTGGGTGACGTTATGCTGCAGGAACATCATCGAGTCCAAGCGGGGGTCATTGCGAGGAATCTCATTCAGAAGGTTGGTCATATGATTGACGCTGTTTGTGAGGGAAGATTTCTCCAGTTGTCCAGCAAGAGTCCACAGTGCGTTTAGTCGGCTGACTCGAGTTTCGTTGAGGTCTTGCAAGCCCTGGTGGGATGAGACAAAATGAGTTCCTGTCTGATGTGTGAGACATTTAAAGAGTCACATATACTCACATTCAATATTTCTGGAACATATTCATGGAAGAACCGTTCCTTCTGCTTATTCGTCACATTGATGCTAATGAGGTAGAGATTCTGTTAAACGATTAGTATATTACCTCCAAGCAAAATGATCGCCATGAACTTTCCTTGTAGTTGTTCATTTCCAAAATCTGTTGTTGGTATGCAGTCTGCGCCTTGGATTTGCCATGGTCAAAGGCGGACTCCATCTTCTTCCGTCGGGACTCGACCTCCTGGCAAGACCCATCATATTTGCCCTTCGCCTTCTTTAATTCCCCATATGACGCATCACGCTCCTTCTCGAGTTTGACGTGGTATTCGACGTGGCACTTGCGGATCTCCTCGTACTGAATGGCCGCCTGTTTCAGTGGCTCTGCCACCTGGGCAACCAGGTCCGTCGCATACTTGTCTCGTTCCGCTGCATGCGATTCCACCGCGTTCAATTGATGTGTCCAGGTTGTCAAAGAGGCACTCTCGAGAGATCCCGGAGTCAAGGTGGGTGTGTCGCCGACGCTCAGCGGACTGATCTTCTTCGATTTGCGATCATAGTACTTTTTGCAGAGAGCCGTCAACTTCGCGGAGTATTCCTTCTCGATGGCGCTTCGCTCGCGGTAGAATTGTTGGATCTCGTCCAGCCAGGAAATGCCGTTCGACACCTGTGCGACAAGGTTGCATTAGCTCCGCCCACGCGTGATGAAAAGATGCTCTCCCTTTGCGGGGAAATCAAAACATACCCAAGCGTTGACTGGCTTGAAATTATCCTGAGCGCACAATTCGTTAGAAGCGCTCTACCAAGGTCTCCAGATATTCCAAGCACGACCTACCTTTAGCTCCGCCCCAAACTGGGGAGCAACGTCTGCTGCCGCCATGGCCTTACAAGGTTCGGGCCAGATTGCTCATGAGCAGCACGATACGAGTTCAGAGGCACGAATTGAGGAGAAGTAGACCCTCTCCGGTTCCACGAGATGTCAGAGAATCACAGCAAATAGTCGAAATCGCGAAGGCTTGCCGGCGCATGGAAGCTAATTCGGAGAGAGGGACGATGATCGCACGAAGGCGAAGGCGGGGAGCAGCCCCAGGTGCCTGTAACCGTACCTTACACCCCGTTACGCCCAAACGCTTCGGAACCCACCAAGTCGCTGCTGCAGGGTGCGAAAGGCCTGGCGCAGTACCGTCACGGTATCATTACACCGCCTCCCGTTTAGGCTTAGTACCGCGGAGAGCAGCAGCGTCATTTCGAATGTTTTTGCGGCCTCGTCGTTCACTTTCACAACCTCATTCACTCGACTCGCTCTCCGCCATTGGTGTGACCCCCGGCTTGCACCTGGCTTCAATCCTCAAAATTACCGCTCCGTTTCTCTCACAGCCCTCCGCATCGACAACCAAACCAGCTGCGGGCTTGCTGCCGTCCCCTCGCGCAACTACCCCGCGACAACCCTTTTTCGCTCCCACTGATTTCCTTACCTCTTTCTTTCCGTTTCTCAATAAAACTCGCTACCATGTCTTCCGAAGCCCCCGAGGACACTGCGACCAAGGCCCCCGAGGCGCCCCCGGCCGGTAAGCTTCTCTTTTCTGGACCGCCATGTGCAATTTGCACATCGAAGCTAATCACGATTACCCCATCTCAGACACTACTGTCGGCCAGGACGGTGCGGGAGCTGATCTAAATGGGTCTGAACTACAGGAACCCGACTACAGCGTGGAAGTCACTCTGAATGACCTTCAAGCCGATCCCGACAACCCGCTTTTCTCTGTCAAGTCATTTGAACAACTTGGACTGTGTGTATCCGCAAAACTAAACCAGATGTTAAAACGGGATGTTGCTAACAACGATGGTATCTCAGTGATGAGCGTATCCTCAAGGGTCTGTCCAAGATGAGTTTCCGCAAGCCGTCCAAGGTGCAGGAACGCGCCCTGCCTCTCCTCATGGCCAACCCGCCTCAGAACCTCGTGGGCCAGTCTCAGTCCGGTACCGGCAAGACGGCTGCTTTCGTTCTCAACATCCTCAGCCGCCTTGATCTTTCGACCCAGGAGCTGCAGGCCACTCCTCAGGCTCTGATCCTCGCTCCTACTCGCGAGCTTGCTCGTCAGATCGTCGGAGTTGTCGAGTGCATGGGTCAATACCTTGACGGCCTGATCATCGGAACTGCAGTTCCCACAGACTCCAACACCCGCCCCCAGAAGATGGCTTGCTCTGTTGTGGTTGGCACTCCCGGTACCGTCATGGACATGATGAAGCGACGAATTCTGGCTTCTGGTGGTATTCGCGTTCTTGTTCTGGACGAGGCCGACAACATGTTGGATCTCCAGGGTCTCGGTGACCAGTGCATTCGTGTCAAGTCGTAAGTCTCCCGCTTTTTACTTGGTGTCTGTATGTTATCAATTAACACTATGTCCAGTGCGCTGCCCAAGACCACCCAAATTGTTCTTTTCTCCGCTACCTTCCCGGACCACGTGACGGAGTACTCCAAGAAGTTCGCCAACAATCCTAACGAGATCCGCCTCCAGCATGATGAGTTGACCGTTGAGGGCATCAAGCAGCTCTACATTGACTGCGCCGACGGCGAGGAAAAGTACAACAACCTGGTTGCCCTCTATGGTTTGCTGACTGTCGGCTCGTCTATCATCTTCGTTCGGGTGAGTATATCCAATGCCCATATCTTGAACTCATGAATCAAATCAGACTAACCAAATTCTAGACTCGCGCTTCTGCCGCCGAGATTGAAAAGCGTATGGTCGCTGAGGGTCACACTGTTGCGTCTTTGACCGGTGGTATTGAAGGCAGTCAACGTGATGCCATCATCGATGCTTTCCGCAGCGGTCAGGCCAAGGTTCTTATCACGACCAACGTCCTTGCCCGTGGCATTGATGTCTCGACTGTTTCCCTCGTCATCAACTACGTAAGTGATCCGGCGCAGTGTGCTGCCCATTGAGCTCCAGCTGACAAGTCAACTCAACAGGACATTCCCGAGGAACATACTCAGAACGGCCGTCGTGGTGAGCCCGACTACCAGACCTATCTTCACCGCATCGGACGTACCGGTCGTTTCGGTCGTATTGGCGTTGCCATCTCATTCGTTTCCAACAAGGATGAGTGGACCATGCTGAGCAAGATTCAGTCCCACTTTGGATGCCAGATTGACCGTATCGATACCGGTGACTGGGACGAGGTTGAGGACACTATCAAGCGCACTATCAAAAACTCGCGTGCTCAGGCCGGCTTCGCTCTTCGCAAGTAAGGGTCGAGCGTCCACTTGGCCTCTTGTGCGCACCTCTGCTTTTGTTCATTTCTTTTTTTTTGGCGGCAAGATCCAGGTTCGAATGGACTGCCGCCCATGTTGTGCATGATGGATACGAACCCTGATCTGTGATTCTTGAGCCAGGAGGATGGCTGCAATACTAGATACCAATTTACGAATTCAACTGCCATGAAATTTCCTGGTGACCAGCTCCATTTGCTTGCTTCCTGATATTTTTCCCCGTGCCTTTGGCGGCGCCCCTCAAACAAGCCACAAACCTGAGCTACTAAAATGCAATTTTCTACTCGATGCTACTGCCCGCAGGCTACTCGGGGCAAGACCCATCGTCTGCGGGACTGAGCTTAACCCTAGCAAACATCTCGAAGTTCGTGGGCCCCTTGCCACGCAGCGAAAGATCGAGCTGTCCGGTGCGATCTTGAGAAAAACACCGCTCGAATCTGGAGGCAAGGCCCTTGGCTTTGCTAAACAAACTAGCTAGCGGCTCTTAGGGCTCGTGGCTCGTATTCGCCCCCGCTCAGGCCGCCGCTAATGCCATGGATACGAGAGCGCAACCACTCTGCAACGAACTGCTAGCCAATCTCCATACCGGAAAGGATCCAAATGGTCTGTTTCGAGGTCGGGTGCTTCCGTTATGGTATCACGTCCGCCGGCTCTGAGGATATCGATCTCGTAGCATGGCGCTCAACCGGGAATAGCTGCGTGGGCAGCTCTATCCGCCAAGACAATGACTTTTCGTAGCGATTGTATTTAAGCAAAACGATGCCTGGCCACACATGGCTGGGTAAAGAGTGACTCTCCTTCGAAATTGCCCCTGCAGCTTTCGGCTTGCTGCCACTTCGCAGTGTGGACGCGATGAAGACCCTATTGACTTCGCTTCTGCCGGTCCTCGCTCTGCTCCTGACAGTAGAAGCATCGCCATGGATCGGGACGCAGTACATTGCCGTCACAGAGACTGTTTTGATTGAGGGCTTCACGGGCACGTATATCACGGAGGACCCCGTGGTCAGAACCCAAACCATCCAAATCTCGCCCACAGTTACTGCGCCTTCCGTCATCAGCACCCTCACCCAGATCGTGGACTACAGCTCCCAAGTCACAGCCGTCAACCTGGTCGTCGCGCCGACAGCAGGCATTGAGGCCACTGCAAACCACCTAGTCGACTACTATGTCAGCGTCACCTACACGGCACCGGCCTCATGCTCCTACACTCGAAACCAAACGCTCACCACCACCATCCCCGTCAACGTCCCCTACTACGCCGATGGTCTCGTTGAACCAACCTGGATGTCGACGACAGTGGAGAAATTCTCCTACATCACGGGCTCGATCACCGAGATCAACGCCTTGCTCGATCCCACCGCGATCCCCGCAAGTGTCTTTTCCTCTGCGAGTTCTTACTACAAGCCCGCATACTACACCTCATGCTACAGCTACTACAGCGATTCAGGAAGCACGGGGTACCGAAGCGAAGGGTCGGACTACTCAGGCTGCACGGAGTTCACCTGGTACTTTGGCGCCTCGCCTTTCTCGGGCGGTTACTGCTGCTCCGATGGATGCCATTATACATGGGGTATCACACCTTGGGGGCTGGCATTGGCAATTTTCTTCGGCTGGTTCGGTCTTTTCCTCATAATCGGGCTGGTCGAGAGCTGGTTCATCTATCGCCGGGCCATGCTAGGTCAAAAGGTCCGTCGGGGTCTACCATATGCATTTGCCTGTCTGTGTCCGATTCTGTCCTGCCTGTTTCTTCTATCAGTAAAGAGACACCCTCCTAAAACACCGGACCAGCAAGCATTCTTGGCTGCTCGGTGGGCCGAGATGTCGTCTGGGAAGAAGTTCAGCTCCTGGTTTAAGAACATGTTCAGCAGAAAGGACCCTACTGCCGAGGCTCTCGGCTTCACGACTGCGATGCCGCCTCAGATGCCGTACCCACCTCAGGATCCGAATCAGTGGTATCCTGCGCCTGGTGCACCCGGTGCGCCTGGGATGCCACCCATGGCCACTTACTCCCCGCCTCCTCAGCCCGGACATCCAGGACATCCTGGGCCGACGGATGCTCCCAGAGGAGAAGAGCTGGATGGAGAGCCTAAGACGATTGCTGTCAGCGAGAGTGAGCGGAATGACCGGGCATGAGTTCTGCAATGTGAGAGCAGTGTGGGAGTATCCGATTTCCCTGGGTCCAAGAATACATTGTGAACCACTAATTTGATTTCTGAATTTTGATACCACGACCTAATAATAATGCAATACATGAATTCTCCAGGTTACATAACACGCTAATTTCCGATTTGGCAATAATAGTGTCCAAGCACAATAACGTACGCACAATTTTCTGAAAGGCTCCCAGATTGAAAGTCGTCGGGTGGGGGCCGCGGGGTCCATGTGCGATCCCCTGGATATAAGTTGAGCTGCCTGGCAGAAGTTTGTTGAGAACAGAAGTTCCCCCAAATTCTCGTCATAGCTGCGACAAATGACCCGAGCAACTCAAACCGTCATTAGAAGTGGTATGACCCTGATTTGGAAGAAGTCAATCCGCAAATCCGACGTCTACTCGAGGCGTAATCGAAGATTCCCTCAGCGGAGGTGGTTCAATATGTCAATGAAATTGTAAGTCATCTTGTCTCTGGCATCAAGGATAGAGATTTCATTGATTCGAACGATAATTGTTCACGGGGGCTTGTTTTCTAAAAATCACCAGCGTGCTTGGGGCTTCGCAGCCAACCCATACACCTGTATAGGGCACTATCGCTTCCTCCATCTGACTCTTCTCACCCATCCAGACTACGAATCAATCATCACAAGACTTAATTCCAATCCATCAGCTCTGTACCTCGATTTAGGATTCTGCTTCGGACAGGACCTCCGGCAGTTAGTGACTGACGCAAAAATGCGGTGGAGGATGAAAACTCGCGGCCGCTGCTCTACGATTAAAAGGGAGGAATGACGTCAGGGGGAATGTCTGTAGTATAAACCACCCCATCCATAGAATGAAGGTGCACGCTTGATAATAATTTTTTTAGAATGTGAAGCTGCATTTGGCCTGCTTAACACTCAAACAGGGTAAAATCTTGCAGTGTGTTCATGATTGCTTATTTCCCTAGGGTACCTTAAGCTAGTACTAGACTTGCCCATCCACCCACGCCTTTGTCGTCGTCCCTCCATTGAACAATATCAAGGACAACATTATCAATACCACCCTCATTACAATCATGATTATCACCCTCATCATTATCACTGATCGGTTCAAGATAGTGAGGGTTTGTATCCTTTTCCTCCTGTTTAGCCTCTATCTCTTCATAAGAGAGATATTCATTGATCAACGCTCGCCGGCCCTCTTCAATCCCAAACCTTGATGTACACATGAACATCATAAGATCTTGGATTGTTGACGGCTTCAGAGAGCCTTGCCGGTAGTGACAGACATCCCGGGCGGAGTTGGAAAGCCGGTCTACACCTGCTCCTCTTGTAGGTATCGAAAGCACATCGCGGGCAAGGTTTGCAAGGGCTGGAAACTGATGCTGATGATCCTTCCAAAGCACACAAATAGGCGTCCGCACAATGCCTATAATGGAAGTTAGTCTAGGTTATATAATAGAAGATTATCACTTACCACTTTCAAGGTATTCTTTTAGCTCATCAGATTCACCAAAGACAAAGTCCTGGAACCCTTCTGCCACACATTCCATCTCAAGCTCCGATATAGCCACTACAGATGATCGGGTTTTAGATATTGATTGTGCATCTGAATGGCGCCGCTTATAGACGTCAAAGTAATCTTTAAGGCTTGCTCGATAGATTGCACGCCAATCATTATCTGGATCATCCCAGCCCTTCCCTTCAAAAAGTTGAAGCTTCTGCTGCGGAGAGAGGATTGTACCAACTGCGTAGAGATTGCTGTCAATTGTGTCGGTCATACTGTAATATTGTGAAAGTTTCTTCTCTGCTGTTTCAAAGGAAGCGAGCATGAGCTGCATCCAAGCAACTTTCTTACGTTTCAACGCCTTTTGAGACTTTCAAGATGATCGAAGAGCTTATTATAGATGCTAGACCTAGATGGATACTAACATCCTTAGTCTTTGAAAGAAGGGCTGTGAATTTGAAGAAAGGTTGGGTGATCCAGAGAAGATATTCAATCTGTCGCTACTCTTCTTGACTTAACGCAAAGTGCTCCTGATTGTACTGGGAACAAAACTCATCGAATATTGATTTTAGTCGTTTAGCAAGTCGAAGCATCAAAAAGGTTGAGTTCCAGCGAGTTCGTACATCCTGGATTTGAACAAGCTTTGGCTCTTCAGTTTGAAGACTGCAGAATGCCTCCCGGCGTTGAGAACTCGTGTTAATATAGACAGCAAGGTTTCAGACCTAGAAAGAGAAGAGTCAGTATACGAAAGTATAGTGAGCAATAGGAATATAACTTATTGAGTGTATCAACAATCTCTCTCTTTTGCTGCCTCGCACGAAGAGATTGGACGCGATTTTCAGCTCTATCTCAGTGCTCTCATTTTTTGGGTTTGCTTTCATCTTTCCAAGAAGATCATTTAGACTCAGCTGAATAACATGGGCAATACAAGGAACCCGAACAATAGGAGAATGATTGTTGAGTTCAAGTGACTGTAACGATTCATGGATACTCGACATCATCGTGTTGTTGTTTGAAGCATTATCAGTAGTGACTGCGAGGACTCGATCTGCGATCTTATGCTGCTGAAGGAGCTTAAGAACCACATCACTTAGATTCACACCTGAGTGTGACCCAGATAGTGGTTCAAAGCCAAGGAGGATCTCTTGATACTCCAAATCCTGATCGAGAAAGTAGCCTGTCGTAGCCATAAAAGCCTGTCGAAATGGAGATGTCCAGCAATCCAATGCACGCGAGAGCTTTGTATTAGAAGGTAGCTTTTGAAGAAGGGACTGTTGCTGTTCTTGAACGTAACCCCGTAGCCGAGACCGAATTACCTTTGCAGAAGGAATCTCTGGTGGTGTAGGCGCAAGTCGAGCAAAGGAAATAAGCTCACAAAACTCCGGGTGCTCGATAAATTGGAAGGGAAGGCGCGAAAGAGTAAGAAGTTGTAGAAGCCTCTGCTCCCATGCTTCCTGTGTAAAGACTGTCGACTTGCTTGGCGTATTCCGTCCCTAGGGGGTTTTAAGTTAGTAAATTAAAGGTTGATATAGCTTTAATAGTACATACAACATCAGCTAGTAGCCCCTTGATATCAGCCTTTTGAGAAGTAGATCTGCGACAAGTTGGTCCAGCCAAATTCCCATGAAGGGCGGTTGTTCCATAACGCCCATTCGCTGGATGATCAAGGACTTTATAGCAGTGACGACACATAGCCCCAGGTTTGCCAGTTTTAGTATCAGCAATTTGTTCGAATTGCTCCCAACAAGTAGCTGTACGGTTGGCACTCCAATTCAGTCGTTTCTTCTTTCCGAACTCAGCGTTCAACCACCAAGCGACAAACTCATTCTTCGACATCTCAGAGTACAGAACAGATGCTGTGGATCGACCAGGACAAACACGCTGAAGTGAAGCAGGAATTAGGGGTTAGAGGAATCGGGGCGGAATACAATACTGATTGGAGTGTCTGCTGGCTTCCAGAAGGGTCGGGCGTTCGGAATTGCTCATCGGGGAAGCAGAGAACGGATCAATTGGATCACCCTCATATATTGACGAGGGATAGATATCAGAGAACTGAGAAATTTGAGACATTACCTAAGAAATGACATATTGTGTAGAAAAAGAGAAAGAGAGTCAAGACCTACAAAAAAATCCACAAGTCCTTGAGATTCAGCTCGCTTGTGGGTGCAGTCGTGATCGCGTTGTAAATAGATATATCATATTTTGACCCACTTCTACTCTGAACTATTCTTATAATCGGTTAGATTTTGAGGGTTGTTGAGGGCCGCCCTCCAATAAACCCTCGAAATATGTGGGCAGCCCTCGAAACACTAATCCGCCCTCGATTCTTCGTTGAGTTGAAAGCCCCCTGAATTTAATGCGGGATTCCAGGCGGGATTTTCCCGGATTGAAATATTCAAATATAAATTACGCACCAAAAAACTAATAATTAGGGAGAAAGGATAATGATTCCAGATAAAAGAATGCAAAGGCTATTTATTAATCCTAATCACTTTCGAGAAATCTCAAAGTAAATGGTGTATTAAAGAGGTTGAAGTACAAAGTACGCATCACCTTCGTAGTGTAGCGGATATATATATGTATATTTCTTGAAGTCTACAACACGAAATCAACAACTTCTATAAGTACTACTAACAATCACACTTTGAGCTAATAAGAGTCTGTAAAATTATTATTACCTACTATGATTATTCATTATGCAACTGAATTTCTCAAAATTTCTATACGATCATACAGGAATAGCTTAAGAAAACGACCTATGAACCGATACAGCGTTAAATAACAGTAATTAAATAGAATGAATCAGCAACTTTATCCACCCTAATTAGGAATAGTCGCCTTTTTTTATTCAAACGAGGGCCAGGCGAGGGCCGAGCGGAGGGCCGGTCCCCCCGGCCCTCCAAATGTTTCTGCCGAGGTCTAGGCAGAGGTCCGCGGGCGATCAACAGCACACGAACGGCCAGCCAGCGCGAGCAGCTCACGGCGGTGCTAAAGATAAGGCTCTTAACAGAGAACAAGAAGCTAGTCTGATCGAATGGATGAAGCGAGCGAGGAAAATGTCCTGCCTTTCCAATACCTGAAGGGACGGCGTGTGGGACATTGGACTCGTGGGATTTCGCTGTACTTTATTTCTATCGAACATATATGTACTATTTGTATTTTCAGAGCTCACATATTCAATCGATTTTTATTTCAATTTTACTTCGCGGGGCCAGAAATTCCCCTTGGTACGCTGCATTGGGATAGAAGAGCAGGGACCTGGCCTAAAATAGATCCACGATGGCCAGTCCTACAATACAATTCAAAAGTCGCTCCGCAACTGCACATCTATAGTACCCTAAGTGGTCTTGGTATCATTCGACTTGGGGGCCAAATCTTCGGCCCCTCCGTTCAGCCCGTCAAGGACACCTGCTTACACAAAAGCCACGGAAATCTGCTTACAAGAAGACAAGGCTGCTTACAAAAGGAAGGGCCCTCCTCTCTGGAGATTAACCCTCTGCTTCATTTTCTTACACTCAAGCCCCCACGTTCACTATGGCTGCATCTTCGGAAAGATCATCCTACGACTACATCATCGTGGGCGGCGGCATTGCGGGGTGTGTTCTTGCATCGCGTCTGCATGAAAAGCTACCTGCAGTCTCAATCCTCCTACTGGAAGCAGGGAAGGAAGCGATCGGCCATCCTCTGACGAACGCGCCCCTCGCATGTTTTGGAATACACCACTCGGACCTTGACTGGGACTTCTCGACTGTCCCGCAACCCCATCTCAACAACAGAATCTGCTACCAAGCTGCCGCCAAAGCTCTTGGTGGTGGGTCGTCTATCAATTACGCGACCTGGCTTCGCGGCCCGAAGGTTGATTATGATCGCTGGGCGAAGTTGGTTGGCGATGACCGATGGAGCTACGACAAGCTCTTGCCGTATTTTGAGAAGGTTGGACACACCAACGGAAATGATGGCGTGATCAAGACACGCTCGACTTCTGCGAGTCATGACGACCGGAAGTATCCCCTCAGGGAGATCGTGCGGAAGGCATGGGAAAGTGCTGGATTGCAGTATAACCCCACTCCCAACGACGGTGATCCTCGAGGAATCACCGAGTTGGTGGAGAACTGGCTTGAAGGACAGCGTCAGTTCGCCCACAGGCTCTACAACTTGGATGGAGTCGACGTACTGACCGAAGCTGCCGCTGCGCGTATTCTTATCAGCGCGGAAAAGCGCGCAGAGGGCGTGCAGCTTCTCGATGGTCGCACCTTCCATGCCCATAAAGAGGTTATCGCTTCTTCCGGTGCTTTCAACACTCCCAAACTTCTGCTTCTATCGGGAATCGGACCAAAAGAGGAGCTACAGAAGCACGGAATCCAGCAGCTCGTTGATGCCCCCGAGGTGGGACGCAATTTCCACGACCACCCAGCTGTGGCACTGATCTGGAAATTGAAAGATGAAAATCTCAGACTACCAATGAGCGCGATTGGAACTAATCCTGCTTTTGGATTGGGACTCCCTGCTGACTGGGTCGTTTTCTCTGGGATGGACAAGGACTTGATCTCTGCTGCTTTAGCTAAAGATGGGCTCGCGGCCTCTGACGAAGAGTATCTGTTGGATGGGAGCAACTGTTACACAGAGACGCTCAATGTATATGCGCCAGCTGGAGCTGTGCATGCTGGGATGGACATACCATTTGACGGCCTCCACATCTCCACGCCTGTACTAGGCATGCTGCCAACATCCCGCGGCAGCATCACACTATCATCGAGTGACCCGACCGCAGCACCTCAAATTGATCCGAACTACTTCGCGACGGAGCTTGATCGCGTGATGATGCGTAATGGTGTCAAAAAGGCGTTGCAGGCCTTCGAGGAATGGGCAGATCTAAATGTGACTGAAGTTCCTCCAGAGGGGTATCCCGCGCTTAGTGTCAAATCGACAGATGAAGAGATCGATGCTCGCGTTCGTCGTGTTGCGAACACCTTCTTCCATCCTGCTGGTAGCTGTGCGATGGGTAAAGCCGTGGATGCTGATTTGCGTGTCTGCGGGGTGGATGGTCTGCGAGTTGTTGATGCTAGTGTCCTGCCCACCCCGATTGCGGCTCATTATCAATATTGCATCTATACTCTGGCGGAGAGAGCTGCGGACTGCATTGTGCAAGGCTAGTTCTCAAGAAGATGTTTATTCTGGTTGTCGCTTCGGTTACCAGCCTATTTTGCTTGGTTTGCCCCCAAATCAGGGTTCAGAATCAATATATTGGGATATTAAACGTAGCCTTTCGTCCAGAAATCCTCTCCCATCTGATTTAACGTTCCATATCAGATCGAAATGCATCGAGGCTAATCTTGTCTTCATATTTCTGCAATTTCATCTCCATCAGAATTAAAAAGCGTATTACCACTGCGCCTTCTCTAACCGGAATCCATTAGTAGACCACCATTCCATTTTTTGGGAATTGTCGACTGCGATGTACGAGGTACTTTCACTGCCGATGAACCGATCATTGATGTTTTCAGGGGCAATAATCGCATTCGAAAGACGAGGCATCAACTAAGATAAATGCATCTGGCGGGGCTAGCAGTGTTAGCTAGTAAGAGGATGTCGGGCCGATGGTGGGGAGTGGATATCCAGATAGTGACATCAGCCCCAGCAGATAGGCCTATCTCTAGTGATACCAGTGCCATCACCCTGGCCACCTTGGGACCCAGACGACTTAGCGCCGAAACTAACATTCCAAATGTAACCGAGCGGTTACTGCAGGAGCGACCTGGTGCACCCCAGGAGATAAGGCGATAACGTGCGGGGGAGTGCGATGTCACGGGGTCCGGCCTGACGCGCTGGCTTTCTTTCACCGTCCCCCAAGTCCCTCCTGGAAACCCTTCAAATATCTCCTGAATCCCACCATGTTAGACACCAAATTGTCTCCCACCATGCCGGCCGCTGAACCGCCGTCTCCAACTCAGCGGTATAGCAAGCATATCATCGTAGGGCTCTCCATACTCCATTCCACTCCACTCTACTCCACCCCCGGGCGGGGACCACTAACAGGCAGCATCGCAGTTAACCACCTACCCCGGCCAAAGCGGAATCGATCCCGTACCGCTGGAATGGGGTGCGGTCGATGCTAAATCTCGTGGTCCGATCGTCGTCTCGCGTAGCGGCAACCTGGTGAAGCGTCGCAATGCCATCGGTGCTCACGGAGGCAGCTATAGCATCTACAATGCCCTGGCGATTGCAGCGGGCGACCTCGACGCTGACTTCCGGCCCGACCTGCGTAATAGCGAGCCGACGTTCAACTTCCAGTGGCAGCCTGCTTGGGCGGACAAGACCAAAATCGTGTCTATGGATCCATTCGGCCATGACATTGTCAACAGTTATCGCGAAGAACTAGAACTCGGGTGGGATATCAGACCTACGATGGCAATCACCCGTGCCAATATGAAACTCGCAGAGATCGGCGAAGCAGTCCGCGATGGTCGCCTTAAAGTCGATGGCTCGATCGTGGTCGACTCCTCGGGTGAGGTCCGTGTCACCAAGGTTGCCGTTGAGCCCGTATGGTATCTGCCCGGCGTGGCTGAGCGCTTTGGCGTGGATGAAGGTACTCTGCGTCGGGCTCTGTTTGAACATACAGGAGGCTCATACCCAGAATTAATCACCCGTCCTGACTTGAAGATCTTCCTGCCTCCTATTGGTGGACAGACGGTATATATCTTTGGGCCTCCAGAGCGGGTTTCGAATGAAAATGTCAAGCTGGCTCTGCGCATTCACGATGAGTGCAATGGTAGTGATGTCTTCCAGTCAGACATCTGCACTTGCCGTCCTTATCTTGCTTTTGGTATTGAGGAGGCCATCAAGGAAGCGCAGTCTGGTGGCTCGGGTGTTGTCATCTACTTCCGCAAGGAAGGTCGTGCATTGGGCGAGGTGATCAAGTACCTTGTGTACAATGCAAGGAAACGAGGCGGAGACACTGCCGACAAATACTTCACCCGGACGGAGAATATTGCTGGTGTGCGCGATGTATGTCGATGTGCCTCGGGGGGTCTATTGTTTGAATTAAGTGCTGACCTTCCCTTTTTCTTTTTAGATGCGCTTCCAAGCCCTCATGCCGGATATCCTGCATTGGCTGGGTATCAAGAAGATCGACCGCATGCTGTCCATGTCCAACATGAAACACGACGCTATCGTTGAATCCGGAATCAAGATCCTCGAGCGTATTCCAATCCCTGATTACATGATCCCCAGTGACTCTCGGGTTGAGATTGATGCCAAGATCAACGCGGGCTACTTCACCACTGGTAAACAGTACACAATGGAAGAGCTTGCCCAGGTCAAGGGACGTGGATGGGAGAAGTGGGAGGACGTCACAGTAAGTAGTCCGAAGTTATCCATTTTGGGACGCTTTCGATGAGCTGACGCTTTTTCCAGCATTGAGCATGATGTAATGCTCATGCCGATCGCGGGTAGAGGTGCTGGTTTTATTTCGGGTATCCTTGACGTTTTTATTGTCTTGTATCATGTTCCCAGGAGTTGCCTAACGCTTGTGCATGTAGTGGCAGTGATAGCATTTAAACAAGAGAGAATGAGTTTCGATTCTTGCACGGTCAGTCCAAGTTGAGAGGGAATAGCGTAACACAAGGTCCCCACGTCATGCTAGCTAGCAGCAGCTTTGGAGAAGATCGACATTTGCTATATACCATTGCCGACAGTCGGCTCATTTCCGAGCTCCGGACCTCCAGCATGCCTTTAAGGTAGCAACGGCTCTTTGCATGCCCCGCATGACGACAAGGCTGTGTATGAAAGGGAGCGCCGTACACTGGTGTCGCCCTCTGGTTTCTGCGCTTCAAATATATGACCCTCCTCTTCAATTGACAAAACACTTCACCAGCATAGAATCCAGAGGCACATTCGCGACATTGAAGGATGGGAAGGCTTATGAGCCAGCTTCGTGCTACATTTGAGAGGCTAGATGGTTGCAGGTCTTGGTTCTTTTCACCACATATGCAATCCTCAAGAATGGTGACTACAATCGCTGTTGGCAGCTGACCGTCCATCAGATTACTATGAAATCGCGTCTCTCAGATGTGCGGTGGTGTTGTGTCTCGAACTAGCTGACGAAACCGCCAGGATCCAAGAGGCTGGGAATAGAAATGTCGTTGAAGGAAGGAAGGGGGCGGTAAAAGATATCGTGACGGGCCTGCGGAGATCGAGGAAGGCGCTTTCCAGTCGGAAGTGTTGGAAGATCCAAAAGCTCGCCCCTTGGTTCAAAAATTTCTGAAATCCAGAAAAGAGACCTTCAAAAAGTCCCGCCGAAAGTTGGCCGATATGGTGGCGTCCTCCGCTCCACTCCACGCAGCCATGACGCAGGTTTAGGACCATCTTTCCTATTTCTCTAAGGCTCCCCGCTTCCTGCTTACCCTAAGCGTAGTCTGTTTGCGACTGAGGGGATTTTGGAGTCATTGGGGCCCGCCGACACCGGATCGCTGATCCACTGGGATATTTTAGTGGCAGCCGGACGTTTCTTATTTGCGATGGTCGCTGCAGGTGGAGACTCCAAACGATCAGATAAGATCAAACGCGCCACCCAATTTTCCCGTGTGCCCCAGGTGGCCACAGCGGTGGAGAAGGGACAGCATGCACATCGTCGCTTTCAAGATGTTTTGGGAGAGATATTATCCTTTTAAAACAATGATCTGAAGCCGGGAAAATTGTAGCAGGTTGGCGGCGTGGCGCGGCGTATTCTTGAAGTTGAGCGGAGTTCGGTGGGCAAAGATGGACTGTCACATGCCAGCTGACTCATCAGGGGTGTTTCTCTGTCTGGGCGGTGGCTTGTAAAATACATGATACCAGTTATGCCTGATACGCCGCCGGCCCTGAACAATGGCTGCCCAGTCTGCTGAGTCATTCGCCCATACGCGTACAGTACCGCAGTTCCGGCTGCCGGGAAAGCACAGCCGGATCATACGATCGGAGAAGCTTCCGCCTCACATTGCGGCGATGCGGAGGCACGTTCATCGCGGACTTCTTCCACGATCCCCCCAAGAGCTCGAACTACCTGGATAACGCGCCCGTTTTCCGATTTCGCGTCAGATCAAAACTGCTGGCGATCCACAGCGTTTTTAGCAAAGTGATCGTCTTTGCAGGGGAAACCAATTGACTGCGAGAACCCACCCTCCCAGTTGCAAGAGGGCCCGCCGGCGCTACCGAACAGGAAGTGGGTATCCTTGCCTACCTCTCCGTTCCCATGGACTCTCTCCTGTGGTCGTAACTCTGACAACTCCTCCCCCCTCTTCCAGTTTCTGCATCTCCCGCCTGCACCCACACTCTATCAACTTGAACGACTTCACAACAGCATATGCTCCCAGCGCCTGCACCCAGTAAGTCCGAGTCGATATCACATCCGCTATTCACATATGTGTCTATGAGAGACCGCCGTTGGAGCTACCTGGTCACAAGGCCGTTACTTCGACAGACTCTGAAGTCGCGAGCGCGGGGCTGATCAATCTCAAGTGTTCAATCCTTTGGGACAAAGTGTTCTTAATTCCAATTGAATCTCGACAAAGGCTTAGCATTCGAGTCTCGGGTGCTCGGACACCGCATACATCCCCGGAATGGACAATGATTTCCAACTCTTCTCTCCCCGCCAGCAGTCGGGCGGGGACGAGCCTCAAGAAACATGTTCGCATTCCAATGCAGAGAACTCCAACCAGGACTGGACTCAATGGATGAGATGGGACGAGCCCATGTTCTCGGAGGCAGACCAGAAGCCCATGGATCTTCCATTCGTCTCACCAAACACGACTCTCAGCTCCCCCAGCCATGTTCAGCAAAAAGACTTCTCCCCGAACCTTCCGCTTGGCTTGATGGAGATTCCTTCCAATCAACAAGACGCATACAACCGCAACGGAAGTGCCAGAGGCTCGATCGCCTCAACCTTTCCCGGCCCACGATCTGGCCTCATGTCGCCGATCTCAAGTGTGGGAGTGAGCCGTAAGCGCAAGACGGGCAGTGACGATGATGCCACAACTGTGACTGGACCGGTCCAGCCGGGTAAGAAAATGCCGGCGAAGAAGCGTGCCCACAATGTCATTGAGAAGCGATACCGAGCCAATCTGAACGAGAAGATCGCCGAACTCCGCGATAGCGTTCCCAGTCTGCGCACATCGAAGAATGCGAACGGCGACTCTAACGAGGACGATGAAGACGCGGACGGTGTGCAATCGGCTAGCAAGCTCAACAAAGCTTCCATACTGTCGAAAGCAACTGAATACATCAAACATCTTGAAATTCGTAACAAACGCCTGGAGGACGAAAATACTGGACTCAAAAACCGTCTCCGACAGGTCGACAAAGCGGCCGACCAGGCCGTCACATCGACCGCCTCCGTCTCTTCTCCCAGCAACTACACGGCTTCAAGCGACTCCAATGCTGGCACATCACCGACGAGCGTATTCTCCCAGCCCGAAGAACTCGACAACTCCCCGACCTCCACCCACCCTCCGGAAGGCCTTATCAAGATTCCAGACTCACTTCGACGATTCCGGGAGCACAATGCACCCAAGGGAATATTCGCCGAATCGTACATGTCGTCTTCTCCGTCTAGTGCGCCATACGCCCGAGAGGAGGGATCCCGTCGTCGGTCCAAAATGCCCAACAAGTACATGCTTGGTGCGCTTGCAGGGCTCATGGTGCTGGAGGGCTTTGGCTCCGATGACGAGGAATCCGAGACGAAGGGATTGTTTTCGCTTCCTTTTAGTCTGTTGGACCGCTTCTGGTCTCCTAAAATTCTCGCCCACATGGAGTATTATCTCAGTAACTTCACCTATTCCTGGCACGCACGCGCTATAATGCACTTCCTTCTCCTCGCGACTCTCGTCATCGGCAGTGCATTCATTGTCTTCGTCTATCTTTTCAATGCCCGACCTGTTACAGAACGCGCTCCCACCAAATCGAGTCCCGAGGGCAGGACTGCTCTCTCGTCCAGCGACTTCCGCCGTCAAGCTTGGCTCACGAGCATGCAAAGAGTGGGTGTTCCACGTCACAGGTTCTTCCGCGAATGGTACGTCGTGACGTCGCGATGCTTTGAGTATGTCCTCCGTTGCTTTATGGGCTGGCGACTTTACTCGTGGGCGACTGGAATCACCGAGGAAGACGAGAAAGGACGTGTTAAAACATGGGACATTGCCATTGATGCGCAGCTCACGGGTGGCGACGCTGAAATCAGCAAGAGTCGTCTTGTGCTCACTATCTTTGCTGCTGGTACCCTTCCCTCCAGTCCTATGCGTATGATGCTCAAGGCTTTGCATGTTCGCATTCTGCTTTGGAGAGTTGGTGAGCCCGGTTCCTGGAGCTTCCATGTTTCCAACGACATTGCTCGTGCCCTCGCCAAGTATCAGTGGGCTGTTGCGAGAGAAATCAATGACGCTCTGCCTCAGGGTCATCCTGACAAGCTACCGAGCCACCTTGCTACCCTTGTCAACCTGGATTGTGAAGTCGTTATGATTGACAGCATCATCCAGCGTGCGGTGAACCTGACCTGGAACCGTCCTACACAGGAAGGAACTGGTGATGATGAGGTTATGCTCGACGTCGTGGAAGAAGACCCTGCTATCCAGTGTTCAGTCGATGCTCTTGCGGCGTGGTGGTCAAGTCACCTTTTGCAGAGTGCCTTGCTCAAGTACCTAGAAGCCAGTGAAGGGGGGCCAATCTCGAAGGCCAGCCGTGATGCTTTTAAAGATAACATCCGGATGGCTCTTGACGTGGCGCCCGGACTTTCAGCCGCTTATGCCCGTGCTCTCGTTATGAAGGCTGTCTTTTTCGAGCGAGGACGCGTTGAGAATGTTGGCGCTGTCCTTGCTACTCTCCCGAAGGAGAAGCGCAAGGGTGAACAAAGCCAGAGTGCCAACTTCCTTGACTCTTCGCTTCCTGTCTCTGTTCGCGATGAGATCTCCATTGCTGTCCGCTGTGCGATGATTGCGGCGATTGTGACATCTCGATCATCCGGCGAAAATAATCTCCCTCCATCCTTCACCATTCAGAAGGCCATCAACTGGTTCAACCAGCTCCCGATAGATCCTGTTGAACTGAGCTTGCTCGGTTTCTCTGCTGTCTACCATTTGTTGCATCTCTTGGGTTCCGATGTCGACTACATCATCTCCTCCGACTCTTCCTCTCCCTCGGCTCCTCCATCGGAGGCCGCTTCGGCCGACGACGAGGCCGAGGAGAGGCCCCGTACATCCCGCACGCTGTCGGTCTGCCCTCGCGACATTCCCAACTTGGGTCGTGTTGCTGCGGAGCTCATCTACTGGGCCCGAAACGCTTACAATCCGGCATTCTACGGCTTCTCTTCCAATCTCGTCGAGGTCATCGTCAAATCGTGCAACACTGTCTGTATCAACGCAGGTATCAACCTGGACGAGTTCCTGCAGACGCCACCTCCGGAGATCATGCCGTCACGCAAGCGACGCTCGCGACGTCGTCGTGCTGCCACCACTACATCCGAGCAGTCTCCCCAGAGCGATGCCGACCAGGATCTAATCGATCCCCGCATGGGAAATCCTCTCCGACGAGAGCGGTCTGCCAGCAACGATACCGGATATGGAAGTCTCAGCCTTGAGGAGGACACCCAGTGCATTCCAAATGTCCCCGAGCAAGTGCCCGAGGTCTCTGCCTGAATCTTCGGCCTTGTATTTTCAACGACTGTATGACAATATGGTGTTCTGGTTTGGGATTTGGGTTGTTTCTCGGCGTTCCGCGATCTGACTGTATCATTTGGGGAATAGGGAAATACATTAGCTGCCTCGCTGAGGCTTGGGATGGGACTGAGATGGCGTATTCTGGTCCTTTTGTACGTAGAACTAGAGCCGGTCTGGGGGCTGGTCGGATATTCAATAGCGATGACATTTTATCATTCTTCTATTATTTCCTACTCCTAATCACACTACTTGGCTTGAAGTTCTCTCCACCCACAAGATCAAATGCATGGCTCCAAATTGGTGCATTGAACGACTCGTGAAGTCGAGCTTCGTCAATCGTATAATATCCACGCGGCTTCGTATATGAATATAATCAGGTACTCCATGTCATGGTCGTGAAATATGTGGTGGTCCCGATCGGCTAAGAACGCTGTTGTGATGTGACACATTAATGTGTCTGCGTGGTGTTCCCAACAATTCAACGTGCTCGTACAAATATTCTGTCTTCTACCAGCGCATCACGAGAGCTGAAATATAACTCGCTGTTGCCTAGTGTCTATTTCATTGATTCAGTCACCTGGGGCTCGTAATGGGGTGCTGGTTTTGATCAGACAAGCCCCGGCAGCTACGCCTCGCAGCCTCGCGCCCCAATAACACTATTGGAGACGACCGCGGCGGCGTCGGGCTCCGCTTTTTCAGGGGTCGGCCCCCAAACGGTGCAAGCGACAAAAACCACAGTGCTAAATTTAAATGGCGTCGGACTCGGACATGATCTAGCAGACGCCGTATCCGTCCGAGATTGAGGCTCGGTTGAAAAGCGGCAAGCCGCCTCGCAAATTTTTTGACTCCGTTTCCACTTCAGTGTTGCTCTACCGTCAACCATAATCCATCATGGCGCCGTTCAGGGTCATCATCGTCGGCGGAAGCATCTCCGGCCTGACTCTGGCGAATATGCTGGATCAGTCGGGGATTGACTTTGTCGTGCTGGAAAAACATGCTGTGATTGCCCCACAGCTAGGAGCGGGATTCGCGATCTTCCCCAATGGAGCTCGTGTTCTCAATCAGTTGGGTTGTTATCACCCTCTTGAAGAAGCAAATGAGCCGGTTAATCATTTCTCGGCCATTGGTCCGGATGGCAGGCCCTCAGGTGAACAGTCTGACTTTGGTCGGTATTTTCAGGAATTGTGAGTCATCCATCAAAGAAATGATGTTGAGGTGCATTTATGCTTAGAGTTACTTATTTAGGTTCGGGTACAAGATGCGGTTCATGGACCGGAGAAAGGTTATCGAGACTCTTTATGAGAACCTTCGTGATAAGTCAAAGATTCAGGCCTCGCGCACTGTAATGAAAATCTTGTCTCACTCGGATGGAGTTGAGGTTGAAACGGCAGATGGGTCTGTGTTCTACGGCGACATTGTCGTTGGCGCAGACGGTGTCCATAGTCGTGTTCGGCAAGAGATGCAGCGCCTTGGTGAAGAAGAAACCCCCGGAAGAGATCTGTTTCCTGAAGAAGAATGTCAGTCGGTATACGAAGAAGATGCTGAATATTTATTGACTTTGGGTAGCGTACCTGTGACTACGGGGGTTTATTTGGGATATCAAAAGCTCCGAAGGGTATCATACCTGACGAAGCATTTAAATGCTACAAGGAACGCCGCAGCTACCTCTGTGCCTCTGGTCCTGGAGACACATTGTATTGGATTTTCATGTTCAAGAATGAGAGCAGGACTCAGGGCAAATCCATTCCTCTGTATACAGAGGCAGACCAGGATCGACTAGTTGCCCTGCATGGCGACGACATCGTGAAGCCTGGCATCACGTTCCGGGACATGTTTGAGCGCAAGATTCAAGGCGCCATCGTACCCCTGCAAGAAGGAGTACTGAAACATTGCTTTTACAAGAGAATGGTTCTCTTAGGTGATTCTTGGCACAAGGTAGGTTATTTCCGGATTATCTTTTGAGACCGCATTCTAAATTCATTAGGTCAATCCTTTGAGTGGACTTGGTGGGAACACCGCCATGATGTCTGCTACTGTCCTGGTCAATGAACTCAATAACTTTTTAGGCCGAGAAAACCCCTTGAGCGAGGACAGCCTGTACGAGGCCTTTTCTAATTATCAACGGTCTCGAGAAAACCAAGTTCGCAAGGTAGTCGTTACGGGACACCAGATGCAACGAATGGATGCCCTCGAGACGCGTCTGCTCAAGTTCATTCAGTTGAAGGTGGTCTCTACTTTACCCTTCGAGAATATGTGCAACATGTTTGGTCAAATGTTCGCATCAGCTGTCTATCTCAAGCATTTGCCACTTCCCGAACGCCAGGGTGCTATGCCTTTCACCCACGAGGTTACAATAAGACCTAAACCCCGCTCCGGCGTCGTCAATTGGCTTTCCACGTTCGTTCTTGTTGCCATTGTTCTATTCTTATATCCTCTTACTGAGCAAGAAACACACGCCCCATCCACGGCCACTCGATCCGCGACTTCGTTCACAAAGCGGTTTGGCATGGACATGGACGCTCCAACAAGCATCCAACTCTACTACAACATGTCCATCTCCGTGGTTACTTTGGTCATGTGCGTCGAGTCATATCGGAAATGCTTCTTCATGAGCCCATTAGGCAGGTGGGTCTCTTCGATCAAAATACTCCCTTCTGATTTCGTATCCGACTAATCTAGACTCCCAGTGCCCCTCTCTTCGGGATAGCTGCTTTTTTTGTCGGCTGGCAAATTGTTACACCCGTATACTTTGCTCTTTTCGTCTTCTCGACGGGGGCTGCTGCATACTACTACCCTTCTGCACGGGCGATCGATCTAGCCACAGCCAAGAGCCTGCCAAATGCCTACCTCGTCAACTACTTACCCGTGATGATCTGCAATCTTGCATCGTCCCCGCTCAGCTCACACGTGTGGGCCATCTCACATGCCACCCTGCCACTCACGATCCAGCTTATCGCCAAATGGCACGCGCGACGGTCTAGCCAGTCTAGCATGCGGGGTCCAGCTCTTCTATGGAGCGATGGAGACCTGGAATACATTTCCACCGTGTTTGATTCGCTGGCGCCAATCGTACATCTTGCGTGTCACTGGCCGATGGCCAAGAATGGGGCAATAGAGCCCAGGATGGTCTCTCTGTGCAATCTTTTCTTCTCTGACAAGACTTATACAGGTTATGCTGCTAGTGCACTTATGCTCGATGCGCTGATCTTTGTCTTCATTGTCTTTATCTTGTGGGATATCCGGCGAGTCCATGCCTTCACAACGATCTCGCGCTGGGATATTATAAATAACGTCACCGTTGGCCTCGTTTTAAGCCCTGCTGTGGGCCTTGCTCTGCTGTGGGCAAAGCGAGAGACCCATTGGGAGGCATCACGGCAGAGAAAGAAACCTGCCGTGGAGGTCTGATCGCAAGAACCAATGTAAAGGAAGGTCACTTCACGATGGTCGGCATTAAACGCCGGTAGGTTGATGTCCAGATTAGGAAATGGTATTTTTTCTACTTCCCTCGTCACACTTTCTTACTAGGCCTTTGCTGGGATGGATGTCATGCTTGTCAAAGGCCTAGAACTTAGAGTTTTACAACCTCCTCTTCAGGACTTGTGGATTGGGAGGCATGGCGTCACATACCACCTTGTCTCCACAATCTAACTGGACCATTGTTTACCAGCGTTGCAGTTGCGTCCCAAGTCATCGGATCGTCGCCCATGCTCTTCTCCGGGGCTCCGCGCGATCTGACGGATATGACGCTTAGATCTCAATTGTTCCCCAATCGCAGCGACGCAGATCAGTTTTCGCAAACCTTAGGATCTGAGAAGACTGAAAATGCAGTCCAGGGGTAAATTGTGGTCAGTAGTGGTGCCGGGTTCGCACTATTCGGGCGGGAACAAGGGATGAGGCCGAAGACGGCAGCGTCAGTGCGGCTTCAACAAAATTCCGTTTTCGGCTTGCCGACGATCAGGGAAATAACAACCACACTCCCTGCTTCGGGACCAACAATGCAAATCAACTGTCAGAACCGGCGATGGCACGCACAGGATTACGCATGCCCTGTCTCTTTGCTTCGCGCCGGCGGGCGCTAAGATCTAGACTTTGCGCCATCCCTTGGGCGACGCCCGCCGCTGACAGTCTGCATCCCGGTTAAGCTTAAGCTGGCCCCGATATGGCACCGCCCGATTCGTCTGGTTACACTCACGTTTTCATGGGGGTCGCCCCTCCCGAGGAATGACGGAAGCTCCGATTCGGCAGGGAAGATGTCTGCCAGGCCTCAGGGGTCGATGACGGCATCCAGGTGCGGGCACTGGGCCAAGACTGTTGAATACAACATTATGGCGGCGATTTCGTCTTGACACGCGCTGATCATATTTATCTTTTTCTTTCTCGAACCCAAACACTCTCCCTTTCGCTTTTCTTTCCTCCGGTATCAGCCTCCCAGGAGACGCTGCCATCCACCGGTGTTGGGCCGCCGACGACATTTCCTCCTTCCTTTTCGAGTCTATATATACACGATTTCGACTTTTCGCATGGCAATATGGGTGTTCAACTCAAGGGAAGTGGCCCCGGTGAGCCACCGATGAACCCATTTGTAGCCGTACCACTATTCGCCGTGGGAGGCTTCGTCGCTATATTGTTTTTCTGGCGAACAGCCATTCGCGTTCGACACCGCCAGAGATCAAAAGCCGCCCTACAAGTCGACAACCAGAGCCAACTATCTCGGACTGGTGGTGTGAATGCAAGCTTGAAGAAGCATATATTCTATGCACCACTCTGGGGCTTCCGCCATAGCCGGGAGTTCCGACTATTCGGGCTTCATATGGGATCTATTCCGTTGCGACTGGAGGTGATTCTATTAGCATTATACCTGCTGTTGAACTTCATCTTTGTTGTGGTGACCGTGGACTGGTGGGAGGACTTCTCCAAGAAGATGTTCCAACTCAAGTATGCTGCTGGTCACTTGGCCGTGATGAATACCCCTGGTTTGGTTTTGAGTGCGGGCCGAAACAACCCGTTGGTGCCTGTTTTGGGCTTGTCATTTGACACATTCAACTTTATGCATCGCTGGGTTGGACGGACTATCGCACTGAACGCGATTATTCATATGGCTGCAGTGTTGGCAAACCAGGCCTATTTGAGTACATCTTGCCCTCTTAAACGCAAAAGCTCTTTTAGTGTCTAACGCGAAGCAGATGGTATGAACTATATCCTGGACACAATCTGGCACATGCCATTCTATATCTATGGTCTAGTTGTACGTGTGGCAGTCGCTTAAATTACCCGAAACCTCTCTGACATCCATTGTCTAGGCTCTCCTTGGGTTTGTTTTCATTTTCTTGCAATCGTTGTCGCCGGTTCGACATTCATTCTATGAGATGTTCCTTCATCTTCATATCGCTTTGGCTATCATGTCATTTGTTGCTCTGTGGTATCATTTGAAAAACTTGCTGCAACAGCGCGTGCTCCTAGGCACTGTGATCATCTGGGGACTCGACGTACGTTGACCAACCCCTCATTGATTAACCAGCATGAGATACTGACTATTCCCAGCGCGTCGGCCGACTTGTACTTCTGATTTGGAGAAACTGCGGCAAGCGACAAACCACAGCGACAGTCGAAGCGCTCCCCGGCTCTGTTGCCCGGGTGGACGTCGAAGTCTCGAGAGCCTGGAGCTTCCGACCCGGTCAATATCTGTATCTCTACATGCCGTGTCTGGGTCTTTGGACGTCTCATCCGTTCACAGTCGCCTGGTCATCCGCCAGTGCTGGATCCTTGGATCTGACCGAGAAGCGAAGCTCTAGTGATTCCCTCGCCACGCTGCTAGGTGGCTCCGAAACGACTACCATGTCCGTCCTAATCAAGGGTCAAGATGGGTTCACACGGCGGCTTTTGGATAAAGTGGAGGATTCGCCAGAAGGGCGAATCAAGGCGACGGCACTGGCAGAGGGTCCGTTTGGTGGTATTCACTCGCTTGCCTCGTACGGAACTCTGCTGCTTGTTGCTGGGGGCATTGGTATCACCCATCCCATGTCCTATCTGCATGAGGTGGTAATCAACTTTGCGTCGCGCAAGACGGCTACTCGCAAGGTACACCTTGTATGGATGATCCGAAGCTTAGGTAGGGCTCTCAATCTATCTCATCGGGGTATCGACTAATCTCTATCTAGATCACTTGGCATGGATCCATAATTGGATGACCGATATATTCAACCATGACTCCCTGAACAGTACAATCAATCTCAAAGGCGAAACATATTTCCAGTTCCCGGGTCTGATGCTTTCCATCAGTGTCCACGTCACGGAACACAAGGAGACATTCGAGGAGTTCATTCCTGCACCCGAAACGCCCTGGACGCAATGCGCACCTTCCAATGTACCGGTCAACGTACACTACGGCAAACCGTCCTTCCAAACACTGCTGGAAAATGAAAAGGCGGAGCAAGTCGGTGCATTGGCTGTCAGTGTTTGCGGCCCCGGTGGCCTGGGTGACAGTGTCCGCGAAGCTGTTCGGAATGTACAAGGAGAGAGAACTGTGGATCTTTTTGAAGAATCATTTTCGTGGTGAGGTTCACTGATTGTTGAGGTGAACATTTTGTTAATAAAATTTGTTTTGCCATGATGTTGCTGGCAAGTACATTGAGATAGTTTACTATACTAATCTCTAATACATAGCCTTTTATCATTGAACATGAGCGATCTCCAGCATGACCGCATAAACTCGGCTGATTGTCAGTGTCTCTATACTACCTCGACTAGTGTAGTATAGAGTGCACAGACCCAAGCAATCCTACCCCACGTCCACCCCACCATCGCAGAAATAGTGGCGGTCTATTACTCTTGCTTTAACCAAGCTGTGTCGAGTGGCTCCCCTGATCGAATCATTTGGATGGCGCCGCCAGCCACACGGCAGGTGGTGGACCCATCATCTTGGGGTTGGTCGGTACTCGCTGTTCGGTGTTCAGAATGGCATGTCGAGGGCAAGGATTTCCACCAAGACGCAGGGAATTGGTCTGATCCACTGTCATCGTTCCAGGGACTTAGTCGGCTTGTGAATAATACTCTGCAGTTTAATCACGCGCTTTGGACGTTGATCAGGCTAATCCGCATATTCCGCTAATATGCGAATGTCCCCGGCATTCCGAACAATCTTTGCGCAGGCTCATACGGGATGAGTTTGTTCGATTGCAGACGTACAGAGTCGATCGTTATTGCGGTGTTTGTGGAATCACACAAGTGCAGAAGCCCACACGACATCCTACCCTAAATGGTAGGATATCGGTGAATCGACTGTCAGCGGGGAAGAAGACCTCGGAAATGACCCTGGAGGAAATTCATCGTCAAGAATGCTGAATACCCCACTAATGTCATGCGTCACACTTCTCAAATTTCCGACCATCGATTTTGAGCATAGAATATCCCCGTTAATATGACGACCACATTATCGTCCGTCCCCGTTGTCGACATGGGCCCTCTTGGAAATCCCAATGGAGCATCCGCAGACGAATGGACGGCCCTCAGAAAGCAGTTACACGATGTATTCGCGACAACCGGCTTCGCCTACCTCATCAATGTGTCCTTGACGTTCAACCTCGCCGAGCCGAACGTCTGGCCAGATGAGAGTGTTCTTCCAGCTCGACCCAACTTCGAAACTCTCTACGTCGAGCTTTAGCGTCTTGCATCGAAGCTTCTGTGACTTTAACAATGTCCAGCAGGCATTGTGCGTTTTGGAAGAAGTATGGAAGCGGCGAAATGGGGGCGATCATGGAACCGGAGACTGATGTTGATTGGCGTGATGTGGTTGGTCAACAAGAACGTCTTTTGTTAACTTGAAGTCGAATAGTGGTGAAAAAGGATAAATGTATTGAAAAGGAGTGAAGCAATCACATTCTGCAGTAAAATAACTGAAGAAAACTCAACTACTGAGTAACAGTAGTATCCCGGTATACCGCCGTGTTGAATCTACGATACCCATCACCTCTCCTCGCCAGGAGAGCATCACTTCATCTCCACACTCGCATTGGCACTCATCTCAACGCTTGCATTGGCGCTCATAGACAACGGCGTAAGTGTACTGAGACCAGCCCTCGTCTCTGCCGCCTCTAGCGTCATCGGAGCGTGTTTGCCGCTACCAATGCCATACGCCCGCTTCACTGCCTTCCAGCTCTCGACACAGGCGAGGTACGTCACTGTACATCCAAGTACAATACCCCATTCCCACGTGATCGCGTGGTGTTTAAAGACAAGCTGGTTCACGACCGGGAGATAAATTACAGGGAAAGCAATGACGAAGCCCGCCATAACCGCCCAGAAAAGGAATCTGTTTCGCCAGATCGTCGAGAAGACGGATCGCTTGCGAGGATATCCGACTGGGTCCATGTTGAATAGGGACCAGGAGAAATGTTTTACTTCCCAGGCTGTGACCAGCAATAGGAAGGTCAGTGTTGCATAAGTTGTTGCTCGGGCTCGGAAGACAATGTCGCAGGATGGATTGTAGCCTTGGTTGCACCCATCGCCCAAATCTGAAGTTCCTGTCCCAGCGGCATAAATGACACAGACGAAGGAGACGAGACAGAGAGACCCCATGAATGTCCCGTAGATCATTTTGTCTGTGATTAGCTCGCGGGTGAAGACGCCGATGCGGAGGTCATGCGGTGGGCGGTACATGATGTTTGGTTGGGCTTCTTCTAGGCCTAGGCCGACGGCTAGGAAAGAGGAGGTGATTAGGTTGGCCCAGAGGATTTCTAGTGGGGAGAGTGGGAAGACGGAGTCGCCGCCTGCGTCTTTGAATGCGAGAGCTATCAGGAGGAGGATTACTTGAGCAATGTTTGAGATGAGAAGATGCATGAGGAACTGTTGAGAAGGTCAGCATGAATAGAAATTCAAGATAGAATGGAATTCGTACCTTTTGGATATTATCAAACAACCTCCGACCCTCCTCAACAGCTTTCACAATTGAAGAGAAATTATCGTCGGTAAGCACCATATCCGCCGCTTCCTTGGCCACGTCACTCCCATTCTTGCCCATGGCAATACCAACATCAGCCCTTTTTAAAGCTGGCGAGTCATTCACTCCGTCTCCCGTCATCACGCAAAATGCCTGACGACGATGCATGGCTTCGACCATCCTGACTTTCGTGGTCGGACTACAGCGAGCAATGACGAGCGGAAGGTCCTCGATCGTATCGATTTCAGGATCGGTCAATCTATCGAACTCGTCCGCGGCCATGACCAATTTGCTGGATTTGGATGGCTCCGCAGCTCGGTCGAGAATGCCCACTTCAAAGGCAATGGCTGTTGCTGTTTTAATATGATCGCCTGTCAACATGTGCACGGCGACCCCTGCCATCTGGCACTTGCGTACAGCTGCGGCTGTCTCGATACGGGGAGGGTCGTAGAGGCCGACGAGGCCACCGAAGAGAAGATCTGTCTCGGCTGCTTTGCGTGGAGATACCATGTCGGGCTTGTCGATGGGGGGTGCTTTTCTGGGCGATGCAGAGAACACGGAGTCCTTCTGCGGCCATTCTGTCGGCTGTCTTACGGATGCTTTGTTTTTCGTCTTCACTAACTGCAAGACTGGGGATGACAGCCTCTGGTGCGCCTTTTGTGTAGACTTCATGGCAAGTTCCCTCTGGGTTGCTGTAAACGACTGTCATCTTCTTGATAGCCGAGTCGAATGGATATTCTGTATGAAGCTCCAGGTCCTGGCGGTTGATCACAGCGCTCTTGACAAAGCCGAACCGCATAGCCAAGACATGCAAGGCAATTTCAGTTGGTTCCCCAACCGCCGTCCATACTTCGTTCTCACGCTGTACGACGGAGAGGTTACAGAGTGCCAGAGCCGAGAGAAAGGTATGCAAAGCAGGATTTTCTTCTATGGGATAGCCTGATTCCCAGTCGATCTCATCCAGCTGCACCACTCCGCTGGTTGGATCATATGGATCCGTCGTCTGGCGCACCGTCAATGTTCCAGCTCCGGGGATCCACGCAGATCGTGCAATCATCTTGCCCTGTGTTAGGGTACCTGTTTTGTCGGAACAGATATTCGTGACACCGCCAACTGCCTCTAGACACTGCAACTTACGCACGATGACATTCCCTCGCGCCATCGCTTTGGTGCCTACCGCCATGGTGATGGTGAGAACGGCGATGAGTGACTCGGGGATGACGGCCACGGCGACACAAATCCCGTAGATCAAAACTTCGCCTTGCACATCCCACAGATTGACTGAGAAAACGATGATCGCCAGGATTATGGCCAAGACAAAGAGGAGCAGTGCAAATTTGCTCAGCTTGACCTGCAGTGGGGTGCCGACGAGGCCCAAAATATTGCCAAAGAACGACTTGATCCGGTACAGTGTGCGAACGAGGGGACTTTTGTCACTCGCCGTGGCATCTTGATCTTGAAGAAGTTGGGCGATCTTGCCCACCTCCGTGCTCATACCTATCGCGACGACGATCCCGGTTGCTCGGCCTTGAGTCGTGCTGGAACCCGAGTATGCCATATTCGTCCGGTCGCCGATGGGAATATCGGCCGCAGTTAAAGTGGCTAGTGGTGTTTTCAGGACCGGCAAGGATTCGCCCGTCAGAAGGGCCTCGTCCGTGGAAATATTCATTCCGTCGAAGAGCCGTAGATCTGCCGGGACGATATCGCCAACGGCCAGACGGACTATATCTCCGACCACCAGCGACTCGGCCTTGACGGAGGTCACACGCCCGTCCCGGATCACTTTGCATATTGGCGCCGATAGTCGGTGTAAAGAGAGAATCTGTTTCTCAGCTTTGTAGTCCTGGGCGAATCTATTCACATCAGTATATTGGAGGTCGTGGGTGGAGCTTGAACTACCTACCCAACGACAATATTCAAGAGAATGACGGCTGTGATGACGCCGCCTTCGATGTAATCGTCAATTCCAAAAGACAAGGACATGGTAATCAGGAGAACCTAGAGGTCATATTGTTAGACTCTAGTCCGGAGACCCACTTCCATACACTGTAGATGCTGTAGATGCTGGTGGGAGTAAAAGAACGACTTACAATCGTCAAACTGTTCGACACCTGTCTTAGCAATATCCCCCAGATGGAGACACTCTCGACTTCGCGGACGGCATTTGGGCCATCCCGCTGCAAACGCGCGTCTGCCTCGGTGCTGGAGAGTCCATTTCTAGACGACGGTCAATATCATGCCCGGTGCACCACTCGTAACAGGTAGTCTGCATACTGCAAATGTGTCTGGATGAGGTCTGCAATGTCGCCAGGCTCCAGGAAATGGGCATCCTTGAGACGATCCTTTGCTCTTTCATTCGGACTGCCGGATGCATGCTGATCGGTGTCGGCAGACCTAGACACTAGAGCTCTGGGATGACTGACCGGCGTCGTCACCGGTTTCTCATTGAGGTCGTACGATGGTACGCTTCGGCGTTCGGGTGTTTCTTGGTATCTGGGCTCCGTATAGGGACCTATAGGAGGCTCCGTCGATTCCTCGACAGCGGGAGTCGTCTCAATGCCCATTCAAGTGGGTGGGAAGGAACAAGTGAGAGAAGTAACGACTTGATTGAGTCGAACTTGCTAGGTGTTTCTCTTCTTTGTAATAGGAAGGCGCAGGGAAAAGAGTGAGGGCGCGGAGAGAGGTAGAGTGACTCCCGGGGTGTTTGAGGAGTGTATTTGTACTGGTTGTGGTGAGAGCGGGGGAAGCTCTTGGAAGTCTTGTCCTTTGTCACCGCCACGATATCATTGGGGAACGCTGGCACGAATGCTTGGCTGCTTTGCAACTGGCCGCGGCAGCTTCGCAAAGATACCGGTTGCGAGGCCGCTAGTGTGGTTGTCTTGGACGCTGTCAGCCATTCTATTGGAGGGACCCGCCACCATCCATCAGTGGATGAGTACGCGCTTGATACCATGAGTACTACTAGTATTCGAGTAGTACGAGCAGTGCCTAGTACTCTAGCGTCTAGCCATCGGTGCCCTGAAGTAATTTATTTGCGATCTCACTAGAGTAGGTCGGATATACACTGGCATTCAACAGTCCAGCGATCCCTATACAAACCACTGGCAGATTCCCTTGTTCGTCGACACCCATGGTTCCGGCGAATCCATGACTGCATCGAAGCGCACACCTCGCCAATCCGATTGCGCCACCTTCCAAGCTCTCGGCGGGTCGGAACTGGCTGTCGCGTGCCCTTTGAGATGACTGCGGATGTGTACAAAGACATTTGGAGGTACCACTGTAGGTGTGGTGTCAACATTGTTAGTGTTGTTCTAGTCTGTTGATCTGCGAGGGACCGTTGGAAGGTTGAACTGTTGAGCGACTGACGTGATTTTCTACAAGATTAAAGATCCAGTTGTTTATTTAAAAGTCTGTCTGGGGTATTTGTGTACTCGTACAACTACCCTGGCCTTATCGTGACACATCAGTGTATTGTCGTCAAAACAGTGCCTGGATGTCCATGTCTGTATGCCTGCCCTAAATATACTGGCAAGTGACAGACAACTGACACCACCAGGGAAAAATACGAAACCACATTGCATCACCTGAGTGACCATCTACCATATCTATAGCACAATGAACAATATCTATTTGAATATCAACTAAATAAATGGCCGATCCAACCTCTTCAAGTTCCTCAGAAACGTCGTTCTGTAGAGGAGCTTCCGCCAATCACCGCGCGGCCCGCACCGAATGAAAATCCGCAGTTTGTCGCCGTCGCCTTCACTTTCTTCTCCCTCAACCTCCACGTCGATTTCCTCCACCAACCCTCGGCCATTCCTTCTCTACGCCCCTCCAACCACCGCCTCTCTGTCCGTTCACATCATGGTCGGCCCTACCGCATCTCTCTCCACCCTCAACCGCGCCGACGGCTCAGCCTCCTACAAATGTCCCGCGACGGGTTACGATGTGCTGGGCGCCGTGAATGGTCCCATTGAACTGCCAGCTCGCCGCGACGCTCTTAAACCCGAAGATGCGACCGTCGAAGTGTTTGTTAAGCCGGGAAACACCACCGCTGGGGTCGGCGAGCGCTATGTCGAGGGAATCCTGCGCAGTGTTCTGGGAAAGGTCATTCTGGGACGCGAGCGGGGATTTCCTCGTCGCGGCGTCGTGATTACGCTGGCCATTGTCGGCGGCGATGCGGTCGAGCGTGGTGACTCGGTATGGACTCGTCCAATGATCAAAATCTTGTCCCGGCTCCCCAAACTGACTGTGTGACTGTCTAGTACCTCACGATCCTTCCCGCTCTGCTTCACACCTCGCTCCTCGCCCTGTTGTCTGCCGCCGTGCCTCTGTCCATGACCTTCTCGGCCACCCTGCTGGGCGTGACCAAGTCTGGCGAGATCATGCCTGATCTCTCCGCCGCCGACGCAAAGACGGCTGTCTCCCGCCATGTGCTCGCATTCTCCTCCAAGAACCACCTGCTGTTGAACGAAAGCGAGGGCCGTTTCGATTTCAATACCTGGGAGCAGGTCCGAGAGCGCGCTCTGTCCATCTGCCAGGAGCTGACAATGCCCGGCTCTGACGGAGATGTCGCAATGGGCGACGAGTCGGACGGATCCAAGGTGGATGGATTTGTCCGGGAGACCGTGGAGGATCGCCTCCGTCGGGATTACACCTGGAAGATCGACTCTTGAATGCGAAGCATCAGTTACATATGCGACCGAAGGAAGATACGCCATCGGGGTTAGCCTCTCTGAATGACTATGGCCTAAGGGACCCCGGAATTTCGGCATCTTATCTCCGGCTTGAGAATGCTGACTTCTCACTTCACAAGTGCTGGTATATTTTGGGAACACGAGTGTGACAGCCTTGGTGGCTGCGTCACACCGGCCGAGACCTTTTGTCCTCACCATATTGTTAGCGAACGAGGCGCGGCGTGCCCTGGCGACCCTGAAATCGACCGATGTGTCGGTCGCACTGGACGGCGTACAGCAGGGCACAGGCACCAGGCACCAGCAGATCTCACACTCGAACCTGCCAGTGGTTCGCATGGAGCGCAACGCCTGTCAGCATCAGCCGCCTCGCAATTATCTAGGAATAGACCACACCGAGCGCACTACCAATTTCCGTAATCTACATAATGAACCATTCCCAACTAATGAGGCAGTCCCGCGATAGAGTTAGCTGTTCGAGGGCGTCACTGGCGGGCGCTCCCATGGAATAAAACCCTCGTATACTTCCCCAAACGGTGCGAGTCGTAAATTTCCCCACGCAATTTTCTCTCTGAGTCTAATGGATTTACCCGCACTCTCTTTCCGCTAGGCTTCACCTCCTCTTTCACCGACACAAGCTCCGTTGTCGGAACGGGCTCACCACCTTTGACTACTTCCGAGTCTTGTCTAGGACTGTTCACTGCTCTTCATCTGCGACCACCACCACCACCTCCTCGCACTTCTCGAACCCGTCCTCGCGCATCGACCCCCACACGCCGATCGGGCTTTAGCCGGCGCCATCCCCCTGTCGGCAGGTCTAGAAAATCCATCGAGGGGTGGAAGACGGTGGAATCTATCTCACCGCGTTCCGCGGTGGATTTCAATCTCCGTTACATCCGACCGCGGTGCAAGGCTTCCTTGCGACTTCTCCTTAAAAGCCCATGGCGTCGTCCGGCAGCGAGTCGCCCCGATCCGACAGCACCGCGACGCAGCTCTCCGCGTCTCCTCGCACTTCCTCTGCGACTGCCCCACCCCCCTTCAGTCGGCGCTGTCCTCCTCCGCGACTATGCCCTGCACATAGAACCCTCCCAGACACACCACGAGATCCATTCGCACGACGCGCAGACGGCCTCGCAGGCCGGTGCCGCGCCCTGCAATATTGCTTCAGATTCTGCGGCCGACGGAGTCGCAGGCTGGTCGCTGCCTGCCTCGGCATTACGCCGATTTCGCACGTCGTCCGTGTCCGGGCATCGGCCTCAGAAGGCCCTCTCGACGGATTGCATTCCCCGACAGACCATCATGAAGGCCCTGGCGTCACGGTCGACCATTGCCGGCAATAATCAGGCCGCCGGCTTCCCCGGTCCGTTTTCGGGCTTGCTGGGCGCTGCCGCCGATGAAGCATCGTCCCCGCCGGACGACAAGGAGAAGGAGAGCCGGAAGGACAAGGAACGCGAGCGCAGACCCAGCACGGCCTCGTCGCAGAAGTTGTCGACTGCGCTGTCTAATCTGCAGCTGAGCGGGTATCTCGAACGATCTCCCACGACGGCGCGGCTGATGCTGCAGTCACCATGCTATTTTCACCAGCGGTTCGACGATGCGGTCAATATCAAGAAGGTGTTAGAGGAGATTGCGGACGACGAATGGCTGTCACACTCTCGTCTGGTCCAGACGGCGACCGGCGTCCGCGAGGTGTCGAAGCAATTGCAAAGACGGCCGATCAAGCGCGCCGTGCGCAATGTAATGATCGTCACCAAAGCGCGGGACAACAGCTTGGTTCTATTGACCCGCGAGGTGGCCGAGTGGCTGCTGTCGACGCCGCGGTATGGAAGTGATTTGGGAGTCAATGTATATGTGGACAACAAACTGCGGAACAGCAAACGATTCGATGCCGCCGGTCTTTTACAGAAAGAACCACGGTTCGCGCAGATGTTGAACTTCTGGACCCCCGATCTCTGCTGGACTTCGCCTGAGAAATTCGATCTGGTGCTGACGCTCGGCGGAGACGGGACAGTCCTGTTCACCTCGTGGCTGTTCCAGCGTGTTGTCCCGCCAGTCCTATGTTTCTCGCTCGGGAGTCTCGGTTTCCTCACCAATTTCGATTTCAATGATTATAAAAAGACCCTCAATGCCGTCATGGGCGATGTGGGCATGCGCGTGAATCTGCGTATGCGGTTTACTTGCACCGTCTTTCGAAAAGATCGCAGCAAAGGCGCCGAGGCGGGCGCTGTCGAAGAGGGCGAGCAATTCGAGGTCCTAAACGAGCTGGTTATTGATCGCGGTCCTTCGCCCTATGTTTCGAATCTGGAATTATACGCCGATGATTCGCTGCTCACCGTCGTCCAAGCGGATGGCTGTATCTTCTCCACACCTACAGGTATGTTTTCTCCCCAGTGATCCCAACTGCAAGACGTTCGATATGCTGACCTCATCCAGGCTCAACGGCCTACTCCTTGTCCGCTGGCGGCTCCCTCATGCACCCCTCCATCCCAGGCATTCTCCTCACACCCATTTGCCCTCACACCCTCTCCTTCCGCCCAATGGTCCTCTCAGACTCTCACCTTCTCCGCATCGCCGTTCCTAACGCCTCCCGCTCAACCGCATACTGCTCGTTTGACGGCAAAGGTCGCGTCGAGCTCCGGCAGGGCGACTACGTCACGATCGAAGCGAGTCAATATCCCTTCCCGACGGTCGTCTCCGACAGCGGGGAGTGGTTCAGCAGCGTCCAGCGCGCCCTCCGCTGGAACACCCGCGGCGCTGTCCAGAAAAGCTGGGACGGCGCGGATGGTGACGCGGAGCTGAACGAAGACGATGAACAGTGGGATATCGACACCGACGCAGGCCTCGCCGGTACAGACAGTGGCATTGGACCCAGTGAAGACGGCGACTCACTCTCGCCGAATCCAATGCGGCGGCAAATGAGCCTGCTCAATATGTGAACCTTCCTTTCCTTTCCACTGGGAATTTTTCTTCTGGGATGAGTTCTTTTTAAACGATTTCTTGGGATATTCGTCCCCTTTCGGCATTACGACATACCCGCTCTGACCTGCCGAGCTCAGGCTGGTCTGGGCATTTCATGCATAGAATTACATGTGCTTCCTGCCCTCCTTGGTAGGGTACGGCTTTCTAAAATTAGCGGTCACTACATTTATCTTGGGTTTGGTGGCAATCTCGGCGTTGATTGCATTCAGGTAGAACTGTCATTACCTTAGAACAGAATTGATCTAGAGATTCAGTCTACGGGTTTCTGAGAGTAGACTACATTACACATCATAAAGGTGCTACTCAATGAAACCCTCATGTGGAGATTGTCTATCTGAATTCCCCGTTCTGAAACTCATCTACTATGCCCTTGGGACTACAAATTCCACCACGAAAAAAACGGAACTTGATCGCATTCCGACAAACATTTCATGCAACTGGTCTAACCTTTCCCCAGACATCTCAGTTCCATGTAACACCGCCAGGTTTGCAGATCGACCCTCATCAGTGAAACGCCGCTTCGTTTCGGCTTGACGAGGTCCAAGCTCCGCAATGAACTCACTATAACCAGCCCGAAGTATAAGAATAGAGCAAACATTCATCTCAACACCTATAATCACTCATTCATTCTCATGCACCAGACCAAACACCATCAAGATGAAATCCCCAATCTTCGGCCTGTTCTCCCTTCTCGGCACTACCAACGCCCTCGTCGGCCTAACCTGGAACGTCGCCAACGTCTCCAGCAGCGGACTAAAAGACATAACCTTCCCCATCGCGATGCCAAACACAGCCCATAAATCAGGATACTATTTCGCGCAACAATACAGCTTCATCGGACAAGACGACGTGGGCTACACGGGTCTACAGCCCCGCGAAGATTCTTCCTCTTCACCGGTCGTGCACGCCGCCTTCTCCAGCTTTGTCGCGGGCACAACTAGCGCTGACGAGAATTGCTCTGACGGCGCTGATGGTGGCGCGGGTGTTTCCTGCGCCGTCGATGTAAACGCCACCTACGCGCATGGATATCTACTACAGGTGAAGAATACGGAAGGCACGACCTGGACCGGGACGTTGATTGATGCGGTTACGGGGGTGAAGACGCATATTGGGTCCTACACGCTTCCTGGGGGTAGTGGGGGCATTAAGGATTCGCAGTTGGGCTTTGTGGAGTATTATCCCTGGAATAGTGGGAGTCATTCTTGTGGGGACTTGCCAAAGACGAATGTTACGTTTGGTGTGCCGACTACCACCGGGGGTGAGGGGAGTTTGGAGAATGCGTATGAGTATGGGGACTGTGTTGGGAAGGTGGACTTTGGGACTAAGAGGGTTGGTTGGGATGCTGTGGAGGTTGTTGTTGGTTTCTAGAATTCAGGTGGATGTATTGTATCTACATTAAGTGTTGTGTTTTGTTTCTTGATATTGTGTAGTAGGTAGTTGCTTGTGTACAACACTGTGAAGCATTACTTTTGTATCATTGATTCTGAGATTCCATTTTCCCGATTATAGATATTACGTATTCTCATCTCATTGCTATAGTTAGGATAGACGTGGATCTACTCGTGCATCTGTGAATCTGATATAGTAGTACCTGGATAGACCTAGCAAACAAGGCAAACTACCCGCCGATCACACAAGAGTAGTGACAAGAACCTGAGCAGATCGCAGTGACAGCCTCGTGTTTCAGCGCTTGACGCGAACCTAAACGCTTTGACAGTCGCAGCGTCCTAGCAATGCCGATCGCGTGTTTCAGGGTGCATAGCCGAGGGAGGTGGTACCCTAGGGTATGAATTAGATTGCAATAGATTAATCGTTCACCCTGCGTCCCCATCACTGTGGTTCCCCAGGAGATAGATCGCTTAGCGAGGTTCCATGCGTCTGCATCATTGCTCGAGTAGAACTTTTTTGATTCTAAAAGGGTAACATTTACATCCAAAGTGAAATATCGGCCATCTGTGACGGTAGCAGTGGCCTATACAAGCAAATCCCGAACTAACTTTTGTAGAAGATCTCATCCGCTTTGCCTTCTTTCCTTAAAAAGTCCGTTATTAATCTCATGTCACATAATCTGGTCTTAAATTATTCGTCGTCGATTGGCTGGCAATCACCAATCGCAGCCGTGGGCCAGGATCTCGGCCAATTCCTCGAGGTACTTCTTGTCCTCGTCGTCAAAACCAGAGGGCAAGGTGCAGTCGATGTCGATGATCGCGACAGTCTAGTCAAATCAGTATGCACCCAATCGCACGCGAGACTAGGGACTGCTCTAAGGTAGGGTACTAGTTCTTACCTCCCCGCGCACAAGAATAGGCACCACAATCTCACTGCGGCTCTCCGCATCGCAGGCAATGTGTCCCGGGAACTCAAGCACGTCCGGCACAACGACAGTCTCGTGGCTGGCAGCGGCAGTTCCGCAGACGCCCTTACCGAAGCGAATTTGCTGACATGCGGGCTTGCCCATGAACGGACCCAGCAGGAGAAGCTGGTCCTCGATCGAGGCGTATGTGGTCGAGATCGTCACGCTGCCGGCTCTGGGGTCGGCGCCCAGAGGAGGCGATGAGATGGGCGAGGCGAGGGCGGGGAACTTGTCATCGCGGATGTAGAAACCGGCCCAGTTGACGGCGGAGGAGGGAGAAGGGAGGGCGGCAAAGGCGTGCCAGAGGAGGGAGGAGATGTTGGAGAGGTTGCTATTTACTGTCAGCCGAGGCCAAAAAGCGCTGCGCAGGCTGCGCGTGTGCGTTCCTGGGTGTTTGGGATTGCGCTCACCTCACCTGCGATTGCGATTGTTAGCGCATTGCTCAATTGGTCGCGAGGGCCGCCAGGCCCTCAACGTGTAATGTACTAAAACTCACCCAATTGCGCTGACCAGACAGCAGTCCCCTCGCTTGGTCCAACAGCTGAGGGTAAACCTCGGCCTTAGTGTTGCCAAAAAAGATAGAAGAGTCGGCGTGAGGCTAGATATCGGTCAGTTGCGGCGCTCGAGGGGGCAATTGAAGCCGGTCGGGTTGAAGTCAGCACATACCATGATGCACGAGCTGTGAGAACAAACAGCCTAGAGACAGCAATTGCAGAGGGAAAGAAAGAAAGAGTCGAGGTTGAGGTGCGACGGGCGAGACCAGCAGAATTCGGCAGACTTCCGCAGTGGGGAAGGCTCGACCCTCCGCTGCCCCTCTTCTGCACCATTCCTTCTCTCCAGCACCGCCAGCAGTCAACAGCATCCTGTCAAATACTGCAGATTCATAAAACAGCCCCGCTCCTCAACTCTAAAGCCCGGCTGTCGCTCTGGGCTGGTCGCTGACACCTGCTGGCTTACTTGGCTCCCGTGCGCTGAGCCAGACCCAGCTGTCAACTGTTGGGTCGACCCCAACGGGCCCGACTCTTTCTCGTTCGGAAAGTCAGAGCTCAACTCTGTCTCCGGTAACTCCTTCAAAAGGGAATACTTCGGCGACTCATCCTCTGCATGGCTGAGAACCAGGTCTGGCAATTGCTGTCGGATTTCCAGAGCCCTGGATCACCTTTCGAGGGAGATGGCTTATTGGTTGCACTGGCAGGGAGTACTCCGGCGAAACATTCCTCGGACCATCCTCGAGATCGTCCTCATCGGCAGGATCAAGGCGGATCCCGGGAATACGGGGAATCGAGAGTGACCGACTCCTCCAGCTAAACACCCGATGCTCTTGATGCTTCCGGACCAGGCCCCGGATGATCTGATGCACCTCCACTTGGAGGATCGATCGCGCCCGCGATATCGATCGCTTCCTGATTTGGAATCTCGGGCTATTGTGGCCCGATGGGTGTCGGGATCCATCCAGGACCTTGTCACCCTTGATCCAGCAGTCGGCATAGCTGGCATTGTAGAATTGCTCCTGGGCGTGCACTTCGTCGGGAGTGATGCGGACTACCGGGCCTGTCATGGTCGTGGTCAGCATGGAAAAGAACTCCAGCATCGATCAACTGGGGGATGCGAACCATACTCCTCGTGCATCCGGCTGATCTCGTCTTCGAATGACCCGACTCCCCAGGCGGCAAAGTAGATCTCATATAGACCTGTCACAGCAGCCAGCCGTGGCCCGGGGAATTTGCTCAGCGGGTGGATATGGAGACGATAGACGATTGTGACCAGAAAGTAGGCCAAAATGCTACCCAGCAAAAAGCAGACAATCATGATGATACTTCTTGACCGTGGCAAGAAAGAGGTAAGGACGAAGAAGTGAATTCACTCGCAGGTCAATCAACCAAGTGAGGTGGGAAATGAAATAAGGTAAATCGCCCGCTTCGCTCACTCCCCTCGAGATATCAGCTTCAGATCTCTTGTCGCCCCGCTCTGATCCCAGTCGACGCACTCGATGATGAAAGGTGTGGTGATACGGCATCAATCTCAATCTGCCCGGAACAAGATACTTCGCCCGCGAGGCCTCGAGCAGGAGGTTACACGGGTTGCGGATTCGGGAGGGCTGCATTCGACCCTACCGTGCCCTACCCTTCCCTGCCCTCTCTTAGGGTCTCGAAATCTCTGCCATGCCGGCACAGACCAACTGCTCGTGGTTGTAAGCGCATCGTGGGGTGATCATCGCCGTATAATCATCTTATTGGCTGGTCGACTATTTATACCGCTTGTCTTGGGGACTGCCCGCAGCGATGGCGATTTCATCTCACAGCCATCCACCTTCGATTGGCCTATTTGGTATCTTGTGGAGCACGATACAGGAGAAGGCCCACACTACCGCGCCGCGATCGAAGATGCGATGGCTGGGACTGCTGGAGCGGCTGAGCAGAGACCATACAGACCGCTAGTAGACCGCTAGTTCAGGTCGTGTCTTGTTGCTTTGTGATCTGTCATTTTCTCGGACAGAATGGAAAGGTTACTTCCTAACCTACAGCAATGTGTCGGACGTCACCCTGCATTGGGTTTAATACCCTGTAGGCCCCGGGAATATTCGACCGCGTGCCCGACCAACTCGAATGAAAAGTACCATGATCAGGTATTGGATCTGGCATTGAAAACAAAGTTCTTTCAGATATCAACACAGATACAAAGATGTCAATGATGACGACAATCAGAACGAAACCCCGGTCGAGCCTCCCCACGGCATAGGCCAGCTGCACGATTAGCGTGCAGGTGTTACACAATCTGCTACGTGGAGCACGGGAAAAGCGTTTCACGTAAATCTCGATAAGCGTCAACGTCAACGATCAACAGATTCATCATTTTGCATGAACTCATCGGAGGCTATTTTGTTGGACAATGATCTCAGCTACTCGCTCCCATCCAATAACACAGTTCCTTCAGCCCTTGGCACATTCGCCCAGGTCTCTGTATGCACTTAAAGGAAGCACTCCCTGTTCATTCCTCCTCCCATTACCAGCCAATAGTGGATGACCTGCAAAATTATTTTCGGTGTGCGGTACTGTACAGACCTTGCACGTTTTACAACCCGATTGTGGTACTCAGTTTCTGGGCTTTGAGTAATCAGCATGTAATACAATTCCAGCTGGTTTCAGCTAAATATGATTTTATGTGGTCAGTTGGTCAAAGTCTCAACATTTTCGCTTGAAATATCAGTACACAATTGAAGCTAGTTCGAGGAAAATACAATTCCATGTGGTCATCTGATCAAAGACTCCAATTGTATATCGCAACAGCCGCAGAATTTGGACGCTTCAAAACTTCTCCCTTCACCACCAACCCTGGTGTATCTGATAGGAAAAGCTATGGGGCCCCATTTAAGCGAGCCTCTGCCAAATTACCTCGGAACAATTTTCCCTGGAGATCCTTCGTAGTGGGACATAATATAAGCACCCAGCATATGGGATGAAAGAAAGGGTAAACAGGAGAGAAGCAAGGACGACAAAAAAGCTCCCAAATCTGTACCAATAATTGACTAATCAATTCGAGCGCATGGAATTGGGATAGAAACGGCAGCAACAAAATGAATGACATTCAGCATTATATACTTCTTTCATCTGATATATTTGCATTTAATGACCAATATACATCTCGATGTACTCCACTGCATTCTACTTTTCCACCCTCAAACCCCTGAATCCTCTTGCTCAATACCGTTCCCCTCGTCATATGTTATCCACGACGCACAATTATCATTCACGTACTTCAAATCAATGAGCTGTCGAGCCTCCTCATATCGCTCGATAAACTGCAATGCAAATCCTTCAGACGTATGCCATCCGATATGGCAGTGCATCAACCACGCCCCAGGGTTATCCGTCTCAAAAGCAATGAGCAGATGGCCGGAACTTTGAAGCAAGGCTGTATCCCGACGAGGCGGGTTTGATGTGATGGTCGTACCATCCCAAGCGCCTTCTCCCTGCGCGAGAATGAAGAAATCATGACCATGCAAATGGATCGGATGAGCCACCGGCATCGAAGTATTGATCAACAAGTAGACCCACTCATTGGCATTTGGCAGTTCAATAACACCACTGGAGTTGGGCCACTCAGTCTGATTATCATAAATCTGTAACAAAGTGGGATCCTCCCACAGAACCTCCATCGTCGTGCTATTCAGATACCACCGGAAAAGATTTTTCGTGTTCTTGGCGACCGTGACGTCCGTCATGTCTTGCCAATCTGCGGCTGAGACAGATTTGGGAACGACGGGGACGAGCTTGCTTAAGTCTTCGTCGACACAAATATCGGTGAAGTTCCATGGGTTTGTCAAGGGCGTGCCGACCTTGCCGTGATAATGCAGGATACCCCTGATGTTGTCGACGTTGTGGTTTTCTGAGCAGTCTGTTTGGGGAATGGCGCGGATCCAGTGGTTTCTTGCCTTTGGCTGGTTTGCGGTGACGATTATATCGTATCGTTGACCTGATAAGAGTGTTATATTTCCACTTCACTAGTGTAAATATATAAACTGACTTACCCATTCCGATGTTGATATAATCCGTCGTATACGGCTTGACCGGAACAAGGTCCATGCCAATGACCGTGAGCTTGTGATTGTCAATCATGAACTTCCAGTGCGTATCAATAGCAGCATTGACGATCCGAAGACGATAAGACTCGCCCTTGTTGGCACGCATTGTGAAATATTTTCCAGAAGTATTGTACATGTTTGTTCCGTTGATCAGACCCGTGTCCAGCGTGGGTGGTCCCACGGTTTGAGCATGTGTGTACAGCTCGTCGGCAGTCTGATGAGACCAATCATTCAAAAATAGCATACCCTTGTCAACATCGTAGTTCTGACTGGCAGGGCCATTGATGATGACACCTCCAAAAACACCCATCCAGGCCTGAAGGCCAATGTGAGAGTGGTACCAGGAGGATCCATACTGGGCAGCACGCCACTTGTATGTGATTGTTGATCCTGGCGCAGTGGGACATTGAGTAATTGAAACAACACCATCGTTTTGGTTGGTGTAGTTCTGACGAATTCCATGCCAGTGAATGCTTGTTCCATTTTTCGATTCATTAAGGTGATTGGTCACATGGATGACGACTTCGTCGCCCCAGTTTGCATAGATGGTAGGTCCCGGGATAGTCCCGTTGATTGCCATTGCAAAGCGTGAGATGCCATCTGGGGCAACTGTAATCTCGTCGATCGAGAGCCAGTATTCGCGGGTGACACCCGTGTGTGGCACAATCTTTGTATAGTCGGTGTTGATGTCGTAGTCACACCACTTGGTTCTCTTATGAGCACTGTTGCCGGCGCATGGCTTGGGCTTGGAAGGTGATTTGGTCTTTCGAGTCTCAAGCACCGGAATGGAAGTCGCAGCCACGGTAAAGGCATATGCCAAATAAAGAAGGTTTTGCAGTCTCATGGTGATATAAAACCCCCGATGAAGGTAGGGCAAGCTATCAAGGTAAATTCATGAACAGCGAAAACAAAAGGCAAATGAACACGCGACAATAAAATGAAAAGATTGACGACACATCAGCAAGTACGATTGTCATGGAGCCTATATATACAGAATACTTCAATCTGCAAGGTCATGGCCAAGGCTGAGCTGGCTGTCACCGAAAATCTTACTCTCCTCGCGAGGGCGCCTGTACCAGCTCACAGGTGCTTCCTGGGGCGATACGCCAATCCTAGGATGCATATGATATCAAGGAGTATGAAATTTGCTAATAGAACCGAGATCCGCTTCTTTCTAGCGGAATAATCTCACTTGACCATTGGCTGTCGGCCTCGTGAGGCTGTTCGGCGTTTGATTCAAAGATCAGGCAACTCCCCGCCAACCATTCGGACGGGATACTTGCTTTCCCTCGTTTAGATGCATGGGATTTTAAAAACCATTTCCCTTTTTGCCGATGAGAGGGGCTATAGCTGCATGTCTCAGGGCCACGGTGATGCTTCTATGCCAATGGCGGCCGTGGTAAAATTCTAACGCTGGCTAAGGCCCTTCAGGCGATACACTTTTCCCCGTGATGTAGCCGTCGGGTGCTCATCATGATGGAACCTCGTCTAGTATCCAGGGGCGCAGCCAGATAGCGCAGCAAGGCAGGAGGCTCTCGCTTCTGCCAGGGCTGAGGTGGCGTTTGCATCCCATGTGGGATCTACCGCTGAACCCGGCTTTCCGGACGAGGGTAGGACAAGGCCGAAGGTCGGTTGCCTTGATTGTTGGGATGTGGAAAGAGGAGAAGGTGCATTCGGGCTGCAGATGGCTGACTTTGAACTTGGGGTTGTCTCAGCATGACTGATATCCGGGCACGACCTAGTGCAAGAAGTATTTCTGGCATCTATACGCGAAAGCGCCCAGGCACCAGGGTCGGATCAGCGAGGTGGCCGCGTACGAGCTGCAAGTGATGAGATTATCTGAGAGGCTGTGTTCAGAAATATAATCCAAACCGATCACACCCCAGCTCTCTCATCACTCATTTTCTTATATTGTTGCGGGTGCCCTGATTTCTCAACTGTTGAAGTTTGATTTGTACCTGCATTTTTTACCTGCCGTGGATGTTACACTCAACAATGCTTCATATACTCTCCCCTTTTTTTCTGCTCTTTGCATTTTTCGGTGCCTTCTGCTCTGCTCAACCATTAGTGAAGCGGGCGATGCAGTTCAATATCTACGCATTCGGCGAGAGCATCAGTGGACTGCAGGTCTACTACGCAGACGGTAGGAACTCCCATGCCGACCTTTCTCCGCGATAACTTATGATTTGACATCTTTCCTTTCTTCTAGGTGTGGCCTCGATTGGAGACCCGAGTCAGTCCAACGCAACCGACGTGCTTCCAGTCTACTGTACGTCCAACCCCACGGTGCCCACTGATGGGGCGCCTCAGCTGCAATACCTGCCCGAGTGCTGAGTCACATAATAATTCAACTACAGTCACAGCCTCCAGTACCAGCTCCGATCAATACACTTGGACGGCGCATTCCGCTTCTGAAGTTCAATCTGCGGCCGTGTCCGATAAAGTCCTGTACTTGGCCAATGATGGTAGCGATAAAGTTGGCTTTGTGTCTTCCTCCGAGAGAAGTGCTACTGACAGCAAGCTGACCAACGTCTGGTGGCTTTACGGTCGCTATGTCATGACCAAGATTGATGGTGCAACATTTTATGCGGAGCCCACCTCAAATGGATGGTATAAATTGACGTGGAGTACGGCGGATCAATCAGGAACGAACAAAAAGCTGGTCACATTGCGAACTATCGAGCCCTCGACAAACTCCGTTCTGGCCTGATCCCCGCTGGTAGGAGAATTTATCAATGGGTAGGGGTGCGTTAGAGTCGTGGGTGCCTCCGGGGCAACACGGATGGGTTCTGGGGTCGGTGAATAGTTACGAGAATCGAAAATGGGATCTGTTGGCTGCCAAGAGAACAGCAAGGGTAGTTCTGTAGGAAAATGATCAATCAAAAGAGTTCTTTGCCAATCACAAGCTCCCAAACCCGGATGCGTAAGCCACCACTGGACTTTGGAAGGGCTTTCCGATATTGTGGCTTCGGCATAACCCTGGCTAGATCATACATGGGGGTGAATCGAACGATCGCCCAGATCGAACCATGGCATTCTAGCCACGTCAACATTTCAGCCTAGCGGGGCCGCGACCCACGTGAGGAGCAAAGCTGGCGAGGACACTGGGGCTCACTTCGTGTCAGCTGTCTCACCCCATCTTTTGCTGAGCCAGAGTGATTCCAGTGGACTAGCCATACGGAATTGCCCCTAGTTGCCCCAGTCATTGACTTTTCGGTTGAAACAGCCGGCGAGAATGAGCCTAATCTCACATCGATTCCCCCAGGGTACTATCCAAATGTACTCTAGCGTGATAGCGGGGGTTGTGTGACCCCGAACTGGTGAGCGTGACCGAGCCAATCGGGCGCCACGATCAGACTAAAATTACTCAACCAGATCGTGTAGTTCGCGACAACGAGCGAACTAAAGAAGACTGTGCTATAGTGAATGTAGTGAGTGTTGGGGAGTGGAGGCAACGATGGTTGCGGATATTAATTGCGTGGAAAGCGGGAGATTGAAGAAATCGGGTATCCTGCCTCGTCTAGGGCAAGCACGGCAAGATCACCACTCACCTGTGCACCTCGGGGCCCTACCTATGGTACAGTCCATTACATAGTGCATTAGGGCCGATTCTTTTCTTGGTGATTGCCCGACCAGGTGGCCTGGATTTAATATAGAGCTCGTGTTCTAATATAGCCCTACATCTGCTAGCGCAGCAATGTGCCGAGCTGAGCTCGTAAATATTATCGCCCCCAATGTGTGTTACGATGATTGCATCTACTTTCCTATAACAAAAGTGACTGCATGTATCGGTCGTACAGGTACATGGCATATTTTTGCGAAACAAGTGTGGTCCAGACACCTTCGATTCTCCACGTCGGCTGTTATAGAAGTCCCCTCTCGGGAATTCCGGTCGGGGATTTTCATATCGAATCGGAATTTATTTCCAAATTCCGAAGTTATGTAGTTTGCTCGACTTAAATCCCAGTCGGTAAAGCCAGTCGGGGTTACAATGCACATGTGTGTGGCAACTGCTGACCCGCTCAGCCTCGTGGGCCACAGACATCGGGGCCGGGTCGCAAGCCATACATGCCTGGACCTGCCCGCGTATCATTTATCAATAATGGCATTGCAATAGCAGTTTTGCTTTAGCTTTTATTCTTTTCTGCTCTGATCATTTCTTTCCAGGTACTTTCTGACCAGACTCTTGATTTCTGGGTATTCACAAGACCTTCACCATGGGGATATGTAAGGTATTATACCTTTTGTGGAGTAGCTGCCAGTGGCCATCATTGTAGGATGTTTGCCGAGTGGGTCCCATGGGCCATGGGCACTTTCGTGTGCATCAGCTTCTTCAGTGCGAGTTCAAAAGGTGAGAGCTTTGGAATGGGAAGGAATATCGAGCTTGCTTCTTTTGCTCTCAGGTGGCTGATCGTTAGCTGGCGCGGTGTATGCCATGGTGACATGCACTTCGAAATCCCTTTGTGGCCAACATGGTCAGCCCAGGTAATGATATCGCACTTGTTTGCGTGATCTTAAAACAGCCTGAGGCTTGCCGGCTGGTCTCGGAAAACCCCTTCCCAGAAAGGGCCAGCCACAATAACTTGTTTTTCTCCTATCATATTCTTCATTTCAAGAAAGCTGTCCAATCTCTCTGCCATCTCTGGTACAACTTGGCGGTTAGAGCTCTGTTCAAATGTCAGGAATTCGGTCATGAACCTCAATTCAGCACTTGTAAAGCTTGGGAGACAATTCTGTTTCCCCACAATCAGATGCGTAGCAGGACATTCCTGGAAGGTCAGACAGTATAGTAGAAATATTCAATAAGACGATCTTAGTAGTAGTCATAAGGTGCGTGGTCGGGGGCACTGATTAGATTTCCTTCATGAAATCCATGATCAATACATATAATAGGACAGTATCTTACATATTCGAAATAGGGAGGTGCTTTTCGTCTATTTCTCACTCGTGCCTTTTCCGTCCTGGGCAGGCGCAGCATTCTGTGCCGCATTATGTCCACTTAGGAAGCTGACTGCGCCCGGTCCAGTAAAGTTTTTCCGCCCAGTAGTGATCCATGTGATGGTGCTGATGAGTCCGATCACACCAATGGCCGCGCTGGTGTAGTTCATCGATTGGTGTTCAACAGGGGATGTGCTGGGGAAGTTGAAGGTAATCGATGCGAACAGGAGGAATAGCAGCCCCATGATGTTCAAACCAATGGAAACAGGCGTGGAGAAGGCGTATGGGCCGTCGAGCTTGACGGCGTGACCGGTAAAGTAGCCGACTAGTCGGCTGAAGAGTGCCATTGCGTAGGACAGATCTAGATACGAAGCTTAGCACAGACCAGAACAGATAAGATCATCGTATTGCTTACAGAATCCCTCCGTTGAAATCGAGATGACCGTCTCGAACCCCGTAGTCGTACCAAACTCGATAGCATCGAGAGCCAATTGCACTGCAAGTGTAAGCAGGACGGCATTCACCGGAACCTGGCTCTTGCTTTCGACCCTGCTGAAAAACTTGGAAAAGGGAAGACCATTGTCCCGAGCGAACGCGTAAACCGAACGGGAACCCTCGGCAAGAATGTTGTTTCCAGCCACGATCACAATCACGGCAATCAGACTCGATAAGATGCAGGTGGCTGCCTTGTTGCCGGTCGAGTCGTAAATAATCTGGATCACGGGAACGCCCGTTGAGCTATTGGCCGTCTCCGCAATATCGCCAATGCAGAAGCACAAAGTCAGGAGGAAGACGAATCCGGTCACGGCGCCAAGAACCACTGCAAGAACGATCGCCTTGGGGGCTTCCTTGGAGGCTGACTTCATTTCCTCAGTCATGTGTGAGGGTGCGTCATAGCAGCACATGCCGAAGCAGGCTTGCAGGATACCGATAATGGCGGCCATGCCCGTTCCGAATCCTGTGGTATTTTGGAAATCCTGGAATACGAAGGAAGCCGGTTGCTTGTGGTCATTGGTCGCGAGAAGGGTGATGGTAACGATGACGAAGGACCCGACATTCCAGATCAGAATGAATTTCGAGATGCGATGTAGTAGGTGAGATCCCCAGATATTGACTCCCGCTGAAATAAAGGCAACCAGGTAGGCCACCAGGACGGTCTGCCATCGTTCGATGACATATTCTGGGAAGACCAAGTTGGCCATTCCGAGAACGAAATTCGAGGCGATGTAGTTATTCGTGGCTCCCATTGCAAGAAGGCCTATTGGGGACATTTGTTAGTGAGTCGAACTTTTGATTGGCTTTCTGGGTAAAGCCATACCAATGAGCATGAACCAGCCTGTGACGTAGGAAAGCCCTCGTGCATATCTTGGTGGTGTCAAAGCAGCAACCCAGGAATATTGGCCTCCGGCCACCGGATACATGGAGCACATCTCCGCCATCGGGATCGCCACGGCTAGTGTGAGGATAGAAACGCCGATGAAACTAAACACCATGACGGGAGGTCCCCCGGAATTGACTCCTACGATGAAGACACCGCTAAGAGCCGTCCATCTGACGATTGTCAGTCAATTGCTCTTTGTTTTCTTCACGGGGTCATGGGCTCCTCACGATGTCACAACACTGAAACTGAACCCAATCATGCTAAGCAACCCAAAGGAGCGCTTGAGCTCTAGAACGTACCGGCAATTAGTTCCCGACCCAGTTCTAGCGCAATTGTGAAGGCTTACCTTGCTCATAACCCAGATTCTCAAGTCGCACATCCTCTGTGGTGGTCCCTTTGAAGACCTGCTCGTTCTCGTCCTCGTTCGACATGGTGGCAAACAAATCTAGTCCTCTTTTCTGCCAGTGCTGGACGCAAGACTCGGCCCTCTGGAAGATTTTCGATGCTGCCGAACGGGCGCCAGCCATCCTTTAAAATGGCGGACAGGACCGAAGCCCGTCTCCTCCTTCCCCATATTCTCGCTGGCCACCCCATGGAGGTCACATACTCGCTCGAGGTCCGATAAGATAGATGGCCCCCGCGACTTGCCTGATCGAGAAGGTCTCCGCGATGCCGGTGGAGACCGGTGTGCCAGTCCCGGGCCAGCAGTGAACCCACTCGGGATGTTTGCGGGGAATGCGACAATGCTTCGACGTCTGCCGATAAGAAGCCCTGGCCGAGGGACCTGTCATTTGTCCGGGACCCATCTGACCCAGAGCAAGATATGAGCCCTGGGGTTGTCTGTCGTGAGAATTGTGTAATGAGAAACGCCGAGGGCGCTCCCTGTCTCCTAAGGTTACCCTTGTCGATCTAGTTTGTCAAGCCAAGAACCGCGGTGCGATCATTCTTTCCCGATATCCTCGGCCTTCTTCCTGCAAATGCTCGAGATACCACTGGCACCGCCTGCCAAATGGCGCTGGCATGTTAACTAGGAGATACAAACCTCATGATCCAATCGGATAGCAGGCGGAGTTGGACCGAGAGTCATCCAGAATAGGAAATAGGGCTTAGGGCTCGGAAAGAACGTGTTCCGCTGGGTCACGTGGAGTATCGTTGCCAATACCCCCACGCGTATTGGCACGTTGCAGAGTCACGCTGCCAACGTGCAGATCGAAGGATGGCTGTCGCGGATCTAACCTTAAGCCGAAGCTAGGCATACTCCTAAAACACGGAGATGATAGCACATAGTTCACTAAGAACATAATACCTCTTTTCGTTCTCTCTTTCAACTCCGATTATGCTTCCTTGCCTGTATTCATGCCTCCCCAGTAGATCTGTATCGACAATACGCCTCGGCACCTCCAACATCCTTGGGTGGTGCAACGGCTCTCCCCACGAGCATCCAACGGCCTACGTCGATAGCACTCAACGAGCGTATAGCGGAAGGCGGATACGTTGCCTTCCGTTTGCACGCCATGAAGAACCCATATTTAACCCGCCCGCCCTGGATTTCCAGCGTGAATATTTCAGTGACACAACACGGCTCTCATCGCCTTTTATCCCATCGCCGCCCATCCACACTGCAACATGACTGAACAAGTACTGTCTGGCAAGACCTGCCTCATCACCGGCGGTGGCGGTGGCCTCGGAAAAGCGATCGCGACCAAGTTCCTGGAGGCCGGCGCGAATGTGGTTATCTGTGACATCAACGACGAGCGTCTGCAGCAGACCTCTGCAGAGCTGTCGCCCAAGGGTCCGCTGAAGGCTATCAAGGCCGATATCACCAATAAGACCGAAGTGGAAGCTCTTTTCAATGAGCTGCTTAGGGCCTTCGGCAAGATCGATGTACTGATCAACAATGCCGCTATCATGGACCATTTCGATCCGGTCGGCGACCTGGAAATCGACCTCTGGGATCGGGTCATGGCTCTCAACCTCACTGCGCCATTTGTCATGAGCAAATTGGCTATTAGCAATATGTTGGAGCAAGAAAGTCCAAATGGCCGCATTATCAATATTACATCCGTCGCTGGTCGGGCTGGATGGGCTGGTGGTTCGTACTCCTGTTTATGTTTTCTGGCACTCTTTAACATTCCTAGGTGCTGCTTACACTGCCAGCAAGCATGGCCTGGTCGGCCTGACTAAGAACACCGCCGCATTCTACGGCAGCAAGGGCATCCGCTGCAATGCTCTCATGATGGGCGGCATGCAGACCAACATCTCCGACGTCTTCAAGACAGGCTTGAACATGGATGGCTTCCAACGGTTCAACTCAGTATACGAGGCTATCAACGCCCCCCTCTGTGATCTGGACGAAGTCGCTGGATTTGTCACCAACTTGACATACGGCAAGGGTGCCAGTATTATCAACGGTTCCTGCATTTCTGTCGATAATGGCTGGAGCTGTGTGATGGGATAGTTCATCTACATATACCAGTGTCCTTGTCTGATTTAGCGACTTCGGAATCAAAATGCATTTCTCTTGACGAGTATTCCACTTTCTTGGTGCGATGTGCTCCCGCAAAAATATCAAAGTGCCATATGTCCTTCATAATATTTAAGACTGACCACCATCACAAACGGTTTAGAGGTGCCTCCTCCCACTGCTCCACTCCCTCTGGAATATCGACAATAGCATGCTTAGTCCAGATATGAATAGCGTTCCTCATCATCTCCCGATCAAGCTCCTCCAGACAGCCACCTTTCACACTCGAGACAGCAGTAAGACGAGGCTTTTCGCCGGGTGCGGGGATATCATCACGGAAGCGATGCATAAGACGGGCCCCACAGCTCTTGCAGAAGAGGCACTCCATGGTCCGGCCTTTGAGTGTCAGGCGGGCATGAATACCGACGAGATCATTCACAGACTCCGGAAGCTCAAAGTAGGGGAAGCGTACTGTTATTCCGAAGGCAGAGGAGCTTTGGTGGCGACATTCTGTGCAGTGGCAGGCGTAGACTGCGAGAGGTTTGTCTGTGGGTGTAGTGAACTGGACCTTTGAGCACTGGCAGCGACCTTGCATTCCCATTCTGAAGGATCTTCTTGCACGTTGTGAATGATATGTTGTTGGGGGGATTGACGATGCGGGGGGTGAGGAGGGGCTGATGGTTTTTGGAATACGAGCTACCGCGGTTCGCCCAAGCACAGCCAGTGAGGATAAACAGTTTCGAATCTGGGGAGTAACAGGTTCCTCAGTCATCCCGAGAGGATATGTATTGTTGTTGGCACATAAGCGAGCTTTGTCGTAATCAATTCTCTCCGACGCAACTATCTCGACAGAAGAGCATCTACAAGCTCTCGCTTCCCGGATATCCAATCATCCCAGCAAAGCGAAAGATACGCAGTATCCCTCCCACCATCCTTCTGCTGTCTATACTCAGGTCTCTCACGCCCATTATGTACCTTACCCCTCGCATCAGCATCGTGAACAACCTTATTCCAACGCAGAATCCCCTCAAGCTGAAAGCCCATTCGCTGCGCGGCACTCAATGACGCCTTATTCGGCGGATCGGCTAGCCACTGCATCCTTCGAAGGCCTATTCCTCCCTGTTCTGGGGTATCCAGTGCATAGTGCAGCATCAGTCCGACGGCGTGAGTGGTGACATGGGTTCGTTGGTACGGAGGGAGAATAATTATGTACCCCACTTCCGCCGATAGATGTACTGCCGAGGCAGCCATGTATGAAACTATCCCCGCGAGCTCGCCTTCTGGATCTGCTGGCGACGGGGGCCTCTTTCTATCGATGACGGCGAAGCAAATGACGGACGATTGTGCATTCACGAAGCCATTAATGAAGCGAGAGACAAATTCCTCTTCTGTCTCGAAGGGTCCGATAGACATGTACCTGTAGAGCTCTGGGTGGTCTTTCGACCCTTCAAAATACGGCTTTGCATGCTTGGATGGCTATCATAATTCGTCAGTGTTTGTCTAGTCACGAGGTGAAGTCGAGGAAATTCACATTGAAAGGGGTCAGTTTCACCGCGTTATCGGACAAGTCGTGTATCGGAAAGCAAAAGTCAATGTGGGTGGTCATTGTATCAGATGGTAGGACAGCAAGGGGAAGAATTTCCGTTTGGAGGGGTTGGGGTGCATCAAGGAATGGGCGATGAGGGAATTTTGTATGACGTGGAACCGATTGGGTTGGCTGCATGGGCGGGCAGAATCGGCAAGGCTGCACCAGCGTCGCATTCGAGTCACACCTAGATCTTGGCCGCCGATTCGATGCGCGCGCGGTATTCACCGTTTGAATGAAATCTGCGCGGCTTACTTGTCTAGTGTTGAGGATGGTGATCTGGTTGCCTCTTCTGTCAGAAGTGGCTTCTGTCACTACATGTGATAAATAAGAGACACTGAATATAGTACGTTGATGTAACTCATATTGAGTGACTCAATCCGGCGATCTACTTAGTGGTGCTTTTTTATAGTTTCCCAAGGTCCATTTATTATTTCGTAAATTGAATTTACACATTCTGCTACCGATGGACCTTGTGACAGTATCATTTCAATTACCATCCCACGGATCCGTCCCATCCCTGATCTTCGTCGTACCAAAAGAGCAATATACCCAATTAACCCCTTAGTCACATTCCTAAAATCCGTCGGAACAACACTGATAATCGGATTAAAGCCACCGACCGAATTGTACGTAAAAAAAGGATCCTTGGCATTCGTTGTGAGCGGAATCTGCCTGTGTAATGCATAGGGCTCTAGTCTCATAATCGCCGCTGACAGCTTCTCCGTGAAATAAATATGGCCCGTGCTGACTGTGCGCCCGGTAACGATATTGTTCCGTTTGCGCAGAGGTTCCAATCTGTGTGGGCTTGGACGTGGACGTGGATGTGGATTGTGCGGTTGGCGAAATCCTAGGAGTATGAGCAATTTTGAACTAGGTACTAAGATATCTGATTGTTTATCTGGGAAGATAGTTTTCATCTCGACCATCCCACGCTTGCTCGTTGGCCATAATCCTCTTAGCCAGACTGAGCAATCCGTGTGAAGATCAGTGACGCGCCGAGTTGGTAGTCGGATATATTCAATTCTTGTAGGAGCCGTGGGAATGGTATACTGGGCGAGATTCCGGTGCGCGATCAGTGTTGCTCTCCATTCTGGCATGTCAGAAAACTGCCAGGCAACAGTATCAGATCATCACCAGCGCCACTGGAACAAGAATCTCGCCCTCCACTGGCACAATGATTACACCACTTACGAGATCCATATAGAGGCGCCATACTACGAACAAATCCAGAATGATACCTGCGTACTGACACCAGAGGTGCGGGACCTTAATGTATATCCACCTTCTCGAACCATTCGTCAGGATATAACCGAGAAGCAGCCCGGTCTGCCCTTCTGTCGCTCCGATGCGATTCTGTGTCTGAGTGAGCGGGCGGGTAGATATAAGCGGAGGCATCTGTTCTTGGTCCGGCGTGCTTCTATATTTCCTTTTGTTAACCCATATGGATGAAAGGTTCGAGCGAAGGACGATCCTGGAACCGAGAAAGCACGGATCTGGGTATAGCCAGCCTACACCGTATCTCCTGCGTTCATAAGATCGTGATAGCCGAGTAATGTAAGAACAATAAATATATCAAGATAAATCTTGTACTTTACTTTCATGGGCATCGCAAGCGATGTCGCTTATAGTCGCGCACCACTGGTCCTTGACTGGTTCTTGACTGGTCCTTGAACTGACCAAAGTACACTCGTATTGTGAGTAGCGTCAATACAACTGGAGTGCAGAATCAGGTGCAGGAATGCCACATGTTCACTGACGCTCATCAGCCCTTACTATGCAGTAGGCTTATCAGGCGGCTGTGACCGCTCATCACCCGATTCAGCTTTCCCCAGGTTGATATTCCAGCTCATCTGCGCGCTACGCGCTGCGGCCAGTCTCGTTGCTGGCGGGGTTCGTGAGAATGGGCGCCTCACGGGATCGCCGACATAGGATCCCCGTAAATGCACCCGTGGGTGTCAGGGTACATCCAGACATTGCAGGCGATAGGCTCCGCCCTGCACCGCTTCCTGGTTTTGGGGATGGTGCTCTGCTGCCAATCCTTGCCCTGGAGTGCTGCTGAGGAGACGGTCTGACTTGCATTAGACCAGGAGGTCATGCAGGGGCATCATCGGCAAGGCTACACCGATCTAACGTGCGTTGAGCCACCACCATCTCCGACCCCATCCCCATCTGAGATCTGGCTTGACGTCCAGGCAGTCCATAGGTAGGCAGTGGCCCGCGTCATTTTCTTGATCAGTCGAGTCGACGCGGTCTAGGCAGCATTCCTCTGCTGGAGAGTCGCATCCAAACCCTGTCTATCTATAGTTCTCCACCCTGGCGTCCTCAAAAAGCAGTCGGCGGACAAATCTACGCCGATTGTTACGTCGTCCTGCACGTCTCCGGATGTCGTGGCCGGGCTTGGTACCAGATTGATCCTGTTGTGCAGGTCGTGCAGCTCAATCTGATCCTGAAGAAATCTAGGTGGAGCTTGCACTGGCGCATCTCCTGACTCATAGCTGTTTCCTCCCTGGGGGTATGGTGAGGGTGATAGTGGTGGGGTCATTAAAAAGAAGAACTCCCCCGATCACCAAACGAGTCATCCCGCCAGGGCCATCCGAGACACCCACCCTCACGGGTCGAGCAAAGCAAATGGCGGCGAAGGGGAAAACCGAATTACTCTGTCGAGACGTAACATGCGTCATGGATCGCAGCCATTCAGCGGTCGTGGCTCCCTCCCTCCTCGCACGATGATAGGTGTCGGCTGATCGGGCAGATTGAAGGGGAGGCTCTTCGTTCTGAATGGCCGGGTATAGCATCCCCTCCCCCCAGGCAATCCGCTCATCCACCCCCGAAAGGAGCACTGACCAGCAGCGACCAGGACCGAACGGTCGTTGGCGCAGTCGCTAGTGCCCGGCGTGTCAGCCACGGATGTCGCGGACGCGTGCGAATCAGTGTGCGGGATGACCGGGGGAGCAGTGCTTGCACGCATGACCCCGGGCGATCAACCGCGCCTGGTGCTTGGATCGTCGCCCTCCTTTGCCCAGTTCGGGTGCCGCCACTGCACCTGGATCGGGACGGTGCATGATCCGAATCGCAGTGATGGCGGGATATCACTCGGGGATGGCTCTGTGCCTTGGAACAGGGCGAACATATCTCAGGTCAGGCGAACACGGCCGCGTGGGGAGGTGTACGGTGTGCCTGGGCGAAGGGGGTTTCACCGGTGCCTGGGAGTCTTACTGCATGCTGATAGATAAAAGCGAGGCCACCGCTGCTGAGACGGAGGGAGGTTTTTTCTTTTGTTCCCTCGCACTGCTCCCTTGCGATCCCACCATCAGCTAATGCGCTGTCGTGCCGGCCCGTCGACTAGCGAAATACTTCAGCCCCACTGTTGAAACGGGGACCGTCGTAGTCCTTTGTGAAATCGGGCCCTCGTCGCAATCGATTGTTCGATTGTTCGATTTTTCGTTTGGACGCGGCCAGAACCACGGCTCCAGGCTGTATGCCGTCCTCCCCGGGAGGCGGATTGGATGCCATCCAGCGTAAGTCATTTCCGGGCACGATCTAGACCGGTACGGTACGGAGCGTCGTCAGGGCACCCGCTGGGCAGCCGCGGGACGAGTGGAGCAAATGACGGCATGGCTGGTCTGGAGTGGATATTGTGGGAGAAGAAAGAAATGTGGGATGGGCTAACCGTGCGGCAGATGCGCAGAAAACAGAAACAGTTGAAATACTCGCGAGCCTCCTCCGACTCGGGCTACCCCTCCTCGCTCAGTTCCGGCAGTACATTCCCCCTTATTGCCTCATCCTTAACTCCACGCTTGACGTGGCATTCCATTCCATTTCTGACCGCGTGCATCTCAGGCCTCTCGCCTGCCTCTCCTCGTTCGCCCTTCCAACCGCGCGATCATCTCGAAAGTCTGTTCTTGAAGCACGGCTACCCCACTCCGGTCTCTCTGTCCTCCCTGCGCGACCTCACGGCCACCTCCTCCACTTATAACCCGCCCTCACCCTCGCCTTCGCCTTCGCCGCCGCGTGGCTCTCGTCGCGCTCGTCGTCCATCCTACTCTCGTCACTCTGAGCCCCCTATCGACGCCTTCGGGTCGCTTTCCCTCTCATCGTCTTCGACTCGCCCTATTCCTATCCCCCGCCGCCGGGGATCTCTCTACGAAGACGACCTCCCCGTCACCCCGTTGACGGGTCGATTCGATAAAGATTCCTATTTCGAGGATTGGGAGCGTGCCTCACTGTCGGCCAAGTCCAGGCACTTCTCGCCTCCATCATCCCGACCAGGCGATCGTGCCCGGTATCCAAGAATGCGCTCCGACCACTCGCCCTTCATCTCGCCAGTTGGTTCCCCCATCATGTCTCCACGTCGCCCCAGTTCCCCGCAGCCCGCACGCTCACGCACTCAGAACTCGGCCAAATCCGTGCCGGGCTTCCATCTGGGCAACCTACCTCGTTTCCACCCAGCGGTGTATCAAGCCGATCCATCCGGTAGTAGCGTTGCCGGACAGCCGCCGTCCCCGCGGCAATCCCGGGTGCCCAACTATCGCCCGTCATCCAGCTCGCGTGATTCGAAATGGCAGTACCGGGACTTTTTCGAAGGTACTGGCCAAAGTCCCTCGGCGCCTCGTCTTGATCCGCTGAGCAGCCCCGGTCCCGTCACGCCCTTGGCGCTCGAAGCTGGCGACTATCTGGCAGCCGGCTCTTCCGGTGCAGCAGACCAACGAGCCCCTCGTGAACCCCCAAAGCAGCCGTCCGGCCCGACAGCCGATTTCATCGACAAACTGATTGCCCGCGAGAATGAGAAGAACCGTCTGAAACGCCAGGCCGCCAAGGGTCGATGATTGTCCACACTACAGTCTATTGCATTTTTTTTTTTTACTTCTTTCTGTCCTCCCGAATACGTTGCGGCTACTGCTACTGCATCAGATATCGGTGTTTCTTTAGGACTTTTTCACTTCCTCTCGAGGGTTCCGAATTTGATCAACCCTTCGTCTTTTTGGATTTTGCTTTTAAAGGTGTTGGGGACCTCAAAACAGAAGGAGTGGAATCGTCTTGCGTTTCACGCTTTCCTCGTCACGGCTATACTACAGTACACCCACACCCCAGAACCTCCCGCTGCATCACGAATCATGTATCTATAATACCCCAGTATCCAAGGATACTCCATATACTTTATAAGCATTGCAAATAACGCTACGACATTGAACGTCGGCTCCATCACTAACTCTTCCTTTTTTTTTGGTACAAACAGTAGTCTATAACCATTACCTCAATTAGCCTGCCCAGAGATAAACACCAGTAATGTTTAACATGACGTCGCAATCTCTGTCATATCGCCAGGAACGTATAGTTCGTATAAGTTCTGATTCGACGCCACCAAACTCGACACCTGAGGCGCCAAAGTGGAGCCCGGAGGACCGCCATCGCTCCCCGAAGAGCCAGCGGTTGCGGGGCCTCGAAGGCTTGATCTTAAAAAAGATGTGCGGAGTTCCCTCTTCACCTCCTCAGTTGCGACCGATTCCCCAGACTCTCACTCTCTGCACCCCCACCACACGCTCAAGGACCTCACATCGCCTCCTGACCTTCGCAATCGTCGCTAGCCTCGGTCTCCGCCCGTCGCACGCACGACCCGCTAGACCAACCGAAGCGCCGCTGACGCACGACAGACCGCGCTGCGCTTGACGCGATATAACGATGACATCGGCGCAGGCGCCCGTGCAGGTCAAGCCTGCATCCGAGATTACCAAGCAGCAAACTCCCAGCAGGAATGCGGCCGATGAGACAAAGACGCATGCGCCTGCGCCCGCGGCGGCTAACAAAAAAGACTACAAGGGGTTTGTGGCGGGTGTGTTTTCGGGCATTACGAAATTAAGTGGTGAGTACGAGTAAATTGTCGAAATTTGGCGAACGGGCCTTCTCAATTGCGTTGCTAACTTTTTCGTCTCTAGTTGGTCATCCGTACGTTCGCCTCGGATCCTCCGTCTTTCATCTCAGCGTTCATCCGAACTAATTCTGTCTGAACAGATTCGATACCGTCAAGGTCCGTCTCCAGACCAGCAAAGATGGACATTTCAAGGGACCGTTGGATTGCACTCTGCAGACAGTACAGAAAGAGGGCGTGAGGGGGTTATACAAGGGTGCTACGCCTCCGCTGGTCGGATGGATGGTCATGGACTCTGTGTAGGTTCCTTGCAGTCTCGAAAAACAACTACTTTGAGATCAGTGCTAATTTTTGACAGCATGCTTGGGTCACTGACACTATACCGACGACTACTACTTGAGAATGTCTTTTCCCAATCTCATCTCCGCCCGTATATACCATTCTGTCGCAGCCAGCCGGATCCCAACACCCTTCCCTCCTTCGGACATGGTATCGCGGGTATCATGGCCGGCACAACAGTCAGTTTTATTGCTGCTCCGGTTGAACATATCAAGGCTCGTCTTCAGGTGCAATATGCCGCCGACAAGACCAAGCGCATGTACAGTGGACCGGTCGACTGTCTCCGCAAAATTGTGAGTCGGAAAGCAATCCAATATGATACTACTAGGATACTGATTATGTCTCAGCTCAGCACACATGGAATCCGCGGCGTATACCGCGGCCTCTTCGCCACAATCCTCTTCCGGTCATTCTTCTTCTTCTGGTGGGGTTCTTACGATGTCCTCACTCGCTACTTCAAACAAAACACCAACATGTCTGCCCCATTGATCAACTTCTGGGCTGGTGGTATCTCTGCCCAGATCTTCTGGCTCACCTCGTACCCCTCAGACGTCGTGAAGCAACGTCTTATGGTGGACCCCATGGGCGGTGCACTGAATGATGGACAGAGACATTTCCGCGGATGGAAGGATGCTGCCCGGGCTGTCTGGCAAGAGCGCGGCTGGAAGGGATACTGGCGAGGCTTTGTCCCGTGCTTCCTTCGCGCATTCCCAGCAAACGCGATGGCTTTGGTTGCATTTGAGGGAGTGATGCGGCTTAACTTCTAATTATTCTAGAGTAGCCTTGAACACTTGTACATATACATAGACATATTGACAGATCATAGACTACATAGATCGACACATACTAAAGGTTCTCATGTCCACCACTTATCGATTCCTGATAAAATCTCGCGTATGGTATGCGACATGCCTGTTTTGGCCGACGCATGTCGATCTTCTGGCCGCGTTCGGCCACCGTCGGCCTCCGGGCAGCTGTTTTGGGGATACCGGCAGCGAACATGGGAATCGTCTTCCCATGCGTGGGTACTACCTGTCATTGGGCCAGCGCATGGCCTGGGGCGATCAATTAACACCATCGATAGAGTTGTATTTCCAGGAAATTGGTGGTAGAGTGACATGGCGGGTCATAATGCAATTGTCCCAACCCACTACTCTTTCCGGACGTGATAGCAACTTGAACCCAAGATCAATACGGGGCCATCTCAGATTTTCACATTTTCACTCTCACTCTCCTCATCCTGGCCTCTCCAGCTTATCGTGTTCGAGTCCTCTCAGCACAGTCAGCAGGCAACGGTCTCGACTGTCTAGACCCTGTATCTGCCTCAGGCACAGTGATCGCCGGTGGTTATCGCCTATCGCAAGACCACCTGGACTTCCTCATTCCTCAAAGTGAGAGTTGCTACTGTCAACCCTCGACTCGGAGACGGCCATGGCCGTCGCACGCCCGATGCGACGAACCAGGCCCATCAGCGTGCTTCTAGCAGCGGTGTTAGCCTTCGGCTTCATCTGGTTCATGCTCACTCCCTCAACTCCCTCAACAGCCTCCGCATCCGCTGTCTCTTCGCGTCAACGTCAACAAGACGCCGCCGAACACCCCCTCTCCCCACCCACAAAACCCTTCGTCAAATCGCAGTCCTATCGCAGTGATGGGTTCCAAGCAGCCCCGCCGGTCGTGCACTACAATCTCAACAACCTCACCAGCACCCGCGACTCTATCGCCAACGGCGAGCGAATCCTCATCCTCACCCCGCTTGCTCGCTTCTACCAGCAATACTGGGATAACCTCGTGAAATTGAGCTACCCCCACGAACTTATTTCTCTCGGTTTCATCGCACCAAAGAACAAAGCCGGTAATGCCGCCGTCGCTGCTCTCGAAAAGGCCATCTCGCACACCCAGAGCGGCCCCATCGACGACCGCTTCGCAAGCATCTCCATCCTCCGACAGGACTTCGAACCGCCTCTCGCGTCGCAGGATGAGAAGGTACGCCATGAGCTCTCGGCCCAAAAGGTCCGCCGCGAATCAATGAGTCGTGCTCGCAATAGTCTTGTCTTTACTACCCTGGGCCCCAGTACCTCGTGGGTTCTCTGGTTGGATGCAGACATCGTTGAAACCCCTTCGTCATTGATCCAGGATCTCACAAGCCACGATATGCCTCTCATCGTACCCAATTGCTTCCAGCGGTACTTCGACACCAACTCGCGGAAGTGGGATGTTCGACCTTACGACTTCAACTCGTGGGTTGATAGCGAGCAGGCTCGGAACCTCGCTAAAGAAATGGGACCGGACGAGATCCTACTAGAGGGTTACGCGGAACTCCCCACTTATCGCACGCTCATGGCCTATCTGCCCGATCCCAAGTCGCTCGATCCCCGACGCCTAATCCAGCTCGATGGAGTCGGTGGTACGGCACTGATGGTCAAGGCGGATGTCCATCGTGATGGGGCCATGTTCCCCGCCTTCCCGTTCTTTCATCTCCTCGAGACAGAGGGCTTTGCCAAGATGGCACGCCGGTTGGGATACCCGGCCTTTGGGCTGCCAGATTATCTGGTGTGTTTTACTATCTGACTTTCATCTGGTGTGAAAACCACAACAGAAGTACATGAGGCTGACTTTATATGCTTACTATAAATTAGATCTACCACTATAACGAGTAATGCGAGCAATCGAAGCTCACCCATAACGCATGCATCGCGCGCTGCGCGCAACGTTCTGCGTCTTCCGCAGCAACTAAGGAAGACGCGTTTTCATCAGCACCATCTATCGGCGTCCATTTTATCCTGGGCTCGGGGCCCTTTTCGTGCTATATCTTGAATGTATTCTTATCCAGAGATTTCAAGGACTACTTCATCGTAAATGAGATGCCTCAAATATAGTATAAGTATGCACATATACTGAATGGCAACGGAAACGCTCATATATGAATTGGGAGCTCAGCCCGCGAGCCCTTCACTCTATTATCAACATGCTGGGAATTCGAAATTACACACTGTTGCAGGTTTCGGCGCTATCATAGCCTAGACATCGTCTTTGCACGCAACCAGCTGCTTCATCAACTGGTCGAATTTTTGGGGATCCCATTCACACTAGTGCGTCCCAGTACATTTGCTCCATTGGCTCCGAGTCAATATTAGTCGATCCGATGATTGCGTGATCGGCTGTCAGTAGATGTTCTTCCGAGTAGTGCGCTAGAACACATTCATCTCCATATATCTGATCGGTTCGATGTTTTTGGTCGGTTCGGCGTTCTTCGGGTCGAATGTCTGCGATTGCCGTGTATGGTCGTGTGTCAGGGTACAATCCACCTCATCGCCAATTATCGCTTCGATGATCACTTTGCCAGTCGTCTCAAAGGGCCGTGCATGGTCGTTCGCCTGAGCATCTTCCATGCCCTTGTCGCTCGTCGGTTCAGGGCCTTCTTTAACATTTGCCTACGAATACAACCCTAGATGGCATACAATAGTTTCATCGCTTTGTCAATAATGGGTCTGATAGGAAATAATCCGTTGCATATCGCGCCGACCAATAATCTGGCAGACGATCTCCTGCCAGGGCAAGATTGCACCGATCTTCCACCGATGAACTTCTCTGAAGTACCTCCTCATTTCCGTCCAACTGGTATCAACCCTGTCACAATCTCCAATGGTACACTGCAAAGCACAACGGAGTCTGAGACCGGGGATCTCTGGGACTTGGAAGAGCGGAAGTCGAACATCCTTCAGGTGCATGACCCGTTGCGGGAAGTGCGAGTAGTATGCCTCGACATCCGAGCGTGGAAGATACGGTGGTCTCGCGGGAGGTGGGCTTTGAGCTGATGATCAATCACCACGACCTAGCAATCGTGGCAGACTATGATGCGGAGTGGCTCATAGGTTTGAAGGCTATGGTGATGGAGAGGGGTAGAACTCGGAGAGCCTCTGGGATTAAAAGCTCGCAGTAACAAAGGAGTCTATCAGTCGAGTAGCCCTATAGCACTAAATAACCAGTCCCTTTGTTCAAAAGTACCTCACACTTGCCCTACTACACTCTCTGGCCAACGCTAGCCCGGGTTGTTAAGGTCAACGCAGTTAGTTCCAAATCGTCGCGACGTATCAACATTATGAGTGCTAGAACATATATTGCTTTTTTGTGGTTGTAATTAGACTGTTTAATACTGTAAATTTTCGAATCTTTCGATAGAGCGGCGACTGCAAGTTACCGTAGGAGAGTACAAGGTAGTGAGTTATTCATGGGACTACTGTTGGCTATGTGAAGATTAGCTTTCCTGACTTCAGACAAGTGATAGCTAGTGAATATACCCAAGCCAGTTGATGCACCTCTATTACATGCGATCAGTCAAAGAAAGCTTGATGATAAAGGGGTAATGGTCGAATCTCGGTCCCGGACCCACACACAAGTCGCTGATATTGCCAACCAGCGTACTGTTTTAATGAGTCTCTACATCAATTGCGATAGATCACATTCAATTCTTAGATCTCATAGACCAGCACACTTATTACAGTCGCAATCTAAATTCGTCTAGTAAAAAGATCCAAGCTTTCTATACGAGTGAAGAATACTTGAAAGTGATCGCAGAAAAAGATTCTGTCAGTGATCTTGATATCCTCGAGGCAGTCCTGTCCAAGGAGAATGCGGGCTAGTAAATTAAGGCTAATTGCTGAGGTTGTGAATTTCCACCGTTCCATGTCGTTTATATCGCTTTCCATAACTTGACCAATGTTTTTCACGAATCAGTTAGTTGACAGGCGCCTCCTCCAAGCCACCACCACTTCCGCTGTCCCTGTATCCGGTGATTTTTCCCTATCCAATAAGTGGCTATAAGCAACACTATACTTGTGAAATTCTACCAACCAAGATGGGTCGGTATTTCTTAGGGAGTTCGTCCTACTTTATATTATCTGTTCTCTTTCGCATCTTGGTTAAGTGGTGTACTCAAAATTATCATGATGATCGTCCTTGGGAAAGTGTCAGTAGATACCACGTGTAGTGGTTACTACTCTATACTATGACCTCGCTCATACAGTAGTCAATTTAATACGAATGAGATTGCTCAACTGCTTTAATGTTGCTTTAATGCTTTTTATGAGACCAATTATTGGTAACCAAGAACGTTTGTAATTCTATTGACTAGAAATTAGGCTCGATCCTTCTGGATCTATCTCTCACCGACTACATGCAGTGGCCAGTGGCCGCGGCGTTCAGCCACACTTTTGCAGGATTATGGCCGCAATATAACGTCCCTTTTTAATCCCAGGAGATTCTAGTATCTGTTAGTCAAAAATCAAGAACACGTCAAGCGGGACTGGTCTACTCACGCAAGCATAATACCGGCTCCCACAGCAACAGCCAAAAACTGTGTAACAGTCTTTCGCACCTCGACACTCTTATCCTGACCCGTCTCCAGCAGCTCGGGGATAACAGCCACCGTTCCAACGTACAGGAAAGTTCCTGCAGTAAATGGAAGAAGCATGTCACCCCAAGAGAGACTAGTTCCCCACAGACCAGAGACAGAGGTGTCATTAAGGGTATCGCCGTGGCCACCAAATTCCTGCACTGCAATTCCAATCAAAGTACCCAGAAAAGCACCGACGGCAGTGACGAATTGTGCGCCCATGGCCTTACGCTTGGAGAAACCCGACTGGACCAGCAGAGCAAAATCACCGACCTCATGCGGAATTTCATGGAAAAAGACAGCGACGGTAGTGGTTGCGCCGATAGTGGGCGAAGCATAAAAAGACGAAGAAAGGGCAAGACCGTCGGTGATGTTATGTGTGAAATCAGCAATGAGGTTGAGGTATCCTCCTAGCTTAACACTAGGGTTGATTTCTTTCTCAGGAGTCTCGTCCTTAGACGATTCTCCTGCAGGCCTGGTCGATTTGCGCTGCTTCAATTCGCCTGACTGGTCCTTCTTCTCGCTGCCAGTTGTCGAAGCAGCAGTGACTTCTTCGTGAACATGGCCGTGCGAGTGGTCGTGACCTTGGCCGCCGGTTGCGATGCGCAGTGTCTTGTCCATTGCCACGAAAGTGAAGAAACCAACCATGATGCCCAGGCCCAAGAGCAGGTTCTTGTTTGGCTCGACCATAACAAAGCTTACATGGTCGGGAGAGTCCTCGCCAAGAAAAATCTCCGGAAGTAGGTGGAACAGCGTATCACCTAGAAGACCTCCAACGGCGAAGGCAACCATGATTGATAGAGAAGAGGGGTCGATATCCGGAGGACATAGTGCTAGGAGGAAGTCTAGCGAACAAATCAGTATTGAGTTCGTCCTAGGTTTTCCTGGCCAAGTTATAAAGTTTGTGGCGGATCATACTGGGGGGACCGGAGATATATAGTGTCGCCAGGAGAGAGTTCACGGCCGGACTGCCTGGGAAGAGCACGGCAAAGATCTTAGACAGGAGACTGGTTGTCTCAGGGGCCGTCGCCCGTTTGTGCTCATTGAGTGATTCGACAAGGGGACAATTCTAGGACCATAGACCGTCAGTTGCTCGGCTAGAAAGGAAACGGTCATCGGCGACTTTCAGCTGCATACCTGCAATTGCTCCTCGATCTGGCTGACAGACAAATCCCCAGGACGAACATTGGCAGCCGCCAATGCTGAGAACAAAAAACAGCCAGCAGCGAGCGCCAAGCCCGTGCGGCGCGAGGGGAAGAACCGCGAAGCCATTGGGAAATCGAAAAGGTGGAGGAGAAGAAGGACAACAACAACCCGCACTTGCTTGGGGTCGGCCCAGCTTATCGCCGGGCTCGGACCACTTTATCGCGGACCCTGTGTCAAACATGCCAAGACATTTACAGGAAGTGCAAACACCTGCGGCCAAAAAAGTTTCGATAACGCCGATAATTATTTGCCCCAAGTTCTGCGAACTACCTCCATACGAACACCATCCGTCACAATGGGCAAGATCCTGCAGAAGAAGAAGGCCCGCTCTGGCCTGTCCAAGGCCCGGCCCAAGAACAACCGTCGCAAGAGCGGTAACAGGAAGATTAACATGCTGGGCAACGCCATCATCGCCGAGAACTGGTATGCGGGACTCCCTCGAAGAAAAATTCTTCGATAAATGCACGCGCTTTGATCTGAGTCTGACAGAATTTTCGATAAAGGGATAAGAGCTTGACTCTCACTCAAAACTACAAGAACTTGGGTCTTCTGCACAAGCTCAACGCTCCGACCGGTGGCCGCGAACGCCTCCCCGGCCAAATCGACCCCTCCGAGACCCCTAACTCCCTGCACATCGGCTCTGGCCCCAAGGCTACTGTTCAAATCGATGTGGCCGAGACCAAGGTCGAGCGCGATCCGGAAACCGGCAAGATTCTGCGCGTGATTCGCCCCGACGACGAGATTGAGGTCGGCGGTCGCAAACACAAGCGCGCCAACCCTCTCAACGACCCGCTGAACGATCTTTCCGACAATGAGGAGTTTTTGAATATCGCCTCCAACTCTGACATTGTTAAGCAACTGGAGCGCCAGGCGGATGCGGAGGGTCAAGGTGTTAAGGCGAAGAAGCCTCGGCATCAGAGTAAGCGGGAAGAGGAGTGGGTGATGCGCTTGGTTGAGAAGCACGGAGATAACTATGCGGCTATGGCCCGGGACCGCAAGCTGAATCCTATGCAGCAGAGCGTGGGTGATTTGCGGAGACGGATCAACAAGTGCAAGAAGGCACAGGCCTGAGTTTCTCTGTGGAATATGGACATTGTGTTTCTGAGCATTTGGTTCGGGCGATTGGCGTTTTCAAATACCTAGTCTACTGATGGATTTTCTCGAAAAAGTGAATATACATATGCATCTTGAAAAGTTGTTTGAATAGTGTGTAGTAATAGTTGCATTGCCAACTGGGTATAGAATAGGATGTACAATCGGATCTTGATATCATGACGCTCATCAATTGTGGCCAAGGGTCGAGTATGTCACGGTTCCGGCTGGTTGAGCGTCCATGCGCTGCACCACTCGCACCCATCGCCGGCGACGCCATTCACCCACGCCGTAGGAGGCAGCCGCAGCCTCCTCCCAGTCTCCGCGAGCATACTTGACCCAGGCTTTGTCCTTGGAAGACGATCCGTTTTTAGTTTGAGAAGACTCCGGTTCTGTTTCCAAATCACCGTAGGCCATGGTAGGCAGCTCTTCTTTCTCCTCCGTACGCGATTCTGGAGGAGGAGGAGGAGGAGGCAAATCCCATACCCAGCCGCCGACTTCATCAATGATCGCGTTGCCTTCTGGTGTGACGCCGGGAACCTCAAACCCAACTCCTGTGATCATACGCTCCACAACCCACTCACGGCAATCCAGATCAAGCTCCCATTTCTTGCTCTTCCACTTCCAACCAGATGGAGGTCGAACGTCGTCGAAAAAGCGACATCCGCGAGGCCGGTCTCCGGCAATTCGAGAGGGCGATAGCGGATCATAAGGTTGCGGACTAAACAGGAAATTCTCCCAGCCAGACTCTGATGATCCTGTAATACGATGCTGAACTTCAAAGATCTCCACCTCCCTTTCTTCTGGGTCGGTGTCGACTGATATGTCTACCAGTTTCTCCATTGCTGAGATGGCTGCAGAGGGAGATTCCGGGACTGCAGTGCCGAAGAGATCCCGGTCTTCACCTTCCCCAGGAAGCGGGAGATGAAGGTCATCCAAGCCACTACCCACATCCTCCATCAATCCCTGACAGAATAGCCGTATTTTTGGATTGTTTGACAAGACTGCTGCATTGCCAGCCACAAGCATGATTAGTCGCAACGGCAACAGATGGGCTGTCAAGAAGAGCCCCACTGCGGCCATTGTGCAGATCAAAAAAATAGTGGAAGACAACTTCTCATTCGAAAAGTTGGTCAGCGGAGCAAACACGGAGATAGTCGCATCGTGAATGTCCGAGAAATCCGCCATGCAATTCTGCAGATCTCGCATGTTTCGGAAGAAGTCCTTGGAGGTCTCTGGGGCGGGCTTTATCGTCCGCGCCGGCGCTAGCGCAGGGCCCTCGTAAGAGTAGTACGGTGTCGTGCTCGAGGTTGAAGTCGAAGGTGGTGGGGGATGACGAGTGATGAACGCCGGTACCATAATGAACAACAACAGGACCACCAAAGGCAGGACCAAGAGCAGGTGGGGGTCCAGGCAGATAAAAGAGTAAGCAAATAAGAACGATGCGGTATGTGTCGGAGTCTTCCAGCTCAACAGGCGCTCGACCCGATTCTGGAATAGAAAGACCACACCAATTCTACCGCATAGTTAGTTCCATCCTGCTTTCCTTTTCGATATCGCAATCACAATAAGTTGTTTCAGTACTTACCGTGCATTAAAGCGGCGGAAATTATTTGACATTGCTGGCAAGCTGAACCCCGGTCTCTTAGGAGATGTCGCAAAGGACTGGTCCCCGGGGTTCGATTCATCGTCGTCATCGTCGGTGGGGATGACTTGTTGAAGTAGTCTGTTTGCCACGGTTAGCCACAGGCCAAGAGCTTAACCAGCTATGCATATCACTAGACTGAACTGACTTGCTGAAAAGCCTGTCCTGAATCGAGTTCTTGGACTGCGAAGTCGACCGCGAGTGTGCGCTGTCTGGCGACCCTTCACGCTCGCGCTTCGGCTTCGAGACCGACAGCACCGGGATGGGCTCGTTGCGGTTTGCCAGGACTTCTGCATTCTCTTCGTCCATTCTGAACGGGGGCCAACATATCTCGGCGGCCGTGGAAATTTAGCGGGGTTGAAGAGGAGAGGACCGCCACAACCTTGCTGCGAAGAAGGACCGAGGGCAAAAGCACATGCGCCGGTAGCTGCTCGATCGGGCCGCCTATTTCTGGGGTTCGTACCGCGTACGGTCAGATCGGCGTCCACGAGGAACGTTGGGCGGGTCACTTTGGTACCGTACGGTATTGCAGCTCTCCCAAGTCAGGGGCGTGTTGACAACTTGACTTATCTGGACTGCGTGGTACTACTCCGAACCCTCTATTCTCTTGAACCTCGCACGACCACTCCTTCCCCCACCACCACCACGTTTCCGCTTGGGTCGCCTTTGTGGGTGCTTTGTTGTGTGTGGATCCTTGGAGATCCTCTTGCGCGACCGCCTTGGTAGTGTGCACTTGCCCCAGCAACCTCCCCCAAAGCTGCAAATTATTTTGCAGACATCTCAAAAAAAATTACATCGCAGTCCCCTCTGTACACCACCGCACCCTGGCACCGTCAACTGCCATTTCTCTCGTCCCCTCCGAAATGGACCGGTAACCGCCATTCGACCAGTCGCGCGATCGTGCTCCGGGCTGTTCCCTATTTTGATCCTCGAAGCAGCCCGACTTCTCCTGAATGCCATTGCACACGGACCCTGACACTTTTCGGTCTTGTCAACCACGCCGGAGGTCGAACTGACCAGGTTGCTTGTCTTTCTGCTGATTGGGACTTGGAACAATGCCGGCCAAACCGTCATCACAGGCGCCGGGGAGGGGTCAACCGGCGGCTCCCCAGTCGCGGACATCCAATCCGTCTAGAAACGATGACTCGGGCTCAGGAGGTGAGGGAATCCGGCGCGCCTGGAAGGCATTTTGCCAGAAGCTAAACTTGAGATCAACAGCAGAGACTCCGGCCCGTCGACGCCTCCAGAAATCCGTCTCGACGATCAACATGAACACTTCGAATAATGTCGATGCCCAGTCCGCGAGGGCTGTTGCGGGACCGCGCTCCGGGGGAATGGGTCGTAGGAGATTGTCCATTAGAGACCAGAAGACGCCTCAGGGGCCACGTCCACAGGACTCTTCTCGCTGGAGGTAAATAAAATTTCCCCCTCCACTTTCGTCTCCCCCACCCCCCTGTTTCGTCCCAACTTGATCTGGCGGTCGCGCGTGGGGGGATTTCAGACCAAAGGAGCTAACAATTATGGAATGTAGTAAACCAACTGGTCCCTACTTCCACTCCGAAACCTCCTCAATAGATTCGACAAATGATTCCACCAAAGGCTACAACCTCCGATCCACCAGTGTGGGAAATTTGGCCAAGGAAGCCAACGCCAACCAAACCCCTCCGGAAAATATGGATTTTTTGGCGCCCATCAATTTCGACGACTTCCACAACAGCATTATGGCCGAGCCCAGCTTAAACCATTTTCCCATGCCTGGCTCCGGGGGTGCGGGGTCTGAAAACCGTGAGTCCGCCTTGTCATCCAACAGCGCATGGACAAAAAACAGTTACGATAGCAATGTTTCCGAGCGCACAAAGGGCGCATCCAACCGCCGCAAGAGCGAGGTATCGCGCTTGAATGGTCCGCAGGCCGCGAACGCCGGTCTGTCAACAGCTTCTGTGAATACCCGGGCTCGTCGTCAAAGCCTCGCCCAACCGGGCACCGGAGCTCCAGCGACACGCGGTTCACGCAAATCTATCAGCTCCGGGGCGTTTGCTCCTACCAATGCCTCAGCCCGACGCGCCAGTCTAAGTGCTCGCAAAATTAGCACCGATTTACCCGTGCGGACCGATTCGAACAGCTTTCTCCGGCCACGGATGCCGCAGACCGAGTCCGCTGGCGGCCAGGACGAATCCAAAGTTCCCTCATCTGTCCGGAATCTCAAGGCAAAGTCCTTCCAGCCTGCTCCTCGCGAGCCACGTGGAACATATTTGACTGCATCAGGTTCACCTGATCATGCGCGTTCTTCTTCCACCAATGCTGTGCGCACCCCACAGAGAAACACATCCGGGGCCACGGCGACGACCCCTTCGTCGTCATCCAAGCGTGCCTCGATGATGCCCCATGCTACCGGTTTAGGTGCGCGGACTATTAGTCCCACCGATGCTCGACGCATGAAGAGAATGTCAATTGCGCCTCCTGCACCTCCAATGCCACACACCCCACCCACCCAAACCGAGCCTCTCCCTTACCGGCCTGTATCATCAACTCAATCTCCTTCTTTTCTTCCGAGGAAAAGCGTCACCCCTTCCTCAAATCGAACGACTCCAGACCCCAACCGCAAGTCCTACAGCTCTGGATTGTCTGTTTCGTCCAACACGAGCTACAATTCGGTGCGGAACTCTGGAAGCTCTTTGCAGCCGCGACTTTCCCAAAACTACTCTTCATCTCGCTTGCCAACTCCGAAACCTCGTACCGAGCAATCAACGACTAATGCAGAGGAAGAAGTTCCGCCAGTGCCCGCAATTCCCAAGGCCTATGAATCCCCCAAGGGTGAACTGGATGCGCCTACCTTCCCCGCACCACGAAAGTCCAGTTTGCCGAGCGATATCGGTCTCCTTAATACTGCGCGTGACTCTGACTCGGATGCCTATGGCACGCAAAATGCCACCGGTGATGAAAATGCCGAATCGACTGCTGGACGGGTTACAAAGACTCCCGAGTCGCGAACACGGACTTCGACTGTGCTCGGACGCAAGGGCTTGCAACCATTGAAGTTGCCGCCCCTTAATCTCCTACCACTAGGTACACCTATGACAACCAAGATCGAGGCGTTGAAGGACCGAGAGGCTGAAGAGCGAAAGGCTCACACGCCCTCCGCTCAAGTCACGTCGAAGACCCCAAGTACTCCAATGACTGCATCGAAAGCGAACTTTTGGTATCGTGATGGGGATGAGAAGGATCTTTCTAGCCAAATTCGAAGCAGCACTTCACACTTCGCTTTGAGCTCCACTACGGCTGCACTGCGAACATCCAGCAGTACAAGTGCATTCGCGCCAATGGACACGCCTAACGGAAACCGCAACATTTCCCCTTATGCCTCGTATACGCTGCCAAAGAGCGGTCCCGATTTCAAAGCTCTCCGCCACCAGGCGAGTGGTGATTACACCAGTCAGGGCTCGCATTCGTACAAGTTGACCGGACCACGACCCCAGACGCAAAGCGCCATTTTCACCCCTGCTGCGGAGCGACTCAGCCAGATCTCGACACCGTCCGAGTCAGAAAGTGCTACTGCCGCAATGCCCAACCCTACCGCTCGTGACCGTTTGAACGTGAGCCGGGTGCGCAGCAGCTCCAAGGTTAAACAATTTGAAGCCGACACCGATCCGGCCAAGTACGATAATATGCCTCCGCCTAAGCTCCCTGCGTCAGCAACATGGAATAATCTTTCCTCTGTTTCGTCAACTAGTCCGAACCTAAAAACATCTTACCTCAAACCTCGCCGTCAATCATCGGTTTCTAGCATCACGAAGCAAGCGGGTAATCGGAAGCCAAGTGTTAGCAGTGACCGGAGCCTTACTCTGGAACCTGTTAGGACCAACGAATCAGCTGGAAGCGATCAGTCCTATCGTACTCCCAACAACTTTGTTTCTCCAGTTCACAAGATGATCAGCTCTGCTCGGTCTAGTGCCGTCGCCTCTTCAGCGTCTCCAGATGCCAGTGTTGATGCTGATGTTGTTATCGCCGATGAGGAAATGCGACGACTCGGATCCAAGCGCAGAGATTTCGAGAAGGCTGCTAAGGAATTGGACGAGCTGCGTCGCAAGGCTGGGCCAAAGGATCGTGTGAGCCCTGCGCAAGCGCTCAAGATGGCCAACCTGAATATCTTTGAACGTGGCGAGATCATCGACTATCGAGACATCTTCTTCTGCGGTACCCAAAATGCGAAGAAACACATCGGAGACCTTCACTCCGGAGCCGCCAACTTTGGGTACGATGATGACCGTGGCGACTACAACATTGTGATCGGTGACCATCTCGCGTACCGCTACGAGGTCGTGGATGTTCTGGGGAAGGGAAGCTTCGGACAAGTCGTTCGATGCGTGGACCACAAGACCGGCGCTTTGGTTGCCATCAAGATCATCCGCAACAAGAAGCGCTTCCACCAGCAAGCTTTGATCGAGGTCAACCTTCTTACGAAACTCAAAGAGTGGGATCCCGAACGCCGCCACAGCGTGGTCAACTTCACCCAGAGCTTTTACTTCCGTGGCCATCTGTGCATCTCCACCGAGCTCTTGGGCATGAATCTTTACGAGTTCATTAAGGCGCATGATTTCCGAGGATTCAACCTGAAGCTCATCCGGCGGTTCACCAAGCAAATGCTTAGCAGCTTGGTGCTACTGCACGCCAAGAAGGTCATTCACTGTGATTTGAAGCCAGAAAATATTCTTCTTGTTCACCCATTGAACTCCGAGATCAGGGTCATCGATTTTGGTTCGAGCTGCTTCGAGAATGAAAAGGTGTATACATATATTCAGAGTCGATTCTACCGATCCCCCGAAGTCATTCTTGGAATGTCTTACGGTATGCCTATTGACATGTGGAGCTTGGGATGCATTCTGGCCGAGTTGTACACCGGGTACCCCATTTTCCCGGGTGAGAATGAGCAAGAGCAACTGGCATGTATCATGGAAGTCTTTGGACCTCCTGAGAAACACTTGATTGAGAAGAGCACCCGGAAGAAGCTGTTCTTCGACTCCCTGGGCAAACCTCGCCTGACTGTTTCGTCCAAGGGCCGCCGTCGTCGTCCGAGCTCAAAGGATTTGCGACAGGCTCTCAAGTGTGACGATGAAGCTTTCTTGGACTTTATCGCTCGTTGTCTCCGCTGGGATCCCACCCGACGTTTGAGTCCTCATGATGCGCTCAAGCATGAGTTCCTGACCGGCATCAAGCCACAAGTTCGGCCGCGAATGTATGCCGCCAACAACTCTCCTTCCAAGCGAGGTGTCTCCTCGGGCACGAGACCGCTCCCGGAGCCCCCAAGCTTGAAGACCGGGCCTTTCACCCGCAATCGCGATCCGTCAGGCAACTCCCCGGTCAAGAGTAGCAGCGGGAAGCGTCACTCTACTGTGAGCGGCATGCCTCCGTCCAGCCCCGCCAAACGAGGATCGAACACTTCCACTGCATCGGGAACTACAACCGCGCTCCCCCGAGCATCGGCGCGCAGTATTAGTGGAAAGCCTGATCTCGCAACTGCGGCGGCTGCCACCAGTCTTGTAAGTGTTAAGGCTGCCACATCATCACATCAGAACCAAGCGCTGACTATCGTACAGAGGCCTAAATGATGACTCGCCCCTCGCCTGTCAACTACTTCATCCCGACTTCCCCACCCCACACCCCCCTGTTTCTCCCCCATTTTCTTCCAATTTATGTTTCCACCCTGCCCTGTAATCATAATTGTCTGTTTGGCCTTTTCTTTTCTTTTCTTTTCTAATCTCTGCATAGAGGTGGTTTGTCATGTCGGAATGTGTTGCGTTGGTGATTCGGTGAACGCGCGGAGATGAAAAGGACGGCATCCATCCAATACCCGTTATGTTCGTTGACAGCATTTGCATCTGGGCTTTGATATGATTCGTGATGGGGTACTGCGTCCATGTCTTTCGTTTGTCCTTCATTTCTATACTCATGACTCCCCTACGACCGGTCCGATGTGGGCTGGTCCTGTACATTTTTATCTCCTTGCATCTCTCAATGAGGGCATTACGATAGCGCTCGTGTGAGCATTCGGGTTAACTGTTGCATCTGACATTTATGTATGTGATAGTTGTAAATGGAAGTTTTGAAAGATAGTCCGCCCTCTCTGTTATCAGGTAGTAAATGACGATGCTTATCCACTTGGCCTGGTCGGCGTTCAGGCTTGGCTGATTCAACGTGAGATTTAAGCCTTGGCCTTGCAGGCACTGCCATCTTCTAATCTAAAGAATATGTGGGATGCGCTGTTAGAATGAGCCTTCTCAATCCCATGTGGTTTCAAGGTTGTATGGCTAAAATTAGGATTCGTGTGGAGAAATCTGACAGGAGGATTTGTGCTTGTCCATACGAGCAGACCAATCGGAGCTGCGGACTCTCTTGTACGAGGACCCACTCTGCTCGTTTGGACAAAGGTCAACAACGACAGCATTTTATAGCATCAGGCAGCGAAATGGAGATGGCTAGGTATTTAACCAATCGTATTTCAGTCATTTCAATCATAAAATCATCTTCTCATATCGCCATAATTTCTCATTGTCATACACCTCACCACCACCATGGCACAGTGCAAAGGTATAGACAGTATTCTGTGGTGTTCCCTTGAGCTGAATAGCTATAGCTAACGACAAAAAGCTCTAACTACCCCTGATACAATGTGGGATTTCTGTCCCTCAGTCGCCGCGTCATCCTATTTGCCTTTTTTTTTTTTTTTTGGCCTGACGACGCTCGCCCACATCACGCAAGCAATCCTGCATCGAAAGTTTTACTGCTGGGTGATCGTCATTTCCGGCGTGATGCAGACAGTGACCTACGTCTTCCGCATCCTCAGTATCCTCCATCCAACCAGCTACAGCTACTACGCTATCTGGTTTATCTTGATCCTCGTCGCACCTCTGTTCATAGCTAGTAGTCCTAAGAGGGTTGGAAGCTAACGTACTCTAGTGCATGTATTGAGGCGGTCGGAAGCGAAGAGGGAGGCGGGGGAACTGGGCATTCTTTTCGGGTCTGGGAACAGCTTAAGTGGGATCTGTCAGTTGTTGACGGTGTACCTGTGCCTTTCTGGCAAGATAATCGGGGTGTGTGAAGATCGCCTTATCATATGACACCGGTCGTGCAACCTCTGACCACGGTTCCAGTAGAATCCTGGAGTTCATTATTTGTTCCGGGAGGAGAAAACCTCCCTTCACTGTCTCCTAGTAAATGAAGAGACCCTAAAAACCTTCTTGCGGCGTACTTGTTTGCCAGCAGGGTAGCGTTGCAAGGGGAATTCGAAGTTTTGAGAAACAGGAGCGGCCGGCAAGTCTCGCCACTGTGTGGCGTTCCAAGACAAAGTAGACTACCCGACCAACCGAGGACGCGCTCGGAGTTTGATAGTGTGTTCCAAAGCAGACTGGTTGTGTGCTCTCTGCTTTGCCTTTCCCAGTGATACTGGGCTCCGTCTATCATCGCTTGTCTCGTATTCTCGTCAGTCACTTTTCCGCATGCAAATATTCGTCCGGTGATCATCTTGTCTTCGTTGGGGCTGGTCTGCTTCCACTCCTTGTATAGCATGCAACAAAAGACAAGGTGTCCCCCAAGTGCTTCTTCCACATTAGCCCATTCAGGGACAATATTCACACCGGGTGGTGTGCACATATTGATCAGCTCCGTGTTGCTGATCAATGAAAGGTCATGTTTGTAACCGGCCGGGAAGGGAAGATCGCGGGAGGGGCGGTCGAAAGTCGCGGTAATCGTGCCAATCTAATTTGCCAACCTGTTAGCAGCCACATCTGGATGATAGGAAGAGGCCAGCAGCCTTACGGTCTGGCCGGTTGCAGCGAGAGCAATCACTCGCCCGAAATACTACCCTTTGTTCGAGCAGATGGTGGCTCTTGGCGAGTCAATCGTCGATTTTTCTCCTCCTCCTCCTCACACTTCTTCAATGACTTCGCCCTCGTCCAAAACATTCTCGCTCGACCTCGGTATCAATGTCATCGCTCGCTGCCGTGATCCCTATGTTCGAAGACGTGCTGTGCGCGTGCTTCGCACCTCGACTGTCTAGGAAGGAGTGTAGAATAGTATTTTCGTGGCGAATATAGCAGAGAAATGGATCGAGATTGAAGAGGAAAGGTTGGAATCTGTGACAACCTGTGCAGATATACCCGCCTCGGCACGACTGACCGTATTTCTACCCATTTTCGAAGTTAATCAGCCTAGTACGTTGGCCTATTTTAGTTACTTGGCTATCATGGATCCGGGGAGTGTACGGAGGGAGGTATTACGATGGCGATTGCTGGATGTGTCATCTCAAACTTAATTACGAGAGTAATATAATATACGTAGCACCTGAAACAAGAAACAATTGCGAGCATGTAATGCATCTCGAACCGATTGGCTCCGGGTGGGGGGAATGAGGAGAGATGGTGAGCGCTTGCAAGATGCAGTCGGGGATGAAAAGGTTCATCTTCATGTGGAGGGGAAATGGAAACTAAGCTAAAGAGTAATAGTATGAATGAAAATATTCGAATCCGGTTCGTCCGATCAACTAAATCATCTCAATGGAGGTAACGCTGCTTTCTTAAGGTATTGGTCGAGATGTATATATTTCGGGAGTGCCCGATGATGATTTCGCAGGCGCAACAATCTCCAAGTCAAACAAGTCAGATAAAATAATATCAGTAAAGTTAAATTATTCAATTTAATTTATCCCATCATCCAAATAATCGGACCCGAAATACCATCTCGTCTCATGCTGAGTGTATTGATTGCTGGTGGGTCCGCTCCAATCGGCTTACTTGGCCTCATCGCCTTATCAACCCAACCGCGACTCCACTTCAATTGTTCTTCTTGCGACCCGCGCTTTCATGTCCATCCGCAATGAATGGCTTTGACGAGAAGCGCCTCGACGAGGACGCGTTTGGCGAAAAGCCCAGCCTGTCTGGGTTGAAGACATTCGATGCATTCCGTGGGTGTCCCCGTACCTGCACCTGCACCTGTGTGGCCGATCCGATCAGATTGGACAACAACACCCAAGACGTCCCCCAATTGGCACTTAATCACACTATCATATGGTCTAGAACTGTCAAGACTAACTTTCGAATTCCTAGCCAAAACAAAAACCTCCTACACAACCCCCACCCAACGCGGCGGACAATGGACCGTCCTCATCCTCGCCGTCTGCACGCTCTTCAGCTTCCACGAGCTCCGAACCTGGTGGCACGGCACAGAAGCCCACCATTTCAGCGTGGAAAAGGGCATCTCGCACAACCTTCAGCTGAACCTCGACATCGTCGTCAACATGCCCTGCGACACCCTCCGCGTCAACATCCAAGATGCCTCAGGCGACCGCATCTTAGCCGGCGACCTGCTTAACCGCGAAGACACGAACTGGGACCTGTGGATGAAGAAGCGGAATTATGAGTCGCATGGTGAACAAGAGTACCAAACACTTAGCCATGAGGCGTCGGAGCGGTTGAGTGCGCAGGAGGAGGACGCGCATGTTCACCATGTTCTTGGGGAGGTGCGCCGGAATCCGCGTAAGAAGTTTGCCAAGGGGCCTCGTCTGCGTTGGGGGGATAATAAGGATTCTTGTCGGATTTATGGAAGTCTGGAGGGGAATAAGGTGCAGGGTGATTTCCATATCACGGCGCGGGGACATGGGTATAGGGAGTTTGCGCCTCATTTGGATCACTCGGGTATGTACCTCCAATGCTTTGTTACTCCAATGCTCCAGACCATGCTAACATGCGACGACAGTCTTCAACTTCTCCCACATGATCACCGAGCTCTCCTTCGGCCCCCACTATCCATCCCTCCTCAACCCGCTCGACAAGACCATCGCCGAAAGCGACACTCACTACCACAAATTCCAATACTTCCTTTCCGTCGTCCCAACCCTCTACTCCAAGGGCCGCAATGCGCTGGACCTGGTGACCACGGCCAAAGACAACTCCGTCCGCTACGACCGTAACACCATCTTCACAAACCAGTATGCGGCCACGAGCCAGAGCACTGCGCTCCCCGAGACCCCCGCGCTGACGCCCGGTATCTTCTTCAAGTATAATATCGAGCCGATCTTGTTGCTGGTCAGCGAGGAACGGACCGGATTCTTGGCGCTGGTTATTCGCGTCATTAATACCGTTTCGGGGGTGCTTGTTACTGGTGGCTGGATTTATCAGATTTCCAGTTGGGTTGGGGAGATTATTGGGAAGAGGAAACGGCAGTCGGAGGGTGTTTTGACTGGGAAGCATTACTCAGATTGATTTCAGGTTGTTTTATAGTAAAGCATAGTTTGTATTTCATTGCATTTATCTGTCTTCCATTATTACAGCCGAGCCACGACTACGTAGTGCACCAGTGTGTGGTGTATGTTGATTCCAATAACTAACTTGAAACTCCTAGTTGTGACTGAATGCCAGGCTGGGATTGCAGGTACAGTAGTATTGTGACAAATCATGGTATATAACATCGAATACGCCGTCATGCCATAGCCCCATCGAGCATCACCGAAACCCTCGGAATAGTAAACTGTTGCTACACCTGTAGGACAGGCTAAACCTCAAAAATCTCGCCCATGCCAACACCAGCACCTTCCGCACCAGCCCGGCTATCAACAAGATCCAGACGCCAGCCATTCCAGTCGCGGAGGTTCCGCTTAATTTCACGCACCCATTCCACGCGCTTGCGCGCCTCTTCTTCTGCCTGGGCACGGGCAAACTCCGCCTCGTCGAATTCGTCCTCCAGGTTCTCTTCGGAGAGAAGCTCTAGACTACCCCGCGTAGCCGGGGGTGGGTCGACGAGCCTGCGCGGGCACGGTTGTTATTACCACCAGTGAAGGCAGCAAAGCCGCTCGACAGGACAGTGGAGAAAGAGGAGTGTTGTCCAGCCATGCTTCGACGACGGGAATGGTCAGGACGACCACCGACAAGATCCACATCGTCAAAGGCATTGGCCCCCGCATCACCGGCCGGTTCGGCGCCTTCATCAGGGAAAGCCTGGCCAGCCAATTCCTGCCGCTTCTCCTGCCAGACACCGCGGCGTAGATCGAAGTTCTCGCCTTCCAGTTCACGAATGCGGCGCTCGAGACGCTGCCGTTCTTCGTCCTCGAGCTCGTCAATGGCATCGTCGTCTGTGCCGCCGGCTTCGCGCTTCTTTGCTCGGTCCAGCTCTTCACGTAGACGGAGGTTTTCGTTTTCGATGCTGGCGAGTTTCTTGCGTAGCACAGCTGTCTCCTTCTCGGCTTTTTCGCTCTCGCGCAGACGGGTTTGATTCCGAGCTTCGGTTTCTTTGTGCAAGTTGCCAATGGCCTGGAGTTTCTTCTCCAGGATTTCGATCTTCTTGTCTGCCTCGTTCTTTTCATTCTTTCCTTCTTCGAGTTCGCGCTGCAGGGACTTGATCAAAGTGTCGGTGGATGTCTTGTCGGCGCCTTCTTTGACGGCCTTCTCCGAGGCGCGTGTCAATGCTTGCTTCGCATCCTCCAATTCACGCTGGGACTTTTCGAGCGCAGCCTTGCCCTGTGATACTTTCTCTTCCAATGCTGCCACTTGAGTCTCGTGGGCGCTATTGTCAGAAGACTGGGAGGTGACCTGTGCGCGAAGATTTGAAATCTCCAGCTCCATGGCCTCGATGGTCTCAGACTTGGATTCAAGCTGGCGAACCAGATCTGCCGGCGGCGACTCTGAGGGACCAGGTGCATTGGAGTTGTTCCGGTGTGATCGGGACTGAAGCTGTGAGTTCTGGCGTTGTAGCGAGGCGATTTCTTCTTTCTATTTTCAGTGAGTTAGCATGCCGTATATGTAGAATCAACTTCGATACATACCAACGAGTCGATTTCCGCCACTTTCTCCTCGGCTTGCTTTAACTTCTCCCGTAGCTCCGCACCATCTACACTCGCCTCCCGTAGATCCTCCACCTGCTCCTCCGTCTTGCGCCAGCGGTTTGTCGCATCCGAAACTTCCTTCTCCAACCGCTTGTTCTCTTTCTCCAGCTCTTCAATCCGTGTCGACTGCTTCCGGAACACCTCGTGCACCGAGTCTCCATCCCCAGTCAGGGGCGGTAGTGAGCCCGGCGGGGACTTGAGTGCCGAAGAGGGGGATGGTGAAACGCTTCCTTGTGACACAGATGTCTTGCGGAATGAGGACGAGCGCATCTTTGATTGGATCGACAGGGACGGCTGACGGCCGTGGCCGGCGCGAGGGGCATCCAGTTTGGCAGGTTGCGCCTCGGCCTCAGGATCCGGAGAGACCGGGGCCGGAGGCATTGGTTCCACGGGAGATTCAGCGGGCGCATCTGATTTATCTTCTCGTGTGGACTCGGCTGGTTGCTCTGTGGTTGCGGCCTCCGCGGCGGGTGTGTCTTCTGCTGGTTTGTCCATTTCGGCGGGGGCATCTGTTGACGCGGGGGTCTCTGTCGCAGCTGCAATCTCTTCGGTAGGCTCAGCCTCCTTGGATGTTTCGGCTTCGGCTTCGGCATCTTTGGGAGCATTCATGGCTGTCGAGGCCTTCTTGTTGGCTTTTTTCTTTTGCTTCTGGAGCTGGGCCACCTGCAAAACATCGGGAGTGATTAGCGACCGATCTTACGGACTTGAATGGAGACAAAGCGTACCCTCTTCTTGGCGGCAGCCAGCTTCTCGGCCTTCACGCGCTCCTCCTCGTCGGCCATGGTGGATTGCCTGAGGGGTATCAACGGGCTGTTATGGTTGAGGTGGATGGAGGGCCGCCACGGGGAATGGACAGCTTTCCCCATCTCGCGCACGGACCGCCTGATCTATAGCCCGGGGGTGCCTCAGTTCATCCCAAGTCATCCAGCGATATAAATAGATGCTTACCCTGAGGTACTCTACTTCACTACAGATACGATCATGATATAAGATACATGCTACTATCAGGACCCCCAGGATTGGTTATGGCTACTACTTCAAGTCAGAACAAACTCTAATGAAGATCCTTGAATGAAATGGCGAATTAAGTAGTATCAACAGAAGAACAGAAGTATTGAAACCAGGGCGTAGTTAAGTGTCAACTTCCTCACAAACGCCGTTTGTGGCCGTAATATGCAGGTTGAATTGCGCCACAAAGTCCAAATCATACCCAAACCAACGCCCCGGGCACCAGAAAGCACAGTATTAAATCACCGGTCAACGGTAGGCACTGAAGACAATTTAAGAAGGCAAGGGCATCAGTCGTGTCAGAAACAAAGTCGTCAAACTTCCATCTGGTCCGCAATCTCCTCACTCATCGCGCGGACCATCCCCTTGGCAGCGGACCGCGAGCGGACCTCCTCGTCACTCAGCATGTAGTGATCCTCGTCATCTGCCGTAGGAGGAGAGGGTTGAGGTTGATGATTGGCCAGCTCGTCATCGCTATCGTCGCTCGGGCGAAGCGATGATTCTGCGCGGCTTCCGAGCCAGTACCGAGCTCGCTTGCTGGAGCTCAGGTCTGGAGTCAGATATCCGTCGTCGAAAGTCCGCTTGCCAGTCGGTGTCAGGGCGATCTCATCCGACGGGGTGTGGCTGAGAATAGGGATTGCCCGCAGGTAGAGATAGCAGACGCGCTTGCGCAGGGGGTTGAAGAAGAAGTAGTGCAAGCTCCAGATGGCACCGTCGTCGGCGTCAGACGGATCTTCCTCCGGCGAGTAGGAGTAGACGGCACATTCCTTCAATGACATGTGTTCATCAACTATCCTCCACATGCGGGGGCCCCATGCCGGTGCAGCCGCATTATATGACCCGGAGAGAGTGGCCGGAGAGGAAGGGGACAGATCGATTGACTCGCGCGGGCGCAGGTTGTACAGCGTAGAGTTGACGGTATTCATCACGCGCTTCAGAAAGCGCTCGCGGCGAAAATCGGTCGGTCGGAGAACATGCGAAAAGTCATAGTCAGGATGACTGGCGTTGAGGGTAGCGATCAGGTAGGCGAATGTCCGGCGACTGGAGTGTTCACTCAGGGGGCCGAACGGACTCGATCGCGACAGATTCAAGGATTCGGCGGCCTCGTGGGCATTGGGAGGCGAGAGCGATGCCGACAAACGAAGTACTGATTCATATTGGGCCTCAAGTGACTGTTCGATGTGGTTGTAGAGCTTCCGGTCGGATCGGGCAGCCTTGGTCGTGTACAGATCACAGCCACCGGCGATATGGCAGTCAGCCGTGTCGAAATTCATCGAACTGGTGACATCTTCGAAATCGGGAAGAGGAAGAAACTAGATAAGGGAAAGAGAGGATGAGCATTTGAGGGCGATTCGGTGACGCGGCGGTCCGGGGAGCGATCCGGGGCAGATGGGGCGTTGGGAGTGGATGAGTGGATCTCCATGGAGATCAGGGGAGGCCGGCGCAGACTCACCTTCATCTTGGTTGCGTTGTTGCGCGGATGGGAAAGTGAGGTCAAGCGCGAAGAAAAGACGGGCGCACTGGGAGTTCAGGGCGTACGATGGGGGGTGATGGGGAGATGACGCGAGGTGGTCGCGCCGAAGACGGAGATGGGGTTGCCGATCGGCGATAGCCGCAAGCAGGCGCTGGAGCCTGGGAATCCTGTGATGGTGGTGAGGAAGCAGCACAGAGCGAAGTCCAACGTGAAAGGATGAGGGCGATGACGAGCAGAATTACAATCGCAGCGCTGCCCCCGTTTCTCCCGATTTCCAGCGCAGCAGGAGGGGAAGTCACGTGTTGGGCTGGCCAGTGAGCGGCCGCGCTGACCTCACGGGCGGCGGTGATCCATGGAAGCCTCCAGACCGAGAGCACACTTGTCAGGCAGCAACGAGGCAGCGCGAGTAGAAGAGAAAAGGCTAGAGGCCAACTTGCTCGAGGTTGCGCGACACTTCCTCAGTATCCTGAAACATGCAAACAACGTGGTATTGATTAGTATGGACTGGACGCTACAAAGACAAAGACAAAGACAAAGAAAAACCGCGCTACATGATCTTGGTGACCACATCTTCCTCAACCTGCGGAGCATTAGCCCGGCTGCGGGACTCCGGGGGAGAGAAAGAGGGGAGGGAAGAATGGGATGGGGATGAGAATTCGGAATGGCTGGTCACTCACCTCCATATCCTCCAGGCTGTCCTGCTGGCTGATACACCGCAGCACGTTCTTCTTGCTGCTTTCCTGCATTTCCCCCGCCAGTAATAGTTCGTCGAGAATGAAGTAGGCCTTTTGGAAATTGAAGATGATGTCCAGCTCGCACACATTGCCGTAGTACTTATCCATCTGCTCGACGTAACGGTGCACCACCTCCAGGGTGATCAGTTCGTTGTCGGTGGAGGAGCAGCCGGCGATAAAGAAGAGCGAAGCATAGCGACGATAAACGACTTTCGAGTCTGCATTCACTACGAGTCAGCGATTTGGTCCCCTGATGGATTCTGGCAGTCCGTCGCACGCAGGCACAGCTCAGACAAAACGGGGGGAAGCCACCTTTGTATTCCAGGAAATTGCACATCCGCGTCCGGCGGGACAGCACCAGCTGGGTCACATCCTTGATGATCTTGGCCTTCTCCTTGGGCGAGAGCGTGGTGAACCACTTGGCGAGGCGCTGCGAGGAGAGAAAAGTCAGTCGGGTCGGGGCACGCGGGCTTCAAGCCGGGGGGTGCGCGGAATGGGGTGGGTGACGAGGACGCACCACTTTGCCCTGCCGGGAGAGCAGAATCAAATAGCTGGGACAGAGTCAGCGCAATGCCTTCTCTCTATGAGATTGGCGGCTGTAGATCTCACCTGATGGGCATCTTTTGGGGTTGTGGAGGGAAAAGGGATGGGGAACGGGAGGCGTGTCAAGCGTGGCGGACCCGACTCGGAGCTCTGGAGAAATTCTGCTGGAGTGGAGCGGAGGGGCGATGCCCCGCTGCAAGCCCTAGCTGTAGCCAAAAATCACGAGAGCAATACAACTTGCAGAGTGGACGATACTCCAGAAATGAGTCTGAGCTAAACTGAGCTGGCAGATGCTGACTCTTGTTTCGCGCACGGTTCGAGCGATGAGTCAAGTTGTGATGGTGGCTTGACGTCGCAGCATCCGCACACTAATGTACCCAATCTACACTTATATCTACAATCCATCAAGCATATATACCGCAACTCGTTATGAAGTAAACTTACAAATAACACTGTCTGAAATTAATGATATCGCATTGCTTCAATCATAGAGGTATAGATTAGCCAATAAGTATTAATGACCTCGTAATAACAAATCCGAGATTGCGCCCGTTTGCAAAGTATCAGAATTAAGACTCAACCAGAGAAAAGAAATTGACCGTGTTTCCATTTTTCGTTCGGCACAGGCCTGGCATAGGCACGTCATGTCGTACAGTCATCCAACTGCAGACCCAGTGCCTGTAAACGCCAATAACATTCAAACATGTCCATGTCACCGGCGCGACGCCGACGTGACACGGCAGCAGGGGAGACAGAGGCCAACAAGAATCTTCCCGAAGTAACCATTTGATTGCCGAGGCAAGCAAAGTTCTAGGAACCGATGGCTCCCCCTGCCTGCCCTAGACTGCAGCAGGTAGCTTAGACCTGGGTCATGGGGGGCCGACGACGGCTAGCGGAGCGGCCGCGGAGGTTGACGGTGGCAGAGCGAGCCAGGAAGAGCGAGACAAAGACGGAGGCCATATAGCCAGCCCAGCCGAACCACAAGAAAGCGACAGTAGCCTGAGCCTCGCGACAGCGCTTGGTCGGGTTGTCGGAGCCATTGGTGATTTCGTTGTTAAGTACGTAGTCCTAATGCAGGTGTTAGCCTCGCCACTTTTTTTGTATCTGCTGTAAACTTACCAAGTTGCTGCAAGAGTGGCACTCCAGCTTCGCAGCCAGCGCGATGGCAGCGCAGAAGAAGAAGATGCAGTTGAGCACATCCACGACGATCATGATTATGGGGTGCAGCGCCCAGTCGGCGTTATACGAGGCCGGTATCAAGTATAGCAGTGATAGCATTGAAAATGCCGACAGGAACATGGTATAGTTGACGGAGCTGGGGTTGCCGGCGAAAGCTTCGGCGATCATGTTACCGACCAAAGCCATGATGAGCAAAGTCCAGAGGAACTGCGCAGGTTAGCTTGAGCTATGGATCGCAGTCATATTCAGATGAAGCTCGTACCTCCCAGGCCCGAAGACCCAACTGAACACCCCTCAAACCCATTTCGACTGATATGCGGTGGAGAGCTTAGATAGTGTAGAATCGCGGGTGGAGATGAAGATCGCGGGTGCGGGAGAAAATTGGCAGGTGCACCTGAATATGTCGATAGATCAGAGGTGGGACAGGGATTCTGCAGGTGCGTTCGGGACCGGCGTGGTTATAAACGGCGGATAGCCCGGAGGGGCCCTGGTGGTGACGATATAGAAAGCCAAAGGGGATCCCTCGCTACGTCATGCATCGACGCGCCCGGGAGCCGGCGGCACCAGCGTCGATCGGGTGAGGAGACGAGATTCGGACGGACTGCGACTCTGCCCTGCTGGTCAATGACTAAATGAGTGGGATTTTGGCAGCGACTCAGCTCTGATCCCTCGGCCGGGCGACGAGCCATACTAGGAGAGTGTCTGGAACCGCCTGAACCGTCCCCCACGACGCGACGTACCTTGCTGATTTTTCTCCCATTTTTATGCATTTTTAATTAATTCTATTTGAAGGGGTTTGAAACTAGGCCTTGGAATGCTACTGTTAGAGGGGAATTTACTCGGTACGACCACGCACATTCTGCAGTAGGGCGAGATAGTATAGTCTATGTACATCCCCACTTAAGCTATTGGTCAGAGACAGATACCAGTCAGACAGACGTCAGGAAAGAAGCAAAAATAAATTTCAAGATACAAAATTCTTTTAAAGAACCACTCGATATCGACGGTAAAATGAAGTTGCAAAAAAAAAGGGACAAAAAGAAAAGAAAGAAAAAAGTGGTTCCAGAGGGGGTCGAACCCTCGACTTTGGCGTTATTAGCACCACACTCTAACCAACTGAGTTATGGAACCAGTTCTTGTTATGAACTAATAAAAAGTTTTGTAAAATATAAACCAAAACAACTTTTTCCAGATCCGCTTTCGTCTTTGGAGGTTGATAGAATGTTCAGACAAAAAAAGTAGTGTAAGATCGTGAATTCTGCTAGGAATGCAGCTTTTTACCTCAAATTACCCTTGGATATACATCAAGTGTACCTGGTGTAGCACTATCATACCGAACGACCTGATCATTTGCATGTCGCACAGGTCTACTACCATTGCTAGCGAAATGGGTACTGACCAGAACACAACTCTGTCAGGGACCCTCGTGGCTCAATTTACATTGTAGACATCGTTTAGGACGAAAGACATATTGATGATGAGGCTAGGAGTAACAGTACCTACTGCCGTAACCAAAAGTTGCAAGCTATTGTACCCTCGTAAACAACGGATACAATATCGAACACCGAACTGAATGCCGAATAGATCGTCAGTCATAAAGGAAGCAAAAGCTGGCGCACCTCCTATTTCTCCTTGAAGGGACTCTGAACCGAGCCATATCTATATCGCAATGTTAGCTTATCCCGAAGAAAAGATAGAGGATCAGTGTTAAGGTAAGGACATACCCCTGCTTGCACAAGTACCCCAGTGGAGCACTACCACTGCGCATGTAACAAATCTTTGCCTTTTGACACACCTCGGTTGTGCAGTTCGGACTTTTCTCGCTCATCTTACCCTGGAGAGTATTGTGCCAGCTCACTAGACTCAAATCCTTTTCCATACCTTCCGTCACGCGGTGCCAGAACGTGGCGTTGAGAGGGGCGTCCGTGGGCCACTCTGCTGCTGGGCCGTACGTGTCGCGCGTGGAGTACTCGAGCTTGTAGGTTGGGCCCTCGCCGTGCAGACTAGGATACTCCGAGACATTGCTGTAGAAGGTATATGCTTCGTAGACGTTGAAGTCTCCCGTGTCAACCTCGTACATCCGGAAAGCGCTGTTCAAGTTGGTTAGAGGGGTCAAGCTTGGCATGATCCAGCCGGTGGCCAGGGCATTCTCTGCATTTTGAACGGTTCCGTTGTTTGCGTAGTACACCATGAATTGGTCTTCGTGGTTGTGTCCGAAGAAGATGTTAGCAATTACGTGGGGAGAGTACCGGTCAACGATCTGGTAGAAGATGTTGGTTGGATCGGGCATGGGGTTGTAGCCGTCCCAGCCGCTGAGAACATGACCAATGAGCCAGACACGCTCGCCCTCGTCTTCGGCCTTTTGAAGCTCTTCGATAATCCAGCTGAGCATCCCAGAATTGTCTGGATTGGTAGTGTTGATCAGATTGAGGGTGTTGTGTTTGTACCAGAGATCTAAATCAGTTAGCCACATCGCAGTAGTTAATAGCCGCGAGAGAAATATACCTGTGTTGTACGAAAGAATGCGCAGCCCATAATGAGTCTTGACCGAATAGCCACCATAATGGGTTCGCGCTTCCTTTGCAGTCTCATGGCTGATCCACCCCTCATGCTCCCACAGACCAGACACATGATCGTAGTTCCAGCTCATCTGCTGTCCCAGACGTCCGGGAAGGTTATGAGCAGCATCAATGTTGGAGGGTGCAGAATCGTGGTTTCCTAGAGCAACAAAAACCGGGCCCGAGAGATAGTGCTTGAACATGTCAAAAATGGAGGTCTCGATGTACTCAAGATACCGCTGCGAGATCTGATGTTCCGGATCATGCGACGCCATGTCACCCGTGTACAAAGTGAAAGCAAGAGCTCCCTTGCCCCCACATGTACTTTTTCCTGTACCGGTCAACGGGCCCACGGCCTGTAGCGCGGCAAGAGCGAGGTCATAAGGAGTGTCGCACTTGAAAGATCCATAGGGCGATGCAGGAAGCAGAATCTCGGGCGTAGACTTGTTGTGGTTGCCACTGCGACAGCACAAATACGATAAGCAGTTTGCCTCCGAGTTGACCGAGAACCGAGCATCCAGATGCAAATCAGACATGTGAAGGACTTTGATCCGCTTCCCACTCGCCTTAGGAACGGTGGGGTTCTCCGGCTTAGGCTTAGGGAACAAGCTCTGACTATTGTGCAATGGCTGCGCATGCGGCTGAGGACAGAAACTGCTCTTCAAATTGTTGCAGATGTAATCACCATCGAGACCCTCCACATCAGCGTACGCCAACACCTGAGTCCAGATCGGGCCGAATGCATTCCACGAGTACGTTTCTTCGCAAGTCAGATTAGAGGCGAAGGAGAAAGCTTTGCACAGATGTACCATGGCATCCGGAGCCTTCAGGGGAGTGTACAAGGCGGCAGGCTTTGCAGCAGCCAATGCGCGCTTGCACTTGGCGCAGTGGCTCTCGGTGTTGTTGGACTTGATGATGTTGGTGACATTGGCCATCACATCGTTGATAAGACCGGCCTTTTCGTGAGGGAGGAGGTTGGCCTTTGGATTGGGGAAAAGGCGCTCATCGGAGTTCTCTGGGATAATATCCGGGTTGGTCAGTTCGAAAGGAAATGTAATGTCCAGGACAGGGTCGTAGATAATCGGCTGGGGCTCGCGGGTGGGCAGGGCTGGAGATTCGTAATACGACCTGTGCTAGCAATTGATTAGCAGATCTTCAGACATGATGGACTTGGAGTACTCGCACAAATACCGAGGTTGGAAAGCCAGCTGGCGCAACATACGACGCGGCTCCTGGAAGCGAGGGCGTCGACGCGTTCACGAATGAGCCGAATCCGAGGATGGCCTGCATCACGACGAGCAAGGCCAGGCGAACGCCCGGGGAATAGAGGAACGAATTCATCGCGGAAGTTTGATGGGGATAGAGAAAGAGAAAATTGAAGCAGAGAGATGACTGCACATGTTGTTGATGAACGATCTGTCCCGTTTAGGAAAGGACGTGATCCTGTGCTGCAGGGGAGGGCACGATGTCGGATAGATTCACGCCATTGGCTCAATTATGCAGGCACCTCATAGTGCCATTTCTGCCTGTCATTGGAGTATTCCCGCTACTATGAGGTCTACGGAGGGTATTGAATGGGAAGACTCTAAGGACGCCAACGTGATGCCCTTACCTCAACGCCAGATCCGCGTACTCCATCCAAAGCAACCGCGCTACTTTGACTACATTCCGTCCCAAAACGGCAAATGTGAATATTTTCCATCAGTGATGACCCAAGATGATATTGGAACGTGTCCCTTACATGTGAGTACACGCTCGATCTCCACATATAAATCGAGTAAGGATAATCACGCTCCCCACCGCGGCAGAGCCACCCGCGATCTTCACTAAGCTTGGCGATCTGCACTCCAGATCTCACTTCAAGCCCCAGACAATCACATGTGACGCAGTTAAGATGATACTACATGCGACGGGCGAGGGAAGAAAAATCTTTGTGGATACAGGTGAACTATCTATATGGATGTAAACGTCGTATGTCAGCCCGCCAACTGACTACGCCAGGCGTGGAAATGTTATAATAATACTCGGCATTGAAAAGATCGGCATCTGCAAGTAGATCTCAGTTGGAAAGCACCCCGCAATCTCATTACTGCTATCTTGTTTACTCTTCTACAACAGGTGCCACCTAATAAACTTCCGGGAATAGGTGTTCATGAATCCGACCATCGGGTCAGTCATGATGTCATGTACACTCCACATCGCATCCGTCTTTCTTAATCAGCCTGCAAAACCAGGGGTCGAAGCGATCATCAACTGACACCAGGAAAGATTACGGAAAAGATCAGTGATGTATGTGAAAAAATCTGGTTGAGATTGGTGGGGCACGGTTGCATGAAACTCGGAAGATAAAAGATGCCCAACGCCGGATGCTATATGCTAATGTAAAAACAGACAAAACCCCAATGCCCTCCAAGGATCTGGCGATATATTCATCGAAACCTCGCCATAAATCAAGCTGAATCCAACGCCATGCCCATCCGACCGTCTCTCGAAGGATCCACGTTCAACACGGACCTTCGCGACCGCCATCTGATTTATGACTATGCGGCGCAAGACGAGCAGGGGAATCCGGAGAAGTGGCGCTATGAGATGTGGTTCCAGAATGAAGACCGCATCAACTACGCCATCCACGGCGGGCCGATGGCGGGCCGCATCAACTTCCAGACAGCGGAGTACCAGTGCATTCGGCCCGGCGAGCTATGGCAGTGTAACTGGCTCGAGGAGACAGGGACCATGTGCTCGTTAGTCTATGATATCCCTAACAAGCGGATCACGACCATGCTAGGGTTCTCCAAGGGTCATTGGGAGAACGCGAAGGAGGCACACGGTGATAAGCGGAACCCGGATGATTTCGACAGATGGCGCGGGCTTGCGAGGATTGGGATCCAGACCGATCGGGTGATGTTGAGTGAGCAGGCGGATATCCTAGAGGATTTCCGGGGGCCCGGGAATCTCAAGCCTGCTGATAATAGTTGGCCCACGTTGTGAGTCACTGGACTCAGAGCCGTTCAGTGTGTGAACAGTGGTATGAGGGAGGGCGAAGCGAATGTGGCGGTCACGAAGACCTTAGATGTGTCTGCGTATGAACCCGAACTGGGCTTGTCCAATGGGACAGAGAAAGGCGGCCACATACGTCGTCATATATCGGGCGATGCCATGACTCTAAGGCCGAGACACTTTAGTCATATGTTTGACGAATGAAACGGCATGAAGAGCCAGGTCATGTCCCAGGATGTTCATCAATTGTAGATGACTCGGGAGAGAGGAAGAGAACCAAAGAATGACTCGCGGGTCATCCCCTCCTAATGGCTTAATCATGATCCTTCGATGAGCCGGTCGGTGGACCTTGCGGCGCTTGAATGCAGACAAGCTCGACCTGAATGTCATCCGGACTGTGAGGTGGTTCACTGTCATAGGTGGGAGAGCGGCTGATGATGCCGACTGCGACCTGCGAGGCCTGTTTGTGTGAGGTCATATCATCAATGTACCACACTTGCCAGGGGTTGTATCCCGAGCCGGGCATCATGACGGTGGCGTTTTGCGCAGGTACGCTTTCGCGGATAAATTCTGGGCAGCGTCAGCATGCAACTGGCCGCAAGGAAGGTTTTATTTCCAAGGCAACGTGTGACATACCGTGGACAGGAATGGAAGCGACATCAAACACCTGGGAACCACACGATTCCAGGGGAGGGGGATTGCTCATCATTTGGCTGAGCGCGATCTCGAGAGGCCGATGGTAGCGTTCACCGGTCGATGAAAGGGAGAAGATGCCATGCTGGACGGCGTTCTTGATATCCCGGGAGCAACCAGGCCCCCAAATCCCATCACAACCATTATTCGGACCCGAGGGCGAACCTGTCAGATTCCCGACGCGGAGACCGATTTCCGTCGTGCGGTTAGTATCGATGGCGTATTTGTTGATATTCCGATCCTGATATTCGAGCCAGAAGGCGGTCTTGGTCATTGGACCCTGGCCTTTCCCCGAGGAACTCGCATCGAAGCCGTAAAACAGGGTGATGGGGTCGGGAAAGAGCGGCTGGAAGCTGAAGGGGACGGCACTTTGGGCAAGGGGTTCGATACAATCGTTGTTCCAGAAGGAGCAGAACTGGGCTGCGCCGCGCTGCAGCAGAGCCAGCAGGGCCAGCATTGCCAACAGCACCCACGACATTATTGAGATACCGGCGACGGCGAGAGATAAAAAGGCGAGACGGAGTGCCAAGTGAGTGCACACCGACAAGAGCGACCGCAATGGGCCCTCAACAGCGCGATGGTGATAGTAGGCGGCGAGCCGAGGCGGCAGCTTTCATCATCCCTCGATGGTCGGGTTCGGGAAGTAGTAGGAGAAGGGACGATCGGAGGGAAGACTGCTAGTAATACCTTCGAGGCACCAGACAAATCCGACTCAGGGCTCCCACAGCCATCCGCTTCGGAAGGGTCCCAGGGTCAAGTCCCCGCAGCGCTAGGGACTGCTATCTGCGTAGGCCAATGATACAGTCGGAGCAGCGGAACCCAAGCTCGGATAGGCAAGAAGAAAAAAAATAGGGTCTTGGAAGTGGATTGTTTGGCCACCAAAAACACCGTTGGAGCGAAAAGAATGGAGCAGCCGAGGACAGCAACCAAGGGTGCAGAGCCGAGCGTGACCAGCGTCGGATCCGCTGTGAAATACGCTGTAGTAGTCACCGTGTAGTGGCAGAGGGATTTCTCCGAGCATTCCCAGGCAGTCAATCGTGAGATGCCGGTGAAACCAGAAACAGGGGGACAGGGCGGATACAACGGGGGTACCTGCTGCAGGGTCACGGGCCCTGCGGATCACAAGTCACGGGCAGGTCGCGCATTGCGGATTGAATCTTTCTCCTCATCCAACTGGCGCATTTTCTTGGCGGCGCCGACGCTAACAACCGAGTCCCCGCATTGCCGCGACCCAAAACAGGCAAATCCAGGCGGCGATCGCAGTCAGGGTTGCAAAGCGTGTAGGGCGCAGCCACTCAGAGCGCCTCCGTGGCCGGTGGAGCCCATGCTCGCCCATTCTCCGGACCCTTGTTTTCTGTTTTGCTCTGTTCTGTTGATGCGATCGTATACCATATGTAGGGTATGTATGTATGTATGTATGTACACGGGTATCTCGCATGACCGCTGGAAAAAAAATTTGCGTCTGCTATGACCACCAAACTTCCAGCCCCTCCAGACCATTGCCAACCTAGCTTGATTTTGGCGGGACTGGCTCATTTGCGCTAGCGCCGTATTGATGCTCCACAACTGCTACTTTATCGGGTGAACTCTTCCAATTGTGTTGGCCCCAAGCACCCTATGTCATTCTGGTCATCCCGAACATACCGGTCACACCGGGCTCTGACGGTGCAATACATACTGGTTCTTTCTACTACCCTAATACAGTAGGTACCTTTGGATACCCTGCGACGAGGGCAGTCCTGGAGTGGCCGGAACTCCGGCTCGCCCGACGGTCGTGCAGAGAGTATCAGATCTGAGACGATGATCCGTCCGTTAGACTCCTGTCAATCACACCTGGGATTCGAGCACATCTTCTGACGTAAGAGTCGCCCAAGTCGAATCGGAGCATTCCGTCAGGAGCCTCTCGCATATCCGCTGCGTCATAGGTTGGCCGTCTCAGGGCATCTCATTGGTGTAGGAACCTGCGACTGGACTGCGCGGTGGAGACCGCAAATTATGCATTTTGAGAACCAAACATTCATCCATCGGTTGGAGGCGGTCGGCACTGGAAATTGCTTGGCGGTCGCTTCGATGCTGAGACCGTTCACGGACCAAGTCGAACCCCGTCAGCCTGATAGAGGGGAGAAGTTGAGACCGGTGGATCGAGACAGAACTGTTAGTGATCAAAAATGGGGGAGAGAGAAGAAAAAAAAAGAAAAGAAACATGCCAAGCCCCTAGAAAACAGTACTTCCTATTATGAAACAAGAGCAAGACCCGTTATCGTTATGCCTGCGCATCCAGCTTAGTGTAGTGTACAAAAGAGCATTCGTATCTCGTATTCATCATGATCTCGTCAGAACCCAACCCCAGCAGAAGAAAAAGAAAAGCAACCTATTTGTCAAACCACTTCAGCCGCGCCTTCAACTTCTCCTGCGACGCATTGATCGAGGCCACCAGCTGCTGGAAGCGCGCCTTCTCTCGTGCCACGTTCGCATCTACGACCGCCGAAATGAACTGCAGACTCTGGATCTCGGCAACTTCCTGATCGCTGAATTTCGCCAGTGGGTCACACTGCTCCAGATGCGCATGTGCGCCCAGCATCTTCTCGACGGCCTTGACCAGCGGCAGCATCGACCGGATATTATTCGAGAGCCAGATCACGTTCTCCGGCGTCGTGCCTTGGTGGTTCCAGATGATGTCCATGGCCGCCATGCGACCATAGAAGTTCTCGGGTTTCTGGTTCTTGTGCAGTTGCAATTTATTGGCATCCCAGTCGAATGGCGGCAGTTGGATGGCGCCCTTCTTCCACAGTTCGTAATGCTCCCGCTCGACTGCCAGCATGCGTTCCTTGGCAAAGTCCTCTACGTCTCGTCTACCCGGGAGCGTGTCTTGGGCTGGCGATAGCGTGATCTCGCAGCCATTGGCGACTGCGTCGGCCAGCGTACGCACCTTTCTGGCCGTGGCGTCCAGATCATCGTCGTCCGAGGGCACGGCCATGAAAAATGGGAACCTATCCCAAATGAGCGCGGCCAGGCGATCGGGGGCGCGATCAGGTACCTTGGACTCGGCGGGCGCGTCGTCCATACGGTCGTCGTCCATTTTGAGCTGGATGCGCCGAGGCGATCCGTCGGGGCGTGAGTGTCGGTCGTACTAGTGATGTGAGTGGTGTCTGGATATCGCGGACTAGATCAACCGCGAAACAGACGTGCGGTGGTACCGTGAACCGAGCCGGATGGTCGGGGGAATCCCTCCAAGTGTCTGATGGTGTGAAGATGCCAGTGGTACAGGCGGGGATGTTGAAGATGTCTTTCCCATTGGTACGCGTCCGTACGCGGTACACATGGATGCCTTGGGCAGGAGGTCAGGTGACGCAATCGACAACTGTAGAGTTCCAGCACGTATCGTACAGTGTATGCCAGAGGTAGTGTAGTACATACTCTATAGAGGCCACTAACATTAATAGTTGTAATACTGGGTAAGTAAAGTACAAGCCCGACTGTGGATGATGAAGCTCAAAGTCAAATAATTGAATATAGTACAAATGCATTGCCGGTGCAGTTCCATTTCAAAGCTCAATATTTTACACGCTTGCGAAGCGATTGCCTCGATGCAGGCCAGATGGCCATATACAATAACTTCACATAACATCAATGCAAATCCGGGCCCAAAAAGAGAGAGTCATGGGAGAGTGTCCGTTATGCCCGCAAAACTCCAAGAACACCACGCTGAGTAACAAAGAAAGTAGGCAAAAAGATATGCCGCAAAGTATACACCACATCACGAATGAGCGAGGAAATAGTCACACATACGCGAGAAACAAAGGAGAGCAGAGGAGAAATGGCCTAATCATCATCCTTGAGGCCGTTACCCTGCAGCCAAACACGCTTCCAGGGACCCTCTGGACCAGGACCAAACGCAGCCTCGCGATCCTGTCGCATGCCTTCCAGGACGCCGACAATACCGCCGCTGCGTAGTCGTTCGAGAACCACGTTCATGCCTTGCTTGCTCTTCATGACCGCATCGCGGGTCCGCTTCACGCCGATCAACTCAATGGTCCGCTGAATACCGGCCGTGGAGAGGGACGAGAAGAAGCCCTTTTAGGCTCTTCTTCTTCCGTCTCGGCATTATCAGTTTTTCTCCGACTGAGGAACTTGCCCTGACCGAGCCTCGACCGGAATGTCACGGTCGTGCGCACGGTGGTCTGTTCGCTCTTCTTATCGATTGAAAGCCCGTCCAGCGCCTTGGTGTCTTCAGCTGCCAGCAGACGCTGATAGTGCTGTTTCTCCACGACACTGAGGATGCCGGTCCACTCCATGTTGCGGGATTCGGTTTCCATCCAGCCCTCGTGCGGGTCCACGACGGTGGTCTCGAGGATATAGCTCTGGCCGGAGTTGTCGGAGCCGCCCATTCCCTTGGGTAACAATTTCAAGATGCCCGAGGGCACCTTGGATTTCTTGAGGTGGATCCGGGTGGTATGGAGGCGTTTCGTTTTAGGGTCGACGAACCGATCAATCACGTCGGTGGTGAGGACATGGCGGGAGTACGGGTTCGGGTAGCGGAGGAAGTAGGCCAGCGAGACGGCGGGGAAGGAGTAGTCGTAGGTGAAATTATTCTCGAAGAACTTCATGATGGCGGTGATGGGGATACATCAGGATCTGGGAGAGAAACGCCTGATGCTGGGGACTTTTCAGTTTGCTGGAAAGCGACCGAAAGCTTCCCCGAGTGGGGCCGGATCAACTGGTTGTTCCGGCTCAGTCACATGTCCCCGCGGCCTATCAAGTCCGGCCGATCGCTAATGGTGATGTGATGATGCTGTCGTTGGCAGTCTTATTGGTTTTCATCTCCGCCAGCCAGTGAGTTGGTGAGACCGGTTTGCACAGGTTGACTGCAGATGAAGTGCAGCAGAACAGCCGGGCCAGACACGATACATTCGTATATGTGATAGGTCGGATCGAGGGACCCAAACGATGTCACGCGACCTCATTCCAAGGTGATTACCACGAGGGAGTGTGGCGTGCCTGGAGGGGAGGGAGATTCCAATATCAATCAATATTTCCTCAATTGCAATATATTTATCTTTTATCAGGGATACTAGGAACATTATAGGTGAATAAAGTATATCCTTTAGTGTACATGGAGTCTACTGTTGCGTCATAGCGCATTGGGACCACTGGGTACAGTAGTGAGCGTTTTCTTGACTAATTGCGAGGCTTGAACTTTGAGAATCTACATAGTTAGAGAAAGCCGTATCATCTACATACATGAGAAAGCAGTGACGGTGTTGAGCTTCAGAGAAGGCAGTCGTGTGCTTCACATGAGGTGATTTGGCGGTAAATGGCATCAGCACCCCGCAAAACGACTGCCGCGGTTTTGCCGAAGTAACCACCTCCAGTACAAACCCCTGACTCTTATCTTCCCACGACGACCAGCCACTGCGGAAGTCACTGCCAGTGGCAATGGATCTCACCTCAGAAGATTAGGGCAAGATCTACTGTGGGTCTTCTCCATGGGGCGGGCGCAGCGTTCCCCATGTTTCCAGTGCCGATGTCGCAAGGTAGATTGTTCAGCGGAGAAAATCGTCAAAAGTGTATACTGACCCCAAAATTAGGTCCGCTGTGATCGTCGACCCAGCAAATGTGGAAACTGCGAGCGACTGGATTTCACCTGCTCGTTTACACAGGACACGGCGACTCCAGCCCGCCGGGCAGGTCCCAAAGAGACGGTCGAAGATTGGCCTGAACGGCGCCGAGGTACGCAGGCATGCATCGAATGTCGACGACAAAAGGCACGATGCTCGGGCGGGTTTCCGGAATGCACCAGCTGTCATCGGCGGCAGCGTCCGTGTCAGTATCCAAAACTCCAGCAGTCGGACCGGTCTTCCATTCGACCGGATGAGCCACAGACAGACAAAGCTCATGGCCACGATTTAATTGTGCCTAGAGATGAGCTCATGCAGAGCATAGAGAATTTCTTTCAGCATCTCTATCCACTACCCTTCTTCGCGTTTCTGCATGAACCTACAGTCCGCCGGCAGTGCGAGGATGGATCTCTCGATGACTACCTTGCCTTATCAATTATGACGGTAACAAAATTGTGGCTGTCACCAGATCAAAAAACTTCCAAACAAAATTGTGATTGGATTGAGATGGTCGAAATGCAGATTTGGAGCCACCTGGAAAAGCCCTGCATTCGACGACTTCAGTGTCTCCTCCTCGTGATCCACTGTCACATCCACCTAGGCCATTTCTCTCGAGCCTACATGCTCGCAGGCCTTGCAGCTCGGGCGGCTACGGCATTGAGATTGAACTATGAGCGACCAGAACTTAGCTTCGTCGCGCAAGAAACACGGCGACGGGTATTGTGGACCTTGAGCTCGATCGATGGATTTTTCTCAGTCGGGCTCCCTGAATACGAAACGATCCCACATACGATCATCTACCAACGACTCCCGAGCACTGAAGAAGCCTTTTGGGGTGGAAATGCAGAGGGTAACCTGGCTGATCATCAGCCTCCCCTAGAAGCCTTGTCAAGTGGAGGCGGAAGCCTGTTAGCTGCTTGCATTCGGCTTTCCAAGATCTCCAAAGACATCATGCGGCTCACTCGGCAACTAGCTCTGTCAGAGCAACCATTGGCACAACTAGGCGGGTTCATCCAGGAAATCCAAAATGATCTATGGCGCCTCCGGGCCGATATACAGCTCTCTTTCAACTATCAAGTGGAATCTTCGACTCGCATATTTGCGATGACTGGCTCTCGGTGGTTTGCCCGCTTCCTCCAAATAACAGTCACATGGCACCAAGCTCACTGTGACCTATACCGGTTGTTTCTGCCAGAGTACCAGGAAGCCGCTCCGAAAATAATTATGGATTCCATCGAGCCTAGCTTGAAGGACAACGCCCTTCAAAAGTGTGAAGAGCACGTTCACCACATCAACGAAATCATTCAGGGGCTACTCCATCTCACCTCGACCCCGATACTGCCGTCCTACCTTGCCATATGCTGCTACCAGGCAACACGCTTGAGCCTTTTTCTCGCAGCCTCTCCGATCCTGAGAGTGCAACTCGACGCAGCTACGGCAGTCGAAAATGCTAATCTTGCCCTGGCCGTTCTGGAAAGGTTTTTCTCTAATTCACCTTCTGTGGGAAAGATAGTCCTGGATATACAGCACCTCCTACAGCTGTCACATACTCAACCGGGGTCCATATACAGAGAATTGTGCTGTCTATCCCCGCCATTTGATCAGGGCCGTCATCGACATAGTCATCTGGCTGTTCACAGCTTAGTTCGACAAGCTAATTTTGTGGATGACGGATACGAGGACTATGACGACTAGATTTATTTAAGAGAACACCAATACTAGTTACCAAATCAAGATTCATCCTCCAAACAAGGACAATCTACCTGTGAAGCCCTGTACCCGGGATACTACGCACCTTGGCCATTCTGCTTTGCAAGCTCATGCTGCGCTTGCGCCTGTCGAGACTTGCTCGCAGGATCAAAAAATGCTGTATCAAAATCACATTAGACACCTGAATTCCAAGGAAAGAATAGAGCATACGCTTTTCACCAAAAACAGTCGTTCGAATACCCCGTCAAGGGGCATCATATGAACCAGGAATGACTCGAAGCAGGGTACAACTGCATTTGGTTTGTTAGCAAAATTGACATGCTGCGACGCGATTCACAAACCGATTGTCCCAAATAGCAACACTTCCAACGTCCCATTTCCACCGAACAGCGTGATCATCCCCCGAATGAATATGGTACGCAAGGAAGTCTAGGATTTTATCCGATTCTACTTTCTTCAGCTCTGCGAAGCCAGTCACGAAACCCGATTTGATGTTGAGTGCATTCAGCCCGGTGACTGGGTGTGTTATTACGGCGGGATGGTGAGTGTCGATGGGTGGGCGGTTAGCTTGGGCTTGCCAAAGGTCGAGAATTGTGTCGTCTGATAGCATTAGGTGGAATTGGCAAATGACAAGAAGAGTAAAGGGGAAGGCACACATTGAATGCGCGAAGTATGTACCGCGTGAAGACCATCGAGGAACTTCTTGAGCGAATCGCTCAGAGCATCGTAGAGCCCGTACTATTGGTAAAACATATCACATACGAACCCGCCAAAAACCGACTCTGCCCATGGGAAAGCTTCAAAAAATGGTTCGGTGGAAAATATTCAGGGTATCGCAACATTTTGATTTATGAAGGAAATTAAAATCACCCGATCGACCCTATCGGGGAGTACATGTTGTGCAGAATTAGAAAACATCCCAGACAAAGTCTCAATCAAGAGATCTCGCAGGAATATAACGCCAGGAAATATAACAATTTTTACCATCCACAACCCATCCATCTACTCATCAGACAGAGGACGCTGCTTCTCTTCGGCAGCAGCAGGCAGAGTCAAAGGCTCAGTCACCTCCTTCTTCATACCGCGGATCTCGGGGCTAGTCCGCTCGAAGTAGTTGTGCATCGAGCCGTGTAGGATGCTGTCATCGATATCATCACTGCCGTACATGGTCTCGGCCTCCTCAGAGCGAACAGCCATAGCAGCTTCCCATTCAGCACGGAATTCCTGGACCTTCATCTTGTAGTCCATGTCGGCGTCGTAGTACTTGCCCTTGCCGGTCCAGCGTTCCCAGACAGACAGGTGCTTGCGGTGGACGGCGGGGCCGTGGTAGTCCTGCTCCCGGCCCTCACGGATGAACTGCCAGCGGCGCTCCTGTTCACGTAGGTCCAGACCGGTGGTGTCAGGCAGGAAGAGCCAGGTGAGAAGGACGCCGGCGAGACCGAACCAGGGAACGATGTAGAATTGTTGCTGAGTGGTGGTGTAGGAGCCGACGATGGCAATAATCAAAGCGCCCAGCTTACCAGCAGCGGCAGAGATGCCGTGGGCAGTTCCACGGATGGGAGTGGGGAAAACTTCGGCGGCGACAAGGAAGGTGATGCAGTTCGGGCCAAATTGGTTAAAGAACGATGTCAGGAAGTACATAGCCTGGAAGGAGTGGATGTTCTCGGGCTGGATGTAGTACTCGTACTTGAAAGCCGGGATGACAAACAGAATAAAGCACATTAGGAAGCCGACGATTTGCATCCACTTGCGGCCGTAGAGCTTGGTATCAACAAACCAAGCCGCACAGTAGTAGCCAGCAAGACCAACGCCAATGTTGACCAGGTTCCAGAGCCAGTCGGTGGTGACACTGGTAGTGTTAGGGTTGATAACACTGATAAACTTGCTCTGGAAGAGCTTGTTTCCGTAGAAGAAAACATCATTGGCGAACCAACCACCGGCAGTGGCAACCAGGCGAGGAGTAAAGTGGCGGAAGGTCAGACGGAGAGAGTCCATGTCGTAGCCAGTAACAGCGGCTTTCTTCTTCTGTGCCTCAAGCTGCTTACTGGCAGCCTTCATATGGTAGGCACGATAGTAAACGAGCCAAGCGGTACCGACAGCGGGAACAGCGAAGGAGACACGATAAGTCCACTGGGTAGCGAGCTCAGAGTAGGGAGGGTTACCACTACCGTGGTGGAAGATCAAGAGGAGCAGAAGCAGAAGGACCTGGTTGGCGAACTGGCCCCAACCCTGCATCAGGAAGGCACCGACGACGGAACGACCACGGTGCAGACGATCCTGAGCGGTGGTGACCTTACCAGAGCCATAGCCATTCTCCATTCCAATGGTGGCAGTCATGGGATATTCACCACCGACACCAATAGAGTAAAAGAAGAGAGACCAGGCGTAGCAGATGACCCATCCGTTCTGAGTGACACCCCAGGCGGCAGTCAGCATGAGAAGACCGATGAACATGATAGTGGCATCCTGAATAAGACCCCAGCGACGACCAATCCTTTTGTTATGGTTAGCATGGCTACTTGCCAGTGCGAGAGAAGTTTCCACGAACCAATCACCCAAGAAACCAACCAAGATCTGACCAACGATAATACCAGCAACCTCGAGGTAGTTGACAGCGGCGACCCAGTTCTTGTCGCAGACCTCGTATTCATCCCAGCAAGAAGCAAAGGACTTTTCGAACAGCGAGCTGACGTTGCTGATGGAGAAGAGCACGTAACTAAACAGAATGAAAGTTAGATGATTTGCTTGTCTATCATAAACGCGTGTCGAAGCTTACCCCTCAAGACCCAGTCCAGCACCAGGCAGGACAGCATTCTTGAAGTAGTAGCCGATAGGGGACAGAGGATCGGCCTTGAACATCTCCCACAGCCAAGAAAACTCCTTCTTGGCTTCGGCACCATCCTGCGATACACAGAAGCTGATGCGCTGACCCACAGAAAGGTCAGCCCAGTAGGTTCCGTCGGGAGCATAGGCATCGACGGGGCGAATGACCTCGTCGAAGGCGGCCTTCTCGTGGACCTCCATCTCCTCAAAATGAGTGAGGGCCTCCTTGGGAGTCTCCATGTGAACCATTGTTGCGACAATCGATGTCAACTAGGTTGATGGCAGCAACAGGCCTAGTGAGCAAGACCACTTAGGCGCTGAATGGAAGAGAGACTTGGGACAATTCAGAAAAGATTGACGATCGAGAGGGATGCGAAGCATATTTAACTCATTGCGCTCGCGGACGTTGGACCGGGGCGGGAACAGCCATGCCATGCGTTGAAACTCAACGGAACTAAAGTTTTCCATCCTGGCTCAGGCTCCATCAGCGGCCACAGAATGTCTGAGGCCCTATCGATGGCACGCGTGGGAGCACGGTTCTAGCGGAGGGTGGAGACTCGTAATCTCTGATGTCCGCGCTAGCCTGGAGGCTTTTCGGGCACACTGGCAGAGGGTGGCATTTCGGTACGCGCAAAGGGCCAGTCATGAGCCGCGAGGGTCAGCGAGAAGCCTGTCATGGCCAGTAACGAGACGGTGCTGGGAGACGGGGCCACACGCTAATTCTCCGGTTGCTGGGTCAGACCCAGTGTCATTCGATGGAGACGAGGTGGACATGCATTGGAAACGAACTTCTAAGAACGATTTAGAGGACAGGATCAAAGTAGTCCCTGGGGCCAGGAGGGACGGGACTAGTGTTTCTCCACTAGATATTTCAATCCCGAGACGTATCTGCATCGCTGTTGTCATCTGCAAGTCACTGGTAGTTCGTTTTTGATTGAATTTCAAAAGGTATTTATAGTCTGATGGTGCACGCGAGCACCAAGAGATGCCCAGCATCTTGGCGATGCTTGACTCGACATTGGCGATGCTTGTTCCTGCCTCCCATGTCCACCCAGGTCGTTGTTGCGCCGATCTTCTTGGTCCCAGAGATGTAGACGTGGTGCCCGCCAATCACCGCCCCCAACCCGCCCCCGTGCTCGCCCCAGTGGCCGTCTGGGGCTGGAGCTTATCCCGGGATTGGCCAATCATGGGCCGTCCTGATCCCACGCGCCCAGCTCGTGTCGACCACGCTTAAACTCTGTGTGTGAAAGTAAAAGTCACGAGGCATTGCTTACTTTACCTTTGTAAGGCGGGACACGTGCATGCCTTGTCGAGTCTCGGTGTACTCCGTTGGCTTCCGTCGGAGTGCCTCACACGTCACCAAATGGAGGGTATCGGAATAGAATGTCGGCTTCTTTCTGCTTTGTCGACGTCACTTGTGCTACGGAGCACCCGAGAATAAATCGGTGGAAAATATTCTGTAGCTGGCCAAGGATGTGTGAATTCCAATAGTCTCGGATTTGTACTCTGAAACAGATCACAGCAGCAGGGTGCAGGCAAATGTTACACCGTCCGATAGGCTCGACTGAGTGTCATGTGCCCAGAATCTCGAAGCAGCATTGCTGGGTATTTGTATCAATAATCGTATACCGTCACTTTTAACAATCCTACCTCCTGATGCAAGCACATTCATGTCGGTCTTAATGCACGCTATCACGGGTGGAGTCGATGTCGACAATAGCCCGCGGCTTGAATGAGCTTGATCATCATCTATACTGGGCTTGCAGGTCCCTGCATACAGTGAAGTAGCCGCATCGGTTTAAATTACAGGTTGAGAAGAACTGGTGGGGTCTGTGCGGTTGCTAACGAAGCAAAGCTAAGGCATCAAACGCGATGAACGGAATCACAGCCTCCCATACGGCGCTAGATAAAATCAGAGCCTCTGACCGTTTTCATGGGACTGGCATAATGAATTTAGCTGCTAAGCCTCTTTATGCATCAAATTTGACTTCAGTTAAGAATCTGGCGGGTCCAATATACTCGGTGCCTAGAACAATGAATGAACTTTAGACATCAGCCAAGATATCTTACCGATTAAAGGCCCAGTCTAGATTTTTTGAATCTCTACGGTCGCATGAATTATAAATCGTACACAGGAAGTTCAAGATCAATTCAAATCGATCTCAAAACCTCATTCAGATTACAACATGATGATTCCGTCCCGAAATATATCATGTATAGCGAGTGAAAGCGCCATGGCTCCATATCAACGTGAACGTCTCAAAATTACACAAAATCAGGCACTGGTCAAGTATTATTCAAGGAACAGGAGGCACTGACAAAAATAACTCTGCGCTTCGTGGGATCGTTGCTCTGTCTGATCCAATCTAAGATGTTGCTGACCGACAGCCGCCGACAGCCGCTGCGATGTGGATCTGCGGGGTGGCTTCTGTCTCCCCAGCTCACACGACTCGCCCTTTTGCTGTACATCTCCTCTCAAAAAACGAGCATCAATGAATGGAATTTATCCCCACTCTCCCCTGAAGAGGGGAAATAATATCTGTTGGAGCTGGGCACACTCGAAACAGTATGGCGTGATTGACGATGAGGAGTAGTACTGCAATTTGTAGCCCTTAAAGTAGACGTTGACCCCGGATTCACTTTTTCTCCAAAGTCACTCAGCCTTGAGCTTTCCCAATTGCAGTGTGCTCGAAAGCCTAGCGACTCAACATGACGACCAACCGTCCCAACATCATCTTCATCATGGCCGACGACCATGCGGCCAAATCCATCTCTTGCTACGGCGCTGGAATCAACCACACGCCCAATCTCGACCGTCTCGCCACCGAAGGCATGAAATTCAACCACTGCTACGTAACAAACAGCATCTGCACGCCGTCCCGCGCTGCAATTCTAACCGGAACGCACAACCACGTCAACGGAGTCATGACCCTCGACTCGAAAATCAACAAGCACATTCCGAATGTCGCCAAGCACCTTCGCGTGGGCGGGTATCAAACCGCAATGGTCGGCAAATGGCATCTGGGCGAAGGCAAGAACCACGAACCCACGGGTTTTGACTATTGGGAAGTCGTCCCGGGACAAGGCGAATACTTCGACCCGCAATTTATTGGACCGGACGGTATTCATCGCGAGTATGGGTATGCCACCGATATCATTACCGACAAGAGTCTCGACTGGATTAAATCCCGCGATCAAAAGAAGCCCTTCTTCCTCATGTGCCACCATAAAGCACCACATCGCAGCTGGGAATGTGACCCCAAACATAAAACTCTCTATAAAGACCCCATCCGTCTCCCGGATACCTTCACAGACGACTATAAGAACCGTGCGAAAGCAGCCTCCGTCGCGAAGATGCGCGTCGCCGAAGACCTGACCTACATGGATCTCGGACTCGCGCAGCCAGATGGCGGGAGGTCTGACGTCGGATCAAAGATGATGGATACATGGTCGTCGTACGACCGCAAGATCCCCGATCCTGAAGACGTGACGGCATTGAAATTGATCGACAAAGACGATGGAACCGTCTTCACCTTCTCTTCTCGAGTCGAGCTCGCCGAATTCAAATTCCAGCGCTACATGCAACGCTACCTTCGCACCATCCAGTCTATCGACGACAATGTCGGCCGGATGCTAGACTATTTAGATACGGAAGGTCTAGCAGAGAATACAATTGTCATCTACACCTCCGACCAAGGCTTCTTCCTCGGTGAACACGGTTGGTTCGACAAGAGACTCGTCTACGAGGAGAGTTTCAACATGCCTTTTCTCATCCGGTACCCGCGCGAAATCGCAGCTGGAAGCATCTGCAACGATATCATTAGCAATGTGGACTTTGCGCCGACGTGGTTGGATTATGCCGCTTGTCGGAAGCCATCATACATGCAGGGTGTGAGTTTTCGCGAGCTGCTGAAACAAAATACCCCGGCCGATTGGCAGCAGGTTGCGTATCATCGATACTGGATGCATCGTGATGTGATTCATGAGGCGTATGCGCATTATGCGGTGCGTGATAAGCGGTATAAACTGATTTATTGGTATAATGAGGGTTTTGGAATTGAAGGGACGAGACCTGGCGGGGAAGAGAAGGAGTGGGAGCTTTTTGATCTCGATGAAGATCCGTTGGAGCTGTTTAACTGCTATCGTGAAGAGAAATATGCAGGAGTGGTAAAGCATATGACAAGATTGTTGGAGGAGAAGATGGAAGAGATTGGCGATGAGCCTGTTCACCCGAGGGAGGCACACCTGTAAAAGGCCATGCTGGGTATGAGTATCCAATGATGGAGGATGTGCATGTCTATTGATGCTATATCACATGTCTATGATTGCACTATTGTACAGTGGTTATTATATACATACAGGAAAAATCGAAACAAACAAGATAAAATACAAGCCCGCTCAGACAGATACAAATGCTGGCATCAGAATATGAACAATGAGACAAATGTTCACATTAACTTAGGAAGAGAGTGGGTCTTGGGGGAAGAGGGGAGGAGGGGTTCTTGCGTAGTGTCTCCATGCGGATATTTGGGGTATCGGAGACTCGACGATCGTCGGGCGATGGGCACCTTGATGCCTTCATCCAGCATCTCGGATAATGTCATCGGGGGACGGGTTCTCCAATCATTGTCTATGATCTCAGCAGCCTCCAGCATGACGGATAACGGGAACATGGCGTGATAGCGATATGCCCCCGAAAGACGATCACGTTGGGCGACGGCGCTGGCCACTCGAAGCTGGAAGGTACGTTCTGCGCCAGTCTTAAACCCGGATGACAACAAATAACCCAAGGCGTTGTTGCGGAATTCCGAGGGGAGACCATCAATAACATACTTGGGGTACCATGTGTTCGGACTTTTGACAGGCAAATGCTGTTCAAGACCAGCGATAAATTTGCCTGCGTTGACATGCCAATTTCGGGTCTCTTCTCTGGTGATTCCCATTCTGACAGTGTGTCGACAAAGGGAGGACGTCACGATGAGTTTCATTCTGTAGGAGACGCACTCATATACGCAAGCGTAACGCCACAAAACACGGCAGATGTTATAGCGTTGAGCCTTATAGGCGATTCGGAAAAGCAGGTCGAATTCCTCTTCTGAAAGCCGAAACCCAGGGATGCGGAGTAGCTCGATTGTGTAACGGAGCGCAGCGGAGATATTGCGTCGACACATGCCCAGGACGGCTGAGAGAGTCTCACTGCCGACTGGAAGCTGACTTTCAAAACAAATTTTGAGCAGTGCATCCGTAGCAGCAAAATTTCGCTGGCGACAAGTGACGGCAAACATCTGGCTGAGCAGCGAAATAGAGAACCAATTGGCCCCGTGGGTATCGTACATTAGAGCGATGAATGATTCCATGCTTTGGCCGTTTTCCAGATGTATCCAGAGCGAATCATGGATTGTCAGCTGGAGCGATGTCCGAAGTATGCTCGTTTCCTTCAACAAGCCCTTATGGACCATGTGCGTCATGAGAGATGCCTTTGCACTCGGCGTGACCATTGCGCTCAGTAACGCGATCCATGTCTCTGGGTTTGGGCGAATCTGCGCTCGCGACATGGAGACTAGTAACTTCCGGAACATGATGATATCCTGGCGCCTGCCTGCGTACCGCAGAAAGATGTTATATGTTTCTGCAGTCGCAACATGCTCTGCTCGAGAAAAGACCACTCGGGCGATTCTGAGGAATTCGTGTTCACACAAGAAGGTCAGAGCCTGATTCAGAGCCGCAGAAGAACAGAGCTTTTGAACGTAATCTTGTCGAAAGAGGTACAAAAGCTCTTTGGCAATTTGTTCGTGGTGGTGAAGAATTCGATAATTGTTCGCAACCTTCTCAAACAGATGCGGTGCCCGGGCATGAGTCAGATCATCGATGTATTCTGCAAGCTCTCTGACGGTATTGATAGACGAACGTTGCGCGATGACCTCATCCACGCTGAATTCCTTCCCATAGGCTTTGGGGAAATACCATATCCCTCGAACCATTGGGACTGGGATATTCTTGCGTCGCATCAGGTCCGTGGAGGAGAACATAGGAAGCAAAGGCTTGGACATGCTGACAAGAGGATCCCCACTGGATTGAAGGGACTGCTGGCGTCTGAACCGCCCTTCCACAATTTCCGTGACATGGTCTGAGCCTGACAATATCACCTTGCGGTTGATACCGTCGCCTTCTCTCGGGTGCAGTACCTGCACGCGACACCCGTTGTGAACGGCAATGTACCAGACGTTTTCCTTCATAGCCGCATCAGTAACCCCAGACAGTAACCCAATGGTCTCCTCCGGGAGATATAGCTCCCTCTGCCTGTAACTCTTTCTTGTTCCTTGGTAGCTTCCCTGTTCTCGTCTTTCCAAGACATCCTTGAGAGATAGCCAGTTACCAGATGATAGGCTGACATCGCCGGTTCGCCTTTTGAGCCACATTCCATAACGCAGCTTCTTTTGATCCCGGCGAGACAGTCTGTATTCTGGTCTGAGTCTCCGAGAAATGCTTTGTTGAGATGTACCCGGAAATCGTGACGTGAGGATATCCCTGTTGCGTCTTCTGTTTTTCCAGATAGTCGGAGGGGTTCTGTTCGGAGTGTCGACTTCGATACCGGCGAGATTTTGGACCGGTCTCCTGGGCCCTGTGGCCAATGCGGCCAGTGCTTCGCTGCCATTGCCTGGGCCAGCTCCCTCGTTGTTTACTTCTCCCCGATCAAGATTGACCGCTCTTTCTTCTTCCGCGGCCCTCTCTTGCTTTGCTGCAGCCCTTTTCTCCGCCGCTCTTTGCTCCGCGGCACCCCTTTTTTCTGCGACGGCCTTCAACCGATTAGGCCTCTTGTTGGCCGTGCCCGCAGCGTTCGTAGAGATCCATTTGCTCGATTGTCGACGAAGCGCGGGCGACGAGGCACGCGGGCGAGGAGGTTGCAAAGAGCGATCAGAGGTTCGAATTGCCTTTGAAGGAGCCGCGGCGGGTGTCAAGGACGCGATCGATTGCTGTCGTTGCAGAACGGACGCGGCCCATCGGGGGTAGAGGAACAAAAGAGGTTCGTCGGGGCCAGCCGCAACGGTGTCCAAGACGACAGGCAAGCGTCTTCTTAGACACGGTCGGCCACGCGCGAACATATGGGACAGTTCTCTAGAAGTATCCTCGGCATGGAGGGGGGAGGTGGGGAGGTGTTGGTGGTGCTGGTTGATCGAGCTTGGCTCCGAGTCCGAAAATTGTTTGCGCGGGAAGGGTAGGCGGTGACTCTGAACCCTTCCCTTCCATCTGATAACTTCCGTCCGTACTTCCGCCATACTTGAAGCGTACCTCAAAATAAACTTGGGCAATATGGAAGGATACCTCAAGTGTTTATGCTGAATCGTATTTGTAATAATATAAAGCCGAATATTACGTATACCTACGGCTGCCCGAAGATACTATGTACATCTGTATCTCAGTAATCAATAAATGTGAGCTTCCCGACCGACCTCCGCAGCCTTTGGAATACCCCTAATCTCCTTTGCTTTGGTTACAAGCAAAGGTTCATCTGTAGCCTTTGCTCGGATTGAAAGCAAAATATCATGTCGCGACCTCGGTGTCAGGTCAAACAGCCCGCCTCCCGAGTCGCCATGGGTATCTGCGAAGACGTCCGGGCCCGTGACGTGTTGCTTGGCGGATTCGACTGCCTGAATGAGGTTATCTTTCTTCCGCGTTATTCTTTCCGAGTCCTTGTTTTCCGGGTCTGGGATTGATTTCGAGAGTCGGTGGATGACGCTGACGAGGTAGGTGACGAATTGCCAGCGAGAAGCTTGGAATAGGAACGTTGACATGATCTCTGGTATCTGGGGAGGGGAAACTTAGCATAGTTGACGAATGAAGGAGGAAAGGAGAGACCTACCTTGTCATTCAAATAATAAATCTCTTCACCACCCTCTTCCACAAACTTCTTCAACACATCAATCTTCTCGCGATCAATGGAGGTAAGTTTCAGGGCATGCATCAAAGTCGGGATATCCCCAATCTCCTCAAGATGCGCCTCCTCATCCATCTTGGTGCTGACCCGACTCAGAAATCCTGACTCCACCCGCGAAAGCCCAGTCACACTTTGTTCTCGACTGCGGACCTTGGAAGAATGGATGGTGAAATAATCCTCAGTCAACATATGCGCCTGCTCAAATCCCGATCGACCACGAGGGCGCTTCTCGGGGATCTTCGTCCGCAATCTAACCCATCGTCGCCGGCGCACCCACGAGTGAAACCACGGATGTGTGCCGTGCCATTGGGACGAGCTGAACGAGAACGAATATTGCCAGCCCTGCTCGTCCACGTCGCCGGACATGTCGACATACCACGTCCGCCAGGACCACTCCCAGCTTGGGTCTGGGAGTTGGGCATTAGTTATATTGACGGGGCTTTCACTCTTGTCTTGGGTCATCCAGGCACTTGGGTCGAAGTTCAATAATGAACTGTGCGAGTAGAGCGGGATACCGAAGATGAACGATCCACGCTGGTTTTCGTAGAGCACGTCTAATTCCGAGACGGGCTTTTTCTCGCCGGAGGCGGGGGCTTGTCTATTTCCCCCGGTGATGTTCGTAGTGTCATTCGTATGGCTCTGTGTTCGAGTTGGCGCAAAGTCGACCGTGTCGCTTTCTTGCAGGCCCAGCCCGCTATCTTGTTGGGAGGGCTGTCTGGTGGCGGGACCTCCTGAACTCGCTGCTGAGGCTGATCCCCGCACCCGTGACGATTCTCTGCTCAGAGATGTCTCCGCGTCCGATGTAACCCCAAGTCGTCCGGGCTGCCATTTGGCGTATTTTCTCTTCGCGAGCTGTCCTGATACCGATACGCGGCTGAGGTGTCGAGAGAGGTGGCTCTGGCGACCGGTTGTGGAAGATCGTTGCGGGGAATCCCCGTTGCTAGGCTGCTGCGACGGGACAGTATTATCCACGAGGGCGATGCTAGCAGTGTTCTCCTCCATGGTTATTATATCTTGGAATTGTTATGCGGTGTGTTGAATAGACGATTCGCTGCTGTATATCAGAAAATCTTTGGTTGGGACTATCGCAAAAGTCGCAGTACAGAGGTCGCAGGCATTATCTTGATGGTGATCGCATCACTCCACTACTGGCCCGCAGCGAGGAAAGAGATGGTATAGAGTAGTCAGGCAGCTGAAGCTATGCCAGAAAAAAAAAAAAAGACAAAGGAGGAATAATGGCGAGTGGGAGTAGTCGAATTAAAGAAGGAGCTGGAAAGAACGTTGGGAGGGAAAGGAGGAGGTGAAAAGTGAAGTTAAACCTTGCGCCGATGACATCGTTTGCGGGGGCTGCGCCAAGCCTTTCCCTCAGCGCGTGCAAAACTCCAAACTCCGCCGATAACAACGTCAACAACATCATCATGGCCGCGCCACAGTACCGCAAGATCGAGCTGCAGTCACCAGCCGACTTTACCTACCTCTACGCAAATGCCGTCGCGCTCTCGCGACAGAAACTCGATCTCAATTTCCCCCCCTTGGCGACGGACGATGACACTCCGGATCCGATGCGCGAACGCGTCCAGCAGCTGGTAGACGAGGTAAGAGGTGACCGCAGAAAAAGACAGAGGGAAACAAATACAGTGCAAATTCTGATTTAGAACAGTACATACATGAAACCTTTTCAACAGCCGCCTCCTCAATCAGCATCAATGGAATCGACTCGACTTCACCACAATTCCCCTTCCCAGAGGCATTCACCACACAAGAGACCGTCGAATATGAACCATACGACTCGGAACTCGCCTCACGCGTGACGGCGCTCTACGCACAGCTGGAATCCCTCACTACGAACGTCGCGCAACTGCGACGAGACGCGCCGCGGAAAGCTGCGAAGGAATATGCGGCGCAACTGGCGCAGGTGATCAAAGAGGAGGAGGAAGGATACGAGGGGCTTGAGATTGATAAGACAGAAGAGGCAGCACAAGACAGTGGTAACACCGAGCATGCAGCTAAGAAAGCAGGCGAGGCAATGGACGTTGATGGGGAGGGCTCTGCGAAAACACAAGGACCGACGCGACGGCGTCGTCGCGATCGTCCTGATCCCAAGTGGAATTTGGAAATTGCGCTCGGTACGGATGAAGAGGCGGAGCGGTGGAAGAATGGGGATATGGCCGAGGTATATGAGGATGCACTCCGGACGTTGCAACGGTTGCAGGGCGAAGGGGATGCAGATGGTGTGGTTGGTACCGAAGGCAATGCGTTGGCTACCACTGTGGGCAAGGCTGAAAGGGCTGCACGTGCTGCGGAGGTTGTGGAAAGTATGTGAGCGTGCTTTTGCCGACTTCAACTTAGTGTTATGGTTGGATTCTGGTCTTTATTTTGAATGTGGGAGGCGTTTGGTTCAAGGGCTTTAACTGGGGATCATGATACCAATGTATATTCTTTTGTCAACGGCTTTTCTTCCTGGTGAGCCATTTCTGCGTTGAATTTACTCCTTTTTATTACTATCACCACTCTGCTCACAAATTCTATTTATCAGATTCACCGTACGAGTAAATCGAAAACTGACCGGGGAAAGTGTGATTTCGGCAATGTCACATTTGCTATATGCTCTCTCGTGTATACACTCCTGATCGGGTAACGAAAAGAATAAAGCCAGTCTTCACCTCCACTCCCAACTCGCTTTTGAGAATCCCATCCCACCTTTCCCGTTCTATATCGAGAGCGGATGTGTCCGCATATTTTAAACATGTAGAAAGCAAATGGGGATAAGAGGTCTCCATGATATCTAGATCAAGCAGAACAATAAAAAAAAACTAAATTGGGGGGGGGGGGGGGGGGGGCAGAGAGTCCACGGGTCGTGGTTGGGTCGTCGGCGATGATGTGTTGAAACTCCCAAAGGGCCTGGGCTGCCAATTTGAGGTGTTGAGGTGTCAGATGGGACAAGTCACAAGTTATTCCACGACCGACATCTCGGAGGGGCTGCAAAAGACAGTCTATCTGGCACTGGCATGGCACTCCTCCACACTTCTTGCTCGATTTTCTCGTTTTTTCTTGAGTTTAGTACGCAGCGGAAGGTGGGCGATGGGCATGCCCGGCAAGTGCGAATGGTGTGAACGAATGAAAAGAGTCTATATCAAGATTTATGCGCTGGTCTGCACACCCTCCTGGCCCTCGGCATCCTTCTTCTCGTAGCCGGGGTCGGCGTTCTCGATAGTGGCATCTGCACCCTCCTTGGCGGCCCAGGCAGGCTCGCGAGCCCACTCGGCCTCCTGCCAGGGGCCCATGTCGGACAACTCGCAGCCGCCCTCGCACTTGCAGGAACCGCCGAACTCAACGGGCAGGTTCTCAGCGGGGACCTGATCCAGCAGTTCCTTCTGGTATCCGCCGCCGAGGACGTGGATCTTCTTGACGGTGACGGGGTCCAGGAAGCCCTTGACGACATTGAAGAAGGAGCTGAATCCCCAGGGAGCGTTGATCAGGTAGAACTTGCCCAGACGCTCGGGGTAGTAGTTCTGGGAGATCTCGGAGGCCTGGCGGACGTAGCCATACACGGAGGGGATGCTGGTGACACCGACGCCCTTCAGATCCATAATGGTGCAGCAGGTCTCGAGGAGCTTGCCGGCCTTGCGCGAGCAGGCGGGCAGACGAGGGTCGGCCAACTTCTCGTACTCGGTGACAAGGTTCTGCAGCATGCGCTCGCTAGTGGTGATCTTGTACATGGCGTTCAGGTCGATCTTGCCCAGCTTTTCGATGTAGATCGGGCGGCCATCCTGTGAAGGCGTACAATTGTGTCAGCCTTCCATCCGAATGTCCCCGGGTGAAATGAATTTCCAACACTTACCTTGTCGGTCTTATGATAGTATTGAGGGTAGTACTTGAACACCTCGGGCTTTTCCGGGTACTCGAAGGTGGCGGGTAGGTTATCGGTGCCGAACTCCTTGCGCCACTTCTCGCAGTGGACGAACCTATATGCAACGGAGAATTAGACAATTTCTCAACGGAATTTAGGCGACTGGGCGGAACGCCCGACGAGCGCGGGGAGGCAACGTACATCTGCTTGGCGAGATTGACGTCAAACTTGCGGGCGCGTAGGAAGCGGAGCAGAGTCAAGGTGTCGAGGCGCTGGGTGTAGCCCTCTTGCTCGAGCATTGAGCGCAGCTGGTACACCTGCGCATCCTGTTCCGGGGTGGTGTGGCCGGGGTGGCCAGACTGGGGTTCCGGCGCGGTGGTGGGGAAGTCGTACTGGTCGTACTTGGGGTCGGTGGGCAAAGCCTTTTCAGCCATGGTGGATGTGTGCGAGGGCGAAAGAAAGAGGGGGGGGGGGGAGGGAGGGAGGAATGCAGTGGAGGGGAGAGTTGCAGGAGGAAGGCGGAAGTGGGCGAGTGGCCACTTTTTGATGGAGCTGTCACTGGAACGGGGGATCGCCCGCCGTCAACAACACAGCACGAGACGCCGATGGGTCGGTCAGGAGACTCGAGCTTAATTTATTCTGCGGCAAACATTATTTCGACACAGGAGCAATTGTGGATTGCCTTGGGTGTTGGGCTATCGACGTCTGGTTTACCCCAGTGGCTAAGCCAGGTCACCAGGACAATGAAATGAATTGGCGAAAAAAATTTATAATAATGGTAATATAACGAAATAGAAGATCCCCGTTGCGTGTTGGCTTCACTCCAATGATATACAAATATGGTGTTTTTTTGGTCCCATCTCTTATATACTGACCAAATAGTATCTGCCGAACACTTATGATAGCCGGATGCGAACCCCCTTTCTCGCGGGTTGCCGGGTTACTTCCAACACAATTCCCCATTGAGTTCGGAGTTGGACGTCGATCAACGCAGGCCTTGAGGAGGGGCATGAGGCGGTGTCGAAAGGATAATCCACTTGCATGTCAAGTCGCCCTAGTGAGGAGCTAAGGAGAAAATTTTACACGAGATGGACTGCGAGGGTAAATTGTAAATCCCCAAAAAGATGTGTAGGGACCTTCCTCTAATTTCTGTACAGGTTTGGAGAAAGACGCAAGAGCGGGTATTGAAACCTGAAAAGGGCGAAACCAGAAGGCCACACGAAAAAGCAGCAGCAGGCAAGAGCAACAAAATAGAGTAGAGTATTATTATACACAGCGCAGGGGAGACCCGGGGGCCCGAGCGGTGACGGCAAAAAATAAAAAATAAACATCAAAACAGGTCTGGGATTACTGGACAGATAGGCCGAACCAGTGGGGGGGGGGGTAAACAAACAACTATGCGCTGGGTATAAAATTGCAAAAAAAACCACAAAGGAAATCTCAAAAACATCCAGATCGTCGGCAGGCCCGAGCCAGCAGGCGCAGCCTCTCGATCGTCCTCCGAGTGATATGTTCGTGTATCGACGGCATTCACACTAGACATAAGCCTCGCCTGGTGTACCAAGGCAGACACCGGTCGGGTTCGTCGCAGAGCGTTCATTCAGTCCATCGCGGGTCGAGGGATGGACGGCAGATGGAAGGGTATGGGTATAACATAGAGATTTCCGTGTCCATCAGATCATCAAAAAGATTAAAAGCTGCGGGCGTTCGCAGCCACGCGAGCGTGTGTAGGGGGAGCAGGTAGATGTAAAATGCGAACCCTTTCCTTGGTCTCGTAGTCATCATAAGAGATAGGCATCAGCCGGCAACCCTTGGAAGGTGCAAGTGCGATGGTGTTTACCATCCCTTCTTGCGTGCAAATCGTTTGTTCAGCAGGGCGAGCACCTTGGTGACATTGAACTGAACATATTCCAGGTCTAGGTCCTCCAGATTATCCTTCTGCATCTCCAGCAGGTCATCGAGCTTGAGATCCAGTTCCAGCAAGCCGCGGGCGCGACCCTTGTAGTGCAGACTGATCACAAAGGTGCCGGGCAGCGGGCTCTTGAACATGAAGTAGATGTTCGCCCGACGATTCTCGGGGACATTGCTGCGGCGAATGACGCCCTCCTTCTCCAGCTGCTGATGAGTGAACTTGTACGGGCCCAGCTCCTGGTGCTTCTGTGTTTTCCGCTGCTTGCCCTCGGACTGGCTGCGGACGTTGTGGAGATAGGATTTGTACGTCTCCAGCTGGCCCACCAAATAAGCATTATGGTCGCGGATGGTGGCAAACACCTCTTCGAGTTTGCGTGTCTCGTCCAAGACCTTCTCCTTCAATGAGCCGAGGTGCACCAACTCCTGCTCCACCTCGTCCCGGAGAAGGCTGAACTCGTCGGAGCGATCAATCACGCCCATGTCCTGCAGCTGGCTCAGCAATTCCATGGTGCGAATACCTTTACGCACCATCACCGCGTCATTCTTGAGCGTGGCGGCGGCCTCCGCAATGCGATCCAGACGCAGGGGGCGGCGAGCGACCGAGGAGTTGGTTGGTAGTGATCGAAGAATCTGCACAAATGTCGACTTGGCCTCCATGAAGAAGACCTCCTCCTGGGTAATATCCAGGGCCGAGGTCAGATCATCCAAAGCGGTCTCCCAGCGACTGAAGAGGGGCACTGTGATGGTCCGATTCTCCTTGCGAGGCACCTGCGCGGGCGCGGTGCCCAGCTCTTGGAGGAGCAGAGCCAGGTGCGAGTTGTGGTCCTGGGCGAGGGCCGCACTGTGCTTGTCCAGCAGAGCGTGGGTGGCGTACATTTCGTTCAGGGTGATTTGCAGCTCGAGGTCCCGCTTGGACAGAGCCACGTAGTTGTCCATCTCCAGACTCTCGTAGAAATCCTGCACCTCGCACAGGTCCAGCAGGAACTTGTTCACCCGCTCCTTGTTGCTCTCGATGAAAGGCTGGAGGCTCGCCATGTAGGGCTCTTTGGCGTACGACGGCTTGTTGGCCAAGTTCTGCAGCATCTTGGCAATCAGGGTCAGAGTTCGGCGGGGCTTGTCGGTCGGAGTGGCATCGATCAGCATGTAGGAGCGCGGTGTGACAATGGCGGGGTTGATGAAACGTAGAAAGAAGAAACCGCCGATCAGGGTACAGATGGTCTGGTCTTGAGCGTCGGGGTACTTGCGGCGCGACAGACTGCGAATCTGCTTGCAGATCCACCGGATACCATACGGGGTCTCATCCACGGACTCAATGATCGTGGTCAGGAACCCGTTCGCAATGTCGGTCAGCATCTTCAGCCGCGGCGCAATAATGGCCTGCACCTGTTTATTATCTGCAGCATCCTCGGCGGTCACCGAGCGAGCCAAGTAATCGGGCAGAGAGCCGGTCTCCTCTTCGATTTGTCTCACCATGGACTCGTACACCTTCAGGGGGTTGATTTCGAGATCCACGTCACGCAATTCGATCAGTGAGTTGATCCGGTCCGCCAGGACCTGTTTCAGATAACTCTGACCGGGACCCCGGCGGGTGTAGGTGGTCATCATCCGCGACACGGGGGTATTCTGGCGCAGGAGGGACGAGTACTCGGGGGTGTTGTCGAATTGGTAGGTGAGGACCGACTGAAACATGGTGAGCAGCAGGTGCTCTTCGCGACTCTCGTACTGGTTTCCATAGATGGTGAACATGACGGTCTGGAGGAGGGAATCGATTTCGGCCATGGAGACGAGGCGGCACAGGTGGGCGATATGGCGGGGCTCGGATTGCAGGAGGAACAGCAGATTGCCGTATTTCTGAGTGCGTTCATCGTTGGGAAAGAATCCTTCTTGGGGATCGGCGGTGTCGTCGAGATGGCTGGCGACTTCGTTTTGCTAGAATGGACATCAGTCATTGCCCCTCTCCCTTTCCCCTGTATGACTTCCTAAAGGGGCGGGGAGAAATCAAAATCTTACCTCCTCCAGGGCCATGCGGTTTTGAATCAACAGGGCAATTCGCGAGTCCAAGTATCGTACATCCTTTTCCAATACGAAATTCTTCTTAGATTGGGACGAGATCTTGGACTTGAGTTCTCTCAAGTGCTTTTGCGCTATACAGAGGGGTCAGTGTCAGCACCACCACCCATTCTGAAAGAGGCTGGACATACCGCGTGCCAGGTCATCCGAAATCTCCAGGTCCCTGTCCTTGGCGGACATGGACAGGTAGAGTGCGGTGACCGACATCCGCTTGGATTGGCGGAGCGACCGAGTATCGTGCGACGACATGGTGTTTTGTCGTGCGACAGGCTGAAACGAGGATGAGGACGACGAAGAGGCTCGGGAGATTCTCGAAGGTTGCAGCATGGTAGCCACGGACATGGTGCGAATCGGCGAGGACCGTCCTGGAAAAAGGGCGGTTGTGTCGACTGCACCGCAGGCTGCGCGAGTGGTCGGAGCGGAACGAGGGTGTGCCTTTAAGCGACGACGCGTCAGTCGATGCAATCGCGAGCGATAATCGGTCGTCTCGAAGGCGCCAGTGCATCCAGGTTCCTACCTCTCTTCACTCCCAGCGTAGACCAGGCGATGTGGGAAGTCGGGGGGCCGTCTTCGGGCGACAGGGGGTCGGGCGATGAAGGGCTAGAGCGGCGACGACCGGCTGCAGAGTGGCCAGATCGAGCGATACGAGGGCGACGGGATTCCAGGAACGCCGAGAGTGGAAAGCGCGAAGAGGGAGGAGGGGGGAAAAGAGGAAGGTGAAGAGGGGGACGGAGGGGGAGATTATTATTTCGTTAGTTGCTGTTAGGGCGGTTCTGGGGAAAAGGAAAGGGAAAACTGCGGTGGAGCAGACCCATCATGATTTCCGAAGGGGACCAAAAAGCGATTTATTAATTTATTCGTCCATCGTCATGCAAGGGACTGTAGTATTTTTCTACTCAGTATTTCGCGTATCTTAAACGTGGTGTATTCTGGCATACACATACATCGTACACATAGAGTACGTCGATTACCCCTGGCTAGCCTAAGGTACTGTAGGCGTCGCCACCGCGAACCTCCCCTTTTTGCTGCTTGCCACCGACTGGACGTCCCTCTAACACTTACCGCAGGAGATGATCTCTCCCACCCGTCCACTTTTCCACTTTTTCCGCTGGCTCCACTTCGACTTTGAGTATATGCTGACTTGGCAGATTCGCGCTTCTCGGACTTCGTGCTGGCGCGACTTGCCGAATTACGTCAGGGCCAACGTTCACCCCTACACAGTCAAATCACTAGTTACACGGTGCGGTACCTGCATCCGAGCCAAGTGGTGGACATCCTCCAGCCGCACTGACCGGGGATTGCTGGGGGCCAAGGATGCTCTGTTCTGGTGTCCACGAGACCTCCATATGGACGACATTCTTGTTGGAGCTGGGTTTCAGATTGATTCGACTGGGACGCGACGGACTGGAAGGGCAAGCCCACTGCATTCCAGTATTCCAACTGGTCGCGTCTCGCTACTCCTACGCTAAAAGTTGAGGGTAGGATATACCATCGCGAATATTACTGAAGTTGTACTGGACTGCTGGAAACTGCATGTCCAAAAAAAAGAGACCGGAAACTCCACTTCCGCGCACCAAAGACATGAACGGCACTGTCGCAGGTGCAGCAGTCGTTTGACACTATCAACGGATGTCTCAGACGCAAGGCTCCTGACGGACCGCAGCCGGATTGGCAGCCGGCCCCCATATCCGACATTGTGTCCGCGTGGATGACGAGATGAGCTGAGGTTGCCTCGAGGTCGAGCACGCAGTACATACATTTTCGAATTCTTTTCCATTCCCCGTCATGGCAGCTGGTCTCCCGAAAGAGATTTACAGCCTGATGATTCGTTCCACGTTCACTTACTACTATACGATCTCGCGAATGTCCCCTCTTCCTCACTTCCTCTCTTCCTCCCTGCGCCTCGCGGGGCCTGTCGGTGTCCCAAGCTCGACGCTATGCTCTAAGGATACAATGCTCAAAGCTGGTATGCGGGGGTCCGCGACGCAATGTCTTTGCTTTTCTTTGTCGTTGCTTTTTTTTATCTCCATAGACTAACCCTTTTCAACCCCGGCGCTGCTGGGACATTCCTGGTCAGTGCTTTCTGCTCAGGGGTAAATGCGCGAGAGTGGAGCCTTGCGCCGGTGGGCCTCGCGGGAGACTCGAGCGTTCCCTCTCTTCTCCGCAGCCGTGAACGCTAGGCGCATGGAGACTGTCCTACCTCCCCCTGATCGCGGGACCGTTCTGCTGTACTCCATAACACCAGAACCCTGAGACATCGGGATGGCGGGAGGGATGCAACCGTGCCAACTCAGCCAACTCTACCGGCAGCAAATCAACAGGAGTATTTCCGGTATTGTCAATCCATAACGTGGTCTATCTTGATATTCCTAAATTAACCAACCCGGGCGATCAACCACACGGGCCACCTGCATCCCATCCCGTCCGTCATGAAACGCTGCCAAGCTCCGTCGCAGATCCGTCGCATGCTCGACTCCCAGCCCCTTTCTACTTACAACTCAAGTACATTGGCCGTGCTTCCCGGGGGCTCCCGTGCACTAACCACCGTTCATTCGTTGCCACGCCGTGGATGTCAACGGGATCGGCAATGCATGCATTGCCTCCTCCTGTACGGCACATTGCGAACAACGTAGTTCGGAGGAGCCGGACCCTCCACGGCCACCAAGTGGAGATCCCCTCTGCTCTCTACCTTTTCCGGGCTCGTTAATCGGTGAAGAAGATCCCATTGAAGCGTATTTGCCCGACGTCGAACCTTGCAGTCTTTTTGGCGGGGAATGGCGCCCATGCGCGATGATGTCGACTGTCGCCTGACCGGCTGAATCGGTCTGTGCATGGCTTTTTTCTATCTTCGGTGCTATCGTAGTGACTGGCGACTGCTGACAGCTGCCATTGTGATTGCCATGTGACGTTGGTCGCGATTGCAATGTTAGTGCTATCGAAGCGTTGATAGTGTTTCTGGTTCCATGGCACTGGATCTGCAGTAGTCCTAATGGGATTTGGCTGTTCTACATATGTAACAACGCATAGAGATAGTCAATATACTGGATCTACCGAGTATAATTTTAGCGGTCCCAAAGCAGTTTTGAGGTAGAGAATAGGCAGAGCAAGATGCTTAGCGTGGGAATGGCACGGTATGATTGATGTCCAGCCCACCTCTACATAAGGTTATCCCCTACATATAGCACATTAATGCTATGTACAGGTATGCACCGTCGTGAGGAAAGAATGCCCGAGGCATCAAGGCAAACCGACCTGTGGCTGGTTGCCTCCTCGCTAATATAACCATTCAAGACCTGTTTGAACCTGGGCTCTCCACGTCCATGGTAGGATATCCCAAGGTGGCTTGGGCTTATCTTCGGTCATCAAATGCCATTACCCCTATGAACATACATTCAATGTTTGATAACTGCTGTAGCTAGTGTAGATGCAAGAAAAGCCGTTGCGCAGCTGGTATCCAATGGGATGATCGCCCTAGCAGGTTGCGCTATCTCTGCGGCTGACGGCAATCAGCTGCATTCATCCCCACCGGCGGCAGGTTGATTTGGAATTCGACAGGTGGAGTCGCTTTATTCGAAGCATTGAACGTTGGATTGCATTGCAATTTACTGGCAGAATGGCTATCAAAGTACCACTGTATGCAAACAACTGCGTGTGACACAGGGAGGTACAGCATCATGTACGGCATACTGATCACCCCAACTTAGGTATTCTTTTTCTCGTCTTCAGCCGCCTCTCCCTCCTCTTCTTTATCACCCTCGCCCGCTCCCTGGACCCTCGGAAGCCAAAAACGAGTAATCATCCCACCCAAAAACCGCTGATCGAACCATTTCACCAGCCCATAGAAGATCCACCCCCAGCCCCACAGCGAGACGCCCATCATACTCGCAACCAACAGCACCGGACCCAGGATCAACAGCGACAACAGAGCCCACAGCAGCAATGAGACAGCCGCGAACACAAATACACCAGCTAGGAATACTAGCAGTGGAACACCACAGCAGATAAGCTGACAGACAAAAAAGGTCGAGGCGATCGGCCGGTTAAACGCAGCCTCGTACATCTGCGCCTGTTTCGGGGGCGGGAAGTATCGATCGATAAACCATTTCACGGCCCACTCGAAGGTATCCATGGCCTGCGGGAAGAGACCATGTGCCCACCCACTGAAGGAAGACCAGATGGCCGAGATGTTGATTTCGGGCTGGGACTTGTCATGGTCGCGGGGTGCATCGTCTGATGGGAACTCGCCTGGGAGAACGGGCTCTTTAAGGGTTTCAGTGGTCTTATTGACTTGTTTGAGGGGCTCTTCCGTTGCTGATTGGACGCTGTCTGTTGCGGTCGATTGGACTTTGTTCACTGGGAGGCCTTTGCCGAGGCCGCTGTTGACGGGGTCGAGAGACATGAGGATGATCGGTGAGGGTCGGTTGCAAAGCAAGACCTATAATGTGATATGGATCTGCTGAGATACGCAGTGTATGTGTTCAGACTTCTGGGAAAGGATGTGAGCTCAAAGACAATCCTGGAGCTCGTTCTGAATCAATCTGATCGCGATAGACCCATGACGTAGGGGGCGCCGCGTAAACTTGATAGAACATATTAATTCTACGATCCATTCGTCTTCAGGCGAACCAGCAAGCAACAAGCGAGAAAAGGTTTTCGTTGCGAAACGATGACTTCAATGTCGCTGCGATGTTGCACAAAAACCAATCGTCTTAAAGTTCGGAGTTTATCTGCGGCAACACTGAGGGTACAGGCGTTGCGCCTCTGACCTCGGGGGTCATGCCAGGTGATCAAGACGACTGCGTTGAAAAGTTACACACATGAAGCAGAATATAGGTACAGGCACATCGTGACAGGACTTGGCTAGTGGTAGTAGCACACCAGTACTTTTATACTGCTACCTACTACTGGTACTGTGAGTTGTCCTCTGGAACATATAACTTTGATCACGTGATTAATACATGCACTGCCACAGCCGCCACAGCAACTATGGCACACCCGCGCAATGTAGAGATTGGGGGCAGCAATTTCTGGGAATCAAATACATAAACCACTACGAGCCTTTTGAGGCCGTCTTTGCTACCCGAACCCAGGCCAATATCAAGACTCGATCAGACTTCTGCATGCAAATGGCGCATCAAGCGCACAACATCAGAGAACACACACACACACACACACGATCACTTCCTTCCTACACTACGCTCGTGTAGACCTGACAGACTGCGCTTCTGGCGAGGACGGAAACAGATGATCGAGATTGGTGAAGACGAATGTGAGTGAACAGGTGGTTGTTCTTCTAGTCTATCTAGTCGGGAACATATATATACTTGACACAGGCTGTTGAGATTGGATACGGTGAAGCACTGAATATTGAATAAGGGCCTGCTAGACAAATCGACCTTGATGGAATTGACGGAACTTGAACTTGTCTGTATCAAACTGTCTACATGCGATTCTGGGGGTATTTATCCCTGAACGGGCGCCAAGCCCCCTGACAGTAGTAAACCCTTATTATCGGTCTCGATCGGTGTTCTTCCATGAAGATCCCCTGAATGTAGAATATAATGTCGGCAAGAGCGTTTGAAGCGCATATCAAGCTTAGTGCCTCGGGTTTCCCTGAACAGGCATGCCGACAGAGGTTGGGAATGAGGCATCAATTCGGTGCCTTATCCTGGAACTTCAACACAGGCACCGAACACGGCTATGTGGTTATTCTGCCGAACTCGCAGTAGTAGTGCATGCTAGTCCCCCACTACACTACTAAGCATGCATTAGAAGGTTAAAAACTATATTAACCAAAAAAAAAAACCATCGGGACACATCCTATACTGAGAATTTAAGAAACTCCAAAGTAGGAACACAGACATAGGAGTGGATTACTATAGACTTCATCAAGAAATTACCAGAACCAGATGGATGTAACATGATCATAATAGAGTGTAGTGGACAAATTCATCAAGTACACCTGTATAATCCCAATCACAGAAACTATCCATGCTGATATAATAGCTAGTCTGTTATTACGATATATCTTCACTAACCACAGCATACCATAAGAAAACACATTATCTCGCCGTATATATTGGTTCTCCTCTTCTTCTTGATGAAGTTATGAATACTTGAGGCTGTACGAAATCAATTGATTGTTCGCTCCGAATATCAAGTATATGCATAATAGTTCATGACAGACATGTGAATTGAGGGTTGTCCATACCAATCACATTGAGGAAATTCTTCGACGAGTGTTTCCCAGAAGATATCATGCGGGCGGATCGTGTTGATCTAACTGCAGGTCTGCTCGAGTGCCTTTTGCAGCCATTTTACCGTGAAGGGCTTAGAGCCCAATGTAGCTACCGAGTGAGGGTATCGGACGCGTTGATTGTGAAGTACCTCCTCGCAGGAGTAGACTTGACTTTGTTGAGCATCATGTTGGAAGAATGTGTGAAACGACTTGTTTTGAGTTGGATATGTGAAGATGAATGCTCAGGGCAAGAATCGTTCACATTATGGACTACTAGTAGAAACCATCATTACCACATCAGTAGTAGTCCTCGTTGTGGTACCATGCATCCTCCTTCCCGAAAAGGCAAAGTAAAGTGCGGCCCTGGCGGTGATCAGCCGATGTTGTCACAACCCATCAGATACCGTACTTCCAGTAGTAGTAATATAGCCGGTATCACGAAGAACGATATCAAATTACCATAACCTCGATATGCATTCGCGGCTGAGCACGTAGTGTCCCAGTATCCGCTCAGACGCCAATGAAAGTGCAAGTCTATTTATTCAGGTCATTTCCCATAAGCATTTCATGACACATAATGCCGATGACCCAATAGCAAAAGGGGTATCTCGGTCTGTAAAAGAAACTCAGTTGCCGTTTCCTTGGATCCCGGCCACAGGTAAAATCGGCGCCTCCACGTGTTCTGGATGAGGTGGTCCGTAGGGTTCGAATGCGGTCCGAACAGACCCGACGCCATCTTTGAGGTAAAGCACGAGTCGATAGGCGGAATTCCCGTTCAAGTAGTATCGGTGGAGTCGTTTGCTGCGCAGGAAGCCGAGACGCTCGTACAGCTTCATCGCGCCCGTGTTGGTGATTTCGGTTTCGAGAACGATCTGGAAAACTCTCGCATTAGCAATGAACCAAACAAAACCGTCTAGCTGCACTGTGCACTATGCAAATACACACCTCGTCTGCATCGCGTTCCGTCATCGCATCAATCGCCATGCGGACCAATCTCGTCGCGATGCCTTGTCCTCGATACTCTTCGCGCACGGCCAGCATGGCAATGTACCCCCTCAACGGTCCCCCGCGATGTGGCTCCAGCTTCGACACCACGACTCCCACCATTTCGTCCTTGTCGTCCATCGCGAGAAAGCACAGGTCCCCCCATTGGTAGAGAAAGTACCGGTAGACGTAGATGCTGTAGGGCTCGGACAGGTCCTTGGAGATCAGCTGGCGCATGGCGGCGACATATTCGTTCTCGCGCGAGTTGTCGTACCGCACATAGCGGAGGGCCACGGGCTCTTGGCTCATGGCGTGGTTATTGGCAGGGTTCGGCGCGAGCAGAGCAGAGAGAGACACGCGGAGGAAGCTGCGGGAAGACGAGGGCGGAGCACAATCAGCACCCGATTGCCATGTGACGCCGATCCGCCCACCAACGTCAACGGCCCTGCAGCTGGGATCCCGGCTTTACTCCTATCCCTCCATTCCTTCGCTTTGCAATTGATTCTGATCCGTTCGTTTTCTCTGAGCGGTCGCGATGTTGCGTCGCCGCACGGGCAAGGACGATGCCCCCTCCCGCAAGAGCATGAGCAGCCAGCTCATCCGCCGCCAAACAGAGGAGGACAAGCTCCGCGAGGAGTTCGGGGGCGCCAAGGTCAAGCAGCTGGTTATTAAGCCGCGCAGCAAGCGTCGAAATGGGTTTATCTTCGTGCTGGGTGGGCTCTTTGGCGTTTTCATCGCGCTGTTCTTCGCGAACCAGCAGGAAGTCATTAATCTGGACGGGCTGATGGACCTCAACATCGATTCGTTGATTGATGTGATTCCGCAAGGGATCATGCGCGATGCAAAGGAGTTTTCGGTATGTTGTCGTCCCGAATACTATGGGTGTTGCAGTGAGCTAACTACGAGGCGAGATGCGACAGCAACACGAGCGCGATGCTGTCAATTACGATTCCTTCGCCGTTGGACTACACCTCCAGTCGCAGGGGGTTCATGCCAAGCATCCTGTGGTGATGATTCCCGGAGTGATTTCGACAGGACTTGAAAGCTGGGGCACGGGAGATAGCTCCCGGCAGTACTTCCGGCGACGACTATGGGGCAGTTGGACCATGATGCGGGCGCTGGTGATGGACAAGGCTGAATGGAAGAACCATATCATGCTCGACCGTGATACTGGTCTTGACCCGCCAGGCATTAAACTGCGTGCGGCGCAAGGGTTTGATGCGACCGACTTCTTCATCACGGGCTACTGGATTTGGAATAAGATCTTGGAGAACCTCGCGACAATTGGCTATGACCCGACAAATGCATTCACGGCCGCCTACGACTGGCGACTCTCCTATCTGAACCTGGAGATCCGCGACAAATACTTCAGCCGACTCAAGTCCTATATCGAGACGGCGGTTGACGTGCAGGGCGAGAAGATCACTCTCGCATCGCACAGTATGGGCTCGCAGGTGGTGCTCTACTTCTTCAAATGGGTCGAGAGCGAGGACCATGGAAAGGGCGGACAGGACTGGGTTAACAAGCATATCGACTCCTGGGTCAACATCAGTGGCTGCATGCTGGGCGCCGTCAAGGGATTGACCGCGGTGCTATCCGGTGAAATGCGCGATACCGCACAGCTGAACGCCTTTGCTGTCTACGGACTGGAGAAGTTTCTGTCGAAAGAAGAACGAGCCGAGATCTTCCGCGCCATGCCTGGCATCTCGAGCATGCTACCCAAGGGCGGCGAGGCCGTCTGGGGCAATTCCACCTGGGCCCCAGACAACCACCCAGATCAATCCATGAACTTCGGCAATCTACTGAACTTCCGCGAAACAAATTCCTCCTGGACAAGAAAAAACCTCACCACCTCCGAGAGTCTGCAGTACCTCCTGGACCAGAGTGAGGATTGGTACCGCGATCTTGTTCTCAGCAGCTACTCGCACGGTGTGGCGCATACAGCCAAGGAAGTCGAGGCGAACGAGAAAAACCCGCGTACATGGCTGAACCCGCTTGAGGCTCGACTCCCGAAAGCCCCGGATATGAAGATTTATTGTTTCTACGGCGTCGGCAAGCCCACCGAACGCAGCTATTTCTACCAGGAAGAGCGCGATCCACAGGTCAAGCTGAACGTCAGCATCGACACGACCGTCACGATGAACGATGATATCGACCACGGCGTGGTGATGGGCGAGGGCGATGGGACCGTCAACCTGCTCAGCACGGGGTACATGTGCGCCAAGGGCTGGCACATTAAACGATATAACCCAGCCGGAGCGAAAATCAAGGTCTTTGAAATGCCGCATGAACCAGACAGGTTTTCACCGCGCGGCGGGCCCAACACAGGTAGGTTCAAGTTCGCATTCATTCCGGCAGAGCTAGCCACTAATCAATTCTATACAGGCGACCACGTCGACATCCTCGGCCGAGCCTCTCTAAACGACCTTATCCTCCGCGTCGCTGGCGGCAAAGGCGACCAGATCGAGGAGACGTTTGTTTCAAATATCCGCGAGTACGCGGAGCGTGTACAGATCTTTGACGATGAATAGATAGACCATGACGAATTAAGTGGCGCTAGATTAGTGGCGCTGGGTTTGTTTTGATTAATCGCGATATATGCACATTCACCTACCTCGACCGTCTACCTCGACCTGGTCGGTGAATCAGGATTGCCGTGTATATTAATTGGGCTCATGCCTGGTCGGTGGCTGTCTCATTCCATCTTTAAATTGCGCATCAAATCCTGTATAGTCTTCCCAGCCCTGAAGGCCACTGTAGAAAATCCGGATCTAAGAATACATCCATGGATAGCGATATGGCCTTGATACCTAACCTGTTTCAAATGACTATTTAGATCTGAGTTACTCAAGATCGATACCACCATGGAACTGACTCACTTGTAATAACTATACTATACCCGAGAGAGTGTAACTAGTGACACCACAAGCACGACTCTGTCGAAACAAGCCTGTCAACTTCGTCTAGCCCACACTGCATGACAAGAAACAGACTGGAAAGATACACCACTCGGAAGATACACCAAGACCTACAAGTCATACCTTAGTAAGTACCGTGCACCAACCTATCAAAACCCTCCCACAAAATGATGCATTAGTCCACTCTGAATACGAACTACGCCCCCCATCCCAATGTGATCCAGCCCGAACGGTGCAGATTATGCAGCACAAGCACAGCCTCTCCACCTAGGGCAGTCAGACTCGGACTTCCACATGTCCGGAGTCCGTGAGATCGACGCCTGCAGGATCGCTGGGTTTCGACCAGACAGCGACGGCTGATCTGCGATGTGCGGGGGTTCTGTGGGTTTCCTGGCTGCATGGATCACATTGGCCACTGGGTGCTGTATGGAGTCGAGGTATTAAGATGACAGCTTACACGAAGTACCTTAAGTGTATGATTTACGAAAGTTTACACAGAACAGGTGAATGTGATAGTAATGTACAATTCATCATAACTTCATCTAGGGATTAAGAATAATGCTGACGATATCCAACGTATCCTCCCACCCCTTAGGAAAGACATTAATGTAGACCACACATTTAGGTCCGGGCGGTGCATGCCGTTGGCATCGCGCTTCATTCCTGTCAGAAGCGAAGCGAAGCGATCGGCGAGAAATGAGACAAAGGCTCCGTCAAAGACCCTCTCCCATCTCCTACCGTCGTGCATGGTGCTGGTGATCCCAAGCCAGCTCTTCTCCTTGCCAACGCTGTTTCACCTGCCAGCAGCGAAGGCTACCCGCTGAGGGGTCGGGAATCTCGCACATCTCTTCTATGTGCCGATGCAAATGTCCTCAAAAGTAGATATCCATAAACAATTCTAATGCACAGCGAGTGTAGTGCAAGCAATGGCGCCGAAACCTTTTTTAATTTCCCCGAAATAAAACAAGTCCCAGGCGCCAGGTTCGTAAGCGATCGACACGAATGATATAGTAATTTTGGTGCATCTGGACGAGCTCGAAGCGAAAAAAGGGGTGGCTCGCCCAGGGAAAAAAGTCGTAGCGAAAGACATGGGTGAGAATCGAAGTAGAAATAATGGTCGAATCGACCCCATGGACGAATGGGGTCTGTCCGAGTCTGTACAAGCGAAGGTTTCCAACGGTGGCAGAGCAAGACGAGGCGAGTCGCGTGCCGCAAGCCCAAAGCAGGTGAATGGGGCCAGCCACCGGAATTAATATTATAGACGGAAGTCACTTCATCCCAGTGTCGAAAAGTGGAATAGGGTGACAAGGCATGTACAGCCAGAAGGTAAAACGTAACCTTCGGCTCAAGGCGGATCGAGAACCGCGCGAACCGGAGGTTTTCAACAGGTGATTAAAAACCTTAGGTGTCGAAAATGGCTCGATGCAGATAATGGTCCCAACATTGTCGTCAAGTTTGAAAACGCCGGCATTGAAAAAAGTACTACCGCAAGGTAGTTGATGCAAATAGTGAACAAGTCGAAAAAAATGGTATATGCAGCATTGGAATTTAGCGACCGGCCTCAATGTCGTGGTTCGAGGTCAGAGTTTCGCTCTCCCAGGTGTAGTGGTCGTCGACGGGGCTGAGCGAACCAGAAGAAACCGAGGACGAAGAGCCCACGGTCCACTCGTCGCTGTCCAGGTTGAAATCCCCTCCAGGCTGGCCAGATCATAGCCGAACTCGCGCGAGTAGTCGCCAACCTCGACATAATCGTAGTCCCAGCGGAACATCTTATCGGACTGGACGCGAGGCAAGAAGCGGGTCTTAGCGAAGTAGAAAGCGACGGTGGCGAGCAGACCACCGCAGACCAGGTCGACGGCGTAGTGGTGGGAGAGGTACATGGTCGCCCACCACATCCACAGGGTATAGGTGACCCAGAGGAACTTCATGCGGGGGAAGACGTGGCTCATGAAGAGCGCGGCCAGGGTGGAATCCGCCGCGTGCAGCGAGGGGAACGCACCAAAGACCACGGGAGACTGCTTGAAACCCGAGGTGTACAGGTCAATGCCCAGGAGCTTGTCAATGCGGGCCAGACCTGCCGGGTTACCCTGCATGGAGTAGTCGGCGGGCGCCAGACCGTACAGATTCTCATACCACGGGGGGGAACAGGGGAAGGCCAGCTGAATGGTCACGGCCAACATGCTGATATATCCGAGAGTGCGAGCGAAGAGGGGGGTGGTGCCCGGGGGACCAAAGATGAAGAGGATCAGGGAGACGACAAAAGGCGCACCGTAGTGGCACAAACCATACGGAATCCAAGCCAGCACATCGAGCACCACGTTCTGATGGGCCGACAGAATGTTACTGATATTGGCACCATATAAGATATTCTCCATGGCCGGGAGCACCCGGACCCAGATAGCAGGTCGCCAATCGCTAGGAACGAATCTATTGGAGGGGGAAAGGGAGAGTTAGCCTATACGTTGAAGAGTGTATTGCGGCAAATCACCCGGGCGTCGGGACAGAATTGCGCTCGGGGAAGGCTTCCGATCGCCTCCAGGGGGAGGCGAATTTGCCTGAGGGCAACACTTACTGGCACGCGTAGAAGAAAATGAGCCACCCAGCGATGGGCAAAAACGGAAGAAAGAACTGCCGGGTGATGGGCAGCATCAATGATAACAAGATGAGGGTGGAGATGGCGGTCTTCGCGAGTGGGCCAGGGTGTTGCATGACCGTCAGGGAGAAGATGCCGATGATCAGGAGCAGCAGATACTGGAAATCATACATGGTCCATCGATGCGCCTGCAGGGATCGAAGGGTGTCGACGGGCGAGAAGGAGGTTTGCAGGGTCGAGATCGAGGATGTTGGCGATAAGCGACTCCGTAGCTTTGACCGGATCTTGCGGCGCATGCGATGCGGCACCAGCATCTGAAAGGAGCGCCATGGCATCTGGATCTGGAGTTTGCCGAACTGGTTCTGTGTGCGATCCTTCCATGAGGGAAACGTGGACATCTTCGCGGCGGACGAGTCCCCTGGAAGGAGACTGCGGGAATCACTCGAATATGGAGAAGGGGGGTTGAGGCGGAGAGCGGGAAGGATCGAGGGATGCCGCGGGATGGGATGGAAGGAATTCGCGAGATGGGACAGTCAAGGTCACCAGCCGACCGGCATGCGAAGGCGTAAGGGGAGAAAGACCGGTCTGAGAAGCAAGGCGCCGAGCCCAAAAGTGTGGTGAGAAGGAAGAGGGAGGGGGAGTAAGGAATTAAGAAGGGGAGCGGCCAGGAGATTTGGATGGTATTATCCTGTAATCTTACGAACATGTACGTGCCAGGTTTGACGCCGAAGTCCATGTCGTCACTAGTCCTGTTTGGGGCCGTCACGGTCGGCGGTGCACTTGGCGCTACTGCCTACCACTGTAGTAGATTACTACTAAGCAGCATTGTTTTAGGGTATGTATGCTGCTGTTTAATTTCTACAAAGTGCAGTTGATTTATTCTGTTTACTTTGTCGACGCGATCAGAGATTGCTGAAGGGTCGATGTACCTGTAATCGCCGTACGGCCGGGACTGCCGGGCGGATGCCGCGGAACGGAGGTCACGGAGGCCGATCGGGCAGATGCAGAGATCACGGGAGACTGTTGCAGTCGAGGCCGAAGCCTAATACATAACTCAGCTTTTTTTTCTTTCAGAAGGACCAAGTCGACTGCTAGCAGAGTATTTGTAGTCGACTGACTATTATCCTAGAGTTCAAATCATACCTACCCGTACTTTGGGTACTACCAGTCTTTGTAGGACTCGGTATACTCGTACGATGGGCCAAGGTACTATACTGTACACTATGTGTGCAGCGCATAATGCATTTCAGGTCGTCAGTAATACGGTTGGGACGCAAATGCAAATTTTCAATATAAGATCCATTGGAGGCTGCCAATTGGCCCACTGGGACCAGCGGCCCCATCGTTCAGGCAAAGGCCCAACGAGAGGTCGCAATGCGTCGGCCCAATTTCGCTTAACTAACAGCCAGCTCGTAACCGTATTACGCCTTACTAAGAGGACTACTTGCGGTCGTCCTGGTGATTCGTCTGCGAGGCCGCGGTTCCAGGGGACCTGTCCATTATACATGGTCGAAGTGAACATCCTCCAGCCGTGGTCAGGTACATCCTCGGCTGTTACCTTGATCACGGCGAGGGATTACAGTCGCGATATACCTACCAATATCCACCAGACTTTGGGAGGTACAGCATACAAGTATCACCGAGTCGACGGTGTCGTGTGTCCGACGCGACCGACTATCGATACGATGCGGCAAGTGACAGCTCTAAACCCGGTGGAGCAAAGGTAAAAGCCAAAAAAAAAAAATTAAAGAAACGAAACAAACTTGCCCGCTAAAAAATCAGTCAAACTCTGCACTAAGTGGCCGCTATTAGTTGGGTTTCGCGCGGGCTCCAGCGCGTAGATGAGGATGTGCAGGCCCATACCTCCTCCGGTGTCTCAGCACGGTATCCAGCCACCGGCTTTTTCACAAAAGCGCAGGCTGACCTGACCCGATTTGAAATCCCGCAAGCCATTACATGTCGCTCCATTACTTAGTCCTGTCGAGCCGATTCATGCTAAGGTGATCGTGGTTAGCTTGTCGCCCCAAGTTTCAGGTGCGCGACCGGGCGGATCACCCGGGGCCAAAGCTCTTGTACCTGACAAGGCGAGCTGGGTCCGCCTATCCGCGGTACGTATGTAGTGGCATATGGAATTCTCCGATTCAAATCGCGATTTATGTGGAAAGCGTTCCTTGGGCGACATTCGTGGTACCTCGTTGCTCCGAAGCACAATAATTGGGCGAATTATCGTCTCAGAGTGCATGACTGGCCGTGCGACGGAGGATGGGCACAGTAGATCGTCTCTCGCCGGGACCGTCCAGGGGCAAAGGCAGAGAAGTAGAATTGTCTTCATGGCCCGCGTCGACCCCTTCGATACTCTCGCTCTGTCGACGATCGTTGCCGCGTCCTGTGCCGATGGTCAGCTCAGACCACATCCAAAGCGGTTCGTGCAGGAACTGGGGGACCCACGCGAGACTCTGCTGGCCACGATCCACCAAATCACCGAGTAGAGGAGGATAGTGTGGCCGAAGACCATCAGAACTATCGCCTTTTCCGTGAAGGTGGCTTCTGGGGAGAACTCTTGCCGTTCGAGGAAGGCGTGGAAGGACTCGGAGACGGGTGCCATCGTGGTGGCTGAAGCGAAGCTGGTGTCAGTGCTCAGGAGCTGGGATGGCATTTCTCATTAGTACTTACCTAGGAAGATGAGACCCCGATACAGATGTAGATTTTGATGATGGCGTTGGAGGTATCGACGGAGCTGGGTGATGGGGTGAGCTGGAGTGGTGAGATTCACCTGGAAGGTCGCCATCCAGGCGTGCCTTCCCGTTTAGATGTGCAATGTAGAAGTGACCGCCATCATCACCTCCCGCCTACTCTTCAGCAAGCGCTACGATAATTTTGACGACGTCATAGCGATACAGAAAGGTATTCTCGACACCTGATCGCAATTATCGCCAGGTTAGTCTACCGCCATGGTAGATCTTTATCTGAAGTATACACCACCAGAACTCTATACTCAAAGCAGACCCTAAGGGATGACAGAGCAGGAATGATCATAGTAATCTAACATAAACCCGACACACACTGCATCGCCATAGATCCATCGACACTGGTGCAGCATCATGAACGAGTCGTCAAATCCCACCACAACGTCCGTTTCAGATACATGAACGCGCTTGACAAGAACCCAATCACACCCCCCACTCCGTTCCTGGCGCTTACCCATACCCTAGGGTACGTCAGAACAATCAAACTGAAAAAACGGGTTTTAGGGACTGACGGGTACGTATGAAATTACACTTGCACACATTCGCGTACTCGTATACCCTCGTAATATTCGCAGTCGTACGCCAGAAATGGATAATACATTATAGGGGTGGCTGCCTGCAGTGGGGGCTAATTCCGCTCAGGGTGATGCACATGCAAGGCTTATCCAGCCCAGCCACGGCTGTGCCATCGATTTTCAGTACGCCAGTGGAGATGTCAGGTCGAGCATTGAAAGTAATGGGCCCGTGGCTTGGCTCTCGTCTTTCCACGTAGGAAAAGCAGCTCGTGGATGGAGATGAATGGGGTAGACGTGGCGCGATGCGCACCGCTGGACTGCGCCACATAGGAATTGTGGGGATCCTCGTATATTACTGACCTCATTGTCAGCGGCATTTGCTTGGACTGATGCGCTATTCGGTAATACTGTACCCTAAGGTATGATGGCTTACAAAGGACTGACATATGTTGAAGTGGGTGGTGTGGTGCGAAAGTAGATGAGGCTCGGGTCGTATTCGTGTACAGCTAACTCTACTGGGGGTATGCTATTTTTGGACGAGTCGCTGGGTGGTGCCGAATTTGGAGGCGTGGGGTCGATTTCGATAAAATGAAAGTCGCTGGCATGTGAATTCTAGCCTCATCGTCGCGATGGTGGTCGGGCTGCGTTCGCGTAGTGTATCCCACTGGGGCTGGCAAGTAGTGAGACTAGGTAAGGTGGGATAGTACTGTAGAAGTAAACCCGACCATCACTCGGAATGATCCACCTACCGATCGAACAGGCCATGAACAAGAACATGTTCGCGTTTGAGGTTTGCTTGAAAAGGCTGAATCTCGTCAGGCATATTCCTTCCCACCTACACCCTTCATGTACATTTCACCGCCCCCTTACACCCAGCCTTGGCCTATACAGCCAGGATTCTGAGAACATACTTTACCCTCACTAACGCAATTGGGCGCAAATAATATTTCCGCACTTCGACTTGCATAGTGAAATTTTGCAACTTACCCCACTTAAAGTAGGAATTGTATGATCGCCTGGTATGCACAGTAGAGCCGGCCGACTGCAGAGCCATCATACCATACCTCCACAATGTCGCTGTATCCGCGATGATTCCGGTGGCTGAATAGTCCGTCGTCGATACACTGTAGTGCGAAATAATACGCCTCTACAATATTCAGAGCCTGTTCATCACTATATAGTGCGTGATAGAATGACCCGTAGAATTGCCATGTCATCTGGATCAAGATTCGGTCGCAACTGATATCATTCGATCAAGGCGATCGACTCACAGCACATTGATCGCGATCCAGCAATAAAGACGTGTGCGATAGGGCTGCGAGGCGTGCATCGTGGCACAAAATCTTGAGTGTGACAGCCTTGTAGAGCCTGATGATGCAACCATGCTATTCTTATCACGTGGCAGGGGTCCAATTTTGAGTGGGTCTCGGGCCGGACGTCGCTCACTACTACATGCGGTAGACCCCTTTTTGTTGAAGTTGCGAGATGAACGACGACTAGGGATTTGATGGATAGATGATGATATGGTTAGATCTGGATGAACTTGGTTCTGATTGACGTAAGTTGATCGATCGCGATAACCACATACTAAATCGTACACCGCCCTAACCGGCAACAAAATAAAGATTTGCTTAGTTTCGAATAGCAACTAAACCGCCAGCCATATCTATGCACTGTTATCCACGTAGAATAGTACATGGCCCCAAGTAAAGAAAACGCCTGAACCCCGTCCGATGTGTTTTTGAACGCCATGCAGTAAACGCCAGAAAGCCCATAAAACGAGTGTGTAGTTGTGTCATCAGAGTTGAGCTTTTAATCGTGCTTTTCGTGTTCTGGTCCATGCGCAAGCATCTGGAACGCCTTAACCAGCCCCATTGCCGATCCAGCTGCGATGCCGCCCACAAGGACCATCTGGAAACCACCCACAAGCCCCTTGCGGATGTTTCGGCGACCGCGCCAGCCACTCACGAAGCAGGTCTTGCCGTAGCCGAATATGAAGAGAGCGACGACCATTGTAGCAATGGACCAGCGGAGAGCAATGAATGCGTCGTGCGGGCCGACGAAGAAGTAAGGAACCAGAGGTACGAAGCCGCCGATGAAGTAGCCGAGGGCAATGGTCAGCGCGCAAACGACGGCGCGAGAATCCGATGGTTCGGGGAGAGTGTGGTGGAAGTTCATCAGAAATGAAGGAAGCATGGGCGAGTTGGAGAGGTGGTTGGTCAGTTGCGACACCAGTTCGGAGGGTAGCTCGTAGGGCTCGAAGATGTCTTGGATGGTGCTGGAGACGGACGACGGATCGCTCACAGTTTGCGCTTGGGTTTCCTTCAGTGTGGCCTTGTAAGACTCCCTGTAAGAAGGTTAGTTGAGGTTTCACAATCGACTCAACTGAGTTGGCGGGAAAAAAAAATAGAACACATACTCCTCGCTTTTTGCACCCAAATATCCTCCCAGGCCCATGGAGATGGCACCTGCAATGAGCTCGGCCAAGCCGCCAAAGACGACCACTTTGGTGTCTCCCAGCGCGGAGAGACCCGCTGTCAGAGCGAATGGCACTGTCATGCCGTCTGACAGGCCGATGATCGCATCGGACACGGTGCGCCCGTCGATAAAGCGAGACTTCTTCTCGCCATCTTGTCGCGGTTGACGGTCGCCAGCCTCGATGTCCGATCGCAGACGCTGGTGCAGGTCCTTTTCATCCTCCCTTGAGCTCCGATCGGAGAGTACGGAGTAGTTCGACATGAGGCCGCTGAAAGAGGTAATGGACATGTCCGAGACGCGGTGTAGATCGCTGGTGAGGTAGATGGTGGAATTTGGGCACGCGAGAAAGGAGGAAGAGTCGTATGGACGGAGTTTAAGAGCAAGTCTCGGCCGCTCGCTTGCAAGGCGTTGCAATCGCGGTGCGGAGTAGCAGCCTTGTGCAAGGCCCATCACAGCCTTTCCAGGAAGAACGTGCTTGGCACCGACTGCACGCCGAATGCAACGCCAGGCACGTGCAGCGCTGATTCGAGGACGATCGACTCGGCGGTGGAGTGAAGATGGGTTCGCTGGTGCTTAAATCTAGGGCAGAGACCAACCAGAAGCGGGTCATTGTCAGCTCCAGCGGGCCGAGGATTGGTGACCACTTTTATTGGCCAAGCGCACCCACAGGTGGAGACAGCTAGTTCCGAATGGGGAACCCCGTGGAAACGGCAGGCGTAGCCTCGGCGAGCGGCCCTTCCAGCAGGTACACGCGTGATGAGCACGCCCATCTTCATTGCTCGATAGTCAGGAGACGCCACATGAGCCACACGAGCCACCCGACGTCTGCACGAGATCGATCGAGTCATGTACACTTGTCACTGTACCTAACCACCTACCTACTCTGTTCACTACGGTACTAGCAAGGCAGGATACAGAGGCCTTATCGCGACCCCGCCTTTTTGCAGGGATCTAACTTCTGCAACACTTGCACAGTGGATCATTTCTTGGCTCTCCATCAATGATATTGCACGGAGAGTATTGCGATGCCGACGCCTTCGTGATAGCGTCGGCTTTCTCCCTCCTGAGTGTCTAGTCTCGCGCCAAGACCCGCAATCAGATGTACGCGGCGGACGAGTTGTCTCCATGTAATCTCTCAACCAGGTCGGGGGTGGCCGAATCGGATGGGAAATGGCAAGGTCGAGGCAGGCGCGCTTGAGGATGCCGTTCGGGGCAACGTTCTATCTGATTGCCAGTGGCTATAAGACAGGGCAAGAAGCCCCTAAAGTCATTCTAGTGTGATCAGTTCAGTTGCAGTTTGGTGCAGTCATGAAGCCGAGCTGGACTTACCTCAATCTAGCAAGCCTGACTGGGGCCGCGCTGGCTCGTCCCGCTGCTCGGAGCACGCAGACCTGGGGTCAATTGCGGGAGAATGTCAGTGACCCGCGCTCTCCCTTACTTTCTCGCTGACCAACTTCGCTCTATAGATCAAGCATGTCATCTATCTCACTCTGGAGAACCACTCATTTGACAACATTGCCGGCTACTGGGACTTTAATTCCGGAATCGATGGACTGCGCGGGATCACCTACTGCAACGAGTACACCAATCCCAAGTGGACGGTGTGGGGAGAACCTTTGAACATATGTGCCGCTCCTTACGAGACCGAAGTCCCCCTGAAAGACCCGGACCATGATTTTGCCGGTGTCACCTATGAGATCTTCCGCAAGTGGAATGTGACCAAGGATGATGTCCCCAACATGGCCGGCTTTGTCGAGCGTCAGTCGGAGAAGTATAATGCTACGCCTGGAGACACTGCCTTTGTCATTCAAGCTTATGATCAGAAGAAGTCGGCACTGCTCGCAGAGCTGGGAAAGAATTTTGCGTTTTTTGACTCTTATGTGAGTGGTTAGCAATGAAAAATTGAGGCGGATTAGACTGACAAGGATATAGTTCGCTGAGCATCCCGGCCCGACCAACGTCAACCGCCAATTCGCTACATCGGGTTCATCCTGTGGGTTCGTCGACAACACGGACCAGTCTGCCGGTTTCTGGAATAATGTCACTGGGACAACCTGTGCGACATCGATCTTTGAATCGCTGAGTAAGAAGGGTATCAGCTGGAAAAACGTATGAGCCGTGCAAGAAGATCGGGATACTTTCCATTAACAATAATAACAGTACTATGAGACGGACATTGTCGACGCCTTTATGTACAAGGTCGGTTGTGATCTAATAGCGGACCCCAGAGAACACATTCTAACTGTATACAGTGGACCCAAGACAATGCCATGGACCGCCTCGTACACGCCACCGAGTTCTACCGTGACCTAGAAGAGGGCACCCTACCTACCTTCTCCTACATCAATCCGGAATGCTGCACCATCGATTCGATGCACCCGACTAGCCCCATGGCATCTGGAGAGCAAATGGTCAAGCACTTGTACGATGCGCTTCGTCGATCCAAGTATTGGGACAATGCGTATGTCATAGGTCACATCCACCCAGTCCCATTTCACAAGCTAATAGGAGACTATAGCCTGCTGGTAATCAACTTTGACGAGCATGGCGGCTTCGCTGACCACGTTCCGCCGCCTATGAATGTTCCCCAGCCTGAAGATGGCATCACTTTTGACGGCGAGTCGGATGATCATCATGTTACCTACGACTTTACCCGGCTGGGTATACGGTATGTACTCTCTGCCAGTGCGATACCTCCTATCCCAATCGTAAGCTAACATAGGAAGTGTCCCGGCCTTCCTCATCTCCCCCTTCGTCCCAGAAAACCACCTCATCCACGACGAAGGCACAATGTACGACAAGAACTCAGCCTACACCCACAGCTCGATCCTGCACTTCCTGCAGGAGCTGTGGGAGCTCGAGGGCTTGAATAATCGTGTACAGTGGGCCAAGACCTTTGAGTCGGTCTTTACGAGTAGTGGACGTGAGAACACGCCTAAGACTTTGACTACACCTACTTGGTATGGTGGTAGTGTTCAGCCTGAGCCCGAGCCGTTTGGTTTGTTGAATCAGGATGAGAGTTATTATGCTGCGCATGAATGAGCAGTGTTGCATTCGATGAAAGGGGGCAGAAAATTGCACAATTTCCATTCGAGAATGTAGACTCTACACATTTAGAAAGATGATATTTGATACTACACAAATAAGACTCACCATGGCATCGATTCCCCATGAAGCAAATACGTATCCTGCGAGTATCATCGCCGGAATAGTGTATACCTTAGGGTAGGTCACAAAGGTATACAGCAGGGACTGTAATATAGATCTTGTGGCATACCAGCCTCAATTTGAATCAACTGGACTATATGCAGAAGAAATCTAACAAAACAAAAGCACAACGAACAAAAGACAATCGCAGCGCCATCGTGACAGGGCCCCGGCTGTACTTATAGAGAATAGCACACCAGGGGACCCAATCCCGGGTATCAGGCATAATCGTACATCATGAGGCGTTTACCGGAAACCGACCATGGAAATGATATAATCAAAAACAATAAATGATCACAAAAACAGTGTCTCGCACATGCAGGGAATGGAATGAAATGAAATGTAGACCGCAGAAGTTATGATATGCCACGGTAATTGCAATAGAAATATGTCCACGCAACAAAGTGACAGGAGAATTTTGGCTGGCGGGATGCTGTCACGAGGGAAGGATTACTTCGAGTATCTAGGTAATGTATTAGCATCGGAGTGCATTGCGGTCTGAACGAGAAGAAAAACATACGGCTTGCGCTTCTCAGCCCCACTGGACTCGGGTTGGCCCTGCATATCCCAAAATCGACTCTTGTAGGCGGGGAAGGAAGTGTGGTTCCACATGTTGACGAGGACACTGCGAACCGTTAGATCGGCGAACCCCAAAAACAGGCGGGGCGTAGGAGGAGAAAAGGACAACAGCAACATACTTCTGTGTACGATCCTTGTACGCCTCATCATTGACCTCCCGCACATTCACCTTCATCCCATCCTTTGTGAAAACAACGTGTTTCTTCTCCATCTTCTCGCGCGTGGTCTTGCTCACATCTTGCACGATGCTGTAGACGACGTAGCCGACGGCCGCCAGGATAGCGACGAACAGGAGGAGGAGAATCAGAGGGAGGACCTTGGAGTTGGCCATGGTGTGGGCAGTGCGAGGTTTGCGTGCGGCAAAGATTTGAGAGGCTCTGCTCAGCGTGGAAGTGGCTCACGAGGGGTGTGGCTTCGGCGTCGGGGGATTTGAAGGTGTTTGTGGAGTCGAAAAAGTGGGTGCGGTGCCAAGATGGTCTGTGTGTACCAGCAGCCTTGGTGTTCTGGGCATAGGCTGCTGCCTGGTAAGGTCAGGATGAAAGGAGTGAGATGAAACAAAAAGCAATGCGGAGCAGTCGCGTCAGGGGCCCCCGGCCATACCAACGGTCGCTGTGGCGGTGCGTGGCTGTAAGTGATATTAGTCATGCGCTAATTTTGGAACAGCCAGTACAGTAATAATATACTGTGTACTACAATACAATAGCATCATTCCATACTGTCAAGCCAGCCCTCTACACGCTTCCTTTTTGAACTCCAATTGATTCCCACATCTAATTCAGCATCATCGACCTCATCTTAATCCGTGCCTTCTAAATCAATCCAAGAATGCTGGTATATGTCTCTTTCACTGAGGGGGTACCCGTTTGTCCTTAGCCATCCAAAGATTCCACGCGTGGCTCCTTCAGAGAGTGATTGGGAGAAGAGTTCATATTTATAATCCCCGTGGACGGCCGATGTTCCTTCAAAGGCCGGGCACGGTGTTTCATCGAGGAGTGGAGCATTTGTGCCTCCGAAATATTTAATCGAACGGCCATTTGCTAGAATCCACTCCCAATGTTCGTATTCTAGGCAGTGCACAGCACATCGAGCATGCCGTTGGACTAGTAGTTCTGCATTGAGGAGCTTGGTTGTCCCGAAGGGCTTCGAAGGGCTTCCAAGGCCATATTGGAGGTCGATCATGGCCGTCACATGCTGTTATGAACAGCAGCCTGTAACGGGTCAAGTCCCGATCTATTACCCAGGCCAAGCCTGTGCGATGTGATCTATCAACTCCCCAGGATATTTAGTCACCGCTGGCCACCCCCTATTTTTAAACTTCTCTAAGCTTCAGATAAACAGCATGTTGGTACCGCTCAATTGAATCAATTCGGCCGTAGCCCTTCACACAGCCGGCATTCATCCTCGCGGCGTATCGCTTCACTATTCTCGGACTGGAGAGGTCAAGAAGGTCTGCTCTGCTCCAGTCCACACTGAAGCAGGAAGATCAAGAGCCACCATTCCAGCCCGGATGTCACGCAAGATTAATGTCGCCAAATCCGTAAGCAATGCACCGAGCCAGAGGATGCCAAGTCGAGGCCGCCAATTTGCAAGTAGGGCGGGCAACGACCACTTATTTGGAGGTACTTTATTAAGAACGGTAAATGCAGGATTAGCCCAGGCACTAACGAGATTACACTCAATATTAAGGTTGAAGAAGGTGATGCCCAGAATGGAGCGTAAACCCCATACATTACAGCTCAACTTCAGATACTTGGGAAGCATTTCGTCATGTTTTCTCACAAGACCCGGAATAGAAAAGAAAGAGTCATCGACACGTTCGCTCAATTTCGATTGGGCGAATTGCTTTGAAAGTGGGAGAAAGATTTCTCTACCCCTCAGGAATGGGACGAAAAGTACTCCAGCTAGGGCAGCTGAGCACTGTGCATAGAGATGATGGTGCAGACAGAAACGAGAGAGGTATTTGAGAGCAGTGACTGATGACTGGCTCCGGTTTGGTGCTTACAAAGAATGGTTGTGTCGGCGTCAACTTTGCTGTCTTCACCGATATTGACCACGGAGACAAATAGACATGCCCATTGTACTTAGTGGTCGCATCCCAGCCTTTGGTAAAGCACAGGATAGCTTGCCACCAAAGAGTCTCGTCTTCACTAGCACATCTGCCGAGATCAATTTTAATAGCCGATCACCCATCTAACTGTGCTGCACTCTGTGACCCCTGCGTACTGTAGTTCATATGACATATGTGGTCTGCAGAGTGACTCGACCCATTGAGCAGATAGGATATATGCCCACGCGAAATAAAGAACCGACAAATAGTTACATTTGTCATAATCTAGGAGTCCTCAACTCCTGGCCAATCCGAAGAGGAGAATCTTGTGTCAACTTCACACTTAGTCGACTACCAACGACTAAAATAAGTTGCTTCGGCAGGACCCTCGGTCAGAGGTCGCAGACCCCTTTCGAAGTCCTCCATGTCGAGCGACAATTCACAGCAAAGTTGTCTTTCCCATGTGCAGATTGCTTTTCCTCGCAGGCGAACGACAAGGATTCGTCAGGGACAACAGTATCTCCAAGGAATGGCGGCACCTGACTGACAAGATCGTGTAGGTTTATCGCTTGCCTGGGCAGACTGCTGCTTTCGCTTCCAGCCTCAAGATAGGAGGACCATGTCTCGAGGCTTTCATGAAGGACCCGATTGAATTCATCATCCCCTGGGCGTGCGGTGTCACCCATTCTCTCACACCAGGTGGTAGAATGAGATTGCAAAGTGGAGAATCGGAGAAGGGAATGTAAACGCTATGAGAGATGGTGGTTGATGAATGTGAGCTATCTAGCTATGAACGGAGTAGATGTAGGTGCACGAAGGCGGTAGGTCTGCTGACTGACTGACCTTCACACATACCATAGTATAGTCTCGGTCTCTCTCTGATTTGAATTTTGATATACATTTGGATTTAGGCATCAGGTATCTTCATTGTTTGAAATGCGATCGGAGTGTGTTTAAACATCGTTGTTGGCACAAGACCAAGCAGACGACCCTCCCGATTCCTGGTATGACCTCTTGATACTGACAACAGAGGCATATGTCCCAGCAATGGTCAGAAAGAATCCAGAAACAATCATAAATACACACCAAGCCACCTTCAAGCACCATCCGAGAGACTTGTCTCGCTTGCCTGGTCTCCAATTGTCATATAGCCACATACAGCCCATAGGCTGAAAGCAGAGACTGGTCGCCAGTAGAGCTCCCACAAGTGATACAAGATCACTGAAGACGGGGATGCTGCTTGCGACAATATACGCGATCATGACGATGGTAAAGGTTGAGCCAAGCCAGGTGACCCAGTGAATCATGGTTTGTCCCGTTAGATGTCGAGTTCCTCGAAGGAAACGCATGAAGATATGCTTAGCCGGTAGCTTCATACGTGTCAGCTCCCAACGAAAAAGGAAAAAAAGAATAATCATACTTATCTTGGGGTATGGAAGACTTACATGAAGAAGAAGAATTGCCGAGGCGCACAGTCCCGGGAGAGCAAATCCATAAGCCACCTTCTTGACGAGAACGCCAGCCGAACCAAGAGCCGGCGATGCAACATGGGATCCACAGTAATAATACACGACTGTCCCTACCACAATATAGATAACAGTGACAAGGATCTGGCAGATAGTCAAAGCTCGGTTATAGAGTTCCGGATCACGCATTTCTGAGACGATGTTGAAAAAGGCCGGGGTGCCGGCGTAGGTCAAACAGATCGTGGACACGGCTGTCATGGCATCAACGAAGCTTGGGTTGCCAACCAACCTGTAGTCGGCCTCGGGAATAACGCCTCCTATCTCTGGAGGATGGCCTTGGATTCCGACGGCGATAGTAACGATGAAGACTAGCAGAATATGGTTAGACGAGTGCATGTTTGCAGTCATAAAGTCAACATACCTGCAATAATGATGCATGCTGCACCTAGCCAGGCTAACCAACTCATCCGGGCAAGTGTTTGTATACTCGAGAACATGAATGCGATGATGGCAGCAACAGCCACAAACACAGCAGTACAGGTACCATGGTCGGATAGTGCGTTGAACGAAATCGAGATGCTGAGCAGGGCAGAACCACCGGTAAAGATCCAGTCTTGAGTACGTCAGTATTTTGTTCCGGATGAAATGGCAGTCGAGACACGATACAGAGAGTATACGCTGCGCCAAACAACTCAAAACCAAATCGTCCGAAAAGCATTTTCCCCACATCGTCGATACCGTAGACACTAGGATGGCGTAACTTGAACACGCCAACCATCCAGTTCGACCATGTTGTCATCCCGGCAATGACAATAAGGAGGATAATTCCCGGTATTATTCCGAGGGTATCGAAGACTTTGGGCATTGAAAGGACGCCTAAGCCGATTTGTGTTTTGATCATCAGAGCAGTCGTTCCCATCCAGCTCACCTGAATGGTAAATCAGTCTAGTCCTGTTTGAGATAAAATGAACTCAAGACTTACATCGCGGTAGTTTGTATCACCCTCTTGGATCTCTCCAAAGACGGCATCTTCCTGGATCTGTTTGCTGTCGAAGATCTCGCCAACTTGTGATTGCGTAGGTGCAATACTTTCTGGGTCGAGATCGGGATTCATCTCTTTCTCCATGATGACGATCTCGTGAGAATACTGAAAGAAAATATGGGAGGATAGTGAGGCTATTAAATAAGGATAGCCGCTAGGTGAGATTTTTGACCCTACGGGGTGCAGCGCTAATTTCTGGGGCCGGAAGGCCCCCATACATTGCTATATCGCGTCTAGCGCATTCAATACATGGAGATAAGAATGCGGGGAGGCAAATCAGAAATAGAAATGCATTCCGAGAGCGGTATGATCTAATATCATAATCTATCATCTGGACATTTTTTGTGAAGGGAGTCAATTTGACGAGACAATAGACGCCTCGCCAATCTTTACCTCATCACAGATGTTGCGATTGCCGAAGGGGTGGTCTAGGCTTGATCCCTCTCTAAATGTTCAGGTGGTTCTGGTCAGGCAGATAGACTCAAGGCCCCTTGATACGGGCCTCGTAGAGTTCTTTCATCCCGGGGTATCCGGGGCTTGGGGGTCTCTAGGCAGGTGCTTCCGTTCTCCAATGGCTTTACGCCAAGTCGATCATATGAGGGATATTATTGTATGTTACTTTCAAGGGTCTTTCTTGCGAGTCTGACTTTCGGTATTCTAGTATGACACAATCCGCGTTCCATTCAGAGATAAGACCAAATTGTATCAGAGACGGCTTCTCGGGCTTTTACCCTTATTTATAACAGAATCCACAAGCTCTCGAACCTTCAATGCCACTCCGTAGCTGAAAATGTACCCCAGGCCCGCAAATCCGTAAGCATGTACTGTATTGCCCTCAGCCTCTAGGCGATATCCTCCCTTCCGACCGGGACGGAAGGCTACAATATCCTTCTTGACGCTCTTTTCCAAATCGACAGGACCAATTTCTCCATTAGTAAGTGTCTTCACACGCTGGAGAATATCCGCACGTAGATTTTGGTCCACATTGCGGTCTAGATTACCCGGCTGGCTCACGCCTCCGATGATTGCACCGTTAGTAAACATCCGAGGGATCACGTAAGTGTAATGCGAGCCCTGGTGCATCTTTAACTCTTCAAAATTCGTCTTGACAAACATTGTCTGCCCACGTATCCCTTCCACGTTCTTGTCATTAGCGAGATCAAATGCCCCGAGTCCTGATGCATGGACAATGAACTTAGCACCGGTGATCTTCTTTGCTTCCTCGATAGACTTCAACTCTTTCCGAATGAACTTCACCCCACGTGCCTCTAGCTGCTTTTGAACCCAAGGCAGATAGAATTCAGGGTTAATTGTCATGGAGGTGTATGTGAAGCCAAGCTTGGCGCCCTTGGGAAGCTTTTCCTTGAGGATTAGACGATAGCGTGGGACCATTGTCTTGTACCAGATACTTGAGTCATCCTCGCGATCGTCGTAGTATTCAGTTGCTTTGACGACCTAAGAACAAGATGAGGGAGGGCCTTTCTGGGAATGCTATTCGACTGACCTGAACGCCACTTGTCGGGTCTCTATGAGCTAGGGCCCAGAAGTATTTGAAATTTTCTGTCTGGAGAGAGTGGCCGCCAACGTCTGGGTGGGGGTAGATCGATACTCCGGCCCTGTAACCCACCTTGAGTCAGTCGGGTAAACAGTAAATATTTGTAAGATATAGGGTCTCACCAAGGGCTTGCCCAGTCCTGTGTCTCATCACCCGGGAGATCACGGGCAACTATCGTCACCTTGTAGCCAGCGTCGGTGAGGGTCAATGCCGACAGAAGACCAATGATACCCGATCCGATGATTCCAACTTCCATTCTGACGGATCTGAAAACAATAAACCGTGTTGAAACCGATCTGCGAGATGAGGCTTTTGGAGGCATTTACATAGTCCAAAGTCGACCATTTTGGGAAGGCAGCAGTCCACATGTGGGGCGGAACGACTTGCCTCGCTCCGCAGCTCAGTGTCCCCGGAGACTCCCCGCAACTCATCCCATCTTTGAATACTTGGAATTGTCGATCGATTGGGTACCTGAGGGAACGTTGGTTGGATTGATATGGTAGGCAGTGTTTCGGCTTCCGCCTTCCCGCCGCCCCTGGGCCCACTTCCAAAGTTGGAGCCATTTGGGCAGGAGTTTCCGAGAGATGAGATAGGACCGAGTTAACGGATATGGCCAGGATATAATGTGTTGGTTGTTTATAATGCATGTGTATGCTGCTGGAATCTTTTGATAAGATGATAGCGGCTATTGCAATCTCATTTGACTGATTGGCAGCTACAAACCTGCCTGCCCCCAGCTACTCCGATAAGAATTCCTCATCGAGACTCACCACACACCACGCCATGCGCTCACAACGCAACATCTCGCTCGTCTGCTCGCACTGCGAGGGCAAAGCCGGCGATGTCATCGTGGGCGGCGTCCTCGACCTACCCGCAAAAGCAATGCACGCCAAACTAGTCTGCTACATGAACGAACAAGACGACCTCCGCAAACTACTCCTCCGCGAGCCTCGGGGCCGCCTAGAATGAGCTCCATGCTCGTTGTCCCTCCATGCGATCCGTACGCCGATGCAGGTTTCCTCATTATGGCGCCGAGTGATTGGGTGCCCATGTCTGGGTCTAATACTATTTACACTGCGACGGTTTTGCTTGAGACGGGGATGATTCCTTTGAAGGAGCCATATACTGAGGTCAGGTGGGATACTGCTGGGGGTCTGATTACTGCGACCGCGGAGTGTGAGGGTGGTCGGTGCAAGTCTGTGTCGTTTGATAATGTTCCGGCTTTTGTGTATGCCATTGACAAGGAGATATCTCTTCCTGAGGTTGGAAGTGTGCCTGTTGACATTGCGTATGGAGGTCAGTGGTATGTCATTGTCCAGGCTTCGGACCTGAGTATTGCTGTCCAGGCTTCGGATGGAGATCGGCTGATCGACCTTAGAAAGCGACTGAAGGAGGCGGTGCTGGCTCAGTGCATGCCCACGCACCCAGAGAATCCTGCTATCTGCGGTATCATCAATCTTATTATCAGTGAGCCGCTGGTTGATGAGGATGGGAAGAAGTCAGTGAAGCATACTGTTATCGTTACTCCTGGGGGTTAGACCGCAGTCCCTGTGGCACTGGAAGTTCATCTCGTCTTGCCGTACTACATGCAAGGGGACAACTGGGAATCGGGGAAGATGTTACTTTTAGAAGTATCATAAACACCGAGTTCACGGGGCGGATACGAGGGTTAGGTAAAATCGTTGATCTGGATGCGGTGCTGCCGACTATTCGGGGTCGAGCATGGATCACGGGGGAGCGACAGGTTCGCCTGGATCCTGATGACCCTTTCCCAACCGGTGTTTCGTTCTGAGCAGTCTAACATACATCCCTTACCATCCTAATAGATACCCCAAGGTCATGTGATCTTATCACTTGGTTCTCCATACTTCAACCAAATACTTTCTTCTGCCAAGTCTTTCACCCACAAATCCCTCTTTTTCTCATAGTTTTTCTTAACCATATATCCAAATTGCATGTGAATCACATCTTCATCTGATGCATCTACTGTGCGTTGTACATGCAGTCCCCGGAGCGACCGGTGGAGCACTCAACTGCGTCATGATGATAAAATCAATCGGTTCGACGGGAGCTCTCAATCGGGGGAAATATACGTAGAACACAGCTATTCCCCAATTCCTTGCAGCTCCTAGCTCCTAGCTCCTAGCTTCTCCTCCTCATCCCCTCACACAGACAGGGACGCACAAGTCACCATGTGCGACATCCCCTTCTTCCCCATCTTCCCCATCTGCTTCCAATGCGGCACCGATCAGAATCCTTGCCACTGTAAAGTTGTCGGGCCGACGCTAGGTATGTCCCATCATCAGCCCTACAATTTGTCAATGCCAATGCTGACCCGACCAGGATTCTGCGCTACTATCGTCGCGGCGGTGTGTTACCCCCAATCCCAGTCCTAGCCGGCATACCCGGTGATACCTGCAGCCCGATCTTACCAGGCCCCCAATCTCACTCCCGCAATTTTGCCCGACCGGAATACCGAATGTGGTGGCTGACGTCTAATATAGGTGATCTGCTGGCCCGCCTCGATCTTTTGTGGCTGTGGTTGTACCCAGACGGGTCGAGAGTATGTTCCACCTACTACTAGTACATACTGTAGTACTAGCTATCCTTCTGCCTGCAGGTGAGGCTGATGGTGTCAATGCTAATCTATTGCTTAGTGTGCTCGGGTACCCGGTTAAGTTGAATGGGCAAGTCAGTAATGCGATACCATTCTGACGGGTTAGTGCAATGTATGGTGCTCTATGTCGAGCCGGGTTGATTGAAATACTCGGGCTCGCGGGGATGTTGATATCTCGGTTGGTGTTTGGCGAATTGGGTCAATATAATCATCCAAGCATTAATAAATACATTCCATAGTACTTAGGCTACCACTGATCCTAATCTAACGAGGTGACCAAAGATGAACGATGAACGATACGTGATATTCCTAGGCATAATCGAATGTCCAGAATAGCTAAGGTATTAGGGTAAAAACAAGGCTTGCTGGAATACAATGCAGTAAGGGAAGCAAATGAGGTATCCAGATTGTAACAAGAATCAAAAATCAACGAAACAGAGACAAAAGAAAAAACATACCAGATAGCAAAAAGAAAGCGCCGTTCGGAATAATCGAGACCAGAGCCTCTCCAGATCTTGTTTTCACCATCAAGTGTGCGTGTGAGAGGCAGCCCACCGACAAAAAAGGGGAAAGATCGATCACGATCACGACAATGTCATGACATCTACTTGAGCTTTTCCTTGAGCTTACTGAAAAATCCACTCAGACGCTTCTTCTTCTTCTCATCCTTGGTGTTGCCGCTGCCCTCGCTGCTCTTGGTCGCAGGAGCACTGTGGCCGTTGGAGGGTTGCTCGGGCTTCGCGCTACTCACAGGGTCGGTCGAGGTGGTCTCCGGGCCGGTAGTCACAGTAGGGGCAGTCTGGTTCTCGGTCGCCGGGGCAGAAGTGGGAGCAGGACCGGGGTTCGCCAGACCCGGGGGAGGAGTCGAGGTAGGAGAGACATCGGAAGAGTCGATGACGGGAACGACGAGACCCTGACCGGGCGCAGTCGCAGTGGTGGCCGCCGTGGCAGTCGGGGCCGGGGTGCCGGCAGACTCGTCCACATCCACCTTATTCTGCAGCTCCTGTTCCACATTCTTCTTCTCCTCAACGGCCTCCTTGTTGGCCGCAGCCTCAGGGTCCTTGTGGGCTTCGGCAATCGATTCCTTCACCCTTTCAGGAATATCCTCCACCGGCTCGGTACCGTTGGTCTTCTTGTTCTTCTCCAGGGGAACGTCGGCGGCGAGAGCGGCGGTCGTCGAAGTGGGAGCGGCTGACTGAATGGTGTAACCGGGGTCGGCCATGGCGGCCTGTTGGGAAGGGCCACCAGCGTGTTGAGGCTCTTGATCGGCGGCGGCGGCTCGCTGCGCAGGGCCACCGGTAGGCAAGCTGGACTCGGGGATGAGGTTCTTGGTCACAGGCGGCACAGCAAAGGAGCTGGAGCCGGCCGTATCACTCTGGGTGCCGGCGCTTCCCAGCGGCACGCTCGAACCCTTTTCATACGATTCCTGGTCGAGCTTGACGGTCGACTCCACGGTGTTGTCATTGATCGTGCTAGGGTCGGGAACCTTTTCACCAGGGTTCAGCTTGATCGGGTTGCCGTAGCCACCCGAGGCCGGGATTGGGTTCACAGATAGCGTTTGCTCGGACTCTTGTCCCGGCGTCTCGGGGAAGGTGCCGGGCAGGTTTCCATTCGTTTGCTCCTTAGGAACGCCCGCAGCCAGGGCGGCGGTAGTGGAGTCGGGGGTGACGCCAGACATGGTAGCGTTGGTCGTCGGGGCCGGGGTGTCGTCCTGGATCTCTTCAGGTAGCAGGACGTTGTTGATGTTGTCGTCTCCGTCGTTCTCTTCGCGCACGCGGTTGTCAGTGGTCCAGATACCGTCCACCACAAACTAGGATATTAGGTCAGTCAGTACACAAGACTAGGCAGTGGCACTGGCGGTTATATAGTGGGAAAGCGGGACAGGCCAGGTGACGTCAGCGGGAGGAGCGTCATGCAAAGCTGGGGGTTTAGGCCTCAGGCAGCAACCCACACCGCAACGTCTTTTCGCTGGATGGCATGTGCTCAGCAGGGCCGCTAGCCCACTAGCCCAACTCGGCCCGCGCACCATCTCGGGCTTGTAGGCAACAGGCAGACGAGCAACCGGGGGGAGACATGATGGGGGTCGGACACACCTTGTATTGGATCTTCTTGCCGGTGGGGACGGAGACGGTCTTCGCAAAGCTGTCGCCCGCTCGGTCCAGTTTCACCGTCTTACCCCAATCGTCGAAGGTGCCGGTCACGAACACCTCGTTCGCGTCGTAAGGCCTATTTGCCAATGCGAGGAACCGTCCAGTCAGCGCTCTAATTCATTTCGTCTGTGCCACGGGACGACTCGAGCTCTTCCCGTGCGTCAGATCAAGATATTGGGGCTTTCAGCTCTGCGGCGGAGCCCCCCAACCACGCGGCGCACACTTACCATTGGAATGTAAAAGTCCCCATTGCTGCTCTTGACTCACAGCCCCGCTGGTTATTTGGAAGGTGGCGATGAGGTGAGAAGGAAGGGAGAGAAAAGGGAGAAAGGTTGAAGGAAAGCGCAAAGCTCCCTCTGAGAATAAGTTGGGTGGGGTGTGACACAGACCTGCTCTGGTCCAGGTTCAGCGCCAAAATCTGCCACTGCTCACCACGCCTGCGCTGTCTATGACTACCTTAGGGTATTATCGTACATGGCTACGATCCGTTTTCTGCTTAATGGCCAGGGACTAGAATCAATGGGTCTCCACGTCGCACTCGCACCATCCATTCCTGCTGGAGAAGGACTAGCGAGTCTACACCGCCGCCTCGAGCTCCCGTGGGGCCCGACCCATGGCACCGTTATCGCGCCCACTCGATCCATTGTATAGTCGTACATGCATCGGAGACGGCCTTGCGATGTACGACGAGGAAGGTACCAGGTACTGGACAAAGTCCTGCAGGATGGTTCTGTGCGACCACAACGCGAATTGCCCCAGCACCGATCGACACTACCCGCCTCTTCCGGGCCTGCAGCGAATGGTAGCCACCCCCATACCTTCTCCATAGTAGTACCGCGACTAGTATCGAAGGTTGAGTACCAGTATTGGGTTCAAGCGAATGGCCCTAGTGCATGTTCAGATCGATGATAGTCGTCGAATTGCGTGTCCTGGCATCAGCTGGCCTCGCCCCTCGTCCATGGCAGCTGCCAAAGGCTGCCAAAGTACGACGGAAACGGATGGATGACTTCAACAGTCCGACTTTGCCACAGTGGCGACCCAGGGTTCTAGAAGACGCCTGGAAGACGGCACAACGAAGCTTCGTGTGCCCTCTTGCCGTGCCCTGCGATTGGCACTGGAACTCGAGTGCGTGAGTGACGTCGATCATCCCTCGCCAGGATGATCGACGACGGAGCTCAGACCAGCCGCCTCCTCTCTGACTAAGAAGGTATACCCCTCCTCTTGAGGCCCAGCAACACTGGCACTACAGAACTAGCAGGGTTTCCCGTCTTGTGCAGACTAGTCCATTGGCCCCGTCGTGGAAATTGTTCTTTACGTCTTTTCCTCACTGGGTCTGCACTACTCTTGACTACGAGCAGCAGACTTGGTTCTACCGAGACCCCAACCCACTGCTGGCAGCTCAAAGACTGTTATCCCACACGTCTCCACACCCGAGCCCCTCCGTTCTACCTTCTGCTGGCCCCTGCTCTTTTTCCTTCCTGCTTCTCGACTTCGGTTGATCTTCTCCTAACCACCCGAGAAGATCCCAGTCCACTCCTCTTTTCCCCCTCCCACCCCCACCATTTCACTCATCTCGACGCTTCTCCTCCATCCTTCCACCAACATCACTCCTACCTCTTCTTCCTCTTCCTCTCCCGCTTAGCTTCATCGTCGCCGGAGCTGCGGCCTCGCCGGCCCCTACCATCCGACGCAGCCATGGCGCACAGCTCCAACTCCTTCCCGGGAACCAATCCCTTCCTCAACACCTCCACCAAAACCGACAAATCCCCCAGCATCCAGAAGATCTCGGAAGACGAAGAATTCGAGGTGACGTCACCTACAGATGTGACGTTCAAGCAGGCCAACGCCGGCGGCCCATCAGGCAATGTGCCGTTTGGAGGAAGTGCATTTGGCGAGCCGGATTCACAAGGCGGCGGTGCCGCCCCGGGGTCCTTGTTCTCGTCGAGTCCCTTTGATGAGTCCGGGTCGGGCGCGGGGTTGGGAGGAGACGAGCCGGGTGCCCTCCCGACGGGCTCTGCAAACCAGGGATTCCCAAACAACTATGCTTTGGGCCGTCGCACTTCTGTGTCTGCAGAGTCCTTGAATCCCACGTCGGCTGGCTCGGACAGCTGGACGCCTCCGCACCACCCCAAGACGGACGACCAGCTGGCCCGCCTCAAGACCGCTGTGAGCAGCAACTTCCTCTTCTCCCACCTCGATGACGAGCAATTCAAGACCGTCCTCGACGCCCTGGTCGAGAAGCCCATTCCCGCCAAGGATATCAAGGTCATCTCGCAGGGTGACGCCGGTGACTACTTTTATATCGTGGAGAAGGGCAACTTCGACATCTACATCCACTCTTCAGGCTCCGTGCAGCCCGGCCCCGATGGTTTGGGCAACAAGGTGGCCTCGACGGGACCGGGTGGCTCGTTCGGTGAGCTGGCTCTGATGTATAATGCTCCCCGTGCCGCGACCGTCATATCGACTGAGGCCAAGAGCACCCTGTGGGCTCTGGATCGCATTACCTTCCGCCGCATCCTGATGGACTCGGCGTTCCAGCGTCGCCGCATGTACGAGGCCTTTTTGGAGGAGGTCCCGCTACTGTCCTCGCTCAAGCCCTATGAGCGGTCCAAGATTGCCGACGCCTTGGATACGATCAAGTACCCCGCCAATTCGACCATCATCAAAGAAGGCGATCCGGGTGATGCCTTCTATCTCCTGGAGTCTGGCGAGGCGGAGGCCATTAAGGACGACGCCTCCGTCAAGAAGTATTCTCGTGGCGACTACTTTGGTGAGCTCGCCTTGTTGGATGACAAGCCGCGTGCGGCCAGCATTGTGACCAAGACCGATGTGAAGGTGGCGCGTCTGGGCCGCGACGGATTTAAGCGATTGCTTGGCCCGGTCGAGGAGATCATGAGACGGACCGAGTACCAAGTGGATTCTACCAAGTCTCCGACTTCCTCATGAATGTGATATGATACGATGATTTTTCGAATATGTGGAAGGGGGTGGGGGGTTGTTCCGCCCAAGAGAAGAATTTGAGCTGCAGTTGCAGTTGCAGTTACAGTCAGGCATGGCAGGCAGGCAGAACAATTGGAGTCTCCGTCATTTTCCCACTTGGGACCATCCCTCATCCGCTCTTCTCTCTCCTGCTAGTGAAATTTCTTTGTTTGTGCCTGCTCTCTCTCTCTCTCTCTCTCTCTCTCCCGCCATCCCTATCCACCACCCTTTTGACACTCATTATGACCTGTATCAATCCTGTCTCTTTTTTGTGCGGCGTGTTCCTCTGACAGGTACCTACTATCGTCCTTGTCACACTCTTGCTGGTTGCTTCGAGTACCTTATTCTCCATGCGCCTCGAGTGGGCCGAGCAAATTGACTAGAATTATGCTTTCATCTGCTATAAGTAGACCCTTGGAAGTGAAATGTAGTACTGTAGTTTCCTATTCCACACAACACTTGTGAACCACGTAGCAGCCCATCTGGGGTGTCCTCTAATCACATTATGTTTGATTCATTGAGTACTGAAGTATTATGAAGCGACTGAATTATATTTTATACGGGTCATCACCGCCCAACAACCAAGTCACTTCGCAACACCCACTTCTCCCCACTCGTCACCTCCATCCCTTCATGCAACATGCAGTGGTCTCCATGCCGATGCAACAACGCCAATCCAGTCTCTGGCGCCACTGAGATTGGTTCAGGATTCGGATTTTTCCGTGTAGGCTCGGGGTAGAAGACGGTCTCTCCGCCGGAGCAGGTGGTCAAATAGATCAGAAGCGTCCACGTCGTCCGTGCCGGCACGGATTTAGTAGATGAGGATGGAACGAACGTAAGGGAATTAGATTCGTCATCTGCATAGAGGCATAGCATTAGCATGGGTTTCATTCTTTTCTACGAGGGTGATTTACAGTGTTGTGCAAAGAATTGACCGGCCGAATATCGATAGATCCGAATATTGGGATTTAACCCCAGTGGCTCCCCGCCCCAGAGCTGTCGACATTTCTGTGCCAGCTCTTCCGCCGAAGGTCCCTCCCCCTCCTCATTATATTCATTATACGCATCTTCCTCGTCAAACCGGGTCGTCACCAGCTCCTTCAATGCCGTCCCGCTCCACACCATCTCCGCAAATCGTGCATCCTCCACCTGAAACCGATCATTTACGCGCACTGCCTCATCTTTCTTCGGTTTCCCCGGTGTGGTCGTGAGGGGAAGCGAGGCCAGGAAAGAGGCGTAGGTCTTGCAGAGGGAGGACGGCAGGAAGTTTCGGATCAGGCAGATCTGGTCCGCGACGAGCGGCGTGAGGGTGAGGTCGGCGGCGGGGAGGAGCGGGCGCAAAGGTGGCCAGTTGGGTACGGCTGGTTGAGGGGTGCGTGACGGTGGTGTCGATTTCTCGGGCTTTTTGCCTTTAGGCATGTTGGCTGCGTATGGACCACTGCAACGTGAGGTCTGTTGGGAGAGGGTGTTAATGGGAGTGCAGCATGGCAGCTGTGGAGAGGGTTGTGCGCCGATAAGATGCTGCCCGGTCCCTCGGTTCTGCACGTTTGGTCTCCAACTCCGCCTCCCCCACAGTATGACTTGCATATGTCAAGGGGAGGATGGAAGAAAGAGTTCAATTCGGCAGATCTGGAAGGTGAGTCTAATAAGATAAATTTGTTCTTGGTCTGATTGTTCGGATCTGGACATTGCCGCCTGAAAGTAAGTGTATACTTCCGTCAGGTACTGTTGGCTGCGGAGTCAACCGCCCAATGTTTACGATCCACCCCATTGTCACGCAGATAATTAGTACTTCGTACTTAAATTCGACATTCTTCCCCATCAATGTCACTCCCCAGCTGCGTGAGACTGTATTCAGCATTGTCACAACCCCTCTGTAGATCTCGAATCGGTGAGGAACCAGGCTGGTGGATCGGGAGGTTCGAGCGGGGCGGGAAAGAAAATTTGTCCCGGAGGATCGTCTCCAGGGAACGTTTACATCTGGCCCATCTTTTCCCTGCTCCTCTCGACATTGTTTTCATCTGACCTTGGCTTCGGGCCTCTTTTTCTTCGTCCATTCGATTTCTTCCTAGCGTTCAGGTTTCACTTATTCGGCCTGCTCTCGACATGCAATAAAAAATACGGCCGCCCGCAGCCACCAACCCGGCAAGGCTCACCGCCCGCCCCGAGAGAACTTCAACTGCAGCAAAAGCTTCTCTCCTCTCCTCCCCCAGAGCCATGTCGTCGCAGACCATGACGGCGCCAGCAGTGGGCCATCGACCGCCTGATTCAGGCCCCGATACGCCCATGCACGACTATGGCTACTCACAGAACTCCCCGTCGTCTCCTACCGCCTCAAGGAGCGCCTCCGCAACCCGCGACATGCATAATTCTGCCCCAGCCTCCAACTCCAAGGGCTTGCCCGCCACCCCAATCGGAATCAAGTCAGAGCCTTCCGACTCCCAGGACCCCAATGCTCCCGATCACCAGAAGGACCTCAACACCCAATCCGCCGCCGGCGCCCTGCTCGCCCAACTCCTCGGGAATCCTTCCGCGCCGAATTCTTCAGATGCGACTGGACAATTGCCCGGGCAACAATTAGAACACCAGGATGTTAAAATGGACGGCTCGAATGGCTTTTCGATGGTGGACCAGTCCGACCAAACCAACTTTGCGCTGGATGCCAGCCTACCGCAGGATTCAACCTCGGTATCAAGGGGGATGATGTCTGAGCCCAGTGATTCCAACGCCGGAAAATCCAACGCCGATATCTTGGCCGAGATCGATGCGACGACGCAACAGGGAGGAATCAGTGCGGCACACCGTCCATCCGGCGCAATGGATACTCTCTCCGATCCTATGAATCCCAAGTCGAACCTGGAACCGTCCCTACTCCCTCCCTTCGATTTCGCCGCAGCCCCCAAGAATGCGTTCGAAGCCCTCCAGCAGAACGAGCTGCTCACGGCTGCCTACCTCTCACAAGGAGCCGATCTTTCGGCCCTGGGATATCAGGATGGATCGGCCTCGATAGCCGGGTCAGAGCCTCGGATTCAAGCGTTTGCCAAACTCGAGTTTGACGATGGCCATTTCTACGTCAACACATACTCGTTCATTCTAGGGCGTGACGTCCGGGCCGCGCGCGCCGCCCACCAGCGAGAGATCCAGTTTCGGCAGGCCGTGCGGAGCTCTCGGGCAAAGAGTTCAAGTGGCGGCAATAATTCGCAGACGCCCAACCGCATGAAGCGGGAGGAAAGTGCCGCCATGATGGGCAGCGTGGTCAGCGACCGTGGTGGTATTATGGGATTTGATCCGGATGTACCCCCGCATCTACCAGCCAACCTTAACATCAGCAGGAGGTCATCAAAATCTTCCGTTGATGATTCTGCGGCACCTTTGAATGCCAACCCGGCGCAATTGCAAACTACCACTGTGACCGATTATAATGCTCTAGCCATGCAATCTCTTCAACCAGAAAACAACGGTGATGCGAAACCCGTCGATGCCCTGGCTCTGCTACCGTCTCCTGATTCCTGCCCTACAATCCCCATTCACCCTCCGTCGACGATCGACGGCACTGCCGCCGGTCACCGGGGAATTTCCCGTCGACATGTGCGTATTGCTTACAACTTTGACCGCAATCTTTTTGAGATGGAAGTCATGGGTCGCAATGGTGCTTTTATCGGCGCCGACTGGCTTTCTCCTGGGCAGGTTCGCCCGTTGCACAGCGGAGATTACATCCAGATCGGTGGAGTGCGCATTCGATTCCTGCTTCCCGATGTGCCCATCGGCGAAACTGGTGCAGATAGGATGGAAGAACAGCAGCAACTTCCAGAAGAGGAGGATGTCGATGCTACTGCCGACGTCGATCTTGACGCTGCTCACGACATCGATGCTGAGCACGAGATTGATGACATGGACAAGCCTATGAGCGACAGCCCGGACAGTAAGGAGCCTTCCAAGGCGACCAAGATTGTTCTCAAGAACAAAGATCAAGATCCGACAAAGCCTGTACCGTCAATCGAGTCCGGCGGGGACAAAGGTGAACAACCGGCCCGCCGTCGTGGGCCTGGGCGACCTCCTAAGGATGGTATCATGTCCAAACGCGAAAGAGCCGAACTGGCTCGAGAACAAAAGCTGGCTGCCAAGCGCGAAGCCAACGGCGGTGTTACTCCACCACCAGCAAATCGGCCTCCCAAGGCTGGCAAGACCACATCAACAGCGCCAACGACCAAGGAATCGGTTGGTGCCGAATCACCAACCTCCAGCAAACCTGCGGAAAAACGGAAGTATACCAAGAGGAAGAAGGGCGATGGTACTCCGATGGACTTCCCCTTGCCTTCCACGGAAGGTGGCCAGTTTTCTGCCGAGCAACCTCCAGAGGAATATGTCAAACCTCCACCGGTCAAGAAACGCAAGCCGTCTCGCTCACCCTCTCCCAACTACCCTCCGGAGTCTGCTTATTCGCCCGAGGATCTGGCCAAACCTCCTTACAACTATGCTGTTCTCATTTTCGATGCTCTCACCGAAGCTCGCACGCCGATGACGCTGAAGCAAATTTACCGTGCATTGAAGCTCAAATACCCCTACTTCCGCTTCAAGTGTGAGACCGAAGGATGGACATCCAGTGTACGACACAACCTCAATGGCAATGGGCATCTGTTCATGCATGCGGAACGAGATGGCAAGGGATGGTCATGGCAACTCCGACCTGGCGCATCTGTTGAGAAGGAGAAAAAGAGACGTCCTTCGCCTCCGCCGCCCCAGGCGCCCCCGGCACCTCCTCAACAGTACATGCCTCCCATGCCCCATTCGTATGCTCCTCCTTCCGGCGCTCCAGCACCGATGCCAAACCAGCATCAGCATCAACAGCAACAGCACTTCCAATTCCCTTCGATGCCGTCCAATTTCTCTGCGCCATCATCTACTTCTCAACACTCCAGTCCCTATCCTCTTCCTTCTACGGCAGCTCCTCCTGCCTCAACCCCTGCTGCTGCTGCTGCTCCTCCTCCCCCTGCTGCTGCTGCTGCTGCTGCTGCTGCTCCTACGGCGCCGATGCCTGCGTCGGCACCGGCTCCTACCCCGGCTTCTGCATCGGCAGCCCCGGCCCCAGCTCCAGTTCAAGCATCTGCACCGGCTCCAGCTCCTGCCCCGGCTTCAGTTCCAGCCTCGGCGCCTCCGCCAGTTTCTGCTCCTGCACCAGCGCCTGCTTCGGCTCCTACAGCTGCGCCTACGCCTACGCCGGCCCCTGTGCCTGCTCCAGCCTCTTTCCCAATTCCAAGCACTATTCGAAACAATCTTCCTGCAGCTTTTGCTCAGACGATTCCCTCTACCTACACCTCACCTTACGCCTCCAACCCTCCACCGCAGGCGGCACCAGCACGGCCCTCACAGACACCACAGCCTAGTCAGGGACCGCCGCCGCAGCATCATCAGCCGCCACTTCAGCAGCAGCATCAATCTCCATACGCACCTACCAAACCTCCTCCTTCTCAACCACCACCCATCAACTCCCACCAAGGATACCCCCCTCCACCAGGACCATCGTACCAACCCCAGCATCAACATCAGCAACCGCAGCCACATCCGCCGCAGACTCATCATGTGGCCCCTCAGCACCACCAGGCACAGCAGCCGCGCCCACCACCGCCCGGACCTCAGGGCCATCCGCAGCACCCGCAGCAGCATCAACAGCAGCCGCTTCCTGCACAGCCGAACCCCGCGCCACCCGGGCCCCCGGAATCATCCTCCTTCAATGAACGCGCGAACAAAGCCATCGATGATTTCGAGGCGGTGCTCATGGAGGATTACGAGGACAAGAACTATATTCGGGAAGTTCTCCGAAGCGCACGCGCTCGGGTTCTAGGCAATGCCACCGAGAGTTCCTTCCGCGGCGGCGAACCCCCGGACGAAGGGGTCATCATGGATGTTCTGCGCAACCTGGTTGGAAGCCTCAATGACGAGTAAGAAAACAAATTAAAATCAAGAACAAGGAACCGGGCCAGTGCCCGCTTTTCTTTCGTCACGAACTCACGACTTCCTTTTGCTTTTTTACCATCTTGGGAAATCGGGTCCGGAGTTTTCTCGCTGCACTTTGGTTGCAGCCTTCATCTTCTTTGCTGCCGGCTCGGGGCGTTGACGATGTGTTCGGTCGGGAGGGGATGTCCTTCTCTCCTGACGACTTATCGAGTATACGAGTCTATGTCATTTGTTTGCGCTTCTGGGTTCTTCTTGAATCTTGTGATATCCCTCTTGTTCTGGCAGGCGAGCCGCCTGGACTGTTTTTATTGTTGAATTTCTGTCTTTGTCGACATGCCTCGTTACAGGCATCAAAAATAAAAAGCTAGCATTATAGAAATATCAAACCACTTTTTAAAAATCGAATCCCAACCAGCTATGAACCTAAATAGTATTGTATTAGCACTCAAGAAGTTACCGTGACAGTATTGCTCCAACGCTAGATTCTACGGCATTTTCGGAGTGTGGTGTATATCGATCGCATTGATGTACTGTACAGCCGTATGCATGTAGACGCATTTATTCAAAGTTTTTCAGGCCAGGTCGAATACACAGCTGCAGGCGTCCCTGAGATTCCGGACCAATGTATATTTCTAATCCATTCTCGCACGTAGCCAATAATGCACCGACCAAAACCCCACGGCGACAATGTTTTGCCATCTCGGCCCAAAGAAGAGGGGTGCACCCGGAATCTTCCTAGACGGCGGGGTTCAGGAGGTGAGCAGTGCCTAGCGCCAGTGCCCGACGCACGAGGGGGGTTGGGCCGAGCGTAGCCGGTGAGAACGGTCCACCAGAGTGGATGGACTGGACTAGAAACAAACTACCTAGGTACACTAGTGTAGTCACTGGGACGGGGTGAGTTTATTGTGTTGCCCTGGGCGTCACCGTGGTGATACCCTGGGGGGTTTCCAGCTGTTTTGGCAGGGCTGTTCTACAGTGTATAGTTCAAGTGTTTGGTGTCATGTGTCTGCCCAGTCAAGATAGACCAGGACGGGATGGCGACTGTTCAGTAGAACATGCAGAATATTGCTGTGCCGCCAGCGGGTCGACCTTGGGTATGTTTTCCGTAACCTACTGTATGTGAGTACGCATAAGAGTATGGCGAACGTATGTGACTGTTCGCCCCCTGTCCGAGTCTGTCGGAAGCCTGGAAGTGCTTCGACACCCGCCAAAAATAATGCCTCAAGGCCCTCCAGGCTCCGCCGCGACCCAATGAGCAGGCCCGCTGACGCCCCCCGGTATCAGTTCGACACACCGGTGTTGCCTTCCATCGTCTCCTCCTGTCACCATGCCGCATGACGCTATGCACACCGCAGGGATCACTGGGTTTTACTGGTTTCCCTGGCCCTTACCCCCGGTGACTCAGAGGGGCCATGACAAGTCATCGGTGCCCTTGCTTTGTTGTACGGGGTGATGACGGGCGTGTGATCGTAGCCGCAATGGCTACCACCAGATGGTTTTGTTTCGTGCGAGAGCCAGTATTGTCCTCGGGAGTCGAGGGATCCAACACCTTGCTGGGGGTACAGTGGTCACCTCATCACTCCGCAACGGCAGGAATGTCACTGCAACGCTCAGGCCTGGGCTGCCGCGAAAAAAAAGGACAGGCTCCACCGCCCCGTCACGGCCATCCTGATTAGTCAGGCCCGCACAAGTCCGTGTCTGCCTTTTTTTAGATTTTTCCTTTTTTTCCTTTGTAGTTGGGGGCGTTGCATCTGCCAGAAACAATGACTCGACTAGCCACTCTCAGAGGATTTCACAGGTCAATGAATTCCTTTTTCCTATTCACTTGGTCTTTGAGCATTTACGCAATGACATAGTCCTAGAAATGGAGCTTGTAGTTTGGTACCCTAGGGTTTGGTACAATAATGCTCCGTTCCATATTTTACTAGTACAGCACTTAAAAGTGAATGTTTCGGGTTGAGGTAACGCGGTGACTGCCGTGACAATACGTGCCAGCCCGAACAGGGTGGCAGCAGTGGCAGTGGCGGCGCGGCCAAACCCTGGGACCATTTTGCCTGAGTCTCGACCCGTCACGTATCGTCACCGGCGCCCTTCACACACAACGCCTCCCTATTCCTACTCTTCCCTCCCTCACCTCCCCCTATTCACTTCCTCCCTCCTCCCCCCCAACCCTCTCCGCTTCCAACGAGCTTTTCACTAAGTGTCGTTGCTGACCTCTTTCCTGAGGTCTGCCTCTACGCGAGGGAAACTCCTTTTGTGTCTTTTCTTCGTCTCGGGACCGCCCACTCCAACGCGTGTGTCTCTGGATTCAAAAAATAATCTCGCAGGGATACACCTACAACTCCCCCGTGATTCTGTGATCCGATTGAGTCTCTCGACTGGTTTTATGAAACTCGCCTTTGTGGGATCTCGCTCGCCGGTCATCTCGAAAGGTCTCGGTCGCAATTCACGACCACTCCTTCACTCTCGTTTGTTCTTCGGTCCATTCGATTGAAGAATTCACCAAATGTCATTCAACTAGAGTCGCTCTCTACAAAGACATCGGAGCGACGCGCGCGCTCACCGAGCAGCGCCTCTCTCCACACCCGGGTTCGAGACGCAGCGGCGTTGTAGACGGTTCGTGCCTATCCTTTCGTTCCTAACGTCTTGTCGTCGATTGCACCGGCGCTGACTGTAGGTTCATCCAGAGCATTCGATTCGTCTGCATCACCCCCGTCTTGACCGGTTACTCCCTTCCCTCCTCTTCGCTATGCCGTCTTTCTACAACGCAGGCCACGGCCTGCCCACCCCTCCTCACGTCAACAGCGGTGGTCGCCTCGATGAGCCCCAGTTCTATCCGGTCGGCCACGCTGCTTTTCCGCCTCGCTACCATCAGAGCGGCAACGAGTTCATCGAGCAGTACACGCAGTCTCTCTGCTACGCCAAGCCAAACGCGATGAACCTGCACCCTTCCTCGGCGCACCCCATGCACCCCCGGGATATGCACGCTTTGGGCCAGCAGCCGATGTACGGTCCGATGGCAACCGCCTTGCCTCCGATCCGCTCCAATGTCCAGCTGCCTCCCATGGATAGCGCGATTCCCCAGCAATACCGTCGCCAGGATATCGCTCCGATGCAGCAACCACAGGAACAACCCCGCAAGGAGGAGAAAGCCACTGGAGGCGTCGCCGCTCACCTCGATTACGAGATGGACCGCATGTCCGACTTCGTGGCGGAAATGACACAGGGAATGTATGAATTGTACAACACCAAGATCCACCTTTTAGATATTGACTTCGCGCGAAGCGTCTCCCCAGGATCATCCGTCCCCCCACAGTTTCGGAAATACGTCTATCAGATCCTGTCTTCGACTCGCCTTCCCAGCTCAACCATTCTTCTGGGTCTCTTTTATCTGGCCAGCCGGATGCGCCTTCTTTCTGAGCAGCGCGTTTTCCCATCTGGAAGCGGCCAGACCTACCGCATGCTGACCGTTGCTCTGCTCCTGGGCAGCAAGTTCCTGGACGACAACACGTTCCAGAACAAGTCGTGGGCGGAGGTCAGCAATATTCCAGTGGCTGAACTGAACAAGTTGGAGCTTGAGTGGCTTTTCGCCTTCGAGTGGAAGATCCACGATCGCATCTACGATCAGCAGGATGGCTTCGCCTCGTGGCGTCGACACTGGGACACCTGGCGCGCCAAGGCTAGCCTTCGTGCTCACGAATCTCGTCAATCCCTGGCGCCTCTGGATACCAACGTTGCCCGCCAACAGTCTATCTCCAAGCCTCTCATGTCCCCCGAGGGCCCCATCCCGCCACAGTACCAGCGCAGCGCGCACATCGAGAATTCGTGGCTCAACCCGGCCGCGTCTGAGTACTCACCTCCTTCGGCTCCGCACAGTGGACCGAATACCCCAGACTACTACTCGGTTGGCCCTTGGGCCTACTCGAACCCGCCTCCGCCCTACTCGCGGGCTTGGATCCCTCCTCCGCCTCAGTACATGCCCCAATCGGCACCCCGGTCGCAACCCCCGTCCTACCACCACACTCCGGCTTACGGCCTGCCTTTCGCGCAGAGTCTCTGGACCGGCCACGGTTCGTCGTGCGGCTGCATGTACTGCGCCAAGCATCTTGAACATTACATGTGCAACAGCGCTTTCCCGGCGCTGCAGCCCATTGTCGCAGGCTAGACGGCCTCCGGCTTCCACCATGCTCTACTGATAATTTTATGATTACGATGCAAACCGACGACACCAACGGCGTCTCCGGTCTCCATCGTTTCTGGTTTATTTTTATTTTACCACTTCTTTTTCGCGGCTTTAGAATTTCTTCGACGTTTCGGTGATATTGCATGGAATTCTTTTCTTCGATGATACCGTTGTCTTTTCTCTGCTCTGTCCCTGATTTCTTTCGACGTTTTTACGCCCTCTTCAGTTTTCCGGTTCGCTGGCCCAAATCTCATCTGATATTCACAATTGAGCGATCGGCATTGCGCATCAACCCTCGAAAAGTACTTTTTTGTTCTGCGATTTGCTGGTTCGTGTCGGCTAAGCGAAAAACTCCAAAAAAAAGCAAAAAAAGAGAGGAAAAAACGCTCCCGCGGCAACATTGGCACGCCCTGGCCTATCCGCGATCTCGATGTTGTGTTTCTTTGCGCGAACGTGTCACACCAATTGGAGCTTCGTTGGATCATTTTTCTCACCTGCCGACCCTCCGTGGTCGGGGGCCAGGGCCGCAGTCACGACGATCACGAATACCTTCAAAATCTGACCATGTTTATTATCACCCATGATCTTCGTCTCATATCTTTCTTCGGTTTATTTTCTTCATTTACCCTTACCTCCTGGGCATTTCATCAGGAGGTGATGTCCTATAGATGGCCTTTTTTTTTTTTTTTTTTTTTTTCCAATCTTCACCTTCCTCTCTGCCTGGATTCTTTTCTCTTCCTGTCGGTACATTATTATATCTTCAATCTTCAATTCCCCCACGCTACAATCCTTACGGCGTTAATCCTTTCGTCTCGCCTTGCCATCGCTTTTTCCAATAGGCGATCCCAAACCAACTCGAATTCGACTCGATCCGTTCCAATTTTCGCAATTCGTACCATCTTCCGTCTTCCTGATATCCACTGACTTACGACCGGTCGATAAATCTCTCCAGCCATATGAGCGAGTGCATTACTCGACCCACCTTCTTTCTGAACGCCCGTCTGACAACGGAAATGTTATGCTAGTACCCAGTACTCGGTATCAGCGGCCTCCATCACGCTCCATCTTCCACGCTCCCTCTCCCTGACCACCAGTTTCACTGGCACCATTCTCCGTTCCCATTCTGGGATTGAACCCGTTCCCGCGACACGGCTTGCAAGTCGGCCCCTCGGCTGAACTGGCCTGCCGACTCCAGGATTGGGTTTGTATGTAGTGTATTGATGCTTCGTCTTTGTTCTGCGTTCCAATTCTCTTTGTTCCCGCCTGCCGAGCTGGTCTGTTCTTACTGGATGCCCTTGGCTTGGGTCTTTGTGTTTTGATGCGGTGAAGATGATTCGTTTCCAATAAGCCAATGTGACAAACTATTGTCTTAGTCACATAATGTCCTTCGTCGTAAATTTCTTTGTAGTCGATGTAGATGTACTAGCCTTCGCACTGCCAGGGTGAGGTCACTTCAATGTTGTCGTTTTGATCGATTAGCTGGTCGCCCCTCCGGTCATCTCTGGTTGATAGGCACGCAGTCATAGCCAACTCCTTTCAGGGTGTTTCAGAACCGATACTACTGGCACTGGATTATATGAAAACAGACAAATATGGAAAACTAAAATGATGTTGCCTTAAGTAAATCACTCATAATATTCAATTTAATTTTTTTGATATAAATAAGCCAGTTTCTGTTTTGAAAATCATTATTATCTTGGATAATTGGAACTGTTTTCGATTTAGGATTAGAATAAAAAAATTATTTGCTTTTTAGTTGCATTCGTAGCGTCATAATTTTGATCAGTACCCTAAACTTGGTTGATATCTTTCCCATAACATGCCATGCCATGCAAACCATAAAACCAAAACCTTGAACCATTCAAGCTGAATCTATTTAACCAGTCTGTTTCCGAATTTTGAAAGTAAAAAAAATTCGAGGACTCAGGTGAAAAACCAGTCTAGTACACGCTTCCCCGTATACTCTGATCCTCTATCTGCTGTGCCTCTAACGAGAGCTTTTCGTTCTGTTCGTTGTGCTGCTTGTATGCATCCTGTTGTATCTCATTTTCTAGCGATGGCTCCGATTGCGAGTTTGTGGACATGTCATCACCGTCGCCGAGGATATTGGCCATTCGATATTGTGGCTGGGAGGCCGTTGATGAGGTTTGTCGGCGGTGCGTGTGATGGACATGTATATGAGAATGCGGATGTGAATGCGGATGATGATGGTGATGATGATGGTGTACATGCGGACGGGATTTTCTTGTATCTTCTGTTGGATTGGCGCTGAGTTCATCATCCCCGTCATCGGAGAGGTCTTGGGATGTTTGTGCTGCTGACCGAGGGTTCAAATGGGAATGTGCCGGTCTATGAATAGCTCCCCGTGGGGCGTGATGCTCAGTATCGGAGCCTTCATCATCCGATGGGGCGAGGCTGTTCGCGCCGCTCATGGAGCCGCCTCCATCACGCCCGCCGAGGTGGAGAAGGGCCAGCTTCAGACAGGCTGTCGACGATGATGTAGCGGGTGGGTGGAGGAGATAGTCTTCACTGTCACGATTGAAGCCGTAAAGAGTTGGCCTCGTTGGCCGAGAAGAGCCATTGGCCTTGGTTTCGGTGTTGGGGTGGCGAGGTTTGTTATTATCGGCGGTTTCGTCTTCACCAGGCTGACCGGGGTTGGAAGTATCGTGGTGAGACCCATTATTTTGAGGGAAAGTGAAAGAGCTATCGAAGCTTTTGTTCTGTTTCGCCGGTGATGTGAGCGAGCCTGATGAGGGCTGGTCAGTCTTGTCAGTGTTGCGAGAATTGTCCTCCACTTGTCTGTTTTGGCCAACACTGGTTTCATTGCGGATGGAGCTCAATAGCTGTGCTCGTAGGGATTGTTTAGCCCCAGAAGACAGTCCATGAGTACATCCATCTGGACAGCCGCCCCATTTTCTTCGAATAGGAACATGATCGGTGGGCGTGATAGCAGTAGGGTCGAGTCCCTTTGCTTCTCGCTCCTGGTATTTCTCTTGATCTCTTTCTTTCTTCAAGTCGGACCAGGTACGCAGTTTGTTCTGCAGAGTATACTTGTTGTTGTCTGGGTTGTGGGTCATGATCACGAACTCGCAGTGGTTGATATTGCGCAGGTCCTCGAAGTACTCCACGCTCCAGTGATACCACTTCATTAGAAAGACGCGGGTCATGAGACCATGGGTGACCAAGACGCAAACATTGGCAAAGTCCTCCTCGCCAAACAGTCGCCACAGGGATTCATTGAACCCACTCACTCGGTCATACGCATCTGCAGCGGACTCGCCATTCGGAATACGGTAGAAGAAGTGGCCGTAGTCTGCACGCTCCATCCACATACGTTCCATTTCCGTCGAGCATGGTTGGAAGTTCCCAAAATCTTGTTCTCGCAGCCGGGGCTCCTCGTAGACCTTGATAGTGTGTCGGGGAAATGGAGACGGGGAGGGCGTGTCTGCGGTCAAGGATTCCAGAATACCTTCGGTAGTCTCTCTGGTTCGGCGGTATGGAGATGTAAAGAAGTGAAGGGTATCATCGGGACGTAGGAGATCACGCAGCCGCCGGCCTGCTTCCTGTGCCTGGCGGTGCCCCTCGGGAGTGAGTTTGACTCGGTGGTCGGGAGTTGTCTGATGGATATCACGGTTTTTGTTTCCCTCGGACTGCGCATGGCGAACGAGGATAATCATCTGAGAATCGATAAGACGTCAGTATCACAGTCGACAAAGCTCTCGTCAGCAGAATCATCCCATATACTTACTCGGGGTTTCCCCATGGCTGCAAGAGTATGTGGAACTGCACGATGCGGGGGGGGGCAGAAAAGACAGATGAGGAGATGGAGAAAATTCGACGCGAGTGAACCTGAAATCAAACACAGCGTCCCCAGCTCGACCGTTCACCTTTACCGCAGAGGCGTTGTAAAGTTGACCAGCGCCAACGAGGAGAGAAAGTCGACGCCGCGCAGACCCGCACGGGCCACCACCGGCAACCATCCACAGCGCGGCGTTTGCGCGGCGTTTACGCAACGTCACTCCTGCTCGCGTTCTCGTCTGCGCTGCGCTGCATCATGGCCGACTCTCTGCTCGAGCTGCTGGCGCCGCACTTGGATGCTCCGAGTCAGAATGCCACTACCGACCAGTACTTGACTCGCCTGTCCACACTCTCCCTCGACGCTCTCCAGTCCACCGAACCGCAGTCCCTCGCTCAATCCTCACACTCGACCCTCCTATCCCTCCAGGCCCTGTCCAACCGCTCCCACCGAACATTTATCACCTCGGCTGATCACCTGTCTACTCTGCGTACAAATATTCCCCAACTGACAAGCGAGGCGCAACAACTCCGCGATGCCCTGCCGAAACTCGACGAGGAAACCGTGGGCTTCTCCACCAAGTATAGCAAGATTACAGACAATGCCGCCCTAGAGCGGCGGAAGAAGGCTATGCAGCTGGCGCGCAATGTCGACCGTCTTTCTGATATCCTAGAGCTACCGACCTTGCTCTCTACTGCAGTGTCTGCCGCGTCTGCCAACTCAGGTGCCGGGGCCGCTTCGACCACTTATTCCTCCGCTCTCGATTTGCATGCACATATCAAGCGACTTCAGACATTATACCCAGACTCGCCACTGATTCAGGATGTGGCATCCCAGGCAGAAGACGCAATGAAGGAAATGACAACCAATCTGATTGCAGGACTTCGAGCTCAAAACCTGCGGCTGGCAGCTGGTATGCGGACCGTGGGTTGGCTGCGACGAGTAGCACCAGATCTCGAGGCTCTCCAAAATGACGCTTCATCAGCAAACGGGGAAGGAGCGCTGGGCGCAGTCTTCTTGATCTGCCGCCTGGCGCACCTGGTTACGACACTGGAGGCGTTAGAGCCACTTCGCGAACTAGCCGACCAGGAGACGCAGCGGAGGACTCGAGTCAAGGATACATCGGAGGCCTGGTCGGATGGCCAGCAGACCGACCGGTATTTGAAACGATACATTGAGATCTTCCGTGAGCAAAGCTTCGCTATTGTCTCTCTATACAAGAACATATTTGACTCGGAACAATACGAGTCTGAAACGGCCGTGTCTGGCTTACGAGGCGCCAGCAAGGTGGAAAAATCCAAAACCCCGTCTGCGCGAACAAATGATCCCTTGCAAAGACTTCCATCCGCCCTCGCCACATTCCCGATGCATCTCGTGCAACTACTCACCAACACCATACGAACATATCTCCCCAATGTGCGGGATCGTAGCTCGCGAGAGAGCCTGCTGACCCAACTGCTGTACTGTGCGGCGAGTCTGGGTCGCCTGGGGGGCGATTTCGGAATGATCTTAACGGAGCTTTGCGGCGAGGAAGAGATGAGCTACGAGTGGGAAGATGTAATGCGGAAGCATCGGGCGCTGGTCGGTCGACTGGAACAGTTGACCAGCCGGGTGCCAGTACATTGATAGAGTGCCTGGACGTATACTAGGAGCATAAAGAAATCAATAATAATGCCGTCTATGTATAGCCTGATTGTATAGAACGGGGCCACTCGGGCCCGCCAAGCCAACAAAGACTAAACTCAGGCGGGTCTCCGCCTTTCCCCGTGTTTGGTGTCACTCTTCCCTTCTGCTGCTTCTTCCTCTTCCACTTTCTCTTCCTCCGACCTACTATCGACCTGGCCTGGTCAATCGTGAATGTCGTCCCATTACTTCTTCCCTTGATTGCACCCCTCCGAACCGCAGAGTCATGGCTGCACCCACGATTTCCACCATGATCGACCCAACCAAGCAGGCTGAGTACCCCATTGTCTTGGGGGAACGACTGGCAAAGGAAGAAGCCACCGGCCGATTGATCAACGTCAACTATAATTACAAAACCAAGTCCAGCACACCGACCCAACGCTCGACCATCACCCGTTCCTCCCTGTCGCGCGATCTCTATGACCTTTCCGTCACCGATAAGCCCCCGGGCGCCGATCACAACCTGACGTATGCCTACCAAGGCAGCGAGGACCCGGTCGACGAGCGCAGCCTCGTGCTCGTCTTCGACCCCGATCGGAAGGTCTTTGTCCTGGAGTCGGTCGCGACCAAGTTGAACTTCAACCTCCGATCACGGCCGGGCAAGTCGGAGAAAGAGGTTCGCCACGAGAACCTGGAGCTGCTGCCAGTCTACCACGAGGACGATCATACATCTTCGGACGATCGCAACGCTACCAATACAAGTGAAGATGAAGGCCCGGCCGATGAGAGCAACCCTTATGATTTCCGCCATTTCCTTCAAAAGGGTGTGGAGAACCAGCCGACCTTTACTTCTGGCGCCACCACGCCGGAGCCGGTCAGCACCAGCAAAGCGACAACACCAGTCATCCACGCCTCGAAGCCGGCCCCGGCCCCGGGCCCGGTCCCGAAACCGATGCCTCGCCCGAAAAAGCAATCTAATCCACTGCGAGCACCCAAGCGCCCAGCGAAGCCTCAGGCTTCCTCGAAACCGCCTCGGTCAACGCCAGAGCCGCCCGCAGCGCCGACTCCGCGTGTGGACCCACCCGAAGACGACGTCCGGTCCTCACTCTCAGATGCGGGCACCGGCTCCGCATCACAGCAGACAGTTCAATCTCCGAATTCCAACATCATTGTCGATGGTGATCTGATCATCGATATGGGCTCACCGCCCCCGACCCGAGCATTCAAGGTCAACCCGGCCTACTTCTCTTCCAACAATACCCCCGATGATCGCGATGATGACGAAGAAGAAGAAGAGGAGGAGGAGGAGATGGATAGTTTCCGCCTTCCTTCTCCTGCTAAGGATACCAAGCCGCCACCAGCAGAGAATGCTGCCGAGTCTGCTGGTGGCCAAGTGGGCATGGGTGAGGATGATGATTACGACCCTCTCGCAGCAGAGATGGAAGCGGCATTTGAAGAAAGTGCTCGCGAGGAACAAGTCGAACCACGACAATATACACAGACTTCGACCTCGGCACGGTACAATGTACCGAGCGATGATGAAAGCGAAGTTAGTGAAGAGGAGTAAGCTCTCTTTGGATTTATTTCTAATTGTTTCATTTGCATGGCATCAGCATGGCGTTGGGTGTTGGGGCCAAATATACCAATTCGGATATGACAAAAAGAGCACCAAGTGGCCTCAAGTAGTTAGCAGCGGGTTTATTTCACAATTGTTGCTCTGTGATGGGTAAGATTCCGAGGCTGTCAGGCGGGGCAGCGGCTGCTCAAACAGTGGTGTGGTGGAGAGGTAGTGCGGGCGCGTAATTTCTTGGAAGGAGACGGCTCTATTTTTGGGCCAGTCGCCATACGTATCTGTAGAGCGATGACAGTCCGTCATATAGTTTTCGAGACGCTGCTCGGTCGGCGACAAAGCCTGCTCCATCATAATGTGTTCCAATTCCACCCTGCTTACCCCAAATGTTCAGTTGTGAATTGCCTCCGCGTATTCGCCCTCTTAATGAATGCGCCCCTCGATTGGCCACAAGTTCTCTTAGCCTCAACCGCCCTCGCATTACTCAATGGCGATATGCCTCTTTACTTGAGAGACCGTCAGGCGCGAACAGTAGTGATTCCACGCCCGCTACTGGACGTATAAAGGCCTAGAAAATAATGTAGAAATATGTGCTATCTCGAAACATTGTGTGTTTTTTCAGTGTCTATACTGCTGAATACGCCGATGTGCTAAAGCAAGCTATTTACCTGAAATACCCATATAGTCTTTTCAAAAGTACCAACACATATTCATTCAGATGATAACGCCACGTATTAGCTGGACCGGATTGGGTGAGCACCTCGTTTGGTCTTGTTCAGACGCTCCATTCTAAAGTTTCTAATTTAATCTGGCCTTTATTGCCCTGACACATTACAGCAGCTCATAATCCCTGCAACTACGTACTCTCTTTCACGACACTTCCCAAGGATAAATTCAGCCTTTATTCTGCCCTCATGTCCGCCTTCACGCCCATCGAAAGATTCCATATTCTACGCGGTTTGTAGAGATCGTGTTGACAAGCCTGCTATATATTGCTCTTGGTAACTCTGGACTAAATGCGGAGCTTGCGCGTATTCCGCTAACATACCAGCCGTATAGGGGCCAAGTGCATCCAAGAGTGATAGAATACAAAGGCGCTGATCACGAAAAATTCACGACACTCGAGGCTGCCTGCAATGAATGTTGAAAATGAGGGATCGAAGATTTCAATCTACCCCTCAAATATCCTGCCAAAGGAAAATCCATGTCGATGCATAAAGGCAGATACTATGCTGTTGCTGGTGGCAAAGTCACTGATATTTTCACTGATTGGGAGGAAGCCTCACTTCCTTATAATGCGAACAAAACATGTGATTGAGAAATAGGAGTGCGAGGGAAGCAAGATCAAAGAAGAGCATTAGATATGAAGCTTTCTCTGTTGAATCGTGCAAGTGCCCTCGGTTTTGGCACCGTCCTCTTTTTTTGATAAACATCCTTCCCCATTCTGTCTCCATCGTTTGCAATTTCCCATATGCTCTAACTAAAATAGAAATCTAGCGCTGAGCTGCGAACCCCTTCCCCGAATTGTCGCTATTGCTCCTTTATGTGTCCTATCTGGTTGAACTATCAATGATTGAAGGGATGGATTTTTACTCATAATATCCTCCCAACTCCTGCCAAATGCTTGGAGAAATTAGGCATAAGACAAGGATAGACAGTAACTCCATCCTCTGATTTCGTCCAGCCGCTTCTTCAAGGTGGTGCTTGGGTACAAAGGCGTAGCAAGGATATCAGCTATGTATTTCTCTTCTGAGAAATAAGGTGCTCCAAGGTAGTACGGACTGCAGTCAGATTTGAACCTTGGTTTGACAGACTTGAGGTTCTTCATGAGATCTTGCATGAAGATCTGCGCATTGTTCTCCAAGTATGAATATGCTTCAAATATCATTTTTAAATGAACTTTGCGGTCATTTGATACTTGCTTTAGTAATTCCCAAAAGTCAAGAAAATCGTTGACAGGCCGAAGCACATCTCCAACAAGGGGAGGAAAGGCCGAAGGAGTGGGGTTTAAGGTCGGATTCTCAAGTTCGCCAACACCGCTCCGGGATCGTCTCTCTTGGAGCGACTCCACTGAGCTAGGTGCTTGAGTGGTGCTAGGCAAATCATCATATCTTGGACGAACGATTATCGTAGCGACATGCTCCCTGTAGTATGCATCATAGAGTGCAACCAAACTGGGATTGTCGATAACGCTCATAGCGTCTCTGTTCAATCCCCCCAGTAGGAAGATCTTATACTGATTTGAATCTTCACTGAGCTCGAGGGTTCGCGGGATATTTTGAATAGTGGGTCCCTCATACTGCATTTGAGAGTATTCTTTCCCCTCGGAGTGATAGCTGAAGCTCGTCGTCTCCTCGTAGAGAAAGAATGTCGAAGGTGCCATTTTGGTATCGTACTGATGAAAAGATGTAGGTGTAGGTGATAGTTGATGAAGAAGATGAACACTCAATATATTCGTGTCTAATACGGAAATTGTCTTTAAATATGAAATAGTACACAAGTGTAATGTAATTGATGCCATAAATCTTGCGGTGAACGGAGCTGACTCTTGTGAATCCATGGGTGTGCCAAGTACTAAGCCCGTCTGGGTAGAAGTGCCTTCAGCTTGATCATGAAGACCAACATTGTAGTATAGTAGAAGCTAGTGAATTATAGTGACTAGGTGTTTTATATTTGAATGAGCATATATCATCTCGACATCCTGACGTGAGATAGCAGTGACTTGATTATCTGTGCCTGCTGTGTGGGATTGATAAGGGGCTTATTCGACTCGGACAATTTTAAGCTGTCTAATGTATATATATTAAAGTAATCTCATGAAATAGACTAATAGCATGAGAGCTAGCAGAAAAGATAAAGCAGAATATTTCCGAAAAATAAACAGTGCACTCCCCTTGCGAGGAGTATACTTCGAGCTCGGGCCGAGTTGTTCCGCCCGGAGCATTCATCGCGCTCGCAGCGATGACGCCGCCTTCACTCCAATTTCTTTCTCGCCCTCAAGGGTCCTTCCCTGCCGCTTCATTGCCGACCTCCGTGTGCAACCGCGACCGCTACCAAAACTCTTCTCGTCGATTCAATAAGACGCCCCGCTATGCGCGATTGGTCAAGACCATTTCCAAGCTTGTGAGGATTCACTGAAGCAGCTGTCTACCCGAGTCAAAAAGGCGCGGAGACGTGCTTCACTGAACGCCTCGACCTGCGGATTTCACCAACGGCCCCGTTGCTTCTTTCTCTTGCATTTTCTCCCACCGTCTCACTCCACTTCGCAATCCCACCACCTACACTCGTACCGCGCCCCAAATGGCAGAGTCCTCGGAGTCTCCCGCGCCGCAGAGGCGACGCATCCCCGGCCTACCCAACCCCGTGCTTGCCGCAGCGCAAGAGAAATGGATATTCACCGACGAAGAGCTCGATCTTACACCCTCGCGCTTTGACAAGATCGAACGAGAAACGGAAGACTATCTCCGGCATCGCTCAGTCGAATTCATTTGGCAGGTCAGCCTGATGCTCAGACTGTCTTCGCAGACCTCCATGACGGCTACGGTCCTTATGCACCGGTTCTTGATGCGATATTCTTTGCGCGGCCACTTTGGCCCGGAAAAGGCGCCAGATCACATGCATCCCAAGGTGATTGCAGCGGTGGCGCTTTTTGTCGCATTCAAAGTTGACGAAGACATACGGCGAATGAAGGATTTTGTGATCGCATGCTGCCGCGTGGCGATGAAGCAGCCAAAGATGGTGGTTGACGAGCAATCCAAGGACTACTGGAGATGGCGTGATCTGATTCTGCAGAACGAGAGTGTCATGCTCGAGTTCCTTTGCTTTGACCTGCAGCTTCAATCTCCCTACCGCGTGCTGTCGGAGTACATTTCGTTCTTCGGCATCCAGGATAACCGACCGCTCCGAAATGCTGCCTTTGCTTTCCTCAATGACTCTACCTACACCGTCCTCTGCCTCCAATATCCTCCCCGCGTCATGGCCGCTGCAGCCCTCTATGCCGCCGCTCGACACTCGCAAGTCGCTTTCCCGGACGACTCTCAAGGCCGCCCATGGTGGGAACACATCGACGTGCGCGTCGAAGACCTCATCAAGGCTTGCAAAATAATTGTCAAGATCTACGAACGTGTCCAACAAAACCTTAGCAAAGGCTACCCGGTGTTTACCTTCTCCGACTCGGACCCAACAGATCCGACTCGCCTATTCAACAGCAATCCAGCCTCCTCCTCCTTTGAACTCACCCCAACACCTTCCTTGACTACCCCAGCTGGTGACCCCGGCTCACCAAATGGCCGAAAGCGCTCTCGTGAGCCGGACTCTAACCCCCCAGATGTTAAGCAAGGTACTCCGGCTCTAACAAGCCAATCACTAGACGCTGAGCGTTCTCCGAAGCGCCAGCGCACGATTTCTCCCGCACCAGGCACAACACCTGCCGAGCAGCGCGAACCCCAGGCCCAGGCCCAGGCTTCAGCACCACCTCGTCCGCGTATTCCGCGGCAGGCCATGGCCACAAATAAGCCCCACAAGCCTGCGTATGCGAGGCCCGGGCCAGACACAGAAAGAGAAACGCCTGCGTCATCAAATAAATCGTATACACCCAATGGCCGGGACCACTCTCACGAACCAGAGCATCGACCGCAAGATCTGAAGCAAATCACACCGGCACAACCATCTCAACCCCTTGACACTGAACGTTCTCCAAATGGTCAGCACACTGCTACTCCCGTGCTGGACCCGCCAAAAGATGAAGGAGGCGGCAGTGAGGAAGGGGAGGTGTAACTGTACAATGGACGCAAACGTCACGATTCTTATTGTCATTATCAAATCAAATTAATAAATTTATGTCCTCTATGAAGAGAGCTACCATCTCTGCTTTTTTTTTTGATACCAATTTCATCGCAAGATTTCTGTCGAGTTGTGAGTGCATCAACACTCACAGTATTTTGAGCTATCCCACGCATATTTTATCAGCTGCATTACCCTACGAGTTACCAGTGATCAAACAAAAAAAAAATAAGATGTATTCCAGGTTGCCAGCCCTGGCGTAGTGCTCATTGATCGAGGGATATCTGAAGATGCAACGTGAAAGTGAATTCACCCTGATGAGTTAAGAACACGTAGTAGTAATAATAATAATAATAATAATAATTCCGAAGTGAAAAAGCAAGGTTCGCTGTTTCGCCCATAATTGCTACCAAGATACTTGCGTATCTCAATCTCAATAATGCAGAGGAAAAGCCCGAAGTGCTGCAAATCGAAAGAGGATGCCGAAAAGATTATAAAGAAAAGGGGCAATGACTTGTATGCTTGGCTAAACACCCGCTGTCATAAGACCAAGCCCATGATCAAGCAGCGAGCTTGATGCGACAAAACTGAAGCCACCGAATGGATCACCCTCTCCGGGAGTTTGTCCTGCGATGCCGGAGAGACGAGAGGCCTTTCGGCCAGATTCATAAAGGTCATCGAAACCACCAGCGAAAGTAGGACTAAGGGGGATTTGAGTGAAATCTGAAGAAAAGTTCTCTGCCAGGGCCGGATCCGTGACCACTGGTTGAATGGGCGGAGTAAGTTCGCGGCGCTCGAGAGCTGCCCAGTCAATCTTGCGGAAGAAACGGTGCTTCTTGATGGTTTGCAGGTCCTTTGGCATATGGTAGCCCAGTCGCTTGGCCGGTTCCTTGCGCAGAAGCCGGATAAGCAGGTCCTTCGCGTCCGGGCCGATGAAATAAGGTAGAACGAGCTTTTGCTTCACAATCTTCTCCTGGAGTTTGGCATGGTTGGCGGCACGGAAAGGTGGTGAGCCAGTGAGAAGATCGAAACCCAGCGCGCCGAGGGACCACCAGTCACAGGCTTTGCCGTAGGGCTTGCCCTGGATAACTTCTGGGGCCATGTATTCGATTGTGCCAAGGGAGGAATTGCAGCGGTCATCATCACTGAGGGCGATCTTGCTGAGGCCGAAGTCCGTGAGCAGTAAGTGACCTTCCCGGTCGAGGAGACAGTTTTCGGGCTTCAGATCGCGATAAAGGACACCTACATTCTGGTGAAGATGCTCGAGGGCAAGTACCATCTCCGCCATGTAGAATGCAGCTGCATCTTCTTCGAACATGCGTTCCATTGCGAGGTGGTGGAATAGCTCGCCACCCTGGGCGTATTCCAAAATCAAATAGAGCTTCTCATGGTCCTGGAAAGCATAAAAAAGCTTCACCACAAACGGATGACGATTGACACTTTCGAGCACCATACGTTCAGTCTTGGTTTGCTCCACAAGCTTCTTATGAACAGTGATCGATGCCTTGCGGAACTGCTTCTGCGCGTACAGCTTGCCCGTGACAACATGGCGAACCAGCAAGACCGTTCCGAAAGAGCCCTTGCCGAGGCAGAGCAGGGGCTCAAAGTCATCGGCAGTCATCTTGCGACAGAGCTGGCTTCGCATATCAGTACCATTACCATTTCCAACAGCACATGGGCTTGATGGGGTGATGCTATCTTCCTTCTCAACATCCGCACTGACGAAATCATGCTCGAGGGGCACTTCATAGCTTGTCAAGACTTCAGTCTGATCACTGTCGGAGTAGACACTCGCATTGCTGGGAGTTGCCGAGCAAAGTCCGCTGGTGTTCGTTGTCGGTTTTCCGGAAATATTCAGGGAATCAAGCTGGAGCTTCAACGCACTGACTCCATGGCCAGTGGAAGGATACACAGGGGGACTCACTCCGCCGATCGCGGTAGCTGGGCGCGAATATGTGGCACGAGAACTCGATGTAGAAAAGTCTGAGTCTTCGTCTCCAGAAGCCAGCGGCGTGAAACCTCGTACGGTCGACAAGGCTGGGTCTGCGGCCGCGGCCGCGGCCTGCTTCTTCTTCTTCTTCCGACGTTGCTTTCCGGTCATCAGAGCTGGCAATGCCGAGGGCAGCATCTCCTTCTCTTTGTTCAGCCCGTAAGCACGGATGGCATTCTCGGTAGCCAGGTGCGTGTCCGGGGAGAACCGGCGCTCGCCCATGTGGACATCCGCGCCGTGGTGATTGGCCGAAACGTCGACAGCAGGAGGCGCATTGTCTGCCTGCGGGGTGAATACATCCCCGACAGAGACCTCATCGGTAACTTCGGACGGAGACATGGCGTTGGGTTTCACGACTCGGAAGTCTCAGGGCTGGTGTTGTCAAAGGCCTTGGTGGTCACTATGAAACCGTCGGCGACGATCAGTTTATACAGCGGGTAATAAGCAACACAAAGCTGTGTTGAAAGGCAAAATAAGTGCTCAGGGTGTCTTGGAGGTGGCCACTATTCACTCAAGTCGCTTGGTCAGCCTCATTCACTTCTTCCCGTATTCCATCCCAATTTGTATGGAGGGGTAATTTTTGCTGAGCAGTTTGCCCCACCAATTGCAGACAACGAAAAAAAAGAAAAAGAAATTCCCGAACTTTCAACAGAAGTTGGAGTAACTTACTTCAACTAAGATGGGATGAAAGGCTCAGTATTTCTCTGGTCGGGTCCGAACCAGCCTGGATTCCCACGAGCAGTTTTACCGTCCGCCCTTCTTCAGGACGGACCTGGGACCCCTAGCCAGATCACCTCGCCGACGGCGGAGTCAAAATCCAAGGCGAAGGAGCAGAGGAAAGGATATTCGGTCACGTCAAACACGTCGGGGAGAGCGTCCGAGAAATCGAGATCGGGTGAGACGAGATTGAAGTTGACCAGATAGTTGGTCAAAGAGATCGAGGCGAGCGAGGACGGCGCAGATAGGCACATAGAGGATTGGATAGGTTTGTTTTCACAGGAATGGCAGAGCGACACAGGGAGTTCCCACGTAGAGGTGGACAGGCAGGGCGTTGTGGCAGAGCTGAATTGCAGAAAATCATCGCGCTTTGAGGCGGAAATCCGGGGCGGCACTAGGCCCGATGCGACTTTCACGTGCAACGGATTACTTGCGCTCTCATAGGCGGAGCGGCCGGGATTACTCAATGTATTGTGTATGCAGGGAGACGCACGGCAAAGGGATGAAGGAGGGCAAGGGTGCATATCATTGATCAGATAGGATTATGTTTCATTTTGTAGACACATGCAATCTGGTCACTTTTTTTTTTTCATGGCATTCCATGCGTGGTCGATCCCGATCCGGTTCCTGCAGGCGATCGCGATTCCCACGCACGGCATCAGCGCCGTGCCACCTCGTGGCTCTCGAAGAATGCTTGCGACCGCGTGATTTCAATTCCGGACCGTTCGACAAATGCCAGTGCACTGGGCTTCTCGACCCGCACGGTCACCCGCTCATTACCAAAGTCAACAGTCACGATACGCGCAATGAAAGTTGCCAGGGCCTCGACGGTCTGGAAGGTGGTCTCATCCACTTTCTGTGGAGTTGTTAGCACGTTCTACTCCATTGAGATCTCAAAATAATAGAGCTCGAGGGAGCACCTACTTCTGCAACGGCCCTCGTCATAGCCTGGTAGGTATCAACAACCGTTGACCCCCAAGCCAGCTGGCCAGGACCCTGGAACTCCAAAGAGATAATCACTGCCTGCTTCTCAACGCGCTCATGGGAGTTCACTCCCAGAATAGGATAGCACCTGATCCCATCAATAGAGAACTCTTCTTCCAACACAACGGGGCATCTCGCCGAGGCATCACCTGCCCCCGCAGCATCTTTATAACCCCAAACGGTCACGCTACGATACTTCAACCCTTCGTCAGCACGCAAAAGTGCCTTCGGCAGGTGTAGCCACACCTCACACTTTCCGTAGTTATCTTCAACGGGCCAAGAAGCTGGCGCCGGTGCCTGCGGAATTCCCGAAAAGCTATTCCGCGGGCTCTGGTGCACATGCGCCATCCTCCGCACGCCGGCGGCTGTTTCGTCCAGTAGTTCGAGTCCGCAGTTAGCCACAATAGCAGCTGTCACTCGCGGGTCTTGGCCTACTGCGCTGAGCTTCATCTCCTCGCGCTGTGTCCCTTTCACGCTGATCATGCGACGGTGCGGGTGTTCTGGAGAAGTCGTATGATGGGCCAGGTCGCGGATGTCCGACTCTAAGCGGCGGAAGAGCTTGCCGTAGTCCAAGGACAGGGAGACATCGTCTGCTGCAGCGGCAGCGATTGCCGATGAGTAGGAGAGCTTCAGGCCTGCCTTGCATGGCTGGGCTTTATCGGGTCGATGCCATGGGTCCGGGGCTGCGGGGAGGGGTAGCTCGATATCGCGGAGACGAACACTGTCCAAGACAGGCGGCACCGTTGGGATGTGCACGGCGGATCGCTGCTCGGCCATGTTGGACGGATTGAATTGGATGAGGGGGGAGGTGTTGGTGAAGCTATGGTCGCTGGCCGGGGGCTAACATTCTTGTGAGGTTGGCGGGGAAGCTCCGGGAAGTTTTCTGGGCGGGGCTGCAGATCATGACGAGGACACCCGCGGAACTCCTCGCTTCAACGAGGTTAGGGCGATCTACGCCGGCGTTCTATTGAGTTTATCTAGCTCAAGCTTATTTCATCATAGCTATTCTATACGAACGTGTAGAGAATCCGAGGATTCTAATTTATGAGGGGCAAGAAAAATTGATGACGCTCTGGAACTTGTTCTGTCGATTGCGGGCTAAGCAATGATGAGACGGGCTAAGCAATGATGAGAATACCGTGGCTCTCTGGAACGACTCACACTCCAGGCCCTTCCATCTCATCCCTGGCTGGTATCCTCAAGGCTATCATCGCAGCCACCTAAAATTTCGCAAGAAAAGGAAAATCGCCGCTCCATCCTTGTCCTCGGAACCTTCCATATCTGTACAAGCAGGTAACCCTGCGCAAAGAAAAATAATATCAAGAGAAGACAAGAAAGAGGAAAGAGAAATAGAACTCAAAGAGAACATCAATCGTTGGAAGAAATGGAAATGAGAAATCCTAGAAGTCCCCGGCGCAGACACAATTGACGAAAAGAGGGCCGCAACTCGATGGGAACCCTCTTTAACAATCGGAGTGTCGGCCGTCGAGTCCTAAACCCAGCAGTAAAGAACGTGCTTCGGAAACCTTTGGAAATAGCACGCCGGAATCTCGATGGAAGCGGGTAATAAAAATCATTGAGACCAATATATCAAAACAATACGTGACGGGTATTGGAGGGGAGAAAGGAGAAATCATCTGCAGGAAAACGAGTCCTTCCATGGAGGACAAACATGGCACTGAAATGGCCTTTTTACCAGTAGGGGCGTGGGGGGCGATCATACGCAACATACTCCCCGCGGGTTGGGGAGCGAGGACGACCATACGGTGCGCGGGGTGCTAGATACGGATCATCATAGTGGCGCGGAGGAGGCAGAGGCCGAGCATCATAGGGGTCCTCGTACGGACGACGTGGAGGCGGGTAGTCTTCCATCCGAGGGCGCGGGGGAGTACGACGTCCATAGCCATCACGATCATAGTAATCACGACGGAGCGGGATGGGAGACCGTTCACGGTAGTGATCCCGGGGGCTGTATCCACGAGGGGGTGGGAACCTTCTGTCGTACTCATCCATAGGGGGGTAAGGCCGGCGTGGGGAACGAGACCGGTAGTTATCCCGGTAACGGTCATCAAGGTTCTGGATCTGGAAAGAGATCAGACGAGGTTCCTTGTGTTTTCCGTGGGCTCCGGCATCACAATGGAGTAGAGCTTCTTACATCCGCAACGCAAGTCACGCGCGAGCCTTTAAACTCTCGCTGGTCCAGCTTCTCCACGGCTGTCTTGAGGTCGTTTCCGGTTTCGAATTCAACAAACCTTGTGTCCTTGTCAATTGGGGGTGTTCTTGGGAAGGAGAGAGCCAGGCCTGGCTCAGGGATGCACATGGTTTACCCACCCTCTTCCTTGTTCACGGCCAGTTTCCGAGTAGACGACATCCAGTCCAGACTGTCGCGCGAAGTCTTTAAGGTCCTATTAAATGGTGAGTCCAAGTCGGCAAAGTGGGATGTCCGAGAAAATCCAGGTGGGAAGGTTGGGCAAAAGAGAGGTCTACGTCCAGGCATGGTGAGGTATCCAGATATGGTCTGCGGCGCACGGGCACACCTAGTCCTCGGAGATTTCAAACGCATGAATCTCCAGGACAATACAAAGTTCCAAGAGAGTAAAGACCAATGTCTCGGCAAAAGACCATAGGCTGGAAGGCAGACAGGGTTCGGGTAGAAAGGGAGAAACGTGGCCAAGGGGTGAATTCCGGGACATCCAAAGGGAAATGGGGCTGGGCTGCGATGCTAACCTGCCAGCTTGTTTCTGGAAGACCGGAAATTTGCATCCGGAACATAGTACGGCGCGGGCGAGGAGCAGTGGAGCGGTCCGGGGGACCTGGGAAATTCTCCTTGCGTCGCGGACCACGAGCGAACTGCACAGTTAGTCGCTCGCCTTTGAAGTCACTGCCATCTGTCATAGGATTGGTAAGTGATCACGGGAACTCAGCCAGAAAGCCACACATACGAAAGGCTATATGAGTGTTGTTAGCAATGGTAGATGGGTGGTAAGATATGGGTGCTTGAAGGGGGCCATACCGGGTACAACATCACGAGCGTCCATGGCATCTTCATACTCGATAAAGCCGAAACCATTCATCAGTTTGATCTCTGTGATCTTGCCCGAGCCATGGCTGCTAAAGTGCTCTTCAACATCCTGCTTCGTTGCTGTAAACTAAGTCAGCGGGCCGTATCAGCTGCGCGTCGCGAGGAAAAAGAAAAAAACAAAGGTCGACAACAAAAGTCGCATAGTATCCGAGGTGGGCTCCTTCATGAGATCGGAAATGGATCCTCCGAGGAAAGTGGGCCACGGACAAGCCTGCAGCGGGGGCATAGAAGAATCCATAGGCGCAGGCTGGAATGCGCCAGGTCGACATGCATGGGAAAAGGAGGGTTGCCAGCATACCGTTGCGGGGAAGGTTCCCGAGATAAAGTCGGGTGGATGATACCTCCGTCATGACGCTGGGGGTCAGAGCACTCCAGAGAGTTCCTGGAAAGATGCAAGGAATGGAAAAGAGTGGCCAAAGATGATCACAGAGCGACCGGAGGGCCGTGGAACGCGGCCAAATCAAGGCGGATCGAGTAGAGAATGTGGCGGTGGGCGTCGTGCTTCCCAACAGGAAGGGAAGTTGGGCGTTGGGTCAGAGTCGGGTACACACGCTGCAGAGACTGGGAGGATACCTTAGGTCTGGATGAGAGATGAAGGAAGATGCAGGGCAGAAAAGGAGGGAGGGGGGAAGGTAAGAGAAAAGGGAAGCAGCTCTGGCGGTGGGCGCTTGGGGAAAGAACTTCTGGCCGCCTCACTTTTTGCTCTGTGCTGCGATCCACGTGTTCCCCCACACCCCCAAAGTACAACTGTACGGCGGAAGAGAACCAAGTCGCGACAATTGTGCGAGCGCGTTCAGGATGAATCAGGGTCTTGTAAGGTCACGGTTGGCAAGATCTGTGTCAATCTGGGTTAAACTGAGTTAACGGTCGATCCCGCCTCGTGGACCTCCACCGTCATTCCACGGTTCTGCCCGCCTGTCCCCATGGGGCGGCCATGTTTTATTCTACACAAGGTACGCAGGGATGATACAAGTTACCATTAAAAGTACTTTTGTACCAGAACTAAAAACCAACTGCTGGAAATAAATCGCTTTTCTTGGTATTCGAATTATATATACAGTACAGCGAGCTCGGGCCCAGGACTATCTTCAAAAATAAAGGAAAATGGAACAAAATCTCGGACAGTAACTTTCAAGACACTCATGCCTTCTCATGTCAGCATATACTTGGGTCCCTCGCCACCTTGAGGGGTCTGCCAGTTGATATCCTGAGTGGGCACCTTAATGTCGCAGGTCTTGCAGTGGATACAGCTGTGAATTCATTAGCACCAGGCCTTCTACGCTAAAGGGGAAAGAGCCCAACTTACTTTTGCGCGTTGATCTGGAACCGGACCCCATGCTGTTTGCTAGGGTCCTCCACGTACTCATAAACGCCGGCAGGGCAGAACCGGTTTTCCACACCCTTGTATGCGGGCCAGGCGAGATCCTTGTGCCTGTCCCAATCCTCCACCTGCAGGTGGACGGGTTGATCCTCCTCGTGGTTGGTACCGGTGCGGCTCACGCTAGTCAGGATGTCAAATGTGATTTCGCCATCCGGCTTGGGGTAATCGATCTTGCTGTATGAAGAGGCGGGCTTGGTCGCAGCGGCGTCGGTACCATGGTGGCTGAGAGTCCACGGGACACGGCCCTTGAGCACGTAGGCTTCCAGTCCAGAGTACAGCAAGCCGCCGAAAAAGCCGAGGGGAGTGTTGAACGAAGGGCGGATATTGCGTACCTCCTTCAGCTCCTTCCAAACGGAAGATTCGCGCAGAGCCTTCTCATAGTCAAACAGGAAGACAGTGCCGCTATCCTCCCCACCTTGCAGAGCCGCAAACGCGGACTCGGCAGCCAGCATACCCGACTTCATCGCGGTGTGGGTACCCTTGATCTTGGGAACGTTGAGGAAACCGGCGGTATCTCCAATCAAAGCACCTCCGGGGAAAGCACACTTGGGGATAGATTGGAAACCACCCTCGTTGAGCGCACGAGCAGCGTAGGAGATACACTTGCCGCCTTCAAGGACGTTCTTGATCATAGGGTGTTGCTTGTATTTTTGGAACTCTCCGTACGGCGAAAGCCAGGGGTTGGGGTAGTCCAATCCCACCACCAGACCAATGCTCACCATATTGTCTCCAAAATGATACATCCAGCCTCCACCGTAGGTATCCTTAGGAAGAGGATAACCCATCGAGTGGGTAATCTCACCAGAGTTGAACTTCTCAGGTTGAATCTCCCAAATCTCCTTAATTCCCAACCCATAGGTCTGCGGCTGGCTGTGCCGGCGCAGATCAAATTTCTTGATCACCTGCTTGGTCAAGCTGCCGTGGCAGCCCTCGGCGAGAAGAGTGACGCGGGCGTGGAACTCCATTCCACGCTCAAATGTATCCTTGGGCTTTCCATCCCGCCCAAGGCCGAGGTCGTTGGTCGCAACACCCTTCACCGATCCATCCGGCTTGTATACGACCTCACTGGCTGCGAATCCGGGGTAAACCTCGACGCCCAGCTCCTCGGCGCGCTCGCCTAGCCACTTCGTCAATTCGCTTAAACTGATGATGTAGTTTCCTTCATTGTGCATCTGCGGGGGCGTGGGGAGAGGGAAGGAGGAGTTCTGAGTCAAGAAACGCATCTTATCGCCCTTGGCGGGGGTGGCCCCCTCGAATTTCGAAGGGTTGTCCTCGGACAGCCAGTCCGGCAGGAGCTCGTTCAACGCAGTGGGTTGAAGCACATTGCCCGATACGATATGAGCGCCCAGCTCGCCGGCCTTCTCCAGCAGAATCACGCGAAATTCCTCATTGCCGGCATCGTTAGCCAGCTGCTTCAAGCGAATGGCGGCGGCAAGACCGGCGGGACCTGGATTGCGGAAAGCTCATTTAGCCTGAGTTCGCGAAGGAGAGGACGGGGAAGGGGGTCACCCTTCCACCATATGTTTAGCACATACCACCACCGACAATACACACATCCACCTCGTCAGACTCGCGGTCTAGTGACCGTGGATCGAAGTTCCCATTCTCGTCAGTAAACCTCCGTGATACCGATTGAGAGAAGGCTCGTGTCTGGCTAGGTGGGAGAAATGAGGCGGACCGGCGGGCGATAGACCGGCGAGGGGGGGTCGAGAAGAGAGACGCGGGGGAACGCCCTGGGGCAGGAAGCGCAGTGACGGAGGGGGAAGCTCGTGACAGGCGGGCCGAAACTGTTTGCATTTCACGCCTCAGCAGAGGCAGGACGGCACTGTTGGACGCCATGGGGGATGGTCGTGATGGCGTAGGTTGACAGGAGAGAATGAGCACGGCTACTGAGTGACGTGCATGACCATTGAAGGGCTTGAGAAGTTAACCTAGGGTATCGACAAGCTGCCTTGAATAGCCGAGTCGAAAGTTGGCCGCAGCCGAACATTTTGCGGCCAAAAAAACGCCGAAAACCGCCTACCCGAGGCTTGCTGAGCCAATCAGAAGAGCGCTGATGCGAATCATCGTATCCGTGTTGGACCCATTCCGGTTCACCGAGCAGCCTGACCGCCCTGAGTCCAGACACAGAATCGCCGAGATCGAGTAGCAGTCGCTCGGATCTATACGGTATAATACATTTAGGCTATCCTAGGTGGTATGGAGCACCTATGGAGGGCAGAGATATATAATCGGATTGTCCGCCGGCCGCGGGTTTCGGGGGATCTACGTTATGGTGGCCAGAATTATCAGGCTTGAAGCTGACTGTAAGGTTGTGTCACGTGCATCACATGCTGCCGGGTGAATGCGAGATGGTTTTGGTTGACATCATCGACGATCGTAGTAAACTTCCCGTCTCCGCGACGCGATGCAGGTTCTCCGAGCAAACAAGCTTAAAAAAGTACGGCTACCCGTCACACCGCCAAAGGAGGCGAATTATCCACGTTCGAGGACTCACCCGAATCAAAAGTGATAGAAGCAACAGATCGTTCGGTGTGACCAGTCCAAGGTGTGATTACGGTATTCGTACGATTTTGGGAGGAATGTGACGATGGTGCCGGTATGGTATCCATGGTATTCAGCATACCACAGAAACGAGACAGCTCATCCAGCCATAATACAATATACAACTGTACTATGAAAGGAGGGTAAGCACAAGTCAAACACGTAAGGTGACAGCCTAGCGATCGGCATGTTATGAGATTCGTCCAAAGGCTTGGCGAGCGGTGGAGTCCCGATCCGGGCGCCACCGCTCGCCCAAAATCGACCAGTCCAGCGTCAAATGTCAAACAGCCACCTGTCCTCTTCGCACGGAATTCCAACTTGACCAGAGTCAAAACAAAGCAGCTAGGATCGATGGTATCTTTCTGTGAGGAAGAGTTGAGCGTGCTGCGAAGAAGGTGAGTCCTGGGTTGATGAGGATGTTGCCGGATGGTGGCAAGAAGTGAGTTTCGATAGCTGAAAGTGATCCCTGGTCCAGCTGGGCCAGTGTGGGAGGAGGAAGAGGGTCGATGCAACGAATTTTTGTTCAGTTGCCCCCCGTAAAAGCGGCGAGAGGATAGCGCGTCGCACAGGGAGTGACCGAGAACGGAGGCGCGTAGTGATTGGACAGCGCCAGGCAGGATGGGATGGGTCCGACTATCGACTGCAGGAGGGCTGCGGACTGGACGCCCACTGGCCGCAACCGCGGCGCCGCGGAGGATAAAGCAAGGGCGATATGGCCAGTCAGCGGGCACAACCAGCCAAAGGTGGATCCGTCTCACATCAATTAATGGGTAGTGCCGTGAGAAGCCCATGTAATTGGCTGGGGCACCCACACCGAGCCGCTAGCCCCGTGAAGCGAGAAGGGCAAAGGGTCGCTGCTTTTACCGCCACCAGCAGGCCCAGCCTCCCCTGACGCGGGATGTGACTCAGCACTATATAAAGGCCCAACCTCCCACTCCCCGTCGCCTTTGGGATTCCCGTCTCGGTCTTGGCACTCCCTGAACGTCTTCTTCCCGCCCTCCTTCCCTCGCAGATCTCTATCTGCCCCTCCACTAATTTCGTGATCTTTTCGATTCGTTAAGATTCACCGGGAAAGAAGCCTCTCTTCAATTTGTCCGCAAATTAAGAGGGAAAAAAAAAGAAAAAGGTCCCATCCAGGTCTTTTCTTGGGCTTACCTAAAACGGAAGCTTGTCCTGCCTCCGGGCCTCGCTTCATCACTCTCATTCAGATCGCTTCGCAGATAGAACCCAAAATCCCAATTCAAAAAAGCAGTGAGGAAAAAAAAAGAACAAACTTATCCCCCAACCACAAAAAACAACCTTGTTTTTTTTTGTTGTCGTTGCCCTTGCGCCTGCGATAATCCTCTCCCACTCTTCTGCGATCTCCTGAAAACACTTCAGTGTGCTTTTCTTGGTTTCTCTCCGCTTGAACACGATCTGGGAATCTATCTGCGATCTGGAGATCCGTGTCACCATCACCTCGCAATCCAACAGTCTGTAGGGGGATACATTGAGTTGTCCATCTCCCACAATTGGTAAGGCCCTTCCCTGCACCACGTGATTTTGTCACACTCCACCGCCTACCGCCTTGATCTCACTTCCGCCCTTCACCACGCCTATAAATACTGTGCCCCTCCTTCACTCTTCCCTCGCCGTCGCCATCGCGTGTCGCACCTGCTAACCCTTCATCTCCCCACAGCTGTTCCCTCATTTATTGAGTGGTCTTGATCTGCACATCCGACCTCGTCGAATCTGAGAACCGGCAGCAACATGGATTCTCTCACCACTCACCCGTCGAACGCCCACCAGGCGCGCGCTTTCACGTCGGCTTCATCTCTGTCATTCCCCGGTGGTGCAGGCGATCTTACCCCGCCTTCCTCTGTGAAAGAGGCCCAGGGTGCAAACGGTGTTCACGAACAGCCGCAGCAGCAGCAGGCACAGCAGCAGGTTGGAGGAAATGCCACCAACGGCAATGGGGTGATTCCCGCCACTCCAGCTGCGACTCCGGGCGCGACGACTGGTGGGTCTGGAATCGTTCCGACTTTGCAGTATGTGTGGTCTCTTTGAGTGTTTTGTTCTGGAAACAAGACATGATGAGCTGAGCTGAACTAATGTGTTTTGAAGAAACATCGTGGCTACCGTCAACCTTGACTGCCGCCTGGATCTGAAGACCATCGCGTTGCACGCTCGCAATGCTGAGTACAACCCAAAGGTATATCCCCCACACATCCCCTGAGTTTTTGCATCAGGGTACAGTGTGGCTGAACTGTTCTTACTTGAATAGCGTTTCGCGGCCGTCATCATGCGTATCCGTGAGCCCAAGACGACTGCGTTGATCTTCGCCTCCGGTAAGATGGTCGTGACTGGTGCCAAGTCCGAGGATGACTCCAAGCTGGCCTCCCGCAAGTACGCGCGCATCATTCAGAAGCTTGGCTTTAATGCCAAGTTCACCGACTTCAAGATTCAAAACATTGTCGGCTCTTGTGACATCAAGTTCCCTATCCGCCTGGAGGGTCTGGCTTCTCGCCACCACAACTTCAGTTCTTACGAGCCTGAGCTGTTCCCCGGTCTGATCTACCGCATGATGAAGCCCAAGATCGTGCTCCTGATCTTCGTCAGTGGCAAGATTGTCCTGACTGGCGCTAAAGTCCGCGAGGAAATTTACCAGGCTTTTGAACTGATCTACCCTGTGCTGTCTGGTATGTGTTAACGACCAGATCCCTTTCATGTATTGTGTACTAACAACTTTCTTCTAGACTTCCGCAAGGTTTGATCCCGCGAAGTTTGAATTTTAGGTTTGATCCCCAGTTTGACTCGCACGGTTTGATTCTATGAGGTTTGAAAAAGTGGTTTCAAATCAAAAGGTTTGCTGCTTTTCACATTCCCACCATGTATTAACATTCTGCTTTGTACTTTTCTCCCCCTCTTGTGATGGTCGTTGCGATGACGATATGGTTCAGTCTCTTGTGGCTCTCTATCCGCCACTTCCATACTCGCTTCGCCGCTATCACAGTTTCCCTTGAATTTCTCCCTGATGATTGTTTATGCAAGCATTGTACGGCGTTCTAGCGATTCGGATGATTCCCGGTTTCCACATTTATCATCCCTGCTTACACTTAGATTGCTGCACACCGCGGAGAGGCGGTTTGTGCGCTGGTCGATGGCTGCCTCTTTTAATCGTTTTATTTGTTCTTCAGCCATGCTCGTGGATGGGGCAACTCGTCGCGGGCCCAAAAAAATTCCGTCCTGTTCCAGATGCCGCTATTGCACTGCCAATGGCCTGGGGGTTGAACGCGGCTTTGTCCGCCTCGCTTCGTTATCTCAAATGAAGATCTATGAAAATACCTTCCCAGTAATCAATAATCCTTCGCATAGTATGAAGAGTACCTTCGAATGCTCTGGCTTGAGCACCTATATTGTAGTTCAGGAAATCATGTCGATACGGTGCTTGCTTCGAAGCTCTTTTACAAGTGCTGTGCTCCTATCCTACTTTATCACGCGGCAGTTGCCCGATGCGATGCTGGTACTTTGTACGTTCAGGTACAATGGGATATATTCAGTCTACATGGCGTCTAGTATGTACGGTAACTCCCACAACTGCATCAATTCAAAGTACACTCCCCCGGCCAGCCTTCTTCGTCTTGGCCAACTCCTCTTGCAAGTTCGAGTTCCTTGCCCCGGATCGGCTGCCATCCCCGTCGAAGAGGTCATCCACATTCACACCAGGGGGGAGCTTTTTCACCTCTGTCCACTGCCACAGCTTTTGCAACTCGGGGTCCAAGGTGCCCTCAATCGCATCGACAACCTTGTCTCCCAGAACGGGGAAAAATTTGTACGCGTGTCCGCTGCCACCTGTCGCCAGGAAAAGACCGTCGTATTCAGGGTGGTATGAGACAATGAAATCGCCATCGGGACTGCCAGATTCGTGTTAGAACTTGTCTTTTTTTCTCCGATTCCATCACTGGGAGTTTGAATAGACACTTACGTATCAGTGTACCAGCAGATCCTGGTATCAGCAAATGGCCGGTTCACAAACCGGGGCAGCAGTTGCTTCAGCGCTTCGCGGAAGGCCTCTTCACCCTCGAGCGGCACTGGGATGTCCGTCTGAGGCAGACTGACCTGCATGGTCTCCGTCGACTTATCGGATCCAGGCACCGGCACCGTCGTCGGGTTACGGTAGCCATAAGCATGACGGGCGATCTTGAGAAGGTTGTCACGAGGCGGGATAATAAAGATGCCAGTAGCGAAGTTCAAGATGGTAGGCAGATCCTCCAGTTCCCGCTGCTCCTCATCACTGATTTTGATATAGGCGATCGCCTGGCCTGTCGCCACAGCCTTGCCGCGCAGATCAACCAGTCGAGGTGTCCATGCCCCTGTCGCCACAACGACCAGGTCCGCCGTGAGGGTTGTTCCATCTGCCAATCCGACGCCTGTTGCGCGCGGCTTGCCATTGCCAGCCTCATGGAAGAGTACACGCTCCACATTCTTGTGCACGAAGTTCACCTGTCCATCCCGGTCCAGCATCTCCTTTGCAAATTTCACACTGGCGCCAGCATCAGACCACCCCGAACCCCAATTCACATAGCCACCCGCAACATCCAGCTCCTCGCCGTAAGGCGGCACAACAGACAGCACATCTTTCTGAGTGGGGAGGAAGACAACATTGTCACCCTCGATCCGGCGAACGTTGTTGTAGCTCTTGCGCGCGTACTCCTTTGCACTGACGCTGTCGGCCGGATACACGAGCAAGAGACCGTTCTGCGTGTACCGACCTTCACGTCCCCACTCCGTACTGCGCCATTGCTTGATGGCAGTGGCAGCGAGCTTGGAGTACGCCGCATTGGCGTAGTCAGCCCGCACGATCCGTGATGTGTCGACGGACGAACCGTGCGGGTTGGGGATTGTCGGTGAGGATTCGACCAGTGTGATCTGGGATCCGGGGGTGGCGCTCCCTCAAGGAGAGAGCCGTGGACACTGGAGTTGATCAGCAAGTTTCTGGCAATTTACATGTATGGAGTGGTTACAGGGCGGCGGGTTCTCCCTTGCCATCCAGGCCCATTCAATTCAATGGTAGACATGGGGTATGGGGAATATTCCGGGGTTGTGTGCCTGCGGGCGGAGTGCTCGCGTGCGACATTGACTTACGTCCGAAGACTCCTCCTCCCACAATGAGAATCTTAGGTGGGAGCGCCATGGCAGGAGACTTTTTGACAGAGCGTATTTTCCAAGGGTGTTTGTGGGGGACGAGTTGGCGCCATAGATTTTCTTCGCTGTCGCCAATTTCTCGGGACGGGTTTGATAGCCCGATAACGGACTCGTCTTCGGCCAGAGGCTCCGCTCCGATCTCCATTTTGATGACCTGACCCGACCACACCGCGTTTCGACGGTGATCTGTGTATAGATCGTGCGGATTCAGGCGCTGGAAGAGGACAGTTGCATTTAGTCGTCGCTATCTGGCAGTCTTGCTTCTCCGACCCTCCTTTTCGCGACGCGCCCTGAAATTTTTTTTTTCCCGCTGTTGCGCGCCCCCATCTTCGCGCTCTAGTTTGTCGTTGGCACTGTATCGGCCGACTCTACTGCACTGAATCGGGTGTGCTTCCTTGTGCTATCTTCTTCTTGAGCTGGGGCATGGCGACTCCAATGCCTTGCACAGTCACCATGAACGCAACCCGAGTAGCCAGGACCTCCCTAAGAGCCACTCCGCGGCCAACGATGGTTTCCAGAAGAGGAACCAAGAGCAAGACGCCAGGCTCAAAACGAACCAGGTACATAAATCACTGAACACTCATGGAGATCTTGGGAGAAAAATACTCACAAGCCCAGCGCCAACCCCCCCTCGCGGAAACAATTTAATCCCAGTTTACATCGCTTCCAAGAACGCTATGAGCAGAAAGAGTTCCAAGCCAAACCACATGGAATCCCCGTTCGAGTCCTCTCCTTCATGGGTGTTACCGTGCTAGCAATGAGCATGTACTCGGGCTACCTCTATGCCTCGTACCAGCGCGAAGTCTCCAAGGCACAATCCCTTGACGTCCCACGCGACGTGTCAGACCGGTACAATTCCACCGCGCCAACCTTCGACGCAGAAGTCGAGCTTTCCGAGAAGGCGATGCGCCTCGGGAAAAAACGTGGTGATCTCATTCGTCTTGCACGCGGGGATGTGCTAGAGGTTAGCTGTGGCACAGGCCGGAACCTCGAGTACTATGATCTTGGGGAGCGGCGTGGAACAGATGATCAAGGTCATGCGGCTGTCATCGGGTGTCGGTCTCTGACATTTGTGGACTTGAGTCCGCAGATGGTGGATATTACGAGGGAGAAATTCCAAGCGGCGAATCCTGAGTTTACGCATGTTGCGTTCCGCGCTCAGGATGCCGGTGCCGTGACCGTTGAGGCGCCTGCGAGAGTACGGGACTTGGCTGGTGCAGGGAAGGATGCCAGTGACCACCGGGCCTATTATGATACTATTGTACAGACGATGGGTCTTTGCTCGATGGCGGATCCTGTTGGGACGTTGCGGCACTTGGGTGAGATTACGGAGCCGGAGCGTGGGCGCATCTTGTTGTTGGAGCATGGGCGCTCGCATTACGATTGGTTGAATCGAATCTTGGATAATCTGGCGCCCCTGCATGCGGATAAGCATGGGTGTTGGTGGAATCGAGATATCGGGGCCATTGTGGAAGAGAGCGGGTTAGAGGTGGTTGAGGTGAAAAGGTGGCATTTTGGCACGACATGGCGATATGTTCTCCGGCCGAAGATACTGTGTGGAGAGAAGAAATAGTGGTGCGCCTCGATGCAGTGTGGTGGTGGCATTATATTTACGATAGTGTATTGTTGTTGCCCACATCAGATGTGTATATATATTAAATGTTCTTGGAATCCTCGGACCTGAAAAGCATATTGTAGACTGTATATATTTAAAAGCCAGTAGTGTCGATGGAAATACACTCTTCTGCAAATATCACAAAAAGACAAATTATTCAAAAAACCTACTGGATGTGATCTCGAGCATTTATTTCCGTAGTGTTGGCCCAGGCGCCATTCATCTGTACCCCCTTGGCGGCTCCACCATCAAATCTCACCAACGGTACAATCATCCAACCGGACAGTATAAGGATAATCCATGTACATATTTGGGTGATTAGTTTGCACTAAAACTTGCCGAATTATTGTTACCTAGACTTCTGATTAACTAAGGTTATAGTACACATGCAACAATACAGTACGCGTTGACTATCCATCCCTCGGTTGATAGCAGGTGTGACAATCTCACGTCCGCGTAGGCTGTCGCAGAATGATTAAGGGCCAATGTGAAACCCTCCGTGGCATGCGTTTGTCAACAAGCTGTCTCAACGCACATTGGACGACCACGTCCCATGTGATCGCGACGCTCAGTATTGTACTATGCCCGCGCACCACTTGGGAGTCTCGAGGAAAGAGGGGGGGAAAGAGCGAAACTCGACCCCGATCTCAGACTCAGCACATCAGCCTGCTTGACAGGCAATAAACAGGATATGGATGCGACCCTGCCCGGAGGTGTATCTCGGTTGGAAACAAAAAAAAAAAAAAAAAACTGGGAGCCTCGCGTTGGGGACGCGAGTAATTTTTTCGCGTTAGTTTTTCTGGGATCCCAGTTTTGAGACCTGTGTGATGGAGGGGGAGGGGAGGAGTCTTTTGGTTGTGTTGTGCCGCGACTGAGGCAGCTAAGGCAGCCGACTCGGGCAAGACGGGCGACGGAGGAAAAGGCCTTCCAATCTCGAGTTGACTGCTGGCTGTACGGTGCAGATCCCCTGCAGGGGTGTTGTATATGTCTTGGATCAGGTTTTTGTTGACCCGGAAATGGGTTGGCGTTGAAGGCGGGGGCTGAAGTACATTAATGTATGTACTTAGGCGTGAAGTACGAGTGTTGGTGTGATGCAAGGACGATTTATTACTTTCGATACCGGCGCTGGCAAAACATACATACAGTCAGCTGCGAGATGCATGTATGTACGTGTTCGATTAATTTGAGAGATATCTTATCGCCACTACAAACATAAAATGACATGGATCGAATTCTTGACCTTACCTTAGAGTAAGGTACCCCGCCAGAAAGTACGAAGTCATATGAGCCACCCTGGGTCGAAATGCAAGATGTGATGCGGTGGCGGCCGACATCATCAGGAGCCACTCGATCGGTCTCATTTCCAGAAAAGAGAGAGGTGCATCGGGCTGAACTTAGGCAAGAGAGTTCGCGCCACCATTTAGACCTTGCCATGCATGCAGCCTGGCCGGTTGGATCGCATCGCGATGTGGAGATGCGGAGAATTAGCATCTGCTGCATGTTGAACATCTCGACCTCCGCATCCATGTCTACAATGTATGAAAGTGATGTCGCGGCGGAGTCCTACGACGCAAGCACATCTAACGGCTCTTCCTAACAACCACCAATTTCCCATCTGATCAGATAAGTCGCCTCCATTCGGCCGACGCATTCGAACAATGGGCAGATGGGAGGGGCGGTTCCATGGTTGGCCATCCCCTGACGGCGCGAGGTAACCTTCCCGGCTAGAGATGATCGATGTCATGAGAACGGAGGGGGCGGCAACTGAACGAGTAGGAAACAGGGGGGCGATTCCCGACTCCCATGAGGGGAAACAATAGACTTTATGGAATGATCTCCGCCTATTCGCGAGAGACCTGCAGCGGCGGCAATGCTCGCACCCGCGCCCTTGCTGCTGCTGGAGCAATGAGACAATGGAAATAATCGAAACGCACGAGCCAGAAAGAACAACAGTTTACCCTCAGCTATGAGTGATGAGGTCCTGAGGACACTATCAACCGTACTGCACTTGTAGTATGAAGCTGGCATCATGTCATAGTCCTTCGAGAACAAGAGCGCTGAGGCCGCCAGTGGAGTTGCCGCTAGCAGGGCCATCGACGCGGTTGTCATCATATCGACGTTGTGCCGATCTTTTCTCATGGCATCATCACTTTTGATCTGAAAGGGATCCGACCCTTTGATGCAATGTGAATGTTTTGTAGTATGCGTGTGAGGGGACCATTTACTCCATGCATCGGTACTCTGTACTGTCGGAACGGTACATGAGCATCCGCATTGGCAGCAATAGGGGCGTCGGATCGAGCTCAGCGGTGGCGAGGCTCTCCCGCCTAGCCCCCTACCAGAGGTACAGACACAGGATTTAGGATGTATGTATTGATGGTTACAATACCGACGGGACTGCTCGGCCGGGGATCCACTTGGCGACTCACTTTTTGTCCAAACGGCGACGCTAGGGGATCTTCTTTGGGAACCGGTGTTGTTCCGTCTCCGAGGCAGCAACTCGTAAACAGCACAAGACCACGAGGAAAAGTATACCGAGTGACTTTATCGATTCCTCGTCCTGTTGATGTCCGAGCAGCCAGATATAGATCTCTCTGCATCGTTGCATGCGATGTGCCGTGTCCAAGCAGCGGTGAGCTACAATCGACTGGTCACCCAGCAACGAGGTCTGCCAGTGGCAGCGTTGACAGATCGAATGCATAACGCGCTGCACGGCACCGTTCGACTCGAACGCGGTGCCGGTGCTTCCCTGCTGGGGCCACGGCCGCACCAATGAGAAGTTGGCTAGACGGATATTATTATTCAGGGCGCTCGACGATGATTAGCGGAGCGACGATTGAGACGGAGCAGGATGGAGCAGCTGGATCGGATGGGCCATTTCGGGTTATGGGACACATGGTGCCCCCCCACCGTCGTCGTTTTTCCTTTGCCTCTCACTCCACTGACCCACCGGTATGCCACTATCGCCGAGGTTGGCATGGAGCCGGTTGCTAATGGTATGGTATGAACAGCACCCCACTGACCGCCTGGAATTCGAAAACGCATTTCGCATCCCTGCAGGAATTGACTTTGGCGGTGTAGATCTTGCTGTAAATTGAAGCTGATCGAGTGATAACCTGCGATGTGTGAGTGCGGGCCATAGGGCGAGCAGAGCTGTCGCGGAGTGTAGATTAAAATGAACTGGGCAACTTGCAAGCGGTCGCGGTGGCGGTTGACGGCATTCCCGCGAGCAAATGCTGTTTTGCGCCGGAAGGCCAATCAGGTGACCGGCGATTCCGATGGGACGGTATTGCCGTATTGTAATTACGGGACATACTGGGAAAAAAGTGGAAAAAGAAAAAAAATTGGGAAAAAATCGAGGGCCTCCACTCTGAGATTCCTCAGGCCCAGCGAAAACGAGTGAGAGCTCGTCGCATCTCGATGACCCCCTTCTTTCCATCCCCTCCCCCCATCCCATCCCCCTTTCAAACTCTCATCTTCCATCTTTCATAATATCCTCCTGTTTTATTATACTTTTATTATTTTTTTTTCCATATTTTTTATTTTTGACTCTTTCGTCCTTCCTTTATTTCCCTTCCCCTCCTACTCTTTGTTCGCCAGCCCCCCCCTTCCTCCCCGACATCATCATGCCGTACAATACCCGTCGCAAGTCACTATCCCTCCCGTCGCTAGGCATCCATCTCCCAAACTCGTCGCGCCGTTCGCCGTCAATTTCAAAAGGACCGACGGAGGATCTGCCGCCGACAAAGAAAGTGAAGCGCTCGCATTCTTCATTATCGCCCGAGCCTTCCGCCCAGAGGGAAACTGTCTTGCGCGCCGGCATGAACGGGGTCTTCCGACATACGCCGCCGCCATCGCCTCTCGATGGGGGCATCACACCTAAGATCGATACCGAGGGTATCAACGATGATATTGTGGTCGCCGTGATCGACCAACTAGAGAAGACGGGTAATCGCCCGCATCTCGTCAAGGAGCTGGCAGCGGTCCTGGTTGCGCTAAATGCGACTGTCGCCAAGTACGTTTTTCTCACCACAACTCGACAAATGACCTGAATTCTAACCTCGCTATAGTTCTGCTAATCCCGCTGCCCTCCTCTCCTCGCGCCTGGCAGCTTATATGAAGCGCCCGTGGACAGCGCTGTCGCCGTGCCCGATGGCCAAGGAACTCATTAATATTCACCCACGCAAAGTGTACTATTATTTGACGACCTATCCTCGTCAACCCATCCCGGAGCCCTCCGACGAGCTGGTCTCGAGCATCGACGGCAAGCACATCACGCCCAGTGTCTCGAGCATGGACCAGGACGAGGAGGATGCGATCGCCCGCCAGAGGAGCCCGAGTCCGGAAGTGGATCTGTCGTCGCCCGACTTCGAAGATGAGAATGTCGACTTGGACAGTTCCGCGAGCCGCGGCGGCTCTTCCGATCAGTTCCCGGATCCCACCAGCCACACTCGCCTTATGCACTCGCACCGCGCGGCCTCCCCGCCCCTGGAGGGCGACGAGAAGGAATTCACCCAAACCGCCAGTGCCGTGCGCGAGCGTGCCTCGGAGGAGAAGGCCAGCCGCCAGGGCTCTTCCGAACGCGGTCTCTCCGTCCTGTCGGAGGGCCTCAGCAACATGGACGAGGAAATGAGCATTTCGGAATCTTCCGTGAATGGTGGATCTATGTCTCCCTCTATCCACAGCGGCCGGATGTCCGAGGAAGAGTACAGTGATTACTTCTCCCACATGGACCCTTCGGGTCAAGATTCCCAGGACCTTGACGAGGCCGCTGCGGTTGCCCTGTTTGGTACTTCGCCCTCCCCCTCGCTCACCTCCGTTGCATCGTCGGTCTCGTCTGGCACGAGCGCTATAACCGACGCTGCCGAGGAGCGGGCCGAGTCGCTCCCGGCTCCTCCGCAAATCAGCCTTCCGACTGACCCGGATACCGCTGCGGTTTCAACTCTCAAGCGATCGCTAGACATGTTAAACAGCGGCCTCCCGGATGTCGACCTGAAGATGTCTGATTTGACTGAGTCGCACGAGAAGCTCAGTTTGGGTCCTCGGGTCATGGCCGCCATGACCACCGAGCCCATCCTGGACTCCTGGAGAGAGCTGCAAAACCCGGAGACCGTTGAGGTTGATGAGCTTGATGAGATGTTTGGCGAAATCTAAACGATCGTGGCCCTACTCTCGGTCTCCCCTCTGCTGCCTCTTCATTCCACTGTCTCTCTATATTTCCCCAACTACAGTCTCTCTCTCCACTCTTGCGGTCGGCTGGAAGAGCCCTCCGACGTCGTTTATACCCTTTTGAATGTCTCGCCCTCTCCCAACCTCCCTTGACCCTGTACATGTCGGCTCTCATCTCTCCGCCGTGCTTTATTCCTTTTTGGCTAATTCATCTTCCTGTACATATACTGATCTTTTTTTACCCTTTTGGTCTTGCCCTGGATGGGTAGAAGGGAGGAAATGGGATTGGGAATTTGTGTTTCTGTTGTGCTATTTTTCTGTGTTTTCATCAAAAGAGCAAAAAGCGACTGTGTATGCTTTAGGCGTCATGCAAAACCATGGAGCAAATCGAAACGTCGAAGCTTATGATATTTGGAAGTCTGAAGTTCGCGCCGCGTAGTTCCAGGAATCCAACCGCTTTGGAACTCTTACCTAAGCCTGCTCCATCGCAAGACAATTGCCCCGGTTCCCCCGCCACACCTCCGATGGTCCATTCGCCTTTCGCCTTCTGCCTCCAGTGTTTTGCGAACAGCCTAGCGCCCGAAATCTGATCCCTCATGGATTTCATCTCCCCCTAAGAACACTGTCCCCGGTAGTGCTCGACTTCCATCCGGTTCCTCGAGCCGTCCCGCAGCATTAGAGAAAGGAGCTACGCCGCAAAGATGACGATGGACGATATGCCCCCGAACCCGCCAGCACAGGGACTTGCAGCGCAGAAAGAACTCCCGGACCGCGAGCGAACACCCATAACGGTCCCGAAACCGGCTTCGGTCGCAGACTCGGCAGCGACCTTGACAACCTCCAAAATCGTATCTACTGCCCGGCCTGAATCAAGCGGCGCTGCGAAAGTCGCCATTCCACGTTCACGAGCTGGTATCACCCCGCGTTATGGTCGCCGTGTTCCCCGAGCTTGCGAATCATGCCGAGCGCGCAAGACAAAGTGTTCTGGCGATACCCCGGTTTGTCGACAGTGTCGTGAATTTCGCGTTTCGTGCCAGTACCCAGTTGGATGGAAGGAGAAAACTAAGAAGTGAGTTTTGACTAGTGCATCGATTATCTGCATGGGTTGGCGACGTATGGTTGCTGATGCGATAGCGATCGTTCATAGACAGGTGGAAAAGCTCTCTGAGAAAGCCTTGGATTACGAAAACCTCCTCCGGGATTTGGGAGGGTTAGTTGAGTCTCGTACTGCGGATCGTATCAGGAACTTGCTGGACAAGGTGAGTCGTGGTTGCAATTCCTCTGGGGACCATTTGGTTCTTATCAACGTCAAGCTGCCACTTACATGTTCCAATGTAGCATGGAATCGAGAACGAATACTCTTCCAACAACAGCGCCCCTTCCTATTCAGTTACGCCCCAGGATGATGAGGGAGGAGACGGAGGAGATGCCGACGAACTCAGTTCATCCTCATCAATCGGCTCGCTTGAGGCAATCGACCGCGTGGAAGAGGATTTGAACAGGACGGAAGACTCAAGAGCCACGGGTTTCATGGGGAAGAATTCGGAGATTACTTGGATGCAACGACTGCAGCGAGAGGCGGAACATCGTGCGCAAGGACTGGTAGGGTCATTGGAACCAGGACAAAGCAAGCGACAAGACGATGATCTCACTCTTCATGCTGTGAGCTACCACTTGGATGATATGGAAATTTCCGTCCCCGGACCGGTGGAGCTTTACGCCATGCCGCCTCGCGAGCTGGCTGATCAGCTCTTCGACGATTATCTACGAACCGTACATCCATTCTTTCCCATTATCAACCGACCTCTCTTCACTGCTCAATACCGCTCCTTTTTCGACAGCGCTGCCCGTCCTGGTGACAAATGGCTTGCGATCTTGAACATGATTTTCGCCATTGGAGCTAAGCATGCCCAGCTCATCGAGTCACCATGGAAAGGCAATGAAAAGGACCATCTTACGTATCTGACTCGAGCCAGGATATTGAGTATGAACGGAGACGTCTTGTTCAGCCACCCCGATCTTCAGCAGGTTCAGGTTGAGGGGCTAATCGCGTTCTACCTCCTGGCATCAGATCAGATCAATCGGTATGCTTATCGCTTCCCCTCTCAGCAATACGCCGGTGGTCGATATTAACTATTTTTCCAGAGCCTGGAGAATCTCCGCTTTAGCAGTACGGTCTGCCATCACTCTCGGTATCAACATGAAAAGCACCAGCCCAACAACACCAAACATCTCAAAAGAGGCTCGTTACCGGGTTTGGTGGTGTCTATACACCTTCGAACATATGCTAGGAATAATGACGGGCCGGGCGACTTGCATACTGGACGGAATTTGCACCACGCCTCTACCCATCCCCTTCGAAGAAGATCAATTGCAGGAACCCGAAGCCGCTGAAATTCTCAATAACTCGCATATTCGGGATGATCGAATCAATAAAGTCATGGCCAGTGCATGGGTTCGACACATGCCGTTGAATCCCACCGGCGGCAAAGAAGCCACTCACAAGTCCCGAGAACGTGACAATTCATGGGTGAAGAGCCTGACTCCCAACTTCGGTCTCTGTCATCTTTACTACTGTGACTTGGCAGTCATCACCCAGGAGATAGTCAACAAAGTGTACTCGACGGATTGTGTCATGGTGCCTTGGGCGCACATCGAGAACCGTATTGGTGAACTCCGTTCTCGAATCGACCTATGGTTCAGAAGCATTCCATCGACACTGGATTTCACACAAAGGGCCGATGACGGCCCCGATCGGCTTCGATGCAAGCTTGCCCTAGCATTCCATTACTACAGTGCTCGGATTACTCTAGGCCGCCCGTGTCTCTGCCGGCGCGATGCACGACGAAAGAGTCCTGCAGACAGAACCAACTTCAGCCACGAGATTGCCGTGTTGACTCTAGAATCTGCAATGGATATGCTCGACCTCATCCCGGACCAGCCTAATGCCGTTCAGCTGTACGAGATCGCCCCTTGGTGGTGCATCCTGCACTATCTCATGCAGGCGGCGACGGTCTTGTTGCTCGAACTCTCATTTGGCACAGTCCATATGCCAGAAAGGGAAGAGGGATTCATTGCATTGGCTAAAAAGTCCGTCCGATGGCTCTACGCCATGTCCGAACACAGTGTTGCTTCCCGCCGTGCCTGGCAGCTCTGCGATACCTGCCTGCGCCGTCTCGGCACTGGTATGAAATTCGACGTTTCTGACATCCCTACAAACTCCTACCACCCGGCACCTACATCAACCCTCGACAATAGCAGTACCGGTCAAATCAACCGGTCCGAGCACCCTGGATTGTCTCAGAACATGTGGGGTCCGACATTCGACGACCTCTCCCTGAATAGCAACTATAGCCAGCCGTTCCCGCTGGGAGGCGAAAACTACAATTACGCGGCTATCTCGGACGTCTCGACCTCAGAACCCATGAACTCGTTCTCGGCCGATGGCCACATTGCGGATGATCTGTACTTCCCCTATGACCCTATCAGCGGCAGCTTCATTCGGTCTTTCTTCCCTCATAACAACGACGAAGATCATTGGTACCAAAACTGAGCTATTATGTGTCTTTGTTTATGTTTTGCAAAAAAAAAAGTCACGAATTAAGAAGCACAAAATCTCGGCCTGTTGTTTATCAAACAAACCCCTTTTTTTCCTTCGCTTCTTGTCTGTTATTTTGATGCTGATCTATATCCCTATTTTCGTTTCCTAACATCTCAAATGGTCATGAAGACCATGTCCTATTTCTCTTGTCTTCCCATCTCCTTTCAATCAGTAACTTCACCTGTCTCAATTTTCTATTGCTTCGTCTCTACTCGATTTTGTTTACATGATGTACTACTAGTCATGACCTCCAGCTCTATACCAATGTCTTTATCATCGAACGGTTTACGGAGGCGGACCTGGCGCGTGCTATACAATGGGATTATTGTGATGGATAGGTCTAGGGGGTGGCACTTTGCAGTTAAAAGAGGTTTAGGTCTCGATTTGGCGTTGTTTTGCTTCAGGTTGATCGGGGTTTCAAAGTTGAGTATGGCTACCTTCGAGAGATATTTTCATTGTCGGCGTTTCTTCAAGAATTCACGTTAAATTAGTTTTGACTCCGCAATCAAATCTGAAGACTGGATCTACACTTCACAATGGACAAAGTTCCTTCTAAACTGACACTCGTAGACACTAGCGTATTTGGTAACAGTTGCCATTCATCTTGGCTTATGCAGGTATATGGAAAGCAACAAATGGGTGGTTATACATGACAGAAAGGCAAGGTGAAAAGGGGTATATACATGCATATTGTACACTTTGTGTGGCAGCGAAAGAAATAACAGTTATACAGAAGGCTTGCCCCTACCTAGCCTTTGCATTTTCTCGAAGGAGCCTTTTCCTGACCGCTCTTAAACGAGGCCTTCGGCCTTGAGCGCTGTGGGTTGGAAACGGTGTTTCTGCGAGAACTTGGCCTCAACAGCGTCTGTCCGAGGATGCCTGGACTTCCTGTAGCCCGAACGCTTCTGCTGCTTGTTTTTATCGCCCTCGTTCACTGTAACATCCATCCAGGGATCTTGAGCGAGCTTGACCTGCTTTCGATTGAGGCGAGGGACTTGTTCGAGTAAGTTCCGTTCGCGCATGCGAGCCCAGTGTCCTGGAATTTCTTGCTCGATTTGTTCTTCGCCCAAGCCTGCACGAAGGAACTTGTCCACGCAGAAATCAAGGACAGCTTCGATTTCTGATGAGGGTGGAATAGCACCTGGGCGGGAAATGGGCCTGTATGTGTGGGTCTTCTTGCCAACGGTTGTTTGGGTAGGGCTGAGGAGAGAGGGTGTTGGGGAGGATTGGGGTTGGAGAAGAGAGCGTGTTTCACTCCGTCGAGGTGTAATGTTCAGTGAACTTTCTAGCTGAAATTCCCTGTAGGCGGCTTGTGCAATGAGGCGGATTGTGTTCAAGTTCGGCGTGGTTGGCTTGCTTTTGACATATTCGTTCCACTCAAAATCATGTTCGGGATCGCCTTTATCAAGGTCTCGTTCATCGCCAGTGAGCAGTCGAGTATTTCCGCCATCTCGTCGACGTAATTCTGTCGGACTTGGACGGCTCACACACCAATCGTCAAACAAGCGCTTCCCAGCCACACTGCCTCTGGAGTCTATCACGGCAGAGAGGAGATCATGGAAAGAATTTGTGGGAATGTGAATGATCTTGTCCCGCCCTCTAGCACCAGTGGCCAGCTCGGCTTGCTTGAGAAGGGCGAACAATGGACCGGGGAGGGCTTTAAACATGCCCGCCATGCGCTTAAGAGCCAATTTTTGAAACTCAGCCACACGTAAGCCCTTGCTAGATGCGATTGAGAATTCCCCAGCGAAAATCCGAAGGAAGATATCCTTTGATTTTTCGAGAGAGGCTATCTCCTCTGTCGCTGATTGAAATCCGCTCCCTCGTTTGCGCTGTATGATAGCATCGAGCCTGATGATTTTGGCGCCCAGTGCGGTGATATTGCTAAAACCCCAGGAGTTTGCCCTGAAGTCGCGCATAAATTCCAGTGTGCGAATTACACGGTCCCAGGATTCGTTCGAGATATGGAGGTTGACGAGAGCCTTCAGCGTGTTGGCAGTAACTGGCGAGGCTAAAGATGCAATGACTTGATCTGAGAGGGATTTATTTTGGGTGGCGGCTGCAAAGCGGAGAATCGATGGTGCAATGACTTGGTCGCCATATGAAGCCGGTGGAATCGAGGGCCCATCAACATCATCATTGAAGAGTAGCCAGTTTCCGAAATCAAACGCTCGGATGGTAGTGACCATGTCAAGCAATTCACCCAAAACCAAATTTGACATTTGTGGAAGGGACTTTTGGTCCAAGCTCGAGCCAAGTTGCCCGGAATCGAAGAACGAGACGTCTTTGGTATCGTCTTCTTTCAAGCTTTCAAAGAAGTGTGAGATATGATGTACTTTGCTGGCATCAACAATGTTCTGCAGCCAGGCATATGCGTGGAGGGCTTGTCCAGATTGCCCCTTTCGAACGTGAGACCTGATGGCATGTTGAATGAGTCCTGAAATAGCGAAAGTCTCATCATATATTTGTGCTCTTGTAAGCTTATCGAGTCGTTGATCTGTGGGGATCGGTTCTTCCCACGGGGGGACGAGATTTTTGGTGGTCCGAAGAAGCTTCTCGAACGAAACTGGGTCATCCTCAACAGAGAAACCGCCAGACTCGAGCATTCGCTGGAAATGCCAATTGGTAATCCTATTTGTCGGACGAAGTTCATCTGAGGGCCCGGCAGACTCAAGAAGCTGGTTGAGAGGAGCGGTGAGATTTAGCAACTCCAAGGCAGACAATCCAGTGGACCCAATGGAAACATAGGAGTGATTGGAAAGGCTGTCGCGTATCGACACAACAACTTCTCTGCTGATCGTGCGCTCTCCTAGACCGTTGAAAGGGGGCTTTTTGACACCGTTGAACCTTCGGGGTGGGTCGTTATTCCCCGGATTACGCCAGGATGCTTCCGTGCTTACATTTGTCTGACGGACTGTGTCAAGAGCCTGAACCAGTGGCGCCCAACTCTTGATACACCATGCTTCATTGTTGACTCGTTTCGAGTTGTTCATATCTCCCACCAAAACCGCGCCTTCTCTCGGAAACCCATTTTCAACACAGCACCACAAGATGAGTTCCAACCAGATCTCGGGGCCAAGCTCCCGGAATCCCACATTGAACGGGAGAAACGGCGGGTCCTCTCCTGCTTCGTTGGCCGTGTTTGCGAGAGTTGCTTCATGTTCACGCCATGCCGCATCAGATAAAACGGTCATGATGTGGCTAGAGAGAAGGTGCAGACCCGGAGGTCGAAAAGAAAGCTGGCTCGGATCAGCAGTAGGATATTGATAAACCTTATCAGAGATCAGACCCAAATGATGCAAGCGAGCAAGGATGCGGAATACGCATGACATTGCAAGCTTAGACTGTTCTGGATTTGATGAACTGTCCGCAGCTGCCAGCACCAGTGTCCCCAGATTCAGGAATACCGTTGCCAGTAGCCTTTCGCCCAGTATTTCCGCGCCTTGTCCGCTTGTCAGGACGTTGAGGTCAAGTTTGCAGAAACTGTGTTGAATAGGGATTTCCGTGCCATGGAACTGCCGTTTATCCGTCAAATCATCTAAAGATGGGGCTTTTTTAGTGGCCCAATTGAATCCCGGAAGAGGGTTCTTCGGTCCTATGTAAGGAGCAAGGACCTCATAGGCGTCAATGAGCTCGTTCAGCATCGCATGAACGCTAGACCACTGATTCTTCGAGAACCCCAAATGCACCAGAGCATCCACACCACAATTATTTTTCGATAACCATAGGTAAGATCTCAACGTTTGAGCCCGATTGAGATCATCGGTGTGTTCAAAAAGCGACACTGCGGACTTGTCCCCCGAGCGGGACAAGTCCACAGGTTGCTCTCCTTTTCGTTTTGGCTGCAAACAATTCACCAGGTGTGGAATCCAAGCATCGGGATCCTTTCGATCGGGGCCGGACAGAGGACTTTTCGGTAATTTGGCGTAGGAGAGGAGGAAGTCGAATTCATCATTCGACAAGTTTCGGGCATTTTTTAAGTGTCGTGATTGACCGTGAGGGAGGGCGTGATAAGAAATAGGGCATGAACGTGGCAGACGAAGCCCACGGCCAGGTCGCAGAAGACGGCCGGGGCGTAGAGACCTTATCATGACACGGCGGCGAATTTCGTGAAAGACGCGAGCGGAGGAATCACGGCGTTGATGGGTGCAAGCGTGGCGTGACACATTTCGGGTATATCAAGAGCCGGGTATGATATGGAGGCCCTAGGTATTATCTCCGTCTTCCTTTGGTGCAAAAAAGGGCCAAATCGACTGTCGCGGCCGACAACAGAGCAGACTTGCAGAAGCGCGGAGCAGAACAAGTTCGCGGAAATTTGGTTCTTGAGGGATGAGTCAGCAGGCGGTGGCGACGAATCATATTGTCCGTATTTACTTTTGATGTGCAGTCATGTTTTTGTATTGGAATATGCTGCAACACACAGAAGAATAGGAAAACGAAAACAATCTAGAGGAAATAGTGCACTTCCTCAATCGTTGTAGTGCGATGTGTTACCTCTGGTGATAATTCAGAGATTGTTAAATTAAGCTTGGATGATTGCTTTGATCCATCTCATCTTACTTCAGACGATTATTTGTCTCATTTTGAGTACGCGAAGATTCATACAAGATCGCAAAATTAACATTTAAAGTAAGCACTCATTGTTTGATTTTCAGGGCTGGATATCTAATTGTCTAAACTGAGCCAGCAGTTACAGGAACCAACCATGATGTAGTATACTGGCAATGAGAGAGCCGAAAAACGAGCGCAAGATTCAGAAATGACTTTAGACCATGGGGCGGATCTGGCGAGCGTGGAAGCGCTTGAAGCTCTGTCCCTCGCCCTGTCCCTGCTCCTGTCCCTGCTCCTGTCCCTGGCCCTCACCCTCACCCTGGCCCTGACCCTCGGCGCTAGGAACGGCGGAGCCAGTAGGAGCCGGGGTGGGCCTGCTGCCGAAGCTGGACTGACTACCGAAACCACCAAATCCTCCGAAACCACCAGAAGGAGCGCTGGTGGGAGCGGGAGCAACACCACCCTCGCTACCCTGGCCCTGGCCTTCACCCTGCTGGCTCTCGCCACCAAAGTGGCTGACGCCGCCCTGAGAGCCGCTGAAACCCCCGAAGCCACCGCTAGGCTGAGGACCACCAGAAGGAAAACCGCCAGTGGGAAAGCCAGATGGAATACCGGATGGAACGGTACCGGAAGGACGCTGGCCACCGCCGTGGGAGCTGCTATGACCACCGTGACCACCCTGAAAGCCAGAGGGCTGGGCACTATAAGGTCCACCACTGGGAGCAGCGCCGCCACCGAAAGTGCCGGTTGGAGCAGCATCACCGCTGGGGGCTGCACCATTAGGGAAGGCACCAGTGGGCTCAGCACCACCAGAGGGCTGAGCAGTGGGAGTAGCCTCCAGCTGGTTGTCACTACCGAACTAGACATAAGTCAATATCAGAGTCCTATGATCGAAGGATCGTTTGAAACATACCACGCGAGGCAGTTTCCAAGCCACGGCGTTGGGAGCCAGACAGAGGACAGTGGTGACACCGAGAATGAGGTTGAACTTCATGATGAAGGCGGGTGTGATTTGATGGATTGGAACAAAAAGTTGAAATGAATTAATAAAAGGAATGGATAACTGGAGTCAGTGACGGAGTATCTCAAGTTGGTAGAAAAGAAGGTAAGTGCGCAGCACTGTGATCAAAAGAATTGTCCATGGTGATCCCAAGGCTCTTTATATACCCATTGACGGACACTGGAGTCCAGACCGACCTGACAGGCATGACTCTGAGACGGTGGGACTACCTGTCTGTCTCGCGGGTTTCCCGAGCAAATTGGAACCATGCAGCCGCCAGGGACAGCTGAGATATCTAGACCAAAGACTACCCATGTTCAGTGACGGGAACTGTGGAGATCGGCAATGAAGTCTGCAGATGTAGGATTTGCTCATCCGTGATCCTGTCGAATTCAGGACGATCTTCGGGGGTAGAGAGGACAGTCCAGCCCAGCCTACCAACTCCCCAGCGCATTGGTGCAACTTGGTGGAGCCGATGCAGGAGTCAATGGGAGATGTCAAACGCAGAACGCCACCAGGGGTTTTAGAGCAGTTGGCGCCGAGGGCGGCATTATTGCTGGAGTGCTCCACGGAGTATTGCAGTACGGTGCGATGTGTTTGATAGAGGGGGAGGCAAAGATGAAACAAGGTGAACTGGTGTTTTCCCACATGAGCTTACACGTCCTCTTGTCGATCGATCCGCCGCCTGCCTCAGGTTGAGCAGTGAAGGCGTTAATGTAGTGATTGATTTTTTTTGAAACACGAGAATCCCGAGGCGAGAAGACGACATAAATGCCGATGGATACTAATGCTTGGCGTTTCTAGGCTTGCCCTACCCAGATTACGATACAACAAGTATAGGACATCAACCCGAACATGTGCTTAGCATATGCAGGGCGATTGTTTAAGGCACGGAGGATTGCTGCTAGCAGAGAGAAAGAGGCAAAGAGCAAAACGCCACGGGGTCTCAGGCTAATAACCTGCTACAGGTTGGCCCGCCCGGCATTGCGCGTCCTTTTTGGGCTGAAAATAGTATCTCCTTTGCAGCGTGGGGTATTGTACATTCATATTCAAATGCTGCCCAAAAAGAAAAAAAAGAACAAAACACACAAGAGAGGCTCAATTAACATGACACCAAGCCGCAATCAACCTGACCAAATTCGTCACTCGTGGATGTACTAGTATTCATAGCTCCTCCTCATCGGCTGGGATCTCACCTCCCAGCTCCTGCTCCACTTCGTCAACCACAAAGCTCTCGTAGTCCTCCAAACCCTTCTGAACGTGCACCTTGAATCGGATGACATCGTTAAGCATCGTCTCCACATTGGTGTGTAGCTCCTCCCGGAGCGCATTCGCCCGGAGAGTCAGTTGCTCATACTCAATGTTGGTGTTCATCTCGCGCTGCTCCATCAATTGTACACTGTCGCTGAGCGTCGCCCGCATCTTGGCAAGTTCCTTTTCCATCTTCTCAATTTGGGCGTCTGATGCCAGCTTCTGAGTGGTGGTGATTTCCTTCGTGCGTTCCCACTCCTCCTCGGCTGCCCGTCGTCGGTGGTCGAGGGCCTCGACCTCACTTCGCTTTTCATCCATCGCCTCCTTAATGTTGTCGAGTAGATTACGGCGCTCCAGATCCTCGTCAACGCCACGCTTCCTTCGTTCGTTGATCTCCTTTCGGAGAGATTGTAGGCTATTCCGAATAGAGCCTCGAAGGTCTAGATTCAAGAGGTGCGCGGGATGGTAGCCGGTAAAAGGCTCCGCCAACAGACGGTCACCCTCCGAGGAAATTCGATTAGGAGCACCGCTGATCTGGCTTGCTGAGAAGTTGTTCTCATTGACGTTGAGACTGAGCTCATAGTCTTGGCCCTTGGCATTCTCGGCGGATTCGGGAATCAGGCTGTTTTGGTATCCCAGAGTGTTGTATGTCTTCACAATCTGCTCCAGATCCTCGAGTTTTTGACTAGCCTCGGCCTCTTTCGCCATGACGCGGGCATGGGTTTCCTCCAAGCGTGCCATGGTGTCTTCTAGGCTTTTCTGAAGACGCTCCCGTTCCGTATTCATGCGATCAATATCTTGGATGGTAATTCCCTGGCGGTCGACGCTGGCTTGGAGCTCGGCACGCTCTGCTTCAGCGGTCTGAAGTTCCGCATCGGTTTTTTGGATCTCGCCATCAAGAAAGTTGTTTCGAGTTTCGTACTTGTCAATCTTTCCTTGCACGTTCTGGTTGTAGTCCTCGAATTTTCGTTTGTCGTCCTCCAAAATCCGGAAGTGCTTATCGAGCTTAGCCAGATCTGGCGCATTCTTCTCTAGCTCATCGATCTGCTCACGAAGAGCCTGGTTTTCCGCCTCCAATGCTTCCATCTCCTGTACATATCGCTCATTACCGCGAGCAAACTCCTGCGACATGTTTTCGATGTGCGGCACCAATCGCTGCTCTGCAGTTTCGTCATCTTCATCCTCACCCCCCTGCAGCCAGTCGTGATATGCCCCAGTAAGGAAGCGAAATATAATACGATCGCCAATAATATCGACACCTGCTTCAGCGCACGCCTCGTCATATTCGCCCTCGTGGTAACGGTCCATCATCTGAGCCAACTGCATCAACCAATGCAGCATACCGAGGAAAGTGGACCAGTTTTGACCACCCACGGCCGCAATCTGGGATTTAGTAATCCCTTTTTCGTAGGGATAGCGCAGCTGTTTGAGGATCGGAGGGACTTCCGCATCCATGGCCTTCTGAAATCTGTAACCTGGATCAATGCGATGGTAGAGCCACTGGAAAATGTAGTTGAAATCCTTCTGAGTTGGCGAGCGAAGAGTGTTCTGGCCCAAAGAGTGCTTCATTTCCAACTCAAACTTATTGTTGGTCAGATACTCCAATAGTTCCTGACTAATGCGCGCTTGGAAGGATCGGTCTCTGAGTGGTCGCGGGTCCCTGGGCACTCCAGCGGCCGAGGGGACTTGGGTGAAAAATGACTGGTGTGACATAGGTCCGGCCATCGAGGGGCGCGAGAACACGCTGCTCCTGCGCTGCATATTCTGTGATGTGGAATTTGTCGGCAAGGACCCTGGCGCGAAGCTCTGCCGACCGGCACTGGCACCGTGAAACATATTACTCGACACAGATCGACGAACCGAGGAAAGACCAGCTTCAGCGCCATACGGACCACCGGAAGAGGCGCGCATAAAATTTGGTTGCTGCGGTCGACTTGCCGAGTTCAATAGGGAATTTGAACGAGTATGGCCCGACGTGAAAGGAGGGTTGTTGAACCCGATAGAGCTCGTACGCTTCATGGCTGATGCCGGTTGAGGAATAGACGAGTAGTTCTGTACACTTCCGAGAGTCTTCGCCCTGTTGTCAGCGACTAAATTCTTTTGCGACAGTTGTGAGATAATGCATACCTCCCGGGGACGTTTAATACTGAACAATCCTGTATCTTGCGACATGATGACGAGAAGGCCGCGGTGGCGGCTGAATCATTTGTAACTCCTCGGAAAGTATCCGGGAAAGAATCGTTTGTATCTCCTCGGAAAGTACCCGAGAAAAATGAAAATACAAAGACCAAGTGGTCAAATCAGACTCGCGGCGCAAATTCCTCCAGGAAGGGGGGGAGGGGTTGTTATCGTGCAGCAGGACCAGGCGGGAAGATGTAAACAAGAACGTGCAGCATCCACACAAGGAAGGCGGTGTAGCGACCCGGAAAAACAGCGGATCCGGAAATCACGAGACTTCGGTCTGGGGAAGCTCTTGGCGGTCGTGAGTTCCGAGGTCCACGGCGATTGCCGATGACGGCCGTTCCCCTGCTCGTCCCTCCCTCCTGCATCCTTCCACTGCGGTTCACACTCCTCCATCATGGCTCCGCGCGAGGAGCTGATTGCGTCTGCTGTGAGTCTTCCTCATTAATTCCGAGTTGATATTCCTTACGATCGCTAACTGACACTCTCCAGGTGACCTGTATGGCCCCATCGTCCTTGGGAAACGGATATGGCGACTCACGCGCTAATCATGAACAGTTTTACAGGATCCCTCCGTAGCATCATCGCCTATTGAGAAAAGGGTCGCATTCCTTCAATCCAAGAATCTTACGCAAGAGGAGGTCGATCTTGCTCTATCTCGGGCCGGCGAAGACCCATCCGCTGCGGCCGCGGCTACTGGTGCTGTGTCACCCTCGCAAGGGTATTCTTCACAACAGGTCGCTTATCGACCACCACCACAAGCACCCCAAGGATATGGTTATCCTCCATATGGCCAATGGCAACCTCCTCCAGAGTAGGTCCAACCCCGCACGGCAGTTCTCCGAGCCCCCATACTGACTGATCGCGTGCTAGGCCGCCTAAGCGAGACTGGAGGGATTGGTTCATTATGGCGACAGTGATGGGTGGAGTTGGATATGGATTGTATTTCGTGGGCAAGGTATGCATTTACTCTTGTCGCGTATTGATGCATTACAATCTCAACATCCTAACCATCTGGTACAGCGTTACATCGCTCCGTTGATTGCTCCCCCCACCCCTCCACAGCTGGAGCAAGATAAGGAAAATATCGACGAACAGTTTTCGCGCGCATTTGGATTGATTGATCAACTTTCCACGGATACCGCAGCCCTGAAGGCCGCGGAGGATGCCCGTACCGAGCGCCTGGATGCGGCCCTCAAAGACGTTGAGAACCTCGTTTCGGATCTGAAGACCTCTTCGCGCCGGAGAGATGATGAAACTCGTCGCATCAACGATGAAGTTAAGTCTTTGAAGGATGCGATCCCCAAGGCTCTTGAAGGTGCACGAGAGGGCAACGAGAACCGGTTGAAGGAGCTTGGAGCTGAACTGAAGAGCTTGAAGGTCTTGCTGGGTAACCGATTGGGTGGCAGCGGTGCTGCGCCCGCTGCTGGCCGGACTGTCGGTAGCCCTAACCCGACCCCCGTTCCGACCCCCGTTCCGACTCCCGTTGCGACCCCGGCGCCAGCTGCCGTGCCTCGATCGACATCCGAGGACGCGCCGGCGGCTTCTTCTGCTCCGAATGGCCTGCAGCCCACCGTGACTCCGGCCGAACAAGAACCTGCTACTGTCTCTGCTGCCCCAGCTGCTGCAGCTCCGGCGCCGCAGAGCTCGGATAGTCCTCTGGCGAAGCTTGGCCGATCCGCCTCCATCCCAGCTTGGCAAATGGCTGCGTCCAACCGCTCTAAGAGCTCGTCTCAGTCCAGCCCGGCCCCCGCTGCCAATGACAAGCCGGCCAGCTCTGAGAATGAGCAGAGCGCTCCTCCTAGCTAATTGGTGAATGCTCCGGAGTATGAGTAGATTGAGCTCTGTATATCTCTTCGCTTCTATGTACTTGCCACAACGGATTTTCTTTTTTCTTACACTTTGCCTATTGTAGACCGATACTCACTCTACTAGTCACTTAAACTTGGATAGCATTAAAAAGGAAACTTATCTTTTAATTATATTTCTGTTGTTACTTGTATTAGTTTGAGAGCTTTCAACGGTCTCACGTCTTTGCGGCAACCGGGCTTTATCGTTGGAATGTGCTGCTGATAAGATAAGCGGCGCATTCGAATTGATGGATTTGAAGCTCCGAGCCACCGACCTCAAGTTGAACTTTTCCGAGTCCAAGCACCAACTCGAGTCATTCGGCAAGTCATTGCTTCTATTAGGGCCAAGCCAGGCATAGCCACAATGCCTTCCCCCGAACCAACCTCCCGACGATCATATCCCTCCGATCCACGCAGTCCAGGACGCCGTCATCATCGAAGTCGGCACGAGAATGCGGATTCGCATTCCCACCGTCACCGACATCGCGACCGCTCGCGCTCGCGTTCCCCTCACCGATCTGACAAGCACCGATCCGAACATCGCCATCGACATGACAAGGATCGAGGACATGATCGTGACCGCGAACGCCATGACAGACGAGTCAAAAAGCCTTCCGCGCCAGTGGTCCTCCCGTACCAGGCTCGAGAGCTCGGGCGGCGGGATCTGGAGATCTACGAGCCTATGTTTGCCATGTATCTAGACATCCAGAAGGGCAAATTCATTGAAGACCTCGACGAGGACGAAGTCAAGGGCCGATGGAAGAGTTTCACCGGGAAATGGTTCGTCGCAAACACCCTATCGACAATACCCTGTTGCTGACCGAACAGGAACCGTGGTGAACTTGCTGAGGGATGGTATGATCCTGCAACGTTGAAGAGGGCGCAGGAAAATGCAGCAGAGTACGCGCAGCAAGATCCAGACAGGGAACGAGCATCGCCAGACTATAACCGCGATCAGTCTGCAGAAAAAGGAAAAGAGGCGGGTAGCGAAATTCCGACTGCAGAAGATGACGGAGACGATGATGACTACGGGCCGGCTCTTCCACAGCCTGGCTCGATGAGAGCCATGGCACACCCTGGTCCGACAATACCAAATATGCAAGATCTCGATCTCAAGAGAGGTATGTTTCCTGTGTACCTCACACCTTGATGTTCTTGGCTGACCATCTCCAGAAACCGCAATTGAAGACGCAATCGCTGCCCGTCAGGAGTCTCGCGACCAGCATCGCTCTGAGGTCCGCTTCCACAAGGCGGAGTTGCGACATCTACAAGATGAAGTGGCTCCTCGTGCCGAGCCTGGTACCAGAGAAAGACAACTTGAGAAGAAGCGGGAGGCCGCCGCAGCTAACCACGCATTTGCACAGGCGCGTGGAGGGTCTCCTGAAGCCGCTCCGGAGGAAGAGCTCATGGGGGCTGGGGATAATGATTTGGCTTCTCTCAAAAAGGAGAAGGAGCGAAATCAGAGGAAGAAGAATGAACGAGAGATCCGGCGCGAGGAGATTCTTCGGGCTCGAGCTGCAGAGCGAGAGGAACGGATTCAGCAATATCGGGCGAAGGAGGATGAGACCATCGGGTGGTTGCGAACTCTGGCGAAGGAACGATTTGGCTAAGGCATTGTTGCTATGGTCGAGATTTGCCGGTATATGAATTAAGCTACGATATGATTTTTTTGTTTTTCGGATTCGACAGCGACATTCCTACATCTGCCTAGACTACCAAGACTAGTAGGATGATCATGTCAAAAAACGATTCCCTCCTACTCATCCATGAGAAGACACAAGTGGAAAATTAAAGCTGAAAGTCTGCAATTCTAGGGTCTTCGAAAGATCAAATATCTTGCTAGTGGCTACCGAGAGCGAATACCATCAAGTTGATATCCTATATACAGTAGCAGTACGCAAGTGCCTGCCACCTGCAACTGTAGCCGGTGGTCCACCGACGCGGGACCCACCCGCAACCTCATCCTGCTTCTTCTCGCCTTCACTCTTCGCCGTTCAACGACACGCTTCGCATTGTTGTCGCGCTATTCAGAATGAGCAAACCCTCTCAGGCCTTGCAGGGCCTCAAGCGATTCGCTACATGTGATGTATGTCGTTTTGGCCTCGACACTCGAAGAGACACTCCTAACACGATACCTTCCAGATCGGTGACGCGCTGGTGAAGCTGAAGTATCCATATGGCGGGTTCCTAGATGGACTCAGCATGTACTCTCCTGGGTCCGGGGCTAGCATTTGTGGTCCCGCTATCACAGTGAAGATGGTTGAGACGAATAGTCCTGGACCAACTCCACCTATTCATTTCGCGGATGCGAATAAAGCAGGCCACATCATGTACATCCAGCAGCCCAAGGGTATGTACTCGGCTTGCTGGGGTGGCCTCATGTCGACCAGAGCCCAGAAGCTGGGCGCTTTGGGGGTTATGGTAGATGGTCGGATGCGCGACACGCAGGAGCATGTTGACATGAAGTTTCCGGTAAGTACGCTTCATAATGTTGCTGTCAGCGGATTGCAACCTCTTCCCTCGAGTGCTCTCGCTCTATGAGGACTAGAGCTCCATAGACATCTATCTACGATATGAAATTCTAATTAGGATATAGGTGTTTGCAAAGGGGACATCAGTTCTTGGGTCAAACACGTTCACTCGCGCATCGCAAATCAATGTCCCCGTGCAGTTCAAGGGTGATCTTTGGATCCACCCTGAGGATATCCTCGTCGGCGATGAGAACGGGGTTGTTGTTGTTCCCCCTTCTCTGACCGAGCAAATTGTGGAGCTGTGCCAGGAACGCTTTCAGATTGACGAGAAGACTATGGAGGCGCTGCGGGCCGGCGAACCTATGGGCCAGGCCCTCAAGCGGCTCCGGAAGTGAAGATTATTTTGACTTCTCTTGCCATAGCTTACATACTGCTGATAGTAGTTTCTGGGTAATATGAAGACATACACGGGGCTTCTTTTACTAGTCACGGCGGCTTGTAGAATACCCCTTGATGTAAAGACTTGGGGTAGAGTATTCGAGGACCTTAACGCGATTTTATTCTGGCATAAGTTATTGCGGGCATTCTGGTATTGAGATAGAAGATTGTTCATGAAATGGACTTGCAAGAGCAGCTGCAACCAGGAAGCTGAGGCTGGCTGTTGAAGCAAGTTGCAGCGTTCTGAATCACCTCAGTGACATCGCAGTCGAATTCAACTCTTCTGAGCCGACTTAATTTAGAGTCAATCTTGACAAGAAAGACCGCTGCATAGGCGGCCATTACATGAAACGAGTCTTGGGCAAGACTCAGATAGGAAGAGAAGTCATGGACTAGTCGTAGCATGAGAACAGCACTCTCGTAGCTGATCATCAGGGGCCGTATATCAGGTGAGTTATTTTGTTTGAGGGATATCAGTGTATCTTGAACTGGGATGGAGAACAATTGCAATCGTGAATGGGCTCCGTAAATTTGGACGAGAAATGAATGACAAGTTTCTATTTCATGTGTTCGATTCTGAGCCACGTCGAGTATGCTTCAATCGTACACACCGGTCTCAGCAATAGAAAAGCCATTTGCTCTCCCAGGGTTCCATTCGTTTTTAGAGAGACTTGTCAGAAGTCTTTCTCGTGGCAGAGAGAAGGAGCGTATGGATTCTACTGAATCAGCTGTTAACAAGCGCAGCGACACAAAACTTGACAAAAGTCGATCATTTTGAATGCCGAGCGGACACCAACTATCAGCTGATTCAGTCAATTCATTGCGGTCAATCATCCACGGTTTCCCTGTTTGGAGGCTGACGCTAGTCAAAGTCAGCACTGAGTACAATAATTTACTCATCAACATCGGTTGATACCTGCGGTCATACACGAGGAGGACAAGCCATGTCCTCTCTGTGTTTCGAATTTCTCTGGCTTTTTTGTCTGTAAGATGGCTTCCTGAGGCTGTTTCATGTGTTTCTAGCTTGTGCTAGTTTAGATCAAGAGCCATCCTTATCGCAATTCCAAGTAACATCCAAATCCGGGTATCGTTGGACCCTTTCCAATATGTTAGAATGAGATGTCTGCATCGACTCAATAGATTTCTCGCCTAGGCGTAGAGACCGGGAGAGCAATTCCTCCGCATGCATATAAAGCGCAGGGTAGAAGGTTGTATTGAATGCCTTCGAGGCTGTTGTCAGCACGGCGGTGAAAAGAAAAGAGCTTTTCTCTCGTACATAGCCGAAGTAATGTAGCTGAGGATCTAGCTGGCAAATGTATGTATTGAGCTTCATCATAAAACTACCCATGTCTGTCAGTATGTCAGCTTTTTGGGGGCTATAAATGAACTCACTTTTCAAATAGAGACTGGGCAGCTTCGTAGTTGACCAAGCATAATTCAAGGGTCATGTGCAGATATAAGCCCGTTCTTACCAGCAGTTAAATTCGTTGTTGATCTGGGATCAGTATGTTCTGAAGAGAAAACTTTCCCCTCATAGTCTGTGGCTTAACAACTCATCTGGCTGTAGCCTTTCTGGGCGCATCCAGGAGCTGGGCACGTCGTCAACTCTGGAGGAGATGGGTGGACTGACTTTTGTGCCATGCGCTGCAAGAGAATCTTTCGTGTGTGTGTGCCTCCTCCATTTATTTTAGGCTTGATTCTATGAGATAACTCAGAATGGCGTCTCTGGGACAGATTGGTCGTTCTTACCTTGTCCCGGGTTCCGGCCTCTGCGATGCTGGCGAAATGTACAACTGAAAGACTTTCGCAAGCAACGATCACATACAACCGCATCATGGGCCACCATACATCGCATTTTGGCTTTCCGACAAGGCATACATGCATTCAATGCTTTGATGAGTATCAGTTGATGATTCTCGAGTGTGATGGGTTGGTCTTCTCACTCAACCGGCTTCGTCTCCTGTCGCACGCCAATCCCTTTCTGCGCCGACATGGTCAAGGTTTTAAGCAGTGCCTGTAAAAGGGCACCTCACTGCTAGGGAAGCTAGCACCCCAGTATGGCTGAAGCAATTCCGGTGGCCAAGTTCGGCTCAGTCGACAATCGAGGGAAGTGAGGAGAACAGCGTCACAAGTGCAGTGTGATCTTTCCCCTCGCCTAACCTACCCCAAGGCAGTCTGCTCCGGGCGAATATTGTCATCCTAGGCTGTTAGCCTCCTAATCCATTGATCTTTTGGTATATACTCAACTTACATCTCGATACATACCAGCAGAGACTTATCTCAACGCGATAACAACCGGCCGTCACCGGTGACTTACCTTCCAAATCAAAGAGGCCGGTCATCGGCATCTCAGCGCATCCATAACTGATCTCGGAAATTCGCCGACCAGCGAAGCTATCTTATTCTCAAAGCACACGCATGTCCAATCTGTCGCTACGAACTACAACAGAATCGTTCTTGATACTTCCCGGTGGATGTATAGCTTGATAGCTGCAGAATTCAACATGGAAACCAAGATAGACAAATCGGCTCATGTCAGCATGATGGCGGACAGCATCATCGCCAACCTCTTGGCTGACGGCCTGAGAGCAGTGATGCGTGGGTTGCTGGCGAACAGGTCTGATTGTACTGCAGCATTTGAAGAACAGACCCGAGTTTTCATCCACGAAACGGTCTCTGGGTTCTCGAATGCCACCGCAAAAAGAACCAACGATCTCTCTGGACTGTCAATACCATCTGTCAAGGAAACTTGCCAGCGCGTTTGCTGTATGATTTGCTGCGGTCAGGTCCCGAATGCCACGGAGGATGACCACGACATGTCTAGACAGCTTGCGTTTGTGGATGGTACAATTATCCAGACTCTAACAGCTGTTCAAAAGACCCTCTCGGTGCCTAGTGGGGTGAGAGAGCTTTCTCCTGATGAGCGCCTTCCACTGGATACCCTGCTCAAATCACTTCAGCCCTGCAAACTTAGTTGGGAGGGCAGCGGCGGGATTTTCCCGTTCGAACGAGGCCTCGAAGCGACGATCAACCTAGTTGACCCTACATCTTCCCATGAGATATCAGAAGAGCTTAGCATCTCTAAAAACATGTGAAAACTTTTCCAGAAACGTTCGCCCTCGGCAATAGCCTTGCTCTCCTACGACTTTTCATAGGCCTCTGGCAGCTTTCCAGTCCGGCCTGGGGAACAGCTCCACAATGTCAAATCAGGGAGCAGTTCTGGAAGTATATTCAAAATGGATTTACGGCATTTGACACGGCTGATCACTACGGGGATGCAGAGATCATTTTTGTGAGTATCTCCTTCCGGTCTTCGTAAACTGTCTAATGATGATTATCTAATGATGTGTACAGGGTCGGTGCCGGAAATCGAGCCCCATTTCGGATACCATGTTCGCAGCTACAAAATTTTGTGTTTTCCACCCAATGAGTGTCACACCCGAGGCTATAGGTGCAAACGTGAGTGAGCGGTGCCATCGGTTACAGACCGAGAAAATTGACCTTCTTCAATTTCACTGGCAATATGTAAGCTCTAAGCCGTCCTCATGTCTCATTGGTGATTGAACTTTGATTTCAGACACAGTATGACGATACTCAGTACATCGACGCACTCAAGTACCTCTCCCAGGATGATCGAATAAAGCACTTGGGTCTTTGCAATTTTGACACAGAGAATATGCGAAGGGTTGTTGAAAGTGGTGTCAAAGATAGTCACCAAGTCCAGGTAAAACATCTCATTCTTCACCTTTCCAGAATGTGCTCACAAAGCCAGGTCTCACTTATTGATTCGCGACCAACTGTCAGGATTATTGAATTTTGCGAGAAGCATGATATCAAGCTTCTCACATATGGAACACTGGTATGTACAAGTCGTGTCTCTTGTTCAGTCCATTTGTTGACATTACGAACTCGAATAAGGGATCTAGATTGTGTGAACAAGACGTTTCCACCATGGACGACCTACCTCGACCCCAACGCTTTGTAACCAGGCCTCCTTCTCCTGCTGGTTATGAATAGCCTGTAACTCAGTCCGCAATTCCATCTCATGTAGTGGAACTATTTTTGATTTCAAAAAGAACTTGAAAAAGACATATAAAGCTGTGACATAATTAATTTCGCACAAACCAGCCAAACACTATCGAGGAATTACTGGCGAGAGACATGTACATGAGTGGAAGCAGAAGTACACTCAGGCCCACTGTATAGTATGGCGTTCCGAATCGGTTGCATTTTTCAAACAATTAGCGCATGTCCGTCTCGACGAAGGCCGAATAAAGTTCGAGATACGATTAAAAATGCAGGTTGAACCGCTGCTAAGGGCAGAAGTTCATACTACTCCATTAATGATGCTTGGAATAATAGATACCCCAGAACGCTGGAATGCGATGACGAAAGGTGATTGCTGTGCTGTGCCAGTGGAGAGGCTGAGGTTGAGATCGTCGTATGGACTATAGAGGCGTTAGAGATGTATTCCATCAAATATTGTGCAGGTCACAATTTCCTTACATACCCGATTAGTCCAACGATAAAGATACTGAGAACGTAAAAGAGAAATACACGAAGGATGATTTTCTTCGTAGCAGCTGGAATGACCTTGCATGGATTCTGTCTCGGAGCCAGAGATCGCTACGACTTGGATGTTTCCGTAGCTAAACGCAGCGGTCAATAACACTTTCCAAAATGCGAGAAATCTTCCAGCAGAGCCTGTATCGATGTATTCGTTGAATGCTCCGGGGGCTTTCCAATAATGAAACCCGAGGCGCTGGTGGTTAGGACCACCGCCGAGATCAATGACAAGTCCTCCGATTATCAAACCCACGATTAGCATGATTTTGAGTGAGGCAAAAATCACCTCGGACTAGGAGAACATTAGTCAGGTCTAGGGCATTGAGCCGGCTTGACTGGCCTCTCCGTAAAAACGAACACCGCAGAAATTGATCACGATGATGAATCAGGACCCGAGATAGCCATTGTATACCCTTTGCAGGTCAGCAATGATTAATTGAATAGGACTCGAGGTGGATGTACAAAAGTTCCAACCGGTTGCTGCGCCCAGTGCGGGCTCAATAAATGTGGTGGCATGTCGAATGAATCCACCAGTAACAGGCATGAAGGCTGTGATTTCTCCCGTAGTATACGAGACTCCGGCTGTCACAAATCCCATGATAATATACGCAAGAAAAGCACCTGCCGGGCCGGCAATGGCGATAACTTGACCGGAGCTCAGGAATAAGCCAGTACCCTGTTAAATCAGAACCATTAGCCCACTGAACTGAGTCATATAGACTTCGAATAGGGGAATGTACAATCATCCCCGCAATAGCAATCATGTTAATATGACGCGATTGGAGATTCCTTTGATCCCCTCCCCTTCTCCTTCGGAGATGCTAGGGGCCATCTCTATCTCAACGTCCTTCGCCTGTGACTCACTCATCTTCTCCATGTTTGTGCCAGACTTGACAGTAGTGGAAATTCCCAGGAATGGTAAGAAGCAAATGTCTTATGCCGAGGCTGGAATGACGGGTATATAGACTGTCTATCAGCATAATAAGACAGTGACGCCAAGATAGCCTACCTTGATCGTTTGACGCTCTCGCGTGGAGAGGGAGATAAGCAGGCGCATGCTGGCGAATATGCAGAGGGAAAGTGGAGAGGCCGGCGTTCTAGCCGTTGTCGGGACGCGGACCTACCTGAAAGGCCGGCCATTCCAAGGTTGCGACCGGCTCCGTCGCATGGGCTTCAAATAGGTCGGACTTGGTCCTGCAACTTTCTGGTCAAGCTACCTTTCTGCTCGTCGAGGTGATATGTCCTGCCGGCCAACGAATCATGTGCGGAGCAACGGAGGGCGATCACTTTACGCTCGAGGGCGAGATGCTGTATCTTCCTGCTGGTCAGGGAATCAGCATCTATAGCTTGTGTGCGCGATGAGCAGAATTGTATTTATGGCGAGGTCAAATCGATCGCTGACTCGGACCCAGCCTCTGTTCTGCCCTTGTTGGCGACCAAACAACGCATGACCCACGAGCACGACTGGATGACGACCGATTCACTGATCGCCTGCTCTGATCCTCATTGTCCGTCGCAGCTAAAAACTATTCGGACCAGCGTTCGGAATTTTAAGCATTCTGAGACAACTGTGGTGCCGCTGAAGAGTGGTGATGATATATATTTCTGCCAGCTTTCCGTGGCCAAAACATATCTGGCTCTCCAACCCGATTTGAGCGAAAGAGGGAATGCCTTGGTCTACCTGAAGTCACAAGAACCTTGACAATATTGGGGGAAAAAAAAGGTATTTCTCTCGTGAAAGATGAGAAGATATTAATCTCGAGAAGAAGAAGAATAATAATTATACTGATAATAATAAAAAAATGCATCATCCGTGAATCGAACACGGGCCTCGTCGATGGCAACGACGAATTCTACCACTAGACCAATGATGCAGTGGTGATGTAAGGTGGTCCGCCTTTGGCTACTTGACCCCACTGATTAAAAATATCCTACGGTTATTTCCCCTGCCTCAGCTTTTTATGGATCTTGTGCCACGTTTAAGCAGTACAATTGCTGACATGAGCAGAATTTATCAATTTAGTCACGTGCCATAGATCACCCAGACTCTTCCTCAAAGTGTTGCTCTAAACGATTTCAACATATAAGGCTTGTTCCCCGTGGAATGAATTACTAAAATGAAAGGTCAGACGGAAGTAAACATTCAAAAAATGTCGATACATACCAGTCGGTCACGGTCTCACGGTACAGTCCCCAAAATTTCGGCCTTCTGATGTGGGTTCGCTGCTATCCAATGCGCGAGCAGCCACTTGTGTGGCTCTCCCCAGATCTGAGCCCAGTGGGGATTGGGGATTGGCTAGGGTGATATGGTATAAACTCGGTGCGGGAGCAGACAAAGAATCCTCATTCATGTCAACTTGAAGGTGCATTTGTGTCAAGGTAACACTGAGGAAGGAAATGGGTTGACGGCGCTTGTCCGCGCGGCGGCCATCCGCCTCCGATCGTCGGTACTTTCCCAACTGCTGAACTGCTGCCACGTCCCGGAATGTCCATCTCTCCAGCCTCTCTCGACAATCACCATGACAATCCAGGAGGAAACTTGAGTTAAGATGCCCGGCTCAAAATTGCGAATTTCCGTGTCGACCTCGTTTGCGACTGTCTGCAAACGCGGGCTGCGAACGAAGCAGCACTCCCTACCAGCGGCCTACTATCGCGGCGGGACATCCAGAGCGATCTTCTTCAAGCAAGAGGACCTCCCGCATGACCGCAAAGAATGGGATTCAATCTTTCGAGGGGCTATCGGAAGTCCCGATCCATACGGCCGCCAGCTCGATGGACTTGGAGGGGGTATCTCCAGTCTCAGTAAGATCTGCGTCGTGGGACCGTCGACCCATCGAGACGCGGATGTCGACTACACCTTCGTTTCACTGGGTATCAAGAATACCGACGTCGACTACTCTAGCAACTGTGGCAACATGATCTCGGCCGTCGGGCCGTACGCGGTCGATGCTCAGCTCTTCCCCTTGATTGAGGAGAATGCAGACTCCGTCTCAGTACGCATACACAACACCAATACCGGCAAGATCATCCACTCCTCATTCCCCATTATAGATGGGGAAGCAGCTGCGACGGGTGAATTTTCCATAGACGGCGTTTCAGGCACTGCTGCCCGCATCAAACTAGATTTCATAAGCCCAGCCGGCTCAGCAACAGGGAAACTCCTTCCAACCGGTAACCCGATCGACATCATCGACGGCATCCCGGCAACCTGCGTTGACGCCGCGAACCCATGCGTCTTTGTCCGAGCCGCAGATCTTAGAGTCGACGGTAATTTGATGCCAGATGAGATCACTGTGCATCCGGACCTGCTTTCGCGCTTGGATTCTATTCGTCGTCAGGCGGGTGTCCAGATGGGCCTTGCAGATACACCTGCAGCGGTACCTGGCAGCGTGCCGAAGATCTGCCTCGTTGCGTCTCCTTCGGGTCTAGGGTCACGCGATACAGCGCAGAAGCAGACGTCAGCCGATATCGATATTCTAGCTCGAGCCCTCTCGGTTGGACAGCCGCATAAGGCTGTACCTATTACTGTGGCCCTGGCATTGGCGGCTGCGGCTCGAGTACCAGGTAGCATGGTAGCGGAGGTTGTTGCGGACAAGAAACCTGTCGATGATGCTGGCATCACCATCGGACATGCTAGCGGGAACTTGTTGGTCGGCGCGAGTTTCGATACGAATGGTGCGTTGACTTCTGCGACGGTCTTTCGTACAGCGCGTCGGCTGTTCGAGGGTCGGATATTTTGGAAGAACGACAAGTTAGAATAATACACACCGCCTACGTATCATATGAGATGTATTATAGCAATTGAGAATCATAGGAAACTAGCGCGTTGGTACCACGCGATGATCAATTCCTGTATAATGTTCCTAACTTCTAGGCAACGCCTCTTGAATAATGACAACAACACCGGTTTTCCTTTCTTGTTAACACCCATTGTCCAGCCCTGCAAATGCACAGGAGGATACCATGAAATCACTTTCAATTCCGTCTTCCAAGGTCCAAATCCCTCACCAGCTTCAGGTCACTTTTTGCTTCCTTAGAACCAAGACCGAAGAACGGCTTCACGGCAACGTCAATCATCTCCTCAAACAATCTTCCCACAACTACCTCCTTCAGATCCTCGCCGGTCTGCGCAAAGTCTGGGTACGCATTCAGCTCCAGCAGCCAGACGTCCCCAGAGGAATCGACCAGAAAATCAACACCAAACAGCTCAAAGGCATTTGGCAGCGTCTGGAAATGCACCATCATGCCTCGCGCCGCCGCTTCAAAGATCTCACCCGTCACACCACATATCTGCTCGAAGATCTTCTCTTTCCAGTCATTCGAAAGACCAGGGACATGGTGGTCGAGATCCCAGAAGCGACGCACACTTCCCTCGTTCGAGCTGCCGCCTTCTTGGAAACAGGTGTTGGTCAGATGACGGGCGAGATCCTTGATTTCGTCATCTTCCTCGCAAGGCGGGCAATAGGACTTGGCGGCGAAGAGAGCGAGCATCTCCTTGAAGACGTAGACCTGGAGAGAGCCTGTGGCGAGAACATAGGTCCGGATATGGAACTTGCGGTTGGAGGATGAGGGGAGAAGAAGGGGAGGGTCGATGTAAGGCTGGGCCATGAAATGGCGCAGTTGGGAAGTGACAATGCCAGCGTCATGCGCTTCAGTTACCTTCTCTGGTGTTTCATTTGTCTCGGATCCGCTCTCCTCGTTGTCGGAGTCTTCTTCCCACTCCTCGAAGATCTCACGCAATTGGTCTTCGCTGTTGAAGAGCCTGATTCCTTGTCCGCGATCACTCATGCCGGGCTTGAGAATCCACCATTCCTTTTCGGATGCGGGACGTTCCTCATTCTTCGCCATGCTTTCGCGCAGCTCATACGCCTCAAGAAGCGCTTCGTCGAGGAATTCTGCGTAATCGAGTTCGAAGTCGAAGGCAGGCTTGAAATGGTGCCGCAGGATACTGTCCGGGTTTTTGGAGATCCAGTTGGCCACGGTGTTCGACAGGTAATGCTTGCGGATCAAGGCTTTTCGAATAATGTAGGCGTTAGAAAGGGAGGTCGAGGGCCGGCACATGATGTGTTCGAAGTCGAGGCGCTCATACTCGCGGTACTGGAATACCGGCGCAGACGAATCGGGCAACTCGGATATATCGGTGATCTGCTGGCGACGGGCAGTATTTCCAAGTCGGCGAGTGAGTGCCTGGTTGACGAGGGCTTGGACGTAGGGATCATCGCAATCCACGATAGTGTACACAGTAGGCTGGTTATCTGATCTACAGGGACCTCATCTATCAGAACCATAGGACACCACATGATCACACGAGAAAGCACATCGAGATATCGAATCATATGCAGAATAGGAAGGGGGAAGCATGACGTCTATCGGCTAAGCCAGATATCTAAAGTGTATATACCCCGTGCATATCTGAGACGAAACGTTCATAGCCATCATGCCGAAATATCCACTCACAGCTTAATCTCCCCCGAGATGTCGGGAGTGTGCATGAAACATGCTTGAAGAGGCGTGACACTGATACAGAAAGAATTGGTCAGTTTCTCTATACTTTGTTTTATTTTATTTATTCTTTAAGCACTGCCGACTTACCTGGTCATCTGCTCCTTGACGGCCCAGCCGTCGTTTCCAGGAGCATTTTCTTCAACACTGCGATACACGTCTGAGAGGTTGGGAGCCCATTTGAAGTGCTTGTGCTTGAGTCGGGCGTGATTGTCCTGCTTCTCGGTCGGGGCAGTTCCCTTTCCAGCCATCATTTCGCTCTCAATGCGCAGACGCTGTTCCTGCAGTTCAGGGTCTTCGGTAGCATCAGGGTCCTTGGCCTCGAAGCAGCTACCAGATGACCATTTGTTCTGCAGCATGCTTGTGTAGAGGACCTTATTCTGGCTCACACCAGGCTCGAGCGGGACATTCACGCTGTAAAGATCGACATTGTCGCCCCAGTTGGCACACAGGTATTCAATCAGCTTGACAGAGTGCTTTGAGGCCTCGGCAATGACAATGGGGTCATGGTCACGGGAGCTGAAAGCATAGGACAAGGCGATCGAGTGCTTTCCGCATACGGCGCCTTCCATCGCAGCGCCAATGGTTCCGCTTGACATGGCGAACAGTGCGGTGGTGTTACGGCCATAGTTTGGACCAGAAACGACGAGGTCGATGGGACCTCGCTCCTGGAAATAGTGGTATAGGCCAATCTGAACGCAGCTGGCCGGCGTTGAGTCAATAAGGATCCATTCATCACCGCCATCGTCTTGCTCGCCATCGCTTCCCCGCGGGAGGTGGTGAACGGTCCCATCCTCCTGATGTAGAGTACCCGGGCGGAAGTATGTCGGCTTCACTGATGCGCCGACCATATGCGCCTTACCGATCCATGATCGCTGCTGGTGGGGGAGAACAACCGAGACCGTGTGCCCCGCGGCTTGGAGGGAATGTACGAGAGAGTGCACGTATGGGGACGACTTGTTTGACGGCGGGCCATCGTCGTTGGTAACCTTTTCTTGAATTAATTGAAGAGCCGATAACCTTTGCTCGAGATGATCTTGAGCTCATACATACCAGGACGTGCATTGTGAAGATAGTGAGGGGATGGAGGGGAAGGGAGGAATCGGAGATTTTCCCCGCGCGGGCGGTTTTTATCCGCGGAACATCGAAATCACGAGTTTGGCAGCACGTCAGGTACGGCCAGGCAAGCACTGCTACCCGATCAGATTCAAGAAAATTTGAATTTGGGCCGACAGAGAATTAGTGACCGATGCGCTTCTGATCAAGACCTAGCGTGCCTTGAAGTTCTACTTTCTGCAGGTCAAATCCGTGCAGTCTTCCTCGGGTATTAGGATGAGAGGATGAGATCTCTATACACTCGATGATATAGTGCTAGGGTAGGCTCGGGCGAATAAATTAGCGCATAGAAAAAGTTGAAGTGATAAAATATTGGAATTGAATTAGTCGCGCGGGCGCCATATAGTGGGTATATGTGCGCGTGGCATTAGCATGAGCATCATTGTGGGTATTTCATCTTCGCAAAGTCGTTGCACATCATTAATTCACAACGAAAAGATTTACTGATCGTCTTCGGGCAAATGAGCCCGTCGCCTTTGCATCCCCATGGCCTCGGCACTTTCCAATCCTGATCCAATGCCCGCGTCGCTGGCCTCGGCGGGATAGCTCTGAAGCAAGGTACCATACTCTCCTTCTTTCTTTACCCGAACCTTGTCAGTTTTAGATGAGTTGCTTTCTTCTGATTCATACTCTTCCTTGATAGTATGGTCCTGTGGTACCCCCGACTCTTCCTTGACTTCCTGCTTGGGTGTTGTGCCGGACTGCAGTATCGAGCTCACGACGAACCAAGTCAGGCTCGCAGATGCCATAGAGACGGTCCAGAACATGGAACTGAACACAATAAAAGAGGTGATCTTCCACCGATACATGAACCACCTGAAGAAAATATTAGCATGTGTTTCATCGGCTTCAATCTCGTCTGGGAGGACAATCTCACCGAAGGCCTGTGAATCGGGCTCGAAACTCGACTCGGGCAGAATATATCTGCATCTTCGCCTCGCTCTGAATCTCGAGCCGCAGGCTCTGTGGTAGGTTCCGCGACCCACGATCAAACTTGACTTTTTCCAGCATCAGGACCTCCAGTCGCTCGGCCTCGCGCCTCCAGCCCACCACGTAGAGCGGGAGGCGCGCCAACCTCCGTGCAATATCGACGAGTGGAGATGCGTAGGTCAAAATGGCCGGTCGGCGAGAATGCGAGATAGGATTGGGCGTATTCGTCGCAGCAGCAAGCACGGAAGAGGATTGGGATTGGGGTGAGTAGAGTGTAAGGTCGATCATGAAGTTGCCCGCATCAAGGTTGGAAGGGGTACGCGGGAGGTCGAGTGCGACGGCGACATCGTAGGGCTGCGAATGCACGAACTCGGAGCCGAAGGAGGCGGTTCCCCAGGGATTGGTATCGCTGTGAGGCAGTTCAAGTCAGTACACGGTCGGCCAGTGGTGGACGCGGTAATGCGATGATGCCCACCCGAATTGCAGATGAATCTCGCGGTCGACTCCGACTGTCGGAATGAACCTCAGGTAGAAAATCCCATATGCAAGGCCAGATATTCCTAGCAGGATGAAAGTGGTGCCGATCAATAGCAAGGTGTTCAGGTAGATGCGCAATGCAGTCCTGGATACCAACGCGCGGAATGGCGTCAGGAGCGCGTCCTATCTCGTGTTAGCAGGGCGGTCTCTCAGAAGAGCGGGCGACAAACTAGGACCACTGCTTGCGACGACGGATTCTCATACTCAAACTCATCGTCGGTGTACTCCGAGTCGGCCATGGTGGACGGTGGTGAAGCGGGGACAGCTTGACGTCGGTCGAGGTAGGAGGTGTCCAACCTTGGAAGTTCCTCGGCAGCCGCGCCGATCTTATCGGCACCCGCACGTTACCCGATTGGACTTGAGCGCCATCTATTGTAAGCAAATAAAGTTGCGATGTATGATTATCGTAATACTTCTAATTTCTAGTATGTATCCTAAATTCTGATGATCGAAACATAATTCAAGGATAGGGATAGTGAAGATGTAGAAAACCTAGTAGCGCACCACAGAGCAGCCAGCCTGTTTTCTACAAGTTCTTCTATGCTGCTGTGTGTAATTACTAGGCAGATATACAACTGGATGTGAACTCTTGTGAAATTAGCATGATGGATTATCAAACTTCCATCGTAAGTTGCTTTGACATAATATTACAAAATAAATCGATCGATCGAAAATCCCCAGCATATAGAATCATCTTTGTAGGCTTCGGGTGGTGCGCATCGTTGTGAAGTATAAGCCGGGGTGGAAGACTGTAAAAGATAAACAGGCCAGAGCGATCATCCTGAAGTTGCAATCAGACGTTAGCAATGTAACGGTTGGTGCTGGAGAGGGCAAACTCTGGTAGACATACATTCCATCAAGAACGAGAAATTCCATCTCATTCTGCATTAACTTATTGCCCCATCCACCCGCCATCTCAGGCAGACTAAAAGCCGTTAGTAAGAACAACACCAAAGACCACTTGAGCGATCATTAAAATAGTACTCACCGATAGATACACCGAATCAAAACGGTGGTATAGGCCGCAACCTCGGCAGAAAACCCCCACCACATTCTTTTCCCGCGTTTTTCGGTCATGTCTTCCCGTGGGGATCCTCCGCGCCAATGCTTCCTCGACGCGATAAAAAAGTCCAGTGCCAAAATCCCACATATGGACATAGTGGCAACTTGAAAAGCAATTCCAGCAATAATGATGTTATTACCTGCATTGATCATATCTTGGTCTGTTCCTGCCGCGTTGGCTACACCTCCACCAGCAGCTTGTAGAATAATAGAGCCGACATCGCAACCGATGAAAATCCAGGTGAAAAGTTTCGGGTTCAGACGAGAATATTCGGGTCCGATATAGACGATGATGTGTTTCAGGGTGAGATATATTCCAGCTGCAATGAAAGTGGGAGCCAGAATCAAACAGAAAATCTGCAGTCTAAATGCAGGCGTTGACCATGGATTGTAGTGCATCAGGATTCGTCCCACGTACCCAGCCGCTTCCATGAAGGTACCGATCCCGAGCGCGGCGAGGAACGTCCATGTCCGAAAATAAGCTCCGAGGCATACCTGCGCGATCCCGAGGAGACCAAAATAGATTGTGAAAAATGTATTGCCGCCGAGGTTTGGATAGTAGCCGTACGTGGTCAGTTCAACGGGACACTGAGGTGTGATTTCAGTGCAGAAGTCCGACATTTTGCAGCTGGGGGGAGAAGATCAATATATTTCAAAGCCAGTCCAGCGAAAAGTAGACCTACTTCAAGCACCTTAATATACATCAGAGCCACTTGTCTCCTCGTTGATCGTCATAGATCTTGTGTCATCATGCTTTGTTTGGGCTTATTGTACTGCTTCGTTCCTCGTATCTCGTTTATCGTACTTCGCTTATCGTTTATCGTTCCCCGCTCATCGTTTACCGCTTGGCCCCGTTGAACGTCCAACTACCTCCACTCAGCATCACCTGGGTCTGTTTCAGCTGCGTTGAGATATTGAACATAACAAAGAGACCAGATAATGCCTCGTCGATTTCACAAGAAGTCCAGAAATGGATGTGACCAGTGCAAAGAGCGGCGTGTCAAGGTGGGTCCACTTCCATGCCACTCTCCTCTCCAGCGACTAACAGGACCAGTGTGACGAGACGCGTCCCCTGTGCACTACATGCACCTCTCGGGGGCTTTCCTGCACTTATACAAAGCCCGCTTCTCGGAAAAGACCAGCCGAAGGACCGTCTCCGACGTCGACGTCAGCGGAGCCCAAATCACCAGCTAGTCCTATGCCGAATCTTCAGACTAGAACATACGATGTACGACATCTGCAATTGATGCACAAATTTTCCACAGAGACATATAAAAGCCTCTGTGGCGACGAGTCAGACATGGAGGACTGGCAGATTCTTATTCCCAAGCTTGCATACAACCATGAATTCCTCTTGAATGGCATCTTTGCCCTCTCAGCCCTTCATACAGTAGCTACTACCTCAGACACGGAGGAAGCTCTATCTTTTCTGGATACCGCGCTGCATTGCAATGAACTTGCTTTTGCGCCTTTTCGAGAGGCTTTGAGTCACTTGACACCACAGAATTGCGACGCTGTCTTTGCTCACTCCGCAATTATCGCCCTCATTGGCATCGCATTGCCCCGACTAAATGCCCGATATCGGGGCGAATGCTTTAGCATGATAGAAACGATGATGACAGTATTCGAGCTCTTGCAGGGAGCAAGCAAAATATCACGCATCAGCAGGCCATGGCGACAGGCAACCATATTCTTCAAATACGATTTCTGGCGCATGGAAAATACTCCGCTGGACGCAGACATGGCCGGAGCTATCGAGAAACTCCGAGAGCTGAATCGTTGCATTGTAAACACAGACTCTGCGCAGTTTCATATCAATCAAGAAGCTATCGATTCTCTTCAGGACTCACTGGCAAAGTTCACTCACGCGCCACACCCTGCACCGATATTAGCTTGGCTGACCTACGTCAAGAGAGAATTTGTGGATGGGCTACGTGTGCGTCAGCCATTTCAACTTCTGATCCTAATGCACTGGGCGGTTCTTCTGAAAGAAATGGAGGCCCATTTTTGGTGGGCCCAAGGTTGCGGACAGGCGCTTGTCGCAGAGTTGTCAAATGAGCTAAAAGACCAGAACGAGAACTGGACGTCGGCATTGCGTTGGCCACAGCATAAGGTTGGAGTATGAATGCTGAGCAATGAAATCAATTTATCTGTAACGAATAACTATAGAAGACAATATTTCCGAAATCAAAAAGTTCAGTCTAACTGCCCCGTACATCAGTAGCAGTCTATGCCAACAATCTTTTCAGAATCACCTCGCAAAGCGAAACCAAGGTCTTTGCGCCCACAATATCCAACGCGCTAATTTCAATTCCAAGCTCTGATCGCACCCAGTTACGCAATTCAACTGCGACCAAGGAGTCGATTCCGTAACTGGCCAGAGGTCGACTAATTTCCAACGGATCCTTCATTCCCAAGCTGCGCATCAAGACTGCATTCACAACCTCCACAGCCGATGCAAGGAGAGCCGGGTGGTCCACTTCGCCACTCGAGGATGCATTCTTAAGTGCGCTCAGGTGGCGTTCTTGACCGTCACCACCGGCATTAGTCGCTGCAGCCGTCGGTCTCAGGGCGCTCCATCGGTGGTACGGCTGCATAGGCGAATTTGGAAAGAGGGGGACAGGGATACCCGTGATGAGCTGCGAAGCGCTCTCTGGGTTTGTCGGCGAGGTGCTCTGCTGGAGAATCGAGAAGCGCAGTATCTTGTGCAGAAGGGCTTCATTGATAGGGGTCCAGCCTTGCGACTCCAATCTCCGACTGAGGTGGTCACGGTCTGTGAAATATCCGACATCTTCGATGACTCCCAAGTTGACAGAGCATGCTGGAAGTCCAAGAGAGCGTCGATAGACGGCAAAGGAATCCTGGAAAACGTTGCCGGCACTGTAGTTCACTTGGGCCCTTTGACCGACAACACCACTGACACTGGACAGGAGTGTGAAAAAGTCGAGCTTGAGGTCTTTCTCGATAGCTAGGTTGTGCAGGTTCCAGGTTCCGGTTACCTTGGGGTCAATTGGCGTGCGGAACTCATCTGGAGTCATTCTGGGGAAGATTTTATCCTAGAATCATTAGCTGTGCATTCACTCAGCAAAAGAATTGAAGGGGCTCACACACCCGCAACACCATAGCGCCCTGGATGATTCCACCGATTGGTTTCCTGGTAGAGGAGAATGCGCGTCGCACATCTTCGACTTTGGTGATGTCACCAGTTATCAGGTCTATGTGTGCCCCCATAGCTTGGAGGTGGTAGATGATACTCTGGGAGGCATCATCATCGTATCCACTTCGAGAAATGACCGCAATGTTCTTTGCTCCGCTGCGGGCCAAGTAAAGAGCAAGAGAGCCACAGAGGCCCTTGAAGCCTCCGCTGATGAGGTACGAAACATCTTCTCTCAGCTGCATCGCAGGGAGGACCGGGATGATCTAGTCCATGTTAGCAAGATTTTCATCTGCAAGCTACAGGGTTTTGTTTTGAATGAACGAACTGGAACTTGGACAGCATCACGGTTCTTATCAGTCACCACAATCTTGCCAATGTGCTTTCCATCTCGCATGTAACGGAAAGCATCTGTGACATCAGCGAACGAGAAAGTCCTGCAGATGGGGAGTGGCTTGATAACACCATCATTGACGAAGGTGAAGATCTGCTTCATCAGTCGATCGAACGTGGGTAAAGAAACGGCCTTCAGCGACAGATCAAATGATCGGTAAGAAGCATTGTGGCTGAAAGGCGCCAGAGAGATGTTGTTTCGATCAAGCAGATCCTTCTTTCCGATTTCAATGAAGTTCCCGTTAGGAGCCAAGCAACGCCAGGACTCATGCAACAGATCACCAGTCAGAGAATTCAGAATCACATCCGCTCCACGGTTGTCAGTTGCTCGCATGAGGTCTGCGGCGAAGGAGATTGATCGGGATGAGAACATGTGGTCCTCTGGGATTCCGTAGTTTTCTCGCAGGAAACGACGCTTTTCCTCTGATCCGACAGTCACATATACTTCCGCCTGGAGGTAGCGACAGATCTGGATAGCTGCCAATCCCACACCTCCTGCGCCCGCATGAACCAAAACGACCTACAATCTATGTCAATACAAAGGCTTAATCGTTAGGGAGGAAAGCATACCTGACCCGGTTGAGTGCTAGCCAGATCGATGAGACTGTAGATGGCAGTCATAAAGCACACACCCAGGGTAGAAGCATCTTCAAACGACATCCAGTCAGGAATCCGCTGAACACCCTCCACTGTGCTGGTCACTCGGTTGCCGAAACCACCGCCGTCCTTTCGAATCAGCAAGACGCGGTCCCCAACAGAAACAGATGTCGCGTCCTTTCCACGTCGAGTGACAATTCCGGTGCACTCCAAGCCCAGGCGGCGCTCGTTCGATGCAACGAATCCCAAGGCGTGCGCCAGATCCTTGAAGTTGAGTGCTGCGGCATGAACCTCGATCTCTACATCGCGGTCTCCAAATACACCTGCGGGCTGCTCTGCGTACTTGAGGCTTTCGATGGTTCCAGTACGCGTACTAACCAAACGGACAGTAGATGGATGGCTGTGAAGGGGCTGTGTTTGAGGCTCAGGTCCTTGAGTATTGTCCTTCTCGGCCTGGTTAACCGCCTTGTCGGGAATGATTCGGCTGATGTACATCAATCCGTTCCTCTCAACGAACTCATGATCATCGAACTCGAGTGTTTCGGCGTAAACGAGATGCTTCAACGCGGAGTCAATAGCGCCAAGGCTGTTTGCTCCCTCGACATTTTCGACATCCAGGGTCACGATTAAAGCGGTTGGGTCTTCTCCATAAAGCGAGCGAGCAGTACCGAAGAAAAGCGCATGCTCAGGGTGTGTCACCTGCATTTGTGCGCCTCTTGTGACCCAAAGGAGACGACATCGACGCTCGATGAGGTTGCGGAAAGACTCAAATTGATCATCCGTAAGATGAGAGATGACTGGAGAGTCCATCTCATCTAACACCACAACAGTTCCATTTTCAGGCACCTCGTTGAAAGGCAATGGATGTTCGATGACATCCCAACCGCCATTCAAGAGAAATTCTTTAGCCTTCGATTTGAGTTCAGTTGGCGGTTTGAAGTGCAGAAGATGAATAAGTGATGTGGAGGGCGAGCTTTCCTTGGCCGATACAGACCCAAAGTAGGCGAGTTGGAGTTCACCAGCAACTTGCAGAGGCTGGGTAGTCGGTAGTCTTTCCAATCCGGCGAGGTCAATAATGCTTCCTCCAACCGCACTTGTGTCATACAGAACACAGATGATTCCTCTCTCGCAAAGGTGTTCTCGTGCTTTCTGCACATCCGCAGCCAAGTTCGCGTGATACAGGGACACCTTCAGAATAATTAATTCGAAAGCGCCCTTGTCTTCCAGTGTGTCAAACGGCGCATCCAATTCATGGACCCCAAAATCCACCTTGAAGCTTCCATATTTTGACCGTGCAGAGAGAACAGCATTCTGCGAAGGCACCGAAAAATGATACTCAAGCTCTTTGGCAACATCGGAAACGAAGGGTTTGATGCGATCAACCCAGACACTTTCAGCCTTGTCAACCAAGTCAAGCTCCAGAACTCGCAGACGGGGATTCTTATGGGCGATGAGATTGATTGCTTGCCTAATTTTGGAAACGGCGCGATCCGTACTGCTTCCGGATTCAGGGACCTCAAGTAGGGTAGCGAGCTGATCATTGGAAAGGAAAGAGAAATCCGGTTGCCATGTAAGGCATGTGTATGTGTGTGCTGCATGGCTTTCCACACTAGCATCAAGGGCATGGTAGTGAAGTCCGGAAAGCCGGAACAGCAGATTACCATTCGCGTTGTCGTAGACCTTCACATTAGACTTGTATCGACGAGGGTCATCGTCTCGTCCAATGCCAGTAAATTCAGCGTCTGCAACCGCCAATCCAACCTCTGGCCGAGACGTTTGTGCCATCACAGTCAAGTCATCGATCATAGCCGGTAGCATAAGGCTGGTAACAGAGCTTCGGTGGCCGGCCCAAAGAGACGCTGCACCTGTTTGGAAGCAGGAGTCAATGCTCACAGGGTGCATCGGATACAAAGATTGTCGTGTTTTGGACTCTGGCTCCTCCAAACAGACTGTGGCACGGTTGAAGCGATGTCCAGCGGTAGACTCAACTTGGAGCTGCTGTTGGAAGCTGGGACCGAAGCTGTATCCTACATCTCGCATTGCCTTATACCAGGTCGAGGCCGGGGAGCTGTGCCGGAGAGGCTGCAGTTCGCTTGGGGGTCCCACTAGAAAATGTCAGGCACTGTTGACACGAACAAAGTCATCGAAAACATACCTTGGGTGGTCTCCTCGGATAGACTGACAAGTCCTTGGCAATGATCATTGATAATTTCTCCAGAGATAGAAGAAATCCTGAATTCATGCCAAGTATCTGGTGTGCTTGCACATGGGTTGAGAGCAAGCATAATCTTAGTGTTGCCATCTTCGTCATCAACGGGCAACGCACGGAAGAAGTTCACGTTCCGCAATTTGTAGGACACCTGATCGACGCTGACTGTCGCAGGTAGACGACCGAGCGCTCTGCTCTTCTGGTAAATGGCCTCAATGGCCATGGCAATGTATCCAGAGGCAGGGAAAATTACTCCGTCACCGAGCTGTGAAGGTTAGTTGAAGTATTACAAGAGGGAAGAAGGGAAAATACCTTGTGGTCTCGCAGCCACGGCAAGTCATCCACTTTGATGACCTTTTTCCATGTTGGCTGTGTCCAAGGTGTGCCGAGAATCTTATTGCCCAAGAGATCGTGATGCACAAACTTGCGGAATCGCCAATCGCTACTTGACTCGCTCTCGTGCCAGTGTTTGGTGGAGTGGTTCCACGAGTAGTTGGGAAGATCAACGATCATTGAAGGAGGAGAAAGTTGAGTGTCCTTGTTCATTTCCGCCAGCTTAACCGGGACTCCCATGATAAAAAGCTGACCAACCATGCCAAGCATTGTATTAATTGCATCAGGGCCTCGTTTCCAGGCAGACAGGTATTCAGTGGTAGGTGCGACGGCCTTTTTGATTTGATTTATAGGTCCAGAGAGGGCGTTGCTGGGTCCAATCTCGATCAACAGGTCCACGCCCTCTGAAGGGGAGATCATTTGCTGCACAGCTTGATTGAAGAGAACAGGCGAGACCATGTTGCGAACCCAATAGCTCGGACCAAGGTCCTGGTCAACCTCTTTACCAAAGGTAGACGAGAACATAGACGTAGCCTTAAAGTTTGGGCTCGTTTGCGACCAATCAACGTGACTCTCCAGCATTTCGAGGTACTCATCTGCCACCACATTCATGTGCTTTGAGTGGTAAGCAGCATCAACCTGGAGTAGACGAGCAAAGTGACCGTCAGCCTTGATTTTCTGCTCAATAGACTGCAGCTCAAATTTATCTCCAGAAAGTGTAACACTTTCTGGGCTATTGAAGCAGGCAATCTGGATGCTCGTGTCTTCAATATATGGCTTCACCGCCTCAGGCCCAAGTCCAGCAGCCATCATACCGACCGCAGTGGAAAAGATAGCATTTGAGGTAGCCTTTCCGCGGAAATAAGCAATCTTAATAGCTTGATCAGCGGTAATTCGGCCAGCCATGACAGCACCTGCTATCTCCCCGGACGAGTGACCAACGACTGAGCTGCATGAGATGCCAACTGCTTTCAAAAGCGCCAGAATTGCAAGCTGCAGGGCGGTTACAAGGGGCTGTGAGAGCTCCGGACTGCGAAGCTCATCAGCACTAAGGGGAGAAACCAGTTTATCTGACTTTGTTAGTATGTGATATTTGAATCAAGTCAAAATTTTGAAGAGACTCACCGATAATCGACCACTGAGGAGGGTTTGGCATTTTTTGCAAAACGCTATCAAGAGATTCTAACTCCTTTCTGGCTAGAGGGAAGTTGAGCAGATCTTTGCCCATCTGGACCCATTGGGCTCCCTGTCCGGTGAAGACGAAGCCTATCTTGGGTGGCTCGGACCGAGGTGCTCCCATAATCACATCGTCAAACTCGACGTCAGTACTGTGCGCAATAGCATACCCTCGGTGGTAGTGGCGCGTGCGGTGCTCCGAGAGGGTGTATGCCAAGTCTCTGATCTTGACATCCACGGAGGGGTCCGAGAGATGCTTGTCTAGAGATGAGACATGATTCTTGAGGGACTGCTCATCATTGGCGGAAAGCACCAAAAGGTAAGGTCTTTCCAGAGATGTATCTTCCCCGAAAAGATTATCGCTATCGGTCAAGTAGGATGTAACATGCTTGCTCAGGCCGTTGGCAGCATCAACAATGACATGAGCATTGGACCCTCCGTATCCAAAGGAATTCACGCTGGCTCGTCGGAAAGGAACCGAGGGCCATTTTGTCGTGGCCTTGGATGGGCGAAGGCAAAGGCTTTCGAAGTCGAGATTGGGGTTTGGAATTTCAAATGTCGGATTTCCAGGAATGATGCCCCTCTCCAGGGCCAGAATGGCTTTCAACAAGCCTGAAATTCCAGCTGCAGGCTCCGAATGACCAATGTTACTTTTGACAGATCCAATTCGCAAAGGATTTTCTGGTGTTCGGTCTTTGCCAAATACAGAGGCAATACCGTTCACTTCGATCACATCACCAGCTTTGGTTCCAGTCCCGTGGCATTCCACATAGCTGGTCTGTGAAAGGTCGGAGATTCCTGCATTTGCGTACGCCTGTCGAATTGCGCTTGCTTGGGCCTGTGAATTTGGACTGGCAATACCGGCCGTCCAGCCATCACTTCCAGTCGCAGTGCCGCGTAGAATGGCACGAATAGGGTCGCCATCATGGATAGCGTCGTCCAGACGTTTGAGATAAACCATATTGACAGCCTCGGCTTTGATATAGCCATCTGCCTTGGCATCAAAGGTGTGACATTTCCCTGTGAGGGAAGCAGTGCCATTAGCACCAAAATGGTGGTCCATGACATGTTCAGGGCTGAGGTAAATATTGGCACCGGCAACAATGGCACCTTTGATTTCGCGGGTCTGAAGGTAGCGACTCGCGACATCGACACCGGTCAAGCTACCAGAGCAGGCAGTGTCTATAGTCATACTACGTGAAGTTAGACTAGCATCGAGAATCAAAAGAGTTGTACATACCTAGGACCCTTAATGTTCAAGAAGTGACTGATGCGGTTGCTAAGCATTGCACGTCCAATGCCAACTGTGGTCGCAGCAGCTCTGTCCTCGGGGTCTCGGGCTTGCATGTCTCCATAGTCGCAGGCGAAAGACCCAACAAAGCATCCGACAGGAGAGTTATCCAGGTGCTCAAGTGTGATACCTGAATTTTCGAGACCTTCATAGACAACTTCCAGAAGTTGTCGCTGTTGCGGATCCATCGACAATGCCTCGAGTCGAGAGAGCTTAAAGAACTGCGCGTCGATATCCTGAACATCGATGCCTTGGAGGAACATTCCTCCGGGAGACGCCATGGTCTTGTTTTTGAGGGATCCATCGTACTATTCAAGTCAGCTTCTTGCCCAAGTCGTCTGCTTGAGTAACTAACATGGGTATCTAAGTTGAACCTCGAGGAAGGGGGTCGATTTTTTGCAATCTTGCCCTTTTCGATAAATCGCCAAAATGCCTCCGGAGAATGACATTGATCTGGGAGCCTGCATGCCATTCCAATCACCGCAATTGGTTCTTGTAGTGAGGCCTGAGGCACATTGATACCGGTACCCTCGATCTCATGGATGCCACTAAGACCACCAACTGTGTCGACTTCATCCGGAATCGCAGTTCCATGAAGGCCATTGGTACCGTTAGTGTACGTCTCGGCACCAGAGCTGTTGATAACCATGTTGATGTGTGAGTTAGAAAGAAAGGGAGAGACGATTTGAAACAGAAAGGAATTGTTGCATAATAGAAGTAGGGGAAAGCAGTCCCTTTTAAATCACATTATCGTGCAGTTCTCTGCCCCCACGGCCTCTATACTTCCAGGATTCAGTGGAAAATGCGAAAATTTGCAAAACTGTCCTATACAGTACTGTCACGTCCAATATCTTTCAAAAACAGAGCCTTTGCAGCCTGCCATGCAGGATTCGGGTCTGGTCCACTCCAGGCAAGGGTTGCGTAAGCAGGGGCCAAATCCTATCATGACTCCATAAGTCGATAATCACTCGTGGCTGGCCTGATAATGATGATGATAATGATGCGTTAGGCATAAGCCATCGGTGGGCGTAAAGCTATTTTAGGCGGTAAATTCGGGCAAGGTCCAGAACAGGAAGTCCCGGCTTATCAGACTACATGCTATAAGAGGGCATGCAATTTGAGGTGAACACATGGGAGACCTCCATTGCCGCCCGCATTTTTCAGCCCATATTTACGTGAAGACGCCTTCGCCATGTCCACCCAACAAGATGTCGAGTTCAAGACAATCGATGGAATCACCCTCCGTGGTCGGATGTACATTGCCTCGAGCAGGGGACCTGGTATTGTGATGAGTCCGGGGGTAAGTACAAACGTCTCCGTCTGACATGCTTTGGTTGACGATTGATAGTTCAACGGCGTTAAAGAGATGGTCGGGTTGCCTAACGTGGCACTCGCATTTCAGCAGGCTGGATTGACGGTTCTCATGTATGATCCTCGAACAACTGGTTTGAGCGATGGCGAACCACGCAACGACATCGACCCTTTCACACAAATCGACGACTATTCGGATGCGCTGAGCTACCTGGCTGCCCACTCGATGGTAGACCAGAGCCGGATGGGAGTATGGGGCATGTCTCTCTCGGGGGCCATCGCACTAGCTTGTGCAGCAGTTGACCCACGCGCCCGATTTGTGGTCGCTGTCTGCCCAGCTTTGGAGTATTCTTTCACCGCGGCCAAGCTGCCGGGCGTTTTGGCCAAGATTGCCAAAGATAGAGAGTCTCAAATCAAGGGAAATGACCCATTCTACCTCCCAATGCTCAACCAACAGGGAGAGAATCCAGCTGGATTCAATTTGGGGGTCGACAAAGATGCCGCTCTGAGGATTCTCAGTGCTCAGGATGAAAGCATCCCAACTCGGCAATCCATCGCCGCAAACCATGTGAATCGCACCACCATCCAGTCCTATCGGAAGCTGCTTATGTGGAGCCCTGCCCCCATACTTCGACATCTATCTGTGCCGGTGATGTTTGTAGTTCCGGAGCGGGATCAGCTCATCCCTGCTGCGGGGCAACAGGAGGTGTTCGACAAGCTCCCAGGGGAGAGTAACCAGATCCACGTTGAGCAAGGAAGGGGCCACATGGACATTCTGGAGGGCGAGCATGTCCCGGATCTGATGAGGCGGAAGGTGTCGTTCATCAACGAGGCCGTCAAAGGACAGAAACTAGCCTGAGTAGGACTAGGCACTTGCCATGCAGTCATGGCAGGCTTGCGGCGTGGAGAAGCTCCGAGCGATCAGGTGACCTGTAGCGGGAACGAAGTACGAAGTACGAAATACGATTTGCGAAGTACGAGGCTATACTGCTACTGCCACCTTTCATCCAGCTTGAGAGTATGACAACGTGATAGAATGCCAGCCATATTTTCACACATTTATTCTGTATCTCTCCTCGCAATGAGCCGCTTTTTCTTCCAAGTAACCTGAACCCCATCCTTCCCTTACGGAATTTCGATCATGGAACTGGACCCGATCCCGGCAGACGAACATCTCCAAGCGCCGAGCCCGAACGCTTCCTTAACCAGAACCCGAACGGCCTTGGAAACGTTCACCGTCCTCAGCGCGCTTTGCGCAGGCGTGTTTGTGGCTGCCCTCGATGTCACCATCATTACGACCGCATTACCCACGATCGCCAGTCATTTTCAGTCGAGCTCTGCCTATACATGGATTGGGAGCGCCTACATTTTGGCCAACACGGCCACTGTGCCCGCGTGGGGAAAAGTCTCAGATATTTGGGGCCGAAAGCCGTTGCTCCTAGTGGCCATCGGCATTTTTTTCGCCGGGAGCCTGATCTGCTCCGTCGGGAATACGATTGCTCTGTTCCTATTCGGCCGGGCCGTCCAGGGGCTGGGGGCAGCTGGCCTGATTACCCTCGTGAATATCTGCGTCAGTGATCTATTTTCCTTGAGAGACAGGGGGCTATACTTCGGTCTCATCTCTGTCGTGTGGGCCCTGGCGAGTGGGGTTGGCCCCGTCCTCGGCGGAGTATTTACCCAGAGAGCAAGGTAAGCGAACTCCGTGCAAGCCACAAGCTCCCAAACCACCCCACCTCTTTCCGTTCTTGGTGATTCTCTACCCTCTGTTTTATGGTCCCATCACGACAAATTTTCTGCATGCAGGCAAGATTGCAGTTTGCGCGATGTGTTGAGCAGTGGGGCTAGAACGCGGAGATTAAGCAGTTCGATCTCACCCACATATACTAGCATGTTATATGTTGCATTGCAGGTTGCTAACCTGTCTCTAGTTGGCGATGGTGCTTCTGGATCAATCTCCCAATCACTGGACTAGTGTTCCTTTTGCTCTGGTTCACCCTCAAGCTTGAGACTCCCAATACCCCGATTTGGAGTGGGTTGAAAGCTGTCGACTGGACCGGGTGTTTATTCGTCATTGGCAGCACTATCATGCTGTTACTTGGCCTTGACTTTGGCGGCGTCACGCACCCATGGAACTCGGCCACGGTAATCTGTCTGATTGTCTTTGCCGGTGTGCTTCTGGGTCTCTTTGTCCTCAACGAATGGAAATTGGTCAAGTACCCCGTCATTCCTTTGGTCCTGTTCCACCACCGGTCCGGTATAGCTGCGTTCTTAGTTTGCTTTTGCCATGGCTACATTTTCATGGGGGAGGCATACTACCTGCCTCTCTATTTCCAGGCGGTGCTGGGTTCCAGCCCCATCATGTCGGGAGTTTACATTCTTCCGTTTGTCTTGGCACTTACGGTATCCGCTGCACTGACAGGGCTCTTCATTCAGAAGACGGGCAAATACGTCCCGGCCGTGTGGGTGGGACTGGCCATAATGACGCTGGGGGCGGGACTACTCATCAACCTTGATACCACGGCCAATTGGGGAAAAATAATGGGATTTCAAATCATCGCTGGCGTTGGGGTCGGCCTTAACTTTGAGGGACCATTGCTAGCCCTCCAGGCTATAGTTGGGGTGGAGAATACTGCTACCGCCACTGCCACCATCGGGTTTGTGAGAACATTGTCTACGGCAGTCTCAGTCGTCATCGGTACTGTCGTGTTTCAAAACCAGATGGCACAGAAAGCCCCGGAATTAGTCTCTGTTCTCGGGCAATCACTAGCCAGTGAAATAGCAAAAGCTGCAATGGCTAGCGTTGAGATCATCAACGCCCTACCCCAGGACCAGCGGCTGGTCGCCCGACAAGCCATCTACGAGTCACTCAGAACGGTCTGGATTATGGTGCGTGACCCCCAATGCTCAAAGGATCCCCAATGCTGACAGGTGGCAGTATGTTGCATTTTCTGGAGTGGGTCTGATAGCAGGATTCTTTGTCGGCGCCCATCATCTTACTACGGAACTCAAGGCTCCCGTCCTTGGTTTGCAAGACGAGGATGAAAATTGAGTCATTGAATTTCTCAAATGTATCACTTGTATTTACACGTATGGCTCAAACTGTTCTTCGCACCATTTCCAGAACCATTGCGTACCCGCCGGGCCTGGCATAGCTGCAACAATATCTTTTCGCGGCGTACTTTGCCATTCTCGAAGCCGTCCCCACGGCATCACGTATCGTGTATCCCCAACGACCAGATCCTTCGAAAACCCTGCATACAACATTGTATGGGCGCCGAGCCTTGGGTCATGCAATGTGGGTCGTACCAACATCATGACCCACCAAGGTTGATGCTTCCACACGTCTGTATCTAGCTGACCCGGGTTTTGCGCGACACTGATAATTCCGAGCTCAGCGTACCTCTTCGATGCCTCGATGGCTAACCACCAATTCCCCACTTTCGATTGCGCATAGTCACCCGGGGGATCTTGCGTGCTCCCGCAGTTGACTCGCTCCACCTCGATCCCGCCACGAGGAGCATGCGACTCGATACTCAAACTGGCGGTCCATATGATCCTTACGGATCCAGGGGTACTATCACAGGCCGCATTTTTGAGTGACGACAGTAGTGCCTGCGTAAACATCAGAGGGGCCACGCAGTTCACCCCAATATGACCCTCGAGGCCCTGTCGTGTCTTGGTCCCAATAGGGCACCCGCCAATGCCAGCGTTATTCCACAAAATGTCCAATCGGGATTCCTGTTCGAGGAAGGTTGATGCCGATTTCGGAATGGAAGCAAGATCATTCAGGTCCAAATGGAGAAATCTGAGTTTGCCGGGTGTGCTGATGTCAGATCCCGCCGAGCTAATCACCTCCCGCATGGCCGTCGCGGCGCGTTCTTCAGACCGACAGGCCAGATAGATGGTGGCGCCAGTGGGGTATAGCTGTTTGACAAGTTCCAAGCCGAGACCTGAATTTCCTCCGGTGATCATGAACACGCGGCATGGTTGGGGGCCGACGTGTGATTCGGTGAATGTGGGCGGCGGCGGGAAATATTGAGTGTAGAAGCTGATGAGAGACCGCATGTTTTGGACACTGGGGCTAGGTAATGATGAGTGTTGGGGCCATTGCTAAAGAACGGTGTTGAGTGATTTTTTTTATAGTTGCTCAGCCCGGTCCACCCGGACTGGCGCGAGACGGGCCGTTCCCGAAGGCTTGGGTCCTTCGCAGCCCCTTCCCTATTTTGGAAACCAAGCACACGATTGACCTCTGAGACCTTGCGTTCGACCCTCCATTGTCGTGTGCCCAGGTGGTACCTGGGGACCACGCCCTCCTGCATTGCCTCATTGCAAGATCCTGCAGGCAGGCAAATACAACACCTGCATGCAGAACCCCCCCGAGGGCGACAGCGTTGGTAGGTACAGTGTTCTTACTAGCATGACTCAAGTGGACAGTCCTGTTGTTACCAGGCTTGAAATTTTCAATGAAAGCATATGAGATGGTATTTTTGCTTCCCTTTATAATAAAAGTAGGAGATGGCCTGTCTTGGACTTGACTAAACTGCCCGCTGTTCGTCAAAATGGGGGTCAAACGCATCTCGCTGTTTCTAGCGAATATTCTTCTTCCTGTCGCAGTGGTCCTGTTTGCTGGTGGGCTTTTTATGGCTCAACCACCTAGCACAATTATTCCATATGCATACAAGAATAAGACATCAGCACCATTTGACAAGGTCGTCTTCATGGTGATTGATGCTCTTCGAAGGTATGTGGATTTGCCAGTTTTATAAAACATCGCTGACCCCGAATCTTCAGTGATTTCGTGTACTCGAATCATTCTGGGTTCGAATTCACCCAAAGGTAGCTAAGCTCATCTCCTTAGCCGAATGGCCTGGAGCTAACGAATTCCAGTCTCATCCGCTCAGGGTCCGCAGTCCCATTCACCGCGCGTGCTAGCCCTCCCAGCCTTACCATTTCACGAATAAAGGCAATGACTATTGGGAGCAACCCATCATTCCTTGACGTTATACTCAACATCGCAGACGATAACGACGCATCTGATCTTTCAAATGAGGATACCTGGCTCTCGAGGCTCAAGGCTACCCTACGTGGGAAACTAGTATTCTACGGAGAGAATACCTGGCTTCAGCTATACCCAGATGTATTCGATCGGAGTGAAGGTGCTTCTGCATTTTTCGTCCCAGACTTCACAGAGATTGACAATAATATCAAAGTCCACGTCACTCCTCAGTTGAGGCTTCAAGACTGGTCTGCCTTGGTATTTCATTTTCCTGGAATGGATCATGTCGGTCATACTGGTGGGCCAACGAGGTAAAGTGGACCAGGAATGGCAAATTTCATGCTCCCTGCTTACATGTCCCAGTCCTCATATGCTTCCCAAGCAGCGGGAGATGGATCTCATTATCCAGGAGATTTATGAAGCTATTGATTCCCAGCCCCATCTACATTCGACTCTCTTTGTTGTTGCTGGTGACCATGGCATGAATCAACAAGGGAATCACGGCGGCTCCTCTGCAGGAGAAACTTCCCCGGGAATGCTCTTGATATCTCCCCGCTTCAATTCTCTTTCCACTGATAGAATTGCTCCAGCTACTCCTCATAACAGGGAGTTCGACTTCTATTCTGTTGTTCAGCAGCCTGATATTGTCCCTACACTAGCCGGCCTACTAGGCTTTCCAATTCCTACCAAGAGTGTGGGAATTTTTATGCCGCAATTTCTTCCCCTCTGGGAAGATTCTGCTGAAGGCTCACAGTTGTTACTGGAAAACGCTCATCAGTTGTTAAATCTGAGGGGAAGCAAAACTGATCCCACGAGCAACGCTGCTCTCGAGAGAATTGAGTCTCGACTTTTTATTGATCCTAACTCGACTGAAGTCATGCGTGACTTGTACCGTGTATGTTGGCAACCGTTTCCTTCATCTGGGCCTTCTCTAATTGTTTTTAGTTGTGTGATAAAATCCAGAGCGCAATGGCCACAACGACCGTGAATCCGAATTTTCGTCTTCTCTTCGCTGGTCTTTTCAGTGCATTTCTTGCGAGCATACTGCCCTACATCAGATCGAGTCACACGAAACCAGGGCTAATCCAAGCCTTTTTGCCTGTGGCTTACATTGCATTCTATACGATGGCCATGATGAATGAGAATTATGTCAAACAAGAAGATAAGTTTTGGTATCCAGTTTCGCTGCTCTGGCTAGGATATCTTGGCTATTCTAGTAACTGGGGCACTGGGATTTCTGGCCACGTCATGCCAGTTCTCCTGCAATTCTTGGTTATTTCTTGGACCCAGAGTGGAGATGCAACACATTTTTTGCCTCAGTTGATCCAGACATTTATTTCTCACTATCCAATCCTGCTGTGGATTTTGATGGGCTGGACATACATCACAGTCTCTGCTCGACTTAACAGATCACTAGCAAGCGTCAGCTCTGTCACTATTCCTCGAAAACTTCTCACAACAACGCTTGGAATACTTTCTCTTTCGTTTAAATTTGGGTCTGCGACTCTCAACAATCCCGATCTTGTCTCATTTGCCACTTCTCGGGCCCTGGGCTGGGTAAGAGAAGTGAATTTAGCACTTACCGCGAGACTCATTCTCTCCGTGTGTGGAGGTATGCTTGTTTTTTTCCTTATACAAGGACACAGGCATAAACGAATTTCAAGTAAGGTGCTTAATTTTAGGGTATTCCCCGCTCTTTGCTGATTCCGTTTCAGACATTTCTGGTATCCATTACCTTCTCACGCTCTACCTCATGATGCAATCAAGGCCGCGGAATCTTCCCCTATTTTTGATATTCCAATGGCAGTTGGATTGGCTAAGTACTGCTTTCTGTTCATCCATATACCAAGATGACCAAATTCTCATTTCAACTCCTAGTTTCGAAGAGTCAAAATCTCTCAGTCTCACAAGTTACTTTAACCACCATTATCCTCTCCCAGGCATCCTTCTTTGCATTCGGTGGTAGCAACACTATTGCTTCGATCGATTTGACAAATGGATTCAATGGTGTGGAGGCATACAACTCCATTGCAGTCGTCTTGCAGACACTTTTTGCCAATTGGGCAGGTCCTACTTGGTGGGCTTGTGGAGGAATCCGGATACTATGTGTTGTCAATCAGCCAGACCCGCCATGCACGCCTTCTCCGAGAAAGCTTGCGAAAGAAGCCATGAGCATCACGGACGATGGATCTTTTGATTTCTATATGGCCATCCAAACGACATTCGTCGCCCTCGGTCTTGCTGCGGTTATGGTTGCTTGTCTTGTCGTTCACGATACAGCCATCATGTGGACTTTTTTAGCTCCCAAGTACATTTTCGCTAGTCTATGGGTGATATTTTACCATTTGATAGTCACCGCTGGGCTATTTGGTATGATTGGAAAGGTGACGGCGGTTGCGGGCTAGATCATCTCAAAGTATTCTGCCGCCTTTAGAGATTTTATTGAGACCGACCGGTCTTGATCAATGAATGACAATATCTGATTGAAGTGCGTGACGCTAAGTGGACACTGAAGGTCTTGGGATGACATGTTCAGGGAATCATTGCAATTCTTTTATTAAGTTGGATGGTGTATTCGTGAGACTCTGAAATACACCAATAAGATCTGTCAATGTTGTTGACGTTATCTTCCAAATTTACAAATTATCTAAACCAGACAGAACGCAGTTGCTTGAACATAAATGAACATTTTCATATAGCATGAGCGAATAACTGGACTTGAGAAAAGAATTAACCCCCACCATGAATGCAGAGACCCCTCAACTCCAGCTTTTACAATCTTATCATTACAATAAAGGTCACGTTCTTCAAAACGTGAAGAATCATGAAATCTCAGTTCATGTGAAAATCGTGACATGGATAGAAAAAGGATACATGCCATTCCTGCGGCCGCCCCGGCCGTTACATAGAGACATAAGACATGAAAGATAAAATGATAAATGAAAAGCATGCCAGCAAAAACCTCGGGGAGAAGTACAAGAGTAAGCGTAACGCGGTATTGGTTCACCGGGAGAATATTTCAGGGTAGAGGGCAATAAGCAAAGCTTACGCAAGGGGTCGGGGGCTTTGCTGTTGGATATGCTGGAGAAGAGCGTCAAAGAGACGTCCGATCTGGAACAAGTTAAATTCAAACTCTTGAGACATAGTGACGGCAAGAATAATAGATCATACCTCGGGAGCCGCCTGGATGAAAGGAAGGCGGAAGAAAGAATAGCTTCGGTTCTGGAGAAGCTCTTGCAAAGTGATAATGAGGCCCCATGGGTGCGGACGGTGAACAATGAGACGCTCCAGAAGCACACGGATGATCTGCTGTCGGACATCAGATTCATCCTGCTCGGAGTAGTCGACACCAAACAAACGCAAGATGGTAAAGCTGAAGAAGTAGGTGTGACTGTTGGGGTATCGGAGCTGGTTGGCCATCGCACTCAGCAGATAGTAACGAGCCTCAGGTTGCATCATCTGGGCAAGGCTCTCAAGAAGAGCAGCATTGGTCGAATTTTCAAACACGCTGCGCGTGTTGTTCTTCGACGCATGCTCCACAGCAGCTTGTTGGCCGATATAGAGAACAAGCGCATTCACGAGCACGATGTCCACGTTGATGGGCTGATGGAACAAAGCGGTATCCCGGGGTTCATCGCTGACGACAGTGTCACAGATTTCCTGAACCACAGCCTCAGGTGCCTTATCACCCTGGAGAACGGAATCGACGACATCCTTGATATTCGCCTGGTGAAGTGGAGCAGTAATGTCGCCGGCAATCTTGGGGATTTCTCGCATTTCCTCGATGCGCTCAACCTTCAAGCCTTCGCGGAAAGGGTCTGGGAGCTTCTGGAACGAGGATGGGTAGGCACTCAGAACCAGGTTTCGGAGCTGAGCGCAATGAGCCGGAATCACATTACAAAATTGAAAGTGATTCTCAGCCACAAACTCTGGGAAATCATGGTGGAGAATCAACAAGATACGGAGCACACCCTTGTACAAGTCCTTGGCGACATAGGAGATGTTGGCCGCCTTGAGCTGCTCGCCAATATATGACAGCAACACTTGCATGATCTCGCAGTAGGGAGCCCAGCCTGCTCTCTCAGGCATATTGAGCATGTCAGACATGAACACGCGGTGGGAGACCAGGGAAAACCATCCATAGACAAATCCAGGCACGTATCGGGGTTGAAGAGAGAGAAGCTTGTTGGAAAGGGCAAAAATCATGCCCTGATGCTCCTCGTGGTGTTGGAGTTCGGCCATAGAGTATTCACACAGAATGCTAGAGAAAAGGCGGAAGAAGACTCGCTGGTTGAACGCCTCTCCGCGCATGACTTGATGGTGATTGAGGATTAAGACAAGGGTCGAGAGAATAGAGCCGAAGTAAGCGGGCTTGCTGAGGCTAACGGCGCCGGGAGTCTGGCCCTGCGACTTCACCAAAAGGATGACGAGTTTTGCGAGAGCGTCGACATATAAGAAAGCCTCGTCCAGGCTACCGTTGGGGTTCTGGCATTCTTGCTCAAAAACATTGACGGAGATGTCAATGCTGAGTCGGAAAAATAGCGCCGAATCTTCTTGCAGATTCATGACCTGGCGGTTGTGCATATCTTGGAGGAAGGCAAGGTAGGTGCGCTCGTTGGCCCCCGATGCCTTGTAGATGCCAATCCATTCCTGGAAAATGTATTGCATCTGGTCCTGCTTAGACCGAGACTGGTCGTCGAGGAGGGCGTTCACGACTTCAGGGATACCACAGTCACGCAGCTTGCGAATGATCTCCAAGGCAGGGGCAACATCGCCATCTTCAGAGAGCCACTGGCTCATGGCATCAAGGCTGCCAGAGAAGTCCGAGCGAAGAGCTGTGGGCTCGTCGTTGAAAAGGACACGATTCATCAGGTTGTCAAGAAGCTCCAGTGCGCTGACGTTCCTTTGCAGAATGAGGCGAGTAAGAACCATATCCACTCTACGGATGTCTAAAAGGCCCGCTTCAATGAGAGCTACAGTAACGGGAACGTTGAACATGTGCTCATCATCAACTTCTGCAAGGAGAGCCCAAGTGTATCGCGCGATCAATGAAGACATGTCGCAAAGCTTGGCGAGAAGATGCACGAGAACTTCGATCTCCAGAGTCTCTGTTGATTGACCGTAAAGGGTTGTGCAGACCTTGAGCGAGGTCAATCGAGCAAGCTCTTCGCCGTTGGGAGCAGCCAAGATGGTACGCAGGGCTTGGTTGTATTCCTGGAGAACAGCGCTGTCACGGCCGAGATCCTTCACACGCTCTTCAGGGGCGTTGCGAGCAGACTGCTGGAGCTCTGAAATAAGAGATTCAACGCGTTCTCGGGGGCTTTGAGCATCAAGCAACCCGTTTGTATGGACCGGTAACTGGGAAACGGCGAGTTGGGCCTGAGGAGTACGGTGGGGAACAGCAGGCTGCTCGGCGGGAGTCGAGAGGTTGGGGATAGCGGGGTAAGTGTCTTGGAGGACGTCTGGAAGTTGACGACCGGAGTCTGTGGAAACGCTTTGGGGGTGGTGAGCTGTAGCGGTTCCACGTGACAGACGTGCAAACTCCTCGTAGATTGCCAACTGTTCATGGTTGAGCCCACCGGGAGTCTGCCGGTAGGGCTCCGGAATGAAAAGCCCCCAGCGGTTCATTGAAGGGTCAATGAACGGCTCATTGGGGCGGGTAGCAAGATGGCGTCTACGAGCCTCCAGTTGAGCCTCAATGACCTTCTCAATTTCAGGGACAGACTTGTCCTCCGCAGCCTTCTCCACAATGCCACAAGCAGCATCAAGGTTATCGTTCACGCACATCAAAATCAGACCCTCTGGCATAGGCTGATCAGAGTACTCCTGCTGGATCATGCGAATGTAGTTGGTCATGCTGACCTTCAGCGGCTCTTTGCAAGTGACGAGAGCGAGATTGCCGGCAAGTTGGCGAACCATGATGCCAGCGGCATGACGGAACTTCTCCTCATCGGGTTCCATAGCAAAGTCTTTCGATACAAGTTGAACTGTGGAAATGGAGGCAATGGTGACAGAGCGCTCCACCACGGGAGTAATAATCTCGGCAATAGCGCGTTCAACGGCCGTGTGCACAATCTGCCTCAGGACGCCGGCATCAACCATGCTGCTCGCCGACGGAGGCAAAACAAGGATCTTGTCAAGGCTAGGCAGCGTTGACATGATAGCGGCAGGCGATAGTCGCTCGCTCCGAATGCCTTGGCTCAGAGAGGTGAGGGCCATATCCTCGAAGGCCTCCAGACCCTCTGGGATATTGGATGTCGACAAGGTCTCTTCGCCATGTGAAGTGCGGTCACGAATACCGGTAGAAGGTTCGATGGTCTTGTGGTCAAGGTCAAGGTCTTTGCAAAGAACTTCAATTTCGAATTTCAGATTGAGCTTCAACTCAGCGAAATGGTAAAGCTCTAGCAGAAGACCTAAAATGTCCATAAGCCACGGGTTGGGAGGTTTGAAGACAGTTGACTTTGTGGCTTGAACCAAAACCTTGCAGGTAAAGGGAATAGTAATCATGAGTCGCGAACTGTCATAGCCTTCCAAAAGCAAGCCTTTGAAAAAGATGTTTTTGTGCTTGATGGGTTTGTCTCTGGCAATGGTCAATGAGCCAAGCCATGCACCGAGGTTCTTGAGATGTCCCCGGTCTTGGGACGAGGTCAAGGTGGCTTCAGAGTTCATAATCTTCGCAACGCTGACGTAGGTTTCCCTGAGAACCTCAGCCCAGAGTATTTTGTCACCGATACGGTCAAGAAGATCAAGGTACAGTTGTTGGAAATTGGGCTGTAGCTTGGCGCGCTCCTCGACAAGATAGGCAGCAAACCACTGGTGGTGCTGGTCACGCAACACTTCGCGCAAGTCGTGCAGTTTTTCTTCGATGTTTTTCTCCGAGACATTGTTCAACACAAACAGGATCTTGTCCTGAATGTCCTCATCCGGATCCTCGTAGAGCTCCGACCGAAGGGGAGCATCAACTTGAATCGAGCGGAATCGCCGAGATGTACCGTCGTTCGCGGAGCTATCTTCCAAGTTGCCATTGGATCGGATAGGGCCACCAAGATCATCGAATGTGTTGTCAGAGTTCTCATGACTCCCACCTTGCTCTCGGACAACTTCTTCGGCTTTCTGGAAAATGGGTGTCCCTGCAAGACTGGGAATTTGCAGAAGCAAGTGACAGAATCCGGCCCATTCTGGAAGACGACCAATGAGCTGTTCAATGGCCTCAACGCCAAATTTGTACATTGGGTTGTGGACCTCGTGTTCTCTGACGGCCTCCAAGATCATTCCGAGACCGACCTTGAGCGTAATGCCGTCAACCAGGCGGAAATTGATGATTCCGCCAAACATGACGGCAGTCTTCGTCAGAGCTTCGAGGGGGTATTCATGATAGCAGTGGTACTCATCCACAAGACCATGTACCATGCAAGCAAAGAGATCTTGCTCATCGGGCTCACGGGACAGCTTATACTTTCGCATAAGCTCCAGCATCTCGCGCAGCGACAGCTCCTCATGGTACATCTTGCCAAACAAGTCTTGCATCTGCTTATCGACGGATTCAGGTAACGTATTCCCATTCTCTCCGTTCGCATCGATGATATCGTCGAATCCTTCGCCATAATTTATGAGGCGAGGATAGGTCTGGATGCAGAAGCGCTGGGTGGGTGTGACATTCTCGCGATCGCCAACATACTCTTCCAACACAGACAGAAGAGTATACACGGTCTTCACAGACAGGCTGACCATTTGAGGCGCCGGCTGTTCCTTGCGCTGGACATGCAACTCGTCCTCGGCCTTGATTCTCAAGTACTTGGACAAAAGTCCCCCCATGTCCATGCCACCCTTTTGCGATGCGTTGCGAACCCAATACTCGAGGTCAAATGAGCCCTTACGATGGCAATAGCAAGCAAGGTCGAGTGCGAGCCCGTTTGTGAAACCGAGCAGATAGTCAAGCCATCCATATGCCGTTGCATGTTCATATATCGCAGTTGTGGCGGTTGGGTCCTGGGTAAAGGTAGCGAATAGCTGCTCCGAGACCCATTGTCGATCTTGACGCCAAGCTCCATAAAGGGCTAATTGGTATCCATCTTCTTGCTTGGATATGAACACAACAAAGGTTCGGAGAACGAAGTTCTGCTGTACAGCTGTCCATTTCTGCGGTATGGCGAGAGCGGAAACAAGGAATACCGGGAGATCGTGTTGAAGAACAGCTTTGATGAGCAGCTGGCTTTCCACCGCTCCCCATGATGCTGAGGAGAATAGAGCACAGTCGAAAATGGCCTTTATGGCATCCATAGATCGTAAAGGTGACTTGGCTGCGCGCTCACCTTGCAATTTCACGATCTCGGGTGCGTCGTCGAAAAAGTCGCCAGGGAAAGTCGCACGAAGGTTTGGAATCTGAGAAGCATCTGTGCGAGAGGCCACAAAGGCCGTCAGGAATGAGATTTGGGCATCGCGGTGCTCCCAATCTCCACCCCACAGTTTCTGAACATCCAGGGAGCTGTCATCCAAGGCAACAGTGGTAAGAAGGCTATAGAGCTTAGTGAACTGCTTCGGATCCACTCTCAAACCTTCACGATCAAAGTTTCGAAAAACAAGCGGCCACTTAATCTGTTTATCGGCATATGCGTTCATGAACGTCTCCATAGAAAATTGTTGACAGTGTTGCGACAAGACCATGAAGAGAAGAGCGCTGGCGAGCTGTTCCTCGCCCCAGCCATCTGGCCCTGCTGCATTGATGATTTCAGAGATCACCTCCACATTCACGGTTGCACGTGGCCCCTTGGAGTGAAGCTGTCGCACAAGGGTATATCGAGGGGCGACAAAATTGAACATTTGGAGGGCGGAGGAGACTTCGGAAGGCATGTCCAGGCTCAGTTTCTGGTATCGTAGGTTCACAGCATAGACCAGCTTGGCCTTGACATCGTCGGTGAAGTTTCGAGGAGGGTAAAGGATGAATCGTTCAATCGTCATTCCGAGGAAGGAACTAGGGAGTTCCTTGGTTGCTTCGGATGGGCTCGCTAAGCTTTGAAGGAAGGGGCCAGTCGAGTTCGAAAGAATAGCATCGGCTTATGATGTCTATTAGCAAATACAGTGCAAAGGAAACAAATAAGGAAGGAACACACCTTTCGCGCGAAGATCTGATTTATTCGTCAACTTGAAGGCCAGCGCGAGAGCGACCTTCACAATGGGATCAAGACGGAAATGATCCAAAAAGGTTGACAGATCAAAATCACGGAAAATGTCGCCCTCGAATGTGTCGACCGTCTCCGCAATCTTCTGTGCTTGTTCAATGTCCGAGGAAACCTTTTGCATTTCCTGAACTAGGAGAGGATAATTGCCGGCATTCTCGACGGACTTGTTGACGCCCGGAAAGATCTGAGGGGCATTGCCTGTAAGAAGGCGACGAAAGTACTTTGAGAAGACCTCCATTCCGTTGGATGTAACAAGCTAATGGACGCTGTCAGCGATCATATGGCGAGTCGTAGACGCCTCGAACGTATAGCTTACCTTGTGGATTTGAGCAGCCTTGGTTTCCCACTTTTCTTTCCCCTCTTTCTCGGTGATCGAGTCTAGCAGGAGAAATACCTGAGCGATCGAAATTTTGGTGAGGGATGATTGGCTTGAATGAGCGGCGGCCGAGCCTGACTTGTCGGAAGCAAAACCCGTGGGTGAATTCACAGTTGTGCCGGATGACAGTGGTGAGAAAGCGACACCTCTAGAAGATCCCGGCCCACCACCTCCCCCAGATCCTCCACTGCCCGGGATGGAACCTGTTGTAGAGGCGAAATGAGACCCTGCTGAAGGGGTATGTGCGCGGAATTTGGGCGAGGAGAGCGACGGTGTCTGCTGTGCGCCCGATTGCAGCGAGGTGAATGGAGAGGGCACAGGCTTCGGGCTGCCCCCTGAAAGACCCCTGGTGGAGCTCAGGACAGCAGAGAAGGATGAGGGAGTCGAAACCCCAGGGCCTGGCTCTTGGCCCCGGGAAGATGCTGTGGGAGCGGTAGAGGAGGAAAGGTTGGTCGCGAGAGGAGTCAAACCACGACGAATGCCGGACTGTGACGTGGACCGACCCCAGGCACCAATCTCAGGTCTGGACGAAGAGGGCTTATCGGTGCCGGAAGCAATCGACGATTGGGCGGAAGGGTGAGGGGGAGGGAAGGTCATCTAGGAGACGCGATCATTTGATCTAAAGGTCCACAGACAGATTTTTTGGTGGGCGCAGTAGACGATATCGAGGTAGTTCACCGATCGTATGAGTTATGGTGTGGTTTGGAGAGTTGGAAGGGTGAACGGGGGACGGATAAGAGGGTGATGTGGAAGAGGAATGGATGGCGATGCGATGGAGAGGTTGGCGGATGTGTGCAGGTGCGAGGAGGTGGAAGTGTTGATGCCTGAGGCTCCGACGGGGGAGCTCGGGCAGTCGGGCAGAGCTGCAACCATGTATGACTCGAAGGATTGAGCCGTGTGATCTGAGTGCTAGACGCTTCGATGATCGGGCTGTACATCTACTGGTCTTGCCACACGATAAGATGTGCTCGATTCTACGACGAATCCGCTCTTCTGTCCATGCTCAATGTCAGTCGCGTGTCTCCAGGCCATCGCATCGAGTTCTGTCATGTGACTTGTTTTAGATTAGTCATATATGCACGGATCTGTACGATCTTTGGCAGTTGCTCTGCAGGCCCCCACCTGAAGAACGATCCTAGTTACAATGAGGCATTGTATTTGATCGAAATCCATGCATATGAGTTGGGACCCTATCATGCCTTCGAAAAGTATAATTGCTGCTTTCCTAACAATTGCAGATGTCCTGAATGTTCATATCCATTATATTTTATAAATGCCGTTGGATTTCGACCTCGTTCGACCACTATCGTAGATGTTTACAACACATGAATCATAGCAATAATGACTTTCGAGTTGTTGTACAACAATTTATTCTTTGCGAGGGAGCGAGTTGAAGTGATTGTAATGTTTCACATGTGATGTCCACGTCTGCCAAGCAGCGTATCGCAATTGCTTTCATGGGGTTTCCGCAAATGTACCTACCACCAATATTGGTGGTGCTCGGGATAATCACATCCATGGATATAATGTATATGTGATACATTACTGTGTATGCCGGATGCAGGTTATGTCACTTCACAGGTGTTAAATCCATTCAATATGAACAATAAATCAGAAGTCATGGTGGCATCAACCAAGCATGAAATTTTAAAATTGCGAATTCCGTTGTGCAGTATTCCAGCAACGGCCATCATCGTTTACGCTGACGCTAAGAATTGATGGCGGCTGGATCGTACGAAGCACTACTACGGGTGCTATGGCCGCGGATGATTGATTTAGCTCATCGGCGGTTCTTTGCCTTGGGTTGTTGCAGGATTTAAACAGGCTACAAGACCAGGGTAATCATGATATTTACCCATCTGAATTTCACATGGGCATAGAAAAATGATATTGTCATCGAGAGATGCTAACACACGGCAGGATGAGGCTCTTGGCTCTCAAAAGAAGTTAATAGACAGCGCAACAGTCAATTGAAATCAGATATTTCAGAAGCCGAGCCACAAAAGTCATCCAATGAACGCCAGAGAAAGGTTGATGTCACTCAGCCTTCAACAGTAAATCTCATATATAACCCGATAGTAGAAGAGAATGTGCGCAAAAAAAAAAAAAAAAAAAAAGAGGACCATATCGTGTCGCAAGATATCGCACGGGAACGTAGCATGGAAAGAAAACACGATGCACGAGTTTGCAGAGCAGCCCATCGGGCCCGTAGATTCGGACAAGAAAAAAATAAATTCACACATTGGAAAGAGAAGACAATCGTGTGCACATGAGCCGATGCAAGTTTGAAGGCTGATTTAACGCCAACGCCAGAATCCTAGACCGAAAGACCAAAATGAAGAACAAGTTATCCCGCTCGAACGTCAGAGAATAGCACTTAATCGCTGAAAGAGAGACAATAACAGGGCGTGGCGTATTGCGCCCTCGCCGTGTATGTCTGAGAGCCCCCTTCACTGTTGATATATGTTGTTGTCGGGGTAGGCTCATTCTCTTTAATACTTATGACATTTTCGGGGATAGGCGATGCATGGCCTAAAGAGTCCACTTGCATTTGTTGGCAATAAGGAGCGGATGCTCCTGCTTGGTCCCGGCGTTCATCCCACTTGATCTTTCGTGGGTAGTCTGAGATCGGGTCATCCCGTTTCAAATGTGCGGTTGCGGTGCTGGCAGTCATATCGCCATCAGTGGTGGCAGTGGCGTCGGTGGAAGTGTCTGATGTCGTTTGGTTGACATAGATGAAGAACTCCATCTGTGTTTGATTCCACCAGCAGAACCAAGGCTTTTCACCAGGCTGTGCAACTCCCTTGCGGCTAAGTAGGCTAGACACGAAGGAATCGTCTCCCGGCCATGACCGAGCCGATATCGAACTGCCCTGGAACTTTGACTCCGGAACGACAACTAGCTTATCAAATTTGGCAACGAAGAAAAGAGCAGGACCTAGACTGGTGTCGCTGGTATCAATCGCCATGCCCAATGGAATGGTAGGCTGGGTCATGTAGGGCGGCTGAGGGCCATAGGTATAGCTCGATGTTGGCGTAGGGTTGGGGAAAATGATAGAGTGATGACCATTGCTACCCTCATCAATGGTAATCTCGATATTATTCGGCTTGTTCATGCACATCCACGCACTCTTCAGTGTGTCATCCTCGACACACATGCCCGACGAGTTCTTCAGCATTGCAGGAACGTAGAATGTGCCAGTCGGCGCCGAACGAAGGTTGGTGGGAGTACTTGTCATCGTAGAGTAGTCCTTTTGAGGAGACGCAGTTACTGTGACAATATGGGGACCGCTCGTTTGAGCCTCCGCTTGCTTGTCGGCTTCCGCGGCGCGTTTTGTGCCCAGGACACCGCCGATGACACCTCCAATGGAACCTCCGATCAACATAACTGTGCAGATGAGAACAAGAGTCCAAACGGGAAGTCCGCAGCATGCGGTCTTCTTCCCTTTCTGCTTGAGCTTCTCCTCAAAAGCCATGATACCCGTCGCCGCGCCCGCTCTTTGGCCCCCACTGCGATCATTATTCCCATTGTTTCCGTTGTTCCCGGAGCTTCCGGAATAATCAGCAACGAGAGCCCTTGAGGATGTTTCCGAGACGGGCGGCTCCCTTGAAAGGGAATTAAGCTGCTGGTGGTCTTCTGGCGAGTGATTCATGTCGGCCATATTCTCTGGGGTTGGAGGCTTCGGAATCACCCCTGTTGGATATCTTGAGTAAGGTGGTAGTGGTTCCGTGTGACCGTCTGGTCCGATAATGTCCCCTACATCATCATCGCGACGGCTAGGGGGTGGTTGATATGGTGGGTTGTGTCCAGGGAAGCCGACCGGGATGACGTCGTCATCCATCCCTTCCTCAACGACGTTCTGGGTATACATCGCATAAGGGTGCTGGGGGCCATTTGTTTCGCTCAGGGGGCGATCGGGTTGACGGATAGTAGATGTACTTCCGACACTGGGTGACCGACTAACGCCCACCTGAGGATACATGCCATAAGGGTGACTGGGACCGGTGGCTCCGGTGTAGGGGCTCAGGGCCCGGGGTATCGAGAAACGGGAAGACACGCTTTGATTTCGCTGGACTGCGAAGGGAGAGTTGTTGACTGAGTTGACAGAATTACGGTTGTTGGCGAAGTTGCCTACCCCCTTCTGGGGTAGACTTGATCGGTGGGCCTCCTCGAAGGAGACCCGGGCGTCATCACCAAAGGGGTTCTCATTTTCCGTCGTTGCCGTGCTGACCGTCTTCTGAGGGTGATGGATCGATCGGAGAGTCGTGGAGGAGGCAATAGAGGCGGGGCTAGGGGCGCGGTCGATCTGGTCGGCATCGATGGGTTCCAGGGAGTATTCGTCCGAGAAGACATTGGGGTTGGAGACGCGTGAAGTGCGACCGAAGGAGTGGCGAGGCATCGAATCGCGAGTCTGTCCCTGAGACAGGCGTGGTGTCTGGGACGACCGTGAAGCCGAGCGAGAGTGGTCGGATGAGATGTGTCCAGACATGTCTCCTTGTTACGGCAGCCCTGTCGGGCCACCTCTCGATTCGGTTTCAATCCGTTTCACAGGCGGTCGAGAGAAGCGGAACGGACGACACGAATAAATCGTCGAGGCGAGGCGTGGTGTTCTTCGAGAGCGAGAGGGCGAAGAACCAGGGCGTAACGATGGGTCGGGACGGCGAGGAGATGGATGATGAGGTGAGAGGGAGAAGGAGAGAACGGCCTCCCGACTGAGTTTGAGACTTAGTGTGACGGCGGCAATACGTCGGGGAGGGGTGTTGTCCGGGTGTTCAGTACGCACCGCCTGAAACCGACGGTAATTTACGCTCCCAGATGGTGACCCAGCAATTCGACTTCTTGCCATGCCCTCGTCCTTGCCTTCTACATTTTCGATGCTACGCTTTCTCTTGCCAGACCCTGCCCATGGAGTCCCCATGGACCTGAAAGGGGACCCTTCAACCGGGCGCGATCGACTGGGACCTCCTCCGTGTGCGCTACGGCCACTAGGGTGACCAGACTAACGACTAGGTCTCCTCCGGCTGCACGCAGTGGGTCTGCGCATCGCCACCCACCCCCAGGCCTGGGAAAACGCAGTCTCTGATGTTGTCACCGAAGCCTAGACTTCCGACCTGCGGCATGCTGCTGTTTATGCCTCCTTTTGGTCCTCTCTTCTTCTCTTCCTGTGTTCAGCTCCCCGAATGGCTGCAGGTATTTCTTGGAAAGTACATAGCCAAGTTCTCGCATTTACGCATGCGCTCGGCCTGGCTACCAGTTCAAAGTGCCGAAGAACCGGACTCTTACCGTATGATGGTGGACCATGCTCGGCGTTCCTCCAGGGGCGGTTCTCACCATCTCGTTCCACTCGGGAAGTGCAGACCAAACCTTGGCTGCCAGGACATCCACCGACGTATGAAAAACTCAATCTTGGCCGACGGGGGTTTCCCACGACCACTCGCATGCAGCCAGCATTGGCGGATATCTCGGATCGTGCATACCTGAACACGGGCGGACTAATCGTTAGCCGTGAGGGCAAATCTGTTGTGTACATTTTAATTTTCGAGGTTCTGCATCTGGTGCTGCGCACTACAGATTGGCGCAGCGAACCACACGCGACCGTTTGACACATCCACTGGTGTTGGTGGCGAAAATTGTTTGATCCTCCGAACCCCAGACCCACGATGAAAATGTGTCTGATGTCTTGCAACAACAGGCCAGCCATGATTGGAAAGCCTGGAAAAACCTCGTCGGTTGACTGGAAATCCAGCCGCCCGATCCGTGGAACAAGTCCAAAGCATCTGGAAAGGAACGGAGCCACCGCCAAGACTGGGTTTAGGGCATCCGGGTCCCTCCCGACAACGAGTTCACGCGATGCCGACCTACTAGCTGCATCAGTATTCTGACTAACTCCCTGCACGCCTCCGTGAAACATGAGCCGATGACGGCTTTTCAGTCCCTCCAGTAGTGTTGCTGAGCGACTCAGCATGCCTCAACGCGGGGTATGGATCAGGTGTGCGTAACGCAAGGCCCGCATCCAGGAACGGCTCCATTTTTCTTTTGAATGGGCCTTGATCGACCAGAACCTCTTGCAGACCACAGGAGGCCTGGACCGGTGCTGCTAGCTGAGACATCTCGTCACAGGTGACCCGGCGCTTAAATGTGTCCAATGGCCTAGTCCAACAAACCTGCCATTCATGGATCACGCCTCTGATGATGCGGATAAGAGAGCCGACCTGACACAGTTGTCCCGGGTCTCGACGGATGACGCGACAGAGGCGAGGTTGGCGAACCTAGAATCTATTGGCCCATTGTAAAAGGTACCAAACTCTCTACGTAGACAAAAAAGAAGTGGGCCCCAAGCAGGGCTGAAGAGTTCGAGATCGAGACTTGGTTGATTGGCATTTGCTTGCATGGGCTTTGAAAATGTTCATTGAATTCCTTGGATTTCTACGAGCCAGTACTCATTACTCTTTCTTTCTTCTTATATTCCAATCTTTATTTCAACAACGGGCCTCAGAGAAAAAAAATTTTTTACCGTAGTATCATCGATCTATCCAGAAGGAAAACTGGAAGTTGTGGAAAGTTTAATTGACCAGACAAGTCGTGCCATTATGCTTGATAGAACCAACATAACATTAGTAATTATATTGGATGTTTGATTGGTCACTCGCTCTAGGATGTTATAAGTTAGTCTTCTTGCTCTTTCATGTTTTTAATAGAGAGTCTGCTTGGGTAACTGCTGTATCATGGACTCTTGATGGAACCGCTTTTGAAGAGACCATGGCTATTAAACGTGCCCGCCAAGATAAGGTGACTGACTCCGGTGTGATAGACTCATAATAGAACCGCTTCGAAGAGGCTACAATTATCTATAAATAACCGTGTCTCAAATAAATCGTATATAAAGGCTCCTCGCACAGGCACGTATCAAAGTCACATTACCTTCATCATAAATATCTTAAAGATAGAAGATCTTACCGAGAGAAATTCGAGCTTCTGCTTCAAGATATAGGCACAAGTCCTGATCTTGACCTGTTTGATTCTCTCTATGATCAAAATATCGTTTCTCTGAACGACAGCGACATCTCGGGTAGTTAGATCTCCCTCCCTTGCCATCTATTGAGGGAGAGCCCTCTTCCGTTTCAGTATTGGGCCCGAATGGTCAGCTTTTAGAGTACGATTTTTCCGAAAATTCCAATGCATCATCGGAAACTGAAGCCAACGAGGCCTTGGAGAAAGCCACAGCAGCTAAACGTCTTGTTGAGGCACAATAGGTGAATTTAGATTGAATGCGAAAGGATTAAGCTCACTGTTGCCTCCAAAGTATTTGTACTAACATAATGCAGACTGGAATCGCTTCGGAAGTAGGTCACCACTCCTGGAGATGAGCAACTGACTGAGACTCTTGTCTAGAACTTTCGAAGAGATTCAAATACCAGCTCAAAAGCTAAACCCTTGGATGGCACAGGTTGAAGGGTCTCTACGCAGTATTGGAGGTCCATCAGATGACAGTCCAACATCAGGGACAGAACTCAACTTCAATATTAGTTACCTAACTAGGTCGCCCTTGATAAGCTAATAGGAAAGACAGCGGGCACAGCGAGCATATGAGCAGGGGTGAAGGCGATGAATGGTACATCCAGCTGAGGGTCCGGATTTTGCCTCGAAAGCACGAAACAGCAGCTAGTAATAATTTTAGATGCCTCCTGCACCAATTCTTCAAAGGAGATAAGCGTGAATAATTCGCGATTCTCTCACAGGTGTTTCGACGCAGCTATGTGGACATCCTCCTCCATAGGAAGTAACCACTGCCAGTGCTTGATCCGCTCAGATGCGCTGTTTGCGGACGACGGTAGTCGTATGCCGTGTTCTTCGAGAAATGGGGCGTTAATTAGACGATACCTGGCCAAGCGTCTTTTGATTCTTCACCATGCCCGTTCCATACCCGGAGAGTATCTTCTCGCCGCCAACATGCGGGCGCTTCTAAAATCCCACTATCGTCCACTAAGCCCAGGTTTTTCATTCCCTTGCTTCTGTCATACAAGAATGTCAGCAAACCTAACCACTTATATGGGTGCCCCAAGAACAATCCATATATTACTTCGATATAATTAACCAAGGACACTGGCCCAGGGCTCAAAGGAAAAATGATCGTAATGGTTGGCACGGTAAAAAAATAGAAGGTGGAAAGAACGCCTACAAAGCAGAGGTAGCCAAAGCTTTTATATGCCGGGAATGAAAAGGAACTTAGGAGGCATTCTTTCGAGTGTTAACCGGTTTATCACGCAGGGTTTATGAATACCCCGCTTATGATGATCATCATGTAGTTCTCGCGATCTTCTACACGATTCATACTAATGCACAAGATACACTGGCTAAGTGTATCTGGTAGCTGCTAGGGAAACAGCCACAGAATTGCTGATTAACCATTTAGATCTCTTGTAATATAATTAATTGGCACATTAAACTCTTTTGCGTAATTCGCCGTCACCAGTGACTACGCAGTAGAAGAAATCTGAGCCACTACACTACATTAGTCTATATGATAGTGTACACAGCGTTGGTGTGGGGTGTGTTTGATCTTTGGTTTGTCTAAAATACTGCCGCTTCTGCTAAAGATGAGATATTTCAAGCTGATAGCACCGACCTTTGAATAGGCTTCTAGTCTACTCGCTTAACTGGAATTGATCACGACGATCCGATCAGGCACGGAACGTGCTTGCGCAGATACCGGAGTATCTATTGCCTTTAATACCGAATCTCCTCGTCCACACTGCAGTGATGACTATAGGACAAATCCATGCGCGGTCCAGACATGACATCCGGCAATCTACTAAGAGTTACTGAAGACCATTCGAATGCCTCCAATTGTCACCTGGAAACCCGCGCCCGCAGTTACATTTCGGCAGATCGGTCGAGAGATTTCCGAGAGGAAGGCTTGTCCTGACTGAGTCCTACAGCCAGCAAGCTAGCAGTAAGCGACTCATGAGGTCGCGATTCGATTGGACTGGAATTGCAGGTGGAGGCCAATCGCATGACGAATACGCGTACCCGGTGCTAGGGCTGGGATCTGCCTCCGCCACTGGATCCGGGAGCTGAATAGGGTGCTCAGGAGTAAAAACAAACAGTGGCAAAGGAGTCGGTTTCAACCCAGATGAACAGCAGAAACAGGCATCCAAAGATGAAGGCACACGGTATGCTTCAGACATAATCTGTGGCATGGGCATGCGCAAGGGGCAGAAATGTCGGGGGTGGGTGTTGGCTTGCGGCCCCGTTGGCATTTCCCTCCACTTCTCCCCGGCTTCTCCGCAAACCGTGGGAAGAGACCAGTCCAAGCGCCCTCAAGTTGGGTGCTTCCCCCTCCCCCCAATCATTTCTTTTCATTTCTGGTCTGTGGCTCGATAGTGCTCTATTCTAGCTCACCATGATTGGCCTGCTTGCACCTGGCACCCGAGGGTGGCTGACCGGCTCCTACTTTTAGTCCGTGAGACAGTGACATCTGGGCCCCAATCCAGGCAGGGCAATCCGCTGATCAGCAGCTAACCCGTGCTTCGCTGTGCTTTACCCCGATCCCGAGGATATCGCCGTGCTCCGTGCCAGTTGTGGACAACTGGGGAAGGCTGTATAAGGCCGTGGGGAGCTGGCCCGCAGCTTGAGATTCTGTACTTGCAATCTGACACTCGAGAGGGTCCACATTAAAACCCACACGCTCTCTCCACACCCAAGCTTGTCCTCTCGTCATGGGGCTGTACAAACGCAAGATCACCGCCGATGACAAGGCCATCACGTCGGCTGTTCATTTGACCCTGCGGCAATCTCTACTACCCAATGCACTTGGTATGACCAGTGAAGTATTGCTCAATCTCATTGCGCTGAAAATTAACATTCGTTATCTTTCCAGTCACCATTCTCTTCTTCCTTTGGGGCTTCGGCTATGGGCTGCTGGATACCTTGAACTCACACTTTCAGACTACCCTCAACATCTCGGCGGGCATGTCCAGTGGTCTTCAGGCATCGTATTTTGCTGCCTACTTCGTCTGTCCCTTGACCATTTCCGGATGGCTTGTTCGAAAATATGGATTCCGAGTGACTTTTATGACGGGTAGGTAATTCATAGCCCCACCATAAAAGGCAGCGAGTGTACTCAATTCGTATCGCCAGGTCTTGCCATCCTTGCCGTGGGCTGCTTACTCTTTTGGCCAAGTGGTGTGAAGAAGTCGTTTGGTGGATTCTGTGGAAGCATGTTCGTAAGTATATCCACCGTACACTCTCATTCGAACATACATAAATCTAAACAATTTATCAGGTTGTTGGAGCTGGTCTGTCTACGCTGGAGACCGCCGCTGACCCGTAAGTCTCGCATCCGTCCAAGCATTATTGGAGGATAAGCACTCCGCAAGATATCAGGCTTTGACAGAAAGTGATCTCTAGCTTCCTTGCAATCTGCGGCCCTCCCAAGTATAGTGAGATTCGACTGAACATTGGGCAGGCCATCCAAGGCGTGGGAACTTTCATTGCTCCCTTACTGGCCTCTCGAGTCTTTTTTGCGGACACGGTGGACACGGCGGCTGGATTGAAAAATGTCCAGTGGACTTACTTGGGTGTTGCCTGCTTCGTTGCACTGCTTGTCATCCTCTTCTGGCTCGCACCGTTCCCTGAAATCACCGATGCCGATCAGGAGGCCCTAGAAGGACAGATTGCCGACCATGCGGCGGATACGGGCCCATTCAAGAAGCAATACAACTTGTTCCTGGGTGTCTGGAGTCAATTCTGCTATGTGGGTGCTCAGGTCGCCGTAGCTGGCTACTTCATCACTTTTTGCGAAGAGGCTGGTCGAGAGGCTTCTGCAAGCTGTGAGTGAAATGATAATCAGACTGGAACCTCTTAGCCGTGATGTGCTAACATAAAATTCTTAGCCGATCTTCTCGCCGTTGCTCAGGGCTTGTATGCTTTTATGCGTTTTGTGTCCAGCGGTCTGATGATGATGAAGGCTTTCAAGCCCCGTTACATGCTGACGGTATATCTCATTCTTTGCATCGTGTTCTCTATCGCAGCCATCCCGACCCATGGCACCGCATCAATTGCGATGATCATTCTTGTTCTTTGCTTCGAGTCGGTACGTGTACCCCAGAAAGTGAAGACATGAGAAGAACATGTGATACTAACAAGATTGTTAGTGCTGTTTCGCTACCATCTTTTCCCTGGGTCTTCGTGGTCTAGGTCGCCACACCAAGCTCGGTGGATCCCTGCTGGTCGCCGCTATCTCTGGTGGCATGGTCTTCCCGCCCATGATGGGAGCTATCGTGGACAAGAAGAACGCCCATACCGCCATGGTAATTCCCATGATGGGTTATGTTCTCGCGATGGTCTTCCCGATCTACGTCAACATTTACAAGAAAGACAGCATGGATTTGCATCGTGATACGGAGATTAATGTGACTGTTCAAGTGAGCAAAGAAGTTGAAATGGAAGAAGGCGTTCACAGCAAGCCTACGATCTCAAATGTTGAGACAGTGGGTGAGAGAGAATGATCTGTGTGAGGAATGCATGTACCCAGGATAGATAGAATGATGAAGAATCTATCGGAATGACTATTTAAATGGATACATCCGTGTATATAATATATAATTGCAGTGTTTCGAAATATTCCATCTCAAATGCGTTTTCATATACTAGTCTAATCATTGATTTCGCAGGAAAGGAATGAAAGTTGCCCATAGAGTAGCTCTCTGAAAGGCCACAGTGTAGTGGAAACGCAGAGTTTTATTGGCCTTTTCGGAGTTTCAAAATATCAGACAAGCATACTTGCCCTTTCTCACCCCAACCACGGGTTCCGCTTTGAACGTCGGGCCTCACTCGCAGATAACAAGCCCAGGCACGTCGATCAAGTTCTTCTTTATCTGAGTCCGAAGCCCACGAGCTACATACCATGTCAATGGCACGCAGGAGATATCCGACATGTTCTTCGCTTTCTTGCTGGAGGGCAGCTCCCCGTTTCGGCTTCGAAGACGAGCCACTCTCTGGGGATTTTGTAACAGCCTTAAGCAGATATGACCGTGCCGATTCTGGTCTGAAAATTGGTAATGTAGAGTTGGTTCTTGGTGCTTCTGTACTAGAGTTGCCGCGTGATCCACGCAGGGCTTCAAGATCAACGCCCCAAAGTGGGGGCATCGTTTCCGTGCTCCCCACATTCGCTCTGCCAAGGAAGTCCTCGAAATCGATTGTAGAAGGGACTTCTTTTTTCGCCCCTGATATATTTGATGGCTTGTCGTGCCATGGATCGTAGTCCCACCGTTTCAGGACTCGAATCTCTCTCCCGAGAACTTTGAGGACAGGATGGCCTTCCCCCCATCCTTCTTCTTCGGCTGATTGCCCATTTTCGATGCCCAAGCTAACAGCTTTTGCGCGACTATTCGCACTCACTACCGCTTGCGCGAGACTTAGCCTACTCGAGATTGGCTGCTCAGGCATGGTGTATTTCAAGACACCTACTGCAAAGGCAAGGACAAGTGGGGCTCGGTTGGTTACCACTTTGATCTGCTGCAGCTTGTTCTCATCAGCTGGTGGCATGAGCAGACGGAGCGAGTATTCAATTTCAAACGGCTTAGTCTCTGTCCTTATATCGATGCTTTTCGGTCTTTTCGGAGAAGATGGTGTAGTATTCGGCGAAGCAGCGCGTTTCTTGCATGCTCGCTTTGAAGCGTTTAGTACTTGTTTTGCGACTTTTTTATCCTTGAAGATGTCTTCGAGACTTTGAATCTCCGTTTTTGATATTTGCTCCGCACTAGTGATTCGTTAGTGATACTCCCTGCTATCATTTATGCGAAAATGGCCACTTACTTCGTCAGGTTAGCCTTTTGTAATTCCGGCGTCTTGGCCATGGCCATAGCTAGCGGAACCTTTGCATCTTTCGAGAGAAACCGCAAGAGCTCTGATATCTGAGTGCTTGCCATCCTGAACTCCGAGTATTGGAGTTGAATATTTGGAGTGAAATGATAATGATCAGAAACACGACATTATTCCGGTCAGAGCTAGGGTAAGGTAATTGGTTCACGTGGGGCGCATATTCCAATGCTGCAGCGGGCGGTGAGAAGCCTGACCGCCTTGTCGTCTGATGTTTAGGATGCATCTGGAGCTTTCACCGCCGGCAGTTCTGGTCCGGAAGGACTGTGGTTCAGCTCACTGGCAATTCTGACAAGCAGTTAACTTCAGCCTCGCCAGTTAGCTGGTCCTACCGTGCTGTACCTGCAGCTTCTATACGACATGCCGGACGATTCGAAGGGGAAGGGACACCCCGATGTCAATTCCAAGCTCGCCGCCCTAAACAAGAAATCGCTTTTCGAACGCCAAAAAGAGGAAGCCGAAGCTAAACGCGCCCGCGATGAACTAGAAACGGCCGCCGTTTACGAAGAATTTGTGAAGTCGTTCGATGACGATCAGATATCAGCGGGCCCCCGAGCTGCAGGCGGACAATCAAATACATTTGGAGGCAGAGGAGGAGCATTCGGAGGAGGTCAGCCACGACGACATTTCACCAACGCCGGACCTCGACCCAGTGGCCCAGGAAGTCTTGGACCATTGCCGCCATCACTTTCTAAAAAGAGAACACACGATGAGTTCGCATCACGAAACCGCGACGGGGCACAAGTTGGCTCTGGATATGATCACACAGGCCCTGGCTCATTAGGACCGCTTCCGGTATTTCGCAGTGCCTCAGATGACGAAGACGATCGGAAAGCCGATGCAAAGGAGGCTGAAAAGGCTGCTGCCAGGCCTACCTTATATCTTGCGTCACTTCCTCCCGGGACTTCACCGTCTGTTCTCAAGTCATTGGTATCATCTCTTGTTGTGGAGGATATCAATATCTTCCGCCCTCCAAACCAGGCTCCCACGGACCGGAATTCGGCATCCGCAATTATCACGCTTGCCAGCGACTCTGCAGCTTCAGATATCGATGCCGTCGTTAGCGCACTTCAGAACAAGTACCTCGGCCGTGGTTACTTTCTGACAATTTTCCGGCATCTCTCATCGGCGGCGATCAATTTAAACGCGCCTTCCAACATCGGCCTGTCCAACAGTAGCTCATTGCCATTTGGAGCAAAGACCATCCAGCCCAGTCTTGGAGGGAGTCTCAGCCGTGCCCCACCACCACACCATGGAGGCTTTGCTCCTCCGGCTTCATATGGACCAAATAACGGCCGAAATACGCCATCCACGATAGTGGAAGTCCAGGTGCCATCAGATTTGAAACAGTTGAGACTCATTCACACAATGATCGAGTATCTTCTTGATCATGGCCCTGAATTCGAGGCTCTCTTAATGGCCAGACCAGAGATACAAAGAGATGAAAAATGGGCCTGGTTGTGGGATGCTCGAAGCCCCGCTGGGGTCTATTATCGCTGGAAGTTATGGCAGGTTGTCACCAACCCTCAGTATAACAGTCGAACGGCAAGGGCTAAAGGCCCGTCCATCATATTTGAAGGTGGGCCAGGATGGATGGCCCCAAGAAGTGATATAAAATTCGAGTACACGACACGCCTTGACGAGTTTGTATCAGATGAGGATTACAACTCCTCCGACGATGAAGACTCAGATGCCGAAGATGAAAAACGGAACCTTGGAGGCGCACCACCTCCTGATGGAGGAAGTGGTCTAAACGAAGGGCTTGGGTACATGAACCCGCTAGAAAAGGCCAAGCTTACGCATCTTCTTGCCCGGCTACCAACAACACATGCAAAGCTCCGACGGGGTGATATTTCGAGGATTACTACTTTTGCCATCGACCATGCAGGATCAGGCGCTGATGAAGTTGTTGAAATGGTCATTCTGAATATTCTTTCACCCTTGGCATACACGGGAGCCAACCCTGAGCGTGAAATGGAAAGGGAGGCAATAAATCGAGAAAATGCCGAAAAAGACAATGACAATCCCTCCAAAGGGAAGATGGATCTTTCTCCTGCCAAGTTAGTCGCGTTGTACGTCATTTCGGATATTTTGTCGTCGTCTGCTACCAGCGGTGTTCGGCATGCGTGGAGATACCGTCAGCTTTTCGAATCTGCTTTACGATCCTATAAGGTCTTTGAACATCTTGGTCGGCTTGAGAAAGACCTTCATTGGGGTCGACTCAGGGCAGAAAAGTGGAAACGCAGTATAGGGACTCTTCTTCATCTCTGGGAAGGATGGTGTGTGTTCACACAGCCCAGCCAGGAGCATTTTGTCCAGGTGTTCGAACAGCCGCCCCTTACAGAGGAAGAGCAACAGAAACAGAAAGAGAAAGCTGAGGCTGAGGCCGCACAGGCTTGCAACGCATTTACCAAGAGCAAGAATCGGTGGAAGCCTGTGGACGATGAGCCTGGTCAAGCCTATCCACACCAGCCACCTGATACGGGGACCCAGGCCCACCAGGCGTTTCCTCCGGCTGATGGACTCGAAGGGGATGACCCAGTGGACTTCAATATCGACGGTATCCCTCTGACAGACAGTGACTTGGAAATGATGCTGCCCGATGATGGAGTACCAATAGACGAAGCTACTATCCTGCGACTCAGAAATCCCACTCTGAACGTCCCCATGGAGCAGCCGTCTGAACGGCCTGAACAGCCTGAACAGCCTGAACCAGCAGCCGGGCAGCAAGAACAAGGGCAGAAGCAGCTCGAACCAGCCTCTCGGCGCCCTCGAAAACCGCGGCCCAAGGCTGAGGACATGTTCGCATCGGACTCAGAGTGAAGCGTCATAGGGTATGAACCTCATAGAATTTATAAGCAAAGACAATGATACCATCCTTACAATTTGAAAGGAGATTTACGTAGATTGGCACATTTGTTTGTTGATTTGGGCCAGCGCAAGGCAGTCAGGCAGCACTTCGGATTATTGCCCACCGGCAGAATTCGAGCCCCACACATCACATCGCCCCTCCCGCATCAACAAATACCTTCCTCCCTAGCACTTCTCACTCTTTACAATCGCTTCACATCTTGCTCCTCCACACCTCCCTTAAAAATGGCCGGTATGTACAACAATTTGAGGGGCGATCATCTTCATCCCTGGTCGACTCGGTTGACTGCCTAACTCCCTCGATCGAGGTGGGGGCAGAGCTTGCATCCCACTTTGCCGGCCTGAGTAGGTTGCGCCGTGCGGGATACTGCAGCGACCAGATGGAAATCAAGCCTCCAAGCCCGATCAAATGAAACAGTCTAGCTAACAAAGTCTTGAACTTCAGATTTTACCGCTGTCGCTCGTACGTTGCCTCCCATTTCCAATTGTCGACGCGCCGGCACACAGCCAGCCCCGCTCGGACAACCCTCCTTCGCCTACGGCCAGAGAGCCACATTTTCTTATTTGCCTACCGGAAACTAACATATGATGTTCAATTATACAGAACAGTTCGTTGAGTTCTACTACCAGACCTTCGATAGCAACCGTGGCGGTCTCGCTCCCCTCTACGTGAGTCCTCTACCTGGCAATGCGCGGCGACCTCCCGCTGCAGCCACATGGGTATTCTGACCATCATGATCTATTTTACAGCGTGACCAGTCCATGCTCACCTTCGAGACCTCGTCCGTTCAAGGTGCTGCCGGAATTGTCGAGAAGCTGACCGTTCGTCTCCCACCCCACCCAGCCCGGCGCATTTGCGTCGCCGAATCGCAATAGATCGCCGGCTTACATGTCAATTTCGTGAACAGACTCTCCCCTTTCAACAGGTGCGCCACCAGATCGCCACCTTCGATGCCCAGCCCTCCAGCGAGGGCGGCATCATCGTCCTGGTCACCGGTGCTCTCCTTGTACGTCATCGAGTCCAATCTCCATAATCACAAATTCCAAAAAGTGACAGTGTACTGATCCGCATGCTTTGAATAGGTTGACGAGGAGCAGAAGCCCATGAGCTACACTCAGTGCTTCAAGCTCCAGCCAGATGGCGCTGGCAGCTTCTTCGTCCTTAACGACGTCTTCCGCCTCATCTACGCTGCTTAGAAGCCTTGCGCACACAAAGAAGATGAATACAATGATGTGATGACGAGGTGGACTTTTCTTCGCAGAGCGGGGTTAGTTTTGGTGCAGAACTAGGTGTGATATAAGGATTTTGCTGTGCCTTGGGGAAGACTATGGCACAATAACATTTGATATGTAGCCCACATTACGTTCGCAAGATCTAGGCCGAAGTTTACCTTCATGTAGTATTCTCTTTACTTGGAAGGGCTCATGGATATGAGCAGCGAAAGTTGACTGTTCGTGTAATGGGCCTCATTGCTGCATTGCATTGTATTCTTTCTATACACCACCAAGCTACATACTAGTAACTATTTGAACAGGTCTATTTGTCGTAAATTACTGGCTCTGTAAGAGCGGGGTTTCTTCAGACGGCCGGTCCGCGGACATGGGTTCTCGTGCAGGCGTTTCAGGCCGTTCTGAAGCAGCTCCATTGGGCGGAGTACCATCCCCATCAGCCCGGTGTGCCTCTTTGCGCTTGCTGTTCGGCCCAAAGTACTCGAAGTATATGGCCATAACCAACAAAGTCCCCTGTAAACATGCTGTGACTACCAACACACCCCATATACTCCAACCCTTTGCGCCCTCGCGTGCCGCTAGACTTGCTGCCCAAATCAGGCTACCGGGTGTCTGGATGCACATCATCGGGATACTCAGGCTGCCCACGCATCGAAGTCGGAAGGTTGTGTAGATCTGGGGGAAGTACTGGATTGACGCGAGGATGGCGGCAAGGACGCCCAAGAAATTGGCCCACGATTGCAAGGCGGTCGGCTGACGGAGGGCGAAGGCGATGGAGATGATGACTGTCGCCAGGGCATGGAAAAGGCAGATGGCTGTGATGGCTAGAGCAGTGCGATATGTCGGGCCATTGGAGGTCGATACGGAGCTGACGGGGTCGGTAGGCGAGGTAGCCCGAGGGAAATAGATGACGAATAGAAGGAGACTATGATTCGTTAGATATGGCCCAGGTTGGGCTGAGAGCTGAGAGCATGGCGGGGTTAGGCTTACATGGAGAAGAAGCAGAGCCATTGCATGCCCATTTGGAATACGCCCAACAGCCCTGCAAAGCAGGCTATCCCACTTATTTCATGGCAGCAGCTCACATGCTGCGATGTTTTGGGAAAGACTAGGATGTTCGCGAAGGCCGACGTGCCGGACGTTACGCCTAGTAGTACGAAATAGGGTGATATACCGAAAGAGCTTCTGCGAGATATAATCCGTACATGCTGGGGGAGGTAGGAGAAGAGGATGCCGAAAATGATCAAGCTGTGAGGGTCATGTTAGCAGGTGGTTTCTTTCTTGTGGTGGGGTGGAGGATACAAGAACCGTACACAGATAAGACGGGTTGGAAGATGCCCGGCGAGGCCAGCTCGCGACAGTGTGATGTTGATGGATCCATGAGTTGCGATGTGTAGGTCGTGAAGATCGATCCAGTTTGATGTGGATATGGATAGTATGGAGCTTCTCGGGATGACGTTGGGGGCCGGCTGATCAACCGATGATGGGGGCGTGGCCACGAACAGGTGGTCAAGATTGCCACGCGCGGTAACGGAGCAGATCCCAGAGGGTCTATCGACTGGAACTGTGCAATGAACCCAGAGATGTTATAGGATCGCGCTGTTAGAGGGTATGGTGGAGAACGGACGAAGAACCTGAAGATGACGACAGGGGTGAGGCCGCGGCGTCCCTGGAAACCGTCCCCGCACGGATTTTAGCGCGAAACAGACTCGCGCTTCGGCCATCAGTCATCATCCGCTCTCTACACCTACTGCATACTGCATATAACATACCACGAGTATAGTATAGTATACTTGGTACTATGCTTGGTGCATGGAAAGTACGACAAATTAGCCTGGCACTTATGTTTTGGGCCGCAAAAGTCTCCTGTTGCATGTAGACCCTAAATAGATCTAAAGCTTCTCGACACCACCACCCCCTCCCTTTCAAATGGCCCGGAACGACATCAATCCCCTTCAGGTCTATCCCCTCCCATTGCCTCCTCCCCTACAGGTGGAGGCCTTCCAGGCCATCCGCGGCTTGCGCAACATGCGTGGCCTGGGCGATTTCGGCCACTCTTCCACCATCAACCCCCTTCCACCAGAGGAGATCAAACGCGGGCTGCGTGTGATACTCCTCCAGCGGCAAGTACATGAAGGTTCGAGGGCATTCGGGGTCGGGGTCATTGCACAAAATGTAGTGCATCATCCCCTTGTCTTCCAGGTTAACCGCAAGCTGGAGAGTAGTAACACCGTCCCTATCCAGCCCTTCGAGCGTGGCACCATATTCCAGCAAGCTGCGCACGATTCCATGATCTTGACTGCTTGAGGCGAAGTGGAGGGGATTTTGGATCGCATCACCCTTGAAGTTCGGAGTTGCTCCATGGCTCAACAAGAGAGAAACCAGATACTCATCGTGGTTTCGAAGGGCGAATGTCAGGGGTCTCTCCCGAGTAAAGGCTTGCCTGTTGACATCAGCCTTATGCCGCAACAAGAACTGAACGAGGTCATTTGATTGGACCATGATAGCCTGCATCAGGGGGGTGTAGCCTCGGTGCTCCTGGGCATCGATATCGGCTCCCTCTTTCAGGAATAGAGCAGCCATGTCAATTCGATCGAGTCTGGCAGCATAATGGAGGGGAGTCCACACGTACTGCTCACGGACATTGACACTGGCTTTCCATTTGATCAAAAGAGTGGCGAGCTCGATCTCGTTGATCTTGGCTGCCATGTGCAAGGGAGTCCGTGCGGTTGGAGTTCGGGGGTCCGGGTTGGCACCGGCCTTCAGCAGTATTTCGAGAATCTCATAAATTCGGGTGCGGAAGGCGGCTTGATTTTCGGCGGTTGGTTGCCTGAGATCCGGGAAAGGAATGAAACGAGGAGTCTCCAAGCATCTCACAAGCCAGTAAAGCGCACTGATCTTGTTTTTATCGCAGGCCTCGTCTGGCGCCGCCTTATGATCGACAAGCAGCTGGACCATCTCCTTGTGTCCTTTGTGGACAGCCTTCAGCAAAGCACGGTTCATGTTGTACTGGAGACGATCACGGCAAATGTCGGGGTCCATTCGGTCCTTCTTGCTCAACAACATCTCCGCAACGTGGAGGTGTCCTTTGCTAGCGGCATGCACAATCGCGTCGCAGCCCACCGTGGTTTCTAACGTGTACAGGACGGAAGTTGCGGGGGCGTATAATTTCTTGTTCACACGAGCGGCGCGGGCCAGGGTGCTGTACTTGCCACAGCGCTCGAAGATCATAAGCAGAAGCTCAGGGGGCAAAGTATCCAACGGCATCTTTGTGGTGTAGGAAATCATGAGTTGGGTGTCGATTCTGGTGTCGAGAATGTTGTAAAGATCGAGGCTATATCCTGGGTATTTACCTACGAATTTAAGCCGAGGGAATAGGCCGAGATGGATATCAAAGACGAGGGTAGCTCGGCGAGGATGTCAGTTGGCGGTAAAGAGCCTGGCCTGGTCTTTCTCCTCGCTCCTCTCTGAGAAGTGGACTTGGAGGAGTACAGGGCCAGGCATGGGAATGAAAATGCTCCTCGATATCCAGCTTGAATAGGGCAAGGCATGGATCGTTGGGTCAGTACTTACAGTGATCTTTGGAGGAAAAATGAAGCTGCACCGGGTTGCGGATCTGCTGGTGGTGAGGAGGTTGGAGGAGAAGAGTCGGAAGAAGTGAAGGGGTTCGAAAGTACGAAAGTGAATGAATTTATATGCCACCGAAAACCATCACCACGCCACGCCGCCTTGGAGGAATTAGCAAAATTACTCACTTGCAGGAGAAAAACTTCACAAGTGTTGGGTTCAATTGTCAAGGACCTTGGAGAGTCGTAGCCAACCTTATAGGCAACGAAGAGGATCCCACAAGTAAACACAACTCGTGGACGTGTCTATGAGCAAATCGACGATTCGAAATTGAGCATAGGGAAACACGGCCTAAGCCTTGCAGAGCACCGTATCCTAGATATCATGTTTGCCGAAAAATGTAAGCTCAAAGTTGTTGGGCCCCTTCTAGGCTGCTGAAACAGTAAGTGCGTGGAGGTACAATTACCGCTGATTGGCTAATTAGTGGACTCCCTGAAGTACTCTTCTAGCTGTAAACTAAACTACCGGAGTGGCATTCTTCCATTGAAGAATTATATACGTAATATATCCAAGTACAACAGGAAGTAGTTCTCTCTGCCATGACATATAGTAGTACTGTGACGATAAACGCGAACATCTCATGCAAATATTTTGTTGAATCCATGAGAAGCTTCGTGCAGGGAATCGTGATAGAACAGAGGGCTTGCGTTACTAGGCCCGGATCATTGTCTGATTTGAGCCACAACTGTCCGCTCAGAATGGTGGCGAAGTGAACCTGGTGAGAATCTGTTGAAGTCGAATTGCGTTTCGTTCTACGTATCGACTGTCGATCATCGAATCGACTCCAGGGACGGTGACACAAAGTGGAGCCACCAGCTCATACCTCTGCATCGCAGGCAGTCCCAGCGTGCAGCAAGCCCAGCAGCAGAACAGAATCTGGCGGCTTGGTCGAAACGCGGAGAACAAATGGACCCTAAGATGACGTCCAATTCGCCGGATGGGCCTGATGAATCATGCAGTTGCCGGGAACCAGGCATGTCCACCCACTCCCTCCACTACGTCACCGCGCGATCATCCTCGCTGCTTTTTTCCTGCTCAGCACCTGCCCTTTGATCGCGATCGGAGCTCTCATATTTAATGCGCAAGGCCCCCTTCGTGCTTTTTGAAAATTGCTTCCACCCCACCCCCCAAACTGGTGACGGTGAGTGGTTCTGCTCCCCGCGGTTGCCCGCCATGTACTGACTCCATCTCTCTTGCGGCAGCTATCGTAACCCTAGCTCGACTCCAACGCCAGCATGAAGTTCAATCTGGCCAAAGGCCTGGTGTTTTTACTCGCTACCGAAACTGTTGCGGCTTCGAGCTGGTGGAGCAAAGCCGGTACGTCGTGCTTAACATGAGAAGACTACTAGCAGTATATACTAGTACATCGAGCTTCGCCAGATACGCTAACACCCCCGCGCAGTATACAACAAATGGCATGAAACCGAATTGGAGCGATGGCTCTCTGATCATGGTAAGTAAAATCGTCATCGGTCTTCTTGTTTAACTACTCGGTCGCCGAAACTAACTGCGCCATCACCAGATATTCCCTATCCAACCCCTGCCGACCGCAGAGATCTCGAGAACCTGGTGAAGGCCAACTGGGATACCCGAATTCAAAAGCCCCTGGGTCAAGCTGCCGACCAGGTCTCTAGTGATGCTCACCAAGCAAAGGAATGGGTCTTTGACACGTAAGATCCCTCCCCAACCCTAATTTATTGATGGGCGCCGTAGTCACTAACACGTCGGAATAGTTGGTCGGAGTCCCAGCTGAAGGCATTCCTGGATCGCCATGGCATTCCTGCCCCTCAGCCCCGCAAGCGCGATGTCTTGATCAAGACGGCGCGCCAGAACTATGAAGCCGTCGCGAAGAAGGTCGGCGAGACGGCGTCCTACCCTGGCAACTGGCTGTACGAGCAGTGGACCGAATCCGATCTGAAGGAATGGCTGGACGAACGCGGATGGCCTGCTCCCCAACCCACAACCCGAGACAAGCTCATTGCTTCTGTGCGCCGTAACTCTCGCCTGTCGAGCTTGCAGGCCAAGGCCATTGCCGCCTCGGCTGTCGCATCCGCGCAGGCTGCCCAAGCATCGCTGAGCGAAGAATTGATCAATGCTTGGTCGGACTCGAAACTGAAGGAGTTCTTGGATGAGCACAATGTCAAGGTTCCTCAGGGATCCAAGCGCAATGAACTCATTGCTCTGGCCCGTAAGCACCGCAGTTATCTCCTCGATCAGGCTTCCAGCGCCTCGGCCGCCGCCGCAGACACGATCGGGGCTGCCACTACCAAGGCTGGAAATGAGTATGCTCGTGCCACGGATGATGCGAAGCTGAAGGCCGAGGATGAGTTCAACGCTGCCATCAAGCTGTGGTCCGACTCTCGCCTCAAGGCTTTCCTCGATGCGCGAAGCATCCCCGTGCCCCAGTATGGCAAGCGAGACGAGCTCATTGCTAAGGTCCGCGCCAATGCTCACAAGGCTGCTGGCGGCTGGAACGAGTACAACTTTGATACTTGGGACAAGGAGCATTTGCTGTATGTTATCTCCCACAATTCCCCATGTGAGCTTCACTAACTCGATTTCTTCAAGGAAATACCTTTCTGCCATGAATTCCAAGGCCGCGAAGAAGGCCGATGCCTCTCGAGATGAACTTGTCAAGCACGCCAAGGACTCGTACGTCAAGGCCTCCAAGGCCGGTGGCGAACACTATGCATCGGCCACCAAATCTATCGCTCAGGCTACTGGGTCCGCGAAGGATACCACGTTTGACCACTGGTCGCACTCTGAGATCAAACAGTACCTCGACTCTTACGGCATTCCCGTGTATCAGGGCTCAAGCATCAACGAACTCCGTGCCACTGCCCGCCGCCACGCCACCTACTTCAAATATGGTACGACCAATCCCGTCGAAACCATCTACGCGAAGGTCATGGATACTCTGTACTGGGCTCTTGACCAGCTGAAGATTGGCGCTTCTAGTGGGCGTGCTCAGGGACAGGAGGCGGCTGAGAAGGTCCGCGAGAAGGTCACTGAACAGACTGGCCGGATTCGTGGAGAGCTGTGAAGATGGATTGGCCGGCAGATATCATGGGAGACCTGCTTGCACTCTGCATTCGATTGATGTTTCTTGGATCACGATGATATGACTTCCTGGGGTTTGAATACGATTATTTCGGGCGCTTAGTTTGATTTTGGTTTGTCAATAAATAGTGTGCCTAAACTGAGTTCACAGCGCTTCAGTCTTTGTACAGTGAGAGCTGTATATGCTACCCAGTGGTTCCTAGTAGTGGTAGACAGTAAACCCAGTATCCATTGGCTAAGGGTTTTTGAGGCCCCGAAACCAGTTTGACCCGGGGTGGGTACCCTATAGTATGCCATAGTCATGATACTGTGACCCCGCGATTTTTTTCTCCAGGATAGGAGTAGAGTTGTTCGAGACTGCATCATCCAGTACGCAAGGCTTGACCAATTAAGACTTGGGCGCCTCGGGATCGCCCTCGGCAACCAGCTTGCCAACAACCAGATACTTCTCAGAGAAACGTTCCTCCCATGACTGCAGGTTCTCCAGCTGATCCTCATCCAGGTCCTTGAGGTCATCCAGCGGCGCCGACAGATCCTGGGTCAGCATTTCCACATCGAAGCTCTGATGAGCCAGGCCACGTGAGGCATCGCGGCCGGCGAAGTTCTCGTAAGGACCGCCCTATTCACAGTCAGTCATTTATTCAAGTGTATGAGAGTATATCGCAACCGATCTGCAGTGGGATTGTATCGTCCACCTACCGGGCCGTAGAAATTCCTGCCGGGAGACACATCAAAGACACGGCCTCGCACGGCTAGGTACACGGGACGATCATTCTCGCCGTTGAATTCGATGAGGGTCTTGGGGGTGTAGGTGCGGAAGACGACGGGGGGCGGGCCGCGCGGGAGAGTGACGGGCTGCTTCGGGCGGAAATGATAATAGACCAACACGACGAAGAGCGAGAGGAGGATCAGATTGATAGGCGATGCGATCGACATGCTGTCATCATTGATTGTTAGCTTTCAAATGCCTCTCATGGATTCCGAAAGACCGGAGGGAACGGAACGACTAACACTTCGGCCTGTGGCACGGAACCTTCTAGGGGATTTGGATCGCGGTTAGCAGGGTTCAACAGGGCAAATTATGGGGACACAGGGCCACCGTTACCGTCCGTCATGATGGGAATGAACTCAAGTCTTCTGGCGAGATGTTCCTGGAGGGGACGGAGACCTGAACGGAAACCCTTGGAATTGGAACAGCAATGGACGGGTCGGGTTCTGCGGAGATCGATGACATCGCCCTCCCCGCGTCCACGTGATGCCGCTGTTTATTTACCCTCCACTCGATGTACTTCCTCCTCACCCTGGGGTATGAGGCTACGTAGTTGTTCCCATAGGTGAACTGGGGGGTTTACGCTCGCAGCTTGAGACATTTGACAGCTGTCAGCTGTTCCCAACGCCCCTGGTTATTAATAGCCCTAATGAGCGCCCGAAGCCCGAAGCCCAATGCTTGCAGATGAAACGAACTTGAGCCAACTGGCCAGTCCCAGAGAGCTCCTTGTTGCAACTCCACTCGTTAATCGCCCCCATTTAATTTATCGCTGTCCACTTAGGGTAGCCTAATGATGCCATGGTGGTTTCCGGAGGCCTTTCTTCAAGTTCGCGACCTAGACTTGTTTTTGTCCGGCTCTGACCGTCCTCTGGCGCTGCAACACCCTTGCTGTTGCCTTTGTTCCCGTGGTCAACAACCCAGCACCCTTGGTCTCAGACTCCGACCCGGCGCGTCTTCATTTCGTCACTCCTGCTGCACGGATCATAAGGTCAAAGGTCCGTTCAAATCCGATCTGGCAACAGGACCCTCGATCGACTCGATCAACAATGGCCTCACCGACTAACCGCCGCTCGCAGATCAAAATGTGGTCCAAAGGACCCTTCAGTCGATCGCGACGTCCGATTGGGAACCCCACACCGGCCATGACATCGGACATCTCGGCCTCGGCGGATCCTGCGCCGCTCGACAAGTGCGCAAAGGACCTGCCGGCCCTGCCAAAGTAAGTCTACAAGCGATCATTTGACCTATCCATTTTCTGGTTCCTATTTACTCACTATGTCTCGTCCCCAGTGCGTCAAGCGTCTTGTTGCCTCAGCCAGCCACGTCTTTGTCACCGTCGCAAGAGGAGGGTGCAGAAGACAAGAGACATTCGGCCGTCTCGCCAGTAGGATCGCCAGCCCCCCGCGATAGTGGCAGCAGCTTCTGCGTGTCGCCGATCGAAGAGTCAGAGCAACCGTTCCGACACGAGGACAAGCGCAGCGACTACCGGGCCTCCGCCAATGTTCCCCTCCCGCAGACCGACTCGACCGATGCCCTTCCCTCGGCCCCGAACACCTCGCAGGCTGCACCGAAAACCGTTCAATTTGCGCCGCACTCTGACCAGAGCGTGCCTGTCCGCTGGGACGATTACTCGGGCGAGCCGACCACCAACAATACCGGGAAAGCAAGCCAAGTAAACTCGCGCAATACTACCTTCCACAAGTCGTCGGGGTCGCACGCGTCCAATTTCCTGCTCGGGGTTCGCGAACAACTTCAAACCAAGAAGAAGCTTGCTCAGGCTCGTAATCGAATCAGCAGTTTTTCGAAGAGCGAACCCCCCGTCCAGAAGGAAACAAGAGGCAGATCACCGTCACGTGTGCTTCCATCCATAGAGTATTCCGGTAACGGCGCTAGCACGAGAGACGCGAGCCCCAAGTTCAACAACAATCTGGGATTCGTGCCAACGACCGTGACGACGATCACCGCTGGTGGTCTTCCGAAGGCGTTGCCAGAGAGACAAGTCACGGAGTATGCATACTCAGGTACTCGCCGTGAGCAGTCGAAACAACGAGAACTTCCAGCACAGCGTGAGCAGCCAGAAATCAAGCTCGACCTCACCCTAGACCACACCATGCCACCCTTCGAGCCAGCTGCTCGCTTCGACGCAGTTCAACCTGCAATGTCAGCGAACGGCCCAAACCATAGCCCGAATGACAGCCCTCGCGAAAGCTTTCATCTCGGCTCGAAGTCTACGGATGACCTTCCCTCAGTTATGTCGCGACGACGGCCAATCCCTATTAGCATGCCTGGCGTGCCGATTTCGAAGAAACCAGCACGGAAGCCCACTCCCGCGGAGGTGACCCAGGAGCCGCCATTGACTGTTCAGAACGCACCGGAGGAGCAGCCCAAGGATCCAGTGAGCCGCATCGAGTCTCTTGATTCAAAGCGGACCGAGCTTGGGAAGCGCAGGAATAACCTGGAAACTGTCATTCATGAATTAACGCGGGTGATCCAGCCCAGCTCATTCGCATATGACATGGCTGTCAAGGCCGAGGTTAAGAAGAGCGTGCAGAGCATTGAAAATGAGATTGCGGAAATCAAGCGAGAGGAGCACGAGCTTGGGTTGAAAATTGCCCGGGCGTGGAGACGGTTGGATGAGAAGGAGAATAATGGCGATGGCAGTAATCTTTGGATCAAGCGAGTCACAAGCTAAAGTCGCAGCAGGGATCTGGGAGGAACAACCTCTTTGGTTATTCTTGCCTCTAATTTCTTTTCTCTTTTTTCTGTATCTTTTTTTCAGCTTGGATACCCGGCGTGCTGGTTGGGGTGGTGCTTCTTGAGCGTTCATTTTCTGTTGCCCTCGCACACGTTTCTTGTGTTTTGATGTTAAGTGATCTACCTCGTAATACTGAGTATCTCGAGAATGACAGCTTGATGATCAGGTGAATAATTTAAAAGTAGTTGGTATTGGAGGCTCGGGTCTATGCAGCAGTACATCTAGGGCACTGTTAATGGTATTGCTAAAAGGGAAGGAGAATGCCATCCTCTCTGCGCGCTTGTTGAACATGGCTCGTTTGGATCGTAAAGGGCAACACAGGGGCCCGATTGCCAAATTCGACTGCTTATTTCTTGCCTGACTTCTTGATGCCCTGCTGGCCAGTGTTCAGGGGGCCCTTCTTGCCCTTGGCCGCCTCCATCATGTCCTTCTTGGCCTTGGCATCTGCGACAGAAAGCCCAGTCAGTGCCATCCCGAGATATGTGGATCACGAGCAAAACTTACCAGCCTTCTGCTTCTCGCGGAAAGCAAGATCTTCCTCATCCAGCTCCTTCTTGTCCTTCTTGGCGGCCTTGAGAGGCTTGACCTTGCCACCTGTTCAAGGAATCATCAGTATTGCCATTATGACTCTGCGAAACTCTGATGAGAGTTCACTCATACCTTCTCTACTAGCACCGCCCATTTTTTCAGTATGAGAGTATGGAAGAGGAGATAGATTGACCGGAGGAGGAAGTTAGAAGAGGGAGGCGTGGAATGCGAAGGCAAAAAAAAAAAAAACTTCCTGGTCGCCGACGCTTATCGGAGGGGTACGCCCTCCAAGCCCGCGGGATCACCCCACCGCCTTCTACATTAGGGATAGCGCATGATTTGCCGCAAGACGCCGTGACCTTGAGACGACAGCCCTCGGGCTCCGCATTCACCTCATCGACCTGCGACCTTTTTTCGTCCATTCACTTCGAACCTGCTAGTTAATGGGCCTGTGGATATAAAGGCTTCAAGGCTTTGGTGCGAAGGCAGGCCTCTCAAGCCGGTTGGACTTTCAAACATCCCCGAAGATTTGCTTGTCTCTGGAGGTCACGCTAACTGAACCTTTCCCACCTCTCTAAAGCCTCCTCCAAAGGCCGAAGAAGTTTTGAAGAAGAAGAAATCGTCGTCTATTGTGTTCAGTGTCGTCACTGTTGCAACACTGTTCATAGAAAGATGTCGCACCACCGATCGCGGTCCGCGTCGACCCCTTCTGAGGGTGAGATCATCGAGTCGGGCTCAGAGACGAAGGCAACTGCGTCACAATCTCCTTTTCATGATACCAGAGTTGACCGTCCCCTCAGAGATAGTGCCACCTCTGTACCACGCCGACAGAGCTCTTGGACCCGGTCGCGCTCGAGATCTCGTTCTCCGTATCGCAACAGTGGGAGCTACAAACGCAGACGCAACGACGAGTATGATGATTACGAAGACCGCTCCAGCCGCTACGTACCCTCTCGGTATAATGGGTCGAGATACGACCATCGACACCACGATTATGATCGTGGTGCTCCTCCCCGACGACCAAAGTCATATTACGATTATGACCGCGGCGAGAATTACAGCGGCGGGTTGCAGTACACCGACGACTACGAAAGGCGAAGTGACAAGAGGCAGCGCACACGAAGCAAATCACCGTATCGCGAAGTGAGGAAGCCCAAGACTTACGATGAACCTGTCTCGCAAACGAGTGGGATCGGGGCTCGAGCAGATGCCGAGAGGCGCAACCCGTCTTCCGAAAAGGTGATGAAAGAACATGGAAAGCCACCAACCGGTGTTCAGGATTCTAAGTTTAGCGTTGTAACTCGCGAGGATAAGACGCCGCAAAATCCTCCCATGCGCGCTCATATCGCAGATGAGTAAGTTCTTTGTAGTCGCCCTTTCATTGAAAAGCCGTCTAACCGAATACAGGATCAAATCGCCTATCGCGTCTGAGCCGGTGGAAGATCCGGTCCTAGCTGAGCCAGTTGACGAAGCTGCGGCTTTAGAGGCTCGTCGGAAACGGCGTGAGGCCATCCGTGCGAAATACCGCAGCCAGGCCACGCCTTTGCATCTCAAAGCCGTTCACGCTGACACCGATACGGATTCATCTGCACCGGTGACACCAGCAGCCAGTACACAGGACATGCCAGGTGGGTTTTGTCATTTGGGGCACATGTGCATGAAATCAACTAATATGGCCCTTGTTTTGGTAGCCTCCCCGCAGGTTTCTTCATATCCGACACCCTCTAGTTATGAGAAGCCCCGAGATGCTACTCCAGAATTTAGCATTGGGAAGGATACCGATATTACCCATTCCAATGCCACTGTAGACAGCATTGAGAAAGACGAGCCTTCTGCTGCTGACTATGATCCAACCTTTGACATGCAGCAAGACCGACAAAGGCATGTCGGAGTTCAAAGCTCGAAGGACGATATGTCATCCGCAGCGTACGACGAAACGAAACCCGCAAAGCAGGATATTCTGATCCCCGAGTCCATCCCCGAACAACCGCCCCCTCCGCCTCCAGCAAAGGCCAAAGATCCCTATGACATGTTCGCTGAGGACGATGATGACGACATGTTTGCTGAAGACCCGAAGGATGGGCAACTTGCAGATGCATCAGCAACGGCTGGTCAACTGCCCCGCGAGCTAGATGTCAGCATGATGGATAACTGGGATGACCCTGAAGGTTATTACAATGTGCGCCTTGGTGAGTTGATCAACGGACGCTATCATGTCACGCAAACTCTTGGCAAGGGAATGTTCTCAGCTGTCGTGCGGGCCAAGGACTCCAAGACCGATAAAACGGTCGCGATCAAAATCATTCGCCGAAATGACACCATGCGCAAGGCTGGTATGAAGGAGATCAAGATTCTGGAGCAACTGCGCGAGGCCGATCCGGAGGACAAGAAGCACGTTGTAAAATTCGAGCGTTACTTCGATCACAAGGGTCATCTGTGCATGGCCTTCGAGAACCTGAACTTGAACCTCCGTGAAGTTCTCAAGAAGTATGGACGAGATGTCGGTCTCAACCTCGGCGCCATCCGCGCCTATGCGCACCAGATTTTCCTGGGGCTTGATCTTCTGCGCAAGTGTAACATCTTGCACGCGGATTTGAAGCCTGACAATCTTCTTGTCAACGAACAGCTCGGTTTCCTCAAGATCTGCGATCTTGGTTCTGCATCACCTGCTTCTGATGTCGAAATCCTCCCGTACCTGGTCAGTCGTTTCTACCGTGCCCCGGAGATCATCCTCGGTATTCCCTATGACTACGCAATCGATGTCTGGTCCATCGGCTGTACTCTTTTCGAGCTCTACACTGGCAAGATCCTCTTCAGTGGCCGCAACAACAATCAGATGCTGCGTTCCATCATGGAGTGCCGTGGCAAGTATCCGCCCAAGGTTCTGCGGCGAGGCACGCTCTCCCATCTCTACTTCGACGAAATGCTCAACTTCCACAGTACTGAGCAAGATTCGATCACCGGCCGTCTTGTTACCAAGATTGTTGATTACAAGAAACCCACTCGTGATTTGAAGACCCGGCTCATGGGCAAGGGTATACGTGGGATGTCCGATACCGAGGTAAAGGAATTGCAGCAGTTTGTGGATTTTTTGGATCGTTGTCTCACTCTGAATCCTGAGAAACGGTGCACACCAGCTGAAGCGCTGAAGCATCCATTCATAACGCGCAAATAGCGGTGAAGCAGGTCTAGGCTTCACATACCTTGTTCTATCTCTTGTGTTCATATTGCAAATACTTCGAAAGCTTCGGTAGCCAATTAAAATACTCAGGACGTAAAATTCTCATACTACTTGCTCCACTACATCATTCTGGGCAAATACCGTAGGAAGTAAATTCATTCTCGAATCAAGAATCAAAACCCCATATACCCATGTCGAGCATGTCACATATGAGACATTGACTGAGCTCACTAACTCTTCTTGTAACGATGGGGATATAGGATCCCAACCCCTGAATGCCCTGTTCTTCAACTTGTGCGGTGTACGAAGTGGTATCCACATCACCCAACGTTTGCAGACGCGCGCACCTCGCAGAGGAACCGAGGGGCGGGATCAGCGCGAACTGCCGTTTAGTCCCCAGCCTGAAGAACCAGACCAGACACCACATTATTGATCGACGGCTCTAGTGTACCGTCTACCGTGGATGCAGCTATCCCTAGACTAAGTAATATTCCCGAGAGCCTCTGTTGGCAGGTTCAGCTGGTTGAACGTACGTACAGTTCACAGTGTTCTGTTGACGGTCTAGATCCTGCTTCAACATGGCCAACGCACGCCTGTGGGTTTGCAACTCAAGTTCCTCGGAGGCTTAAAGGGGTCTCGATGAGGTCGATCCAGTTAGACAGCCACGTATTATGCATAAGCATGCAGAAAGGGGTTCTTTCTTCGGGGCGAGCTCCACCCACAGCGGGCCTGGGTGGGGGCTTTTGATCCGAGAAGCGGCGCCCTACCTTTCGTTAGGCATGAAGGTGGTCGACACACCGCAGACGCGAATTGGGGATCTAGTGGTGCTGTGTAGAGTTGATGGGATTCTGAATTTCTATAGAGTTTGTGTGATTGGTTGCTGCTTTAGACTCGATAAAGCGGTCCTGCGAAATACTAATATCAAAGACACCACGCATAGAAGCAGCTTCGTAAGTGTTGGCACGCAGTTATGTAAATGTACACTGGTGTGTAAGCTGCAGAACATGTAATTAGCTATCACTGTTTTGACATCGAGGCTAGGGTGCTTCAATCGAGATGAATGACGACCAATTCGGACTTGCGTCATCACACTACACTCGAGCAAGTATAGTGTACTATATATCACAATAATGTGCTATGCTACACTACACTATCTTGGTTTTCCCACTAGAGTTCCTTACACTTATGTCATTGGGGTAATATGTCCTCGTTCCGACTCAAAATGGGGCAAAGCGCCGCGAGGGGCATGACGAGTGCCCGGGTGTTGGTATAAACATTGATGTTTGGCTCAAACCGTTGCTTTTTATTCAGGCCCAGCTGCTACAAAGTATGATGACAATTGCATTTGTACCAAGCCTCGCAATATTTTCTCATTTGGGTATTTGCTGAGCTTAAGTGTTGTCAAGAATAATTCACGGCCATGCCGCGCTGTCGGGAGAGTTGGATGTATATACACGGCATAAAGGCAAGAGAGCAACTCGATAATGCGCACTTTGCTTTTGCGAAGTTGAAGTTATCCATTTCTCCCCTGCTCTACATGGGGCTATCGATCGCAATGCTGCATGAGCAGTCGATCAGCTGATTACCACGGAAACCCCCTTTTACAAGTCGCCCTACGATTTCAACCTCCAGCGTCCCCTCGCCACGTTCGTGATGACGCCGAACGGTGGAGTCCTCCCGCGACTGCACCCGGACTATCACATATCACACAAAAGGCGACAATAAAGGTGGGGCTAATGCAACGATGATAGCATCATTGCCTTCCATATCCCTGCTCGGTGGTGGCGGCTCCGTTGTGATCTTGAGCCTATGGGAGGAAGCTACTGCAAGACACCGCGTCTACATTCGCCCGGGCGTGAGGCTGGCTGTTCCAGAAATCCGGCTAGTTAATTCCAGGAACTCTTACCTGGAGTCAATAAGATCAGGCCGGCTCTGCCCCTCCACAGAAGCTATTGTTGTCAGCCGGTCATTGGAGGGAGATTGCTGTTGTCCATTTAGGTACTGGATCTTGGATCCTTGAAGGCAAAGCAAAGTCCCGAGCCGCAACCAAATCAGCTTTTTCCGCTGACCAGCTCGGATCCGATATACAGGTTCTAGATCAGTGCATCTGACATCAACGACCCATGGGAGAAAGTCTGACTGCCGATCGCTGGGTCGCGGGTTTGACATTCGACGCATCACACAAACGGCTCGCCCGTCTCCCCCTTTTGATCGGCTGGCGTGGCCGTAGGCAGATCATTGGTAGAAACCATTCTTGGAGGCAGGCCGCCCGCAGGTCGGTCGTCTCGCAGATGCACCCCTCGTTTTCCTCTCTCTGCTCCGGATTACCCGAGACGCGGGCAAATGGGCAGGTTGGCGGATGGGATCATCGACGTGGATGGCAGCCGATTGGTTTGCCGCACGATGTTGCGTGGCCAGTCAGAGCGGAACAAGAATACGAGTGCAAGGAACTTTGACAAGGGCCATCTGCCTTCAGGCACTCATGGCGAGCTAGACCGGATAGAGCGGCTGGAGCAGCGTGGCCCTGCGACATCTGGGGGCCTTTGCGCCTTTGGACAATCTGGGCAACCATCGAATGCCGAGGAGTGAGTCAGTTCTGGAGAGAGTTTTCTCGAAAGCGTGGATCTGGAGGGGGTGCTTGACAATTCCACCCCGTGTCCTCGCCACCAGTCGCCTGGTGGCAAAGGGGTTCCGCGAACAACCAAGCCCGGATGGTGATGATGCGGATGATAGTTGGATGATGTCGAGATGTGTTTATTATGTGGGTCCCGTTAGCTGGACGCCGCACTCAACAGGAAGCTGCCCCTGCGGCATTCCGCCACATGCAGGAGGAGATCCAGGAGTTGATACATACCTACAGTGGTAATACTCCTACAGTCCTATGTACCGTACACTACGAAGAGATAGAGTTGGGATTGGCTGTGGCAGAATCAACGGATATGTGTACACTTTTGCAGAATCATCCGGAATACGGTGAGCGTTTAGCTGCGATTGTTTGGATACTAGTCATTTGGGATCTAAGGGATCCAATCTGGAGTTGTTGCGCGCATCTTGGAACCTGGAGGACGCAAACTGGACGACTATTGATTCTACACCGCGAATGTCGTGCAGGACCGGCTGGCGATTTTGTGATGAGTAAGAACTGGAGATGGCGGTGAAGGAAGCTTGGGGCATGCTGAGAGAGCGTTCGGAAGCAAGCGGGCTGCAGTGCCAATCCTGGGGTACAGCGATGTGATGCAGCAGGTCAGGTGATGTCCTCTACAGGAGATACCTTACTACTGTTTCTGTACAGGAAGGTGCCCGGGCAGCCTTGGCGGTGACTGAGTCTGCCTTTCTGCCACCCACCCTCCTTCCTCCCTAGGCGCCTCCAGTACACCAAGTCAAACGGACCAAGTCACACAGGGCGAGACTGGGCTGTGCGTGCCTTCCGCCCTACGCCAATCATCCCCCGTCGCAAGGGCCAGGGTCTGCCCAGGCCCGTGCGAATGGCCCCGGGAAGGCCCACACTGTTCTCGAAAACGAACGCCTTGGGCAAATGGTTGGCCACCGCGCCCCTCCCTCATCGCCTCACTTCCAGACCGTTCTCAAACGGCACTTTCGGTCCTCTCACGCGGTGGAGAATAGAGTTGGTGGGCCACCAACTTGCGACTCGTCGCGATGTTGGTGGAAAGGACGGAGGATGGCGGATGAGCATCCGAGCATGGAGGTCGACAGTACAGCCTACCTTCCTCGTTGTCGGATAACTGCATGGTACTATGGTATGTGCTGGAGGTAGGAACCATGGGTGAAACAAGACATCCAGACTACATCGCCTTCATTCCATTCAGAACTCGTGTCCACACATCATCCTGCGGGGCTGGGAACTGCCAGTGGGAACAAAAGAGGGGCGGCCTGGATTCAAGTTGGAACTGATGAGGTGGCGGGGGTGGGAGGTGGTCGGTTGGTGGTAAGTGGTCGCAGCGGTGGGCAGAGGACCAAACTACCGCAGACTATTGCCACACGGGCAACGGCCCCCTATTCCCAGTGATTCCCATCGCTGCTAGAGGCGGCATCTGCAACGCCAGACGATCGTTATGTGCGACCCCCGGCCCCACCCAATCAGCGCCTGCAGGTGGCGCCTGCATCGCTGCACCCGGCGGCGTCATGATTGGGCCGTGGGCCGCATTGCCTGCACACCGCTCCGTCCAAGTGTCGAAAGCCACGGTGGCCTGGCCGGCCGCTTGTCCACATGGGCTATGCCCACGAACTCGACGCATCATCGATTATTTTTATCTATGGGGCACCCACCCCCCTCCAAACCATAAACAATCCGATTCTGAGCCTTGTGCTACCTCTCTCCTTTCGCATCCGGTTGTTGTGGTCGTTCTCATTTGATTTTCTCCTCGCCGCTTTCCATCTGGACCAAAAATTCCTCCCCTTTTGCCAACAATCCGCCCTTGGACCCAGTCGGATTTCCCCGTGGAATGGATTCCTGCCTCTGAATGCCCGTGGACTTTGGATCTCTAAAAAGCCCAGGAACCTTGCCCTCCTCCCGCCTCTTCTTATTTGACTATTACTTTACATCTCGATATTCCCCTCCCCGGGAATAAAGAGAAGGGACCCTCCTTAACGACTTGGATCTCTCAGCCCCATCTTCTCTTCTCTCCCGTGGCCGACGCGCTGTCCTTTCTTTTTCGGAACTATGTATCATCCGACCATGCTACCGACTCCGCCGCCGTCGCCAACGCCTCGGTGTTATACCCCCGAGGACCGCTTAGGATTCATCTTGGCCAACCGGCTGGAACTTACCGGCATTCTTGGTGTCGGTGCCTACGGCGTGGTCTACACCGCCGTGGATATCCATACCAACATCCGCTATGCCGTCAAAGCGCTCAACAAGGCTGGGCTGGATCCCCGCCAGCTGAGGTACCAGCAACGCGAGATCCGTCTGCACCACCTGGCCAGCCAACATCCAAATGTGGTCTCGCTGGTGCGCATTATGGAGTCCGTGGACTGCACCTACGTCGTCATGGAGTTCTGCCCGGAAGGCGATCTCTTCTCCAGCATCACCGACAAAGGAAACTTCGTCGGCAATGACCCCTTGGTCAAGCGCGTCTTTTTGCAACTACTGGATGCCGTGCAGTTCTGCCACAACCTGGGAATCTACCACCGCGATCTCAAGCCCGAGAACGTACTGGTAACGGACCAAGCCTTGACGGTGAAGCTCGCCGACTTTGGCCTCGCAACCACGGACTTCTTAACCTCGGACTTCGGATGCGGTTCCACATTCTACATGTCACCTGGTAAGTCGCAGATCCGTTTCGGACCCCCTCTTGATGGCTTGTGGATAGCATCGCCAGCCACCCCCCGCCTAGTGAGACAGTTCACCTAATATATTCGAAACACAGAATGTCAGCAAACCAACCCGCGACCCATGTCCTGCTACGTTTCAGCCGCCAATGATGTCTGGAGCCTCGGTGTCATGCTGGTCAACCTGACTTGTGGTCGCAACCCATGGAAGCGCGCTTCAATGGAGGATTCCACATTCCGCGCGTACCTCAAGGATCCATTCTTCCTGAAGTCCATCCTGCCCCTATCGACGGAGATGGTATGTATCTTGAGCCGGGTGTTTGAACGCGACCCAGCCAAGAGGATCACCATCCCCGAGTTGCGCCAGCTCATCGTGGACTGCCCTCGCTTCACGGAGACGCCCATGGCCCCCTGGGTACCGGAGCAGATTCCGCAGGCCGAGTATTATGTTCAGCCCCAGATGCCGTTCAACGTCCCGGTGGATCCCATGCATGCCCAGCATTCTGGCTCCTCCTCGGACACTTCTTCCCACTACTCTGACTTCTCCGAGGCAGCTGTGTCGGATACCTCTGCTCTGACCGAGGACTACACCGACCTCAACTGCATGTCCCCTATCGCCTCCCAACAGGTCCCTGACTGCAATGTGGTCTTCACCCCTTCCATTCAGGGCGTCATCCCCCCGGATGCGTTTACCACAAGCGCGCCCATTCCGGTGTGCTGAAGGGTCGACCCATCTTCATCATCTCCACTTTTACGCTACTACACGATCTACACGCCCCTCTATATTCTCATTCTTGCCTATATGCGCCTGGAGTTTATCATCTAGGCATTTCGACTTTTTCCACGTTACGACCCGCTTTTGGAGAATCTTCTTGACATAAAAAAGAAGAATAAACAAAGCAACCTTTGAAAATTTGGCTCGCCGGGCCAAGGACCAACCCGTCGGACTCGGCCACCAACTTTCACTTTGCTGCTTCTGGACATATCATTTTCCACTTGGACTATACCTTGTTTTTTGGACAGTGACCCCGGGTCATTCTTTTTGCATTGTCCACTGGACCCTGGAATTTCTCTGCCCCCGCCGGACAGGGTTACGATTTTCATTTTTACTGTTTTAATATTTTCCACACATACCGGGAGGATTCTTGTTTCTTTTTGATGCTTGACAATTTTTTTTTTTTTTTTTTTTTTGAGCATGGTAATATATTGGGAGGCACAAACGAAGACTCGCCCCAGGGAGGGCGAGTTGATCAATGATTTTGTTTTGGGGATTTTGCGCAATGGTTGTTTGGCGGCGTTGATCCTTGATCGAAAGGGATGGATCGGATCTATTTTGGGACTTCTCTGCTGCTGTTTGCGAAGAAAAGCCCTTGTCTATACTTCTGTTTTCTTTCTCTGATTACTTTATGGGTGGTGATTTGATCTCGGCTTGTTCAATTTGCATCATGTGCATAGACTTTATTTTTGCGGCATGGGTTGGATAACTTTTACGATATGATACCTCGGGAATCCAAATGGAGCGACAATTGCATCATTTTCACGCAACACATCTTTGTACTCGATAGTCTGGTTTCAGTTGCAGTAAGCCTGGCAAAGCTACATACATCGTGGCGTCTGAGGAACTCTCACCTCCGCTTTGTCATTCTTCTGTTTTGAAGTGATCGCGCTTCTTATTGATCGATCATCGCCATTTTATTAATTTGACCATCTATCTGGTGTCACGGCCTCGTGCAACGTTACGCAGTCCTACGGCGCCGCCGAGCATCGTGGCCCCGACTCTGCGGGTCGTTTCGTGTGGCCGTTCCAGTTCCAGCATGATATATGTGGACTGTGGCACTGTGAGACCCGTCTTCGCTGCCCGAGTAAGACGGGAGGTAACGAACCTTGAGCGCCAACTCGAGCGGGCGACTGATGGTAGGCCTCGGGATTACTCGAACAAACTAGAGCTAGGACAAAGAGAAAGCTGTCCTCGTGATTTTGGATTTTCACCAGACACTTGATTTGATCTTCGATGATCAAGCTTTTGAGGTGTTCATTCCCATTGCCATTTGAATAAATATTTTGGCCATTTACCTGCTGAATTTACACTCCTGCGTGAAGCAAATGAATAACCTGATCGTAGACTGTGGAACTCCTTGCCCATCACATATTCCGCCCACCAGTCACCCGAATCGTCTCCCCATTCACATAGGAAAAGTAGGGGCTGGCCACGCCGAGAATCGACCGCGCCGCTTCCTCGGGACTAGCCGGGCGGCGCAGTGGGATATCCGGGTAAGCGTTGGCATCTGCGTCACCCTTCTTGCTGTCCAGTTGCTTGCCGGGGATTCCCAGGGCAACCTTGGTGCCATCTGGAGTGGTGATGAAGGCTCCGGCCTCCTTAGCCGCGGTCAGCCGTGTTGTCACGTAGCCGAAGGCGATGGTGTTGGAGCGGACGCCAAAAGCGGGACCCCATTCCTTTGCGATGGTGCGAGTAAGGCCGACGACACCCGCCTTGCCCACGGCGTAGTTCGCTTGGCCGCTGAGTGGTGTAAAGTTAGTATATGTGCGGCACGTCTCATGAAGAAAACGAGTATAACGGGCTGGAGGACAGGAGTAGCCTGTTCGATCGTGATAAGAGAAGCATTCACTCACGCGTTGCCATGAATACCGCTGGTGCTGCTGATGTTGATGATAACTCGCGGCTCCTGGTCCTTGACACGGAAGTAGGGGGCCGCCGCTCGCACCAAGCGGAAGGGAGCTGTATTGTGCACAGCAAGCATAGTATCCCATTGCTTATCGGTCATCTAGAATCGGATATTCGAGTCAGCATGACCGTCATGATGAGATCAGATAATACCACAGCAGACTTTAAGGGGAAAGGGTCCACTACTAGCTGAACTCACTTTGTGGATAACGCCGTCCCAGGTGAACCCAGCATTGTTAACAATAATATGAATTTTGCCACCGCCGAACTCGGCAGCACGCTTCACCAGGTCCGTAACATAGTTGGCATCCAGGATGTCACCAACCACAGCAAGAGCTCGTCCTGGCTCGGCGGCGTTGATAGCATCAGCAACTGAGTTCGCCTTTTCTGTTATGAGCCGAGAAAACGTTAGCTCCAGATTTAAGTCCCCCGAAATGGGAATAGCGAACTGTTGCACAGGGGCGAAATACATACTGTTGTCAATGTCAGCTACCACAACCTTGGCACCTTCGTTCGCGAACAGCCGCGCTGCCTCAGCGCCGATGCCCTGGCCTGCGCCAGTAATGATGGCGACCTGGCCGGCAAGCATGCCGGCCGGGTAGTTCAGGTGCTTGTTGACCTGGTTGAGACGGTCTGCGGGAGCCATTGTGGTCTTTTGTTTGGTGGCAAGAAATTGGTGAGGGGAAGGTGGACGTCGGGCGTTCCTTATACAAGCTCGGCGTTGTGAAATGCCGAGGCTCGCCGCGGACCGAAGTGTGGGGTTGACGGAGGTAATGCAGAGTGCAGCAACGACATAAAATGCGGATTGTCACGAGAATCTCATAGCCGGTTCAATCACAATATAGCCTATCTGATCAATTTGAGATTGCTAGTACTATTAGTCGATCCGCGTTTGCTCTCGAACTGGCGGGAATCCGAACTATTTACGGAAGAGACATCCACCCCTCCTTATCCCCCGGCCGCTGAAGTGCATAGTAAAATACAGGAAGACTGCAAGTAATCTCCCACAAATCCTTCCACATGTACATGTCCAGGCTAGAGAGACTCGTCTCGTGTCGCGCGCTTCGATCCACAGATGCATTCGTTAAATGTGACGGATTGCAAGAACGATTCCACCGTAGATTCATACCCGGTGATGATGGGAAGCAAACAATTGTTCCCATTGCCATTTAAAAGATCCCAGTCTATACCAGGCATGTAGGAGGTTGCGGATACCCACGGCTGACTTGGTGAATTTCCTATCGCCAGTTTCGTATCACTCGAAATGTCTGTCTCAACGAGCTTCGGGGTATCGAGGCCAGCGGTGTCGATTGTCGCTGTCAACATTGACAATGTCTCTCGACAATGTAGCAGTAGTCCCCTAAGTAGAAATGTGCGAATCTGTCGGTTTTCCTCCTGGCATAACTCGTAGTATCCGTAACGAATATCGACACCGAATTCCGCCCGCGGAACTCGGGGATTTTCGCGTGAGATCCAGTACTCGAATAGTTGCAGAGTGAGATTGACCACGGAAATGACAAGGAGCAGATTCGCACTATCTTTGACGCATTTCCCGCATTGTAAAAACATCTGACATGCGCAGAACGTAGCCTTGATAGCCTGCAGGCTGTGGTCGAGACGTAGTGGCAGTGATTCGGCAAGCAGGTGGTTCAGTCGGTTCATATGGAACAGTTGCATGTCAATGCAATCACAAGGCGCGCTAGGAAAAGGGGATGAGACCGATCCACCAAATGGTGGACTTGCCATGCCGTCGGTCAATGGGTCTGGCGAAAGAAATGTCGGCGTCACTGGCGTATGGGGGTAGCCCAGCCTAATAGGGAGAGGGGGACAGGGATCAACGAGATCGGTGAACGGCGTGCTATCCACCGTCGTCAACTGCGACGGACAGATCGGAGTTTCTAGCGGTACACCACTGCCGAAACTCCGAGGGCTTTCCCATATTCCTGGAGGAGCTGAAACCAGGCAGACCTATACGAGTAATATTTGTGAGCCAATCTGGCAAGGAGGCAATGGTGTACCGCCCAAAAGTAAAGCTCACCTCGTCATCTAACATTGGGTCAGTGATATGGGTTTGATAGCCCACACTTGGTAAAGGCTCCCGATCAGACATGGGAGGCACAAGTCGACTTCCACGGAATCCACGTATCGGTGGTTTGTCTTCTTGAAGCTGGCCTAGCTTCCGGAGCGTGGCGCGGTTCTTACTTCCCTTCGGCTTCCCAGATCGGTTAGCGAAGCCATACTGGCATTGCAGGCCATGGCGCAAGCACCGAGTGCAGACGTTTTTGCCGGACAAGTTACATTTTACTTTTGACTGCCTGCAATTTTCGCATGCGGTTCGGAGTTTTGGCGCGTCACCCCCGGCATACGGACTGTCGTTGGACTCGGCGAGCATCGAGATCGGCGCGAGGAGATGCACGAGCGATATCGGCGAAAATCAATGATTGTTTCGTCACCCACGAATCAAAAGGGACTGGACTATACACGACAGGGATCGATGGTCGATATCAAAGGAAAGTGCAAAGGAAACGAGGCTAACATCGAGGACAGCGCGGCCAAACTCTTTCCTCGTCTTTTCTTTTTTCTTTCTTTGCTTCTGCCTTCTTCCCTGTATATATAACACCATGAAAAGACAAATCCAAGGCTCCATGGCAAGGGACTGGCGAAAAATGTCACACTCGCATTAGGATTCCTGTACCGGCGGCAGCCGCATCAAGAGATCAGCCGCTGTGGAACCCCAGATGCTTTCATCTGATCAACCTCGCATGGGATGCCAACTGGCAGATTGAAAAGGGCACTCCTTACCCCGGGCGCGCTTTCCCACAGGCTGTAGTCGAATCCCACTCTAGACAGGATTCGCTGAGCTGTTGCTGTTCCGGAGCATTGCTCGTGACGGGAAAGAAGAGTCCCTGGATATCCGCCTAAGGGTCTACTGCCCAAGTCGCACACCCGGATGCAACATCGTAAAGTCATGGCTGGGCGCTAACTTTCACTCTTCATGAACCCACGGCGCTGACAAGTCGGCTGGGCCCGAGATGCACAGCCAATGGTACATCCACTAGGAAAGAAGCGCCATGTGAAGAAAGAATGAGCGCCAGAGGGCGAACTCGGCTGACCGGAGTTCAGGGTATCTGTATTTACGAAAGGGCATTCACCGCTTCCGTTGTGGTCATTGTTGCACATTGCTAAACCAGGTCATCGTCAGCAGGGACTGAAGAGGCCGTGGCGAGAAGCCCCGCCCACGTACACTACAGCACGAATGTTTCATTCCATGCTACCCCTAAAAAATGCCATGAGCATGTTGTCCAACCTCGACCTCCTTCCCCCTCGTCTCCATAGTCTCGACTCAACCCCGTGGGATCTGACATATCTCGGCAGTGCCGCTATGCCGATAGTCAAACGCCTTGAGGAGACCAGTCAGATGAGCCACCGCTGCGCAGACGACCAGTACATGGAAAATCTGATGTGAGCTCCCAAAGATGTCAAAGGAGCCGGGCCGCAGCCGTTCGGGTACTCGGGCGGCATAGATGCCCGCGCCAAGGATGTATAGGAGACCCTGGAGGAGCAGCCAGGTCAGGCCGATCTGCTGGCGCATACGGTTGAATCCGAAGAGGAACAAACCATGGAGCACCGGGAAGACAGCCGACAGGCCCATCCCGACAAACATTGCCGCTCGGAATGGCCTCCAACGGGGCGTTCGGAACCGCGGGAGAATCGAAACGCACACACAGCCTAGACCAATGGTGCAAATCATGGTCCAGTACCGGTGTTGGAGCTCCGGAACACAGTAAAACCCATAGAAGACGCTTGGGACAAAGCTTCCTACGATAAGCCCCACGATGCCGATATAATCGAGGGCATTACCGATTCGGGCCACGGTAGGCGAATGATTGGAGATTGTGTGATATGTCGCCGACATTCCGAGACAGAAAGCAGCTCCCGCAAAAAAGCAGGCAAATGCTACGATGTCCGAGTCATCAGCAGTGCGATAGCGAGGTGCCAGGGCGCGATAAAGCTGATATCCGGCTGGAGCAGCGAGAATACCCGGAAAAAGATGCGTGTAGATGTTGACAGTCTCATTGTGGAGGTAGCCCAGCGACTGAATCGAGCCCCAGTACGAGGACGAGGCGGGTCGATATCCCGTATGGATATGGTGATTGTCTCGTTGCCAATGAGGTAGATCATCCCAATGCAGTAGCCTTTTCACGATCTGGGGAGCCTCTTTCGTTTGACTGCCTGTATCCTCAACCTCCACCCCCACTTTCCCCTTTTCCTGTACCTGTACCTGACGACGTTGGCGAGCCATCTTCACATGTGATATGATGCAGGGCCCAGGTTCCCAATCCGGCGGGTCAGCGATGGCAATATGCACGAAAGGTAAGCAGAACAACGGTATTTCCTGAAAAAAAGTGACCCAGCCACGCCAACAAAGCGGCAATAAGCAATATGTACAATGTAAAAAATGACGAGCGTTGGGTAGTTGGGGTAACCATGGAGTTCGTTCTCCGTTGGGGCAACCTCGGTGCAAACAGTGCAAATGATACAAACACCGAGGTCCCACATGAATGGCAGTCCATCGACGAAGCGTCCCTCGTGCCGCAAGCCATGCAGACCACGCGAGTACCAGGAAGCCGCTTGCGGCCGGTGGCAGACTCCCTAGAAAGTGTGGGGTTTGTCTCAAAGGGGGACAGAAAGTACGTTGGTACCAGGGGCTGCTGCGCGGATTGCATTCGTTGACAGGCACTCGCGCAGGCTATTCGATCACTCCGCCCAGGAAGAGTACTTCGACAAGATCGTCGAGCGGTACATGCGATTCTGTGCTCAGCATAAAGATAACCTCGATGCTGCCCTGACTTCGCTCCCCACGAGTGCTTCCAACGATGTAACATCGAATCCAGCGGCCGCTCAGCACGCAACGAAGTCGAGGCCCGCAGAGGGGAGCGGCCCTCCACCATCGGCGGAGTTATCCACCCTCCTGCTTTCCCTCCGAAAGTTGCGAGAAGCCGTTCTAGCAACGGCAGCGACAACGCCAGTGATATTTTCGCAGCGAGTGCATATATTCTCCATCCGCTTATCAATCCGCGCGCAACATCCGCCATCGTATTTCCCTTCTTTGCGACATACTCTCGACAGGTTGCATTCTAAGTCACATCCACTAGCTGACTGCGAGGTGAAGGAGATCGTGTCATACATGATACTGGATTATGCTTGTCGGCAATGCGATATGGTCTCTGCTTTTGAATTACGTGCTCGTGCACGAAAGGAATTCGGCTTCCAATCCCCAACGATCGACGATGTGCTTAACGCATTGATGCATGACAATTGGGTTATGTTTTGGCGAGTCCATAAGACCGTGAATTCATACATTCGCGCCGTGATGAATTGGGCCGTGGGTCGAGTCCGCAGGCAAGCTCTCAAGGCAGTCGGCAGTGCGTATCTTAATGTTGACATTAATTGGATCTTGGGTGGGTGTACAGGCGACGAAGAGAACTGGACTTGGGAAAAATTGGTGGAGGTCGAAAAACTCGGCTGGCAAAGGGAAGGGGATAAAATCATCATCAGACGCCCGAAACCGCGACCCCAACCGAATAAGTAGCCCGCGGAAGGCTCTTAGATATGAAAGCACTCACAGGCGTTGGGCTTCTCAGGCGTTGGGCATTGATGTGTGAGATGAAATTAGTCCATCCACATCCATTTTATCGGAAGCGTTTGCCATGGGTCTGGTTGGGTATATTCAGAATGCCACTTTACATGAGAAAACTGATTCAATACGAAGCCATGACTATCTTCAAAGGGATTGATACAGCCACATCCTTTCTGTCTCAACTGAATTTCCTGACTGTGAGTAGAGAAACAGGCTTTCTATGTGAATAAACACTCGACCCCATGTCCGCTTATTCGTCTTAGTGGCGCGTCAGTCTCCAGAATAGCTGACCAGACCGCTAATCACGGGGGTGACCAGACTTCAATTGGTGTATCTAGAAGATGTCACGATAGGGGCCGGTCTGAGACAAAGATGGGTGTGGTTGCAGCAATCTCCATTTTTAATTAATAACCAAGCTTAAAGTCCGCGTTCGATCGATCTAGATTAGTTCGGCCCGAAATGGGCTGGTTCGAGATATTCAACGCGAGCTGCCCCTTCAATTGACCAGCATTGTCAGAGCACAGCTCATAGACGGTTGAAAGGTTGAATATCAGACTGCTAAATGAGTGGTTTGCTGAAATTTGAGATTCTAACAGCTGACGAGCCTATGATATCAGTAAGATAAGCAGTTCGTTCAAGGGTAGGAGGAAAGCAGAGTTGACATACCTCGTCCAATTGGCCGGTGTAAAGAAGACACACGGCAAGGTTTTGTGCGACCAGCGCTCCATCGGTCCTCTGATTGTCTTCCAGTAGCATGCGCCACTCGTCAATTGCATTCTGGTAGCGACCATCTGACATGCTGAGTAGAGGGGTTAACATGGCGGCTTCTTTGGATCCACCAGAGCCCTCGAAGATGCCCTCGGCCGCATCGAGATCCCCAATCCTCAAAAAAAAGAAGCGCTTTCCTCAACTTTGTACTTTGAGACCCAGAACCAGAAGCATTAAGTGCTTCGAGTGACCTCTTGGCTGCATCGAGGTCACCCATTTCAACCAGCGCATTGACGCTTCGTATCCCCAAGTCTGCTAGTCGGTCTATCCAGATCTTTCTTTCCGACTCTGAGATATCGCGCTTCATTATCCGGCTTCGCGCTTCCAGTCCAATTTCATATAAGCCGCCAATACTCCTGCGCGAGTCACCGAACCCAATGCTCTGAAGCCGGACTGCCAAAACGCGAAGTGGCCACGGGACGATGTGACGAGGGAAGGGGTCCGGTTCACCATCATTGCGGTCTTTATTGTCGCCTTCGGACTGGGAAAGTCTGGGGTCTATGTAGTAGAATTGAGAATTCAGGTCTTCCAGAGCTTTCGACTCTTGCGCGGCGAGAACTGTGTTTCCAGACAGCTCCAAGCAGGCAAGACGGGTATAGAACAAGCAGAAGATGATCTTAATGTCGGTGGGTGAAACCAGCGATGAGGTCAAGATAGAACCAGCAAAGTGAGCGGCAATCAAGAAGCGGCCTTCGACCAGCAGTTTCTCTAATGCGCCGAGAGACGTCGAAAGCGGTTCGCCGGGGTTGAGGACGACGAAATCCGAGCGAAGCGGGGAAGGCACATCGATATGGGAAAGCGGATGGTAAATATTATGTCGTAGCAGAAAAGAAAGGTCTTTTCCATGGGTTTCAGGGAGTTCATCCGGGGATAGCGGGTCCAGCTTGTGAAGAGAAGCGCCAGAACAATCGTTACCGCCAGTAAAGATCTGTTGATTCATACTGGGTGAAGGCGCCGAGCCCGGGGATGACAGAGGACTACATAGGCCACGTTAGAATGAAAAAGATCAAGCAAAATCCAACGAAAGGACTGACTCATCAGATGCATCAAGCGGACCTCGTGTAGAGCTGCGGGGTCGCGAAGCTGGTGAATCGATCAGTATTGGTCTGGGATTATCGGAATTATCAAACGCCGAGAACCTACATCTAGAAGCATTGCGGTTGTGCATCTTCGGAGACAGCGACATATTCAGTCAAAGCCTCCTGTCTTTTTTTTATAAAAAAAAAAGCACCGGAACCAGCCTCAACGCTCCAAAACCTGCTGGGAAAGTTTGGGCTGGTAATTTCCGCCAGCGACAGCGGAAGCTCGCGATAAGCTATCGCATTCTGCCCAAGGCGGTGGGCGCCCGGATCTGGCGAGCTGGCGCGACACTGGCCTTCCCCGGGCGCGACAAGCTGCCAGCCATTCGCTCCCTACTCCTTTCCTTTCCTTTATCTCTTTTGATCGCACCTGTACTGGAGCCATAGGTTGAGACCCGACATTCCAATCTCTCACAATGGGCGACACCAAGAACAAGTACTCGGTTATCCTACCCACCTACAACGAGCGGGAGAACCTCCCTATTATTGTCTGGCTAATCCAGAAGACCTTTACCGAAAAGTATGACGATTGTTACAAAATCAAACAAGGGCTCACCAGCTAACTATTTTATTTCTTTTGAACAGCAAGCTTGATTGGGAAGTCGTTGTTGTCGACGACGGTTCCCCTGATGGCACGCTCGAGATCGCCAAGCAACTCCAGAAACTCTACGGCCCCGAACACATCAACCTGAAGCCCCGCGAGGGCAAGCTCGGCCTCGGCACGGCCTACGTTCACGGTCTTGTTCACTGCACTGGCAACTATGTGATCATCATGGACGCCGACTTCAGCCACCACCCGAAGTTTATTCCCGAGATGGTCAAGATCCAGAAGGAGACTGATGCAGACATCGTCACTGGCACCCGCTATGCGACTCGTGGGGATATCAAGGGCGGTGTTTACGGCTGGGATCTGTTCCGCAAGTTCACTTCGCGTACCGCCAACTTGATCGCGGATGTCATGCTTATGCCCGGCGTCAGCGACTTGACCGGTAGCTTCCGTCTGTACAAGAAGCATGTTCTTGAGAAGGTCATCACCAGTACTCAGTCCAAGGGCTATAGCTTCCAGATGGAGATGATGGTCCGAGCCAAGGCCATGGGTTACAAAGTGGAGGAATGCCCCATCACATTTGTGGACCGCATTTACGGTGACAGCAAGCTGGGTGGATCCGAGATTGTCGAGTACCTTAAGGGTGTGTTCAATCTCTGGCTGAAGGTTTAATTTCCTGAACACCTGAGCTCCGCTGTTGCACCAACTCTTATAATGTGTCGAAACTTCGCGCATCACAACTTGGGGCGTTTGAACCTAATTATAGCCCGTCCTTCGATATACCCCAACTCTCACATCTTCTCTGATTCCAAATCTTCATGATCCTGGGTGGTGTTTGAAATTTTTTGTTATTTCTGTATGCTGATAGAAAACCAAGTTCTATTCGAATCCTAGTCTATGAAATTTTATTTTCGCCGGGATTTCTAGATACGGCCTTTAGATACTTTGCAGATAACCCACGACGCGGTCAATCAGGTCCTTCTGGCCTTCATCCCTGACATTGTGGCTTGCACCAGGGACAATTCCACTCTGTTCCGCCCACTTTGCGCCTCCCGCCTCGAGGGCTTGCCTCCATCTCTGCATCAACTTCTCCTTATCAACCCAGGCGGGGCACCATTCGTCGGAGCCAGAGTAGAGGACCAGTAAATTGGACTGCAGAATGCCTCTGGATCCTACCACTCCAAATGTGTCCTGGTGGCGCTTGTCGCTCAAGTCCGAGCTGAAAAGGTCATCTGGCGAAGGATTGGCGGGGCTGTCCGGGCTCGCCAGGCTCAAGAACCGGCGAGCACTGAGTGGCGCATCACCTGGAAGGCCAAGCTGCGCAGTCATATTCATGGGCAAGATAGTATCCTTGCCGTCAGCGGTCCATGGCAGTGTCTTGGCCGAATTGATCAGCTGATCATAGACACCACGCACCTCATTGGGATTCTTGGCGAATTTCATGGTTGCTAGAACTGCCTCGCGGTCTGAAACGGGGGCTTGCATGATTGCACCATCGACTTCCGGTCGTACCAAGTGTGAAAGTCCGATATCAAACTCGGGCTTCGGGAGCGGGTTGGGCGAGTGTAGATAGTGGAGGACATCCTGGCTGCCAGTCGAGTGGCCCATGACCACAATCTTTGCGCAATTTGTCGGCGCTCCGGGTTGACGCGAAGCCTTGAGGTCTCGAATGTATCGGACGCAGTGGCCAATCTCTTCTACATCCTTGTCGAGACTGGCGACTCCGAATCCGTTGTATGATGAAGACAAAAGAATGGAGAATAGCGACCACTCGGTCGGTTCCAAGGCCTCTGCTAACTTCGAAACATATGGAACAGTGCAAAAGCCATCAGTCAACCCACCCACAAATATCAAGCTGTTTGGCTTGTTTACGCTGGACGGCGGCGCGAATTCGAAAGCCACCAGCCTCGGAGCCTGTAAGGAGTTAGAACACCCTTATTTGAAACTGGAAAATTGTATACATACATATTCGTGGAGAACTCCACGGTACGACACTCCACGGTCTGCGTTGAGAGCCATTGTGGTAAGAGAGTGGAAGAGACTGCAAGGAAAGCGGGCAATCGACGGTTGACGTCAAAGTAAGTCGCCGACCCACCGCGGGGCTCGGGGCGAACCCCTCATTCCTACTACCACTAGTATACCACATATACTACACAGTACATAGTAGTGAGTATGTACTGGGTATTGCCAGCACATGGTATCCCAGTCCAGGAACGGAATCAGCTGGTCTCCAACAATTTGCACTTCTCATTTATTGATGAACCGGGATGCTGCCACGCTAGCCAGTTCACGCGGGTAGTTTACGGAAGGGACAGTCACTGCAACGAGTAAGAATGGGATCATAGCCCTGTGAGTCTGCAGACTTCAGGTTTTCACATTTTGGATATCTTTTCTTCTAGCCAATATTCTCGCATTATCGGGTTATTGCATCTGTCGCCAGCTAAGCTACCCTACAAAGATCTTCCATCATCGATCCAAGGTCCTCCGTCGAAATGCCTCGGGAGCCTCGTTCGTCTTCTTTGAAGGTGGCACATGGTTATGCGCGGCCCACAAAGTCCATGAAGGACCCGAGTGAGGTGTCCGACTGGTACAGGATTGAACACCACATCGAAGGGCGTTGCTACAAATACCACCGTGAGTTTATGTGAGAAATTATCTCTGCCAAATATGGTCTCCGCACCACCATTCAACGAGTGGAAACTATATAAGAAAATTACGAGCTCTTCAAAAAGTGGCAAATATTGAATGTAGTAAGGACCAAATTAATGACATAGAGAATGAGATAGAGCAGTTACGAAGAGTTCGCAGAATGCAAGAGCTGGAACTATATGAAGCTGAATCAATGATTCCAAAAGGGCCAATAAGACGGGATTACAACTTACTAAGGAAGAATCAGAGATGTTATATGAGAGAAAGGCTCGTCGCTGACTGTGCGGCTCGTGGACGCTGCTGTAGCCGGGGATGTGGACGATCGGCGTCGTTTGATTTCGGACAGGGAGAAAGGCATAGGTTACTGCACGGAGGAATGTTCCTCTTGTTCTGCATATCAGGGGGTTGCGCTGTCGATGAATGAAAGGAACGACATTCTGACACGCTTTAATGGCCGCCTTGAGAGTGATGATTCTGTGTTCTTGGTAAGCATGATTGCAGCTTACCTCTTTAATACTGATGCAGTCTTCGTTTAACAATGTCTCGAGGTCAAAGCCAAAGCGGAAATCGCATTGCGTGATTGCATGAGTTTGCTTTTGGTATGCTACTGAGTTTTCCGAGTCGAGATTGACATTGCTCATGTAATATAAAAGAGACACAGATAACTCACTACATCGTCTGTCTGTACTTTGTATTTCATTCCACCCCAACGTCTAATCGCATCCCATTCTGGGGAGATTCTGGTGGTAGCTCGTACGTAATCCGTGTGCGTATCGCCTTTCTCGTGAGACTTTCTGCCATCGGAATTATGGCTGGAGCAGGGCCGTTGAAAGCCGACCGTGCTGCGGCGGTACAAAACTTACCTTTTGCGGAGGGTTTTCAGCTAATGTGGTGGTCAAGCAGCTTCGGTGCGCTATTGAATTAACTCCGAGTATTCGAGATATTTACACGTACCTAGATAGCTCGTAATTCATGTCACGGATTAGGAAAAGGTCTGTCGATGGACAAGGTTCGGGGAAACAATAAATCTCTGAGTATTTGAGACATGTCGTCAAGCTCCCTTGTGGACTTCTAATTTGGGCATCGGGCTGGATAAATTACTACAATGAGGTGGACGTATGGTGTGGAACACGAGATAGGAATGTATCCGTGGAAATGATGTGATGAATGGCAGAACGTCTGCCTAGCTGTACACTGCGAGAATTCAAGAGGGATACACATTTCAACATCGAATTGAACTTTCCTTATCAGAGCTCATGTCAGAGAAGCTTTGCAGCGAAAAATAAGTCCCTATTGGGAATAAAATCCTGGTATAGGGATTGGTAAATTCACTCCTTCACCATGCGTCATTTGTGAGACCTGTAACACTTGTGTATATTAGGAGCCTATTCCGCCCAAACCACCTACATACCACTTATCATTCAATCTCTTCCGACTCTCAGCACCGGGTTGCAATATCCTTAAAGTGATATCGCTGTAAGAAAGTCGTATGGCCTTGCGACAATAGAATCGTGTGTTGGTCAATCAAAATGCAATCCGAAACCTTTAGTCTCCTGAGAGCAGAACGAGACCTCAATTGAATGCTTTTCTTCACATGTTCCCTTGTAAAACAAATGTGTGTGTTCATTTGATTATTCGATACCACGCTACATGAGAGCCGCAATTGACAGCCCATCACTGTCGTGCTCGCTTTGAAGTTGTGTTGCTATCACATATATCTTTAGTGGTCGCATCACATGCGATGTGACCATGCCTAGTCTCCCACGCTGCACTGAGATTTTCAAAAGAGTGTACAGGGCAATCTTAGTGTAATATATGTATAGTTCGAATTTCAAACTATCTATTTCGCATGCTCTGGTGCTATAATATTTGTTATTTCAAGCCTAGAACTGATCTCAAGACGAGTTTGCCTCCGGCGTGGCGTGGGGAATGGAATTACCCGATTGGGTATAGCGCAAATTATCATTGCGACACCCGCGTTCTGCAAATCGACATTCCAAAGCATTTCGCACCTCACCGCGTCTTGCCTGTCAGTCTTATTTGTTGCCTCCAATCCAACGGGAAGCTTATCATCCAAGCTCTAGTTTTTATGGGTTCAGTCTGCTCGTTGCTAGTAGTCCGTCGCAGTGAAGATGCCCTCGACGCGCAGATCAGGTCGCGCGAGGACTTCCGCGGTAACCTACAACAGTGATCCATTCAAAGCTGCCGGGATCAGTGATGATGAGTCTGATGAAACCTTCGAGGAAAGGGTCAAACGGCTAAAACGGGAATCCCCGTCGGATGAAGACTTTGTCAGTGGGGATGAAGATATGGCCGACGATGGGGATGACGACGGAATGGAATATGGAACAGCCTCCGAAGGAGACGAAGAAAGAGCCGATGAAGACCACGATGAAGAAGCAGCTGAGGATAGGTTCGCTGATGAAATGGAGATCGATACTCCTACGAAACAATCCAATAAAAGGACTAGGTTCATGCGCGGACGGACAAAACAGCGCTTTTCCGACGGTACGATGGAGCTGATGCCACATGAAACGCACTCCCGAGGTGTACTGGACCACAATGTGCACATATCCAAAGTCATGCATCACATCCTTGCGTTAGGGTCCGACCAAAGGGATCTCAAAGCTGCTGTCTGGCAGCGGGACCGATGGTTTCGAGGCATTGACTCTTGCTTTCCCAGCCGATACACCTTAGACCGGCTTGAGGAAGGGCTCGATTACAAATACGGACCAACTTATGGTGTTGATTCAGAGGACCTTCAAGCAGAGAAAACTTCCGGATGGGACTGGTACTATGACAAGGACATCGGGGAACAGTTCCAGAAGAGACAACAAATTCTAAAGCTCACGAAAAATGACACGAACAAATACTTCGCCAAACTTCCAAAAGGACAACACACAGTTCTCATGGGACCGGCGGACGAACAAACAAAGATCGATCTGAAATACTATGACCCCTACAATTACGGCCAACTCTGGGAGGGTGCTGAGAGCAGAGCAAGTGATCAGCAATCTAAGAACACTGCCCGTGAAGGATGGCTCTTGAGCTTTGGCCGTAAAATCATGTGCACGGCCTGGGCACCGAATCACGATGGTGCATCCCAATACCTGGCAGTGGTCGTGCCAATAACCGAGGCGCAAAAGAAAAAATTCAACACTCCAGACCTCGAATCCGCGACACATTTTCAACCACGTCCTTCATATCCCTGCGCTATACAGCTGTGGGAATTCAAAGGCAAAAAGGCAGGCTCTTCAACCATGTCTCTTGATATGGAATCTAAACCGATCAGACGGCTGGTTGTTTGCACTGATTGGGGTGATATACGCCGCATATCTTGGTGCCCTGTGCCTCGAGAGAAGCGACCAGAGGATGAGCAGGGGAACTCGGAGAACATTGGACTCCTTGCTGGAGTCTGGGGAGATGGGAAAGTGCGGGTGCTGGATATCAAGGTGCGCCGGGGATCTCGGCAAGAGGAGCATGGTAAGCTACACTGTTTGCTTCATATGCCTATAGGAAAGCTAAAGAATATTGTGACTGACTGGCGTTGCAGTGAAAATTACCTCACCAGCATTTGAGGCACGGCCGCCATCGGCGCTCTGCTCATGTGTGACCTGGCTATCTCCCAGTGACATCGCAGTAGGATGCTCCGACGGCTACGTAGCGATTTGGAGTATTCTACCCACGCCCAGTCCCGATCCCCTTCCTTTCTTTTATCAAGTGATCCACCCAACCTGGGTGTTGAGTATCGCCTCAGCCTACCCGGCCCATCCGCATCTTATCAGCACGATCGCAATGGATGGTGAAACTAAACTTTGGTCAATGATTGATCCCTGGAGCGAAAACAGCTCAACGGTGCGTGTGCGAGTGGCTGTCAGCCATATCAGCTACTCGCCTGTTCTACAAGCCTTTTACTCTTTCGACGAGAACAACTTCATGCGCATGATGCCCATTCGCCGCTTTTTTGCATCGACGTCGATTGGCAAGCTTTCCAGCGGCGTGGCCAGTCTCGCACCCTGCAGCCCCTGGCACCCATCTATCCTTGTAGGTGGGACTGGAGGCGGGGTGATGGCCACCAACCCGTTCCGCAAGCTCCTCTACAGCAAAGAACAACAATGGCAACATTATTGGTTTACGCACGAGTGGGCACCCGGGCCGAGTCCAGAGAGCTCGGGCGCCAGTCGATTCTTCGACGGCTACATCGCGGAAAGTCAAGTGCTGGCTAAGAACCTGCCTGCGTCTGCCAGTGCGTCCAAACAACATACCGGTCCCAGCATTACCACCATCCATGAAGAGGGCACCCACGTCACCGCACTCGGGTGGAACCCCAATCGCCCATGTGCGGCCTGGGCTAGCGCCGCGATGGGCTGTGGTCTGTTGCGGGTTGAGGATCTGGCCATCTGACTTGACCAGCCACCAGCCGAGACCCTTGCCGACAGCAGATCCGCTAGATCATTGGAACTACGGTGTGTGACGATGCCGATCGGGAGGCGAAGGATCATTTGCCAGTGACTCGAGAAGCTAAGAAAAGTAACTAGGCAGCGGGCGGCTTCAACTGATGTATCAAGAGTGGAACCCCCAGCCACCGCGGAGGCACCAACATTGACGTTGAGGTGCTTACCTCAGCACCCCTATCACCGCAGCTGCCTGCCGTGGCGTTGCTGTGTGGAGACCCGCGCTGTCAAACCAAAACTACTTGATGAAAGCCACCCAAAAAAAAGTGGCTGGGCCCGTCTCCCCAGCCACCGGCCGATCCCAGCCAGCCGCTTTCTGTGTCGATCGCAGGGTTGCCATGTGGATCTTGTATATTTCATGCTGAGTAACACACTGATCGCGATCGATACCTCCGTCCACTTTTAAACAGACATTTCTTCATCCCATATGCAATCTATTCTACCTCAAATTCTCTAGTATCTAACTACTTTTCGTCTCCCTACCCCTCAGCGCGCTTGCTTTCTCATCTGTTACCGCCCATTGTTTACTTTCATCCGAATCCTTCCATTGACTATTTCCATCATGCATTTCACATCCGTCACGGCACTCGCTGCCCTCTCCTCCATCGGCGTGACCTACGCCGCGCCATTTGCCAACTCTCAGAAAGATATCGCTCGCAGGGCAAACTACGACGTTGTCAATGTTGGCGGCGAGTCCTCTAGCTCAGCCACTCCCGAAATTGAGACTGTCACCGAAACTCTCAACTCGATCGTGACAGCACCCGGTGCTCCTGCTGTACCTTCTACAGTGACGGTGACTGCCACGCCCTCCGTGGCTGCCACCTCGACCCCGGTCTCGCACAATGCTCCCCCACCTGGCGCCTCTTTCATGCCCGCACCGGGCTCTTCGTCCTTCTTCCGCCGGGGTCTGAAGGCCGCAGGTGACCCGCTCCTGTATGCCCGCAGCTGGGCTCCTTCGTCTAGCGCTTCCCTTGCGGCTCGCTACTGGTATCCCTCATCCTCTCTGGCCACCCCCAGCTCCCTGGCAGCTCGTCAATGGAGCACCTGGACTCCCTCGCTGTCCACACCCACCTCGAGCGTTGCTGCTTCCACTTCTTTGGCCGCACGCCAGTGGGGCGGTTTGTCTTCTTCGGTGGCCACTCCCACCTTGAGTGTGATTCCTCGCACTTCTCTGGTTGCACGCCAGTGGGGCGGCTGGTCTTCCAGCATCCCTCTGTCTTCTCCCACCTCCAGTGTGCCCGTCTCTGCTACTCCCCTGGCTGCTCGCAACTACAATGACGACTCCTACTACTCCTCTGCTTCGATCGCCTCTCCATCTCTGCCGAGTGTGAGCATTCCGGCCTCGCCTACTCCTTTTGCTCGCGGGGCTATCCAGAGCGCTCCTAGCTCCAGCCGGTCTCTCGGGGCCTCGTCCACCCTCCTGCCGTACTAAAGTAGGCCTGGGTGGTCTGCTGAGCCTACCGGTAATTGACGCTAAGTGATGAAAATGAACCTCCTGATGAAACTATGAAATCTTCGATGAGCGGATCAGTACGAAGATGAATGATTTGTGATGATGCGCGACGCGACAAAGACCTCTGCGAAAGTGCAGATGAGCCTTTGTTTTGTGACAAATTGCTTTCGACGGTTACGAACACGCATTTCCGGCGCTTTTTTCAATTTTTTTTTTCTTCTATGGGGATTATTTGGTGGCACGAAAACTCTTCGCCTTATGTATTTATTATCTTTCTGGACATGGTTTGAAGACTTTACGGACATAGATTGGATATTTCACTGGGAAGGCAAAGGCCACAAGAATGTCATATTGAAATAGGATGAAAATGCAAAACAAATGTCAAAAATTCAAAAGTCTCCACAAGGTAGCATTTGCGTGCAATGTAAAAAATCCCGATCTGACGCGTGAAGAACCCGGCAAAGGCCCGTTAGAAACAAACACTCAGCCTAACGTACGGAGAAGGGGCGGCGGACCGCTTAGTCATGATGCATTGGACAGGCGTCGTGACGGTGGTTGCCCCGAGTGACGCACCCGTAAACACCGCCGAGCGGCATCCCTCTGATCATCACCTCGACATTTAGCGACCGCCGGGTCTCTTTGTGCTTCCTTATTCATACCGCGCTCTTTTCCGCTCGTTCTTTACTCGAATCAATATTTTTGATCTTCTATTTCTCCGTTTGATTGAGCGAAGGCTGGCCGAGGCTCAAAATCGTTTACTATGCCCGGCACGGTGGCTGAGGGACCAACGGTCTCTATGTCCTGTAAGACACAGCAAACTCCGCAAGCGAATTTCCTGCAGCTAACATATTAAAATGCAGTTGCGAACAATTTTTGGGGAAGAGATGATGCAGGTCTACAGCCTATGCTTGACCGCATGCACGCATCGAAGGTAACGAGCGATGAATTGAAGGTGTTCTACAGCGGTACGTCACAGGTGATCGGTAGCACCTAGCTGGGCCAAATCACTAATTATCCTGAGCAGTACGTGCCGCGATCGAAGACGAGTATGCCCGAAAACTACAAGCGCTTTGTCGCAAGTCGCTAGGATCGACCGAGATGGGATCGCTCCGACTTTCACTGGATGTGGTTCGCGGGGAAACCGAAGCCATCGCGAAAGCGCATTCCGCAATCGCGGGTCAAATGAAGAGTGAACTGGAGGAGCCGCTCTCTGCTTTTGCCAGTGGAATCAAAGAAAGACGGAAGATCATTCAGAATACGATCGAACGCCTTCACAAGACCAAAGTGCAACAAACACAAGCTGTCAACAAGGTGAGGCTTACGTATTCGAATTGCGGAAGAGCTTGAACACTGACTTTTACTTAGACCCGGGATCGATATGAACAAGACTGCTTGCGCATTAAGGGCTATCTCGCCCAGGGACATATGGTGATGGGCCAAGAGGAACGCAAGAACAAGGCCAAGCTCGAGAAGACTCAGATCCAGCTTGCTTCCAACAGCCAGGAATACGAAGCGGCAGTCAAGGTCCTCGAGGATACAACTGGTCGGTGGAATAAGGAGTGGAAGGCTGCATGCGACAAGTTCCAAGATCTTGAGGAAGAGCGCCTGGATTTCACCAAGAGCAGCCTGTGGACGTACGCAAACATCGCATCGACTGTCTGCGTCAGCGACGACGCTTCTTGCGAGAAGATTCGACTTTCTCTCGAAAATTGCGAGGTCGAAAAGGATATCGTTCACTTTATCAAGGAGCGAGGCACTGGTCAAGAGATTCCCGATCCGCCACGCTTCATCAACTTCTGCAAAGAAGACACAGAAACCGGATCGGAAATTGACGAAGGAGAAGGCTATTCTGTTGCCCAATTCCAGCGGACCATGAACCCGGCCTTTCGCACCTCTTCTCCTCAGCCTTCGACTTTCGAGTCCCACCATGATCCCCAGTCCGATCTCGCAGCCCAATTGGGTCATCCAGTGCTGCCTGCTCAGAACAACGCGCAGAATGCCATGCCGGACAATATGCCCACTGCACCTAGCGCGATGCCAAACAATATTCCTAGTGCCATGCCGCCTCCCCCGAGTGCCATGCCTAGTAACATGCAGAACAATGCTCAGCAGCCACCTCCTCTGGATCTTCGCCGCGGTGGCCAGCTTCCGCCCAACTATGACCCTGATCAGCATGGCGAGATCAATGCTGTTCCTCATAACGCCTACCCTACGGATGGCATGACAATGTTCTGCCGAACTGGTCCTCCTTCAGAGCGGAGCTCGGCCACCAGTGCATACCGACCATCTAGCCGTGACTCTCAAAGCGAGGTATCGAATCCCACTTCCATGTCGAGTGTCGAGCAGCCGATCGCCGCGAAGCCTCCTCCCAAGCCGACGAACAGCGAGCCTCTACCGAGCCAGAGGGAAGACAAGCAAGCGACCCCGAAGAAAAAGACCGCCTTCTTCAGCAACAGTCCGTTCCGACGCAAGAGCCGTCACGACAAGGAGAGACCAGCGATCGGATCTCAGTCTTCACGAAGCCCTTGGAGCTCCCCTACAAAGGAAACCAGCCCGGCTAAGGCGCCCCAGCCCCAGCCGGAGCGACACAGCCGGAGCCCCGAACCCGTGGATCCTCGAGCCAACTTCCAACTCAATGTTGGCAACAATGTCTTCGATGTTGCTTCCCCCGACAAGAATGGAGCAAAGGGGGCGGTGCAGCAGGCAAAGACTGAGGACGATACCGACCCTATCGCACGTGCCTTGGCTGATCTCAAGACTACCGGGAAGCAATCCACTCTTCGCGTCTCGGCTGATCGCTATCATGGAATTCAAACTCCGACTCCGTCAGCTCCATCGTCTGCCTACGGGGGTAGCTCATCTGGTGCCCCTCCAGCATACAACGACCCCACGGTGAAGCGTCTTGATGCTCCCGAACCAGCCTTTACGTCCAAGCAGATGCAAAAGACCACCCAGAGATACACTGGACAGACGCAGAGCATGCTTCGTGGCGGCTGTAGCAACCCCAACATGCCTCCCCCCGCAAAACCCCAAGAAGTTCCCCGGGCCAGGTCTCCTGCCCCCCGACGAAGCGCTAGTCCCCAGGTATCTCCGCGAGTCGATACTCGGACTGGTTACAGTGGTGGTGGAGCTAGCCCAGCCCCGAGTCCCACCACATATCAGTCAAGCAGCATCCGCAGCCGGTACAGCCAGTCACCTACTCCGCGTCGTGCACAGGATTCGCCCTACTCGTCAAACGACTATGCCCGTCGGGCTTCCCCGGCCGCAAGTCACCGCGCTGTTTCCCCTCAGCCTGCATTCAGACAGCAGACTCGTCCTTCTAGCGCTGGTGGTATGGAGCTCCAGCTGTCCGGTGGCCAACCAGATATGTATGCTGGCTCGAACTACGGATCTACTCGACGTGATGGCCGGCCCGTGTCACAGTACGGCGATGCCGGCGGTCCTCCAGTGGGTCGCTCTCGTAGCCGCACTCTTGCGGTTGCTGAGCCAGGTAGAAAATTCAGCCGCGACGGACGTCCGATTCTGCATTTTGGTAAGCATTCCCTTGCCAATTACGCCTCCTTCCTTTCCCCTGGACTTTCTGAGCATCAGCTAACCTGGCTTTTTTTATAGCTCGCGCAATGTACAGCTACACTGCAGCAATCCCTGAGGAGCTCGGCTTCACCAAGGGCGATGTTCTGTCTGTGATTCGTCTACAAGATGATGGCTGGTGGGAAGCCGAAGTCACCAACGCTCGCGGACATCCCGGATTGGTGCCAAGCAATTACCTCCAGATCATCTAAGATCGGAATTTTTTCGACACTCACGAACCGCCACGACCCTCTCACAATCTCTCGTCCTGACGGGGCACTTTTTCTTGTGTTTGCCCCCATTTTTGCTTACGCTCTCACGTAGATACCATGCTTTTCGCCGATCTGACTCTTGCGCATTCACGATCCTTACTTCGCTTGCCGCGACCTTCGACTATTTGGCGCTTTACCTGCGCATTCTTTTTCATTCTTCTTTGCTCGGAAACACAGTCAAATATTTTTCCATCTTGTACCCGCGAATATGCCAATTTTTAGTTTCTTTTGCCAGGGAAATTTTTGGGGTTTGAGCGTGTCTGGCCCGTTTGGGCGTTTGTGTTTGAAAGGTTTTTACTAGTTCTTTTTTATGGCGAGATCTGCTGGGCCAAATTGCACGAAAAATGATCTCGGATCATGTACGTTAGGATATCATGGTTGATTGAAATTTTTTTCTCTTCTAATTTCACGACATTTTCCAACCCTGTTCTGAAGCACGTCGCACGTAAGAATGAGTAGTCTCCTTGCGGGATCGGAGTTGTCGGCCCGCCGACTGCCGATCCTCAGGAACAGCCTTGCCACGCGGAGGTCCCTAGGTCCCTGCGCCCCCACGTCATGCTTTCCCAACTCGCCCCGTCCTTTCACCTCGTCGGCAGAGAGAAAACATCCGCCACAACTGAAGAATTTCAGCGAAAAAGCACCCCTCGGTCAGTTGCGAAGCTGCCAAAATTCCCGATACTGCTCTTTGCGTGCCGATTTTCTTTACCTTGGGTTCAACAATAGCCGACAATGGCGGCGCAGCCTGCGAAACCCCGGAATTGCGCCGGCGCAACTTTGGACTATATTGGAGCACGCCACGTTGGCGTAGGTCCCGAAGTATCCAGTTACACAACACAAGCCGTTAAAATCCCCATGCGAGATGGCATCAAGCTGGCTGCAGACCTCTATGCACCGGAGTTGCCCAGCGGCCAGACACCGGCCGGATTAATTATGATACAATGTTGTTACGGTAGAGGGGCAGGTATCTCATTTATCAATGCCCGTGTATTTGCTGCTCGAGGGTATCGAGCTCTCATGGTGAGTACACGCGGTACTGCTGGCTCCGAGGGGGTCTTCGACCCCGGTAGCAATGAGCAGTTCGATAGCCAGGATATTGTCGACTGGATGCGTCAGCAGCCCTGGTACCCTGGATCCTTTGCGACGATGGGCGCTTCATATCTTGGTTACAGTCAATGGGCTCTTTTACAGAATCCGCCTGAGGATTGTGTTGCCGCTATCATTCCTGTTGGGCCTCACGATCATGCCTGGCATGCATGGGGTACTGGATCCTTCCGACTTGATCGTGCATCCTGGAGCGACGTAATGTCAAAGGGGGAAGAAGAGAGCGGAAGTATTGTGTCGCGATTGGCAAATATACCCGGGCTGAGCTTTTTGAGGTCAAAGGAGCTTGAAGAAGCCGTCGCTGGTCTGCCACTAGACACTAGCCTCCAGCGATACTTCGGTGACAGAGCCCCGTGGCTTTTCGAGTATCTAAAGCACCCTTGCATTGATGACGATTACTGGACTTCGAGAAGGCATAATGCTACTCTTGAGCGTGTGCAAATACCCATTTTACTGGTGAGTGGTTGGTGGGACACGTTTACGACGCAGACAATGCATCAGTTTAAATATCTCCGTGATCGAGGTGTGAATGTCAGCCTCATAGTCGGGCCCTGGACGCATGTTCAGGGATCTGGTATTCATTCTATGCCTGAAATAATGGACTTTTTGGCCGAGCATCTGGCCAAAACTGGCAAATACAGCCATCCTCCTGCTCGGATACATATCACCGGATCTAAGGAGTGGCGCTCAATGCCTACTTGGCCTCCAGTCACCGAACCAAAATGCCTTTTCCTGCAAGAGTACAACAAAATTGGATCGAAGCTACCCTTACAAAATGCACCCGAAGCTTCCTTCGTCTTCGACCCGTTGGATCCTACTCCCAGCATTGGTGGCAACCAAATATCCTCCGGTGGACAAGTGAACGACTCTGCCTATGCCGACAGGTCAGATGTTCTAGCTTTTACTAGCGAGCCTCTAGCACAGGCCTTTGAAGTTCTAGGGAAACCGTGCGTTTATCTAATGCATGCCAGTGACCCCCCATTTGCAGACTTGTTCTTGCGTCTCAGCGAGGTAGATATCGAGGACGTGTCCCACAATATCACAGAAATGTACCATGCGCTGGATCCCTCGCGGGATATGACTCAGCCCTTAAAGCTGGAATTGCAAGACTGTGCTCATCGGTTCAAGAAAGGCACGCGCGTGAGACTTTTAGTCGCCGGTGGCTCTTTTCCGATGTACGCAAGAAACCTTGGGACTGCCGAGAGCCGGGTTTTCGGCACAAAAACGGCTCCTCAAAGACATACTTTGACTATTGCTGGCGGCGTATCGCAGCTGGTTTTGCCTGTTGCTGCTGATGCTTGAATTAAACATGCCTAGCAGGCTAGTGAAGGTCGGCATTATGTTCAAGTGTCAATGCATTCATGTCACTGAGAGCTTAGAACACTAATTATTTTACTCATACTCACTACACGCAATACTTTTTTTAAATATACCTACAATTTAAGCAGATGCTACATCGTATCCGCGGATTGGCAAAACATACTTAAGGTAGCCCTCGGAGATAAATGCCCTTTTGGTCAGTTCAACTGTCCAGACCCTCACACAATCCCGAAAAGGAACTTAGAATAAATAATATTAATATTATCGAATTCGAATAGACCCTTGAAAGATTTTTTCGAATACGAATGAGGAAAAACCTTATTCGAATCCACCCCTAAGTGTGATCGCCCGGCAATGATCAAATATGGCCAGCTCTTCCGAGCTAGTATCATCATCACTAGCAAATCCGTGATTAAGTGGAGTGCTAGATGTGGGATACCGGTGGGATAGTGGGATACCGGTGGGAGCCGAATAGCTCTCCATGTTAGATGCTGAATAACTAATCAATTTTTCATGATGACAAATTATTTAACTGGGGTTGCGTACATCCTGATTCTGGCAACCGTGGTATGCCGAATAGATGATACGGATCAAATTAGAATTTTGATCACGTGGTTGCGCTCTTATAAACCCGGATCTTCCAGGCTTGTTCGCTCAATACAATTACCATTCATCCATTCATTCATTCCGATAGATTGCACAACTTTGAATCTAATATGAAAGAAGTTATCAACCTTGCTGGACCGACTGTTAAGATCGTTGACAGTCAAATCCCGGAGCCAAATGATGATCAAATCCTGATCAAAGTTGTTGTGTCTGGGTCGAACCCAAAGGATTGGAAGGCCCCAGAACTTGCAGCCTTAGGGGATACTAGCAGTGGGCTCCTCCTGAAAATTAGCAATGGAGTGAATCAGGGGGATGACATTGCTGGCTTTGTTGATAAAGTCGGCTCGAACGTTGTGGAATTTAAAGTAAGTTTCAGAGTCTCTATGTCGGGTACAAGCTAAATTCTTCAGCCTGGGGACCGTGTCGCTGCTTTTCACGAAATGTGCACACCCGGTGGCTCATATGCGGAATATGCGATTGCTTGGAGACATACGACCTTTCACCTTCCAAAAAACACGTCATTTGAAGGTACACAAGAAAGCTGTCTTATGTTAAGGCTCTAGACACGACTAACATACTACCAGAAGCCGCAACGATTCCTCTCGCCGCTTTGACTGCTGCCGTATCTTTATATTCGCATCATCGCCTTCCCGCTCCATGGGTCCCCGCTCTAAAGTCCATGCCACTTATTGTCTACGGCGCAAGCGCGGCGGTGGGATCATATGCTATTAAATTAGCATGTAATAGCAATATCCATCCGATCATCGCAGTCGCAGGAAAGGGATCTCACTACGTGGAAAGACTTATTGACCGGACCAAAGGTGACACAATTGTTGACTATCGCGGGGGGGTAGAGGCAACAGTCAAGGGTATTATGGACGGCCTTGAGTCAGCGGGCCATTCTGTCGTGCGAAATGCCGTTGATGCTGCTATTAACGTGCAGAGTAAAGAGGTGTTACGGCAATCGGTTGCACCCGATGGGCGGATTGATTTCATATTCCCTAATGACTTTGATGTATCGCCTGCAGTCAAGTCAATTACTCATGTGGGATCAGTTCACAAGGAGCCTGGATATGAAGATAACGAAGAACTGGGCTTGGTCTTCTCGCGGTACTTTACCAAGGCTCTCCAAGACAAAAGTTTCTCGGGCCACCCTTACGAGATCAGGCCGGGTGGTCTGGAGGGTGTCGAGGGAGCATTGAAGGACTTGAAAGATGGCAAAGCAAGTGCTGTTAAATACGTCTTCCGCATTGCCGACACCCCTGGAGTTGCGCAACATCGATAATTATCGATGAAGGAGATTTACATCTGCTAGGATAGGACGCGGCTAGACATCTCGTTACTGGACGGCCTTCGTACACTTCCGTACAGGCATTGTGGACCAACCGCACGCAAGAGATAAACTCCCCACCGCACAAAATTCGTCAGTTTTTGAATTAGCAATTATCTCAACAGTATACAAACAGACTGCCAGGTAGTTAAAAGGTCGGAGATTTTGCTACCTTTGATGCATCCTGCATACAGTACTAGCTTATACTGTATATGTCCATACCGAGAACATCTTTCGGGGATTTGGATCTCCAAGCTAACAGACAGGCATATTTCGTCGTATTGTCCAGATCCAGAACTCATTTGCCGGGATCTGGACCGGAGGCAAATCAGGCGTTTTCATTGCTATATAAACACTAGGAGATAATATGTAAAGTTCCATAGAATCATTTCGTTGAAAGTCTTGCAGCGAGGAACAGGCGAAAACCCCCTTATAGATCATACGCCCTATATCTAGTTTCACTTCAGTATATGTATACTTGGTATTTCAGACTTCAGGCCTGTACGTACCAACGTTACGGGGAGGTTTGGCGGAATCCGTCCATCTTTCAATAAAAGCGCAACAGATCGACGAGGTGTCGCCTGTAACCTGCGGAATGCTTCGCGTATATATTTGGGAGTAAGGGCCCTCTTACGGCAGACCTTTTTCGCGCTGAAAGGACCACCATCATGTATATAACTTCCCGCGGCATCGCATATGGCTTTGATCCGATTGTCAGCATCGAATTGGCCTTCTTTCTCCTTTACTTCCAGCGCCTCCTCAGTCAAGGTTTGGACGACATCAAACCCTAGAAATCCCAAAACATCGATCACATCATCTTCAGGTTTGGCATCGATGAGGGTATCAATCGCAGCCCTGGCACGAAACCGCTTGGCTCGGCGAAAGGTAAAGGAAGCATGCCGATATTCCGACCAGAGAAGGTATTCCTCCATCGATATTTCTTGGTGCGTTCGTCCGCAGCAACAAGCCGCCGAAAATTGCCTCGTTTTGCTCATTCCCGATCTTTTTTTCAAGGCCTTCGGACCCCAAAAGATCAATCGAATATAGGCTGCCAATATCCCAATGTATTCCGGGTTTCGTTTCTTGCCTTGAGAATTTACCACGGGGTCGACGGGTGCACTAGTTTCTGTTCCAGCCTGCGTATCATCAATGAGCCCGAAGTCCTCTTCGTCCGGTAATGTCTGGTCCTCGGAATCTTTCGCGCTCCTGCGGACTCTTTCTAGTAAAGAGTACGTAGGCGTGCGGTTTTGGTTTTATTGTGGCGAATCAAGAAAAGAAGATCATCGGCAGAGATAGAACGAGAACCACGACGAGCTGCGAGCGAGGTACCCCGTGCACGCTGGATTGACGTTAAGAAATCCAGATATATTGTCAGGGGAGGGGGTACAGTATCTACCATTTCCATCACTTGCTGACGTATTAGCTCTTCAATCAAGTCCGTAGTGTTATCTGATGGATCAGATTCATCGCCGGAGACAAACATCACCTGTCCCAAAGATGATTAGCCCTTTACCGGAACTTGACAAATTGTGCACAAATTTACTTCCAATTGTCCATGAGTAGTATTGGCTTCACAACCTATGCTGGAGACAAAGAAATCATATGTTGCTGAGCAATGTATCCATACCTACTGTATCTCTTGGCGGTATTTTGGCGACTTTTCGGCCATTTTGAAGGATTGGCAAGCTCTCTGAGCATAGCCACCGTTGGCTCCGTGTACGCTAATGCCAGTCTTACTCTTCTGAAAAAGGGCCATGAAAATGCGGTTCCTCTTTACTTTAACTTGTATGTCCCGAGTCTCGCTCAAAAATCGACATTAACTACAAAATTCATAATGGGTTAGTGCCCACGACACTAATATTACGCCCATTCTTGCAGCCCTGGGTATCCTCATTCCAGATGAGGATCTTTTGAATCACATTTCGTTCGGCAATCCCTACTCCACTTGCGATATTGTTCTTCAAGGTGGTCATTTCATAATTGAGTGTCTGAAATGCAATGTGCCGTGTTATCGAGTACCGGCATCTATGTCTGCCTCGCACTCAATGAGGTCGTGGTTCCATTGAAGGACTGCACTTCGGGCCCTGGCTATTCTTGCTCCCTTGAGTACACCTCGATTGTTTCCAGCAATCTCGTGGAATATGTTCCCACTTGCAAGGTCCCTTCGTCCTTTCATCAGTCACTGGATTTCTGGTGGAACTATAATACTACCACAAAGTTACACTATCGGACTACCCCCGGTGCATGCCAGGATGCTGGGGGGATGCAGTGAGCAAAAGTGTATATAAAACATTGTGTTAGGAATGAAGTGAAGGATGTCTTAAGTAAGTCAATCTATCCGTTAACTGGGCATGTTCGACTATTTTCCACATTGAAATCAAGCAACCCTTCGTGTAGGGACATACAGTAATCAAGATTAGATTGCCAAAGGCGCCGCCTGTGGTCTGAAAGCTGGTACGTAAAAGTACATTGATATCCACAAAAGAAAGACGTAGGCACAAACCATGGAGCCCAAGAAAGGTGAAAACGCTGACAGACAAGGGTATATTGAGAGGGAATAGAGATACACGCGTCCCTCCCAGCGAAAATCATAAGTACACGGAAAACATCACGGGCCACGTCATCAGAAACAGCACATTACTCATTGTCCACGAAAGAGTTAGCGAAGCGGCCGATGAATGGTACCTCAAAGTGGTCCAATGTGTCAACTAGTAGCAAGAAAGTTAGTCAGATGCTTGATGACCATAATGAACGGGAATCAATCAACAAGGAGACTCACCATCACGATAAGCATGCATGCCGAGGAACCCAATGAGCAGAATGTCAATTATGAAGAGAGTCCAGGAGAGGAAGGCAGACCAGGCGAAGATGAGGTGGATGATCTGGATTGTGTTAGTTAGATGTTCAAAAATTCGAAGTCGTTCAGACTTACGAAGATAGCGCTGAAAAGCATGCTCGATTGCCACGCGTGGAACCTGGAATACCGTCAGCCTCGTTTCTTAGACACCAATTGAATTAAATTGGCGAGTTCCTTACCGAACATAGTCACTCTTGTGCTCTGTCAAAAGCAGGAATACGCCCCCCGCCGGAGGCAGAAGCAAGTATGCGAGCATGGCCTCCACGTCCATGCGAATCGGCAGGCTCGTCTCAAAGGCTCCCAGGCTTACATGGCCACCTTCCACGTCCCGTCCGAAGCCAGTGTTCCCATAGCCTCCGCCAGTGAAGTGGCTCGGCGACGGCAGATCGGCCGATGCCCGGGGCGAGCGGTGATTAGGGGATTTGACGCGACCCTCGGGGTTAGGCGGGGAGAAGGCCCGTTCGATCTCGGGCGACTCGTCCTGGTAAGGGGCGAAATTCATGGTGGCACTGTGACTGACTGGGGAGAGAGCAGAAGCAGGTACCGGGGCAGAAACCGGGGAAACCGACGGGGTGCTTCAAATAATAAGCTTATCGCGACTATCGGGGCCAAGCGCGTACCTTTGGTGCCGTCCGCGTCTCGTTTCTGCCTCAGGCCACAATATTTGGATATGGGTATCATCTTGAATTTGGAGTTATATCTTCATGGAATACATTAGGTATGGTACATTGAAAAAGCAACATTTCAAGGCCTAGTCCTGCCCCGGGCGATCCCACTACCTCTAGCAATCCCGCTGACCGGTCTTCGGGCCGTTGTTGAAGAGCCACGCGTGGCCCCTGTTCGACTGGTGCTCACACTGGGTGTCCTGCCTAGGCCAGTGCTGCGGACGGTGCCCCGACTGGTGCCCCGACCGGGCTTGGTGTTCAAAGCGCGTCGTCTTTCGTCGTCCTCTGCCTTTCGAGCGGCGGCCTCACGTTGTTCTTGAAGTGCCCGCTCCCGCCGCTCTGCCGCTTGCTGTTTTTGTATAGCTTCATTCTCCATGTCAGCCACATCCTGGGTGGCGCCTTGCCAATTGGGGTTGAGAATCAGCCTTTGATTATGCTCGGTTTGCGAGAGAATTCGGGTCCAGGAGTTGAGGAGGGTGGAGGCGGATGTAACTGTTTTCGATACGGTCTACAGAAGGATCGTAAGCTGGTTGGTCTGGTGTTTCGTTTCGGTTGGGCTAGCAGTTGGTTGACGTACCTCCATGTTTCCTTTAGCGCGATCAATACTGCCGAGCAGTCCTTCCAGAACTTCGTTGATGTTCCGCACGCTCTGGAGCTCGTTATGAAGAGCTGCCTCCCGGGCTTCTTCGCGGTCGAAAACATTGTCGCCGCTATCTTGGACCGGGCGGGGTTCCGGTGCCATGCGTTCATCAGAGGACCGCTGTTTGAGCTGAGAACGGGAGCTCTTGGGGTTGCCTCGTTTGGAAGGAGAGTCCCAGAGGTTATCGGTATCCTCGTCGGAAAGCTGCAGCCTCTCCATCTCCTCGGCGGTACTTCGAAGAGTCATCCTGGACAGAGGATGTGGTTTGGTTGATCGCTGTCAATTGGTGCTGTGTACGCGCGTATTTGCTGGTAATAAACAATGGTCTGCTGCGCGATGTTACGAAACCCCCTGAGTGTCGGGGTCACCGGATAGGAAGTTTGTCAACAAACGATCCACGGAATAGCTGCCAGCTGCGTCGTATCCGTTGATTTGATTGCGGGGCCCAGCGAAACGATTTGAAATGATACGGAAGCGGTGAGTGGTTCACCGCCTTTCACCGCCTTGCTGCCAGTAACGAGGTGGCTGGGCTGCGATCCGCCAAACATGCGCCCTTGAATGGACTTCACCCTTCTTTCGCATCTCACGCTTCTGCATCTCCCAACTCTCGTGCATATTGTTCTGACTGTGTGTTCTTCTTGATACTTCTTGTTTATTGACGCATTATTCGTTCGGTGATTCTGATACACATCTCCAATCTGTGGCCCGAGTTCGTTTCACCCTTGATTCAAACAAACCAGTAAGTTCATACGCGCCCTAACCGGTCGCTCTTGGTCTGACCCTATCAGAAAGCACTGTAATTGTTGTGGAAGCTCTTTTGCTATCAAACAAAGCCGATCGTTCATAATGGCATCCACTCCCCCGCCTCCCTCACCGTCATCGTTGCGGACTCCGGCCGCGCCACGTTATGGTGGTGGTTATGATCAATATTCGCCGTATCCAACTCGATCGTCAGCCAGAATCGCCAACCAGAAGGCTGCAAGAGTCGCCAAAAAAACCCCAGAGCCCGTGTCAGACTGCCCCAGCTCGCCGAGCAAGTCGCGTTCAAAGAATGGAAAAGTGGACGTTGGCGCAGCCGCTCCAAGTAGCAGTGCGAGACAGCCTGTGCGAAACCGTGGGGTGGCTTCAAAACAAAAGGCGCCCGCTGACGTCCCGACCTTCACTTTCGACGACTACGACCTGTTGTCCCACAGTTCTCCTCGCTCCCGCTCGCGCCCGACGGTGAGCCAAGCCGCGCTCCCAACGCCAGCCAAAACGCCTTCCAAGCGCAAATTGCCCTCCTCTGACTTTTCATCCGCCTCCCGTTCTCTATTCCCCATGCAATCTCCGGCGCGACGCAAGAAGCGTGCTCCCCTCTCGCTGGACAGCTTCGAATCCACTGCACCGGCCGAGATCCAAATTTACACCGATTCCCGTGATCGCGTCCCGAAGTCTATCACCGGCATGGACACTCCCTTCAACAAAAAAGCCAACCAGCACAACTCTGGCGCCGGATCAAACTCTCGGACACCCAAGCGTTCCCGCAGAGGTGGACATGGGGGCATGGAAACTGAGTCGTCTGAACCTGTTGTCAATGATCAGTAAGTTTAGCCTCTTTCTGCTCGCATGATGATCCATGGCAGTACTAATTAGAATTCCATAGACACGCTGACAACCACGATACCGATATTGAGCTCGATGAGTCCATGGATGTTGATGCGATGCCTCGTGCCAACGAAAAGCAGGACTCGATTGCTCGTGCTGGTGGCATGACCATGATCTTGTAAGTTCTTTCAAAATTCACCCATCCGGAAGCAATACTGACCTGCATGCTTTATTCAGCCGTGGCAAGAAGATTTTTAACGACTTTGACGACGAACTTTCTGATGATGGCGAGGACCTGGGCTTATTCGCCTCTCGCCCTGACCTGCTGCAGGATGCCGATTTCAGCAGCGTCAAGCCATTGACCCGCAATTCCATCAAGCCCCGTCGTCTCTTTGCCGAGGCAAAACCCCAACCTCAACTGCCGATCGAGGAAGAGGCCACCGATGATGAATGTCACCCCGAGGCTGAGTCTGAGGCACTCCCTGAGGGCTCCCAATCTCCCTTCACCCCGCAGTCACCTGAGTTCCCTCGCGCTCCCGATGGCACGCGCAATCTCCGCTCGGCTGCTGGACATGGCAGCGCGCTTGATGCGACCCCGACCGCCTCTGCGTCAAAGTCGAAGTCGGATACCCAACGCAAGACTGCTAGCCCGTTCTTCCAGTGGTTGCGACAGAAGCCCTCGCCCGATGAGCTCACGTCGACCGGAAGCTCGCCCACTAAGCGTGGACGCCGCGCCGGGAGCCCAGACGCGCGGTCTACTAAGAAGACCCGGAGCACTCGTGCGACTGCTCAGTCCGAGGCTGTTGAAGAAGATTCGCTTTCGTAAGCTCATTGCGACGGTGCACTGACTGGCAGAGTTATCTTACTCTTTCGTGTCTCTTTTCTTACGTCCTTTTTTTTTTTTTTTTTTTTTGCAAAGCAAGGAATTTTTTCGTTCTTCATTTCGCCCCTGGAATCGGCCATCCAGAGCACAGCGATTTGCTTTAAATACCCATGGTTCTTTCTCCGGCTTGGATCTCTTTTTTTTCTTTCCTTTTTTCCCCTACTTTCATTATGATTCATGTGCTCTGCTTTTTTTTACTTTTTTGCTTTCTGGCGCGTGCGTTCGGCGTCAGATTACGGGATACCAGACAAGGTGTCTACCTCTGGGACTTTCTGGGATAAAATGAATGGTGCTACGAGGCATTCTACCTCAGTGGTTTTCTTTTTTCAATGGTACTTCTTTTGCCTCAGGCTCTTTTGTAGGTGTTTCCCTGTTCCCTGCTGGCAAAAAATTGTCGCAGTCTACAAGGAAATGATCAAAATGATCCTTCCCTCTTCATGCACTTGTCTAAATGAAAATTTATTATCTTCATAGTTGACCTTATATCAACAAGTAGCCCCGGCAAAATGACCGTTCGTGCACTTGCTACAGCCGACAGTAATACAATTATTCAACCGGCATCCACATAGCAGTTTTGGGGGGACCATTTGCATTTCCTCGATCAATGCAACAGGTGTACTTTATTTGAGTTTCGTGACACGTTAGGTAAGGTAAAAACAACCTGGACAGCCTACCATATGGTACAGCTGAGAATGGACATTTTTCACTCCGCTCAAATGATATCCAGCTCATCGTCATCATCGTCATCCGACATGATCCGCCTTCCTCCAGTGGCCGTCTCTGCGCCAGCTCCCAGACTTTCGCGGCCAGCCTCTCTAATTCCCTTGGACGTGATAAACCGCGTTTTCTTTACACCACTTCCATGTGGCTTGTCATGGGCTCGCTTCATAGGACTAAGCCGAACATTGTCTGCCTTGGCAGACAAGTTCAAGCCGTGACTGGATGGAACCGCACTCGGTGTACTTGGTGCATCCGCTTTAGATGGCGTCTCATTGCCAGTCCGAGCACGAAGATAGTCTGCACCGGGGCCGCTGACTTTGCCAGTGACAAGCTTTCGAGTGATATCGATTTCACGCTGTTGGGTGGCGAGGCGTCGACGCAAGCGTTCTTCTTTGCTTTCCTGGCCACGCCCGTTCATACCAGCTGCAAGAAAGGGGTCATCATGGGCATCAATGAGCGAGGCTGCTGAGCCTCTTGTGGCGGCAGGATGGTAGGACGTCCGGCCATTACCCATATTTTTGGCAGAAGGCGCCACATAATAGAGCGATTGGGAGCTCCAATCGTACTGAGCACCCTCTGACTTCAAGCCTTGCTTAGCTCCGGCTCCTCTCCCTCTGCCACGGCCACCGTCAAAAACTCCAGTCCGCGAGCCAGAATTGCCTCCAGGGCCAAACATTCCTGTATTGCTATTGACTCCCATGCGCTGACCTTGGGTGCGCCGTACTTGAATGTCAACGTGAAAATCACAGAACTCGGTCTTTCGCCCATCCACCCATGATTGACAGGTTTTGCCATCCTTCCTCACAGCTTTGCAAAATCCGATGTCTCGAGCATAGCCAATCTCGAGCACTTTGTCATCAGATGAGGACAGAGACAAGCTGAACCGATTGGTATCCAGTTTGTGTTTCGGAGGGGGCATGATTGTGGGGTTCAAGATTGCAATAAGTGTTCCCTCGGACATTTTGTAATAACGGGTGTAGGCTGTTTCAAAAAGGAATAGGTCAATGGTCCACTTTAGATCCGTCAAAGTCATGACCATATAGCTGTTTGTGTTGCTGCGGCCCTCGTCGTAAGGGTCAACTTCTTTTGCGGTGGAATTCTCTGGGTTCTTTTTCTGCCTTGGATCAGATTTGGACGCAATAATTCCGAATACCACATAGTCCCCATCAATCTCCTCAGGGAGCTCAAAGGACGGCGCCTTCACGGTCTTAAGAAGATCAGGTATGCGGAGGACCTTTTTGTTCGCCAAGTTGCGGGCCAAGAAAGAGTGAGGCAAAATGCGGTTGGTCAAATGCAGAGAGGAATAGGATTCGAACTTGGATGAGTCCGGTGGATTCACCACAAGTCCGTCTTCCCGTGATTGAGGCTCGTCTCGATTGAGATCCTTGTAGGGCGAATCTCTCCCTGCTTGAATGAAGTGATGACGCACATTGGCCTGTTTGCTGGTCGAATCTTCGATTTTTCTCACATTTGGGGTTGTCTGGCTTCGTGGAATGCCCTCGGACCGTGGTTTTCCGAGAGACCGCATGATATCTTCACGGCTGAAGTGTTGCACTTCAGGTTGCCGAGGCCCAGTTGACGGGGGCGAGGGTCTCTGGTTTTCGGCTGCTGTTTTGAGTGCTTCGACCTCTGCTTTGTCCAGTTGAAACCCTGAACTCCGATTTGCATGCACTCTTTCTGCTCGCTCCAGACGAGACTTCTCGGCAGCTCGACCCTCGGCCATTCGCTCACTAAAGCTCTTGATTCTGTGTAGCCCTCCGCCTCCAGGGGAAGTCTGTGGTCTCGAAGAAGACACATCGCTTGATCGTGACATTGCACCACTTCGCATCCCAAGCTGGCTCGTAGGCCGCGGGGGTCGCTTCAGCGACACATCGCTTGCCTTCCAGCCTTTGTCAATGCCCATCTGATACCTGCGGGGAGACCAGTGTTCGGCATCGGGGACTTCTCGCCTCGGGGGTGACATTGGGATCTGGACCTCTTCGGTGGGCGCCTTCTGTGTGCTCTGAGGACTCTGTGGGACTGGGGCATGTTTTTGGGTCCGAGAGGACGAAGAAATGGCAGAGGTTAAACGAGACCGCCTGTAATCTGCCTCCTCCGTATTCGAATTGGCGCTGCCTGATCTCCCTCTGTTCTTCTGCAACTGCTTCAGCTTGAGGCGAGCCTGGATTTCGGCAAGCCGTAATTGCAGAGTCTCTTCATCTTCTTCTTCCCCGTCACCCTCATCCTCGCCCTCGTCCAAAACCTGACTGGCCTTTGACCGGAAATTCGGAGTCGTATTTGAGCGCTTTAGAGAGGATGATTGGAGTCCTCGTCGGTTCTGCATTTCATTGTACTTCCTTCGGCCGCCGGGCGAGCTGAGCAGAGCATCCCGGGGCGATTTGGGCGGCCACGAGCTATCAGCCACTATTAAAGAATATGTTCAGCTGGTATTTTATCGTGGTTCTCAGGGATCACTCACTCTTGCGTCGAGAATCTGGTGTCTTTATGGGTCGCGATCACCATGGAGCGTCATTCCCCGCAACACCAGCCGTTTCGCCGGCCGCGCACACAGTTCGGAGGGTAAAAGTCGCAAAAGGAACTGCCGAGAAGGTAAATTCTGTAAGAATCACGAGGTGAATGGCTCGGAACAGGTCAAGCTGCTGAAATCTGGTCGGGTTGCAAGGAGGATGAATGTGAGGGATCACCTGCATGGCCCGCACACGATCCGCGCGTCGCGCGTTTCGCGGTTTCCCTTTCCAGCTGCTTTCTTGTACTTTCACCCGCGCCCGCCGCCATGCCTCGCACTCGATCAACCGCGCCTGCTCCTGCGTCTGCAGAGAAGCTCAAAGCTGAGCAGGAAAAGACATTGACACCTGCCGAAAGGCCCAGCAAGACCTTTGTCCTGCCGTCTTCCACAAGTGCCAATGCGCGTTTGCTCTCCCTTCCCAATCCCCAGTCGGGCGAACTCACGCGCTACTTCTTCTGCCCAGAGCGCGGTATCTTTGAATTTACAATAGTCGCATCGCCTCCATCATCGGCTCGCAGTATTCTATTCACCCCTCGTACGCGTCCAGCGACGATTGCGCCGGAAAATGAAGAAACTGCCACTCCGACAACGTCAATTGCGAAGAAGGCAGAATTGCTCGTTGCAACACCAATCGATTCGATATTCTTCCTGATCTCTCTCTTTGCTGCCACCTCAAAGTCAGGTCAATCGCTTTTCCAGCCGCTAGACGACATTATCGACTCGAACGACGACCTACCACTGCACCTGCGCAATGTTCTCTACGACGACAAATTTCGTGAAACCCTTCTTGCACGCGCAGAGGCTATCTGCGACACAGTCGAGGCGGGCGATGAGAAAATGCTACGCTTTAGTGAGGCAAAGCTTTTAAAGGAATTGGTTGCAAAGGCAGAACGGATGGCAACACAAGGACTACCGGCCAGTTTGGAAGAGCGTTTCGTCCGCCAGCCATTGGCCCCGCCGCTTATGTCTGTGAAACGGGAAGATGCCTTGACTGGGCAGCTCCCTGGTGATGAAACTGCAAGTTCCAAGTCCGAAAGCCAGGGTTCTCCATCTACGGTGACTACAACAGCCACGCCATCTGTATCGACCCCTGTAGGGGAATCTACACCGGCTCCTCAGCCTCCAACGGACAATGCCACTTCGGACCACATCTACCATGTGCAGCGAGTCTCCACAGCATTGACTTTCATCAAGGACTCATACCTGCCCAAGTCATTGTGCTCTCGGATTGACGAGATGCTCGCATCCACAGAAAGTCCTTTGGACTTCAAACCATTGACGGACCGCCTCGAGCAAATTTCCCATCTCCGTGCCGAAGCTTTGGCATCACGGACAATGTCAGACTTCAGTCGCAAGCGTGGCCTGGATGACGAAGAGGTCGAGGCCCGTGCTGAGAAGAAGCGTAAGAAGGAGGATGAGGAGAAGAAGGGCAAGGCCGCGGAATCCCGTGGCGTTCGTGACTTGAAGAAGGTCAACACGACCGGCATGAAGAAGATGAGCGACTTCTTTGGGAAAGCTGCGGCAAAGTAGACGTGAGCTGGTTGTGGCGGGTCCATGTCCAGAATCACTAGCTGTGCAATGCAGCAACAAAGCGCTACTTCCTTGGATATATGCTATAGCAGTATCCAAGGTTGCAATATAATGACAGTCCGACAACCGCAACTGTTTATACATCTTTTGCAAACCTTGGCGCTTTCCAAGCGCTCCTTGTCGTGGCTAATTCAGCGACACGACACCATGCAAGGTTGAAGCAGTTGGATCCCTTTTTTTCCTATCTAGCGCCCAATGCCGCAGGGACTCTAATTGGGCATCCTCAAACTACGGTCTCATCGCGGACTGTTACACGGGTAATCTACTGGGAAGTGGTTCATGAAATGGCAGCTGACATTGCCTGGGGAATATGAATTCGAAATAATTTTAAGACTCCTTTTATCTGCAAGCCAACGCAAGTAGGTTGGAAATAGATTGAGCAATTCAAAGCGCAACCCCGTCGATAGCCGCTCCAGCGATCCTAAATACACATGATTAGCTTTGAATTTAAATAGCTTCGTAGGAAGGTAAACTTACACGAACGAGCCGTTGGACGGCTTGCTAATGACCATAGCCTGCTCCAGCTTCTCGGCGCTGATGTCGGGGAACTTCTTGAGGTAGTACTCATCGCGCAGAGCAGTCGTCACAGCCTCGACCTTGCCCTGGGGCAGCATGTGCACAGTGCAACCACCCCAACCAGCACCAGTCAAGCGGCTACCCCATGTACCCGCGCGACGGGCAATGGCACAGATATCATCCACCTCAGGCGCACTGCACTCGTAGGAGGAATAGCAGGACTCCTGGGACTCGTTCAGCAGCTGGCCGAGGTAGTGAATGCGCTTCTTATCCAGCTTTGATGCGTTTGCAAGGCAAGCCTTGAAGTCGAGTACCCGACGGGCCTCCTTGAAGCAGTGCAGCGCACGCTGGCGCAGCTTGAATCGCTCCGCCTGAACTGGGAACGCGGAGAGGAACTTGGACTCGAGCTCGGGAACAGAGATACCGAGCAGCTGGGCCATCTCCTCGCGAGTGTAGCCCTCCTCCTTCGTGAAGAGATCCTGGGTGGCCTGGATGACGGAGTCGATCTGGTATTCCAGGGGGTCGCCGAGACGGCCTTCCTTGGTCATCAGTTTGTTTTGGAAGTTGCGCAAGCTGTAGCCGAGGGAGCTGTTGTCCTTGGGGAGGGTGAGATCATAGGTCTTGGCTAGGATGACGGCGGCGAGTGTGCACTCAGCGACACGAAGGTTGTAGTGGCGGGGCGCGGTATCGGCCTTGTTGGAGGTGACGAAGCTCTGGGCCATGAGGAAGGTGATCTCGTCATCGGCAGCTGGGATGGGGACGTGCTCGGCGTTAAATGCGGGGAAGAATTGGGTGTAAAGCAGATAGCCGCGCTTGGAGAAGATGGAAGCAGCTTGATCCATACTAGAGAGGTGTAGCCTTTGTTAGATTATGTTTTCTCGATCCAATTGAAGTAGATGTGATGCAATGGGTTCTATACTTACCCGCCAGAGTACACGCCGACGGCGCGCTCGGAAACTACGGCCAGATCCAGCAGATCCTGCTTGGAGACGTTGTGGTTGTTGGCCTTCATGACGGCCAAGGCACTGGCGCAGACAAAAGCCGCGCTGCTCGAGATGCCACCACCCGGGGGCACATTTCCGTCGACGAGGATCTCCATGCTAGCGGGAATCAGGGAGCCATCCGCCTTCTCCTTGCGCAGGAACTTGAGTGCACCGAGGAGACCGGCTTTGAAGTAGTTGATCCACTCGTGCTTCTTGGGGTCGATCTCGATGTCCGAATCATGGGGCACGGAGAACTCGCGCGCAGGAAATTTCTCGGGGTTAACGTTGGCGATCTTGACGGTGGCTCGGGAGGCAGTGGCAGGGACGACCTTGACGGCCATGATCACGTCGACGCTGACGGCGGTGGGCAGGACGTCGTAGAGGGAGTAGTCGATGTGCTCGCCGATGATGTTAACGCGGCCGGGGCTGCGGGCGACGAAATCCGGACGGTGGGTGTACTGCTTGTTGAACTGCTGGATGAGGGCGTTCCATCGCTGCTGGTGCTCCGGTGCAACCGAGTTCACGGAGTCATCACCGGTGGCATAGACTTCCGCGATGGAATCCGTTTCCGGGACCAGCTCCTGCGGGGTTGACATGGCGGGGGAGGGGCTTTGTTATGTTTTGCTTTTATGTGTGTGTGGGGGGGGGGAGCAAAAGCAAAGAGAAGGAAGAAAAAGAGAGGAAGAGGAGGACGGGGGTGGAAGAGAGAGGCAGAATGGGTGGATGGGAAAATAATGGGGTAGAGCTCGCGGGATGAAGGCAGCCGATCCCCCCGTGTCAACTCCCCGGAGAAATACGCATTTGGTGGGGGGAGGGTTTCATCCCCGGTGTCCCGTTGCAGAGTGGCTGCGGGGGCTTGGACCCCTAGCAGTTGAGCTCTTTCTGGATACCATTGGCCATGTTAGATACTCAGGTACCAAGTGCGCTCGTCATTGCTCGCTGGAGAATCGGGTCCATTGTTCTATTGTTTCCGGCGACGTGATGTGGGTGGCGCCCACAATGGCAGGCGTTCTATTGGCAAGTCCGTTCCAAATGGGGAACAATTACTTAACTACGAGCAGTCAGTAGTAATTATCCTGTTGGCTGCTTCGATATCTGTGATCTATACGAATACGAATACACCAGTAAATAACTTCCACAGAGATCCAGGGTAAGACAGCCACTGATATATGTATACGCTAATTTAATGGATGTATACTCCGGAAAGACGTCGCACGGTGTCTGAGCCCAGCGACCGGCCCGAATTACAAGCCCCGCCCGGCTTTCCGTTCAGATCGGGATTGCAGGTGGACTCGGAAAAAGAAAGCAAAATCCCATGCCCGTCAGATCGGCTAAAGTCGATCGGCAAAGAGCGGGCAATTGAAGACCCGAGACCCGCATCCCACGCCTGCAAATACTACGCTCGTGGCTTTAAGTAACGAGGGATTGTACCTCCATCATGCCATTTTGGAGCGCCCGAGGCCGTATTTTTAATGATATTAATAAACTCGAATTCATGTACTACTGTAGTACTTGCCCTTGTACATACTTTATCTAAGTTAGAGTAAGGTATGATTGTATAAAGATCTGATGCGGCTAATTGCAAATCTGGCGGGCCACACAGCTGGGCTTGGTCGCCTCAGGCAGCCTCTGGCCTTACCAGCTGCCGAAGATTGGTGTCACGTGCCGCGAAAACGCAGCACACGTGACATCGCCGAGGTCGGAGGGCGGAGGCACCGCGGACCAATGGCCGGCGCCGAAATTTGAGTCAGAGCAGTTGGTTTGGGTTTAAGGCGATTTTCGTCCCCAGGAAGATTCACGGCAAGCGCAATTATCATTTCTCTACCCTCGCGGTACCTCTCTACTCACTCCCCGGGCTGTCGTCGGTCATGATGATGCCTCTCAGACCTTCAAAAAGCGCCTGGCGCTCCGTGCACCTCCAAAGGCAGCTGGCCTCTGCTCGTCGACCTTTCTCGACTTCGTTCGTGGCATCGGCTGCTTCGCCCCACCGCTCTCCTCCCCAGAAGCGGACGCAGAGCACTGCTACCGCGACTTCGTGAGTCTTCGATTGAGCAGCAATGCCTTGTTAATACTCTAACACGCCCCATCCAGCGGCTCCAGACCCGTGCCCAGTCCGGCCTTCAACCAAGAACCTCACCGCAATGAGATCTCGCCTCTGCACAACCGCCAGCTCCCTGAGCTCGATGACTCGTAAGTGCCTCTTTCGACGACGAGCTTCCATGATCACGGGACAATACAAGCTCTTATGCCAGGCCTAGATGAAGGCTAACGTGACATAGTATGGTTGGGATGAGTGGTGGTGAAATCTTCCACGAGATGATGCTCCGCCTGGGCGTGAAGCATGTCTGTAAGTGACCTTTTATATCCTGTGAATCGGACATCTCAATAGTTGGATTCCTGGCTCATACTTGATTGCTTGTTCTAGTTGGTTACCCCGGTGGTGCCATTCTCCCCGTCTTCGATGCCATCTACAACTCGAAACACTTCGACTTCATCCTCCCCAAGCACGAGCAAGGTGCCGGCCACATGGCCCAGGGTTATGCCCGTGCTTCCGGCAAGCCCGGTGTCGTCCTCGTTACCTCCGGTCCTGGAGCCACCAACACCATTACCCCCATGCAGGATGCCATGTCCGATGGTACTCCCATGGTCGTCTTCTGCGGTCAGGTCGTGACAAGCGCCATTGGAACCGATTCTTTCCAGGAGGCCGATGTCATTGGTATCTCCCGTGCCTGCACCAAGTGGAACGTCATGGTCAAGTCCGTGGGTGAGCTGCCTCGCCGCATCCAGGAGGCTTTCGAGATTGCTACCAGCGGCCGTCCTGGTCCTGTCCTTGTCGATCTGCCCAAGGATGTTACCGCCAGTATCCTCCGGAACCCGATCCCCATGCACAGCACCATTCCTTCCCTCCCCAGTGCTGCCACCATGGCCGCCCGCGAGCTGAGCAGGAAATCCCTGGAGGCCACCATCAGCCGTGTCGCCCGCCTGGTGAACGTCGCTGAGAAGCCTGTTCTCTACGTTGGTCAGGGTCTCCTCGCCCGTCCCGACGGCCCCGAGATCCTAAAGGAGTTCGCCGATAAGGTGCAGATCCCCGTCACCACCACCCTGCAGGGTCTCGGTGGATTCGACGAGCTGGACCCCAAGGCTCTGCACATGCTTGGTATGCACGGCTCTGCCTACGCCAACATGGCTATGCAAGAGGCCGATCTGATCATTGCTGTCGGTGCTCGCTTCGATGACCGTGTCACTGGTAGCATTCCCAAGTTCGCTCCCCAGGCTAAGCAGGCCGCCGCTGAGGGCCGTGGAGGTATCGTCCACTTCGAGATTATGCCCAAGAACATCAACAAGGTCGTTCAGGCCACCGAGGCCGTGGAGGGTGACTGCGCTGAGAACCTCCGCCTCCTTCTGCCTCAGGTCGCCCCTGTGACTGAGCGCAAGGAGTGGTTCGACCAGATCAATGACTGGAAGGCTCGCTTCCCTCTGTCGCTGTATGAGCACCAGGTCGCTGAAGGTCCCATCAAGCCGCAGACCGTCATTGAGACCCTGAGCAACCTCACTGCTCACATGAAGGAAAAGACCATCATCACCACTGGTGTCGGTCAGCACCAGATGTGGGCTGCCCAGCACTTCCGCTGGCGCCAGCCTCGCACCATGATCACCTCCGGTGGTCTTGGTACCATGGGTTACGGTCTGCCCTCTGCCATCGGCGCCAAGGTCGCCCGACCCGACTGCCTGGTTATCGACATTGATGGCGATGCTTCTTTCAACATGACACTGACTGAGCTCTCCACCGCTGCTCAGTTCGGTATCGGTGTTAAGGTTCTCCTGCTCAACAACGAGGAGCAGGGTATGGTCACCCAATGGCAGAATCTGTTCTACGAGGACCGTTACTCCCACACTCACCAGCAAAATCCCGACTTCGTCCCTCTTGCCCGCTCCATGCGTGTCGCTGCCGAGCGCGTCTCCCGCACCTCCGACCTTGAGGCGAAGCTGAAGTGGCTCATCGAGCAGGACGGCCCTGCCCTTCTGGAGGTTATCACCGACCGCAAGGTTCCCGTCCTGCCCATGGTCCCCGCTGGCCACGGTCTCCATGAGTTCCTTGTCTACGATGAGGGTAAGCAACATCCAACATCTCACAGTACTAGACTTGATCACTAACTTTTCAACAGCTAAGGAGAAGGACCGCAAGGATCTGATGCGCAAGCGCAATGTCGACTTCCAGGTGAACCACCGCGATTGAATGAGCGAGGCGAAGTGGTATCCTAGCCGCACCATGCCGGATGCCTGTCCATCTTGACCGTCACTTATTTTTACCGTTGATATCCATGGCGTTTTCTTGGCGGGTTCACCAAAAGCGATAGGAAATGATTTGAGCTCGGAAATCCTTCCACAAGAAATATGAGAAAGAATCCATCGCACTTGCAAGGCAGTATGGCAAAAGTTCCGCAGCATCTGTGGCCGACGCTCGGGTCCTGTTTCCACTTACACTTTTTTGTTTCCTGATATGGTTCTGCTCTCTGCTTCCCCGGGGCTGCCCTATTGAGGAATTTTAACAGAACATGCATTGTGGTTTTTTGTGTCACACTTTCGGGGCTAATTCTTCATCCATGCCGCCGTTTTCCCACTGTGTGTATATAATGTTCATGTATTCGAAATTTACATTGATGTTGGGGAAGAACCATCATATTCTACTAGTAGCTCTGGCGTAGGACTTGAAGTAGTCAACTATTTACGCGGTCATATGGCTCGTCCCTCTGTTACGACTGTTCAGATCAATACCCTTCGTATATATGGCCTCGAGAATATATTTATTTCTTTAGCGTCCTGTGAAGGGCCAACCTGCAAATGTACATCGGCCTTCATCATAAAGCCATCATTGGGCACAATGGCCATTCGTTCACGATCGGCGAATGTGGTGGAGCGGTTCAGTTGTCTGTGTGTCCGGATTGTGGGAAGCGTGTTGATGGACAAGGGGATGATGCATCGAACCGGCGGGGCGTGACTCAAGCGACCAACATTGAAGCAGACTTGCAAATATTGAATCGTGGACGGAGAAAAATGGGAAGCTGGCTGCACTTTCTGCTCGATATTCTCAAGTTCGTATCCCCTTTGTGGTAGAACTCTGTAGATCCAGAATGCGAAAGGGGTGGGTGGGTGGATGTTTGGGGATGCGGTAGGTAGGATAAGCTTATTTGCAAGGTGACAATTCAAGGTCAGGGGCCGATATGAAAGCATAAAACTCTGTGTGAGCATTCGTAGGTCATCTATGGACGTCTCCGCTAATTTGGTGGCAAGGCACTCAAGTGTAACAGTTCTTTACGCTGTTCTCTCAGGTATTTCAGTCTACTTCATTGCCCACCCGTCCCCTGTGCTCGTAGTCGCCTCATCGGCCCGCTTTCTCGATTCTACCCTCGGACTGCGGAAATTTTTCCAGTTTGTCCTTGAGATACTAGCGAGCTTGCTGTTGATACTAGTTTATTCCTAGAATCAACGCCGTGCACAGTGCGACCGCGGCTACCTCGAAGGGGAATTGCGGTTTGAAAGTAGACTGTGGCCGCAGTATGTCATAGCGAACAGCTTCAATTCATAATTGCCTCCGAAGTGCGGACTGCGATAAGGTGCCTCCTCGCCAGCCGTCGTGCGGTGTCACGTTGAAGCGTGGAGGTGGACGGGGAAAGGCGGCCAAGTGACGTTGGGGTCGTTCGTGCCACCCCGTCCATTCCACCTTCCTCCCAACTTCTGCCCATCTGCCAACTCCGCCGCTCTGCCACCTCCCACCCTTTCCGCTTTTTTTATGAATTGCGCTGCCGAACAAACGTGCTGAAGCGCTTTCGGCTCGATAGCTTCGTAATTGCTCGCGCACGCTCGCGCACGTGTTGACCGTCGACAGCAGCTCCCCCGTCACACTCCACGATGTCCAGCCCACCGCCGGTCGCCGAGGACCAAACCCGCCTCCTCGAGGAGGCATTGCTGGTCGTGAGGCAACAGTCAGCTTCGATGCGCAAATGCCTAGAAACTCCCGGCAAGCTCATGGATGCGCTCAAGTGCGGGTAAGCTGTCCCGTATCCTCCCCCAAGGCAGCGACTCCGGATCGCTGCGCATTGACGAATCTCCGCGTGCTAACTGTTTTGTCCCTTGCTACAGATCCACCCTAGTTTCCGAATTGCGAACGCCCAGTCTCGGTCCGAAGCAGTATTATGAGCTGTACATGGCCGTTTTCGATGCGCTACGACACTTGTCCGTTTACCTCAAGGAAAACCACCCAGTCAACCACCTCGCGGACCTCTACGAACTCGTACAGTATGCCGGCAATATCGTCCCTCGTATGTACCTGATGGTCACAGTCGGAACCGTCTACATGTCGGTGCAAGATGCGCCAGTCAAGGAAATCATGAAAGACATGATGGAGATGAGCCGAGGTGTCCAGCATCCGATTCGCGGCCTCTTCCTGCGGTACTACTTGACCGGACAAGCGAGAGATTACCTTCCGACAGGCACCGGTGATGGTCCGGAGGGGAACCTTAAAGATTCAATTAATTTCGTCTTGACCAATTTCGTCGAAATGAATAAGCTCTGGGTTCGATTGCAGCATCAAGGTCCTTCGAGAGAGCGGGAACGTCGAATTCAAGAGAGACGCGAGCTAGAGCTACTTGTCGGTAGCAACATCGTTCGACTCAGTCAGCTGGTTGATCTCGAAACATACAAGACGGGTATTCTGCAAGCGCTTCTGGAACAGGTCGTGCAATGCCGGGACATTCTGGCGCAAGAATATCTTCTGGAAGGTATGACCACATCCTGCCTTTTTGCATCTCACACACCTCCTAACTTCCTCGCTAGTGATCACCAAGGTCTTTCCAGATGAATTCCATCTCCACACTCTCGATGAGCTACTGTCCGCTATTGCCCGCCTTCACCCCCATGTTGATCTGAAGAAGATAGTCATTGGATTGATGGACCGTTTGTCGACATACGCGACAAAGGATGCCGAGACCAGCGCGGAACCAGAAGTTCAAAAACAGAGTGAAGAAGAGGCAGTCGCCCGTCTGTTGCATAAACTCGAAATCGACAAAGAAACGAAGCGCAACGAATCTAGCAGTGCGGCCACAGTAGAGCCAGCCCCAGAAAACGGTAGTGAGACACCGATCAAGAATGAAGAGTCGTCTGAGCCAGTGAAGGAGCAAGACGAGAAAGTGAACGAGACAGACAAGAAACCCGAGGTTCCCGCGGAATTCAGGCTGTACGATATTTTCTACGAGCAGGTTGTCAATCTGATCAAGACACGGGCATTGCCTATTCAAGACACCATGGCGCTGCTGGTGTCTCTCGTCAACCTCGCGCTCAACATCTACCCAGGCCGGCTAGAGTATGTCGACCAGGTTCTTGATTTTGCAACTCAAAAGACGGCTGAATACACCGATCATGCCGATTTACATTCCGCTCCGACGCAGCAGCACATCCTCCACCTTCTCAATGCTCCGCTACGCGCTTATGTTTCTATCTTCACTGCCTTGGCTTTGCCACACTATCTGCCACTTTTGACATCACAATCTTATCCTACCCGGAGATCTATCGCTGGCGAGATCATTCGGAGTCTCTTGAAGAACAAGATCTTCATAACCACTACCGAAAACCTGGACCGGGTGTTGCAAGTTGCGCGGGTCTTGATCAAGGAAGGTGTGCAGCAATCTACTGGATACCCGGGAGCACAATCCCAACGACGAGGAGGAGAAACCGACGAAACTATCGAGGAGCAAGGGTGGCTTGCACGATTGGTGCATCTAATCCAAGCACCGGATAATGACACACAGCTCAAAGTGAGATTGGCGCAGGCATCATTTTCCTCGATAAGTTATATGGCTAACATTTCTTCAATAGCTTCTGCAAGCGACGCGTAAAGCGTACGGCGACGGAAACGAACGCATTCGATACACTACCCCTGCAATTGTCACGGCCTCGATTCGTTTGGCCCGCAAACTCAAGTCGCGTGAACACTACGATGATAACTGGCAATCACAATCTTCGGTGCTCTATCGATTTATGCACCAGTGCGTCAACAATCTCTACCAGCGTGTGAACCCTGGATGTGCGGATCTATCTCTTCGCTTGTTTGTGATGTGCGGCGAAGTCGCAGATCAAACGGGCTTCGAAGAAGTCAGTTACGAGTTTTTCGCTCAGGCATTCACTATCTATGAGGATTCCATCAGCGACTCTCGTGCCCAGTTCCAGGCTGTTTGCGTTCTGGCCGGTGCCCTGCAAGGTACCCGTGGCTTCTGCAAAGAAAACTACGACACCTTGATCACCAAAACCGCGCTTCACGGAAGCAAGCTCCTCAAGAAGCCTGATCAGTGTCGCGCAGTTTACCTTGCAAGCCACCTATGGTGGGTGGTTGAGAACCCCCAGCGCGAGGAAGAAGATGCCAGTAATGTAAGCCGCCCCTGTCCCTCATGGTTCGTTCTTGTTTTACTAACAATATCCCAGCTCTACCGTGACGGAAAACGTGTTCTCGAATGTCTCCAGCGAGCTCTTCGTGTTGCCGACGCCTGCATGGATAATGCCGTTTCTGTCGAGCTGTTTGTCGAGATCCTCAATCGTTACGTCTACTACTTCGACCAGCAGAACGAAAGCGTTACTACGAAGTACCTCAACGGTCTCATCGAGCTCATTCACTCCAACCTGCAAACCAGCGAGGACGATCCGAATCCAAATCTCGAGGGACCCAAGCGTCATTTCGAGCGTACGCTGGCATACATCCGGTCCCGAGAATACGAAGGTGTCGTGACCGAGCGGCAATAAAGCCATTGATGCACTTTTGGTCTCCGAAATGAGACGTCTGGGAGGACTTTGGGATTTAAGTCAGTGTTACGTTTCCTGTCTTGGCCCACCATGGTGCCTGATACTTTGTTCTTATGCGTTGCGAGCTAGTATTAACGGTGCTCTATCGCATGGTAAGCCCTTCCTTCGGTAAGTTGGTTCCCAGTTACCTTGGTGAAACTCTCCTACGTCTCCTTATATCGTTTCCTGTCTCGTCCGCTATTTTCTTTTCTGGAAGCCGGCCTCTGCTACAGTGCCTTGATCTTTTCGTTTTGAGTAAATATATAAGTGTACCGTGTACTATTGTCTCTGGATAACACCCATACCCTTCAACGTTATTTGACGCTTCACTGTGTTAGTTTGCAATCAATACATGTTGTCGCTTCACCTTGCTATCGTACTACTGATACCGCAGTGCATCAATGTGTGAGTAAGCGTAGTAGAGAGAGACCAAGACTGCGTCGGCTCTTGCTGGAAGGATTTCATAGCTCTGCCACAGGCAATCAAAATGCACCAGTTTAGCTGGGGTTTTCGAGCCAAATGTCTTGGAAAAGGCAACAATGTGGAATACAGTCTTGAGGGGTATCTACGATTCGATTCTATTGTTCACAACAGCCCCCATGCACTGTGGTTGGGTCAAGAAAAGAGACGAAGAAAATCTTCGACCATACCATTGAATCAAGGATGACGGAGAGGGAGATTGTCCCAGCTCCACGGATATCACTGCATTGTGCAGAAAGGCCAGTAAACAAAAAGATCATACCATACAAAACAACAAGCCTGGGATACCCCAGTCCAAGTCAACTCGACTTGAGCCCATACAGAAGGGAATAATCGATCACAAGAAACCCGTAACAGTAGAAGAGGAAAATATCAGATACTCAGACATGTGGATGAGAGACGTTAACCCGTGACGCTTCGATTTAAACCAAGAAATCAGACAGAGGAAGAAAAGGGCATTTCAGGAGTCATTTCCAAAGAGGCGCGTGAGAAGGTAGATTACTGAGAGTTTGCATCTCAGAACCGGATTTATGATGACGAGAGCCGCGTGATGATCATTGCAGGACTACGAGGTCCCGCCGTACAGCCCGGTTGGAGGCGAAGAGTACTGTCGAAAAACAGACGGCGTGCCGAACCCGCCAAAAGCAGCAGGATTGCTATTGCCCGGGATAGGGCTGCCGATATCACCCGGCACGATGCTACCTCGGTGACCAGGCATGGCACTGTTGGTATCCGGCTCAAACTTAACATGCCGACCATGTTCATCTTCTTTGATAAAGAACGATCCGCCGCCATTTTGTGGGCTACCTTCGGTGTCGCAGATGTCAAGCATCTCGCTCAGAGAAATAGCGGGTTCGTTAGAAGAACGCAGCTGCTCAACCTGATTCAGGACGAGGTTCACATTATGATAGCCACCGGAGCCGGGCCGCGGGCTGAGCGTGTTCAGATGCTTGCACGCTTGGATCACAAGAAGACGAATCGTAACGGGTCGGGTCGTGTGCATCCGGTGGTTTCCACTGGCACCGAAAGCGTTATGGGGCCAATCACCTCCTTTTAAATCGTTAGCGCTTGTCCTTTTCTCAATTCAGGAGGTTGTTACTTACCGGACCCCATTCCCCAGGTGGAAGCACCGGGGAAGGGAGAACCGAACGGTGCAGGTGCAGGTGGACCCCAGTTTGGATCCCCAGCCTGGAAAGGTGGATGTTTGACTGGGTTTGGTTGGGTCAACACTGAAGAAGGGAAATATTGAAAATACCTCGGGAACGGAGACTCACCTGCTGACTCCGCAAATAAAGATGAGCCTTGGAAACTTGCCCTTGTTGGCGGTGGGAATTGTCCAGGAGCAGAAGCACCGGGCAACGACTGCGATAGCTTTGACGAATACGGATCATCTATGTCATCGAGAAGCGCACTGCTTCCCAGCTGCGTACTCAAATGGTCAACATCCCGCCGAGACGACATCTGCCGACCTTCTTGTTGGTCCTGTGCAGTGCTTGGGGGGCCTTTTATCGGACTCGGTCGTGAGATTGGGAATGGTTGCCCTGCGGACTCTAATGGAGAGCGCTCGAACGATCCAGATGGCTGTCTGGAGTGAGACTTTGCTAGACCAGCTTGTTGCATTGGGAATGCACCAGGGACACCGGGCATGCCCGGCACTCCATGGGGCCCCGGGAAGGGTAGCCCATGTCCAATATCAGGCGGAAATCCCCGACCTGGATGCAATGGGCGCACTCCATTAATTCCAGGGGGAGCTGGGATCCCGCCCGGACCGTTGAAGCCACGGGAGTTTATCATCCCTGAGTTTGGAGAGTACATCTGCAATTCAGGGGGAATTGGTCGACCCCCAATTCCTGGATAGCCAGAAGGGTTAGTGCGACTCAAAGGAGACAATGGAGCAGACGGTTGGGGGTGGTGCAAGAACGGCTGCTGGTGAGGTCCAGGTCTCGCGCCCAACCCTGGGGCTCCCGAATACGATTGAGCCAAAGAGCGAGGTGAGACAGAGGGCTGCAAAGGGACATCCGAGGAGGCTGCCTGAGAATGGGGAGATGAAGTGTGAGAGCCATGCTGGGATGATTGGCGCGGCTTGACAGGCGTGGAGGCTTTGGGGACAGCAGGAGATGCCATGGAGTGATGAGGCGATTGGTGAGGGCCGGGAGCAGCTTGTGACTGAAGAGATGGAGCAAGAGGGACGGCAGCAGCGTGTCCAGCTCTCGCTTGGGTCTGAGCCTTTCCCACTCGGTCTCTCACTTCTTGTTCCATTCTAGCAGCATTCTCGCGATCCTTTTTGGCCTGTTCCTCACTCCTGCGCTGCTGCTCCTCCTTTGCTTTTTTCTCCTGGACCTCACGCTCGCGTTCCTCTTTCTCCTTGCGCTTAGCTTCTTCGCGCCGTTTCTTCTCCTCTTTTTGCTCACGTTGCTTGCGTTCAGCCTGGGCCTGTCGTTCTCGGTCCTCTTTCAGGCGCCGTTGTTTCTCAGCTTCCTTCCGGGCACGCTCTTCCTCCTGGGCCTTGCGTTCAGCTTCACGCTTCTTCCGTTGTTCCTCACGCTTCAAACGCTGCTCTTCCTGCTTCTTTTCCTGCGCGGCCTTTGCTGCAGCCTCTTCAGCTGCTTTTTCGGCATCTCGACGGGCTTTCTCTTCTTCCTTCGCTTGCTTCTGCAAACGCTTCTTGTCTTTCTTTTTCTGTGCCTCTCGTGCCTTCTTAGCATTCCGCTGTTCGTTCCTTGTTTCTTCTTCCAACAGCTCTTCGATGAGTTGTTTCTGGCGTTGTTCGGCAACTTTCTCTCGGTATGCGGTCATAACTCGTTGTTCGAACATCCGAGCCGCAAAGATTTGGAACATTCGGCGCCCTTCCTGCATCCTCTGCTCTTCCGTCATGGAATCCTGTGCAAGAAGTAAGCATCGTGCATGGAGAGATAGTCCTTTTGATGCATATTGCTTTGCTGGAGTTGTCCATATTTCCCGAAAAAGTCTCACGAAACGACTCACCATCTCATCCGCATCAAATTCCTCTTCTTCGTCTTGGCTATCATAATCTTCGTCCTCTTCTTCATCATAGTCCTCGTCGTCGAGAGGGCCATGGTTATGACCGGCATGGAACGATTGGTGAGCGGCAGCTATGTTGTACTGGGTATCTTCTTCTCGTTGCATTCGACGCTCGGCGAGTTGCTCCATCATATCAATGAAGTGTTTGCCGTCGTTTTTGAGAAGATCATCAGCCACGGTCAGAATGCCATCTGAACCCCAATTGTTAAAACAATGACTTTCGCATAAATAAGTGGATTCGCGCAAACCTTTCACCGTTAAACTATTCCCAAAGGCGAAAAAGTCGGGAGGAGCAGGATGAGGCTCTTCGTCGTCAAATTCCTCATCACTGTAAAGCTCATCATCATCCTCCTCGTCGTGCTCTTCTTCACCATCATCGTAATCATCTTCTGGGTCCTCATGATCCTCAGGCAATTCTCGAATTCGGTCTCGGGAGGAATAAGACTGACCATGGGCATGGGTGTGTTCACCGTTTGATCGTAGAGGTGGTTGGTAGAGTCGAGGCGCAGGGATGATGGGGGCACCTTCTTCAAAGGAATCCTGATTGTTGTGCGCGTATTGTTCGAGCTCTTCGTAATACGCATCGTACAAAATCTCCAGTTCCTCCTCAATCGCAGTCCGCTTTCGGCCGCAGATAGTGCAGCTGCACGAATGCCTTTGTTGTTCTTTCATCTTTTTCAGAACGGCATCTTTTTCGACTTTGACCAGTTGACGACGTTCATCCTCGCCTAATTCAAACCAGAAAGCGCGAATGTTTTCGCGCTCTACCAGAGACGATTGATTCCAGATGCTGCTCTCTTTGGCAGACTTGGCAGGGAAACGAGTGGGAAAGGAGAGAGAGTGCGGTGGTGGAGGATGTGAGAAGGTGGCGGAGGGAGTAGAAATAGGAGTTGAGCTGCCATCGGCAATCGTGTGCGAGCCAGAGCGGCCCTTCTTGTTCCTCTTTTTTTCTTCGATCTCCCAGTCGTGGGATGGTCGTCAGGCCCATTCGACAGCGACAGGTGAAGCGGTGCCCCTAGCTCTTCATTCCTACCCACATCACCCGGTCTATGGTGATTCAAGTCCGCACTCTCATGATCGCCGATGTCATCAGGCAAATGTCGGTCATCCACTGGGTCCATCGGGTCTCCGGAGGCGTGAGGATCAGCGTGGTCGGCAGCTAGGCGAGCAGCTTGTTTCTGTCGGCGCTTTTGCTTCTTGCGATTTACCACGGGGGCTGATCCCGACGTAGGATCAACAGTCGAATGGCTCAAGGGTCCCCGCGCATCACCTTCGGTCGATGGGGTAAGAACAGCCGATGGATGCGCCGCCATGGTGGATAGGGAACTTGAAGCAACTGCCTCGGCAGCAGAACTGTTTCCGGCCAGCGCAGGGCTATCGGTTAGAGAACAAAGTCAGGTCACGGAGGGGGAAGGGTGAGTGGGGGACAAAAGGTGGACGGGCAAAGCGGAGTGCGGGAGGGCGAAAGAACCTACCAACAAAGCTCCGGTCAATCCAATGCAAGGATCAACTCACCAAAGGGGGAGCCTCCGATTGGAAAAGAAGTAGCTGGAAGCTGTCCTCTCGGTCAGTCGAGAAAGGCGCGCCGGAGTAAATGGGAGGGGTTCCGCCGTCGGTGTCAAAGGAGGGGGGTCGAATGGTAAGAATCCCGGCGGGTCACGACGTGTTCGCTCGGAAACGAAGCCGGGGCGCAGGAGACCCGCGGAGGAAGGAGGTCAGTCGGTCAAAGCCAAGACCGGCGAGAATGCGTAGCTCAAAAAGCGCGGGTCGTCGGAGGTGCTCGATCGTAAGGCGGGTGATGAAATGGGAAGCGATGGGCTTTCCTGCCTTCTGGCTGGTTGTCGTGCCGCCGCAACGGGATAGCCGCCGCAAGCGAGCCAGTGCCTGAGGAGTTAGGCACCGTTGGCAGATATGGCCCGATTCTGCCAGGGCGTTGCTGCTACGCGGGCCTCCCGTGGATTACGCAGGCTAGAAAGGCCTTCTATGGGAATAATCTCGTCGTATGCTACTCCAGCTCCGTGCCAGCTTGTTGTCAGACGCCGCGCACATACGGTACGATCCATGACGGATCACGTGATTTGATGTGTCAACCTACCGCCTGCCCCAAGGGATGTCCTCTCGACGGCTCGGCGGTATTTCACGTGATCTATATACATGGAGCCTCAGCCACAGGGAGCTGCTCAGCCACGCCGCCAGCTTTGCGCTGTGAGACACGTTCAAGCGCTGCTCCGTCCGCTAATTAAAAATAACTCTCATCATCCGCACAGATTTTTCCCAATCAGAAGGCACAGACGGAGTAGCTGCCGAGTGTGTCAATTAAGCCCGTAATTATCCAGGACCCTTCGCTGTCTTTCTCCGGGGCCTTTAAATCTCCTGGCTGTCATCCTCCTGCTTACTCCGTAGTCGCATTCTCTTCTCCTCCAGCTGTAGTCTGGCATTTCCCCTCCCCATATCTACCGCTGCCAGTCATCATCTGCACGCCTTCTCTTGCCTCTTCCCACAACCCATCCGGTGGATCTCGGATCATCGCAAAGGATCGCACCTCGGCCAATTCAGCGACCCCATCCCTCCTGTCTCCTCCCTACGAGTACTCCGGACGACCTTTCAACCCCGAGCCGACCGCCTTGGGGACCCCCAACAACCTGCGTCACTGCTGTGCTTCAGCCCACCCCCCCTCTTGTAACCCCCCTGTCATCTATTGGACGGAGACCTTCGTGCAGGGCTGGACTTTGCCTACCCCTGCTTGCTTCCGTGTTCGCGCGGCCATCAGCTCGCGACTCTCGACTCGCCTCGGACTCGATCCCACCCGATTCCAAAGACAACCTCGTTGGCGCCTTCGCCCTCGTCTCCTTCCCTATTAGCTCTTGCTGTGTGTCCACCATGGCTCAGCAACAGAACGATGACAATGTGATGCGGAGGTACGCGCGGCCACTACCCTTCTTTCCTGCAACCTCATACCCCTCATACCCAATTGTCGCAGAGCAAATCAACCCTTCCGGGCCATGGCTACTGTCGCGGCCGTGATCATCACGGGCGCTGCTACTCCCGGCAAGATTGAGAGCCTGTCTAGATTGTCGGCGTCGACTAGTTCACTACACTTCAATGGATTGCTAATCTAGGTTTCCTCGGTGTAGGAAACTAGTTATCATTGGAGACGGTGCCTGTGGAAAGACCAGTCTGCTGAGTGTCTTTACTCTCGGCTACTTTCCTACTGTGAGTAACCGATTGCCCACCCATTCCTCTGCGGTTCTTACTGACCTGATTTGCCATTATAGCACTATGTTAGTTGATCGATGACTACGCTATGCCTCTCATCCGCTTCTAACTATCAATCGCTAGGTGCCAACGGTGTTTGAAAACTATGTCACAGATTGCCGGGTCGACGGCCGTTCAGTGCAGTTGGCTCTCTGGGATACAGCCGGACAAGAAGACTACGAGCGATTGCGACCACTGGCATACTCGAAAGCACACGTGCTTCTCATTGGCTTCTCGGTGGACACGCCCGATTCCCTAGAGAATGTCAAGAATAAGGTTGGTCGACTGACGAACCGAGGGTCAATCTGTTCTAGCCACTTACTTCCTCCTTAGTGGATTGACGAAGCAAATGAACGGTGTCCCGGTGTTCCAATCATCCTTGTCGGTCTGAAGAAAGATCTCCGCGAAGATCCTCTCGCCATCGAAGAAATGCGGAAGAAGTCGCTCAAGTTCGTGACAACAAAAGAAGGCAACGATACGGGATCCCAGATCGGTGCCCGGAAATATCTCGAGTGCTCGTCATTGACCGGCGAGGGCGTCGACGACGTCTTCGAGGCAGCCACTCGAGCCGCCCTGCTTACCTTTGACAAGCGGAAAAGCTCCTGCTGCGTGGTGCTATGACGACGTATTGTGATGATAAGAACATGCCTCATTGCGAATGTTTTCTCCAGCCCAGCGTTCGGTTGTCCCTCTTCGAATTCTTCGGTGGACTCATTTCGACTCAAATTCCAGCTTGTCGCTGTCTATCGGTGTCTTCATTGTATCATGCATCATTGGCGTTTGGGAGGATTTTGTTCAATTGCTCGTCTTTGGAGCCGGGTACAATGTTAGCCTGTTTTTTTCCTTTTGTTCCTTCGTTGTTTTTTGGCTACTCTGGCCGTGTCTATTCTCGGAGTACATTCATCTCTTTCTTTCTCGTCATTCCTTTCTTTACAATTTTCATGCTCGTGCAACCTCCGGATGTCCAGGTCTTGCCGCTGTTCCCCGAAGTGCATGGGACTGATCGTTGCCGAAGTGTTTCTCTTCATCAACTATAGTTCCTGTCGCCTCCGTACCTTTTACATTGCGATTGTTACTTTTTGTTGTTATGGTTTCATAATGCAACATTCATTCCGCCTTAGCAATTCTCAATTAGACAGTTCTTGTGAATGAAGCGATCAGGTGCAATTGAATTTCGGTGCAAATCATAGAAATTGAACAGGGCTCCTTTCAAAAACAATGTATCGCTGTATAGGGTACAGCAACGGGCCTTCAAATCGCGCATCCATCACATGCAGTGTACGGACGGTGTATTCAAAAGGGTCACCCTACAGTGTGGTGGTGCCTTCCAGTGCTAGTCGGGTGCGTGATGTATCACATATGGTTTGGACGAGATATTCCTCAACGCCAATCGGTGTGAATGCTTCGCAATGTTTATTCAGAAAACATATTCTTCGCAAAAAATTCCCTTGCCAAAGGCTGGAGCGCCCTAAAATGAACGTAGAAATGGGGGTAGAGAATAGCTGTATCTCAATACACTAATGTACTATCAAGAAAGAAAGGAAGGATCATGCATATATATTACACAGCGCCAAATGATACAAAATACCTGCAACTGATCACCCAGCGGTAAAATCTACCATATTAAACTCAACCGGATTTCAAGTTCTCCCCATTATTTCTTCTCGGGGCGCTTCCACTCATGATTCCACCCCTCGGCGGGCGGGTAATCAGTTTGCATGCGGCCATACTCGATAGGGAACAGGTCATTGAAGATGCCTTTCTTGTTCATCGATTTGCGGAACAGTCTGCCTCCATCGCCGGCGCCGGTTCGTAGCTCTTCGCATGCAGACTGCATAGCCTGGTACTGGCGCTCCAGTTCAAGTTCTTGCTGGCGACGCTGCTTCGCCTGGAACAATTGCCACGCGCGGTGGATAGTCCAGTGACGTAGGTAGCGGTTTCGTGAGAATCGGAGGGGACGAGGCGTGAGAGGATGGTGGAGGAAGTAGCGAATGAGGGCTAAATGAATTGGTTAATCCTGATGGTAGTTCTGGGAGGTAGCACGCTGGAAGGCTCGTGGATTGAGTGCTGGGAGGACAATTGGGAATAATTCGTCCTCGGTTGCAAAGGAAAAACATACTGATTCGCTTGTCAACCGTAGGGCCCTTGCCCTTCCGCTTCGCCAGCGAGCTTGTAGACGAGAATGGGGCTGTTTGTTGCACGGCTGCGGTGATCGGACCGGTTGGTGAAGGTCGTCTGGTCAGGGCCTCGTGGCATACCTGGCCAACCGTGGGGCGCGATGGGGCCAAAGACACAGGGATACGAAAAACATTCGCGAGGGACGCGAGAGCCGGTGATAAAGACCGCATTATGGATATAAGATGATTGCCAGTGACGCGGAAGTTGCCAGTACGGGGTGGAAAATCTGCCTGGGCCGGTTATATAATCTGACCGCCTTTGTTTTAGCCGCGCGCTTAGCTGCCAGTAGCGGCAGAACATCTCAAAAATAGGAATGAGAACGAGTCATCTACGGTATTCAAGGAATTTTTCCATTATGATGAACATGATTATGGCTTGGATCGGTTTCACTGCAATATTTGTATGCCGTATCCGATATTTACACCTCGAATCTCATAATGGCTCGCATGTTGGACATGATCCTATCATAAGTACAAGGTAAAGACACTTCGTCCCTTCTCAAGGGAGTCAACAGTTAAAAGTTTATCGGTCGGGAAAAACCAAGAGAATCTCGAAATGTCCAGCGGTATGTTGATTGGGTCGTAAAGGGCATCAAATGTCGAAAACATGCGCATGAATGGCATCCTGCCAAAATCGTCGCACCTCAAAACGCCTTTGAATGCACGCAGTGAACAAAACCGAAAACCGAAGAGAAGTAATTTAAAGTTTCTTGACCACCTCGGCACATGGCGAGAATCTACCTCTTTCCGGTGGTATGCTTCCTTGTCCGGTCATAATTCAAGACCTTGCGACGTCGATGTGTCTGGGCCAATTTCCATCGACAGTACAGCACAAGTGCATCTTTGAGCATCACGAACACGCATCCTCCCACAACGCTGCGTCCCCAACGAGTTTGGAGCAGTCCGGGGCGGCTGCGTTCCAAGGCCGAAGAAGGAGTAGTCCATGTTTTGGGGAGCATGTATTTCAGAAGGCCTCCCATCGATGCCGAGATGGCCGGGAACACAAGCGCGCCGAGGACGATGTCGGCGAGATTTCCCGTGTCGTGGATAATATCATTTTGTCGTCTTCCAATATCGAGCCCCTGTCCGTTTTGTCCGCCATTCTGGCCTTGTGCCTGTCCATCCTGGGCGGCTTCGTCAGCGCCACCATGGTTCTCTACGGCAGGAAGAGCTGGAGCTTCAGGCAGCTCATCATCGTTGCCCATTCCTACCTGCAATTCAAGATCGATTTCCATCAGTATCTGGCCGTTCCCATTGTCCCCAAACCGACCCAGTCCCTCCGCCTGGTCCTGTTGTTGTACCTCGTCCATAATCTCCTCCGCAGCTCGAGGTTGCACCTCCGCAATCCATTTCCTCTCCAGGCCACCAAACAGGCGGTCATAAAGAGCACCATAGAAGCTCTTCACGTAGGGCAGGGCGGCGAATGTCATGGCAGGCGTTGGAGGCCAAAGATCGAAGTCAGGCTCCTGGCCTGGATTGTGTGCTGCGAAGAAAAGAACTGGGATGGCGGGGAGAAGACCCTCGGCATAACGAGTGCGCGAGAATATCAATACCAGCGGGATGAGAGGTAGACCGAGGTTCATTCCAGGATTCCATGCGCCATCAATGCTGTCCTCGAGGATTTGCTTGGCTTCTTCAGAGCCGAAAACAAGGTACATCGAGTAGGCCCCATGTGCGCAACACCCAGCCCAGACAGTGCCAGCCACAGTGAACACCATGCCGGGGAGAACTAAGCGCCCGGCCACTCTTTCAACCAAGCGCAGAGTATCAACGATGTAGCTTCGCGGTCGTGTGACGATGATCTCTGTTTTGCACTGGGGGCAGACCATTTTTGCGCCAGTACCGTTTCGTCGGCGCGATCGGGGGTTCTCCATATCGGCGAGCCAGTCGAGGAGACATGCCTCATGCGCAGTTAATGCGCAAGGACAGGGAGATCTCCATTCGGAATTTAGCGCCGATTCCTCCGTCTCGTCGGTATAGCAGATCCAGCACTTTCGGGGTTCGTCCTGGTTGGGGTCAACGGGATTTGGTCGACCGAGGCATTTGTCGGTCACATCCATCCCGGCGTCTGGAGTCGGGGTGCCTTTGTTGAGAAAGACAGTCTCGGAATCATCTATCGGTTCTGCCTGGGAAGCTGCGTTTGCGAAAGTGGAACCAGAGTCGGGGTTGGCAGCTGTGGCGCCATCGGACGATCTCGTCCTCCCAGCGGGAGAGAATCCGGGGAGGGACTCCATGGTGGAGACGGGGACGAGGCGACACTCGGAGAGCAAGAAAAAGAGATGATATGTGGGAAAGAGATCGGGGGGCGCTCAGGAGGAGATGGGGTTCAGCATCTTCCAAGTGGGGGAGCCATTAAAGATAATGACGAAGCAGCAGGGACATCCTCACTGGAACAGGAAAGCTCCGCTCTAAAGGTGGAGAGAGCGCCTTAAAAGGAACTTCGGCTGTGACCCGCGGCTGTCACAGCAGTCACGTGCTGGTCACGTCAGAATAACCGGTTGGCGCGTGCTGGCCGTTTCCATTTATTTGAACTACGAAATTCCCCGATCAGCAGGCCCTAACATGTTTAGAGGTAGTTTGGAGAGATATGCACGCAATCGCGATGGCAGGAGAGTACTAATTGTGAGAGAGGACCCTCCAATAGCCCACTGTTGGGACTTGAGAACCATGGGAGACACATTTTGCCGCTTGATATGAATTCTCGAAGATCACTATTCTGCCAAATCCAGCACACCGGACTCAGCTCAGCCATGATCATCTGAAGTCTGGAATTTGGAGTCCGAGGAGGATTCTTTAAGAAACCCAGTCGGTTCCGGAAACACCCTTGCCATCACTCTACGGCACCTTATATTCGGCTCTGTCAACTGACTCCCCTGAATATATAAGATGGCGGGCACTTACCGCGCTATATGTAGGACGTTGGGTCAGATCCGGGGCCTTCAATTGAGGCTTATGGGCATGTGTGCATAGACAGATCCACCGGACTTTTCGAGGTGGGGTCCTGTGTACAGCGGATCTCTTGATCCATTGTTTTAATGCCTATTAAGGTTAAGGAAGTAGGAGATCGCTTAAAGTCAAACATCCAGTATTTATTGCAAATATTATCTCGCCTGGATTCGCGGGCGAAAATCTATGCAGTTCTTGCACTTTCCAAGAGGGTTCTTGGGACTCTTTTTCTCCAGTTATCATGTCTCTACTGTGCGATGATTAGAATTCCTTGGTCAAAAGGCATCGTAAGATATGCGCTACGGTCGTTAACGACACACCTCGACCGGTTTCATCTTTGATTTCTACGTAGTCGGTGAATCGATAAACACATCACTTCATTCCGTTACTTATTCCATATATTGAACATTATCCTACACTTTTCGGGTTTGGCATCACACTATGTCATCATTTAAGGCCTGCGTGTACTACCCACTGTTAAGGGAAGAGACTGACTATGCCAATCACCGACTGAATTACCGTATTGACTGCTTAGTACGATTTTTGCAGAGGTAAGTTCATGTTAGAATATTGACTATTCAGTTGTTGGTGATACGTGTACTTAGTAAGGTTCATACAATGACATCGCGGTACGTCATCGCAAGGGCGGTCCAAGAGAACACACCGGATACTTGCCTACCCCAGAAACCTGCTTGTGACGATAATTCCACTGCACAGTTTGGCTTGACTCCAGAGCGCTTATATTTACGACTCTATTTCCCAAATATTTTGGTTTTATATTCAATTCTCTACCACGCCTACAAAGATGACTTCTCTACTCCGGCTTCAACCGCGACTGCGGACCTCGGCCTCCCTTACGTCCCTCAGTCGCTCTGCTTTCATCTATCATCCTCGTACCTATTCGCAGGGCTCTTCGGTGACGCGAGAAGGAGATAAGAATAAGGAGCAGAACTCTTCGAACACTCAGAGCGTTTACACTCCCAACCACCCGATCCCGTCCAACAAAGCGGAACCGACTCTTCGGGATGGCCTTCAATCACCTATTGCCGATTATGAAGGAAATCTTCGCGAGGATCTGCCAAAAGATGTGAAGGAACACAATGAAGATATGGAGCATCGCTACGATCGGCCCTATAATCGCGTCGATGACGAGGGAAATGTCAAAGAATCTTGGAAGCGGGACTAAATCAAACGATTGAAAATCTTTCATTCATACAGTACTCGTCGCTTGCATCGTGGTGTTTATGAAATCATCGTGCTTGAATTGTTTAGGCGTTTCGCTGGGCCTGTGTCATTATGCCTTCATATTGCTAAAATCCGATCTGCATCATGTCACATACGAGTACATTATATATAGACTAAATATGCTATATCACATACTGTGGAACTTTCGGAAGACCTAGAAGCTCCATGAAATACACTATATTAAAACAGCAACACTCCACATTGTGAACGGCTCAGGAACCGTACTACCATGAGATTCACACAAATAACGCTGAAACTGCATCCACGGGGCACAATTAAATCCGAATCACAAAAATACGAGACCTTGCTCCTTCCGGGAGACTCGAAAGGAGGATCATGATACGAATGGACCAAAAAAATTATGACAAGAGTGGGATTCGAACCCACGCCCCTTTCGAGACACGGAAATCTGTTAAGATCTCTGAGGAACAGGTTGACCTGAACCGTGCGCCTTGGACCGCTCGGCCATCTTGCCAATTGAATGAAAATTTTGCTCTTTTAGTGCTCCATAAGAGATTTCAAAAGTGTGGTCACGTGTTTCCCAAGAGACCCACAATGGCCTCTTATTATGTACTCATATTCAAAAATTATTATGAACCCCGGTGCTTTATTAGTACCGACTGGGTATTATCAGAAATACGAGTATTCCTCTGTCAACTTTGCCCAGTAATTCAAACGCTGGTAAGCAGGCTGATTGCACCCCTCACTCGTCTTATCCGTATTTGCCTGAGGATAGCGAAGAATGCCATACCTGCCGATTGCAGCGAACGAGAAGAGGCGGCCAACGTCATATGAAAGAAGTGAGAAAGAATACATGAATATAGCCATGAATAAAAGCATGCGACTTTAGTTCAATATTAAGGCTTTCGGTAACAGCCCTTTCACTTGCATTCATGGAGCCTTGGAGGATTCTACACTTATCCAGGACGTTCAGAATATCTTCATTCGTTATATTAGATAAAATATATCACAAAGGCTTCTACAGAAATAGCTGTTTGGTAGAATTTGTAATTTTAGGGATGGGTACCTACAACAATCCCAATCTCGCGATGAGGGATATATCAGCCATATAGACGAGACGAAGGGCTTGGCGAATATTGAAATCTGACATCCGGGTATTCAGTAGAATTTTTGCACGGATTTCTTGATCAATCAGTTTTCTGCTTGAAAGCTCAAGGGGTGGCTTAGTCGGTCGTGTCATCTTTGTACCTTTCTATGTTGGTTGATTTTGGCAAGCCATGGCCCCTTCGAGTTGACGTTCATCAAGTTATTCATTCAGACCTCATTCACCTGTGTTCTACATATCTGATATTCGGTCTGGTCCATTCCAAGGATCTTGTTTGTCCTAGCTCTCTTGGACGATCAAAAGAGCCGCGGTTGCAAGATCTAAACCATCCAACCTTGAACTTCAGTACATATATTACCGGATATCCTGCAACTTCAGGCGGCAGAAAAGGTACATGCACCATGCCAATTCGTATCTACCCTTTATTCACAAACCCTCAACGCAGCATCATGAAAAAAAAATTTAAAATAAAGTAATATGATATTAAATTTTTTAACTTTTTTTTAGGGGGAGAAGTCCTTAGGAACCTTTCGGTGCCACTCCACAAGGTGTATACATACTCACTTACAGGACCCCATGTCGGTCATTCACAATTTGATCTATTGCCCAATATGAAAAGGCGCACATCGACGGTTAGTCAGGTAAAAATTTACCTCGGGCTTGCCTCGTAGAATGTTACCAAGTAGGAAGTCCAGCTAAATCCCCACAGCTACCAGTATAAATATAATCGATCTACTTAAGATCGGGAGCTCAAGGTTTCGGACGGTACCGAGATAGTGTGGTCGCGAGACGAAGAACTCACACCCATATACGTGCGTCCACATGGGTCAACAGTCAGTAAATATAGCCAGCTGGGTATGATCTTGCAAAATCATCAAGATTCCCATGGTTATCCTTTCCCCCAAAGCCATGGATGAATGTGTCGTATGGAATGGGAAAGACCTATAATTAGCGATTGTAACCTGCAACACTGGTTGGTCCACGGCGGTAGGGCAACAGAGTGATCGACACGGTCGGCATGTCCCCCACACTAACCTCATCAATTGGGATTAGTTCCCGCGACGAGCTGAAGACTGAATACGAGGACTTCAACCTGAGTTCGTTTTTATTCTTGGCATGTCTTGCGGGTTCATCCCTGGTGAGCTATACGAGTTACCGTGCTAAGCAACGCCACCAAGCTGTGGCTGGAAATAAACGCAGGGGTGAAGAGTTCGTGCATTTTGCTTTTCATGGGCCATGGCAGAGAACATAAAGGGATGCAAAGTAAAGTGTGTCAAAGTAGGACCATGCACACACTGCCCAGGTGCCAATCTTGGTGAAATGTATGGGTCCCACAATTGGATAGAGCCGCATTGGGTCCCACTGGCCGTATGGAGATGAACTTGTATAATGTTACCCCAATGCGAATAGACAATGGAAGATCAGCCAAGCTCAAACCCATTCCATTTAGCAGAACATCGTATTCCACGATAATTTCACCCTCATAGTCTGTAAAGACCCAGCTATGAGGAGCCAAGTTGACATCTGCGCATTCCTGCCCCAGAGCTGGCTCGTATTCACCCCAAGCATACCTTGCAAGTAGAACAACCCTCATAAGATATCGAAATTGGATTCGACGAGCAATTTGGCCCCCTCATTCCACAGAAGGAGAAGGCATAAGTCTAGTATATGTTGATCGACAGAGGAACGGATACGAGGTTGTATACCCTCGCCAGCGTTACAGCGACAGGCACAGACAGCATCGTCAAGAAAAGCCCTCATAGTAAAAATAGGAGATACTATAGATAGAATCGGTGATAGATTGAGGCTGAGCGTTGATGAAAGGGTATAAATATGGCCTCGAATCCGTCGATATCATCTTCATCAACAGCTCATCCAATCTCTTCAGAACAACACAATCACACAAACCATCTCATCTTTTTTCTTTCGCAAGAAGAACCAATACCACCACCATGCAGTTCTCCAAGATTTTCACCTCCGCCGCTCTCTTTGCTCTGTCCAGCATGGCCATTGCTGCTCCCAACCCCAACCCCCTTGAGGCTCGCATGAACGACCTCGAAGCCCGCACCGAGAAGCTTGCCGCTCGCGCCGGCTGGACCTGTGCCTTTGGCGGCGACAAGGCCTGCCAGGTCAAGGTACGTAACCGACTGGACTTCTCCAGGCCCTCAATGAGATCCAGATAACTAACTCTCGAATAGTGTGTTGGCGAGGGCAAGGCTGGCGGATACTGTGCCGACGACAAGTGAGTTTTCCTCCACCGTCTTTACTTTCTACAGGTCCTCCTCCGACTATTGTCTTCATCGTGCTGACTGCGTATTCACCTAATAGTGTCTGCACCTGCCTTTAAGATGGCATCGTCTTCGATCTTCGCAACATCTGGAATCCAACTTCTAGTTCGGAGTACTAGAACCAGCAGGGCTTAGAGATAGAGGGGGAAGATGTCGCGGGTCTGCTTTTGAGTTCTGTCTCTTTTTTCCTTTGTCTCTTTAGTTCTCTCGACAGATTGATCGCGTGACCTCTGTCATTTCTTTCGCTTAGTTCTTCAATACAAGATGGCCATTTTGTTTACTTTGTTGTTCCGAAATCCCGAGCCCAATCCGGTTGCGCACCGTGCGCAGGTGGCAACCTGAGGTGTCATCCCTGGCGATTGCGTCATCACTCATTTGATAAGCAGAATTCACCGCCCTGCATTCCGTCTGTCAGGGTGCTAATCGACCGCCCCACTTGGCCGACAGTCCGGAATCTGTCGTCGTCATCGTGAAATCATCCGTGGGACATGCCTCAAGGGGGTTGTATACTCCATCCTTGGGGCATTCAACGCGAATATTCGATCGTCCATCCGCCCAGAAACACGAGGGAAAAAGAGGAACTGAAAAGGGACTGCCTCCCGCCTGCGGAATTTACGACTCCTCCCGTGATGAAAAATTTTTTTTCATCAGGAGGTGACGAGTGGCCAATCTGCCCGGACGCATGAAGGTCTCCGCTCTGTTCCATACACTAGCACCGTGATTGGTCAACCACCCGAGGCCGGACCCACACGCACTCCAGGTTCAACATCGACATGCGAGGGTCGCTTCCTGTCCTGTGTTCGGCGGCCCGGAGACGATGGCTTCATCGAGAACGCCCGTCCAAATAAAACAGTAATAAAAGAGAACAGGGTAGTTTTTATAAAATGGTTGTATGTAGAGATCAAACTGAATCGAGTCCTTGGAAGCAGTAGAAGCAGAAAAATATAGACTAGGAACACGGTCGCGTCAACCCGTGTTCTGTCGAATCCAGCCCCCTCCCCGAATGAGTTTTTCCCTGATTCGAGAACAGAACCGCCTTCGGCACTGCGTTACATCGGGCTTACCGTACCACACGCCGCCCCGACTATGGCAATCGTGCTCGCGTGGGCATCGATTACCGGTACGGTACCCCTTCGGCCCCTGCGTTACTTAACGCTGGCCTCCCCCTAAATGTGCGTCATCCCCTCTACGTCACTTTTTCCCTTCTCACCCTTCACGTTCGGGTTGACTCTGCAAGCCACGCGTGGGCTTCAAAGTTGTGCGCTTTTGAGAACTTCGTGATGTCTGCCGCGGTCGCACCCCCTGTGTCCGTCCCCAGCAACTCGAACTCCATGGATTCCAAAAACAAATCTCAAGAAGGTTGGTCATCGATGTCGCGTTCTTTTCCTTTTCTGCATACCACCCACCCCCGTGCCCCGTCACCCACCAACCCATGATATATCCACTGTTATCCTATTGCTGCTGCTGCCTGGCTGCATCATAAGAAACCTTCCCTGTGATGATGTTCTGCTATGTTGAGTGTGTGATGGTTTATACTTGAGTTTTCCCCCCTTTCGGAATGGTAATACGCCACCTGCCGCGAACCTCTTTAACTCAAGCCCCTCTGCCGTTGGGATGATCTCACAACTGGCGTCATCGATATTTTCCCAATGCCTTCCACTATGAACGCCCCAGGTCGTCCCCCGAAACCCTTTGGTACCTTTGCGCCATCGTATTTCCGTCCTTGTCAAATGCTAACACGATAATTTTCAGACTCGCAGGTCGTGTCTTCTGAGACCAAGGATCAAAAGCCTGCGACTGACCCTCAAAACTCGCTGGCGCCACCTCCACGACCTGCAGCAACCACTGCTAGCGATACTCCCGACTACTTCAATTCCGTTCACAATCCCTTCTCGCTGGAGCCCAATCCATTCGAGCAGTCGTTCGGTGGGAACTCGGGCGATACCCCCGGGAAGTCACTGTTGCCCCCCGTCGCCTCGCTCACCTCACCTGCCCTTCCTGGCACCAGCTCTGCTGGCGGGTACAACTGGTCCAACTCGCTGCGCTCAGGGCCTCTCAGCCCGGCCATGCTTCCCGGTCCGACCGGCTCTAATGACTACTTCGAAAATATCGGTAGAGGCTTCCCTACCCCGAACGAGTCCTCCCTCCGCACGGGACTGACCCCAGGAGGCGGTGGCTCTATGTTCCCGGCCCCTAGTCCCAACTCGCAAGCATTGCTGCAACAACTCCAGAGCGGCGGCGCGACGCCGTCAACTATAGAGTTCCACCGCACCGCGTTGGCGGCCAAGAAGAACAACAACAACAACACCGTGAACAATAACACCTCAAACGGCCCGACTTCCGACGCCAACGAGCAGGAAGCCAAGCTCAATATGGAGACCAAGGGTCAACAGCAGGCCGACCAGTTCACCCAGCATGATGCCGCCGACGCCGCGAACGGTCTTTTCATGCTTGCCAAGGGTGGCCAGGCTAACAACATGCCGATGAACCAGGCTGCCATGCAAAACGAGACCCGCGCGGCTGCCGCCCGGCGTGTGTCGCAAAATGCCAATGGCGCTGGTGGTCGTGAAATGAGTGGTGATGGATCTGAGCAGGACTCCAAACCCGCCCCTAAAGGCAAGGGCAAGAAGAATGCCGGCAGGGCAGCCCCCGCGGCCAACAACCGGCGCAAAGCTGACGAGGGCCCCAAGGGTGCCAACAAAAAGATGAAGATGGATTCCCCATCGGATGTGGAATCCGAGGACGAGGATTCGAAGCTGCCGGCCGGAGACCCGAAGAAGATGACGGACGAGGAAAAGCGTCGCAATTTCCTGGAGCGCAATCGGTAAGAGTCACCCCATGCCATCAAATTTGTTGATCGTTCTATATTAACTTTCGTAATAGTGTTGCCGCTCTGAAGTGCCGTCAGCGTAAGAAGCAATGGCTGGCTAACCTTCAGGCCAAGGTGGAGCTCTTTACCACGGAGAATGACGCCTTGACTGCCACCGTTACCCAACTGAGAGAGGAGATCGTTAATTTGAAGACCCTTCTGCTGGCTCATAAGGACTGTCCCGTCTCCCAAGCTCAAGGTCTGGGTCCACTTATGATGAATGGCATGCCAGGTGGCTACGAACAGCAGGCGTACAACATGCCTCAACATATGGGCATGCAGCCAGGTGCCCCGATCCCTGCCCAGGGTATGCGGCGCGCTTAAACTTTTCCATTCTGCATCACTCGCTTTCGGGTCGACATTTTTGTGTCTTGACCTGGCCGAATGCAGAAGGGCCACATTTCTCCTTTGCTTCTATACGGCAGTTACTTCTTTCCCGAGGCCATCAACCTCTTGTTTTACGGTGTTTTACTTTTCGGCTCTTGTGGTCGAATCTTTGGCATGGGCAGGTGTTTATGATCCACACGACTCAAAAATGGACGGGCAGATTCCAGTGGCCTGGAACGGATGAATTTCTTCTAGTCTTTCGAGGGCGCGTCAAATCGGCGTCTGAGTTTCTTATGGCTGCTTCAATGTTCTGCTTTCCAATGGCTCTGACCTCTCTTCCCATTCTCCCATTGTACTTTTTTTTTTTTTCCCTCTTCTCGACCCTTCTTTCTCCCCTTTTATAATTTCTTCTCTATTGCAAGAGAACCTCTTTCATTTTCACTTGTCTAATACTTGCAGGGCTTGCGGGTGCATGTTCTTGACTTTTTTTGGATTGCTTATGTCTGCGATACATGATTTTTGGGTGGCGCTCGGGTGGCTTTGTTTTTTGTCAGCCTGTTTTTCTTCCAGAAATGCTTCTGCAATTGAAATGAATATTGCTCCAATACTCGAGACCATCTCCTTATTGCTCGTAGACTTAATACTACTAGTACCTTTAGTATTTGACGGTATGCTTTCCTTTCAGATGATCCAATTTCACTAAAACTCAGTATACTGGATACCTTCCAGACACTAATCTGGCTTACCCTTCGGACTTAATTTCAATCGCCTTAATTATCAGCTTTGGCAACAGGGGCTCCCCATCTAAGGTAATTCGGGGTACGCCAGGTATGTATCTTGCGCTTGGCGAACCTTACGGATACTGAAGGTCAGATAAGGTTGAGGTTGATAAGAGGCGCGTCTCGCGCCAAACAACCCAAACATCACAAACACGAACCCACTCTGGCCGGCGCAAGGAACTCTCGACATTGCCTGTCCCCAAGTGTCTATCCGCCCCAGCAGTTCCAATCGCTCTTTCAAATCCGCTTGGCTAGCCGGTCTGAACGGGGAAACCAACAACCGCGGCCTGATCAGCAATCTTCGCCGCCCAACAATCACACACGCTCCGTCCATCACGACTCCGCCGGAGAGGAAAACAACGACTCGAGATACGATCGCCCACTGGCGGGGGCAGGACAATGTCGACGACAAAGCAACCTACTCGCCCGCGCCGCATCGACGATGCCCTCTCCCAGCTGGTCGACTCCCTGACCCCCACCCTCCCCCTCGCCTCGGTGAACTACGACAACTATTCCGACGAAGAAGAGGCCATCGCCGCCGCCGAATCACATCGTCATGATGCCCAGCTCGATCGTGCCTGGCGTATAATAGATACATACCCGGCTGCCGGCTCTGCAGATCCTGGCTCGCCAGCAGGCCTAGGAGGGCGTCGCGGTAGTTTAGCGGCAATGGAAAGCGTGAACAACGCGCCGGACCTGATCAAGCGCAAACTTCGACGCGAAAATTCCAGCCCGGACAAAGCAGTCCGCTTCTCGAATCTGTATTCTCGTCTCCTGACGCAGCCAGTGCTCTCGCAGAAATGGGGCATCTTGTACCTCCTCTACAAGCTGTCGGAGAAGGACGGGGTTGGTGCGGAGGGCGGCGAGCGAAGTCGCAGTCCGTCGATGGATGATGGGAATCTGCAAAATATGCTCGGACGAGAGGGTTCGCGACCACGACGTGGTACACATTCACGCGCTTTCGAGTCCGAAGACGAGGGACCTGCAGTGAGTTCATCTGCATCGCAGAAGATTCCACTGTCCAAACCTGAGCGACCGAACTCATTCGTGGAGCGAGAGTCTGCAGACTATTCTGCACGACCCTCCAGTGAACGGATACACGAGGGGGAGCTAGCCGGGCTAGCAATTATGAGACAGATCGTGAGGTCGACGAGCGGGCAGGCGCGGCATCGCCTACTATGACGCCTAGCTCTCCTCAAGCGCACTCGAAAGAATCAGTCGAGCGTGGACTTTTGCGAGATCTCCCATTCAATCTGCAGGGGTTGTCTTCATCCAATCTTCAATTTCAGTCTGCGTCTGTCTTAAAGCTTCCGCAAAACCTCCCTTCGCCGATTATCTCTCTTTTACACTCCCTAGCCGAGCCGTGTCTTCTTTATAAAGGGCTTTCGGAGTTTTGCGAGGGTACCAACGAAGGGCTGATTCACCAGAGCTTAAGAGCGGCTATTTCCAAGGAGATACACTCCTACCTGGGCTTGGTCGCCACGCTAGAAGCTGAAATCAGACAGGCGTTGGCTGCCATTGGAGATGGAACTCAGTCTCTGGGTGTAAGAAAAAGTGGTGTTACGTTGAAACGATGTATGATCTGGACTCGAGATGCGACAATGGCTCTTCGGTTGATGAGCTTAATTGTGGAAGAATCTCGCGGTGAGCTTATGCGTCGACCTGAACTGATCCGTGTATTTCATGCTAATTTGATGTGCAGATAAAAAGGGAGGTCAGTTGATTTCTTTGATTCACGGATTCTCAACATCACACGGAGATCCCTTCGTGGGTGCCTTTGCCGAGAAACTTTTGGCCCACGTCACCCGCCCTTTCTACGATATGCTTCAACTATGGATCTATGACGGCGAGCTGTCCGATCCATATAAAGAATTTTTTGTTGATGAGCCTGAGTTCCGACCCAGTACCGACTCACGGGGGATCGCGACAAGTGTCTGGGAACACAAGTATAAGCTAGTCGACAGGCTCATCCCTTCAATCGTGACCCGTGAGTTTGCGGAAAAGGTCTTCCTCATCGGAAAATCATTGAACTTCATCCGAACCGGGTGTGAGGACTCTGCATGGGTGGAGGCATACTCGAAAGAAGCCTTCAAAGAGCTGAAGTATGGCGACACGGATACTTTGGAATCATCGATTGACAAGGCCTATAAAACCACCATGGCACGGCTCATCCACCTAATGGACGACAAGTTCAAGCTATTCGATCACTTGCGAGCGTTGAAGAAATACCTACTTTTGGGACAGGGTGACTTCATTGCTTTACTTATGGAGTCATTATCATCGAACCTCGATCGTCCTGCCAACTCGCAATACCGGCATACACTCACTGCGCAGCTTGAACATGCCATTCGTGCTTCTAATGCGCAGTACGACTCGGCAGACGTGCTTCGCCGACTGGATGCTCGAATGCTGGAGCTCAGCCATGGCGAGATTGGCTGGGACTGTTTCACTCTGGAATACAAAATCGATGCCCCGGTAGACGTTGTCATCACACCTTGGGGATCGAGACAGTATCTCAAAGTTTTTAACTTTTTGTGGCGGGTGAAGCGCGTTGAGTTTGCTTTGGGGAGTACCTGGCGCCGATGTATGACCGGTGCGCGAGGCGTACTAGGGAATGTGGAGGACACACTCGGGGCAGACTGGAAGCGTGCGAGGTGTGTCATTGCTGAGATGATACACTTTGTCTGTCAGCTCCAATATTATATTCTCTTCGAAGTGATCGAGTCCAGCTGGGATCAGCTGCAGACCGAGATGTCAAAAACAGACTGCACCCTCGGCGACTTGATCGATGCACACAACAAATACCTCAACTCCATCACGCACAAGGGATTGTTAGGCTCCACCTCAACCTCCCGATATGGCTCCTCAACCTCGGCATCGGCCAAACAGCCCGAAGAAAGTTTCCTCACCCAGCTCCACCAAATTCTCAAGATCATGCTCGCATACAAAGATGCCGTGGACGGTCTATATTCGTTCTCAGTTGCAGAGTTCACCCGTCGACAAGAGCTGATAGCTAAGATCGAGACTCGCACTGCTCAAGGCCACTGGGGCGTCACTGAAAGCGATGTTCGTCCACGCCGAGCAAACAGCCGCGGTGGAACGTCTATCGCATCGACTCCTGATATTCGCCCAGCCAGCGCAGGCGTCGATGGTATCGACACGCCCTATTCCCTCGATGGACCAGAAATGAACGATGACCAGATGCTTCCCACGCTCCGTTCTCGACTCCGCGATCTCTCTGCCGAATTTAAATCACGCCTGAACATCCTACTCGGAGACCTTGCCTACCAACCGGACGTCGATATGCGATTTTTGGGCGTCGTCATGAACTTCAATGACGTTTATGAGCCAGTTCGAAGACGCAAACCGGCATCTAGCTCTCGAGATAAGGAGAAAGAGAAGGAACGCGAACGCGCGAAAAGGAAAGCAGCGACTGCCGCAGCATCGGCAAATACGGGGTCTGGCACAGAATCCAGTGCGCCGAAAGAGGCTCGTCGGGAATAGTGCTACAATATGCTGCGCGATACTTTGTAGATTTACCTGTCCAAGAGCACTTTAAGGTAGATGCTACTATAGGGTAGGCTGTTATCATAATGCGGAACGAATCCACGATATCTTGAGAAATTTGCTTGAAATCATGTGGGAAAACAAAACGTCCACTAGTTCTGTTGAGGCCTTCATGGCCCTGAGCCCATTATGCTAAGTCCCATGGGGTTTTCACCTGTGAATCTTTTCCTCGCTAGTTCGGATTGATAGACCAACCCCTATAGATTCTTGTACAATTATGGCGGCAACGGCTGGACCTTGACCTTATTGGGACCGCCTCGGTGGAGCCGGCAGAAAAAAAACACTCGACGCCGCCTCGCCGCGCAAGTTTTCTGGAGAAGCCCAACTAAACCAACTCTCTGTTGGAGATTGAAACCAAGAAATACAAAAGCCTTCAATTCGCCCGTCCAATACTGCAGGGTCTTGAACACCCAGCAAAAGCCATGGGCAAGGTCGCCGCCGATAAGGCGACTTCCAAGAAGGCATTGAAGCTCAAGAACGCCGGAGACACCGAGGACAATGTCAGCATGAAGGCGAAATCCAAGTCCGCCGACAGGAGCGAAAAATCAGAATCCAAAGACAAGAAGAAACGCAAGGAGTCCTCCAGCGAAATGAGCGACAGCGAAGTGACCAAGAAGAAGCGCCGCCACGAAGACGACGACAGCAAGGACGACGACAAAGAACCCTCCCGGAAGAAGAAGAAGAAGCGTGTATCTTTCGGTCCCGGCACAAAGACCAAGGATGGCGATGACTCAAGTGAGAGCGACAATGACGCCGGCGACGAGGCCGAGGGCGACGAGAGCAGCGATACTGTGACGGCAACCGAAGATTCGGAGAGCCAGGAAGCCGAGAAAGCAATTGAAGAGATGAAGAATCGCAAGCGCGAGAAGAAGAAGGAGAGGAAAAATGGCGGTGGTGCCGCTCCGCAAATTCACGAGACGCCCATTCTTTCATATCTAAGCTGGTATCACCGGGACCGGGGGTCGTGGAAGTTCCAGAAGAATCGCGAGACGAATATCTTCAAACATCTTTATTCGTTGGAACACGTGCCTGCTACATACAATGTTGCCCTTTTGGCGTATTTGCAGGGTCTGAAGGGCGAGGCGTCCAAGATGCGATTGAGTCAAGGTGCTGCAGAGGTTATGTCTGTTGACAAGGAGGTTGAGACAAATGGAGACAAATACCATAAGGCTGTGGATGGATTCAGGGAATCACTGACTTCCGGTAGTGAGGATATCAATCGCTCTAGCTTCACCAATGAGTTTGATACCGAGACTCTCATTCGTCTTCAGAAGAGACAGCGTGCAGAGCTGGTCTTTTTCGCTGTCACAGGCAAGCTATATATCGGCGTGAAGCCCGTCGCACCTCAAAAGCAGGATCCGCCACCCCAGAAGAAGCGAAAGAATCGAACTGTTGTTGTCGATATTTCGAGCAGCAGTGAGAGCGAAGGCGAAAACAACGACAACAAGACGGTATCCAAGAAGAAGGCTGCTAGCAAGACTTCGAACCCGGATAGCAGTGACGACAGCACCAGCAGCAGTGGAAGCGACTCTTCGAGCAGTGAGGATAGCAGCAGCGATTCTTCGGGCAGCGATAGCAGCAGTGATGATGAAGCCGCCGCCGGCAAAAAGAAGGTCACAAAGTCTAAGCCTGCACCTCCAGCGCCAGAGCCTGTACAGCCGCCACAGCCAGCTCTGCCCAAGAACAAGAAGAAGCAGAAGCGCAAGTTGAGAACTACTCAGATCGAAATCTCGAGTAGCGAGAGTGATAGCGACTGAGTTGTGTATTGCCAGCTCCACTTTTGCGCTTTGTTTCTCCTTCTTTGAGTTTGTATATTTGCAATTCACCTATACCAAAATCGCATTATGATATACCATCCCATTTTCATGAGGTTGAGACATTTGAATTTTGCAAACCATTCTATTTTGTCGTCCTAGTAGCGGACTACTACATTAGCAGTAGTAGGATGGGTGCTTGCACTATCTGCTGCTTGAGCAGTCGGAGTAACCGGACAGTAACCATACTGCTGCTATAGATCAATAGAATCTCCGAAATCAATCTAGTACAAGTATTCGCCAAATATTTTCAAATTGCCATTTTCTCCAAAACCCAAGTAATTGGTGAGCATTGCTAAGGACCTGAGGCGGCCTCATCGTTTTATCAGCCGCTGTCGCGAAGGCGGTGAGCCGACCATGCTCCAAGCTCAAGCTCGAGCTTAGGCACCGGTGGCTCGCGTCACTGCTAAACCTCGCTCCCATCCACCTCCATCCTCGCCCTTTCGTTCCTTCTTCGATCCCGTGTTTCCAGCTGTTATCTCCCAGCACATATAACAAGCCGCCGTCATGTCTGGTATGATTCTCCAACTCGACCGCTGGCATGCCCTAGCCCCCGATGGCTTCAACCTTGGCTGACTCTCATCTTCTCCGCATCAGGAAGCGCAGGCTACGACAGACACATTACTATCTTCTCCGACCAGGGTCGATTGTACCAAGTTGGTATGTTCATTGGGTCCTTCCGCACCTCAGACTCTCACACACCCCTCGGGCCACCGAACATGTTCCGTCGATCATGATGGCTAACCAACCATCCGATTAGAATATGCATTCAAGGCCATCACCTCCGCCAACATCACCTCCATCGGTGTACGCGGGAAAGACTGCGCTGTCGTGCTCTCCCAGAAGAAAGTTGCTGTAAGCAGCTCAGATTTGGACCCTCCAGGCTCATGGACTGCTGACTGACTCGGTTTTCCCTGCTAGGACAAACTGATCGATCCGTCCTCCGTTTCACATGTCTTCAAGATCTCGCCCTCGGTTGGCGCCGTGATGACTGGCTCCATAGCAGATGCGCGGGCATCTGTCGACCGGGCTCGTGGTGAGGCAGCTGAATTCCGGTACAAGTTCGGCTACGAGATGCCCTGTGATGTACTGGCGAAGCGATTGGCGAATATCAACCAAGTCTACACACAACGAGTAAGTGGTAACACCCGTTATCTGTCATCTCCCACCACCGTTTACCCGCAGCCACAAGCGTGAAACATGGCGTTTCCCTGATCATGCGTGACCCTTGGTTCTGACAATTGATAGGCCTACATGCGACCACTCGGTGTGGCGACCACCCTCATCTCCGTTGATGACGAGAATGGTCCCCAGCTCTACAAGTGTGACCCGGCTGGCTACTATGTTGGATACAAGGCCACCGCATCGGGCCCCAAGCAGCAGGAGGCGCTGAACTATCTGGAGAAGAAGCTGAAGAACAAGGATGCGGCCGCTGGCAACTGGGAGGAAGTGGTGGAGCTGGGTATCACAGCCCTGAGCAATGTGCTCAGTGTGGACTTCAAGAAACACGAAATCGAGATTGGCATTGTGGGTGGCCCGCGGGCCGATGGCGAGGGTACCACGACAGCGTTCCGTGCCCTGACGGAGGAGGAGATTGATGAACGGCTGCAGGCCATAGCGGAGAAGGACTGAGCGGGCCGCGCCCTGCAGAACTGGAGCGATAGACCGAATGGGCCCAAGTGCTTTCTGCATAAAACCCCTTGGTTTGTACTGCATTTGGGCTGTGCTCGGATGGGCCCTACATTAGGACGCTAGTGTTACTACTATCCTGTTTTTGTTTAAAGTGGAAAGACGATCAATGACAACGCAATTGGATTCTGCAAGGCTTCGGTTTCGGCCGCGTTTCATACACAACGGTCCAGCACTCTCCAACCTGCTGCATCCACCGTCGGTGCAGCGTCGCCAGGTCCAGTGGCTTGGGACGGGCCGTCGTCAGCGTGGGTCAATTATATCGCCACCGGTAGTTGGTGACCGCAAGACGGATCACATAGCCGAGTCCAGAGGAGCAGATAGAGTACATACAGTGACATGATCCAGGCAAGGAGGGCAGCCGCGACCTGAAGTCCTGCTTGGCCGTGCGTCGGTTCAGCTGCCATGGCAAGCGCCACGTGTGGCTCAGCAACCTGGCTGAACCCAAGTTGGTGCCGCGAGCTGAACCACAACCTTCCACCTCCATTGTGAACTAGCCAACCTATCCAAAGTGATCTTCCGCATCAACTGAACCTGAACCGTTTGGCCGGACGCCAGGATTGTGTGCAAGGATTGCGCCCTGGTCCGGGGCTGGCGGCGGTGCGACTTGACTTGTTCGACCATTTCGACCGAATTCACCATGCCTTGTCCTATCCCCTCGGTCCGGAAAACCGCCACACTCTGGCCGATCTCGCGTATGCAGGTCCTGCCGGTGTGACAGGGGTCCCACGAGCCCAGGTTCGTCTCGACTCCACTGGCCTTTGCCCCTTGGCTGCCAATCATCACTGCGAAGCGCCCGTCGGCCTCCCCTCGCGCGATGGAGACGCCTCGAACCAAATCGGCCGCACAGTAACCTAATCGCGACCTGCTCCACTCACTGCTCGTTCGCTGCTGCGGCTGCTCGGACCCTCCGATTCCTCTCATCGAACTGGAAACTGCCGCGCCAAAATAGTACTGACCCATTCTTCCGGCTGCATACTGACTACTCCCGCCCATTTCGCTAGTTGACCCCCTCGAGTGGATCTGGAGGCTCCCCCTGCTCTGGAACAGGGAGTGGCCCTGCTTGCCCGTTGCCCGTTTCCTCGGGATCTATCGTGTGGCCCGTTCCATCGCAGAGTGCGTCCCAGCTGTGTATGACTTAGGCCTTCTCGGGTCTTGCACTTCTCGTCGGCCATTGGTGCAACCAGCCATGTCCCCCGATGATCCTCCTGACGTTTGGTCTCCGCAGTCACGGGCTGATTTTCTGGTCCTGTCCTTTGTGTGGTTTTTTTTTTCGTATTTTCTTATTTTTTCTATTTGTTTCCTAGATTTCTTTCGTCACAAACAATTTATTGATTTTGATTTATGTTATTTCGGGGTCTTACTGTTTTGGGAAGCCCGACTCATTCGTCAATCTTTTTGCTGTCATGTATGGGGTAAGGAGGGGAGCTGTCCAAGCTTATAAAGACTGCTCTCTCTGTCTCTCCCCGGACTGATGCTCGGTCGTCACCTCATGTTCATTCAAAGAACAATCTCTCTTCCTTCTTTGGTCTTTTGTTGATGTTTATTCGTCGCTTCTTTTCTCGCCTCTCCCTCTCTTGGCCATTTTAGTTTACCTTTTTTTTAATTACATATTTTCTTCCTTCCTCAATGGCAGACGGACGTGGGTATCTTCCAGGGAAACATGAATGATGGTTTCCCAATACTGATGGTTCTACTCGAGCACAGTCAACCAGGCCCGCGCAGTGCGAGTGGCCGAGCTCATCAACGATTACCGAACGCTTTTGCTGCATATTTCCCAGCAGCAGGTCGATGTTCCACCAGAAGACACCTACGAAGAGGGCTACACGGTGCTCCGAGAATGCCACACCGCCGCTCAGAGATTAATGGCTGCCAATTACCAACCTTGCCCGGTGGCTGGCCAGGGCAATGCGGAAACTGAAAAGGCAGAGCTCCAGAGGTACATAAACCCTGCTAATGCATCCATTTTCCAATGGACGAGTCCTATGCATTTCCATTTGTCTAACTGATTCCCACGAGCAGAGTCATCATCGATAGCAGCGCCCGTCGCTTCCAAGCCCACAAGATCTACCTTCGTGCGGCGGCTTCGCGACGCTGGGCCATGACCCGAGCGAACACCCTATGTGGCCAACGGCCAACAGCAGCGCATGCAGCGGCCTTGAAAGGTGCACACGCAACCCTACAACAGGAATTGGCGCGTATCACTGATCAGCATGTTGTCGCCGACCTTCGAGCCGCTGACTTGCGGGCAGGCCATTGGCTCGACGACGATCCCTCCTTAGATGCGATGCGCTGCTGGATTCAGGGGCGGTAATGAATGATGATGATGAATTACCGATCATGAGCCATGTTCATATTCCCAACTGACGTGAGAAAGAGATCTGGCTTTTTTGAGGTCTCTTTCTCCCTTCTTCTTTACTAATTTTCGAGGCCCTCCATCACAGGGTCTTTACCCATTGGCGTGAACGAGATTAAGACTTTTCTTGTTTCTCTTTTGTCTCTAATCCTCGGTGGAGGCCCATATGGGATTGGTATGCGGGGGCTGCCTCGCTCGGCGGGTACAACGCGGGTCGCGATCCTGACCGACGCCATGGAAAAAGAATTCACGAAAGGGCAAGTCTGGATTTTTGTTGAGCATGGCGATGATATCCCCCCTTGTTTCTTTTTCTTGGCCTATTTCTACTCCTTTTGTTACCTTTTGACGTTGGCATTTTCGGTGCGTGTTTGGTGGGTAGAGTGGGCTTGTTGCATCATATCCTCCTGGAGAGGCAATTGACGATACATGATAATTTCCCACATCCTTAAATGAATTGGAGGTTGGAAAGATTTTCCTAACAGCTTACTCCTTACTCCTCACTCCAGTGCAGACTGATAATACATTGATCCGCGAAAACGATCCGAATGCCACCCTAACGTGTTCCACCGTTTTGTTTGCAGTGAGCACCATTAGTCGGTTGTGCGTATCCCCAATAAAGTAAACATAAACTCATCAAAAAGCAAATTGGAAAAATCAAGGCCAAAATTTCGCCCAAGTGAAAAACAAAGCGAACCGATTGGAGGAAGGGGAGCACTTCCGCCAGTGCCGTCTGCAACCAACCCATTGGACACGGCACACAGCCGGGGAACCAGACACCTGGGACTCGAGGCAGAGATGCCAGCTGAAAAAGCCAGAAAGAGGACCAGGGACCACATCTGTGCGCTGGTGCATTCGACACGGCACTTTGCTGCACTACTGCGGTCTCCACCGGAGCCTGAGTTACCCAGTCATGGACGTGAAGAAGGGTAAACGGCAGGGCTTCTGGAGTGAAAAAGCGGACCTCTGGAGGGGGGATGGAACCAACATAGCAGATATACAAAACGGTCGAACCTAGCGCAACTTTCCCTCTCCCTCCCCAGTCCATACGGGGTGGTTACGTCGACGATAAATTCCCGATCGACACGTCCTTTTTTCGAAGAATGGGGAACATCGAGAAGCAGACGGGTTGAATCTGGCCAGGTGGATCCGGGGCTAAGGCGTTAGCTTCATCGGCGCTATGCCAATCGGTTGGCGCATGGGCTCGTGTCGACTCGAGTTCAGCTGGTGCTGGTTTGGCTCCCACCGTTAGGTGGACCCGTTCATCTCCTGATTTCGAGGTGAAAACTCTTCTTGGTGGCTTGTTGATTCACACCTTCTCCATTTAACCTTATACTTTCAAGGTGGATCGGCCTCGGGTTAATTCCAGATCCATGTTTCGGGGCTCAGCTGTTGCCCTAGGCCGACCCTAACCTACTGAATTTTTTCTTCTTTGCGATCGGCATAAATAAACGTCACATAATTAGAACCATCGGTGGGGCATTCTGTCTTTTGTTTCTCTCCTGTTTCCTTTTCCAGGGACGTGCAGTCCTGCCATGTGCTTGTCTCCTCGCGTATCTGCCCGAAGATCGTGGCCTTTTTTTTTCTTTTCCAGTACGGGTAGTACGTACCCACCGACCATATTTTAGCTCCACCGGGGGTGGCGTATGAGTACTTTTGAAACGTCAGGGACTTTGCACGTCGGTCTAGAGCTTATACTGATCAGTAATGCACTCTAGTAGTGATCTTATGATCGGGCAGTGTTTCAATAGTCGCTTTGTTGGCAAGTCGGCGAGACCGAAGAGCTGAAACCCCATTCGGTCGAAAGAAGCGTCCACAAACGTCCTTATTACGCTGATTTTAGAAACAACTAGACATTCCGAAAGAGGACACCCTTTAATCCGTAAGTTCGGGATAAATTATTCTATCCACTGACAAAAGATTTCAATGTGATATATCCAGCATCGAGTCTGATAATTGCCCCGTACTGGCACTTGCGTTACCCTCAGTATAGTGCCTAGGCACTTATCCGATAGAGTATATTATCTAGGCTCCTATCTGATAGACTAACGAATACCAGGTTCACATTGAATGGGTCTCCTTTTCTTATTGTCCTATACAATCTTTCGAATTTTACATTGAGGACATGTCGACAAAAGCTTGAATTCTAACAACGACAATCAGCATAAGGATCACTGGTGAAATTAATTTGGCGTGGAATAGAATGCACACTGGGATATTGTGTTTTCCTACGGTTTGATAGCAAATTACCTGTCGGACTTATGTAGATACATCACATACTTTGATCTGAAAATTAACCTCCGAGCGTACGTTCAGCCATGCTATTCGAAGGTCTTCCCAAAACTACGTTTTTCCATGTGCTGTGATAGGTGTTCATAGGGCGGTGTATCCCATTTCGCTGCACGATCGAAGCCGGGGACTTCTATAGCAAATGCGTAGGCTCTTGTGACTGTTCTCTGACTATCGTTCACACCCCATCAAAGAATTTGATAAAGAGGTATGGTGACTACATTCCGAGAGACTTGAACCGAGCTTCCAGCTGACAAGAGTCGGAAGACAGTAGGCTTCCTCATTGAGAAATTCAGATCGCAAAATCAAAAGAGAAGCCTCCGAATGGAGCGAGGCTTGAAGGGTTTGACGATAGCATGACTGATATCTCAGGTTGCACCAAAACCCTGTGCAGGTGGAGATGTCACGCTGCGTCGATCCAAAAGTTCACGCAGTCGCGCATATAAAGCACCTTTACAGATCCATTGTCAACATTCTCTCCAGCAATTTGGATATCCTTCACTTTCGAGGATTTTAAGGATTTGTGGCTTTGTTTGCTCGAAGTATTTCAGCACAGCCACCGCCTGCCGTGAGTCCCTGCCCCAGCCACACATTCACCGCCACATCTTGGCCATGACGTGGGGGGTTTATTTATAAGTTGCCAGGTACAGAGAGCTCCGCTCACAATTAGGCTGCGACATTAGGTACCTTATTATTAAGTGACCGCTGAGCAACAACCCCACCGTTGAACAGTTCCAAATTTGAAGTTCGACGATCTTCCCAACTGTGGCCTTTCTGTCATCAATTGTCTCATTGGCTGCGTTTGTGTTGTTCGCGGCTGTCCTTGTGCAGTACCCCTCCGGCCCTTCAAGTTCCCTGGATAGTCGCACCACTTCTCCCGGAGCACCCGTGTCTTTCAAAATGCGGTCCGTGGTCTATTTCGTCAACTGGGTGAGTTCTTGCTGGTTCCACGGGTTATTTCATCCTGGTGCAGTTATACAACACTGATCCTAGCTCCGATCTGCACAATATATTGTTGATCAATTCAAGTGCTGACCCCACCTCACAGGCCATCTATGGTCGAAACTTCAACCCGCAGGACCTGCCTGCTGACAAATTGACGCATGTGCTTTATGCATTTGCCAACATCCGCCCCGAGTCCGGGGAGGTGTAAGGGTCCCCTGTCGAGTGTTGTTGTTTGGTGAAAGCTTATCAAGCATGTGCAGGTTCCTGACCGACAGCTGGTCTGACGTCGAAAAACATTACCCTAGCGACTCGTGGAATGATACCGGTCACAATGTATACGGCTGCATGAAGCAGCTATTCCTGCTAAAGAAGCAGCACCGCAAGCTCAAGGTTCTACTTTCCATTGGCGGCTGGACCTACTCACCCAACTTTGCCCGGCCTGCGAGCTCCAAGGAGGGGCGGAACAGGTTTGCTGAAACAGCCACTCAGCTCGTTCTGGACTTAGGATTGGATGGTAAGTCGGGCGCAATTTCTCTTTTTTGAGTGCATCGTTGCTAATTTGATATCAAAGGAATTGATATCGACTGGGAGTATCCCCAAGGTAGGTTGCTATTCCCCAGATGACCAAATAAATTTCAGCAGACATTGAGTTGGCCTGCAGATGATGGCCAGGCCCAGAACCTTGTCGACCTACTTCGCGCTTGCAGAGAGGTAAGTCCCCGGTCTCTGACCCCTTTTTGCAAGTAAGACCACTGCTGAAATTGGAAAAGCATTTGGATCGAGCAGCTGGTCCGCACCGTCATTTCTACTTGACGATTGCTTGTCCTGCAGGACCAAGCAATTTCAACAGACTCAAGATCCGCGATATGGTCTCCCTATTGGACTTCTGGAACCTGATGGCCTACGACTATGCAGGCAGTTGGGACACCACCGCTGCTCACCAGGCCAACATTTGGCCATCTAACTCCAACCCTAGCTCAACGCCCTTCTCCACTGTTGCCGCACTGGATCACTACATCACCGCTAATGGTGTGCCGCCGGACAGAATGGTCGTAGGCATGCCGCTGTACGGACGCGCGTTCACCGATACGGATGGACCCGGCAGACCGTATAATGGTGTTGGCCCCGGCAGCTGGGAGAACGGAGTCTGGGACTACAAGGCCCTTCCGCATCCAGGTGCAGGCGAAAACATTGATATGCAGGTGGGTGCATCATGGAGCTATGATGGTGGCTCCCGCACTATGGTCACGTACGACAACCCTCAGGTTTGCTCCCTGAAAGCAGATTTTGCTCAACGACAGGGTCTCGGTGGAGGCATGTGGTGGGAGAGTAGCGGTGACAAGGGAGGTAAGGAGGCAAAGGCATCGGACGGCAGTCTGATCGGTACCTTTGTCGATGGTGTTGGAGGCCCGCATGCGCTTGATCAGACCGACAATGCTCTAGAATACCCCGAGAGCAGATACGACAATATCCGCAACCAAATGAACTGAGGCGCTGATACAATGTACAATGCCCCATGCCAATTCCTACAACACTCGTGAAGCGATGGCTTGCAACTAGAATATCAGCGTCGGGGAAGACAACATTATCGAACATTCAGAGATATCTTTTCTTGTCCATACTTATTCGCTCATTTTAACTGCGACTACGATACACATCCCGTCTTTTACCTTTACGAGAAGCAATCAAGATTGGCAGAAGCCAAATTTTTTGGAATATTTTTGTATTCACAGTCCAGGTCGTAAATGCCATCAACCGTAACATCAACCGTGACAGATCTGAATGATCTCATCCTAGCCCGGCGAAGCCACACTGAAACGAGGTTCCGAACATATCACGGCTAAACGAAGTCCATTTATTTGGACTCGTCGAAGACGTAGGTGAGGTGGCACTTTCCGCAGTACTGGCGGTTGTGCATAGCGGCCATGAAGACACCGGCACCGCACTGGAAAAAAAATGTGAGTGGGGAATCTCTTATATTGCGGTTTGAGAGTAGAACATACCTCGGGGGCAGGGCACTCGCGGCGGAGACGCTCGATCTTGCCGTCACCGTCAACCTTGTAGTACTTCAGGACGGCGAGCTTGGTCTTCTTGTGCTTGTGCTTGATCTTCTTGGGGGTGGTGTACACCTTCTTCTTGCGCTTCTTACCACCACCACGCAGGCGGAGCACGAGGTGGAGGGTGGACTCCTTCTGGATGTTGTAGTCCGAAAGAGTGCGACCATCCTCGAGCTGCTTGCCGGCGAAGATCAGACGCTGCTGGTCGGGGGGAATGCCCTCCTTGTCTAGATAGGCTGTCAGTGCTTATTTTCGCGCAGGTTGTCGGAAGGCTGTACGTACCCTGGATCTTGGACTTGACGTTGTCGATGGTGTCCGAAGACTCCACCTCGAGGGTGATAGTCTTACCCGTGAGGGTCTTGACGAAGATCTGCATCTTGATGAAGGCCTGCATGGGCGTTAGTGGGCGGTTCGGGATTTTTGCGATGATGAGGAAATAATGAAAGCCAGGTCAAGCGCATAAATAATGATTGTCGCATCTTGGACCTAGAGATTCTGATTGCCCTCGTAGAGCAGGGTATGGGGGGATCGCACTCACCTCGACAGACTTGTCTTCCTCAACCTTGCAAGATTGAAGAAATTAAGTGCCGGTGGGACTCGATTAAAATCGTTGTGCGATCACGTGCTACGCTTACATGACATGGCGTTACAAACGCTACAAACACGGATTATTGTTGTACCGCTACCGTTGGCAACTCATTGCCAAGACCTACCTGAATATGTGTGTCAGCATCCAGTGTCACGTGATACAAAGCTCGCAAGGTGCCTGAGGAAAATGGCGACCAATGACATCGGCGACGGATGCACAAGCCACAATCCAAGCATAGAACCTTAGATCCAGGCAGATCGACTGTTTACTACTATTGCCTGAGTAGGGATATCGCCGTGGCGACCATGGCAGGAGAACCCCTCGTCAGGCCAGGGACACTTTGTTGGTCGCCCTCCTCGCAGGATGATTGAGAACCCTTGCAGAGCCGCCGCGAGAAGCCTCACGACCGAACGCGGGTTGATAGACGGGTAGACGGATGCAAGCAGGGCATGCAACCATTACTGACTACGCAAGGCCTGGATCGTCGGACAAAAGAGCATAATCAGCCAGATGGGTGGAGGCCCCCAAGGGCCCACCTTCGCCACAGCTGGTTTCCCAGACTCCCGCGAGGGCCGTTGCCATGCCAACAAGCGCCTTGTTGATGGGAACCGTGGGTAATTGATAGATCGCCAAAGCTCAGCTGCGACCCGCCTTCAAGGTCCATTCTCTTATTGAGTTTCACTTCTGCTCTTTGAGACCACTCTTCTTCAAGGACCTCTGTGACCTCTGCTCGCCGCAAGACCCGTGAACATTTGAAACAAATCAAAACACAAACTCTCTACAGCTAAGCTACCATCTCGAGGAGGCTCTAGCAACCTTTCTTTTCGTCTTTTTCGCGTTTGTTGCTTTGCTTTGTGAAGTCCACAAACTGACACTGTGACCAGGGACCGTACAACTCGATCGGCTGGGTAGCCATGATATCCTCAAACCCTACATCGACACATCCCGGTCACCATCGCCGTCAACTTTCGCAGCCCTTCGAAGCCGCTCCGGCACCGCGCGCTATGCCTGGTGCTCCATCTTATCGTTCGCATCGCCGCGGTCAAACTGTGGACTATGCTGCTCTCGGTCCACAGCTGACATCCGCCAGCCGTGTCAGCCGCCGCACTGCGCCGAAGACGGTTCCAGAGCTGCGAGACTTTTTTAACGAAAAATCAGGTTTCCCTCGTCAGTCCGGGGCTACACAACAGCAGCCTACGGCACATTTGCGACAAGTCGACCAATCCTTCTTTCCCAGTGGTCTTCCTCTGAACAGCACATACAACCCAATGCCGTACATGTTGAGGGAAGAAGAACTACAGGGAATGTTTGAAGCGGCGACTGCGGATGCTTCTTCTAACACATATGCTCCGGGTCTCTCAAGGTCTGCCAGCGACAATGCAGGAAGGACACCTTCTTTGCAAAATGCTCTGCACCGCATCCAGCAGGAGTGCAGCTTCCCTATGGCCAAGGGAGAACAGCCCGTCTTGTATTCCTGGCCGGAGCATCAGCCTATTGTTCAACCAAAGGCTATATCGCCGAAGATGAGCACTTTTTGTAAGTCAATGCGATCCGTAATTCACCTGACGTATGCTAACGTCTCGTCAAGACACATCCCCCCTTACCCCCGATGCGACGCCCATGAAGGCCTCATTTGATTTCCCCATGTACCACAATGACCAAACCCCAACCAAGTCCCAAAGTTTTTCTATTCCCCGAACCCCGGTCAGTGCTGCCATGCAGAGAGCCCAATCCCTGCAGGGCGCACCAGTTTCCAGCCCTCTTCAGGCTAAGAACCAGATGCTTTCTCCCGCCGACTCGTCCTCCGTCGCTTCCTTCACAGAGTTGGCCGCAATGCCTTCTCCAGCATCTCGGGGTGTCTCGCCGCAAAACATTGATGGGACTACCACGCCATCCACAGGTAACCAGCATTTGCGCGAGGTTTCCCCGCGCTCCTCTCTTGACGAGTCTATTCCTGAGCACCCTGAGGAGTTGAATGATTATGATCTTGATGCGCGAGTCAAGGCATCGGTCCGTGAGACTGGCGTCTCCAACGATCAGATCGCCAAATATATCTCCGGTCCCAATGCCGACGGCAAGTGGCAATGTCTCTTCCCTAACTGCAACTGCGATTTTGGACGAAAAGAAAACATCAAATCCCATGTGCAAACTCACCTCGATGATCGTCCCTACAAATGTGATGTGTGCGAGAAGGAGTTTGTGCGCGGCCATGATCTGAAGCGTCACCTCAAAACGCACACCGGAAAGAAGCCCTATATCTGTGCCTGCGGCGCCAAGTTTGCTCGACATGATGCCCTGACTCGCCATCGCCAGCGTGACATGTGCGTTGGAGGTATGACCGGTAACATTCCGAAGACCACTCGTCGCGGACGTCCCCCAAAGAAGAACCGACCCGATATGGAGACTCGTCAGGCCAAGTCCACTCGCACTCGTCAGCGTGCTGCCAATCGGGGCCCATCGTCATCCCCCGACGAGCCCGAAGTTGCTAGCTTCCAGGATGGTCCAATCTTCACCTCGCCAAACTATGCGCCGTCGAACACCGCGTCTGCCTATACCCCGCCCACATCCCCTGGCGACAGTGCCAACAACGGCAACCATACCGTCTCTTCTCCCACCCCGATTGGAAACCAAGTCTCATCTCAGTTTGAAGATGATATGCTTCCACCCCCGTTATCGCCCCCTCAAATTGCCCATGTCCGATACGAACAAGCTATGGCTCAGTTCAACCGCAACATGATTGTTGAGCCTGCCCGGGAATACATGTACAGCGATTCCGCCCTCTCTCCCCATGAGATGTCTTCGCCTCACACCGCACCAACCCTCGCCGAATCGTCCGTCGGCTCAGAGATCGATCTTTTCATGACCCAAGATCCCTCTGAGCAGGTCAAGGAAGAGTTCGGCACTCTCACAACCCAGAGCCTGACCGACTTTTCCAATTCCTACTACGTGGATGCATCCGATTTCCCCACATCATCCTTCTACCAAGACCTGCCCGAGAAGCCATTCTCTGGCCTCGACACCATGGATGATCCTTACGCGGACTCGATCGACACGCTGTCCAATGAATTCTTGGTTGACCCTTGAATCCACATCACTACTTTCAACCACATGATGGATATGCATTCGACGACCATGTATACGGACTACTTTCAATTATTTTATTCGGCAATTGCGGCGTTTTCTCTTCCAAACAAAAAAGCATGATAGAGGCGCCCCTCACCTTGCTATTTTCGGCGTGACAAAATTTTGCGATGACATCTTATGAGCTTGTACAACTGACGACACCACGATCTGACACGGGAGTTCTTTCTTTTCTTTTCGGGATGAGCGACGAAACTTTGTTGCTTCTGCACATTCAACTTACCGCGCACATGACTGGGCTCTGCCCGGGGTGATGGAATTTTGTGACTTTTGGACTTGGAGAGTTTGGATCTTGTTTTATGCCCTTCCTGCCCCTTCCCCACACCCTTCTATTCTTGTTTTCATTCGATTTTCTGGGCCATGGCCTGTTTCTACTTTTGGGACCACGGATATGACTCGGTGTTGTCTTCTTCGGCGGCGCCTTTTTGGGAGGCTGCCTTCTGGCGTGTCATTTTGTTTTCACCTCACTTAATCATCCTCCCCCCTTTATGATTTGATATGTACTTCATGGGCTCAATGAAATTCCTGTAGCTAGTTAGCTTTGGGTTCTTTTGATAGTGGTCACATATTGTCATTGACGTAGTACCACTCTGTATTTTAGTTTGTTTACGCATCGTGTCAGCACAACTTAACCCAAATATTGCATCGAAATCGTCTATGTTTATCTTGATCTTCTAAGACTTTGTCTAAGAACTATATCACAAGGTACCGTGACCTCGTACATGACCTTTACTGCAGGTGGCGGGCCACAAGAGTGCTTCGGTAAAAGACTCCAACTAGTGGTGGGGCTTCCAAGAGATTTCTAGTTCAAGAAGATGCTCTCCCCGCGTCGCATAAACCGAGCTTTGTACTTGGCCCTTGGGGGCCTTGTCGGCATAGAATGTAGTATTGCCTTCATAGCTGAGCTTACCGTCCTTGGCCTATTTAAACCGATTTTGTTAGTGACCAGGGGCCAGGGCCAGGAAGTAGGGATAACGATAATCCTGAAACTTACAGTAAATGCGCTCGGAGTCTGTACATGAGGCCCGCAAGTCAATTTATCATCTTCGACGCCGCAGAAGCCCTTCCTAGATCTGAGAGAGAAAATGTCGTCTTGGGATCGAGTTAGCCGACGAGACATCAAAACAGAGATCAAGCTTCTTTCGAAACGAACCTGACATCTTCGTGACTCGGAAAACAGCACATGACCCCGCAGCGTACCAAGTCCCGTAGCCGATGATACAGCCTCGCTGCTGGTTAAGTGTTGCAACAATAAGATTGCCTTTGCCCGAAAATGGAGTTCCCGGTGCAGTTGGCTCTGAGCCATGGGTGGTAGTCTTGGTTGGTTCGTGTTGGCTTCTCTTGGGAGGATATTTGATATGTGTGGCAGGGCAGTTTGAATGTTGCCCGTCTGTGATATACTTAGCGCATTTCTTCCATAAGAATGGCTTCTACGATCGACGAACCTGGCTGTGCAGGAATAAATTTCCCTGTCTGAAGGCTGCCCGCAACATTGAAGAAATACCAGATCTCGTTGAGAGCACCGTTTCGACATCTTGGAACCACGGTAGCTCCGTGAGCATTTGATAGAGTTTCTTCGATATCGGCGCGCTTGTATGTCTCTGTATGAGATGGCAGGATACCTGCCTCGGCGAGGAGCTGCGCAGAGATGAGTCTTTTGAGCGGATATAGGGTTGAGAGATAAGACAAACCGCGTATGAAGGAACCCCCTTAAAAACCTCCACGGTCCTGTCAAAGTAGTCTACCACATCTTGCTGTGGGATGTAATCTTCGTAGCAATGGGGCTCGAGAGTGCTGACACAGGTACCATGCTTGTTCCATTCATGTTGCCACAGGTTAGCATCGTCGCCACGATTGTCCTTCCAATATTCACTCATATATTCGAGCAAGTCCCCACGGCCCGAATCGACTAAGATAAGCGAGATGTTGCTGTATTGTCGCTTACGATCACAGAATTGATCGAATCCCCCATTACAGTGGTCAGGCCTGTTCCATATTAGCGAAGTTCCCATGTATCCTAATTAATCATTGCAACCGGAAATTCAGCATACCAAAGACCGTGTATGGTCCATGAGTCATCAGGCCCCAGCGCGGGGTCATAATCCCAGAACTGGGTCTGCATCATTTGACCGCCGGGATAGTTGAAACAGCAAGTGTCTTGGCCATGATATTCAGTTCGACAACTAACTTCTGAGCCAGAACATGTGGACGAAGTATCCGGAGCTTTCCCGTCGTTGGTGGCCGACGATGAGAGCCAAAGGGATCCTAGGGCCTTGAGGATCTTCTGGGGACCTGGGAGATCCAGGACCTGTTGGGGCGATTCCCACATTATAATAGACTTAATGAGCTTGAATGGACCCACGGGGAGTGTAGATAGATATAGTGATTCAATGGTAAGCTCCTACCCAGGACTATAGGCAAGGAGGAAGGAAAGTTGAGATATTGAATGCACGTCGGGGTTGTCGTCGCCCCCCAGCATCTGATGACTAAGGCGATCATGAGCGCGGGTATCCACATGTCCATATGAGGGAATGATCGACAAACTGAGGCACATCAGGTGGCGGCTGCATATGATCAAGTACCTACAATGGGTACCAGACTAGGTGCTACTACGATTTGACGGCATGTCTGTTTTGGGATAGAGGCTATCCAGTTCTAAAGTGTCGGTGCATAATTGGTGGTAGGTCAAGCAATCACTTGGTCTAAAATCCTAGTATATACACTATTACGTAGCATGCTGAATTGGACGATTCGCGTACATGGAAACCCGAGTCGTGAGAAATGAGTTGGGTATCTTTGTATCTATGCTATACTACCAAATGGAAATGTGGTGTAAATGGGGACATGTAGCTCACTCAGGAGATCGAAGTCGCCTGTTTCCGAGCCTTTTCTTCCTTCTCATGCACTCGCTCTTTCCAAAGTCGCAAGACCTCGAATCCCACTTCGACGGCAATGAGTAGGATAATGATCCATTCAAGTCGAAGGCCGTGGGTCTCACTAAGTCGCTCTCTGAGAACGCTGGCGATCTCTTGAGCATAGTCCATCTTTTCGTTCAAAAGTTTGATGCGGATGCCCACGTCCAAGGCTCTGCCAACTTGTTCATAATATCCCTCTAACCCAAGCTCATGTCGACTATCCCAGAAAATATCCGGAAGAGAGTCGGTAAGCTCAGAATAGAGATTGAGTTGCGCGCGCACACTAAGCAGCTGTCCGGTCTTTCGAAGGATGAAGTCGCGCGTGTATGGCAAACGAGAGCCCTTTGACAGGAGAGTTGGGATTGTGCGGGTTGACTCGAAGTAATTTGACAGAAGACTTTCAAGAACTGCCAACTTTGTACTTCGAGCAAGCCCCGACGAGAATGCAACCTTAGTCAAGACAGTATCAATTGACTGTTGCGCTGCAAGTGGTACTCTTGGACCTCCATCTCCAGTTTTCACGCCCAAGATAATCGTATCTCCCTTGATGCTGCTGTTTTCCCGCTTCGGGTCCTCCACAAACTCTAGATCTTCGGTTTCAATTTCGTCCACATGGACCCCCTCTGCTGCAGGAAGGAGGGTTCTCGTGGCCAGAAAAGAAGTGAAGCCTTCGGGTAGCGCCCATGCCACCACTGTACCAGATGGGAACACGAAGACATCGCCTACTTCGTCAGAGGACAAATCTGCGGTGGATGGGTTCCCGACGCGTCTTCTAGAGTCAATTGGTATCTGGACATGTACCACCTGAGGGAAAAGTCCGGTTTCCAGTGGATCGGGCTCGTATCCCTTCTCCTGCAGTATGTCTCGAACTTTGCGTATGTTAAACTGCTCGGCCACGGCGTAGGCGGTAATTATCTATACCGAAAAGGCACTCAGCAAAGGTCTCGCTTAGAAGCATGTCCTTCGTACGAACCTTAGTTTGATGGATGCCCTGCTCCTTGAGCTGGGCCTTGGAGAGAAATCCATCTCTCGATCTTTGCGCCTCCACTGCAACTCGTCGAAGGGACGTGGGCGCCGCTGGTACTCTCGCACTACGTCTCCGTTGTTTCTGCAGTTCTGGGTTCTCCGAAGATGCGTCGTCCGTGGAGGGCTGCGTTTGCGCTAGTTGAGCATTCGACGTGAAGAAGTCTCGCCGACGAGGGAGTGCCAATGCTGGCGATGCGTGTAGGTACTGAATCTGCGCCTGTCTTAAGGGCCGAGGTATCATCGGTCGCTTACAGGCTGAGCAGATGGCGGATCTGGCAAACATGATGATGTGCAAAAACCAGAAGCGCGATGACATCGTCTGAAGATCGGAGCCGAGGGACACACCCGCTTAGTCAGAGCTCCGCTCCAACTCTAGCTTCCCCCAGCTCCACGCCGTCGCAATCCAGCCTCCGCTTGCTGGTCGCAACTCGATTTAACCCGCTTGGGAGCTTCGGGCACCACGAGGGATTCGCTATGGACACGCATGGCGAGAGCACAGTGAGCGAGAGGGATGCTAGGGGCTCCCCGAAGCACGATGCGTCTGCAACGCGAAGCCGATCTCCTTCCGACACGATTCAAGACGATCACGACCAAGCTCATTCAAACAGTGATGATAATTCCGAAGGCAGCGATGGAAGAACCGAAGAAGGAGAGAACGAGGAAGAGTCCGATGAGGAGGACGAAGAGCCTCGGCTGAAATACGCCTATCTTACGAAACACTTAGGCTCTGTATATCGCAACGGCGATGCGACCAGCACCTTCCTTGTGGCGGGAGACAAAATGGTACCCCTCTCTTTGCAGTCAATCATTTTGAGATATTGATTACTCACTATAACATATGTCTAGATCGTTGGAACCCATAATGGTGTCATTGTAAGTTCATCATGCCCAATCTCATCTCTTGGCGGGGTTGAACTGACCTTGTTCAGCATGTCCTTTCGTTGCCTTCGCTACAGCCTCTCCGAGTATACCATGCACATTCAGCGAGTGTTACGTCTGTCTCCATATCCCCATTCCCGCCCCCTTTGCCAAGTTTGAAACCCGAAACTTCTGGCAAGGCGGCGACGGAGGATCCCCGGCCTCCGACGCGAACTTCCACAAATTCTGGCAGCATTCGCGGCCATCCAAGGCCGAACCAACACGCGCCCGTTCCGGTGACTCCATCTAATTCGATTTACATTGCCTCTGCCTCAATCGACGGAAACGTATGCATATCATCGTTGGTCGACCCGAAAGATATTCTGAAACGGAACTTTGGCCGGCCTGTCCAGGCCGTAGCTCTCTCCCCAGAATACAAGAATGACAGGGCATTTATTTCCGGAGGTCGAGCTGGGGATCTGGTTCTTACTACCGGCGGCCGAGTCGGGGTCAGTTCAAACGCAACTACCATGGGTGGAGCAACAGCAACAGCGTCGAGCTGGCTGGGGTCAATGGGTTTGGGAGCCAATAGCGGTAAAGACACCGTACTGCATAGTGGCGAAGGCACGATTAGTACTATTCGTTGGTCTTTGTCCGGGAAGTATGTTGCTTGGGTAAACGAGGAGGGCATCAAAATAATGCGGTCAAACCTGCATCTCGAGACCTCAGAGTCGGAGTTTGCCTGGAAGCGAATAAGCCACATTGACCGTCCGAACCGACCGGGCTGGGAGGAAATGGCCGGTGTCTGGAAAGCACGCGCAGAATGGATTGATCAGTCTGCTCTGTATGACGAAGACAATCTCGAACCTGACCTCACAACAACATCGCAAAAGCCGTCGTCAGTTCGTATTTCCGAGAATATTGAAAAACTGGTCGTCGGCTGGGGGGAACTGTCTGGGTCATTGATGTATACCCGGACCGCGCCTGTAAATCTTCGAAGGGCGAGAGATACGGTTCCGCGGAAGTGGCCACAATGTAAGTCACACTTTGACAATCTAGAACATACGATACTGATCCAATATGCAGCCTGCGAACAGATTGTGTGATATCGGGTATTTCTTTGTATTCACCGCGCCTTCTTGTGGTTCTTGCGTTCATCGAAGTCGAAGATGACTCGCCTGAAAGCAACAGGAGAAGTTCTGGCCGCGGCCTGAAACAGAAGGGACTGGAGCCTGAACTTCGTATTATCGACATCGAAACCAAAGAAGAATTAAGCGCGGACACACTTTCTGTCAATCGCTTTGAGGGTCTGACTTCATCGGACTACCATTTGAGCGTATTGCCTCCATGGAAGACCCCAGAGGGGCAAGTTGTCCAGCGGGGAGCTCTCGGGGCCCTTGGACACGGGTTACTGGATGCGACAATGTATTCAGCACGCCTTTTCAGCTCTGGCGCCAGTATCCGCAGCACAACGAGCAGCGGTGATAAGGGATCCATCAGAGCATCTCCATCTTTCGCCTCTAGGAGTCTATCTGCCGATGACGCACTCCCCAAAGAAGTTCAGGATGTCTCCGGAGCACCAGGTGCGAAAATATTCGTGCATAGCCCATTCGACTGTGTTGTCGCCGTGAAAAGGGATATTTCCGACAGAATTTCCTGGCTTGATTCTCATGGCCGATATGAAGAGGCATGGCACCTTGTCGATAAGAATCCTGAAGCAGTCGTCTCGTCACTTGATTTACCTGAAGTGGTTTCTGGGTCCGTGAGATCTCAAAGCAGCCTGGGCGACTTCTTTGATGACGATCAATCGTCTGTAATAACTGCTGGCCGAGCGAAGACCTCCGCCGCCGATCGAGAAAAGGCTCGTCTTGGCGAAAGCTGGGTTGAACAGCTTATCGGCGAGGAAAAATGGAGGGAGGCTGCCGAGGTCTGCAGCAAGGTAATGCGCAATTCCACACGATGGGAACACTGGACATGGGTGTTCATCAAGAAAGACAAGGTCGATGAGATCACTCCGCATATCCCCATCGACATGCATCCGTCCCTGTCGTCCTCAATCTACGATTTCATCCTCACATATTATGTTACTCGAGATCTCAACAGGTTCAAGGAATTGGTCGACGAATGGCCTTCCGAACTGTTCGACTCAAACAATGTGACGTCTGCAATTGAAGAACAACTCAAGGCAGACACCGTACAGTCGGACTCCGAGGAATGGCACATGTTAACAGATTGTTTAGCGAGGCTTCTCCTGGTCGGCGGCCATTACCGCGAAGCTTTGCACTGCTACATTCGCTTGCAGGATGCAGATACAGCAATGTCCTTGGTTTTAGAGCATCGGTTGGTGGATTCCGTGTCTGATGATATCCCCGCCTTCATCCTGCTTCGCGTCTCCAAGGAACAGCTGAGATCTCCCTCGACGACAATAGCTCAACTGGAAGAGTTGACCGCAGAGCCAATTCAACTTCTCGCCAGCGAAGCCTATACTGGTATTGTACGCCCTGAAACTGTGGTGTCGCAGCTGAAGGCCGCCAATCGCTTTCTCTTCCTTTATTTCTACCTTCGTGCGCTATGGCGTGGCGAGTATCTTTCACATGAGGCCTCAAAACCTCGACGAGGCCGTGGAGCCCACACCCGCGACGCCGCTAGCAAATTGGCTGCCGACGAAGGAAAAGCTCTGATCGATAATTTCGCAGACACGGCCGTGGAAGTCTTTGCAGAATATGATCGGCCTCTACTTATGGATTTTCTGCAGAAGAGCATTTCATACACTTTTGAGACTGCCACCTCTATATGCGAGCAACGCCATTATATCCCAGAGTTGATTTACCTGCTATCAAAGATGGGTCAGACTAAACGAGCCCTAAATCTGATCTTGTCAGACCTGAAAGACGTATCCCAGGCGATTTCATTTGCCAAGTCACAAGATGACCCCGATCTTTGGGAAGATCTTCTCGATTATTCAATGGACAAGCCGAAGTTCATCCATGGGCTACTTGTCGAGGCGGGAACGGCGATTGATCCAATCAAACTCGTTCGTCGAATCCCAAGCGGGCTTGAGATTGAGGGTCTTCGGGATGGTCTCACTCGGTTGATCAGAGAGCATGACTTGCAGGCGATCATCAGTCAAGGTGCGGCCCGCGTCATGCAAGGCGAGGTTGCACAGGGCATGGATACGCTGCGCAAAGGTCAACGTCGCGGTATTAAATTTGATATCATCGACGACGCTGGAGCGGAAGGTCAAGCAGACATGGCGGTAGAGGCCTCTAGCGCCGTGAAGTTAGGCGGTCCGGGGCAAGGAAAGTGCGGCGGATGCCATGCTCCCTTTCAAGCAAACGGTGAGTATCTCTTCGAGGCCATGAATTACCAACCCCCAAAGTAATTGATGCTAACTTGGCTTCCTGAAGAACGCGAGATTCTCATCGGTTTTGCATGCGGCCATGTTTTTCATCTATCGCATTTGCGTTCAGAGGCATCGCGGCAGCAATCAAGTACAAGCAGCCCCGATGGATCGGCCGACCATACACCTAGACCCTCATCGCCATCCGAGGAGCCGTCTTCGTCGACTGCCTCTCGCACTGTTGGCCCCAAGGTGACGACTGCGCGGCTTCTCCGCGAGAAGATAGGCGACGGCTGCAGGATTTGCGCTCTCACAAGGAAAATTGATTCGCTTGGCGTCGAGGGCGAAACATGAAATTTTCGTCGGTTGGTAACCGAGAGCCCATCTCTGCTTGCTCACCGCACTGCAATCCCCGCCTGTGCATTTTCATGTATAGTACTCTCTGTTTTCTTTCGAGATACCCGCGCGCTTCGTTCTCAGATCTTTCTACTGCATTGGGAGGCAATTTATCCTTATCCACGTAGCCATCCTGTGACTGCCACATACCCCACACACCTGTGAGATCTTGGGGTTCATCCTAACGCACCGGAGAGCTCTGTACGCGTGCTCCCTCCAGGAATCTTCCAGGCTTGAATTTTTTTTTTTTTTTTTTTTTTTTTTTTAAACTGCAGATATGCACTTCAGATACACCCTATGGTAGCATTCATCATCACTAGCGGTAGCGTCAATTATAGGCCGCTTATTTCTGCGATTTAAGATCTTAGGCCACGATTCGTATTTACCTCCCGAATCTACTATTTTCCCACCGAACAGAACCAACCGAAGCAAATGATGCCAGAATGCTTAGATGGGAGCCGACTTGTGCATAGTACATAACATAGCTCATCGACGGCATAATCTCTGAGGTACAAATTCATAGGGCTGTATGCTGATTCAATGCCCCACTTTTAGAAGAATAGGCATATTATTATTGGTGTTTTTGGCTGATAAGTGGGACACTGAATCAGTGCGTCTAACCGTTGGGTCTTTACGGGGCATAATGTAATGCCCGCTTATGCGCATCTCCCTTTGGCGGCGATTATTCCGCGGGTTCATCCAGCCCTTCAGGGCTGCGGAGGGTGCCAGATGTCAGGAAAAGAGATGCGTAATTTCTGATCGTAGAATTTTTTGATTTTTAATTAATTTCACTCTAGATCTTTCTTACTTAATGCAGCGACTGGGGCCCTTTCTTTTCCTTGCCCGGCCATTCTCTTCCACTCAAAGGCGCTCTGCGTTAATCTCCGTTCCTCACACACTGTCATGACGAGCAGCTTGGACCGCCAGAAATCGAGCTCGAATCTCTCGACCCTCAACGGCGAGGATGGATCTCACGTGCAACCTGATCTTGAAAAACAAGCGACAAAACACACCACAGAGGAGCCAACTCCAGCAGCACCGAAATTCCTAGAGACAGACTTGAGCCGGGGGATAGTCGGATGGGACAGCCAGGACGACCCCCAGAACCCTCAAAACTTCGCTGCAAGCAAAAAGTGGGCGTTGCTCGCATTGATCAGCGCCTTCACTTTCATCTCGCCACTGGCATCGAGCATGTTTTCGCCTGCGGTCGTCTATATGGGGGCGGAATTCCATGAAACGAATGAGACTATTCTTGCCTTTAGTGTCAGCATCTTTTTAATTGGGTATACGGTAAGTTCATACTTGTTCAACGTCGCCGTTGCGCAGACCAACTATTTGACCTACTTGAATTGTCTGACTAAACTTTTTGATTTCCTTACAGATCGGACCCCTACTACTGGCCCCTCTGAGCGAGATTTACGGTCGTCGCGTAGTTCTCAGCGGAGCCAATTGGTTCTTCGTCGTCTGGCAGATCGGATGTGCTCTCTCCAAAAATATCCAAACACTAATCGTGTGTCGACTGTTCGCCGGAATGGGAGGATCAGCATGCATCACGCTTGGTGCTGGTGTCGTTGCAGACCTGTTCCCCACTGAATTGCGCGGGAGAGCTACTTCCATTTGGAGTATGGGGCCTCTGATCGGACCGGTGGCAGGCCCAATTGCTGGTGGATTCCTAGGTGAAGAGGTTAGCTGGCAATGGGTTTTCTGGGTCTTGCTCATTGCAAGTGGTGCTATGCAGCTTGGCATTGAGGTGCTTAACAAGGAAACATATGCGCCTGTCTTAATCAGGTGGAAAACGGCCAAGCTGTCAAAGGAACTTGACCGCACCGATTTGCAGAGTGCATATGACATTGACCGTGAGCCCCTCTCAAATGCGCAGGTTTTGAAACGCAGCCTGATTCGACCGGCCTTGTTGCTATGCAAATCGCCAATTGTGTTGCTACTCTCAACCTATATGGTAAGAGCGAGGTTTTCTATCTCATGGTCCTACCCGCGTTCTCGACGGTTGCTGACTCAAATATACTAGGCACTTGTCTATGGATTGCTCTACCTCTTCTTCACAACAATCTCCGATGTCTTCACGCGTACCTACGGATTTACGGTTGGCCTATCTGGTCTCGCATACTTGGGAATTGGTCTCGGGTTCTTTGTCGGTCTTATGATAATCGCCTTGACAAACGACCGCATCGTCAAGAAGCTTACGGCCCAAAATGGTGGCAAGTTCGAGCCAGAGATGCGACTCCCGACGATGATCATGTTCGCCTGTATCCTCCCCATCAGCTTCTTCTGGTACGGCTGGACCGCTGATAAACATGTTTTCTGGATTGTGCCCATCATTGGCATGTTCCCGTTCGGTGTTGGGATGATGGGCGTCTTTATGCCTATCCAAACCTATATCATTGACTGCTATCCCGCCTATGCAGCCTCAGCCAATGCAGCTCTGACAGCAACCCGGTCGCTCGTCGGAGCGTTCCTTCCTCTGGCCGGCTCACCCATGTTCGAATCTTTGGGGCTTGGCTGGGGGAACTCGCTGTTGGGATTTCTTGCACTTGCTTTCGTTCCGATCCCCATCATCTTCACCAAGTTCGGCAAGCAGATTCGAGAGAGATGGCCTGTTGACCTGGAGGATAAAAGAAAATAATAAGTGTCGGTGTTTTTCATTTATCGGAATTGATCTAATTGAGGTTTAAGGTGCCTTGAGAAAAAAACACAATCTTCGCAACCAAAGATAGAATGCACATATACTAGCTAACCAATAGAGCTTCCTGTTTGATAACACATTGTTGAGGCCTGTGTCAAATGATACATCTTAATACTTTTTACCCTTTTTCAATTTGTTTTCGGGTGTTTCCAACTCAAGTCATGTTGAAGAGAAGTGAACTGACATCAATACCTACCATGAGATTCGGATGCTCATTGATAAACTCTTGAGTGATACCCCAGCCTTCCTCTTTCATGAATGTCTGATAAAAAGCAGGCTTGATGCGAATTTCATTCTCCTCGTTACGCTCAAGGACCTTGACACCCCACGGCCACCGGATCTTGATGCAACAGGCAAACAAACCAAAGAAATCATCGCGATTATTCTCGTAAAGCTGCCATTGACGAATCATGTTTGATCTTAGACTAGGCCATGGAACACAGCTCAACGCGATGGGGTGCTCGATCTGCAATTGGTCTTTGACAGGTCGTAGAAAGCGAGGCAAGTTCTCGTATGTTCTCGGACTCGGCGCAATGACCCATCTTGAAAAATGATATACAATCCATCCCATTGCTAGTCTCTCAGGGTCGCGACATGGCCGTCTTTCGAGTGCCATGTGGATCATGTTTGCCAGTGGATTGGTATTGCTGCCATATAGGAGATCGAGGGGTGATTCGGGAGTGTCAGGGCATGGCGTGATTTGCTCTATGTGAGCGAACCAAGGAAATGTCACGGTTCTTAGACGGGAAAAGTCATCCGAGTAGAGTGGGAGTTTGTTCCAGTCCACATTGTCGTTTATCTTGTGATGCTTGGGAGATTGTTGTAGTGGCGATACCACCGAGGTCGGTAAATTATTCAGGGACAAGGAACAAGTGGCCCCATCGAGAGGCTCAGGAAATGTGTGATATCCCAGAGGTGTAGAAAGTCTGGGCTCTCCGTTTGTTTGACCATGGGCCGTTGGCGAGTCACATAGTGTTGTCTGCTCCAACCTCTCGTCCCATGAGTTCACCATTGAGCGTAATGCTCTTTGCCGAGCCACAAGGGCTTCATTCTGTTTCCGAAGACTCTCAATGACCGCGAGGAGATGCTGCACGCCCTTCTCATTGTGGTATTGCTCACAGTGCGCCACCTGCACTTCGAGCTCGACTGTATGGCGCAGCTTCTTGTTGCGGAGAGTCTGTTGTGCCCGTCGATCTCGCACACGTTTTCTCTCTGCCGATGACAGGTCTGACATTAGGTGCCCGCTCCAGACTAATGCTTCCAGGCGCTTGGGTATCTCTACTCGAATCGAGAAGGTTGAGGTGTGTGGTAAGATAGCGATATTTCATCGGATAATCAATTATCCGGTGCATAACTATTGTGCACCACTTGAGCATGTGGGGGAGTTGCCCAGGGTACCTGAGTTTCACTTTCATCGACTTCACAATGTTTCGAGCAATTTATACTTTAATCCTTTTGCGTATTGTTGTCTACCCAATAAAAATCCATTTCGAAACCTATTTGACATAAAGAGCAATCTCAGACAAGCAATCGATAATTTCCGATCAAGTATCTTCACTACACTAGTGTACTACGTACCCTGGATATTTATCGAATCAGGCTACGAGTGAAAATTCACATGTGAAGCGTCTTGTTATGATGGTACCTTCGCAGTGTTAGGGGAGAATGGTATGATTAATGCACATTAATTTCATTACATCTCGAAATACCCCGGAGAGTCATCTCTAACGCTGTGCAAGGTAGCTGACACGACACAGCAGGGATCAAGTTTCTTAAGAATCAAAAGGAATAAGGACGGTGCAGAGTATCATCACAAGGCATGTTGGATGCAGAGAGGACATATGCAATGACCGGGCGGAGAAGGGCACACAATGAAATGGAGACAATAGGGCAACGTCATTGATCATACCGAGAACAGGAAATGCAGAGCTCGGGTGATGTAGAAACTTGGAGTAGGGAAACGCCATGGATGCAAATGGGGAAATGCCTTGGCAACCGAGATCGATGTTTCTCCGAAGAAAGTGATTCGATGCAGCCGGTAGACAGATTACAAAGGTGGAAAAAGAAGAGAAAAGAAAACACTAGCAGGGTGTACATAACAGAATCGTCAGACGTCATGAGGGGGCTTCAAAGGGAATAAAGGGATAAATGGACAAGAGAATTGAATGAGGTAGGGGAGCAGCCGAGTTAGGGTCGTAGCTCGCCGCCCAGCTGCAGAGCCAGCCCGCTTTCCTGGCGAGTCCGAGGGCTGGAGGTATTGCTAGGAGGCACGAGAGCATCAAAGTTCAGTCGCTTGCGAGCATCCTTAGTGGAAAGAGGCGTTCGAGCCGGGTTGCCCGGAGTGCGACCCCCCACGCCGGCTGAGCAGGGCTTGGAGTCACATTCACGAAATCGGCAAAATTGAATTGCTGGCCGGGGGTTCCGAGATTGGGGGTCAACGAAGGCAGACCTGCATGTTGGCTGGGAGGAGTGGAGGGCGGGAAAGTCTGATTATGCGAGCTACGGGCGACACGAGCTGGCGTGGGTGAATTGGCAAGATACAAAAGAAGATCGGCTCCATCCTCGTGCTGCCCAGCACGATCATTGCGTGGCAGACGTGCGTGCTTGGGAGGCGGGGTTCGGGGAGGCGACGAGCCCACCATGGAGCTCACATTCTGAAAGCTATGCAAGGGCAGGTCGGGGTCGTTCTCCTCGTCCGAGGGACCATGGTAGACGGGAGATGACATTTCGGGGATGGGGGCCTCCGACATGAAAGGGATATGGTTCGGTCGGGCCGTGAGGTGTCGATTGAGACCAGGAGACGACTCGGGCAACTGGTAGGAACTCTTCCAGGAGACTCGAGCAGCCTTCGCAGGGCGTTCGTTGGCTGAATCGGACCGCATGCGTTTCCGACTGGCCGACAGCATGGGCTGCATGACCCGGGAGTTGAAGGTCACGGCATGCTTGTTGCGGGCTGATCGTGGCAGCTCCTTGGAGTAGGTAGCGGCTCGAAGGGGAGGAGAGGTAAAGGGGGTCTCGCAGCGGCTCCGTGAGAAGTCGGATGAGGAATCGGAGGGCTTGTCGCTATCCAAGGGCGAGTTGCTGTTCAGGCCATGAAGCCGGCCATGCTGGTACTTGAGTTTGGCTAAGCCGAGGCGGTCCTGTAGACTCAGCGAGACCTAAATCAAAGGGAGTCGTCATTAGCACGGATGATTCCTTGCAAGGACCCCTTGGCAAGATTTCTGGAGTCTTGGAAGCCTTCTTTTTTTTTTTTTTTGGGTGCCTGCATGGAGTGGATGCATGCCCATGGGATTCCCCGTCGGCTCATCAAGGTTTTCTAGTTTTCACGAGATTCGCAGCATGTGGAAAATGCTCACCTGGGCGATGTCGATTTTGCGAATGGTTTTCTCCGCCGAACTCGGCTGCGACAGGGTCATGGTGGGCAATGACGAGGAAGAGAAACCCGAGGGAACAGAGTGTCAAGGCCTTTGCGGGTGGCAGCAAGGGCGGCTGGGAAGGAGTTGGGTCCAATGGGCGGAGCAGGAGCCCACTAGGAGCCGTCGATCGGACAACCTAGAAGCAGCGAAGTGCACGGGGAGAAGGTGAAGAAAAGAATGTGTTTTGTTTAGGGTATCGCTCAGACTGAACGGCGTCCCGGCATGAACGCAGAGATTGGGAGAGGAGGAGAGTGCAAAAGTGGAAGTGATTATGTACCAAAACGCGTGCCGCGCCGCCGAAACGGACGCGCTCTGCAGTTCCGTGGTTCGCACTTTCTCCCGCTACAGCCTCCATCTACAGCTGCAACTACACTACTTTCTCTTCGAAGAGGGTGAGATAGGACACCAATGGAAACGTTTACATTTCGAACCTGGACTGACATGGTTGACCGTCCAGAGCATAGGGCAGCCAGGCCAGATGGAGTGAAAAATCTAGCCGGCTCCAGCCACATACCTGGGCGCCCCCCACAGCTCGACGGAGATCGTGCTGGCTCGAGACTGAGGATTCCGGTGGGCCTGCCACAGAAACCACCTGGCATGCCAGTGCCATCTGAAGATTCCGATCCACATCTGCCATGCCGGAGCAACATGCGCTCACGATGTCATCGACGAGGGGGAGATGAAATCTGTCCGATGTGGCATGCTGGCAGGTGGCCGCGCTCGTCAAGCGTTGCACGGGCCATGGGGATCGTGTCTCACGCCTCCTGTTTGATGCCCAGCCTGGTCAACGCCCGGAGCCGCAGCGACCAGGCACGTCAGGCCGTTGGGTGAGGGTAGGTATCCCCGGCCAGGCCAACAATATCCGGCCCGGGGGGACATGCTGTGTTCGATCACTGCAGAGTATATCCGTGCTCCTGGGGCTGGAATCCCGACGTGTCACGCCCAACCCGGCCTGCGTGGCCCCCGACAAGCTACTGGCAATGCAGATGCACAGATCGCGCGTGCTGCAGGCTAATATATGCGACCCGGAGCCTAGCCGTCCAGTTTCGGGATGGCCCACCAAGACTGATAGTACGGAGAAGCCAGGGATTTCACAGTATGTAGTCAGGATGATTAGGATGGTCCAGAAGATCAAGAAGGTCAGTGTCCCGGTTCAAGCCAAGCCAAGCCCACTACGTAGGACTCTCGAGCGCATGGAGATACATTAATATTGAAGATCCGAAAATGCAGCATAGCAGTGGAGAGTTTCGTCTTGGCTGGTCAGGAAAATATTGGCGATACGCCATGCAGCCTGCGGCGTCGCCACAGTCGCAGTCGCAGTCGCAGACGATGGGCTTCGAGAATGGAGACATCGAATCCTCCGTTCCTCCTTCCCTCCCCCATTGTCCTGCGTCCGGGGTCTGTCATTGGTAGGCGGCATTCTCAGGGGTCTGATGAAGCTGGAGCAAGCTCGTCGCCAGTGCCGCAAAGCAGGGAACTGGGCGTGGTATGCTGGTTTAGCCCCGACACTAGATCTGAGCTAGGAGCGTTAGGGCGATCATGGAGAGATCCACCGGTGAAACATTGCGACTCCCAGGGAGCGATAGGCGTCCTTGTCTCGCAGGCGAAGGGGGTACGTAATGCGCACGACGTTAAGGGCTAATTATACCTGACGGGCGCTGAGCCAGTGGTGGATTGTGGACTGGTAGGACTAACTACTAGAAGCATTATTCTTTCAAAGGTGGATGTGTCCAGGACGTCGTGGGACGTGCTGTTTGGGACGTTTGCTGGCGACATCGACGCGAATTTGCAGATTCCTTTCAGGAAACTTGTCTCTGGCTCTTTCTCCCTCCAACTCGCACTCTTCCCGACGACCCTGCGGTACCTGCTCGTTCGCGTTGCTTTCCACATTGTTCCATTGTTAGTTCTGCTGGTTCTTGCGGGGCGACTCCAGCGGCGTCGTCACCCGCCGCAAACGGTCGCGCTCTCCTGTTCCTGGCGAGAGCTGGCGAGCGCCGCCCTGAACCTCCTTCTCTTGCGCCTCCCCTGAGAATTTCTCCTGGTGAGAAGTTCTGCATCATGCCGTTCTTCAAGCAGCTGCGACGACGCTCCAAGGCCAGCTTCAATGCGACCGACGCCAAGTCGCCCTCGACCAAGGTCGATGAAGTGGTCTCGGGCAAATCCTCCTCCACGATCGACACGTCTTCCCACAGCTCCATCACCCCCCCGTCGTCGATCAAGCCCACCCTCTCGTCGCCCAACCTCCCCTCGCTCTCCGAATCCAATGGCACCAGCATCGCCAGCACCGCCAGCACTCCTCTCGCCCCTCCCCCGCAACGCCCGGGGCCCTACATGACCACCCCCTCACAACGAAACAGCATTGTGGTACGTAACACCTCTCTCTCTCTCGCGGGCGCATACCCCGACATTCGCAGGAAGGCTAACCGTGATCGTCTCATAAACAGGGCAGCTCAGCCTCAGCCTCGTCTATCAATGGAGTCTTGCGGTCGCCAACCCCAAGCTCCCCATATGCGCCACGGATTGTGTCGATCTCCGATAACAATTGGGTGAGTCATTCAATACCCTATAGATGGGAAAGGGGAAGAAGTAGAACTGCTACTAACGGACTTTCCAGGTGCATCAAAAAGTACTGCTCGTCTACGGTCAGATTGGAGACCCGCGTCAACATCCGCTGGACGGAAATGTGACCGTCTTCCATCACCAAGATAACTTCCCGTCCATCGGCTGGCCCGTGACGGCCTCTCATTTTAAAGTTCTCGCCCATCTAGTGCCAGGCCCTAATCGTCTTCGTTTCGACTTCGTCTCGCCCAAGCTATCCACAGGAAGCACCTATCCCGCCGTCCACTCGACTTGGATTAATATCAACTACCTGCCGCTGGTCAACACCCCGCCGCTGCACCTGGTCATCTTGTTGGGAAAGGATTCGGAAGGAACCTACGATGCAGTGCCCGAGAGGACAGAGCGCGAAGGAAACGGACTCGAAACGGCAATTCGAAAATACCGAACAGCGGCCTATCTATGGCAAGCGTTCACCGGAGAGCAGATGTACCGCAACAACCTCGGGCGGCGTTGCTTCCGGTTTGAAGAGGAGTGGCAGCCCGGTAGCCTGAGCCGTCGAGACTTGTCGGCAGGCCAGATGCGCAACGAAGCGAAGATACACGTCATTCGCTCGGAAAAGACTGTGGCTGAACTACGGGATCTCAACATCGCCCAGCAAAATGACAACGCTCAGCGCCGAGATGAGCTTTTCACAATCGCCAAGGACGCCGTGCGGAGTCGGTTCCCCTCCCAGCCTGGCCAAAAGCAGTATGTCTCGGTATTGCTTCTTGACTCTCATTGGGACACGAGCGCACAAATGATCACTGGCCATGCCGCTCTTGGGTCCGGCGACGACGATATCAAAATGGCTATCTTCGGGTCACATTGCTTGCAGAGCTACCCATCTTGCTTGGAGGATGTGGTCGATGCGTTCAGTGATTGCACACGAACAGATACCAACTATGTGGCCAACGACAGTGGCGATGCTGGTTCCAACTGGGAGTCGGCCAACTTGGGTATTGGGGCGCACCTGCACGAGGTTGGGCATTTATTCGGATGCCCACACCAAGAGGCGGGGATCATGCTTCGAGATTACGTGCAGCTCAACCGCACTTTCTTGACCAAAGAGCCCTTTTCGACTCGCACCAAAGCGCAGGGACTGAAACTGTGTCTGCCGAATGACGAGTGTGGATGGCATCGCCTGGATGCACTGCGTTTCCGATTTCACCCTGCCTTCCGCCTCCCTAATGACGCACCAGTCCATTCGGATGACAGTGTCCAGGTCTGGCCAGTGGAAAATGGCAAAATTCTTTTCACGGCATCTTCTGGTATTGCTTTCATGGAATTGTATCAAGAGGGTGACGATTTCTGCCGCAACTATATCGAGTATCTTAACACCGAGTCCAGTCCCAACGGTCTGCCCAAACAAATCACCGTCACCGAGAGCGAGCTTCGTCAAAAACTATTTGGAACCGAGAAGGAGAAGAAAAAGAAGATTCGAGTGGTGGTCTTCTCAGGCGCCATGGGCAGCTACACGGTCGAAGATATTGGTGTTCTGAAGTCAAAGAGCTCTTTGGTCAAGCTTCCCAAGAGTCAAACTGGTTATAAGAGCGGAAAGCTGGGACAGTCTACTATGGAGGGCAGCGAGCCCGAGCAAGTTCTGCTCGAGTGCGCTTTTGTCAAGACGAAGCTCTTGACCTCCATCAAGATATATCATGGATACGCCCTTGACGGCATCGAATTTTGCTACGAGGACATGACCAGCCAGCTCTTTGGAAAGCGAGGCGGCAAGCCTGGCGGCGACGAATTCGTCCTCGATACACGCCGGGGAGAGATTCTTCTTGGATTCTATGTTCGAGCTGGGCTCTGGATTGACGGGATCGAAATCCTCACCAGCCAAGGGAGAAAATCCGGCTTCTACGGGAATGCCACCGGAGGATCTGGGTAAGTCATGAGACTCACACCCTTAGTTCGCTGCGTTAATGATGATGCTGACTGCTTTTCCAGACACACTTTGATCCCGCCTTTGGGATATAAGATCGCCGGTGTCTCTGGATCCTGCGGGTCTTGGGTCGACGGATTTTCTCTCATCATTCAGCACTAAACGGAGCTTGAGCATCCTGAGCCGCAAAAAAATAATGGCATCGAGTCACAATTTCTTTTCTTTTTGACCACGTTTCGCGCACACGATGGGATTGGCATTCTAGGGAACATAACCTGGCCTGGATCGGCCAGCATATATACACGTGGTCCTGTCGGGCTTAGTATGCCTTTTGTTGATAAGTTCTTTGTTTGGCGTTGACGGGAGTTGCAGTGGCATGGACTCATCGTACTCATCTCTTCCACTGGGAAGAGCATTCGGATTGCGCAAGGACTTCAGGATATCTTGTACAAGAAACATTCATATTGGCCGACAGTTTATAGAGGGTAATACTACTACCATGGGCTGGGTCTGCCCAGTGTTCACATTCATTCCTCGCCTACGGTGCCGCCATGGAGGCATACTGTATAGGGTAATCATGGTCCGTTCGCGTAGAATAATCGTCCGGTTCCTTTTCCATACGTCATCGATGAAGACTGAAATTCAATTCGGAGTGGAGCCGCATGGGCCAATGTGATATCATGGCGTGACAATTTCGATCATGAGCCCTTGACACAGCCACATTGTACATTTGGAGCCAGCCTCAGGAATGTACCTTCTCCGCCCGTGAGGGTATGGATGGATTGAGATGCAGGTGTGATTTGCCATCGCAGGATCCAATTTCCTCATGTATCCCGATCGGCATGGATGCCATAGACGTACATAATACTTATCACTAGTGGAACTCCTTCCTGACGCGTCAGGCTGCAACAGTTACAGTGGAATCTCATAGATAGTACGGGCTATCTGATTTGTCGAAAGAAGGTAGCGGGCGCTTGAACCAATCATTTTTGGAGGTGCTGATCAAGTGCATCCGATGGATCCTTTGCCCCTCTGTTATGTATCATTATTACTGAATCCAGCCCAAAGTCCTACTGCACATCAAAATATGGGGAAAAGCTATGGGAAGGTTTCCATGCCAGAAATGCCGGTGCCTGCATGTACATCACAGTATGTAGAATTTGATACAATAGTAGAATCAGTTCTGGCTTCGCTGGTCAACTATACTCGATAGTACACGGTTGATACTTCCGAGAACAGTCCATTGAGGCCTGCACACTATCTAGGTCATGGTACTATCTAGGTACTCTTTAGTAGAGTATAAGCTCTCATAGTCATTACTACCTTGGTACTGTACCCGAGGGTCTTATCCAAGTTCCAAATTGGCTCTCGCACTGGCTCGGCTCATTGCGGGGGCACAATAATGCCTCGCACTATATACTGCAGTATACTGCCTCAGTGTAGACTGTATACTGTCTTCTATCTGTACATACCCTAGTGGATAGGGTATGCAGCACATCTGACTGCTTTTCGCCACACCTTCTTCTCCCCACCCACACCTTGCGACATTCACCGCGGCTGATTGGCCTTGCCCTCCATTCCGCCCGTCCCGCTCCCCGCAAGCTCGTCGTCCTGCGCCCACCAGATGCTCGTCTTCCCGCATCGCGTCCCTGTGCCTCGCTGTGGCGTGTGTGCTTGACTCACCGTCGGATGCCTAAATCCGCAGTGGCAATGCCCTCGTTGCGCCTGACTGGTCTCCCGTCCCGCCCCGGTCGCACATGCGAGTCCCCGCCGTGGAGAGCGGCTGCTTTATCCGCTTCGATTCCAGCAGGGATCTCCACGTACATTTGTGCACGCCCCTGCACTATGTACTACTGTACGCCCTAAGGTACAGGACACACGGGGGGACCCTAAGCTAAGGTACCTTACGCCGTGCACCAGGTACTGAACATGCGCCCATCGCCCGGGGCCCAAGCTCCCTATCCTTTTTGTTCGGTCTGGCGCCAGCTGCAATGATCTGCGTTCGCGCCGAGAATAAACGAAGGACGCGTTGTCCTGCCTGGTGATCCGGCGTGGGTCGCACTCGAGAGTTTTCCTCGAAATGTTCGGTGCGAAAATGGGCAATCGTGTACAGTTATGACGCACGGCGCGTTACTCTGCGCATCACTGGCAGCCTCACCCCCGAGCTCGACTGTACCTCAGCTACCGGGGGCCCTGAACACATCATCGTGGCCGATGGGCGATCGCGCGACAACGCGCGGGATGATCATTTAATTAGTACAACCGATCTAGATCCTTTCCCTCGCCAAAGTTCAGAATAAATCCGTGATCCCTGCCATGTCCTTTTCACAGTGTATCGAGGATGTTGTCGCAGAGCATCACGGATATCAAAAGAAGCAAAGACCAAGCTTGCAAACAATCAAAAAGATGGATCCATCCCGACTACCCGACAGCTCCCCCGGTTCCTAATGTCGCTAGTGGCGTGCGCGCCACTCCAAAGTGTCGACGATGACGGGGTGGCTTTCAGCCCAGAAGCATCCAAATCACCAATATATGGAACCGTTCAAAGGCCTTTGTGACCTGACAGAAAAGAAAAAAAAAAAAACCAATCCCGAATCTCCAATTAGGGGTCCATTCGAAAATTGGGAGGAACTTTTGATTGGTGCAATATGGCCCGGAAAAGGAATCCTGACGTCACGAGTCTCGTAGCCTCTCCCCTACTGATCATCTACCGTACTGTATGTTCCTCCATCCACCGTTTACCATTTCCAAAGACGTGGATCCGCCACGGAGGACATGATTCATGTCCGGTGTCACCACGGGTGATGCTTTTCGCCCCGTGCGTCGACCGGGCGGGATTAGCCTGGTATCGTGGAATACTAGCGAGATACGCGCTTTAGCTTGTAGCTTAAATGCGACCTGGTCAGAAAATGCTCCATCCACCAGCACTCGTCGCTGACGGTGATGATCGGGTTGGGGTTCTTCTCCCGTGGTCGGTCGAGAATGAGGGTGTTAAATTCGATCTTCTGTCAGCCAAGAATCGGTCGAGACAGCAGCACGCACCCATACACCGGTGCCACGATGAAGCGAGCATCCCTGCTGCTTTGGGCGGTTGTGGCTCCATTCTTCTTCACCCTTTAGCTCGGAGGTTCTTGCCGACCAATTACCATCGCGGCTGATCTCCCCGGCTGACAGCCGCCTATTTAAGGGTTGAGCTCAGAATGCAGAGCCCATTGCAAAACTTAATAATTTATTTTTCCCTCACTTTTCCCCTGGAAAAGATTTTTGGTTTTTAAAAAGAAATTTATATATAATAATAATAACCTAGGCATAAATGTGGAATGATATGTAATGGAGAAAAGATTCATCCAAGGTCAACGGCAAAGTCGACTTGATATGTGAAAGCAGATCGGGGACGACCGTCGATTGCGATATGAGATGGGGCCGATTCGATGTACAGATGGCGATGGGGCTCTGTGCGCATATTGTTCGGTATTGTAACAGGCACGTGCTCCGAGCTGTCCGAGCCGGAAATGTCGGGTGTTGATTGGCGGGATGCCAGCCCAGCAATCGCACGGCGCGAATTAAGCCGAATAGCCGTATAATTGGGTATGGTCAGCTTGTGTATCGCAGTGCATACCTACGAGTACCGTTCTCTTGAGATACATCCACCAGGAGGGTCCGGTGGCAAATCGAGAGCGTGGCACATAATATTGTACTGTATTATACAGTGTCCGACAAGTACAAGCTGGGCTTCTATATTGTTACAGACATACTCGGCGACCTGAAGGTATCCTGTGTACTGTGGAGGAACGCGTTTCAGATACATAAAATGAGCAACGTCAACTTGCGTGCGCTCGTCTGAGTCCCACAAGCAGTACGCATGAACCGAGCCCACATGGGAACCCATGGTATTTCCCTAGCGATCAACCCGCAAACCGCATTTAAGGCCCTGGTCCAAGCCCCAAATGACGTTGGTGCCGCACCGAAGACGAAAACGAGGTGTGAACAGCAGCGGCCGTACCTACTGTATGTAAATAGTACGTACTACCCTAAAGTACTTGGGTAGTAGGTATCATAAATAATCGACCGTATCTACTCCTGAGCCGATCGTCGAGGGTCCAAAGTCCGGCCCAGCAACCGCCTATCATACAATGTACCATCGGTTCGAGAGACGGAGCGCACAGTCACAACGGTTCCATGGGCGGACGATTCGCAGTCTACTCCATTGCACAGTATGATTTGAATTTATTTTTGACGGCTCAGAGCGCGCGGTGGATGGTGTGGCTCGGGGATGGCAGTGAAAATCGTTGCCTGCGGCTCCGGTCGAGTCGTCATGTGGCTGTTGGAGATGCATCTGCCACTCTGATTTGTGTGAGGGAAGGTCATGCCATTACTGTTCCCACCGCCTCTTCCGCCACCCAGCCCTCCTGGCCTTACCACATGTTCGACGCGGATGACTGAAAAGGCTGCATGCATACTCTCGTGCCCATAGGAGATTCTTCGCGCTTACATGCGAGTATGTATTATCGGCTCAGGCAGCAAGGCCGCAGACGTTGGGAAGGTGTGGCGTGTGGGGGAGAGAAACCCGAACCCGGAGAGTCGGTAGCAGTGCCCTATCGATAGACGGAAGCACTCCGGCTGGACTAGGCCAATACGATCGCCGAGCAATGATATCATGTCATAGGGAACCGAAAGGAAAAGGAAAAATGGAGTAAAAAACCCCTCTGGAAAACAATATCATACAATCCCTCCGCCTTTCCAGAATACATACCCTTCCTGTTACGCCGAAGATACACGTAAATTACACTCGTTTTCGTGAAGGATGTTCTTTTTTAATTTGATGGGCGGTTTGCAGTTAGCAATCCCCACTGATTCGTCCTTGGGTCTCATTCCCTTCTCTGCTCCATATTTCCTTTCCCCCCTGGTACTCCGAATACTGTACCAATCACTTCCATTCCATATTCGATTCCCCATTTGAAATAGTCACATAAAAAAATAATTCAAAAAAAACTCCCCATGCGGCCCCTGGTCCTTATCGGCTCCAGCCTTCAAGTGGCAACACCTTTCTTTCTCTGATCTTCCGACAGCTCTCTACGACTCCCTACCCCCCGGCCCAACCACAACTACTGTTCCCCCCCCTTGGACTGTGGCTCGGTGGGTGTCAATCCCTTCAGTGGCTCATAGATCTTACATCATTGGAGGCCCCATGGACCGTACCGGCCTTTCTATTTTTTTCTGTTCCCTTTTCTAGCTCGTTCGTCATACACCGTGTTCCACCCCTCCTTCCCCCTCGCCGCTCCGACCATTTCTCCAACTCTCGATAAAAAAAGGGGCCTCATCGCTAAATTCCAAGACCGATTTGGCTTCTGCTCCTACTCCCTCGACCACCATCGCGTTTATCTTGGAGGCCTTGCCTGCGATCTTCCGTGTGATTCGAATCTCCGCTTTGTGAGGCTCGCCCGATTCCGTACTTTTTTCCGCGCAATCGACCTCCCGACCTCCACGCTCCTTTCGCATACCCCTACATTTTACTTGCGACTGTTCGACGTGACTTAACCGAAGACCGGATTCCGTTCTGGAAGCGTCGAATATCCCTCGAAACCTCCTATTTCCGATCTCCGTTCTCTCCGGCCGAATCGAATCCATAGAACGACCCAAACTGTCGGAATACGGGGAAAGTCAATCACCAAAGAAGAAAAAGTTCACCCCCACGCGCAAAGAGAATCGCGGCCACGCAATACTACGGTGACAGTGGATTGGAATTGTGTAGTCAGATGGTCTATCTAAGGCTGCGCGCTTTTCATTTTCTCCGCTCCGACCCTTCTGCGTGCAATTCTTCCATTGCGGAGAACCACCAGTAAACCCAGCCCTCAATGTTTCGCAACCGGTGAGTCGCAAGGCACAAAATGACCGACAAATGGCCTCGAGCTAACATGTGTCGAATGCAGGAACAGTACTCGGAAGCCCGATGACGAGTTCATCAGTCGCTTCCAGCAAACATTTTCCGAGATCGTGCCCCGTCGAGACAGCGACCATGGACCGGATGGGGGCATTCCCTTGATGACAGGACGGTATGCAGAACCTGAGCTATTGAATCTGGGGTTTGGTGCTGACATGGCCGATGTGCGATCTAGACCGCTGGAGCATGATCCACAGCAGATGAAGTTGGATGAGGCCAATGTGAAATTTCTCAACGAACGCACCCCACGCAATCTACAAGACCTCAATTGGAGCCCGTCATGGATGGACACAGCGTCGATGCAGTTGATGTCTTCCTTTGCCGGCCAACATCCCGGATTCTACACCCCCAACTCCGGCGGCATGGGCGCCGTCTTCCACAATCAAGCCGGCGACCTACACACACCTACCACCGGCATGAATATGATCACCCCCCTCTCGCTCTCAAACCCGCTCGTTGGGGCTCACCCCAGCAACACACATATGGACCAGCAGTTTCAGCAACATTATATGGCCACTCACCTGCCCGACATGAACCCCTATCTGCAACAAGCGTCCTTTGCGCCTAGCGCATTCATGAACCGGAACTCATTCGATGCGATGGATGAATCCGGCGATAACGGGTCGATGCATTCGATGCATTCGATGCCGGTTGATCAGGCGTCCAATGCCACCAATGCGACTGATTATTCCAATGCCATGAGCATGTCCTATGCTGATGCTGACAAGTAAGTCGATGAAACAAAACCTCTTGTTGTCATTGTTGTTTCAATATACTGACTTGACTCAGCTTTCGATATAATGTGACGCTCCGAGCACCAACCGCAATGGTGAAGCATCGACGAGAGATCCCCATATCTTACCTCAACAAGGGACAGGCCTATAACTTGACAGTGACCGATTCAACCCCACCAATGGCCACTTCCGAAACCGTTAAGTACCGCACGTTTGTCCGCGTTTCTTTCGACGAAGAGCAGCAACGATTGAAACCGGCAACCTGCTGGCAATTATGGAAGGAGGGCCGAGGCTTGAACGAGGCACACCAACGCGGAGGGAAACTTTTGGCCGTGGAATTTGCGGATTCGGTTCCAGGCGGCGACAACAAGCACCGCCAGATCCAGCTTGAACAGATGTCCTTCGATGGGTTCTGTGTCACCTGGACTGCCAACCCCGACACCGGCACATCCGACTGCTCTATTCCCGTGCGATTCAATTTCTTGTCGACTGATTTCAGTCATTCCAAGGGTGTGAAGGGCATTCCAGTCCGACTATGCGCCAAGACAGAGCTCCTTGTACCAGGCGAAGACGCTGGTGTGTCCCGGGAAGCTGAGGTGTCTTACTGCAAGGTCAAGCTCTTCCGCGACCACGGCGCTGAGCGCAAGCTGTCCAACGATGTCGCCCATGTGAAGAAGACGATCGAGAAGTTGAAGCAGCAGATTGCACAGGCGGAGGTGGGCGGTGGATTCGGCAAGCGCAAGCGTGGCAGCGCCGCTTCGACCTTGAAGTCTATGGATCGGTCGAAGACTTCGAAGCACAAACGGACCTGGTCGATGGAATCCCAGGACGGAAACTCCGAGAAGATGTCCTTGGAAGATGACCTCCAATCCAAGCTGGCCATGATGCAGGATATGTTCTCGTCCACTCGCAATGTCAGCGTTCTCGCCTTACGCGGGGAGGAGGAGGATGATCCCGATTTGTACCCGGTCCGACTTCCTGCTGACAGCGAGATAAAGACGGACGGCCTGAACCGCCAGAGCTTCAACGCATCGCAGTCGTTGGAGTCTTTGATCTTGTCCCCCACCAGCAGCAATGTCTCATTGAATTCTCCTCACATGGGCAGCTTCAAGGACCTGAAGAAATCAGGCGTGGTACACAAAATCAAATCGGAGGACGCCAAGGTAGGCTACATTGAGGTCGTCGACGTCGACCCGACCTACTGTCCTCCAGCAGAGCGACCGCCTCAGCCCAGTAAGTGATACCTTGAGCGAATGTTTATGCTCCCTGTATTTTTCATTGCTAACAACCCCTTCCAGTCGCATGCTTTTATGTCAAATTCGCTGGAAACAACCAAAACCCCGATTTCTATCGCGCAATCTATCTTACCGAACGGACTGCCCGAGATCTGACGCAGAAAATCTCCGAGAAGCACCACATCGATCCAGCCCGCATCGTCCGCATCGTCCACGTCAATAAAAATGGACTGCGGATCATGGTCGACGATGACGTCGTACGTGAGCTTCCAGAAGGGCAGGACATGGTTGCCGATATCTACGAAACTCCAGGCCCCGGTGGCGGCTTCTCGGGATCTCCCATGGAGATCAAATTAACGTATTAATTGCCCAGCGTCCCGCTTCTACACCACACCCTACACCCCACTAGACGCCACGATACCTTCCTTTCAGCATCGTTCAGCAGTGCCATGGAATGAATGATCGCTACGACACTTTTTTTTTTTTTTGACCCCTCATGATCGTTGCTATACCTTTTGGCCTCGTTCCATTTCCCAGTCTCCTCCCCACGTCTGGACGTCGGCTTCGCCTCGCTTTGCGTGGGAAACGGTTGCACCTGGTGTGTATATTGTTGCTGGGAAGCCCTCTTCTCATCCGCCCTCTTCAACATAATGCGATTTGCCACTTTCATCGTTGCGCATCTTTTCCGTCATATCATTGGGTCGGCGATCATTCATCTTAGGGCGTTGGATACGGAGATAATATACGAGTCTCCCCACAATGATGCCTTGTCACTATAAGTTTTGACTTTTGTCTTTTTTTTTTATCATTCCGTGATTCTTCACCTTGTGTTAAGTTTTTATCACATGGAGTTGGCATACCCAGCGACGGTATATGAATTCGATGGGCACCACGGTACAAACTGTTGATATACATTTACACTTGTTTCATCACTTGATCTTCGAGAATGGAATTGGTCCCGGGATGACGCGAAGTTGATACCCCCGTTTCTTTTTTTATGAAGCTCGTTTGATACCGATCTACGTTGCCTTTGTGCATTTCGTCTCGTTGAGCCGGCTTACCTTGTTTTAATCTCTCAAAATTTTATCCTCTGTCTGGGGCGTACGTACACGGACTTTGGATCTTTTGATACAGTCACTATGGAGCGGGGTTACAAAACAACCAAATTCGATGCATAGGACCAGAATACGATTGGTTCGCCAGTATCTTAGCCATTCTCATTTTTCCTTCTTTTCGGTAAATATCCTTTTCTTGTGCAGCTCATCCTCTCATTTCTCCGGACCGACTCCGTCCAGGAGATCGGCGGCCCCAAATCTTAGCATCAAAAATCTTCTCTCGGAGGGTGGAAAATGGTAACGCTTGGCGTCCGAAGCTGGGTACGTAAGTGTGTGGGACCGGCAGATACAGTGTATACGAAAAAGACGACCTTCATACGGCAGACCGTAAAACCTGTCTCACGCTGCACCACGACGTAGCGGTCTCTGAGATATGAGCCATGAAATTTTTTATCAAATGGCGTTTCACCGCCTAATGGATAAAATTACAAAGTTACGGGACCCCACCCCCACCCCCAGAGCCGCTCCCAGGAACCAGGTAACGTATACAGGGCTGCTGGGAGTTCCATCTCGTTCCATGGGAAAGTCACGGCATGGGATGTACCATACCTCTATAGGGTATCTCTGGTAGGCAGTGATTTGATGGGGGTTAATGTTTCTACCCCAAGGAGTCTAATGCCATTGGCCGGAATCTCGGACCGGGGAAATGACAGCCGGTCAATTGTATCATGGGATCGGTCGTGTGTATCGATCTTTGGGTGTTCAGACACCTTCCGAGTGCGGGAGTTGTTGACATTCCTAACGATGACGATGATGACAGTGGGGCTTTACAGAATGGGGAAGTTTCGCTTTCTTTGGGTCTGGATCCTCGACACGAAATTTCTGAATTGGATACTGCGGGAATAAAATTCTTAATGTTTTCAGTCGATGACCCAAAGCGAGAACAATAGTACCTCCGATTATGGGGATGATTATTACTAATATACTATAACTCGGAAAGATAACTACTACTCTATCCAAGATTTGAAATAGAATCGCAGGATCGATATTAGTAATAAGTTCAAGCTGGACGTGCTTTGATTGAACATCTTTTTTGAAGGCTGCGCGAACTATGCAGACGATTTCTGCCACATGTCTCTTTCCAATACCAGATACCATTTTGACCTTGCCCAAAGTCATCCATCACAAGTGCAATTTCAATGGTTACTCCTCATGAAAATGAGACAACGCTAAGGGAAAGTCCCACCAGCGATCTTCATCTGCGCTTTCGTTTCACACCATTCTTAACTAACAACTCGCTAGTGTATAATCCGCATCTCAATTTTTCTCTTTGATGCGTTCAAAAATTTATACCTCGGTACCCTTGGGTACCAAAAAGCTTTTTTTATTGTACTCGCGTATCATGTTCTGCCCCTCCTTGGTATACCTTGTAGCTCCATGCTCCATTACTGGGGATACGCCTCTGAATCAGAAGGGCCCCAGCCCCAGCCCCTCCATGCCTCTGCCTGTGTATCACATCAGTAAGGGTCCAGAACATTCTCCGTACCTGCCGATCCTTGACCCCTCCATGCCCATGTTTTGTGACAACCCTTCCCTCTAGCCCGTTTCTACCTCCATTCTCTGAGCGGATCCCGACTACCCCTCCTGTTACCCTGTAATCTGCTGCCGTGGTCCAATAACTATTCACATCATAGACGTTATCCAATTTTCCTCTCAGACACGCAATTTCCGTCTCGCCGCCCTCTAGGCTCTGCTGAGGGTGCCCGCTTAAGACAATGACATCATCCACGGCTGTTCCTTGGAAGCGGATCCCATGCCTGCAAGTGCTCGAAAACACCCCGCTAGGCGTTTCCCACGCGGCTCGTCCCGTTACGGAGCGAGATGCGCCAATCACTGCACTGCTCACCGCGCGGTTTTGTGCAATACCATAATTTCCAGGCTAACAATGGTCTAGTCGTTTTTCAATGATTCCCCACTAGAGCGGTATGTACGAACCTTCTTGGAAAGGAAGTTGGGCCTCTGTAATTTCCACCCATGTCGCGCCGATTGTGTATTATTGTTTTTTGCAATTGTATTTTTATTGTGGGATTCGTTAATGCCCCGCTGTCCCGCTCGGATGCTTCGATAACCCTGACCTGGCCGGTAATCTTGATTCGCATGCTGCACTCGCGCTGTTCTCGCAGCCATCTGTTCCAGGGAAGACCTTGCTACCGAGTGAACTCGGGCTGATCTCAGGTACGAAAGTACCCCAATTATTTCGATTGTTTAGCCCAGCACCGATGATATCATCGGGCAGGCCTCTTCCCCGATGTGCTCCTTGCGGGAGAGATTCCATAGATTCGGAACTCGAAACAATAATAAGAAAAACAAGGTGAGATGTGTATTCTGTCTAATTTTGGAGCACCTTAGGTCAATCGTTCATAATTTGATGCCCACATGTGCCTTCATTATTATGGGGTTACCCGAAACCGTTAGCATGGCGCGTTCAGCCACGGTTTTGCGGTAGGGGCTGACCACATGACAGCTCTGGATCGACCCGGCTGGATGGTAACGTTGCCTACCCTAATCCTGGACGAACCAGTCATAAACCTGCAACATCCGCCCCATGGTTGATGCCACTGTCCATACTCAAATATACTATATTGCTCGATTCCGTCGCACAGATACAATTTCCTCCGCTCATCTACCGCTACCTAGGTAAAGCAATTTTCGAGCATTCAGCTAACAAGTTGAATGTTTCGCCGCGTTCTTTATCCAACGTAGAAGACTCTGCCAAGAGTTCATCTGGGTCAATATTGGTCAGGTTCTCTTCGTACCCCGCTCTGACTATTGGAACATTATCGGAGACGCGGGCAACAAGTCGGAACTGGAACTTTCATCAACCTCATATCATGGGCACGACATGATTGCAGTGTGCACCCAGTATGTTGTCGTACCAAGCAATACCACGAGTGTCCCTCTACTACTACTACTACTACTACTACTACTACTACTACTACTACTACTACTACTACTACTACTACTACTACTACTACTACTACTACTACTAGTACCTAAAATGAGGGTATAGGCTTTACTATTGTTCCTTGGGAGATGACAGTGGACTATACGGTGCTTCCAAGTCAAAACTGAACACTCTCTGGCAAAATTCGTAAACTTTGACCGTCTACGAACGGGATAAACAAGCGTCCTTCCAAGATGGTCTACGGATCTTTTATTATATCTTTCCAGTGGATCCATGGAGGAGTTGGTGTTTCCTGGTGTACGTTTGGAAATATTGCCGGGTGTTCAATGGCTGCCCAGGTGAGCTGTCAAGGACAACTCAATCAAGGCGCCTTCATTAATGTAGCCCTGGAAAGCCGCTGAGCCTGGTAGTGGTAGCATTGTGAGTGTTTCCCGTTCCACCAAAACAGCTTGGAGTAGACCGCAGTCCATAGTGACAGTGACAACTTTCCCATAAGTTTGTGAATGAGGATCTTGGGCGCGGACGTCCCGTAGCCTACTAGTAGCAAGGCGATGCCTTGATCCACTCGTCGTAGTATGTTCTCACCGCGTCCTATACCTACCTCACCGCAGGTATTTTTCAACCACCAATGTAGAGTTTGGCGAGTCATTTGGGCACCCCGTAGGCTGCTCTCCTCCACGGACGCGCTGCTCGACAGTCAACACGCCGAGAGCCGGCGGCGGATCCAACTGGGAAGGCGCGACTGGAAGTGAGGCCACACCACCCCAGCCCGCGTCTGCCTCCAGGCACCGCCTCTCTCAGTCTTCTTCTTCCTCCTCTTCCCCTCTTCCTCTCCTCTCCTCTCACCCTCTCACCCTCTCTCCCACACTCGCTTCTTCCTTCGTTTCTCTCCAACGTCTGCTTCGTGACTCTTCCCAAACCTCAACTGACTTACACTCGCTTACAAAATCGCCATTATGAAGCTCAAGATGAGCATCGTAATGATTCTCTGGTCGCTGTTCCTGGCGACCATGGCCATGGGCTTCAACGGTAAGTGACCCCAGCTTGCTTCATCCTCTTTCTGTCCCAGTATCACCGCCTACCCCCTCCATCCCCATCCCACCTTCTCAGCTCCTACATCAATCAGTTTTTGACTCACTTGACTTTAGGCCTCGATACCTCTGAGGGACTGCGCCGTCGTGAGGTTGACCTAGTCTTCGTTGGCTCCAACGATGCCATCGACCCTGCTTCGACTATGACCTTTACTGATACCACGACTCTGACTGTCTGCGGAACCGATGATCTCACCTGCACGACTTCTACTGGAGTCAATAGTGCCCCGACCGGTAAGGTTACTACGACTGATACTTGCACGGTCACTCAGACCTCGACAAGCACCGAGACCGAGTCTCCCACTGGCCATATTTCCACCGAGACCAAGACTCCTTCTGCCTCTACCATGACCGATACCGTGTGCACTGAGACTGATTCTCCCGCTGTCTCTACCGTGACCGAGACCGAGTGCACCGAGACCGAGTCTCCTACTGGCAATACTCTCACTGAGACCAAGACTCTCTCTGTCCCAATGTTGACCGATACCGAGTGCACTGGGACTGAGTCTTCTACCAGCGGGGCTCCTGGAGCTCCGCTGGCTACTACCCACATCACTGAGACTGCCACTGAGACGACCGAGTGCCCTCACGGCAATGCGTGCACTGAAAAGCATACCACGCTCTCTTCGGTTGCTAAGGTCAGCGGCATTGGTGCTGGTACTGGAACTGGACTCCCTTCCTTCCCTTCTGGTGGAGCCTATACCAACACCACTGGAAATGGTGTAACCATTTCCAAAGGTACCAACCCTTCTGGCAAGATCCCTAGCGCCCCGACTGCTTTGCCCATGAATAATGACGCTGATCCCCCACTGGCTCAAGTCGGCGGGCTGATTCCTGCCGTCATCTTCATGTGGTTGGTTGTGTTGTGAGTAACGATCACCCTGCTATTTCCGACATCGCAGGTACATCAGGTTTACTTGCTTGATTTTGTTACTCACATTATGGTTATTCTATTAGTTTGAGAATTTACTTTGGCCCCGACCCCGTTGAGCAATCTTCCGCTGTCAAGTTGCATTACCTGTCCTGGATATTCATATTTCTAATTGCTTTTTACGTTGTTCGGTCCATTGATCTTCTGGTACGTTGAAAGTTTTACAAAGGATTTCGCGTTGATGGATTTGTATCTTATTCTTTTGTCATGGCAGGTAATGAGTCCGGTGACCTGATCCCACCGCTCTTAACCTCCGACTGGATAATTTTTCTCCACAATCTTATCCTTCAATAGCAGTCTTGCTCTACAATATTATTATGCTTCAGTAGCACTTTTGTTCCATAGTGATCTCCTTCAATAACAGTCCTTTTCAATAATACTCTTCACATCCTCTTCTTCCGTAACAAGGTGAGTCAAATACGAAGCTCTTTCCATGAACGCATACCCATTACTCCATACGCCCGCTTCTAACAGTTTTCAATACCACCGGACATGGATGTTGACATTCAGTGATCAGAGGGTGATGAGACAGAAATCACTGCTATATAATAACAATCTTGTGAAGATGCTGTCAATCATATACGAAGAAGTGCCATCTTAGAATATGCCAACACAAGCAGTAGAAGTTGTATCTTTTTTCATTTATTGAAAACCCAGCCCCTCCTGCTGCTCATATAAGTGACTATCATTTTCTTTTGTCCGCTCGGCTTGCTTTCTCCATAATGATGCCAGATAATCGGATGTCGTGGCTTCTTCGATCGACTTATCTTCTCGAACCTTGAGAAACCGAGGGAATCGGAGGCTCAGACCCCTCTCCTCACTCACTAACCCAATGGCAGCCGGGTACGTCGGGCTGAGTGTAATATCTGCAAATGCCATCTCCCAGACCTCCTGTGGCTCGAACCAAACATCCGGCTCGCCGTTATAATCCACCCAACTAGGTCTTGAGATGACGTTCGGGCTCCTTTCAGCGTATTTGTCTTTGTTGGATTGATAGAATTTGTCCGTGAAGCCGGACATGCATTTTGTGACAGCTTCCAAAACGCCGGACTCGGGGTTTCGTACCGCGAGGAGAATTGGAGACCACCATTTGGCCTTGCGGCCTTGACCGTGCCATCCAGCCACGGGAATGAGATCGAGCGTCTCCGACGATGTGCTGTAATCTTTTTTGACCTTAAGCCAGGACTCGAGCCGTTTGTCGGGCTCGTAAGTGGAGAGGAGAGCTTTGCGTCGTGTGCCCTTTTCTTTGATGGACTGTGCGGGGGCAGTTTCTGATAGTTCATTTGATTGGCCTATGTTTTCCGAGATGGTCGTTGCATCGTTGATGATCTGGGCAGATTCTGCTTTCCCGTTTTCTTTGATCGTATTGTCGAGAGCCTTCACCATTATACCCTCACACTTCGCGTCGGTGGCGCCTTTGAAGAATTCCAGCACGATTTCCGAGTCGGCAGATGTTGCGTCGATACTTTTGACCCAAGTGAAGCGATTGTGAATTTCGAGAAAGAGGCTTCGGAGCAGTTCACGACGCTCGCGGAAAGGCCTATCCAATAGAGATTCCCCGTTGAGATACATCAAGTCGAAAGCAAACAGACACACGTTGACGGTGATTGAACCGATCTCGACGTTCTTTTTTGCCCGGTTGGTAAGGGTTTGGAAGGGTTGCAGATCCCCGGTCTTTTGATCCACAGCCACAACTTCTCCCTCTAAGATAAAACTGGACACACCGTCTCCGCGAATTTGAGGAACAATCGAGACCAAATCGGGGTATTTCTCTGTCATGAGCTCGAGGTGACGAGAGAAGATAGAAACCTTCCCCTTGCCATCACAATGAACCTGAGCACGCTGTCCGTCGTACTTGTATTCACAGCTGAAATCTCTTCCTTGAAGCTTCGTTAACATATCGCCAAGATCGCGTGTGATACTGCCAAGCATGGGCCGCAATGGAATGTGTAATGCCAGCCCACATCGGACAAGAAGTTCTTCTGTCACTCCAATCTCCATTAGACACGGCACAAGATCATTATAGTCGGGGTGACGGGCATATGATGCCTTGACGATTTCTTCCGCATTATTGTAGATCTCAGCCAGCTCCTCCTTTTTCAATCGAGTAAGCTCCTGCTGTGATCGAATCTCATATACAGCCCCAGTCGGCTTCGAGTAGAGAAACGCCCGTGCCAGTGCAATGAGCATAGTTGTCTTGACAGCACCGATACGAAGGTTCTGAACGAGAGTGCGGACAATATACCGGCTTTCTTCCGCACCGCGTGTATCTTGCAATAACTTGTCCACAATCCGTTGCTTTGTTTCCTGGCTACCAGACCCCTTGCTCATAGCAATCTTGAGTAGCGACTGATACACGCCTTTGATCCTCAATGGCTTTGGTTTGACCAGAGTGAAGGTCTGTCTTTTCTTGGCCTCAAAAGCGACGTCTCCAGCATCACCATGTTTATCATAGAGCGTCTTGAGACTTTGGCTATCAAGACCGTATACTTTCTTCAAAGCTTTCGAAATAGAAGAGCCGCCCAGCCCCAGCTCTACTTCATCGAATGGCGGCGAAATCGAGTTGGTAGCCAGCCAAACGGCAGGCAAGAGGCTGGATGGATCCCCTTCGATTAAGACGCGCAGAAAGTTCACCAGCGTATCGACTGTCTTTATGCGGCTTGTCGTCGAATTCGCCAGAACAAAGGCTCTTGTCAGCAGGGCGTATGAAGCATCGCCGCCTCCGCTGGCCCACTGTGACCGCAATTCGGTGGCATACGTAGACGCATCGAAAGTTTGCGGATTCTGGTCGAAGGGTACCGTAAGAGATATCGAGTCCTCGGTACCCGCTGACGACTGTAGTGACAAAGTATTCTTCGTCGGCGTTGCTGGTGTTACTGGTGCTGGTGGTGTCGCATCCGCTGGAATCGAAGGTGTACACGAAGATGTAGCTGTCTCACGTTCTGTCGGTACGGGTTGGTTTTTGGTCGAAGACGAGCCACCGGAACTTCCTTCTTGGTCCCACTCGGCCTGGAGCTTGCGCGCTAAAGCTTCGTCCGAGAGGGTCTGTTCTGTTACCTCTGACTGTGGTTGAAGCTGAGGCTCAGGCTGTCGGGCTGCTTGTCCTCTGAAGAACGACTCAATACTACGCGTCTTCTGCGGCGAACCGTCGACGCCATTTCGCTTGCGCTTCTTAGCCGGGCTGGACATATTTTCTTGTGGAGAAAGTGCAGAATGAAAGCACGCATGTTGCCACTGGGAAGCTGGCTCGATGCCGGCGAGCGGGTACGTCAGACCGAAAGGCGGAGATCAACATTCGACGCTGTCGCATTCGCGACACCGTTGCCCTCCCGCATCGAAGATCCCCCTTCAACTATGGCGCCCCCCACGTCGCTCTCGTCGCATGAGCGGACGCGGGTGGAAGATTATCTGAACGACAAGATCCAGGTCTCTACGGACCTGGAGAGTCTCGACTCGTTGCTCTCGAACCTCCGTGCGCAGCAGGAGCTTCAGCGGAAGCAGGTAATTCCTCCACTCGTCCCCAACGCAACGACACAATCGCTCCAGACAGACAGATGACTGACAAAATGACCGATTAGCTAGCTGACGCACACGAGGCGCTTTCAAATGCAACCAAAGCATCCAATGACCACGCCGAAGCCACTCGCAAGCGGGCCGAGGTATTCGCGGAGGAGCAGGCGGATATTGATCGCCGTTTGAAGGCCATCACACAATCAGAGACCAGTGATGAAGCAGTACACCGACTGGAGAAGAGCATGGAGAGATTCCATCGCTTGGAACTCTCTAAGGGATACGTGGAGCTACTGAAGGAGGCCGAGGAACTGAGGTAAGAAGCATCCCGCAACCTTGGCTGGGTGGGAATGGATTCTAATAGTTGCAATACAGCAAGGAAGCCCTGAAAAGCATCTCATCTGAGCCTCGTGCCGCCCTAAGTCCCTACGCTAGACTCCGCAGTATTGTCCTGTCGCTCAAGGAAGCCCAGCCCGCCGCCGAGGGCGCCGCCCCCCACCTTATTGCCTATACCGAGAAGCTTGCACTGGCCCTGCGCCAGCAATTGAAGAAGTTCTTTGGCGATAGGCTACAGAAAACTCTGGAGTCTATGAAGTGGCCGACGCGGGAGCTGAATATCACCGAAACATTGCTGGGCGAGTGGAGACGAGATGTTGAGCTTCTGATTGATTTGCAAGCCCCGTATGTTGACAGTCGGCCCCATTCCCTATCCTCTTGTCTAAATATAAACAGTGAGCTGCCCGGTCGCGATGCTTTGGCAGTTGGTAATACCCTCGAGCCGCCAGTCTTATTCCCGCTGGAAGTGATGGTGCATCCTCTCGAACTCCGGTTCAAGTATCATTTCAGTGGCGACAAACCGACCAACAGGCTTGACAAGGTAAGCACCCGTATCATGAAACAAACAGAGCCACATGTTCTAATATCAGTTTTAGCCGGAATATTTCCTATCGCACGTCATGGATTTGATTAACCAATTTGGAGGATTCTTCACATCATATCTCCAGCCAATCCTGGATGAAAGGCTGGAGTCTGTGGGACAGGATCTGGAGTGGAACTTTTTTAATGCGCTGCATGCTTTCATCAATGCACTACTGCCCATGCTGAGACAGAAGATCGATTCGCTCCTGCCCCAGATCGCAGACCACCCCCAATTGCTCAGCCACTTCATTCACGAGCTGATGAGTTTCGACAACGAGATGAGAGAAACATGGAACTACCTTCCAGATCCATATGCGGAAGGAAATTGGAAAGGGATGACTGCGGAAGTTTTGACGAAGCACGGCTGGTACGATCGCTGGCTCCAGGTCGAAAAGGAATTTGCATTGGCCCGATATAAGGACATTATCGACAACCCGGACAGCGGGCACATTGACTATGATGGAATTGAGCGCACCGCAACCAAGCCTACCAAGGCCGCGATCCGTGTGAATGACCTTCTTGAGACCATCACCGAGCGCTACCAACCATTGACTTCGTTCAGTCAGAAGTTGCGGTTCCTTATTGATATTCAAATCACCATCTTCGACCAGTTCCATGAGCGCCTCTTTTCCGCCTTGGAAGCGTATCTGGCGATGACATCTACACTCGGTCGCACGGTGCAAGGGGCCGATGAACAGGCTAGCGTGGAAGGCGTGGCTGGTCTTGAACGTCTTTGCAGAGTCTTCGGTAGTGCCGAGTACCTGGAAAAGAAAATGGAAGATTGGAGCAACGATGTCTTCTTTGTTGAGTTATGGTCTGAGCTCCAAGACCGAGTTCGCCGAAAACGTGATGATGGTCAAAATGTGGCCGGTACCATGACTATCGCAGAAGTGGCATCCCGTACCTCTCCGGCTGTTGCAAAGAACAACGCATCCAGCACTCAGCCCTCTTCGGACGGAGCACTTTTCGATGAAACCGCTTCTGCCTATCGTCGTCTTCGGCGGCGATCCGAAACCATCATCATCTCTACGTTGACTTCGAACATTACTACCGCCTTGAAGCCCTATTCTCGTATATCAACCTGGGCTACGATCTCTACACCTTCTGCCAATGCAGCGGGTTCTCCTCTTCCTCTAACATCAGACCTGGCTCATGCCATGAACGTTCTATCCACGCAGCTTTCTTTCATCTCACATACCCTAGGTGTCGCTCCTCTACGCCGAGTCTCGCGTCAAGTTCTGCTTTCGATTCAGACTTACGTCTGGGACAATGTCCTGACGAGAAACAAATTTTCTGCTACGGGCGCAGCCCAACTCTTGAGCGACGTCGATCATCTCTGCAATGGGGTGGACACCACTCTCGGTACGGCAGGCCACGCAGGAGGCTCTCTGCAAATTGTGAGAAAGTTGAGCGAAGGATTGCGTCTTCTTAACCTGAATGCATCGACGCTCGAGCAAGGCACAGAGGACGCCGAGGCCGCATTGGGACTGTGGGATGTTGAAAAGAGGTTGTTTAAGGATAACGAGAGCGCCCGGTCTGTGCTTGCTGAACTTGAAGTTGATGGGCTTACAGAGGCTGAAGCTCGGTTAGTGTTGGAGCGGAGGGTGGAGATTGGTAGCTAAAAGGGCAATCTTGACTCGAATCAATTCCCAGTTTATCTTCCAATGATGCCAGTATCCATCTACACGTAAATTCATCGTCTATCGAGATATGTACAAATCACATCGCAACAATATGTTGATGAGTATGTTCAAGGATTATGAACAACAGGGCCGTGGCCATGCTCAGCCAGTCGCTTCAGCGGTACGACAGGCGTAGTCGATTTCAACGATTCCGCAATGGCAGGCCCAACCTTCTCGATGGCACGCACAAGAGATTCAACCGTCTCCTTGCTCGTCAGGACGTTGACTACACATCGGAAGAACTTGCCGTTGCCAACTGCATCTTCGTCCCCGCTGGGAGGCGCAAAGTCCACCATGAAGCCTCTGGGGACGATAGCATGCGTGATCTGCTCAGTCACCTTGCTGTTATTCTTACCACGCTGCTCCTCGTTCGAAACGATGCCCCGGGGGTAAACGAACTCCCTGCCAGGGGCATAGTAGAAGCAGACCTGCAAGCAGGGCGGCGCATTCTCGCTAACGAGGATGAAATTCGGGCTTTGCGAAACGAGGGTTGCCAAATAAGCGGCAACATCGCAAGCATTGTCGATCTGCTGCTCGTAGCCCTCAGTCCCGTAATATGTCCAGCCCAAAAACAGTTTCAAAGAATCGGCACGACGACCACATTGCAATGTAAGGTCAGCCAGATCCCACACTTCAGGCGAGTCGGTCTCCAACTCCGTCTCGTGTCCATTGCCATTCGCTGCAGCTTCCGTATCCTCATTGTGGAAGAGGTAGCCTGCGGGCAATGTGTTCGCTCGGTGGAACTGGCGCATATCGGATGCCAACAAGAACGAGCATGTCACAGGGACACCAAGCATCTTGTGAGGGTTGATCGCAATACTGTTTGCCTTCTCTGAGCCAGTGAGCTTATGTTTCTGTCGCTGGGAGAATACAAAGGAGCCACCCCAAGATCCGTCAATGTGGAACCAGAGATTGTATCTCTTGCAAATCGCCGCGATCTCCTCGAAGGGATCAAATGATCCCATCACGGTTGTTCCAGCAGTGGCGTTGACGTAGAATGGAGTCCGTCCCTCACTTTGAGCCTTTTGAACCAATTTCTCCAACTCAGCTGGAATCAAGCGGCCTTGCTTGTTAATCGGCACAGTCCAAACGGCGCGGCTGCCAAATCCGAGCATCTGCGCAGCTTTCTCGACGCTATAGTGGCCATGAGCACTGGTGAAGAGCACAAACTTGTAGCCATCGTTCCCGTTTTCCTTGGTGCTGGGGTAGAGGTTGTTCCGCGCAATCACAATGGACGTGGTGTTAGAAGCTGAGCCACCCTGTACAGAGATTCCGCCTGCTCGAGGTCCGTTCAATCCGAAGAGATTTGCCAGTCGCTGGCCGGTATATTTTTCAATGACGGTCAGGGCAGGGGAGACCTGGTAGACGTGTACGTTGGTGTTCAGGGTTGCAAGAATTAGCTCGGCAGCGACACCGGGAGCATTAGTCGAGGCATAGAGCTTGTCCATGAATCCCTGGTGCCATGTGTTGACGGAGTATCGCAGGACCTTCTGCAGCACTTCGATCAGACCGTCCTGTCGTCGGCCTTGTTCCGGGATCTCGAGCTTCAGGATGTCTCGGAGTTCCCCCGGCTTTCTGTATTCAACCAGCGATGTCCCTTGCGCATGTCCGTTGGCTCCATTGGTGGCACTGGCGCCGTTCTTTTGCACAGCAGATGTCGGTTCGTCGGCAGCTCGAATGAAGGGAATGAGGAGGTCCTCGACGGCTTTCAAGAGCTGTATATCCAAGCATTTGTTAAGTCCAATGATTCCATAAAAACAAAAAATACCCAGTTTTCTCTGCGTACCAGGAATTTGCCGTGAATAGGGCTTGAGGACTTACGCTTTGCACCTCATCGGCACGGCTGGTCGGGGAAGTTTCTGACATCGGGGCAGACAATCGCAAGAGCCTCTATGGTGATATATCCAATGAAGTGCCAGATGATGACTATGATATGGACAGGGATCGCGGAAAGGTACCAAGCAAGTCAGGCGTTGAATTTGAGTTGAGCGTCCCAACGAAGCGCAGGTGGGAAAAAAAAGTTAGTAGGGAAGGTCACCGCCGATGGCGACATTCGACGCGCCGACTGCCTGACATCATCATCGGCCGAAGTGGTGAAGCACATTGTTGCAGCAAAGAGAGGGCATGAAGATGAAGTCTACATTTGAATACTTTGCTTCCAGTCTAGATCTACTGCACTGCCCATTCACAGGTCGATTGATTTGCGTCACACCCGCCGGTTGCCGCGACAAAGCGGCCGTTTGGAGGGGCACTCCCATCAAATCTTCCCCGCAGCGGAAAATCTTATCAATACGTTAACATTATTGTACCTTAGGGTAGGCAACAGCCAGAGTATCAAATGTCCCGCGCAAATAATGCAATCCGATTACTCTCGAATTCTGGGTGTCTATCGTACAATGCAGCTTTTATAGAAATAAGAAATGAACTAATGCCAAGATCTGCATCCTGCAAGCCTCCCGCAGCTGCAGCCACTGTTGTGCAGGGATCATGTTTTTGTAGTCCACGGCATCAAGGTATAGTATCGACAATCATCAGATGGGTATTTATTTTGTTCATTGACTCGCAGGCGCAGCCTCGGCCTGCTTGGCCGCAAAGCGTTCCCGTGCCAGCTCGATCTTCGATTTAGGTCGGGCAGCGCCTTCACTATCTTCGGGCTGGCGTTCAATGCCCTTCGCCCGGTCTTTCCATTCGCCCCGTCGGCGTTTGTATAGGTCCATGGACCAGTTGCGCCACACGGCACGACCCAGGAAGGAATCGCGCAAGGTCATTTCACTTTGCGCAAGCTCCTGGGCCAGCCGCTCCTTGACGAAAAAGATGTCCTTGGTGGCCGACCAAAGCGCATCCACCACGTGAGACCCGCTGCTATCGAGCGCAAGTTCCACGATGTGACCCTGGAAGCGAATAGTGAACTGTCGGCGGAACTGGCCGGTGGATGTGGGAAGAGTCAAGGCTTGTTGGAGGACGCGGGAGGAGGTGGGTTCTTTGGCGAGTTGGATGATGAAGTCGGAAGACTGAGCAAGCAAGCTGGAGTAGACGAGCTCGCTGAGCGGCCCGGAAACTGTCAGTATCGTCTGTGCCAAGAGAGAGCCATGGAGTCTCTCTGCAGAGAAGCCAGAGGACGCCTTTTTCCCTCCATCCCTCTTCTCTCCATCGTCTGCGCCCTCCATTACTTCATCTTCAGCGTCCTGCTGAGGACCATCAGTTGTCCCGTCAAGTCGGAGCATTTGTCGAAGTCGGATCGAGGGATCCTGGTCATAGGCCTCCTTGAGAGCCTTGGCAAACGGTTTGGTGTCGACATTGCGAATCACGCACCGCTCAATTAAAACCCGAGGCACGATCAGACGTCCGCGCTCAATCAGACCCGGCACTTCAGGAATGATCAGTTCCATCGCGTTCTGCAGATCGTCCTTTCCAAGTCTCTCCAGGGTTCGCAGAACAACGTAGCCGGCGGTGGTGTTTCGGGAAAGCGATCCAATGCGACCGCGGATGTTGTTTTTGTAGAGGTTCTTGAACACCTTGCCTGGCATGTAGCGCACCATGGTCTCAACCAAGCGTGAGCCGACAGGGTCGTAAAGAAGGCCACGGATGAAGGTTGCGCTTTCAGTGCCTTCTTCAAAGGATTCGTCAGGGACAAGTCGTCGCAAAATGGATTTGGAGTCTTTGGCGCTGGACTTCCCGAAGTGGGAAAGTTCCAGGAACAACATGACCTGGAGAACAGGGTTTCCAATGGGATGAGACGCCAGTGCTCTCAAGTAGGTGTTGTCCAAACCAGAGACCATATCAGTCATGATCTTTTTCAGTGCAGGAGCAAATGACTCGGGAACGCTCCGCTTCTGTTTGGATGCTTTCTCCTCCTTATCAGCATCGGTAAGACCCAACCTTTCCTTCTTCCGGCTGGCAACAATCGAATCACTCGAAACGACATCGACCGGCTCACCGGCGAGAACCAGCAGAAGTACACGAATGGTATGCGACGCAAATCGTTCGGTCAAAAGATATCCCCAGTTTCCCTCTAGCTCCTCAATGACAGTCATGAACATTTCGGCAAGTGACTGCTCTGGCTCGGCGTCTCCGTCGTCCTCGCTCGATTGCTTATTTTGAGACTTTGGCGTCTTCGCCATGACCGCGGGAGCTGCGTTGATGAAGAGGGTCTCGCAGCAGTGACTGGCAAAGCGGTGTTGCACAAGATGAAGGAAGTGGCCGATAAACTTGCTGAAAATACGTCGGATCTGGGGAATGTCCGACATAGAGATCAGCTTTTCCATGAGCCTTGAACAGCCCTGGCTACAGGCAATCTTCAACTCCTTCCCATTGGCTTCTTGGTATACACTTTCAACGAACAGGTTCTTCTCCTCAGCATCGGCAAATTGGTTCGCTTCCAGCATTTCGTTGGCGCGCGAGAAATACTCTGACTCGTCGGCGTCAAGCAGACCGTAGAATGGCATATCCCCTGATTCATCATTTCCTGCATACTCTTGTTGGTCCTCAGGTTCAAGAGGAATGTAGTCGGCGTTCTCGGTGTAGGGATCGTCGTAGGTCTGGTCCGCGGTGCCGTCGGCGTCGGCGTCGTCGGAGGACGGCTTGATGCGCTTCGCGGAGGGAGCTTCGAAGGCCGCATCATGTTTGCGCTTTGAATCTTCCTTCTGCGCTTTCTTCTCGGCCCGGCGGCCTCTCTTCTGGTTCTCACGAGGCATGGCACTGGTGTTTGGACGGAGAAGCTCGCGCGCTGGATTTTTTTTTTGGATAAGCGGTGGTCCAAGCGCCCTGTTTGTCTGGTTTGCACATATCTATATGCTGCACCCCCGGCGATACACAACCGTGCCTTATGCCATATGTTAGATGCTCCTACCCTAGGGTAAGATTAATACAGCTTTGAGTACTTGAAAGACTTTTTGAATAATTGTGCTAAGTTAAATTTGAGGGTTTTCAAGTGCAAAGAATGCCAGAGAAGTCCACAGTAATTCCATCAAATGATCGCAGCCATCCGCATCTCAACTCGCTTCAGAAGGTCGCAGACCATATCTTCTCGTAAGTTACCTTCCTCATAGGTAGCATTGATTGTGGAAGGGCGATTGCGCACACCGGCTACATTGAACACCAGATCAGCACCACATCCCGCCTTCCATGCACTCGTCGAAAACTCTATATTGGAGATAGTCCAGCCCGCGCTAGAAACAGGTTCTTCGCTTGGACCTGGAACAAAAGCACCCAGATTAGAGATACTGGAGAGATTGTGCTGGCTGAGATTCACGCCAGGTATGAATTGGTCCATGTAGTCATCCTCTCCGATCAGTTCGATGCACTGAAGGGCTTTCCGCCATATTTTTTTGTTGTCGATGTCATCGAGAAACAAATGCCCTGTGCTTACGTGCCAGCTCCCAGATCAAAGATGCATTTACTGAGTTTGGACCTTTTCCTGCTTGGCGGAATTTGGAAAGCCAGTCAAAGCTGTTGACTACCGATGCTGCGCCGCTCATGGTATGCTCCCGGTCGTGTGGTAGTAAATGCGACCGAATATCGATAACTATTTGCGAGTGATTGATTTTGGCTTCCGGATAGCATTCCGTGGCTAGTCCAATCTTGATGAGTGTATGTAGCAAGCTAGTAAACGAAGTTTGATGTTCACGGCAAGCCTGCAAGCATTTTATCATGATCTGGTTGTCCAAACGTAGGGAGCTCAATTTCGTTTTGACCAAATATTCCGCTCTCTGAGGATTACCAAAGGTGAATTCTCGGGTTTGATGCTTTGTATCATGGAAGAAAAGATCTGTTCCTCGGTACCAGAATCTCATGCACCACATCCGGAGAACGTGCCAAATACCGTATAGGATGGAAGGGCCGACACCGAGCCGCTTCAGGGGGTCCTCTTCTGGAAAGCCTTTGATCTAGGCTCTCATTTCAACAACTGGAGATATATTGTGCTCGTTGTTGGGCGAATTGAGAGCATTCAATAATTGTTTGTGTATGATAGTCGCTTCGCGTCCATCGGTAATATAGTGGTCATACACAAAGAGTGCTTGCATCCCATTCACCACAACCAATATCCACGGCGGTTTCACCCCAGGATCAAACCAGTGTCCATGGTATGTTTCAATTATTTCGGTCAGCGCGCCTTGTTCTTCTTCCTCGGGAATATCGACGAACCTGACGTGGTCCTCCAGATTGATGTGCTGCAGAAACCCGGACCAGCATCGATGCTTACCGGGCTTCTTCTCGGAAGTTCGCTGGTAATAAATCACGCCCAGCTCTGGAATTTGCCGCGCCACTTGCCGTAATGCCGGATAGACTAGTACTTTGGATAATCTGACATTGTCGACTGTGAGATTGAAGTAAGATGCTGCGCATATGATGTTTGACTGCCAGCCAAATCGATTCGCCAAAGACCACTCCCGTTGGTATCGGTCTAAATATCGATTAGAAAGGCATGCAGTGTGGGAATGAAGCTAAGCTTCTATACTCACCAGCAGGTTGCTCGTGAATGAATCTAGGCGCCACAACGGCATCTTCCCCGAGGTATATTGGGTTCCCATGATCATGGAACAACAATGTGGAGGGTGAAAGTTTTGTAAAGCAAGGCTTGTAGCAAGGCTGCGGGTAATTCATGCTTCTGCTTATGAGGAATTTCCCGCAGTTTGCTTATGAGGCCTAGCGCTTACTAGGAATAAGACAAACACCAACACATCCTTTTGGCTAAATTTGGTGATTTGGGGCCAAATAATCTGTTGCTGAGCCCCAAAGGAAGGAGTACGCTTTCCGTATTATGACACCCCCAAAGTAGCCCTGACAAATAGCTGGCTTTCTTTCAACTTCTCCCAGCCTTGCGAGTTACTAGTGCCCGGGCCGCCTAGAGTTGACGTGTATTGGCTGTCGCCCCCAAAATGGATCGCGCATCGAAAAACTGGGATGCATCTACCAACAAAGCCAATTTCGAATCGAGATTGTCGTCAAATTATGATATACTTTTAGTTACACAGATAATATACAAACACTTTTAGCCTGCCAATGTCTAGACGGCCGAAAAGATGGCAGAGACATGCCGTCCACATTCAACCCGTTGTTCCATACTCACAGTGCGCTTGCCAACTTTACCCTTGTGTCGCGGCATGATCTGTAGCCTTGCCTCGGGTTCGAGATTTTGGCGAGACTCGGGGGGTGCCTTGATATAGGTCGGTTTAGGAAGGTTGGTTCGCTTTCCAGTGCCCAGCTGGAAGTGCTCGTTGCCTCCCCACCAGAACACCTCATAACCCCAGTCATTCGTTTTGTCAAGCTCGCCTGTATTCTTTGCGCTTAGGTTCGTCTTGTTATCCAACAACGCGGCGACATGTGTAGTGCCGACGGACATGGCGCGCAGGCGGATCGGCAGCATCTGTCTGGTCTTCTCATCGTATTCGCCTAGCCCGCTCAGGTCCTTCACCTTGATGGGAGTGTCTTGCAAGTGAATCCATTTTCCAGCGCCAAGTGTACCCCAGATACCTCGGCCACAAGTCCAGGTGTCGGCGGTGACTCTGCCTAGATCACGAACATTGGCAGCTTCTTCCCCTCGGCCAAGAATTCGTTTCGAGTCGACAGTGAAGAAAGTGTTCGCCCCACCTGCTGAAACGCTGGTAACCTTTGGCGATGAAGTATTCAAGCGATAAAGCTTGTTCAGAGACAGTGCGAATGGAGTATCTTTGAATGGAAATTCTGGCTCGAAGTCCACGCCAAGCTGGCCGAACGAGTTATCACCCCAAGCAAACAGTCGTCCATCCTTGCTCAGTGCCAGAGAGTGGTAGTCTCCAGAAGCAACCTCAATGATCTTGGAACCCCTAAGAGCCGTGACTTCGTGGCACATATCCACGGGCCCACTGGGCCGTGTGGTAAATGACAGTCCAGGTACACCAAGCTGACCAAGCGATGGATAGTGTTCAGTGGACGCAGCAGCCGTGAAAACACGCCCGTAGCTTGTGAGAAGAATAACATGCTCCAGGCCTCCTCTAATCGCAGTGATTTTCTCTCCAAGCTTCAAAGATGGCTTCAGAAGACGGTAACTCAATGTGGATTGGCTACCCCAGAAAGGCACCCAGGAACTTTCGCGAGACTTCGGTCCAGTGCTTTGGTCCTCCTTGGAGATAGGCAGAGAATAAATAGTTCCATCGGAGGACAATGCGACAATTCGGCTTTCGGAGAGAACAAGCGATGCCAGATTCTTGCCGACCAGGGTCTTCGTCGGCTTGAACTCAGTCTCCGAGTATCCTTTGCCCCATTGAACTAGGTCACCATTCTCTGTGATTGCAGCACCGGATTTCTCATCGACTTTGAAGTCCCGCAGCACCTGGTCATTAAAGTATTTGAAACGTCGAGGCGTTTTGACATCGGTACCCTTTGATCCTGGATCTACAACCTTGTATACGTTCGAGCCCCATGTATACACCGCAGGGCTTTTGAGGCTTCGCTTTTCTTGAATGAAGTCGGCGCGGAGGTCGTTGACATCGATAACTTCCTTCTTCACCTCTTTCTGGCGGTCAACCCAGGTCTGCCAGTCCCCATTGACATATGAATATCCAAAATAGGCGGCAGTGCCTGCTACTGCAAATCCAAAAGAATTCCGCAACCAATGCGACGAGGGGTTCGACTTCGATTTACCACTTGCGAATCGTCGCCAGGGTGCATTGAGCGGGGGCGAGCAACAGGGCCGGAGGGGTGGGCGACACGAGCTAGGTGCGCCACGGGGCGCCGAAATCGGGTTGTCATCATATTTGCGGCGAGTAGTTCGGTATTGTCCAACGCATGCCCGGGGGCGCTCTGAAGCTGGCCGGCCAAAATAGCTGGGGAAGCTTTGCGTCAGATGCCGAGCGGAGTTCCGCGGCAGAATGCAGCGTCGCAGTTGAACACCTCGCACTTCACCACTGAACTTCGCCTCAGCAGTCTACGGTTTTTCCCGACCTTGAAAGAGATATGAGCCGGAGATTGGCATTCCATCGACCACCTGGGCCCTGAATGCACCATGCCTGTTTCTAAACAGCAGCGCGCCCGCCGCCAGACGGCGCCATCTGGCCCGCCGCGGAAGCAGACCACCGAAGAAACGCAACCGAGCCAGGAGACAACACAGGAAAAATCGACAGACCTTTTGAGATGGAATATGCCCAAATTTGAAAATGAACTGGACTTTTCTGAATGGTACAATGGGGTCAAAAACGACCTAATTGAGACGAGCTACGACCATTACCAGTAAGTGCCATTAACGCGGGGCTACGAACGGTATTGACGCTAACAAGTGTCTTTTTGATGAAATAGGAACTATCTGGACGATCTACAACAATCAAAAGAACACGTTGACGAAATACTTCTCAGCACATTGACGCTTCTCGACGACCTCTCTAGTCTATCCGAAGAATTCAGTTCCGTCGAGTCGCAAACATCCAACTTCGAGAAACAATGCGAGGGGCTGCTGTCTGCCCAGGAACGCGATACAAAGCTTGCGAATGGCATTCAAACAAATCTTCACTACTATGACTTTTTGGACCCAGCCTCGCGGCGACTCAATGCGCCGGGTGCTGGGAACACGGTTCGCGATCAAGAGTTCTCGGACATGTTGAGGCGTTTGGATGTGTGCTTGGACTACATGGAAACCCACGTGAGTCAACCCCGGTCTGGCAGAAAGTTTTTGAAGACATATGCTTACACAATGCCCATTTTAGCCTGAACAAAAGGAAGCAGAGGTTTACCGTTCCAGATACCGACTTCTCCTGACGCGTGCTCTTACTCTCATTCGTGGAAACTTCGTGGCCTCCCTTCGCGATATCTACCAAAACGTCTCGAAGAAGATTTCAGATCAGCAATTGAATGACACAGCTTTATCTGCCCTCTTGTACGCCAAGTTCAGGGTTGGTGCGCCAGAGATGAAGCAGATCGGCGTGGAAATTCAGAAAAGAGCCGTGCCTCCGCTGAACCCGGACCAAAACGACGAAGCCGAGTATCAAAGTTTGATGAATGAGTTGCATAGCAATTACGCTGCCACTCGAACACGCCTCATTGTGCCCTTGGCCCGTAAGAAACTCGTTGAGATCTCGCAGACCCCGAGCTCGTCGAAGGATCTAGTGTCATTTGCTCGGGCCAGTATCAGCTACATCCGAGGACTGTGCTTAGACGAGCACGATCTGTGGGGCGAATGGTTCCATGGTCAGGGAGGATTGTATGACTTTCTGGAGGCTATCTGCGAGCCCCTTTATGATCACCTTCGTCCTCGTATTATCCACGAGACCGATATTGTGAATCTTTGCCAATTGTGCACATTGCTCCAGACACGATACTTCCTCGACCCGGAAGATGAAGCAGAACCAGCAGACACAAACCAACTGGACTTTTCCGTTTTGATCCAACCGGCCCTGCAAGATGTTCAGACGCGACTGGTGTTCCGTGCGCAAGCAATCCTACGTGACGGCATCGAGCGATACAAGCCCCGGCCTGAGGATATTGACTACCCCATGCACAGCCGACAGGTATCTCTGACCGTGACCGACACCCAGATTTCCGGCAAGAAAGATACTTCGGTCGATACCATGATCGACATAACGAAGCCCACCAAGACAGACGAGAATACTGGCGAAACTGCGCAAGAGAGCGACGGAAAGTGGGATTTCGAAACCCAAACTGCCCTCAAAGGATGGTATCCTACATTGCGTAAGGCCATTTGGCTGCTCAGTCGAATCTATCGTCTTGTCAACGTGAGTTTAATTCACGACCTCCTGGTAAATTCATTATGCTAACTATATCTTCTTCCAGTCCACTGTCTTCGACGATCTTGCCCACCAGATCGTTCACCAAACTACCGAATCTCTTCATAGCGCCAGCCTCGCTATCTCTAGCAAATCCAGTCCAGCTGATGGTCAACTCTTTTTGATGAGCCATCTTCTCATCTTGAAGCAACAGATTGTTGCTTTTGACATCGAATTTGTAGCCCCCGATGTCTCCCTCGACTTCTCTGGCGTCACTAGCACTTTCTGGGAACTGCGTGAGCGCGGTGGTCTCTTCAATCCTCGCAACTTGATGCGTCTAGTTGGCCACGGTCTCATTCCACGCGTTGTGGAGAACATGCTTGACGCCAAGGTTGAGCTGGATGGTCGTCTTCGCACCGTTATCAACGACTTTATCGATGCCTTTGCTGCTCGCATGACCACTTCCTTGCCCGCCAAGTTTGGAGATACACGCAATCTCCAGCCCGGCGAACTGATTCATTCTTCCTGTACCACGATCGAGAAGGAGGTTCCCAACCTCCGGAAGATCCTGAACGAGTACATTGACGATACGCGCATGAAGGAGACCCTGGTCGGTGCGGTACAAGATCGTACCATTCATATCTACGAAGACTTTTTCGAGAAGTACACCTCTTCCGAGAAGGGCAAGGGCAATGCTGTCAACAAAAAGGGTAAAGGACGGGATGATGCCGTCTGGGATGTGGAGACATTTGCCGAGTGGTGCGAGGGGGTCTTCCGAGTCGGCGTTGCAGGTCTGCAGACCGAGCAAGCCAATCTGGACGACGAAGATGACCTGCTGAGTACAAGCTCTTGATCCTACTTTTTTTTCCTTTCTAGTTCTTCTTTTCTCGCATCTTGAGCATAGATACCATGTGGAATAGCGCAATCATGTACATGTATGAACTGGGGTCGTTTCAGCGTCCAGAGGGCGCCAATCTACATTTCGATGATGGTAAATACAATTCTTTTTTTTTTGAGTCCTAAAGGTCCAAATGACATCAGTACAATATAAGTAAGCTTCAATTGGTGCCGAATTGTCACCATGAGCTTGTCCGGAGCGAGTCACATGGTGAAAGTACGTGTGCTCGAAGGCACGTACCACCTCCCATCCACATCAATTCATCCGCCTGCGTTCCACTTTCGGTGATTTAGCGGTTACTTACCGACTGCACCCGCTTATGTTCTGGCCAGAGAGAGCTTGAAGGATCACAGGCGGACAAAGGCACCGGACTCCTTCCAGGCAGCACAGCCCCGCGATGTGGGTCTGTAGCTTGATTGGCGCCTGCTCTGTCGAGGAGGACCATCATACATAAGAAACAGTGACTCGCTATTTCAAGAAGTTTCGCTCAATTTTAATGACAGCCAGACAAATACGAGCAAAATGGGGATAGATTCCATGCCATTTCGGGCCCTCTGTACCGGCCTGCCTTCGCCAGAAATCGGCAACGAGTCCAAATCGCTTTTGTTGGTATTGCTGGCTGACTTTGATGAGCCTCATAAAGCGGAGCTCATCCAACATCTTCAGCCGTCAAGAAGCAAATTCAGAACCCTGATTTGGAAGCCAAACCATGAAGTGCTGCAGTCACTCGCCCCACAACACCAGCACCGAGACAGTCAAGCCAATTTATACGGCCTTGCGGTTGTAGCACATCGTGCTGGACACTCTGGCTTCATAGTTGCAGATGAATTGACCAAGCGTCGGGTCGAAGGGCAATTTCCCATCCGCGGAGAGGATGACCGCATCTCTGTCACGATGGTCAGTGTGAGGCCGGGTAAGAGAGACGGCGAGGTGCGCGTCATCGCTAAGCGCTTGTCGATGGGTAGCGACGAGGATATCGACCTCTTTGCAGCTGTCCAAGACTTCAATATCAAAAAGGATTTCAGCGATGGATTGACAAGAAACAGTGTGCCGAGGGTCTACTCGGATCTCGGATTTGAGTTTCGTGACCCAGACAGCCCCGTCTTTACATCCAGTACGACAGACTCCCTTGGATATGAGGCCATTTCCAACGAGGTTATGGCAGCCCTGTCTGCAAACATCCCCTTGCCTCCTGAGTTAGTCCTGAATGTCACCCGCCGTGCAGACAAGAATCCATGGGGGCCGATTAATTCCCCCGGGTGGGATCTCGGGCCTAGGGATGCGTCTCTTACGATTCATTTGGGATTCAAGACTACAGAGGACGAGTTTGGAAAGTTACGTTGTCTCATACAAAATGCTGTGCATGTCGAATTTCAAAAGAAAGAGGAGGAAAGGAAGAAGGAAAATGAGAAGGCAAAGGCCATTGCGAATAAAAACGAGGATCATGATATCCGCAGTGACTCCGATGGAGACGAGAACGTTGAACCAATTGTGAAATTACTTCCCTGGAAAGGCATCCGGGAGCCATCTCGCCGCGACATAGTGAACCTGAATATCGCACTGCGGTTGGGAAAGGGGCGTCGCAGCGCTTTGAAATTACGAATCCTTCCAAAGCCGCTCCAAGATGATGACGTGACTTCGGCTCAATTTTTATTCACTTTCGATGTCGATATGGGAGTTGTAGTACTCCGGACATCGCTGAGTGATATGATGCGGTACACAAGCGAAGAGCCAGAAGGAGATGAAATGAGAGGGTTTTACGAATCTGGTCAAATGGAGTTGATAACTTCGCCTTCTAATTTGAAAGGATTCGAAGACCCATTCTACCCGAATCCACTTCCCTGGAATCCGATTGGAACCTGCATGAACTCAATACCTCTGTTCTTCCTTACGAACAAATTGAGCGATGTGCAAATCCGCGCTTTATACGAGGAGATCCAGACGATGAATGACATTGATGAAGATGATTGGGGCAAGAAAGTGATTTGTCCCGTGCCGTGGAAAGAAGGGCAACCCGACGCACCGGATGGAACTCCAGAAGACATGTGGAGAATCTACACCGAAGTTGAGGACTGCCAGAGGCCGTTATTTTTTGTTGACCAGCAGTCCGGAGAAAATCTCCAGGTTATCATCACTGATACAGACTACGTTTACTGGGAGCCTGATAATAAGGAGGCTCCTGAGATGTTGAAGGATGTGACAGATCCGCATTACCGGGGGCTGATATATGGACGGCAACTTGGCCGTGATGTCCATGTGATATGGGCGAATCTCAGCATTTCCAACATGGGCATTGAAGAATATTTCGACGAGGGCGGAGAAGGGGAAGATCAGTGCAAGCGGTTTGCTCGAGCTGACTGGCCATGTCATGACAAGGTTGATGAGTACGGTTATTGGATTGTCACTGACAACAGCGTGGACGACACAGAGAAAGAAAACGAGGGATTGGATAAGAACAACTAGGGCAGTTGCATCAATTGTTCTCAATTGTCATGACTGCCTAGGTAGACTCTACCCAACGATCCGAAGATGAATATGTACGTACACCAAACTCCTCAGTAGTCCATGAACACCGGTTCCCAAACCATCCATCCATTGTAGCCGTTCTCGCTCAAATAAACAAAAAAAAAAAAAATAAAAATAAAAATAAAAAATAAGGTACGGAATGGGTATGTATGTATGTATGTACAAGTCCCTGAATAAAACAAAGATGATCACAATGCAATGCTTCGATTCAACCGAAGCGACATGCTTTCATGAACATGGGACGCGAAGAGGAGCCATTAATGCAGCTTAGTAGACATGCCGAATCTTGGCGTACAGATCTGTCTCGAGGAAATTGTAGTTCGGGTCTGATTCGCAGAATGGATGGCGCGTGAGTAGGGTTCCAGCGGTGGGACGCTCGGAAGAGTTACTTGAGATATAATTAGACACTGGTCTTGTAATGACAAGACAGAGAATTAGCTGTGGGGCTTGGGGTATTAGACTTACACTGTGAAACAGTCCCACATGAACGCGAGCGCAGCCGGACTGATGCTCACAGAAACATCCTCTGGAATAGGAGGGGCTTGGCCGAGGCTGCCCAGCTTGAAGATAGCGCCAATGGCCTCTTCCTTGCTCCAAGGTCGGCGGCCAGCAAACATCTCCAGAACCACGCAGCCAAGAGACCAGATATCGACCTTGGCACTGTAACCCTGGCCCTGGGATTGGATAACCTCAGGGGCCATCCAGAAGACTGAGCCTTGCATGGAGTTGCTGGAGTCGTTCCCGTAAATATCATCCGTCTTCTTCGAGATACCAAAGTCGGAGATTTTGCAGGTTCCATCTACATCTAGAAGGATATTGTCTGCTTTCAGGTCACGGTGGAGGATACCCATATCGTGAAGATAGGCCAGGCCGCCGAGAGTCTGGCGCGTGAGAGATTTCACAACGCTTTCTTCGAACTTGCCGTGCTTTCGAAGACAACTGCCAATCGAGCCACCGGAAATATACTCCAGGTAAATGGAAATTGAGAGATCGCCTCGTTCGCAACCAAGGTACTGGACAATATTAGGATGCTCCAGATGCTGCATGGTGTCGATTTCCTGGTCGAGGGCAGCCACCATCTCCTTGATTCGGTCCCGGTCTGATCCGGCAATTCTCGCATTGATTTCGACTTGCTTCACTGCCAAGACCTCACCATTATCCGCGTTAATGCCAAGATACACACGACCATATGTACCCTTGCCGATAAGCTGACCACGAATGATGCGGAATGTTTGTTGACGTTGCGGGACAGTTTCGACTGGTCCAGCAGGCTGGTTGGTGTGCTGTGGGATAGGATCAAGTTGACTGATACGGGTACCAGGCTTGGGGCTGATTTGCATGATCCGGGCGCCGAACATCTTGGTACTCTTCCGTCGCAACAGATCTCCGGACTTCTGGGGACCAGCAGAGGGTCCGATACTCTTGGTCCGGTGAGCTGCGCCCTTAGCAACTTCACGAATAGACTTGGTTCGCGAGAGGCCACCGCCACTGCGATTTACGTTGCGCGCAGCAACAGCGGCCGGGGGTGGCCGTACGGTTGATGAATCACCATATGATTTCGCAGGATCAGGAGCCGCCTGTGGAATTGGTGGGACCTGCGGGGTCGATGATTTGCCAGCCCGGAGAGTTGCTTCATTTTCCCCACTGGGCTTGTTGTTAGGAGACGGGGGCTCTTCCAGGTACGGCGCGTCAAGGTCAACACCAGGGAAGAAGCTATCCAGGTTGTCAATAACGCCTTCCACCGGCGGTCTGCTGGCCCAGAGATCTCTGGCAAAAGAGTCTCTTCGCTGGAATCTCTCATCTTCAGGGGATACTGCCTCGTGTGAACCTCCCGAGAATTGATCGGGGTTATCGGAGATTTCTCCTCCTGAGCTGTGCGCCGACGGTAAAAACATGGCCTCGTTAGAAGCAGAGCTGGGAGACTTGAAGCTGACGGTACGGCGCTTGTTATTGGCTGTATCAACCGTGAGACTAGGTCTCTTTTGCTCATACTCGGGTGCTGGCTTCTCGGTCTCAGTTCGCGAGGGTCGAATGGCGAACAGACCATCGTCTGAATCATCGTCAGACTCTTCTTTCATTTGAGGTGTCCTTGCAAAAGAAACTTCATTTTCTTCAAATTCGAACTCAGGGCCAAATGACTTCCTGGATTGCAAGGAGAATTTCGACGCGCTTTGAGGAGAAGCGGATTGGCCACCGGAAGACCGCGGTGATTTCCCGCTCTCTTGTTCGGCGGAAAATTTCGATCCTGTTTTCGAAGATTCCCAGGTCGTTTTACTCGAGGCCGGCGCCGCAGAGTCAACAGTGGGCGGCCGGTCTGAATCCGAGCCAACACTGTCCTGATGGACAGACGAGGGGGTTGAAGGAACAGGCACTGAGGGAGATGGCGTGCCAATGGAACTCGTCATCCGGCCCATATTGGCGAGAGCAGCTCCCAAGCCGGGCTGAGCCCGCACAGGACGATCCCGTTCACCAGGACTTTTCCTGAGCGAATTGACCTTGGTGAGCGTGTTAGACACAACGGGCGCGACTGGTGGGTTGCGCCTAGGCACAAGCCCTTCTTGTTGCGGCTGCTGCGACTGCTGTTGTTTCTTCTCTTCATATGGCGATTCACGTGGGGAATTGAAGTCGATGATTCCATCCCGTCGGTAACCAGTTTCACCGTAGGTGCCTTTGAAAGATTGCTGCTGCGATGGCGGAGGAACGCGGGAGACCCTATTCTCCTTTTGTTTCCGCTCGACATCACGGAGGTGAGCTTCATGACGTGCAAGAAGATCAGCTTGATCGGTATCCAACAGCGTCGCGGAGTCTCGGGAGCCATCCGGTAACGTTTTTGTAACAGAAGGTTTGAGCGTTGATTGCGCGGAGCTCAGCAGGGGCGAGCCGGGTTTATGCGTAGCCTGAGGAGATATGCGATCCAAGGCTTCGGGCTCCAAAGGTTTGCGGTGTATAGGAGGATGCGACGTCGCTGTAGGAGACGAAGTGAGCTTTTCAGTGGGCATTAAGACTCCAAGACCGTAGGATGTCGCCGGATGAGCAGGAGTTGCCTGAACAAACAATTTCAGGGAGCCATACGCATCGGACTTGCTCCGGCGAGATACTACAAGCATAGTATCACTCATCGGGTCGTCATGATGAAGCTGTCCAGGTTCTGTCAGGAAAAATTGGGCGCGAGACCAATCAGCGAGGCCAAGGTCCTTGCAAATTCCTGCACGCAGGGCGTCGACAGTTTCCATGTCAGTTACATCAATAAGGCGGAAATTGACACCGTCTGTGGTCGCAAATACCCATTTCTTCGTCTTGGTCGCTGACGAAGAAGGACGCTCTCCAAGTGACATATCGCTGATATTAAATCCCGGCTTTGAATAAGGCGTATACGGGCCATTAGAGCCGTTAGGTCGGTGCTCTGGACTCTGCGGCGAGTGCTGCTCCTCTGGTGAAGGATAGCTCGAGTCGTTTGTTCTGGGTTTCCTCTTGAACATATTGAGGAAACCCTTGTTATGTTCCTTATATGAAGTAGGAGTTTCACCACTCCATGGTCGACCATTCGTTTCTTGTTGTGGGGAAGGCCGTGCGCCCTCCTGGCCTTGCCTGCGACTATCATAGTACCGACCAGTAGTGGCAGAGCCTCGGCCATACCCAGGTATTGAGTCCGTACTATTTCCCCGGGAGTGATCGTACCGTCCCAACGTAAGATCACCGGTCGAATTTGATGTCAAGCCTGGGTATGACGGCGACGCATACTGCGCAGCCGGGCTACCACTCTTTGGGCTATCTTGAGCACGGCGAACCGGGCCTGGAAATGTACCGTGTTCGCTCGAAGTCGACGGACTTTGTCGCTTGTGGTCGTTGATCTGCGCCAGGGTGCTTCGGGAGTACTCCGATCTTGGCATAGGGGGATGTTCGCGCACAGGAGAATCGTACTTGGGCGATTCGTGGTTCGTGGGAGGAGGCTGGGTAACAGAGCGCATCTGTGGTCTTTGTTTTTGGGCCTGGCCCGACGAGCTCTGTAATTCCGCCAACTGGCCGGGGCTGATGTCGTTGACTCCAGGGGTAGGACCCGCCGAACGAGGCTCGGTGATGTGGGTTGAAGGGAATCCGGTCCCTGTGTCGACAGAAACTGGTGGGAAAGCGGGGGGGCTCCTGCCGCAACGGCGTGGAAATGGAAGAATCAGGCGTGCCGTCATGGATGGAACGGATCAGTTTGCGCAGGCGCAGCCCTTCTTCTCGTTCCCGCGCTGAATCCCATCCCGTTCCACTCCTGGCACACTCCTTCGCCAGTTGAGGATACACCACTTTGTGGATCTTTCCAAGATTCCCCCGCCCGCCCAAAGCAAAGCCAAGTTCCAGGAAATCAGCGCCCTGAAGCTCCAGAGATTTGAAGGTCTCTTGCCAGTCGTTAGAGAACCCATTTTTGGCCAGCCAGATGAGGACTCGGTCTAGAGGCCACTGAACTGCTGCCTCACTAGGCGAGAGTCCACCCAACGAAGCGCCGCTAACATTATGACGATGACTGGGTGACTTGGTGAGGTCTACGCCAGGGCTCGAGTTCTGCTGCGGCTGGTTTTCATTGGACAATAACTCATGCACATTTCCATGGAGATAGGATGGAGCATTGACACCTCCTGGTGTTTGGGGATTGTAGTTTCCTGGATTATATGTCCCACTGGTGGTAGAGTAGTCATACGTTTGATTAGCCGCAGGTCTCTGCTGCGGATACGGCTCATACATCCCCGTCCGGCCGGGCTCGAATAGTGGCGGAATGCCGACTCCAAGCGTGTCATGCCCAGGAATATATGTGGCAGAGGTAAGGGGATGGTTATCAATGGACAGGGGCGCAGGTAAACGATACCCAACGAGCTGCTGCTGCTGCTGTTGCGGTGGTGGTGGCGGCGGCGGCGGAGGGGGCGGCGGAAGAAAGCCTGGCGTCAAAGCCGGTCGGGCATAGTTTTGCTGCCACCCTGAAGAGACCCCATACGACGTTCCTGGGGGAGGGCCTGGTGGAGGCGGCGGCACTCCTGGCTGCTGAAGCTGCGGATGTTGGAGAGGGTGTCGCGGGGGAGGCGGAGGTAGAGTAGAAGACCCAGGAATGTACTGTCGTTGTTGTCCGTCCATTGTGATCGAAGGTTGTACTCTCCGATCGAAGGCGCCCAGCGCAATACCGGTACCCTGATCACACGATCAAAGTTGGAGTAGCAACGAAAGCCTCAGGTGATTGTCGCGAGTAATGCTCCACATCCCAGGCGTCGCTGATGTCGTTTCAAGGCGCAACCGAGATCGCAGAGACAACCGGCGGTTAGTCGATAGTATCGAGCTTCGGATCGTGTAGAGATGTCGGTAGATCGGCCGCTATCTAGAAAAGGACTCAAGTCGCGGACTGGTTCACCAACATCATCAATTTCGGTGTCTCCGAAGCTATCGCGCGAAGGGCACAAGCGGGTATCCGGTGGCGGGAGAGACAAGACGCTGCGATATGGCCCGTCCGAGAGCCAGCTGGGCGAGACTGGGACTCACTGTTGGCAGCGCCGTGGTCAGCAACCGAATGTAAAGGATAGAACGAGAGGGCGATCCCCCTCTCCGATCGTGAAAACGGAGCAAGTCAGAGCGAGGGGAACACATTCCCAGCCCCCTCCGCCTCCTTGCGCCGGAGATTTTCTCCTCCGACCGAAGAAACAGAGCCAACCGCCAGGGTACTCACCGTGGGAAAAATCGAGCGAGCAGGGATGATAGCGATAATTGTTTGGGAAGCGGAGGATCAGAGCTTGGATGCCTTGGAGTGCAAGATCATCACGTGGGCCCGCTTTTGCAGTGGAGTCGTGTTTAAGGCGAGTGTTGGGCTCGTAGGGCTTGCGGTCCCATCTCGGATTCGGGCCTGGGTCAATGCTGTCACTGCGAGGGCCAACGTGTCGGCAACGCGACTGTTCAAGAAGGACAAAGGGGTCGGGCGACTTGGTCGGGGATGTAGGAGGAACCCCCCGGGGCCTGTCATTGTTTGGGCGTTGGCGCCAGGGATGCCCCATTATCCTTCAGCCCCCTTGAAACCGGCCAGATTGACCCCGTCGGTGGACCTGAAATCTCCCTGGCGTCTCTCCAATCTATCGAGGTCTATCTGGACTGATAGCTACCAGTATGCAGAGTATTTAAGCGGCCAAAGATCATTGTCCAATTTCTGGAGGACTTGATACGTGGATTGTAAAGGTTTTTATACTTCAATCTGATCGCCCGACAGACTCTAAACACTTAACAGTGTACGGTAACAAACACCAAATTAAAAACAGGGCATTGACATGGGCGAAAATAGGAAAGTGAGCTCAACGCTAATATTACCCTCCGAAGCCAATGGCAGGAGTACCAGGAGGTACTTTCGGGCGCTCCTTGGCGAGATACCAAGTATCGGTTCTACGTGCACCATGCATCAATGGGAATCCTAGCGTCAGGTTCCTACGAGACAGTTCAACTTCCATAACATGAATTCATTTCGCCGCTGTGTGTGAGAGAAGATGCTCGGGTCATCAAAAACAGTTAATTACTGATATCGTGCGAAGAACTTGGAAAGAATCGTGATTGAGGCCCCAGGGGGTTGCGTCTCCCGGACCTTTGGATTTGAAACATGGCATGTTCAGTTGCCGAGCAATCGATAGCATAACGGCCCACAATGCAGGTTAGTGGCGTTAATGGACCCAGGCTTGTCGGCCAAGAGCGTTCGGGACAAACAGTCTTCAGCCATGCAGGTGGGGTCATTTATGCGTTGCGCGCGGCCGCAGCTTCGGCTGTCGACTTGAGTCCAGCCGGGGCATCGTCGCGGGGCATGTACAGCTCCACCAACCGCAGGGCGTCAGCGGTGCAGAAGTCCTGGTCGGCGAACAACTTCTGCAGTTCGTCGCGGGTCTTAATGCGGTATCCCTTGTATCCAGCATCAGCGCCAAAGACCTTGGGGAGGTTCGCAAATTCCCAGGGCTGGATGTCGTTGTAGGGCGCCTCCCAGCCATGGATATAGCGCTCAATGGTGTAGCCCTCGTTGCAGATCACGAACCTGGAGATGAATGTCAGCTGGGCGTCTTGAGGCTCCAAATCATATCAAGCACTGAAAGAATGCATCAATGCATCAATGCATCAACTTACACAATAGGAGACAACTTATTGCGCAGAATGGTGCTCAGTTCTTGCACCGTCAGTTGAATACTGCCATCGCCAATGAAGAGAATTGTCCGGCGGTTGTTCTGTTCCTTCGCGGCCAAAGCAGCACCCTGGCAGGACCCCATCGAGTATCCAATGCTGCCCCAGAGGACTTGACTAATGGCGGTCACGTTCGCAGGGAATCGCGTGTCCCAGATACCAAAGTTGGCTGTACCGGTCTCTGTGATGACCACGTCATTCTCCTTCAACCACTGTCCTACGATCGGCCACAACCAACTGTGAGTGATGGCCTGGTTGGATGAGGACTGCTCCTCCGCCGGAAGCTTGTTGGTAATTTGAGGAGTGGGAGTCACATTCAGCTTGCCCATCTTCTGCACAACCTTCCGGAGCACACCCTTCATGTTAATGTCGGGGTATTCGGAGTACCGCACACGCACGAAGTTGCTGTGGAAATCAATGGTGTTGAGCTGGCCAATACGGTAGGTGAATCCGGCAGTGTTAAAGTCGGACTTGATGGCGCCGATGCTGAGAATGAGATCTGAGGACTCGACCACCTCCCGGACGCCGGTATTGGACCCACTACCGGCATAGACACCACCAAAGTTCTTGTGTGTCTCGTTGACCGCACCCTTGCCCATCGGGGCCACGAAAGTGGGCAGTCCAGAGGCCTCGACCAGGTCACGCACCTCCTCTAAAGCACGGTGGCGGATAGCACAAGCGTCGACCAGAATGACCGGGTTCTTGGCTCCCTGAAGATACTTGAGAACGACATCCACCACATACTTCTCCTTCTCCGGGTCATTCTCCGGCGGGGACAAGTCAATGGGGGTCTTCAGACGATCGCCATTGACCTTGGCGTAGATCATGTCGGTGGGGAGGGTCACATACACGGGACGACTACGGATCCAGCACTCGCGGATCGCGCTATCGATATAAGTCGCTGCATAGTGAGGGTCGTTGAGCTGAGCAACATAGCAGGAAATGCCCTCGCTCATCTTCGTGAAAACGTTGAAGTCGCCGTTTCCGAGTGTGTGATGAAGGAGCATGCCATCCTTCTGGGATTTGGTCGTCGGCTGTCCCACGATGTGGACGATAGGAACGAACTCGGAGTATGCGCCTGCAATGGCATTGAGAGCGGACAGCTCACCGACACCGAAGGTGGTGATCAGTGCGCCCATGCCGTTGACGCGCGCATATCCATCCGCAGCGTAACCTATCAAGAACAAGCAGATCAGTCAGTCACGATATCCATAATATATGCTGGCAGGTGACGGGGTTTGTGGCACGTACCCGCATTGAGCTCATTGCAATTGCCTACCCAGTCCAGACCACATTTTGGCAGGTAGTCCAGAGCTGCGAGGTTGTAGTCGCCGGGAACACCGTGCACAGCACGAATGCCGACTTCATGCAGGCGTCGGAAAAGATACTCGGCCAGGTCGATCGGGTTCTCGAGCTCGCGCGTTGCAATATCTAGGGAAGCCATGATGGATGGATGGAGGAGGAGGATAGAGACCTTGCGAAGGTGGAAGGTGAAGGGGAGAGAAAGAAGTATGAGGGGGACGGGGTGTTAGGAGCACTTTGTAGCAGGTGATAGTAGTAAGCAGTCGCAGGTGAGCCGGTTCGCAGGCAGCAGTGGAGCAAACGGAAGCAGCTAATCCGGCCAGCCTTTCCTTCCTTCCCGGTGTGACTTGTTCATGTTGAGCTCGACGATAGCGTGGACTACGTCATGATTAGGCCGTTGATGTCATGCCACGCGATGGGATTGTCCAACACTCGCGATGCGACAGCCCGAGCACATTCTTATCCTCGCAGCAGACAGCCGTGAAACCTCGAGCGACAATGCACGTTGAGTCTCTCCCAATGGTTGTATCTCGGGCTTTCCAACCATAAAATTGTACCGGTGCCTGAGCATGATTGATGACCTCAGGTAGCTTCGCTGATCGGCCCAGTTCCGACCCACACGATTGCCCGCTAATCCGAAACGGGCGACCACACAAATCTCCGCGGTCAGCGGCATCCACTCGACAGGAACCTCTAGAATCTAGAGCTTCCCATGGCGGGTGACGCAAAGCGCAGTATGGCACAGAATGCAGATGCCTCCAAGCGGCGCAAGGTATGTGTTCCTCCGTCGTCAGACAGCCATCCGCTTTCCTGTCGGAACCTGCCGATGCCCACTCGAATGGCATGTTCCTAATCGAATCTCCAGGGTCCGCCGCCGAAGCAGCGCATCAACATCGATGCTGGTGATGCGGGTGTCTTTGTAACTTGCGACATGGGCAAGGAAGGCAAATGCAAGGCCGAGGTCCTGGATATCTTTTCCCAGGTAAATTTGATCCTGTAGAGAAACATCAGAAGACGAAATGAAACGAAGATGCACTCCACACCCGCTTTCGTGCCTCGATGGTTGACGTGCTAATTCTGTCATACTCAGATCATCGAAGATTCGGGCATCAAGCCCCAAGGAAATGTCGATGGGGATGGCGGTGAAGACTCTGATGATGGCGACATCGAGGCCCAAATCCAACGAGAGCTCGCTGGCCTGCAACCCACCAAGGACAAGACCAAAAAGCGTCCCGTAGAAGTCACTCGCCTGGATATGCCCTGTGGTGCGTTCTATAATTCTCCGGAATCTCCAAGCCACAAGGCTTGAGGCCTCACTGACGCAAGCTCATCTAACGCTGATGCTGATGCTCAATGTCTCCCAGTTCTGTTTGCACGGCTGGACAAGTCCATTGACCCCGTGCAACTGGTCCACCGGATGTGTACCGAAGCACAGGCCAATCAAGACACGAAGAAGAGCCGATGGATTAAGCGCATGACCCCAGTCACCTCGGTCAGGAAGACCCTGAGCGTGGACCTCGAAGCGTTTATCAAAGAGATCCTCAAGCCGCATTTCCATTCGGGAGGAGGTCCGAAGAAGGTGGGTCATTCTCTGTCAGCAAGATGCCCGAGCTTCACAAACAGTCCAAAATCCCGCACCTGGCCAAGAAAAGAAACGAGAGCCTTGTTCGGAACGATTGCTAATCTCACTGTTATTCGACTAAGTTTGCTATTCGGCCTACGTTGCGGGGAAATAAGAAGTTCAACCGGGATGAAATCATCAAGACCATTGCCGACATCGTGGGCCCGGAGCACTCCGTCGACTTGAGCAATTATGACCTGGCGATTTTGTTCGAGGTTTCTCAGGTAAGCATCAAGGAACATCAAATCCCATAATGGACGCCCGTTGTTTGCTAACAACGAGCAGAATGTGGTAGGAATGAGTGTGGTTCAAGGTGACTATGACAGGTTAAAAAGATACAACCTGGCCGAGATCTACAATCCTTCTCCAAAGGGCATGGAAACTCCGAAGAGAACCAAGACTGCTGCTGAGGACACCTAGCATGGAGACCGCTGCTGCACCCATCCGTCGACTAGTTCCCGTTAGATTGGCTCGTTATCGCTTCAGGATTAGAAACTCGAAGCTCACTGGTGGCAACGAAGAGATGATTTTATGGATATTACATGAAAGAAAATACATGAAAATGCCTCCCGCTAGCAGCCACCTCGACCGATCTCCTATCTGGGGCGAGATCACTGATGCAGTCGCAACTTGAAGTGCACCCACTTGGGAGGATTATTGGACAATGTTTGTTGACCAGTTACCCAATATGACTAGACGACGGCTCAGGTACAAATCCGTTCGGCCCCACCAGTAGGGTTCTGGACTTGTTGATACATCCGGTGGATATCTACGGAGCTTTCTTACCCGCGATGGATGATAGCTCGGGCCAGGGTCTTCCTATTTGTACGCTCTCTTCGTTTCATCGTCGAAGCGATTGGCACACGCCAATACGTCAAGCCCGGGGCTTGCATACGCTTTCCGGGAACAACAGACTTCGAGAGCCACTTTTCTAAAGAGATCCAGCAATCAGAAGTGAATTCCTGGCCGCAGATGAGGGGCACCAAAATAGGGTGATGACGGGAATGGGTCCTGCAGAACAAATCGAAGGCCGGGCGGGCTTCGATGGGTATCTAGATTTGCCCAAATTTCCCTATTGGGGCGTGTCGAGCAGTTCTCCCAGCGGATCCACCTACATTTCGGTAAGACGCGCCCGTGATTGGCGGCCCACCGGTGCTCGGATGTCCGCCTCGCTGAGAGCGGGATCCTTAGGCGAGCCGGCCTCTCGCGTGTTATGCGTTCGGGCGTTTCGAACAGACCGATGGTCTTGCTCGCTCCTCCGAAATCATCGTAGGCCGCCGCAAAAGCCTTGCGTCCGTGGGATGGTTGGTATTGTTCTATGGAAAACAAAAACGATAGACGAGTCGGTGGATCTGCCTGCAAGCCTCGGTCTACTCTATACCTACTACGTGTAGTGCAGGCGGAAGATACCAGTCGAGCCGTCGCCCCGTATCTCGCGTAGCTGAACCTACAGTAGGCTGTCGTATGGCGTAGCTCCTCCGCGATTCTGGGTCGGAAAGGGCCTGTGGTCCCTTTTCCAAACACTCGAGGGTTACGTGGGCATGCAACGATGGCGGTCTGGTGGCTCTCCTGGCCCTGTCATTGCTTTTCTTTTGCCTCTGCGATGGAGACGGCGGTGGGCTCCTCATGACTCGGAGGCTATGCTGGCTCCTCTGAACTGCCCCATAATGTTTTTCGGGGTCCAGTAAATCCTCGGAATGGGAGGCCTGGCCGACGGTCCACTTGCTGATCGAGCAGTCAAATGGTGACGGTGTCCACGATCCCTGACACCCTTGCCCTTCCCCCCAAAATTACTTACTAGTAACCTCTCACCAGGTACATATCAAAATGCGTCGTTCTAATATGCGAACACTGGCACATACACACCCTACTCTGGTGCCCCTCAAGGCACCCAACATGGTTTCCACCCACAAGACCATACAGCCACCTGAGCTAGACGAGTACCAGCGACTAGATGCAATTCTCTCCTTATTATATCCCTCCACGGTGAATTTGCAACGTTCACAAGTTATTTTTGGTCACATTCATTCGCTACGTCTCCTCACACTTTCCAACGGAGCTCGGTTGCTCTTGAAAACGTCTCCTGTCGCCGGCACACCCCTTCTTCGGCACGAACGATTTTTCCTCGAAACTGAAGCTCGCTTTCTCGCCCTGTTAGGCCAGAGCGCAAATCCTTGCGTTCCTCAACTTTATCACTATGACCCTGAGGGAAGTTTACTCGGTTCTGCCTACTTGGTACGGCAATATGTGAAGGGGACAAGTTTATTGGAATTGCAAAGTCGAATCACTCCTGAGCAACGAAATGATGTCGACCGCCATCTGGGCTTCTTGGCTAGCACTATTGCCCAGAATGTCGCTCCGGCATTTGGTTCCCTTCAGCAGGTTGCTGTCAGGGCTGGGAAGCGCTCCTGGCGAGACGCGTTCTGTGCCTTGTTTGAAAGTGTGCTCCGCGACGCCGAGGATATGTTTATCAATCTGCCGTACGCTGAAATTCGAGACGAAATGAGCCGTTTGGAGTCGGCGTTGGAAGAAGTGATGTTTCCACGTCTGGTGGTCGTTGGATTTGGCCGGCCCTCCCATGTGCTCCTTGATGAGAGGTCAAAACAGTTGTCGGGGGTGGTCGACTTCAGCAGTGCACTTTGGGGTGATATCCTGATGGCGGAGATCTTTGAGAGCCCCGCGCCCGCTGTGCTTGAAGGCGCCGGCATGCCTTTGGGTCGGACGAAAGGGGAAGATATTCGGTTGCTGATGTAGGTGTCGCAGCCCAACCCATACTGATATTAAAATCATCCTTTCCATCAATGGATCATATGATGCTAACTAGACCACTCAACCAGGTACTCTGCCTACCGATTGGTTTCCCAGATCACAGTGCAATACTATCGGAATCTAGACGAGCCAAAAGAGTTTGATGCACGACGACGCTTGACAGCCACGATTGCCAAAATGGGAGCCATGGACCCGGTATAGACGTGAATAACAATGCAGCACTCTCCATGGATGTGCAGCCCGGCCAATTCTTATGATACCCTCTTCAACTCAGCTCATTAAATATTCATTAGCGACAGCATTTAAATTTGGCCTTCGAATTTAGCATTTCTAATGAGTCGTTCTGAGCGGTGTCTCTCAAGGCACCATTCCGAGACAGAATCTCACAGGTGTTTGGTGTAGATACTCAAGAGCTATTGGCTCCTAAGCCTGCTCATGCAAGAAAATATTCTCAAGATTTATTCTTGAGAATACCCTCTACAGACAGAAGTGCTCACGAGAGGACTTGCTTGTGTGGAAGACATGCATTAGACGGGATGCATCCTGCGAGTCCATCAAGGACCATTTATACTTCCCCTTCTTAAGACCAAGTAAACCTCTCTACCTTTTGTGAAAGCTCATCGCGACGAGGTTAGCGCCTCTCTTTATGTTATTTTGTGTGCTGCTAGGGTAATGAGGTAGAGACAATCTGAGGACCGACCCCTGAAAGGGTCACACCAAGTTCAGGGTAGGTTCAACTGACCAGCCAAATAGCAGTCGTCTGTCTGAGAACAATGCTGGGAATTCGGGAATTCCGCCAGACTATAGGGTTGGTTTATATCCTACTTTCGCACCTCCGAGACGAGCTATATGCTTACAAATTAAACGTCCTTTCTAATATCAATCCCTCGATTCTCGTCATCCCGTACCGCCCCTGGCTCACTACTGGGAATCAAATGATACCAGAACCTCCTGTTCGAAACTAGCGAATCACCTTGATGGGTCTTCTAGTATAGTACTATGTATAGTTTATATGTCGTCTATGCAAGTGACCATAGGGCCCGGGCGCGTAGAGAAACGCACCACATTCGGGCAATTTCTATGCATATTGTCGGTATCAGTGGAGAATTAGTTTTGTAAGGGATGGTCAGATTGTATCATTGTAACTTAGCCAAGAGTCTTAGTCATGCTCGGTCGCATACAAATTTGTGAGAACGAACATAACCAATGCAGATGACAAGGTATCTATGATTCGTCCAGGTGATTGGGTCTACAGTAAAGCGGTACCGACAATAATTTGTCGCAAGTGCCACTAAATACTTAGGGTAGTCCGCCTGTTGATCGCAGTCATTTTGGTCCCATTGAGGACTCCAATCCGGTCGAAACCCTGTAAATGACTGAGACATTCCGCCGTTTTGCGTCACCGTCTCAAGGCGACAGGATTGGCGGAAATGAAGTCTAGCTCGCGTTCGGAACAGGGTTAGATAGTGCAAGCAGAGAGCACAGTGCGCTAGTATTCGAGTATGCCGCGTCGCCAACCCATCCCTTAAAAAAGGACGAAAGAGATATCCCCGTCCACCAAGATTTGTTGAGGCTGCCTACGACGGCGAGACAATTGCATGCAGGCCAACAATTGCACGCAGTGAAAGGTAGCCAAATTGAGCGTAGGAGTGTCGCGAATACACACTCTCAAGCAGACCCGACAGCCACAGCTGAAAACTTGAGGGATTTCCCAGTCAATGGATCCGTTCGTACACACGTCGGCGGAGAAAGTGCTCAAGGTGAGAGGCGTTTAGCTGAAACAGGGGGCGGATGCCGTGTGAGTCGGGAATACGGTATCATTTCAGGGCGGCGAGGTTGTCGGAGCACGTTGGGCGAGAGGGAAGTGTTACAAATCGAAGGCGAGGACGTCGAGCGACGCACCGAGTTATATAGTTGCGCCAGTCGGAGGCTAGGAGGCGGTGGAGGCTGGCAATTACCGATTCGAGGAAAGCGGCAGCCGCCAAACCCGATCGAGGGGGCGCCGAATCCGGCGCCGTCGGCACAAATGGTAGTTGTACTCAAAATAAGAACTTACATGAATAGTTCTCAAATCTCTTTGAAATATAATTAATAGAACGGCATCTAATTAAATAATATTGTAGAGAGAATAGCCCAGTTGGTTGGTGTCAGGTGACTAGGTGGTAGGCAAGAGGGACTTAGAAAGCGTATTGACGGCTTTGTGATGCGTATTGTGACATTCTCATAGACACAAGATTAATGCTCAAGGGACTCAAGCGTATCGCTTTCTGGGCAAGGTCCCATACTCGTAGGTTGACCGCTCATTATAGCCCAGTTATGCGCACGATTCTGCCAGGCATCTAGTAATGATCTCAGGTGACTTTCCCTTGACAATATATATTGTAATCTTTAAAGCTAAAAAATCACACTATTATTCAGCTTAATAGGCTTCTAAAAGACTAGCAAGTTAAAGTCTCTCTAAATAGCTATACTTTAGATAAAATCAGTATCAAATAGCTTTTAAATCCTCTGGATATTACATATTTTACTTTTCTTAAATAAATCTTGTTGTCAGCCAGGCGAGCAGCCCCAAAATATAGCGGCTGCCAGGATGTTGGCCATTCAATTACCTGGTGCCCTAATAGTCCGTTCTTTGAATTAATAGTGTTTTGGTGGCTTTATCTACTTTTAAATATTTAGTAGTTGGTTAGACGGCCCACTCGCTTGGGCACTACGTAGTTCGGCATGTGATTCACAGTGTTGAAGTTGAATGTGGTCTGATGACGTTGTTTGCGATGACATCGGAGATCGGAGTCGGGATACTTGCCGCATGTTCATCAGAGAGGAGCCATACAGTAGCATCTGCACGTGTTGCATGTAAGTATTTCGATCCCTTTGTTCGCTGTACAGGGATGCTGGCAGGGGCACGGCTTTGCCGTCGTAGGGCGGAAGCGGGGCGGCTCCGGTTTAGCCTCTCCGCCATGTCGTCAGCTAACATTCCCGCAAGAGCTCCATCACTTTTTCCCTTTCCTCCTGCCAGAGTCTCCTACCCCAAGCCAGCAGGAGATGGCGCAGTTCCTACGAGGCAAACAGGCTGGTATCCAGCGCGACCTGTCCGAAGGCCTGGCCGCGGACTTCTTCCAGCTCGACGACGTTCGTTCTTGGCACTCCAGGCATCCTTTTTTTTGCGATCGCGAACTGACTCTGACTTGGCCTCGCAGTTTGAACGATGTGGTGTGAATTCACAGATTAGCGCCGTCGCGTACGACCCCGTCCAATCCCTCCTTGCCATCGGCACCAGCGATACCCAGTTCGGCAGCGGCCAGATATACGTCTATGGTCAACGGCGAGTGTTGGTAACTTTTCAGTTCCCACGGAAAGCCTCAGCCAGGTTCATTCAGTTTTGCGGTGATAAACTCGTCAGCGTCGACTCCAAGAACGAGATCAGCATATACTCGCTTGAAACGAGGCGCGTGGTAACCTCGTATGCGCCTCCGGGACAGGCTACAGCCCTTGCAACGGACCCGAGTCTCGACTACGCATTTATCGGCCTCTCAAATGGTGGGTTGGACAATGAATGAGGCGAGAGAATGATCAGATAGCTAACGAGTAAATAATAGGCGAGGTCATCGCGTACGATCTCGACCGCGAATCCTTAACTGCGTACAAGATTCCGAACCTATGGCTGGATGTGAACCCTCGAGCACGGCTATTCCCCGTGGTGTCGCTTGCATTCTCGAGCCGCGATATCGGCAAGATCCTTATTGGATATCCTGAGGGAGCTGTCACCTTTTCATTCAAGCAAAATGTTGCGCAGAAGTATTTCATCTACGAAGTTCCTGTCGGGGCCCCGGGCGGAGACCCCGAAGCCCCCGCGGCTGGCGTGCGCAGGCCCAAGATGACCGACGCTATTTGGCATCCTAATGGGATCTTCATCTTGACCGTCCATGAAGACACCAGCTTAGTCCTCTGGGACTCGAAGGATGGTCGCAAGCTCCAGGCCCGCACCCTCCAAGCTACAAATGTTGATCAGCCAGGGGGCTCGAGACCATCCGGACCAGATGGAGAGACTAGCGGACCCAAAGAACCCATAATAAAGGTGACATGGTGCGCCAAAGAAAATCCCGATGACACTGGGCTCCTTGTTGCGGGTGGCCGACATGTTGGCGCTCCGAATAAGGGTCTTACTTTCTTGGATATAGGACCAACTCCCAATTACTCGACATCTTCCTGGCAAGTCCTCTCTAGTTATTTTGAAAGGACTCGCCGACATATGAATTTGTCGATTCCTCCAGGGGCAAGGGCGATCAACTTCTGCCTGATTCCCCGCTCTTCTCCCTACTTTGCGGGCGCTCATGATCCAATTGCTTTGCTTGTAGTCCTCTCTTCAGGAGAACTGGTCACGATGAGTTTCCCAAGCGGACACGCCATTACGCCGACCAATATGCTCCATCCGTTCCTTTCCTTCGTTCACCCTTTTGTGAACAAAGTCACTCTCACACCAGTCGATCGCACAGTCTGGCTCGGGTTGCGGGAACGTCGCATGCAAGGTCCGAAGTTCATAATTGGAGGTGCGGAGGCCAAGAACCCGCTGAAGCGGTTTGAGAACCGGAATATAATTACCACTGCTCATGCAGATGGAACTATCCGTCTTTGGGATGCTGGTCATGACGATGAAATCGAGAATGGAGACGCCATCCAAGTGGATTTGGCTCGAGCCGTGGGTCGAGTCAACAATGTTGAAGTAACTGAAATGTCTCTGGCCAGTGGGTCGGGTGAGCTTTCTGTTGGCCTTCGAACTGGAGAGCTTGTCATATTCAGATGGGGCAATAATGCATCGCAAGGCCGGGAAGAGCCTGTCGGCACGAACCAGCCCGGGAAACTGACTCCGATTTCCCACAGGACAGATCCGGGTCTCAAGGCAGGCCTTGTGCCCGTGACTCTACTGGATATGCAACAAGGACCTGTGACAGCCTTGAAGCACAGCCCGGTAGGATTTGTGGCTGCTGGATTTGAGGGTGGCAGTTTGGCCATTATTGACTTGCGTGGCCCGGCAATCATTCACACTGCTCACCTATCCGATTTCGCAAAGGCAAACAAGCGGAGTAGTTTCCTGAAGAAAAGTGCATCGGAGGAGCCTCCGGCTGATTGGCCTACGTTCATCGAATTCGGTGTTATGACATTGGAAGGCGAAGACTACTCAAGCATTTGCTGCTTCGTTGGCACAAACCGAGGAAACGTGGCAACATTCAAAGTCCTGCCGGCGTCTAATGGTGCCTACACGGCTGCATTTGCGGGAGTCACGAACGTGGAAGATAAAATCACCAACCTTATTCCCATTGACGCTGATTCTGGTGGTAATGCCCTAGCCACACCCAACGCGGTTGGCGGATTGAGAACCGGTACTAAGGTCAACGGCGTTGTCGTTGCGGTTACCCCGTCCAGCTGCAGAATTTTCAAACCCCCAACGTCCAAGGGTGCTCACAAGACCTGGGACGACTACTTTGTCGATTCTTCAGCGATTGTCAGGACTGAGGGACGTGGTTACAGCCTGGTTTGTCTCTGTGGGGATGGCAATGCTCGCGCATTCTCTATCCCGGCACTTAGGGAGATTGGATGCTCCAAAATTGGGCAGATTGCCGATATGCGGCGACTCTCCGAAGCATGTATTACTCCTACGGGTAGCGTGATGACATGGACTGGCCCGTCTGAAATTGGAATGTTCAACGTCTGGGGAGTTGGTCATCAAATGTATGATTCCAACGCTTTTTCGGTTGGAACCTTGCTAATCAATTTTGCAGGAGCCCATCTCAAGATCGACTATATGATCCTGCAAAGGTGACACCCGCACGCCCAACGATTACCAACATCCAGTGGATCTCGGGTACTCAATATATCTCCCCGCAAGATATGGACATTCTGAGTAAGTGGTCTGTGATCTATACCTATAGCCTGCAGCGTCTGATAACGAATACAGTCGGTGGCCCCGACCGTCCGCCATCTAAGCGCATGATCGAACAGATGAAGCTAGACGAGCAACAGCGACGGCAAGCGCTGCGAGAAGGCCGTGCACCGCCTCCAGCACCAGGCAACGAGGAGAGCTATTGGTCATCCATGACGCGTGGTATCCAGGAACGCACAGAACGCCTCGGAATTGCAGGCGATACGATGGACCGATTAGAGGAAAACAGCAGCAGTTTTGCTAGCGATGTGGGTAAATACGTCCAGAGCCAAAAGAGGAAAGCTGTCTTTGGTGGTAAGTGATCGTCTCGTCTCGCGAGAGCTCCCGTGTCCCCCACTCCCCTTGCATACCTGACTGACCGACTTTTAGCACTGGGCTCCAAATTCGGGCTTTAGAGTTGGTGAAATTCTTTTTCTGCGAGTGATGACTTAGACGAGATACACAATTAAAGCTTTTCTGTTCCACATTGCCGTTAATTGTGCCAATGTGCAACTCTACCTGGCGTACATCAATTTTCACTCCATTCCTTCGTTTCAGGGCATTTCTTCCGCCCACTGAGTAGAGGGGTGAACATGGCTGAGCACAATATGTTTCCCATTATCCCGAGAGATCCTCCGCTGTCCACATACTAAAAAAACAATGAGACTTAGCCACGGGCAAATCGTCGTCCCTTTATGCATTGGGGACCAAGCTTGGTGGAGATCGACCAACATACACTACTGAACGGAGCGTATACAAGGGCTCTCCGTAAGACACGGCCGGCCTGGAGAAGGGACAACTTCTCAGGTAGCGCGAAACGAGGATGTAAACCCTCGCAGGGTGTGGTGTACGATGGCAGTCACTACGACAGGGCTAAGGCCTGTCAAAAGACTGTCTGTATCGCCCGGGAGGACGGATGTGACCGAGACTTCATCTCCTTCCTCGAGCGGTGGATTACTCAGGTTAGGGTAAGAGAGGCTAACGCTAGAGGCTATTTTGGGAACGCCGGTTTGACTATTGCAGAGTCCAATAATTGCTTTTGGCGGCACCATTTCATTGAAAGAGTCACTTTGGAGCCTGAAAAGCTGCTATCTATGCGGATGCATTCGTTATAGGTCGTAAGATCGCAATCTACTCTTCCCAGTGGCTGAAGCTGCTGACAGCAGTACTGTATTATCATCAGCTATGCTGCTGCAATGCTCCAATCTAGACGGGGAAATTGTGTTGGCTCGCGCTTTACTTATTTAGGTGTTCGGGTTCGGGTTCGGGTTCGGGTTCGTGTCGGGCCGGTCCCGTATCAGACTCACGTCGACCCGGGTTCCGAGAAGGTGCGGATTATTAGAAGAGCATATCCGTTCCCGGAATCGAATTATCTCATAGACAAATCTTGTTATTATCATTGACTCTGCCTTCTTCCTGTCATTTACGGGGAAAATGCTTGTTCTTATCGCCGGCATTACGGGAAAGCTCGGAAAACACCTGGCTCGCGCAGCTTTGCAACGCGGCGGTTTTCGAGTGAGGGGCCTAGGACGGCACCCTGAAAATCTGGATCCCACAATCGCGTTGCAACTGGAATCCTTCGTGACTTGCCGATCCCACGACGATATCGCCGCCCTGAACAGGGCGGTCGAATCTGTCGATGCAGTGGTATGTGCCTACAAACCGGATCCAGTGCTCAACCTTGAAGGGCATCTGCTCCTACTACGTGCTGCTGAGCAGGCTGGGATTAAGATTTTCCATGCATCTTCGTGGAATGCTGATTGGCGACTATTCGGCTGGGGAGAGTTTGAGCATTACGACACGCACATTGCGTTCCAGCGCCACGTCGAAATGACATCTTCCATAAAGCCAGTATACGTCTTTACTGGAATGTTCGGGGAGTACCTGTTCAGTCCGGCGGGTCCTGGAATGTTCTCAAAAGAAGAATCTGGGGCAGCTAGCGTGCAAATCTGGAATAAGGGAGACGCGAAGTGGGCTTGGACGTCTATGAAGGACGCGGCGGAATTCAGTATCGACCTGTTGACCAGGAATGACGTAAAGGAGGGGGCTGGGGGGTATTTTGCTGTGAAATCAGGAGAAATCAGTTCCCATGATATCGCGAGGGCGTACGAAAACGTCACAGGTTTTAAAGTGGATGTGATATACGTTGGGCATCTGGATAGCCTGGATCAGCAAGTTCAGCAGGCACGTCAAGACCATGGTCCCAGCGAGTACAAAAAATACCTCCCCCTGGAATTGCAGTTGTTCGGATACAGGGGAAAATTTGAACTGCAGAACGCCGAGACCATCGTTAATGGAAGACGCACGATTAGCCTGGAAGATTTGCTGCGCGGTAACCCTGAAATTGCACATTGACAGTTTGAGTCTGTCGACAAGATAGGGGGGGAGAACGCAGACCGCGGCAGTTTTATGAACCGTTTAGTGGAGAAAAATTCTAGAAACCAGCGTGCTGATATATGCAAAGCTCTTTTGCTTAACAGGCAAAAGTCAACATATAGTCAAATCTTTTTGTTTCGCCCTCTTGTATCGTAGTGAATACAATTTGAAGATTGTTCATTCCATGCACTTTCATCGTCACGTTTAACTGGAGCCAGAAAGTCCGGTTTGTCGGACGATTATTGATGGAACGTGGAACAATTTCTAACAACTATGACCTCGGAATTAGGTGAAGGGCACTACACATAGCGTCTATCCGCGGCCCTAGAAACCGGGGCGGGGATATATAAGAGCGTTAGTTTCTAGAGAATAGGCATTTCAGGTCGGTAGATATTATCATCGTTTAAAAGAGTATAGATTATTCCCCTAAGGCAGAAGTTATCACCGATGAGTCAAGTAACATGTTCGTATTAGCTTCACCAAAAGGTGTCATAAAGTGTTAAATAAAGAGAGCTGTAGCTATTAGGCTGAATTTTGTGATAGGCAGGTTCATAAGTAGTCTAAAGGTAACCAAGGTCATGTGATTCGCTCGCAGTTCGCAATTCCTAGTACAGAAAAAGACCCTAGACTGTCGCTTGTGGGAATAGCAAAGAGTCAGTCACTTCGCCAGATTCTCGAGCCTTCTCGGACTTCGGTTTTTAACGTAATTCCCGTCCCGAGTGGCCCACCCGGCCGTGTGGCCCACCACGCTCACTATAATAATAATTTCAAAGCAGATTTTGACCACCAAAACGCTGGTATAAATTTAAATATAGCTATTTTTACACTGATTTATCTTATGGCCTATCTCTCTACACCCACTACACCTCGGCGGGGCCCTCTGCGTGGCCTGCAGAGTCTTAATAGCCTCTGTAGGCTCAGTGTGCTGTATAGCCTCCGCCGGTGTTTCTCGCTCCTCAGCTAATGCCTGAACCTCTTGAATGGTTAATCCGCCTTCGTCTGGTATCTGGCGTCTGGACTTATCAGATTTTTTGCTTTTTTTCTCAAGCGCAGCGCGAAGGGTAGCGTTTGCCTTCCTTAGAAGTATTTCCCTATGAAGAGAGCCTGCATAGCCTTTGAACACCTGTTCAAGCTCGGATTTTAACGGGCTTTGAGGGCTTCTTGATCGTCGTTTGAGGCGGGCCTTGATCGAAGATGCCTGTTTCTGAAGCTGTTTGGTGGTTTATGGTGTTTTCGGGCTGAAAACGCTAGATCTGCTGCTAGGCCGGCTGCTAGGTGGTGAAGGCGTATAAAGCAATATATTTAGCTTTTCAAGCACTCGCTCTGCGTTGGTAGGCACTAGACCTGCTGCGGCGAAGCTATTTTGAATAATCGCTGGCTTATAGGCCTCCGCACGCGCATAAGGATATGCTGCTAGAAAATCTAGCTTGTCGATGTGGTTATATCCCACACGCTCTTGATTCTCTATGATGCGACCGTATGCGCTTTAGCACTGCAAAACACCCAATATCAAGCGGTTGTAGGAGATGAGATGAATGAGGAGGCATGCAAAGTGGAATAATGTTGTTTTCACTGCAGACTTGGTCGAATTGAGGCGTAAGATGGCTGCCATGGCCGTCAAGAATCAATAAGCGATATTTGCCACGTGCACGCGTGGTAGTAGCTGGTATGAATAGTTTTTGAAGCCATCGAAGGCCTATCTCATCTGTAGTCCAGCCGTTTTGACTAACTTCGAAGCGCCAATCGGATGGAAGGTCATCAAACCACCCTTGTATAAAATTTTTGGCTTTAAAAATGACGCATGGCGGTAGACCATAGCCACACGCGCTAATTGACTCGATAACTGTTACCCATTCACGATTTCCCGGTTGTAGTAGCGCGCGGCGGCCATAGAGGTCAGCGCGTGTGACTACTTTAGCAGTAGCTATTAGTCCCATAGCGAAGCCAGTCTCGTCAAAATTATATATATCCTCTGGTAGTATACCGTGTTCGGTAATCACGCGTTGAACGGTGGCGAACCATGCGCGCAAGGCCTTCGGATCTTCGTTTTTGGCACGTTGATATTTATATCGCCGTGACTATCGCGTACGAAGGGCTGGCTGGCGACTAACGAAGCTTGATGCCCAATTTTTGCCGACCGTGGATACAGTACTATCCCCAGCTTCCCGAGAAGGAGATTGGCCATATCTCGAACAGTAGAAGGCCTGGGCGCTGCACCACGTGCATCTAGATCTAATATCCACTGCACAAGCGAAACCTCTTCTGTTTGGGTCAATTTATGGCCGCTGGAGCGTGTATCCCCGCGAAATCGCTGGCCAACGAGTCGGCGGCGAAGGGTCGTACGAGGTATACGAAATCGCTCTGCGATATCGCGTATAGAGTCAGTAGAGCCATTTTTAACGTCTTTAATAACTAGGAGGATCCTGCCCTCCTGCTCAATAGATTTTGCGAGGATTGAGCACGTTTTGGAGGCATGGTGAGTGTTTGAAGAGGGAAGATGGTCATACGGGCGCGTCTTAGCGCGTAGTGGGCCACATGGCCGGGTGGGCCACTCGGGCGGGAATCACGCTATGCGACCGAGCATGACTAAGACTCTTGGCTAAGTTACAATAATACAATCTGACCATCCCTTACAACACTGATTCTCCACTGATACCGACAATAATAAATAATTACATCGGATCATATTCCAATCACGTGATGTAACGATGACGAAGATCATGGTAAAATGAACGCTTAAAATGGCGTCGAATGTAGCCGTTTTTGGCGATCAATTTACTGTCACTTAGCGTTGGGGTGTAATAAAGCGTGAAAGAGATGTCGGATAAAGGGTGTTGCTACAGTAATTTGACAAAAGATACCTACAAACAGGAATAATCAAAGAAAAGTAAACAAAATTTAATGTCACGTATCGCCAAAGCCAGCTTGCAGGGGTTTCAGTGCGCTCAATCTCAGGAACGGTCCAGGCATTCTTAGACGCCGATCTGAACCCTGCTGGTCGGCCCCAGGCCACTGAGAGCAGATTTCAACCATGATTGAAGCATCCAGAAAGAACCCCCTACATACTCAGGGAACTGGTTGTATTATCTACAATTTACGAGTGGAACATTTTGTAGTCTGGATTGTATTTCGTAGACCATTTCGTAGACCCTGGTCAACGCCACGTTGAAAAAGGGTATAAGCAGAAAGCTGGCCCAGGTGTCATAAACATAGCGTACTGGTTGTCATGAAGAACATTGAGAATGAAAATGGAACATCAAACGGATACGGGAAACAGCCGCGGCGGCCTAGATCTTAGTGCACCATCACCTCGGGTTGGGCCTGGTGAGAAGGCTTGCTGGCAGGGTCATCCTTTTGCTCGGAGTCATCACCCATTTCGACATCCTCGTCACCACCCTCCTCTTCATCAAGCTCGTCGTCGTCATCATCATCGCTGTCTTCCTCGAGATCCTCACTGCCAGCATCGGACTCGTCATCATCTTCCTTTCCAGCAGTAGCATCACCGCCCTCCATGTCATGATCCTCGCCCTCAGGCTCGCCCTCGCCTTGTTTGTTGGCATCCTCGAGTTCCTTAACGAGGGCGGCTTCGAGTTCACGCTCCTCGGCACCGTAGGTATTGCTATCATCGTCCAAGTTATCGGCCTCGGGCTGATCAGGCGGGTACTCGGCCGGGGCAGACTCCTCGGAATCCCTAGAGTCAATTATTAGTGGGTCTGTTTGGTAAACAAACAAGGGGTGGAAGTTGAAGTCTTACCATTTAATAGCAAATCGGGTCACACGGGGCTTCTCAGCCAGGACATTGCGGCGAATACGCTCAATAATAGGCTTCGCAGGGGGCTCAGCAGCCAGCTCCTCCGAGTCATACTCGTTGTTAACGTAGTAACCGACACGGACGAACTCGCGGCCGTCATAGCTGCAGGTGAGGAGGATGACAGTGACGCCGAGGATCTCAGATGCAGGAATGTGCTTCAGGTCGGGCGCATCGGCCTCGAAAATGAACTTGTTCACTCCGACCGGGATGGGGCCGACGAGGAGAGAGTCGAGTTCCTGATCATACTCGGAGCTGGACGAAGTCAGTTGCACGATCTTGCAAAGGGGTTCGGCGGGGTAGACTTACGAAGTGGCGGAACCGACATAAGTCAGCTTCCATTCCAGATCTAAGAGAAATGGTCAGTAAATGAACGCGACAAAGCGGTTCAATTGATCTGGGCATACCCTTCTGGAGCTGCTCCAGGCACTCGAAGGTGATCTCGAACTGATAAGAGTCGGTGAAGGCGGCAGGGTTGTTGAGGATTTTCACCCCAAGAAGCGAAACAACGGACATTTTGAGTATGTGTATGCGTGTATGTACGTTGGATGTGGTTTGGAGAAGCGTGGGAGGAAAAGGAGAATTTATAGGGTCAAAGCTGCGAATCCGGGGGAGGGAAAAAGAAACAAACAGTTTCACCGCAAGGAATGCGAAGGAGACTGTCGAGCACCGCCGGCAGGCTTAACGCGAGGAGCCCACCCTGAGGCATCCCGAGACGCCCTCGCGTCCCTTGCGGGCGCGCCTTCACCGCCCGGGTCACGTGGGAAGATGCCGACCCGAGTCTGCAGCTGCAGTGAAGCTGCGAGTTTCCAGAGCGACGAGCTTCATATCCACTCAAAGGCCGGAGTTGGAGCCGCTCCTCGAGATTATTCACTGGCCCCGCCTGCTGGTGGTTCCCCTATACATATACTGCCCCTCCCCCACGTATTGGACTTTGCTTCTTCACCTTCCTCGTTCTCCGTTCACCTAACCTTTCTTCTCATTGTTCGCAAGCTCACCACAGATCCGGCCAGCCATGGCTGACGACGCCGAGGAAGCCTTCTTCCAGTCGCAATCCATGAACAAAGACTTTGAAGCTTCCGCTGCGCCCGAGAACCAACTCGCAGCGGATGCCGACGATGACGAATATGATCACTCGAACACACTGGACGATCAACCCGAGGCTTCGGATCCCGACGCCCAACTGAACCAAGCTTCCGCCGAAATGTCCGCTGCCAATCCTCCTGACACCTCAGACATGGCGACCGGTGTCGACAGCGACACCAAAGATCCTTCCGTGGCCACCCCACCCGCTGAGTCTCAAACGTCCACGCCTGTACCACCTGCGGACGCACCGGCACAGTCTCGGCCCCGAACGATTGGGGGATTTGACGTCGACAGCCAGGATGAAGATTATGGCGAAGACGAAGAAGCGGACTATGAGCCGCCGGCAGTGCTGGAAGTTGATGTCTCAAATGCCATGTCCCAAGAGCCAAGTTCAGGAAATGCCAATCAAAACACTTTCCCTGATGTATCGTCGCAGGCGACGGTGCAGGGCTCTGCAAACGTGCCAGATGTTTCCAATAGTTCTTATTCTTCTGTTCCTCCCTCAAATATTGATCCGTCTACTGCTCAAGCTCAGTGGGCTTCGCACGAAGCAAGCCTGCAGAACAGTATCGCTCCTACTCCTGTACCTGGCTCTCCTTCCACCACAAAGGGTCGCCTGCCTCATGACCATGTGGGAATCTTGCAAGACCGCGTGAGCGAAGATCCTCGGGGAGACACTGCGGCCTGGCTGGAACTCATCGCGGAGCACCGAAGCCGCAATCGAATCGACAGCGCGCGGGAGGTCTATGAGCAATTCGTGGCAGTGTTCCCTATGGCGGTACGTTTTCTCACTTTACATTGAATTCCCCTCTCCCCTGTCTGATCGACGCTTATATTGACGATTGACAGGCCGACCAATGGCAGGCATATGCTGCGATGGAGTCTGACTTGAATGAGCTTTGGAGATTGGAACAAATCTTCAGCCGAACCCTTTTCGTGCTCCCCAGTGTCAGACTTTGGTCGTATTATCTTGATTATGTCCGCCGCAAGAACCCTTTGACGACGGATGACAGCGAAAAGGCCCGGCGAACTATCAATGGCGCCTACAATCTCGCGCTCGACTACGTTGGTGTCGATAAGGACAGTGGTAACATCTGGTCCGACTATGTTGAGTTTATCCGTTCGGGCCCTGGTCATGTTGGAGGCTCTGGATGGCAAGATCAGCAAAAAATGGACCTACTGAGGAAGGCTTATCAAAAGGCCATCGGTGTCCCCATGCAGTCTGTGAACGCTCTGTGGAAAGAGTACGATCAGTTTGAGATGGGTCTCAACAAACTTACCGGCCGAAAGTTCCTGCAAGAGCAATCGCCGTCATATATGACCGCACGCAGCTCCTACATCGAATTGCAGAACATCACACGGGAACTGATCCGCACTACTGTTCCTCGCCTACCTCCCGTTCCGGGATCCGAAGGTGACGTTGAATTCGCTCAACAGGTGGACGTTTGGAAACGTTGGATTGCCTGGGAGAAAGGAGATCCGCTGGTCCTCAAAGACGAGGACGCTGCTGCCTTCAAGGCCCGCGTCGTCTACGTGTACAAGCAAGCTCTTATGGCTCTCCGCTTCTTGCCTGAGATCTGGTTTGAAGCTGCCGACTTTTGCTTCTTAAACGACATGGAAAAGGAAGGCAATGCTTTCTTGACCCAAGGAATCGAGGCGAACCCCGAAAGTTGCCTGCTTGCCTTCAAACAAGCCGATCGCCTCGAAGTCACGTCGAGTTCCGAGCAGGACTCTTATAAGCGAGCAGGCATAGTTCGGGCCCCTTATGACAAGTTGCTGGATTCTCTTTACGGCCTGATCAACAAGGCCCAAACTCAAGAGACGAATGATGTTTCGCGGATTGAAGAAACCTTCGCAAAGGAGAACCCAGATTACAACCTGGCACAAAATGACGATGATGACGATTTTCAGGGCGAACTCAAGAAGAAGCAAGCAGCTAAGCAGGCACAAATCGACGCTGTACGCAACGCCCACTCTATCCAGATCACGGCTCTTTCCAAAATCATCTCTCATGCCTGGATTGCATTGATGCGTGCTATGCGCCGCGTCCGGGGCAAGGGCACACCAACCGACGATCTTGGATCTCGTTTGATCTTCTCAGAGGCCAGAAAACGTGGCCGAATCACCAGCGATGTCTACATTGCGAGCGCTCTGATCGAGTACCATTGTTACAAGGACGGTGCGGCAACCAAGATCTTTGAACGTGGCTCAAAGCTATTCCCCGAAGATGAACAGTTCGCCCTTGAATACCTGAAGCATCTGATCGACATCAACGACATTGTCAATGCGAGAGCCGTATTTGAGATGACTGTCCAACGGCTGGTATCCAAGGCAAAGACTCTGCACAAAGCCAAACCCATTTTTGCCTTTCTACACGAATACGAGTCTCAGTACGGCGATTTGGTTCAGGTAATCAACCTGGAGACCAGAATGCGCGAGCTGTGGCCTGAAGACACCTCGCTGGAGAAGTTTTCGCATCGCTACATCACTCCCTCATTTGACCCCATTTCGGTGCGACCCATTCTCTCGCCTACGCAAACCCGGCCCAAATATCAGTATTCCGACGCCGCAGCTGAAGCTCTGACTTCCCCTGCGCCTGGACAATTCAACCCACCCTTGAGTTCGCCCAAGCGGCCCTATCCCGGTGACGACTTTGACTACGACTCTGATCGACCCCGCAAGTTTGCTCGAGCAGACTCTCCTCTCAGGAGTACTCAGGGTCGTCGCGTTGACCAACAGAAGCGGGCCCCGCATTTGAACGGTCAAGCCCACTCTCAGTACAAACCGCAAGGATCTCCGGCCCCTCTGCCTCGGGCGGTGGTTGAGCTCCTCAGCAAGATTCCGCATGCTTCCGCCTACAACATCTGCCGCTTGTCCCCGGAAAAGATGATCGATCTTATCCGCAACACGGCCATTCCGGCGAGCACTGCTGAGATCCCACTTCCGGCCAATGTGCGAAACCTCGGTGCAGCCCAGGCTGCGAACCCACAAGGAGGTAAGTTCAACGTTTGGTCCTTTTCGTACTTGATCGGGTGGTTTTCCCCGCCGTCCAGCGTCCTGCGTTCAAACTCCACGCACTCAAATCCCATGTCCTCAAAATGCCAGAACCCAAGTCCTCGGGATTCCCGGCCTTACTGTTCTGCTTCTCGTTAATGGAAGCAAGTGCTAACGACGACGTCTACGTGTCAGGTACCTACCGCTGAGCCTTTCCTCTTCATTTCTTGCGTCCTCAGGGTCAGCACCTCTTTGCTTTTCTTCTATTTCTTCTTTTTTCCATAGTGTATTATCTCATCCCTTCACTCATACCTCTCGATTTACTTTTTGCGGCGCACAAATTGTGATTTCTATCTGACGATATCCTCTTTGCCCACCGGAGCCTGTGTTTTGAGAAGGGATGGGACCGAGGACCTCCTGTGATCTAGAATCCGTTGCATCTGCTGGGCGTCGGTCGGTCTGCTTGAAATTGGGCATCGGTTTCCTTGCGATTTTGTTGTTCTTTTTCTTCTTCCTCTGAGTGGCCGAGCACGCGTTTCATTCCATTCTCATTTTCTTTCCCCCTTGACGTTCCCCCGTGAACAGTTCTCAAAGCACAGTGCAGATAGCCTTCTAGCGAAATGCAACGAACCCATGCCGGGTTTGCTTGGCTAAATTCTCCACTGTAACATCGTAGGCTTGTCGATTTTGTTGCTGACCCCTAGGCTCACTCAGGGTTTTCAAGCTAGATCTTGCGGGACTAACGTCGTCCTGTGAAAACTCATCCGTTCCGCAGAAAATCCTCTAGAGTGGTCCAACCGGTGGAGCATTGCTTTCTCGTTCCGCATGTCTATCAACTCGTTAGTACCAATTTGAGGGTATCGTAAGGCAGGGCATTCACTTCACTTGATCTTCCCATACAGTTCGCCCACAGGGCGTCAGTTTGCCAGCTTCAATGATAACCTCATTTGATACTTACTATGCAAACGCCAGATTTGAGATGTGCCACCGGCCAACTTCAGGTATCCAGGCAAACACTTTCGTTCAGCCAGACGTCCTTTTCCTGTTTGAGTGAGGCTATAAATTTTTGTAGTCCATGCTCTACTGCAGCAGATGCCGTAGGTTGGTTCCTTCCTATAGCGTTAATGTACAATTCCTGGGCGTCTCGTCTTCATTCTCCTCGCCCATCTATCGTTCAAACTTCAAAGGTAGACGACCGCCTAGGCTCCAGATTCCAAAGTATAAAAGCAGAGACCCTCACATCTTCCCTCCCTTCCTCTTGCTCTTCCTCTATCTCTTCCTCTACATCTTCTCCACATCTTCCGTTCATTCAACATTCATCATCACTTGATCACATCTACTCTACAGACTATCGTCAACCACCAACCCTCATCTCTACCCCAGATTCTCTACGCCTTCTCATTAAACGGTCGTCTCAGACGGGGACTATCAAATTTCGTCCTGCTCTGATTGGATCGGCTCCTCACCTCACATTCCACGCATCTCCCGACACCTGAAACCCCCGTTTTACAGATTCACACTCTCATACCGACCATTTATTTTGAACTGGTAAGTGAACTATTTCTATATCATCTACTCATTTGCCGGAGCAATCGCTTGAATCTACGACTCCTTGTGATAGCAATCTTCACCTATCATCTTCATCTCTCTTGGACTAGTCTCTTTCCTTCTCTAACCTCAGCTTGCTGGATCTGATATTCAGTTACAATCACCCCCCCACCGCGCCTTTGACCGAAAGACAAAAGAAAATCGTGCTAACAACTTCACGAATTTCAAAGATTCAAGCGAAATATTTCGCAGCGATGTCGTCTCAGCCGAGAAAACGAGGCTCGGCCGGCAGCCCCCCAAAGGGCGATGACGGCTCCCCGTACCTCCAGTGCCATTCTTCGAGCTCAAGCTCGAGCTTGAGCTCTGACTCCCGCGATGGACCCCCTACGAATCCCGCTATTGTTCACCCTGGCCCGGCTCCCCCAGGTTACCACCGCGTCAAGGGCAACCTCATCCCGGACAAAGGCGAGAACTGGCTGCCTCCTGCCCGCGAGCCGAAGGACGTCCCCGAAGACGTGCTCAACAAGGCCCAGGCACTATCTCTGAAGCGCGAAACTCGCGGCAGGTTCATTGACAGCCGCTCTACGGTATGTGTTCATGCTCCCTCCTCATCGATAAACCCGGCAGATCCTATGCTATATTTGGTCATTTGCTTGATGCGCAGTGCTGACATGAGCTAGACTCCCAAGTACACACTGGCTCAGCGCAAGGCCTATAACAAATCCGGAAGGGAGGTCGAAGTGGTGATGAATGCGCTCCCCATTATCAAATTCCCTACGAAGCCAATATTTCAGTACGAGGTATGTACTTCATCTTCCCCATGTTCCGCTTGGATATGTCGGTCTAAATGTTAGTAGGTCAACGCCTTGCTCGGAAAATGGAAGGCCTCTGCCGGTGCGAATGACCCGCCTGAGATGGGCCAGTATATGGAAAAGGATGAGGAGGTTCTGCGCAAGGTCTTCTATCGTTCCCAGGCTCGAAAGGAAAGACTCCCAGATGCGATCTATGATGGCAAGCACATTGCTTGGTGAGACACTTCTCTTTCTGTTCTGGATCTGGACTATTTACTAACGTCAATAGGTCTCTTACCGGCTTGGATACTCAGCTCCGGGACAAGTTCGAATTTCCTTCTGGTTGGAAGCGACCTGTCGGCAGCCGTGGAGATGTTTATGGACAGGATATCTGCCTGATCATGAGCGTCCGCCGCAAGATCTTCCTTGGCACCATCAATGAGTGGCTCGAAAAGAAGCGCCCATTTGATGAACGAGTCATGGAGTCTCTGAGTAAATTCTCCCTCCGGCGGTGGCAGTCGATGCATATTGGGGTCCCCCGTGACGAAACGTGACTGAAGTGACTAACTTCTCGCTTCTCCTAGACTTCCTCGATCATCTCATCCGGGACTATCCTGCGCAGCAGTTCGTCGCCCTGAAGCGATCTTACTTCTTCGACAAGTTTGATTCGCACCCGGACCCGGAATTGCGGAAATTCGCCAACGAGTCTTACTGGCCGCTTCTGCGAAGTGGTGCTACTTGCTATCGCGGTGTCTTCCAGACGATCAAGCCGTCTCCGGTAAGTTCGAACATCGATCTTGTTATTGGTTCCCTTTGGTTGACATTGGCTAACGGATTTTTGGCAGCATGGTCTGTTTTTAAACGTGGATATCTCTCACGGTGTCTTCTACTCGCGAAACTCTCTCTTGTATCTCCTGCAATGCTACCTCAAGAAGCAAAATCCGAAGCAAGTGCCGGAGCTTTTCGAATGCCAGTGGGTTGATGGAGCCAGAACGGAGACTTGGCAATTCACCTATTATAGCAAGGCTCTGAAAGGCCTTCGCGTTCGTCCCGATTTTGAGGGTTACCCGGAGAACCTGGCCAAGAGAACCTTTGCCATTGCCCATCTCATCAACGGCGACTCGAACGAGTTTGTCATCCCTGTCGAGGACAAGGCCACGGGCAAGATCAACAAGATGAGCCTCAACGAGTACTACAAGACCAAGTACAACTACACGATCGAGTTTCCCAAAACCGCTCTGGTTCAAACGACCCGGCCGAATGTTGTCTTCCCCATGGAAATCTTGGTGATTCATGGCCTTCAGCGTTGGCCTCACAAGCTGGACGAAGCGGCCACTGCAGACATGATAAAGTACACTGCTGTGAAACCCGCTGGACGCTTGTCGGCCATAGAGAAGTGCAACAAGATCCTCAATCATGAGCATGATCCCAACCTCATTGCATATGGGATGAAGATCGGCAGCAATATGCTCAAGACAAAGGCTCGTTTGCTACCAAATCCAGAGATCCAATTTGGAAACGTGAAGCACAACCCAGGCACTACCGGACGGTGGGATCTTCGTGGGAAAAAGTGGCTCAAGCCAAACACCAAACCTCTTCAAAGCTGGGGAATTGGATACATTGTGAACCACCGATATTCTATTGACAAAAGTCAGATTGAGGCCTGGCAGGATCAATTCGAGAAGTTGTTCAAGATGCATGGAGGAGCCTTCGCGAACCGCGCCCGAGCAATTGAGATGCGTGAAAATATTGGCGATGGCGTGAAGAACCTGTATGACCTGACACGTACAACTCATAAAGCTATTCCCCAGCTGCTGGTGGTGATTGTTCCCGAGAAACACAACTTCAGCTACCTCCGGATCAAGAAGTCTTGCGACTGTCGCTTTGGTGTCCCTTCACAGGTCCTCCAATCGCGCCGCTGCATCGAAAACCGGCCACAGTATACCTCCAACGTGCTCATGAAGGTCAATGCCAAACTGGGTGGCGTGACCAACCGGGCGATCCCCAGGACCCCCGGCTCGACATTGCGTCCCCAGTCGATCATCATCGGAGCCGATGTGACGCACGCAAAGAGAGGTGTGGACACGCCTTCTCTGGCCGCCATGTGTGTGTCGAACGATCCGCAGGGTGTCAGCTACATGGGCGGATGCCAAACCAACGGGGAATGGCAGAAGGAGATTATCACCAGGCAAAATATCCACGGGATTCTCCGCCCTCTGCTGCTGGAATGGAACGCAACTCTGGGTAAAGGAGGAAAGCCTCCCAAGCACATCTACTATTTCCGCGACGGTGTGTCTGAATCCGAGTTTAACGAGATCTTGCACAAGGAAGTCCCTGCAATCAAGCAAGTTGCAGCTGAGTGCATGAAGGTCAGCACCTGGCCGGGCAAAATGACTGTTGTCGTTGCTAACAAGCGCCACCACCTCCGGGGTTTCCCCAAGACTGGTGACAAGATGTGCGGTGATGCTCGAGGAAACCCTCTTCCCGGTTTGCTGATCGACCGCGACGTTACTGGCCCCCATGGCTGGGATTTCTTGCTGTACTCCCACACTGCACTTCAGGGAACATCCCGTCCAGTTCATTACACTGTCCTCGTTGATGAGATTGGCCACAAGCCCGAGGAGCTCGAGAATATGATCTACGAGCACTGTTACCAATATGTACGGTCGACCACTCCGGTGTCCATTCACCCGTCGATCTACTATGCGCATCTGATCACTGCCCGAGCTCGTCATCACGAGAATGTCCCCATCGGTATTGGTCCTCGTCACGGTGCCATGGTCCGAGAGAAGCGCGAGCTCAAGCTGCCCCGGTTCAAAGAGGCCATTGAGACCCGCCGTACAGCCTTTGAACACCAACTGGAACTTGGAAAGGGACATACTGAGCACAAGCTCGGTGACCCTGTCCCGGAAAGGGTTACGGACGCCATTCTGAACCGTTGGGGTCATTCTGCGAACAAGGGCGGTGAAGGTGCTGTGATCCGGACTAAGTTTGATTCCAAAACCAGGGAAGATCTCAAAGCCAAGGCCAGCTCCACAACTAGCGACGATGGGAAGTCTACGACAGAGTCCCAGGCGACGGCTGATTCGAATAACCCCCCGCACACGGGTCTTCCCCAAGACTCCAAGGTCCCCATGGATGCCACCCGCCTGGTTCCAATTGAAGGAAATATCAACCGTCTTCCATACAAGATGTGGTGGATCTAAGTTATCATTCATCCTCCATCGGCACAGCGGTTTTCTCTTGATGGCTACAAAGGTATCCGGGTACGTTAAATCCCCAGTTCACGCTTTTTGGATTTTGTCTTGTCGTTCCTTTAGGAGAGAATATTTTGAAAAATTAAAAAAAGAAAGAAAGAAAGAAAGAAAGAAAGAAAGAAAGAAAGAAAGAAAGAAAGAAAACAGCAACGAATTGCTTTAGTTCGCGAGCTTGTGGCGGTTCGATTTCATTGCTAATGCGTCGTCTGGGTTGTGCAAGGCTTTGTACTTACCATACTCAACCACACATGCATTTGCCAACGACCCGTTATTTTGGAAGACGGTGGTTATCCGGACTCAGTGACATTTACTGTGTTAAGTCTTCGTTCTTCATCATCGGAGCGACGAGGGGTGGGAGACATGGCTTTTATGAAATGGACTGGAGATTCGATGTGTTGATTTCGGGGCGTGCACGCATGCAGATTGCTGGTTTTATTGAGATAGCAGCGAATTTAATGCTACTTTCAGAGTTTAGTTTCTTTTCTTTCTTTTCTTTGTTGTGAAAAGAAAAAAATAAAAACATTTCGTTCCGCCATCATTTTCTTGCTCTTGTAGATTGGTATCCAAGGATTGAAAAGGGCCGCGACTACCACTCTTCATAAACTAAGGGCAAGCAAGAGTTATCTTAATTTGATCATCCAACACTGGTGCAGTAGAAGCAAGTCATGGCCACGACTAAATGGTATCACATATCTTTCTACTACACTAGTGTAAGACTCGAGCGGGCGGTAGGCAGACGTCATGGTGCTGGTTTGGGCTGAGTTAAACATCCCCCCTTTGAGACAAGAATAATCGGAAATATACGAAGTAGAGCATACAAATACTGAAGTAGCCAGCTGGGATTGATTTTTTATTGTACAGGCACAAGGTTGGCAGAATACAATACTATCGAACGCAACACAAAGCGACCCAAGAACGAGGAAGTCGCTTGAAGGAGAAAATAAAATAAAATAATACATGACAGATTAGTAGGGACGTCAATGCCCCAAGGCAGGATATTGCGGCATGGTATGCAGCTCCCCTCTTGCATCATTTTACCATTATAATAGTTCCATCGGCGCCATTCCCAAATAGGAATCGTACTTTGACAATTAGGGATGCAAAAAAAAGGAAAAGAAAAAAAGTTGGATAAGGGTCGGAGCTGAGGACAACCTGGAAGCGAGGACAAATGAAATAGAGTATCTCGAGTGAGAGACTTTCCAGGGCATTTTTACATGCTCGGAGAGAGCAAAAATTATGCTGTTGTCCCATTGGTCAAAGGAACGTCTCCGTTTTCTGGTTGTTGGGAGTCGGCAACACCATCCATGTTGGAACTGTCGGCAATTCTAGTATCGGAGCCAGCCCCAATAGAATCTTTCATGCCATCAATGGCAGACTGTCCTTGATCAGCATCGCCATCAATATTGAAACTCGACATCTCTAGCGCAACGCCACTGTTCTTCTTGGCCTTCTTTTTGCTTGGTTCCGAAGCTCCAATTTTGGAAGCTCCGGCTCCATGAGGCGGCGGAGGGCGCTTGTGTGGGCTCGAGTGTGGTCCAGATACGCCAGCCAGAGGCGGAATCTTGCCGGAAGCCGGGAGACGAGGCTTGGCTGCCATAGGTCGTTGCTTGGGAGGAAGCTCAAGGTCCTCTACCAACGGCTCGTCACTGTTCGCGTCTAATTTCTCTTTGAAGAATGACTGAAGCAGGCCAATTTGTCGTGACACATTGTCAACTGAGATACGCGCATATGGAGGCGGCGTTGGGAAAAGCGTGACAGTTTCGATGGCGCTATGAAGAGAAAGGTAAAGGTTAGTATCCATACGATTTCGAGAAAATGACTCAGTACAAAATATCAGTACTTACCTAGTGTTTTGAGATTGGGCGGCACTAAACATCCGGTTTTGAAGCAGATGCAGAGGAACGCTGAGGGTCGACAGGCCAAACTCGCGATCCAGTCCCAATTCTTTGAATCCAAAGAAATCTTCATCGATATCTTCAGCAAAATCTCCTCCGACAAATTGCTCACTTCCGTCTTTGAAGGCATTGGAGCCGTCTTCACCAGCATCTGCAAGGGCGGGGCGAAGTAACTCGGTAAGCAGGGATTTGAGTCGGTCATGAGCAGTGGTAAGCTTGGTTCCAAGCCGTTCAACGTCGTCTTTGATATAGGACTCCAGTTCATCCACATTGGTGCCCACAGCAGCGAGAGTGTGAAGAACAACCTCTGGCTCGGTATAGGCGGCTTTGTATTCTGAAGTCGATGTTGCATTGTCCTGAGTCTCGGTGGTTGGTACTTTGGGAACTTCCATGTAAGATTTGATTGTCTCGCCAACTTTCTGGAAATAGTCTGATGCGATATCGGTTACGACCTCCAGTGCAGATGGCTGATATTCCTCGAAGCCAGTGTGGTAGAATATCTTAGCAACCGCTCGCTGCAAAGCTGCTCGGGACGTTGCGGGAGCGATAACAGGGCCGTTGTCGTTCATGACATGAGGAGGAATGTCCTGTTCGGCAAAAGGCTCGGGGTTGTATTTTTGAAATTGGTTTTGATACATCTGAACAAGAATAAGTTTCGGGATGTTCTTGATAGGCAACGAAACCTCAGGGACTTCTGGACTTACCTGCGACTGCAGTTGCATTTGCTTCACAATCCCAATCTTTGAACAAATCTTGCGAGTGTCTTGCAGCTGTCGCATATTTGCATTGAATCTCTGAGTGAGTTTGCTTTCTGGCTGTATGAAGGATCCCTTTGGAAGAATTTTGAGGTACTCTTCCGAAGCATCAACAACATTGCCTTGTGCATCTTCCTTCCAGATCAACCGCTCTGGGAGTTCTGGAACTCCGGACATCACGTCATAGTAATATGGAACCATTCGATCCTCCTCAACCTCAATACCTTCCGCAAGAGATTCTTTGCCCGCCTGCGGCTCCATAGCTTGGGTGGCAGCATCATGGAGTCTTTCACCTTCAATGGCGGCTTGTCTCTCATGTCGAAGCCACCGTCGCATGCCAGCTTTGGTTCGGAGGAGAGCAGGCTCATCCGCATTGAGCTTGTCTCCCTTCAGAAGACGGTGTCTCTCTGCGGCGATGAGAGCGCGGTCCTTCTTTGTCACTTGCTTCCAAACTTTGTACTCTGGATCCTCCAGCTCGGCACCGGGGATGCAAATAGCACTGGGTGCAATGGTCGACGTCAAGGGTATATCGATATCCATTGCATCGTCCTGCTGGCTGGCGGCCGCTCCCAGTCCCGCGGGGTCGGATGGGGTGTGAGAGCCGGGGGGAGGAGTGGAGAAACCATTTTGGCTAGCCTCCATAGCTGTATCCGAGTCTGCTCGCACCGGTGCTGGAGGTTGGGATTGCGCTCCAGAGGGGCCCTCTGAGCCACTCGGGGTATTTCGAGACGGCGCAGTGCCTTTCTTAGATGATTTCCCGGGGGCTTTCCTTCCCCTTGAAGACATGATAGGCTCGTCATCACTCTCATCCGCACCGTCAAGTTCTTCCCGTTGAGCTCGACGTTCTTCGGCTTCGACCTCGGCACGATCCCTGATGACGATTTCAGGAATGAGAGGAACAAGCTTCTCCGTTTCTTTTCGCATGTACAGGGCATGTTTGCGCAAGAAATGCTCAGGATTCGTGTTGTATTTCAAACAGTTGGACCAAATCAAATTCAAGTCATCAACAAAGTCTTGCTTGGATCGATATTGCAATCCCTTCAGCTTCTTGGTCATGGTTCCGAGGTCCATTGGGTGTTTAATGACTGTTTCCTAAAGGTTAGCGACGGGGGTCCACAGTTAACACAGTATAAAGCAGTTACGTACTGGTGTAATAGTCCGGAGCGTCCCGTTTGTTGACCCTGGTCAGAAACGCAGAGGAATGCTCGGTCATAGCTTTAAGCTCACTCAACACCTTCTCCGCAGCTTCGTAAAGCTCCTCCTGTCCAATCTTATCCTCGCTAGCCCACTTGCTACGATTCTTTCGAACTTCGCTGAGAAGGCTTCGGAGCTCAGCATCGGAAGCCTGGACCATGTCACGCTTTTTGTCAATTCGTGCAATCAGGTTCTTGAGGGTCAGGCTGGATGCGCCTAGGTTCGTGTTGCTTAGAGAGCTGTATCCGTTCGCACCGCCACCGGCAGTGTTTCCACCAGAGCCAGCCTGGCCAGAAATTTCGGCTTCGACCTGCCGCTCAGATTCTTCCAATCGTTGTTGATCCAGCATAGCATCTCTATCATTTTCAAGGGTATAGAATAGAGTATGAAAGCTGCGCTTAGCAGCTTCTTCTGTCGCTTTCTTGTCTTCTTCGAGCTGTTTTCGAAGATCCTCCACCGATTCCTTCTTCGTTTCCTTTATTCCATCGACGCTGGTGGAGGCTGCGGTGCCAGGACGTTGCGGGGCGGCCGCATTCATGTCTTGCGACGGCAGGACGGACTTCGTCTTCAAAGGCGATTCGGCCGCGTCGGCCATATCCTCATCTTCATCCTCATCGTAGTCATCGTAGTCATCGTCCAACTTCCGGGCCTTTTTGGATGGGGGAGCTGTCGGGTGTACCGGCGCATCGACGCGTTCGGTGTCGGCGTCGGGCTGTTCCGTCCCCGCGACCGCGCCGGCGGGAGAATCGTCAGCAGCATGCAAACCAGAAAAAAGCGCGTTTATTTTCGCCTCGCTGTGCCGGTATAGATCGCGAAATTGAGCAATACGCGGGTCCTCCTCGACAGTGGTGTCGGGCTCCGATGTCATACTCCCGGCGTTCGGTCCGTCGGCGCTGACAGAGCCGCGTATCTGGGGGGTGCGCGAGCCGGACAATGTCTTAACTAAGCCATTGACGGGCCGCGGCGACTCCTGGTGCTCATCTGGAGGGCGAGTATTGCCCGGGGGCCAGGCGTTGTGACCGAGCGACATGGTCGCTATGAAACCCCGGTTCTGGGGCGGGCGAGACTCGATACTCCACGGTTAGGATCACCGAGAAATCACGACAAAGGCGGTTGAGAAGGGGAAAAAGGCATAGAGAGGTGCCGCACGATCGGCCGGAACGACAGGCGATGTCGAAGAGGCCAGCGAAGATGGCACGGCGGCGGTGTTTGATGAAGAAGTTGGGGTCTTCTGTAGGGAAGTTTCTCTGGACGGGGATGAAGTACGGCAGGCGCGAAGGCGGCGAGGCGCGGCAGATCGCGGCTTTCGGCGATGCCATCCACTCGAGCTGTCGCTGACGCTGTCTTCCACTTCCCACTCACTGGCGACCCACGCATACGGGCTCCGGTTTTCCAGCCAGCAGCAGATTTAAGCTCCTCCTGCCTTGCTCTCTCGCTCGGATTCTTGTCATGCGCTGGGCCCTTTCCTCCGAGAGCTTCCTCCGCGATCCTTGTTGCGGCTCCTCGTCTCTCCGCATATGATAAGGCAGCAGCTGGGGCCAAACCGATCCACGTCTGCTCTGCTATCCACCACCTCCGTCAACCCCGTAAAGCCCGGAAGACCACCACCACAGCCCTGGTGGTACTCTGAAAGCTGCTGAAGCTCCCTCGTTCGAAATTTTTATTTTCAGTCACTATGAGGATCCGCTATCCTTTCGCAGGTATGTCCTTCGGTCGCCATGTTACAAGTGGTCCGCGCTTCGCGGTTCTCGGTTCTCGCAGGCTAATCCATACATGCAGGAGCATTTGTCTTCCTGTTAATACTCGCTGGCTATATCGGCCTTCTTCCTCACAGTACCTCATCGTCAATTCCATCGAACCTACAGCCAAATGACAAATTCCTCCACCTGTTCACCTTTTTCTTGCTGTCCGTCACCTTCTATTGGATCGTCGATACCTCGCGCCGGCGCACCTTGCACTTGACCCTCGTGGTCTGTACACTTGGTCTGGGAATTGGTTCCGAAATCTTCCAGGGTTTCCTTCCCAATGATCGTCCCTTTGACCCATTCGATATCGTTGCCAATGTGGTCGGCAGTCTTGGTGCAGTTGGCATCTGCGGTTGGTATCACCGCCGCATGCTGGAGCGTCGCCGAGCGAGCCGCTACGGGATGATGGATGGTGCGGATGATGATGTCGAACTTGGCACCGGTGTTGGTGGACATTCCAGGGAGGAGGAGGGAATGGGTCCTCAGGAGTCGGGTGTGACTAACCTGGAGCAAGAGGTGGATAACTGGGATGAGAATGCTGTCGATAACTGGGACACCGAAGATGGCGCGGAACCCCCGGAGACAGCGCCCCCAAGCTACCGAGAGCATGAACACGTAGCCGAGGAGGGAACCGGGAAACGCAACGACTGATTGCTACCATGAGCAGTCAGTTCTCCGTCATAAACGATATATACGCGAATAACTCGGGTCATCTTCCAAACTCGGCTCAGTTCAAGCGCTCACTCTTACGATTAAGACTTGATGCATTCATCGACCTCATGTTGGTATGATACAAGCCACTTGGTTTTCTTACTATGTTGTGCAGCGCTCTTTTCACAGGCTCTTTCGCTGAAGCAAGCCATATTTTCCTCGTTTCTTTGGAAAGCTTTACACGCGCGCGCTAAAGTTCTAATTTAATGGCGTGTTACTAAATGGAGTATGTGGATCTGTGTACCTGTGCCCAAACATTTATATGTACAAAATCCCAGGCAATTTTAAACAACGAAGCCACATGCTACACATTCCGGCATCACACACTAATGAACACCACACTTATCTCGATGACAAATCGATAAGTTTGCATTGTACAATGTATCGTGAACACTTCACAGTTTTCGAGTAGAATTGGCTTCAGTTGGAACATTAGGATCACATACTCGCAGTGTGGTGCAGTGTTCGTTTTACACATCGACGTTGACCTGGGTAAGCAAGAACGATGTTACTAGAAGATGGCTTCCGAGGATAATGTAGTGATGTGATATATATCTACTGGTCAAGGTGCCAAGTACAGTAGCGTTGCATCATCGATAGATGCACCATTAAGCAGTGACACTGAAATCATGGTTGATTGATGCAAGGGTGTATGGTTGGGACGATCATATCGATATCGTTATTCCAGGTCAGGGTAGTCGCATCGGATAGGAGCCACTGATACCTACATCAAGTAATTTTGTTCGCTGCATAGAATTCGCATGGGGGTAAACAGGCGCTTGGGCTAGATCACTCGAGTACACTAATATACAGCAATTCTAATGCGAAAATAGACAAACTCTGTCAACGAGCATAGAACTACATACAAACGCAAGGGGTATTCAAAAGGTAGGGAATGAAAGGGCCATGGGGGGGGGGAGGAGAGTAAAAGACATGAACAGAAGAAGGACTAGAGAGTCAGGAGGGTAGTAAGCCAGAATGTTGTAAACACCGGATGCAATGGTATGATGAAGACAGAAAGAATTTGGATAATCAAGGGGCTCGTGATCGCATCGCAACAGAACAAGGAAATGAATTCGGCGTCGGTGATCACGCGCAGATGAAAAGACGGTCCGAGACTTGAGTTCTGACAAGGAATCTCAAAGTCATGAGAATGACGCGTGGTTTGCGCTAGTCGCTGTCAGAACCCTCAGGCGTTCCGGACCAGCTTTGCGTCGGAGTTGAAACACGGTCCGAGACGGCCTCCAACTCGGGCTTTGACGCGGGCAGATAGTCTGCATGGTCATTCAGTTTAGCCACTTTTGCGGAGCGCGGCTCATCTTGGCTGGCCGGCGAGTCGTCACCGTGGGCCGAAATCTTGCCCAGCTTGACGTCGGTCTGCTCCCGCAGCACCTCGTAGATGAACTGCATCTGCATCTCGTTATAGACCATCATCATGCGTTGCTCACGCATCTGGTTGACCGTCTCAAAAACAGGGTCCGTTTCAGCGTCGGTTACCTGCAGCAGCTGGCCCGATTCGAGTTCGCCCAGCAGGTGGTCCAGAGCAATGAACGTCCCGGTCCGACCAACCCCTGCGCTGCAGTGCACCACACGTGGATTGTCGGAGCTGCATTTGGAAGCCGAGAGCTTGATCAGCTGGAGCAGCGCCTCACGATCATGGCCTTCGGGCTTGGAATAGTCCGCCCAACCTGCGAATAGGAAATGCCAGACGATCTTCGTCTTTGAGCCAATGGTGAGTTCCAATTTGCGGATTTCCGATCGTGACTTCGCATCAAAGGTCGACTCGAGCAGGGTCACTGTTCCGATCACACCAGTGTCGTCTTGATCGGAGTCATCGTTCACAAAGGGATCCGGTTCATCCCGGGTGAGGGTCATGGAAGGCTGCTCCCGGTTCAACGGAAAGTACTGGGCACATTTCTCGCGGCCCGCCTCGAAAGTCTGCGTGAGCATGACGATGACGCCCACTTCCTTGCTTTCGTGGAAGACCATGTGCCAGAAGTGAGCGAGATGCCCGAGCTTTGGTCCCTGTTGATGGGTGAGTCGACTGCTTCACGGGATCTATCACAAATCAGCCTTTGTGACCTGTCACGTACCTGCGTTGCTATATATCTGCGCGGCTCCTCGGTCACCGTGTCCCTCAAGACAATCGGCGAGGCATTGATGAAGTCACATTCTCCGTCGGGCACCCGCAGATGGATCCGGCAGTTGGCCCATGCCTGCACGTTGAAGTATCGATTTCTCGCCTTGACCCGGGGATCGCCCTCGAGGGCAAAGGGATGAGTCGGATCATTGGAGAGGGTGCCTTCGGCGATGCGAGTCCTCTGCATCCATTCGAGGTCTTCGAATTTGTCGTGAATCTCTGCAGGAAACGAAGCGGTCAGTTACAGATGCCTTCCACGTGCCGTTGGTGAGGTATTCTCCGAGCGTCTGGATGCAGGGCGACCCCTCACTTACCCGAGACTGATTGACACAGGAACGGCGGGACATCATCGGTGTTGCCATCCTCCAACCGGGGGTTCCCTTGTTCGTCCTTAGGGAGATCGAGGCCCGCATCATTGTCTGGCAGGCCGCGCTTGGTTGGCTGCACGCTGGTGTCGATCTTGATGGCCGGATGCGCCATTTTGGCAGTCGCGATCCGCTGGAATGCGCGAACCTTGCCGATCACGCCGCGCGCTTTTCTCGAGACGGCGTGGCCCTTGGAGCGTTTCTTGACGCTGCGCGGGGCAGCGGAGTCGGGCGAGGGCGAGCGATCGGGCTCGGGTTCAGTGCTGATATCCTGGTCGATTCCGTATGCCGCGGCAGAGTAGTGGGAAATCTGCAGCGACGACAGATCGGGACAGCTATAGTAGCTGTCCCGAGAAGGCGTGTCCAGGGCCAGATTTCTGGAGATCACGGAGGGGTTCGGGCGTCGAGCGAAGAGGCGAGGAGCGTCGCAATAGCGAACCGTGTGACCTCGTATCAGGCCGAGCAGTCGCTGCCAGCAGAAGAACCCGCGGGGCCCGAAAGATGCGATGAGTCGGACTCTCTCCCGATGGACCGCGGCAGGACTAGAAGGAGGACTGGAGGGGGCGACGGTGGTCTGCCTGAAGGTCGAGGATTCGAGGATTCGAGGATTCGAGGGTCGAGTCGACGTGCGAGAAGTGGGGGGACGAGGGCAGGATCTGGGAACTCGTCGGGGAGGAGGCACCGAGGAGTAGATATGGCCGTCGACTGCTACCTAGATAGTCGAAATGATACTACAATGGTCATCTGTAGTAGGTGGCTCCCGGAGCAGTCGCATCCTCCGGAAACTGAAGGCGCAGCAATGTGAAGGTGCCGGCGCTTCCATACATAGAAACCGCTGCGTTGGTAATCGCCACCGCGATCAGCTGCGTGCGGCGCGGGTCTCTTGCGGTTTCAGGGCCAGGCACAGGCACTGCACGCCCCCCAGTCTTTCCCCGGTTCATCTTCCAAGGGTTTGGCTCACCTTTGACGCCGCTGACTTACCCTACGTTTTCCTAACCTTGAATGTACGACGATTGCCATTCCACCGCGTAATCCCTCGGTGTTTAGGCCATCGCGGGGGAAAACAACAATCTCCCCCAGTCGCGACCCCCCGACGTCAACTCCTCCCTTTCCCTGCCTCCACACCACTGCCTCCGCCCTCCTTTGATGACGGGCGCAACTTGCCCTTGACGGGGGTTTGATCACCGGCGCACCATTCCCAACGGGTTTCGTCTGCACCCGTGCGACATGGTCTCCTCCGCGCAAATCCTCGATCGCACCGCGCCGAACCAAAGCACGCAGTCCGTCGTGTCGCGACACTCCCACTCGTCCCGACGACATCGGTCCGGTCGCTCAAACCATGGCGGGAGATCGCTCCATACCTCATCGAACGACTTCCCCATATTCACTTACACTGGCGATACCGAGATCGTGATCCGTGCCGGGGCGCAAGAGAAGCGGTACCTCCTGCATCGGTTGATCCTGGCGCAATGCTCTGGTTTCTTCGAGGCCAGCACCAACGAGGATTGGTCGCGCCAGAACATCACCCCGCCCAAGGCAGATAGCGCGCTGTCGCGTGTGAGCGAGGAGGATGATCTGTCCAATGGGTCGACAGTAGTCCAGTCGGACACGGGCGGACTGCCGGCGAGGTCGGGAGAGAAGCGTCGATGGCAGTATGAACTCGACTGGGAAAATCGCGCGCAGGACGAAGAGCCGATTCTGGTACAAAGGGTTAGTCTTGGTCCACCGACCGTGCTTGGTCAACATCATGCCAACAGATCACAGCCTCTCTTTGAGCAGTATCCGAGCTACTCCCCGATGATTAGCGGTAACCAGTCTGCCTTCCCTCCGACGATGACCAAGCCATCCAATGTGCAGGCAGGCTTCTTTCGCTCGATGGCAAACTTGGCAGGAATGCAATCGGTAGTCCATCTGCCCCAATCCGGAGAAGATCAAACTACCCTCCATCCGTTACTTCGCGACTACGACAACCTGTTCCGGCTGTTCTACAACCACCCGCCCAACATCAACAGTGTCAATATTGCTTCGGCCTATACAGAGTGCAAGTCGCTTTTGGCCCTGGCAGATATGTACGATGCACTGCCAGTGACTGGTCCCCGCGTCGACCACCATCTCCTGGGATTCGGCTCGCGCCTCTTCAAACAGATCGCCAAGTACCCACCCAGTTATCTCAAGCTAGGGTATCTCGCCCGCAGCCGAGTGATATTTTCGGAGGCGTTGATTCACGTCGTGGGCCAGTGGCCCGCCGCCTTGCCGAATTTGCGCAATGGCTCATACGCACCCCTACCGGACGCGGTCCTGGACTTGATCGAGGACAAATACGAGGATCTCGAAGACGTAAAGGCTCGTGTGGAGTCTAAACTCTTCCGCTTGTCACTCACCACCTCTCGCGGCGAGCGCGTGGGACCCTCAAACGCATATTTGGACTGGCTGGCGGTCTCACTCTTCCGCCAGTGGCTAATCGAGAGCACGACTCCTCCCCCTGCACCGATTCTCAAGAACTCGGCCAGCGCAAATGCGGCACCCCCACCCGGCCACGGCTCACAAACCGGCTCTTCTCGACCTGCCGCCCCGTCTGACCCTGCTGCCCGCGTTTATAGATTGATTGGATCGCCCTCCTCCCAGGCGTATCTGCCTCATGATGAAATTAAACGCTTTCTCAAGCTACACCCGATCTCATCTTCCGGCTCTCTATATTCTCGAGAAACACTTAAACGCTTCGAACGCAAGATGGACGAAATCAAGCGCTTGGCCCGAGAGATTGTCAAACCACTGATGCGCAACTTCCTCGAATTGGAGACCAAAAGTAACAGTGAGCAAAGCAGCAGTGCTGCCGGAGCTCGTGAGAGTACGCCATCTTCAGGATTGCCGTACCTCACTTGCACTCGAGTGGAAGAGATTGATTTGCCATGGAAATGATGCAACGACAGTTTTTCTTTATAATTGTTTGTTTGGCCTTTTCGCTTTTATATTGTTTTCTGATTTCTGCAGTTCATATTCCCCCTTTTGCTGGATTTCCGTGTTCTTTCTCCTGGCGTACTGGAATATAGTTTGCCTGCTCCCTGGAACTGCTGGTCGGTTCGAGAGAAGAGGGGTTATTACCAGCCAATGGCCATTTGCCAGATGACATGACGGGTATTTGACGCCTTTCCTTATTCCTCAAATTATGTGTACACGATTCTATGATTACTAGTAATGGTAGTCTATATTCCTTCGCACGGCTGTTTTGCTCGACATCTTAGATATGAAATATCGGGATTGAAATGGATTTAAATACATCAATCGCAAGCCCTCAAGTAGCCTTTCGCGAACATATCATACTGTCTCCAATACTATCGAACGGTAATATACAAATCTTCATGTAGACAACTGGACTTTTCATCCTACTCCGTGGGGTAAATGCTTAGCCTCGACCAATGGTCTCCATGCCATCCATCCAAGGACGCAAGACCTCCGGTATTACAACCACGCCACGTTCCGGATCCCAGTTGTTCTCCAAGATGGCAGCCAGCACGCGTGGGACAGCCATAGCAGTTCCATTAACAGTGTGCGGAAATCGGGAGTCCTTCACCGCACCGCCGCGAACACGAGTAGCCAGGCGTCGGCTCTGATAGTCAGTGCATATCGAGGCAGAGGTCACCTCGCCCCAAGCAGACTCCAGCCATGTCATTGCCGAGTCGGTGCCAGGGACCTGCGTGGTCGGGCGGAAGCGAGAAGGAAAGAGGGCCTCAATATCACGCTTGCGACTTGCGCTGGCTCCGAGGTCGGTGGTTGGCATTTCCAGTACACGACATGGGAGGTGTAGGGACGTCAAGATCTCGGTCTGGATATCCAGCAATTCGTCGAAGAGACCGTCGGAGGTCGCCTTCACAGAGATAGGCTGTTCCACCGCGCTGACATTGTCTGCCCACCCGAACAGTTCCACCTTGGTGAACTCATGGACCCGATAGAGACCCTTTGTGTCGACACCCCGAGATCCGGCCTCCGCACGGTAACACCGACTAGCACCCACCAGCTTGAGAGGTAGATCCGCCGCGTCCATATCACGACCGGCATACATTGCCGCAAGGGGAATCTCCGCGGTGCCCGTGAGAGAGCGCTGCGGCTTAGTGTCCCGATCACGCTCAGGTTGTTCGATTGACCAAATCTGCTGCTCGTTGTGCTGATCGCGTGGCTGAAATCCGCATGCCTCTGCAATATACGAGTAGACGATCGATGGCGGTGCCACCGTTTTCCATCCGCGCCGACGCGCCACTCTCAGCGCGTACTGCACTAGTGCTTGTTCCAGCATTGCGCCTTCGTTGACGAGGAAGTACCATCCCCATCCCGTTGTTGTTGCCGAGCTGGCAAAATCAATAAGGCTCAGCTCGGTGCCGATGGCAACATGCGATCGGGCAGTGAGTTCTGCGGAAGTCTGACGCGTCCAGGCGGGAGGGTCTTGCGGGTCGAGGTTTATATATCCAACGAGACGAGGGTCGTCTCCAATGGGTGTTTCGGCGGAGGAGAGGTTCGGGAGGGATAGAGCTAGCCGGTTGATTTCGTCGGCGCATGTTGATTTGCGGACCGTCATGGCCTGTGACTCGTCCTTTAACCGCTGTGCCTCGGATTTGAGAGAGGATAGTTCCTCTTCGACATTGTTTCCCTCCTCACCAATCCCCCCTTCTTTGTTGGCACCCTGTCGCGCGGCAATTGACAATTTCGCAATTGTCTTTTCGAGCTGTTTGATGCGGGAGCGCGGCGTCTTCAAATCCTGATCGAGTTGTTTCGCTTCGTCGGACAAGATCTGGATCCTCGCAGGATATTTGGAATGGCTGGGGTAATTCCGCTCTACGCAATTCTTCGCATAGAGGTCGGCATTCTGGCGGATGTGTTTGACATCCGGCGTGGGCTTTGGGGCTGTTGCGGGTCGCAGAATCTGCTGGGTTCGGTGAGATGCGGAGAACGGTCGCCGCACAGGCAGCCGCGCAAGTGGACTGCGGGGCGACAGTCTGCAATTGAAGCAGATGTAGGGGGAGGACGCCATGGGCGAGGACAAGATTGGGAAAGAGAAGCCTTAGAGAGCGGCCGGAGTGGATCGTCGGGTGAAGTTGGGTGGGGCCGATCTGCCCATCCAGCGATACAAAAGACTCGGAGCTCAAAGCTATACATTGTAGCTACTAGTAAAGAAGAGCACCGTCTAATACCCCCAGGAAAATTTCATAATAGGCAATATTTCTGCGCTCTGTCATACTAATGCTAGATCATACCATGTCTGAGGAAACCTTAGGGTATAAAGGGATATTTGCAAATACTGCGACTCGCTGCACGATGCTACCAGTCATGGAACTGCCGACGCAAAACAAAACAAAGGTCATGGTTCAGTGGGTTCCGAGCCCCAGCTTGTGCTTCTTAATTCTGGCCGCCACACCCAGCACCGTCAAAAGCAGGGCTACGACGACTCCCCATGCGGGAATGTGGATCATGGCGACGTTGTAACCTGTCTGGGTTGCCGCCACGACAGTCGCAGCCTCCAGCAGTAACAGAACATAGCCGGACCAGCGGTGATATTTGTAGATGCGTTTGCCAGCGTCAATACTCCCGAAGATAGTTGTAGGAAGGAAGAACTGGGCCACTCCGACGAGAGCCTGCAGCGCAACAAAGATGACGGTCAGGAGGCCGAGGATGCTGTGCGGGGAGATGAAGTGAGGATGGTCGCCCTTGTTGACTTCGATCACGGTGAACGCGCCCAAAAAGCACAGGATGCTGACCAGCTGGATACTGTAGTGGATGCGGGTGCCAAGGAGTTTCTGCTGGGGAGTGGAGGTTGGCTGAAGAACTAGTGCTGCCTGAACTTGCAGAAGCAACGCGGAGGTGGCGAGGAGCTACAAATATGACAGTCAGTCACAACAAAGGATGAGACGAGTGGAGATAAGAGAGAACGAACGGGATGCGCGGTAAAGAGAGATGGCGGCTGCGAGAGGACCTTCGACCAGACGAGGGCGGCCAGCTGCGAAGGCTAGTGTGAGCGGCAGTTGCGATGAGGGGGGTCATAGGGGAACTTCAAGTGCTTACCAGCCAGACTCCCACCTGTGCAACACTCGCCGTGCCTTTGCAGTCTCCAGTGTCAGACTCCAGCTCAAGCCGCAAAAACGCATCCGGACAACCAGGAACTCACCAGTGATCAGATTGCGGGCGATGCTCTCGTCCTGCTTCTGGGTGACATCACCGGGGTGGCCCAGCAGAGGCTCGTCCTCCTGCGAGGCGATCGTCGTGGGGTGGACCTCCGGGATGCCGGTAGCAGAAGCCATGGTGTCGCGAGGACGAAGGGCTGTGGGGATCGAAGAGAGCAGAAGAGAATCGAAGTTGAGAGGATTGGACATCCAAGGGAGGCAGCTCTGGACTATATGGGGGAGAGGCGCCAACCACCATGGAACATGAATTAGACTACTGCAGTGGCAAACTCCAATCGATCATCCGTCTCGACACACTTGGCACCTTGCAAGCCGATGTGAGGAATGCATCATTGGCCAGTGACCTCTGTTCGAGACTCAGCTTCGAGCTCTTTGTTTGGCGTCATGCTCGGCTCGAATGGCGATCCTGCGAGGAGCGCACCAAGTGGAGCTGAACAATGCCAGTCAGCGAGCGACCATTGCCAATCGCGTCGGAAAAAGCAACGAGCGGTCAGCCCTAGTGCTGCAGGCCCCGTCGTACAAACCGCGCACAGCAGGCCGCCTTGCAGGACGAGTATTTTGGATGGCCAACGCTCGTTGGCTTAGGCGGATTTATCCCCGCTGATCCCGCGATCTACATTTTCGGAGGGGAAGACGACGTGACTGCGAATACATAGTACGATTGATGGTTTTTGTCTCTTCGAACAAAAAATCTATGGCTTTTGAGGAATCTGGGCAACTAATAGGCGCAGGAATACATACGACGGTTACGAAAAGACCAGCCGGCCTGGAATATCTCAACTCGCATTGAGGCGAGGCGAGATACAGCTCGCATCCTCGCCTCCACCCACTTCCGACGATGGGATGGGATCGTCAAAATGCAACAGCAAAGAATTTAAATACTCAATCAGGACCGACGCAGCCCATTCGGCCATCGTGGGATCCTGACGGAGGGACCGAATCTGTGTTTTGACAATGACAATGAACAGCGTGCAATGGTCCGCAAGACGAGACAACTCATCGTGAGGAGTATCGATACCGGCCCCCTTGCGCAGGGCGCCGAACTTGATACTCTTCACCTCGAACAGAAGCGCTTGTATCAAATCCACAGCACTCGAGTGCCACACGGGATGATCACGGAGAATGACAGCAATCCTTTCCAGACGCGACAAAGATCGGTACCATCGATTGGCATAGAGCTGAGCTTCCTCGGTCGACAAGGGACGTGGGAGTTTGCGGGGAAGGAATTCGGGGATGATACTATCTACATACCATTTGGAGTCGGTCTTCTCACATCCTTCCTGTTCTTCCATTCGTCGTAGCAGGCTTTGGTAAATGGTTTTGGCCGGATGGATCTCCCTCATCAGGCGCAGCAGTATGAGCATTGCGTGCACAACTTCTCCACGGCGCCTTGGACCGCGCGATAGAAATTGAGACTGTTCCAAAAGGGCGGACTGGACATAGTCAATATGCATCTGATCTATCTGGAACATTTCGTGATCAGTATTCGTCCAAACCTGCCCCACCTTGGAAGCGAGATGTCTGATCTTTCGGACTACATCTTGATGCTGAGAGGCGCTGTGACTGAGGGCTTTGATCTGCTCTTTTAAATAGTCGATGCATGTCGTCCAGTAGAGCTCAAAGGAAAGGGGGGGATTGTGTACTCATTTTGATGCCTGTTGACAGATATATCTGGTGCGTCTGAAAAAGAGAGGACGAAATAAGGATACCTAGAAGAAAATTTATCTCACAACACTCTCTGAACAATTTTCAACCTGTCTGATCTAATTTATAGTATTTGTGGGTTGTCTTCCTTGTGTTTGTTTGTCAAAATTCTTCTTTGGATTTCTTTGTTCTTAAACGATGCTTGGTCGACACCCTCTGGCCCTATTGTTCCAATATTGGCATTGTTGGCCCAAAGAAACATGGGGTACAAAAGATGATCCTCGGGCCTAGAAACTACTTCAGGTTTCGTTCAGCTCACATAGTGTATAATCCAGATCTTACCAGCTAGATTGAAAGCAATCGGTAGCGATATGCAAGTTGGGGTCACTATCGTATTTATGAGATGACGAATACCATAAAACCTAATTTCAATCTGCATCACGACCGGGCTTCCTCATCCCGCGCAGCAGCAACTCGTTCCTTCTTTGCTTTTTGAATATCCAGCGACATTTTCACCGGTGCAACACCAGGTGTCTCAAAGACCGCATCGATTTCCTCCAGACTCAGACCCCCGGTTTCTGGGAAAACAAAGTAAGACAATATCAACTGAACAGTGTTATACACAATATAGACCACCCAAATCTTATAACCGATTTTGGATATTCCCACACTGATCCCGTAGGTCTGAACTGCACTGGCTCCGCCTTGAATGAGACTGTACAAGCCCATTCCTTTGGCGCGTAATGGCAAAGACAGGATTTCCACGGGGTAAAGATTATGCATCGTCGCAATGAGGGTCGCAGAGAATGTCTGGTAAAGGAAGATCCACAGTAGTGTCAGTGCGGCTGCAGCATGGCTGGAGTTCAAGTTGTACTGCCACGAAGTAATCGTTGTTGCAGTCTGGAAGATAACCATGGTGATCAATCCCGAGAAGATCAAAGTTCTTCTGCGGAATTTATCGACCAGAAGGGACCCAACAGCCGTAAACACAAAATACACAGCCGTTGTGCCGATCGTAATACCCAACTGTTGCTTTGTCCCATCGATTCCGACTGTCTCTAGGGCGGGAACCATCTATACACGTCCTTAGTTCGTGCAGTCCTTAGTGTCATGGAGGTTAGACAATCAACTCACGTAATAGGTGATGATACTTCCACCGTTCCACTGCTGGAATATCGAATACAGGACCAATACCAGCAGTCGATAGCGAGCGACCTTCGTGAAGAACACGCGATAATCCCAGAAGGACCTGTAGCTGTGTCGATCATTCTCAAGAGACTCCTCCATCTGTGTCACGACAATATCCACGATGGGCTCGTTAATATCCGTGCTGGTCGTATGGTATTTGGCGACGACCTCCTTGGCCATTTGTCTGTTGCCTCTCATGACATAGTACCGAGGGGATTCTGGTGTCAAAATGTAAATTGTCAAGCATACAATCGCCGGAAAAATGGCCTCCAAAATCAGGGGAATGCGCCATGACTTATTCCCCGGTAAATTGGAGAGGCCGACCATCGCACCAAGCATAGCAAGACTGCCAACCTGGAAGCAGGCCCCGAAAAACCCCACCATGCGTCCTCGAAGGTGAATTGGCGAGATCTCTCCGATGTACTGCGAGCTGGACATGAGAGCGGTGCCGAACCCCATAAAAAAGCGGCCGGCCATGAACATTTGCAGATTAATTGCACACCCCTGGATCACCGCCGCAAAGATCACAATCGCGTTCCCCAGGAAGTTGATGCCTCGCCGGCCGATCACATCAGCCAGTCCCATGAATGGGGCTCCGCAGACTGTTCCGATACTCATGAGAGCATTGATGAGGCCGTACGTGCCGCCGCTTGTACCGAACCCCAGGTAGCTATGCCACGCATCAAGTGAGTTTATGCCCCCAATAACCCCCCAGTCGACGCCGAAGCCTGCCTAGTTCCACTGTGAGGATGATTGCTAGACAGAGAACCAGAGCTGGGACTCACCTGATTGCAGCCATGGACAAACATGATCAAGCCGAGACGAAATCCTGTCCACGACCAAACCGTGAGAGATTCCTGCGAGAGTTTCCATAGGTCTTCCTCGGTCAAACGAGCGAGAGCAACCTCCTCGATATACTCCTCTGCTGTCGGTTTGGCAAACTCATTTTCGAAGACACCAGGGGCGTCGGTCTTGGCCATCTTTGATCTGGGCTTCTTCACCAGGCAATACTGGGAATGGGTGGCTCGCGAACAACACTGCCAGAAAGCAGCTTGCTCCGCGACCTGGGGCAGGCCCTACTATTTCTGCTTCACCCAACGGTGATCCATCGCTCGAATCCGGGGAGGTCGCCAATCAAGGGGTTCAATGCATAGTCCCCATGGCCCATTCTGCCACGGAGGCTGGGACCGGCCGATGCAAAAGCGGACACAAATGAGGGCGAAATTGTCCGTCGGCGTTGGGGATCGCATCTCTCGAGTCGAAGAAGCAAAGATGATTGGCGGTCAGTCGTTGTGATCAAAAACAGGCGTTGGTCACGCTGGTCGCTGCTGGACGAAAGCGCTCTCTATTGAATTCGCTAGCCGGCCAGACTCTCCGGGTTAGACAACACACAAAGGTATGCGTAATGTACCATGCTGTTGGTAGGACGAGGTACAGGGTTATTGCTTCTTTGGGGCACAAGCTCACAGACTCTGAGATTCTCCACCACTAGAGAGTAACCGCGGGGGATCTAGCGGGAGAATGAGGCTTGTAAGGAGTCCGGGGATCCCACGCTAGTCCTAGCGACCGGCTCAACTGGCGCTTTCCAAGAGAACGCCCGGAGATGAGCATGCCATTTAGCCGGCCCAACGTCTTCTTCGGGGTGGCCTGGGCGGCCATACCAGACTTCATGTGGTGGGCTCCTATATCATACCACCGCCAGCTGCACTTCGACTGACTACTAGGCGAAGCTATACCCAGATCGTCCTTACCCCCCAAAAATGACCGAATTGTGGTACGAGCAGCCTGCAGAGAACTGGAATGAAGCGCTGCCAGTGGGCAATGGGAGGCTTGGAGCTATGGTCTACGGCCGCACCGACACAGAGATGCTGCAATTGAACGAAGATTCCGTGTGGTATGGAGGGCCACAGGACCGCACGCCACAAGACGCCCTACACTATCTTCCACGCCTCAGAGAGGCGATCCGTGCAGGAAGTCATGCCGAAGCTGAAAAGCTTGCCACTCTTGCCTTTTTCGCGAATCCAATCGCTCAGCGACACTACGAGCCTCTTGGGACATTGTTCCTGGACTTTGGCCATGATCCGGCACAGGTCACAAACTACAAGCGTTCCCTGGACCTGACTAGCGCAACTACATTCACTAGTTACGACTACAAGGGTGCTCACTATGAAAGAGAAGTCATAGCCAGTTATCCTGATGGCATACTTGCTATTCGGGTCTTGTCTTCAGCAAAGGTCCAAACCATCGTCAGATTGACTCGGATGAGCGAATTGGAATTCGAGACAATTGAGTATCTTGATGATGTTTCTGCGACCGAGAATTCCATCAGGATGCATATTACTCCTGGTGGTCTGCATAGTAATCGCGCCTGCTGTGCGGTTCAAGTCCGATGCAATGACGAGGGAACTGTCACGAAGATTGGAAATAACCTCGTGGTCAACTCCTCCAGCGCCGTTCTTCTTATTGCCGCTGAAACGGCCTTCCGTTTCGAAGACATTGACGAACAAGTATCTCGTGATCTTGAATGTGCCCTCAATTATTCTCCAGATGAACTGTGGATGAGACATGCCATGGACTACCACGCGCTTTACGAAAGGATGGAAGTCCGACTCACTCCAGATCGCTGCGAGATTCCAACTGACAAACGAATCGAGTCATGCCGAGACCCCGGTTTGATTGCCCTCTACCATAATTATGGTCGCTATCTTCTCATATCATGTACCCGCGATGGGTACAAAGCTCTCCTGCAAATCTCCAGGGGATCTGGAACCCTTCGTTCCATGGCGCATGGGGCTGCAAATTCACGATCAACGTTAATCTTCAGATGAACTACTGGGCAGCCAACGTCTGCAATCTCTCTGAATGCGAAATGCCCTTGTTCAATCTCTTAGAGCGCATGGCGAAGTCCGGCGAAACAACTGCGCGAGTTATGTATGGGTGCGGTGGCTGGGCCGCGCATTCCTGCACGGATATCTGGGCCGATACTGCTCCGGCCGATCGGTGGATGCCGGCCACGATCTGGCCCCTTGGAGGCGCATGGCTTTGCTATCATATCTGGGAGCACTACCGCTTCGTTGGAAATGTCGACTTCCTTCGCCGAATGTTGCCCATTCTGCGAGGATGTGTGGAGTTTCTCGTGGACTTCCTGGTGGAAAATGGTACTGGCACATATCTGACCACAAATCCCTCAGTGTCTCCAGAGAATTCTTTCTTGGATTCTAAAGGTCAGAAGGGTGTATTGTGCGAGGGATCAACGATAGACATCCAGATAGTCGACGCTATCCTCGGAGTATTTGAGTCGGCTATGGGAGAGTTGGGCCTGACTGACAACCTGTTGGAAAGGGCTGGCAGGACGCGAGCTCGACTTCCACCAATGAAGATCAGTGACTCTGGCTATCTCCAAGAATGGCCGATTGACTATGAAGAAGTTGAGCCCGGTCACCGACACACCTCACATCTATGGGCGTTGTACCCTGGAAAAGCTATTAACCCAGTGGAGTCACCAGAGCTCGCTGCAGCATCTGGGGTCGTTCTACGTCGTCGTGCTCAGCATGGTGGTGGTCATACTGGTTGGAGCCGCGCCTGGCTCATCAATTTGCATGCTAGGCTTTTCGAAGGCGAAGAATGCAAGATGCATTTAGATCAACTTCTAGCCAAGTCAACTTTACCGAATCTTCTGGACAGCCACCCACCATTTCAGATCGACGGCAACTTCGGTGGCGGCGCGGGCATCGTTGAAATGTTGATACAGTCCCACGAGCCCGGAATGATCCGCCTGCTTCCTGCATGCCCAAATGACTGGTCGGGGATGATCCGTGGTGTACGAGCCCGTGGCGGATTCGAACTCGAATATAACTGGGAGAACGGGCGCCTGGAGGGTGATGTCAAAATTGTTTCCAACCTAGGCGAGCGCGCCGTCGTCTGCTTTCCCTGGCGAGAATGGATCAAAGAAGACGGAGATCAACGGCCCCGGGCTTCACAGAATCAACACTTCGTAAAATTTGAAATAGAGAGCTCCATGGGCGCATGCTGTTCAACACGAGAAATATTTCGATGGAAACTGGCCTCCTCATCTTTCCCCACATGCGATCCCTGTCCTCGCGGCTCTCCCTAAACCATCACGGGCTTCACTCCGTGCAGCCTATATGCTGGATAAATAAAACGCGGCGTTTTTCCTTGCTCTCCAATTAGCCGGATTATTCTTGGGGCTGCTTACATCCTTCTCCAGCTCGCCCATCCTTAATAATAATAACAAGGCCAAGACCACAATCACAACACAATACGCAATTCTTCAAGCTCTGGATCGCTATCCACCATGGATCTGAAATCGGTACAGGATCTCAAAGGTGTCCTTCGACCCGATTTCTTTCACGGATACGCCACAGCTGCCCCACAGATCGAAGGGGCTTGGGATAAAGATGGCAAGGGGATCTCGATCTGGGATAAATTCGCCCACACCCCTGGTAACATCTCAGACGGCAGTACGGCAGACGATGCTGTCCGATCATATGACTTCTACCGCGAGGATGTGGCGCTGATGAAATCTTATGGCGTCAACGCCTATCGCTTCTCACTCTCGTGGTCCCGCATTATTCCTTTGGGGGGTCGTGACGACCCTGTTAGTGAAAAGGGTGTTCAATTCTATTCTAATCTTATCGACGAACTTCTTCGGAATGGGATCACTCCCTTTGTTACCCTCTTCCATTGGGACACCCCCCAGGCCCTGGAAGATCGTTATGGGGGTATGCTGAACCAGCAAGCGTATACATCGGATTTTGTTAGATATGCCCGGGTCTGTTTCGAGCGATTCGGCGATCGCGTGAAGCACTGGATCACTTATAATGAGCCCGGGGTATATACTCTCGCTGGCTATGCTGCTGGTGTGCATGCGCCAGGACGCTCTTCTTTCCGCGAGCGAAATGCGGAAGGGGACTCCTCCACTGAGCCTTTCATTGTCGCGCATACGGAGCTAGTGTCTCATGGCCATGTATCTCGTCTCTATCGCGAGGAGTTTCAGCCTTATCAGAAAGGAACAATCGGAATTACCTTGCACGGGAACTGGTCCGAGCCTTGGGATGAGGAGGATCCTCTTGACCAGGAAGCAGCCGAGCGGGCGCGAGAGTTTGAGATTTCCTGGTTTGCCGACCCAGTGTACAAGACTGGAGACTATCCTGCTTCAATGCGAGCTCAGTTAGGGGATCGTTTGCCTCGGTTCACCCCAGAGGAATCGAAGCTCGTTCTGGGCAGTTCCGAGTTTTACGGCATGAACAGTTATACGACATTTTTCATGAAGCACAAAACGACACCCCCAGATATCAATGACCACAAAGGAAATGTGGATATTCTCGACGAGAATAAACTGGGGGTGCCACGCGGAGAAAAGACTGACACCGAATGGCTCCGTGCTGCGCCGTGGGGGTTCCGGAAGCTGTTGAATTGGATCTATAAGCGATACCAGATGCCGATTTTCATTACCGAGAATGGTACGACTGCACAAGGAGAGGTTTCTCCGACGCCAGAAGTCTTGAATGACACATTCCGAATTCGGTTCTTCGAGGGGTACGTGGGAAGTGCTGTCGCCCGGGCCGTCAAAGAAGATGGCGTGGACATTCGGTCTTATTTTGCATGGACCTTTTCCGACAACTGGGGTACGTGATTAATTTACTCCAATTTCCCTATGGATTTACTCTGACATTTTGAAACCGGCTCTTTTGGTAGAATGGGCGGCTGGCTACAGTGACCGTTTCGGCTCGACATGGATAGATTTCGAGTCCCCAGAGAAGACACGCTATCCGAAGCAATCTGCATACTACCTCGACAAACTGTTTCAGCATTTGATAAAAAGGAACTAGATACTATCTAATGCCACTTAGACTTTGTCAAGCGAACCGTCTATATTTACTCACTAGGCTGATCTGGTTAGCCTTGTATTTTATATTTGGTCGCGTCAACAGGATCGGATGGTGACAGTTGTTTTGAGGTGGTTTTTTTGGGGTACCAGCTTCAAGTGAAGGCAATGTTAGTCATCAAACAGCATGAATTAGCGAGATATCGATCGTGCGATGGTTTCTTGGGACTACTACTAGTAGTAATCTGTCACAGCATCGACCTTTTCTACCGAGGTACGCCTCACGCCGTAGCCGCTTCGGGCAAGTGATGGCGATCGCCTCATCGGCTCGCCCCCGCACGACTCCAACACCCCAACACTCAAGCACACATCAGGCAAAGGCAACAAAATAAAAACGCGGGATGGCGGCAAGATCCCCAACCCATCTCCTGCGAACCCCTCAAGCACACCTCGGGTTCAGGACATCAATATCCCAGGGACGACATGACGACCAATGACATGGATCCTATCAAGCTCACGCTGAGGGGCAGCCCACGAGAGGTATGCCACTGTCATATTTGATGTTACAGATCTTTGGAAGAATGCTGGCTAATGCATAGACTCATGGACAGATCGGACTTCAGCATGGTCGGGCGCTACGGGATCAGATTCGCAGCCAGATTGGCATTTATGACACCATGTTTCAACACACTTCGAAACTATCCTGGCCAGAAGTGCGTGCTGTGGCGAAGGAGTTTCAACCCTCTCTTCAAGAACTCGTCCCGGATATCTATACGGAGATGCAGGGCGTCGCGGATGGTGCAGACCTAGATATTCTCGATATCGTCGCGCTCAACTGTCGAAGTGAAATCGCGCTGGGAAAATTTTCAGATGGCTGCACGACCCTTTCTTGGAAGAAGTCTGATGAAACTAGAATTTTATCCCAAAACTGGGATTGGACTGCCACGGTGAAGAAGAACCTGGCTATGGTCTCTATCGAACAGGCTGGGAAGCCCACGATCTACATGGTCGCCGAGGTGAGAGGACACCTTTCTTACTGTCTCTCCAGAACTCTGAGCTGACCAACGTCATCGTCTCTTTTCCAGGCCGGGATTGTTGGCAAGATCGGCTTCAACTCAGCCGGTGTTGGAACATGCCTTAATGCAATCCGGGCCAAGCCCATGATCAGCAGTAAGCTGCCTATTCATGTTGCTCTGCGGTTGTGTCTCGAAAGTATTTCGGTCAACGATGCAGTACAAACTCTGGAATCGCTTGGTGGTGTGGCATCCGCGCAACATATCCTGGTTGCAGATAGTACAAAAGCCCTCGGCCTGGAGCTTTCGCCGGTCGGCAACATATATCTTGCTGAGGATGCTTCAGGTCTTATTCCGCATAGCAACCACTTCATCGAAAACAGTTATGTGGATGAACCACTCTGGCTTTTGGGGTCGCCAATTCGACTCGCTCGGATCAAATATCTGGCTCAAGAGCTGATCTCCCATGGCGTGCATGGGGATACCATCACTCCGGCGCTCTTGCGCGAAAAGATCTTTTCTGATACATACAACGCCCCGCAGGCCATCTGCTGCCAGGAGGACGAGTCCCGCCATATTTCTACCCGTAGCAGCTCTTTGTTCAACATTGTGATGGATCTTAATTCAAAAAATCCCAGCGCCGAAGTGGTCTTTGGTCGGGTCGGGTCTGGCGAAGAGGGCCCTGTGCTAAAGATGCCATGGGTATAATCTCCGAAGAATCCGAAGGTGGGCTTGTGACATGAATTGATCATCCTCAATCATACCCTTGCCCTGGTGGAGGATTGACGAGTAGTTGATAGTTCAAGCTATACGCGAAGGGACGATATACCGGTCGGTCCAATTGATGCATGTGAGCCTTACTGTTGCTACCCAGGTCGAATTTCACGATCTCCTGCGAGCTCGGCAATCTCTTGGGTCACACAGGATCATGCGACTTAGGTTTTCTGAGTACCATTCGGCCGTTGATCTTCCAGAAATGAGGTCGGTTTAGAGTAGCAGCGGAAAAGCGTGGGGCACGTTTCTGGTGGTTTCGTTGACTTTTCAGACCGGCACTTGATCGCTCAGGTGAATAGTCGGTTACGTTACTGTTGCAATCGACGAAATCGCCAGCCTGTCTGTACAACCGTCTGTCGATTCACTGTCGAGTAAAGTTGCTGGTGGCTCTCTGCAATCCAATTGAACACATAAATCTGTCCCAAATGGGTTTGCTCTTTCTCTTGGTTCACTAATTCCACGTTGGCGTCGGTCAGCCCAGTATTATCAAATGAGAAGTAAGAAATAACATTGAATTTTAGACAGCGCGGAAGAAAAAAAGAAAAAAAGGAAGCAAAGCAAATGTTTGCTCCAATATGCGAATCGCAATAGACCATAGCAGGAAACGAAGATGGAGCAAGGGAAATACAAGAAAATATCGGAGGAAGATGCACCGCAGGAACAAGAAAGGCTCTGCGTGGCCGGAGCTCCCCGTCACTCTCTAAGCCAACGCCAACAATGACTTCAAACAAGCGCTCAATAGTTATATGCCAGCAAAGCCCCACGAGAAGGCTAAAGCAATTTTATCCCATCTTCTACTCGCCAGTAGTCTTAGTTGCCGTTTTCTCCAGTTGTTCGAACCGCCATGCGTATTGTCTTAATTGTCGCTTTTCCGTCGGTGAGAGGCTCTTCCCTTTCTCGGCCAACTCTTTCTCCTTTTGTCTCAGCATATCCCAGAGCTTCAGAATCTTTGCCTGTGCCTCCGAGATCGACGCCAGATTGGAATCGGAGGAAGCCATGCGTTCTTCGGCCGTGGAGTGGTATGATAACTTGGCCATGAAGAATGCCATTTCGTATTCGTCATACTTGAGTCCCTGCGCTTCAGGCATCGTGGATGGCTCTTGGGATACTTTCGGGGGCATCGTGGAAATGTCGCTGAGCGATATTAACGACAACGGCGTCAATTCGATGAGGCTTAACGACGATTGTGGGTACTAGGCCTGTCGGCCTGACACGATAGTTAGGCAAGGTAGGAGAGGAGAGCGTCAGTATGCACGTTCGCAGAAGGCATATGTATCAATCGTCTTGGCCGATCAGGCGCAGGTGGGTTCAAAGTGGCTTTTTGGGAGCAAACAAATGCAGGGCTGGTGGCAAAGAAAAAGAGGACGTCCAAGATCGGGAAAAGACTGACGTTGAATCCAGCAAGCAAAAGGAATGGCACCCGACTCTTCCTAGTTATACCACAACAAACTCATGACAGTATGTCACTGTTCTTTACAGAGCACCGGCGGTCTCCAATACCCGACAGCCACACCAGGGTGTTACCCAGGAGGGTGGGGTGGGAAGCGCAGCCAGGAAACATCCATCCTAAGGGTGGAATGCAGAGGTAGAGAGCCAAGCCATCCCGGAAGAAGAAGGAAATGGAAAGACACACGCACGACAAAGGCTACTCTGTGGGCCCTTCGCTCCGCGAGGGCATTATTCGTGGCGGTTGGGACGGATCTCGGCCAGCTGGCTGCATGCTTCATTGAGAGGTGACGTCCCTTTTGCCTCAGAGAAAAAGCGACCTTTGTCTCGTGATGGCCGTTAGGCCAATGAGTAGCCTGCCAGAGGCTACTAATCTCCTTATTGGTAGCTTCAGGGTGACACCGTTTCCCCTCTACCGTCCGCACAACCGGACTTGCATAGCTCGAAGGATCTGCTGGGAGATGAAGCAGAGTCGGCAGGTGCGTCAGTCCCGAACCGGTCCGTATGGCCGTGCGTGTCCATGCCAGGCTGTTCGGTATGCTGGGATAGAGGGGAGAGGCTTGTTCGGGCATCCACCATGGGCAGCTTTTCCTAGCGGACGGTGTTCAGCAATTGCCGCAGAGATTTGTGACTTGACTAGGAGGAGAAGAACCCTGGAACGGCACCTCCTGAACTTTGCCGCGCGGAAATTAGAGAAATCGCACGGAAAATGCTGCAAGTGTGATCAAGTCTCGGTTTTGATAGGCGAGAGGTCGAAATTACACAGAAATAGAGTTAACGTACCCTGCTTGTCCTTGAGTCCACTCGTGGTCTCACCATCAAGTACTTTTTCAGGTTGCTAAATGGTGGATGGCCGTAGGAATGGAGCAGGTTTCCAAGGAAGAATCTTCGATATGTGCATGGAGTAGCGGGACAGTGGATCATTACGCAAGTATGGCCAAGTCCTCAACACCGGATGACGCCGTGCTCCCAAAATAAGATGTGGTGGATTACTAGTACAGAACGTAGGTACTACTATGTGGTATTTTAAGGTTGGAAGACAAAGAAATACATTCCAGACGAACACTCTTTCGACCTTAAAAGTACGGCCATGTACCGCGCTCCCAAGCCACCGTCTCAGAAACACCATGGCACATGTCTACAAGAAAATGATTGGCATGCTTTCCCAAGGTGGCTTTAAACTCCACACAAAAGGCTTTTGGGGACCTAGTAGTAATTAAACTTGCATCAGACCATTTGTGACACTGCCGAATGTAAAGCTTCCTTTGACCATTTCATTCTCTTTGCGATTACATTATCCTCATGTCTGGATAAACATTGTTTAGTGAACACGAAACATTTAGGTTGTAGAAATCAACAGAACCCGAGACGGGGCAAGATCAGGGTGTTTGAGGACCACTTATTTCGGTACCTGATCTGTCCGTGTTACCCTACGCATAGAGAGGTAAGGGTCATTTGGCATATGATTGGAGTTTGGGCTGGTGGCAATTGCTCGGAGAAAACTTTTCACAAATCATTGAATTACCAGGATCTATTGGGTTTAGGGTCATCGGTCTCAATTCATGGATTGCTTGAGCTGCATACTCCCCTTAGCTCCAATGACCGCGACGTTGTCCATGTCCCTGAATTGGTTGCGGGTCTGCGATGGCTCTGAAATAACCTCTTTCGGGTTTTTTTTTAGCTCACATTGCCCATATGCTGCTCTTAACAGAAGGCGGAAACGGTGCTACATTGCCGGCCTCCTGCTGACGGGTACGTACAGCTGCGTCGGAACCAGCTCTGTTTCATCCATTGCGCATGGACAGGCCCAACAGATCCACATAGAGATTTGTGGCGTCGCTCTTTCGATTTAATTACTTATTTAAATTCCCAATCCTCTATGAAAGCGAATATTACGGAGCACCGGCTCGGGAGAGCATTGAATACACTGCATGGAAAAGGCTACATTCCAATGCCTCAAAATCGATTAGGTGTAGCTGACGCTATGCTGAATTTCACCAAAAAGCTCTTTCTATTAGAACAGAGCCCTTTACCGAATTTTCCCTTCTATTTTCATACTTGAATCTACCTCAGAATCAGAGCTTTCAGTGCCACAATGCCAATACGTGGACCAAGGCTTCCATTTTTTGTTGCTGCTGCCTGAATCCTCTTTTTCTTCCCTTTCGCTTTTTTCTTATTTTCGTCGTAATTTGATAGCACATGGTGTTCCAATTTCTATGCTTCAAGGTATCCGCTTTGGGAGCCCTAGAAACATAGTTGGACGTGAGATAACAATGTAAAACTCCGTTCCATCGGTAACTTCGCCATCCGATGATAACTTAACTGAAGGCCCTCCTATCACAGTTGTGACGACAGCTTCGCTTGATAGTGACCAGTAATCCACCAAAAGTACTAAACTTGGATCAACCCAGGGAGATGAGAGGCAGCTTATATCAAATAATCCCCATTGGAGTCGGAGCCAATCAGTTTACAGTAATATCCACTAAGCAAAGCGGCATGCTACTCAGTATTATAGTGACGTTATCATATAATAGATGTGGTCAAGGAATCGTTCATTCGTTCATAATAACAAGCCAACAGTGAAAATAACAACACGAATAACCAAAATCGCAGTAGCCAGATCAAACACCAATATGCGCAGCATGTCAGTCATAATTGCGGGCAAATAAAGCGAGCTGGAAATCATAGATCAAAGAACTATCATCGTCCTAATCCCAAAAGACGCCTCTTCCTTTTCTATCTTTGGTGAAACTGTGCAGGGTATCATTTCAAAACGCATGAACATCATTTTTCCTCTGAGGATCGGGGAGGTGGGTGTTTGGTGTCGTCGGATCCGGATGAGGAAAAGCTGGTCGGTGTGCCAGCATCAGGTCCAATGCTTCCTCTGGACCCCTTTGGTCGAATCGCAAGACGCGTACGCGGATGAGATGGTACAGGGGCAAGGTACTTGTCCAAAAGCTCACTCAGGATTGGCGAACGAACTGGTTTGGGGAGGTAATTGTTCATTCCAGCCTCAAGGCACTTCTCTCGGTCGCCTTCGATGGCACTTGCAGTCATGGCGATGACGAGAACCTCGTTGACATTCGGGTCAGGGTCTCGACGAAGCTCGCGAGTGGCGTTGTATCCATCAAGAGTGGGCATCATGACGTCCATTAGAACGATATGGAACGGATTTCCTTCTTGCGACTTGGTGCGCAAGGCATCCACGGCTTGTTTCCCGTCGCTGTAAGCCTCGCAGTAAAGGCCGAGTCCAGTCACAAACTTCACAGCAATTTTTTGGTTGATTGGGTTGTCTTCGGCAATGCAAACCCGGATCTGGTCACGGGGGATGTTGGTGAGATCCCGTGCTTTGGCCTTCGGGGGTTCTTTGTTCTCTGTCTGGCTCAAATCCTGGGACCAAGGGGCCTTCACGGCTGTCTTCTTAGGCGCTTTGTTAAAAACTAAATGGAATGTCACTGTGGTCCCGACCCCAGATTGTGACTCTAACCAGATAGCACCGCCTAAGACATCTTCGATGATGGCTTTACAGATGCTCAAGCCTAGTCCGCTACCGCCATATGATCTCTCGGTCGATGCATCTGCCTGGGAGAAGGGCCGGAAAAGGCGCGCTTTCTGTTCGTCCGGGATTCCAATACCAGTATCAGCCACGGAGCATTCTAAGCGGATACGACCCTTGCCTTCTCTGCCGACTTTGGCTTTCACCGTAATAGACCCCTTCGGGGTGAACTTGTAGCTGTTGCTGAGCAAATTCATGAAGATTTGATGGAGTCGGACGGGGTCGCCAAGAACAACAAGACCTGGTGGGACACGTTCCAGGTCCTCAATTGTGTCTAGGCCGCGCTCTCGATGGGTATATCGGAGTGCACGGATGACCTCCGAAATTGTCTCCTTCAAATTAAGTGGTACAGTAGATATCTTCATCTTCCCAGCCTCCAGCTTGGAGAAATCGAGAATGTCGTTGATGAGCGTTAATAGGGTGTCTGCGCATACGCGGATGGATTCCACATATTCGTCTTGCTCTTTGTTCAGCCGAGTGCCCTTGAGGAGCTCTGAAAGTCCAATCACCCCGTTCATTGGTGTGCGCAGGTCGTGGGAGATGTTTGCAAGGAAAATAGACTTGGCTCGGGCTGCATCTTCCTTGAGTTTGACATTGTGCTTGGCTTCCGCTTCGGCTACCTTCGCTTTCTGCTCTGACTCGCGTGCTTGAGCGAGGGCGCGCTTCTGGGACTCGATCATCGAAGCATTTTTGGCACTGACTTTGCGGATCTCACGGAAAAGCAAGGCGTTCGACAACGAGATTCCAATTTGATTGCAAAGCAGATGCAGAACGACCACGTTTCGTTGGGTGAACCAATTCGGCTTTCCTTCCAAGTGGATCACTCCCAAAAGATGGTCCGCCTGCACGATTGGTAGGGCTATGATAGATCGACCCAGCGGGAAGTTCGTCTGGTACGTCTCGCTCACGTTGGAAAAGCGTTCGTCTTCAAGAACATTGTGAACGAGCACTTCTTCCTTGGTGCGCATGACATAATGAGTGATTTCTTCTGCCATACGTCCCTCAAGTTCAGAGAACGGAAGGCCATCCGCATAGGACTTTTGTCCCTTCTCTGCATCTGCGGCCGCGGCGATTGCAAATCCATGCTCATCAAAGTCTGTGGCGATCACAGCAAAATCGGAGCCGTTGCAAGATTCCATGATGATCTCGAGCATCTTGGTGAAGAGCTTGTCGATTTGAAGTTCAGATGACATGACTTGGCTGGACTCCAGAATACTGGACAGGTCAATGATATCTTTGTCGTCGTTAGTTCCCCGAGACCGCCCGAATTCCGGTGACTTGCATGATGATAGGGACTGGCTTACCTAAACCCACACTTGAAATGTCCATAGACCTTTCACCCTGTGCAACTACATTCTGTTCGATCCAACGCTGTCTCCTCTCGTCCTCTTCAATCTGTGAAGGAATGACAACCTCCTCATGAACAGTGTCGCGGATGATTTCGACAAGAGAGTCAACTGTTTGACATCCAACATCAACTGTTCTAGCCGATGTAGCGGTTTTCAGCAACCATTCGTGTTTCTCTGCGAGCATCGCCGCCTTGCCACTGGCACTGATGGATCCCCACGCAGTGATGGCATCTTGCATTACAGAACGGGCAGCTCGTTTGGCACCGCGCCTGACCAGGAACTCCCCCTGCAGCTCCAAGGCAAGGGCCTCCTCCAAAGGCCATCCGTGGATCTGGCAATGATCGGTTGCAGCTTCATATGCTTGAATTGTGGCACTGTGATCATTCCGAACTTCGGCAATGAGGGCCTTGACTATCAAAGCCCACATGCCATAATTTGCTTCGGAAGCGCTCCGAGCAAACTCAATCTCTTCTTGGTATTTCAAAACCGTATCCATTTTCCCGTCAAGGTACCCCTGAGCAGGATAGTCGTTATGAAGAGTCAAAATTGAGACGGCCAGGTAGAAATGAATTGCGTAGTACACTCGCACAGACCAAAGCCTGTATGACGTCTCTAGTAACTTGGTGCCAACTTGTATAGCCTTTGTATGGTGACCGAAAAGGAACAAAGGGATCATGGCAAGGCCTTTATAGATATCGCGAGGTCTGTCGACGTTACTGGCATTGGCTTCTAGGAACGCCAAGTATTCACTTGTTTTGTGCTCCTCGTCGGACATGACATTTTCTGCCGACCGATGATCTGTTTTGCCTTGAAGTGCCCGCGCAACTTGTCTACATATTTGTCAGTAAGTCTTTCTCCAAGTGGAAAGAGAAACTGGGGAGTGTAACTAACCGAACAGCAAGTATACTGGCTCCACCGCGGGTGTCCTGCCCCCAAAAAGGAATTTCTTCGGGTCCTTCCATGCAGAAAGCTTCCAATTGCGCCATGTCTTGTCCGAGATAAAGCCTAGTCATGGCCATCGACGAAATGCTGATAAGTGTTATGTAAGGGTCGCCCATCGAAAACGAAACCTCAAGCGAGGCTTCCAGGGCCGGCAAGGTCGATGCCATGGAGATGCGCAGATGGCTAACATAGAGATTGTGGACAATCGAACCCCGGCTCTGTGTCCATAACTCAGGACAACGCTCAAGCAACGACAGAGACATATCGCTGAGTTTCGTACCGAACTCAAGGTCCTTGAAACGGCTGAAGGCAATCATGGCAAGATGAGAGCAGCCAATAGAAATCTGAGTGAACCCTCCTCTGAACATATGAATGTTCATCATCTCGATTGCCATTCGATAGAAAGTCAATGCATCATCCCAATAAGTGACCGCCATCGCTTCGGCCATAACAGCTCCTATGGTGACTAGGATGGGATCCTTGCTGATCGGCTTCTGTGAAATCGCCTCCAGATCTGCACATTCGACGTATGATTTGAGTCGGCGATAAGCGGCATCACACTCCTCGAAAGACGTGGGAGCACGGAGATGGACACCAAGTTCATCAAGACAACTGAGCAACGCTTCCATGGAACGGTGATGGTCTCCTATTTGGGCAAATATTTTGGCTTTGATGATCCATGCTCTGGATTTGCTCACTGCATCTTTGCCGTGAGTGAAAACAGCATCAATTAAAGTGAGAGCATCGTCATTTTGGCCCTGTGACCATGACATTTCCGCCGTTGCGATGTAGAGACGCATGGTCTCGTCGTAATAAACGTCCGTCTTACTGTCGTTCCAAGGGTCGTCCTGGAGAAGTGCGATGCAGTGGCGGAAATACCAGAGTGCGGTCGGGCGAGCGCCGGACTGAGCAGCCGTTTGGCCAGCTTCCCACAATACTCGGCGGTAATCAATTCTTCGACTAACTCTGGATTTGATGGTGCGTGAGGCAAGGGCGACATGGTGGGCCATTGAGTAAAGACTTCGAGAATCATGAAAATTCTTCATCATGGCCTGTGAGACGATAAAGTGCATTGCTTCCACGTTTCGGCTCTCGCTCAAAGAAAGAGCGGCTTGCGCAAGTCGATCGTTCCCAAATTTGAATTCATCGTCGGTCTTTCCCGGGTTCAAGAGATTTGATTGAACAAGAAACTGCAACCCCACAACAATATCACCTTCCGACTGTCTGACAAGCGTGCCGTTTTGTGGGCCTGTGAAATCTAGATCCTCATCGTCATTCGATGAGAAAAGGAACTCACTGGTCAAGAGCTTTTGCACCAACGAGAACGAAAACGGGCTTCCCAGAAGAGCGCCCCACACCATGATCGATCGAGCTGCTGGTGGGATTTCCTGCAATTGTTTTGTGAGAAATCCCAGTCCGAGGCCCTCTCCATACACAGGAGCCACAAATTCTGTGAAAATTCGATCGAGATCGAAGAGCCACTTTGAGTCCTTCCATGAATACCAGAGACAATTTTTCCGATAGCACGTTTCGAGCATCACCCGCACGTAGAATGGATTGCCTCGGCTCTTTTCTTGGATAACGGCGGCAAGCGGGGTGAGCGTGGCATTGGGCTCTTGATGCATCGTGGCAGCAACGAACTCCATGATATCTGTCTCTCCAAGTGGTTGAAGATCAATGCGCGTGACAATGGAGTTCTCCATCTCGAACAGAGATTTGACACTCTCGGGTGCAATTTCATCTTTGCGGCTTGTGAGTATAAGCACACACGAAAGCTTGGCTCGAATGATATTAAGAACCAATTCCATTGTCTCATCATCCGCGTACTCGAGATCATCTAAGCAGACGGTGATCAGTCTGAATTGGCAAATCGTCCTCAGAATCTCCAGGAAGATTTCCATCAGGCGCATATTGTTTGATGCTGCGTTTGATAGAAAAAAGTCAACCGACGTTTGGCCTTGGTCTAGCCAGGGGATGTTGATTTGTTTCGATGGTTCGCCCCTGGTTGAGTCTGACTTGAAATATTGAGAGACAGGAGTTCTTGGAGAAGACGGCTTGTATTTGGAGCCAGGCGACATCAGCTGCTCGGGAAGGTCCAGCACTCTGTGAAGTGTAGGCCACATAGGTCGTAGTGTCGCTCGGATGTTGTCATGGTAGTCGGTCGTCACGTCTCTCTCGGAAAAGATCTGACGCAGAAGACTAGCTAGGATCTTTGCAAATGGTTCAAAGGGCACTCGCTTGGCACTATCCAATCTTGTAATGGCGATGAAACCAGCTTTCCGGATTACAGGCTGTACGCGGTTCAAGAGATCTGTTTTTCCAATGCCAGCTGCGCCGTTCACTGTGATGACCTCGCACTTTCCAATGCGTCGAGCCTTCGTTGTATGCTTTTGCTTGCCAAGCGAGCCCAGGTAATCATGTTGGCTTAAAGTGTTGGCGGAGTGTTGGCTGTTGCTGACTGTATGGATAGACGGGTGACTCTCCCTATCTGTAGTATGGGAGGAACGGGAATGTGACGGGCTTTTCATTTTGTGAATTGGAGCCGGAGTCATCTCCTGGCTAGCGGGGACCGATCCGGATCTCGGTGTTTGCGTCATGCCATCACTGCTAGCGATTGAATCCTGGGTGTTCACATGCGCTAGGTGGTAGTTGGTGGCATTGGAGCCAGTACGAGGGGGTAAGTGGAAAGACCCAGAGTCACTGGAAACAGACGCAAATTCAAAGCTGTCGACACGACCGTCTGAGATCGACGAAGTCGAGGCTAGTGCATGTGCAGTTCCCGGACTTTGCGTGAACGCTTTGGCGAGTGCCGCCTTCTGTCGTTTGTTGACCTTTTCAATAATGCTGATGATGAGATCATACTCCTTCTGTCGGCCGAACATTCGGGAAGGGAGGGTAAAGAAAGAGGATACATCTTGTTGGGCAATCTGAAAGTTGGTTAAAGCCTCGCTGTCGCCGTCGCCGAGCAACTGTGCGATCTGCATCAAATCCTTCTTGACTGAAGAGATGGTGTGGTAGCGTTCGTGCACGACTTTTTGCGTCATCTTTTGAATGACAGCCGATAGAGCATCGGGAATATCCATCCGCTTCAAAGAGATAGGTGTCAATTTCTTGCCAAGCACATTCTGAACGACATCCATGGGGTCTGTGCCTTCAAACGGTAGTTTTCCCACAAGCATAGACCAAAAGAAAAGGCCGAGTGCATAAATGTCGGTACGACTGTCGGGTTCTGTGGGCATTCTGCCTGTCTGCTCAGGTGCAATGAACTGCAGCTTATACTTGGCACCAAGCTCTCGAGAGACGGACGACCAGCCTTCGCTGAGGACGTTGTCAAAAGAACGAGCACCGTTTCCTATATTCACCAGTTTGACGGCACCCGTTTCAGAACTGAAGTGGAAAGCATCACCGCGGATCTCCCCGTGTACTGTCTTCATGCCATAATGCAGAATCTCTAAACAATCGCATGTGCCAATGGCAAAGTCAAGAAAAGCCGGCAAATCGACCTGCTCATTTGGAGTGACATTGTTATCGCCTTTGGCCCCGGCCACAAAGGACGCAGGGCCGAACGTAACTAGGTCTCGTAGCCTGTCGTGGCCGGGGTGCTCGAAGATGGCCACGAGAAGGGTGCTCGCGGCTCCCGGGTCTGGAGGCAATCTCACCAGATCGATTGGCCGTATTGTATGATTGCAGTCGGGGTCTGACGATTGAACGATCGATCTCAACATGTGGAATTCGCGCTCGAGCCGAATGACATTGGTAGAGATGCGCGCAACCACTGGTACCCATATTTGCTCCTGCTCGCCTCGAGAAAATGAAAACTCACTACTTGTCTCACTCACACTGGCGCGTCGGTTCAAGACCCGTGTTTGTGGGCGAAAATCGGTACGGGGAGAATTACGAGTGAGGCTCGATGGTCCTGAGGATGCAGGGCCCGAGGAGGTCGCGATCGGGGTCGAGAGGTCTTCGTCCACAGCATGACGAAATCCCGTAAGATGCCAGTGATTATATGTGGAATGAAAGGGCTCAACCGACTGGTCCCAGGTGTAACCAGGCAGCTGGCTTAAGCGGTCAAAAAGTCGCGCCGGTGGGAGCGGCAAGTCCTCGCCCAGAAAGTGACTTTCCTCCATGACGAGATCTGCGAAACTTCCACTGCCCGAGCGGCCATGGACTGGACTCATGTGGTCCTCTCTTCGGAAGGCGATTTCGAGGGAGGGGAAGCGAGACGGCAGGCAAGGTGTCACGGCACGGACATGGAGGACCCTCGGAGAGGCTGGCGATGCTGGCGAGTGCGGATCGAGGGGGGCGTCTTGCCCAGGGGTCGCGGACCAGGTCGCTAGATGAGCAAGCAACAGTCAACGCCTCACAGGCCACGCCGATCACGAGGGAGAAATGCGCAATAGAAGTGTACTAGTGTTCCAGTGGGTGCCGTCGCGGGTGTGACCCGGCGGAAAATCTGTTTTCGCGGGGTCTAGACAGGTGCAGCGATCGGCAGACAATCTCCTTTCGGGCAATTTTACGTGTCCATGGATGCTGTGACAAGTGTAGGCCTCGAAGTGATCGAATATTGTAAAGAGCACCATAATCGCCTCCAAGGGCCGACATATACCCAAAATGCCGGCCTTATGCCAGTATGGGCTCCAACGACGGCGGTGGTCTATTAACATGTATGTTGTCAAGGCCCAATTAAATCCCGTGACGCCACCAACCTTCAATAGGAAGAAATATATACCTTCACATTGTTGGAGTCGCCCTATCCCACGTCATTTCCGAAGAAATTCGGCAACAAGCCAGCTTACTGAAACGACATACTGTGAGTATTTTTAAGATGTGTACCGTGCCGGTGCGTACTGCAATGTGCCAAATTAAACCGAGATCGATAAATATCAAGAACCCCTCCACTTAACAAGGGTACAAATAACATTTATGAACGTACCCATGGATCCCTTAGAGCGCACCGTAAGGTACGTTGTAAGGTACTTGTTCAGAAAAATATTGATGCCTATTTATCTATACACTATTACACCAGTCTTTACAACTTTCCTGGCCTTCAGCACACTGACTCGTGATTCCAAGCTTGTACTGTAAGAGTGTAGTTGATTTGAGGTCGGGTTAAATCTGATATGCAGGGTGCTGTGAGTGTGGCGCCAGGTTGACTAAAAGCTACACGCGGTCTTTCCTACTCCACCCTGCGGTACACATCGAAGCAGTGCCCCTATGCCTCTCAAATGTTAGGGTCATGCTTCCTGGTCGTTCTGTCAACGATTGTCCAAAAGTCTACCATGACTTACTACTGCCACTACCGGTAGTCACCCCACGTGTGAAATAACGAGATATATCACGTACTAAACCCACGTGACACCTTGGAATCGTTGCGTGTAAGGTATAAAAGCCAGCAGCGGCCCCGGCTTGGAAGTCAACGACCAAAATGGGAAGGTATTCTCTCTCTGCGATAGAATCCGAGATAAGAAGGAGATGCAATACTTGGGAACACTGCAACGTACTAGTAAGGGGCGTGGAAGGTCAAGCCCCTTCCAAAATCGCCTACAAGGGAGAAGATGGATGTTTCACTATCAAACTTAGGTACCAAAAAATGAGCCGAAACTGATTAGGACCAATCTGCCATTAGGCCACTAGTGCCTACTAGTTATAGAGTATGGTAGATAGTAATCAGCTGCACGCTTGTAGGTCGGTACTTACCCTAAGGCACCTTAGGGTAAGACACTTGCTTAGAGTTGGTTTCATTGTCACCTCCGCCCCGCTTCGGCAAGTCTCACCCTCCAGATTTTTCACCCCGCCGACGTCCGCCGTGTCCGAGCCTCAACGGCCACCGACCGAGAATTCGCGAACGTGCCGCCAAGGCGTTTTGCGTGACGCAGTATTCAGCCACAGGTGAGGATGACAGGACGTACCATGATTATGTCGGATAAGAAGGGATCTTGCGGCTACTGCGACGCCTTTCTGGACCTTCTCTTTGACGGTTGAGACGATCGGCTCAAGTTGCACACCAGTCGGCATGGTTGGAATGGCCGATATGCCGGATGACGACAGTCAGTCAGTCCTGGCAAATCTTCGCCTGTGCTGATCGGATGACTCTAAGCGACCAATGCCATGATCGCCGGCTTCTGGGGACTCCTGTGGACTTCCAGCGACCTCCGACTAGCCGATAGAGAACCAGCCCCTTCGACCTCCTCCCTATCCTCAAATTGGCGCGCGCGGTCAACGGGAAAAAAAGGAGGGGGACAGCAGGACCATGGACTCATTCCGGGGTGCGATCTCATTCAAGCCAGTCGTGGGCCACGGGCGATCGCCCTCGTTACGGTTTCCAGGGCGCACTCCCCCAGAGTGCTAATTCCCCTAGTTTTCTAGAAGAACCACTAACGCGACCCCTCTGCGGTTTGCATCACGACGCGGCAAATGTCGGCACTGATCACCAAGGGATGCCCATCCCAGAGGCCTGGACCCGAGCCGGGAGATTCTTCGCAGCCCCTTTCTCTTCCTTGCGGGTCCGTTCCTCTTGAGACAGTCGCCGGTGACGTCGATGGCCGACAAGGAGTCATCGAAGACGAGCTCGGGCTTCACGCCTCTCTTCCACCCAGTTCTATACCATGTACGACCCCGACCAGGACTCTACGATTGTCTACACTTCGTTGCGTATGGAGGAGATCTAGCTAGAAATCCGGAAATATACATCCAAAGGCAGTTCCTGTGGCCGTGGCGGACTATGCTGAGACGTCCTGAAAGTGAGACATCCAATGAGGAGCGCCGCTTGGTGGAGGAAGGCCAAGGCACGGCGGGAGAGCGTAGACCGAGAGCGTAGACCACCAGCGTCATCTCAGCACTGCTTGGGGGTAACGGGGACCGGGACAAGAGGAATTGCCATTTGGACCGGTGTGTCTAGCAGTAGCTGTACTCGGTACTCCGCGCAGATAATGCAGGAAAGGGTGGATCGAGGTACTGGGTACCGGCGATGCACGCTCTTCTCATCATCTGACCCCATCGTGAAGAACCACATTGTAGGCCATGGTCGGGGTGGGTGCCCGCTCTTTTGTAACTCGACTGGGATGACTGGACCATGGGTGGGCTGAACAGGAGTCCTGTTCTGTCTCTGCGCCGTTTGAGTAGTACATTCTTACTCGTACAGTCGTAGTTCCTTGAAGGGCGGTATTCCAGGGCAAAAGCTTCGAAGGTTTTTTTAACTCTCAGGGCCCACGACGTCATCGCCCCGGAGGCGCACCACGCGCGAATCCACTCTGCGCACGCCCGCCCACTCCTGGTCGATCCAAGCAATGGGCTGGCGGGTACTGACGCCAGTTTCCCTCTGTTCCCTTCGATCACCGAACTCCTCACCCCAGTCCACTCAAACCACGCACACACTCCCCCCTCCCATCCAAATCACCCCAAAACATCACCATTCTCCCCTGAAACCTCCATACACCGCTTGAAACCTTAATCCGCCGCGGATTCTGAATCCATCCGAACCACACGAAACTCTCCCCTTTCCTGCATTTCATTTGACAGCCGTTTCTGCTGTTTCCTTTGGTCCCATCCGTACTCGCCCATCCTCCCGCCAATCTCCCTCCCCATTCGATTCTCCGGACGGTTCAGTGTGACCGAAGAATGATCGCCGAGTCCTGAGCCTGCTTCGTGTCGCCCAGGCGTACTGAATTTCCTCTTCGATCGGTGGAGGTGCGAGAGAATGGGGGACGTGCATAGCAGGAGGACTCCTCCCTTCCCTTCGCCAACCGAAACTGTTTCCTCTGCTGCTGTCCCGCAGCCTCATCGGCAAGCGCGATCGCCATCGAGTTACCGAACTACCTCCGACCCCGACTACGCGGGTGGCATATCGTTGGATGGACGGACTGGCCGTGGAGATGGATCATCGAAAGAGCCAGCGCGGTTACCTCGTCTTTCACGCGGCGATTCGGCGGATCAAGTCGCGGGCCTGACACCCGTCACGGAAGACACACACCCGGGAAGTGAGCGGCAGGAAGACCACGGCCGGTCTTCGCAAACCCTGAAGGAGCTGCGGCGACAGATGGAGGAGCTACTGGTATATCAACAGATGCAGCAGAGCCAAAGCCAGAACCAGCCGCCGCCGATACACGCGGGCGCTGTCCCTCCCCTGTCGAGCGAAACTCCCAGAAAGCGGCGGCTGTCGACCACAACCACCGAGGTGCCCGTGACCATCGTCCAGCCATCCTCGGGGTCGGGAGGCTCGGCAGGAACGATCAAGGGCGTCGACGAATCCGTTTCAACCAACCCGCACACGACACAGACGCCGTCGTATCCCTTCCCACGGACCCAGGATCAGATCAATTCGATCAAAGCATCAGCGGAGCAGACAGGGCGGCAGGGTCAATTTCGGCTGAAGTTCCCCTCCGACAAGCTGCGCTCGTCGCCTGCACCTCGAACCCCGGACGAAAAACCCTCAAAGGCAAAGCAACCAGACCCGCAGCCCACGTTCCTACCGTCCCACCACAGGAGCATTTGCAATGATTCGGAGTTTGCGACGCCAAATCTGTACGATCTGACTTTAAAGCTACATGCGGACCCCGGACTTCGGGCTTGGTGGAATAATCTCGTTGATGTCTTACAAACGCACTATGGGGCGGAGCGGGCGTCGCTGGCTGTTCCTGGGGATGCGACAGACCTTGAAAACGTGCCGTGGGGACAGAAGGCGGTATTCGACGGGAACGCGAGCATTGAGATCGATGAAGCCCAAGCCCTGTCTCTCTTCGATGGCTCGCCTACGGACACTGCCAGTGGCCGCAAGTACGGAGACGAGATGAATCAAACAACAGAAACGGGATCGGGTCAGGGGGTGAAGAGCCCTACTTCAGTTCCTGCACCGGCTCGTCCGGCTTTGACATCACGCCACTCATTCGCTGGGTTTGGCCATAGCACGAAGCAGCGAACGACAGACCGGGATCAACAGCAACATTTTTCCAAGCCAGCCACTACAAAGCCGGAGAAGAAGAAACATGCCCGCATTGCCGACCAGGTTGCCCAGACCGACGTGCGCGATGCTGAGTCCAAGGTTCTACCGAGAAGCTCGCACCATCCCATTCGATCAGCCGTCTTCCCGATCCCGAGACCGTTGGAGATGGAGTCGGACCCTCTCATCAAACGTACCGGCGTGGTCAAACTTTTCGGACGGACCAACCCCATCGTGCTGACCCGTGAATATTCGGAAAACAACGTGACTCGAGTCTCACAGCCACCAAATGGCTCTGCTCGAAGCCCGGTGGAAACAGTGCAGGTTACTCCAGGGACTGAGGTCCCCAGTGAGGTTGAACCCCCCACCTGCCAGCAGAAAAAGCTCAGTGCACCTCATCTACGAGAATATGATGAATACGAGCAAGTACCTCAGTCCCCATGGTCTCAATCGCCAGCACCTTCCCCCGCGCTCCGTGCACATGGAGATCAAAACCCTTTCTTCACGAACCACGCGGTGGACGAAGGTGCATTCTTGCAGAACCCACCTGAGCATGACTATGCGAATATCCAGCCCTTGGAAGCCATTGGTGTCGATCATTCAAAAACCGTGGTTCACATTTCTTTACTCCATGGAGGCCACTCTGACCATGGTTCTTCGTCAACGCTGAGATTCCCGGTTGCCATTATATCGATGTTGTCAACAGTAGTGCCCTATCCACCTAATCTACGACAATCACTTGCCCATTTGATGCCGCATCTCACGACGTCTTTCTGCCTAGCCCAGCAATACAGTCAATTGGAACGCCAAGTTACCTCCAAGGTGGAGACACCACGATATGGGCACCTACTTGGCTTGGGTGGAACCTTCTCCGACGCAAGCAGTGAGTTGGAGCTTGTGGCGGGTCTGAGTGGTCATGTCGGCTGCTCTGTTGGTGATGAGACACCCATGTCCACGCGGGCCAGCATCAGAAGCCCCAGTGAACGCTCGTCATCGAAGTATAGCCCCGCTATTTCCAATCTTGGGACACCGGCTTTCGACCTCGGCCAAATTGGGGTTGGTTCGAACAACCAATCTCCGGCTCTGCGCTCCGGTGATACTGCCGAAGGATATTTCAATGTTCATCAATCAAAAACGCCCCGCGATAATATCCCCCAGCAACGGCATCGCTTTTCCAATCTAAAAACTAACCTCACTCCATCCAATCCATCCTCCCCCGGCAAGACGGCGGGGAAAGGATCAACAGCCGAAGAGAGTATTTCACAAGATCCGAGTGTTGTTATCGCCTCTCCGCTACAGGAGATGCGACCACCACCGGTTCCATTTTCTCCTACCCAGCCTTCCTCTCGTCAGACGTCCACAAACTCCTTTTATGCCCAGCTTCAGCGGGAAATGCCTCGGCCATTCCCCGACACTATTGCCCAGCTCATGCTCAACTCGGTCCCTCTTCATCTTTTCTTGGCCAAGCCTCAAAGCGGCGAAATGATCTGGACAAATGCCAAATTCGATGCATATCGCAGAAGCAAGCCCCAGGAACAGAAACTGCGGGACCCGTGGCAGAACATTCATAGTACCGAAAGGGATCAAGTGTCTAGCCAGTGGGCCCATGCCTTGCGTACTGGCTCTCAGTTCACCGAAAGAGTCCGCGTGCGCAGATTCAACGATGAATCCGCTTATCGTTGGTTCATCTTTCGCGCAAATCCTCTACTTTCTGTTACTGGGGAGGTTCTGTACTGGATTGGCTCTTTTCTCGACATTCATGAGCAGCATATCGCTGAGCTGAAGTCCGGCCAAGAGAGAGAAAAATTCGCCACCGATGCCAAATATCGTGCATTTTCGAATTCGATCCCACAAGTTGTCTTCGAAGCTACCGAAAACCGTGGGCTTATCTTCGTCAACGAGCAGTGGAATCTCTATACAGGGCAAAAGCTTGAAGAGGCACTTGATCTTGGATTCGCAAAGCACGTCCATCCCGATGATCTCGAAAAATGCGGCGGGCTCTCCTCTCAGACAATGCAAAGTTGCGACGACACAAACGAATCAACATCGTCGGATGGCGGAAAGGAGAACCAAGCCGTTTCTTCTGCCCTCGATGAGCTGGTACGGCGTGGTGTAGCAACCCTACAGGAAGATGAGAACGGGCGTGTGTTCTATTCCACGGAAATCCGTCTTCGTTCCCGAGGAGGTGACTTCCGGTGGCACCTTGTTCGCCTGGTGCGTGTGAAGACAAGCAGCTTTGGTAGCGAAGAGGCTTCTTGGTACGGCACATGCACCGACATCAATGATAGGAAGAACCTTGAGCGGGAACTCAACAAAGCGATGAGCCAGCTGAACAACCAGATGGAATCTAAAACCAAGTTCTTCAGCAATATGTCCCATGAGATCAGAACTCCACTCAACGGAATCCTGGGCACCATTCCGTTCATACTCGACACTCAGCTCGACAGTGATCAGAGACGGATGCTTGATACCATTCAAAACAGTTCCACCAATCTCCGTGAGCTAGTGGATAACATTTTGGATGTATCTCGCGTCGAAGCCGGCAAGATGTCTATGGTCAATTCCTGGTTCCACGTCCGATCTATGATTGAGGATGTTATCGACACAATCGCCTCTCGAGCAATCGACAAGGGCCTGGAGATCAACTATTTGATGGAGGCTGAAGTCCCCGCCATGGTTATCGGTGATCGATTCCGAATTCGCCAAGTTCTCATTAATCTTGTTGGCAATGCGGTCAAGTTCACATCCCAGGGTGAAGTCTACATCTGCTGCAGCCTGCATCGTGATGCGGCCACCAAGCTTAAGGAGACAGAGGCCCTGCTCAACTTCGACGTGATTGATACAGGCAAGGGCTTTAGTACACAGGATGCGGAACGTCTCATGCAACGGTTCAGTCAGTTGGGAGAGACTGGATCACAACAACACGCCGGAAGTGGCTTAGGCCTATTTCTATCTAAGCAACTGGTGGAAATGCATGGCGGAGAACTCACCCCGAGCAGCAAAGAAGGTCAAGGAGCCAAGTTCTCTTTCAACGTCAAGGTTGATGCTCCTCCGCCCCCATCACCTGCCGAGACGCCTGGATTGCTTCGCCAGACCTCCAATGCTTCCAGGAGACCAGGTGCATCCCGGACCACATCTTACGATCGATCTTCCTTGCAAGTCCCAAAAAGCTTTGAACCCAAACTTCAGGATCCGAACACTCTGTCTCCAGAGTTCGACACCCCTGTCGCCCAGTCACCTATTCTGAGCAGTACCCCGTCCACCTCCAAGGGCCAGCATCCCTCTTCTGCCTTGTCTTCAGCACTCCCCACTCCAGACGTCTCCACTGCACATCTGCCCTCTCAGTTCAACCAAGAAAAACCATCTGAGCCTACAGCTGGGCAAACCCAACCGCCTGCTCAACGTGCAGTCTCTCCAAACAGAACACCTACGAACTCTGCAGCACCTCCTCCGCCAAGTTCCTTCTCCATAGTTATTCTGTGCCCGCTTGATAATACAAGAAAGGCCACCAAGCAACACATCGAGCAGGTCGTGCCTCATGAAGTACCATTTACGATTACCACATTGCCCGACGTGGATGAATGGAAGGATAGGAAGCAAACATTCAACGCAAAAGGTACGCATCTGGTACTGAACTTGCCCGCAACAGACGACATTCTGGAAGTCATTCAACACATGTCCGAAGCTGATGCAAGCACGGCACCCGTAATTGTCATCATTTCGGACTTGTACCAGAAGCGTCAAATCAGCACCCGTGTCAAAGAGCTGGCGGCTACCGGGAAGCAGATATTCATTGTGCCAAAGCCTGTCAAGCCTTCTGCCTTTTCGACTATCTTTGACCCCGAAAGCAAACGAGAGTTGAGTAAAGATCGTAACCAGGACATGGCGCGGGAAATCAACAACAACTTCAAGACTGTTTCCAAAATGGTGAAGGAGGTCCTCGGCAACAAAGGCTACCGCATTCTGCTCGTCGAGGATGACGAGACCAATCGCGATGTAAGATGCAAGCACGCACGAAAAATCACAAAGCAAGTTCATATGCTGATTTCTTAGGTGATGCTCAAATATCTTGACAAGATCAAACTGATGTCGGAGACTGCGTCCAATGGCCAGGAATGCACGGATATGGTCTTTTCGAAAGAGCCTGGTTACTACTCTCTTATCATTGTGAGTCCACCCCTTTGTTATCCCAACTGGCCGGGATGCACCGGCAACTGGAAGGGCAATGCTAACACTCTTGATCTCCAGTGCGATATACAAATGCCAGTGAAGAATGGTTATGACACCTGCCAAGACATTCGTGCCTGGGAACTGAAGAACCACTATCCTCAGATCCCCATCATGGCTCTGTCAGCCAATGCAATGACAGATCAAATCGAAAATGCCGCCCAAGCAGGCTTCAATGACTATGTCACCAAGCCAATCAAGCATAACGAACTTGGAAAGATGATGATGGGCCTTCTTGACACGAATAAGCCACTCCTACTCCTCCGGGACCGTCTTCACCCGGGAAGTGACAAAACGATCACTGCTCGGCGTTGATCGCTTTGCCTCTCCCGTGTCGCCGCCAATTTTGCGTTGACACTTTGCTCGCAGACTGATGCAAAAAAAACTCCTCATTGTCTCAAATTCCACTTCCCAATTTTAGCGTCTTTTCTTCTCAGAACACGATCGAGCGGATATCCTATTTTGCTTTTACTTGTTTCACTCGTCGACTCACGGCGCAAAGCGTTTGGTAAGCATTGTCAGGACAACTGTGACGGCCAGTGGTCCTTTGAAGGTGATTATAGGCCCCATGGAACTAAGCAATCGCATCGAATGCGCTTGAACCTTCTTCTGTTCGCCCCTTTTGTCGCATCTCTCCCTCTTGATGAGGGGCTTGATGTTTTGCGCATTTGCATTGGGAATCGGGCCCACAAGCACCACCCCACAGCAGTTTCATCCGAGTCGACAGACTTCCGTGTACTATTTGACTTTCATTCTATTCTTTGCGTGGGGGGTTGACCCCGAGCGCATGGCGTCAGTGCCTGGACCCGGCCATTGCTTTTGGTTTCTTCTCTTTCAGTCTCGTGTTGTTTCTTTTCCACGTGATACCAGATTACGAGCGCATAACGACGAACACTTTTTTTTTTCTTCTATCTTCTGGATCTGTATTTGTCAATAACTTAACCTATACACTTTTTGCTCTCGTCTACATGCGAATCCGAGCAGTTACCTATAATCCAAGAACACCCTGACGTATTCTCCACATATCCATAATATTTCATTTTAGTAGAGTGCACGACGATACTACATTCACTACGATAATCCTATTCTTATAACTATCACGGATGTCCATGTCAAAGGCCTCGGCAGCCCGATGTAAGGTCAAAACACACCCAAATATATGTCTCGGTCTGACGAACACACCCAAAAAGTCTCATCGCAGCAAACCAGCAAGGTTTCGATCAGACATCACCAGGAATCAGAGTAGATAGAGGAAGATCAAGGGGGCAAATGAGGATGCAAGGCATAACGCAAAAAGGCACCAGCAACGCCTAGGCATGAATCAGCCGATGGTGGAGGCCAACCGGAAGAAAGTCCCCGGCCGAGCGTCGAAATTAATTCGGTGCAAAGTCAGATAAGAAGCGAAAGTCAGATTCTGTTTGGTTCTACGAAATTTGGTGGGGACCATCTCGACAAGTCCAGCATCGAGTTGATATGGACCTTGGAGCTGGGGGTGGGAAGGCCGTGGATATCCGATCCACACACCTTGATTTCCTGTTCCGACAGCAAACGCAGACCCCGTTACATATCCAGCAGATCATGCCGGGGCCGCGAAAAAAAAAGGCGCCAAAAAAAAAGGGAACCATGGCCGAAAGGGGAAAGGCAGGGTGAGTTGGCGATGAACAACCATCCACTCATGGCGCTGCATGTGGCGGTGAAGGAAGCGTCGAGAGCCCAAAATATCCCCGCCGCAACCCCACTTCCTGCTGAGTGCTGGCAAATTATTGAGAGAGGCGGCTGCGATCATCGGAATTGCTTACTGAGAGAGAGGAAGAGCGAGCAAAGATCGAGAACAAGGCATCAGTGGTGTCATCGAGGTCCATTCCCTCCCCAGCGAGTCCATTGGGCATGATGGGAATGAAGTATTGTCGAGAACCCTTCGGACCGAAGCCGAGGGCTCGTGTAACGTATGCAACTGGTTTAACGTGTTGACAGCATGCAGATATACTCGGGGCCCAGGACAGGTTCGTCGCAATGGTCCCGGGGGGTTGTGCGTTGCCTCTGTAGTGTGTAGGGGACGAGGCCCAGGACTCGTAGTCTGAGTTTCCCGAGGCCCGGAACAGCGAGGTCCAGGGAGGGGCGGATCAGAAATCGGTGAATGGACGGTGAAATTGGGGCGATGACGATTGGCAAAACTGGAAGAGGTTTCCTCTATGCAACGCCCGGCGTTGGCGTGCGCTACTCGTCATGGTAATGTTGTGCTGCCCGATGGGATCTACTCCCCGGGCCTAGTTTCCCTCTCAGGGACGGGCGAAGAACAGTTTGAGGGCTGAGAGGTGTAGGTTCTGGTGTAGCATCCCTGAGCTGCTCGGGGGTACCAGAACAACTCTGGAGGAGGGTGGTGGCACCGTGTAATTCGGCCATGGGATGCGTGTCAACGGTGCATATTATGCCTTGTCAGGCTGCAAGGCATGCAGAACAGCCCATGGCCAAGGCTCTGGGTGCATCGACGGGCATCCCCGTAAGGTAGAGCCCAAGGGCAAGCCCAGGGCATCATCTTTCCCCCGTGTGGTCCCAATCGGTGCCCGGTCGAGGACCCGAATGGGGGTTCCTGTCAGCGGGCAGTCTGCCAGGCGCGGGAACCAATGATGACCACCGGCCAGCCTGCTCGTCCTCTCGCATGAATTGCGTTGTCGACGACCTGCTGAGACGGCCTTTTGTGCATGGCCGAGCATGGCCCGCGGACAAGCAAGTCATCGAGCAAGTCTGCATTGGAAAGGCGGAGACACTGCTGCTGCCCAGCGTCTACAGCGCTTGTCGATGCTGCATTGCTTCTCGTCCATCTTCCGATACCATTTTCGCTATCGTCGAAGCAGTAAGTTCTGCTGGGGCGGAGTTTTTGACAGCCGCATCGAGACGGACAAACGGAGCAACAGGGATCAGCCCCTTCTGTCGTGGGTTGGTCCATTGCCTTTGCTTCGACCTGATCCGATCACACGGGAGTCACACAATATTTTTCCTCCTCTGGCTCCTTGGATGACTCCTGTTCGAGACTCGCGTCTAAATGGCTTGGGGGATCCACAGGCCCGTTGGGACGCGGGATCCCTCAGAATCGTTGCCGGGTACTCCACGGTTCGTTCATTCGCGCCCTGCAATGATGTCCAACTGCTTGGATCTTCAGACCGTGTGACCGCCCCCTTGGGCTTTTGCTGCCTGGCCAAAAAAAAGGTCTGGTTTTGAGTTTGTAACTTGGTTGTTGGAATTCCAAATGATGTCAGGTCGTGAGACATGGTCCTGCATTGCTGCTCTTCCTTTGCCTCCGGCAAAGGGTATCGGAAGAAATCCGCAGGCTCGAATTGTGACCGATCTGCGGCGCAACAAGCCACCATTTTCAGCATCGATAATCCCGTCGTATCTGCGCAACTCAAGGCACGAATTGGAAGGAGATGCTATCCACTGTTATTAGCTGCAAATCACACGAGAAACCCAGGAATTTGATCGGGGGCGGAAGGGGGAAGCACAGGCTTCTATGTCATACCGGTTCACCTGTAGTTCGCAGCTCAACATCCTTTGTCCGACAGACAACTCGCCCTGCCTCCTCGAGTCCGTATCCGCCTCCCCAGCCACCGAATTTCGAGAAGAGTAATGGCACAAAGAGGGGTAATTGAGAGCACATGGGAAGCATGCGGGAGTCGAGAGGGCAAAAAGCAAAATGGGGGAAGAAGGGGCACCTCGCCGATTTTTATACTTCCCCTCTACTTCTCTCTACCACACCTCGAGCCAGGCTTTTCCCACCCTCCATGCCCCTCCCAGCCCACTTTTCTGATACAGAATTTTCCTCTTTCTTTCGTTTTTCTGACTCCGCTCGGACCTAGCAGGCAAACAGACTTTGGAGGAGGGGCCGCGTAGACCAAGACCGATGATCCGGTGGGATGGGCGGGATGGCGGAAACTCCCAGTGGAGGAGGGCTGGCATCCCACCAGACACAATGTTTCGATTCCCACCCCGAGCGGGGTCAAGGCGGTCCAAGAGGCGAATCGGCGGGCGGATACGGAGAAGGAGGTGCAGCCGAAGAGATGAGACGGGGGTGACGGTGCGATGGCTGTGAGTCCCAGTGCCCCGATAGCCCAATGGCTCCGTCCAGACCCAGCCCATCCTTGCTCTCTTGCCTTTGCCTCTCCATTGCAAAAGGTCCCCGTCGGAGAGAAGACTGTCCGCTGGGGGCTATAAAATCCCTCGTCTGGTCCGGCGGACCCAGTCTTTCTCCTTCTTCCCTATTCATTCCTCCCAGCTGGCCCCGTTTGCATACTCCAGTCTCAGACCTTCCTCAGTCCTCTTATATTGCTGCACCTACCCTGGCCCATAAGCCTCTTAACCTTCTGCACATCATTGTCTTGTCTTACTGAGACATTTATTTCATCTCAATCTCCAATTTCCAACAGCTCCACGTCGCCATGGCTACTCCACGTCACTACTATCAACCCTCCGCCCACGCCATTAACATGCCTTCCAAGGCTCCGGCGCCCGCGAGCTTGTATCCCATCTCTCGGGTTCCAGGCTCGCCACCCGATTACTCTGATGCGAGCACCACGGCCGGCAGCCGCACCTCTGGTGGGCTCACTTTCAGCTCTGCTGGCGCCAGCGGCGACTATGAAAGCTCGGCATCGTATTCAGGTGTCGACGTTGTCGATGTTCTGAGTGACCGCATGCAAGACGCATTCGACCCGACGCCTTTGGACAAGGGACTGGCAAAACAGGCGCAAACGTGAGTATATCACCCAGCGCAAGCAAGACATTGCGAATCGTCGAGCTGTCGAATCGTCCTCAATGACAAAGTTGACGAAAAATCCCGATACTTGACATGGCTGCAACGAGCTCCAGAAATTGAGGTTTGAACGAGAGCCAATGAGCTGACTGAAATGCGTGAGACAGATCTGGCCAGCTGAACGCGAAGCAGCAAGAGCTGCTTGAGCTTCAAGCTCTTGCTCAGCGACGTTTGAAGGGTGTTCGCGCCAATTTCAACGAAGGACTGAAAACCGCACGCGAAACAAAGCGAGATCTGGAATGGACCCAGAAGCGTGTCAGGTAAGCTCTCCGAATGAGCCTTGAGAATCCTGTACCCCTGAGATGGACGTTGTCAAATTCCGCCCCGCTCCGCAGGGCTGCGACAGCCTCCGCTCCGCCGGGGCAGCGCTTGGCACGTGCGCCGTTATGAGGATCGACGCGCCAGTTTTAGCGCCAGCGTGTTCTAGAAGGCTGACAGAAGCTTGTTTGGCGCAGCGCCCTCAAGGGCAAGGCCGAGAAGGCCCACCCGGACGAGTACCGTCGGGCATCGAAGAAGTACACATTCGACGACTACTGAGCGGGCCACTCCACCCCCGTCGGTTCCACCGGCGGGCCACTGTACTTTGTTTTAACCTTCTTTTTGCTTATTTTGACGACTGTGACGACAACTTCGGACAAAATCGGGAGCTTTGGGTCTGGGCCTTGGACTGGGACGGACTAGTTTGCTTTTCTGCGTTGGGTTTGGCGTGTTTGCTTTCGACTGTGCTGTGTATATCTTTGCCCTATGATTCGTGTACGTACGTTTTTGGTATTAGCCCGGTAGGTTACGAGTATCATTGTGCGGACTATCTCGAATGGTACCTACAATTACATGCCGCGCCGTAAAATATCATGTTTTCGAGCCATGCAGTAGCCACTGAGCCTACCTGCGAAGTATCATGTCTTGAAATCGGCTGGTATGTACTGTATCGTAAGTGGTTAGCCCTAGGGTTGCGTGTCGTAGGGTTTCAGGGACCTCTTAGTGTTAACAAAGCTCGCCTGAGTATAACAAGGGCGTTACGGTGAATGCAACACTTACTAGGGTCTGTCGGTTGCAGAATACTAATGTAAGATGAGCATTTTGGGCTATCGTATATGGACTACCTACTAGCAGCAATTTAAACATTTGTCTACCATGTTGACGTGGATATTGAAGCCTCAGGTACTACTTTGGCGGGGCCGAGCATACACTTCGAGGGAGGAGACGGAAATCAATTTGTTTAGAGGTTTGGAGTGAATAATACTACGGATCACATCTTGAAGGACAGAGGGTTCTACGTAACTGCCAGTGATGTAAATGAACACGGCTAAAATAAGGCCAATTCTATCTAATTGCCTCTAAGAGAAGGACTGCTCCTCCTCAATGGCTCTGTTAACGACACGTACAAACCGACCAACCTTGTCAGCGTCTTGTTTGGCAGTCTCAATACCCAGCAAGATCTTCTTGATACCGACACTAATACGACCATCATTTGCCAATCCACCGATGCCCTCGAGCGCCTGGGCAATTTCTTGAGCATCGAAAGCACCAGACTGTTCCATGACGTATCGCAGTTCGCCAAACGACTGCACGTTGGGAACCATGATATCTGAGTTGAAAGAATTGTAGATATCAAGCTGCTTCATTAGAGCACGCTCGGTGGTCGTGGCAAGGATCAGCAGGCGGCGCCCATGGGTGGGCTGCTTCCGAAGGAAGACCATCAGAGCCTGTAGCACACTGTTGCTAAACCGAGGGCCAATCGGCACCCAGTCGATAATACGTTCGATGTTGTCGACGACAACGATACTGGTGCGACTCTTGTAGGCACTGTCGAAGATGCGGCCAATATGAGAGATCTTGGCTGGCTCACTGAAACCAACCATATCTTCGGGGCTGATCAGTTTGATGAAGGGGAATCCGGAGTCGATGGCAATCCGCGAAGCCAGGGCGGTCTTTCCGCTACCAGTGGGACCGTGCAGCAAAACGGAGAAAAGCGGCGTTGATTCCGCCTGGCCGCCAACCTGCTTGACGAAAAGCTCGCCCTCGCGCAAGATCTCGTTGATGGTTTCAGAGTAGTGTAGCACGCCATACTGGATGCGACTGGAAAGCTCTTCTTCCGAGACACCAAAGGCGGGCTTGACTTCATCAAGAGCATTGTGGAAGTCGGCGCGATTGACTTTCATGTTGACAACATCATCGTTGATGCTCGCCATTGTACCCACTTTGACGTGACGGGAAAAGGCAAACGAGGAGGCGGACTTGACCAAACCGGCAATTTCAGCACCGGAAAAGTTCTTTGTCATATGGGCGAGCTCCTGCAGATCCACATCGGTGTCCATCACATTGTTGGTGCGCATCTTCTCGGTGTGGATTTTTAGAATTTGGCTTCGACCCGTCTCGTCAGGAAGGGAGATCTCCATGTGAACCTCGAGACGACCAGGACGCAGTAATGCCTCATCAATCATATCCATACGGTTGGTCATACCAATCAGCAGAATGTTGTTAAGCTGGTCGACGCCATCGAGCTTCGACAGCAACTGGTTGACCACACTGTCCCCAACACCGGTGCCACCACCGCCGCCGCTGCCACGCTGCTTGCAGACAGCATCCAATTCATCGAAGATGATAATGTGGAGACCACTCTCGTCGCCCTTCTCTTTGTACTCCTTCTCGGCATCTGCAAACATCTTTCTGATGTTCTCCTCAGAAGCACCGACGTATTTGTTTAGAACCTCGGGACCATTGATAATCTTGGGCTCTCTGGCATTCAGCATTTTGCCGATTTGTCGCGCAATCAATGTTTTACCGGTTCCGGGGGTCCATACAGTAGGAGACCTTTAACGTGTTGAATACCCAGCTTCTCCACCAAGCCTGGAGGGAAGATGCGGGATGCGAAGGCACGACGGAAGATGGTGCTGAATTCGGAGTCAAGACCACCAATCCCCATATCCTCAAACTTGAAGCCAGGCTGGATGATCGAGTTTGCAGCTGGGCGGCGATTTGAGGCCTTCATATTAAGACCAGTCTGTGCATCCCTGAAGAAGTTGAGCTGGGTATGCCGCGTAAGAATGCCACGCGCCACTGGGTTAGTCTCAACCTCCCCAGAACTGAGGTCAACTTTCTCAGAGGTAAGGTCCACCCGCTGAACGGTCTTGATGTTGAGCAGAAGCGGGATGCTTCTATGGTCCATCAAAATCCTTTGCTCGGGAGCAAACAATTGATTTTCAAAGTTCTACACGGTCAGTAACAACCACAAAAACAAAATTGTCTGGGGAGACTTACGCTGATAACAGCCTTGGCCAGGTCATCCTGGTCATAAGGAGCATCTGTGCGCTTCCGAGCAGACGCAAAGCTGACTTCTATATCGGCAGATCCCAAATATGCTTGTCCGCCTTGGCTGAATGGGTCGTACAATTGAACCTTGACGGTGTCTCTCAATCCAATTCGTGCCCAAGTTCGCTGAGGGTCTGACATGCCGATGCAACCAGGGGGGAATCCGTCGAGGGGACGAGCGGAGAACACACATAAATCATTGATTAGAAGAAGGACATCGGTGCCATCGCGGGTAGGCGGGATGTCCTGTGGCGACACGGCGATACTGATCAATGTCAGAAATAGTTAATGCAGATACGCAGCACAGGTCACATACATATTACCAAAGGTGTAGTTGTCGTTAGGGCTCTTGCTAGGCTTCAGCATCCATGAACGGCCTCCAGATCCCCCTCCCATCGGCGAGCGCGTTGGCATCTGTTGTTGCGGGGGCCGACCCATCGAGGGCGGTGGTGGACCTCCATATCCTCTTTGATCAAGAAACGCGTCAGTCATGGGCACATCGTTGTCGTGGGAATGTCCGACGCCGGATATGGGGGTCTGGCCGTAATCATACCGTGGTGGCGCTTGGCTGGGGTTCGAATAGCCTTGCGGCGAGGGACGGCCGCCCTCTCCTGAGCCAAATGGGTTCGGCACGGAGGGCAGGTTGTTGCGGTTCAACATCGTTTATCGTAGGAAAGTTGGTAGCCAGAGACTGAAGGTGTGACTGAAGGTGTGGGCGAGAGGGAGTTGGCGTGTCGCCACAGTGTCTTGACGAGCGTAGGCAGCGGCGTTGATCGAACCCCCCGTGCTAGAAACGTCGACACTGGTCCGACTGTAGAGCAATGGTATGAGTAGTACCTATATATGGTAGTAGGCACCCGCGAGAGTAAAGGAGTTGTCGGTGGCAAGTTCGGAGCTTCAGGTGGAAGGGCCACGAACTGCGGAACTCAGCCACACGGAGGCTGAGTGGGGCCCGCTATCGATAAGGAAGTTGCGGCCAGCAACGGCCTCCCATCCCATTTGAAGATGGTAGCCATGAATGGCCTTCGCACCCGCCAAGTTCACTTCCCAGCCAAGTTGATGCATGTGACATCCATCTAAGCTACCTGACAGTCTAGGAGAAACCGAAAGGTTTCTTTATCCAGCCCAGTTGCCCGCGATGCCACTGTGAGTATCCTCTGCTTTCTTGCGATCTTAACCTCGACCTCGACCTTGATTGAATTCTGACACCCTCTGAAGCCACTTACTAGGCAAGAAATCATGGAACGTCTACAGACCGGAAAATATTGCCCGCGTCAAGCGCGATGAGGCTCAGGCCAAAGCCCGAGAAGAAGAGGATGAGCGGCGCATGCAAGAAGTTGATGCCGAGCGCCGGATCAAAATACTGCGAGGAGAACGTCCACCCACGCCTCCTCCTCCTCCTCCAGCACAATCGTCCAACGATGCCTCTGCGCGACCGGAGAGAAAAAACACCGACTATTATGGACGGTATCGCAAAAGGCGGCGGCTTTCGGGGGAGGATGATACAGACAGAGATATTCGAATGGCTAGAGAGGATGCAGAACAAGCAGTATCCAAGAGAGAAGAACTTACCCGCTCGTCTCGGCCGGATTCGGAGGCGCCTCTCGTTGATAGCAAAGGTCATATAAACCTTTTCCCTGAGAGTAAAGGCAAAACCTCAAAAAACGCCGAGGCCGAAGCCGAGGCAAAAAAGATGGAACGGAGCTACGAAGATCAATACACCATGCGATTTTCGAACGCTGAGGGGTTCAAGGAACACACAGGTCGCCAGCCATGGTACTCATCCGGTGCGCAAGCCTTAGCAGCACCGAATGCAATGCCAGATAAAAACGTATGGGGCAACGAAGATCCAAGGCGCCAGGACCGAGAACAAGCTCGAATGCTTGCGAAGGACCCTCTAGCCGCCATGAAAAGAGGTGTACGGCAGTTGAAGGCTACCCAAGAGGAACGGAAGCGGCTGAACGAAGAGAAACAAAAAGAGCTAGAGGCCCTGAAATATGAAGAACGCCATGGCTCACAGCACCACCGATATCACCGGCAAAAGCGCTCACGGTCCCGGGACAGTCTAGATGGTTTCAGCCTGGACGCGTCAACATCCAAGGCTGACAGTCAAAACCCCCACGAGAGTTCTCAACGGCGTCACCGACACTACCACCGAGATCGAAGTAGGGATCGAAGCCGGGAATGTAACCGAGATCACTCACATAGACGTTGCCGACATTCCTCTGACCGGTCTCATCGCCACAGTCATCATGATGGCGATCGAAGCAGCAGAAATTCGCATAGGTCAGTATCAGGAAGAAATTCAGAGAGGCGGTAATCACTCTCCTTACTCTGTGGTCATGAGATTATGAATTACGATTTCAAGATTTTGTACCCTATCTGCAAATGGAAATCACATTCAGACAGTATAATTCCATGATTTGCTGGCTATGTCTCTGTCTATGCATGCAACTGAATCCAGAAAGCTGTGAGGTCGTCTATCAAAAATTCGTCAAGAAATCATATCAACTTTTGGATGGCGTTCAGCAAAGATTCACTGGAGAGCCCATTGTTGGTGGCCCGTAGCATCTTCACCACCTTGCCAATCGATAGTGATATCCAGACCGCGAGATCCATTCTGCTTTCTCTGGTACCCGACCTTTCCTGTGAAAGACTGGCCCTTCTTAAGTGGCTTCGGCTCTTCCTTTCCGTGATCAATGAGGAGGATGGTCTGCATCCAGTGAGTCTCGATACCATCCGGTCCGGTAGTGAATGCAACAATTCCCTTCTTCTGCATTTCAGAGGGAATTGCATTTTCAGGGACGGGAGAGTCTCTTGAGGGCATGAAAAAGATATCGAACCAAATAGCGAAGCCATCAAGAGCATCGATGTCCTCATTCAAAGTAAATTCGAACTCCTTGATGAAGTTCAGCTCTTCAACCGTAATGGTGTGGAGGGGCAATGGCAGGAAAATGTTTGAGTCGCCGGGAATGGTTTTAGACTGAACACCGCGAACGAGAGCCTCGTCATAGATGTTCAAGAGCATGCTCGTCATCTTGAAGCCGTACACATTGTGCCAGAATGAGATGTGTGACGCAACGAAATCCGGGTCGGCGAAGGGCGCAACGCGCAGAGTGGCATGGGAGGGAACCATTAGACCATCCGGAGTCAGGTAGCGGTCCCTGGCATAGATGACGGAGTCAAACATGGCCTCGAAGAGAAGACCGTATCCCATCCACTCGGATATGATGATGTCGACCTTCTCGACCGGGAGAGTGACTTCCTCGATCTTGCCACGAATACAGCTATTTGTAAAGTCAGTCATGCATATTCGTGAGATCATGTGCATAAAAACGAGCACTTACGTGATGACCTCACCAAGACCATTGTCATAAACAATCTCCTTAGCACGGTCAATGATGTTCGAGTTATCGACCGAAATGACCTTCTTCGCGCCGGCCTTGGCGCAGAACATGGACAGAATGCCGGTTCCACATCCAACGTCCAGAACGACCTTGTCCTTGAAAAGGTGCTTGTTCTCGTAGACGAAATCACGATAGGCATCGGTACGAATGGTGTCCTTGAGCATAGACTCGTGAATGGCTGACAGAGATATTGAGGTTAGACAATATATATATAAGGCGTCTCGGGCCATGGGAACATACTGTTGTAGGAGTAAGAACTGAAATAGTCAGCATCGACCTCCTCGGTCTTGTCGGCAGAGCTCTTGGCTGAGACACCGGGTTCCAGCTTCTCATCCTCCTTGGTCAATTGATCTTCCATGGACTTCTGGACGGCGGTCCTGTACTCCGAAAATTGCGTCTGCAACCGCTCTAGGTCCTCCTGCAGTTCAAGAACCCGACGCTCAGCATCACCACCAGGAGCTGCATCTTCATTCTGCTCTTCGGCGATATCATCCAAGCTATAGAGAAGGGCATCGTCTTCGAGCACGGGCTTCATATACGCATCGTCTTCAAATCGCGACTTGGAAGAGACATCGGGGGTGGTATTACCAGCCTTCACCTGGGAGCGAATATAGTTGACCAGTTTGATCGAGTCCAAGAAGTCGAGACCTGCCATAGTCGATACATTAGTATCGCGAGACATCAATGCGAGCCAACAAGCAGCGTGGGCTACATACCTAGATCCTTTTGGATTTTCAGCAGATCGAAGTTATGCTTCTCCTTGCACATCTGGAGCATTGAGCGCACATCAGGGTAGACTGTCTCAGAGAAAAGATCGACGACCGGCTGCGAGTCGTCCTCGGGCTCAACATCTTCCCAGCCCTCCTCGTTGCTGGAATCGGACTCATTGGAGACCGATTGCGCGTCAACAGGGGCCTTCTCGACAGGTAGATCGGCAGCACGGGGGGAAGCCATGGTAACGGGCAGCTAAATAGATCGAAACAGCTGGAGGGGTGCAATTAATATTCCTCCAAATAAAAGAGGGGCAGTTGTCTGGGACGATAAAAAAAATCCGTTATCAGGCGGCCTCAGGCCAACAAACTGGAACGGTTGCCCCGCCATGTTTGTTTATCGTAAGCGGTCGGCGAACCGTCTGGACCGCCTCGATCTAGCCGGATCTCTCCCACGTCGAGCTTCACATTGTTCCCACCTTTCCCTCGGACCATGGCTTTCTTCTTTAATCGCGGCCGGTCGCGGTCACCTGCCGATGTCGTTCGCTCGACCAAGGACTTGCTGCTCAGGGCCCAGGAAACCCCCAGCACTCCCAAGGTAAGGAGATCGGTTTTCCGGATGCCCTTCTCACACTCACACCGCGACAGGCAGACGAAGAGCTGGCCAAACAGCTCGGACAGATGAAAGTAATTGTTCAAGGAACACAAGGTCGGCTACGTACCTCCCTAAGATTCATCAAATGCCGCCCTCGGACACTGGACGAGATTGGAATGCATGGCTGACAAGTTACACTCCGATTTTAGAGACCAACACCTCCCCGAACAAGTCTATGCTCTCATCCAGGCAACGCTCCAGGAAGATCTACTGTATGATTTATCGCGATCCATCCACCTGCTCCCCTTTGAGGCCAGAAAAGATACGCAGACCATCTTCTCTCATATCCTACGCTTCCGGCCCAGCTCATACGCGCCCGACAAAGACCCTCCCGTCATCTCGTATATAGTTCATCACCGACCCGAGATCCTCGTTGAGTTATGCCGGGGCTACTCGCATAGCCAAAGCGCGATGCCATGTGGTGTGATTCTCCGAGAAGCCCTTAAGTTCGACGTGGTCACTGCGGTGGTTCTTTATGATCAATCACACGAGGGCGAGCCGGCCGGGCGACTCTCCGACTTGAAGCCCAATGCCCCCCAAAATGGCGAGGGTGTATTTTGGAAGTTCTTCGAGTGGATTGACAAAGGCAATTTCGAAGTGAGCGCCGATGCGTTCACAACATTTCGGGTATGTTTGAGCTCGATCAGAACTATATAAGCGAGACCGGGACATCGCACGACTGATACGCGGGGTGCTCCACAGGAAATTTTGACTCGACACAAGAGCATTGTGACCGCATACCTGGCCAGCAATTTTGAGCTTTTTTTCGGTCGCTTCAACAACATTCTTGTGCAGTCCAACTCATACGTGACCAAGCGGCAGAGCATCAAACTGCTTGGAGAGATCCTGCTGGACCGTGCGAACTACAATGTGATGATGGCATATGTGGAGAGGGGCGAGAACCTCAAGTTGTGTATGAAGCTTCTCCGCGACGATCGCAAGATGGTGCAGTATGAGGGGTTCCATGTGTTCAAGGTATGTGCCTCGTCGCTGTCAACCCCAGGAGGGGGGCAGGCGGCAATTTAAGAAAGGACGCGCTCTGACAAGGGGCAGGTATTCGTGGCGAACCCCAACAAGTCGGTCGCGGTGCAACGGATCCTGATCAACAACCGCGACCGGTTGCTCAGATTTTTGCCGAAATTCCTGGAGGACCGAACGGACGATGACCAATTTACGGACGAGAAGAGCTTCCTGGTCCGACAGATTGAGCTTCTGCCCAAGGAGCCGGTGGATCGGAGCCGACCCAGTCGGGACGCGCAGTCTGGGGTCAACACGGCCGCGGTGGCCTAAAACCGATCCACCGCTGGGCGGCCGGATTGCAATGAGCATTTTCACGCGATGATGACTATTACTTATGTACCTGGGGCCAGGATAGCCGAGGCGTGGATCTCTCTCTCTTTTTTTTTTTTTTTTTTTTTCCTCTTGGGGATTTCTTTTCTTGCATGGGCAGCGGATGGCCTGCGGGCGTTTGCGTCGGTTTGTACATGTTCAATCTTTCATCCTTCAGCTCTTTGCCGGGTGGTTCGGGGAGGGAAGCACCAACATAAACCAGCTGCATCTCTTGTATGTCGGAGGCACACCGCTCGTCCCCAATGAAAGTCGTGTCCACGGGGTATGACTTTCCTAGCATTTCACGTACCTCAAACATTGAATTATCTACGACTCCTGAAGTAGATATCTTGCCCAAACACCCTGTAACGGAGAAGATGATTAGCGTGGAGAATAGGCTTTCCCCTAGAGGGCCGTTGCAGAAGAGATGCAGCTGCGGAGACACTAAAGTCGCCGCAAATATTCGAGCATCATGCAAGCCTGGCGGTCTATGTGCTATTAAGTAACTCTGTATTCTTCAATTTGTCCTCTCTGCTGTACGATGCCTTTGCTACACAGCTGCTCCACACAATGTCATGGCCTTCAGCACGACCATGACATGGTTGTGTTCTAATCTAAGCACCACTAGTGCGCTCCACCTGCAACTCTTTGGCCTCATCGCTCCACTGCAGCGCGGCCCAAGGCTGGGAGACGACCAGCGAGCCCCTTGAACGGGGGATCATTGAAGGACCCAAGATATCGACCCTCCCATTGACCTGCCCGCATAATAGGAATTGTCCCTCTTACCAGGCGTCCCGCCACATATAATTACCTAGTACCTTATTGTTCGCATAACGGGCCGCGCCAAGACGAAGCCGCGACTCCACCACTCCCCGTCTTTTCGTCTCATCTCGTTTGGTTTTGGCCTCCGTCGATTTTGATTTCATGCCCGTCGCTCCTTTTCGAATCCACTCCCCTCCTCCACTGCCGCCCTCCGCTCCTTTTTCCTCCAAGTCATGCTGGGATAATGGTGGACGAGGCTCCTGCATCGCTGTCGCCGTCGCCCGCTCGCTCGGAGTCGCGCTCGACCGTTCGCGCCGTCCCCTCCAATGACTCCCTCGCCGTAGCACGTCCACCCGCCATTCGCTCGGTCTCACTACCAACCTCCGATCAAGCGCCACCGAATCCCAATGGCCGATCCCTCAGTACAAGCGCCGCGTCCCCAGGCTCCGTCGCCGACGACCGTCCCGCCACTGCGCTTGCGGAGCAGGGGCGCGCCAGGCAGGAGGGGGAGACTGAGGCCGTTCACATCCTCGGGAAATGAAGGCCGGTCGCGCAAATCAGAAGAAGGCCGGTCAGGCAGTCACGCGCCATCGTTGCGCAGCGTGCCCAGCATCGTGTTGAACGACGGGAGCTCACGCCCGCCCTCGCGACCAGGGTCACGGCCGGGGTCTCGTTGGTCGGAGCGCAAATGGGGCGGGTTGCGAAAGAGGTCAGCCGAATTGGAACGCAAGATGAGCTCCGAAGAGACTCCTCCCGTGCCTCGGATCGAGCCGTCCTTCAATGGCATCAGCTTGGACATCCCTACCGGCTCCCTCGGCGGACTTGGTCAGACCATGAAGTTCTCCCATCGCGGCAGTCTCATTCGCGACCAAACGACTCGCCCACGGCCCGGCAAGCGTTTAGAAAAGCACGCCGAATCACCCCCAAAACAGATATCCGAGCCACAGTCGGAGGCACACTCGATTCAGCAAGATATCGACATATCACCAGCGCCGAACCCGTCGACGGGTACCGATGACACCGAAAATGATCTGCCCAAACCTACTCCGCGGCCTCAGAGGCCACAAGGCACCCTCCGACCCCGACAGACGAGTCTCCAAAGCAGGGCCATTTCTGCCGACGAAGATATGCTTTCCCGCCGAGTACGATTGATGTACGACCGAGGGGACGACAAAGTCACGGATTCGGACGTCGCAAAATCAATTGCTCTCGATAACGGGGTGCTTTGGGAGGAGGGCGCAACCTCGGATGCTGAAACCGCGTCTACACTAGGGCCACAGGCGAATGGAACTAATACCGACTCCAAAGGCCGAGCTTCAGAGGAAGTGGAGCGCATTCGAATGAAGCGAGAGACCCAAGAGCTGGCAGGCGGGATCGAATACTGGCAAAATGTTGGCGCTGAAGACGTGGATCGTTACGGCTTCATCCATGCCCCTGCTAAAAATGGCTCTGGTGACACCGAACCTCATCCTATTCAACGAGTTACCACCAGTCTACTGCTGGCCTCCGAGACCCCACGCCGCAAGCGGTCAATTCGGCCGTCGAGCAACCGCTCATTTAATGGTCGCTCTCCTACTCGTAACTTATCTCAAAGTTCCGCGGCCGGTCGTCCCTCCTCGTCGGCAAGTACAAGCAGTGCACCCATTCGACGCTCGACCTCTCGGCTGCGCTCCGCGACCAACCGCCTTCCCCATAACAGAGACCGAAAGTTCACGGACGAAGCAGCGGACATGCTGACTCTCCCCGACGGCATCGCTGGCAATGGCCAAGATGCGGCCACGGCGCGTTCAATGCGTCGAAAGGAGTGGGAACGTGAAGACAAATGGACCAAGATGGCGAAACCGACAAAGAAGAGCCGAGATGGCGGCGGCATGACTTTTGAATTTGATACGCAGAGCAACAAGCTGATCGAGCGAACCTGGAAAGGCATTCCGGATCGTTGGCGTGGAACCGCTTGGTATTCGTTTCTTGAGACGAGTGCCAAGCGACATCCAGATAGCCCCTCCGAAGAAGAGCTTATCGAGGCCTTCCACGAATATCAGTATGTCTCATCGCCGGATGATGTACAGATTGATATCGACGTACCACGCACCATCACTAGCCACATCATGTTCCGTCGGAGGTATCGCGGTGGACAGAGGCTCTTGTTCCGAGTGCTCCATGCTATGTCATTGTACTTCCCCGACACCGGCTACGTTCAAGGCATGGCAGCTCTCGCAGCCACCCTGCTGGCATACTATGATGAAGAACATGCCTTTGTCATGCTCGCGCGACTTTGGCAGCTTCGTGGCCTGGAGCAGCTCTATAAATCCGGCTTTGCTGGACTTATGGAGGCTTTGGATGATTTTGAACGAGAATGGCTGGCCGGTGGCGAGGTGGCTTCGAAGCTCACAGAGGTCGGAATTCCGCCTACGGCCTATGGTACCCGGTGGTATCTAACTCTCTTCAACTACTCTATCCCTTTCCCCGCCCAGCTTCGCGTGTGGGATGTCTTCATGCTCCTTGGGGACGCTGAAGACCTTTCTGGTCGGCCTGCCACCTCTTCTGGAAAAGCCCCAAAGAAAGACCCTGGCACATTCGGGCAAGGTCTCGATGTGCTGCATGCCACATCCGCTGCTCTTATCGACGGTATGCGCGATATTATTCTGGAATCTGATTTTGAGAACATCATGAAAGTTCTCACCAGTTGGGTTCCCATAAAGGACATTGAACTATTCATGCGAGTTGCTAAAGCTGAATGGAAGGTTCACCGTCGCAAAAAGGCCCCCTCCCACTAATTATACATCGACCTGTTCCTTTTCCTTTTCTCGACCTGAAATACTGCCTTTGACGGATATATAATACCCTAATGAATGGGATGAATCCCGAGGACCGACCTTGATGCCTAATTGCTTTCTTCCTCTCCCCTGCTATACCCAGCTTGTGCCCTTGCTCACGTGTAATCGAGAGATATTCGACTGCGTTAATACAACTGGCATTCTTGTCACAGTACTGTCTTATTCCTAATATCGTGTATCCTCTTTACCTTGTGACCCTTCATCCTGACTTCTCACATTCCCTTCACTCCCCCTTCGCCTGTTCTGAGGCTTAATAGCCTTTTGATGACAGCATCTTGACTATGCATAATCTTGTGGCTGACTCTATCTTCTCACGCTCTCTCGCCCACTCTTTCGTCTTATGTTTCGTTTTTTTTGCTTTTCTTTACCCACTCCCCAGACTTGTGTACATGGCTGTGTTTCTTTCATATTTTGCATCTGAAAATGTTGCCTGGCGCATTTTGGAAGCGCTAGAATACGTCGCAGTGAAGCAGAACCCCTCATTTCGAGGGACCTGTTCGGTTCGCTAGCGTTGATCTTGTCGACTTGCCATCGTGGTGCCTCATTTGATTCAAAGAGGGGGCTTTCATCCTGATACCCATTTCAACCCATATATAGTAACAATCGAGTTTTAATTTGCAATGATTCCGTCGTATTTAGAACTTTCTTTTTCTCTCTTCCTGTCTTTTGCTTGCTTTATATAGAGACGGATTTGTGACAGATGCGACAATGTGAATGCTCAAACACTTTTTATTTAATCTCTTATCGATCCCTGAAGCTCCAAGATTCAAGTGCTTCTATCCCAGTAGACCCTCACCAGCCTTGGCGCCCAAATTACCTTTATCAATATAGGCCGCCTTGAGCCAATCCTTGGCCCGCGGGGACACACCACGCTGCTGCTCATAGACAACCTCGATATTGTACACGGTATCCAAACCCACAGTATCCATCATCTGACATGGACCCTTATCGGCCTTGAACCATGACTTGAACATATCGTCAATCGTTCGGCCATCACTGACCCCGTCCGCCATCACCAGTAAACATTCTCGTTTGATGGCGGCCCAAATGCGGTTGAAAATCAATCCGGTCGAATCCTTCTTCGCATGAGCAGGCTGAAATCCAGCCGTGGCGGCCTTGTCCATCAGGAACGGGAAGATGGCCGGATCTGTGTAGCCGCACGACATCACCTCGTAGTATGTCTGCTCGGGGGGCATGTAGTAATGGCTATTGCAGATGCGAAAGTTGTGAGTCGTCTTCTCGAGCATCTGGCTCGACCGCAAGGAAGACGAGTTCGTCGTCACGATGCAGTCCAGGGGCGCAGTCTTATCCAGTTGGCCCAGTATATCGATCTTCATGTCCAGCTTTTCCGGCACAGCCTCGATGACCATCCAGGCGTTCGACGCTGCCTCCTCCAGCGACGCAGTCAACTTTATTTCGCCAGGCTTGGTGCCCAGCTTCGACGCTTGCTGTTGATGAACTCCAATGCACCATCGTAGCTCTCGATTGACTTCTCGCATAAGATCACACTATATCCAGCTGCCACCCACATCATGCTGATCCGTCGGCCCATGATTCCGCCGCCGATCACAGCGATTGGACGGTTGCTGGTATTGGGCTTAACCCACGGGGACGATGGCATAATGGATGAAATAAATAGTTTCTTTTGGGGGTGGAGAAATGATGGAAATGAGTTGCAATGCTCAGGGTGCCAGAGGAACAATGCTGCCGTTTTGGAGGCTCGGATTTAGCGAGTTTCTTGTGGCGACTGACTCCTTCTGTACATCTTGAAGGCTGATGATGCCACAATGACCGAACAGCAACGAAGTTGGCCTCGTCCATGATGACCTCAGCATGAGAACAGCTGTGGCTGAGTGGGTTTATCATGACAGTGGCTTAAATTGTTGACAATGTCGGTATTTGCTTGGGGATCGCCCTCTCATGGCGCAGATGTATAGATCTTGACATAGCCGTCGGGAGCTAAGCTGGGATGGGCCCGTGCAAAAGCAGGAAGTTGCATACTACTAACAGTAGCTTAGCAGGCCCTAGCATGGATTCAAATCGATCATTGCCGCCGGTTCATCTGCCTAGTTGCCTGTCCGTGCATTAGTTGCAGGGAGCAACCAATTTCGCCGGAACCGAGCCCGATGGAGATCTGCACACTCGTAATGCCAGTGCTGGCATCCCCCAGACCTCCTCAAGTGGCAACCATAGCATTGAATCGGAAGATAGAACTTACAGATTAGTTGGCAAGTGCAGGCCGAGGACGGCACACCCAGCGGAACTCTGACCGCGTGCACGGCGTCGACCCCTCAGTGCCAAGGATACGGCGTGAAGATCGCGCCTTCTGGACTTTTCATCCTCCCCGGACGTGGGGGAGAATGGGGGAATGCGGGGGGAGAATGAGTACAAATACCAGGCTCGCAGGCTCGCTCATGCCGCGGCTTTTTCTTTTCTCTGTCCCACCCATTTGCCGTTGCTCACTCGCCCGCCATGCTGGAATCCCCCGACACGTCGCTGGAGAAAGCCGGCGCCCACGAACTCGAGGATGCGAAGACTTCGCAGGATGAGAAGATGGTCGGTCAGGAATCCGCTCTCGAGAGCGCGCCGGCATTCAATGTAGATGAACAGGCGGTGCTGCGCAAGATGGATATTCGCCTGATTCCCATGCTCAGTATACTGTACCTGCTTGCGTTCCTGGACCGAGGTACACCCTACGGGTCTGTCCGTGCATTTACGATGACGCTAACAAGCGATTCGCAACAGGAAACATCGGAAACGCGAAGATCGAGGGCTTGGTGGATGATCTGAATATGACAGGGCCACAATACAACTGGACGCGTACGAATTGCTCCCAGACCGATCGACCGAGTCACATCAATGCAACTGAGCCCGGCACTAACAGCCGTGATCGTCAATTTTAGTGACTGTATTCTTTTTCACGTATTGCGTCTTCGAATTGCCAAGTAACCTTTTGCTGAAGAAGTTGAGACCATCCAGATGGCTGCCTTTGATCATGGTTGCGTGGGGTATTGTGATGGTCAGAGTTCAATTCCGGAAAGGCGCCGGTCGGCTAGAGCTGACAGCTGACAACATGATAGACTTTGATGGGTGTGGTTCACGATTATGGTGGCCTTCTCGCAACTCGTTTGATGTTGGGTGTTGCCGGTGTGTACTCCTGACCCCCGAAGTGAATTGAAACGAGCCTTCCTGATAACTTGTTGCAGAGGCGGGCCTTTACCCTGGTGTCGCATACTATATTACCCTGTGGTATCCCCGTCACCGAGCACAATACCGCCAGGCACTCTTCTTCAGTGCTGCAAGCATTGCCGGAGCATTCTCTGGGATTCTCGCGTATGGAATTGCAGTAAGTTTTTTCTTCGCCACTTGTCGGATGGCTGCGCGTCTTACATGATATTACAGAAGATGGACGGGGTAGGAGGCTATGCCGGCTGGCGCTGGATTTTCATCTTGGAGGGCCTGCTAACTGTGGTGGTGGCCCTTGTCGCACCATTCGCAATCCATGATTCTCCAGAAACAGCCAGCTTCCTCACTGAAGAGGAGCGTCGGTTCGTCATTCACAGTCTGCGGATTCAGAACTCGGCAGATTCGCGGGAGATGGTACAGGATGAGAACAAGTTCCAGACGAGATATGTGCTTGACGCTTTCCTGGACTGGCAAATCTACCTCGGACTGTTCAGTATGTATTCCAAGGTATCCAAAGCATCCCATCCCGGAACGACCTTGTTGATTCCCTTCGTTTAGTGTATTGGGGCATCACCTGCCCTCTTTACGGCATCTCCCTTTTCCTCCCTTCCATTATCAAGGATCTTGGCTATACATCCTCAACCGCTCAGCTGTTGACCGTTAGTTCCATTATATTCAAAATTCTCAGGTGACTGAAAACCCTCTAACAGGCTCTCATTAGGTTCCGATTTATATTACTGCAGCAGTTGTGGCTGTCTTTGCGGCCTGGTTCTCGGATCGTCGCAAGCAGCGGTCTCCTTTCATTCTTTTCTTCATGGCCATGATTGCGATTGGGTTCGTGATCTGCCTGGCATCGAGTGGTCGCGGCGTACCGGGTGTTGTATACTTCGGCGTATTCGTGGCCGTCGTTGGTGAGTTTAAATTTGCCATATAATGTGTTCAACTAGACATCTAATGATCTCTTGGAAGGAATCTACCCTGCTTTCCCAGGAAATGTCACCTGGCTCAGCGTCAACCTGGCTGGCGATTATAAGCGTGCTGCGGGTATGGCCATCTACATTGGACTTGGCAATCTCGCAGGTGGTAAGTCTCATCGTGCCATTGCCAGGTCAATGCTTGTCTACTTTGCTAACCAAGGAAAGCAATGGCATCAAACTTCTACCGTGCCCAGGATGCCCCGCAATACATTCTGGGTCATTCGCTGGAGCTGGCGTTTGTTGTTGTGGGTATGGTGGCGACTGTGGTTCTGCGACTTGTATACCAACGCATCAATCGGAACCGGGATCTCCTGGATTCCTCGGAATATCCCGATAATCCGGATGCGTTGGGTGATCGGTCGCCCTTGTTCCGCTACATGCTTTGATGGGTCGAGAAACTCGCCATCTACGCGGTTTTGATCCGGAATAGTTGTGGTAGCCGTTGCTAGTTATCATGCAGTTAATTAAGCTATATATATGATTTTATTTTATTATATTTTAATTTTAATTTTTTTTTTCATGTTCCGTCTAAAAGGCATGAGATTAAGATACTCTGCTCTTGTCAGCGTGTTATCGAAACTGGATGATGTGATTTCGTGAGCGGATTTTCCTTATGGCCATAGAGTGAGCGAATCGACCAAGAGGGGATTGGAGATTAGTTGAGCACTACACTAATTATTAGCGCATTATCGCGACCTGCTGTGACGCTTTATCCCATTTTCTGGCAGGGACTTACGAGGTATGCCAAAACTGGGAAGCCCAGAAACAACTCATAAGTGTGTCCCTCGGGCCTCTCTTTTGAATGTTGCTGTATATTTTTCTCCGTCCTGCTATATCACAGTTCTGCCATCTTCATTGCTCCTTACCCTAACTTGCCCTTGCAGGTCCAGCAAAGCCACCCCGCATGCCAAGTCCGACCAAGAAGAAACCAACCCGTTCGAGCCAACCTAACTCCCATTCATCTAGAGTCCTCCAGCGGTCACCCACGTCGAAATTACTATCGGCATTAGATGGCCCGATGCCGACATATGCGTCGGCAAAACTGCGGATGATCTTGCACCAATCGTCGACGCCTCGTGAGAGCAATCGATCCGGATATGCGCTCGCTTCCACAACATGCAGGCCTGTCTAATCTCCACCGCGGTCCTGCTTCCCTGAACTGGGATAGCTGGCGGCCTTCCTCGAGCCCCCCATCCGCTCACTGGATTGCGTCAGAGCGCATACAAAAGGATGAGGTGGTTCCTCTGCCTCGCCTTGCAGCTCTCATCCAGAAACACGCCTAGGAGGCCACTTCCTGCGCTACTTTCGGCAGCCCAGTCATGTTGGGATTCGGTGCTGGCTTCGTGGCTATTGTCGCCTTTCTTGGGCACTCGACTTTCGCTGCTTCCAATAATAAGACCTCGTCTTCTGCGGCAGTTCACTGGCTCGGAGAAACCCCGGCATTTGCTTCTGGCGTCACCTTTGGTGTACCGTGGCCGAAGGGCAAATTTTGGCCCGGGGAAACGAGATTCGGTGTCGTCGGAAACACTGGGCATATTGAAGATCTACAGTCATGGACAACCGGCTACTGGGCCGATGGCTCACTCAAATGGACTGGTCACGCTATCGGAAGCTCGGAGGTTTTCTACGATAAATACACAATTGTTGCATCATCGTCAGCCTATACCCGCAATTCTTCTTCGTCAACCTCAACGGGCAATAGCACCAGCTCGCTAATCGTCACCAATGGTTCGAGTGAAACGACTGTGAATACCGGAAAGCTTTCGATTACCTTTCCGAAAGAGGGCAGCATCATCGTCAGCACGATCAAGACCGAGGAAGGCAAGACGGTGGCGGAGAATGGAAGACTTATCCTGCAGTCACAGAACTGGGTGCCCGACACCCCTGAGAACCGAGGAAATGCCTCGATTCAGTACTCCAACTTTGGCAGCAGCATCAACGAGGTCACAGTCGACCACGGCTCCGCCCGGGCTCTCGTGACTATTCGTGGCCAGCACAAGTCCACTGGCGGCACTGACCATGATCCGTGGTTGCATTTTGTTCTACGATTTTATCTCTATGCCAACTCTAGCTCGATCAGGTTGCTTCATAGCATCGTCTTTGATGGAGAAGCAGACAAAGATTTCATCACGGGACTGGGAATCAGATTTGACGTTCCTCTGAAGGGCGAAGAACAATACAACAGACACGTCAGGTTCGCTGGCGTCGATGGAGGGATTCTCAACGAGGCTGTTCAGGGAATCACCGGGTTACGGAGAGACCCTGGTGAAAACGTGAGAACTGCTCAAGTCGAAGGTCGTGAGCTGCCAGACACTGAGACCTGGGACGCCAGGGTTACCACGCGGCTCAAGTGGATTCCTACCTGGGGAGACTACAGTCTGGCACAACTGACGTCCGATGGCTTCAGCCTTAAGAAAAGAACCAAGGCCGGCCAGTCATGGGTCAAAATCCCAAGTGGATCCCGCGCAGAAGGTCTCGCCTATCTTGGCGGTGCCACCCAAGGTGGTCTCGCTGTCGGATTGCGCGACTTTTGGAAACGGTACCCGTCAGGACTCGACATCTCCAATGCTGCGTCCGACACGGGCGAAATCACCCTCTGGCTTTACAGCCCCGCAGCTGAGCCTTTGGATCTGCGACCATATCATGACGGTCTAAAAGAGGATGGATATGAGGATCAATTGGATGCCCTCGAGATCACCTACGAAGACTATGAGCCCGGCTTCAACACCCCTACGGAATCGCACGAACAAGCGAAGTCTACCTGTTTGCGTTCAACCAGACCCCGAGCAGCGACGAACTCTCCGGTCTCACAAGTTACATCAACAGCCCTCCTGTATTGGTGCCAGAACCGGATTATATCCACCAAACCAAGGCTCTTGGAGAGTACTGGGAGCTCCCTGTTACTGACAACGATGCGTCCAAAGCACTCGAGAGCCACCTAGACTTCATATTAGAGTTCTACAAATCGCAGATCGAGCAACGACGATGGTATGGGTTCCTGGAGTACGGCGACTTCATGCATACCTACGACACTGACCGACACACCTGGCGCTATGATATCGGCGGATACGCCTGGGACAACTCGGAACTTTCTCCTGACCTTTTCTTCTGGCTATATTTCCTACGAACGGGCCGCGAGGACGCCTACAGATTTGCAGAGGCTTTGACGAGACACACAGGCGAAGTCGATGTATATCATATTGGTGACTGGAAGGGTCTGGGCACCAGACACGGTGTACAGCACTGGGCAGATAGTGCCAAGCAGGCGCGAATCTCGCAACCGCAGTACAGAAAGTACTTCTTCTACCTCTCCGGTGGAGATGAGCGCATTGGAGAACTTTTGGAAGAGCTGCTGGATACTGATAAGACGTACGGGGTTCTGGATCCACAGAGGAAAGTTCGCACCGATGGTTGGACCCCCAGCCCTAACTCGACAGTGGCTTTCAGTCTGGGAACCGATTGGTCTAGCCTCGCTGCAGGCTGGCTCATCGAATGGGAACGTCGTGGGCCGCGATGGCAGGAGGCAAAACCAAACTGAACAACACCGTCACGGGAATTGCAAAACTCACCAACGGCTTCGTGACCGGCTCTGGACTGTACAACCCCGAGACCTGGACCTTGGGACCTCCCCCTACCGACCCTGAAAACCACGGGAATGTGTCTGTCTCGCATCTTTCCGCTGTCTTTGGGCTTCCGGAGGTTGTGTCAGAGGTAATTTCCTACTTTGGTAATGATCTGCCTGATGGATTCAAGGATGCCTGGCTTGATTACTGCTATTACTATCGCGCATCGGCGGCGGAACAAATAGCGCGATATGGAGCCAGCTTTGGCAAGCAGAGCCTATATCAGGCCCATTCCCGGCTGGCCGCGTACGCAGCATACGAGACGAGCAATTCTAGCCTGACCTTACGCGCGTGGAAAGACTTTTACACCGGCGATGGTATCGCACAAAATGCTTCATGGAGCACGACCCTCATTAATGGCAGTGCCGTCCTCACTGCCATTGATGAGGTTGAATGGCTAGCTACCAATGATATTTCGCAATATGGGCTAGCGGTCATTCAGAACCTAGCCTATATCTCCAGTGCACTTGAGGAGTATGCAGTTTGAAGATATCTCGAGAGCAGCTATATCGAAGCGCCAAAGCATCCCTCTAGAATGAGGTAATTAACGTCGAACTCTAGTACTTTTGCTAGATATCTTTGCTGCTGTAAGAAACATTTGAAACTTCATATAAGGCATTAATTGGGGTTTTAGTATCCTGCTATTCAATAAAAGTGCACTCTCAATGTCTCCAAACACCCCCAGGCAAATAATCTCCCTCGCTTGACCTTGCACCTATCATTGTATTATTCAATATTTTCACTGGCACTATCTTCTTGACTTGCTCCGAATAAAGCTCCCAGCCGCTTGGTCACATGTTGTTGTGAGTGTTACGGGTCGTTCGAAAGAAACAGATTCATTCGGTACCTACAGGACGAGAATCTCGAAGATGAAGAAGGAAGAAGAAAGAAAGAAATTCGGCCAGAAAAAGAGGGCTTAACTCCCCAGCAAACGCGTAGTGCAAACGACCCAAAATTATGCCTCAGGCACCCTTCCACGAGATGAGGCTATTCCCAGGTTCATCCGTCACAGTGAGCAGTAATTCTTCCTTTTTCCTTCCTTTCTTTTTTCCTTTTTTATTTTTTTCCTGCCTCTAACATTTGGACTAATTAGACGTATACGAGACAACCAGGCGAGACAATTTATTTCTGGGGAGTATAATTGCGTGCCTTGTAGTATTGAGAGCCTGAAGTAGGAGCTTGAAAATCTGGGAGGAGAGGTGGTAGATATCATGTGAGAGTTGGTGTGGTTTGTAGTATCATTCATTATTTCCACCAAACTATGCAAAATGCGGGCCTACATGTTATGAGAGGTTACTCCAGTGTCAAGGTACTTCGTGAGTTGACAGCAGATTAGTTTACTGTCACAAGGTGCGCAGCGCACTCGAAAACCGCTCTACTGCTTTCTTTTTGTGACTTTACTTTTTCGTTCTTTCACTTCTCGCACTCTCACTCTGCTCCTCCGCACCTCCTCAATTTGAATCTCCACACAACGTTGACTTCACCGATTTCACTTTCTTTCACTCCACCACCCCTCACGTCCTCACAATCAATACAAGTCTTTCGATCAGTTCATCCCGAATCGTCAATATGCCAGTCGAATTCAGCGAGGACCGCTTTCTGGCGGCATGCTTGAAGCACTTGGATCCCAGCTGTGGCAAGGTACCAATTTTCAGACACTGGTTGGTTTAACCCCTCAATCTAATTTGCTGACGATAATACAAAGGTCGATCTTGCTGCGGTGGCGGCTGCTCTGGACTATGGCAACGTCAAGTCAGTGGCCAATCGATTCAATTCCCTGAAGAAGAAACATCGGATCAGGGTCGACTCCTTCCGCTCGTCTGGAGTAAGTCGACAAAACCCTACCCCACTCCAGACATGGTGCAAATACTGACACTGAACTTTACAGCCCAGTCCCAATAAGGGCTCTACTAAGAGAAGACAGACAAGCAAGGTTGCGGTGAAGAGCGAAGACCAGGAAGATGACACCGGCACCAGCGAGGAGGAAACAAAGCCGGATGGTTCAAAGGAGGATACAAACCCGGAGGAACTGCTTGAACAGATTCTTAAGGAGGAGAAGGGGGTCTGATTGCTCCACATCTATGTCTCATCAGGGTGAGCATGAATCTTTCTCAGTTAAGCTAGGGTATCTGGTACCTTCGCATAAATGCTATTGATGACCTTCTATCCAGATTTAGCTTAAGTGAAATCTCGTTATCGAGACTTGGATATAAGCTGATATGTTCAGCCTTTCTTTTTCTGCATGCGCTTTACAACTCACGCTTTATCTCAGCGAGATGGCATTTCGGCGCGGGTAAAAAACTAGGGGTGCTCGAGTCGAGTGAGGTGGTCCACAATACAGTCCTGGTTTCCATATTAAATGCCACTTCAGGCCATGATCTTGCTGATTCTATTCTCCTTGAATCTTCAAAACTCTAAAAAAAGCACAGATTGGGGTATCGTAATGTGGAAGTTACAAATGAATCACGCCTTGAACAGGAAGCTCGGAGGAAGGAGGAAAAGGCTGTATATCTGAAGGCATTTCAGAAAACAACTGAGCTCTCAAAAAATCAAATGAAAGAAGGGAAGCCCGCGAAGAAACCACTGGCTGCAAAGGTTGGGTGAAGTGCCATCATCAGATGTCTGCCATAACAGACTCCACAATTTTGCGTTTGTACTGTGACAAAGCGCTTTCCTTTTTCTGCATTTGTGCCCTCAATCTCATATAGCGCTGCTTCCAACTGGTTTCTGAAGCCGGAAAGTCTATATTGTCTTCTCCAAGATCAATATCATCCACTTCATGACCTGCAGCTGCTTTGTCTTGATTCGGGATCGTATTGGAGGCGTGGTCAAATGCTGTCGGGGCGCTCGAACCAATATGCCCAAGTACGAGCTGCATCGAAAAACGATGAGATGAACTGTAATCCAAGGAGACCTTGAATCTGCCTGTTGAGCCGTGGCCGGGTCCGGACAGACCTCCGTCCACACTACCCTGTGGCAATACCGGTTCAATGTTCAGATAAATCGCACTCGGACGTGGGGTTGCGAGCCCAAAGCGATGGGCTACACCTAGTTGAATTGCCATATGTAGTGCCGGAAACCCAAGGGATACCTGGGAGTATGCCGAGGATAGATTGGCGACTAAGCCCGACGCTAGTTCATGAGCTTCATCGGGCTTCAAGGGGGCGGCTCGTCCGGTTAGATGGGCGCGGAGAAGCTCTTCTGATAGGACACGAACGATATCATCAATTGATATCTTTGTAGCACTGTCTTCGGTATTATGTTTTCCAGCTAAGGAATGACCCGCTGACTTAGAGCCTTGTGCTCCCTCGATAGCTGCCCCATTGACACCGTTGACCAGCAATGTGGGAGGTGTAGCGAGGCGTACTGGGGCGCCCATATGCTGAGGAACCTGTAGTTGAAGCTTACTTGGTCTTCCAGTCGTGGCTGGAGTGGGCGAGTGATGATAACTCGCACCCGGTGTGGATTCTGGAGCGTTTTGATCAACCACAAGATGAGAGGATTGGCTGATTGGGCTGGATGGAACCTGTGTAGGCTCACGTGCACCATTGACCTGGAACGTAGAGAAAGATCCAGGTGCTAGCGTTTTGCTTGATGGTCGTCCCCGGCTTTTCCCCGTGGAAGAGCCGTTGCTGCTCGGCCAAGCGGAGGAAACCGCGGGACCATGCCTACGCCGCGCACGAGTTCTCTCGCTTGATGATGGTGTGACGGCAGAGCGAGGTTCCACTGATGCAAGTGCGTCGGATGGCTGATTTCCCCGAGGTATTATAGCTGACTGAGGATAACCTGCAGGGGATGTCTCCCTTTCAGGGAACCTCCAACGAAGATCCTGTCCCTGTGGATCCGAAGGGCCCGAGGGCGGGAAAGACGAAGACGCTGTCATCCAAGGGTCATCATCTGGAAAGGCGCTGAACGGTATCGCGCTTTGTGGGAATGTGACCGAATGGTTTGGGAAGCCGCCTGGATGCAGTCCTCCAACCGATGTGTCCAATTGAGGTCGTTTAACGGATTTCTCCTCTTCAAGTTCCCTTTCCTCCGCTCGCTTCCTACCACGCTTAGGCTTCCATTGGGGAACAAGAGCACGGAGAGCGAGATCCTCTTCCAACGGTACACCATCGCGCGATTCGCTGACAAACGGACCGGAAGGGGGGAGCTGGGTGTAGTATGTATGATGATGACCAAGACAATATTCGAAAAAAGCATCAACATGCATGGCGCGCATCCATCGCTATACATAGTCAGGATATCGTCATAAGGTGGAGAATTGTGGGACCCGAGTACCTTCAAACGAACTGCATACTGCTGAACCTTCTGAGTGCTTTGTTTCTTCTCCATAGATGGGGGCTCTACCCCTAGCTCAATCGCTAGCTGAATCCACGTTTTCAACTCCTTGTTGTCAAGTTTTCGAATGAGCTCAAAGAGAGTAAACACGCTAAAGCTTTTGCCATCACTGCGTGGAGGACAGCGGAAGGTCCGTCGGAGCTCGGTGGTATCGACAGACGAAGGAACATTAGGATTGCAATAGAGAACAAATAAGACATAGGCATCGTCAATTGTTTCGTCAGTAATTTCACGCGATGGCAAAAGGCGAGATTCTGCCTGGTCAGCCGGATCTTTCATCTGCTGGTGTCGCAGAGCATCGAACACCGGTGGAGACATGGACGGACCAGAGCGAGCCGCTGATGAGGGAGGGAGTGCAGAGCGCATTCCCCTGGGAGAAGATTGAATACTTCTTGGGGTCTCCTTGCGATGTAGTGAGGGTGATTTGTTGGCGTCCACTTGGCTGCGAGCACTGCCAAGCGACGAGGCACTACGAAGCGCAGATTCCAGTGTCGGAGGGTATCTTGCATACTGCTGGATGACGATTTGAGACGCACCGAGTTCGCTTGGATCAGGACGGTCGGTCGAACTCATCATGGCCGAGAATGTTGACTCCATCGAGAAGCCCAAGGAGTTGTCGACTCCCCGACAGACGGACTAGAAACACCAGACGCAACAGACTCGCAGTCATAGGTTCTGCTCTGGGATGCAGCCAATGGACGGGGTCCTTTGACATAAGTAGGAGAACCAGAAAATGGGGAGACAAACAGAGAGCAAATGGGCATCCTCTCCACGAGGATCTCGCCTCGAGGTGGCTGGAAGCGCCGTTCGAGCTGCACGCTGAGTTTCTATTTTTACGGTGCATCTAGTCGTCCTAGAGAGGTTTAGCGTTTGCGCCTTACGGGCGGGGTTATCTGCCTGAACCGTGCGACGACATTTAATGCTGTACACGTGACATCAAACTGGGAAGATGACCCGAGCGGGGTCACGGGGAACGCTAGTCAATCTCCGGACTAGTGTTGAGCACTGACTTATCGATAAGGCCGATCAGTAACTGCCACCCGTTGCGTCCCGCCAAGGTCGATCGAGTTCAATGCCTCCTCCCCTTCAACCACCCTGCCTCCCTCGGTCCGTCGCACTGCACTCCCTCATTCGATTCTCTTGAGGAATACCATGCTCGCTTTGACGGGACCTTCGGTCTAAGCCACCTTCTACTCGATATGGTTCCTTCTCGGGCGAGTGGATCGTCGTCATCTCGACCTCCACGCCGTAGCCGCGCCACAGTCCCGAGCTATAACGAAGCCACATCGGAGGAAGACAGCGATTTTAGGACATCCGCCACCACCAGGCCACGCAGGCAGCCCGCCGTTTCATTGCGATCCCGTTCCGCCACGCAGCGTCCGTCGTACCGTGAATCTTCGGACTATGAATCGAGTACGGTTGAAGAGCCTGGTGAGGAATCAGAAGAAGCTCCCGCCCATGAGCGGAATGTATCAGTCGAAATCCGCGGCAACACTCGTCCCAGTATAAACAGGCGCATGGCTAATCGCCCTCAAACCTCTTCGGGACGTCAAAGACCTTCAGGCAACAAGCGAAGGCCGCGCGATCGGCCAAGTCGTGCAATTTCACACCCTGCGAAAAAGGCCAAGTATTACTCGGAGTTATTGGATGACACTACACGAGTCATTCCACCATGGCAAACATTACCTTATCACATTCTCTTCGACATCCTGCTCCACGCGACTTATCCAGAGCCGAATGAAAAATGGGAGGCCCGGAGTGACATGGCCAGATGGCTCGTCAATGTCGCTTGTTTGTGCCGCGCATTCCAAGAACCGGCTCTAGCTGCTCTTTACTACTGCCCTCCTCTATTTCCGTCGTACAAGTGCCACGCTTTGGTGAATCTACTCTCGATGCCGCGGGAGTCTCTACTCATCAATTACGCCGGAAAGATCAAGGAGTTACTTGTGGATGTCGATGTACTTCGTTACAAAAGTGGACCTATCTTGGGTTATTTTGACTTAGCTCAGCTGATTCAGAAGATCCCTCAGGTACACATCGTGAGACTATATCACCAGGAAGATTTTATTCTCGGACATCAGCCATGGAATGTGCCACTGTCGAAGTGGATGTACTCAGAGCACCTGTTTGAGGTCATGGACTCGACTGGAGTACGTCTCCATGCGTGGGATTGGAATTCTCGTTTCCTCGATCTCCCTGATCTTCTTCCATTCATGCTAAAGCAGCATCAACGTCCGGCCTTTCAGCGACTCCGAGAAGTCAAATTACACCATCTGGGGGATCGAAACAGGCAGGATACTTCCGAAAAGGAGGATTCTTTAGCTTCTGCCTTGAAAGTACTCCCGGCACTTGAACGGTTGGAGCTGGTGGAATGTACTTTGTTGACAGACCGACTCCTCCTCCAACTGCCTTCGACACTTTGCTCTCTTACGATTACAAATTGTGATCGACTCTTCACGCCATATCTTGATGCGTTCCTCAAATCTCACGGGAGCTCTGTCCGGGAGCTTAACTTGAACCATAATCGTCACCTGGACCTTTTCTGGACGGATAGTCTTGCTGAGCATTGCCCCAATCTCGAAAAGCTCAAATTCGATGGGACCATCTACGACGCATCTCCTCATAATGATACCAATCCTCACTTCGATGCTTTGCTGAATCCCGACGTGGAGCCAACATGGCCACGTACCCTGCGAGAAATCGAAATGACGTGTCTAAGGAGACTGGACGGCGACTGTGCAGAATTGTTCCTCAACAGTTTACAGCATGCCGCTTCCGAGATGTGCTCGCTCCGTCGACTAGTTGTGAGCATGATCCTTAACGTTTCATGGCGCGACCGAGCCAGGTTTCGCGACACTTGGGTGCCCCAAATCACCCGCACTTTTCGTCGTTCTGACTTCGCTCAGAGTAGCCCAGAGCGTTCTCCATTTCCAGAGTCTTCAGCAGCACCCAAGCGCCATAGTGCACGGCTAGTCGGAAAGAAAGGTGCCCATGCTGAATCGGCCGTCGATGCACCGGTTTACGCACCCTGTGAGACCTCTCCAAGTGCCCAACCTCAGCAACATGGGATGTGCGATGAAGTTCTCATTCGGATCGATAACCAGCGACCCAGCGAGACGCAGTTCAACGAGAATGACTTTCTAGATTCCGAGGCCAGTGGCGATGACGACTGGCCTGGTGGGGACTAGTTGCCCGGCAACATCCATGGGTGCTGAAGGGACCCGTGTCCACGACAGCTCCGCTACGTATACCTGTGCAGTCTTTCATTCTTATTTCATTCTTGGTTCTTTTTGCTGTTTGTATTATCCTTAACAGGGTCTGGATTCGGGGTGTTCAGGTATACGGTGAACCTTAATCGGAATTCGGTACTTTTCGCGGGGTTTAGGGCACGGCATTCTCTGGCGTATTATCAGGGATGGTTTTGCAGGCCCCTGGGAGTTGGGATATCTTTTCGGGGGCGTATGTCATCTTTATATGCATCTATAATTCTTCATGCCCGGCTATTGTTTAGACCCGAGTCCCATGTATCAACAGATATCTTCGTTGTTTCTCTGTCTGATTCCTTAGGGTGCATAATTGAGTAGTAATCTCCTATGTCGATACCATGTAGTGTATTACTACATGATAGAAATATATACCAATGTAGTATGGAAGGAGTGGCTGGCAGAATCCGCCCCCAGTGGAGACCGCCAAGGCAAGCCCGGGGCCCCACAGGATCGCCTCACACGTGCTGGACCTCCTTCGATTGTTGAGCTCTCACAGCTCGCTCTTCTTCACCTCCGTTCTTCGACAGTTTGCAGAATGGCCCAAGATGCCCCTGCGGACACCGCAGGTCCTTCCTCTCCGCCACCCCAACTCCCTGAAGGATGGTAAGCCAGTCACTTCAATTTGATCTCACTTGGGTGCCCAATTAACAATGTCGGTGTTCAGGCTTCCTCAGTGGGAGGGTGTTCAGCGCAAATGGTACTTTGTGCAGCGAGCGACCGGCAAGTCCCAGTGGGAGATTCCTACCGAACCAGTTGTCCTCACGCCTTCGACGACACCGGGGTCGATTGGAACTGGACCTACACACCCACCCTCGCGACCGTCGACCAACAGCCCTCGAGTAACGGGATCGGGAAAAACATTGGCGGAACGGATTGAATCTGTCGTGGGCAATGCGAGAACCTCCGTAGGGAAATACGCTCATCTTGTCTACACAAGCAATGCGAGAGTGGCACTGATGGCGGGATAGAGCGCCCTTGACACCCAATTCAATGGACAGCTGGAACACCCCACGTACGGGCCCTCGGGGACGCCTAGCTGGTACTCAACCCCGGCCAGCCAACACATACCCCAGAACTATGGGCAGCAGGCTGCTCCGAGTAAAGTGCAATATGGAGCGGTGTGAACATTTGCTCAGCGCCCTATCTGGACCCATCTTTCTAATTACTTCAGCAGCAGTCATACCCGCCGAACTTGAACACGGGCCCCGCGGTAAATCATGGGCATATTCAGTTGTCCCCAAGTCAACGATCTGTCAGGGGAGATCCTTCCAACATGCAGTGGGGTGGCACCGCACCCGCCACTTACATCCACCCCATCCACCCTGGTGGCTATAACCCCCAGCAGCCCAATGAGCTACCTCGGGGGTTTGCAATGGACTCCCATTATTTACAATCATCAATGACCCATCCCGGATCAGTCGCTACAGAGAGCCATCTTCCAGGCCTTGCAGCCGTCCTACCAACAGAGCCTCAATGGCATCCAAGCCAGCAACCTGTACTACCAGATGCCCCACCTGAGTCGTTGATGGGTTCCAGCGTCTCAAGGTCGTCGCAGTCAGTGTATGCAGCCTACCCAACTTCGCGCCCTCTTGGATCCTCTCCGGGCGTTTTTGCTTCAGCGTCATCGTCCTCCAACCCATCACTGCCTGGAAGTGACTTCGCTCTCAGCCGAGAAGGAACCCAGTCGATACACAACACCTTGCCAATTCGTCCGCAGGGTGATGCTGGGAATTTTTACCCTGGGTCCGGACACTCTATGTCCCGGACTCCATCGCAACAGGCTGGCGGCCTGTCGCAACAAGAAATCCATGGTTCGAGCTCAATCATGCAGCCTCAACATAGAAATCAGCCACAACTGTCACTGGCACAGAGCCAATATCATCCCACCAGCATGTCACGGACATCATCAGGAACAAACTTCGCTTCCCCAGGGAATTCTGCTGCTCTTGAACCACAGGGTAGTACCGGCCCTCATTACCAGACTCCGCTTGTACAAGCCGGGATGTCTCAGTACCAACCGACTCCACACTACTCCAGCCATTCACCAGGGAATACATATTCTATGAGTGCCAGTCAGTCCTATCAAACGGGTCCATCGCCTCTCCAGCAGATCCAGTGGGGTGGTCAAAATCCCGGTGCTTCCCGCACGGCAGCATCCGATTCTCAATTCGTTAGTGGACCCTGGGCGTCCTCGACGCCGCCTGCTTCTGGGCCACCACAGCCACCGCGATGATTGAATCGACGCACTATGGTCAATAAGTAAACATGTGCATCGCTGCCTTACATATATTCTATATATCCTTCTTGGCCTGGAGGCCGTTCTCTTTAGATCCTCGTTTTGGCAATCGTTTCACTTCTGTCTTAGTTGCGTTCATGTCACTACTCCATCTTCGTAACTTACCATTTCGATACACGCATATCTTGTTTCCGATATAACTCAATCGACTCCTTGGATTTGTCTGCGGCCGTCGTAAGTATCGATGTGCGATGTTTGCAGTAGCGATAGGGACGCGTGCACAGCGTTTGCACATGAAACCTATTTGGTACTCAACAGTACTGGGAATCGCTGAACGTGGTTTGAGTCATGGAGCATCCATAGATTAAGAGGTTCTTTGATATGGCGTCCGCGGTATGGTCGAGTGGGCCATATAGGTCCCAGACGTGTCCCTGCTGTTGGGTCCGCAGTTCGCCGGCTCTGCACTTGCTCTCACTTCCGCCATCAGACTCTGTTCCGCCATCCTCAACCCACCTTCATCTTTCCCTTCCCAAATTCCTCATCTTTCCTTCTACATCTCTCTGACATCTGCGCGCCTTCGATCTACTCCTGATCCGAGACCCAAAGTCAATCCACACCTCGACACAAGATCCACTCTCAACATACCCTGTGCCTGCCTTCGAGACAGTATGCCCATCACATGGGATACACAAGCTGATGCCAAGGTACGCTTCTTATATTGTGAATTGAAGCCATCTCACCTGCCTCTTGCTGAACGCAAATGCTCCCATCACCACCTTGCCACACTAATACCGATCGGCTGACTCAAATTTAGCTTCTTGCTGGCATCGTGGCAACCTCAAGCCCTGCCATCAACTACCAGGCCGTTGCAGACTATATCGGAGATGGTATGCACAGCACCCTAAACTCATTCGATTTTTGATTTCCCTGTCAACAATATATCGTTAACATTCCTCCCTAGGCTGTACTATCAGCGCCTTGAAGCACCGCATTCAGCGCATCAAGGAAAGAGCGGGTATCACCGGCAACCCCCGATCGGCCTCTGGCTCTGGAGCCTCCAAAACCTCTCCTGTGGCCTCCAAGGTCAAGCATACCACCACTTCGAAAGTCACCAAGACCCGCAAGACCAAACCTCGCTCGGCCAAGATCTCCGATGACAATGCTGATCAGAAGACCGGTCCCGAGAATGAAGAAGAGCACCTCCATCAGGAAGAGGAAACAATTCAAGAGGAAGAAGGTGTTATCGATGGACTTGAACGCACATAGACTCATCCCTCTTCATGCAACCCCAGATCAGACTTTTTTCCCCTGCGAGCCCCTTTCTTGTGTCACAACCCTTGTCGCAGGGCCTGCAACGACGCAAATGGTAACATGGGGTTTTCTTTTTACATTTTCCGATCGACCACTGTGAGTTTGAAAAAAAAAAAAAAGGGAGTATTTTTTCACATGTCGAGTTTGGAATAGTTGTTGTGTGAAAAGACAGGTTGATCATCTATGCTATCATTATCTACAAAATCTATGGGGTATTGCTCTATTGTCTTCCAGCCCTGCGTCCAAGGACCAGGCCTGCATTCAAGCTTATGCTTCTCGACACTTGATAAATTCTCGTATGTTTATCTAACGGAAACATGATTCATATCCATGGAAGCAGGACGGTCTACAATAACGACTGGCAATTCTTTTGGCATTCTAACTCGAAAGAGTCTACGGGTATGTATTCACATTTCCGGCGAGCTATAAGTTCCTTTTTTTGGTTCTTTCGGAGCTTTTTGCAGCATACAATGCGAGAGAAAACCCAGGTGCAGTACAATAATGTTCAGGGGTTGCCCACAAAAGGGGGTAAACAAGCAAACCAGAAAATGCAAATCCATCAAGGCGTTTCAATAGGTATGTCTTGGAATGCTTATCTTGTCAGTCAGACATGAAATGACGGAAATGCGTTCGCCAGAAGCAAATAACGAGGAAACAAAATTGAAGGGAGAGACAAATTGGTTGCGCTTCTGCCGGAGGGGGAAGAGAGAGAGGGTGGCGTTGCTTAGAGAACTGTCGCTCGAACATATCTGAAACGCCCGAAAACAGAACAACAAGACACAAGAATCTCGGACACCGCACCTGGTCCTTATTTTTTTCTTTTCTTTTCTTTCTTTCCTTCTCCCTCTTTCTTTTTTTCTTTAGTTTTAGTGATTTTTCAGAGTGGAGTCACCAATGGCCTGATTGGGAGCTTAGGCATTATCGTCGAAGTACTCCGGCTCTGGCTCCTCGATATCCTGCTCGGCCCCGGTCTCGTTATCATCAGCCACATCGTCTTGAAGTTTGGTCCGCTCGTCGGTGTAGTCTGGGAGGCTTTCGGGCTCGGCTGATGCTTCTCCAGCTGATGCCTGGACGGTCGGCTCCGCCTCGACGGCGTCGGTCTCCGGCAGCGCGGTCTCGATGGGAAGGGGCTCCACTGGCTCGTCCTTGGGGGTTCTCTTCCGCTTCCTACCACGGCTGGACTTAGTCACACCCGCGGACTTCGACGATTTCGAGGCTCGGGGGCGCTTGGTGGGCGGGGACGGGTTCTCGTGGGTGCCGTTCTTTGCGGTCTGCCGGGCCATCTCCTTGATTTTTGCGAGGCGCTCCTTAATAGCCCGGGGGTTGGTCGGGCCTCGGCATCTCCAGCTAAAAGAAACGTTAGCTGGGCTGTTAACCAAGCGGGGGAAGCTCAATGCGACTGGCTTCCTACAGGCGAGATGCAATACTTACGCCACGCCTCTGCCACCCGAACGGTATCAACGGCCAAGTCGTGAGTCTCGAGGATCTTGACGAGCAGCTAGAAGAACGATCTGTTAGCGTATATCCATACTAGCGGCATTTCTTCGTCCCGAGGAAAATCCTAATCGCGGGGAATTAGATTCGGAAAGGTGAGATAAACACTGGGTGCTAGTACCCTTGTCATTGAGATCTAGGTCTTCGTGGACAAGGGAAAAGCGAATCTTTCATTGACATCGACAAGGGAATCTTTGGCAATCGCGAGAGTAAAGTGAATAATGTGTGGAATGTTTGCGGTGTGATCGGGGGATCTCGCTCTCGGGAGAGAGACTTTAACTCACAATCTGGTCTGCTGCGGCTGTCCAGCGAATTGGCATAATGGCGAAGGTCGTAAATCAGCGATGTCGATAGAAGGTAAATTGTCTTTGGGTACGGGTGAGTTTTCTTGCGAGTGTGGTTCGTTGTGTCGAATCTGGTGATGGCGATGCGGAAGATGTGAAGGTATGTAGGAGGAAGAAGAAGGAATATTGTGAGAAGGAAGAGGCTTTATAGTGGCGAATAGCCAATGTGATATGATATCGGAAACCTAGTGGTCTAACATTTGAAGGCGGCAAGGACTTTCATGGATATATTGAGTATCAACGCAAGTGTGGTCCAACACCGACAAAGCGTATGTGCTGACGGCAGCCAAGTTCCGTTGAGCTAGCAACATAGAGTCGGTTCAGGTAGTCGCAGAGAACGCGTTGCTGCATTACTACACAACTTGTCAGTCAACCAAGACCGATTTTTCTCGTATGAAAGATTGAGAATTCCGAGGCGACGGTAGGCTAAGCCCGATCTAAAGCGCACATTTTCTTTCCTTTTAGAGACGCCAACCTTGGAGGGATCTGCAGAGGAGAAAATGGGAAAAGAGCTTCGGAAAATCAAAATCCATGAGCTATGAGATACTCGAGAAAATGCATACTTAAGAAGAACGAAATTTGGAGGGGGTCACACAGAGTGAGTTTATCCGAAGCAAGACTATTGATACGGTGACAAGTGGGAGCAATGGAATATGGACAAACCGCAAATTTTGACACGCATGTTTACACATGAGATTACTCAAGATGTGAAAGAACAACTGAAGGTTGTGGGGCTTAGCCTCTGGTTGTAAATATCCGCGGCACAAAAGGATGAAGGAAAATCAAGGATCAAAGACTAATTGACAGCAGACACAGTTATTCAGTAGCTCCTTCAATTCACCAATCCTTCCGAGATTTCATGAGTCACATAGCGTCGTACAGGGAAAGCTTATGGACCAATAAAGTAGATATCAAACTTAGGAATGCCTAGTGTTTCGGCAATATCATATCCCTATATCCTCTACTGCTGGGGAGGGGGGATTTTCAGCTGATCGTAATTCAACATGTTATATTAACTATGATCACTGACTCGATCTTCACATTTTAAATGCCACCAGTAAGACACTCATCATACCGCTGACCGAACTGTGTAGGTTTCTTAGAATGCATTTCGTTGACGCCCTGTTGAACGAAAGTATGTCATGACTTTTTCGATCGCGAGATATCACAATTTTTCTGCCTTGGGCCATCAAAATGAAGGTATCTAGACTCACTGAGAAAGGCACTTCAACTTACCGATATAGAACTTTCCACAGCCAAAGACTGTGGTTTCGATGAAATTTACTATGTTTTATACGAGCTTCTTCAGATTGCTTTGAAGATAGGGGTAGATGGACATGATCAATTTTGGCTGCGTCATGCTACTTCCGGCGCCTGAGAGGTAAAAGGAGAGGGAATCTCAAAAACCTATCACCATGTCACATCAGAGCGATATTTTGACACGAATTGTAACACAATTTGAAATACTTCAAACTAACTGTTTCGCTTGAAAAGAAGTTGCCAAACATTCTGAGAGCTTTATTCCACTGTAGGTGCCTCTTGTTTGATCTCAATGTCAGTTTGTTGCGGTTCCTTTTTCAAATTAGGTATTTTAGTCTCATCCTCGCTTTTCACTGGTCCCATATCTGACTGGGATGGTGCAAGAGTCTCCCAGGTAATTGTCGGGGCATGGTTGAAAGTATGCTGTGGTTGTGCCTGTGAGATGGTTGTGTCCTGAATGTTGAAATCCTGTGATGTCAACGATGGTGGGTATGTTGAGATTCCAAATTGCCCAGAGCTTGAACCTGGCATTGAAGGCACCGAAGGGAAGATACCAGGTGACATGGAGCAGGGGATTCCGTGATGGTTGTATGGAGGCAAGGGCGAAAATGGCAAAGTGGATTGCGGCATCATGGAGGGAAATGGGCAATACTCCGATCCTTCCAAGAAAGCCTGGCTTTGAGAAAATTTTTGATTTCCATGCTCATATTTTATATAACGCCCTCCCTGCTGGAACATGGAGTCTGATGACTTCATTCTTGGCAACGCTCCCGAACAGGCCTGGGCGAGCGGCGTTGCTATGCTGCCTTTAGCTTCGGCCGCTTTTTCTTCTTTCTTGGCGCTCTTTTTCCTTGATCGTGGTGTTGAACCGTGGCCGTCGATTTGTGAACGGAACCGAGAATAACGCATTCTGGCAGCGTGGCCGTTGGAAATTTCCAGTTCCTCCGCGACTTTATTCCAGTCAATCTAAAATGATATAAGTCTTGATTTCCTGAGATTGAACTTCACATTGCAATACTCACCAGCTTCAAATCCAGCTGCTTGATGATAGCATAGAGAAACTTTGGAGTTGGTCCGTCTGTTTCCAGCACTTTAGTTCGTTGAACCATGGTTAAAAACTTAAGATGCACCCGCGGGCAGTCCGGTACTTCTGGGGTTAGATGTGAGGTGACCCAAGTTCTGTGTAGAAGTGAGGGATAATCAATAGCCGATGCACTTGGATGAACCGTATCAACGCCATTTATAACCTGCACTGAGCTATCTAATGGCAGATGGCATGCGTGGTACTCTTGAGAACAAAGTATCTGTTTGTCGGTAACCCTTCACAAAAGCTTCTTGTTGCTAATTCTCAAGAAAGAAAATGTTGGCACCACATGCATATGCAGCGCTGCCTCATATTGAAGGGCACATTCGCTACGAAAGTGCAACATGTTTGATATACTTCCGTATGCTACGTATTTAACAAATATCATGAGATGCATACTAGTAATAGGTGGTAACCAACATCTAGCAAATGCATCGTCGATGTTAGTTGTAGGGCAGTGCTTGCCAGTAAGTAGTCAATAGTTAACTAATAACCTATTGAATGGTTTCACAGTATGACTAATCTGCCCCTCCAGGTGGGCTTTGGCCAATCCGGTGAACGTCGACCTGCCGCTGCGACTGCCATAGGGAGCATCTCTTGGTTACTACACTGGGACAAAATCCTTTTCCAGTCCAATGAATTCTCGGTATCAAGGCCTGCCCTTACTGAGAAATTCACAGCATGTCTGTTGTTGCCATTGGCGCTCTTTACATCGATACGATTCTCACGCAAGTCTCCCATGAACCTCTGCCTATTTTAAAGGTACTAAGTCAAGGCTGTATTTCTAATATAGCCCAGGACACCACACTTCCCTGATGAGGATGAAAAGCTGCGTGCGTCAGGGATTTCTCGACGGCGCGGCGGGAATTGTCCCAATACTCTCGAGGTGCTGCAGCAACTAGCTCGAATTTCTCCGGGAAACCTTCCTTTGGCTCTAGTCACGGTACTCCCTAGGAGGTCATCTATTGCGTCTCGACAGATAATAGCCCAGTTTGAACCGCATGTGAACCTTGGTAGTTGCATTTACCGAGAAAGCTATGAGGAACCACCTTCGAGCTACATTATCAAAAGTCAGTCAACGGGGAGCCGGACAGTTGTCAATCACAATGAGCTTCCAGACATGACAGTGGAAGAGTTTGTTCAAATTTCTCAAGATCTAGGCCCTCGGGCCAAATGGTTCCATTTCGAGGTAGGTTTTGGTTGGGTTTTCTTATCAAGCTTCGTTAGCCTCTTTACTTCCGAGGTAGAGCATTCGAAGGGGTTGTCCTGTTTTACTAAAGCTCCTACAGGGCCGAGCGCCAGGTATTGTGCTCGAGTGCATACGTCACCTCCGCGCCGAATTCCCTTCTGCTCCTATCAGCGTCGAAATTGAAAAGCCGGGTCGGCCAGGCCTACAAGAATTAGCGAATGCAGCCGATGTGGTGTTCTATTCAAAATCATGGGCACTGGTAAGGCATCGCGATACTCCTTGCATTTTTTTTGTCAATTTGGAATCTGCTAATCATTGAAAAAGGGCTACGGATATGCATCTGCAAGAGAATGCTTGAAGGAGCAATCATTCCAGACACCAAATGCGTGAGCACCAAACCAACCCATGTGACAACAAAGAATCAACAATAGATCTAACCCATGGGCGAACCTCAGATCGCATCTTTTCTGCACATGGGGCCAGGATGGAGCCGAATTGTATGAAAAGGCCACAGGAAGATTCATGCATGCTGCAGCATACACTACAGAAAACTTTCAGGTTGTCGAGTGAGTCTTTATATTCACCTGGGTTGAAAATGCGCGGAGCTGACTGGCTGCAGCCCTGTGGGTGCAGGAGATACCTTTATCGCTGGGATGCTTTATGCGTTAAATTGCAAAAATGAGGACTGGGATCTTTGCAGGAAGCTTGAATTCGCGAATCGCGTAGCAGGGATGAAAGTATCGCAAGAGGGCTTTTTAGGGTTAGGTCGAGCATTAACTTCATGATTCGCAGGGAAATTCAATGGTTTTTAGTAGTCATGAAACATCACCAGGCCCCTCTAGATCCATATCCCCGACGGTTGTCTACCCCAAGTTGTCCCACCTCCAAACGAGAGTCCAAAAGAGGGGCGTTGTCACATGACCCAGTATAAGGCGGTGGGAAACTGCCACAAACGGAGCGCCAAGACGATGGTCGGCAGAAAAAAATCACACACCGCCTTTTACGGAAAGTGTCTGAAGGCCTCTCGGAAGCTCCTCAAGCTTCTTGATCGTGCAGTCGCATTCTTTGACAATCGCAATTTACTATGGCAGCAGTCTACAAGACCGTTTCGAAGAAGAAGGCCCGGCAGCCGGTCGAGGACCTGGATGACGACATGGACATGGAGATCGAGGAACTCCTCAACGATGCGGACGATACCACCGACAGCGAAGAGGATGAAGAAGAGGAGGACCGCATCGCCGCGGCGAAAAGGCAGCTTGCTCAGGGCTTCATGCCCAAGACCCGGGTGCTCATTTTGACATCGCGCGGTGTCACACATCGGTAAGGCTTCATATCTTCATAAGGAGTTGTAAATCTAACATTCCATCTTTACCTCTCCACAGCCATCGACACCTCATGGCAGACCTCTGCGCACTCCTCCCACACACTCATAAGGAGACTAAGCTTGACACCAAGAAGAAGACCGCCGGTTACAATCTTCTGCTGAACTCTCTTGCTGACCTGCACTCATGCAACATGATCTTTTTCCTCGAGGCCCGTAAGAACGGGCAAGATCTCTATCTCTGGCTTGCACGGCCCCCGAATGGACCTACGATTAAGTTCCACCTCAACAACTTGCACACTATGGGAGAGCTCGGTGCTGGTTTTGCTGGTAATTGCCTGAAGGGTGGCCGAGGCATTGTGGTCTTCGACCAATCATTCGACGACCACGGTCCGGACATGGGTGCCGGTGCCCCCGGTAACGAGTACCGTGCTCTGGTCCGCGAGATGCTGCGCGGAATTTTCTGTGTTCCTAAGCGAGGGGTCAAGGGCATGAAGCCCTTCGTTGATCGCATCATTGGTATTTTCGGCGTGGATGGCAAGATTTGGATTCGCGTCTACGAGATCCGTGAGTCTGAAGGTGGTGGTAAGAAGAAAGATGGCGAGGAGACCGTCAAGCCTGTTCCTAAAGGCAAAGATGGTGGTCTGCCGGAAGTGTCATTGGTGGAGATCGGACCTCGCTTTGTTCTGACCCCCATCGTGATCCTGGAGGGTAGCTTCGGTGGCCCTGTCATCTACGAGAACAAGGAGTACGTCAGCCCCAACCAGGTTCGTCGCGAGATTCGGATGAGCAAAGCTGGTCGCTACGCGGCGCGCAGGGACACGCAGACCGACCGGGTGGCCAAGCGGACAGATCTGGGATTGACCGACAACTCGTCGCGGAAGCCCAATGCTCTGGGAGTGAGGGAGCTGTTTGCGTAAGAATCATTGAATTCTCTTGTTGTTTTTCTGGGCGTCGCATGCTCTCTGCATCTCTCTCTCAATGTTTCGACTACATGTATATTTGATTCGACGATATCATGGTCTGCTCCGGCGTCAAGGCAATGTCTCATAGTGGTTAATTTCAAAAAGTATCTGGCATTCCATCACGTACCCCTTCCGAGGTTCAGGTTGCTCGAGTACCTACTAGTAGTTTAGTGTAGACGTTACAATCCCCATCGCAGTGAAACCTGACCGTGATCATCTTCTACGTGATGTGATTTTATTCATGTATAAGATGAAATTCATAAATGTTGTGCCTTGCTACTATAGTGTGTAGTGTTTCATCACAATATTCCGTAGCAGTCTCGACACCGGTTATTGCATTTTGTGAAATTGCGTATATGAACGGCATTTGTGGTCAAATTAGTGTGAACTGCTGATGGCCCTGAGGTGCTGTTGTTGTTTATGCACTCAATTGGAAAAGGCCCTCATGGACAAGAGTGTATATGGCACTTGATCCAAATCTCAAATCCGCTCCCTTATCAACCACGGGACACTAGGTGCCGATGCTTTCCTCTCCCATAATGGCTGTTGGCGAGACACATTCTCAGGTGGAGCTGCAAGTGGACCCGAGGCGTCGTGGCAAGATCTGGACCACAGGCAATACTACCACTATCTATTGTACACTTCGGCACCATGAAAGGGCGGCTACAAGTGAGATACACATTGTATTGCGGGGAATTCGAATGTACTGATTTTCCAGAGGATACAAACAATATCCTATAGCCTTAAAAGTGACGCCCAACCAAATTCATTGCACCAGCGACGGCGGAGCACCAACAGGGGAAACGATCAGAATCAGGTTCTGGTGGAAGCATCAATTTCGTTGGGGACCACACAGAGAAACTAAACAGAAACAGGATAAGGGGAAAAGAAAACGCAGAGGTTCGAATATCGAGGGATATGTCCGGGTTGACACTCCATCTTCCCCTGTTCTCTACCACATCCCGCCTGCGCATTCATCTTCGCATCAAATGACACCATCAAAAACCAAGGCCGTTTCAAAAATCACATTGTAAAAGAAGAGTCGTTGCGGCTACCTGACGCGTCTAGCAGCAGCCCTGCTTCTGGTCATTCTCCTGCGGGGTGAAATCGATAACGGGTCGGCCTTGACCGGGCTGGTTTGAGCTCGAGTCGCCAGCGTCGGGGGCCTTGATCGAAACGATGCGGTAGATTTCTGCAAGTTGGATCAGTAAGCTTCCTTGTAGTAGACTTCGAGCCTCGTGTGCCAGGCTACCCACCTGTGAGGATGTTCTGGAAAGCAAGTTCGACGTTGCTGGCGTCAAGAGCAGAGGTCTCGATAAAGGAAAGGTTGTTCTCGCCTATCAAGCGTCAGCCACTAAAAGGTTCTCGCCACTACTCGAGGGTCGCGGGGACGGACTGGCAAACTGTTTGGCCTCCTCAGTGGGGACCGCACGCAAGTGCCTCAAATCACTCTTGTTACCGACAAGCATGATCACGATGTTAGAGTCGGCATGGTCCCGCAGCTCCTTCAACCACCGGTTGACATTCTCGTAGGTCTGGTGCTTGCTGATATCATAGACGAGGAGGGCACCAACAGCCCCACGGTAATAAGCAGAGGTGATGGCACGATAGCGCTCCTGACCGGCAGTATCCCAAATCTGTGCCTTGATTGTCTTGGAGTCGACCTGGATCGAGCGAGTCGCAAACTCCACGCCGATGGTGGACTTCGAGTCCAGGTTGAATTCGTTGCGGGTGAATCGACTCAGCAGGTTAGATTTACCGACACCCGAGTCTCCGATAAGCACCACTATTCACCTGTTAGTATGAAGACTTGTCGAAAACCTGGTCGCAGGTGAAGAGGGAAAGTTTCGCCGGGGGAACACGAAGTGGCGGAGCGGAGGAGATGCGGCAGCCGCACGAGGCAACGTTACCTTTGAAAAGAAACTAGAGACAGGGTTAGATGACGTGGAAAACCGAGTAGCGGAGCGAAAGACTTACATCATACTCGTCGTTTGCCATTTTGAGATGAAGAGGGCGAAAGAAAGACAGGGGAGTAGTGGGAAAAAACAACGGGGGTTATGCGGCAGCGACAGGGAGAGGGTGATGCCTCCAGGGTGGAGTGCCTCCTTAACGCTCGGGTCACGTGGGGCGTGTGCTCTTGCCGCGTCGCGGCCATCAACGATATTCCTGGTTCCGCTTTGCGCCTACGCCCGCCTGCCACTTTGTCGCAGGCTACATCAAATCTGAAACAAGCAAGTGTAGATACACCCTGACTGTTGAAGAATTTCGCGCGTCTTAAAAATGGGACTGTTTCTTTCTTTGTGACGACATTCGTGGATAATCATTGACGCCCATGGCTCAGAGGCACATGCACCACCGCGGCGGCTCTTGATAAATTACTACCCTTCACTACTTACTCAAAGATTAAATATTTCACTCCCTTACACTCCCCACATAAACTCAGACGTCGAGATGAGAGACGCAGGAGATCAGTCAGACAAAGACTCTTGCTTCAACGGTTGCCAGCGAGCCTCAAGATGAGTACGAGATCGAAGGAATCCTCCACGAGAAAACCAACAGGGGAAAGACCCCTTGTATCTGGTCAAATGGATGGGCTCTCCACTCCACCGGTCTGAGTGGGAGCCCGAGGAGAACTTCAATGCGGAGACCATTGCCGAATGGGAGAAGAAAAAGGCCGTAATCAAGGCTAAACAAATCCCCCCTTTTGACATCAAGGCGTTTGACAAGGATCAGAAGCGCCGGAAAAGAGAAAAACTGCTACGCCAGCGTGCTCGCCAGGAAGAGAGGAGAAACAGACGCCAGGCACTGCAGCAGTCCTTAACAGTCCACGATATGGACCAAGACTCTGACCCGGATGGTGGACGGGAAAGGCTAGCACTCATTTTCAACCCCTTTTCACTGATGGAGGCTTGATTCTTATCCCCGAGGATGTGTTCATCGACCTGAAACGAGCCTCTCTTCTAGTCTATCGGTTTTTCGAGTTTTCTGCCCGGGAGACAGAGAGGGGAGAATTCTGGAAACTCGTACTCCCTCCGAACGCTTGGCAGCGCTTGAACCAAATGCATGAAGAGCAATTGAAACAACCCGCAAGCGAGGATTCTCGCCTTCTGCTTTCTACCATCGTCTGGATCAAACGAGCCAACTCAGTTGACAGAAGTTCCGCCTTCTTCTCGGAAGACAGCCTAGATTTCGGGAAGATTCGCAGGGGAAACAATAACATAATTTCATTTTCTTTGCCAGGCTACGGATCCCGCACCGAGGCCTTTCGCGGAAAGAAATGGACTTGGATCATTTAGCTGAGGCGTTTGCGGGATGGACACTCACACAAGCTATGAAGTTCCGACGGCCCATTATCATCTCTTCTACTAAATCACCGCAGCTAATGCAGCGTTGGAGAGACTGGGGACATGTCCGGCTCTACAGCACCGATTTATTTTTCCAGAAGTTCAAAATTCAACGAGCAGAGCCTATTTGGAAAGCTTCAGGGAAAGCTCGGCCAAGCGGGCAATTCTCCTGGAGACTCAACTTCCGATCCACAGTCTTTTACCCCCAGTACTTCTCATACAGATGCCACTCGACTGGGTGGTTGTGAAACATCCCAGCGTGATGAGCGCTGGGGCCAGCCTCCAGAGCACAGATCAGTTGCTCCTTACAGGTGAACGTAGAAGCCTGCATATGCGAAATCGTGACCCCCTCTGGGAATTGAGAGCTAATCGAAGGCTTCCATCGTGGTCTTCTTTTATTCCTCTGAGCGCATCTCTGCAACTTTATGCCCTAGTCATTTTGATATCCTATTAACGACAACACAAAATGAATTGACTTTCTGATGCACAGATTAAAGGAACTATCAAGTAAGGTATTACAGTAAAAGTGTGATGCACTGTTTGGAATAGCCTTGGAATTTAGGAGTTGGTGCTGTGGGTGTACGCTTAATTCAGCATTTACACTATGGTCTGTCTGCTGGACAATTCACATGCATCATGGTGCTTACTTGGATAACAACACCACAATATATGCGCTGACCATACACCAATGTATATTAAGTATCACATGCACAGTATAGTACCCTAGTGTAGTGGGGAGACCCCTCCCCCTACTACATGGGTGCCATCCAGGCTGTGTGACGGCCGGATAGCTAGTTCTAGAATACACCTTCTTACATCTCCCCGACCTGACCCTTACATTTGGGTTTCTCGCTATTTCCTGATTGCTACGCATGTGCTTTGTGGTGGTTTTTCTGCTGAATCGACCCGCACGTCTCAGCGAGTGCTGCCATCGAGCGTTCCCCTCTTCACTAGTTAAGAAAAGTTCGCCTAAAGTGCGTACAATGACTTGCCACATCAAGCATTACCGAATAGGCCACTACGGTCGTTGTGTCTCGAGTGTGACCCACTTCACCAGGCAACGGACACAATGGGCCAATGGAGTCCCTCCACATTGGGAGCGGGGACTGAACCACTGAATCCACCTCCGCAGCGGTTGTGTCTTCCAAGCAACACTAATGGTAGGCCCTCGTACCTGTTGAAAGCGAGATGGGCCTAGGATGACGTTTATAGGAGGTCTGTGACTCGAAGAACAGTCTCTCATAACATATTTCCTCTTGTCTGCCCTCTGCTCGCTGGTCGGGTCTCACAGGACTAGTTTCCTCTCAAGAGAATTTTCTCAAAAAGGGTTCCCTCTTAAGAGAAAGCTTTTGTTCCGAAATTTCCAAGTGGGGATATTTCCTAAGACGATCTTCCCGAAAACAACTTTTCATTAACGTCGTCTTACAACGCCACTAATAAGAAGCTCTCCATAGCCCCGAAATAGACATAAAAGCTGCTTCTCATTTCGTCAACTCTCCTAAGAGGTTTCTCTCGGGGCGGCATGGCCCATATCTGTAGTGGCCTCTTGTTTGGGGCTACATATGTCCGTATCTAATCTAAAAGGGTGCTCATGATCGCTTAGGGTTCACAGAAGCATAACGTGTGATCGGCGATTTATCCAACTAGCACGCCAGTTCATAGGTGGACTCCCGGTCTTCCCGACCGTGTTTGACCATCGCACTGCTGCATAGACACAAGGAAGATCATGCGGGAAGCAAATATATCAAGTTTTTTTCCCTCACCAAGTCAGCGCTGAATGTTTGGGCATGTATTGTAATGAGTTCACTGGCTGATCATGGCTTTTGCTTTGAACTCCCTCAAGAGGGAAATATCGGGTTCTATAGTCTCCCAAACTGACCCTCATGCTGAAAATAAAAGAGGAATTAGCCAATGTCATACTGACAGCAGCGTATAATTAAGTAAATTAGACCCAAGAGCCCAAATTAGTACCCAAAAGCCTCAAGACCAATCAGGTAGGCAGATGAACCGCTATGCCTCGCCCTGGTCTGACAGACTGGGTGAGCTTAGGTTAAGAGCCGCTTGAGCGTCGCGCGAATAGGGGTGAGAAGTGTGGGTGATTATCACCCTATCGTATTGCACGCAGCCGCCACACTTGGCCGCCTCAGCTTAACTGTGGTGCAACATCGTTGGACCATTTAGTTATATAAACCCTGCCGATTCGCTATCCCCCACCGTGGCTGTTTTTGACAACGGCTGAAAATAGCATACTTCGTTCCCCGCTCTAGGTCACCATGTTTTCATGTCAACGCCCCCACTTGTTGACAACCTTGTCATGGACGCTCGATGGTGGGGGTCAACGCTAAGAATGAAGTTGTCGGTGAAATCTTATACTTTCTGCTAAAGCCTACTCGAAACGGCCGAGTCGAGCGCCGTGGCATGTTCAAGCTGCTCCTTCGATGCCATGATCCACGACTCCCTATGCTCCTCTCCGTCATTCCAGAAGCTCGTCCGCGAGCCGAGATCCGGCTGGTCGCGAAAGAGGCGTCGGTACTCCTCCTCTTCGAAGTAGAACGCCTCACATGTGCTGAACCCAGCCAAGATTAACGCATCTGGCTCCCCGGCGCAGCATGCGCAGCCTCTGTCGTCCCTACGCTCGGGAAGAACGACAGAGCCATCATTGAGGCCGGCTAGCAGAGCTTTGTATGCTGGGCCGTAGAGATTGTCGAATACATCGTCTAGGGTTTGGTGGAGCAGGCGCTGCCGGAATGGCGCATGCTCGTTTGTGCACCGGCGACCGCATTCGAGGTAGTGGCTGGCCAGGTCGTTCAGATGGGCGGGGCCTTCGTAGTCGTGATGATGGATGACGTATTGGCCTGTGGGGGATACCGAGGCGGTTAGACCGGGGGCGAGGTCGATGATAGCCTGGATGGCATCAGACAGGGCGAGATTGGGGATCTCATTGATATGGGATTGCAGTTGCGACACCATTTGTGCAGGCCCTCGGGGTAGTCTGAAAGTCGCTAAGCTGGATAGATGAGGGTGGATAATGTTAATGCTAGTGTTTGCTGACAGTTAGAATAAGAATAAGAAGAATCACTTATAAATTGTCTGGCCCCATGTGACATCGGTGCCTTCGCGCACCCGCCGCTTCCGCGGTGGGTGCGCGAACGGAAGCGGCGGGTGCGCGAAGGCACAGATAGCCAGGATAACTAAATCACAGCACGTCAAGCATCCCCGGTCCCAATGTTTTCCCGCTTCCCACCTCTTCTCCATACCGGGGAATCATGCTTATGCTTTATCCTAACATTCCCTTCACCATCTGGCCAAGGAGCCGTGGCGATATACACTACTGTTTCCAATCGCAGATTAACTTTGACATGGCGTGATTCATGTGAGGGGCTATGGCCGAGCTTAAATTCAACTAGGCGATGGTCGCATGCTGTCTACAAAAAGCTTGGAGGAGGAAAAGAGCGGAACAAGCAAAACAACAGAAGTAAGCGGACAGAGCGGTGGCAGAACGGAAGCGGGCTAGTTATATGGCAAGGCCATATAGTGAGAAGCGGGTCTAACCCGTTACAATTCAGCCTAGTTAACTAGTTAGATGCCTCTGATCAGTATTTGAGTAATCAGTGAACATCCAATCAGACTGAGCACGCTCTGCGCGTTCACTGAGCGCTCATTGGGCCTCACTGATCAATCACGTGATGTTACTGAGCAGCTCACTGAGTCTGAGCCCAGTTTGAAATTTATTCGGCGAGCCTACCGGCAGAGGAAATCCACTATATAGAGGTGCCTAGGTAGTGTTGGGCATCGTCATGTAGGAAACTCAGTGTTTAGTATAGGAGATTGATGCTTCCACACCTCCTTCGTCTCAGACCACACCCACGTCATGGCTTCGCCCAGATGATACAGCCCTAGAACCTTGATCAAACATGGTGCAAGTTTCCTCGCCGAATACCACGTCGACTATGGTCTTGAGAACAGTCAGGTTGATTGCCCAGTCGCCTATCTCCAGCAGGTCAGCTACCTGCACCGGTCATCTACCCAGTCCCTGAGTGATCAGCTGTCTGATTAATTATTCTAGAGATAAATGCGCCATGCAAAATGAAAGGGATCGGGCTAGAATAATTCTTCTCGTAGAGAAGTAAGTTGTTTTGTTTTGACCCGCACAGCGAGGACACTCAAGCCGAAGAACTCGCAGACGCCTGAAGAGGTCAGGGGGTGTGTAGAGGAAGAAAGGGTGTGTGGCTGTATCGGTCTCCAGTAAATTTTGATCCCACCATACGTAATATTGTCACATTTTAATGGGGCAATCCATACATCTATGTATAATCTGATACAATCAGAAAAAAAGCCAAGCCCTCATAGTCAATATTGTTGGGCATTCTGGAATCGAACCATCATGTGATCCTAACAGGCCCACTGCTCAGGAACAAGCCAGCCACGAAGTATCGAGTTCGGCCAGTAGTTCAGGAGTACCTAAGTATGGACCCATAATGTATATGGAAGTCTCAAAGCACGATGCATCACATACACACTCGAACACTTTCAGAATTATGGTAGGTTACCATAGAAATGCCTAAATATGATACGATGCTGCCAAATTATACAACTGTATACCTTACCTTACCATCCTCGGGGTTAGGGTATCAACGCACGTGAAGTCCTCGTATCAAAAGCCAAACTTTATTTACATTGGACGCTAAGAATCGAATCAAGCCACGCAGGGGCTCTGGAGTTTAAAAGAGACCGATTCAATAACGAAACTAACCCAGGGCCCGCTTTCGATATTCCTGAAAGCTAGATGCATGTCCATCGCCACACTCGCTCTGCGACTTGTCTTTCTTCTCTTTTGCCTTCTTGTCACGCCGCGAGTTTTCCTCCCACTTACTCTCCTCGGCGGAAATCATTGCATGGAATTTACCGCCTTGGCCGCGAGCGAGGTAGATAGGTTTCTCGTCCCGGTTGGCAACCGCCTCCGTCACTAGAACGAATTTGACGCTAGAACCGGGTGCTTCAAACATAGCATCACTGAGTATTGTTTCCATCTCGGTGCGTAAGGCTCTAGCACCAGTCCCCATTGAAAAGGCATTCGCTGCGATTTTGTGCAATGCAGGCGTGGTGAAGCGCAACTCGATCCCAGACAGAGATAAAAGAGTGGTGTACTGGGCCAGCAGGGAGTTGCGAGGCTCGGTAAGGATGCGGAGAAGTAAGGGTTGGGTTAGTGTCGATAAAGCGGCGGTGACGGGGATTCGCCCGATCAGCTCGGGAATGAACCCATACGTTTGCAAGTCGGTGGGGGTGAGGAGGTCCAGTGCGTTAAAATAGGTCGGTTCGCTTCCTGGTCCAGAGGGAGATGCAGATGTGAAAAAGGGGAGATGCTTTTTGTAAAGTGCCTCTTCTTCAGAGCCAGGTTGGATTAGAAGTGGCTCTGTTGGAGAAGAAGCCGATGGACCTGGTTGGTCACTTGAGCTGGCCGCGGCTCGGACGGGTTGACCAAAGCCCATGGAGCCTTTAGAAATCCGGTCCATGACCACTTTGTGCAGGCCCATGAAGGCCCCCGAGAAGATGAAGAGTATGTTGTCCGTGCGCACATTGTAAACCTCTCCCTTTACAGCCTGGGGGTTGCTATTGTTTGGCTGGAATGGTGTATTCCCTAGGGGACTATTGGAGGGATAGGAATTTGGCGGACTCGCTGTGCGAGGATTTTTCTCCGGCTTGGCCTGGACCTGGACCGTCGTACCTTCAATGATCTTGAGCAGTGCTTGTTGCACACCTTCCCCACCCACGTCCTTGCCGTGGCTAACTTTGGCGGCGGCAATTTTATCGACCTCATCTAAGACAATGATACCACGTTCTGCCTGCTCGACATCGTAGTTTGCAGCTGCCAGCAGCCGATGCACACATGTCTCGGCATCTTCTCCGATATAGCCAGCTTGCGTGAAGGGGGTGCAGTCGGAAATACTGAAAGGCACCGACAGCACCCGCGCAAGCGTTTTTGCCATGAGGGTTTTACCAACACCCGAAGGGCCAAGGAGCAGTATGTTTGACTTTTCTAGTTGTAATGGTGAAGTGTCCACCAGCTCAATTTGATCCAACGGGGTGGCCTGACGGGATTTAGGTGTAGACGGGAGTCCAACGGTGCGCTGTTGGCCGGGGAATTCATCTGCGTAATAAGCTCCTAGTTAGGTACTATAGGCCACACGGGACGATGTTCCGAGAACGCACCTTCTAAAGGGTGTCTTTCAAAGGCTTCCCTCCGTTGCCGCTTCGCCTGAAGTTCCTCTTGCTCCTCTTCCCGTCTTTGGAGCTCCTGTACCCGCTGGTAGTGATTGTACACTGCGACACTCAATACCTTCTTTGCACGATCCTGTCCGACCACAAACTGGTCAAGATATTGCTTTAGGACCTTGGGGGTAATGCGCGGAGCGCCGAAGGCCGGAGTTGAAGCCAACGGGCCCGTGGTTGGGAGCCCGGGTTCATAGCTGCCGGTGAACGGCTGATTTGTGAAATCGGATCGGTTGAACTGCGACGCAGTTGGAAAACTAGTTGAGGAGCTGGTGAAAGGGCGTGTCTGGCCCAGGGATAAGAGGTTCGGCCGAGATCGGCCAGACCGAACAGTCTCATGATAGGCCCAGGCCAGCGCCCGACGGTGGAGAGGCCGCCTCAGCATGGCCTGAAAACTGCAAAATAGGGACGATGACAAGGAGGCGAAAGGGATCTGATGCGATGTAGCTTTTGAGAGGGGGGAAGCGACTTGTGGTGGATCAGATACGGTGACCATTGGAGCTTTCCCCGCAGGTGATCTTATCGGCTGAGTCATTGCCCGGTTGTGCTTGTTCGGCACGTTCGGCGCGGTGATCAGCCTACCTTGGGGCCCCCTACCAACCAGTCCCTTGGGGTGGACAAGTGCAGGTGCCTGTTCTTGCAAAGTATTTTGTATAGCTTCATCTTCCATTTATCCCACCAGTAATACGGCACCACGGCTATAATAGGTACTAGTGATAGTAACACTTTCAAGTCAGGATCATTGCGCTTGACCCTTTTGAGAAGGGTTTGGCACAAGGCATTTCTACTGGTCTCATCCTGCTTGTATGTACTTTGGGCCTGGTGGAATTCTGTATGCTTGTCCGTGGTCGTTGGTGTCTATATCTGAGTATCATTTATGGGATTTCCTCTTTGGGTCATCTTCGCGAGCTTTCTCCTTTGGGCGGGCGCTGATGTCATCTGCGGCCAATACGAATGCGATCTGCAGGGGTCACGCTTGTCCGAATCTGGTAATCTCGTATTGTTCCAAATAGTCTGCCTTGGTCAACCTTCGTGGGACGGGGCAAATGAGCTCGTATCCATCACAGCCAGCATGCACTGCCTCGAGGCAGCATGTTATAAAAGACCCCTCTAGCTCCCTTGTGAGGAAAACGTAGAGTACTAGTATGAAATCCTACATGAATTAATCAAGCTGGATTTTTACCATGATTAGCTTGAAATATCTATACCTGTCTCTGCTGTCGGCTGGTGCGATCGCTGCGCCCCAGGCAGGCCATTGCCGTTGTCGACCTCATGACGCTTGTTGGCCTTCACATCAACAATGGTCCGCCTTGAATGACACTATTGAGGGCAACCTGGTGGCCGTTCGACCTCTTGCATCAGTCTGCCATGCGGCTGATTACAATGCGCAGGCATGCAATACCACGACGGAGCTTTGGACAAACTCTTTCTGGCGTTCATCCCAGCCCGGAGCCGGTCAATGGCAGAATTGGGAGGCCTGGCCGGAGCATCACGAATCGTGTTATATTGAATCGCCTCGAAACAGCCGATGTGGACAAGGTCGGATCTCCCTCTATTCGGCCAAGGTACGAACCGCCTCGCATGTCCAGAAAGCCGTCCAGTTCGCCAGCGCCCACAATCTGAGACTTGCTATCAAAAACACCGGCCATTGCTTCCTGGGTCGCTCGTTGGCACCGGAGTCGTTGCAAATCTTGACCCACGAGATGAAAGATATCCAGGTGGTGGACGACTTTGTTCCGAAAGGTGCACCCAAGGGTAAGGGTGCTGGTCCAGCGGTGACGATAGCTGCTGGTGTGCAACTGTCGGAGCTATACAATGCAGTCGCAGCACGCAACAGAACGGTAATTGCAGGGTCATCGCATACCGTTGGGGCTGCTGGTGGCTATATTCAAGGAGGCGGACATAGTCCTTTTGGTGCCTGGAAGGGATTGGCTTCGGACAACGCTCTCGAGTTTGAGGTTGTAACCGCCAACGTGAGTCAGCAAATGGAAAGGGAAAACCAGCCAAATATAGTTAACCAGTATGCAGGGTACTCTTGTTACAGCAAATTCATACCAGAATCCGGACCTCTTCTGGGCTCTTCGAGGAGGTGGCGGGGGCAGCTTCGGCGTTGTGACCCGTGTCACGATTCGGACACACCCTGAAGCGCCAGTGATTGCGTATAACATTAACATCACCACTTCGGGAGACGATCCACGTTTCTGGAAGGCATTCAGTGAATTTCATGCTGCGCTCCCATCACTCAACGATGCCGGTGGCTCGGGATACTACTTCGGCTCTCCCAACCTGCCCCTCGGTCCAAACACTAGTGTTTCGAGCCTCACTTCCCTGCTCTTCTTCCCGGAGAAAACAGACCAAAACGAGATTGCGAAGCTTTACGAACCATTGAAGAGCAAGCTGCAGCAGGTGGGAGGTGTGAAGGTTGATGACGCAGCGATTCCGTTCCCCAGTGTGAACTCGACCATTTTCACTGTCCTTCTCCAGGAAGGGGGCACCGACACAACAGGCAGCATCTCTTCCCTACTTGTCTCCCGCCTCTATTCGAAGGACCTCATGTTGTCGGACAATGGCCCTGGTCGACTAGCCACGGCGTGGAAGAGTCTTCGTTGGGACCCATATTCCTCATTCATCGGACATGTCGTTGCCGGCCCGGCTGTTGCTGCGAGCAAGAACATTGACAGTGCCGTCAATCCGGCCTGGCGCAAGACAGTCTCTCACCTGCTCTTAAGCAGGGATTGGCAATGGAATGCGACTCTTGGGCAGCAGCACTCGGTGATAAAGAACGCCACTGAGGTGGAGATCCCGATCCTACGGTCCGTCGAGGGCGCAAGCCACATGGGTGCTTATTTGAACGAAGCGAGTGGCTATGAGCCCGATTTTCAGGCCTCATTCTGGGGTCCCAACTACCCTCGTTTGTATCGTGTTAAGCAGAAATGGGACCCCAAGGGTCTGTTCATCGCCCGCAAGGGGGTGGGCAGTGAGGATTGGGATGACGGTGGCTTGTGCAAGATCAAGTCCTGACTTTCTCAGTAGAATGACAAGATAGCTCGGCAGTGCGTATTAGAGTTGCTTAGATCAGTTTATTCGGAGCTTGGTACATTAGGTCTTGTGGTTGGGGGTTTCTTGATTTTTGTGCTCTTGCAACTGTTATTCAGTATACAACCTACAAGCTGGAGAAAATAGACTTTGCGGTGATTCTGCGATCGCTTGCAGCATTGTTGAGGTTAAGATTGGCCCTTAAGATAACTGTGGTCATCGATAGAAAGCACTCCTTAGACTCGATTGGTATCTATTGGCCTGGAGATTGTATCTGCGATTCGGTGACCGGGCCATTGCTCGAAGGTATTTATGTCCGTTTCCAGGATGCCTTCCAGACCCCACTAAGACCGCGGAGCACAAATCTCTCTCGGTCTTTCACTGTGATTATGCCCGATCCAGTAGGTGTCAATTCGCGCTGTGTCGCATTTATGGCTGAAGTCCACTACCCAGTCATTCCAATCATGGGGTAGTTATCGAGTTTGTTCGATGAGGGATGTACGCGGGGTATGTGCATGTGCACCAGAACATCATGGGTTCGCCTTGAAGACAGGCTGTTGTTCCATTGTCTGCGAGATAAAATTCCGCAGTGCCGACCATCGGCTGGCCGTGGGGTTGGAATTGGCGTCCGGGTTGGTTTCACTCGTCGACGCAGCTTGGGGTTGCAGACTTGACATCTGTGCCATATTTCTCGTGAATCGATCGCGCTCGACCTTCTCCAACTTCTCACGACGCTTCATGGCGCCCGGTTTGTGACGCAGGGTCTTCTGCTTGATGACATTGACTTGACTGGCGGCATTGTGCGACTCGTCGGCGGCATCTGGGAGGGCATCGGCGAGCGATTCGAGGTTGGCGACCAGTTTCTTCGAGGCCCGACGGCGCTTCGGGGTTCTGCTGGCATTCTTTGCGATCTTCGACATGAGGGTCGCGTGCCTGATCTGCCGCTTGTCCCTCTTGCTGGTGCGGAACTCGTCCCCAAAGGGACCCGTCGGGGCAGGTCTGCCCGCGGTCTTTGCCTTCATGGTTGCGATGACGAGAAAGAACCGGATGAGGTGCCAGCGAACCGGGTAGATGGTGGAGCAGACGAGGACAGACTCAGACATGTGAGGATCGGCACGGGCACACTGAAAAATGCAGCGGTCCACCACCGCCCGGGCTTGTCCCTCTTGGGCTCACCCGGCAGAATGCCGACCGCGCCGCTGGGGCCAGTGTGACGCCCAGGGCTCCAACAGTCTCCAAACAGTCTCCAGCAGACCCAGCGGCCCTCCGGTAGAACCAGTCAACGAAAATCCGTCGCCGCTTTGTGACGTGACCGCCCTTGTCGTCCCGCTCCACAATTCGGGTGAACCCTCTTCAACCTCCGGCTCTGACATCAGAAGCATCGCCCCCGGGATTGCAGACGCTGCTGACACCGTCCCGGTTCCTGTACCTGTAGACCCTCATTGGAGGACCTGCCGTGGATGTTCTCCTCAACGCGCCTTTATCGTCGGATTTCCTTTCCTGATCCTTTTTCCACGGCCCTGCCGCCTCGGTCGCCGCTAGCCACTCGGTTCCAGACCCCAGTGTCCGTCCCCCGGTCGCCCCCGTCACCGTCGGCTTCCCTAGCGCCCTTTAAATCTGCGCCCGCCGCCAGACCTTCCCCGTGCAGATCATACTCCTCTCTTTCACTCGCCAACATGGGATCTCTTGGACCGTACCAGCGCAAGCACAAGATCACGGTGGTGGGTTCCGGCAATTGGTAAGTTCCTGCATACAGCAGTTGTATCGACGTCCCCAGTTCGACAACGCCCAGAAGGCGCGAGGGAGACAGAAAAGATACTTTGCCCCGTCAGGTCCAGACGTGTTGATGCTAACGTTGGGGATTCTCCCACGCAGGGGTTGTGCCATCGCCAAAATTGTCGCCGAAAATGCCGCCAGCAACTCAGACATCTTCGAGAAGAAGGTAGAGATGTGGGTGTTCGAGGAGACCGTTGAGATCCCCAAGGATTCGCCCAACTACGACCCCGCCAACCCGGGTCCGGAGAAGCTGACCCATGTGATCAACCGTGTCCACGAGAACGTTAAATACCTGCCGGGCATCAAGCTCCCGGCCAACCTACACGCCAACCCGTCCCTGGAGGATGCGGTGAAGGACAGCACCATCCTCGTCTTCAACCTACCTCACCAGTTTATTGTGAAGACTTGCGAATCCATTAAGGGCAAGATCTTGCCGTATGCCCGCGGTATCTCCTGCATCAAGGGTGTCGATGTCAACGAACACGGCATCAACCTGTTCTCCGAGACCATTGGCAAGACCCTCGGCATCTACTGTGGTGCGCTCTCCGGTGCGAACATCGCGAACGAGGTTGCCAAGGAGAAGTGGTCGGAGACCACCGTCGCTTACGATCCCCCACACTTGGACTCCAAGGCTCCCTCCCTCCAGCCGTCCCCCTCGGGCTCCCAGGTTGACCTGGTGCAGTTCGAGCACAAGGACGTCTCGGGCAACCTCTCCAACGTCAAGTTGCAAGCGCTGCCGTCGGAATACCCGCCCATTGACCACAATGTCCTCAAGCAAGTCTTCCACCGTCCCTACTTCCACGTTCGGGTGGTGAGTGACGTTGCTGGTGTATCCATCAGTGGTGCTCTGAAGAACGTCGTCGCGCTGGCCGCCGGCTTCGTCGAGGGCATGGGCTGGGGTGACAACGCCAAGGCTGCCGTCATGCGTGTCGGTCTGATGGAAATGGTCCGCTTTGGTGACAAGTTCTTCGGAGCTACCATTGACCAGCGCACTTTCACCGACGAGAGTGCCGGTGTCGCCGACTTGATCACCAGCTCGAGCGGTGGTCGCAACTTCCGCTGCGCCAAGCTCAGCGTGGAGCGGAACCAGCCGATCGAACAGATCGAGAAGGACGAGCTTAATGGCCAGTCCCTCCAGGGAACCTTGACCGCTGCAGAGGTGAATAGCTTCCTCAAGAATCAGGGCCAGGAGGAGGACTTCCCTCTGTTCACAGCCGTCTACCGTAAGTTGCAGCTCCTCCCGAGACACGACAGATCTCCCTACTCACCATATTATTTTGCCAGGTATCCTGCAAGGCACCATGCAGGTTGCGGAGATTCCTTCTTACATTGAGCGGTAAATGACTTCTTCGGCGTCCCGTTTCTTGAACCTTTACTTAAAAATTGCGTCTCTTGTTATAGCCCCCCGGTGACTCGTGCCCCGACTTCTACTGCCACTTCTGATGAGGATAGCGATGGCGCTCGGTATGCTGCTCGGCTTTGATTATGGTCATTTGGAAATGAGGTTTGGGCATGACTTGTAGATAGACTTACGACTGTACCTACGCATCCATACGAATTTAGAGATTTCTTGCTAGCTGCTCCCACCGTATTGGCCGTATTTTGCCCGTGTGCTGCGGGTGCATTTTAGTTTGGGCCCGACCTTCCCAGGTTCGCGAACCCCTTCCAAAGGTTACCACCCACCAAAAAAAAAAAAAGTACCACGGCTGAGTTTTTCAAAATCAATCTGGGACGGCGGTCAAGTCTTCTACCAAGATATTCATCCTAAACAAGATGATCTAAAAGGACGAGCGACAGTCTGAATCGACCGCAGTGGCATCTGGGGTCAGCAGCCACCACGGTCTCGACCGGCGCTAAGGCGGACCCTGCAATGCATGATGTCACCAGGCGCAGTCGACCCTGCTGAGGGGAAGCAACCCCCAGGCCTTTTCCTTTCTGCAACTATTTCGTGCGGCCTATTCCCAGGCCTTTCGCTCGCTGAACTCTCCAGTCTGTACTGGATTGAACTGTCTAGCTGTTTCGCGGCTTGTCGCTTGGTCAGACAGCCACAATTCCTGCCATTTCGACTGTTCCAGAACGATCATGGCTTCCTCACGTCAGGTCTATCTCCTCCCATTGAAGGATGACGGTTCTCCCGATGTGCCAGGAGGATACATCTATCTTCCTCCTCCACCGGATGAAGGTTACCTTCTTCGTTTCATTATTGAGGGAACCAGCTCCATCTGTCGACATGGAAGCCTCTGGGTCAACGTCCCGGAAGCAGGGAAGGATTTCGATCGATATTCCTTTCGCGAGTTCAGGTACAATCTCTCCTTTCCTGAAAGCACCTACGAAGAATTTCGCAGTAGGACCAGGCACTGAACGGAAAGTAGATTGCAACCCAATTTCAACCAGAATCTTCAGATCGATGTTCCAGTGACCCGCGCGGGCGCATTTGCCTACTACACTACCTTCCACCCACTGCCCGACTTCTCGGTCGAAGCCGTGCCAACTCCTGAGCCAACGCAGACCCCAGTGCATTACATAGACGTCTCGCCGAGGTTGACTCTCCGTGGCAAGGACCTGCCCCTCAATGCGCTTTCGATATTTTCGGTAATCTCCAAGTTCATGGGCCAATACCCAACCGACTGGGATAAGCATCTCCATGGAATTAGCCAGCGTAACTACAATATGGTCCATTTTACCCCACTGATGGCGCGTGGATCATCAAACTCCCCATACAGCGTCTTTGACCAGCTGTCCTTTGACCCGGCATTATTTCCCAACGGAGAGACCGATGTAGCCTCGCTTGTTGCGCGCATGGAGAAAGAATACGGATTGTTGACTTTGACTGATGTTGTCTGGAACCATACTGCACACAACAGTAAATGGCTAGAGGAACACCCCGAGGCAGGTTACAGCGTGGAATCCGCTCCTTGGCTGGAATCCGCGCTTGAGCTGGATACTGCCCTGTTGAAGTTTGGTGATGACCTCCAGAGCCTTGGGCTTCCTACCGACTTCAAAACAGCCGACGACCTAGTTACTGTCATGAATGCCTTGCGCAAGCATGTTATCGATGGGATTCGCTTGTGGGAGTTCTACGCTATTGATGTCAAGGCCAATGCGAAGGAGATATGGGATGCGTGGGTCAGTGGAAAGATCGACCAAGCCAGCCTCGAACAATTGGATGTGCGGAAATTCAAGGAGTTGCCACCCAAACAACAAGCTGTGACTATCCGTGACCTCGGGATTCCAAACTCGAAGCAAGTGCGTGGAAGATTCGGTCGCTCAGTTGACCCATCATTCGGTGCGGCCGTGGTCACAGTATTCTACGGTGACTACAATCAAGCTAGCTCGGATATCGGAAATGTCGAGGCTTCCTTGTCCAAGATCCTCGACACAGTCAACGTACCGCTTTACGAGGAATACGATGCAGACGTTGCCGATATCATGGATCAATTATTCAACCGCATCAAGTATCTACGAATTGACGATCATGGTCCGAAATTAGGACCCGTGACCAACGATAATCCTTTAATCGAGACCTACTTCACCCGTCTTCCAAGCAACGAGGTTACGAAGAAACACAGCCCGAAATCTCTCGCCTTGGCTAATAATGGCTGGATCTGGAATGCCGACGCGATGCGTGACCATGCTGGACCAGACTCTAAAGCCTACCTTCGGCGCGAAGTCATTGTCTGGGGAGATTGCGTCAAACTACGTTACGGAAGCTCACCCGAAGATAATCCCTTCCTTTGGGAGTTTATGACTCGGTACACTCGTCTCATGGCCAAGTATTTCTCAGGCTTCCGGATCGACAACTGTCACTCAACACCTCTTGTGGTCGCTGAATATTTGCTAGACGAGGCTCGTAAGGTTAGACCAGATCTGACTGTCTTCGCCGAACTGTTCACGGGATCTGAGGAAGCCGACTATGTTTTCGTCAAGAGGCTTGGAATCAATGCACTCATCCGAGAAGCTATGCAGGCCTGGAGCACAGCGGAATTGAGCCGTCTTGTTCATCGTCATGGCGGCCGTCCGATCGGTAGCTTTGATGTTGATTTACCATCTGCTGGCAGCTCTCATGCAATTACTTCGGCGAAAGATGACTCGTCAAATGAAAAGATTACCCACATTCGCCCATCACCTGTCCAAGCACTGTTCATGGATTGCACACACGACAACGAAGTCCCCGCCCAAAAGCGAGATGTCAGAGATACCTTGCCCAATGCTGCTCTGGTCGCAATGTGTGCGTCAGCCATTGGAAGTGTCATGGGCTATGACGAAATCTATCCCAAGCTTGTTGACTTGGTGCATGAAACACGGCAATATGCATCCTCGTTCTCTGGATTCCACGAAGTCAAAGCTGGCGCTGGAGAAGGTGGAATTGGTGGGTTGAAGAAGATACTGAATGATCTTCACACCATGATGGGTGTGGAGGGTTATGATGAGACCCATATTCACCATGATGGGGAGTATATTACGGTTCACCGAGTGCACCCCAAGACAAGGAAAGGAATTTTCCTCATTGCGCACACTGCATTTCCAGGGAACGACAGCGGCGCCAGACTGCCTCCAACCCATATTGCGGGTACTCAGGCTAAGCATCTTGGATCGTGGGTTCTGGAAGCGGATGCATCTGATGACGCCAAGGCCAAGGTACTTGCCGATGACACACAACTCAAGGGTCTTCCAAGCCAGACACGCGACATCGAAGGCACTGAAGTTGAAGGCAATGGGGCCGATATAACGGTAGTCGTGCTGGAGGCTTTGGTTCCTGGATCCATTGCTCTTTTTGAGACTTGGATTTCCAGTGCTGAGCATGCGGAGGGTCTTGATAACTTTGTCTCCAGCGGTGCTGACGAAGCCTTCTCCGGTCTCAGTCTGGTTGACTTAAACTTTGCCCTCTACCGCTGCGAAGCTGAAGAAAGGGACTCTAGCGGTGGCCAGGACGGTGTCTACAGTATCCCTAAACACGGTAAATTGATTTACGCCGGTCTTCAGGGATGGTGGAGTGTCCTTGAAGGAATCATCAAATACAATCAGCTTGGCCATCCACTCTGTGATCATCTCCGGGAAGGACAGTGGGCTCTCGACTACATTGTTGGGCGAATGGAGAAGGCCGCTTCCAGAAGAGGTTACACCAAACTTCACAAACCAACTGCCTGGCTGATGGAGAAGTTCAATGCTGTTCGCGGGCTCCCAAGCTTCTTGCTCCCTCGGTACTTTGCTATCATTGTGCAAGTGGCCTATAATTCAGCCTGGAAAGCTGGTATCCATCATTTCAGTGATAGTGTTCGACATGGCCAGGAGTTTATCCACCAACTTGCTATGGTCAGCGTTCAGCAAACTGGGTATGTCCACTCGGCCTCTCTCTGGCCCACTAAGCAGGTTCCGTGTCTCGCGGCTGGCCTTCCTCACTTTGCTGTCGATTGGGCCCGATGCTGGGGCCGTGACGTTTTCATTTCTATCCGCGGTCTGTTCCTTTGCACGGGACGTTTTGAGGATGCGAAAGAGCATATTCTTGCTTTTGCGAGCGTTCTGAAACACGGCATGATTCCAAATCTCCTCAGCAGTGGCAAGTTGCCGCGTTACAACTCGCGTGACTCAGTTTGGTTCTTCCTGCAGTCCATCCAGGATTACGCCAAAATGGTCCCCGATGGCATCAATATTCTACAGGAGAAGGTGCCACGCAGGTTCCTACCATATGATGACACATGGTTCCCTTTTGATGACCCGCGCGCTTATTCACAGTCTCCCAGTGTTCTTGAGATCATCCAGGAAGTATTTCAACGACACGCCAGCGGGTTGTCATTCCGTGAATACAATGCTGGGCCCGATCTGGATGTGCAAATGAAACCCGAGGGCTTTCAAATTGATGTTCAAGTTGATTGGAACACCGGTATCATTTTCGGCGGTAGCCAGAGCAACTGCGGTACCTGGCAAGACAAGATGGGCGAAAGTGAGAAGGCGGGAAACAAGGGCTTTCCTGGCACGCCGCGCGATGGTGCTGCGATCGAAATCACAGGACTGGCCTACAGCGCTCTATCATGGGTTGCGAAATTGCACGAATCGAAGGTCTACCCACATTCTGGGGTCGACCTTGACGAGGGTAAATCGATAACCTTTTCGGAATGGGCAAGCAAAATTAAGGCAAACTTCGAACGTTGCTACTTTATTCCCCTCGACCCGGCAGACGACGGCCAGTATGACGTTGATCCCAAGATTATCAATCGACGAGGAATCTACAAGGATCTCTACAAGTCTGGCAAGCCCTTTGAGGATTACCAGCTTCGAGCCAACTTTCCTATCGCAATGTCCGTCGCGCCTGACCTGTTCACACCCGCCAATGCTCTGACTGCTCTATCCGTTGCTGATTCTGCCATTGTGGGCCCGGTTGGAATGGCCACTCTTGACCCTTCAGACCTCAACTACCGCCCTTACTATATTAATGGGGATGACTCTACCGATTTTGCTACCTCTAAAGGCCGAAACTACCACCAGGGTCCCGAGTGGGTTTGGCAGCGCGGCTATTACCTCCGTGCGCTCCTTCACTTTGATTTACTGCGTCGCAAAACTCCAGAGGAGCGAATTGAATCCTTCCAGCAGGTAACCCGGCGACTTGATGGGTGTAAGAAGGCGCTACGCGACAGTCCGTGGAAGGGACTGACGGAATTGACCAACAAGAATGGGGAACATTGTGGTGACTCGGTAGGTCTCTACCTCCCTCCTCTCTCTAATTGCTTTACTAACTGAGACTTCTAGTCCCCCACGCAGGCGTGGTCTGCTGGATGCCTGCTTGACGTTTTTTACGATGCTGCCAAGCTTTCCTAAATACATACTTCTATGATAATTATATATACGAATTAGCATTAAGACAGCGTTCTATTTTTCTAGGAGATTGATCTTCCACATCCCCTTTGTCTCAGAACCCCCCCCCCCCCCTCTGGGGTTATGGGTTCGTTCAGATAGTAGGGAACTAGAACCTTGGTCGAATATGGTGCCAATTTCGATGCCGCATAACCCCTCAATTATGGTCTCGATAACCGCCAGGTCCAATGCTCTGTCAGATACCTAGTCATCTAGTCCGTCACCTACGTGATCAGCTGTCTGAATAGTTAGTTATTCGAGAGTGCGTGATGCGCTATGCAAAATGAATGGGATCGGGCTATAATCATTCTCCCCCATAAACAGAAAGTTCATTATTCGACTCGCATAGCCAGGAATCCCAAGATGAAAAACTAGCGGAAACCTGAAATGAAAGGCCAAGGAGAGTGTGTTCTGAGGCAGAAGGGATATGGCTGTATCAGTTCCATTTTTTAAGATGCTCATGGGATTGTTCTTGCTTCAGCATTGAAAGCCCGATTCAAACTTGTCACTCAATAGTATAATGTAATGTGAGCTTTGATTCCATAGCAAACATTAGTGTATGAATGATCCACAGTGATCGTAGTGATCGTAGTGATCGTACGATCGACGGTGGAGCGAACTGCCGAAATCCGTCGACATTCCAATGCTAGACCGCTGACTCATCACGTCGTCATCGAGCAAAACAAAGGAGCCTCTGAGGTCCCTATTCCTCGAAATCAGCCTGCCGCCTCAAGATACGACCACCTGCTCGCCGCAATTGCAAGGATTCTGCTTGCGCCCTCACCCTTGCGCCCAGGTCTTACAACACCGCTCACAGGCACTACGCCCTCGATGGACCAATAGTCCGAACACCCCCTGCTCCGACAACTTCACCGCAATTACGCCGGACGCAAGCCGTCCTCGAATATCGCGATGTCGCCAACGATTTCGGCGTCCGAGGCTATGTGGACCGCCCTTGGAAACAAGCCTGACGATGGGCATGGGGAGCGACGGTGGGATGATCAGACGAGGGAACAGCGCGACCTGTACACGCAATTCGTGATCAGCTTTGCCCTCGGCCTGGGGGCTTTTATGACCTTCTGTGTAGGTCCTTGGAACATTTGCTTGAATTCGTGCCCAATTGCTAACTTCTACTGGCTGTAGATCTTACGACCAAAATGGACAGAGCTCTACGCCGCGCGAAGACGACAGCGGAATGCTGCGTCGCGGCTCCCAGAACTACCGAACAGCCTTTTCGGATGGATACCGGTGCTACATCGGATCACAGATGAGGAGGTCCTTCATTCAGCTGGCTTAGATGCCTACGTCGTAAGTCCTGGAATATTTGGAATATTCGTGCACAATGAATTGCAGTACTGACATTGCTTGGGCTATAGTTCCTTTCCTTCTTCAAATTTGCAATTCGATTCCTTCTTTCCGTCTTCATCTTTGCTGTCGCCATCATTCTCCCGGTGCACTATAAATATACCGGGAAATATGGAGTGCCCGGATGGGACAATGACGGCCCGTCCGACGACAACTCGACGACTGGAATAGGGGAGCTTTTGAAGGATAAAGAGAAACAGAAGAACGACATGACATATCTGTGGATCTACGTGATCTTCACCTACGTCTTCAGCGGGTTGGCTGTGTACCTCTTACTCCAGGAAACAAACAAAATCATCCGGACCCGACAATCCTACCTAGGCAACCAGACCAGCACCACAGATCGCACGATTCGTCTTTCTGGTATTCCACGGGACATGGCTTCTGAAGACAGCGTCAAGGGATTTGTGGAAGGGCTGAAGGTGGGCAAAGTGGAGACAGTCACCCTGTGTCGCAAGTGGCGTGAGCTGGACCATCTCATAGACGAGAGGATGAAAATTGTTCGGGGACTCGAACGAGCTTGGACAAAGCATATCGGTTACAGGCGACCGCGACACGATGGGAGTACTTTGCCCCTCACGCGCCAGCCACCATACGCTACGCGCTCGGGTTTGCCGTTGGAGGAAGACAACGAAGAATCCCGTTTGCTCCCTGAGAGCGAGCGTGAACATGTAATGACGTATGACAACGAACGCCCCAAAGTCCGTGTCGGATATGGTCCCTTGAAATTGCGATTCCGCTCCATCGATGCCATTGACTATTATGAGGAAAAGCTACGGGAGATCGACGAACAGATCCGGATTGCCCGAGAGAAGGAATACTCCACCACCGAGATTGCCTTCGTGACTATGGAATCTATCGCAGCATCTCAGATGCTTGTACAGGCAATCCTTGATCCTCACCCGATGCAGATGTTTGCTCGGCTTGCGCCGGCACCAGCGGATGTCATCTGGAAGAACACCTACCTCTCACGCACTCGCCGCATGGCCCAGTCATGGTCCATCACACTTCTCATTGGGTTTCTGACTGTCTTCTGGTCGGTTCTTTTGCTTCCTATTGCAACTCTGCTTGAATTGGAAACTCTCCATAAGATTTTCCCGCAGCTTGCAGAATTCCTGGCGATACATCCCCTCTTGAAGTCCCTAGTCCAAACCGGACTACCCACTCTAGCGTTTTCGCTGTTGACAGTGGCTGTTCCGTATCTCTATGAATGTAGGTTTCTGTTCTTGGAACTTCTTATCTAAGATCAATTGACTAACGTGATTGCAGGGCTTTCGAACAACCAAGGAATGATGTCGCGAGGAGACGTGGAACTTTCCGTCATCTCGAAGAATTTCTTCTTCTCGTTCTTCAACATGTTCCTCCTCTTTACAGTGTTCGGTACAGCAAGTGGATTTTACGGTTTCTGGGAAAACCTGCGTGATGCTTTCAAGGACACCACGACCATTGCGCTTGCGCTCGCCAATTCGCTCGAAGGACTTGCGCCGTTCTACATCAACCTTTTAATCCTTCAAGGATTGGGCCTTTTCCCCTTCCGTCTCCTGGAATTTGGCAGTGTTGCTCTGTATCCCTGGCATTTCCTTCGAGCCCGTACTCCTCGTGAATTTGCTGAGCTGTCGGCGCCTCCCAAGTTCAGCTACGGATTCTCCATTCCCCAGACCATATTGGTTCTGATCATCTGTGTTGTTTACAGCGTGTTCCCGAGCTCATGGCTGATCTGCCTATTTGGCCTGGTATATTTCTCGGTCGGACAATTCATCTACAAGTATCAGCTTCTGTACGCCATGGATCACCAGCAACACTCTACTGGCCGTGCCTGGCCAATGATTTGCAACCGAGTCTTTGTTGGGCTGGTTGTCTACCAGCTTGCCACGATCGGTGTGCTCGCATTGCGCAAAGAGATCACTCGTCCTTTGCTTCTCGTTCCGCTTTTGGGCTTTACCGTCTGGTTCAGCTATTGGTTTGCGCGAACCTATGAGCCCCTGATGAAGTTCATTGCCTTGAAGAGTATCGATCGCGATCTCCCGGGTGGCGGAGATGTCTCACCTTCGCCATCCTCAACATTTTCCCCGCCTTCGGGCTTGGATCGTGATGCACTCCCGGTTCGCATTGGCGGCCACGAACTCGAACTGCGACTGAAGAAGTACGTGAATCCGAGTCTGATCGTGCCACTCCATGGCGCCTGGCTGCCCAGCCGTACCCCTGCCCAGGGAAATGGTGCCTCTCTGTTTGAGTCTCATCAGACCCCGAACGATATCAGCGCATGAAAATGCGAACTCCTAGATTTAATTATCTGCATCATTTTTGTTCTGCTTTGCGTACCCCTCTTTTCTTTTTTCTGATCGTTCACGATGTTCTACGACCATGATACCTCTTTGTATTCTTTTTATCTTGTGCCCTTGGTCAACTCTCATTCGACGGCAACTACATACCCCTGCTATCACCTGCTGCTACTCTTGTTCGAAATTTGTTTCCTAGGCATCTTCCTAGCTATCTCTCGTTGTACAAAGTATCTTACGCACACTGTTCCATCTCGGGCCAGGACCTTTTCAACAATTCTACCTTGCACTTCCCGTACATTTTCTTCGTTTTTCAATGCACTTCTGTATAGCATGGTATCGGCAAAAGATGGCGCCCATGCTCATTTGCCCTGGATTCTAGACCATTCCTCGCACTTGCCATGACCTGCCAGGCAGAACTGGCCGAGGTTTAAAAAACACATGGACCTCTTGACAGACCCATCCGACACATTCCCTGTGTTTCAGCGTTCCCCGTGGCAAACGTGGCAGGGCTTGGGGCAATCCTTTTGACTCATTTTCAGCTTGCTTGATGATGACCCATGCTAGCGTGGACAGGGCTGTGCCGTGCTCGCGTGAGTCTTTGCCGAGCTGTGTTTTTCATGTGTTCGAGGCCCGAGAGGTCTGTAGTGGGGGCTGGCATGTAAGCACATCGCGCCTTGGAGGCCGAAGGCGGACTAACACTAGACTACTAGAAGTATACACACTCACTCAGTTTGCGACAAACATTCAGTTCACGGGACTTTTCGAAGGAGGTCTGAATTCATTTTGCCTCAGTGTTCATACCTTGGCCAGGATTCAGCTACTGAGATCCAGCTGGGAATTGATGTGGCGACCGCATTCGGCAACTAGAAGTATACCATCCGAGTTGTCTTCGAAGTGCGGTGTTGAACGAACGAGAGTCCCTAGGCAAGTATGAAGCTATTCTCAAAGCGACCGGCCTCTCATTTGCATTCCTCCGATGCAGCGTGTGCTTCTGGAATCCCCGGGTCCACATGGCCTGCATGGGATCGAACACATCGGACATTCCAGAGGGCCTTGCAGCGACCATCGCAATATCCGCAGTCAAGGGGCCGTTGGGGTGTCTTTCCACTTCACCCTTTTTTAACAAAAGTGTGCGATTGCTCAGAGTTTGGATTGAATCAATCACCAAGCTTGATGTATACTCAGGACTGTGCAGGTGCAAGGTGGTCGTCGGTCCGGCGCAACCACCTGCATCCGGCACCGTCGCATTCTTCGCCTCCCCTCCCCACGGAATGCACCGGGCCACTTTCAATGCGAGAGTTGCAGATACGCCTGTTTCTTCTCGAGCCGATGCACAGTCTTTTCGAGCACCGCCTGAACCCAGTTGCCTCGCCCATTCCCATACCAGGCCCGCTTTTCGCCCGTCACCGTCGCGTTGACTCGCCCTGATAACGCCATCAGGGCAGTTCACGAGCAGCGCATCGCCGCAGATGGCCCCGATGGCCCAGTGGCCTTGGCTCCACTCTCGTTCTTCGGACTCCCGCCATCAACGTGGTCCATGTCTCAAGTCTCGACGTCTGGACCAAGATGGCAAAAGGGCTCGCCGTGGTCTGTAAGATGGGGTGAAGAAGGCCCTTGGCTGCAGTAGAAAACCCTTGCCTCGTCCCCCCGGTTCCCCGACTCCCTCGAGTCTATCTATCAGATTCCTCGTCCATGCACTGCTGCAGCTCATTTAACGTATTGCTGGATTGTTGTGCTCCCCCCGCTTTCGCGTTCGGTGTCACCATCCCCAGTTGAAAGGGGAATACAACCTCGCGCCCTGCTGTCCACATATTTGGCCAAGTCCCGAGTCAGGCACCTTCGCCATATTCGTGGATATACCACCATGAGCTTATCTGGTCAATGAGATCGTGGTCGTGACATAAGATCGATCTTTGCGTGCTCGGCCAGCGAATGGCACGCTCGATGCGTCGTTGAATCTTCTCCACATTGTTCATCTGCCGTATGGTCGTGTGGAGCCCTGCCGTCACCCATTTTAGCCTATCTCATACATTACCGGTCGACCATCTCGACGCATCTGGATTCGTCAGACCCAGTCATCTCCTCTTTTCTTTATTTTCCTTCTTGCCCCGGGTCATCGGATTGTATTCCTCTTCGCTTTTCGACGAATCGACAATCTGACGAATTTTCTGCGGCGAGGGGCGATTGACGAGGGCTGCTAGATTGCTAGTATGCCGTCCTTGAGGATACGCGACAGAAGCTCTCGGGGCCAAAGTTCCAAGAGCGATGCTCTCAAGGCAGGACAGAATTTGCACATGCTGGGAAATAGTGCGGAAAATGTCGCACAACCCAGCCACTTCTCTCATCTCGCGAACCCGGACGCTTCCAGTCCATCCGGGGCAGACTTCTCGACGGTCGTGCCGAATACAGAGGATTGCCTTGAACCTGGGGCCCGTGGAACACCCCCGGCTGCAAATACCACACCGCCAGAAATCTTACTCCAGATCTACTCTATGCTTGCGCCCCGAGATTTTGATAATGCGCGACGCACGTGTTCGCAGTGGATGCGCGTCAGTTTGAATCGGGATGTGTTAGAGATTATGCTAAAGCGAGCCGGGTGGTGGGATGCATACCGACAAGATGTCGAAAAACAACGAACTCGACGCCGACCGTCAAGCGATGAAAGTGACGTGTGGAGAATGAGCAGACGTTTCGCAACCGAATGCTTGCTGGCGGGCCGCAAAGCGAATATCGAAAGGCCCGGATTCGTGAGGACGGAAACCATTGACTTTTCTCGATTGGCCCCTGGACCGTCTCAAAAAAAGCCCCGGCGAGCCATTTCTACTGCCCGAGATGAAAAGTCGCGATCAACATCCACATTTAGCACCAGCAGTTGTGGCAACTACGTCCTGGTGACAACCGGCTGCAGGATATACGTTTTTCGGCTCCTCTCGAATAGATCTGCATTGGCACATTCAGCAGAGCTGGGAGATGCCAATCTAGCTCCGATTACCAGTATTGAATGCCCATTTCCGGTCCTATCCGCCATTCTAGATACCAGCAAGCCTCAGTTCATCATTGCAGCATTGCTGGGGAATCGGGTTGGTATGGTATGCGATCTCGATATACTCGACAACACTTCGGCCACTGCTGGTTCAGTAAAGAAGAATCTTTCCCAAAACATGTCGAGAAGCTGTCACACTTCTCCACATTACTACTACAACGTCTGTTCAGAAGATCACCCACCACGAACGATCGCTCTGTATCCGGGACGTCGATGTGTCGCCTTCGGCTGTGCAGGTGGGATCGAGATCCATTGGGTCGATCAAGTAACAAAGCAAGACCACCGACGACATTTCCCAATGTCGCAACCTTCAGAAACCCTCCACTTCCTCCCCAACACCCCTGACGCCCCCTCGGAAATGCGCCTCATTTCCTCCCTGGCTGGACCTGGAAAACACGAGTGCGCATGCCGACAATCGCCGCATCCAGATCATCCTAAGAACTGTCAATTCAATATCCTCGCCGACTTTCGGTCCTTTGGTCGTAGAGGTCCCTCCAATACGTCCTCGCTCAGTCTTGTCAGGGCTACACACTGCCATCACTATCGTGCCGTTCCTATCAACGACGGGTACCATATCATCTTCGTGGAGCCCCGGACCGGTTTCCTTTGTATTGGCTCCGACTCACCAATAGGCGGTCCAACGAGTCTGACAAGAGCCTTCGTCTGTGTCCCCCCTTTTGAAAAGGATCTGCCAGATAATACAAAAGAAGCTCGCAGCCCGACGGTTTTCACAGTCGGCTCAGACTTGAAGTGGGGGCTGCGTGTGGTCGCTGCCTATCAAGACAGGATCATACTATACTCGGTTCCTCTGGATGTGTTCAACGTCATACGAAAAGAGCGCGAGCGCCAAGGAGAAGGTGTAATGGGTGACAGCGATCTTGCACGCGACTGGTTTGTTGACTCGGAGCACTTTCGCAAGCGGCGAGAAAGCCTGGTGCAGAATCAGAATGGCGATTGGGAGTTCCTCTTGAGTGTGACCTATCGTCCCACTACGATGATGTGGCCCTTCAAGATTTACGGAAAGGAGATCGGGAGAGTCGATAATATTGTCGAGTTGGCACTGCAGTCGGAGAACGGTGGTGCGCGCGTGTGGGCTTTCGATAGCCATGGCAAGGCGAATGTGTTCGACATCGACACATACACGACAAATCCCCGCGGGGTCAATGACAGCCCTTGCAGATTGGTCACTGTCGGCTCAGATGGAAGCCTTGAATCCGCTCGACTGGTTGATCGCTCGGAGCTCGATGGCCAGTCCTTTCGCAAATCCCGCAAGCGCAAAGCTTCACAGCTGCGTGAAGAATTTCTTGGCCAATACGGTGTGAGTCGCTTCGTGCCCGACATGACTTTGAGGGGTCTTGAGCCCATGAAGGCCGATTCGACAGCGATCGAGAAGGATGATTCATCAATTCGGCGCCCTTCGTTTGCAGCTTGCATTGTGGATTTCAAAATACCGGAGCTTGGGACGAGGAATGGTCGGTGGCGAGATGATACCTGTGCATCTTGAGTTCACGTCTCTTTTCTTTTTTTCCTTAAGCGCTGTTTCGGGTTATGATGGAAATTGCATATACCACTCTGTGCCCACGGGTGCCGCCGCATTGGGCTGAATATACATAGTACACGGCATTTATTCCTTCTCAGTACCACACCTTACCAAGCAGATATAGAACACCGTTTCAAACCGAAAAAATAAATAAATTGATATTTTGACAAGGGAGAACCAAAACTTTTCCTAATCTGGTAGGCAACGCTCGATAAATGCCCCATAATTACATCCTGGTGTCACTAAAAGGCTAAGAAAGACAGACATTACGATTGAGATGGCTTAGTTGGTGCCATTCAATTTCTGCCTCCGGGCGCGTACTGCCTGGGCGAGAGTCTCAAGTGTCGACTCAGTGTCTTCCCAGCCAATGCAGGCATCGGTGATACTGACACCGTACTTGAGACCGGCCTTGCCCTCGGGGGGAACCTTCTGGTTACCTGAACAGGGAGTTAGCACATACTGAGCTGGCAAATTTTAAGCAAGACATAGAGACTCACCTTCGTTGATGTTGCTCTCGATCATGACGCCCATAATAGCAGTCTCGCCGGCCGCGATTTGCTCGCCGAGAACAGCAGCAACCTTGGGCTGGTTCTTGTGGTTCTTCTCGGAGTTGCCGTGGCTGCAGTCCACCATCAGGCGAGCCCGCATGCCCTTGGCCTCCAGCTTGCTTTTGGCTTCCTTGATGCTGGCGGCATCGTAGTTGGGGCCCCTCTTGCCACCGCGCAGAATGACGAAACAGTCGGGGTTTCCGACAGTGCCCACGATGGAGACGACACCGGGCTTGGTCACAGACAAGAAATGGTGGGGAGACTTGACGGAGCCAATGGCATCCACAGCGACATCGAGCGAGCCGTCGGTACCGTTCTTGAAACCGACGGGGAAAGACAGACCAGAGGACAGCTCACGGTGGACCTGGGACTCGGTGGTACGGGCGCCGACGGCGCCGACGGACAGGCAATCGGCGAGGAACTGCGGGGAGATAGTATCAAGCATCTCACTCGCGATGGGCATTCCCTTGTTGGTCAGGTCAACGAAGAGCTGGCGGGAGGTGCGCAAACCCTTGTTGATCTTGAAGCTGTTATCGATATCGGGGTCGTTGATCAGTCCCTTCCAACCAACAGTGGTACGTGGCTTCTCCAGGTACGAGCGCATGACGATCAGCAGGTCGTCGGCATACTTCTCCTTCAGCTTGAGCAGACGATCGCAGTATTCCAAGGCCATATCGGGGTCGTGGATGGAGCAAGGGCCGATCACCACCAGCAGACGCTGCTTCTCCTTGTCGGTGCCATGCACGATCGCGACAGCCTCATCACGACCCTGCAGCACAGTCTCCCGCGACTTCTCGGTCAATGCGATCTCATGCTGAAGGAGGTTGGGCGGGGTGAGAGGGTTGTAGCCGACAACTGTGCGAGGGGTTTAGCGTAGGCCAATTGTAGGAAAACAAATCCACACGTACTGCGAGAGTCTTCCAGATGACTGTGGTTACCCACATTGGGGTTCTCGATGAAGAACTAAGCCATTGGAGGTCAGTTGGTGCTCGACGGCATTCGATGATTTCATGAGGGGCAGACTCACCGACATGGCGGGGCAAGACACTCAAGGTTTAAATGGAGGCAAATGGGGAGGTTTATAGGGGAATCAAGACGGATGAGAGTAATCAATAATGGATTGAAGGGTATCGAGAGGTTCGGGGAAAGAGCACACAAATTAAAAAAAAAAGAGTGCGAGGTGAAGCTGCAGCTATGAAATAAAATAAAACGCAATGAGTCAACTCCACGTGATCCTCGGTGAGGGGCCAAAGCGGTTCCCAATCACGGCGGGTGCATTTAAGAACGTAAGAATACCCTCGAGTGGCCCGCCGGGCCCGCTGCACCCCCCCTTAGCCCTCCTGGGCTTGGGCTGGCGCGCTAGCAACCTTACAGACTATGGGGTAAGTGGCTGCCTCGACCCTCCGGCCCCTGCTGCACCCGATGGTCCAGTTCCTGCAATCCCCGGATCAGATCCTGGCAGATTTGCGTGTGCTGTTCCTTGACCGACGCCATCTGTTGCCGGTACAGCTCCATCCGCACCTCTTGTGCCCGGAAGAGTTCCTCCAGCATGCGGTTGCATCCTTGTCGATAGATCTGCAATACCTGGTGGACACTTTCCTGTTCCGCGGCCAACTGAGTCGATAGTCGCTGTAATACATTAAGCATTGCACGTGTCTCTCGCTGGGGAGATCGCCCTCACCTGATTTGTTTGCAGTAACTGGTCATGTGCACTCTTCTGTGCGGCTTGTAGAGCTGAGATCCACTCCATGTTCTCGGTCTGACCTTGCAGGGTCGATAGAATTGGCGGTGGGCCTGAAGTGTGAGAGGACAGGTCCAGACTTCCCGATGCCCCATGTCTCCGAGGGTCCAAGTCATGGCCCGGTTCAGCGATGGTACTCTGCGATGAAGTCCGTTGAAGGTCCGGCGCTTCTCTCTGATCGACCCTGTCATCAGTTGTCTCGCCGGCGATGCCACTGTTGACCCGAGGTGGGAAATCCGACGGCGGGATTTCCAACGGATGCTTGTCATCAATTGCCTTCGGGCGTCCGCCATCTGTGATGTCGTGGCGCTGGCCAAATGGCTTGGTCTTTTGCGTTATCAGTTCTTCTGCTTCGATTCCATATTCTTTGAACATGTCTCGCTGGAATTTGGTCCAAATGGGCCGAGCCGCGGGCTTATGCTCAAGAGAATAGCCATCGAGACTGTCCTCCTCATCACTGGAAAATGAGTATGAAGAGCTTGAATCGCTTCCGATCATCGTCCGAAGGCGGTCCATTTCCAAATGGGAGCGAACACGGCTGGTGCTGTTAGTCACCTGTGGTCCGAGTCGAGGACTGCCATTATCATCAACGGCACAAGTTCGTCGAGCAGATCTGCGGTCTGGTAATGGAGCGCTTTGCATGAAGATTGTTGGCGGTTCGCCTGTCAGCAGCGGCCTTTGAGAGTCAGGAGTGTGTTCGTTTCCTTTTCTCGAGCCAATAAGTGCCTCGAGAGGAACAGTTTCCGCGGCAGTTGAGCTCAGTGAGGAAACACTAGTCTCGCTCTCGAGCAGTTCAAGGTTGTTGAGATTACTTTCCCTGTTATCCCTGCCTTCGCCTGACCGATTTTCTTCGTCCTGATATGGGTTTACGGATTGCGGGCTGTCTCTGGCAATATCAGTCCATCCGCGGGCTCCATCCTTTTCGGTACCAGGCCCTGCCAATTCCAGGCTGCTCAAATGCTCTTCAATCTGTGGTGACGGGTCAATTTTGAGGTACTTTGGCTGTAGGTGAGCTGAAGCGTCCCAAGAAGGTATTGTCGTGGTCGGGCTAAGCTGGGAAGGGCCGGATTCGGTTGGGTCATTTAGTTCCTCCAAGAGGCAGGTTTTCGGCTGTTTCTCCCTCCTGTTCGTATTCGATGAGAGTCGACCACGGGTTGTACGGGTAGTAGGTACTTGTGTAGTTTTGTCGCGTTTACCACATTCACTCGGAATGGTTTTCGCCGATAGCGTAGAACGAGAGTTGTTTTGCAGTGCCCAGGGGTCGGGGGGGCTATTTTGAGCCCGAAGTGCGTCAGTCAGCTTCTGTCCGACTGCCTTTCCTCTTCCATCAGGATCCACAGTCAAAGATTGTGGTTCCTTTCTGCATGCATCGGTGATAGCTCTGGGGCTGGACAGTGGAGGAGCTCTCACTGGGCTGCTGGATATCACAATGAGGGCCTGTTGGTTTGAGGCCTTTTCAACCCAGTTCTGTTGTTGCGTTTCCCAGGTAGAAAATGCTGTTTGTTGCTCATCATGTTGCCTTGGGCTGATGTTTTCGCCAGACGCAGAAAACTCAACATTCAATTTTAACAATGGAGCAGCAGTTAATGGCAGTTGATTTGTCGCGCTATCGCAATTTCCCGTGCCCTTTCCCTTTTTCCAAATGGTAGACTTCTTCCGTGTTCGAGAACCCACTTGGATCTTGGTCACCTTCCGTCGACGTTTAGACTGTTGATCAGCGGGTGAAACAGTGAACACAGGGTCTGCCGAAGAGACTGAAGTCCCTGGGGCATCCTCAAAGTCTTTTACCGGTTGTTCCTCATCAGTAGGCCGCAAGTCTTCACTCCAGTCGACGAAACCTCTTGACTGCAAAGAATGTCTCTTGCGAGTAGATCGTTTTGACCGAGATGCCGCTAAGGATCCCTGCATGCTAGGAAGGGCCGACATTGGCTCTTGACGAACTGTTTCGTGTCGACATAACGAAGTGTCTGTCTTTGTCGAAGAAATTGTCTTGGAAAGGTCGGCCTGCTGAGGACTTTTTGGAGTGCACTGGGGCTGCTGGCTGAAGCAGAACGAGTGACCATGATGTGTCTTGGCTGCGGTGCCTCCGTGGTAGGGGATTGGCTAGAATTCGGTGTAGACCGTTGGTGTTTGGGCTGATCTATAGATTTGCTGCCGGTGGAGAAGGCGCTGATACGCGAGTCGGTCGGGTGGCTTGCCGTGGACATGGCGTGCTCCCTGTCACGAGCTTGGTGCGCGATATCAGCCAGCTGTGACGAATCCAGTGGTGGCCGGGTATTATAAGTTGAGTCCTTGGCCCCCACCTCCATGGCTTGGTGCTTTTCGATCGACATATTTTTCCTTGCGTTCTCCTCTATCGTTGTCGCTGCTGCTTCTGGCGCTGGAACGGCCGCTGGCGATTGACGATTCTGATTTCGAGAGGAGGCGAGTATCTTTACCCTCTCGAGGCATGCTTTCTCGTCTTTCGCCTGGATCGCCTCCTCCGAGTCCAAATCGATAAATGCTGCGGAAACTCTGCGACGCTTCATTTTGGTGCCCGTCGGCAAGTGGATGTGCTCTTGCAGGGCGCCTGGGTCTGTCTGTCGAGCCAGTGTCTCGACTGTAGGCACTTTGCGAGGAGAGAGTGCTTAAAGGTTGCTGAGGACCGAGTTAAAGTTGGAGCCGGGCATCACGGGCATCACATGATGCATCCCATCGTACTTGCCTCGCGGACAACTAGCTGTACAACTACTAACAACTACCCATCGGTAGTACCTGACCTCACCGCTGGTGACGGACCTCGTTTCATACTCTGCCCGGGTTACTCCTCCATCTCTCGTTGAAATCTAGCGCGTCCAAAAAGTGATTCTGACTGATTTTGCTACTGCCACCACACTCTACTCTTCCTCTTTCCGTTTGAGAGCTTCAAGTTGCCATTGTACGGAACTCAACCGAATGATCACCACTCACCTAGCCGCATTGGTCGAAGAACCTGCTGCTCCACATCTCCCCAAGCCACCATTCAGCTGCTCGGACTCGGATCTTCCTCGATGAATCTCTGGAAGCTTCTTGCCCTCCTGCTGCCGGGAATCGGGACCACTCCAACCCCGGACCGACCACTGCCGCGATTATTAATCCCAGCTTCTTGGCTTATCAATTGTCCGTAGTTCGCCGGCGGCGGAATCGATGCATGAATCTGCCGACCAAGGAGGGCCTGATGTCACTATATAACTAACGATGCATGGTCCATGACTAACCAGCCTCCGCCAACACGCAACTCTGCCCTCTTCTGACCGCACAACTCGGTAAACACCATGGCGCAAGGCGACCCCCCACGACCCCTTGACGAAGAGGCGGCCCCGACACCGAGTAGGCGCCGATTCAACGCGATCGAGCCTCCTGACCGACTACGCGACATCCCTTCTGCGATCCTCCATCAACCCGAAGACACGCAGAATGATATCGATATGCCTCCTACCACCTCGAAACAGCGTCGTCGTGCATCCAGCCAGGGCGCTTCTCTCGACCAAGATGTGCATTTAGTCGAAAAGATCACGGAACATCACGACGAAGGAGAAGCTCTGGCGGGAACGGCGGAGGGGGAGGAATCGGTCTTGTACCTGGCGTACGGATCTAATCTGGCATCTAAAACCTTCCTCGGCATGCGCAAGATCAAACCGCTATCGCAGATTCCCGTGCTTGTACCAGAGCTTCGATTAACATTCGATCTACCGGGTATTCCGTACGTCGAGCCGTGTTTCGCAGGCACGGATTTCCGGAACCCAGATGCTCCCGAAGAGCAGGATTCTGAGTCTAGCAATGATGAGTCATCGGACCTGGATGGGGAATTTTTGTCGGAAAAGGCACCGTTGATGGTCGAGACACGGGAGCTGCGAGCGTGTTCTCGCACGCGTCAATGGAACAAGCCGCTGGTTGGGGTCGTATATGAAGTGACACTGGCAGACTATGCCAAAATCATCGCCACGGAAGGAGGCGGTCGCGGATACCGAGACATCGTGATAGACTGCCATCCTTTCTCCGACGGTTACAAGTCTACTGACCCGGTACCTAATCATCCCAACACGCCATCTTTCAAGGCGCACACTCTTCTCTCCCCGGCAGCGGATGACGCTCGCAAGCAACGCGAGGCTCTCCAGAACGGCCACAAGCCTGCGGCGTTAAGCCCATACCCGGGAGCCTCCCTATTCGATTTAGGTCCCCATATGCGTCCTGATCCTAATTATGCTCAACCATCCGCTCGCTATTTAAACCTGCTCGTTACCGGTGCAGGCGAACATGACCTTCCGGTGTCATACCAGAAATATTTGTCTGAAGTCCACACATATCGAATCACTACAATACGCCAGAAAATTGGGAAAGTGATCTTCTTGCTCTTGTGGGGCCCAGTTGTCCTCTCCTTGCTTGGATTGTCGAAGAGGTGTGCGGGTCCCGATGGCCGCAGTCCCCCATGGTTGGTCTCATTATCTAACCTGGTGTTCGCGGGTCTCTGGAATAGTTATGATCTTTTCTTTAGAAGAGTATTTGGTGACGGTGAGCGGACATTGGATAGTTGATACCCCTGCCGCGTAGAGTTGCATGTGAAGTACAATCCTACCTACGTACATAATACAATATATTTCGGACCTATACAATGTGACCACATGACATACTATCGTAATCATTGGAGGAGTGACGCACTATGATTAGCCCATCTATGAAGAAACAATGTGAACAATACACCAATCACAGAAGTATCGTACTTGGTATTAGCAGTGTGGCGGTACTTCAGTGTTCTATCCGGTCATGGTAGGTCCAGATTGAATCTCATATATAAAGGGGCCCCAAGCCGGTGTTCTGACCGTTCTTCTTTCAACCTGAGGTGTCATACTGACATCTATTGCTGTTATAGGAATCATTGAATTAACAATTCCACACTGTTGTTGCATGTCATTTGAACTTACCGTGTCGCGTACTAAGCGCACCAGTGTGTTGAAGGAAGGCCCTTGGGCTGTAAACACCAAACGCCAAGCAACCCCTCCGCCCATTCAGTGTTGCTCTACACCAAGCCACCTAGGAAGTATTTCACAATGATATCACTTGTGATGCGTAAGTACGTACCTGGATTTGTGCTTCGAGTCGTGACTTAACATGGTCTTCACAAAGGAAATTAAATTCAGTTGACTCCTCGAGCACACAGTTTTCGGAAAGGCAAAGGAAAAAAAGAATATATCTAGGATACAGATACAGGTGATTCTGGGGAGTTCTAACAAAACAAGGGCGAGCGGCCCTAGAGACAAAAAAACAAATGACGAAAGAGATCTCTCCGTGGCGAGAAGACCAACGGGGCAATAGTACAAGGGAATGCCCGCAATGGGCCGCTCAACCTCGTCGGTACCTCTAGTTTTCCCAACTCATACAGGCCATTCTGCCGTCGCGCTTAGCGGCGGGGGCCGATAGGGGGGCTATACACGATCTTTCTGGACTTGATGGGGGCCCACTTGTAGCGCTTGACCCAGACACTGATGGCGAACAGACCGGACAGGAGAGCAATAGCCTTGACACCCATCTTCTTGCGGTCGTCCATCTCGGGCTCGGCAGACCAGTTCAGAAACTCAACAACATCCTTGGCCATCTGGGAGGTGGTAGCGGGGGTGCCGTCCTCGTACTCAACAACACCATCGAACAGAACGCGGCCCATAGCAATACCTAAGCGCAACGAAAATCCGAGGTTAGCGACGTATCTTCACGAATTGGACATTTTTGTCATCACATACCGGTACCGGGGAAGTAGGGGTTGAAGTTCATGCCCTCGGCGACGGAGGCACCGGCAGGAGGCTCATCGGGGTAGCCAGTCAGCAGACTGAAGATGTAGTCGCAGCCACCGTGACGGCCCTTGACGATCAGACTCAGATCGGGGGGCAGAGCACCGCCGTTAGCGGCACGGGCGGCCTCGTCGTTCTTGTAGGGACTGGGCATGTAGTCCGAAAGTTTTCCGGGGCGCTTCTCGATCTCGCCCTGGTCGTTGGGCTCGGTGTCGTACTCGTTCTCCTCGGCCATGGCCTTCATCTCATCGACGGTGTGCATCACACCGACGAAGGAGCGCCACGGGACACGGGTCAGGGAGTGGCATGAGGCGCAGACCTCACGGTAAACCTGGAAACCACGGCGAAGACTAGATGAGATGGGATGTTAGTGATTGCGCCATGGCAAATTGGCCGAATCGGGTAAGGACAGGAAAAACACTCACGCGGCGTGATCGAAAGTCTTGTTGAAGCGCTGGTGAACCCAAGGGTAGCTGGTAGGGTGCAGACTAGAGTAGAAAAACACAGGTTAGCTCCACTGTCATATGAGATCCAGATCGCACAGTCCTCGGGTCGGGACAACGGAGCTGGTAGGGCTTGGGGGTTGAACCCCCAAGCGTTGGCGGACAAGTGCACACTCACCCCTCCTCAGCGGGTGTCATAGCGAAGGCCTCCTGGCCATAGACGTGGTAGTACCACGCGGCGGAACCGGCGGCCGCGGCGGTTGCGAGCGAGGCAGTGAGAGTGAGGTAGAAGGGGGAGCTGGCGGATTCGGCGCCGGCGGCGGTGGAAGAGGCACGCTGTAGATTAAATTAGTGAATGAACTCTCCAATGACAGAATGAGGCATTGCGAATCAATCGATTGCCCTTCTCTGCTGAGGTCAATGGCTTGGTCTGGGTGGTGAAAGCGTACCGTAGACTTGCCGAGCGACTGGCGTGCGATGGCCCGGTTGGGCACGCGCAGAAGGGAACGTGCCAGCATGACGAATTCGAGCCCTCCGATCGACCAACGATGGTAAGGAATCAAAGCGAGGAATGAGAGGAGGGGAGGGGGAGGGGGGAGGGGGGTACGTGGTGCACAAGGAGAAGTCGAGAGTTGAGGTCGAAGGTCAAGTTTCTCGCTGGGGGCAGTGGGAGCGTAAAACCCTCGCTCTGATTGGCCGCCGAGCTGCCGTCGGTGAAAACCGCGATTCCTCGGGTGATTGTGGCTTCCTCTTTCAACCCTCTCGATGAACAGACGAGCTGCCAGTGCGCCTGGTAGATGCATTTCCTAGGCCTTCCCTACCCTCCTTCCTGTCGCCATTGCCTCGCTGTCGACCTCGTCGCTTGTGGCTGCCAGCGATTGTGCCTTCCCGAATCGTCCCGAGCAGGGTGCCGTGATGGTCACGGGACCCGCTGACACATGGCCCGCAGCTGCAGCAACAACAGCCGCATCAACCCTGCTTTTGTATCTTGGGAATACCCGGTGTATGATGTTAATTTGGTGACTTTCCATTACACATTGCTCTCGCTCAGCACCCATTGTTACTACTTTAGGGCGCATTTTCATCGAGGAAAATCGCAGGCTCCCCCACCGTGAACCAGTCCAATACGAACGCCATTCCATCCAAACGCAGCGACTGTGACTCCTTGTCCTCCGTGCGATAACCGTGATTACCGCCGTGTGAATACAAGCGAAATGACAATTACTTCAACATTTCTAAGCCGATATTGGCTAGCGACTGGCCAGGGGTCAAGATCACGGTTGCACACGGGGATAATCAGGGGAACGACGCCGTGGACAATCCCCCAAATGGAGACAGACAAAGGAGGTGCCATCTCACGCTCTCATATCCAAAATATGGAGAAATAAAATCCGGCTAAACGCTGGCGCATGAGGGCCCGCTGCTGGTATACTCACCAGTGAGAGACCGCAAATGCAGGAGAATTGACGGCCCCTCCCGAGGCTGGGATTGCTTATACTAGCAAACAATCTTGTTGCTGGGAGTTGCTCATACAAGTGAAATTAACAGTCAGACAGTTAAGGGCGATTGGCCAGAGCATTGCAACTTAGGGCACTTGGTTTTGGCTCAGCAGCCTGAGAACCCCGGAGGCGCCTTTCGCGACGCGTGGATATTTGATAAAGTTCAAGTTCCCATTCGAGCTTCAGACAGCTGGATGTGGATTCGTTCCCGAAAACTCGCCGAGTTCAGACCAACCCGTGTCTCCTTTGCTTCGATGTCTTCTATAACATGCCTATCCTAAAAAATGACCTACGGACAGAACTCCCACGCCACCCTGAGGATATTGAACAACATAAATGATCTTTAACTGTTGATCAGACCATACATACCTTGATTTTTCCTGTCCCAGATACAACATTCCTATTTCCTAGGTGTCGATTGAAGTCGCTTACGTCTTACAATGAGTCGGCCGCTGGTCTGTGTGGATGCATGCGATATCGATCGTACCTTTCCACATTGTAGCTCTGTCCCACAGGAAGAAAGGTTGAAATCTCATATTCAATCCAAGTGGACATATTCATCTGATACTTGAAAATACCAGCGGCTGTGAATGGCGAAGCTCATGAGGATGCAGGGTCGGAGAGTCGTGATTGCGAGTCGGCGTTTCCGGAATACCAGGGGCCGTCTGATTCGGGAATTTCGAGTACACAATGTAGGAGTTTCAAGTCGAAACATGATTTTCAAGTTTTTCAATCCAAAAATCTTTTTCTCTTTCAGGTTCCTCGACATTTGCATTCCTGTACGCATTCTCTTCAGGTCTTAGCCTGAGAAGGATGTGACCTGCACAGAACGGGTGTGGTGCTCCCGCCCGATTCAGACGCAATATCGGATGGCGTCGAGTTATTTGTAGTTTCACGCCTGCGTGAGTTCGTTCCCACTAACAGAAGCATTGTTGCGTTGGATTCCAAGTTGTCTGCTGACTAGTTGCTCTGGTGGTTTTCGGTGGACATGGTAATTGGCATCCTATTGAATACTCTGCCCTACAATGCGACCTAGATCTATTACCAATCAAATTTCGTGTTCGTCTTGAACGTTGCATACTTTGTCCTGTCTTACGCTATATCTTATATCCGAAGATTTTCATTGTCATAATCTTTCAACCGACACAGTCACTCTGTTTGGGAGCTTTTCCCATGGATTTGGTCACTATCATCAGCATGTTCTGCTTTTTCTGCGCCCCAGCGTGGACCGACGCGACTGCCTAGTTTATTTGGAGTGTTTGGATGTTCGATGCTATTGTATCGGTCGTGGTAGCTAACGGAGTTCCTTTTATCCTGTCTGGCTCCCCACTTCCGTTTCCAGACCTACGATCCAAGAACTAACTGACGAGTCCCAGAACGATACGAGGAAATGACACTGACTTCTGCCGATTGTGTCTTGTATTGTTGCAGCAGCCACTGGTGGTATCGTGGCGGACGATTTGCTCAGGCCACAGCTGGCTTTGGGAACCATATTGGCGATTTATATTCTGTGGGGAATTGGTGTTTCATTCTCCCTCATGGTAATATGCATCTATCTCCAACGGTTGATGCTTTATAAGCTCCCACCAAGGGCAATGCTCGTAAGCGTTTTTCTTCCACTCGGTCCACTGGGCCAGGGTGGATTTGGGTAAGTAAAGGTGCACTGTCCATGACATACTCCCTTCCCGTGACCTATAACTGATACAAAGTATTTGCTCTGTAGTATACAGAAGTTTGGCAAAAGTGCCAAGTCCATATCCCCCCAAACCCAAACGCTGAGCTCCTCGACTGGGAAAGTATTTTACCGCGTTGGGTTTCTGATCAGCATTCTTGCTGTGGGCATTTGGGCTTGTCTGGCTCACGTTTGCCATCATAACCTTGTTGAAGTCTCGGATGTTCCTGCTCAACATGGACTGGTGGGCCTTGACATTCCTGTTGGGTGTGTTTACGACCTGTACTTGTACGATGGACCAGGAGTTCCCACCACGCTTCTTCTCGGGTGTTTGGAACGGTAAGCAGCCCAATTCCACTTACCTGGCTATGCTGACCCGTCGATCGGCTAGATTCTATCTATGACAGTAGTTCTTTTCCGGTTGTTGGTAACTTAAGGGATATATCTTCGTCGCACCCTGCCTGAAGGATCTGGGCCGGCCATCGACACCACCCGATGCGGACGCGCGAGGGCGACGATCAAGGTTCAGTGTGGGGGACCTATTGTACGTGAGAGTAAAAAACAATGTACCATCAGGCACTAGTAGTTCATAGAAATTGATAATACAGCAGTACTACTAGTCACTGATGGCAGTACATATTAGAATGGACAGCGATCGCCGAGGGACAGGAGGCGATTCTCAATCGGCGAATGACTGCCCCACTGGCTGGCGACTATGGAGAAGCAGTACACTAGTGTAGTAGCACCGGCAAGTAGAGTAGATGGAGCAAGGAATGATTCCTGCAAGTCACTCTGGCAAAATGTATCCGAGAATGCCCAGCATAGAGGGACTCGCTACGATCGCATGTTCCTGAAGGAACCGTGTGTCGGCCATTACTACTGGCTACTACTGCTACTGCTCAGAATAAGCCAGGCGGCGGACCACCTCCTCTCTCCATCGCACCCGCGAACATGCCGGTGACGCCCCGATCGACCAAGCAGAGCGGCCTGGCGTCTCTCGCGTGCACCGAGTGTCGCAAGCACCACCTGAAATGTGACGCGCACAAGCCCTCGTGCTCGCGGTGTCTGCAGAACGGCGAATTCTGCCAATATCTGCCCTCGCGCCGCGGGGGTCGCAGGAAAGCCCGTGAATCGAGTCGCCGGCCTCCTTCCTCCAGCCATCCTGATCCGGTGAATGTCAGTATGCCTCCTGCCTCTACCCTGTTGACTGGACCAAGGCCAACCGAATACCAGTCCATCCTGATCCCGCCGGTCGCCCGCCCCGACCAGCCCAATACTCCCGACAGCACCTCGCCGCACCGGGTGCCCGACAGCGCCAGCATCCCTGCAGGCCAGGTGCCATGGCCAGTCATTGCCCCCCGAAATGAGCTGAATCAACAGCGTCTGGCGTCATCGATGGATCCTTGGTTCCACGACGATCGTTTTCTTCGCTTGTTCTACGAGAATTTCCATGTCGCCCATCCGATCATCGTCCCCCATGATGCTTACCAGGACCGGCAGTACCCCGAATTCCTGCAACTCGTGGTGAACTTTGTCGGCTCCCACTATGTCCCATCAAGTCCAAACCAACAGTACAGGGACAAGGTCATCGCCGAGCTGACCTGCAACCCAGCCCGCTCCCCCTGCATGGTGCAGGCGTGGCTGATCTATGCGATCGCGATTTACGCCCGCGGCGAGTGGCAAGAGGCGCAGAATGCCTTTTCGCACAGTGTTGAGCTGGCGCTGGAATTGGGGATGAACCGCCGCGAATTCGCGACGTCGGTTCAGCCTGAGAGCTCGATCGAAGCTGAAAGCATGCGACGGACTTGGTGGGAGCTGTACATCACAGATATCTTGCTGGCTGCGCCGTTCAAAGGAACCACTTTTCTTTGCAGCACAATGGCGCCCGAGGTCGGGTTACCCTGTGAGGAATCGGCATATACGGGCACCGGCGAGATCCCGGCACCTCGCAAGATCCTCGATTTCAAACGGAGAATCTTTGCGCCCGAAGAGACCGTCTTTTCATCATTTAGTTATCGCATCGAAGCAACAACTATCCTTTGCCGTGCCCTAGTTTTGAACAAGCTTCGAGACTACCATCGTGATCATCTCCAAGCCGTGGAAAATGCGCTCGTGAGCTGGGTCAACCACTTGCCCCCCAAGAAGCTGGACATTGTCGATTCATATGGGAACATCGACGAGATGATGTTTCAGGCCCATATCACCATTGCATATGCAACCATGCTACTTCACCTTCCTCGAAGTGATCTCCAACCTGTTCTGTCACAGGCCGATGATCACTTCTGGCCGGTTGCGACGCGCAGTCTGGCATCCACCCTCAATCGACCAATTCACAGCATCAAAGCGACCGACGCCTCGCGACGCATCTCGGATGCTATCTCACTCTGCCCTAACATCATCAAACACACCCCTTTTGTCATCCCGGCTTTGGCACTCTGTGGAATGACCCAACTCGCGACTGCTATCAAGCACACTCAAGAGTGCTTTGACCACCACTACAACCGGGTCACTCTCATTCTTGGATGCCTCAAAAGCACCAAACGGATCTGGAATCTTGCGGATACTGCCTACAACCACCTACGTATCTCCGCAGCGGACGGGTTGTCGGACTCCATGGAGCGATGGAGCACCGAGCCACTCAGAAAGTTTTTCCCGACGGATCTGACACCAAGTAGTACAGAGCGCAGCCAGCAGCCAACGCGGCCATCATCGGCAATTTCGGAGGGTCAAGATATGCTGTTTCCACCGATTGTCCCTGCTTTCGTGGATCCGACCTGCTACAACGATTCGTTCTTCACGTCCATTCCGGATTTCGATATCACCTAGGTACGAGGCCTTTTCAATTGTAACGAGACCACGATATGCTCTGTACCAATAACACATGCCACCTTCTGAATCATGTCTTCCACCTTTTTCTGCAGTTTGGAATGTTGTTCATACTGCGTGTTTTTCCCGTTGCGATTGGGACCCGATTGTAAGCGGCTTTGGCGAACAACATTCTTTGCGAGATGTTGAAACGCGAAACGGACACTGCTTTAAACTATTGCATCGGAAGTAAATGAATACTAGCGTTTTCCCCCACGGACCCTGGCGATTGCATGTAATGCCCGAGGTCGAGTTGCGTGTCCTTATCTTTCGGCGATTCAAATCAACACTTGGTAGTGTAGTGGGTCAATCGCCGATTGAACACCCAACGTCATTCTTCATCGGGGACTGCCGCGGAATTTGCGGTCTGACCCCCCGGGGATCTTTATAAAAACATCTTCACTTGACCTACACTTCTCAACTCTCACGCGCAATCAACTTCTGTTCAGCAAAACGCTCAAGATCGGTGCAAAATGCTGTCCTCTGCCTTGTCCACTACGAACACGTCGATCGATAAGGGTCTATCGCCCTCTTATCACCACTTTAAGGAGCGATATGACCTGGATGGTCTTGTACAAGACGTCAAGCAACATCTCGGAGAGTCCGGTGGCATTTCGTCAGAAGAGGTCGACGAGGAATACCTAATTTCGCTTTTGAAGAAGTACGTTTCTGATCCTAGTGATTGGATCAACTATTTCTACAACGACACGAGCAAGAACTACACTCGGAACGCTATTGAGAACATCAACCAGAAAGCCAATATCGTAATGCTACCTTACGCCTGTTCCACTTTGTGCTGCTGCTAACTTCACACTAGCTTCTTCTGGTGTGGAACCCAGGAAAGGGTTCGCCCGTTCATGACCATGCCAATGCCCATTGTATCATGAAGGTCCTGGCTGGCCAATTGCACGAGACGGTCTATCACGCCCCAGACAACCAGACTGGCGAAGAAAAGCCTCTTCAAATCAAATCATCGAACACATTCGGGATGAACGAGGTGACCTACATTTCCGACGACATCGGTCTACACCGCGTACACAACCCCAGCAGTAACCAAATTGCCGTTTCCCTGCACCGTGAGTTCCCCATTTTACTAGTAGCTGAACAGTTTGGCTAATACTGAGAAAGTCTACACTCCACCCAATGCTGCCGATTATGGCTACAACATCTTCAACGAGGCGACCGGATCTGCAAGCTTTGTGCCACAGGCCCATTCGGTCTCTAAGCCCCAGCAGAGCTGAAGCTCGGCATTCTTAACGATTTTAACGTGGCTGCTCTTCTTTATTACTCTGTCCGCACACTTTTTGCTTGAATGTTGTCATTACCAAATACCCCGTGCGACTGTAACAAGTCCACATCAGCTAGCGACTGAACCAAATGCATTTGATCGTTATCATGAATCGAAGAGTAAAAACGTAGGACCAAAGTCTTCAAAGTGTTTAATACTTCCCAAAATAGACTATTCAGAGTGTTAATGTCCTTTTTGAGAGTCGTTCCCAGGGGCAATATTGAGTTCCTCCTGCCCTAGGACACAAAATACAAGAGTACCGAGATGGACCCCCGAGTTCGAGACCTGACAAGCGGAAGTACACCGCTATTCAGTAGCCGTGTCTATGCGATAAAACCCGGAATCACGTCACATACTCAGCTGATTCCCTAATCGCAGTGAAACCCGCCACGCGGCAGGTTCGCGCAATCGCCGATTCACTTGCCAGATCGCCGAGCCCCTGCATTCATGATCATGAGCTCAGGGCATCCATCATCCTTTGTGAGCTACTGAAGGATGCTATAACTACCCCTAGGAAAGGATAAATGGATTCTATTGAGCTTAAAACACTACTGTCTTTCGGATGACTCCCCTACGCACCAGAGTGATGGTGTCTGAAGCTTCCGACTATGCAGGCACTCTTGGTGGCATTATCACTCGATATTGCCACAGTCAAACTCCTGGGAACACGTTGCAATGAATATTCTGATCAATTTGAGCTGCGTATTTACCCCAGGATCTCTCGTGGGACATTATACCCCCTTGGACAGGCCCGAGAGTTAGCCTAGACATTAAGGTAGACTCGTCCAGTCAGATCTCGTCACTACTGTCCTCTGCTAGTGTTAGTGGCGCGATCGGGAAGGGTGGAGACATCTGATCGGCAAAGCCGATCAGAGGTCCAGAGGGCCGCTTCTACCGCGCAGTACAAAGAAGGGAAGGAGCAGATGCCCTCTGACATGGCAAACGATCTTCCCGCTCATGATCACACCTCATTATTCCACGATGTCAGACCAGTCTCTACCCACTCCAATCGATCCTCTGTTTACGTTGCGTCTCGTCGAGGACTTGTTGCAAATTACAATAAACACCTGGCCATCAAGCATGCCCCTCACAATGTGACGATCGGAGATATTAGAAATTCCCGAAGAAGTTCGCGGCGCCCTGGTATCATGATTACATTGGCGAGCCTTTGTTAAAGACATTGAAATAAGATCGAAGACGATCATTCCTTCACAGCGAGATGTTGTCATCCGGATCCCAAGATATCGCCATTCGCGGAGGGTCCCTATCCTATCCGTCAACTTTCACCGTGGGTATCGACCACCATTGACTTTCGCCCCAAAGAGGCCAATTGAATAGGAACAACTGATGTTGATCGCAATTGGTAGATTCGTTGTTGGAAATTTGTACAGCGACGCAGAACTTTGCATGCCGGTCTGGGATCGGGTTGGTATTATCGTCATGGTGTGGAATACAGGTTCTGACTTGGTATGTATACTATGGAAGCTAGGCGCCTTAATTTGTTGCAGAAAACATAACTGAGAGGCAGACAGAGCATACATTCGGCAAGAGCCATGACGATGCATGGGCGCTTATCCGTTGGGTGAGACCAAAAAACTATGAGATGGAAATAAGATCCAATCACTGACATAGAATGTATAAGTTATTGAGAATTGTCAGAGTATCAACGGGAAGACCAACTCCATGTCCATTGGTGGCATCTCTGCCGGCGGCCATATTAGCGCCGTGAATCAACAGCTGGCCAGTGATGCGGATATCAGTCTAAAGCTTGGTACGATTGATCCCGTGGGAGAATTCTAAAGGATAATAACTAAAATTTCACTGACGCCATCTTTGCCTTTCCGGGAGTTGATCAAAGCAACGAGATTGGAGAGCCCGGTGCATCATACTCGTCGCTGAAAGAGAATGAATTTGCGCCATGCTTGAACTCGAAGCGCCTCGAATTCTTCCGATCATTATATGTCCCCAAGAAGTCTTACAAAATTGGATAGCCGTGCGAAATATCAGTCTTCAATCTGATGGCTTTGATGCAGAGCTGGCCCCAGAAGGTGGACACTACTTCCTGGGATGACTTCCTTGTCAAGTCACGATATATCTGAAGTGAGAACGTAAGAGTTCTCGAGTAAAGATGAGAAATGAATTGGGAACCCTCGGTTACCCATGTTAAGGCTACCAAAGCTCATTCACAAGTGTTGGATTCCCACATTCAAGATTGAAGGTCCGTACATTCAGATCTGTACTCCCAGCCCCGAGACCTTATAGTAGATAGTCGATGACATTGTAGTGAAAGGCACAGAAATCTTATTGATATCAGCACTTTGATATATGAATTTTCTCGCATTTGCGGCGGCTAGTTGCCAGTGGTATCTCATGCTAGGGCTCCGACGGTAAAGCTAGTGAGGGCAGGTGATGTTCTGCCGCACCCATCACCACCTTCGACTTTCATCCACTTCACACACCCCAAAGATGTCGGCCCCTACACAGCCACTTTCGCGCGCGCCCTCTCAGGTACCATCAGTTGACTCCTTCGTTCCATTGACATCCAAAGCCACCAGCAGACACCCCACTGCCCGCCCGACAACCACTGCCACCAGCGTTGTCGGCCAGGACATCATCTGCGCCGTCAGCGAGTCCCGCGGCGTCTCGTCTATCGTCGGATTGGCTTTCGTCAATTTGGCCACGGCTGAAGTGGTTTTGTGTCAGATATGTGATAGTCAAATCTACGAAAAAACCGTTACCAAGATCGGTGTCTTCGAGCCCAATGAGATTTTATTCATGAACACCGCCAGGGAGTCCAAGCTGTGCTATATCCTCCAAGAGAATCTACCCGAGCCGACGTTCACGTTCATGGATCGGAAGCTATGGTCGGACAAAACAGGATTGGAGTACCTTGATCGACTGGCATTTAGGGACGAGGTGGACTCGCTCAAAGTGATACTTATCAGCAACTATTTCACCGCGTGTTGCTTTGCTGCGGTATGCTCCCATCATTTCATCTTGAAGTCGTTACGGGCACTAAGAACTATACAGGCGCTGAAGTATGTGGAAATGGAGCTCGAGCGCGCTTTTGCCTCTCATTCTTTGCGAATCAAGTTTGAACCATCGCAAGGCTCTATGACCATTGACCTCGCCACGGTCGTATCCCTCGAGTTGATTCAGAACCTTCACAACGCCAAATCTCGGGATAGTCTTTATGGATTGCTCAACGAAACTCTTACTCCCATGGGAGCCCGGCTATTGCGAGCCAGCCTCCTGCAACCATCGACAGAACGAGTGAAGCTGACGGCACGGTACAATGCCGTCGAAGAATTGTCAACAAAGGAAGATATGTTCGTATCTGTTCGGCAAGCATTGAGAGGATTCATCGATTCCGACCGGGTGTTGACTTCGGTAATAAACACCCTCTCTCCAAGCAAAGGGCGGCATGACTGATTACGTAGATAATTTTGGTCCCAACAAAGCAGACTGTCCAGTATGTTGAACAGTCGGTCAACAACATGATTATGTTGAAGACATACGTTTCCTCGATCCGAAACATCTACCAGGCACTCGGAGCAGCACAGAGTGACCTTCTTCTAAGCATTCGTGAGGTTGGTCACCTTACGATTGTCTATATAGTGCTGTTCCCAGCTGACATGATTAGTTGTGTTCTCCGGCCGAACGTCGCCCCGTTGAACAACTCTTGGAACAAACACTCAACGAGAACGTTACATATCAGAGCAAGCCACTCGACCTTCGAAACCAGAGAACCTACTGCGTAAAAGTAAGCTCGCATATTGTTGACTCTTTGTCTGGTCAAAAGATTAAACTGTTGCAGGCCGGTGTCAATAGTCTACTTGACGTGGCTCGACAAACCTACAAGGAGGCAAATTCCGATGCGACAGAATTGGTCGAGAGACTAGCAGGTGAGCTTCCTCGACACACTTCTCATGGAATGTTGCTGAAACCACTCAAGAAACGCATGATATGGCACTAGATCTCAAGTATGACAGTGCTCGACAATACTACATCTGCATCCCAACTTCCGAATCCGAGGCCTTGCCCAAGGACTTTATCAACATATATCGCAGAAGAAATAGGATCGAGTGTCAGACACTGGACCTTGTCAAGCTTAATCAGAGGATCACTGACGCCCACAATGAGGTAGTTAGTATGAGTGACCAAACGATCCAGGATTTACGTTGCGATGTCTGTGCAGTGGTTGCAGGATTGTTTCGAGTCAGCGAAGCCATCGCCATGTTGGACATGCTGGCGGCCTTCGCACAGCTTGCTACTAGCTATGACTATATCAGGCCTGAATTGACGGCCACGTTGGCAATAAAGGCTGGTCGTCATCCCATCAGAGAGCAGATTCACTCGAGCAAGTTCATTCCAAATGACGCATACGCGACACCGCAAACACGATTCCAAATCATTACGGGTTGTAATATGAGTGGCAAATCCACATATATCCGGTCCCTTGCACTCATGACGATCATGGCACAGATAGGCTGCTTTGTTCCAGCCCAGTACGCCTCATTCCCGATTGTCCACCAGCTATTTGCACGCGTCGCGACTTCGGATGACCTCGATGCCAACGTCTCGACATTCGCGGCCGAGATGCGCGAAATGGCATTCATCTTACGCAACATCCAACCTCGCGCCATGGTTCTCGTTGATGAGCTAGGCCGTGGCACAAGCACGACCGATGGGCTTGCAATTGCCATCGCTCTCGCGGAAGCCCTTCTTGCTAGCAACAGTCTCGTGTGGTTCGCTACGCATTTCCATGACCTGGCTCGCATCATGTCCGACCGCAGCGGAGTGATCAATCTCCACCTAGCCGCAAACATCGCTGAAGATGTGACCAAGATGACGATGCTATACCAGATATCTGAAGGCCCTGTTCCTGACCGTCGCTATGGCCTCGCTCTTTCTAAGCTAGTCGATCTTCCGCCTACCGTTCTCAAAGTTGCAAATAACGTTTCTGAGGCACTTGAATGCATTTCACAGCAGCGAAACAGTGATTCGCGAACAGTGACCATTGCCAAAAAGCGAAAGCTGCTACTTTCCTTGCGCGAGCAACTTCTGATTGCGCGGAATAGCACGATGGATGACGAGCCTCTCCGCTGCTGGTTGATCAAGCTACAGCAGAATTTCTCGGAGCAAATGAATGCGTTCGACGGTGACTGGGAAGCCACTGATCAGGATGAATCTCAAATCGTCTCTGAAAGTGCCCCTTTAAGCGAGTCGTCAAAGGCTAGCCCTGGCCTTGATCAATCTCCAGCCAAGAGATCCTCTGCAATGTCGAAATCAATCCTCATTGAATCCGATACTGAAGCGTCCACGACGGACAACGAAAGTGTTGTGTTGGTCTAAAGATTATAATGGCAGTCCAATGGTCCCAGAGATTCACCTATCCCTCACGACATTCACCTGAATATCATTAATAAACTAGTATAGCCATACCCATTACTATCTGTAGTAGTTACAAACATCAAATAATGATATCATTCTATGACAGAATATCAGGCATTGAGCTTATTTTCGACCGACTTTCGCTAAATTTATCCAGTCGTCTAACATACACATGGTATGGCAAAGCAGCTCTAGTAGTATTAACCGAAGTGGAAGAGTGTCTGCTTGCCCTTCTTCTTTTTGCCCTTTTTACCGCCAGTTTCCTCATCTTCAAAATCGAAATCAGATGGCTCGGCGGGAGTAGCAGCACCAGATGATGGATTGGAACCCCACGCAGTCGGGGCAGGGCCACGCCGATCATCCCAACGAACATAACCGCGGGTTTTACCAGCCATCATGACGTTCGGCTTGGGAGCCGCTGGGAGAGCAGGGAAGGCGTCCGCTCCACTAGCGGTAGGGGCGCGTGAGGCTGCCGCAGGGGTAGAAGAAGAGGAGCGACTCGGTGCACTGGGCCGTGCAAGAGAAGGTGAGGGGGTGGCCGTTGCCCATGGCGTGGAAGCAGTGACAGTGCGACGAGATGATGATCCGACGGCAGCGGACAGGGAGGGAAAGGATTCGAGGAGGATGAGGACGGCATGGCACCGCTCCTGCCAACGGCAGATCGAGAGGATTTTGCGGTAGATGACTTGAGCCGCAAAACACGTGAACCACCAGTATTGATGGTGCTGGCCGACATTCCCGGCAGCAGCCCTCCGGGGCCTGGCAAAGCAGGATAGTCCTCGTTGATAGCACGCCAGTCATTCCATGCCTGGAGGAGGCTATTGCGCTTGGACTGGTCTTCGTAAATCTCGGCTAGCTCTTTGATGAGCTTACCGAGTTCGGAGCTCGAGGTATCGAACAACGAGAAAAAGGCATCGATCAACTCGGTGGCTGTGATTGAGGACGACCGGTAGCTGGAGACTCTACTGCGGAACTCGACCATCTTGGCGTTGTCGTTATGCAGCAGATTTGATGCTCTTTCGACTACCGCTGTGTGACGTAGTCGACGAGCTTGATCTTGCGGGCTAAGTGGGTCTGAGCTGGCAGCCAAGCTCAGATTCTCGAGCTCTGCAGCTGGAGGAGAACGAGCTGCAGCTGGTGTCGGTGTGGCACCGGCTGATCGTGGTGGTGCTTGCACAGTCTGGGTTTCATTGCGTGTGAGTTGTCCCCCAAAGCTACGCGTTGAGACAGATTGTGCACTCTGGATTTCCATTTGCCGTTGATAGGCAAGCTGGTCTCTGCGCAAGGGCTGAGCACTAGTAGCAGGCAGAGGCTCGGTGTTGGGATCACGCCCCCGGCCAGCACCACGGCGTTGTCTCTGTTGCGGTTGATATGAACCGCGAAGGTCAAACTCACTAAGGTCGACTAGTCGTGCATCTCGACGAATGTCTTTCGAGACACCGTTCGGATGAGACTCCAATTGATGGCCTTTCAGATCCATCTGGGATTCAAAAACCACGAATTTTTTTTCCAGACACTCTGGATCAAGGCATAAAAAGTGGTCTTTTTGAAAATGGTCCTCGAGGGCATTGTAGTCGATGTAATACTGTTGCTGGCGGTGGGAAGAGCGGCGGTCACAGATGTGACAGCGTTCGTGTTTGTCTCTGCAATGAGTATAGAGTTCATCATCGCCGTAGAATCGCTGGCGACAGAAGCCACACTCTGGGTGTCCTTTGAAACCACTCTGGTCGATGGCTCCTGGCTTGTCATCTCCATGCTTCTCATGCCGTCGCAATTCCGCCATTGTAAAGAGAGTGTGCTCGTGGGTGAAGACCTTTTTATTCCGGGTACACAGATCACTGTATTCTGGTAAGCGGCTGATACAAAGACAGACTAGTCGAAGGATGGATCAGTTGAAGGGTTATCATCAGCAACATACCACATCACCTTGCCATGCTTGCTCTTAACGTGGCGATGCAAGTCCGGCCATCCCAAGCAAGCGACATCGCAGCCCTCGTCAGGACAATTATAGCGTAATAATAGCACAGTATCTTCAAAGATTTCGTCCTTTTCATATTGAATTCCAAGATTGTCGTCGGTCCGAGCAAAATCGTTCTTTCCAAAATCCTCAAAACGTCGGACGGGATCGTCGGTAAAGATCACGAAAGCGGATTCGGTCTAAGGGCAAAAACTAATAAGATATTCGACCCGGAGAGTAAATGAGAGCAGATGACACTCTCCAGGGATCCCCGTCGGAGAGGTCCCCAGGTCCACTTACCCGACAGTGAGCGCAACCCTTGTTCTTGTAAAGCGCGCGCAGACGAAGGGCACAGATGTGACAGGTACGGTGGTTGCAAGGTGACACAGAAGTGTGCTCGACGGTGGAAGCGCAGATGAAGCAGATCTCGCCATCATCCGCATCGTCAGTAGCGGCGGCCACCTGTTTCGTTCCAACTGTCGCCGTCGCCGGCCTGGGTTGCGCCCCGTTGGTTCCGGTCCCGTCAGCACTCTTCTGTTTATCACGGCCACCAGAGCTTTTTCCTCCGCGGCCCCGGTACTTTGAACCTTTGCTGGTCCCGTCCCCAGGTGTCTGTTGACCGTCCAAGCGGCCGGATGGGTTAGCCCCTCCGCGGCCGCGGCGGCGACCACCACGACCCTGGTTCGAGGAGCCCGAGGCGGTCGGCAGGTTGTCAGCCATTGTAGATATGGCGAGGGTCAAGATCGGCGCGGGAGCAGGCAGTCAATGGTCAAGCGCTACAATCAGAGGGGGAAGCTCGCCGTTTGTGGGTTGGTGGGGGATTGGGAAAAAGTGAGATCTTGCCGCTGACTGATCTTCCGCGGATACTCCTCGTATACTAGAGGACCTACACCATGTATAAGAACAAGATGAAATAGAAACCCCGCCGGATTGCTACATCAATCTACACCGAAAAAAATAACGTCATAATAATAAATGTTCATAAATGCAATGTTGAACGAGGATCACCACTCTGGGGCTACACCAACTCCCGCTGGAGCGCATAATAGCAAAATCTTAAAAAAAAGAGGAATTCAAAAGCGTCAGTAGAACAAGATCAAGAAGGCCTCACTAAGTATTATCCTAGTAGGCGAGTGATAATATGTCACGCCAGCATCCCCATGCATCGCAGAAAATATGTGAGAACGGGAGAGAAAGAAACAAAAGATTCGTTACATCAGTGAGAACCAAATTGGAGGGATAGTCTCTGCCAATGCGATTTTCGAAGCCAGAACTATTCATCCGGATTGTAAAGATTCTGATTCAGAATCTTAGTCATGGTGAACATGTGGACTCGATCTTGCTTGAAGACAGCCCGCATCGCGTCGTCGCAGCGGATCTGGCGACGGTCGGCAGGATCTTGCAATTCGTTCTCACGGATGTACTGCCAGACCTTCTTAACTGTTTGAGGGCGCGAAAGCTGTTCGATCAATCAGTAAATTTCGGCGACCAACTCCAAGCAAGTGAGGATGGCGGGCTTACCGTCACCTCTCCGCCCAGAAGCTCAGACAGAGCGGGCGATAAGTTAAATGGTTTCTGTCGACAGTTAGAACCGTACCAGGTAGACGCAGGAACAAACTTGAGCTTACATGAAATGCACCTGTCCGATTCACCTCCTTCTTCGTATCCGACCCTGATTCCACATCAGAGTCATCTTCCGCCCTAACCTTCTTCGCCGTCTTGGCCTTCTTCTTCTTAGGCGGTGCTGTGCGTCTGTTTCCTCCTCTCGTTGGCCGCGCACGCAAGTTCTCTTCTGCTTGAAGCCTGGCAGCAAACATAGCATCGGCATCGACATCGGCGTTGGGCTTGCGCTTCTTTGGGGGGTGGGAGGCGGCACTGTGATCGGAGGCCTCTGCGCTCACAGCTTCTCGCTTCACTGGAGAGGAAGAGGACGGGGGTGAGCGTACGGCAGGTGCAGAATCGCCATCTGGGTGGCCATTGCTTGTTTCTTCCGGTGATTCTGCGGCGCCATTCTGGGCGGCGAAAATGTCGAATCGCTGCATAATGAGCTCCTTGATGGATGCCTGTGACGATCAGTCAGCCATATCTTTGGCTCCAATAGGTCTGCCATCTGGAGCCGAGAGCCAGATGCGTGCAGATCTGGGACGAACCTTTTGCGCTGTGAGATCATAGCCGACCGCATCCTGGAGCCCTTTGCGAATCCGCTTCTCGGAAATGGTATTGAGGTCGCTGTTGCTCAGGATGCGGTCAATGATTTCCGTGTATTTACCGCGCAGCTCGGGCGAGACTATTCCACCAGGTCAGCTAGGGATGCGCGAATTGGAAAGACCCGGCAGTTGACGCCGGAGCCTGGCCGAGGTAACATACGCGACATCGTGCCGGCAGATGATCGATCGCGCGTGCAGGAATGAAATATGTGTAGCGCGGGGGACGATCCAGATTCGAATGGATCACCAGGTTTGCGCCGGAGCTCCAGTGGAGGGCTGGGGAAACGTTGATGGCGCAAGCAGGTACTTGAGGTGTTGTCAGGTGGTGGGTATAGTCGCACTGGCGCTTAAGAGCGGCGGGGGAAGGACGGGCCGGCAGAGGCGCCAGATGAGCAGCGAGATCGCCGATGGGCCAACCGCAGGGAAAGGCGCCACAAATAACACGACGAGAGACAGACCACGGGAAAGGCACGGTACAAGAATAGTCACAATGGCAATTGAACGAGCCTCCAAACCCCGCCGGCGAAGCTTCCCACTAGAACTCGAAGCTTGCCCGTCCGGGGAAAAGCTGAGTCATTTGGTCATGTGACGCTGAGTCAGCGCGCACAAAGAGTTGGCGGAGCAAATCTCGAGATTTGTTTCTGGCCGAAAATCCTACGATTCTGCTCCACGGCCGTCGCCCTATCCCGCTACCCACCATGGCGCCCAGTTTCGAGCAGCTGACCGAGCAAGATCTCCATGAGGAGGAGGAGGAGGAGGAGATCGATTTCTCCGGTGCGTGACCAATTTCTTCACGAAACCGCGGATACCCCTCTCGGAAACTAAAACTAATTGTTCGCGGGCAGATCTCAAAGCGCAGTTCGAAGTCAAAGCCGATGAGGGACTGGACACATTCGTTGTCATCGACGGCCTTCCCGTGGTCCCTGAAGACAGCAGACAAAAGCTCATTAAGTTCCTTTTGAGAAAACTCAACACCGTCGGCCACACCTCCGAAGATGCCGTCTTTATGCCGCTGAACGACAAGGGCATGTCTGAAGGGTGCGTGCAGCAGATCTCGTTATTTATATTGCTGGGCTGGTGCGATTAGGATTGAACAGACATGCTAACTGGGAATTTTCTTTTTTTTGCAGATTCGCCTTTGTGGAATATGAGACCCCGGAACAAGCTGTCGCCGCCGTGAAGCAGCTGCACGGGGTTCCCCTCGATAAAAAGCACACTCTCGCCGTGAACAAGCTGATGGATATTGAACGCTATGGTCGGGAGGGTCGCGTCGAGGAGGAGTACCAGGCGCCCGCCGTTGAGCCGTTCAAGGAGAAGGAGCACCTGCGCTCATGGATGGGCGATTCGAACGCCCGCGATCAGTTCGCCCTCTACCGTAATGATAAGGTGGGAGTTTTCTGGAACAACAAGTCCAACCCCCCAGAGAATGTCGTCGACCGCGCACACTGGACACAACTCTTCGTTCAGTGGTCCCCCAAGGGTACATTCCTCGCCTCCGTCCACCCCCAGGGTGTTCAACTCTGGGGAGGCTCCACCTTCACCAAGCAAAAGCAATTCCCCCACCCCTTCGTCCAACTTATCGAATTCTCGCCTCTCGAGGGCTACTTGACGACATGGTCAGCCCGTCCGATCCAGGTTGAGGAGGGTCAGCCCGTCCTGACGTTTGAGGAGGATGGAAAGAACATCATTGTGTGGGATATTGAGTCTGGCAAACCCCTCCGTTCCTTCGTCTCGCACGATCTGACTGCTGGACCTACCCCCGAGGGTGACGTTGCGCCCAAGAAGAAGGTCCAGTGGCCCGCTTTCAAGTGGTCTGCGGACGAGAAGTACGTGGCCCGTATGCTCCAGGGCCAGTCCATCTCCATCTACGAGGTGCCCAATATGAATCTGCTTGGCAAGACCTCAGTGAAAATCGATGGTGTCAACGACTTCGAGTGGTCCCCTGCCACTGTCGTCCGTGAGGGTATCAAGCAGCAGGAGCAGCTTCTTTGCTTCTGGACTCCTGAGATTGGCAGCAACCCGGCCCGTGTTGCCATGATGAGCGTCCCCTCCAAGGAGATTGTTCGTACTCGTAACTTGTTCAACGTTTCTGATGTCAAGTTGCACTGGCAATCCCAGGGCGCCTACGTCTGTGTCAAGGTCGACCGCCACTCCAAGTCCAAGAAGTCCATGGCTACCAACCTGGAGATTTTCCGCGTGCGTGAGAAGGGTGTCCCCGTTGAGGTCGTCGACAGCCTGAAGGATACTGTCATTAACTTCGCCTGGGAACCCAATGGATCTCGATTTGTTGTCATCACGACCGGCGAGGCCCCCACCGGTGCCGCCGTTCCCCCCAAGACTGCCGTTTCCTTCTTCGCCCCAGAGAAGAAGGGTAGTAGTGCCGGCAACTTCAAGCTGGTGCGCAGCATTGAGAAGAAGACTAGCAACGGTATCTACTGGTCACCTAAGGGTCGTTTCGTTATTGTCGCTACTGTCCACTCCCAGTCCAACTTCGACCTGGACTTCTGGGACATGGACTTTGAGGGTGAGAAGGTCGAGGCTGAGAAGGATCTTGCTGCCAACCTTCAGCTTATGAAGACCGTTGAGCACTACGGTGTTACTGACGTTGAGTGGGACCCTACCGGTCGCTACGTTGTCACCAGTGCTTCCGTATGGACTCACTCGGTAAGCTTCCAATTTCCTTCAAATCCATTTTTTTGTGAGTTTCATTGATTCTTGAAACAATTACTAACTATACAATTAGATGGAGAACGGTTGGAACCTGCACACTTTCTCCGGAAACACCCTTTCCGAAAACCCCACCGACAAGTTCAAGCAGTTCCTTTGGCGACCGCGCCCCGCCACCTTCCTTAGCAAGGAGGAGCAGAAGCAGGTGCGCAAGAACCTGCGTGAGTACTCTAAGGAATTCGACGAGGAGGACAAGTATGCCGTGGATATCGCCAACACCGCTGTGGTCGAGACCCGCAAGCGTGTCCTCAACGAGTGGCTTGCTTGGATCCGCCGGGAGAAGGAGATCCAGGCCGAGGAGAAGGATGCATTCGGTCTGCCGGAAGATGCCGATTCGCCCAAGCAGGCCCTGGATGCGCCTGTTGGTGGTACCGACGAAGGCGAGACTGTCGTCGAGGAGATGGTGGAGGAGATCATCGAGGAGACCGAGGAGGTCATTGGTTGAACGAATTCTCCTTTTTTTCTTTCGCATATAATGTGTTTCTTTTTCCCCCCTTTTTTCTTTGTTCCCACCGGCGTCCTCTGCGCTCGACCCGGATGTCTGTCCCCATTTTCTTTGATCGGGGGGTTATATCACAAAAATCGATAGAGTGAGCCGTGCCCCCGTCGGACGAAGCTCTTGATGTGCAATGTGGATAAGCATGAGAAATGCCTACGAACAAGCCGTTCGATACTTCAATACTCCTTATAGAACTGGTGAATTTGAGCGAATCTTCACCCCGTACGTTTCCTCAAACGGAAGAAGCACTGAAATTGATTTGCCGATAACTAATCTGACTTGGAGAATGGTGGGTGTGTGCTATAGCGGTATGATCTGCTATGTATACAGACCCATGGCCACGCCCACGGTCCCCAGAGCAACAAGCATTACGCAGAAATTTGATTCCATCGCGCTCTTCATCGATGCGCCCCTAATTTCCTGGCTTGCGGACGCAGTCGCCGAGCTCGTCTGCGACGACGAGCCCTGCTTGACATTCAGCTTGAAGAACTTGTCGTCCATCCCAACAACGTTACCAGCCGGTGTGTATTCACACACAACGTACCAGCCCTGTGCTCGGGTACTACCGTCCGGTCCTCGGACGACCAGGTGATTGTCATCAACCATGTCTCGTCGCACACTGCGATTGGAGTCGGTATACCCGCAATTGATCGCAGCACATCCCACCTCGGTCGTAGATTTCCACACCAATTGGGTGAAGTGACCCGTTTTCTCTGTAAAGCCTGTCGGTTTGTGGAAGTTGTATAGATCGCCTTCATCCCCCCAAGCCTCGACGGCTGCAGACGCATTGGAGTATCCGAAAGCAAGGTTTTCGCCATATGGGCCATTCTATTCCTATGTTGTTAGGGGTGTTGCTTTTGCTGTGAATTGCAAAATTCAATGATACGCACCGAATGCTTCCAGATACACGTTTCGGCCCAATTCCGCGCATATTTTGCCAATGTATCATTCCAGACTAATGGGCCCGCATCGTGCGTCGTGCGATAGTCGTTGCTAACTTGAAGTACTGTGTCCTTGAAATCACTGAGCGATGTGTATGACGCTGGACTGGGGGCAGTGTGTGTCGCATGCACGGTCTCAGCTGCTTCCACTGTGGTTTTGACTGTGACAAACACCGTATCTTGGGCGTTGGCAGCTACCATCAAGCTGGCGATCGCCACGAGGAGCAACCACAGTGATAGCTCACAACAGGAGAAGGTAGTCATTTTTTCGACAATGTCCTGTGACAGAAAAGGGTCGATAGCTGAGCTTTCTTGCCTTCGACTACCTCATTTTTGGGCCCAAAAAGGTCTGTAGGATCGAGTCACTGGATTATATGCTGAAATCGAGGAGTCTTTGTTGGCTTCAGGGTGAATGAAGAGTCATGCATCAGACTGCAGCCACACGTATTAGACGTTTTTGACTGAGAATTGCGCCCAACAAAGCTGCCCGTCTCTTTTAGGCGATCTTGGAGATATAAGTTTTCTCCCGGGTGACCTTGGGAGCCTCAGAGTCTGCAGAACCAGATGCACATGTGTCCGGGGATGAGACGATATCAGCGTCACCAATCGATTTTGCGCCAGGGTTCTGGGTCCGTCCCTGCAGGAGCCAACGTTCCTGACAGAGCGGGCGAATGAAAACCCACGCTTTAAGCTGCAATCCTCCAACTGTTCGAGTCTGCAACCTCAGAGCGGCGGTTGTTGGTTCGGAAAGACTGGATGTCGTTTCAGGCGCAGCGCGATGTTCCAGTAGCCGCCGTTGACGTCAGTTGCAGCCAGATGCTACCTCGCATGTCGGATGCGCCGGAGATCTGATCAGGCTTGAATCAGGGAGAATAATAAATTACCATAGAGACTGGGTCAATTTAGGTCGGGGGCGAAGAGGTTGGGAGTAGTTGTGTCAGCTAGAGTAAACTACAAGTTGGTGATCGCCGATCAGCCGCCAGCCCGAACTCCAATCTACTTTAAGCATTTCTTGGCAGTCGAACATCCGCCTCTGCACAAAGCAATCACAACATTTCCGATCATTGAATCATGGGGATTTTTGGTAACTTTATTTGATATGCTTCTCAATAATTGCTGTACAACTCGGGATATCGATCTACATCACACTACACCCAATGCCATACATGGCTCGTTCCACATCGCGTTTCACCTGGTACCAGTCGGCCCGGCGCTCTGCGAATTCGTACACTTCCTCCACCCGCCAGATACCATGGAACCGATCGGCATCTGCGATGATTGTTGCTAGTTCCTTGGCATCAGATGGGTCGATCAGGTAGATCTGCGCGAGCTCACGGAACGCTTTGAAGTAGAGAAGAAGCTCGCTGTTCCGGAGGGTTTGGATGAATTTGAAGTAGTGGTTCATGTCACTGGAGCACTCTTAGTCGAGGGTTTGGGGCAAAGATCAAGATTAGGTCATAAAACGTACCTGATTAACTTCAGGGATCCTTCCACACTGATCCGCTGCCGCTTAAGGTGCTTGCACAAAGCCGTGAACAAGCGAAGCCCGACTTCTTGGTTGAACACATCCAGCGTGCTCTTATCAGTACTTCCCACAAGCATTTGCGTATGTGAAGATACCACATCCACAATGGACAATGCGGCAGGACTAACACCTACGTCCATAGTCTCTCGATGAGGGTCTGACGAAACACCTGGGTTGAAGTCCGTGGCCATTTGTCGCGTGGCCAAGATGTAGTCCACCTCTTCCATCAGCACGTCGATTCCTTTGTTCAATCCAGCGGCTACTCGTTCGTCCAGCATCTGTTCGAATTTCTTCTTCTCCTTGACAGCCGGGTCTAGAAAATCGTTGCGGTCCGTCAACCTTGTTCCGATCAACTCTTGCTCGTAGAAGACATCGACCATTTGCAGAATGAGGTCGCCCACATTGACCAGCTCCAGGAATGTTACTAGAGGCTCAACTCCAGATTGATCGCGCTCTTCATGCTCACGCGGTCGGTAATTAGACAAATGATCAACAGCCTTGTCGAATCCAATTATCACATGGCCGTATCCCAGGATGCGTAGCAAAGCCACAAATATCGCTTGACACTGCCGCTTGGCGGCTGCGCCAAATTCTCCACCTAGTCGCACAAACTGGGCAGCTCTTTCTAAGCTTGATTTGGCCGAATGCACCAGGCCCAGTGCTATTTCAATGCTGAATAGAGACCGGATGCCTTCCATTTTTGATTTCATGATTGCTGCTTTGGCTGCCAACTCGGTGGTTGGGACTTCTTCTACTGGCAGCGGTGCTGGGGATGAAAAGGTAGAAAACCGGTTGGGACTTTTGGGAGCAGGATTGCTGCCATTCGTCTCCGAATCCGACTTCGTTTCATCAGCAGTCTTTGAAAAACTGGGGAGGATGTTGACGGGCATCATGATCACTTTTTTAAAAGAAGTGAGGAAATCCCGCTTGTCGGCTTGTCGGTTGATGTTTGACATCAAGAACGACTCAGTAGAAGCCGCTTGCTCGGACAACTGACGATCCCAATCAGCCACCGTAGCTTCTGAACCCTTCCGGAAAAAGTCAAGCTCCTCTGCCAGATATAGATCGATATGTGGCTCGTAGATTTTGGCAACAACCGTGTCCAGGTAGTGGTCGAAGTTCTCGCCGGAATTGCGAATTGGCAGCAGAGACTCGGACAGGTTCATGCACTGTATAAATGTGATCGATATCGCAGTGAGATAGGACTCCATATTCGTACGATGCAGCTCGTCAAATATGGCAGTCAAAAACGGGTACAGAACGTCCTGTCCAACTTTCTCCATGAACGGCAGGGCCACTTCTAGGTCAGAAGGGAAGACGCGGTTCATAATAGAGACTTCTTCGTTATACCCAACGCTTAAACGTGTGAAGAATGCTTGTGTGTGTTGCAGTTTCACTTTTCCGGTTAATCCATCAATGCAATCGGCCACCGTGCCCAGCTCGGATTTGTGTGTCACCAAGTGGTTGTGATGAATGAACAGCTCTACGGCAGACTTGCCGCCATTGAGAGTCCATAAAACATGGGCATACTTGCGCATTCCACCTTCAATGTCGCCCGTTTCATACCCATTTCGAAATTCATTTAACGCTGCAGTCTCGAACATGGACACGGTACCCTCCAGGCGCTCCACCCGCTGCTCCCACCCATTGGTCAAGTCGGATTTTGCAAATGCTAGCAGCTGCGATAGTATTTGGGCTTGTGCTTGTGGGCTCTTATATGTTGTGAATACTAGATTCTCCGTCGAGGGCCCGGATTTGGCAATGTCGTGGTAAAAAGGTGCCAGTGCGGCGTGGATTTTGCCATATTCCTGGCGTGCTTCGCCTCGGATCGACTTGGCATTTTTCAAGACGTTCAAAACGGGATCTTCGTCGTCCATTCCAAGCATGGCGACTTGCGAGGCGGGCTTGCCGATTTCGATCTTGTCGAATCCATCGGACAACTCACTGACATTGGTAGCCGGAGCTTTTTCGATCGCAATTGTCGGGACAGACCCTTTGTGCTCCTCGGTCGCCTCCTTTTGTTTGATAGCATCAAGATCTGCGACAGTGCCGTACACTTTCTCGACGTGTTTGCGGGCGTCGGTCTCGTCCCAACATCCAATTCGTTTAAGCTTCTGTACCCATCGTGTGTCGTCATACGCCATCTCGTGTAGAAGTCTGCAGGATCGGGCTGCCTGGATGAGTTCGACGGGGTCGAGGTAGTCGACAATTGAGGACATGATCTCTAGACGGCGTCAGCATCATGATTCTCGTGGGCTCTGTTTCAGTGACGCACCCGCTGGGAGTGAACCACGAGCAATCTCCTCCATTGATGCCATGCGAAGCGAGGCCAGCACATCTCTGCGTGGCCTCTGCGCCGGCACCGACCCTTTCTTCCCGTTTGGCATTTCGCGTTTGTGGAATCTTCATCGGGAGTTTCAACGGTGTGGTGTTATCTTTCGCGGGGCGTAGGTAGACCGGAGTGACGGGGGTGAGGCGAGTCGAAGCCACACACCTCTCCGAAGCTGGAGAAGGCAGCAATGTGAACCGAGTCGCGCAAAAACGAGCGAGGGAAGCCGTGGGCCCAAAGAAAATTGTTCACCGCACTGGGGGCATATATGTCCCTGCATGATCGACTGCGGTTTCAGCGGCGATCAACGAGGGTCCAGCCACACCGCCTCTCCGCGATTGGCAGAATCTAAGTAAGCATCTGTGTAGTGCCATGCAACCGAGGCAATAGGGAGAAATTGGAATAGTACAATAGTGTCCCCTAGGTAATCTGGTTGATGACCCTCGGTTTAGAATATGGATATATGCATTATCAAACACTTATGGACTACGATACTCACTCCAGTCGGCTGGTTGGTCCATTACACCTAAGTCCGGTATATATTTCCCCGAACACTGCCTCACCTAATCACATACAATGAAACAATATGCACAACTAAATAATGAGGTCGTGCGGTCATTCTGCATCTTGATTGCAACAATTTTTTTTTACACTAGTGTACTTGAAATCGTACTCCAAGGTACAAGCACCAAGTACTAACAATAGTATTTCTAGGTAGTACACTAAATACAGTTAAGAGTCTTCGGTGGATATGGAGGTGGAGGAGCGATAAGCGCGATAAGGCGGCCTCAAAATTTCAAAATTGTTCATCCCCGAAAAAAGTCCTTCCACCGAGTCAAACCACCGCAGATCATGGCGACAGTTCTACCCCCGCCGAGCAAGCGCCAAAAGGTTGCCCAGGCCGAGAAGGCCCGTGAGCAGCAGGAGATCCAGAGCATACCCAGCGGCCTAGGCAGCGTCCGGGTTCAATTCTTCGATCAGGCGACCGGCGATGCCACCGGGCCCGCAGTCTCGGTCCCCGTGGTCGATGCCAACATCAAGAACCTCGAGACATTGCTAAACACATTACAAGGGAATGTGAGTTGATTTCCCTCTAATTTATTTTTCTGAAAGAGCCCATGTTAATCGACAATTGCGCAGGATGATGATGATCGAGTCCCGTATCGCTTCACATATCAGTCCGACAAGGAAGGCCAAACGATCGACATCCTCGCAGACCTCTATCACTCGCTATTGCAGCCGGGAATCAAGACCACCGAAGATACTGTTTCGCTTTACTATACCCCCCAGGCGGTCTTCCGAGTCAAGGCAGTCTCACGCTGCGCCGCCTCAATCGCTGGCCACGGCGAAGCCATCCTCGCAACCTCTTTCTCTCCCGTCTCTTCGTCGACGATGGTGTCTGGTAGTGGCGATTCGACCGCCCGTGTCTGGGACTGCGATACCGGTACACCGCTGCATACCCTCAAGGGCCACACCAGCTGGGTTCTGGCGGTGGCGTACTCGCCGAATGGGGCGATGATCGCGACCGGTAGTATGGATAATTCGGTGCGGTTGTGGGATGCAAAGAAGGGACAAGCGCTCGGTGGGCCGATGAAGGGCCATACGAAGTGGATCACTAGTCTTGCGTGGGAGCCGTACCATGTTCAAGAGACTGGCCGGCCTCGCCTGGCATCCGCATCGAAGGATTCCACCGTGCGCGTGTGGGATGTTGTCTCGAAGCGCATTGATACCGTATTGACCGGACACAAGGGATCCGTGACCTGTGTGCGCTGGGGAGGCACTGGTCAAATCTACACTGCGTCCCATGATAAGACCATTAAGATCTGGAACCCCAAGGATGGCACCCTCATCCAGACGCTGACAGCGCACGCTCATCGCGTCAACCATCTAGCCCTCTCCACGGACTTTGCTTTGCGCACCGCGTACCACGACCATACGGGCAAAGTGCCGGAGTCTGATTCCGAGAAGGTCACTGCTGCGCGCAAGCGGTTCGAGCAGGCCGCTACCGTCAACAACAAGATTGTCGAGCGCTTGGTCTCGGCTAGTGATGATTTCACCATGTACCTGTGGGACCCATCCAGCTCCAACAAGCCAGTTGCCCGCTTGTTGGGCCACCAGAAGGAAGTCAACCACGTGACTTTCTCCCCGGATATGGCATATATCGCGTCTGCTGGGTTCGATAATCACGTCAAGCTTTGGAATGGACGTGACGGGAAGTAAGTTTTTCTCATGCCACCAACACTGTCCTTATCAGTTTACTTACAGATCGGCAGATTTATCACTACTCTCCGCGGCCATGTGGGTGCTGTCTACCAATGCTGCTTCTCCGCAGACTCACGGATGCTCGTATCCTCGTCCAAGGACACTACATTGAAGGTGTGGGATGTTCGCACGGGCAAGCTGGCGATGGATCTTCCGGGGCATCGAGACGAGGTGTTTGCAGTGGACTGGAGCCCGGACGGCCAGAAGGTTGGCAGTGGTGGGAAGGACAAGGCGATCCGTATCTGGCGGAACTAGAGAATAGATATGCAGAATATACTAGATCTATGATACCCAGTCTATTGCATTAATGTATGACGCCCATTTCATTCCTCGGTTATTTCTCAATTAGTTGTTCAAATAGACCCATTTCGATGCTTACAAGTGCAGGGAGAGTGATTGAAAATGCTTTCAACAGGTTTGATTAATGAAGCTATCGTTATCATCTTCGCGAGCAATGCACATATCGTGGTCGCCCACAGCATTAATATAGAGGTAGAAAACAGGATCTTAAAGCAACGCTAGATAACAATGAGAAGAAAAGCATCATCGATCATCTCGTTTAAGCGTACTGCCAAGCGGGCACCTCGCCCTTGTAGGGGAGAGCCATGGCGGAGAAACCCAGACAGTCACTGACATTACCTTGGGGCACGGTGGCGTTCTGCATCGCGACGAACACCTGCCAGCGGTTGTCCTCAGTAGGGCAGGCCATGAAGCCGCTGGCGCCCCAACCGTTGAAGGTGTAGTGAGACCAGGGCTTGCCGGGGACGTAGGAGAGACCGCCGACTGCGGAGCCGGGGGGATGTTGGCAGAGTGGGCCTGGGTGAAGCTCAGGGCACCCGAGGGAGCGACGTAGACTTGCTGACCACCGGGGACTTCGACGTCCTGCAAGCTGTTAGTTCTTTGTTCCGCCTTTGTTCTTCGAACTGCAAGAAAGAAAGTGGTATCACATACCAGAGAGTTTCCACCGGACGCCAGGACAGTCTGGTTGCCGGGAGGGCATTGAATGCCGTCGATGTCGGGGCAGTAGGAGGAAGTCTTGCCACCGAGCCAGAATTTCTGGCCCGCAGCGTTCAACTGCGAGTAGTGGATGGGAGATGCCGAGCGGATAGCCATCACGTTGAAGTTGGGGTTGGCCTCAGCTCGGGGCTCGGTGATGGGAGCCGGGGCAGCAGCTGCCAGCAGAGGCAGAGCGAGAGCGAAGAAGGACTTCATGGTGATTTTCTGAAAATGAACAAATGAACAAATCGAGATATAATCAAGAGATGAAATGTAGAGATGGATTTGATGTGCTGAATGAATGGAGGAATTCGGAAGATTGGAGTGACTCTTTATACTTCATGGACGCAGGCACCAAAGATCAACAGGATGGTGGGCCACCCCGCGCCATTCCACTCATCGCCCAGGGAACAAGAGCGAAGTCTGCTGCGCCGGCCCAGTCACCGGCGACGATGCAGAATCAATGACGCTATTTCGGTCGGATGTGTCCGTCGCGGCGTGACGGTCCCGTTGGGCGATGCCGCAGGGAAGGCGGTGCCGCCTCCACCGTCGCACTTCTCTGCCGCCAACCCTGACTAGTTTCACGTTCCTGAGCAACCCCTTCAGCAACTTGCCCCCAACCGACTCGCTAAACCCAGCACTAAAGCACTAACTGCTAGCAATGCGACTTTAAGAACAAATCACTGAGACAAACTGGGGTCGGGCGGGTCCGTGGTTCGTCGAACACGAACGAAAACCCACCGTTGTCGATGGAAAGCCACTGATCTGCACTCAGTGTCTCATCTATTCTTGGCTGGCATCATGCGAAATTTCGAGAAGTCACCGCAAGTGGATGGATCAATTCACCAAGTTCTTCTTCCTTGGCTACGGAAGGGATGTTGCCGAGGCGTCACTATTATCCTCACACGACTATGATTCTGATTCACCTGGACCGGCTCACGGCAGACCTTACCAGATCTCGCTACGCTCGTTCAGTCTCCACGCCGCATGTCTCTACGATACTGGCCCTCGAACGTGCCTCCGACCGCCTGGTGCATGACGCTAGTGTTATCCCAGAGCATTAGGTCGCCGGTATTCTCCCATCCGACCCGGAGCGCATAGCGAGGCTGCGTCGCATTGGAAAACAATCGATGAACATCGCCGCGGAGGCTTCCGGATCTAAACCCTCGATATGGTGGATGTGCGCTGCCAGGTACAACGTCTCTCGACCAGATGCCTCATGCGTTTGCAACAGACGGTGCCGGCTCATAGGGTAATCCTCCGGGTCAACGTCCGCGAACGTGGAGGGACTAGCGACCTTGCGCGAATGCCACAGTGAGTGGGCGGCAATGAAGTCATTTGTGTGCAGGTGATCCTGCATGTACGAGGTCGACTCATTGACGGCCGTCCGCGAGTCGGCGAATTCGGTTTCTCCGCCCATTCCGGTGGGTGGCAGCTCAGCAGCGCGGAGTAAGGAGTACCCGGCGCGACGCGGATTGAAGCTCGAGTCCACGTGGAAGAGACTGTTGCCCTTGCATGGGTTCAGTCAGAGTCAGGGGACCGACGTAGGACGACAGGGCCGCTGCTGGGTTACCCTCTTCCACTCGCGTCGCACATTGCCCAGCGCAAACACGCCACCGTCCAGATCGATGTTGCCCACGTCGAAGAGCCGGACGTGAGAGAGTCGGCGAGGTCGTCCTCCAGCGAGGTAGGGCATCACATCGTCCAGCTCACCGAACTGGGCGGCGAATGCGACGTGGCGGGCATAGTTGAGGCCTGTGTTGCGAAACACGCAGACGCCATACTGCTGAGGTGAGATGGCGCCGGCTTCTGTAGGATCAAATTGGACGCACCTTGGTGATCGCAGCCAAGATCTCTTGAAAAAGATCCTCTGCAACTGGCTGGGAGAAGTATACTCCACTGAGTTCTGCTCCGAGCGTGGGGTGCAACTCGGTGAGGGTGATATGACTGAACTCGGATGTCTGCGAAATCCCGGGCATGATGAGCACTACTAATCGTAATAATACCTAGAGAAGCAGATGTCTCAATATTGACAGGGCGCTCTTCTGCAGGTGCAGGGAATTTATCAATTATGTGTCTATCGAGAACTAACCTCCATGTAGATGACCTCGGCATGAAGAGAGTAGATGTGCGGGGCTGACACGGGCTTCTGCCCTGATAATATCTTTCAAACAACGGCAGCTAATTTTACTACTAGCGAAGAAAGAGTCGCAGGAACTGGAATCAGTAAAACACCACCAGATATAATATCATCTAACCGACCACATCTGAATCTGCTTGGCGTTTCTCTTACCACGCGCATCGTTGATTTCCTAACTTGCGAATGCGCCAAGGTTCGATAAGAAAGGAGAACAGAACTTATATGACGTAATTTCGATTTCCCTGGCCACCTTCACCATACACTAGTGTAGTTTTGCAATTTAATTAATCTGAATTTCTATTGGTATCATTCTGAACCGCACTTTCGGCTATCCACCCGGTCACCAGAATGACCTGCCCATGATATGCAGTACACGAGATCCATAGTGTGACACTAGTCTCCGATCCATTCAAGCCAGAGAAGCGAGTGCCAGGCCAGATAGCCCGCAGACAATACCATATATTCTGTAGCCAGGATGGCCATTTGATCCCTCCAAGTTGACAATGTCCAAGCTGTTATGCTCCACTCGCCCGGTCCTCTAACAGCTGCATAATCATCTCACAGGTCGGCTTCTCAGCCCAGGGATCCTTTTGCACTTGTAGTCCATTCATCGTGACATTCGCAATGTTGGAGGAATTCCCATACAAAGGCCAGTCCGATGAATTTCCTGCTCCGTATCGCACAAAAGAAAGTAGTTCTTGCTGAAACTGTCGCGCAAGAGTCGGGCTCGAAACTGGAGTTGTCGTGTTGTCTCTGAAGAAAATATCTACGCAGTGTAGTAATATTAGCAACCATCCCACCCATTTCCTAGGGAGACTTACACTCTAGATCCTGACCATGAGCAGCTGGCGGAATAGAGAAAACGTATCTCTGCGCACGCGGGCCATATGCCTTTGCCATAACTTCTGCGTTACATGCGAAAACAGCATCCGTCACCCAGTCCTGGCCAACTTGGAGCAACTCCGAGTCTGGATACAGATACATCTTTCGGAGAGCCCGAATACTAGATGCATTGGCGTTGGGGAATGCCAACCGGATAAGCGAAGCAAGCTCACTCGGTGTGGTGATTTCCGGAGCCGTGATCAACCCTTCGGCGGCCATGTTGCCGATGATCGCGGATTTTAATTGGCGATTGTACTTGCCCTGCTTGAAAAGGACCATGGCTGCGTCGGTGATGAATTTGCCATCTGGGAAAGGACTAATACCCATTCCTGGACCGAAGCTACCACCGCCACTTTCGCTTTTGATATCCAAGAGGACATTTTTGTTTGCTGCTTCGAGGGTGCTGGGTGATGCTTGTCTCATGCAGTCGAGGGACGAACAATTAGTGCTGTTGAGCACCTGCTGCCAGACGTACTCGCGGCGAGCTGTCACATTTCGTCTTGATAGAAGTGCCGGTGATGAAATAAATGCCTATCAAAGCAGGTCAGCTATTAATTACCTTGGACTGGTGGAGGAACGAGAGTTACCTTCTGGAACGGCAGAGGCCACATTCCCTCTTCGGCCACGAGCATCAATTCAACCATCGCTGCGCCAGCACTTTCACCAAGGACAGTGATGTCATTTGGGTTACCGCCAAACCGCGCAATGTACTGTTTTGTCCATTCCAGCGCAGCAATTCCATCATGAAGTCCGACATTCGCATCCATGTCTTCATCGGCGGAGGAGGTCCATCCATATATTCCCATACTGCACAGTCAGTAGACGAGCAAAAACCCCCGTGGTTGACTTGAAAAGCAAAAGGAAAGAAATACCGATAATTTCCAGAAACATAGATAAACCTCTCCTGCGGTTGTCGAATTAAATCCATCAATCCCATCCCATCTACCAAGAGATCCTTACTCCCAAACGCGTACGCGCTCCCATACATCCAATACAGTACCGGGACATTATCGCCCGCTTTCACACCTTCCGGCACCCAGACATTCAAGAAGAGGCAGTCTTCCGTTCCCCACGTTGTTCCATTCAACCCCGGGAAGGGCACCTGCGAAGGCGCCGCGCACACACAGTCGCTCGAGAAGAGCCGATCCCGACCATCTTGGATGCCGTCTTGAGTCGGCGGTGGCGTTCGCGGCTTGCGGAAACGTAGATTGCCTATTGGTGGTTGGGCGAAGCGGATGTTGTTGTAAAGAGCGACTTTGGCACCTGAGGCGGTGGTATTGATGTATGTTGGGATATGTGTCGCGGTGTCAACATTGATGGGGGCGAAGGAAGTGAAGGAAGACCCCACGAAGAGAGCTGTTGCGAAAATACTTAATTTGTACATTTCGGTTTGCTAATTGAAAAATATATGTTGTCTATTCATCTTTCTGAATTCAGGACGGAGCAAAGCGACCAGCTTTATATGCGTCAGTTGGAACCTGGAAGTCATTTCGTATTCCCGATCGGGCATGTGTCGTAAACAATCAGTGCTGCCTAAATAAGGCCGTGGGACTTCCACTTGATGACGACAAATTCCATCTCGTATTGAGACCAGGCCTATCGTGTGGTGGAGGTCGAGGCTCTCATGCAATTTCAAATACGAGATTGTCCATTTGGTCAGGGATGGAAATCCCCGACGCCGTCATTGGTTGTTTTCCCGGATCCCTGTTGTCGGAGCCCCATTTTAACCTTAACTGCGCCACGGCTTGGGGTCCCGCCCGTGCAACCATGCATCCCGGAACTAGTGCCTGGGGTGTTAAGGACAGGGATGGGATCCGAAGAGCTACCAGTCCCTCGGTACTTATCTGGCGTGCTCCACTTGGCGATCTACAGATCTACTCTGGAAATATTGAATACAGAATGATTTACCCAATAAGATATATACGAGCAGCAGTGTCGCCGCCGAGGTATGAACACGGCCAAGGGCCAAAATCACAAAAGCCAGACACCCCCAGCACCAATCCGTGTAGCAATAGAGAGAAGAAAAAATTGAAGAAAAGAAGAGAAAAGAAAAGAAGAGAAAAGAAGAGAAAAGAAGAGAAGAGAAAAGAAGAGAAAAGAGGAAGAGGAAACCCAAGAAGTGAAGAAAAAGAAAAGTAGGCCGCCGAAACACCATTTAAGCCAACACGCCTCCTTTTTGTGCCCCGTGTCTTGATCCGCCAACCCAAGCATGAAAGAAAATCCTGATCGTTCATCATTCGTCTCCCGCAGAGGACTTCGAGATTAGAAATCGCTCCGCATTGGGTGGGGACTCATGTAGTATTAGGGCGAGATGAGCAAGCTCATTGGAAAGAAACTCCTTCCATTCTTAATAGTCATCACCATCGTCATCGTCTCCGTCTCCACCTCGGCCGCGAGGGCCCTTGACTCCATCTTTTCGGATGGGGATTTTGATGCCCTGCAACGCGAAGCACTTGCTGAGTTGTGTGCTCTCGATGACACCGGGGAATTTCTTGGCCGAGAACACTTGGAAAGGATCACTGAAGACGGAGGCCAGGACAGGCGCGGCGCCGTGGTTGATAACGGGGGCACCATTGCTCGTCTCGGTTGATTGAGTTCCGACGTTCACGAAGCTCATTTTGAGGCTATTGACAATATCAATTAGCAAGTACTCGTCAGATACGCCCTTGACAATGCCACAATGACATACCGGAAAGTGCCTTCGGTCCGCACACTCAAATCCTGCAGAATGAACCATACGCCAATCTTATTCTCAGGGTCGGTCAACCGGAAAGCACTGGCACTCAGGCTGCCGATCAGGTTGCGCGTGAACATTCCTCCCTGGGCGCCTGAGACAGGCGCGGCCGGCGACATGGCGGTAGGCATCTGGCTCCCAGGAGGATAGCCGTATTGCGGATAGTTGACTGGTTGCCCATAGGGATTTTGATACATCTGTTGATTGCCGTAGTAGCTGTTCATCCCGGGATAGCCGACCGGTGGGCCATAGGGATTTTGCCCGTAGGCAGGATAGGTAGGGGAGAGACTCGAGGGCGGGGGAGGATAGGAAGAAGACATGGCAGTCGAGATGGAGGGCGAGGTGGCGGAATGCTTGACCAGATTCACTTCGCTGGTACCTTCGGCGTTCCAAAGATCAACAGTGAGGACGTAGAACGATGTGTCAATCTCACTGGGCGGATTGTTAGCGGGCATGTACTTCCCAGGGGAAGCGCAATGTGGAAATGTCATACTTGATATCAATCTCTTTTCCGGATTGCAGATCGCGGACAATGAGTCGGATACATGGGGGTGGTGTAATGGGTCTTCGGTCCTGGAGAGAGAAAACGGGTCGAGTCAGCGCTGAACCAGAGTCCATGGGAGATTGCGGAAATAGCACCCACCTTGTCACCGAAGCCACACATGCGAGCTCGAATGGGCTGTTGCACGACCTGTAACGACCACTTGCGGCCGTCATATTCGGTCTCGATCGGCGCGAGGTGGTCGGAGGAGAGGGGGCCAGAGCCCGGGGTAGGATAGGCGGCGGACGGGGCAGAGATGCGGTCCATTGACAGCGGCGGCGGCGGCGGTGGCACCGGATGGGCCCTTTCCTGCTCCATAGCGTACATGGTTCGAGATGGGAAGGAACCGAGGGCGACACTTCTGACAAAAACGACGAACCCTTTCTTTTCTGAATATAATCAAACCAAAGTCCTCAAATCTTGTAGAGGACGGGGGAAGAACAGTGGTGACATGCGACCCCGCGAAATTCACACGTCACTGTTGAAGCATCGACTTCCGGGAGCTGAAGCGGTCGCAAAGGCGATCTTATCAACCGCGGCCGAATGCGGACGGAACTTGACGGGGTGATTCTTTGCGAGAGACAAAGGACGGATGTCGATCAGGGAAGCAGAGGCGGCGCGATGCTGCGATCGAGAGGAGAGAAGGGAAAGAAAATCTCCAACTCGGGGGATTCGGGCGGAGGGCAAAAGCAAGGACGGTGTTCCCACCAGAACCGGCGAAGCGAGAGCAGTGGCGAACGAGGAAGCGAAGCCGGGGGGGAGAGGGGGGTTTTGCGGGATCGGGGCGAGTGCTGGCTCGAATGTTCTCGGGGTTCTTTGTGTCGTCTTTTTTGTGTCTTGGTCTTTTTTTCCCTTTTTTTCCCTTCGCACCCACTGCGACTGCGACGGGTGTTAGCGATAGACTGGATGCGGAACCCCACGACTGGGAGGATCGGGTCTGGGCGAGCCAAGCGACGAAGCTGTCAGGGCGCGGGAGATTTGCTGGGCCTTCCACGGATCGCAGGTCCAAGTTCTGCAGGCAGTGCGATCCACCTTCGGGAACACTCACAAGATGGAACACGAATCTATCGAGACGAGCAGACGACCTGAGAAAAAAGGGAACAGGGAGCGGCGAAGGCGAAGGGGGGAGGAGGTGGGTGGGGGGAGAGTGAAAGTGCAGGAGGGGAGTGACGTTCTCGAATGGAGGTTGCAGTCCGCACTCGCCGCATTTCGCTCACATTTCGTTCCCAACTGTCAAACGATCCGCGCAGCCGGCGCAGGAACTTGGACCCGGCCGCTCGGGTTGGCCTTGCGCAGCCCAATGTAACGAGGGCGCATGCTTGCTCGACTCGGCTCCGATCAATCCCTCTGCTCTGCAACAGCAGCAGCTCTGCTGCTCCCCGCGCTGCTGGCGGATCCGTTTGCGGCAGGTCTACAGGGCCCACCACCGGCTTCGGCGATGCAAATCCCACGACACCCAAACTCGGTGGAGTCGGCCGCTTTGGAGGGCCTCGCCTGCTGGTCCTCCTGCTGCCCTGCCGGGGCCGTGCACGGAGGCTGAGGCTGTCGACCAGACCCTGGTCGTCCAGCACAGAACAGCCACGGGCCGGGCGCGACAACTGGTTAATGGACAGCCGGGCTGGGGCACCCGACGCCCCCGCCGCCGCCGTGCAGGACGTGATTTCCGGTCTTCTGGACGCCTCGAACGACGCTAATGTACCCGGGAAGATCAGGCTGATTGCGCTAGGGATGGTATATCGGGCCCTTCGTCTTCGCTTCCATTCGAGGAATGCGGCTTGGCCTCGGGATCGGCCGCGGAACCACTCCCTCGCGGCCCATGTTTTCTACGACGGGCCTCCTGGACCATAAACCCTTGATCCTCACACGGCCGTCGAGTGGTACTATCCAGGATCGGAGATCCGACGGGATATCAACTCCGTGGTGGTGAGCACTCACAGCACGGCGGCCCGTACCAACCGGAGGACAACACAGAACGGTCCTGAATCCTGAGTCTACTGCTGATCATCCGCAATCAATCATGTCTTTACCCACCGTCTACGCCATGAACACACCATCGCGTTGCACCATGTTGCTCTCACAATTACAGATCAGACTAGGTTGTCCCCCGATCGCTGCACGTCAGATATGGCCTGAGGTTGTCGAAAAGTCGTACTAGTACGCCAGAAACACCATACCCCCACGATAGGAAGGTAATCTCGGTGGTCATTCTCGATCGACACCAAGATTCGGAGCATTCTACGGATGCTTCTCTGCTGAGATATCGGTAGGAATCTGTTTGGTCGTTGTCATTTACCCCGGGATGGAATACCCCAGGCCCATCCACGTTGTTAGTCGGTACTCGTAGTCGGGGTCCAAACAAGCTCTACATAACGTCCGATGCTTGTTGGCTTGTACGACGAGAGGTTCCACAAAGAAACAACCCGCGAATGCACATATCCACCAGCAACGAGCCTGCCTCAAGAGGTGATCACCTCGCGCGACCAGTCTGTAACCATATGTCAATTCTATAATGTACGGACAGTCTGGTGAGACTTCCCCGGACGACTGCGGATTGTGAGATATCCGTTGTATCACCTCACCCCGCAGTGTTTTGCGACTAAATCCGGGATATTGTAACATATCACAATCACCAGCGCCAGATCAGGGATTTCGTCGGGTGGGCAAATCACGGGTACCGATTGGGAATCTCTATGTCAGGATATCAGGCTTATGGCCGTACGATCTTTACCGCGTCTGCTCGCGTCTGATACTTTTACCATGTTCAAGCCATCCAATGACAATCCACCCGATGCATCCTCGCCCCCCTTACAGTACTGTAGAATCCCTCAAATTGATACATCTGATCAGTCTGTGCAGGTCCAGTCTGCGACACGACACCCCTGATCTCCAGGGGTGCCGGCTCGGTCCCATGCAGTAGGCGCTGCCCGACGGTCCATGTGTCGAGCCCAGCTTGGTGGTAACTCATGAGCTGCGGAGGGCCGATCCGTGAGTGGTGAACGAGGTGTGTCGCCGTCAGCCGTCGTCAGCTGATCTGCGTGCCCCTGATTGTCATGCACAGTTGGGTCGCCTGCAGGTATTCGGGCCGCTTGCAGTCGCATAGTATCTCTCACGTTACCTGAATGCTATAGGGAATGAGGTGCTATAGGGAGATGAGGGAGATAAGATGAAAGAGTATGCGATGGTAGAGAGATTGGAGGAACCCGGCGGATGGGAGAGACCAGACTTGGGGTGTCACCCTCTCAGCGAGCGAGTGCACCTGTGGGGGCCGTGTCGCCCAGAAATCACAACACTTAAGAGATGTGGCTTGGCCGACAGTGTCGATACTGGGTGAGCTAATCAATGGTGTGAATGATGGGGGATCACCTACTAGACTATGTAGTACATAGTCTGGTGGAATGCCGGTTTGATGGAGTCATACAAGACAGAAAATCGCCGATTGCGTGCCCGGACAAAGCGATTCTTAACGAAGGCAAGCCCTTATTAGACAGGATTGTGCAGGACCTACCTTAGGTAGAGTATTCAATTATCCCGCGTACTCCTGGCCTACTCGCTTATCGGTAGTACTGGTATACATCTACCGCCCTCACCACGAAAGGCACGACTAGTCTTATGCTCGACCTGCCTACCTTAGGGTACTTTGCCAGTAGGAGAAACAATGAACCTGCTGTTAGTAATTCATAAGGATGCTGGGCTCTCGGCGTACAGATTAAATCCTCCGAACATTCCCTGCATTGTTCCAATTGTTGTCCCACGGAACTCGTTCCGATACGAGTACGAACGAACGTCCACTCCGCCTTCGGCAATACTCTACTCACTTCGCAAGTGTTCAAGCAAGTTAGGAAGAAAGCTCTGTCATGAGAAAGCCCAGCTTGAAGACATCGGTGTATTTCTGATCAAGTGCGACAGCACATCTCTCTCGCCGATACAGGCATCCGGCCATGTTCGGCCGCTTGGCACATTCCTCGCGACGATGCGGGGAGGAACAGGAAAAGCGAGAAAAACGCTTGAGCCGTGCTGAGAATGGCGTGAGATTCGGCTGCAGAGCACCCGATGGGGGTTGAGGGTCGGTGAGAACAGAGGAATGAGATCAAGTCGGCCGGTCAGCTGGCCGAGTGTCCGCGGGCCCCTCCTGACGCCATTCGGTCTCGAGCAAACATCTGCAGATGCTTCCCACATCAGGGACCTTGCCCTGCTCGGCTCTCGCCTCTCGAGCTGCTCTGATCGGCTGGCGCACCAGGCTGGGGGGTGCACACTGGCAGTGATGGGCAGCCTCACCATGGGGGCAGCGGATGGCGTGCTTGCAACAACCTCGAGGTGCGAGGAAGGCAGAGCATCTCCACCACCCCAGCATCAAATGGCGGTCCGGCTCTTCGCACTTCACGCTCCTCGTCGGCATGGCTGATGTGCAGGCGGACGGTTCTCACGCAAGGTGCTCTGCCCATGTTGTGATCGCATGCGTGCTCGGAGGTCCAGCAGCAGCACCGAACGCCTGCGAAGTATTTGAAGCCACTAAATTCCCCCCGTTTCCCAGCAATGGCATTCTGGTCTCGACCGCAGCGCGGGATCGTCTTGGAAAATATACTATATAATCGATAATCGCCCCTCTCCATCGTGATCGGATCGACAGACTCCTCGAGGCTCGACGCACGATAGTGATGTTTGCTCACGCCTGGGGCACCATCGCCTTGCTGGCATCCTGTCTGGTGTCGACCAGTGGTGCCGTCACCTATTCACCAGTGAAGCCTCCGTCATACCCTCTGGCGGTGCGCAGTCCATACTTGTCGGGTGAGTTACGGTGGCATTTGGCTGTGGATAAGGGAGGGATGTCGTAAATTTGGTCCATCTTCTTGGGATCCCCACTACATACTACTTTAGTTCTACCAGTAGTAGTACATCAATGTATTGATGTGCGACACCATTCCAGCAGAAGACTGACGATCGACATAGCATGGATCCCCGGTAATCTGGTCGCGTCATTGCCGAACAGCAACGCGCAGTTCTGGGCGGGGAACAACCTGGTTTGGTCAGTTATTGCTCGCGTAGATGGTATCGCATACAACCTGTTCGGCGTGGCCAGCCCTAACGACAATACCGAGTCGGCCACCGTCACCGCCGCCACCTACACCTCCACCCACTCCACGTTTACCGTCACTGCGGGCTCGCGCGAGTTCATCTTGGACTTCTTCTCGCCCGTCTCGCCTAAGAACTACGTGCGCCAGTCGCTGCCTTTCTCCTACTTGACCGTCACCGTCACCGCAGGCGACTCGGCCGCGGTGCAGATCTACTCGGATATCGACTCGAGCTGGACCGGCCAGACGAGCGACTCGAGCTGGAGCTACTCCACCAGCGCGGAAACGGGCCTGTTCCAGATCGAAGCCAATGGAGCCGCCACCTATTCGCAGAACAGCAACGGGCAAGCTCTGTGGGGCAGTGCCGTCTACGCGACTCGCCCGTCCGACAGCAGCTCGCTCTCCATTCAGTCGGGCCCCCGCGTCTCCGTGCGAGATCGTTTCATTATCAATGGCACTCTGAGCGGGAATCACGCCGACTGGACCTCGGGCGGCGTGGTGGGCTTTGCACATGATCTGGGCACCACCGCGAGTAAATCCGCCGTGACCTTTGCCATCGGCCACGTGCGCGAGGAGTCCATTAATTTCCTCGGCGCGGCCCAGACGGGTTACTACCGAGCCTCATATGAGAGCACCGCATCCGCAGTCGTGCATTTCCTAGATGATTACGCCTCGGCCTACAGAGAGTCGACCGACTTTGACGGACTGATCGACTCCGCCGGAACGTCCAGCTACGGGTCTAATTACTCGGATATTCTGGCGTTGTCTGTGCGACAGGTGTACGGAGGCATCGAATTGACTATTCCGAACGATTCTCTGGACACCAGTGATGTCAAAGCGTTTATCAAGGAAATCTCCAGCGATGGAAACATCAACACCGTGGATGTCATCTATGCCACGTTCCCCATCTTCTACAGCCTGAGTCCCGAGTATCTCAAACTGCTCCTTCTTCCGGTCTTCGAGTACCAGGGCAGCGATGCCTATACGAAAGATTACGCGGTGCACGAGCTCGGTGCAAATTATCCCAATGCCACGGGACATCCAGCAGATGGCGAGGAAATGCCCATCGAGGAGAGCGGCAACATTATCATCCTGACTTATGCGTATCAAAAGGCTTCTGGAAACACCGACTTGTCGAACACGTATTCTGCTCAGCTGAAGCAGTTCGCCGAATATCTCTATGCGAATGGCCTGTACCCAGCCTCCCAGCTGTCGCTCAATGACGCACTGGGCGAATTGGCCAATCAAACCAATCTCGCGGTCAAGGCCGCGGTGGGCCTGGCATCGTACGGCGCGTTGACTGACCAGACAAACTACACGACGACTGGCAAAGAATGGGCCGACAAAATCTGGACTGATCATCTCGGGACCGACGGGGCGGGCACCCGCTTCCTGATTCAATACGACACTACTCCGTGGTTCCTCGTCTTCAACCACTACCCGGACGTACTCTTTGGCCTGAAAGTCTTCCCAGACGAAGCCTACAATGCGACAGCCGATTTCTACCCGACTGTACGAGGCACAGCGGGGGTCCCGCTCGATGGAGCTATCAACTGGGGCCAGACGAATTGGCAGTCATTTGTTGCTGCCACTGTTACTGGCGATGCGCGCAATCTCTTCATCAGTGACTTGCACAGCTATTTGGCAAATGGGCTCAACACTGCGCCATGGTCGGATCGATACTGGGTTGAGGCCAGTAATGGGTATTCCGCCGGACAGTCGTATTCCTTCCGCGCGCGCCCGACCTTGGGTAGTCACTTTGCCCTGGCAGCCTTATCAGGGGCTGATATCTGGAGCTCTTGAGCGTGAGAGTGGCTATGATCATGGCCTGGCCTTTTTATGAGTAATATCTTGTTGAGTTTGGCATGTTAGACACTCTTGGGCATCCCCGGCGTTCGTTGGATTGACTTGGTTCTGGAGTGTCTTGAAGAGACATTCCTGTACAGTCTTTTCTAGCTGTCATTAGATGCAGTTCCTCCATATATGCATATATCTGTTGTTCGAAATCCACTCTCCTGATTGACCGCTTACCTCTGGTGTGGTCCACCCAGAACTTCCAGCCTGCTGACATATGCAATCTCACCTCGGGATATGGCCCAGCTCCTCAGCCGCGTGGGCTGCGGAATTTAGATTAGGAGCTTGCGTACGCCTCTCATTGGCACAGTTCTATTCTTCATGTCCTTACCATTTCTCAGCCCTTCACATTTTCACCGGGTATCATTTGGTATAGTCGGGATGTGGGGGCTTTACTAGCGGCGGTCCACAAAAGCTAAACCTGTCACCCCGGTATTTTCCCCAGTTTCTCACAAACACTGCCCCGGATTTTGATCTTCAGGGAGTTCTTCCCCCACTTCCACCCGACAAGGCCCCTTCCAAGCAGGTCAGTTTGCGGAGTGAGCTCCCTATGGAGCAAGGCCATTGCGCGGCCTTGGGAAGGGCTGCACATTGACGAGGAGTATATAACGTGGAAAAGTTGAAGTATCTACAAAATTCTGCAGATCAGGCTCAAGCTTTTCTCAATTGATCACCAGGCTTCCTGAAACGATGCTTTCCAAATCTCTTCTACTCTGGCCCGCCGTTGCATTGGCTTCGGTGACCGTTGAGGATCCCTCGGACGTGATCGATCCTTCGTTATGGGCAGCGGACAATGCAATCATCCCCGACTACGACATTGCGATGGTCTTATCGCAACCTTCAGACAGTATGTATCATGGTTTAAGGTAAACTGGACAAACTCGATCTAATTTTGCTGTTGCCTTTTAGTCCTGGCTACCCGCAATGTCAAGGGAAAGACCGCAAGTGCCGATCATGTCACTTGGTATGCCACGGCGAACGACACCAGCGTCCTGCTCGTGGCAGATAAAGGCTCTTTCACGGGCTCTTACATGACCTTCGACAAGAGTGGCTACTCCACCAACCTGAACGATGCTAGTTTTTGGGGATTTAATGCGGCGATCAACGTGGTAAATTCTTCATCTAGATGACTCCAGAAACGAACAACCCTAACAAGCTTGCACCAAGGCCAACGCCTCCACTGCTTCATTTGACCATGTCAACGTCACTGTTCACAACGGTGCTGCTGGATTTTACTCCTACGGAACCGGCACGGTCGTTAATGTTACCAACTCATGGCTGTACTCGTCCGGCCCTGTGAGCCATGGCCTATACGCCTCGGGTAATGGAACCATCTACGCCAGTAATCTGGAAGTATACTCTGGTGGCATGCGCTCCTCAAGCTTCTCCGGTGACTCACCTGGAGGTTACATCTATGTGAAGGACAGTGTTGCGAGTGCTGCTGGAATCGGCTCTGCTACCTTCTACGCCCTGGGCTCGATATATGCCCAAAATGTCGTCAGTGTCTCGGAGAAAGGTCCTGTTGTCTTCTCAGATGGTGCCCAGTCCACCACTTTGGTCAATTGCGAGTGCACGGCCGGTCTTCTGGGCGGCGTAGCAATGTTCAGCAGCTCTACCCGGTCAAGCGGTGCCACTCTGAACCTGACCAACACCAAATTTACCACGACAGGCTCGACCATGCCAGGTCTGTGGTTTGGCAATCTGGTCGGCAAGGTGACTCTCAACAACACCGAGCTCAACACCGCCTCCGGAATCCTAGTTGTCGCCAATTATTCCCAGATCACTCAGGATTTCGATTACTACGCCAGCTACTCGGACAACAACAGCCTCAGGCCGGCCGAGGTCACTGTCTCGGTATCCGAGTCGAGTCTGTCTGGTGATCTGGTTGCCTATAATGGCAGCTATATTGGCTGGACTCTGGCGGATTATAGCAGCTGGACTGGGGCTGCTTACTCCGGCTACAAAGATGCCACCTTTGACGTCGCTTTGGACTCTACTAGTAACTGGACCTTGACTGCCGACACCACGGTTCGCAACTTCACAGACACCCTGAGCACTCTCAAGAACATTCAATCACAAGGCTTCACCTTGTACTACAACGCGACTGTGAGTACTTGGCTAGATGGGAAGACCATCCGTCTGCGCGGTGGCGGTGTGGCTCGTCCTGCCTCTTCAATTTCGAGCCGAGTTCGTCACAAGGCGCGATCTTGGAGGGTTTAGACTTCCTGTTGGACTCTCAATCTGGGTTTTTGGCAATGGCTACGAGTTCGGGGGTATATACAAGTAGATAGCCGCAGGTCTATAGCATTCTATACCTTTCCATGAATTGGCTGTTTTGACTTAGTTATGATTCTTTCTAACTTGGGTATATCCTTACGCTCACAAGTGCTGTATGCCTAGACTGTCATGCTCAAGATGGCCAGTGTACACGTCCACATTGGACCTATGTCCGCAGCCGGAAGAATTTGGCTCCAAATCACCTGCTCTAAGGCTTGGTGCCTAAGGCTGCAGCCATCACACTGCAGCTTCACGACAATGGGCACCCGCGCTAGTGGAGCTGTGGCCGACATAGGCGCCAATCATCGGATCGCAATCACGACTGGCTTTACAACAAGCAGCGTAGACCTAATACGGGCACTTGGCCATTTAGGCTAGAAATCACCATCCTTCAGTACTCGCAGACCTCCCGTCCTTCCTAGCATAGGTATGTGGGAGTCGCATCCTCGTTAAGGAAGTACGTTTGTCGGGTTTTCTGGTATGGTAGAATGCCTCTTTACATTGGCGCCTGAGCCAGAAGCCTTTTGGTGGGGAATGCAATAGAGTAACATGGCGGTGAAGGTAGCGAGACGTCTCTTTCCACTGGGGGTGAGGCAACATCCCTTCCAATAAAATTTACATGAGGTTGCCCAGTTCCTGACTTACCCGGAGGCACTTGGAGTTCTGTATGAATCAATCCCAGGTTATTTCTAGTCTGGAGTTAATAGTTGTTTCTGCGGAATGATATCGATGCCATGATCAAATGCATTGTCGACTGACTAGCCACCACTGCTCAGAAGGATCGGAAACCCCGCCTAATCTTCTGGCTTTATTGTGTTCATGAGAAAAGCTCGGTGCCAGGATCGAGGATAGCGGTGGTCAACTTCGCGGTCTCGGATGAGTGTAGAGCGACCTATACGCTTTTTCAAGTTCTACACAGCTAAGAGAGGGTGGAGGAAAAGGCGTCTTGTTTATTGTGTCAACATATGATGTATCTATTCTGCATATCGCCATTTCCCCTTGAACCACCTAAATCAAATGCTCTAAGCAACAAACTGCGGGTCTCTACAGAGAAGGTCGTCACCGATATTGTCGTTCTCATTTTCGGCGATCAAAATTTTAGGGCAGCACCGAGGTCGGGCAGTAGCTTTGATTTTGCGGCAGCTTTCCTCGAAGTCGGCGGTATTTGTTGAACTCGAAGCTGTTTGTTCAATGCAGGTCAGCAAGAGTTGGTCCCTACTAAGTATCTTTGACTAGGGGATTATCTTACGGGCCATGCAGACGCTGTAAGGATAATGTTCTGGAGTCCACGGCACGGTAAAGCAGCATGCAGGAGTAGGCTGAAGAGGGTTGCCGTTGATGGAGGGACAGACTGAATTGGCGCGCTCGTTGAGGAAAGCAGGCTGTGCCAGGGCAACGCCAGCGGAGGCGGCAAGAAGAAGGATAGAAGTCTTCATTTTGAAGAATCGGTTGATACTGGGACGTGGAAAGATATTTTTTTCGAAATGGCAGGTACGAGTTCAGGATATTTATATGAGACTTGCGTCTGATCGATCCGATGGGTCTACCACGGGTTAAGTCCTTCTCAGATGTTCATCCATGCGGGGTCTTCAGCTGGCCTGATGAATTTGGCTGCAGATTGACTCGCAATATGGACGCGATTCGCGTTGGCATTGGCTGATTCTTCGATTGCTGTCCACTTGCAGGTGGAGCTGAGCTGAAAGACACTTTTCAGCTCGTTACGAGAGGGACGTGGGTATATTAAGAAGCTCCCACTCTTTTGCGTCTTGATTTCTCACAAATAGCACATTGTGTCTCTAGACCGGAAATTATTTCATCCTCCGAAGAAAAATCCATCAACAGTCTGATATTCTCTTTCAATATGTCGGAAACCAATGTAGACATCCCAACGGCCACAGGGGATAATCCAGTTGCAGAACCAACAGCCGAAAACGGTGACAATAGAGAAACATATTTGATCTACAGGCAATAGTTTGAATTTACGATGAGGTGTTTGTACATCCCTTTCCTATTCTAACATCTAGTCTGTAGATTATTTCCCCTTCTTTCCCACACTCCACGATATAATTACGGAAATTGCTCCATAATTCTCCGCTCTATTACTTCGATCCACATCTGCCCAGTATAACCCGAGTATTATGGACGGCTCGTAGTGGGGTAGCTCAGCTCAGCTGAAGAACTCCCCGTCACCGCAAGTTCAGCATCTCCCCGGGACAACAGAAAAATTCAGAAATCTTCTTGGCCCCGCCACTTTACGCTTGATTAGGAAAAATGAAATGTATATCAAAAGAAGCGTATATCCTATGCACAAGACTCAAATTTTGCCCAATACTGTTACCATAGGTTGCGGGTATTGGAGGTAGAAATTGGGTGCCTGCGTAGGTAAACAACTGGAGTAATAGCCACGTGGCTTACATATTCTACGCTATAGTGCTCCTGGAACTCGATGGAAGTGCTATTCGAAGACGTGAAGGAAAGTACGTGCAGCTATCACGTTAACTAGTGTTTGTCCCTTAACCTAGTATGGCTGACCCCTACCCTGGCTAGTTAGTCCAATACATTTTTTTTACATTGATTTTTTTTCAGTTCTTCCGATCATAGGGGTTCGTGAGAATCCGTCGAATACTATCGGGACACAAGTAGAGATCTGCCAATAATAGTCACTATCCTTAGGGGGCGGTCAGCCGGCTCCCTAAATCCAGTGATTATTATTGGCAGATCTCGATTCGTTAGCCTCGCTAGCGCCTGCATGTGCATATTTAGGGTATTTAAATATTTCATACCGTAATGATAGGCTTAAATTCCAAGGTTTCATACACCTAATTGATAATTGATCATGTAGTTCAACGCACTCGAATGCCCAAGAAATCCTCACTGCCTTATTTTTCCGCCAGGGATACAGCAATATTCGAAATTGGCTTCCAATGTGTTACACAGAGAAAATATCTCAAGCCCCACCGCCAAGACTATGATGAGACCGTCTGGGCCGGATTCGGCTAGGCTGCAGACCATCCTTGTTATGAACAGTCTTGATACAAGGGTGGACCTCCACGGTGCAATAGTCTTGAAGACTTATGGAAATTCCAAATGATTCCCGACCGCCACAGAGGTGGTGGAGTGACGACTTCTACACGACCTCTACACGACCTATCTTAACGATGGCCGCGCTGAAATTGTATGTAGTTAAGTATGGTACTGCTAGTTAGATCAAGCCGATCACCTACAATCATGAATATAGATGCGTTTACATCTGTTCTGGCCCAGAGGTAAAGCCCCCAGGTCTTCAATGCCTTGACCACATCTATCGGCTTCACTTGTTGCATAGGCCCGATATCGATGTCTCTCGTCAGTTTACCAGCCCAGCAAACCTCACTGACAAGCGCGTCATTTCCAGCGAAATGGGCGCGGTGCCCCTAACGGCATATCGGCTCACCCACAGCGAGCTGCTTTCTCTCGTGAATCTCGCGGCAGTTGGCGGTGTTAACCAGATGGTGTTCCATGGACAAACATACTCCGGAAACTACTACGTCACCTCATGGCCCCGGTATAGAGCATTCTTTTACCAATTCTCGGAGATGTACTCGGACAAGCAACCATCCTGGGACCACGGATTTGGGGACCTTCTCAACTATACTGCTCGAGTGCAATACCTCCAGCTGTCAGGTGTATCGCGCACGGATGTGGCAATTTACATAAGGTGTCGGGAACAAACCCCAATTTCCCAACCATGTACACATCGAATGATTTGATTGATGCGGATAGAATAAGTTCAGTGTTCATTTGTGTGTGATCTATTAACTAAGGGTCTTATTTGAAGATATATCTACAGTTACTTGTCGCCAGAGAACTTTGCCCTGCCTGAGGCTCGAGTTCACAATGGGATATTTGCACCCGATGGTCCCGCATACAGAGCTCTCCTTATCACCGGTGACAACAACATGACCTTGTCCGGTCTGTATTATATCCAGAAGTATGCTCTAGGGGGCTTAACTGTGATTCTAAGTGTCGAAGACCCAGGGGCCTATACTCATGGCAATAGCGACAAGTCTGCCACTCAGAGAGCAATTCAAACTCTTAAGTCGCGCAATGTCCCCAGTGTCTCTGCTGGTCAAGCTGCCTTGAAGCTTCAAACTTTTGGTCTGAATCCCTAGATTACAGTGCAGTCTAATGGTACGTGGTACTCTACGTGGCGCGAGAACTCTGAGACCGGTACAGATGATGCATTCGTGTTCTGCGAGACCAACGCGTCGGTTGGTACAGTACTCATCAATAGTCAAAAGACCCCATTTATGTTGATCCTTGGATGGGATAGCAGAAGCCTCTTCTTAGTTTACTCGACGCGGAGACCGAGTGGTCATACCTCTGTCTGGCAGTGAACCAGACATTCATCATTGGAATGCCAAGGACGCAGGCAGTTCCATCGAGCATGCCACTCAAGCGCCTTCCTCGGTTATGGATATGACACGCATAGCAGCGGTGCTATCGCCCATATCTCTGCTAGCAGGGTCAGCCAGTCCCTGGTCCTTTCCAATGGGGATCGCAAACATCTCCCGTCGGCCGAGGTTGCAAGCTCCAACATGCTCTCCGACTGGATTTTGACAGCGGAGCATTGGGAGGCACAGAGTAATGTCTCGGACGCTGTCATGATCGCAGTCAAGCGGAACAAAACTCACCAGCTCCCATCTCTCTTACCTTGGACCCAGGTCGATGGAACTCATCGGGTCTAGGCTACCACACGACTCAATTGACCTGGCCGCCCACGAACGGCTCAGCAGATGGCGCATATCTCGTTCTTTCCCCCATTTCTCACACTGCTCGTCGTTATGCAAAGGGAAAACAATTGTCGCCTCTGGACCTCACGGCTCCCCGTGCGGATATCACAGCATACCTACAAAAGGGTTCGAATGACGTGAGTGTGGTGGTCCCAACGACGTGGAACTATGCTCGCAGCATCGCGGGTGACGTCGAAACAGTCACTGTATCACTCTTGGGTGAGAATGGGTCAGATCCTCCCGGGCCTATTCAGAACGACCTGATTGGAGATGTCAAGTTGGTGCCATATGTCAAATACCAACTTGGCTCATAGATCAGAAAGTATAACAATAGTGACTACTGAGATCCGATCAATGTACACACTATCTTGCGCGGGTTTATTTTAAAAACTATTGTCAGGTATGCAGCTTTAGCCTCGTAATGTGTCTGGCCAGGCTACATGCGTGACAAAGCGAGTGGCTCAACGCGGACAACTCAAGGCTCGGCGAGGCTTGACGGGCCGCACGGGCCACGTGGGAAGCGTGGGCCGAAAAAGTGCGAGATCTGAGGAAAGACTCTGTTTTGTTTGAACGGGGAGACCGAAAATGATTGACAGGAACCAGCGGGTATATTATTTGATGCCAATCCTTACAACATTTTGGATTTCTCCCAATTCTTTCTGCTGTGGAGCATCGGTCCTCTCCCTATCCAGTCCTAAGGTACTACTAGCTGTTATTTATTGCACGCCGAGCAGATGTCGAGCAAAAATGAGCAGCGGGGCACAAACTACTCACAGAGTCATGGGATACCTATGAATCAAATGGCACGCAGATCGGAGGCTCTAGCTCACATGCTCACACCGCTGGTTAGGGTCCGGCAATTCCTAGCGAAGGCGCTGCTAGTCGCAGTTGGGGCATCTGCGACGAGTGGCAGAACCTTCGAAGTGACGCAGCCCAAGTCGCATGGCGGGCAATCCCCACTGTTCGAGAAGGGTAGTCACATGGGCAGCTCATGCTCAGTGTACTAAGTGTTGTTAACATCCATGGAGAGTATATTTGGTGCTAGTCTGATCGGGACTGGTCGTCGGTCAAGTCGATCACCGCTTGGTTGCATTTACGGATCTATACCTACCCAGGCCTGTATCAAAACAGCATATGCTTTGTGGTAAGGTAAATGCAGTCCTCCACGTTTTGCGGTGCATATCAAGCTCTCACCTGTTTGCCAAACTACTAGTATATCTTCATGGTCTATCCATCTCGGTCTGCCTCACTCGGTCATCTCCTGCATGTCCACGTTTGCCCCGATTCGGAAAACGCAGGGCTTGTCCTCGCTGAGTCAGCCGCATCAGATCGCCCTGGGTGGCCGCATCGGGCCTAGCGGGCGACCTTTTCGAGAAGGGTCTGTTCCTAAGTGGAGTGTCCAGCACGCACGGGTGATGCGCAACACTTCCTCCCCGAATCGCCCCGACTCCACTGTGGCCATTCGACCTAAACGCGATCCGGCAAGACGCTGCTCATCTGGCCGTGGACCCCATTGATCAAAGTGCTGATGCTCGGCCATGCTCGGCCATTGGCGCATGGACCAGGGGGTCGCACCCTCGCTGTGACCTGCTCGAACGCGCAACTCGTCGCTCTTGACTTCGGCAGGCGCAACGCACGCATCTGCCATGCCTTTTGCCTTGGCTCCGCGGCCTGTCACTTGCCCCCCTTCCCCCCAGTCCTGCATTTTCCGCTTCTGGGAATCTGCTAGGCTCAGCTGCGATTGTTGCTGCCACCGCCCCACGCGGGTATGGCTGTTTGACGGATGTTTCTTGATTTCGCTTTGTCCACGGTAAATCCGCGCAAACACTTCTTTCTCGTCTACGGCGTCCATGCTCGTCTCTCTCTCCATATTTATTTGGTGACCAAGTCTGGGCATTTGGAGCGCCGCTCATGTGCCATCCTGCGGCACCGCTCAGGCGAAAGCTTGCGGGATATTTAGTGCAGCCTCTGCCCCAAGCACCTCCATGTCCGCCCCGAATAAGCGACTCCGACGGAGTCTGCACGAGCGCCAGGTACGGACCCCAACTCCATGTATTCCATGCACGCGATGCAGCCATGCGGCGACGGAGACAGGTCGTTCCCGACCGGTCCCGCGCCCAGAGCCATAGCTCCTGGAACCCCCTCTCCATGGTCATCTTCATCTGACATCCAGTCCAGCTCGTCGACTCGGACCCTCTTTGCCTTGACCGCAGTATGATCATGCTGGATGCGCCTCGGCCTCGCCTCACGCGCCTGCAGAGCAAGGCTCGCTCCGCCTCGTCCATTTCGAGTCTTTCCGCTGCCTCTGTTTCGACCGCGGACACATCCATATCGATCGCGACGCCGTCCGTCATGACAGATCTCGTACCGCGATCTAAGCTGGCAAAGGAGGAGGGGCAGCCTCCAGTGGCGCAGGTACCCTCCGAAACTGAAAATCCATTGCACCTGCAGGACTTGGAGTTGACGATGCATTGGTGTACAACAACATATCGATCTATGGCGCGAGACCGCACCGCTGAGGCGCTGTGGCAGACCACCATTCCACAGCTATCATTGCGCTTTCCATCACTTCGACATGGGCTGTTGGCGCTCTCTGCTCTACAGCTGGCTGGAGCCACTCAATCTGCCGAGCGCAGGTGGAAGTATTTGCTTGCGGCACGGGAACACCAGGCCCAGGCCCTGACAGGCATCCATTTAGATGGAGCGGACGAGCTCACCCAGTCACAATGCAATGCATCCTTTGCGTTGTGTTGCGTGCTATTGGTATGGTCCTTTGGTTACTGTCTAATCGATGACAGCATGGATGAAGACGAAAAACCTGATATCTTGGATGAGTTCCTCGAAGTGTTTGAGCTCACGCGGTGGCTCGTAAGAGCCCTGATGACGACAATGGAGCGGGTGGCCGCCGGTGAGCTCTGGCCGCTCGTACGACCTGCGGTATCGTGTCCCACAATGCCGGATATGTCGCGGCTGGTGGTACTCGCAATGAGGCGGCGGAATGGGATCGAAGCCGCGCGCGATGCGACCCATGAGACGGGCGTATACGAGTGTGCAATCGAGAATCTAAGCAGCTGCCTTGAACGACTGATGAATGGTGGCGAACCGAAGGATTTCGCTTTTTGCTGGACCTTCCGGGTTCCTGGTCGGTTTCAGGATCTGGTCCGGGAACGACAACCGTTTGCCTTGGTGGTGCTCGCCCACTACGCAGTTATTTTGCACCACCTGCGGGACTCGTGGTGGATGGGGAATTGGGGTGCCCTGATTCTCAAGGAGATTGTCGACCAGTTAGGGCCTGAATGGCGCGAATTGCTCAGCTGGCCTATTGATGCTACCGGCTGTCTTTTGCCAGAAGAAGTATGACTTTTGGTTACGAGGGCTGGTCGCTCGTTCCGTAGAGAGACTGCAGAGCAACGGGCGGGAAGAGAGATAGCGGAACAAAAGAAGAACTACCATTTCGAGTAGGCGGATTCCATGGTGCAGTCATCTACACTGACCGGGCAGGACCTGTCCACGATGGTTCTACCTGAGGAAGAATCAGGATGAGCTGTCACCAGCTGGAATCACTGCATTCGCGCCCGCGGGGAGTAGCGGGTCGCGACCATTGTACATAACGAGTCATGAAAGCGTTGCAATTAGGATGAAATCCCGTCGATAGAGGGCCACCATCCATGCGCCAACGTAAAACTATAGAAATACGAATCGCCTTTACAAACCGGACCCAACACCAAGCGCCGTATGTTTCCCTGGTGGATGCATCAAGGATGCGGCCGCCATCCCGCTGGCAGAAGCTGATGGGCTGATGAGTCGGAGAATGATAAGAACGAAACAGAAAAAGAAAAAAAACCCCCGAGGCCAAAACGTCTTGAAAACAAAGCACCGAGATAAGCCCCAACTACGCCTTGCAGCACCGCCCGCAGTACTTCTGCAAATGTCTTTGGTTCAATCATGTCCTGTCTCGGCGAGGAATCATCAACATCAATCATCAGTGTCGCCGCGTGAACGCTGAACACCAAGCTCATTATCACCATCCGTGAGGGTTCTCAGACCGGTCGCGAAAATCGACAAGCTCTCACTTAGGTCGAAGGCGACTCCTTTCGCAGTTCCTGTCGCTCGTGCTCGATCTCCTTGATGCGATCTTTATCCTGAGTACGCACCCGAATTAACTCCGCCTCCTGTTGTCGAGCTCGTTCTTCCTCCTCGGGCGTGGGGATATAGGCATTGGCGGCACCACCTGCATATTGTGTCAGTCTATGCACCTTGAGCCCCGCCTGGTTCCTTCTAACATCGGCGCTCTTTCAGCGCTGTGCGACATACCTCGCCCCGTGTGGTGGGGGATCTGCTGCGCCCGCAATGGCGGGGATTCGATATCCTGGCTCTCACGAGCAATCTCCGGTCGGTCAGGATCGTTGTGAGCCATGTTACCCGAGCCACCGCGACCAGTGGTATAGACCTCTTGCTTGATTGTGGGGGTGATGAGGTCTTTGGGTGTGGTGGCGGATTGTTGGCGCGACATGTTGCCTGTCCCCAGTGGATGAGTCGCTGCACAGGTACAAGCTGTTTTGTTTGGGGGAGCTTACCGGCGCCTCCGCGGCCGTAAGAGATAGTACGGCCGGACATTGTGATGTCGAGCTGGCGAGGAATGGGATGTGTAGTGAGGTCAAAAGGGTCTTGGGGCTTGCTGGGCACGGGCAACCTTTGGGAAGCGCAGTGGGGAAGGCGGCAGATTCTGTTTCCGCCTTGTGACCTTCTTTGTGTTCGCAAGTATACTCTTTGCGAATGGTGCGACGCTAACAATTTGAAAATAAGGCAGGAGGGAGTTTGCGAAGGCAGATGAGGACTCTCGAGTCTACGACCTGAGGTGCGCGTGGCGCCCACTAAAATATTTTCCGGCCGGATGAGGTCATGGACCCGAATGGATACATTGCAGAGGTCTCATATCTATATACATTTCAGTTGATACATTCGCATGACCACTTCTTCTGACCGATCTTGGAAACCCTCTGAATAATTCATACGAATAAAATTCAGTGCTTTTCGGCGCCATTCCACGCCTTATGGCTCATGCCTCGTACGGGGCGTTGCAGTTCCCGTACCAGTGCTGGTGTCCAGTCACGGCCAACACCAAGAGGAACGGGGATTCCATTCTGGTAGTTGCTGAAGTCCTGGCCAACAGTGAGCTCGCCAGCATTGACGATGGTGTCGTTCCAGTCGTATTTGAGGTAGTTGAGGCTGGTAAAGTAGGAGTTGTTGTCGCATAATGCGGCGTGAACGACGGGCTCTTCTTGGACCAGTCGGCTAAGTCATCTGGTTAGGATCGGTATAGCAAGACAAGGTGGTGGAAAATGGACTTACGCTGGCACTCCTAGCTAGCGTAAGTGAAGATGCCAATCTGGGCAGAAGTTCCAGGGTTGCAACCTTTCATAGGGCGGAGATGTAGCACACGCCGTACTGGTCGTTAACCTCCACTGCAAAGGAAGGCCAGTATCCAGAACGGACAGATGGTTTCGAGTACTAGCTGCAGGGGTAGAGGGACTGCTGGGGACCACAGCAGCCGAGACCGAAGCCGACAGGACAAGGAGGGTCGTGAGGTGATGCATTGTAGATGGTGATTGAAAGTGAGAATTGAAAAGACTGTTTGGTTTTAGATTTCCACACATCCTCCCGTCGTCCGGCGATTATAGCTGGCTGTTGCTGGACAGAGTCATGTCATGGCTTCAATGTCGATAGGGTCTTGGTCATCAACCCTCTATGACGAGAGCAATCCGAGTCAATGGTCTCGCCGTCCCAAATCACTCGTAGATCGTGAACACGCAACGCTGTATAACTCGATGAAAATCCGCCTTCATTCAGCTCGGCAGAAGAGCCCACTCCTATCTTCTTTTCTCATGTTGAAATTCGGTACCATGACCAGGCCGGATGATCTCTCTGACAGGCATTAATTATCGAAAGCAGTCTCGTTGATCGAAACCCCTTCTGCTGCTATTCTATGCTCCGTATTCGCACCAATCCTACTTCCTCGAATTTTGAAGGCCCAGTACTGGATTGAATAGGAATTCCCACGGCCTCCACTTTTCTCAAACGGCCCCCCTTCCTGCACCTTGGCTGTTCCACATGGATTCGGGCATCGCCACAAAAGAGTCTATCGAGACCCCGATTAGCTCGTTTCAAGAATTTTCTTGGTATCATAATGATATTTCCGGCATGAAGAAGAAGAGCGCTATGCTCCTCTCATCGAGGTCTTTCCAGCAGAAATGCAACTGTAGTGTAGCTCTTCATGTGTGTTGACATTCTTGTCTAATCCAAAACTTGAGAGTCGAGGGCTCACCATGACATCTCCAGGTCTGTTTCTTCGGTTGCATTGCAAACTATACCGCGCCCTCTACTAGTGACTCGATTTCGAATCCCTACGCCGTTCATGTTGGATTCTGATCTGATGTCTTTTGAAGGTATCTTCGTCTCTGTGCTTTGGAAGTTCCAGAGCATCGACCTCGGAATGCTACTGAGGTATGATAGGAAACACTCCAATAATGGAGAAGTTCAAGGTACATACTGCTCAGTATACTCCAAAATTGTTGTTTATGCGGGGTCCTCAACTTTCCCCACACTTTTTGTCAGCCGAGCCGAGGTTCGACGGGTAGTGATGACATCTCACAGGTTGCTATAGTATTTGCGGGTATCAGGTATGATACTGTGAGTACATTATTCCATTAGGGTAGACACGGCGAAATGAAAGTACCATAGGCAAAGGGAGACAGCCGCCGTGAATTCTTTGATTTGTCGACGGCGGAGCCGAGCGCCTGCCCTCAGCAACGCTTGTCGAGCAACTTGTAACTCCTTTCTTATTACTTTTATTGCTCAACCTCAACCTCTGCTCTTACCCTCTCCTCTCTCATCCTCGTCCGCTTTTCTTCCTTAACCCCCTCTCACGCCGCCACCCACGAATCTCCTCTCATCAAGATGATTTACGACCCCGAACCGCTGGAGCTACCAGCTTCCTACGAAAAACTTCCTACGACCGGCCATGTCGTCGTCTCGCACCATCCACCGGGCTCTCCGACTGTGACGCCCGTCGTGGTGGTGACACTGAACCGACCCGCTAACCACAATGCCTTCACTGGACAGATGGTCTTGGACTTCGAGAAGCTTTTCCCCTTGTTTGATGTGGATGAGCGTGTCAAGGTCGTCGTGTTGACCGGCGCGGGCAAGAACTTTTGTGCTGGTGCTGACCTGGACATTGGCTTTCGCAGCCACATCGACAAGCAGGCTTCGGATCACCGTGATGGGTATATCGATTACCCTCCAACTACTTTTGTGATTGTCCTGTTCTAACAGTTTCCAGGGGAGGACGCGTTGCCCTTGCTATCCACCGCTGCCGCAAGCCAACCATCGCAGCCATGCAAGGCTCTGCTGTGGGTGTAGGTATGACGATGACTCTTCCTGCTGTCATTCGGTGAGACTTGACCTACTGGCAACATCTGTGCGTGAAACTAATGAGTCTGCAGGGTCGCGTACGAAAAGGGTAAATACGGCTTCGTCTTCGGACGTCGCGGTATTGTCTTGGAGTCCTGTTCCTCCTACTTCCTGCCTCGGCTAGTCGGTTTTTCCAACGCGAACTATCTTGTCGGTACCGGAGGCGTGTTCCCGCCTACTTCCAAGCATTTCGGCGATCTGTTCAACGAGATCATCCCTGATGCATCCAAGGTTTTGCCTCGAGCCCTCGAGCTTGCCACCGAGATTGCTGAGAATGTCAGTCCGACCTCCTCATATCTCAACCGAGCACTCATGTGGCGAAACCCCGGCACCGCGGAGGAGGCACATCTTTTGGAATCGAAGATCATCTACCACTCATTCAAATCTGAGTACGTTTGCTTCAGTTTCCATCAACGGGTATTTATACTAACTTTGTTAGGGACCAAACGGAAGGTGTCAAGGCTTTCTTCGAGAAGCGCAAGCCTAATTTTCGTGCCAATCTCGATAACAATCCTCCTGCCGGTGTGCCCTGGTGGACAGAGGTCGACACCGGCCGCAATCCCAAGGTCAAGGCGTCCTCCAAGCTGTAGTCAGAAGAACATACTGGGCTGGTAGGACCCAATTAGTTCAATGCCATGGTGGATATCTGCAGTCGTAGCAAGACCTCGAATCCAAATTAAATGAACAACTTTTCAAAACTGAAACAGAGCTTGTTGGCGCTATCAAGTCATTTTCAAATATTAACATAATACCCAACTCACCCGGACCGCTAATGATATAAAACACCGATCCAGAAAGTAAAAAAAGGAAATTATGACCTAATAGATGCTGAAATTGTCCGGATCACAGGGTCATCCATTTGCACTCGAATAGATAATGGAAAATGCCGGATTTAGGCGATAAAGTTGCGACGCTTTCGGTTGTATGCGCGCTGGTCCTTGAGCCACTGCCGGTATCCCTTCACGCTACCAATCTTCTCACCATAGTAATCGGGGACGGGGTTGGCGATGGAGTTCGTGGAAGGATCAACACGGAATCGGCGGATGCGGTCGAAGAACTCCTTTTCTTTCTGCAGCAGAGGCGATTCGTTAGAGGATCTATCGCGAAGTATCTTATTTCTTGATTTTGACACTTACAGTAGCAACAGACGGCTTGAAGCGACGATATACCAGTCCCCATACACCGTTTCCAACCATCGGGCCAGCCAACCAGCCCACAGCACCACATGCCGCGGTCGCCATACCGAGAACCACGAAGGGGTCAAGGCCCATCACTTGAGCACCCAGAGATTCCAGGTCTTGGTTGGACAGAAACTGTACACCAACGGTAGTCGACACCAGCGAGGTCGCAATCGAAGAGGCGAGCGAGTAGCGGCGACGGGAAGCGCGAAGCTTGAAAAACGAGTCCCAGTCCAATTTCACCTCCTCCTTGCCAGCGGCAGACGTCGATTGCGCCCGTAGGCCGGTCGGACAGGCGATCGAGGATGGAGCAGAGCGAACTTGGGGTCGGAAGGCCAGTTGCGCGGCCGATGGACGAGCGGCCGTCGAGTGGAGTCGGGCGAGGTGCTTCGACGCCATTTGGGAGCCGGATTGAGAGATCAAACGGGGGCAAGAGAGGGAGCTGGCTGCGGTCCGGTTCAACCAGCCACCAAACACTGGACGAGCTGACATTTTGAAGGGACTTGGATGTAGTTGGTTGTCGCTGAGAGACTGGAATCTAGCGTTCTTCCAAGGAAAGATGGAGGGTGGAGATCGATTATGTAATCAGTTCGCCAAGTAAACGTCAATAACGTAACCCGTAAGCGAGTGGATCATGCAAGCGGCCGGATCAGCCCAGAACACCATACTTAGGGCGATATTTTAGGAGTCTATACCTCAACACCTCTTATCTATTTTTTAATCAACACTTTTATATTATCTTTATAGTAGCAATATAAGTATCAACAAATTTCCAGATATTTCAAGATAGTCTCATAGAAGATATATATGTTTGGCTTCGTTTAGTCAAAAATACAATGTAATTTATGGTAATTCTACTAAAATCGATTTGAATTATTTCCAAATCTAATAGCTTTCTCTATGTATTTTAATAATACTATATACTCAATCTTAATAAGTAATACTTTATTATGGTTGAGTTATTAAGTTATAAAATATCGCCTTAAGTATGGTGTTCTGGGCTGATCCGGCCGCTTGCATGATCCACTCGCTTACGGGTTACGTTAGTGAAAGTCATGAGCGGCGTATCTCATCATGATGTACTGGGTAAACCTTGAAGGTAGGCAAGGTTTAAAGCTTGCGAGGGAATTAAAATCATGGAAAGGGCATCGTGAGGGGGTCGAGCTCGTGGTTTTACGAAGCAGAAACCATGACGCGTGCCGTATTGTTATCTACAGGGCATCGCGGTCTGAAGAACATTTATCTTATAGCGGCATCGCACGTTATCACGATCTCAATGTGTGTAATACCACGTGTGACTTGTGAACCGAGTCAATCGGTGGATAGGGTGCTGTAGCGCTCGTATCACAGGGGCTTCTTTAATATGAATGTAAGATCCAAAGCTGTGTTTTTCTATCTATTTTGACATGAACAGTCATGATCCGGAAATATATAGCCATATAGGAGACACCCAGCCCCCGAAAAATCAATAAAGGAACATCAATAGCTGTCAATGAACCATGTGATGCGACTTGCTCCGAACGATATGCCACCATATGTAACAGAAAAACATCATGTAATCAATGCAATCGTCGCTATATATATATTCAGCATGCAGATCATATTCACCTTTTGCCTAGGTATGTGGTGGCTTCTGAATGTGCCTTTTCCCAAAACTCAGCATTTAATGCTTAGCTCAACCCGGGTATTTCTTCTTTTTTTCTTAAAGGCCCTCAGTCTTTTTAATATTTCCAGGGAAAGACTGGGCGGGGGTTGGAACGCCAAAGCCATTGACGCGCCCGTGCAGCCACTTTAGAGTGGCAGTACTCAGTGCCATCACAACTGCGCTAATCGAGAAGAGCGCCACGCGACCTGGGGTGGGTAGCTGTTCAAAGATAGGATAAGGGTACCAGCCATTATACTGGAAGCACTGCTCAACCCAGAACCAATAGCCAAAGGCAATGGCACCGGACAGACCCAGAGAGGGCATGATGGTAATCGTCCATGGAGGAGAGAGCAGCAGGAGGTCAATCAACATGACGATGGATGGGATTGCATGGAAGCTTATATCTACCTAAACGCATTAGCAAACACGGCCTCCACTCCAACAAGCCGGATCCCGGGGTTAATCCACCTACCGGCATCTAGAGGGATAACAGCCCAATCAGGAATTACCAGACGTTCATCGATCTAAAAAGTCAATTAGATGAGCGAAAATAAAACACGAGAATGTGTCTCCACTCACCAGACGAAGGCCCCAGTAAAGAACGCTGATCAGAACCTCCATAGGTGCGCTGCACACCGACAGGAGATTTTTGATCAGGAATAGGCGCCGCGAAAGCGTGATATCGGCGAGGAGAGCGACAATGAAGGTCAGAGTCGACAGGCTCAGGCCAATTACAGTCAGATATTGAAAATGCCAGCCATATGCCTCGTTCCTAGATGAGTTATCAGTATCTTCCCCATCCCGAGTAAATCCGAAACTCTTTTTGGGAAGACATACGCGCGGTTAGGGTTATCGTGCATGCTGTATCAACCTGTTAGCGTTGTCTTTACGTAAAGAAACGGACTGACGGACAAGCCCCGGTGTACTTACAATTTAAAGGAATAGGCAAAGCTTGCGAGACCGGTCAACTGAGGCCTCAAGTCAGCATTTCAGCCTTGAAGCATCTCTGGGATCTGTAGACGGTTACAACCGCCAGCGCCTTCCACATACGTGAACCAGGGCCGAGACGCCCCGCGAGGGACTGGGCAACTGTTGCAGTGGGTGCATCTGAAAGAGCGCACGAGACATGGTTGAGGAAATGAACGAGGATACAGAATCTCCATTCCCGGCATGGAACCAGGAACCGCCCCGAGCGCGGACCCTCGGGTCCTTGGAAGCACCCGAGATCCCATGACGCAGAGCACGTGACCGGTCTGCCGCGGCATGCCGTCCCGGACCGCGGGATTTTCCGGTCGCCGTGCTGAATCAGTCTTATCTTTCGCTTCCCCACACTTTCTCGTCTCCAGAGATGCGTATTCTCCTCTGGATTTCCATTGCGTCTTTTTTCTTTCGTCTGACGAGTTGCATGGTGAACGAGGTCTGACAGTCAAGTGGGCCTTCCCCAGAAATTCCCGGTTACCCCAGAGTCGTGCGTGATCGTCACGATCGTCACTGCTTTATTGTTCGCTGCATTGTTCTGCAGAACCTCGCTCATTGCTGCAGGTGCAGCTGGTTCCAGAGTTCTTCCAAGGCACATCTCCCTCCCACACCTCGATGTGCTTGTCTACTAGGTGTGGGTGTCTGGTTGATTTTCGCTTCGTTGCTACCTGGGGCCAACACAATTGCCGTCGCAGAAAGCGATCCAACCTGGGCATCTCGTGAGCAATCTGCATCGAATTATACAAGTCACACAACCTGTATGGAGAGTGCAGGCCGTCTGCCATATTTTGAACATTCCAAGGCCATACTGAGCGTCTTTTGCTGTTTCATTTCTGGCTTCGCCCCCACCATCGCTCACCACTAGCGATAAATTGCCCTTATTTTGACGGGCAATGCCTCGTCCGAGAAGACCTGGTGCGCCAGAGCCAAAGCGCAGAAGTCGAAAAGGATGCTGGTTCGTGAAATCCCCTTAATCGGTGCATGGAAAGGTGACTAATGACCTCTACAGGCCATGCAAAGCACGTAAGGTGAAATGGTAAGAGAGCAGCAGGAAACCCGGAGCGACGTACCAGAATTATATTAACTCGAAAATGCACAGTGGAGAAGAAAAGCCGATGTGTCTCAATTGTCAAAGACAAGGAGAGTCATGCGACTATAGTGTCCGTCTGAATTGGGGTGGCAGGACGAAGCGGGCGTCAGTGGATTCTCCTAGGTCCCAGTCCAGTGGTTATGGAGGCACGGTGATTGGATTTGATCCCATGCCAACAAGTGCAGCGAATCAAACCCAAGTACCTACTCCAGGAAGCAATCATCCATCAGATGGATTTATCAACTTCCGGTCTGGAGATCTCGGCTCCCCTGATGCAATCTCACCTGGTACAGCCGCCCATATGGGCATGTTTGACTCACCAAAGCCGCAGTCAGGCCCCGACAGTATTCATTCACCCTCGCAAGGAGAAGTTAACTTTGCCTCGACATGGGCAGATCATTCGACCGTGTCTGCCGCAGCAACTTCTGCATCTTTAACAGGGTACCCCTTTGGTCCATCCTTTCATGGGTCGATTTCGACTGCAGCGGATCAGGGGGTTGGTCTTCGTTCTCTCTCTGCTTTTGCATTCCACGCAAACTCTGTATCTCAGCCAGAGTCGTTCCTTCGCAACTCGGTCGATGAGACGAACCATTCGACTAATCACAACAATGACGGAGGCCAGATGAACCATCATGGAATGGGATACGGCCGTGACCTTTCTGGCCATGATGACATCCTGGCTTTGTTGGGCTCTCATGAATCGTCCACAGGTGGCGCTCGAACAACGGGCTCTTCAGCGCATGATCGGGGGGCAGTCCGTTCAATGAATGCCCCACGCAGCGAGTCGCTTCATTCGTTGCACCATGCCGAAGAAGAGCAAGCTACAAAAGATTCAGCATTGGCCCAGAGCAAATGGCAGGCCTATCTCACCAGTGTCACCGACAATTATGGGCTGGACTGCGGCCGTCCAGATCAAGACCTCGCCCTCAATAACGACCATGCTGCTATTGATATTAACTCAGCACTGGATTCGATCGCAATGAAGAGCAGAAATGGGGACAGTGCTTCTCCCAGTGCACCTTGGGCCTCGCCTGCGACGCAAAGCAATGATTACACCGGGTATTATGCCTCTCCAGTGCCCATCAACATTCCGAGATACCTGTCACCGCTTCCACGAACACTTCTAGAGAACCCCATCAATTTGATGTATTTCCATCATTTCCTGAACCATACATCGCGAATGCTGGTGCCCCATGACTGTGAGAACAATCCGTTTCTGTCAGTGCTTCCTTCGATGGCCACCGGAGACCCCAATCTTCTCAACCTGCTGCTGGCATATTCAGCAAGTCACCGCGCGCGATACCTGGGACAACCTGAGCCTGCAAACCGAATCGCGCATTGGGTTAGCGAAGTGTTTCCTGCCCTGCGTGTTGCACTTGAAGCATCTCCTGAAAATATTACCGACAGCCATCTCGCAACGGCAATTCTTCTCTTATCGCTGAAGATTGTTTCTCCCAGTACGTTTGAAGTCCCGATCACCTGGCAGAGCCATCTCAAGTTGGCGCGGGACCTGTTCCTGGCACGGAGCGAGCGGATTGCGCGACCAGGTAATCGCATTGGCGCTTTTTTTGCCCGTTGGCTGGGCTATCTCGATACAATGGGAGCGTTATCCTGTCGCCAGGCGGGGCCACCCTTGATGCTATATCATACCGTCCTCGCGGCCTGTTGCGGCTCGGAGCATCATGACGAATTTGCCGTAGACTGCTTCACGGGGTTCACTCCACGCACGGGTGCCTTCTTCATTCGTCTCGGGCGGCTGGTTCAGCAGTGTGACAATGAACGGTTCGATGAACAGGGGACTTTCCGGCCAACCTGGCATCCTTCTGCAGACGTGGTCATGGAGGCTCAAGCCGTGCTGGGAGATATTGAAGGTCTCAGCGAGTGCGCCCATGCCAATCCTGACCATCACAAGGACGAGTGCCAGGATATGTTGGCGATCGAAGAGGCATTCCGATCGGCGGGTTTGGTCCATCTTCACCGACGTGTATTGGGCTCTTCACCTGACTCCTTCCCTGTCAAAGACGCTCTCCGCAAGCTTATTGGGGCTCTGGAGCGCATGCCATCTAATGCTCCTGCGGAGTTCTGCTCGTTGTTCCCACTATTCACGGCCGGGTGTGAGTCGCGAGATGCATCGCAGCGGATGAAGCTGCTCAATCGGTTTTTTATGCTGGAGAAATCTGGACTCAAGCAGGTGAGTTTCCTGATCAAATATCATTTTGGGGAACTGGTTAACATTGCTCACCTTTTCGTCAGATTCAACATGCTCGCCAATTAATGCAGCAATGCTGGGATGACCAGCTTCCTTGGATTGCGTTGGCCGAAGGGCAATTCCTCGGGTAGACACTGGAGGGGGGAACAGTTGCAGATGGACACAACATTGTGAAGGTTAAGGGGCAATGCTATGCTACTACCCTAGGGTATAACTGCCAGTGGGTAAGGTACCGCACTATGAGTAGAAGTAGGTGCTGGGTGCTAGGTGCTAGGTTGTAGCCTAGATATCCTGACAAAAGTATCAAATGAGAGATCCTCAGTCTTCAATTATCCTCACCATCCGTTCGCTCCCTAGCCTTCTGAGCAAAATTACGAGGATTTCCAGATTTTCCAGTCTTCGAATCTCCCCTGCGGTCTCTTGACAACCTGAGGAGTCTCCCAATTGTCAGGACGAGGCAGGCGCGAAGCCCGTGACCTGGAGCGCCCGTGGCTCCTTCCTGATATTCCGTCGGGTTTGCACGTTCCCGCGGATTTCTGGCTGGTTTCAATCCAGCAACAGCTTCTCTTTCTTCTCTTCTCTTTTCCCTCTTCCGCCTTTCTCAGATTCGCACACCTTCACGGGCGCTCACAAGTCGAAGCTTCACGATGAAGCCTTCTCAATCCTCCGGGGCCTCGCACGCACGAGAACGCTCACTGGTCGACGAGAGCATCGGTGTATTCGAATACCCGACTTTAATTCCTCACAAGTAAGCATCAAGTCTCATGTCGTTGTCCATCTCGCCTTCATCCGGGGCTTTCAATCCCAACATCGCCTACCCAGGATATGAGATGCTGATCTAGTGTAGCAGCTCTGTGAGCCATGCTGAGCACCGAGATGCTCCGCTTCCGATCGCTCCTGAGGTAAGGACATTCATTGTCCCATGTTGATCGCTCGAACAAAAGGCTGAATATGGTGATGTTGGGAGTAGGGACCGGGACAGACCCAACCCCATATGATCGACTCGGCTTCTGGGGTTGCCTATGGTCGCGGCCAGGGCCAGGGGAACCGTCAAGCTAGACAATCGGTCTCTCAGCAACGCGTCCCCAGAGATAACCTTGCTTCTCGTGTCAGGAACCTTCGACTGTCCACTCAGGAGTTCAGCTCCACGCCCACCCAGACTATCCCCCCGTCTATCTCCCAGGTCTTGCCTGCTATACCTGAGTCCACTCAAGCCAGCTTCACTCGAGCTATGGAGGCTCTGGCTCCCGAAATACGAGCCGAATTTCAACCGGAGTTCTCTCGAATCCTTCTCCGATTCTTGGGCTTCAGAGCCGACCCGAGATCCTGGACCGAGGAGCCTCGGTGGAAGTCAACCAAATGTGATGCATTCGATAGTGACCAAGAGACGAGAAATGCCGCTATTTTCATGTTCGGCGAACGCAAGGAGCTCCAAGCTCGTGAACTGGGTCTTTTCACTATTGGCCTCCGGACGACTCCGACTATGGGCGACGAGAATGTTTATCGCACTGTCCTGGTTGATGACTTGCCCTGCGGTGTGCACATTCAAGATGTTCTGGCAAACGTCACCGGCGGAATAATTGAGAAGGCCATCTTGGCCAAGACCGAACCCATCACCGGACATCCGTCCGTCATGATTCGCTTTGTTCACCAGGATGGGGCTCAGGAATTCTTGCGCCGTTGCCGAGGTCGGCTCTTTATCAAGTACGGCCGTGTCCGGGTGCGCCAGGTCGGAACGCCGACCTTTCCCGCCTCTGTGCAGCTGGAGCGAGAGATCGCAGAAGGGCGTACTCGTTGCCTGAAGGTGCGTACGAATCTCGAGGATGTCTCGGAAATCACACGCCATGTTTTGCGGGAGCGCATTTGGACCAAGCACATCGAGGGGTTTTTCGACGAGAACGTGGAGACCGGCTGCATGTCTATTCGACTCACTTCGATTGCATGGGCCATTAAGGCTTACAACATTTTGCGCCTTCCTGGCGGTATCAAGCGAGGCGTGAACGCAACGATCACCTTCGGAAAAGACCCGTGTGATGTCTAAATGTCATGGCTTCTGCATGTTCTTTTTTGTTTTCTTCGACAAGAGATTCGAAGATTCAAGATTGTAGATGTGAATGAATCGGATGGAGAAAAACGAATTGGGTGTGCTGGCCTGGGCGATGGCGGCCACGGTTTATGTCGTTCAATTTTCTAGGAGTTAGGCGAACAATCCGGAATTTGGAAATCGAATAGGGTATTCGTGCGTTTTTTCCCAGTAGTCTGCAGGACCATGTAGCAGATGAAAAGACCCGGAGCACCGGAGATGCATGCTTGGATACCCCCGAGTCTCCGCGGCTGCCGTTTGCCGAGATGGTTTCCCGACTGGCTCGATGTATAGTACTTCCCCACGCTCCACGGGGTGCAATTGGGCGATTCTACTGTATAGAGCAACGATCTGGTCGGCTCTCAGGAACATACTCCCTCTAAAGCAGTATGTACAGCTCGTCTACCTGCCTAGCTATACATTGTACATTGTATCTCACGGTAGTCACGGATACGTGTACTAGTACTTTTGTTCTGTCGGACTCGCCCAAATTAAGATTCCCCGCGCTTCCTACCCCAACCACCCCCACACCTTTGGAATCACTCCATCCCAATCCATGGATCTTGGGGATCTTGGTTCAACCTTCAAATTGGGCTATCACGCTACAGTACTAAGGCACCTACCTTAACAGTACTAAGGCATCAACCCAAACGTAGTACTCTGGCCCTTCCTCGCCTTTTCGCCACCTCCACTCAATGCCTGAATCTTTGATCGTCCCCCGCCGATCTCACCCATCGCGGCACGAACCCGCCGATCGCAGGGATGATCCCTTTCTCCACCATCCCCAGAGAAGAAGAGCTAACGCAGCATACGCACCGGGCCTCAATGGCGCGAAGTCCGATCCCCCTGTCGGCAGTCAATTTCTCCAAACTAGTGCTGATTGGCTCCTAGAGCTTCAACCCAGTTTTTCCACGCAGATTTATAAGCTCGCTGGGTCAACCCCGCTTTGCATGTTTATCTGAGGACAATTTTTCAGTCGTGGGACTTGCTTTGTGTTTTTACCTTCCTTGTTACTCTGCAGCTGCGTCCGGCGCGTGCTTGGGAGCCTCGAGATTACGCAACGATGGCAACGATATCCGACGAGAAGGAGAAACCCCTTGATACATCCCGCATCTCCGATGCAGAGGACTACAAGACCGATGAAAGGCTAGCCGCGTTCGAGGACCCGGACGCGGGCCTGAGTGAGGAGGAAAGGGCCAAGATCGTATGAATCGCACTCAAAACCTCATCCCTGCCTTGCATGTGCGTGTGCGGAGGACCAGGATCAGGATCGCCGATCGACGCAGGTACACTGACATTTGGTATCTGCAGGATCGCAAGCTCCTCTGGAAGCTCGACCTGCGTCTCGTGCCCTGGCTGAGTCTGCTCTATCTCGTCTCGTTCCTCGATCGGTAGGTACACGTGCCATCCATGCCATCGCTTGAGTTTGCTAACCTATTACCAGGACAAATATTGGAAATGCAAAGCTTGTGGGACTCGAGAAGGAACTGCATTTGTCTGGTCCGCAGTACAATGCCTGTCTCACCATTTTTTTTGTCTCGTACTCTGTCTTCGAGCCTTTGACCAATATCTTGCTCAAGCGGCTCCGGCCGAGTGTCTTTATCCCCTTGATCATGATGGCCTGGGTAAGTGTTGGCTCATCTCGACTGCGCCGAGAGCCTTTGTCTAACTTTCGGAACTCCGTTGTATAGGGTATTTGCATGACTTGCATGGGTGTTGTCAAGAACTACTCTGGTCTCATGGCTGTGCGTTGGTTCCTCGGTCTCACGGAGGCAGGTCTTTTCCCCGGTGTGAGCTATTTCCTCTCCTGTTGGTACAAGCGCTCTGAGTTCGGAGTGCGCATGGCGATCTTCTTCTCTGCAGCTGCATTGGCTGGCTCCTTTGGTGGTCTGTTGGCTGCGGCGATTGCAAAGATGGATGGAGTGGGCGACAAGTCTGGTTGGTCGTGGATCTTTATTCTGGAGGGTCTAGCGACGATCCTGATCGGAGTGGCCTCTTTCTGGTTGATCCATGATTTCCCGGACCAGGCCAAGTTCTTGACGCCGGATGACCGTGCTCGTGTCCTACGCCGTCTGGCGGCGGACCAGCAGTCCAGTGCGGAGCATGAGGAGTTCAAGATGGACTATTTCTGGGCAAGCGTCAAAGACTGGAAGACGTGGACAGGTGCCATCATCTACATGGGAGCCGATGGCACCTTGTATGCTTTTTCCCTGTTTGTACCGACGATTATCAATGAACTAGTGAGTGCCCGCGTTCTCTTGTCTTTCGCACTAAATATAACCATGGTTTGATGCTAACTCTCAAACAGGGCTACAGCTCAATTGAGGCCCAACTGCTGTCTGTGCCACCATACGCCGCCGCCGCTGTGCTCACTGTAACCGTTGGTTTCATTGCCGATCGCACCCGACAGCGTGGAATCTGCAACATGGCCGTCTCCGTCCTGGGAATTGTGGGCTTCTGCATGCTGTTGGGTTGTTCGTCACCCGGCGCACGCTACGCCGGAACTTTCCTCGGTGCGATGGGAATTTACCCGGCCATTGCCAACACAATCTCCTGGACGAGTAACAATACCGAGGGTGAGTTCTCTTCTCCACGTGAACAATAGCTTGATTGGCGACTCACGTATTTCTAGGTGTCTACAAGCGAGGTGTTTCTCTGGGTTTTATCATCGGATGGGGCAACCTCAACGGCATCGTCTCCTCCAACATCTACCGCCAGGAGGATTCCCCCCACTACTATCCGGGCCATGGCGTGGTTCTCGCCTACCTGGTCCTGTTTGAGCTGGGCGGATCGGTCCTGCAGTACTTCCTGCTCAGGCAGGAGAACAGCAAGCGCCGGCGCGGTGAGCGCGACCAGTGGATCGAGGGTCTGGATCAGAGTCAGATTGAGCTGCTGGGTGATAAGCGGCCGGATTTCATTTATACCCTGTAAGATGGGTGGTAGAGGAACGGTCGGATTAGTAATGAATGCAAAGCAGAGGAAATATGAAGGAGAGATTGTATGCGAATGGAGGTCTATATATTTTTCATGATGTCGTAAACGTTCATTACACGGCCAGATGTGGACGGGAAGGGGAGGGGAAGCTGGATTCATTCTAGCCGTTGGTAGGAGTTCACGATGTCCTGGTCCTTCTTGGGGCCCTTGACGACGTGTCGGCTGGCCCAGCTGAGCACCTCGCCGGTCTCGGGACGAATGCGAAAGGCGTAGGCGGTGCGGTACATGTCATTGATACAGAGGTGATTCCCTTGCGCGGCGAGGATGGTGGTCGGATCCGAGGTGACGACGACAGGAGGGTTGGGCGGAGTGACGAAATCGCCGGTCGACTCATTGGCATCCGCTGGGGAGGTGGACTCGGAGAAATCGAAGTTGTGAAAGAGGTAATCGGCCTCGTCTGGGCCCGGGGCGACCTTGACGAACCACACGCTGATCCGACCAGTGTCACTGCCGCGCCAGATGTACTTTTTGGTCCAGCGGAGGCCGGCCACTGCAGCCGCTCCGGTGACGGCACTCGGGATCTCGCCTTCTTCGCTGTAGAGCCAGTCGCGATCGGAGGGGTTAAGCGCGGTGAAGGCGGCAGTGCCCCGCAGTTCGCCGTTGATGTCGAGGGGGTTGTCGCTGCGGAGGACGCGCGAGAGGGACCAGCGGGTGTTGCCCAGCGAGCCAAAGAGGGCCGTGAGGAGTTGGCGCGAGGGCATGGCCGTTGTGGTGGCCATTGGGGACTACTCGTAGGTCGCCGGTTGGGAGGAGGTTGGTTGCGATGGGTAAGTTGCTGGCCCGCTGCGGGTGTGGCTCTGGGTACCTTAATATGCTGGTGCGACCGCATAGGATACAGAACCTCTATCAACACTACTTACCCTATTTCACTATCTTCTGACAATAAGATAATTATTATGTCAAATTATAGAATTTTAAAAAATGGGTGCCTAAAGAATAATACATCTCTGCTCAGCCCCGAGATACTATAGCTAAATGGCTACTTGTGCTCGTGATATAATAGTCAGAGGATATTCTCTTAGGAACTACAGCCTAAAATAGATGTATGGCTAACACTTGACTAGACCGAAATCGTACTTTGGCCAGCTATTACTATCTCTATAGCTGCGTATGCGGTGTAGAGTGCGTCTTAAGGGGCATAGGATTTATTTCGCTGGACCATGGTTTTAATGATGCCCTACAACTGAACTAATCCAGTACATAGTGAGATAGGGACACCGAGGAGCATTAATATTAGTTCAGATCGAGATTTCGGTGAGGCGAAGCAAAAGATGAATTGCCATTTTGAAAAGAACCAATAGTAGAGAACGAGTCCACGGGGGAAAATCTACTTCGTATAGAACGAACGATCATGGTCCTCAGGCAACGAGTTCAGGTAGTTAAGGGCTAGAGAGTGCAAGCAATGTGATAATAAATCATTTCTTGGATTGAGCTCCCAGGAGCACCCGTACTACATATAGGATTAGTATTGTAGTAGTAAGTAGCATAGTCATAGATAGTATCTATCGCATGATACTAGACACTTGTTTACCTTGAATCATTGACCGCCTTCACGAATTTATATTTCCGGTCCCAATCGAAACCCCCACGTGCATCGGGCCAGCCACATTGTGGCTGTGACTGGGCCTGCCGGAAATGGCGACCATCGGAAATGCGACCGCGCTAGAAGACGATTGAGGCTTGATCTGAGGAGTACATGTAGACCAAGCGATGGGGGTATGAGGGCCCTCAGATTTATAGGAATTTGTATGTCTGCAGGTATCTGCTTGTCGGCCATGTGGACATCCTCGTGGGCTGCACCCTGCCGGCGTTGCGTCGGTGGGACTGCACGTTAATATCGCGCGCGATCCGAGCGGAAATGAATGGAAAGAGACCCTCAGGGATTCAACGGGCTAGCGGGGTCCTGATTGGATTCAAACCCGGGATATCCACTGGGATTGCTGAACCGGCGAGAGACAAAGGGGCCAAAAGGGCGTGGTAGGCGAAAAGAATAACGGACCCGACGCGATCGAGACCAATCGGTCAGAATGACCCTACCATGTACTCAGAGGCCCGAAAAGGCACTGCCCTAGGATACCCTGCTACACAGTAGTAATAATCATAATAATCATAATAATGTAGTACCTCTAATCTCCCTGCTAGTAGTACCTTGTGTACCGAAGGAATGTACTGAACCTCCATACCCTCCATTTGCTTGCATTCTCCGCCGCATTCCTCTCACACTCGGCAAATATCCGACGATCGCCCGTGAGCCCGTTTGGGGTTGATGAGCAGTCCGTGTCCGTGGGAAACACCATCTTTCATTTCATGGTCCACCAGCTCATAGGAGCAAATACAATCGTCATCAACAACCGGAATAATCAAAATAAACATCGACGTAATCTCGAACCCAGGGAAGCACAGTCGTCGTCCCCTAAATACGTAGTATACTCCTGTACTGGTAGTCTTTACTAGGCACGCTAGTCGCAAGCGGACGCCGGACGCAGCCAAACTGAAACCGGCGGCGTGCGGCTTGCTTTGCTTTCCAACCTTCCCCCGCCGTTCTCTCTCTCTCTCCCCCTCGCGATACTTGCGATATGGCCCGCTCCTGACCTCGTCCCCTGCCCATCTGCACCTGCAACCTGCAACTGCTCTGCGCCGGCACCATGACTCTCCGCTGGCCAGCCCTCGTGCTCGCCCTGCTTCTCTGCTGCACCGTCTTCGCCGCCGAGAAGCCCATCCCCACCAGTGCCTCCTCGTCCTTCCCAGAATGCGGTATCGAATGCAACGTCCTCAACTCCGCTCAAGATAGCTGCACCGCCGGCGCCGAATCCACCTGGACGTCCTGCTTCTGCCAATCCTCCCTCCTCACCTCCCTCAAAACCTCGGGCAAACTCTGCTCCAACTGCGGCTCCGACGACCAGGCCACCCTCTCCAGCTGGTACAACAGCTACTGCAAGTCCGGCGGCTCCAGCGACAGCAGCAACAAGGACTCCGACAGCTCCGGCAAATCCACCGCGACCACCACCTCCACCTCGACCGCGACCGCGGTCGCGAGTTCCTCTAAAAATGCGTCCACGGACGAAGAGAAGTCATGGTATGCCCGTCAACCCCGTCTTCACCCCCGAACCTACCCATCCGTATTTGCTTTCGCGTTCCATATTCCCCTTTCCCCTCGAGTTGTTGGCCTTTCTTTGTATTTGAATACTATTTCCTGTCAAAACGGATCACCGTCCCACTGGGTTGAATGCGCTAATCTAATTCGTCACAGGTGGAGCACCCACTACCAATGGGTCGTCATGCTGATCGTCCTCGTCGTCGGCTTCACCATCCTCACCATCCTGGGCGTCTGGTTCAAGCGCCGCTACGAAGCCAAACGGCCCGGCCTCTACGGAGGGCCCAACGGCGCCAGCAGCAGCGGCGCGTTGGGCCCTCTGCAACCAGGGTCGGGGGTCCTAAGCCCCCCACCTGCCAGCTGGGTGCAACAGCCTGCCGGTCATCCTGGCGCAATCGCGAGCTCGCTGGCTAGCTCCTCGCGAACCGATGTTGCGCCCAAGGGTGTCCCGCCACCCAGTCGTGGTCGTCTCCAGAAACCGTCGCAATCGGCGGCAGATGTGGAGATTCGACCGCTTCCGCGATGAATCTCTCCTGGGCAATGACTTCTAATTTCGTTTTCAGCATGTTCCTCCTTTTCGCGTCTGCGGTCTTGCATGATATAGTTGGTATGGATCTCGATCACAATCTCCAGGCTATGGATTGGGGGCGCTCGCAGATCAATGACCGGACTCGTTCGTGCATGACTTTACTTCACCACTAGCATTTCTCGGCGTTTCTGCGGTCATCTGTTGAATAGGCTCTGCTTTGTTCCTGCACGGTCAAATTTTTTTAATTTTTTTTTTCTTTCAAGCGACTCGGATCACAACTAATGGTGCTTCTACTTCTAGTAGTAAGTTTCATATCTGACTGCTGGTCTGGTTCTGAATCTCGCTCTACTTCGCTTTACGGATTCTACCTGGTCAAATGATGAAGTGGAGTAAATAGTTACATGAATCGGCCCACGTGGGATTGAAACTCAGCGCTTGTTTTCATTTCGCATAATATTGGACTATAATGTACATGGTGTAGATCACGAAACCGTGATGCTGATAATCTTGACGTCGACCTCTGGCTTCTCCTTGAACGTCCTGACATTCTCAATCCTGTGCACCACGTCCAGCCCCTGAACAGCTCGCCCAAAAATGGTGTGCTTGTTGTCGAGCCATGATGCCTTCTCCGTCGTGATGAAGAACTGACTACCGTTGCTGTTGGGCCCAGCATTGGCCATAGACAGCGTGTATGGCTTGTCGTGTTTCAAGCTGGAGAACTCGTCGTTGAACTCGCCGCCCCAGATGGACTCACCGCCGGTACCGTCGCCCTGCGGATCACCACCTTGGATCATGAACTTGCGAATGACACGGTGGAAAATGGTATTGTTGTAGTATCCCCGGCGGGCGTGTGTAACAAAGTTCTCCACGGTGCGAGGTGCCGCAGACGGGTACAATCGCAGGTGGATATCGCCCATCGTTGTATGCAGAATGGCCGCGGTGCCAGTCTCGCCAGCCTTGGGGCCAGCCGCCTTGGTTCCTCCCGCGCCTTCTGTCGGCTTCTCATTCTGCACGTCACGAGTCGACTTGGACACCTCGGTTTCGTTGGTGAACATATAGAATCGGACCTTGGCGAACCCGGTGCTGATAAGGATAGGATCACGCGCCTCGGCCTCTTGCAGGAGCGGATTGCTGCTAGCAGCCATCGAAACGGTCACCACGCCCTTGCGCTGCGGTTGTCCCTGGTAGAGGGTGAGGTTGAGAGCTCGAAAAGGCTCGTCGCGGCCATAAACCCGCACCACCCGGTTGGTGTACGTGTTGATGCATTTGATGCCGTAAAGAGATCCGTAAAGTAGGAAATGGCCCGACTCGTCGAAGGAGACATTGATCTTGTCTCGCATCGTTTCTCCCTCCAGCTCCCGCTCCACGGCCAGCCGTCGCCCGAATTCCACTTCGTCCAGTTGATAAGGTGCAGTGCCGGCCTGTTGCATATCGGTGATAGTCGCTATTGACTCATCATATGTGCGATAGAGCTTGCCAGTCGCGAACTCAAATACTCGTATCTGACGATCCGGGAAGGAGACAGTCGCAAATTGTTCGCCCGAAGGCGACATGGTAATGGCCGTCGGTACGGATTTGGCCTTTTTGAATGCAAATAAGTTGGTCGACGACTTGAGCTCGAACACGTTGTCAGGCTTTTCAAAGGATCCATCTCCAGCCCGCCAATACTCGACCATGCCCGACTCATCAGCTGAGATCACACAGTCGTATGCATTATTGAATGCGATTGACACCACTGGTTTGCGATGGACCGAGGTCACCGTATGCATAGGCTGAGGGTTCTCACCGCGCCCATCGAAGACATTAATCGTGCTGCTAGTCTCATCTGTCACCGCCAACAGGGGCAAAGAAGCGCCGCGTCGGTGTACCCAGCAGACACACCTCGGCGTAAACTCCAGAGGATATGAGGCCAGAAGATCTGCTTTCTTGTTAGTACACTCGATCATCCGCACTTCGAGGATTGTAGATCAGAAACGTACCGAAAGTAATCACATCAAAGATCTTCACCGTCTTGTCGGTTCCCGCTGTCGCAAAACTGCGGCCGTCGGCGCTGACAGCGGTACTGCGGATTTCGCCAGGGTGGGCGCGGAATTCCTTGACAAACTCGATCCCGTCGGCCATCTTTTTCCAGAACTTGACCACTCCATCAATAGAGCTGGTTATTACAAAGTCGGTAAACGGAGTGAACGTCACGAAGGACAATTGCTCCTTGTGCATGAGCGACTTGGAGTAGCGCGGCGACGCAGGCAGTGCTGTAACGTAAACCTTCTCAAAAGGCAGCTTTCTCCGCTTCTTCTTGGGTGCCACCTCAGAGGGCAGCGCGGGACCGAAATCATCGTCGGAGGAAGAATCGTCGTCTGTTCGCGAGTCCTAGTCAGCATGAGCCACGGAAAGCTGTAGGAGCTTTGGACAACGGGACACTCACCATTGCTGTCACCATCAACGGCGGAATGGGGGCGCTTTGGTGCTGCCGATGCAGTTGTTTCTTCGGAGTCAGGCATGCTGAAGTTTCTCTGCGTGCCGAATCGTGAGGACAAGAGTAGAGACCGAAGAAGTCAAGAGAAGCGCATCGCGGGCGGTGGCCCGCGAGGCGGACAGAAGCTCGGGCCACCCGACTTTTCTCCTTTCCCTCAGATTCCCCCACTGTTGACGAGTTGCTTCCCACCTTCCAGCAGTCGACACATTTGATCGTTTCGGTCGATTGTTTCGTTCTAAGCTGGTAAAAATGGTATGTGTTGACAACTTTAATAGATGTTATTCCAGGGCCGCTGCTCACTCGCTGACTCGACTTGCAGGCTTCCTTCGGCAATCCCACACAGATCTTTGCGGACGACGTGATCGAGGAGAAGGGCGAGAATGCCCGTCTGTCGGCTTTTGTCGGCGCCATCGCTGTTGGTGACCTCGTGAAGAGTACCCTGGGTCCCAAGGGCATGGACAAGATTCTGCAGTCTGCGTACGTGGAGGGATTCCCATTCTTATCAAGCTAGTGCGGGCGGACATTTATATACTGACATTCCGGTATTTCAGATCGACCGGCGACATCCTCGTGACGAACGACGGTGCTACCATCTTGAAATCTATTGCTCTGGATAACGCCGCGGCGAAGGTGCTGGTCAACATTTCGAAGGTTCAGGACGACGAGGTCGGCGATGGCACAACATCCGTCACCGTTCTTGCCGCAGAGCTCCTGCGGGAGGCTGAGAAGCTGGTGAACTCCAAGATTCATCCTCAGACCATCATTGAGGGCTACCGGATAGCCAGCAAGGCTGCCCTGGCCGCTCTGGAGACCGTGGCCGTCGACCGCAGCAAGGACCCCGAGGCTTTCCGTAAGGACCTGCACTCTATCGCCCGTACCACCCTGAGCTCCAAGGTGCTCGCTCAAGACCGCGATCACTTCGCTCGTCTCGCATGCGAGGCCGTCCTGCGTCTCAAGGGCTCGACCGATCTCAGCCACATCCAGATTATCAAGAAGGCGGGTGGTAAGCTGAACGACTCATACCTGGACGAGGGTTTCATTATGGACAAGAAGATTGGTGTCAACCAGCCCAAGCGGTTGGAGAACGCTAAGATCCTGGTGGCTAACACCGCCATGGACACGGATAAGGTGAAGATCTTCGGTGCTCGCGTCAAGGTCGAGTCGACCGGCAAGCTGGCCGACCTGGAGAAGGCTGAGCGCGAGAAGATGCGCGCAAAGGTGGAGCAGATCAAGTCCCATGGCATCAACTGTTTCGTCAACCGTCAATTGATCTATAACTGGCCCGAGCAGCTGTTCACCGAGGCTGGCATCATGTCCATCGAGCACGCCGACTTCGACGGTATTGAGCGTCTGGCTCTGGTGACCGGTGGTGAGATTGCTTCGACTTTCGAGCATCCCGACCAGGTGAAGCTGGGTGGCTGTGACCTTATTGAGGAAGTCATCATCGGCGAGGATACTCTCATCAAGTTCTCCGGCGTGGCTGCGGGCCAGGCCTGTACCATTGTGCTGCGCGGTGCCACCGAGCAGCTGCTGGATGAGGCTGAGCGCTCGCTCCACGACGCCCTCGCCGTCCTGTCGCAGACCGTGAAGGACCCGCGGGTTACCCTGGGCGGTGGCTGCGCCGAGATGGTGATGGCCAAGGCTGTGGAGCAGGCCGCTCAAAACACCACTGGCAAGAAGCAACTGGCGGTGGACTCGTTCGCGCACGCCCTGAAGCAGCTGCCGACCATTCTGGCTGACAATGCAGGACTGGACTCGAGCGACCTGGTGACCCGTCTGCGTCAGGCGATCAACAATGGCATGACCAGCTCTGGATTGGACTTGTTGACGCCAGGCGGCGGCATTGCTGACATGCGCGATCTGGGCGTTGTGGAGGCATATAAGCTGAAGAAGGCGGTTGTTTCGTCGGCCTCCGAGGCTGCGGAGGTAAGTCCTCTCCCGTCCATCTTGTGTCTTACTTTGAATTTCGATACTGACTATGTGACAGCTTTTGCTCCGTGTGGACAACATTATCCGGGCGGCTCCTCGTCGTCGGGATCGTATGTGAAACGAATGATGCGATGGGCGACGAATCTGTATCTTTTCCGGAACCAAAATACCGTACATTAGAGATGCCCTAATATGGCAAAAACAAGAATCCAGTGGATTAAAATCAACCTTGATATACCCTGTACATGACTCTTTGTAGAATCTGCCACAGTGTATCTACTAGTACACCAAGAAATGACCCGTAATACTACTCGCTCGTAGTATATACCCTCCCTAAGCTTACTACAGTTCTACACATCACATAGTATGTATTCCCTACAAAGGGATCTTCATAGGCGGCGATGCCAAGGCCCAGTATCTTCTACTTAGTCATATTTATGCCTTAGTGCCTTAGTGCCTTAGTGCCTGGGTGTCAGGCGGGGCTCGGGCCCTCCCTTGGGACCCTTTTTTGAACCCTCTTAAGGGCCAATTTCCCAAGTTCCGCCATCCACTGGCCGCCATCCTGCGAGACATCGGAAAGCTGGTCTATTTATATTCGTCTTATGCGCCTTCCACAGTGCTGAATCCCCAGGGTCATGTCAGCGTCGACGCTCACCGTGCTCGATCTTGGATCTGTGATCTCTGATCTCTGATCTCTGCAGCCCCCAAGATGATCAGCGTGGGTCGACCGAGTGGACTGCCGAGCAAGACTCATTGTTGGTGCATCCGGCATCCTTATTTATCCTTAATGTCCCACAGCCTTGTCTTTCCCCTGGCGCGAGGGGGCCCAGCCTAGTGCTTTGGCGCTGTCTCATTTCTGCAGGCCGGGCGGTCTCCCCGTCATCGCCGCTTAGGGGTTCGATTGAGCCCCCTGAGACCGTGACCGTGCCAAGGTGGGCTGGTCCAAGTGGAGAGACAGATACCGAAGAATAGAGTCGATCCTACTATTATCCTGCAATTGTACCATTGTATGCCGTAGCGATTCAGACTCGGTTAGTCGTAGCAATGCCCATGTCCCCACGAGCGTCCCAAAGGACCCAGCTGGTTAGGGTGCCTTCCATCGACCGCCACCGGGCCCACCGGACCCCCAGCATCGCAGTCACACCCCGGCGACGGACACTGCCCCCGGCTCTAGACTTTTTCCTTTCTCCTCTCCCCCCTCCCGCCTTTCTCACTCGCGCCCTCCTTTTCGATGCCACATATCTTCCACTCGTTTTGAATCCCTCTCCATGATCCCCTCCCAGTGGCTGGCCACCCTTCTGGGTGGCTTCATTGCCGTCCAGGCCGCTGTCGCAATTGACCTCACCGTCACCGACCAAAGTCCGTCCCCCCCCCGACCTTCCAAGCCTTGGGGCGCCCCGCTAACTAGTGCTTGTTTTTCGTGATAGGCTCCCTCAAGAGCGCTGCCAAGCAGGTCGCTACTGACATGATGAATTACTACGATAACCGCGACTCCAAGAATATTCCCGGAAAGTTAGACGGGACCTGGTGGGAAGGTGGTTCCATGTTCATGATCCTCATCCAATACTGGTTCTTGACCGGCGACAGCCAGTTTAACTCCGTTATCCAAGAGGGAATGTACTGGCAAAAGGGCGAGGATGATTTCTTCCCTTCGAACTATAGTCAGTATCTCGGAAACGACGATCAGGTCTTCTGGGGCCTGGCGGCAATCACGGCAGCCGAGTTGAACTTTCCCGAAGAATCCAACCAGCCTTCGTGGGTCTCGCTCGCGCAGGGCGTTTTTAATACTCAGGTTCCGCGATGGGACACCAGCACCTGTCACGGTGGTCTGCGCTGGCAGATCTGGCCCTACCAGGCCGGTTACCAGACCAAAAACGCCATCTCGAACGGCGGTCTCTTTCAACTGGCCGCCCGCCTGGCGCTCTACACCCACAACCAAACATATGCCCAATGGGCTGAACGCATTTGGGATTGGAGTGCGACCACGCCACTCCTCAAGGAAAAGAACTGGAACATTGCCGACTCGACCTCCCCCGAGTCCGGATGTACTGACCACGGTGACTGGCAATGGACGTACAACTACGCGACCTACATCAGCGGCGCTGCTTACATGCACAACTACGTATGTGATCTCCGCATTCCGTTCCGGAGACCATGCGCACGTTCTCAGTTGCTAACCCTTCTATACAGACCGACGGGAAAGAATCGAAATGGAAGGAAGGTATCGAGGGCCTGCTGGGCACTTCGGAGCAATTCTACCCGACCAAGGGCTTTGGCTCGGACGATGGATCGATTTTGGCGGAGATCACTTGCGAGGCGATCGAGAAATGCGACCGCAACCAAATCACCTTCAAGGCTTACTTTTCCTCCTGGCTCGCCTGGCTGACGCTGATTGTCCCGGGCACCTCCGACCAAATTCTCCCCAAGCTCGCGACCTCGGCTACCGCAGCCACCAAGACGTGCGTCAAGGACGGCCACCTCTGTGGAATTCAGTGGTACAAGCAAGCCTCCGACGGAACTGATGGCCTGGAGCAGCAGATGGCGGTCTTGGGTGTTCTGAACGCTAATCTGGTTCCGTTCAAGAACCAGGCCCCCTACACATCCGATACCGGTGGCACGTCCAAGGGTAATCCCAGCGCTGGTACCAACAGCACCGCCACAAATACCCTGATTACAAAGCCAATCACCACCGGTGACCGCGCGGGTGCGGGAATCTTGACCGTCATCTTCGTGACTGGCTGGGTGGTTGCTATCACTTGGATGATCCGGGGTGGTTGAAGCCTCAGTTCTTTTCGTACTTATATTTTTACATTTTCTTGGCATTTCATTCTTGATGACCCCGTGGGTGCCTTCTGTTCTCATAAATTCCCCCTGACCTTCCATGAGTGTTTGCGTTCTTCTTCTTCTTCTCTTTTTTTTTCTCCTTGTATCTATGTTAAGCTTTTTTCTATGCTAGGGATTTTTCCTCTTTCGATCCCTGCTGTGGCGTGTGCGTGGGATGGTCGGCGTCTGGAATAACTGTCCGAATGATTGTATCTGAAACAGTGGACTGCAACCTCAGTCGACAAGCGGAATCCAAGTTTCCTTCTGAATGTTGACTTTTCTATGCTTAAGGTTGTTATCCCGCTTCGGGCGCTCTACCATTCTGTATAAGTGGGGTCAAATCGCCTAGCCCTCCCCAAGTGCTCTTTTATTATCGAGAAACGGGGCGAATCAATTGGGTGACGAGAGAACTAACAGCTCCATTAGCTTCATTGATTTGACTGTTGGTGCTGTTGGCACGATGAAAGGCATATATATGTGACAACGGGCGCTGGACTGGACACTAGCGTAAAGTAGAGGTACCACCATTTATAGCAAGCTTGTTTGAACACGTCAAATTATATAAGTATCAAGCATTCGAGGGTGATCATTTACACTACAAAGAACGTGCCCGGACACCGAAAGGATTGAAATTCAGTATGTGGGGGCTCTTTAGGGAAGAGCCGAGACATTCAAGCAAAGTGTTTAAACATACACTGTGTACTTAGCTCCATCACAGGGTAAGACCTAGTCATGGCTTGATATATTACTGCCAATACACTGGTTTATTCGGGGTATTTGATCTATCACACTCGTGTACAATTGTATCTAGGCCATTCCACCATTCCAAGCCACATAGAATTTGACAGTTTCAACAGTATTTTTGAAGTTCTACTGTTTTACTCTTAAGGTATGTGACCCTATCCAGGTGTACACTAAGGATATGATTCGAACCATTCAATCTCGAATTACCTTCGTCGCATCCGTGGATGTGAAGGTGCATATGTTTTTAGGTGCAATCAGGATTGAATACTAGTGAACTGACCTATAACTAAGGCTAAAACCTAGGCATCTACCCTCATACAGTCAATGTTAATCACGTCTACGCTCCACGTCATATAGTATATCCACTACAGTGTGGTAATAATGTCGTGGATTTATCGGTGAAAGAGATCAATAGGGTATTATTACAGTACCAACTTACAGGCTGAAATGGAATTATATGCATCGGACATCCGTCACTTCCGTAATTAATGCTGCGAATCGAACCACCTGAGGCGCCAACGTATGGCGGACTAATCATTCCTTTCTCCCCGATGTGGAGCAAAGTGTTTTACGCCTGCCTTGACAGATTATTTGCCGAAGTGACCCCTGTCTCTCTTCTTGAGCGATTGCGCTTTTTTGGGCGTGATACACAACCATTTGTGGTCCACCGAACAGATACATCTCAATTCAGGATCCCCGGCCGAGCATACGGCTCTTCGGTCTATTTTCTTTTTTGCTTTTTCTGTCCTCTCCTCAGTGCTAGGAGATACCTTGGTACTCATCTCACACAACTGCTAATCTCCAACGACCAAAGTACACAGTACCCCTGGGGGGGCTTGGCCGAGACCAGTTGACTCTAGTAGAGTGGCCAGACTAGAAGGTTCTTAGGCCAAGACCGATACAGTAACCGCGGCCGAACTAAAGAGCCCGTCTCGGTATTGTTAATCTACTATTCCCTAGGTACTACCACGTACTGAGTGTAAGTGTGGGTGCAGTACAATCTAAAATACTCGCCTCTCGCACGCAAATTGCTCCAGTCGCCTGCTCATGAATGAACACAACACTATCCGCTACTAGTGCCGGGGGTAGGCTGTGTCCTGCAAGTTCAGAAGGGCTGAAACGCATACGCAACACGCAACGAGGGGCCGTAATATTACCGATACACTGTGGAACGCGGGATGGCGTGGCTGGGGGCCTCATCACCCGTCAACATGTAATCGAAATACACACAATAATCCTTCAGCCTTCCCTCCTTTCCCCCCCCTTGGCCGCTTCCTCCATCTTTCTATCTTTCATCCCCCCGGGATTTTTTTCTTTCGCCCATCAGCATTCCATTTCTTCGTGAACATTCCGCTTGCTCTTTGAGATACCCTCAACTAGTGGGGGGATGATCCGCAACTCAGACTCGACACTCGCTCCACACCCGTTTTTCCCACCTTCAAATCGACCCAACCCAGACATTCCCCGTCCTCAGCTTATGATCCTCTCACCTCCCGCTTAGTCGACGCCCTCTACCTCCGCTCCCCGGACCTTCGACAGTGCTGAAGTTCCCACAATGCGTTGGCGGCTGCCGGGCGCCCGTTCGACCCTCCCCGCCAGCGTCGCCCTCCTCCTACTCCCAACTCTGGTCGCTCCGCTGCAGCAACCAGAGCTCCATGACTCTGCATCTCGAGTATCTGTGCCGCGAGCGTCCGGCACAGATGCCACGAACAATGCGGCCACCCTCGCCGCTCCTCCCGTCGTAAAATCCAACGATGCGAGCGCCCTGGCAACTCTGGCTCTGGCGGGCTCCGGCCGCGCCGTTCGAGCCCCTCCTAGCCAGGCCAGCACTTCCGCCGGCCTGGTTTCGCAGCTTAACGCGCGGTCCTTGCAGGACTGGGAGGTTGAGGACTTTGTCTTGATGGCGACCGTCGACGGAACCATTCACGCCCGAGACCGGAAGACCGGTTCCCCCCGCTGGGCCCTCGAGGTCCCCAGTAGCCCCTTGGTCGAGAGTATCTACCACCGGGCCAATCGATCCAGCTCCAGCTTCGACGAGACACCTCCCGAGGAAGATTTTCTTTGGATTGTCGAGCCAAGTCAGGATGGCAGCTTGTACATTTACAGTCCTGGGGAGGATGCCGGTTTGCAAAAACTCGGCCTCACGGTCAAGCAACTAGTGGATGAAACACCTTATTCTGGAGCCGAGCCGGCAGTGACGTATACCGCTCGCAAAGAAACGACTCTCTATACGATTGATGCCCGAACCGGCAACATACTCCGTGTCTTCAGCTCCCGCGGCCCCTTTGCAACCAGACAAGAGTGTCAGAAGGTCAATGGTCAGGATTTGGACTCCGATACAGAGGAGTGCGAGACAAAATCCGGCACCCTCGTCCTGGGCCGTGTCGAGTATGCCGTGGCGATCCAGAATACCGAGACGGGTGACCCAATTTGCACATTAAAGTATTCCGAGTGGGCTCCGAATAACCGGGACATCGATCTTCAGGGCCAGTACTTCCAAACGATGGACCAAAGCCATATCTACAGTATGCACGACGGAGTTGTGTTGGGATTCGATCACTCCCGCATGGATCGTCCTCGCTATACCCAGCGGTTCTCATCCCCGGTGGCTCGCGTCTTTGACGTCGTTCGTGAACGACCAACCAACAAAAATGGCCAAGATAATTCGACGCCATTGGTCCTCCTATCGCAACCTCTCCAACCTCCAGACCCAGACTATGCATCAGATGATCGTGATCAGCGGGTCTTTATTGATTCCACCAGTGCTGGTGGTTGGTATGCCCTATCAGAAGAGACATATCCGCTCGTTACAGGCCGCGCCCCCATGGCTCAATGCTACAACAAGGACTTCTTCCGCAGAGGCCAGCCCTTGATGAGCCTCAATCAAAACCAGCAACGGGATGCTCTCGCCGGAGTTCATTCATTGAACGGCCCAACCGTTGTCCCGCCAGTTCCCCGCATCGCCAGTACATCTGAACTATCCAATGACACCCCTCGCGATGTGCTACGTTCCGAATTGGCTCTCCCTCCCGCTCTGCGACACAGTGCAATCATTCGCAAAAGCTGGGACAATGCTCTTGACATTGTTGTCACAATGATTCTTCTGTTCATTGGAACTTTCATCTACTTGAACTCGCACCACATTCGCGACATCGCCAAGCAAAAGCTCGATCTCAAGAACATTATCAACTCAAATGAAAAATCATTCTCAACTCCAGCCACACCAATTGTCGGCGCGGCCCCCGACATTAAACGAACGTCGACTCCAGTTCGTGATGCCCCGGTACGAATGGTTCACGAAGTTACAGTTGATATGGACCTAGCGGATCCATCTCCAGATAATGAGGCCACCCCACGAGCGTCCAGAGACCACAGTTCACCACCTGCCTCGACACCCCGTGTCCAGATTCGTGAGCCATCTCGTGGCCCCGAGGACGGAGAAGGCGAGAAGCCAGAGGCCGACAAGCCTAAGAAGAAGCGTTCACGCGGGTCCCGTGGTGGCAAGGGACACCGTCGGAAGGGTGTTAAGCCTGGCGCCGACAACAACACGGCATCAGAGCAGACCAACCAATTAACTCCTTCGAATTACTCAGATCACGGAGTGCCGTTAGCACGCACGGTATCCAACGACGTCGTCGACATGAGCACCGATGGTGTGATCCGAATTGGGCGCTTGGAGGTCTTCACCGACGTCGTGCTTGGGCATGGTAGTCATGGTACGGTTGTCTACCGTGGTGTCTTTGATGGACGAAACGTGGCAGTCAAGAGAATGCTCATGGAGTTTTACGATATTGCCTCTCACGAGGTCGGATTGTTGCAGGAGAGTGATGACCATCATAATGTCATCCGTTACTTCTGCCGTGAGCAGGCCGCTGGTTTCTTGTACATCGGGCTGGAACTGTGCCCCGCTTCGCTTCAAGATATTATCGAACGACCCTCCCAATTCCCTGAGCTGATCCAAAGTGGCCTGGATATGCCAGATGTTCTCCGCCAGATCACCCAGGGCGTCCGCTACCTTCACTCTTTAAAGATTGTGCACCGTGATCTCAAACCCCAGAATATCTTGGTGGCTATGCCTCGCGGCCGAACGGCTTCTTCTCGGGCTACGGTGCGGGCTCTTCGGCTTTTGATTTCTGATTTCGGTCTGTGTAAAAAGTTGGAGGATAATCAGAGTTCTTTCCGGGCTACCACTGCCCATGCCGCCGGTACCTCTGGTTGGCGTGCTCCCGAGCTGCTTGTGGACGATGATACTGGCCCGTTGGCCCACAACCTTGAGTCACAGCACACGGAGACATCTGAACCCGCTGTGGTCGATCCCCAGACTAACCGCCGTGCCACTCGAGCTATTGATATCTTCTCATTGGGCTGTGTGTTCTACTATGTTCTCACTCGTGGTAGCCATCCATTCGATAAGAATGGTAAATTCATGCGTGAGGCAAACATTGTCAAGGGTCAATTCGATCTGGAGGAACTGAACCGCCTTGGCGATTACGCCTTTGAGGCTGACGACTTGATCCGTTCCATGCTGTCACTTGACCCACGACGACGGTACGTTGTTAAACCCCTTGTCCACTGCTTTGTCTCATTGCTAACTCTGAGTCAGCCCCGACGCCGGTGCTGTTCTCACGCATCCCTTCTTCTGGCCTCCCTCTGATCGACTTAGCTTCCTTTGCGATGTTTCCGACCACTTCGAGTTTGAGCCTCGTGAGCCCCCGTCGGATGCTCTCCTCTGCCTAGAGTCCGTGGCTCCGGAGGTGATTGGACCCGACATGGACTTTCTGAAACTTCTTCCTCGTGATTTCAAGGACAATTTGGGCAAACAGCGCAAGTATACTGGTTCTCGAATGCTTGATCTTCTGCGAGCTCTGCGTAACAAACGCAACCACTACAACGACATGCCCGACCATCTGAAGGCACATATCGGTGGATTGCCTGAAGGATATCTGAACTTTTGGACAGTACGCTTTCCCAGTTTGCTAATGAGCTGCCACTGGGTTATTGTGGAATTGGGCTTGACGGACATCGACCGATTCCATCGTTACTTCGCGCCGCCTGAATAGCCCGGGGGCCGGGCCGCTGTGAATAGTAAATAGACTGTTCCAGTTACATATGCTTTTTAATGTACTGAGGCCTCCATCGACCTTTCATCTATCCATATTTTACGACACGAATTGTGTTCTTAGGGCTTTCTATCCTAGAGTAGGCAGTTGTTCGTAGTACCTGGAGAGTAGCGCCAGGATTAGACAGTATGTATATGTGTTGCTGTATCTTCCCGTACAGTATGGTATTTCGGTCGGCGCCGACACGTTGAATGCGCGCCAAAACGCGATGGTGAGATGCTTGCCTGAAAACGCAGGCCGCGATCTACAGCTCCACGCGCTCTTGTCACTTTTTCTTCCCTTCATCGCACTCTCAATCACCCTCACCTCCGCTTACTCTCGCCTGCATTTCTTCGATCAGTGCAGATGCGACGCTGAGGGTTTCTCCCTCATTCCTTACCCTCCGCCCGTCTCAACGCCGACCACATTCCACCCTCGGTCTGGTTGTCTTCCCGACAACATGGTTCTTCTGCGCCTAGAGGTGAAGGTCCTGCCGAGAGAGCAGGAGGTGGCCCTCTCGCCTGGGCGCAATGCGTCTAACTCGGGCCTCCTTGCTCGGTTGATTGGAAATGGTACTGAACGAAGCAACAAAGAGCGCGACCAAGAAGACTGCTTGGAGCGCAGCCAGGAGGACAGCCATGCTTCCCAGCGGGAGTCGACACCCTCGAAGAAGTACGTATCTTTCTTGATGCTTTTGAGTCACCCCGAGGATATCACATTGGGAGAACTTGCAAGCAAAATTACCGATGAGTGGTCAACTTTCCGCCCTGATCTAGAGTGAGTTCCCCAAGTTCCCCCAGTTCGGCTTCAGCAGGAAAGCCCACTGACGCTGGCATCTTAGGCCCCTTGAAATCAAGAAGCTCCTCGACGACGCGAACCCCAATGTTGACCTCAGCTTGTCGATGACTGTCGCCGACGTATTCGTGGATACCGGCAAGGCCCTCGCCGATGGCCATGACCAGCGTGCGACGGTCCGCCTTGTTCAAAAGCCCACCCCGTATTGCCCTCAGCGCTTTTCTTCGGTGGTCCAGGATTGGGACAGTGCAGTTGCAGATGCGAAGCGCAAGACAAAGAAAAATGCGGTCGCCAACCGGGTCTCTCCCATTGCCGAAGAACGAGATGATTCAACTCAGGAGTCTCCGGCGCATAAGCGGCATCGGGATGCACCCCTTCCCTCTGTCGAAGATACCCAACACCATTCCGTTCCTGTCACCCCTCCGATTATGAGCTTTGGGAGCGAGGAACTTGGAGATTCACCCAGTCCACCAGAGCACAAGACTGAATCTCGAAAGCGCAAACCGAGCCCAGAGAAAGAAGAACCTGTCAAGCAACCCAAATTGACAAGCTCCCAGACAGATCAATTAACCAGCCCCAGTCGCAAGCGGACCAACGTGCCTGCCTTTGCTAGTCCTCATCGACGACCAAGCGCTACTGAACGCCCGGCACAAAATGCCCATGGCCTTGGCCTTGGGATTACCAAGAGCCCCTTGGTCAAAAAGCCTAGCAAGGGCACTCCCTCCAGTCAGACATCCGTCCCTGCGTCTACCCCGGCTGGAGCCCCCGCGAGTAAGGTCCTGCATTCTGCGCTGCGTAAAGAATCTCCTGCCAGCTCCAATTTGGACAAGAGACTGTCCGTTTCATTCAATCAACCGATCGTCGAAGCTCAGTCCAGTCTGCAGTCCTCGCAGACTCAGAGTCGCAAAGCAAAAGCGGCCAATAAAAGTACCCCGGCCAAAAAACCCGCAAATGCTGCGCCTAGTAGTGCCAATGCAGCTACTCCTGAAAACGCGAATGAGCAATACATGCGCATTAAGCAACAAATCGAGGAGGAGAACAAAGAAAAAGCAACCCTGCAGGCTAAACTCGAAGATCCCAACACTGATCCTCAGTGCAGACGCATTGTCGAAGAGTTTCTAGATGTCTATGCCCGGATGAAGACACCGGCCTCGGAAGATCGTAATGGGAAAGCTCGGAGCTCTCGAAATATCCGCGGACTGAAAACGAGACTTCCTGGCCTTCGAAAACGTCTCGCTGAGATGGAAGCGAAGCAATCTACGCCTCAAGCTTCGCAAGATGAACCTCCACTGCCCACATCGGACACTCGGATAACTCGCTCGATTCCTTCACCGGCTGCTCCCCAGTCCAGTCTGGACCAGGCCCCAGCGTGGTCATTTGGTCAGCTCGCGTCCTCTCCTACGCGGAAGCTGTCGGTGCAAGAAGATCAAACACTTTCCGGCCGCCGAGGGCATAGGTCGTCTGCGTCTAAGGAATCCCCCAACAAGCCCAAGTCCCCTCCTGCAACCCGGTCTCATCCCTCCCCCTCGGTTGTTATTCAGTCCCCGCCTAGGCGCCATTCTGATGCAGAAACTGCAGCCAAGTCAACCCCTGCCAAGTTGCAAGAGCCCGCTGAAATTCTCTCAAAGGCGGAAAAGGTTGAAAATGGGGACAAGGAACTGGAAGAATCTGCTGTTTCCGAGGCAGAAGATGTCGAGATGGAAGATGCGGAAGAAGGAAATCGAGACGACGAAATGGCAGAGCAACAAACAAATCCTATCAGTGTAGTGGTCCAGAGTACAGGGGACAATGGAGACGACGCTGAGGAAGAAGAAGCAAAGGATTCGGGGGGTGACGTGCATGATCTCGTCGATGATACAGCCAAGGATACGGAGGAAGATGAAGAAGACGAGTCCAGCGAAGAAGATGATGACAGCGAAGAAGACGAGTCCAGCGAAGAAGATGATGACAACGAAGAAGACGAGCCTGGCGACGACGAATCTGAAAAAGATGAAACCGGCAAAGACGTTGCGAATGGATTTATCGATGACCAGGCAAAGGATGATCGATTGGGAGAGGCGAAGAAAGACCGAGAGACACAGCCCAACGAGAGCAGCGCTCAAGACTCTGGTGTTGACGAGCGCAGCGACTCTGGAAAGGAGACGCCTCAGCCATCAGCAAACAAAGAAGAGAAACCCAAAGAGGATTCGAGTTCGAATACCGAGTCCAGCGAAGACAGTTCGGAGAGCGAGAGCGAGAGCGAGAGCGAGAGTGAGAGCGATGAGGAGTCTGGTTCTGAATCAGAGTAAGTTTACCGATTCTGTTGGTCAAGGCCAATTTTGCTCACATGTTGTCTTAGTTTGCCTGTTCAACGAACGCGGTCCGCCCGAAAGGCACCTAACTCCCTGGACACGCCGAAGCCGCCTACTCCTGCCACTGGATTCCAATCCACGAAGCAGACCCCCTCTTCTCAATCGACTAGGGCGCCACGCACCACGCTTAAAAGCCTCCTTCAGGTAGCGAAGCAGGCCAATCGACAGCAGCCACAGTCTACCTCGGCGACCACTAAGCCGAAGCCCTCACAGCCACAGTCGAACGTGTGGGAAGTGCCCTCCTCGGAAGATGAGGACGATGACAGCGATCAGGGTGATATCCTCCCAAATGGTGACTCCCGGAAGCCACGCAAGCCATACTCATCTCAGAGTTAGGTCGAATCTGCAGCATCATGTGAAAGATGGTGGTGAATCAGTGTCAATTTCTAGCGATTAACTTTCACGTTTGATATCATTTTCTTTCTTCTACATTGCCCTGAGGTAGGGCAAGTACCTATTGCAATACTGTATTCATACTGGATACGGGGTTATATTTCTTTCTTTCTTTTTTTTTTTTTTTGGCGGTGATGGGGGTCATGTAGATATTGACTTTACAATTTAATCTTCGGCCTTTATGCTCGATTTTGCCGCACTGGATATGAGCTATGCTATCTACACATGTGTTCTTATTTTCTCCTGGCAACTCTTAGAGTGTACTAAGGCACTCAAGGCACATTTGCACCGCTGTCGGACTTTTCAGCAACTCCCTCTTCCAACCACTCCTTGGGCGGCGCCGAGACCTCGTAATTCCACTTCATATCGTCTTCGATCGCGCCCGACTGAATGCCTCGCAGCGTCTGCAACAGCTTTACGCAAACCTCGCCACCCTGGCCCTGATCGCCGGAGCGATACTCGAATCTATCTCCCCTTGAACGCATCGTGATACTCCGGACAGGCACCAGTGCTGCCGCAGTGCCAGCTGCAAAGACCTCGTCGAACTGGCCTAGTTCTTCGTACGCAACCCTGCGTTTCTCAACACGATAGCCCAGTTTCCGTGCAATATCTCCCACAGACGCAGCGGTGACTGAATCAATTGCATTTCGACTGTCCGATTGAACGACAGTCACATTATTGCCGTCCCGTCTAACGCCAATGAAGGCGGAGGTTGAGAATTCATCGATCTCGCTCCTCGTCGCACTATCTAAATGGAGCGTAATCCCGAATCCCTCGTTCCGAGCCTTATCACTATGTCGCAAGACGGGGGCATAGTTGCCGCCGACTTTGGCATTGCCGGTTCCATGCGGTGCAGAACGATCAAAGTCCTCTAGGATCAGTGCGTCCACGGCATGCGCACCGTGGTACACCCCCGTCGGCATGACAAACACCGCCAGTGTATACCCATCTGGAGGGCTCAATCCGAGCTGTGCCGAAGAACCAAACAGTAGCGGACGCACGTACATTGCCGCGCCAGAGTCATGCGGCGGCACAAATTCGGCATTGGCCCCAACGGCCAGCGCCACGCACTCAAGGAATAGGTCTTCCGGAACTGGCGGGATAGAGACGACCTCGGCCGAATCCTGCATGCGTTTTGCGTTACGATCGGGACGAAAAATAGTAATTTTACCATTTTCTGCGTGGCGGAAGGCTTTCAGTCCTTCGTAGACCTGCTGGCCGTAGTTCAGGCCCGGTGCCATTCCGTGGATGGTCATGAAGGGCGAGGCGACGAAGCGAGGGCGCGACCACTGGCCATTGCCGGCGTGGGAAAAGTGGCATTCGACATGGCCATTGACTGTCTCCTGTCAGAGTGTCCCAGGAGTTGTTAGAAAAGTCAGAGGGCTTACCATCGCGCACTTTGAAACCGATGTCGTTCCAGTCGAGAGCGGCGGGGGGCGGTGGAAACATTGTGGGTGGATCTGGCGGGGCGAGTGGATTCTGGGGAATCTGAGCTGGGGATGGCGATCACAGTGTGTAATATGTAGACAATGGGCAGATCAAACCCTGGACGAGTGCAATTGAGTGGCAGTGTGAGAGTGTCGAGAGGAAAAGCGGCGAGGGTCGAGTCAAATATCGAAAATGTCCAAGTGAGGGGCAGCTGACGTCCCGCCAAACTCAATCACGGCGGCTGGGATGACAGTCAATGAGGTATACACTTGCTGCTCTGGGTTATCTCCCGTCGGTTTCAAAACTAGTCGCGGTTTGGAGTCCACTCAAACAGCGGTTTTCGGGCGCCGGTGCCTATATTTAGGATTCCTTCCGGTAAGTCCACGAACAGTGCTTATTATTGTCCTCCAGTTTCGATCTTTGGGTCATTTTGACTCGAATCTTCACGGTGGATTGTATTGAATTTGCATTTTCAGCATTAGCTTCTCTAAACAATAAGCAAGTATTATTCGCTCATAGGCTGCTTACCGGTGCCTTAAGGTACATGGATATCTGTACCGGGCTGTGGATTTCATGTAGCCGACATGAACACACCGCCAAGTAAGCTTACACCGATAAAACTTTGTTGTGAAAACACCACGCTAGCTACACGATGACAAAAGTTCTCAGAACTGCTACTCCTGAAACCCCTGGAGGATTTGCAGACAAGTACACTGTGAAGTGAAGTACTCCAGTATTATGATAGGGCTTAAAAGACATGTTACGAGACTGTCCGTGAGACTATCTGATTCACGGTACTACGGAAGCGACCTCCGGAGCAAGCCGAGACAAACAGCTTCGATGAACTAGTAGCATATTGGTGGTAGTAAGTGGTTCATGCAGAAAAGCACGGTCATGGGTTCTCATTATTCAGGTACAGTAGCTTTTTGGACTCGATGAGCATCGATCGAGTGTGGACTTGGCCAAAGAAAAACGTGGTTCGCTAGGTCATTGGAAAGAAAAATAATAATTAAAAAAAAAAAACTCCGAATGCATCATGTTCACCAAAGCAGGTTGTCGCCAACGGCCGGGAATCTTGAGACCATGAAGCCGGGCTTGCAATTGGCTTCCCAATCCTCATCGAACCCGGAATCCGGGTTGTGAGGGTTGAAAGATTGTTTTCGGTCCATTGACAGCACGGCGACGCCACGAGGCAACTGGTCTTCGAGACCCGGTGAGTCACGACCGCTGTTTGTACTGCATGGACATGTCGAGGTTGTCCTGGATCCGGGTGTGACGCAAGGGCAGAAGCCCAGGTTGCGGTTGCATGGGACGCATTTGTAGTAGGCCCCACTGGTGGCATCATTGGGGCGAACCGGTAACCGAACGCCGGGGAGTCCGCATTGTTGGCACTTCCAGGCTTGGGTCTCGATTGAGGAGATAGTCATGATGAAGGGTGGAAGATGATGTAACTTAAAAATGGCATAAGTAATTGTCCAGGCATTGAGGGCATCTTGAATTGTCTTCGTGACTTACATTCCAGTCAAGGGAGATTGAAATAACGTTCAAAAGACAGCAAGGTACCCGAGGCAGGAATGAGGAATGTGCCTGTGCCTGAGGGTCGTCGAGGTGTTTGTAAATTGTGATTGACGATTGTCTGTCGATTACGGATTTGAACAGCCGGCCGGCCTTGCGCCTTTTAAACCTGGGGAAGTTCTTTGCAAAACAAAATTTTGCGGGGGCGGTCGATCATGATGACATTGAATCCCAAAATTGCAGCATCCAAAAAGGAGGCAGCCAACCGCAGGGGAAGCCGGTGGCATGCTGGTTGGAGTGGGCATCGAACCCGGTTGGCATCACGTAAATGTGGAGAGTTCTAGACTGGCCACCCAGACACCGGCTGATCCCCCAAAGGACGCCAGGCCCGATCAGGTAAGCTCATCCCCGCGGCAAGCCGAGCGTTAGGTAATTTCGCGCAGGCGCGGTCAAGTGACTTGACCGGACCGGGCAACCCGTTACGTTTCTCTTACCTAACCCCCCGTGACCACTGAGGCATTTTTTCCCCAAAGCGGCCTCGGCGGCTCTTATTTGCTGCGGGGGCCGAGGACTCCCCGCCTTCCGGCAATTCTGCCAGTGCCTTACAGATCACGTTCGACCGATCCTGGATGCCACAGGAGAAAGCGGTATCCAGGCCACCTCCAGTGACATTCACGCGATGAGACATCTCCAGGAATGGAATCTACTGTACAGTACGGTCGATGGTGACCCGGCGTGACGTTGTCTCACACGTATTTTTTTAGACGTGTCGCTTGCGGTCACGGCATCGGTCACGTTATTCATCACAGGAGCTTAAAATGCTCTAAATTTATACTTCGATACTTTCAACTCATACTATTCATTGATGCCACTACAAGAATAGAAATGGCTCGCTTAAACTACCCAACAAGTTGTAGTAGCTATCCGAGATTAGTCCGCGAGTCGCCGTTCAGAAGCGGCTCTTCGCCACAACCCTATAACTAGTTAAGTACATAGTTGAGCAATGACATCATTCGGCATAGGTTTCCGAGCCCCCGAGACAGTTGTATCACACAATCGCAGCTCAAATGGACTCTTCGCTACTCGGAGTCTAGAGCCATGGACTTTCAGCTCAGCGGTTCCTTTCACTTGGTTTAACACACGCATCATGCTGATATCAGGTTATACGCCGTGGCAAAACACTCCTGTCGGACTACGAGGATCTTAGTGTAGCATCACAATGGGAGATATTTTGTCGTTCTAGAAACTGTCATATCTATGAAAATAGTGAATTCAAGTCTCGACACAGTCAATTGCCTCTCGTTGGTCAACCTCAGACCAGCTGTACTAGGCCGAAAATGGCGGCCGTATTACCGAGGTAGGAACTCTCAGATCTCTACTACACTCATATAGTACCTCGACACAGCGGCTCACCAAGACAGCCCAATCACAAATACCGACTATGCGCCGCACCCAACAAACAAAATGAAGGCGGCGCGGTGGATGGGCACTCACGACGTGGAAGTCGGGCTTGTCCCTAAGCCCATGATCACCGACCCCAGCGATGCCATCGTTCAAATCACACACTGCTCCATCTCCGGCTCTGATATCCACCTGTACGAGGGCGACCTGAACAACTCCATGAAAAAGGGCGATATTCTGGGTCAAGAAGCCGTCGGGCTCGTCGAAGAAGTCGGCCCGAACGTCAAGTCCATTACGCCCGGTGACCGAGTCATCATCTTACCCATTGTTGCATGTGGGAGATGTGACTACTGTCAGCGCCAGGAGTACTCACTTTGTGATGTCAGCAACCCATATTCGGAAATGGAGGTCCTCTACGGTCATCGTCTGTCTGGTATGCTAGGGTTTAGCCGACTCTGCGGCGGTTATGCGGGCGACCAAGCGGAATACTGTCGTGTCCCTAATGCCGACCTAAGCTGCGTCAAAGCCCCACAGGATATTGATGCGCGCAAGATACTCGGGCTAGCGAATGTGATCACAACCGCCTGGCATGCGCTAGAGCTCGCAGAAGTACAACCCGGCGATATTGTTGGGGTATGGGGCTGTGGGCCTGTCGGTTTATCGGTGCAACGACTCGCCAAACTTCGTGGCGCAAAGAAGATCTATGCAATGGATCGGGATCCGCAGCGATTACGCTTGGCGGGAGAATTTGGAATGACACCGATCGATGTGAATGATCACTCGGAGGTGGGCGAGTACATCCTTTCCATCCAGCCAAAGGGTCTTGATCGTTCCATTGAAGCGTGTGGGTTCCGTAGTACGACGCGATCCCCTCATGCCGCCGTGCGGGCAAAGGGCTTGGAGCGAGACAGGGGTGATACTGTCGGGGCGATCATCAAGGCGACGCGCAAGGGTGGAAATGTGGCGTTAATCGGTGATTTTTTCTTTTCGACGCATGATTTCCCGATTGGAGCCTTGATGCAAAAGGCTTTGACGGTGCGGGGAGGCCAGGCTTGGCCACAAAAGGTATGTCCTTGTTTTTTTTGCATGCTGTATATATAGATAAGGATATAGACTGACAAGCTGCAGTATCATCCGTTCCTATTGAATCTGGTCATCGATGGAAAACTGGACCCTTCCTGGATGTTCACGTACGAGGACGAATTCGAGAACATTGCCGATCACTACCAGCGATTCGCCAAGCATGAAGTCCCTGGTGGGTTGAAGGTGTGTCTGGTGACATCGTTTGGGCGGAGTGAACGCCTGCAACCCAGCAGTGACATGCTGGTGGATCGCAATGACTAAAGTTTGGATCAGAACAGACCAGAATGAACGAGACCAATGCAGAGGAATAGACCAATAATTGCCTCTCAGGTGCTTTGCCATTGGGAGGGTTAAGGAAACACTGCCCGTGCATTACACTCGGCATAGAATGGTCCATTAAATGCATAGAATTGAAAGCAAAAATATACTTGGTATAAGACGATATGATCAAACAAACAAAAAAAAAAAAAAAAAAAGCATGAAAGTACAAAATCAAAACAAACGTTCAAGGCCACGGACCATCCGGGTATCATACAGCTATCAGCATTGTGATTTTTCCTTTAAGCAGTTTTCTTGCCCTTTCCAGCCTTGGCCTTCGAGGTTCGCACCCGGAACAAGTAGTACAAGGCAATCGCACCAAAGATGTTGAAGATGAAGTAGCACCAGAAGATACCATAGTTGCGCCAACGGTCCTCCCAGTAGATTTCTCTGGTAGCGAGGTATTGATCGGCAAGCTTCATGCTGCAATACTGGCAGCCGGAAGTGTCATTTTCGTTGTAAATTGATCCGACAGACACCTGTAGGTATTTGGCCATATACTCGCCACAGGTTTGACCAGCGGGAGGATCGAAGACACTCAGTTCGGCTGCGTTGCATTCAACCTCCCGGCCATGGAGGGCAGTGCTACTGATTCCGCTGATGTAGTACGTGAATGGAGATACACGATACATGAAAATCCAGAAGCGCGGGAGATCATTCGGCGGCTGCATGACACCATTGAAGATGAATGAGAGACCGAACATCATAGTTGCGACCATGGCACCAAGGGTAGGTTCCGGGATGGCGCAGATCACAAACTGAGCCATGCTGGCAGCGTACATGTAGAATTGTACGATGAAGAGCATAATGAGCCCACGACGTTCAGAATCCTGGTTGGCACCAAAAACAGACCAGTAGAACGAGGCCCACGAGCAGATGCCCAGGGCAACTTGCCAGGGAACCTCAACGAAGATCTGCGATAGAATGAAAACCTTCCAGGAATAGATACGAGATGGCCGTTCGCGAACCTCGTACAGGGAGCGCTGAGCAACGAAGCGGGGCATGATCTGATTGACGAGGGTGTTGAAGATGGTGCAAAGCAGGAAAATACTGAAAAGCACATCTTGAAAGCCTTGCTGAGTATTGTCGGACAACCAGAAGGAGAAACCGATGAATAGACCAGACGCAATACCGAGGATGAACTTGGCGTAGATGTAGTCGGGCTGGCGGAAATAGCTCTGGAAGCATCGCTGAAGAACCACAACAAGCTGAGCAGACAAGGGCATCGCAAACTCGGCACTATCATCATCGGTCACCGGATCGTGGACAGAATTTGTACGAGTGGAGTGAACACGCTGGATTTCAGCAAGGACCTCGTTGTGCTCAGGGCTTTTCTTCCACACTGTAGGCCAGTCCACTCCAGGACATCCGTCACCAGCAACCATGTCGAGGATGTACTCGGCAGGGTTCTCCAGCTCTTCGCAAGGAGGAGCACCATTGTTCTCAAAATATTTCAAAAGGGTGGTAGAGTTTTCGCCGATATCGCCGAAGTAAACTGTCTTTCCACCCTTGGCCAAGAAAAGCAGCCGGTCAAAGGTTTGGAACAGAGTTGCACTGGGTTGATGAATTGTTGCCAACACAGCTTGTCCGTGGTCTGCGAGTCTCCGCAGGAACTGACAGATAGTCCATGAACTTTGAGAATCCAAACCACTGGTCGGCTCATCAAGAAAGATGAGAAGAGTAGGCTTCGCAGCAAGTTCCACGCCAATGCTGAGAAGCTTACGCTGCTCAACATTCAAACCTTCTCCAAGGGAGCCAACAACAGCTTCGGCAAAATCCTCCATACCAAGGGCCTTGATGACCTGCTCCACATACTCATACTTCTCCTTCTTGGAAACAGATTTGGGCTGGCGAAGCATTGCACTGAAACGCAAGGCCTCTCGCACGGTTGTGGTGTCGAGGTGAAGATCTTGCTGTTGCACATAGCCAGTGCGGCGGGGGAAGTTGGCAGCGAGGGCCAGACCATTGACTAAAATATCGCCAGTGACGACACCAATCGATACGCGCTGGGCGAGAACATCCAGAAGGGTTGTCTTGCCTGCTCCTGATACACCCATCAGGGCTGTCAAAGTACCAGGTTTGACCCAGCCGTTCACATCATTCAACAATCGTCGAGTTCCCTCTTTGACAGGAATATCATAGTTCAAAGAGCTCCAAGAGAAGATATCAGTCTGTTCAGGAAGGCGAATGGTATCGTTGGTTGCTTGCACTTCGAGCTTTGTTGAATCTGGCGCACCGCCCTCTGTATCCTGTCCATTTTGGAGATACTTAGGAGCATGTCCAGGGCGGAAGACCAGGGCCTCTGCCTTTGACTTGTCACTGGAAATAAACTCTGTGGCTGTCAGGTACAGGAAATTGAAGAAAACCATGAAAGCAATTAGAATGCCGAAGTTTCTCCACAAATGGGAGTAGTGGTAGTAGTAATTCTGCTCGATAAAGGCATCACCTGAGACATATCGCTGACCTGCCACTGCGCCAACCGAGGAACAGATGAAGTTGGTCCCAGTACCATAGCTCGGAATTATTGATCCACAATCATAGTTCCTGCCGTGGAATTCGTTCGCAATCAATGCCTCAAAGGTATAGTAGATTGGGTTGATCCAACGGATCCACGAGAGCCACGGATGCATATAGGGTTCCGGGAGGGTGAAACCAGTGTAGACGACGATGCAAAGAACCAAAATACCTGCAAGTGCCATGGCTTGGCCCACTGACTTTGTCAATGCTCCCAGGCTGCGGAATAGACCCGACATGGCCAGAACGGCGACGATCAAGAACAGGTAGAAGATGAAAAATTGGGCCGGTTCCCGACGCAGATTCGCCATGAAGTACAAGACGATACTGAACACCGAGATGCGGACCAATTTGACGGGTAGGTCAACAATGAGACTGGCTAACGCTTCAGTGAATGGGTGCACGAAAGCATAACCAGCCTGTTTTTCAACAATGGACCGCTGACTGTAGAGTTGAAGAATTTCGTTGATAGTGAGAAGAGCGTTCATGAGGACGGCAAAGTAACACACCGCACCCTTTTGGAAGAAGTAGTCGGCCGTATCCGGGGTATTGTAGAAGACGGACCCGATGATCAAAGACAAGATGATTTGGACGAACAGAGGCGATAACGCAGTGGGTAGGTCACCCTTCATACGCTGGAAAGCTCTCGTAGTACAGAGTCGAATCTGCATCGGAATTGAAAGCAGATAAGGGCTGGCGGCGCGAGTGTGACGGGCTTGGTGCGCTTCGTGAGTCAAACGCAGGCGTTGGGCGTCAATGCCATTCGGGGGATGCTCGCGCTCAAACTCAGTGATTTTGTTGCGAAGATTACAGTACTCTGGGCTTTTCTTCCAGTATTCAGCAAATTCCTTGGCGGTACGCGGCACTTTCTCTTCCATTCCAGGCAATGCTTTGCGTTCGCCAGGGTTGGTGATAGCTGTCAAGAAGTCACCGCTGACCTGACGCTCGGGCCGTGTCCAGCCCATCTCCTGGAAATAGGAAACCGCACGCTCTCTAGGGCCGTAGTAGATTTCATAGCCCTCGTAGAGGACGACGACTTTGTCAAACAAGTCATACATCGATTGGGACGCTTGATATGCGGCGATAGCATGGCAGGACATGCCCATGTCGGCAGAGAGACGCAGGGACTTAACGAAATTCAAAGCCGATGCCGCATCCAGTCCACGAGTGCTGTTGTCCCATGCCCCTATTCTGCAGCGAGACAAAAACATTTCGGCAATACTTACACGCTTCCGCTCACCACCACTGACACCGCGTACGAATTCGCTGCCGACTTTGGTGTTGTAGGTATGAGAGAGACCAAAAATAGACATAACGACCTTAACCAAGGTGTCGACAAATTCATTCCGTGTGACTCCCTCCAGACGACGGTGGGGGGCACGGGCGTGGGCCGCAAAGGAGAGGGTTTGGCCGACAGTCAAATGAGGGAAGTGGAGGTCGACTTCTTTATTGTAGGCAACCTCGCCACGGTGATATTTAATCATATCCTTATAGTCGATCCCTTCGAAATGAATTTTGCTTTCGGACTCCATGGTAAGGCCGCCCAGGTGTCCACAAAGGGTCTTGAGGAAGGTAGTACAGCCACTGCCGGGACGTCCCAGGACGAGCAAAAGCTCGCCACCTTGCAGCAGTCCGTCGAAATTGTGAAGAATACGACGGGGCGGTGACTTCTGACCAGAGAGAGCTCTGGTGGCGAGGCGAAAAGGAACTGCGAGGCTCGAGATCAAGGTTTCTTGGAATTGTAAAGCGGATCCGGAACCGTAGATAGACAGGTCGGAAAAGACGACACCTTGGTCTGGAATATCAATGCCAGCTTCGTGGACTTGGTTGACCACGTTCTGGGCCCACCGACGATGGTCAAACCGAGGATCGTCGGGATCCAATCGAGGATCTTTCTCGCCATGGGTTATCGTGGCCGACAAAGCCTGGCCCAGATGACTGGAGGCAATGCGGCCTATCGATTCGATTTCTCGTTCTTCGATGGCAGTCATGACAGTTTGGGTCCGCTCCGTGATGGGAGCAAAATCCATCTTGGAATCTTTGTCGGAATCCATTCTGGGTAAGGCTGTCGATCAACCGAACCAATATGGGAGGACGATGGGAAGAAAGGTGAGGACACAACGGGAGCGATCCCAGTTGTCTATATGTACTATCTCCGACTGGGTACATAGCGACTCAGTCTTGTCCAGAGACTTTTTTACCTTTTGAATTCGGGGACGGAGAGGCCTTTACACCGACTACAGACACAGATTGATAAAATTATGCGGTGCTGTTCGGGAGGTGCGTCTTTGGACCCACCCAGCGGTACTCAAGCCAGGCGGGCGGCCGGGGTAACGGAGACCCGACATGCCGACATCTGCCGCTAGGCCGTTTGAAGTAAGGCACTCGCTGGAGTCCGCAACTGGATTGGATGGATCCGGTTTCCCGCTTCGGGATTGAATCGCAGCCCCACCTGCCAACTCGGGCATACAGTGTTTTCCAGATGCGCCTAGCCTGATCATAGAAACTTGACTGCTTTCCCCGTAATATCCGGCATTCGGCCAATCCCGTTCGGCTCGGAAAGCTTGGTTGATTTGCGCGGTATTTATAGATTTATGCGGAGTCCGCAGCAGAAAACGATCGGGGGATAGTTCAGGTACTTAAGTATGAGTATTCTACGATTGGCCGCCCTGCCACGCGGCTGCATGGAAAATTAAACCCTCTCCCAAGGCCCAATGACAGCGACTCATCTCACACGACATTTTCGTACTACGTACTGCCCACCACTAATGCCTACTATGCTATAAGTGAGGTGGATAGACTATTGCCTATGTAGTTAGAGCTTTCACATTACAAAATGTGATATCGCGAATGCCCTATCGTAGTAGGTCGCCAAGCCCTACCCGAACGAAGAACATGCTGTCAGCTCGAGACCGCCGGAGAGCACAGTTGTAGTAATCTTCGCAGGTAGCTGAATCAGAATGCTCGGGTTGTAACTGTACTATAGGAAAAGTACAATACGGGGTGTACTGTTAGCTAACCGCCATTATTTTGGATCGTCTCAACAAAGGGCCAAGTCAAGGTGTAATGCCCCGGGTAACGTGCGCTGCTGACAACTGCACCGCATCCGCCCTCGGGTGCGCCCAGCCAATTAACGGGTCGCTGCGTGCGGAGGAAGCCAAGAACGACGGGTCGCCCAGCTTTAAAGGTTCGAAGCCACGCAGGAATCGAATGGACGAGCCCGTCTTTGACCGCTTGTGACGAAGTCATCCTCCACACTAGAGTCAATGCGGGTTCTCTTTCTTCCCTCCTCTTACTCCTCCTCCTCCTCCCGCGGCTCCCTCCAGCATCATGGCCACCGGTACCACCACCACCGCTGCGGCCTCCAGCACGAGTCGTGTCAGTCCTCAAGGCGGCATCCTTGAGGGCGGCAACCCGTCCCACTATGACTCCAAGAACCCCATTGTTCTGTTTATCATCCAAGCCGTCATTATCATCGTCCTTTGTCGCCTGCTTCACTGGCCACTCTCCAAGATCCGTCAACCTCGCGTCATCGCAGAGGTCATCGGCGGCATCATCTTGGGCCCCTCGGTGATGGGCCATATCCCCGGATTCACCGATGCCATTTTCCCCACCGCCAGCATCCCCACACTGAATGTTGTCGCCAACTTGGGGCTGGTCCTGTTCTTGTTCCTTGTCGGGCTGGAAACGGACTTGCGCTTCCTCGTCAGCAACTGGCGCACCGCCCTCAGTGTCTCCGCGGCTGGCATGGCCCTGCCCTTCGGCCTGGGCTGTGCCATCTCGTACGGTCTGTACAAGGAATTCCAAAATGAGCCCGGGACTGTCCCCATTGAATTTGGTACCTATCTCCTCTTCATCGGTATCGCCATGGCCATTACTGCCTTCCCTGTTCTTTGTCGTATATTGACCGAGCTGAAACTCCTGGGGACCCGCGTTGGAGTCATTACGTTGTCTGCCGGTGTCGGGAATGATATTGTTGGCTGGGTGCTGCTGGCTCTCTGTGTCGCCTTGGTGAACGCAGGAACGGGCATTACCGCACTCTACGTTCTACTCGTTTGTGTCGGGTACATGCTCTTCCTGATATATGGCTTCCGGCCGGTCTTCCTGCGCTTTCTCCAGCGTACTGGGAGTTTGCACAAAGGACCCAGTCAGTCTGTTGTGACGCTGACTCTACTTATTGCACTGGCTTCTGCCTTTTTCACTCAGGTCATCGGTGTGCATGCCATCTTCGGTGGTTTTGTCATTGGGCTAATGTGCCCTCACGAAGGTGGTTTTGCCATCAAGCTGACAGAAAAGATCGAGGATGTCGTAGCAGCCCTCTTCTTACCTCTATACTTCACGCTCTCTGGCCTCAGTACCGACTTGGGTTTGCTCGACAGTGGGATTGTCTGGGGCTATGTAGTGGGAGTTATCGTCATTGCCTTCCTGGCCAAGGTGATTGGAGGCACGCTCGCGTCTCGTCTTAATGGACTCCTCTGGCGAGAGAGTTTCTCGATTGGTGTCTTGATGAGTTGCAAGGGATTGGTGGAGTTGATCGTATTGGTAAGTTGACGTGGATCGCTTCGGTTACAAGTAACTCGTTTCTAACATGGTCATCACAGAATATTGGTCTTCAAGCGAAAATTTTGAGCACTCGTACTTTCACCATCTTCGTCGTCATGGCTCTGGTCACTACTTTTATAACCACTCCTCTCACCACCGCGCTCTATCCAAACTGGTATCAAGTCAAGGTGGAGCGCTGGCGAAAGGGGGAGATTGACTGGGATGGCAACCCTCTTCAGAGTGATAGCCGCTCCGACAGTGTGACTGCGGTCAAGGATCAGCTCAAGACTGTCCCGGTCCACAAGCTTTTGGTCTATCTTCGCTTGGATGGTCTCTCCGGAATCTGTACCTTGGCTGCCCTTTTGACTCCCAACCGTGCCGCGGCTTTGGCTTCGCCCAGGACCCACCCTTCTAAAGCGCCTAAGAAGACCGAACAGGGTGTGGAAGAAGCCATCTCGGCAGATGATACAGACGAGACTGCACTTCGAGTTCACGGTGTGCGACTTATGGAATTAGGTGACCGTGACTCGAGTGTCATGAAAGTGTCGGCTGGAGAGCAGGCTCTCTGGGACCCCGTTGTCAACACCTTTCGTGCCTTTGGCGAGTGGCACGATATTTCTCTTATGGCTGGTGTGTCGGTGGTGCCGGAACATTCTTACGCAGATACCGTCATCAATATGGCTCGCCAAGAAACAACCGATCTCCTTTTGCTCCCGTGGAGCGAGTCGGGCACGTTGACTGATCGCCAGAATGGCTTGGAGGTCGATACCGCCAGCCGATTTGCCAATGGCTCATATACCGACTTTGTCTCTAGCGTCCTCCAGCGAGTTCCGGGTCACGTGGGTATCTTCATCGAGCATAGCCCTGATTCTCGCTCTCCCGAAACCAAACGGCCTCCTCCTCCGCCACATGCCGCGGCTAGTGGACTGAGCATCCAGTCCGTTTGGTCCCGCAAGGCCACCGGTGGCCGCTCTCACCACCTTGTGCTTCCCTTCCTCGGTGGCGATGATGATCGTTTTGCTCTTCGCTTGATTCTGCAATTGGCCCAGAATGACCACGTCACGGCTACAATCATTCAGATCGGCGGTGGCCTTCCACCGACCTCTGCCACTGGCTCCGGCTCTAGTAGTGCGCACGCTCGCGGTAGCCAGTCTGATATCGTTTTCTTCGAGACTCTCCGGGATTCTATTCCCGAGGATTTGCAAGAGCGTGTCGTCTTCCGACAGGCTGAGGTTCCTGATACGATCAGTGACCCGCTCCAACTCGCTCTATCTGCCGTGCAGGCTGAACTCAGCAACATCTCCAACAGGTCTGGCAGTATCATTGTCGTTGGACGGAATAAGAATTTGGCTGAGATAGGTGTTCCCTCTATTGACGCCAACGTTGGGCCTGAAACGTACCATGCGCTCGGTGCCATGGCTTCCACCATGGTCGATCCCGAGAGCAAGGGCTTTGGCAGCGTCCTTGTGTTGCAGGCTGGTACTAACACGGTCGTTGACTACCAATGATTTGATGCGGGTGCTTATTTTGCTTCGAAGTCTGGTATGATTTGATACCAATGTTTTTATACAGTACGTACATACATGAGTGAATTACATCGTAAATAAGATTTTATATATTATGGGACAAATTGGTATTGTGTTAATGCAAGCGATCCACTTTTGGTCACTGCGACAATTACCATATGTGCAGTCTCAGTCTATATTTGACTGGACCACAGTGGGAAAGAAATTTTCGGTGGTCACCGAGGTTTCATAACCTCGAGGACATATCGCTCGATTGGTGAGAATCTTCCGAGAACCAAGGTGGGCTGTATTGTCGGTGCACATTGCGTCGAGACTCGACACCAGATGGTTCTTGGGAGGAAGGACAGGAAGGGTAGGGGTTGATCTCGCGGACGCTCGAAGGCAATTCATTGCTGTTGTAGGATCCACGGGCGATGGCGACAAGCTTTCCCAGGATAGCGTATTCGAGCTTCAGCTTGATACTGTAGGCGACTGGTTTGAACATCACCTGGACGGCGTAGTATCCCACGTAATTGATGACCACAACAGCGACGTCCAGACCGAGGATAATGATGTTGATGATGAGGAGTTGGTGCAAGATGCCGTTCGGGCGACCTTCCGGGCGAAGTTTGAGGAGCTTAACAGTTTCCCAGACATAGATGCCTGAGATGATGAGCTCCTGCAAGCAAAAGCCAACGAGCTGAATGCGCTCCATAATGCTATAGCCAGTGGCCCAGTCCCCAATCGGGACAGCCACATTGCCGTATAATAAGATCACAATGGGAAGATGGAAACTGATGGCGTCGATGATGATCATCAACAAGACGGCCAATAGCACTCTCTGGTTCTGCAGAACCAGGTGTAGACGCGACCAGAGGACGACCGACTGACCCGTGACCATTCCTGTCCAGCTGAAGATGATTAGGGTGACGCAGACCCAGGGGTAACCCCCGTGGGAAAGAAGAGCATGACATAGCCGAGGACGTGTGGGATGATGCAGGCGGAGGAAATGAGGAGACTCCAGAAGTAGCAGCCGCGGCGTCGCTTGAACGAGACGAAGCACAGCACAATCAGCTCAATGGCATTGTACCAGGCGATGCCGGCAAAGGCTGCAAAGACGTGTGAGCGCAATTGGTCTTCGGCGGGTTTCTGGAAAAGCAGCGACTCCGCGGCATGTGAGGCGCTGTCGTTCGCCATGGGCGGAAGGGGTACATCGCTCACAGTGAATTGGACACACGCATCTGGGGAAGTGGAGGTGGCAGGAGGTGGATTCAAAGCAGAAAAGGGTGTGGAGAAAGGGATGTCCTCCGCGGCAGCGAAACGCTCGAGCGTTGCCGATCAAGGGCTCAATCTCTGCAGCTCAGGTTCCTGGCTGCCGGGATTGCGCGTGGCCGGGGAAGGGAAAGGGTCTTGCCACGAGACTTTCGTGCGGCCAGAGCGTCGGAGATCCCAGATTGCGCACCCGGTAAGGAGTGCGGAGGTGGAGGAGGGCGGACGCCCGCACGCATGCGAGTCGTGGAGAAGTTCCATGGAGTGCATGACAGCTCCTTTCAGGGGGCGTTCCATGGAGTGCATGACAGTTCATTTCAGGGAGGCGTTGGCGTTCCATGGGAGGGGGACTGTCAAATTGCAGCAATGACACTGGACGAAGTCTTCACCGGGCAAGAGAGGGGGGGTGGTGGTGGCGGGCAAAAAAGCCCCATGGATCTGGCAACTCAAACTATTGAAAGTTCGACTGGATGGCTAAGGTGCACGCAAAGCCGGCCTTGGAGATCTCGCCGATCATTCCCGGGGGATCGCACTGGCGGGCTATTGGAGCCGATGGAGACGGTGGATCCGCGGGGAGAGCGACCCGTTGCAACAAGAGACCCTTTTTTGGGACGCCAGAGTTTGAGGTAGTACCTCCAGCAGGTGGTGGTGTTGGCGGGGGTGAGTGGTGCAGTAAACGCAAAAAGACCGCATTATTCGATCTTTAAGGTTATTGTTAGTCATGGGATGTCTGAATTGAGTCGGGGTTGCCGCAATCTCCTGAGCCCAGTGCAGTAATGGTATTTAACTATGCCATGGCATGGCATCGGAAGTGCCACTGCTTATTGATGTTTGGATTTTACAACAGAGACAGTCATATTGTGTTACTATTGACTGTGGCTGGTCACGATTGTATCAAATCGTTGGCGAGGAAGCACCAGAACTTTAATGCTCCGCCATGTCTTTTACAATTGCAACCGACCTGATGTGGCGCGGGAGTAGTATATATTCTCGTCCGTACATTAACATTGCGATGAATACACACATTGCACTAATACTCACACCGGAGTACACCACATCAGCGAGAAAAAAAAAGCCCTCCAAAGCATATGAATTCACAAGTGTTACGCTAATTTTCCCGTCGAGCGGTACTGCAACACTGGCATGTACAGTATTCACGGTCGAGGCTCATGTGATCCGTCGAGCGTAGTGAAGGTCACGTGAGGACGCGCTCCGATCGCCGACTCTTTCGCATTGCGGCAAATCGCCAGCTGGGTCCGACTTCCAAAACACAATCCGCTCACGTAAGAGACACAATTCGGAGCCGGATTGCTACTTCTCCCAGACCCTGCAGCTCCTCGCATGCCTCTCACTACTGCGCCGAGTCATGGAAACCCATCCGCAATGCCAGGATTCGTCCCGGCGCGATCCCTGATCGGGTGACGTCAAGAAATCCCGATCGCTCGATCGATGACATCCCGCGCGTCCCTTGGAAACGGGAGACCGCGCCGGGCTTGGCTGGCCTCCATGCATCGACTGACCCCCTTTCGCTGTATCGGCAGACCACTTCATCAACCTCTGTTCACGCGAATACACTCATCCTCCACCCTGCCCCGCTGCCGACTTGCATTCACAACATTTCCCATGGCGCCGAAACGCAAGACGTCCGACGCCGACGTTGACAGCAAACCCAACGGGTCTCACGCAAACAAGAAAGGCCGCACCAACCTGCGAGAGCCCCATCCCAATGCGAAGCAGACCGAGGACTTTGGAATCGTCCTGCGTGAATTTTACCCTCCCGAGATGAGCAATGAGCGATGCCAGGCGTACAACGATGGGACCATCGAACGGCCCATTGAAACACTGGAAAAGGCATGCCGGGACACGGCCGACCAGCGCCGTTCCATCAACGCTGGTAAAGCTGTGGTCCATTGGTTCAAGAACGATCTACGACTTCATGATAACCGGGCCCTTCATACCGCCTTCACAATCGCCCGCGATCACCAAATACCCCTCATCTGTCTCTACATCGTCTCGCCAGAGGACTTTGAAGCCCATCTCACCAGTCCGGCGCGGGTGAACTTTATCTTACGGACCTTGGAGCGACTACAACGGGACCTGGCCGAGGTGGACATTCCGCTCTACAGCGAGACGCAAGAGAAGCGGAACAGGATTCCGAGCCGGGTGGTTGAACTCTGCCAGAAATGGGGAGCTAAACATCTCTGCGGAAATGTCGAGTACGAGGTGGATGAGCTGCGGCGCGATGCCAAACTCGTACGACTGTGCGCCGAGAATGAGATTGATTTTGCACCCACGCCAGACACTTGTGTTGTCACACCGGGTGCCCTGAGCAGTCAGCAGGGCAAACAATATGCTGTCTATACCCCTTGGTTCCGCTCCTGGCTGGCCTTTCTTAAAGAGAACCCAGACTACCTCGAGCTGTCCGAGGAACCGGGATCTAACCTGGGCGACGCGAGAAAGACATTCGCCGACTTGTTCGACTGTTCAATTCCGACTGCCCCGAGGAGCAAGCAATTGCCCGGCGACGAAAAGGTGCGATTTGAGAAACTCTACCCGGCTGGCGAGCACGAAGCTACGCAGCGCCTGGAGAAATTTCTGGAGGAGAAGGCCACGAAGTACGACGAGATGCGCAGTGACCTGTCCGGGGAATACACGTCGATTCTCAGTCCATACTTTGCATGTGGAGCTCTGAGCGCGCGTACTGCGGTGGTGACGGCCAAGCGGCTAAACAAGAATTGGCTCGATCGTGGCAACCAGGGCTATGTGAGCTGGATCAGCGAGGTGGCCTGGCGGGACTTCTACAAGCATGTCCTGGTCCACTGGCCGTTTATCTGCATGAACAAGTGCTTCAAGCCCGAGCATACCAACATCGAGTGGGAGTACGATGCCGACCAGTTCCAGGCGTGGTGTGACGGCAAGACAGGCTTCCCCATTGTTGACGCGGCGATGCGGCAGATTCGCCATTGCGCATGGATGCACAACCGTACTCGCATGGTGGTCTCCTCCTTCCTCTCGAAGGACCTGCTGATCGATTGGCGCCGCGGCGAGCGTTACTTCATGGAGCATCTGATCGACGGCGATTTCGCGTCGAACCATGGCGGGTGGGGGTTTGGCTCGAGCACTGGTGTCGATCCCCAGCCCTACTTTCGCATATTCAACCCGCTGCGCCAGAGCGAGCGCTTCGACCCGGACGGCGAATACATTCGGCGCTGGGTGCCCGAGCTGCGCGACATCCAGGGCAAAGCAATCCACGATCCGTACAGCACCAAGGAGGCGGCGGCCATTGCGGAGAAGCAGGGATATCCCCGGCCGATCGTGGACCATGCGGACAGCCGGGCGCGGGCGCTGGAACGGTATAAAAGGGCGCTGCATGGGTGAGACATGAGACTACTAGAGTATAATACTAGTCCTAATGGTACAAATATTTTGTATGGAATTTAATCAGGTCCGCGCCGCTGCTTGCGAAGGAGAAATTGCCCGAACCGGCTACTGCCAGCTGTGAGTGCGTGCAGCTCTAGCATGTCCCATCCGATCCACCTGCGTATCGCTCGTATACCATCTTAGTCGCATCTCCTCTTGCTGCATGCTGCTATTTTCGGGGCGACGATCAGGAACCATCGACTCTGCCTGGGACCGTTCATCCCTAAGAATGTCCACGAGGCAGTGTTCGTCGGGGTGGGCCGCGGTGAAACATCCGCGCCACCGGCTTCCCCGCGCTCGATTTTCCCCGTTCCCCCCGGTTTCATCTCATCTCGTCATCTTCCACCTTCGACCCTCCCACTATACTAGCCCTTTCCTCCCTACTCGATGACCTGACATGGACTCCCAGCCCGGGGAGCCAAGCCCCGGCCCCGTCGATCTTCCCAATGGCAAGCGGCGTTGGCGTCGCAATCGAGTCGCCTGCGATTCGTGCCACACCCGCCGGGTCCGATGCGATCGCGCTTTTCCCTGCTCACGATGCCTGCGCAGCGACATCCACTGTGAATTTACTCGCGAACGTCGCAAACGTGGTCGCATTGCCCGCTCCAAGCTTGCGCCCGAATCGATGCCCGTGGATCCCTCCGCCTCGAACTATGCGATCCGCAGAAACTCCTCCAATATGGATCAGAAAGCCTCCCAGCCGGCGCAGTCGCCGATGCAGCAGAGCTCGCCAGAATCCGCGTTCCCACCACGGTCACCAGCGACCAACAATCTCAGCATGTCGGCGCCGAGCGTAGACGGTCCGCACTCGTTGCTCGAAGGCTCGCGCCCACATCGCCCGGGGCCCGAAGGGAATGCGACAGAAGCATGGTTGTCAGGCGCGCACGTCTCCCCAGAGTCTTACGATATACTGGGCGGGGCTCATGGCAATGATGGGCCTCTACCACGCCTATATGATATCTGGAACCCCGTCGACCTGGCCGGTCATCATCCATCGCAGCGGACCCCGCGGATGCCTTCAATATCCACACAAGTCCAGTCGGGCCAAGGGCCGCCCTCGAGCTCGCGATCGAACTTGAAGTATCCGGTTTTGGAACCAGTGATGCCATTCTTAGAGTCAAATCTTCCCCGCCGCCTGGTATGCGATCTACTGGAGCTCTACTTTACCAGCGCATTCTCCACCCACATGCACCCTGTGTGCCACCACATCCACTGCTACGTCTTACGCAAGGCTTCTTTCCTCAGTACCGATCATCCACGCCCGAGTAGCCCAGCACTGCTGGCAAGTATGCTGTGGGTTGCGGCCGTCGACGATCGTGCCTTTTCCCTCTCCATTTCGCCGTTGCAGCGGCGCAAGATCTGTCAATTCCTCTGTGCGTTGACCATCCGGTTGCTTCGACCTTTGATCCATGTATCTTTCAAGGATCAAGAGCCACCAGAAAACCCAAATGCTCCTCAAGAATTCCCCACGGCCGCGGCACACCACCCGTTCGAAGGTGTGGGGGACGACAAAGGCCTGGTTGGCCCAGCGGGTTCGCTCGACGATGTTGTCACATATATACATGTTGCCTCCATAATTTCTTCCAGTGAACAGAAGGCGGCAAGTATGCGTTGGTATGTATAATCCAAAAGAGCAGATTCAGTCAATGATACTAACAGGGAACTAACGATGCTTTTGCTCTAGGTGGCATGCGGCTTTCACTCTGGCACGAGAACTCAAGCTGAACCAAGAGATGGAAGTGATGGCAAATATGGATAGCCAGAGTGATGGCTCGAGTCCATCGTTTGGATACTCCTTGGCGGCGTGGGCCAGCTCGCCTGGCGGTCCGGTGTTTGACTACTCGAACCCCTCTCGACCGAGTTTGAACTGTGTCTGCGAAGAAAAACATGATCCACACAACAGCTCTCTCATCACGGAAGAGCACCGTGAAGAGCGCCGCCGCACCTGGTGGCTTCTATATATTATGGACCGCCACCTGGCTTTGTGCTATAATCGACCACTAGCCCTTCTCGACGCCGAGTCTGAAGATCTACTCCTTCCACTGGATGAGGGGTCGTGGCAATCCGGCAATATACACAGTAATAGCCCCCGTGCGGACGGCCCCCAATGCATTCGATCCGGTGACCGGAATAAGCGACGTGTTTTCCCCAACTTCATTTGCCATGATCACTCCATCCTCGGATTCTTTCTGCCCCTGATGACTATCACCGGCGAGTTGATCGACCTGAACCAGGCTCGGAACCACCCAACTTTAGGTTTGCGTCTGCAAGGAAAGGAGGCTTGGGAGGTGCATGTTGCAGAAGTACTACGACAGTTGGAAGTCTATAAGGCCAGTTTGACGACCTTTGCTGCTGCCACGGCGGCCGACCCAGAAGGTTCCCTGTCGGGCGCATATCCCGGCAAGCCAGATCAACCGGTCGATGCACAACTGTCGCAGGCATACTCCTGGCACACACAGACGGTCATTGCCTACGCATCGTACCTGGTACACGTCCTGCACATTCTGCTCGTCGGGAAATGGGACCCAGTTTCCCTCATTGAAGATAAAGACTTTTGGACCTCGTCACCTGCCTTCGCATCGACCATCTCTCATGCGCTGGAAGCAGCGGACTCGGTGCAACAGATCCTACGATTTGACCCGGACATCAGCTTCATGCCTTACTTCTTCGGTATTCAACTGTTGCAGGGTAGCTTTTTGCTGCTGCTTATTGTCGAGCGTCTGCAGAAAGAGGCCGGTGAAGGAATCCTGAATGCCTGTGAGACGATGATTCGGGCTACCGAGTCCTGCGTGGTCACCTTGAACACGGAGTACCAGCGTAGTTTCCGGCAGGTGATGCGCAGCGCCGTGGCGCAGGCTCGTGGACGACCGGTGAATCCAAGTGAGATCCGTCACCGGCGGAAGGCAGTTCTGGCGCTGTATCGATGGACGCGCAAGGGAACCGGCCTCGCTCTCTGACCTCGCTCTTTGACAACGTATTGGCAGATATTTCTGAAATACGAGAATTGCCTTGAGGCTCCAGGGGGACAATTTAGTTGGGTTTCGGACATTCGCCCTTGCCTAAATCCATCTACCACAGTACTAGACTCAAAGAGAAGGTAGTGTAAGATAGTATGACATGTTTTGTTTCGAGAGGCCTGGTTGCTTATACTGTGGGAATGCACGGAAGATTTTAGTAGAAGGAGAATAGAAAACACTGTGCAATGACACACTGGTGCATTTCCAATGATGGCCTCGTGGGGCGGACGGGGGCTTGGGAGATCCATACAATGCAGTGCAATGCGTGGCTGGTTTAATTTTAACATTAATACCCTAGCCAGAAATCAGATGATGCGATTGAGCTCAAGGCAAAGGTCAACTAGATGAATCGGTGTTGATGAGGTGATTGCAAGAACATACTACAGACAGGTAATTTTGAGACTCTAGTGTTAGTGCTGAAGGGATTTAATTGAAGTGATTGTGAATATGTGTTGGAGCCACCATTGAAACTTGATAATTATTATGACAGGCCTATTGGTAGCGATTAGGAGAAACAGCATGGAGATGATGATTAGGATAGGCAGGTGTGTTGCGTCCTTTTGTGATTAGAGAGGTATGAGATTTAAATTTTAACCCAGAATATCGGAACAGCCCGGATGGTCTAGTGGTATGATTCGCCCTTCGGGAGTTCCCATTCTGTTACAGAATACTCATGGGCGAGGTCCCGGGTTCAAATCCCGGTTCGGGCCAACTCGAATTCCTCATTTTTTTATGTCTTATATAAAATCTATCGTTTGTTTGTTACTATTAATTTTTTTTTCGTCTGATTTTTATTAGCATATTGAATTTTTGTTCTAACCCATTGGTCCTGAACCTCCCACGCTCACCTGAGTCTTTTTCGAAGGTTGCCTTTTTTTTCCATCGCTCTACATGCATTTTAACATCTAAGGTGCCCCAAGCTGCAGTAAAATTCGCCACTCTTATCTTATCAGCCCGGATGGTCTAGTGGTATGATTCGCCCTTCGGGAGTTCCCATTCTGTTACAGAATACTCATGGGCGAGGTCCCGGGTTCAAATCCCGGTTCGGGCCAACTCGCATCCTTCCGTTTTTTCTCTTTTTTTACTATTGTCTTTCTTCCTCTTCCACATTTCTTTTCTTGTTTCTGATTTCATATTTGGTTCTTTTATTTTTCAAAAGTAACAATACATGACACACCAGCTTTTTTACCGGTGCTATTCCCTCCTGCCCTTCAATACAGAGAGGTATGAAGGGGAAGTCTAACCGAGGAGAGTCTCGAATGCTTCAAAGAATCCACAACTTCCACATTGTAACTGTTAGTTGCCGACCTGTCGTCACTGAGCTATGGCGTGATCCTCTCATATCGTTTCGCACTGGATGTCTGTATATATTGTACAGTACAGTCGTTGTTACTGTAGTCGAGGCTGTTCTCATCGCGAGGGTAAAGCACGTCATGTGGGGCCACGTGGAGACGGACCTGAACGTGGCCGGGGTATCTGCCGGCGTCGATGCAATGTACTCCGAACACCTTGACTATTTGGGCGTCGGTTTCATAATACAGCCACCAAGAACGACGAGGGATTACCCGATAGTGCCTGGTGCCACGTCGCACTACAGTTTTCGATCTCGCCCAAGCGATCGAACACTACCGGCAGAAGCAATATGGAATATCGCATCGAACCCACCAATGGCCGTCCCCAGATCGTCTCATCAGACCCAGCGATGGCATCATGCCCCACTGCAGCTTTGCCGACGCAGTGAGCCATCGCTTTGAGGCTAGAACTGCGTGTTTTCACTCGTTTCATAACCAGACACGCGTCACCACACTTTTGGATGGTCAAACCTGCCACCATGAAGCTGTTCACTGCTGCCAGCCTGCTCGTCGCTGTCGAGGGTGCTGCCATCTCCAGCTTCCAGAATGCCCTTCAGTCTGTACTCAGTGTGGGCCAGTCACGCTCAAACACTCCGCCGAACATCTTGCTAGTAATCACGGACGATCAAGACCTGGAACTCGACTCCGTCGCATACACCCCGCACATCACACGGCGGATCCGCGACAAGGGAACTTTCTTTCGCAATCACTTCGTGACCACAGCACTATGCTGTCCCTCGCGAGTGAGCCTGTGGACCGGTCGCCAAGCACATAACACGAACGTCACAGATGTTCATCCGCCTTATGGTAAGTCACCGAAGACAGTACCACAGTTGGGACGTGGCAGACGAGAGAGGCTGACGGACTAGGCGGGTATCCCAAATTTGTCGACCGCGGGTTTAACGAAAACTTTCTTCCCGTTTGGCTGCAAGAGGCTGGCTACAACACCTACTATACCGGAAAACTCTTTAATGCCCACACCGTCGAGAACTATCACAGCCCTCATGTCAACGGGTTCAATGGCTCTGACTTCCTCCTCGACCCCTACACATACTCGTATCTAAATTCCACCTACCAACGCAACCAAGACCCTCCCGTGAGCTATGAGGGCCATCATACCATGGACGTTATCAGCCAGAAAGCACTCGGTTTTCTGGATGATGCTTTGGAAAGCGAACGACCTTTTTTGTAACCGTGGCCCCCGTGGCTCCGCATTCCAATGTGGAACCCGACGTGTTGGGCAATGTTCCCATTATGACCGCCCCGATTCCCTTGGCGCGGCACCGACATCTCTTTGAAGACGTCACAGTTCCGCGGACAGAAAACTTCAACCCAGATGAGCCCAGCGGAGTCAGCTGGATCCGAAATCTGCCGCAGCAAAACCAGACGGTAGTGGACTACAATGATCACTTCTACCGTTCGCGTTTACGTGCCTTGCAGGGCGTGGATGAGTTGGTGGACTCGCTCGTGTCGCGCCTAGAAGAGAGTGACATGCTGGATAATACATACATTATCTATACTTCGGATAATGGATTCCACATCGGTCAGCACCGGTTGCCGCCCGGCAAGACCTGCGGCTACGAGGAGGATATTCGGGTCCCATTGTTCATCCGAGGACCTGGAATCCCCGAGGGATCTGTACAGGATGCAGTGACCACGCACATCGACCTGGCACCGACGATCTTCGATATCGCGGGGATTGCTCCACGCTCGGATTTTGATGGCACGGCGATCCCGGTGACGTCAAGCTTTTCGGGACCGCGACATGAGCATGTCACTGTGGAATACTGGGGAAGAGGAGTCGTGGAGGGAGATTTCAGTGCGATTGGTAGGTTCTATGTCTTGATGTGAGCATCTTCCCGAGATGACACCATGCGCTGACTGGGTTGCAGGACCTGGAGGTCTACCACTATTCCCCAACAATACTTACAAGTCCGTTCGCCTGCTGGGTGAAGGCTACAACCTGTATTACTCTGTCTGGTGCAATAACGAGCATGAGTTGTATGATCTTTCGGTTAGTTGGAACGCAATCTGGTATAATTCTTCTTACACGCGATGGCTGACGAGTACGATGAACAGACGGACCCCTACCAACTGCACAATCTTTATCCCACACACATGCACAGGGGGGACGATGAAAGCGAAACTCAAATCCTCGGCCGTAGCCTGTCCCGAGCTATCAGCCGTCTTGATGCGTTGCTCCTGGTGCTCAAGTCGTGCCAAGGGGTAACATGCATTCGACCTTGGAGCGTACTTCAGCCTCAAGACTCTGTTCGAAGCTTCCGTGATGCTCTTGATGAAGACTTTGATTCCTTCTATGGAGAACAGCCTCGTGTATCCTTTGACTGGTGTGATGCAGGATATGTGCTCGAGGCTGAAGGCCCCCAGGTGCCACTGACAAGTCGCTATGGACTATCGTGGGATGTGTGGGTATGAGAGTATAGTTATAGACTGCATGTTAAAAAGCGATTGACTTAGAAAGATCGGTTGAGATTATGATCGATGCACGCATACTGTGATTATCCAAGTGTAAATTCTACAGAGTATGATATTCTCAATGGGATCCTCAGGTACTATTTCGTACCTTTTTACCGTGTCGGGCAACAATGCGAAGCTTCCGCGGGCTGGGGACCTTCAAGTATGCCAGAAAGAAGACATGTGAAGACATGCACACCACACGTCACTCGGCATTTCTGATCGCCCCCATTTTATTTTTCATGATGATTGCTGATTTCACCGCGGTATTCGTGTATTCGTGTATGTATCCTGGTAGTTATTTTGCTGTCGGCAGAAAAACTGGGGCCGTGTCGCTCGTCAAAGCCGCCATGATTGCGCCATTCCTCCCACCCGTGTCGAAACCACGACAAGTCTCGATGCGCCGACGCAAGCCCAGCTCCTTTGATTGACTCAAGTGTTGGGCAATCTGCCAGTGTATCGCTTATAAGACCCGCTATTTTCCCCGAGTGTCGTTCTCGATGTTTTTATTCACCCATTTCCAATCCACGCTCTCTCAATATGTCGCTTAGTGTGAGCCTGTCCGAGAAGCATATTGATGAAAATGTCATCGATTCGCCTCCCAGTGAGGCTGAACATGGGATTGTTAAGGACTGGGACAAGGAAGAGTCGGCTGTGAAGCGGAAGTAAGTGATGCATCTCGATGTTGATCACGATGACCCCGAAATGGGTATAGATAGGTCGAGACTGACATTGCCGGAATAGGATTGACTTTATCCTCCTGCCCACTCTCGCTCTCGCCTTTTTCTGCCTGCAGATGGATCGCGGAAACATCAGCGCCGTCCTGACCTCGACCATCACCGATGACCTGGGTATCACCACCAATCAAGTCAATGTCGGTACACAACTCCTGTCGGCCGGAATTGTCCTGTCCGAGATCCCTTCCAATATCGTCATGCAGCGGATTGGGCCCAGGGTTTGGCTGTCCGGTCAACTTTTCGCTTGGGGTCTGGTCGCGACCTTCCAGGCCTTCGTGCAGTCGTACTCGGCCTACCTTGTCACCCGCATTCTGCTCGGCTTCTGCGAGGGAGGATTCATTCCTGGTAAGAAATCTAATATTCCCCTCATTTAGGGGTCTTGCCTAGCAGAGTACCTTGTGATAGCCCAGGGTTTGACTGCGGATATAGGTGCCCTGTACTACCTGTCGACCTGGTACAAAAAGGAAGAGACTAGTCTACGCACAAGTCTCTTCTTCTATGGTCAGATGTTTGCCTCAGCCACGTCAAGCTTGATCTCTGCCGGTCTGCTGCGGCTCTCTGGATCCCATGGACTTGCCGGATGGCGATGGATCTTTCTCGGTAGGTGACAGCTTTAAGCCTAACACCAGCGGTATACATACTCATGATCGGATATAGTCGAGGGTCTTCTCACATTGTTCATCGGAATCTTCTTCACCCTCCTCGTGCCGCCCAAGGTAGGCGACGGCCGCCCTCTCATCGCTTTCGGTCGCTGGAGCTATTTTTCCGAGCGAGAATCTCACATCATTCGTAGCCGGGTTCTGCTGGACGACCCGCGCAAGGCCAAGGGACATATTCAGATCTCCTTGTCTGATATTGCAAATACCTTCAAGCAGCCGCGCATCATGCAGCATGTGTTTATCACCCTAGTGTCCATGTCTGGCTTCCAGGGACTGACCCAGTACACGCCAAGCATGATCAAGTCGCTGGGATTCGGCGCGATTAAGGCCAATGCTTTGACTTCGGTTCCAGTATATTGCAGTATTATTTGGTTGACGATCCTCTCTTTCGCAGCGTAAGTCCAGCCCTGATTGTGTTTCCGCAGCAACCATTTGCCTGACACCATTTCAGAGATTGGACTGGCCACCGTGGACCCTTTGTTCTCCTTGCCATCACCTGGAATGTGATCTCTTATGTCTGCCTAAAGACCACGGCGTATGACACAGGGAAGTGGCATCGGTATGGAGTCATTGCTGTCGCCAACGTCTCCTATTGCAGCATGCAGTAAGTTGACTCCGACTTGAGGGCTAGGGTGCTCTTGATCGGGGCAATCACTAACTCGAAACAGCATTCTGAACGTGGGATGGCTTTCTGTATACTGCCGCACTCCCCAGGAGCGCAGCGTTGCCATGGCGTGAGTCCCGATTCCATATCTCCTATATTCTACGCATCTCTATACTAACCTGGTGATTCTTAGCCTGGTCGTGATGGCCGCCAACTGTGCTGGAATTTCTGGTTCCCAGATCTTCCGTTCCTCGGATGCGCCCAAGTATGTGCACGGTCTGACGGCGATCTGTGCTTTGGCAGGTGCGTCGTGGGGTCTGACGGCGATTCTGTGCGCACAGTACTATATCCGGCGGCGCAAAGCGAGCGGGCATGATGGAGAAGCCCTGGCTGTCTCAGACTGAGTTGAATGCTTAGTGGCATCACATGATTTACGAAACTTAAATACATTATGTAGTACTTAGCGCATATCCTCATATAACCATATCATTTATACTGCCTCACCAGATGGCTTCTTCTGTCACTTTGTAAGCTATGTGAACAGGGACCTGCATCTCGCTGCTCCAGTAGTCTTGTAGAGAAAGGACCTGCAGGTTGTGTCTTCGGGCGTTCTTCGCAGCTTCGCGTGCCTGCGCATGCCTGCAACCTCGTGCAGTAGCCCAAAGTACAATAAATCTCCTGCAGACGCGGGGAATTCTCGGGTAATTGAGTCTGTCGCACGTGGTGTCATCCAACCGAGCCTAATGCCCCGATCGAATTGACCGATTGGCGTAGCGCCTCGGCCCGATCGAAATCCGGGGAAGAGTCGGTTAAATGCGCGAACTTTGGCTGGTTCGTTTGACATTCATGCGTCGCAGCTGGAATTTACCGACCTGCAGGCGAGCTCGCTTGCGCCTGAGTCTCCTGATGTCTCCTAGTTCTCCGCATTTTCTGGAAAATAAAATGAAGGATTCCCCAGGTTTGCGGGGGTTTACTTGCGACTTTTTCTGGGGTTACCGACTTGCACGCGTCCGCGACAGCGTCCATCACAACATCTTCTACAACTGCAGTGCAGCTCACTGTGAGCACCTAGCTCCAGCCCCAGCTTACGCATAAAAGCATTCACATTGGAAAAAAAAGAATAATGAGCGCAACCGACTTCTATCCTATCGGCAAATGGCCTGCCCATTCGGCGCAAATGGCCGAGGCCCAAGAAGAGCTCGAGCAGCAAGTTTTCGGGGGCGACAGCTACCCTATGGTGCTGCAGTCAGACATGGAGCCATGGCTCGGGCAGCTCGATTGGAGTGGCGAGATGAGCTCCAAGTCTGCAGGTCTGCAGCCATATCCAAAGTCCTGGTACGAGGCGGGCCTCGTCAGTGACCAGAGGAAACAGCTGGAAACCTCCTGGAACTGGTGAGCCTCAGAAGCGTTGGAGCTTTGATTGATAGGGAAGTTTGCTAATGAGTTTAGTTTGGGACATGCAAACCCATCATCGACCTTGTACCACGCAGACGCCGAGCAGCGACTCCTCTCGCAGCTAGCAACCGAACGAGCCCTCTTCATGACCCCCTCGGCCCATTCTACCTACCCCAGCTGGGAATTCCCAGGTTCCCCGGTATCCGACTCCAGTGGCACTCCCGAAATGTCTCACTCGTCCCGGTGGGAGTCGGAACAGGAGGAGAGACACTCCCGATCGCCCAACACAGCCCCGGAACCCCACCGGATACCAAACAATGCTGCCTATGAGTATTTTCCACATTCACGTAGGGTAGATGAAGAGGAGTCATTTGGAGTGTTGGAGATGCCGGATGGAACCACTCGGTGCACAGCCAACTGGTTGCCTGTCGATTCGAGCGCTGGGTTCACCATCGGTTCAGACTCGTTTCGGGGCCTGCATGATCTTGACCACATGGAGGATTCCCACGAACTGCGAGGTGCATTCTTTGCGAACCCCACCAGATGAGGATCTCCTATCCAATGCAGAACCAGAATATGAGCAACATGTTGCCATTTTCAACATTGGAGCTCTCCCCCACCCATCCGACCGGAGACCAGTTTCAATTATTCATGGACTGCTGGCACAGGCGCACGTCGATTCCAGAGGAAGCAGGACTCCGGTCACGACTCATCCTACGAGATACTATCCATATGCCCCGGAAGGGCTCTTTACTGCGAGCCCAATCTCAAGGACATATTACCAGGATGTGGGCAAGTGCTAAGGGCAAACGTCAAGGCTATCGAGTCAGAGTGCAGAATTGATGGGCCAAAGCTAAAGGGTCGTATCGAAAATTCTCCTTAAATACAGCCCCACATTTTATGTAAATACAAAAACTGAACAATAGGCATCCCAAGAAGTACCAAATTCAATGAAGGTGGAACTGCCTGGAGAGCGGATGCCCAGGTAGAAGCGAATTAAAAAGATTTCAAGTCAATGCGTAGCCACAACTGCACATCTATGCGCTGGGAGCGCTGCTTACTACAACCGCAATGCGTATGCACTTAAGCTAAACAGGCTTAGTTACCCTGAGGGAAGCCCATGCCAGCGTGGTGATGGTGGTGACCGTGGCTACCGGGGAAAGAAGGGAAGCCACTCGGCTGAGGGCCACCGCTGGGTAGAGGGAATCCACTGGGGGTAGGGAAGCCGCTGGGAGTTGGGAAGCCGCTGGGGATGGGTCCACCACTCTGCTGGGGAGGAGGAGTAGGCTTGGTGCCGATGGTCTTCCAAGTCCACGAAGGAGGAGGGCCACTAGGGGCAGCACCGGGGCCAGCAGAGGAGAAAATGGGCACACGAGGAGCACCCTGGGGAGGAGCATTGAACTGGCGCTTGGAAGAGCTGGAGCTCAGCTTGCCGACACCGGCGTTGCTCAGGACAGAGGACTTGACGCGGCTGGCATCGACGACCGAGATGCCCGATTCTCCCTTGGGCCAGCTAGAGAGGACAGAAGAGTCAGAGGCAGACAGCTTGCCGGAGGAGACAAGGCTGTTGGCGACACAGGTGCGGCCCAGAGCAGAATCGCAGGAGGACTTGTCGCCGGAGTCGACGGCATAAGTCTGGCCGGGGGAACTGTCGTCCAGGAAGGGAGTGTCGACCTGGTTGAAGACGTTGCCCTCAATCAAAGCGTTGGTACCCTTGCCCACATCGAAGGCGTGACCGGTGTTGTTGTACCAGTAGTTGTTGTATGCGTGCCAGTAGCTGTTGAACTCGAGCTTGGGCGAGCGGCCGGAGGTGTGGTGGATGTAGTTGCCAGCGAAGGTCACCTTGTCGTTCTTGCCGTAGCCAAGACTAGACGGATTAGATCCAGGCTGATATAACAACAGAAGCGGAGATAGACTTACACAGTCCAGTAGTGGTGGCCATCGCAGCTTGCAGACCAGCTGGTCTGGCCATCGAATTCGCTGTTAGAGATGGTAACACGGCCGCCTGGACATTCGTTAGATGACGTCGTCCTTGTCATATGTCTTATCCCGACACAGAAAAGTTATACTTACTAGCCTCGTAGCCAGCGACAAAGAACTGACGACCGATCAGAGAGATCTTGACGTGGTCAATCCAGATCTGGTCGGAGCCATCCAGGGTAATGGCATCACCACCCCAGATGTACTGGGGGTTAAGCTCAGTGATGTGGATGTTCTGGATGATGACGTTGCTGACACCGTTGCGCATACGCAGGCCCTTGCCACGAATGACACCAGCGCTTCCAACGCCAACAATGGACTTGTTCGAGGCAACGTCGATGCCCTCGATGGGGGCCTTGTCGTAGGTGCAGGTGAGGGTCGGGTAGTCACCACACCAGCTGGAGGAGTCCAGGTCAATGGCATTCTGGCCCGAGCTGCCGCAGGTGTTGGAATCCGGCTTGCAGCACTTGCAGTTGGTGCACTTGGAGCCGAGGAAGTTGAACTCCTTGTCGATGAGAATCGTGCGGGGAGTGCTGTCGGTCAGCCAGCTGGTAAGCTCGGCCGTGTCGCTGGGAGCGGCAGGGGCCGCGCTGCCACCACCAGTGGTGCCAGTTGCAAAGCCGAAGGCCTTGCCAGAGACGCCCGCAGCCTGGGCAGTGGCTCCGAGCAGGGCGACGGCCGCGAGGAGCGATCTGTGGAGTGCCATTTTCGACGCGGGATCAAAATGAACGAATACAATCACTGAACCAGCAGTGTATCAAAGAATGGATTTGCAAAGCAGAAAGAAGGAATGAACCACAAGTGAAAGGAAAGGCAGATGGCGCGACGAGGACATGCAAGGCGATGTTGGATCGACTATATACCCGGATGGGATGTTTCGACAGCCCAAACGGGCAATGGAGAGCATCTTGGCTTCGTTTGACCTTGAGTAGATGTGAGGCTCGCAATGAAGATCCATGCTTCTTTGTGCCAACTGACCGAGGACCTCCCGCCGAGGATTATCCTGGGGCATCGTCGAGATTATTGTCCATGAATGATATCGCATCAAGGCCCCTGATCGACCAGCCACTTGCCCGTTCCTCGGGTGACCCCACCGGGCCGTTTCAGCGAGCCCTAGTCGGAGCCAGAGTGGGAATCCTGGCTGCGCCCGAACGCTTGGAGCAATGGTGCGTGGGCTGTTTGAGAGATGGCTCTGGTTGATGGGTTGTCTTCTCTTGTCACTGACGTTTAAGACGACAAATCCTGCGCCACAGGGGAGAGAAGTTGGCGTAGAGGACCTCATAACTGCGACGTCATATTGCTCTCGTGCGGCAACAAGATATTTGAAAGAGTGGACCGAAATATCTTCGGAAGAAGCTCGGTGGAACATGATCCGATGCAGACGAAGTATGAAACATGGCGACGGGTCCCGTTGAGGGAGGCGTCATCCCATCACCGCCTCGACGGCAACCCTCCTACTTAGTGTATGTATGTACTACCTATACTACGACTAGCAGTAATAGTACCCTGGCATGTAAGGTACTACGGGACTCCAAAGGATGTGTTCTCATGAAAAGTGGAGCACTCGAATTATCAACAGCCACCTTGAAGAGCCCCCGGCCTCCCCACTTGCCGAATCAACGCGTTTGAGATGTGCAAGGAGACCTGTCAATCATCCCCTGGTGTCGCGGAGGGCGAGTCTAGATCGATGTCGCCCTGTCACAGAAGAATGTATCGATCGCATGTTACAATAATGAGCCCAAGGAGCAGATTTCACTGCGATTGAATAATCTAGCATCAAAATCCAATGGGCTTGTCTGGTCGACATGCGGATGTCTTGTGAGCACTCGCACTTGGCCCAGACCCATCGCGGCACAAATGTTAACCCTCAGCCGCCCCAGCACAATCTCGGCATGTATATTAACAGCTGAGATCAACCGCCAGATTAGTCCCACTCGGGCCACACGGTGATTTCCCTGAGCTCTTCTCGATGCGCCATGTAATACGCCTGCCCGAGCACGTGGAGCTTGCGACGGTCCGTCTTTTTCGACTTGGTTCGTGGGACGCGGTCGACCAGCAGAAAGAGACTGGGCACATAGTAGGTCGGCAGACTTTGCCGGACTGCTTCACTCAGGGTCTGGGTGAGTGCATAGATGGCATGGCGCCCCGTGATCGGTCGAAACTGCATCTCCTCTACCGGTCCGGTCTCCAAGTTCATCGGATTGCTCGCCAGATACAGATACACCCCCAAGATTGGATCCCCAACACCATCTGCAGCACCCAACACGTCTACCACTGCAGCATCGCCGATGGAAAGATGCTGTCGGAGTACATACTCGACTTGGCCGGCTTCAACTCGCGCTCCATCGAGCTTCAGCATGGTATCTTTCCGTCCGATCAGCTCGATCGTTCCATCATGGCGATATCGGCCGAGATCCCCCGACCGATAGAATCGATGCGATGGTCGATCGGCATGAAGCTGTCTCATCCAGATTGGAGGTGTCGTGAGGAAATTCTCCGATTTTCCAGATACATGATCAAGATAGCCACGAGAGATATGCGGGCCTTCCACGAGCAATTCTCCCACCGCTCCGACAGGCATCAGGAGGTCAGGATGATCCTGATTCACAATCCAGATCGCACCACTAGCGGGCCGCCCAACCACCGAGCCATGGCCCATTTGAAGATTAGGGTTGTGGGCACAGAGGGACGCCACTTCGCCCATACCATACTGGTTGACCACCTTCACGCGGGTCAACCACCGGGCTAATACTGCATCCGACACAGGCTCGCCACCAATGCACATTGTTTCCAATGTAGGAACACGGTCGGGGTCAATCTCAATCGCAACAGAGGGAGTTGCAAACATCATGTTGGCTTCCAAATCGTTCACATCTTTCATTAAAGCGTCCATGGTGAGTGAAGCTGTGGGCACACAGCAGCAACCGCCAGCCAGAAGCGGAGCAAGGAAGTCATTATTACTGATGTCAAAGGCATACGCATCAAATTGGAAAAGTCGAGAATGGGGCCCCATCTCCATGACACGAATATAGTCGATCAAGGCAGACGCATAGCTTCGATGCTCTTGGATGATGCCCTTTGGCTTGCCGGTACTCCCAGAAGTGAACAGCACCACACAGGCATCACTCGGTCTCACAACGGGGCATGGGACTCCGGACAACGAAGGCAGTTCGCCGAGCGACGCCTCGCTGACCTCGAAAACGAGATCAACGAGGTCAGCATACTTCGCCGCATAGCCAGTTGATGTCAGCATAATCTTTATCTGCGTTCGTGCCAGGACGGACGCCAGATACGGAGGCGGGTCACTGGCATCGACGCAGATGTATGCACCCCCAGCCATGAGGATTGCGAGACGTGCCACGATTGCCCAGGTCGACTTGTAGAAAGTGCAAGCGACAAAGGTACCCGGTCGAACACCGTGTCTCACGAGCCAATGTGCCAATCGTGACGACCGATCACTGAGCTCACGATAGGTGAGGTCGCCATCCCATGATCGCACTGCCGGTGCGTCGGGAGTTGTCACTACGTGACGCAGGCAAAGATCATGCAACAGAGCATCCTGGGAGGGTGCAAGTGAGCGCGTAAAGTTCGCAATCTGATCGCGGTCATTTGACCCGCACAGATCCACAGCACCGATGGTCTGCGTGGACACCACGCCTATTGAAGACAGGGCTTGGTTGAAGCTGTGGAGCAGGCTGGTCGCCAGAGGGGCGCTGATTCGAGACATACCCACATCGAGCTGTGCATGTAGGCGGTCGTCTGGTGTGTGTCTGACAAAGAGACGCAGCCCTTCCCGGGAGGCTTCTGGCTCGAGTGGATCGTTCATTGGCATGGGACAACAAACATGGCATCGGCCCATGCAGGGTCTTTGATCTGGGCCCAGTGCATTCGCGGGCTGTCGCTGATAGACGAACGTCGTATTGTAGTGAGTGTCTTGCCCATCCTTGCCATGCACACCGTTGACGCATGACTCATCTACGAGTGCTTCCAACCCATTCACGACCTGACTGAAGAGATCCTGCACGGCGTCTTGCGTGTCGATGTGAATCTGTGTCGTTGGCCCAGCGGTGTCGTTTGCCACGCCGACAAAACAACGTCCTTTGGCGTACTGCTCACCGACATGGATCGTCGTCGAGGCAGTAAATGCACGCATTGTAATTACCCAGGCTAGTTGCAACAGGCGCTGAAGCTGAATGTCAGGATGCTCATTCTTCACCGTTGTGGGGGCGTTGAAGATCTCGACGAGTTGTATGAGCGACTGAGGGCGCTCAGAAAGTAACAGATCCACTGTCGAATCTGACTGTATGTTCTGCTGAACAGTAAGAGGCCCTGAATGGGGTAGTACATTCAGTGGGGTGGTTTCTAAGAGGATGGGCGCCATGTTGACAATGCTCTCGTTGCGATGAATCCCCAGTGCTAGACTAAATGAAACTGTTTACGGGGACAGGCCTCGACCGGGAACCTGCACGTTAAATGCCCGACAGCTTGATAATAGCAATTGTCCGAGAGCGGCATGCCACGGTCATTGCTGATGCGGCACAGCGAGGGTCTGGCTTTGTTGGACAAAGAAGGCCATCAATCGGAATGCCCGCCTACGCGCCCCGGACTCGTTGACGCCCGCCCGGTGGTAATCATTTCTGGGCACTTCGGAAAGATTCAACCTTCGGAAAGCTAATGAGGGCCTGCTGTTTGCCCCAACGGCCGCATTTGCAAGCGGGCGGGCTGATGGGCGCAGGTGTTCATGATCCATGCAGATCTGTGCAGCGGAGGCAAGCGGTGCCGGAGAATTAATCAAATGGTCGCAGCCGGAAAAGTCATCACTGGGTGGGACTATGCAGAAAAGGGAAAATCGGCAACTTGAAATAGAAAGGCTAAAGGTGCCTCGGTCGATCAGGGTTCGTGACGCGACAAGAGATGTGCTGTTCACGTCGGGACGGAAGAAGCGGAGATCCAGACAGTCAGTCAGCAGCGGGGAAAGGTATACAGCAGCAGATCCTAAGTCTTTATAGGATTTTATTTATTTATTTATTTACTTCTTTTATTTTATTTTTTTTTGTATTCGCGATATTCCATTAAGAAAACTATGAGATTTATTCGAGCGGGTATATAGTTAGTAGAGAGTAATTCGATTATTATAAATTGATGGTGGATGGACACCCGCAGTGGTCTACATGTTCTGCATGATGCCTGACCGCACGCCCTCCAAGATGGTCGAGACTTCGTCCCACAGCTTGATGCGGGCCCGTCGGCCTTCGTCGCTGCGCACAAACGGCGACAGGGCCGTGTTCTCAACGTGCCCGTCGGTCATATACGCGCCGTGGCTTTCGAGTCCGCTGGTGATTCCTGCCACCAGAGTACGCGATCCAACCTCGGTGGACCGGGCTAGGACCAGCTTAAACAAATAGAACGACCAGCCACCCTCGCGCGCCAGGGCCGAATGGCAGAGGCCAGGATTGATCATGTTGACGATCACCTCTGACCCGCGTACGCGACCGGCTAACTCCTGGACCAACAGAACTTCGAGAAGTTTGGAGAGCGGATAGCGATCGCGCATCTTCGCTGTTGACTGATCGGAGAGGGTCTGGAGGATGTGGTCGGCCTTCCATTCGGGGAGACCGACCCAGGCATGGACTTCGCTGACCACGAACGAGAGGCGTGGCTGGCTCCCGGGAATTTTCTTGCCGGTGGCCTTCAGGACCGGGAGGACAAACAGCGAGAGCAGCAAAGTGTTGACGACATTCACGGTAATGGTGCGCTCGAAACCCTCGGCCAGCTCGAAGTTGGAGGTCGCGACCGCGGCGTTCATAATGGCCGCATCAAGTCGGGCCAGCTGGGTAATGCGATCGCCAAATGCCAGGACCGACTTGTGGGAGGCCAGATCGACTTCCCACACCTCACAGACGCCGGGCCGACCGGTCGATGTCTCGATCTCCTTCTTGGCTTCTTCGCCGGCAGGCACATTGCGCACTGCCAGAATGACGCGGGCAGCACCCAGACGAACGACATGGCGGGCCGCTTCGAGTCCGAGGCCGACATTGGCCCCAGTGACGAGCACCGTCTGATCGGCGAAGGTCTGCTCGGGGTAGGGCGGGCGGACAAACAATTGGGAGTAGATGAAACCTGGCATCTTGTCGGATTATTCGGGAGACTGGTAAATATCTGCACCGTCTGAAGTCGGAGAGAGAAATGCGAATTTAAGTAGCTCTTTCGATCGCAGGCAGTAAGTGATGACGAAGACATGTGCCGGAGATTGGACGGCGATAAGCGCGCTCTCCACCAAGCAGTGCAGAATCTGCCAAACCCCTAACTCCACGGTGTTGACTAACACCGAGCCGCGAACTCCGCATTTTGACCGAAGGAGCGAAGGGGGACCCTCAGTGGACTGTCGGGATTGAGGGCGAAGTGAGAAGGGGGAAAGAAAAGAGAAGAGGGAAAGAAGAGAAGCCGCCGTCAGCTGCCAAGCCGCACGACTCGGCTACACGAATGAGTGCTAAGAGAGCAAATACTGCAATTGTGCCATAAAGTACAAACTTGACTGGAGGGTTGCAATTGATGCCCTGGTACTTGAGAACACTAGAATATCGGAAACAGTGGATGAATTTTACCTGGAAGGTGACAGACAGTACTCCATTATATAATGTCACGTGGTATCATGTTGCTGTCTCCTTACTAGATAGTATGTTAGTAACGTTGAGGTGGTACATACATCTGCATGAATCACCCATGGTGATCGAACTAAACGCACCGGCGAATTTAGCCCCTTGGAAGCATCACCGCCAGCCATTCAGCTATTTCTTCGTGTCGACTCTCGAAGTTCCATTGCGACCAGCTCCAGCAAATGCGGGCTCCGCAAAGGTTGGCCATGACGTAACGGATCAGGCAGCTGTCAACTGTATTCCAACGACTTCACTTTCACCTCCCTCTCGATCATTTCATTCACACCCTTTGACTCAACACGATGCCTGGACATTTCGGCCAGAAGGTACTCAACGCCCTGGGTGTGGGTCATTCCCACAATCAACCAAATGCATCCGGTGGATATCCAGGGGGATACCCTGGAGGACCACCAGGACCGCCAGGGGGCCAGGCACCGCTTCTAGGCCGCGGCTTGGTGAACAACGATGAGCGTCCGCTGTCCTCTCATCCAAACCGAGGAACATACCCCCGCCTCGCCCGGCTGTCTGATGGGTCGATTTTGTCCTCTTTCACGCGCTTCCCCGATGGTCAACGGGCACTTTGCGTTGCTCGAAGCACCGACAATGGGCAAACCTTTGAGAACCTGTCTGAAGTCACACGCGCCGCGGGGGATGTCGATAACATGTTCCTGTGTGAAGTTAGACATGGCGTCGTCCTCGCAGCCTTCCGCAACCACGATCTTGGGCCCAACGGCCCCACACACTTCCGTATCACAGTCTGCAGGTCCATGGACGGAGGCCGTACGTGGCGATTTGCTTCCCAGGCTGCAGAGAAGAGCCCGCCCCTAGGGATCTGGGAGCCTTTCATGCGATTGGGCCGGCGAGGCGAGGTCCAGCTCACATATTCCCAAGAGTTCGCTCCTAACAACCAATGCACCATGCTCACCACCTCGTATGATCAAGGGAGCACCTGGAGTCGCCCTGTTTGCTTGCACGGAGATCAGGACCCACTTCGCGACGGGATGAATGGCATTGCAAGGACTTTCGATAATGGCCATGAGGCTCTTGTGATGGTCTTCGAGACCACTCGGTATGGTCCGTTTAACGTCGAGGCTCTCATTTCCTATGATGATGGCGCCAGTTGGCACAACCGGCATGAGGTTTTCCGACCCCCGCAGGGACACAATGCGGGCTCCCCGCAAATTGCCTCTTTTGCCGATGGCTCGTTGGTTTGCGTATTCATGACCGATGATGAATCCGACCAAGTGGACTGGGTTAAACATGCTGCCATCAAGGTTTGCTTCGCGGGACCCCCACAAAATGGACAGATTCGATGGGGGCCGCCCGTATTCGTATCGCCGGCATCAAGTTTCTGGCCAGGCGTCATGGCAATCGACCATCACACTGCCCTGGTCACTTATGATCGTGGAGGTCCCTTGGCCAAGTCAGTCACATGGCAGCGTTGGTAGTCTTCCTCCCGGAGGAAACATTTAGAATCGCCACCACCTTCTTACTTTGCTAGCTGCGAGAATCAAAAATAAGACTCCCCTAAGGTACGATTCTATCACAAGGATCAATGACTCGCCGTGTGTGTATCCATGGTTTTTCGCGCGACCGGAATTTCTGCCCGGAATCAAGTACCGGATCAAAGCACCGACGGAATCTCAAATTGTAGCGTAATATAGACACTTAGTGATTAATATTCGCATCATCAGGTATCCTATTCTTGAAAGTTACATCAGGTGAGTGGCCGTAAAATGCCGTGCATTTCGAAGCTGGAAAAGCCGAAGAGTACGAGACGATAGGCCATCTTATCTCTGAGGTCAAAGTTCGAAGTTTTCTTCGAGTCTTCGGAAATTGAATTGACAGAATCTGTATTAGTGCCAAGTTTAGATAGCTCTCCATCCTGATCAACTCTCCAACAAATCTGAAAGATATCAATATTGTGGCACAATTGCTCGACTTCACAGGCAAACTGACTCCTGCTTTTTCTCAAAGACAGCTCCGGCAAGATGAAGAATCAAACTTTTCCTCAGATTGGGAATCACAAAGCCAAATTTTTTTTTTTTTTTTTTTTTTTTTTTTTTGGCAGTATCAAGTCCATGCATCTACCTCGATCCCCTCAAGTAGAGCTCCACAGGTTCAGGGCCTCCCGATCCGCACTGAGAAACCTTACGTCCAGCCTTCTTGCGGTCCGCCGCCAAGACTTGTGCAAACGGTGACTTTTCGCGGATGAGCGGACCCTTCCAATAGAAAATGTAGATAGGGATCGTAAAAATGATCGCCATGAATGCTAAAAAGGTCGAAGGCCATTCCAGGGTATCGTTCGATCCCATGTTTTTGTACACTGGGATAGTGTGGTGTGTTAGATATCAATATCTGCAACATCTCAAGAAAATAGAACATCAAATAACGCTTACTGGGAACAGAATACATCGCAGCCACGCCTGCGAGGAAGTCACGCGCGAAGCCATTTCCTCCGGTGGCTGATGCGGAATATGGGCCGTAAGCGGCTATCATGTAGTCAATGGTGGCCATGTAGATTGCGAACTAGAGTGAAAGGGGTCAGTCATTCGCAGCTACCACAAACAATCCCAAGAGACACCTACGTTAGCAATTGCAATCAAGCAGGAGAATATCATCGGCGCAATCCAATGAGCATGGGGAGGTCCAAGGCTGGTCCAAGCGAATCCAAACAAGCCAATAGATAACAAAGGTGCCACTGTTCCAAGGTGAGCATCAAGATTTACGCCTTGTCGACGGCGTTTGACCCACCATATAGCAACCAGTAGAGGCGTACCTCCGGTTGCAGTCCATCGGGATCGCGCTCGCGTACTCTGCAATGTTGATGAATCCATGGTATGAAGGAAAAGTATGCAATAAAGTATCCAACCAGTATCCTAAATTGCAGGGGTCAGTATCAAGGTGGAATTTGGAATCAGGACAGTCCTTGACTCACGGAATGAAAGAGAGACCAATATCGATGGTGTTGAAGCCCCATTGCTTATATACTAGGGAGTATGACTGAAGAAAGGTGAAGATCAGAGAGTCACTGAAGCCACTCAGCAAGGACAAGCATAGGACAATTGGCTCCCGCAGGAACATAATGAACGGACGGGCCCAGATCATGAGAATGTAACGGAATGACAACCGTTTGCCCTGCAGCTCATCTCCGCTCCAGACCATGTCGCCTGCCGCTCGTCGTCGTTGGGCCTCTCGCGTGACCAGGATACTACAACGGGTTTCTGGGATGAACCAGTGGAGTATCTGAACGAATCCACCCAGAATCAGTTGAAGCCAGAAGTTCCAATGCCAGTCCAGGAAGGTAGCGACAAATCCGCCCACGATGGGGGCAATCACCGAGCCTGCCACCGAAGACAGCACGATGAAGGCGACGGCGTACTGCTGATCTTCTGCTTCCCACATGTCGGCCACCATGCCAAGGGTTACCGACCCACCGGCTGATGAAAGACCTCCGAGAAGACGACAGACAACGATGGTGCCAAAGTTGGGAGCTAAGGCACACGGTAGTTGCCAGATGTTAACCAAAAACAAACTCAACTGCATAATGGGCCAGCGGCCGAACTCCTCGCTAAAGGGGGCCCAGAATTCGCAGCCAAATGCATAAGCGATGAGGAAGCTCATCTGGCCGACACGAGCAGCCTGTTCGGAAATGTTGAAGTGATCGGCATACAGGCTGATGCTGCTGGCGTAAAAGCTGGCGTTCCAGTTCATGGAAGTCTGCACCGCAAAGATGACCGAGATGATGCCCCATTTCTTCAACCAGGGAAACGAGTATCCGAGTTTGTCGTAGCACTCCCATACTTTCAGCTCTCGCTCGTCGCCATATCCGTCAGCGAACCCATTAGCAGCGCCGTTCGTGCCTTCTTTCTCTCGCTGCGGAGTTCCCCCGGGCGAGCGAATATCTCCATCGGCGATGTCGCCGTCGCCCTCGCTCTGCTTCTCCACGTCCTTCTCGATATACCCGTCGGTGGCCGTATCCGAAGACTGGGGGCTATCGGGAGGCATTGCCAAGTGAGATCGGGTCAATAAAAGAAGGCTTCTTGTAGAGACGGATGAATACCCAAGACAAGCGAAACCATCATCCTCACACCGTGTCAGCGTATGTTATCATCGTCGATCGCTGGGGTCGGGAGGGCTCCATTAAGTAGTCTCCATGGCCGAAGTCGGCCAACCACGACGGGCTGCGCTCTCCGGCAGTAGTACTAACTCCTATAGTAGGTAAACATCTTGGACATCACCTCTCTGGTGACTTCTCCGATTGGTCTCGAGGGGTTGGATTCCATGGGATCGTGGACGCCTGCCCACCGAATGTCGCGGGAGTCGTGGGGTGGAGAGGAGATCCGGGGGAATGATCGAACCGCTCGTCACCGGCACCGCCAAACCCTCGACACGCTCTCCGCAGTTTGGAGATTCTCCAGAGACCGCGACTAAGCCCCGGCACATGCATCGATTGGGTCGTGAACGGGTGCAATTGCTCTCAATGGGCTCGGATCTGCTCTCCCGACGAGCTGCGTCGGCGGTTTCAACATCCATTCAAGCCGGCCTTCTCAGCGCAAACACATTAAGGCCTCTTTAGTCACGCATAGGCTGCGAAAAGGAAAGCCAGGGGTGAGTCCGAAGATGATCCCCTCCGAGTTGCCCTTTCTACATACGATGTAGTCTGTTTCGAGTTTGAGAATGCGGAGAAGATAAGTAGGCCGAAGCAAGCCCAAGGTATGTATCTAGACATGCGTGGGAATATGGCATGCTGTCATCAATCGTAAATAGACTCCAATTTCCTCCAGAGTCGGTATCTCAGGGGGCTGAACCCCCAATACATGATTGCACTTCCCCCGCAAAAGTTTTCCGTTCACAGAAGAGGGAATGCCATTCCATCGCCCCGCTGGTCGCTACCGGCACTGTAAACCGGCTTGCCCTCGTCATAGTGCAGCCGGATGATCTGGCCACGGCCAAACATGGCGCGCTTCCAGCCGGTCAATACCTCGACCTTGTGCCCAAGGCCACGCAGACCTTCGACCGTGGCATCGCTGATGCCTTCTTCTACGTAGACGGTACGGTCCTTGCTTTCCTCGGTGGGTGCGGCCAAACAGATCCGGGGAGAGTCCAGGGCCGCCTGGGGATGGTATCCAAAGGCCAGCATGTTCAGGAGCACCTGTACATGGCCCTGGGGTTGCATAAAGCCGCCCATCACTCCGTACACGGAGTGCAGCGAGTCATCCGCCACGTTGGTGATCAAGGCCGGGATGATCGTATGGTAGGGCCGCTTCCGCGGTGCCAGGGCGTTCGGGTGGCCGGGTTCAAGAGAGAAGTTCGCACCGCGGTTCTGAAGGGTAAATCCACAGCCCCGGGGGATGATGGCGGTCCCGAAGCCGGCATAGTTGCTGTTGATGAACGAGATGCCGTTGCCCTCCTGATCGGTCACATTGAAGTACACGGTATCGCAGTGGTTGTGGGCCGGGCTGCCATGGTCCATGAGATCGGCCGCGCGCTCGGGGGAGAACAGCTTGGCCCGCTCAGCCAGATACTCGCGCGCCAGCAGACCCTGGGATGGGACCTTCTCGACGTCGGGATCAGCCACCCACCACGCTGCATCGGCAAATGCAATCCGCAAGCTTTCAATGACGGCGTGCAGATATTCGGGGGAGTTGTGCTGGTCCTCGCGGAACTTAGGAATCTTGCCTGTCTTCTCGAGCTCCTCCATGATGCCGAGGGCCATCAATGCCACAATTCCCTGGCCATTGGGTGGGTGTTCCCATACCCGAACGCCCTGGTTGGGTGATCCGTCAGTGCCCGGAGTCTGCTTGGATACGATATCCTGGCCGGTGAACTCGAGCGAGATGGCATCCACCTCCTGGGTGCCAACCTCCGCGTGGTAGGCGAGATCCTCCAAGGTCATGTACCCACCGAGGTCCTTGACCACCTTCACGATTTCTTCGGCAATCCGACCCTGGTAGAAACCCTTCTTGCCCTCCGTCGCCAGGGCGCGGAAAGTCTTTGCCAAGGTGGGATTCTTCATGATATCTCCGGGGAGCGGGGCACGAACGCCGTCTTTGGCGGAAGCATCGTCCTTGAGCATCTCCCGGAAATTGGGTGATGCCGACCGAATGTCATTTTCGGCCTCATTCCACTTTGCGCCAGTTAGTCTTGTCCATCTGCGAGGAACGAGGGATCCCGGGGGGAGTGTGGGGAGTGTGGGATGACACTTACTCCGTGGGATGACAGCTCCGAGACGGGAAATCCTTGCTCGCCCATTTCGATGGCCGGCTGTAGAATCTGCTCCATGGAAAGCTTCCCACTTCCAAACTTGGCAACCGTGTCGACCCAGCCCGCAGCTGCTCCGGGCGTGGTGGCGGCTAGGGCACTGAGCATGGGGATGCTGCCTGGCGCGCCGGGGGCCAGGTTCAGATCCTTGCGCACCTGTTCCAGGCTGGCCGCACCTGGGTAGCGACCAGACCCGTTCAGAGCGTGCACCTTTTTGGTCTTGGAGTTGTAGAACAAGCAGAACATGTCGCCTCCGATTCCAGTCGAGCAGGGTTCGGCCATGTTGATCGCGGCGGCTGGCGTCGAATACGTCTGATCAGTATCTCGTCTCTTCCTGTTCATGGATTATTGTGGCCTACCGACGGCAACGGCTGCATCCTAGGGATCGTTCATGTTAGCTTCACACCCCTGATCTTGTGGCGCATCCACCCCGTTGGAGACTGCACGCGACACTCCGAATCCGATCTACCTACCGCTGCGTTACCACCCTGGCTTAGGATGCGATGACCGGCGGCAGCGGCCAGCGGTTGCGTGCATGCGACGATACCATTGCTGCTGTGGACGGTACTCCGGCGACTGGCGAAGGGCACATAGGCCGCTTCTGCCTTGGCGTAGACGGCTTTGGAGTTGAGGGGCATGGTGGAAATTCCCTGAAGAACATGTGTGCGCGGGCGGGGGTTGATCACGGGGGGGCAGTGCTTTATAATAACACCGTGACTCAGTGCCCTCACAGGTGCTGGTTGCTGTAGCCTCAGATCCCCTCAGGTCGGCCGAGGTGAAGTCGCGGCCCACCGGCTTATCGAGGCACCTTCCCCAACGGGCAAAAGAGGGGGAGGCGGCACCCCGCGCTTTTCGGAGAAGTTGGGGTCGAACACTTAACAGACGGGAAGCACTCTCCGCGGACGGGAGGAATCGTTGCCTGTGTGAGTTCTTGAAAAGAGGACCAACGATATCATGATGACATACAGTGTCCAAGGCAACTGACAGTGTTGCATATCTAATGTTGGCAGCAGGAATACTTCTGTGAAGCAGGGTGCATCAGTGCAGGCTGAGACGTGGTCGGAGAAGATAGGGTATATTAGGGTAGTGTCATATATATGTATCTCCGAGCCGCATGCGCATCGGATCAAATGAATTGATACACTACAATGTAGTAGCACTTTCAAGGATCAAGGGCGAGAGTGTACTAATACAGTGTAGTTGTCAAATCTACAGTGTATCTGGGCAAGCGAGGTGCTATCTCTTGTCTGTGGTGCAATCATGGCACTTCAAGTGTTGGGGAATGCTGACAAGCTCCTCGGACGACTTGCCGAGTTCTCGGCTGCCGGGCCCGACCGGTGATTCATCCCATATACCTTTGGGTAATGCATGCATGATATAAATACTCGTATAGCATCCGGGCTAGTCAGAGCACCTTTTTGTTTCGGACCCTAATTGAGCTCTCTATTCCTCCGTAAATCGGAATTGGGCTTCGCTACCTCGAACTATTGTTGCTCGCGGCGGGTGCTTGACCACGGCGACTTCTCCGCATCGCCGGAACTCTTCCGAGCAGCCCCCGGACTTCGGCCTCAGCCAACCTGGCCATCCTCCAACCCTCCCCTCGCTCCCTCCCACACCTCCTCAACTGCCCGCCATGGCCTCCATTCGCGCCAATTGCCACAAGATTATGTGCATCGGCCGTAACTATGCGTATGCCCATCCCACCCACCTTTATTTCATTCTCGTTTCGCGCGGACGAGATTGTCGACTCGTCACGGTTTCCGCGACGCTGACCACCACAATTGTCTAGCGACCACATCACCGAGCTGAACAACACCAAGCCCAAGCAACCATTTTTCTTCCTGAAGCCCGCCTCCTCCATCCTCCTGCCCGGCGCCGGCCCAGTTCTCCGCCCCAAGGGTGTGAGCCTGCACTATGAGGTGGAATTGGGTCTGGTCATGGGCAAGACCGTTCGGGATCTGGACCCGGAGGATAAGCAAGGTGCCTTGGATGCCATTCAGAGTCAGTTCCGTATCGAGACACCCGTGGGACCTCGCGGACCCTGCTAATTCCCATCATCCCTCTGACAGGCTACATTCTCGCCATCGACATGACCGCGCGCAACGTCCAGGACGAGGCCAAGAAGAAGGGCCTCCCCTGGTCCATCGCCAAAGGCTTTGATACTTTCCTGCCCATCTCGCAGGAGATCGCTAAGTCGCGCATTCCTAACCCCCACGACGCGTTCCTGCGCCTGAGCGTCGGCAAGACCGAGCGCCAGGCCGACTCGACCAGCCTGATGCTGTACCAGATCCACCACCAGCTGGCTCAGATCTCGCGCGTCATGACCCTGGAGAAGGGCGACATTGTCCTTACCGGCACCCCGAAGGGCGTGGGTGAGGTCAAGGCCGGCGATGTGATGCGCGCATCGATCGAGGTGGACGGCAAGGAGATCGAGGAGGGACGGATCGAGGTGGAGGTGCAAGACCGGGAAGGCCGATACGAATTCAAGGAGACGTAGACTCTGATCCCGGACTGGGGGCATTGGGGGGGGGGGGTGCGCATTGACGGATATAGACGAGACTCTACCTACTACTGCACTCGGGTAGGGGTAGGGTAGACATGAAGGTTCCACAAGGCCGCATGTGAACATGATATCAACACATAACTACCCAAAAACCCAAACATACCAAAATACTACTAGTATTCCACGACCTGTCGCTACATTATTAGGGACGTCGTCCTACGGCACGATCCACATTCTCCCTCTTGTGTCGCATCTCCGCTGTCCTTTCGGCATTTGTGGAGAGCTCCCGCTGCACAGTGGGTAAGCATTTTGCCGCACCGCCCGCCGCAGCAAATCGCAGGCGGAGATCCGCTCCGCTCCCCACAGAAACTCGACGTTGCTGCGTGCGGCCGGGGAACCTCATTGCGCCCACTCGTCTTGACTTCTTCTAACCAGCTCTGCAATTCCGATATCCCTATCGCCGATTCCGCTGTTTCTGCCAGGCCCGTGTCTGGAGTACGATCGATTACCCCTTGATGCTACAGTTGCCGTGCTTGGTGCCCCGATCATGGCACGCGCGTATTCGAGCTAGCTGAACCTCGTTCCTCTCGCCGTTTTGACCTGATATCGCCTGCCTCCTGCTCTCCATGCTCGACTGGAAATCTCACCTTCGCGGTCCCGTGGACGCAAAATCCCCTGCCGCCACTCTTGACCCACTCCGCAACATTGCACCCCCCGCCATGCATGCTTCCGAACCGACCGCCCCTCGTATATTTGACCCCAATGTGTCGCTGGTGCTGGTGGGCATCCGTGGCTGCGGCAAGCGCTCGCTCGGCTTTGTGGCGGCCACGGCCCTGAGGCGCCGGTTCATCACCGAAGACCATTATTTCAAGGAGGCCACCGGCGTCACGCGACACGAATATCTCAAACGGCACGGTAGTCAGGAATTCCAGCGCCGGGATATTGAGGTCCTGAAAATGATGCTCGACAACCATCGGACAGGCTGTGTTATCGAGTGTGGACTGGGAAGTCTCACACGGCCAGTCCAGGACCACCTCCGCCGCTATGCTCAGACGAACCCTGTCGTGCACCTGGTCCGTGACATCGACTGCATTCAACAGCTGCTGGGACTCGATGACCAGTCTGTTCGACTCTTGCGGGAGGGAGATCCACTACACCGGACGTGCTCCAACTTTGAATTCTACAACGTGGAGGATCGGACGCGCATCGTGTCGGACGATGGCAGCCCAGACCCACGTTCGGCAGCCTATTCGTTCAAGCTGCAAGAGGTCAAGGAGGACCTAACTCGCTTCGTCCGTTTCATCACAGGAGTGGATGTCAATCATTCGAGTTACGACTCGCCATTTGTCTTGCTTGAGACACCTCCGGAGCTTCGATCCTTCACCCATGCGATCTTTGTCCGGTCGTCCGATCTCATTGACGATAATGTAAACCTCCCAGAGCTGGAATCGGGAGGTGATGCCATCGAGCTTTGTGTCGACCGTTGGGGGCCCGACATGGCCACCGTGATCAGCAAACAGGTCTCGATCTTACGACGCAACGCGCAAGCTCCCGTCATTCTTTCGATTGATACGTCCTCGACTGGGATCAATACGACCAACACATCGGTATCGCAATACTTCGATATTTTGGAGCATGGCCTGCGCCTCGCCGTGGAGTATCTTGTGGTCGATCTCGAACAGAGCCCCTCTCGGATACCCCAGGTAATCCGCGGTCGAGGAAAGACAAAGATCATCGGCCAGCGGCTCTTCGAGCCATCCTCACCCGTGAGATGGACTGACGAAGAGTGCATCGTCGCCTATCAAGAAGCAGAGACAATTGGCTGTCAACTCGTGCGGTTTCTTCGCGTCGCGACCTCGCGCGATGACAATGCGACTGTTTTCGAATTCACAAATCGCGTGCGGTCCATGCCGGGATCGCATCCGCCTCTCATCGCCTACAATATCGGCCGCCTGGGTCGAACGTCGCAGGTGTTCAATTCTATCTTGACCAGCGTGACACACCCAGCCATCATCCGACCCAAAGAGAATGAGCGCGATGCGCAAATCACGTCACGAGATGCCGTTCAGGCTCTTTTCCAAAGTTACGTACTAGATCCATTGCAGTTCTGCATCATGGGTACCAACGTGGCCTACAGTTTGTCACCAGCTATGCACAATGCTGCTATCCAGCACTGCGGAATGAGTCACAAGTATAGCATCCCCGACTCGCCATCGCTTGCGATTCTCGATCGTCTGCGGAAAAACCCAAATTTTGGCGGATCCAGTGTGGTCCAGCCCTGGCGAGTCGAACTGTACCACAAACTGGCCGCGAAAAGTCGACATGCGGAGGCCATTGGGGCCATCAATACGATCATGCCGTTGCGAGGAGCGTCGGACGGGACCATCTACTCGCTCCAGGAACAGGCTAGTCGACGTAACCAGGCAGGCCCGGTGCTTGGGTGGTATGGCGAGAACACGGACTGGGTGGGCATCATGACCTGCATCACCCGTCATCTCTCTCCGCGCAATGCGATCAGCACAAAGACCACTGGTCTGGTCATCGGAGCCGGCGGCATGGCTCGGTCTGCCATTTACGCGATGCTCCGATTAGGCTGTCGGAAGATCTTCATCTACAATCGCACCCAGTCACGCGCCGAGGAGGTCGCCAGGCATTTTAACTCGTGGGCATCCTTTCAGGTGGACTCGGCCGATGTCGTGCGAGTTTTGAACTCAACGCAGGACGACTGGCCCGACGACGCCAACCCGCCCAGTCTGCTTGCGTCCTGTGTGCCTGCCGACCCGGACCGTGATGAGCCCCCGGCGAACTTTGAGATGCCCTTGCAGTGGCTCGGAAGTCCCACTGGGGGTGTTGTACTAGAGGTGAGCAGAACCGTTTGTTTTACTGGCCTGGATATCCATACTAATCCTGTAATATAGCTCGCTTATAAACCCTTAGATACCCCTCTTCTCAAACAGATGCGACGCATCCGAAGTAACACAGGACGACCATGGGTGTTATCCGACGGCCTGGAAAATGTCATTGAACAAGGCATTGCGCAGTTTGAACTGATGACGGGCCGGAAAGCCCCGCGAAGGTTAATGACTCTCGAGGTGCTGCGCAATTACGAAGGCGACAACGGACGATTTGATGAAAAGACCATTCAGGCGCGGCTGGACGGCGTTTGTTCATAGAATGGCAAGGGACGCGTTCAGCAGACTCCCCGAGTTATACCAAAATTTCCGCACAAGGCTGCGGATTTTCTAGGGGTATTCATGTGGTGTTCACTATGTCGATTATATTATACAGCTCTATATGCAAGAACAAGATCGCCATCCGTCTATGTACCCAGATCAGGACAGTAATGAGGCAAGTGAATTGTGTCTGGCCAAATGGACCTTGAATGCCAGATCGCATGCCGAAAGATAAAATGAATGGTACTGCTGCTCCACGGAGCGTTGGAACTCGTCGGAGTCCAGCTGCTTCGGATCAGGCTGAGGGATATCCTCCGCCAGCGAGACATCGGTCGTATTCGCAGCCAGGAAAGACCCGCTTTCATAGAACTGGTAACTGAGCTTTCGACCGTCAAAATAATAATGCTGGACTACCGCATCGTGAATATTGCACAGAGGAGGATATATGTATTCCACCTCCATGTTGTTTTGAGGCAATGCGTCCCAGAGGGCATCGTCGAACGACTCTTGCTCGGGATTAAGGAGAAGACCACGGGGGAGGGAAATCGTACAGAAGGCGGGGAGAGGAACGGCCTTGTAAGAAGCATCCGCGGATGCAATCAAACGGCCGAGGATGTCCTCGATGTGCTGGACGAGTTGTTTATAGTGGGGTGTTTGGCTCAAAGTCTCTGCCGAGATATCACGGTAGGCAGTGCGTGTGAAGCGGAGGTCGATTGAGATTTCAGGCAAGAGGTAGTCGACAGAACTGCTTCGCAGGATGGACCTCAGGCTTGTGATCTTAACGGCTGGCTCAGTGCCTTCACTCGATTCTGCGTTAGATTCCCGTGGGGCAAATTCCACTTCGAGCTCAGGAACGACACCCAGGAACTGGAACGATGGCTTGAGTCGAAGAAGATATCGTCCCGTGCTTTTCATAACGTCAAGTTGCGGGAGCTTTTCCAGAAAGGGCGTCAATTTGGGTATTTCCCTCGTAAAAGTGCGCGGTAGCGATAGTCGGCCCAGCTGCGATGCGCTGAGAGCATCTGTACCATCTGCATCTGGAAATGGGTTCTTTGGCGAGAAGAGACATCTTCCCACGGCTGCAGTTACCGATTCGTACACAGTAGCTCCGTTGGAAGGTCGCTCCTGCGCAGTAACATCCTTTCGAAGTAGTTTCAAAATCTCGTCGGAAATTCGCGTCTGATGGTCGTCGAAAAAGGGAGCCGGGTGAATACCGGCTGCTGTCTTCTGCGCCGAAGATGTGGCCCATCGGGACCATGATTTTTGCCGATCGAACCACGATGGGAACCGCAAGCTTTGATCGTACATGTTTGCTAGCTTCGAGGCAGGCATATAGGTCGAGAATGGCACAGGAGACTGGCTAGCATCCGAAAGAACGAGGTGGAAGGTTCTGCGGGCATCTTCGGCACCCTGCAAGTTTTCGGCGAGATATAGAATCTTTTCAGGAACAGATGACGGAGATTGTTCGATGGCAATCCCATGCTTCTTGCAGACCCATTCCAAGAAAGGTGGCGTGTATGCCTGACCCGAGCTGGACTCTTGATCCAGACTGATGCCAACGGTCTCCTCTCGGATCCGAGCCACAGCGTCCTGAATGACTTCCCGAGTCCACTCGCACGCCTCCTGTGTACCAGTGACCCTGACCAAGCCCAGAGAGTTGGTGATATCGATGCTGGCGTGATGGAGATCGGCCACCTCGTCGAACGAGAAGTGCGTGGAGTTATGGAGGACAGTGATAATCGCGGGTGAGAGGCGTAGGTCTAGTTGGCCTTGTTCGTTTGTGACTGACAGTTGCCAGCAGTCCCGTAGAATGCGCTCTGCCAGTACGGACTTGCCCGTCAATCCCTGCGATGTAGATATGATGCGACCTGTACCCCTGCTTTCCCCAGCCGGGCTGGCGTGCCAGAAGGAAGACATCCCAGGTCTCCACGCATCTTCTCCCAATTCACGTTCCAGTCCAGTCGCATTGTTGGCGATGTATTCGGTCAATTGATTGTATGTGAACGAGGAAGCCAGTTGCGATCGCAAGCCCTCCCACTCATTTGTTGTCAACCTCAGCCCTTGCTCGGGAGTCCGGCCAAGATCCCGAATGGCCTCTTGGGCGGCAGTAGTACTGAGGGCGGAAGCCTCTTCTTGGTCCAGGTCATTCAGCAATGATTCAATAGTGGTCTGCGGTGTGGAATCGGCGGCCGTAGGTTTGCCATGCGAACTGGGTCTGCGTTGGAAGGATCTGGGGCGACGTTCCGGCGTGAGCAACGTGACATTTCCGCGCTCGCCTAGCGCATCGACCTCAAGCTCAACCAGACGAGACTTGGGGACTCTCTCTCGGCGGCGGCGATGCGATCGCGCATTATGCTGGGGTTTGGCCGAGGGGGAATTGCCGGAGCTGGAACTTTGGAGGCGAGTAAAGGGCAATGGGAGCCTTGGATTCGACAAGATCCAGAGGCTCCGAGCGCACCTGCGACTTGTGGGATGGGAACGCATGTTGGTGAAGACGGGCATGTCGGAAAAGTTGAACGCGCTTCAGATTGGATGTCGCGGCCTGAGGTGTCGATGGCGGCTTTCGTCTCAGCCACGTCCAACGCCACAACAACGATGTACTACTACCAGTAGTAGTATTACAGCATCTACAACGACAACAACCAGGGTACCATTATTTCTACTGACAGGATCTATTAATTACGTATGCATGTACTTGGTCATAATCGAGATGTGGATCCTGTTCATGGTAGGTCCTTTGCATGCAGGGCTTCACGGACGTACCATTGACTCGGGGTGAAGTAGACATTGACCTTCGCAAAGGCAGGTACATATGATGCAATAAGTAGCATCGCGGTGGCGTGGAGACTAAGGTATTGAACATCGATCTTCGAGGAGAGAGCGGAGGACTTACCTGGAGACGCAGCAGGCGAGGCCAAGATATATATACCTGCACGACGATACCAATGCCAATGAGGGTCAAGGTTCCGGTTGTTGAGATAGGCTACGACGAAGCACTGAATATAGAATGAGGGCCTGCTAACAAATCGACCTTAATGGAATTGACAGAACTTGGACTTGACTGTATCGTCTACGTGCGATTTTGGGGTATTTATCCCTGAACGGGCGGCAAGCCCCTGACAGTAGGAAATCCCTCATAATCGATCTCGATCGGGGTTCTTCCATGAAGATCTCCCGAACGTTGAAACGCATACTAAACTCAGTGCCTCCGGTTTCCCTGGGCAGGCATGTCGACAGAGGTTGGGAATGAGGCATCAATTCGGTGCCTTATCCTGGAACCTCAACACCGGTCATGTAGCCCATGTTTCTAATGCGGCACAGCCAGGACCTGTTGCCGTCATTGCAGCGCATCGCAGACTTGAAGTCAGGATGAGAGACATGCCTCTGCATCCTGGCGACGTGCAAGAAGCGGAGATTAGAAGGCTGCAAGAGGGCAATGCCCAGCGGGAAATAGATGCCCATGCCGAAGTATTGCACATCATAGGCGAGCACGGTGGGCATCGTTGCCCGGATGGGGTAGGTGATTTGACCAAGAATCCAGTAGATATGAAGAAGGGCAATCGCAGAAAACCACAGTGGCAGACCGCGGACTCGGATCATGGGGATGTGACGATTCCACCACAGGAATACCGTACCGGCGAGTAACGCAATGTAGAAGATGCTTACTCGGTCCCAATTTGGAGGCGAGTTTGGCATATTGTAGACCGTGAGGCCTTCCATGCTGGGATTGAAAAAATCGAAGGACTGACAATAGTTGGTATGGAAAAGGAACGAACGCGCAGCAGAGAATGACCGCGTTATGGAGGGGCAATTGCCAGGAAAAGTGCATGGCGGACAGGGCGCATCGATCCCAGAGGGCACTGCCTGGTTCAGACGACCAAAAGTTTATGGCCAATAATCGGGTAGGGAGACCCTGATGCTGAGATCCGATCGATCGAGTCGGGCCAGTGATGTTACCGCATCCTTAGGCGGGTGGTTCTGCGGACGGACTTTCCCAGGAACGAACCTGCTCGGAACCGGCCGAACAGGCGAAGACCAACAGATCGCACCTGGGTTGGCCTGGGAACGTGCACTCATTCCTCTTCGACAGACGTCCGGCCGCACGGAGCATACACTTGCACCTGGGACCATCTCGACCAGCGCCCAAGCCTGAAGGATTCCGCGAAGCAGGGCAAAGGCAACATGATTTCAGTTTCTCTTGTCGATTCATGAATGGCATGCATTAGACCACCGACGGGATCCACCTGTGGATCAATAGCTCGAGGGGAAGGCTGACGCTATCACAGGCTCAGGCGATTAGCGTGTCCACCCCATGATCATCCCACGAGTCACACGCCACACATGAGTCGGCGAAGAGGAGAACAGATTAAACTGCAGATCAAGGGCACACGGCCCATCCACTAGGCACGCCGGCCGCATCTGGACAGCTGTCACGCACAGTAGTCGCAACAGAGTCACAGTAGACGCGAAGGCTGTAGGAAATAGGGATTGGCAGGGTGCTTGGGTAACACCGTCACGACTCGGCAGTACCAGATGGGCCCAGATTTGACTGATGATCGACAAATGGAAATGAGGCGATCGCGTTAAAATTTGATCGCATTCCGGTTTTGCGAACCTGCACACATGCAGCGCTGCGACGGACCCATTGCGAATCGAGATCCTGCCAAGCAGAGGTAGCTGGCGATGAGATGAGCGCTGCGAAATCACGAGTGTTCCTGAAAAAACAGACGTCCGATGATCAGGTGTACATCTGCAGCTGGTTGTGCATAGGAACGTCGTCGAGAGAAGGTGGGTAAGGATGGGAGCTCCCGGCGATCTGGCTGATCCCGAGGACCAGGCGCCCGGGAAAAGACCTCCGCACGGATCAGTCAACGCCCGGGCCGTGCGGCGAGTTACTATCGGGTTGGCGACGCTGAAAGTACCTTAGGGTACATTCCCCTAATTAGGTAGCAGTGGGTCCGAATACACGGGGTAATATACTATAATATACTACTGGACTACGACTAGTAGTCATGGCTTAGTCTATGGTCCCGCAGAGGCATCATTTTCGGTTGAGTTCCAATTATTGACCCTCTTTCAAACCGGGACCGCCCTAAACCTCAGGCTGCCAGGCTTCACGGCCACCAGGAAACCTCTAAAAAGGGGGAAAACTAGAAAAGCTATCGTTTCAAAGTTTGTTGGTCGTCAAAAGATCTTCATTTGGGTTGGGTGACAATGTTAAGGTGGGATAGGTTCTTAAGTAGTAGTATGTACAGCGAAGCAAACAATCTCGGTTGCGCCAAACACCGGAGGTAGAACAATCCGTCCGATGGCCTATCCCTGCGCGCCATGGAACGACTGGAGCATCCCCTTCACGGCATGCTCGCCCAGCGCATCCAGAGTCCCCATTCCGAGCATCTCGAGCACACTGATGTCGAACTCGAAGATCGTCTTCCACCATTGTCGCACTTCGATGGCAACGAGGGAGTCCATGCCAAGCTCGGGAAGAGAGCACCATGTCATGAGGTCTTCTTCGGGCTTGAGGAGAAGACTAAACACCTTTTTCCCAATCTCGACAGCCAGGAAGTGGGCGGCGTCCTCCTTGGTCAGGAAGGTTGCGTCGGCCTTGGCGGCGAGAATAAACGCCTTCAGACCGTCGTTCACCGGTGTCCCCGAGCCGGCCCCGGGGTCTTCGTTGTTGTGGAAGACGGCCATTCGGACATCCTTCTTCCAAAGCAGCCGATTCTGAGGATCGCTCAGTGGGATGCTCGTGCGGAGACCCAGGCAAATATTATTGGTGGTCGAACTGGATTGGGAAGACGTTGACTGCATGGCGATGTCCAATGCCTGAAGGAGTTCAGACTCGGAAATTGCCGCAGGTAAAGCACCAGCAGCTTTGAGCTTTTGCTTGATGTCATCGTGTTCGGCAAGGAAGCCAACTTCCTCCACTGCACCAATCTGGATGGCACAGGCGGGGAGCCCCAAACTCAGGCGATACTGAGAAAAGGCGTCCATGAATGTGTTGGCACCAGCATAGTTGGTTTGGCCAGGCTGGCCACATATGCCAGAAATGGAACTGAAGAGAACGAAGAAATCAAGGTCTGCCTGCGCAGAGACGGACGCATGATGAAGATTCCAAGTTCCCCGAACCTTGGGATCAACTGCGGTGTTCCATTCTCCAGTCGTCATACGAGGGAATGTCTGGTTACCCAGCGCCATCGACATCTGCAGGATGCCTTTGAGTCGTCCTTCGGCACGGGTCACAGCCTTGATAACATCTTTCAGACTCGACACACTGCCCTGAACAAAGTCCGCACGGCAGCCCATGCTCGAGAGTTCGTCCGCAAATTCCCGATGCTCGGGTTTGGTCCCTGCGCTTGGAGAAAGGTAAATAAAGTGGCGAGCTCCCCGTTCGACCATCCACGTGGACACCGCGCGGCCCAAGCCCCCAAGACCACCGACTAGCAGGAATGAACTGGAGCTGTCCAGGGCACTAGTCTTCTTCCGCCGTTGAATTGTCTCGCCAACGTGGACTTTACCAGTTGTGTCGCGAAGCGATACGACGATCTTTCCGAGATGCACACCTTGTTGCATGTAACGGAACGCGTCAACAATGACATCGGCTGTGAATATCTTGATAGGACGGATAGGATGGATGTAACGCTCTCTAACAAGATGAACAATCTCCTTCAAGAGTCTAGAAAGTGGTTAGTAACTTCGATTTTTTACCACATAGGACAGTGTGACGTTGGCACTCACCGTTTGGCAATCTTTGATCTTTTACGACAGATCTGATCCAAGTCGACACAGCAATAGCTTCGGTTGGCGAGGAATGGACTCATGTCGAGCTTTCCAGACCCTATCAAATCACGCTTGCTGATCTCGACCATTTTTCCAAATTCTGCAATGCAGGACCAGGTGGCGTGCAACAATTCACCCGAGAGAGAATTGAGCGCGAGGTCGACACCTTCGCCATTGGTTTCTCGCATGACGGAATCCACGAACGAGGTACTGCGAGAATTAAAGATTCGGTTTCTCGCTAACCCAAATGTATCCATCAAAAACTTGACTTTGTCATCGTTACCAACCGTGGTGTATATCTCAGCACCTATCATCTGGGCCAGCTGAATGGCAGCTAGGCCTACTCCACCGCAAGCACTGTGGATGAGAATGGACTAGGTAACGTTAGTCATAGTACCATAGAGGAGACGACGGCGTTGCAAACGAACCTGGCCTCGCCTCAGATTTCCAATGTCGAATATGGAGTATAACGCCGTAGCGAAAACACAAGGCATGGTGGCGGCATCTTCAAAACTCAAGCCGCCAGGTATCTTCTCACAAACATTTTCGGATATGATAGTACTCGAGCCGAAAGAACAAGAGGAGAGAAGCATAACCCTGTCGCCTGGGATGAGGCTTCTCACATGGGGGCCCGTCCGACGGACAATACCAGCAGCTTCAAGGCCGAACCCATTCTCTTGATTCTCCACAATACCCATCGCACCAAGTACATCCTAGAAAGTTTGGACTCAATATCATGAAGCTCAACGTGGGTAATTTAGTTGCGTACCTTGAAATTCAATCCCGTCGCATGGATTTCAACTTCCACATCATTGTCCTTCAGCATCTCCGCTTCCATGAATTCCCAATGCAAGGCTGCCAAATGCCCCGGCTTGTTTGTTCGTAGAGCAATGCTGTCACTGGGATCCGAGGTCAAGAGCTCATCTTGTGCTAAAAAGGAATGGAAACGTCCGACATGGACCGTATTGTCGATGACCACATATTCAAATTCTGGGTTGAGAATATGATCTTTCTCACGAGTCTGGAATTGCTCGAAGACGTCAACAATCTTCCCTGTCGATCGAGCAACGCTGTCAACCTCGCAAGTGGCTATGTCGACCAACATCTCAGAGCGAAGAGATCTAGCTGCACCGTTGATCTGCGCAAATTGTGGATCTTGGCATTGAATCTGCGAGAGGCCAGTCACCCATAGAAGCCCCCTTTCATTCAATCCGTCGACCAGAGATTTGAAAGCATGGAAACGCTCGTCATCCATATCCTCGAAAAATGGACCCTCATCGTCCAGCATGGCAATGACGTCCTGATCTTTTGGCAGCGGAAGCTCATGCAATCCTCGCAGATAAACAACATAACCGCGGTTTTCAAGACCCTGGAGCATGAGTTCCACATTATTTGATCGCGATAATGCAAGAAGAGTGACCCTCTTGATAGGCAATTCTGCCACGGCTGGCCTGGCCACAATGACCGCGCCCAGCTGATACGGCTCCGGCGAGTCGAGGACCGTCGCGTCCGGAGGACGGAATCCGGCAGCTTTCAGCTCTTCATTCCATCTTGCCACGCCAACGTATGGCTCATTGACTCGACCATCATCCAGACCGTACCACCAGCCAGGTAGGGTACCCCAGATATAATTCACCCACTTGGAGGTCGGGGTCAATTCATGAAGAAGAAGGCGACCATTAGTTTCGAGCAGTTTTCGAACGTTAGAAAGGCTCTCGTTCAGGGAGGGAGTAGCATGCAAAACATTTGTTGCGATTATGAGATCATATTTGCGTCCAGTGAAGCCCTGATCAAAGGGGTCTTTGCTGATATCGAGGGTCGAATATTCGATATTTGAGTACGTGGCAAAGCGCTCTCTCGCAGCAGGGAAAAAGCCGGATGAGATATCTGTGAATGTATATTTGGAGTAGAGTGTTCTGTTTCCCGCAGTCAGATGCTTCAGGATATTTTCAGTGGATCCGCCTGTTCCGGCTCCGACCTCGAGAATCCGCAAGTTGGGCTTGGTGTGGGCGAGATGCGCAAAGAACTGGGACTCGTCACATTGATCCATGGAAGCATACAAACTAGTCAATGTGTTGTCCGAAATGAGAAGGTCGAGTGCCTGCACCTCGCCTGTAAAAATCCTGTCGATATTGACAAAAATCTTTTGGATTGCCATAGAAGGACCAGCAGCAGGAGTATGCGATAGCTCGCGGACAATTCGCTTTACACGATGCTCAATTGCCGAGTTGTTGAGCGCCTCAAAACTTTGAAGGTCCGTTGATAGGAGTTGGTTTTCTACCCAGGACTTGAACTTGTGCATATGGTCAAGTGACGTATCCAGGGGCGCGATGGTTCTTTTAGTGTGAACCATGCACAAGTGTGACAGCTCCGCCAACGCACGCATGTGGGCGCTGCGATCAGAAGACGGTTTGATGAGGGTTGGAATGTCGAGAAAATCGATGTGTGGTGCCCACTCAGCACGAGCAAACCCATCTCGAGTACCCAGCGATTCTTGATGGTCGACACCGGACAGTTTGATTCCAGAGCTACGCAAGACAACCTTTCCATCGCTCTGCACACACTCCCCAGAGCCTAGGATGCACCCACCTGGAGAATACGACGCGGAGGCACGAATTTGGATGTCTTCGTGGCAGCGAAAAATGCATATCTCCTGAATACTGGTTGGAATCATCATATTTCCAGTGGTGTTGACATAGCCCTTTGTCGCCGCAACGCTGAGGAGTTGCAATGAGGCGTCCAGAATAGAGGGATGAATGTGATAATCTTTGTCGTCCGTTGGTCTGCTTTCAACTTCGGAGGTTGCGATTTGCTGTGTGGTACCCGATCGGATGTAGTCGAGGCGCTGGAATGACGGTCCATAGTTGAGACCAGCCCTGGCCATAGCATCATAGCATCGGCGAGTGGTCACCTTGCGCACCAGAGGTTGGCTCTCCTCCGCCAATTCCATGGGCTCAGTGTGGGATCGGGCCTCGCCCACACAGTGCTTTGCCCAAAGGTTCCCATTATGGGATGCAATTGTAAATTCCCACCATTCGCTGTCTAGGGTATCGGTTAAACGATGCCGACGTAGCGTTGTCATGATCTCCGTGGGTTGGTTTCCTTTCAAGACAAGAGCTGTACTGATCACGACATTTCGTAGCTTGAATGCCTCCGACACGCCAGTCAGTTGACGAATTGCTTCACCAATCATTTCAGCGTAGCCCGCAAAGGGGAAGACAATGTCATCGCCCACCTTGTGGTCGCGCATCCAAGGGGCATGGTCCAAGTGGAAGACATTACGAAACAACACCTCAAATTCTGTGCTTTCGGCCACCTTTTGGCCCAAAAGATTGTGATACTTGTGCTGAGGGTGTCGCCAAGCATGACTCAGCCTCGACTCATACCAAAACGCCTTTGTATGATCCCAGGGATAGCGGGGGAGATCAGGTAGAGTCGAGCCCTGAGTCACAACCCGGCTGAGGTCAACGGGGTAGTTGAGAGAGTGGAGTTTACCGACTGCTGCCAAAAGCGACTCCACGTCGTTCTGATTGCGAACGAGCACGGAGGCATAGGGTGAGGAGTTGGAGTACTCAGCTTGAGTCTGTCGCAAGGGGCCTTCCAGAGCCGCATGGGGGCCCACTTCCAGGAACATCATGTTGCTCGCCATCTCATGCTGTAGAATCGTCGCGATTGCCGATCGAAATTTCACAGGAGATTCCAGATTCTTCTGCCAGTATTCGGGCCCAAAGTGTGAGTCGCATCTCAACAGGCCGTCTTCGACGCTGCTAAAGAATGGTTTTTGCGGTGTCTTTGGCGATATATTTTCGATCAGGGCACGGTAACAGGAGCCGATCTCACCCATGTGCGGTGAATGATAGGCCTTGTCGACTTTCAATTTCCGCGCCAAAATGTCTGGATGAGCTCTTTGAATACTCGCAACTACAGATTCGACCGCTTCGGTGTCGCCAGAAAGGGTCACACTCCTCGGAGAATTTTCACAGGCGACCACCACCCCTGGCTGCAAGTGTTGCTGCACATTGTCCGATCCCATTCCGATGGCAGCCATCGACCCCAACTTCGTCTGGAGCTTTGTGACCTGCCCTCGGAAGAACGCGACCGTCATGGCCTCCGTTGCCGTGATGGCGCCCGCGGCGTATGCTGCCGCTATTTCTCCACTGGAATGACCCACGACGGCGGAGGCAGTGACGCCAACCGAGGCGAGTGTATCGACTAGGGCGATCTGGATTGCAGTACAAAGAGGCTGCGACAATTCCGCTGAGCCCAGCCTGCTGGTTTTGGCGGGCTTTTGGAGCTCCTCCTCCAAGGACCATGTGAGCGCAGGAGCAATGGATTTCAGATGCGCATCCAACCCTTGGATGCTCTGTCGAAAGATCGGGAAAGACAGATCCAGCATCAGACAGCGGCCCATCTCGGGCCACTGCGCGCCCTGACCCGTAAAGACCATGACGAGACTGGGGGGCTTGCCAGACTTGAGCGGCACCGAGGCATTGACGCCGCCAAACAGATTCACCACGGCATATGCGCGATGGGGCAGGTGCTCTCGTTTGTTGGCGAGGGTGAAGGAGAGGTCGTTGACGCGGCCAGGGTTCTTCAGCACGAAGTCTTTGTAGACGGCAACCGCCTTCTTCACCGACTCCGCGCTGGCGGCCGAGAACACCAGCAGCTGTGGCGACGTCAACGGCTGCTCCTGGATGGCATCGATGCCAAAGCTCTTCGCAGAGTCCATGATGATGTGGGCATTGCTGCCGCCGATGCCAAACGAGTTGACACTGATGCGCTCGCTCCGGCATTGTGGCCAGGGCATCGGTTCCGTGGGGACCGAGAGCTTGCAGGACTCCCACGGGATGTCGGGGTTGGGTTCGGCGAACTTGATGTTTGGCGGAATGATGCCATGCTCCAGAGCGAGTACGGACTTGATGACCGATGTCAGACCGGAGGCACCTTCTGAGTGTCCCAGGTTTGGTTTCACGGAGCCGATCTGGATACCCCCATGCGGACCGAAGACACGACCAACGGCCCTGGTCTCGATCGGGTCCCCAATCGACGTGCCGGTACCATGACATTCCACAAATGCGGTTTGGGAGAAGTCGTGGATCCCAGCGATGCTGTAGGCTCGTCGGATCATGGCTTCTTGAGCAATGTCGTTAGGAACCTGCATACCACCCGTTCCACGTCCATCGCTGTTAGAGGCGGTGCCTCGAATGACAGCCCTGACAGGATTGCCATCACGAATTGCGTCGGCCAAGGGCTTGATGAAAATGGCCGAAATCGCCTCTCCTCGGGCGTAGCCATTGGCATCGGCAGAGAAAGATTTGCACGACCCATCGGGCGAAAGAACACCTTGCTCGGACATTGCGGCGGTCATGCCCGGCCCCATGATCAGATTGGCGCCACCCACAATGGCTCCTTCGCAGTCACCGCGGGAGACTGCGATACAGGCCTCATGGAGTGCGACAAGGGAGGAGGAACAGGCAGTCCGGGTCACCATACTGGGATGACCATGTTAGTAAGTCCTAAAGATCGATGGAGGTACAAGCAACCACTGACCTTGGGCCGGTGAGATCCATCTCATATGAGACACGATTGGCGAGAACAAAGTCTCCATATCCGCTCACGCGGTGCAGACCATACTGCTGGTTCTCTTTGGCAAACATTTCCACCCAGTCCTCTCCAAAGCTGCCCATGTAGCAGCCGATCGGTCGTCCCTTCCACTCCGTCTGGCCGGCATCTTCCATACATTCGCGAGCTACCTCTAACATCTGCCGCTGATGGGGGTCTACCCTCTCGACTTCTGCCTTCCCCATGTGGAAGAATGATGTATCAATGTTGGAAATATCGATACTGTCATCAAGAAAATAGCCATATTCAGTCTTGACTGTGCCGGGGTACCCAGATTTGGAATGGTAGGAAGAAGCATCATATCTCGACTTTGGTACCGGACCGCGTGCATCACGTTTAGCGATGAGGAAGTTCCAGAGGTCTTGGGGAGAGTGTAAGCCTCCGGGAAGGCGAACTGACATGCCACAGATCGCGATAGGGATTTGATTCGTGTCTTTGGAATCCAGCGTCCGGTGTGTCGAAACTAGATGGGTGGAAACGTCGTTGACTGAAAGTCCATTGCCATTTAACATTACAGAAGACCCGTTTGGAAGGGAGCTTCCGGGTACGGCGGATCCCAGTGCATGCCCATTCGAGCCATTAACGTCCGCGGTAGAAATCGGCATTTTCATTTTCAGTCTCTGGCGCTCAGCTGATGGAATTTTGAAATTGAAAGAGGGGAGTGTATCAGATAATGGGGGCAGCAATGGAAACCAAGATGCGTAATTCCCTATATGTGGGATTTCCTAGTCCTTAAATCTACTCCGACTGTATTTTCTACAGTCGAGAATACGCCGGAGGTCCTGAATATGATTTATGACATGATCCATCCCATCCCTAGTTCCCATGGCTCCGGCCCAATGGACGCGATAAAACGGATGCCTGCATATCTACCCCAATCCCTCTTTCGAAGTGTCCACTTTTATGGTCGAAGTGCTGACTGCGAACTAATGCTGAACGCTAGGGAGATGCATAGATGGCGTATAAACCACCCGCTTCGTTGATATTTTGTCGTGGCTTCCCCACTCCATGACCTCTGGGAATGCAATAGTGCCCAAGAGGGAGACCAAAATTATAAGGTCTCGTTTGTTTCTGGTGTGATATCATACGTCGCAGAGATACTGACTCTACCTGGGAACCAATAACCCAAATTCCCGATAGCATCATCAGGAGGAGATGGCCTTAGTCCTGAGGCCGGGAATAGCTGTTCAGAAGAGTGGACGAACACTCGATAGATTCCATTAGCAGGCAAGGGTCCTCGAAGGGTTGGGTAGGGTTAGAGGCTCAGAAGAATGAGCGGAGAAGACCGAACACAGATCCGGGAATCGAACGGCGTTCCGAGGGCGTTAATGTGGGTCCAGTGACATTAATGGACTGACATTTTAAGCCAGTCTACCTAATCGCACAAATCGGTAGAGCATGAGCGCGATGTGGAAGGGTGGGGTTTGTGCTCCAGACGGCAGATCGATCCAACATGAGCATCCACTCTTATGAGATGTGCCCCGTAATATTTCGCAGACGGATACACTTGCATGGCCATGGACAAGACATTGCTTTGATGAGATCTTTGGCGTCGACTGGAATTTTGGAGTCGGGCATGAATCACCCATACAGTCTCTGCCACGTAGGTTGGGGATGACCGATGGTCAAAGACAACAGCCTGTAGCCGGGGCACTTTAAACTTTGGTAGTTTCAGATCCGGTGCTCTTTATACGCCAGATCTAAGCAGCCTTGCTAGGATTGACGGAGCTACGCGGATGACATCCCTCGCAGCGGCAAGCCCCATGGCCTATGAGCTAGTCAACTAGTCAGCGACCTGCCTGATCGACCCGCTTTGTTCCGTCGATACATATGCGCTAGCCCCGATGCTCAAAAAAAAAAAAAAAAAAAAAAAAAAAAAGAAACAAGCAGGTTGAAAGCAATGGGGACTTACGTGGTGGTTCATTGACGCCGCGATTCAGTATCAAGACTAAAGCAAGAAAGTGGCCCCCTCCGATATGGTGCCAACTCAGGGATCCTCCCATCCCTTCCTCCATGAGATGTCATGACGACAGCGGCCGCCAGAACCAGAGTCAAGTTAATGCTTGGCCAATGCTGAAGTGTTCATGATTGACAGCAGCCACCAGGAATAGCCTGAACAGGAAGCCTCTCGATTGTATGGAGTTGACAAATATTCCACTTTGACAGATCGCAGATCAGACAGAACGCGATGGGGCGCGATGGCGATACCCGCAGTACACGCCAGCTTCGGGTATCGCCAGCCTCATGGGATCGGGGCTAGCGCATCGAGATACGGAAAGCGGGTCATGCAAATAGTTCGCTTGCCCGTGTGAGGGGGAGCGAACTAGCCGTGTGATGTGATGAGAAGTTGAGGAGGCTGCAAGGAATGCATGGAAATCCCAATTATTGGGGTCCGTTACCGTACCGTATCGTTACGCTGCAAAACCGATGTACCCTTGTCGTTGGATGCGCTTTTCACATAAACAATATCTTGCCCGGGGGCCACTCGCCATGGCCCCGGCGAAATTTTTCAACCTGCGAAAACATTCCTGGGGATATTCGATCCTTAATCTCATTGACGGTTGTCCGCGCACGCAAGAGTGGTTATTTTTCGAGATTGGCATCACTCATGGCGTCCAAGGATTCCAGTTCCAACCCGAATGCGCCCGCCGAATGGGGCGGGGCGGTGCATGGCGTTCGTCTATATCTGGGGGCAGTCGGGTAAGCATAACGATAACCACCTTACCCTAATCACCTTAAGCTTCTCGATCCCCGATCGTGCACGTTAACCACCATCGCCCCTAGGCTAGGCCTAGCTCTCTTTCTCACGTGCCTGGAGGCGACCATTGTGAGCACATCGCTCGTGACCATTACAGATGATCTCCAAAATTCGAGTCAAAGCAGTTGGATCATTACATCGTATCTGCTCACCTATACTGGTCCGTTTTCGTTCCTCTCGAGATTGGGGTGAAGCGAGGATACTCTGCCGGGGCAAAGCTCATTTTTTTGACTGTAGGATTTCTGATCGTCTGGTCGAATTGCAGTACGATACTTGGGGTCAAGTTTGCCGTTCTCGCGTCGCTGTTTCTTTTCGTGGTGTTTTCGGCCGGCTGCGCCGCGTCGCAAACCCTCAGCCAGCTGTAGGTTCTCCTTCCTGTCATGCGCAGGGCCACTTGACTCAACTTCCATGCCAGTATTATTTTTCGGGCCTTCCAAGGGCTTGGCGGCGCAGGGGTCTATTCCCTGACATTGTTTTCGTTTGTTCGGATAGTTCCGTATAAGCACTTTGACAAGGTGAGCTCCCTCGCCGGCGGGATTTCATCGCTCGGTCTTGTTTTGGGACCATTACTTGGAGGCGCGATTGCCAACAGCGGGAGCTGGCGCTGGGTTTTTCTCTACAAGTATGTTCGCGACCACCTGCTCCGTATCGAATCTAACAATTGTGATGCAGTGTTCCGGCTGGGGCCATCTCATGGGTTCTCATATTCTGTACAATTCCATCCCATTTCCCCAACCCGCCATCGGGGGAGCTGTCACCGACAAGGAAAAGGCAGAACTGGCAGACGACCAAATCCTTTTTTGGCCGCGTCGATATCCCCGGCACCCTTTTGACGTTATCTGCCTCCTCCTTTATCATCGCGGCTCTCCAGGAAGGAAATTCGGAGTATGCCTGGAGCTCGGGACTCGTGATAAGCTTCTTCGTTATTGCGGGGCTATCATGGTTCGGATTTATCTGGTGGGAATGGTTTATTTCCACTCGTGGCCCAGCAACTACACCGATGTTTCCATGGTGGCTGACCCAAAACCGGATTTTCATGGGCGTCATTCTGTGAGTAGACCTAGTGAATGTGCTCCCTTGCCCCTTGGCAGTTTCTAATGAATCGGTGATAGGGGGTTTTTTACAACTGGACTGCCGTTGTTTGTTTGCATTATAAATGTCCCTCAGCGGTTTCAAATTGTCAATGGAAGCACTCCAATCGGGGCCGGGGTGAAGCTGCTCTCCTTCTCAGTGAGCTGCCCCCTCGGCATCATAGCCTGCTCTATCCTGGCTGGAAGACTGGCGATTCCGTTCACCTATATCACATTAGCTGGTATTGCCTGTGAGATCACGGGCTTGTTTCTGTACTCAGAGATTAGTCCGGCCACACACCTCTGGCTTGGTCAGTTTGGATATCTGGTGTTGGCTGGTCTGGGTGTCGGACTGAGTGTAGCTGCCTTCTACATGGCAGCTCCCCTTGTGGTAGACCAAAAGGACCAAGCCGCCGCCGTTGGGATCGGCATTCAATTTAGAACACTGGGAGGCGTGTTAGGGGTCGCCGCATCCACCTCGATCCTCAACCATTACCTAAAAAGCCGACTGGCATCAATCCTGGGCCCTTCGGAGCTTGCAGCTTTGTTAAAAACGACCCAGTTTATCCGAGCTCTATCGCCAGACGTTCAGGTCCGTGTCCAAGAGGTCTACGCGTTGGCCTATGGCGCGCAGATGAAACTCGCAGGTGCCTTTTCCGTGGCCCAGTTACTGGCGGTCGCGATGATGTGGAAGACTGAGAATGTGCGGTTTTCAAAGCCCAAGCAATCCCATTGACGTGTCTGTGTCCTGCGTCATCTGCATACTTGTATCTAGGCATCGGATTTCTCTATGCATCTGATATCTTCTGTGGTATGGCTTTGATAGGGTATCCAAATGTCATAGGAAATTGTTGAACAACATGATTCAAAACGGCTGGTGTAGCGAACAGCAACACGGAAAGTTGTATATTTAAGATAATATACAAATCAATTACACTTGTTCGATGATTTCAATTACCATATTATTTACCCTAAGCTGGCTGATGTGCTAAAGTAGTGGATCGGAATGAAATAACTTTGGTCAAGGTGTTTCCTCTCACAGCATTCCACCAATAGCAGATTGGAGGATAGAAAATATCTGCTCGCCCAGAACTGCTGCAGTTCCTATACTAAGTGACGATAGTACCACATCTTCTGTAGCACATCCATCCTCTACCTGATCTCCATTCAACCGGGTATTTAGCCATTGAAGGGCACTTGCAGAGCCTGTTATGGCTTCTGTCTCATGGTTTCCAACCAAGTCTCGATGATATTCAATCCGTGCACCGTCGGAGCAATACCTTTTCACGAGTAGATTTGTGTCGGCCACAACGCTGATTTCATCACTCGTTGCTTTATAGGCAAATAAGGGAGCTCTTGGGATGCCATGAACTCCCATTTGGCCGGACCATTGGAAGATCGACCGAGGGACAGCTTGGAAGAACGATGCTTCTCCGTCCTTGAAGTAACTAAAAATATCCTGGCTCGCTCCATCGCCGCTGGACTGAGAGAGGCACCCTCCAGCAAGGGTGTAGAAATCTTCTGATTTCGATGGTAGAAGATTTGAGCTCAACCAATGGGTCATGTTGGGGTACGCTTTTGCCTGCCCGTAGATCCCGGAGAATGCCAGCCCCGCGTTTGATCCCTTGTTTATCGTTCGAAGTACGGAGCTAACATTTGGTGTCAGTCCCCCCAAGGCTACTCCCGCAAAGTTGAGTTCTGGTGCATAGGCTGGTTGAAGTTCTGCTGCCCAGGAGCTGGCCAGCGCACCGCCCGAGTATCCCCAGAGAGCATAGAGCGGGCTCTCTGATAAGCCAATATTGGGTCCCTCGTGTAGTATCGCGCGCACCGAATCCAGGACAGCATGGCCGGACTGGAACCCGACTGAAAACTGCGCATCGAGACCCTCATAATCCGTTGTGAAAACCCACCAGCCTAGATTCAGAGCAGCCGCCATCTATGTCGGGTTAGAATCCTTGGGGGAATAAAACCAAATCGTAATGGGTAGTCTCACAAATGGTATGTCCAAAGACACATTCAGACCAGACACGGTCGCTCCCAAGTCCTGTTTCTTGGCACGCAGGGTATATGAAGGACTGCAGTCAATGGAGGAACTGTCGTAAAATGCTTGATATCCTAATAACTTTGATGGATCGGAGTTGAAAGGCTCGATCAAGGTAGTGACAGAAGCAACGGCATTCCCGAGGCTATCTGTCGTTCTGAAGAGATATTGTGTGACAGTCTTAACAGATATGTCGACCGGAAGTGACAAAAGTGGTTCAAGTTGTGGCGCTACTTCTCGAGAACGGACCACCTCCCCAGCTGAGTAAGAGCTAATGTTTTCAGGCTGATGATACCAGGAGTCCTGAGAAGGAGGCGGTATGGAAAGTGCATAGACGGATGGAAAGGCAAAACAAGGAAGAAGGATTAAAAGCCATGACCGTATGCCGCGCATTATTTTGAGCATCTGAGGCACTGATGGGGAAGAAGTACTAGTAGCATCCACACCTTTGGAACAACCGTGTAGCTTCGAGGGCATTGTCCTTACATTTTTATGTCCGAGATCCCACCACTACATTTTCACCTACATCGGACCCAAACCTGTGACAACAGGCGAAGCCCCGCAGGATTTGCTGTACAATGACCATGATTTGCATATATATGCATGCTTTTGTAAGCGAACATGCAGATCTTTTGCTGCATGAGGAGACCATCGATCACTCGCTGCTCGCGAATCATAGCGTTAGAAGTCCTTGCTAAGTACGGCTGCAAATTCCATCCAAGTCCGCTGTTTATAAAGACATGGATTTTTCAAATTGTTCTGTTGACGATTGATCACGCTTAGATTCTTCCCCATTTATCTTGTAGTGCTCGCCTGAACTTGCGGACCCTCCGGATGTTTCCAGGTTGTCAGTGTTCTGATGCATAAGTATCACGCATAGGATCGGCGGGTGAGGTCACACAGACAAGGTGGGGAGCAACGTGGGTTAACAGAACCCGAACCGAGAAGGGTAATCAGCAGCGAAGATCTTGATCTTGAATCCACTAGCCAATGTCTTTCCCAGAGTTGACCGAAGAAGATCCTTGGCGGTCAGTACATAGTAAAATGCAGTGTGCGAACGAGGAAGGTGTCTACAGCACAATTAACGGGTCGAGAAATAGATGATGTCCCAAGAAACGGATCTTATGAATTTAAACAGTGACTAACGTCTAGATTTCGAACTGAATTCATACTTTGCGCGAAAATAGTAGAGAAAACTAGAAAGCATAATCAAATCAAATAACACACGACAGGATTCATAAACATAACTATTGCCGGATAGGGGCTAGTTATACAGTAATTCAGACTCTCTTTTTAAATTCCATTGGTTGAAGCATATATCCACTACACCCTGTGTTGCGACTAGTGTGCTCGAGATGTTCAATCACGTGACCATTCCTTATGAAGTGTCGCAAACAACGAAGAAGTGGATATATCCCACAACCAATGGGGTGGTAGAGGTCTGAATTGCTGTGAAGCCCCTGTTCTGGCAATTTATGGGGGCAAGCGGACTGACTACAAAACAAGGCAATACGGCATCAATCTAAACCCAATTAGGTCCTCCAGCACCTGGATTCCAACATGAAGCAGCATTTCACAAGATTGAATGATACCCTAAGGTACACTTGCATCTATCATCCATAGGGTACCAGTATCTAGTTCGTATACACATACTCTTACACAAAGGTACCCTAGCGCAGCTCGTATTCTCATTGCGCATGTTGGCTTTTTCAAAGTTTATTGGTACATTGGCCCTGGATTGCGCCTGCACAGATCGCTGGCCATTCTCCACCTCGGCTCCGCGCCGATAGAAGTACCACGCATCGCCCCCGGACGTCTGGGTTTGAGCTCGCCACGCATAGCCTCGTCTACCTGGAAACAGAAACTCTGAAATTATTGTGAGAATGGACATTGCTAGTCAACAGATGAGACGGACCCGATCTGGGTGTTGGACATGTCGAAATCGGTATACCTCTTGATACTGGGACCCGCAGCACAGATCGAATCTCGACTAATGCACCACGGGCCTAGCAAAAAGAAGTGTGACGGAGAAAGCTTCCCGTGCAGAAACTGCGTGCGCCTGGGATTGGTTTGCGATCGTGGAACCAAATTAGTCTGGGAGGACGATGCAAGGAGGAAAGGAATGCAGAGGAGAGGCCCTCGTAAAACAATATCAGCCGCCCCAGGATCTGGATCAGAATGCATCGATACGCCTTCCAGAACTCAATCGATGGCGTTGGGTGTCACTTCCGATCAGGGACCCAGCAGAAGCGCCCCGACAGACCTAGGAACGGTCATCGTCGCGCCCTTCCAGGCGGCGGCCAAGGCCGCGCTCACGACGCACGAATTGTTTCTTTTGGACCATTACATCCAACGATTCTCACGCATCTATCCGACATGCAGCGGCCCGATGAATCCTTTTCTCTCGATCCTGCTTCCTCTCGCTGTCGAAAACCAGACCGTGATGAACGCGGTGCTGGCGCTGAGTGGCGCCCAGCTGGGGGCCCATCGCGACCAGGAGATTATCAAGGCAACGCTGTGTGCACGCCATCGGGCACTGGAAGGCTGTCGGAACATCCTGATCTACTCCGAATCTCTCATGGATTCCAATCAATCAAGGCCTACGGGACGCTCGATGGCAGGCACGGGCAACCACGGCAATATCCTCTACACCCTTGCATCATGCATCTGCCTTCTCCTATATGAAAAGCTGATGGGTGACGGAAAGGCCAACTGGATGCCGCACCTCTCTTTTTTGGCCGGACTGTTTGATCGATTGGAAACACCGCACAACCAAGAGGTTTTTCAATCGATCCTGCGTGGCCATCAGCAGCGGCTCGCCTTTGGCTTTATCCACAACTTGTTCTTATATAATGATCTCGTGCAGTCTACTGCGCAAGGTACTTCCACGCTATCTAATTTCTACCTTCGGCCCCAGGGAATGTCTTCGGTCAGACAACCCGGGTCTGGCAAGAGTCTGTTCAACGGGATTCTGGACACTTCCCTTGTCCCGGGAGATTTGTCCTCGCGAGATCGCTTCTACTACCCATACCTCATCGCCCAGATCAGTGCTGGAACTGAGACGGTCTCAGATGCGAGCATTGGTCTTTGGGACAGCCGGCTGGATTGGCTTCCAAGCTTCTCCGTCTTGACCGTGCCGCGTTCCCCTGGATCAGAAATTACAAGATCCGTCGACACTGACCAATCCTCCCAAGTTAATGAGCCAGATCACATATTCCTCATGTCTGCCATCTATAGTTACACCGCAAAGCTCTACCTGAGGCAAACTCGATGCCGGCGACAAGGGCAGAATGCAATGTCTCAGTGTGGATTGGAGATCGCAGATCTAGCCTGCCATGCTACTTTCCTCATTTCGCAGGTACCCGATGGCTCCAGCTTTGAAAATGCACTTCTCTGGCCAATTGGTATCATCGGACCAGGACTATCGGCTGCTAGTAGTCCTTCCCGACAGTACCTGCTCACCCGTCTACGATCCTTGGAACAGAGGTTTCAAATGAAACATTTTGAACGATTACAGGAAGTTCTGGTTGCCGGATGGAATCGTTTGGACCGCATGGACTCGGAGGAACTGGTAGAAAATGATGTGTTTCTGTTTGGGTAGAATTGACGAGTGTGATAGATTAGCGGAATCAAATGACAACTGTGACCTGCCCGTCCGTTCTACTGGCCCAATGGCTGCATCTCTTGCAGTGTCTCTTCGATGTACTTGATCTGACCCTCCGCCCAGGCTTCCAGATCCTTAACATTGACCGTCTCCACTCGACACAAGCCTTTCTTGCCGTCCGAGTCTGACTCCTTGATGTGCTTCTCGTACTTTTCTCGCAAGCTCTGGGCCGCAATATGGGCCCTCTGCGCCAGTACATCCAAACGGTACGTGGACCACTGGTAATAGAGCTCGGTCAAGTGGGACTTATTGCGGACATTCGCGTTTGTAGTTTCATCGAGCAGCGTAGGATTCTTGGGCCGGAAGGAGGTCACAATGGTGACACGCTCCGGCATATTCGCAGCTGGTGCTGCAGTGTGGGTGATATATCGACCTTGGAGGATGACGGCACAGCCCTTCATACAGTGTTAGCCGCCAGGACTTTATTTTTGGTGAAGTGATCAACAAACCATCTGAGGAGCCTTGACCTTCAGCGTGGAGCCATCGGCCCTTTTCAGCTCCGTCTCGCCTCCCACCATGTGACGGGCATCGGACAACATTACCACGCACACAAATGGATGGGAATCCCGGTGCCATTCGATAATGGGCTTACTTTGATCGGTCACCGCTCGGAGCTTGGACTTTTCCTTCTCGAATTTGGCAATCGCTTCCTCCGTCGCCATGGGGGGCTCAATGGGAGACTTGCGTACCACATCCAAGCCGCCCGGTCCCAGTTGCACGTTGGTGTGACTGATCTCATAGTCCATCGCCGGCACCAGCTCGACTCCCGCATTGTCACTAATGATCTTCAAGACTTCGGGGGAATGCCAGAACTCGTGAATGAACGATGCATAACGAGGCGCCATGCCCCTGATCTGGACTGACCCTGGCCTCGTGTGGTGCATGCAGTTGTCGAGCACATCGTCGCTAAATATCTCACGGCGATGCTGCAGGACCGCCTCGTGGGAGAGCAACGGGAAAGGCACTGTTGAGGCCACGGACGACAGCTCCGTCGCATTCTGGCCCAAATCCTTCATTTGGAGAATCTCCGCTGGTGGTGAGTAGTCGATATGCCTCTTGGCACTGAACATGGTTGGCTGATCACGGCCATATTCGACATGCGGGTCCAGAGCCACGGATGGAGCCATGGTTGCTGTTGTTGGTACGATAAAGATGGTTCTTCTGAATGAAGTTTGGCTCTCAGGAGAGAAATGCAAGTCTGGAGGAATAAACAGTAAGCAGAAATTACTGTTTCGCCGTGGAAGTGATGGGTTTATGTACTGATTGTGTGAGCCATTTATACAATGACTTGGTGGTTCAACGACGAATCAACAACGGTTCGGCCCAGTTGCCAGGCTGGACAATATGAACCGCCGACAAAGACAATAGTCCGGCTGAAGCCCGACCAAGTCCCCATTACCCCAACCAGCTGTTCCGTGCTGGGACTTCCTCACGTCTTCGCTCCCAGTGCACTATTCGTATACTCTGCTCGTGTTGGGTAGATTCTACGGTACCCTGCGCCGATCCTCACCGCATTCGGGGCATTGGAGCCGCCCGCCCGCCGCGGGGATTGCACTACCTCATCCATCACATTCGACCCGCGCCGACCGTCGACCTACTCTTGCTGGACCGCTCGGGGCTGGATCACTCAGTATTGATCTGATTACTGCGACTGCGAGGGTCTGGGTTTACCCGGATCCTTTGATGCTGGCAATCCCCAAATCGCTTGGTCCTCCGACTCCCTAGGGTATGGTAAGGTCAATCCACGTTCCTGTCCTGGGCACCAAAATTTCCCTGATTCACCACGGCCAAAATTCGAATTGGGAGGTTCTGGCAGAGCAGAAGTCAGAGAATACAAACCATGTACATTGAAGCGTTCGTATCTGCGAGGCGCAACTTCGGATCTGGCTCCAACTCGTCACCTGGCCAGGCTGCATTGAACTGGGGCTTATCTCGACGTGCGGAATATGCCTACCGAAAACCCAACAATAGCCTGCGATGAACATATCACCCGAATGGTCACGACGCACCGTATATCAAGCCACGTGAGTGGATCCTGGTCGTACTTTTCACGGCCGCGGTGGTGCTTCGTTTCTTCAGTTCTTCAATGTGGCTCGTCGGCTCTTACAGCGCCTGCACTTTCTGAAACGGGGCAGATCGAGCCACCCCTCGATGCCTAGATTTCAACTTTCCTAGAGTAGATGCCGCGTACGATGTCAAGGCCGCAGTCATGAATGAGGCCTGGATCGATCTGGGCATGGGGAAATACAAATGGCTGGTCTTTCTGACTACTGGCCCAGGATGGTTCGTTGATAATATGCGTGCAAACATCACCTTGTCCATCATCTGCCACGTGAAGATACCATATGGACGCTAAATCCCCCCTTCCCATAGTTTTGGATGCAACCCATAACGATCATCAGCCCACCCGTTCAGAGGGAATTTGCAGTCAACCAGATTGCTTTCTGACAGTGTCCATGTACGCAGGTCTTGTGATTGGAGCCAGTGTGTGGCCCATGACTGCTGACTTTACTGGTCGGCGCCTCACGCTTAACGTCACTCTTCTGATTTCGGCGATCGGGGGAATGGTTGGGACTGGGGCCCCCAACTTCTTTTCGATCTCACTGTTTTGTGCAGTCGTTGCGCTCGGGACCGATGGAAACCAGCCCGTGGTGAGTGCCATCCCCCCTCGAACTTACGCCGCAACCCACCAATATCTGCTGACGATGCAGTCGGGCTTCTGGTCCCTGGGCCAAGCCGTCGCGGGCTTGATCGCATGGTAAGCCCCGCCCTAAATACAAAGGTGTACTACGCATGAACTAACGGCTTGCCAAGCCTTTGATTGTAAACTCTACCTGCTCATCGGAGGACTGTACCTTTCAAAATAACCTTGACTGGCCGTATACTTACTGGACGTTTGGGACTTGGCCGGTGACTCTTCCGAATTCACGAGTCTCCGATATATCTTCTAGACACGGAGAATGACCGTCATGTAACCGATGTGATTCAAAATATTGCGGAGAGGAATGGCACGACCACGTGGCTCACTACGGATCAATCGATTCCATCTCAGCGAGTTTGCAAAAGTCTGACTCCGACGAGCCGGGGGGCACACCCGCACCAACAATAATGTCCTGCGCAGAGCAATCCTAAACGGGCCCCTCATCGCCTCATGGCTCTTTTCTCCACGTCTCAGATGGCGCTGTCCACCGGACTAATGCTCTTCCTATGGTGCTCAATTGGAATAGCATACCCTCTGTACAACCACTTCATTCCCATTTACTTGGAGGCAGAAGGTGTCAGCTCGGGTGGGTTTATACATACCGCAACTACGCGATTTAGGTCGTTTGTGGGATCCCTGCCTCCGTGATTGGCGGATTTACCGTTGAGATGAAATGCATCGGACGCAAAGGCACTGGAGCGACTACCTGTCTATGTACCGGAGTTTTCCTGTTTCTATTCATGAGAGCCGAGACACCGACCAGCGTGCTCGGGTTCTCCTGTATAATTAATTGCCTTTTTCCAAATCTCGTCTTAAGGATTGCTCTATTCGTACACCCCTGAACTTTTCCCGGCGCCTATTCGCGGTACCGACAATGGTCTGGTAGGCTTAGTGAACCGATTCTCTGGCTTAATGGGCCTTATAATGCCGCTTATGTGGGCGTGCAGACAAGCATGCCGATCTGGATCTCCGCAGCATTTGTTAATTATGGCCGGATTGGTGTTCCTGGCACTGCCCTACGAGATGAGAGGTCGTGCATGTTACGGGCCGTTCGAAAGAAACAAATTCATTCGGTGCCTACAGACGAGAATCTAGAAGATGAAGAAGGAAGGAGAAAGAAAGAAAGTCCGCCAGAAAAAGAGGGCTGAAGTACCCAACAAACGCGCACCAGCAAACGCGTAGTGCAAACGACCCAAAAAAATTATGCCTCAGGCACCACTAGATGAGGCTATCCCCAGGTTCATCCAGGAGAGAAGCCCAACTCCGATTCATTGTGACAGTAAGATGAACGATATCAGTGCCTCGGGACGCAGCTATGGTGCAGTTTCTATGACAAATTTCGAAGCAGGCCTTCGTAGCTACGAAGGTCAGGATTTCGAAAGAGTGAAGTCTATCTTGAGAACATAATACTTTGCTATTGATCGGTATTACGCAAAAAGCGGTATTTCACAAGAGCTCCTTGTCGGAAGAAAGGCAACGGGTTATCCAGGTGACGATTTCTTTACAATTAGTCTTGTACATTTCAAACTTTCTCTCTTTCATGATACTCATTTTGGTACTCTGGTGCTGATCATAATGGCACACCCGACTCAATCGACCCATCTTGGGAATGGCGATGGCATGAATTATATTTCAGGTATATCGTGGCTGATTCCACACCAACACATGTGACGCGACTGCGACATCTGTGTAGCACAAGGACGTCTGACAGGAAAAATCTACCTACGACATCATTCTTCAACCTGGCTGCTGGGATGGATGACATCCGATCTAACCTGCAAGCATCATTCGACGCGCTCTCTGACCGCTCTCTATCATGCAAGGGGGTCTAGGATGATAGCGAGGATGGACGTATGCAATTGCGTTTAGTACTGCATAGACAGACAAATGGTCCTATTCGATGGATTCAGGGCTATGTCGATAACCAATGAGACCTGTCTCATTTTGCTATTTTGAAGATGTCGGCTCGTCAATGGGCTACGGAGTCTGAAGGCATGTTGCTGTGTCCAAACCCACGATTCCAATTCAGTCTACAGGTGAAAATTATCAGAAGAAGATCTAACTGAATGTGCAGGACTATTGAACAGGCAGGCCTCCGCCAGGATTTCGTCATGAAACATGATTGCCCTATGTATCAGTGTTGATGCATGCGCTATAGATGGCACCGAGTACAATTTTGGTGTTCGCAGCAAGCATTTACGCGCTCTCATGCTATTCATTGATATTTCAGTCAGATCTTCTATTCTTCTACTTGCACAGCCCCGGTAGCTATTGCAGTCCTCGACTTCCGCTTGCCCGGCACTATCATGCCTACCTCGGGCATCCCACGCTCGGAGAAGGGCCGAGTGGAGCCGTGTAGAGTCGCAGCGGCGGAGGGGCGCGTTGCACGCCAGCCGATCGCTACCACGGGCTCGCCCCTGCCAGCCGGGCGTCGGACGCGCCGAAGCCCCTCGCTAGGCTTGGCTGGGACTAGGAGGGTCTTTGGCCTCCACCATGACCCCGCCAGATGCTCGCCGTGTACTCTACAGAGGGTAAGCTAGTGTAGTATGTACTGTCAACAGGCGGTGACCCCCGGCTCCCCCGCACATGTCTGTCCGCGTGGGGGTGGAGGCCGACTGACTCTACTCTGACGACTCTCGTACATCTACGTCGCGCGTACACCTTCCCAGGGTCCAATTCTCCTTTGATCACCTTGTCTTCCTGTCAATCGTCGCTACCATGGCCGGTGTCACACAACCTCCCTACCCCCTTCACGAGTCCGTTCGGGACCTGCTGGATCCTGAGTATGTCGACTTCTACAACCAGCATGTTATCGACAAGCAACAGGTCCATCTCCAGCCCGTGGCCGCATCGCGCACTGGCGGAGTCCTCATTCCGGGTGCCGGTCCCATGCTCGAGGTCGGCCAGACACGGGATCTGTCCTTGACGCGCCGCGCGACGGAGGGACCCGCGATCCCGATCCGCTGTTTCACTCCGAAAGGAGAGACCCCGGCGGGCGGGTGGCCGGTGATGTTGTACTTCCACGGGGGTGGCTGGGTGCTGGGCAACATTGACACGGAGAACGTTGTCTGCTCCAATCTCTGTGTGCGCGGCAATTGCGTCGTCGTGACCGTCGACTATCGGTGAGTCTTCCCAGCGATTGCCCTCATGCTCCCGCCTGATGCTAACAGAGGGGTTCGACAGTCTGGCACCTGAAAACCGGTGGCCGGCCGCCGTGCACGACTGCTGGGAGGCTCTGCTCTGGCTGATCCAGGACGGACCCGCCGCTCTGTCCATCAACAAGTCGAAGATTGCTACCGGTGGCTCCTCGGCCGGTGGCAATCTCGCGGCCATCATGACTCACAAAGCGCTCACTCTGTCGCCCCCGGTGCATTTCCTGGCCCAATTGCTGTCGGTGCCGGTGACTGATAACACAGCCACCGTGGACAACAACGAGTCTTATCGCCGCTATGAGCGCACCCCCGCCCTGCCGGCCCCGAAGATGATCTGGTACCGAGACCACTACCTGCCCAACCATGCCGATCGTACAAACCCCGAAGCCAGCCCGCTCTTCTATGGTGATGACTGGTCGCAGCTCCCGCCCGCCCTGGTCATGGTGGGTGAGTTGGATGTGTTGCGCACCGAAGGCGAGCAGTATGCCGAGAAACTTCAGAAAGCTGGCGTCGAGGTCAATTTACAGGTGATGAAGGGCATGCCGCATCCTTTCCTGGCCATGGATGGCGCACTTTCCGAGGGCAAGCGCTGCATTACACTGATGTGTGATGCCCTGCAAAAGGCTTTCCGGAGCTGATTGATAAACCAATACCTAATAGAGATAATCGCATAGACATTTAGAATTCACATCACATAAGTATACTATCTTGGCAATTGTGGTGATTTCCCTCATTCCGGCTCTTCTAGTAGCCAACGTCAAAGATGCCCGTCGTGCGCATCGTCTAGGAACTCGTTGCCGATCACTCCGAGATGAACCTAGTAATGAATCATCAGAATAGCTCGTATGTTCCAAAAAGCAAAAGAAAAAGAGACCGACAGACAGGGCCAGGACTCACAATTCGATTTCCCAGTTTGGCCACTGGATTAGACTCCAGCCCGACAACGACTGTACTGTAGTTGTCTGGCCCTGTGAAACTCTGCAACAGTGTTCCAAAAACCGAGTGAATCTCTGCGACGACTTCACCTTTGCCAACAATATCGCCTACTCTCTTGCAAACTGCAAAAATGAATATCTTTAGCGGAAATCGATGAATGAATGCAACTTTCATCAATGCCATACCTTGGAGTATACCCGCAGTCTGTGAGAATATCCAGTACTAAAGCCAATCAGTAAGTATGCAGCAGATCTGAGCAATTGTATGGGACCGGTCTCACACTTCGACAGCAGATGATCGGGGCCTGATGTTGCTTGGTATCATTTTGCTGAAGACGAGGATAGCCAAGCTGAGTTGTAAGGACGGAGCAGATGCCATCAATTGTTCTTTCAATCAGGTCTTGCTGAAAAGTGCTAGGATTCCCAATCTAGTAATCAAAGTCAGGTCATGTTATATGTGAAGATATGTGACTGGCCAAATACCTCGATTGTCACAGCTTTGATGCCTTTTCTTTGGGCGCATCCGCGAAGGGACCCTCCAGGGCTGGAATTATGCACAATAATCTGAAGGCCCAAAGTGCCCGCTATGCGGTTTATCTCAGGGTTCTTCATATCTGCACGAACGTACAATGAGTTCTGCCTGCCTGCAGATGCTGTGTGGAGGTCGAAGAGGTAGTCCATCCGCACCACCACCTCTTGGAAGATGCGGTTTGCATATTGCTGCGAAGCTGTCCCAAGGGGATTCCTGAAAGGGCGGCATTGTTAGCAGATAATAATCATGAGTGTTACCAGCTTTGGGACATACCCAGGCATCAGTCTATTCAGGTCCTGGCCGTCAAATGAGCGCACAGAATCCAAAAAACCCGGCACGTTCAACACAGGAACGCCGATAATTGTGCCTGCAAATGACGTTGATTGATCTTTATCATGCTGTTGTTCCAACCGCGCAAAGAATTGCTGAATAACAGGGATGCAATTCACTTCATTTCCGTGGACGGCGCCCGTAATGCCCACTGTGGGCCCAGGAAGACGCCCACGGTACGCGAAGATGGGTAAGTTGACAGGCCCCAATGCCGTGTCGCAGATATTCAGCCATCGTTTCTCCAGCTTTCTGGGTTCAAATCGTGTCACATCAAGGAGGCTGATGATGGGAACATCAGCCGAATCTTCTGAGAGCAAACGGGAATTGCCCTTCATCGCGGAGTAACTCATCGGGATGAGGATCTAGAGTTGGTCAGGGCCAGTAGGGGTGTTCTGCCAAAACGAAGATGATTGCTGGAGAATGCCAATAATCAAGCAAGAATGGTAACCAGGCTTGCTTGCCTTTTCTTGTTGGGGGGGGGGAACATAGAGTACTACTAGTAGTACTAGCAGTTGGCAGGAAAAGAAGTGGTGGTACGTAGAATGAAGTACCGCGTCGCCGATCTGCACGGTTTAAGCGAAATGCGCGATCGCAGGTGTCGCCCAAAATGGACGAGTGGGCGATCAACTTTCCCCAGACTGATCCGAAGTGCTTTCACTTATGGCCAGTCACCAGCGTCATTCAATCTCCCATGGGGAAACTATACAAAGGGCGATGGTGTGGTGGCCCGGCTCCTCGATTTCAATTTTCCCCTTCACTCTTGCTGCCTCTACAACTCCCCCACGGTAACAGATCACCTAACTTAACTTTCCCTTCGCTTTTCCTTCATCGTGCATTCCGATCCAGCAGGAGCTCAGACAAAATGGAAGTCGATAAGGACCTTCAGACTGGTTCCTCTGCTGCTGTCCGACCTGAGCCTGTGTCGCTTCCCGAATCCATGCCGCAGGCAGCAAGAGGCGCACAAACGACGTCGCACAGATCTCGCATCCTCCGCAAATTGGATATGCACATTTTGCCCTTGGTAAGTAGTGCGGCCCATCGTGTGTTAAATACAGGAGATCGTGTCTAACACGGAACAGATGTTCATCACCTATGGCCTGCAGTTTCTCGACAAGGCGTTGCTTGGGTATGCGGCGGTGTTTACTTTTCGCATTGATACGGTAAGCAGCTGCTTCCGTATAGCTCCATAATTCGGCTCTCAAGTTGAACATTGTAGCATCTCCTTGGACAGGAGTACAGTTGGGTCGGCTCAATCTTTTATTTTGGGTACATGATTTTTGAGTATCCCCTGGCCGGCCTGCTTCATTCATTCGCCATCTCCATGTACCTCGGCTTCTTAATATTTACTTGGGGGGTTACTGTGGTGATGTCCAACTTTTGTGTCAGTTTCGCTGGGCTTATGATCAGCCGGTTTGTTCTAGGGACACTGGAAGGTGCTGTAGCACCCTGCTTTTTGGTCATCATAGGTGGGTCTGTCTTTGAAATGAACTTTTTCCACGCTGACTGCTCTACTTTAGCCCATTGGTATACACTCGAAGAGCAACCCCTTCGACAAGTCCTTTGGTTTCTCGGTACTCCCGTGTTCGGCATATTTGGCGGATTGGTGAGCTATGCACTTGGCCATACCCATACTGCGGTGGCCTCCTGGCGACTGCTATATATTATCTTTGGATCGGTCACGGCTATTTGGGGAGTTTTTTTTGCCTGTGCATTTCCGTCATCACCCGGCCAGGCAAGATTCCTGACCGAACATGAGCGGACAGATGCAACACTACGGGTATTGAGCTTTCCCCCGAATACCTGCACATAATTACTGATAGCTTCCAGGATCACTCGAGGAATAGCTCATTCCGTTCAAAATGGAAGTGGCATCAGGTGAGAGAGGCGGCGCTGGATGTGAAGACGTACATATTCTTCATTATCGGAATATTCAATACAATTCCGGCAGGTTCATTGTCAAACGTACGTTATCTAAATAATCAACTCTGCCTACGTGCTCACAGACTCGGCCTGTAAGTTCAGCAGTCTTCTCATCAGAGGCTTCGGTTTCTCTCCCGTGCAGACGCAGCTCATTGGGATCCCTTCCCACGTCATACAGATTTTGTCGCTTCTAGTCGGGTGCGTTTGATTCCTTCCGCTTCCCTTCATCGCTGAAAATTACTGACCGTCTTTGATGCAGTGGCTTGGTTGCAACGAAGATACCAAACGCCCGTCTCCTCGTCATGTCCCTATGTGTCATTCCCTCCATCATCGGCACCGTCCTTGTCTACGTTCTTCCCAGCCACAGCAGGTGGGGTCGGGTGGGAGCAATCTGGATTGTCTATACTAATGCGGCTAGCCTAGCGGTCTCATTTTCCGTGGTTGGGGGCAATGTCGCTGGATTCACGAAGAAAACCACTGTCACATTTCTACTCTTCTTGGGGTGAGTATCACATTGCATCACCAAACACAGCAAGGGCAAATTTTAACCAGACTTGTCAAGTTACTGTACTGGCAATATTATAGCTCCCCACTGCTTTCGAGGAAGTGAAGAAAAGCGGGGGTATCCTACCGCAATTACGGCCATGATAGCATCGTTTTCTGTGCTTTTGCTTGCTCCCCTAATTCTTCGGTGAGGATCTTAAATGCGCTTTTTCCCTATTAGGTGCCGGCTGATAATTCCTAGTTACCTTTATTTAACGGAGAATAAGCGGAGAGATTCCAATACCACGGTGACCCCTCATCCTTCCAATGGCGAGATTGAGTTGGATTTAACAGATATCGAAGATCAAGGCTTTAGATATGCTGTCTGATTGCACAACTCACGGTGGGAAATACGGAGAATAACATGAAAGCACAGAAATTGTTCGCGTAAACCTCCTGGCTCTGGAAATTAGTTCGTACAGTAGACTACCCCGTCAGCATAACGTGATTGGGCCCGTAGAGTCTCTGTCTCCACATTGGAGTATGGGGGAGCCGAATGTGATAAATAGTACTTATCCTCGCCCGGTGTGCCTAGAATATCCATTCATGGTTCCTAGCACAGCGCGTGGGTGTTCGAAATGACATGTATAACCTGCACCAGACGTCGGAAGGAATGCGATGACAGGCGACCCCGCTGTTCAACGTGCAAGATATCCCATCTTCGATGCGTTTACGATGCTCCTTCTCGTGTTCTACAATTTCGGCATGAATATCCCGCCGGCAGGGAAGGCCGTCAGACTAAGACCAACCCTGGTTGTCTCCCTCATCACCCTGAATCGTCTCAACACAACACTACGCCCTCTACAATGTACGTTGTGCAGCGACTCGATAACCTCTCGAGCTATATTCATTATCAAGCACCAGGAGTTCCCCCGATGGAGTAAGCAGGGCCAATGCAATGGTACCCTACAATTTCGGATCCCTAGATGACGATTTATTTGCCGACCTCCTCTACTCGTGGGATAACGAGATTCCTGAACTTCCGAGACTCAGTGGTCCGACCTCTCTAACTTTCCCTTTTAAACCCGCAATATCCGAGGGGCAGCCGCCAGTTTCATCTACGAAGGGATCACCGTGCAGCCTGGGCGCATCAGATGGTAGGATGGGAGTACCAGTCCTCTCAATGGCATTACCACAAAATTCGCCTGAAGAGATAGAGCTCCATATTCCGACCAAAAGGCTTCGCAGGGACGAACTGCCCACGCATCTCCTTGCACAGCACTACTCTCGGGCCCTGACGGGCAGGTTTTCTTTCAAGCAGCCAGAATGGACATTCTACACGTACTTTTTTCATCGCTTCGCTGGTACCCATTTTGCGGTACGCTCCGCTATTTTGGCGTGGACCGCGGCAAATCTCTTCTTTGCACAGCAGGCAAGCTCGTTGGACGATACATTTGCACACTATCATGACAGCCTGACTTCAATCGTGGGCAAGTACGATGTAGCATTTGAAAGCTGGCAAGCCCAGGAGCACAACATGGATGTTTTGCATCATTTGTCTGACGATGATATGGACGCTCTCTTCGTTGCTTCCTTTTTTCTTGCGCTCACCGACCTTGCTCTAGCTCGATCCTCACCTCTTCGGAAATTCATTCGATTCATCGCCGCAATTCTCAATGACTCAGAACTGAAACAGAACTTGACCGGGGTTCAAGCGAGAATTACATCATGGGTAAGAGGGATTTGACGCGTTTTCCAGTGCGCCTGGTTTATGAGGTTAGACTCCCACTGATTGACCGAAGTTCTGCATTCTGGATGGAAAGGCATCGGCATTTCAGCCCGGAGAGGGCTTCCTTCTTCGGGCCATTGGAGGTGTCGAAGAGATAATACAGGTGATTCGCTTGTCCTCAACAACACTGCAGATGGCCTATAGTATAACATACCCCGACGAGGAGCGCCAGTCAGATGAAGAGCAACTCCCGCTTCTAGAGCTCATGCTTCGGCTCTCGTACTTTTTATATGGTATCACGGAATTGAACAGCAATGTGCCTGACGTCGAAGCCATTCGCGATCTTCGAGAGGAGTTAACATCTTATCGTCACACTATCGATTTGCAAGCCGCTTCCTGCCAACACGAAGGTAGGAGTCAGTGCACCTTCTTGGTACTCAGGACTCTCTATCATAGCATTGAGATATCTTTCTCGCGCTGTTTATTGCCTCATGACCCACGACACGCTGCGAATTCACACGCCGTTGAAATTATTCGGATTGCACAAAGACTTAGAGCGCTGCGACCAAGTCATGCGAGGACGTCGCCCCCGCCGACCAAATTCTGGCCATTGCCGCTCGTGATGGCCGCAACTGAGGTGGAGGATCTCATCTATCGCGAATGGGTCCTGCAAGTCCTCGGAGGCTACGCGAAGGTCGGCGGGGATCACTACCGATGGTCTATGAAATTCGTGGAAGCTGTGTGCGACAAAGAGGACCGGGCGTCCCAGCGGCTCGATTGGTCGAAGATCTTACAAGAAGTTAGGGATGGTCTGGTCATCTAAGTTCCTCGAAAGCCACCCTACAGCTGTACAGAAGATTTGGGATTTAATGGAGGCGATAAGCATGGACGAACAGTGACGGTTCGAGTCTGGCCTAGAGAAGCTAGTGTCTAGTCCAGCCCTCTGAAAACTTCTTCAAAACGCAGCTCGTTCCATCGGACATTCGGCTTCAAGCCGGCGAACTTCCAGACCCCATCGACCTTGCGATAGTAGTGTTCATTGGTGGCATGCGAGTGGCCCCGTAGCTTCACTTCCTCCAACCCAGCATCGGTGTACACCTGATGGGCGGCACGCAGCTGATGGTGACCAATGACCTCCGTGTCGGAGACCTTTTCCCACCAGGTTTGGCCCAGCAGGTGCTGTGTCTTGATCGTGGGGTCTCCAAGGAAGCCTGGGTGTGTCACCATCGCCATGTAATCCTCAGCAGACATGTCGTCCCATCGCTTGAGACCAATCTTGGTATAATCCACAGTCAGGGTTGGGGCGATGATACTGCGGAGACGGTCCCAATCCTGGCAGTAAGGCAGAGTTAGGCACGAGCCCTGTCCATTCAGGAGTCAAATTCTGAGACAATCAGAAACATACCTTGGCATCATAGCTATCAGCCCAGTCAAACACTAGTTTCGACAGGACTAGGTAGTCTGCCGTTCCAGAATGTTAGTATTTACTGGTCCCATTTCAGGCCCTGGGGAATGGAGGCAGTAGGAGGTGCTTACCTTGGAAGCTGATGTCCAAGTTGGGCGCTGGATTTTTGACAGCCGGAGTCATCGTGCAGGGCCAATTTGACACTGGATCTGAGAAAGAAAGGAAAAGAGGCACTGTTGGGTCGGGGTTGTGCAAAGGGTATATCCACACTCGTGCCGGAAGGCTTGACGTTCAGCTGGAACCGCGTCCAGGATTGCCCGCCCGAATGCGGTCGGGGTCACAGCATTTTCATAGTGATTCGTGCTTTTCAAGCAGGGCTCAGTCCGCCAATGCTTGGCAGAATACGACCGAGTCCTTGCGGTGTGACATGCATATCTCTCGTGCAAGATGGTCGTCGTACAGCTGTCCGCATGCGGTAATGAACCTGTCCGCTAGGTCGGGCAATGCTCGCAAACGGCCCTCGGCGTCTTTGATGATTTTGAACTGATTATCTCCATTCGGTCGCAGGACCCCCAATGCGGTCGGGGGGTTCATGGTTGCTGGGAGCAGGGCTCGATGCGACTTGAGCATACCATCTCATTTCAGTCGGCCCTTCGCCCTCCCCAGTGGCCACGACGAGAAGCATATACAAACTACAAACCCACATCATTGTGCCGACTCTCGATTGTCCTCAATCCCATCCGATCTCCGATCTCACAACTTTCACCTACCCCCCCCCCCAAAGTTGTCCCATCTGTTCCCATCCCCATCATGGTCGTCAACAATCCCAACGCCTCTCAGCAGGAGCTGTCCGGCAAGGTCGCCCTCGTCACGGGCGGCAGTCGAGGCATCGGATCGGGCATTGTGCTCGAGCTGGCAAAGAAAGGAGCCTCCGTGGCCATCAATTATGCTAGCAACCCCACCGCCGCGGACAAGATGGTCAATGACGTCCAGGCCCTGGGCGTCCACGCCGCTGCCTTCCAGGCCAACTTGACTCAGGTGGACGCGATTGAGAACCTCTTCCGCGAGGTCGTGACACATTTCGGCCAGCTGGACATTGTAGTGTCTAACTCGGGCACGGAAAAGTTCGTCTCGCTCGCTGACACCACGCTGGACGACTTCAACGCCGTCTTCGATCTCAACACGCGGGCCCAGTTCTTCGTGGCCAAGTACGCGTATGACTACATCCAGCCTGGAGGTCGCGTCGTCCTGATGTCGTCCATTGCCGCCGGCGTGGGAGTGCCCGGCCACTCGCTCTACGCGGGCAGTAAGAGTGCTATCGAGGGCTTCACGCGCTGCTTCGCGGCGGATTTCGGCAAGAAGCGATGCACGGTGAATGCGATCGCCCCAGCCGGGATCAAGAGCGACATGTGGCTGAGCAACTCGTGGCGTTATGCACCTGGCTGCAACCAGGAGTCGTCGATCGAGGAGATCGAGGCGGCATTGGCCAACGGAAGCCCCCTGAAACGGTGCGGCGTGCCTGCCGACATTGGACGCATCGTGGCATTCCTGTCCAGCCCGGCGGGAGAATGGATCAACGGTATGTGTGGCATGCGAACAGCTCCCAGCCCCACCACTTGTGACCATGCTGACAAGAATAGGTCAAATCCTGCCGTGTAACGGAGGCGCCAACATTTAAAGACCGGAGGCGCGGAGATCAAGATGAGGACAATCGTGGGCACTAGCCATGAGGTCCAGGAGTAGGTGGGTTGTTATCGACCGAGTTGAATGGAATGCACCGCGCGAAAGCCCCCAATGGATATTTGATCATGTGACCATGGATAGCAACATTGCTTGAACTTCGTACAATATGATTTAAGTTCGCATCCCATGAGCACTCGAGATAGCGCTATGTATACAGGATATTAATTTCTGCGGTGGGATGCTTCCTACCACAGTTACATAGTATAATTAATTTACCAGGATTGATGTCCTGGTCTTTCGCGGACGAGTGTTGTGGGACGCTTGTCGCATGCGACGTGAGGATAAATATCGAGTATTGCTATGTATGTGGTAGTAAGATGGGATAGGATGACAATGTCTGACCCTATTTTGATTATCGCATTCCATGTACGCTGCGAAACATCAAATGTGGCCGTGCATGGCTTCTAAAAAAGAACTTCGAATTTTGTCGCTGACATCAGGCATTACAGGAGAGAGCACGGGATGACGGGTCGGTTACACGGAAGACCCGCTGACGCTGGTCCCGATCAAAACTTGACGAGGCGTTTCATCAGGGCCGACGGGCTTGTTTCGATCTGAACGATGATGGCGACGGAGATGATGAGGGTGACCAAGATAATCTATGATGGGTGATTTAGCGCGCACTTCTGGGCAGGGGATGGCGGGTTCTGTGCCGCGACGGGCGACTCACCAGAAACAACAGTATCCCGACGGAATTGAGCTCCCAGCCGCCCGCATGGACCTTGCCGCGTGAGATGGCGCTCTGTTGTCGCCAAAACCGGTAGGCGCCGATCACCGCCACGACGATGGCGACGCAATGGCAGGTGACGGAGAGCGGGATGCCGACCTGGTAGAATCGCAGGCGGTCCTCTTTGACACCGGTCCGTTGGAGGCGAAACAGCTGGGCGACCAGAACCCCTTGCATGGCGATGACCACGGAGGTGCGGATGTAGGCGAGGAATGTTCGTTCTAGCGCTAGAACGCCGTTAGCGGGTCCGCATGCATTCCGCCGGACCTGGGCCGCGGAGGAACCTTCTTTTTTTTCGCCGGGACGCCTGGGACAGCTCTCGAGCGACAGGCACGGGGAGGCAACGATACGGGTCATGTCCAAGACGGGCCAGGTGGGCGGCGGGAGGAATTGCGGTGCGACACTCACCGAAATGGTCGCGGTTGCTCTTCTGGGGGACGGTCAGGGTGACATGATGTGTCCAAAAGCGACAGACGCGGCCCCAGGGCCCTTTACGGTCGGTGGCGGGGATGCTGGCGCGGGATCGGGTGCGCCGAGTTGTGACGCGGATTTCCTCGCCCGATGAGGCCGAGGGGGAGGAGTAGTTGAGCTCGTCGTCCTCGCGGGTTTGAATCTCGTGCAGCTCAAGGGCCTCCCGCTCGTCGGCGTGCGGGTCGGGCAGATGGGACTCATGGACGCGGGCACTGGAGGGTCGGCTGGGCGCGGGAGGGGCAGCAGAATCGGTCATGCTGGTGTCGAACGAGCATCGCGAGGGCCGCAAGGGTGGTGGTTGACGAGGTCGACGGCGGTTTTGCGGGGTTGCAAGCAGGTTTTGGTCAAGTCGGGGTTGTCCCCGGATCGGCTAGAGCCGCAGCCATCATCTCCACCCGCGGGTGCGTGGAGGCGCGAGATGGGACAAGGAGAGTCAGACGAGAGATGTCGAGATGAAATTACCGTGAGCATCGAGCAGGAGGATGAAAGAATGCTGTCGGTCTGATGTCGCGCCGTGTTGATGCCACTTGCGGATGGCATCATCGCTGGGCATAATGTTGCCAGCGGCTGCCAATCGCATGCGGCCCTCACGGCGATCCACTGTGGAGCTGACGGGGACTCACTGTGTGCCTGAGGAACACAAGTAGACTGTAAGTTAGTTAACTACAACAATATATTGTGATGTTATTAGTAGTGCAGAATACACAGCGTCGGTCTATTGATGCAAAGAAACAGTAACAATTATATATCACTCAACGCTCCAAGATGCGTGGTCTAGCAAGTCTAGCAGTATATCTAGTGGTATCAAAATTCGGCCCGCGGGGGTGACCTGGCCTCCTGAGAGGTGCTGCACGACAGCACCCGGAGAAGCCCTCTCTATACATGCATCCGCCCCCTGGGTCCGCCGACGGGACTCTATTTCGGCGTCGCGGCCTTCCAGAAAATCCATGCCAATGCCGCGACAAACTTGAGGCCGGCCGCCATCCACAGCGCCGACTCCATGCCGCCGCTGCTGCGCGACAGCCACCCGCCGACAATCGCACCCACCAGCAGCGACACGACGCCGCCAATGCGCCGATTGCGCTTTGCGTTGGCCGTTGGCTTGTCCGTGATTTTCGGGTCCGACGCAATGTCAAAGTAGACGCTGGTCAACACCACCGTCGGGATCTCGTTGTAGCCAAGCGATCGACTGCAGGTCATGGCCCCCGCCGACTGGAAGGCCAGCAGGCCGATCGGGATCAGCTCCAGGAACAAGGGACCGCCATCCAGGCTCATATCGGCCGAGCTGTGTGGGATCAGGTCGGCCTCGATGAGCGCGACCGCGATGATGATCAGGATGGTCTGGATCAGGAAGGAGACCACGAGCGTGCCGCGGCGGAGGGCGCCGACGCTGCGCATGACCGTCGAGAAGATCATGGCGCCAGAGAAGAAGGCGGCGATGGAGACAAGCGACTTCAGCCAGCCCCAGGGCTTGCTGGTGGGTTGGTTGGAGGCGCCGAGGCCGAGGAAGATGGTGTTGCCTGTTCCACAACGAAAAAAAAAACAACCGAAGATCAGCGAGCGGGAAATCATTTAGCCTTTCGGCAAGGGGCGAGCATCCATACCGGTTTGCATGCCTAGGAAGCACGACCAGGCATTGTAAGCGCTGCTATCGCAGAGACCTGTCAGAAAACACAGCAGCAGGCAGACCAAGTCCGCATGCGCCGGGTCCAGCGTCTCCTTCCACCGGCGGGTCAGGGAGGATTCCCGCGCGGGTTTCGGCTCGGGCGAGGGGCTGGCCTCGAGGTCCGGGGCGACCGGCGGCTGGTGGTCTTTGTCCATGGCCGGGAGGGACAGGGCGACAGCAATGGGGAGAGAGGGAGGGAAAAGGGAAGAGGGGGAACGAGCAGACGGAGAAGACAGGAACGCCGACGAAAAGAACCGGGCGGCGCCGAAGGTTTGACTTTTAAGCGTGGAGTTGGTCCGGTCGGCAGTGGACCGCCGTAGGGCTGAGCGCTAGGCCCGATGTAGGAGCTGGAGACATGGCCGCCTGCTGGTTTGGCGACGATGGCGTCAAACTGGTGAAGGCCTGGCGATCGGCGTCGTCTGCCAGCCATTGGCTGTGCCGGCGAGGCGCCAGTTGTGCTGCTCTGCATCTGGTGTTGCAGATTGAGCAGAAGAACCACCGCGAGTGAGCGAGCGGGCGAGCGGGCGAGCGCAGGACGTACTTGGCTGCAGCGGAATCGGTGCACTACGAAAGTAACTCGGAGGGCCCTAGCAGTTTATTGCAGCCACGCCCGCAGCCAAGCGGAGGATGGGCTGAGATCTGGTGGGTGAGAATGGATGGGTCGCAGGGTGGATGGCGGAAGGACATGGTGGGCCGTGAGGGGATTGTCGCCGCGAGGACGCCGACACCTCAGGCCGCATTCCCGCCTGCAATGGAGAAGGTCTACAATACCTGCAAGCATACATACTGCACAGTACAATGAGAGCACTTGCTTGCTTCAATTGACGGTCTGGAATATACGGGGAGCCTCGAAGAGAGCCGACTACAATAGTATACATAGTATACGGGGACGGGGAAAGGGCGGAGGTTCACTTCTAATCCCCAGTCCCCTGGATATGCTATACTAGTATATCAAGAATAGTGCCGAGATAACAATAGAAACACGTCAGTAGACCAATGGCACGTCTATGATCGTTTCGCTTGGGAGAACTGCTACTTTCTAAGCGATGTGCTCCAGTACACTTTATGGACAGAATTCTTACTATGACTTCATTACCATCGTCCATGGTAAGAACTAAAGCTTCGTTGAAGTTTCCTTCTAGCTTGACAACGCGAACACATTTTGTTACATCACAGAAAATGTGCTACAGCTAGGCGACAAATACTATTGAAGTCAAATTTCATATAACGCAGCTGCTGTTGGGCCTTTTCGTCAACAAGCCATCTGCCTGATGTGTATCAAAAGAGATCTTCCTATTTACTTGTATTGAACTCAAACGTTGCATTAGCTGGTGGAAGAGAGAGAAAAAAAATGATGAGGATAATCTTGACCCGATCAGCGATACTGAGGAGGATGATAAAATTCGTGTGGTTGTTCCATCGCAGCCTACGATAGTAACTCCCTCGGAGGTCGCGTTTGGGAAAAGACAGGGGATGGTGTCTCGGAAGAGGTGTATAACGATGAGGGCAGTGAAGAAGCAAGTGGTGATGAGATTGTTTTGCCTGTATTTGAGACAGATGCGTATATCCAGTAGATCTCAGAAACGCTCAAAGCTTCTAGATAGTTATGGGATCGATCTATAATAATTCACAAAAGAATTCGATTGGTTATCTACTGTCGGGACATACCCTGCCGCTGGCGACTGGTAGATCACATTCCTTTGCTGGGTGACCTTGCGCCAAGCTGCGGCACTGGTGTTGGGACTACCGAGGATCGGCGTATTGGATTCAGGGGTATTTTGGACCGGACCTGGTACACATCTACATCTATCAACAGGAATCAATTGACTTTTGCTTTGGAGCATACACACTGTCCACTTGACTGTATACACAGTATCTAGCTGGTGATACCCAACATCTACAAAAGAGGTCGATCTATAATTATCAACAAAGAAGTCAGTCAATTATCCACAAAAGAAGCTGATCAATTATCTACAAAAGAAATTAATCTATAATTATCCACAAAAGAAGTCGATCTATAATTATCTACAAAGAAGTCAGTCGATTATCCACAAAAGAAGTTGATCAATTATCTACTAAAGAAATTAATCTATAATTATCCACAAAAGAAGTCGATCTATAATTATCTACAAAAAGGACTTACAAGCTATTCATTTTTCTGTATTGGTCTATTTGTTTTACTTCTATTCTTAGTCTATATTCAGAATACAAAGAAATCTTGAAAGAATACATCAAAAAACTTCATAACATATGCAGGTCACGCTTTCTAGTGTATTTGCCTTTTTTTGCAGTCCATGGGCGGCCCATGTGTGGCCCATAGGCTCTTCAAAGAATAGCCTATCCTTGGGCAGGGCAGATGTGTCTTGACAGCCCAAGTATGGGCTGACTTGGGCCTAGCCTAGATGCGCAGCCCATGGGCTGTGGCGAGATCTAAAATTGACAGTATAAGTAGAGACTTCTACCCCCATCAACCTTATCTCCAGCTCACAACTTGTATTCATAGTCCCATTGCATAATCAGGACAACCACAAGTCCAAAATCCTTTTCGACTACTTGAACATGGGTAAGTAAACCTTCTTCTGTCAAGATAGCTTTGCTCATTGTTTTCAAGCTATCCAGATCCCAGATGCGGACATTTTGCAATGCCGTTTGACGCCAATACTTTCCGATTATGCTAAGGAGAAGTGGATGCCTATGCTCATTAAGATCGCCGGGGAACAAAAGGACCCACTAGGAATTTTAATACATATTCAACTTTCCGCGAACGACGTTTTAGAGGGACTGCCACCGATTATATCCAATCTCCCAGGTCACGAGTTTATAGTAACAAAACCGCTTTTTGCTGCCTTCTTCCCCGACGAGAAGACCGGACAAGAAGAATGGGAGAAATTACCACCAACAGTCAAGGGTGAAGCCATGTGAGGGAACGAACTCCCCGGCATTCGGGTTGCGGTACGCCCTCGACGTCCTAGAGGAGGGCGAGTTAGGCTAGGAGGGTTCTTAGACTTCTGCATGGGACTCCCATAGGAGCAAGGTCGCTCCTACCTCTCACCCCAGGATTCCTATGGGAGAAAGGCCTGCTCCCACTCCCATCCTATGGTCGTATTTTCTGCTTAGTTTTGCCTGATTTTTATGCATGCCTTACATGTGTTTTGTTTTGCTTTGGTTCTGTATTGACTGCGTTATTCTAAGTCACTCCTTATTCTAAGTCACTCACTGATATTAATTTATATTTTCACGAGAAATGCAAAGAAAATATATATCGATCTTGACATCATACAGTTGCATGTAGTCAAATTTGAGATATACAGTGGCGCCTGACATCGCCTTCCATGTTGGAGACAGGAGAGATAGCTAGCTAGTTAACTAGTGAAGAGGGGAACGCTCGATGGCAGCACCCGCTGAGATGTGCGGATCGATTCAGCAGAAAACCACTACAAAACACACTCGTAGTTGTCAGGAAATAGCGAGAAACCCAAATTTAGGGGTCAGGTCGGGGAGGTGTGAGAAGGGGTATTCTAGAACTAGCTATCCGGCCACCGTATACTGCCGGCTATGTCACATAACATGGATGGCACCAATGTAGTACGGGGAGGGGGGTCTCCCCACTACACTAGTTATGGTTACTCTCTTGTTTTAACGCATGTTCCGATGTTGAACGATAAAATTTCAGACTGAAGACAGCTGCAATACTATGTATTATTATTGTTGATTGATTGATCCAAAAATAAGCCATGTCATCCGGAAAGAAGCGTCCCAACCTAAACGACAATTAACCCCCCTCCAATCATTGCAAATCAGCGTGGAACATCGACTCCTGGCAGTTTGAGATGATTGTACACATGATAAGCAGCAGGAACTGGCTCACTATACCACAAATGGCCAAGCTGGCAAAGTGCAGTGAGCGTTTCGAGGGACTATTACCAGTGGGGTTAAGAGGGATTGAGATGTCGTTTTAAACTTGAATGATTGTTGGTGGAGGGTACGTACATGGATGGAATGGTCCACTGGTGGGTTTGATGAATTGGTTGGAAGCGAACCATCCCTCCACACATATGTACACATATATGCATCCTGAAATTTGATTTTCAGAAAATCCATGAGTTCGGTGGTCTAACGTAAAGTGAGAGTAGACATTCTTCATACACTAAGAAAGTTGAATACTTGAGTGCTTTACTAATCGGCGAACCCCCGATCATCCAACAACTGCACCACCTTTGGATTGCTACTCATCATGGCGGCTTCGAGTGCACTTGACAAGTACCCAGGAGGGTGGTTATCATGGACACCTCGATCCAGCAGCATCTGTACCACCTTTTCATTGCCTATCATGGCTGCCGACCTGAGTGCGTTACCTTCTTTAGAATTTCCGGCATTAACATCGACACCTCGATCTAGCAGCATCTGCACAGCGCCTACATGCCCACAGGATGCCGCCCTTTGGAGCGCATTGCCAAGTACATTATGCACTTGACCTTCAGTGTTGAGCTCAGCAGTTCGGTCCAGCAACATCTGCAACACCTTTTCGTGCCCGCCAAATGATGCCGAGAGAAGCGCCCTATTGATGAATTCACTTCGGGTGTTGTTATCGGTACCTTGGTCCACCAGCATTTGAACGAACTTCTCGCATAGAGACAAGGAACCCGTCGTGGCAGCTATCTCGAGAAGGTTCCGGTTGCGGTTGTTCTCGCGGGAGATATCAATTGCCTCATTTTCCCACCAATCCCCCACAATAGAATCCAGCGAGAAACAACACATGGCGAAGATAGCGGCATCCGTGGGTTCGAGCGCATGGATTACATCCCATGACAAGTAATGCTTAGAGCTAGGGGCCCTGCGTGTGGAATGGAGCTGAAGATCGTTGCGAGCCTTTGGATACCATCTCCGGTATTGCACGCTGCTTTGATTGGGTGACCCGAGGAATTTTTTCAGCAGAGAACCCAACTTGGCCATCTCGACGTCCTTTGCTCCGTTTACATGGTGAGGCCAACAGTGTCTCATGTAAATATGGAACGGGTGAAGAGAATGGAAGCCATCATCTGATTCCACTGGCTTCAGAGGACTGTCAGTGTTACCTGGCGCCTTTGACTCGACCTTCAAGTCGGCCTCCAGCTTCGCGTCGAATTCCGAGTCATCATGCTCATACATATTGACCATGTAAGACAAACAAACACTGGCTGCGTGATAATGGGCGTGCGCAGTGGACCAGTCTTCTTTGCCCTCCAGGTATTCCCGAACCGACAGATGTGGGAATCGCCATACCCCTAGCTGAGGGTCCACGACAAGAAAATTGTTACAGATAGAGAGCAATCCTTGCTCATCCACTGTATCAAGCTTGCGCAGCAGATCTCCCTCCGGTCCGACACGAATCGCAGCTAGAAGTTCAACGCTGCTCAGAGGTTTGGATGCAGACATTACCCAGCGAAGAGCACGCTTGATAAAAATCTGATCGTATTTTCCTTGGCTTTCAATCTGTCGCCAGACCTCATCATATGTCTTCTCAAGATCCTCTGGGAGGTGCTCGAGGCGGTCAAAAACGTCAGCGGGGGACTTGTACTTTGCAATTTGATGGATTTGCATATCTGCCCACTGGAACATTCCCTGACAACGTTCAAGCAACTTCGCGATGATTTCGGCTTTGAGGTCCCTCAATGATGTGTTGATCCTTGCGAGCCTGTTCATTTTGCTATGAAGAAACTTTTCGATGTCGCCTTGATTATCGTCTGCCCGAATCCCAACATTGGGGCTGCTTTCTAACCAATTTTCGATGCTCGGATCAGGTCGGCTTGAGATGAATATTCTCACAACTCGCTTAGACTCCGCCATGAACAATTGCAATGTTTCAATGAGATCATATCGCGTGTCTGGATCACACTCGTCCAGAGCATCAATAATCAGCGTGGTTCTCTGATATATATCTAGAGAGGCCAGGATCTGGTCTTTGCACTGTCTAAAACGAAAGTTCGAGCCTTCCTCTCGGGCTTCCTTGCAAGCTTGCTGGAGTTTGGCCTGCATAGACGCAGGATTGTTTCTAGTTGTTGAAAGCTGACGCACGAAGCTTTGGAGAATGGTAAGGGGCTGCGTGTGCTTTTCGTCCTTGCCACAATAAAAGAAGGCAAAGCCTTCGTCATTCCCCTTGCTTGGCTGGTCACGGACCCAGTCGACCACAGTAGATGTGAGATATGTCTTGCCAGTACCCGGGTTCCCTTGCAGCCAGAACAAACTCGACGATCTCTTCGCTTCCCAATCACGGAAGTCCTTGTGTTTGAGTAGCCATGCACCCGTGCCAGGGGTTCTGGCCTCTTGTATAGTTTTGTGGTGACTGCCGAACTCAATGGCCGAAATCCACTCTAACAGCTCAATGCGCTCGTTTTCATCCACATGCTTGAGAAGACTGCTGACGCCCTCATCTACCCGAGCGATGGGTGCGTCCAAAGCATGCAGCATGTCATGCGTGAGCTTATCAGAGTCCGAGCTGCGCTGGCTCTCGCATGCATTGACGTCTTTGATAATTTCGTCTTCTTGCTCGATAAGAGCCGCAAGGTTGCCCGTTGCCTTGCCTGGGTTCACAATCGCTTCAAGTATGCGCCTGCCTGTGTTCGCAGCAAGAAGCTTCTGTGACTCAGCCAAAAGGTCAAGAGCACTTGCATACATGTTCACCAGAGCTCCGTCCAGGCTTGATTGTACAAGCGACAAGTTGGCATTTGGATCCTTGGGTAGGTGAATCGTTTCATAGACTTGCCCACGGCTAGTAATGCGAATCACTTTCTCTGCTGTGGCGAGCAAGGCTCCCATTTGATCGCTCTCATTCACCGGAATCTACAACATTCAATGAATATGTAAGCTTCCACCTCAAACATTAATAGCAATAAGGGTCAACTGGTCACCCACCTGCATCAAAGATTTGACGAGATCCCATGGTAGACTCGCCTGGGGTGGCGCAAATTGCACAGCAATGTCACCGGCCTTCGTCAACCAGCCAACAATGCTCGTGGTATATTCTCGGAGAACAATCTTCTCACCACCCACATTGACATGCCAGAATTTCTCCTCGCACTCGTCTTGTTTCTTTTTCGCCTCATTGGCAAGACTTTTGATGCTGGACTCCATGGATCCAGAGTTCACATTATCAAATCCCATTTTCTTCAGAATAGCTTGTTTGTCCGGATCCATTCTATCGAAAGCCTCCTTCCATCGGTCCTTGTCCGGAGCGACTTGCTGCGCGGAGGATCCCTTCTCAGCATGTTCCGGGCTCGTCGCTGACTCTTTAACAAGAGTCGCATCGGTCGATTGTCCTGGCGAGCCTTTCACAGGAGATTCGCTGACGGTTTCTGGCTTAGACTGGGTCTTAAGTCCCGACATCAGGCATTTATTAGCAGGTCAACAACCACGGTCACTTAATCTTCACTTACATGTTGCTTTGGTGCATCCTGGCCAGAATTCTTCTTGGAAAATTTGCCTTTTAGGCCACTAAACGGGTTGCAGCCAGGCATTGGGCCGGTGTAATAGAACCACGCTTGTGTGAAAGGACGAATTCAAAAAGAAATATTCTCAGGAGATGGGAACAACATTTTGAATTACCGTGGAGATCCACCGTTCAGCTAACTCCTCCCGATGATCGCACAATTTGGGAAATGATATACCCTTTATCTCCACATAATCGTGCCGCGCTGATCCACTTAAAGCTGTATAATCCAATGATGTTCCTCCACATCTCATGAGTGATGTATTTGTGTAGCGTCAATGGCAATACGCAAACCTCTCAATGCACCGAAGGGCTGGATCTACCCCGCAGGTCCCAGTAACAAAACGTCAACATAATATTGAACAGAACTTGCCAACTGCCCGAATAGGCATCATGCTGGTATCGCTGATAGCCTCATGGTGGGCACCTCTTATAAGCATCAAGCTGACATCTGGACGCTGCGATAGCGAGAAGGTGGGTCGCAAACATTGGACTCGGTGACGGAAGGCCAGAGCGAGTACGGAATGACAGTATTTCTTATGGTTCATAATGAGGTTTAATCACCGTTGTTCAAATGTTTATATTCGAAGTGGATCTATTGGCCCAAGATAAATCTTCATTAGCAATATCGGGAACGCATTATTTATTCCAAGGTTACAACCATGACAGACTTGATAGATTGCAATCATTTGAATGAATCAATCTCAAGCGCTGAGAATTTGCTCTACCTTATTCCACTTGTTCTAACTACTTTATGAACATGCTATCCTTTTTCACAAGTTAAATACTGAAATATCCTTTGTGAAATCACGATCTAAACGAATTTTCTTCTCTTGTTTACATATGAAAAGTTTAGCACATCTACGTGGGAATTGATCTTTCGAAATCTACGTACTAATGCCGAGCCCATATTCAACATTTGAAGCCTCATGTCTCAATATTGTAGCTTTGATATCAAAATATTTGACGTCTGGTACTTATCATTCACTGTATATCTGCCCTCTGTGTCTTTAAGTTCAGACATTTCCGGTAGATTTACAATTGTCAGCTACCTAGGTGGTTTGTTTGGAAACGAAAATATATAGAAGATTGTCCAGTAAGCTCTTCTTCCGCCACAATGTGTGCCCCAGGTTTAGCTAGCGCTCTGCTGGTTGCAGACACACGTCCTCTCTTGACTCTTCTTAGTGGAGGCATGGGGTGACCATCATCGTCCTCCCTATAAGTGAAGGCAATCTCGATCGTGAGCTTCTTGCCAATACGAAGCAGATTGCTCCACTTACGTAGCTGCTTCACTAAAGGTGTCCAATTAATGTTAGTGAAATCATAAAAATTTTCCAGATTTTTCTGAGACCGTTCGTCCACTTTTACAGTAACGGCCATATCATGTGATTAGCGTAACGGGCCAGGTCCCGATCTACAAGCCTGTGCGATGTGATCTATCAACTCTTCAGGATATTTAGTCACCGCTGGCCACCCCCTAGTTAACTATTTCTAAACTTCTCCAAGCCTCAGATAAACAGCATGTTGGCACCGCTCAATCGAATCAATTCAGCCGTAGCCTTCACAGAATGATATATCAAATTTTTCAAGGAACCCATTCATATTGTGGGTTTATTAAGGGGACTGCTAGGCCTTTAGTTAGATTTTCCTTACCTGCCATCGGAAGCAAAAAGCCTACGCCCCTAGTTCCTCTACACTCACCCAACACCGCCAGGGCCGACTAACGCTATTCTCGACCGAGCTTTCATCTTGAATCTGCTCAACATGTTTAAAGGTAATTAGTTAGGCTCAACTTCGTGCATCGACAAAACATTCCCCCACCAATAATAAGCAGCTGTTTTTCCACGGCAGTCTAAGCGATGCCGAGATTATCAAATCGCTTTATTAGGTTGCGTTGGGAGCGATCGATCACCAGCACAACGATTGAGGTATCGTCCGACCTTATACCTGCTTTACGAGAGATCTGCCCTTCCAATAATTTCTCCAACTTACCCTTCAGGGGTATCGGCCGGTAAGCGCTCGGAGTCAGGGCTACATCCTCTTCTGTGTCTCGTGAGACGACCTTCTTATTCACCGTAACTTTCCACTCTCATGTGTACTGGATGCAGCTTGTCTCGAGATCATCACTTGATAATACATCATGTTATTCAGATAGCTGAAGCAATTTAGGGGCTTCCCGGTTGGTGTTGTGACAGGATTTTGGGACTGTTCTCGGAGTGGTAGTCGGGTGAACAACTGAGCCCACACCTTGACGCCGGCGTACGACCGTAGTAACCTGGGCGGGGGCGTATTGCGAACCTTGTTTCACGGGGTCGAGTTCATCTTGCTGAAAGCGATGGTCTGGGATAAGAATAGCAGCCACCGTTCTCGGTTCAACTCTCTAACGTATTTAAAGTTACCACGAGTCCGACAAGCCAGAGGCCAGGAGATGCAAGTCTCCTATTAAACGGCCAGTTTCTATTCAGTATTTCGAAAGGAGTACAGTTAATGGCTAGTATGAAGCGATTATACTCCACGCTCGGCATAAGTGTACTTTACCGAGAACCAAACTTGAATAGATAGATGTATCGCACTGGTGCGACTCTGTATCTAATTTTTGACATTTCCACATTCAAATCGAAATTTATTCTGACGATACATTCTGTCCTTCTTGCTACCATAATCTGACTATTTTGAATCCGATTTCTCAATCCCAAAACTTGCCGCAAATATTTCGCCGAGGAAAATTGCCCACAGCATGTTATACGCATCAGTCACGAAAGACTTGAGTCGTAACCCGCAATTACGTTTACTCAATGCTCTTCAGGCCAACACAAAGCCAATTATGACGTTCCTGGGCCTTCCATCTTTCCGAACAGCTCAAGTAGTTGCTCAGACCGGTGTCGATGTCAGTGTATCTATTCCGAATACTCTGGATTCGGGCTAATGATCCAGAAGGGCATTATTATTGATTGTGAACATGGCCACATCAGCGACGACTCCATGCATAGCTCGACTGCTGCTATCGCAGCCATGGGAGTATCGCCGCTGGTTCGTCTCCGAATGACTCACTCCGATCTAGTCAAGAGAGCGCTGGACGCGGGTGCCCAGTAAGTCGCACAGACCATATGATGCCACCATATATTGAATATTTGCAAGCGGAATTGTGGTCCCACAAATAAATACTGCCGATGAGGCTCGGGCTGTTGTTCAATATTCGAAATTCCCTCCCGAGGGATTGCGCGGACAGGGCTCGGCGTTTCCGGCCATCACCCACGGCATCGACCTTCCGACTTACTTGAAAACGGCGAACAAAACACTCATCACCTGTCTCCAAATCGAATCAATGGCTGGGGTCAAAAACGTCGACGCTATTTGCGCTGTACCTGGTGTCGGTTCGTGACTGATTGCCCCCACCGTTACTATCCCATCAGATCGCCTTACTAATGGCGGTTAAGACATGGTTTTCATCGGCCCAAACGACCTTGCACTTTCAGTGCTTGGTTATGTTCCCGCAAAAGGCGACGAACCAGAATTTGTCAATGCCATAGAGAAGATTGTGGCAGCTGCTAGGAAGCATGGGAAATGGGTAGGTCGACTGTCAAATGATGGGGTCTCATGCAAGGAGCATCTGAAGGACTTCGATACAGTGGCGATGAGCTATGATATCCGGGCCATTCAAAACTGGTATCAAACGGAGCTGGAAATTGGACGCTCATAGTTCAGCCTGTTATTAGATCACCTGCAATTCAAAGTGGAGTTATTTCGTTGATTGTATTATGAAATATGCTGACCCTTAGTATGCTTGTGAAGCTAGGATTTTGTATTCGGCAAGCATCATCTCCAGTACCTAAGAAAGGGTATCTTGCCTTTTCAATTCAAGAAATGTGAAGGCAAAAAATAGTATATATTCAAAAACGTGATGGTAAACGTGAAGAATCTATCGTGAAGAGTTTGACCGAAGGAAACGATTTTGGCTCTGGACAAAAGTGGTAGACATCGGGGAGACTGTTCCGGGCGCATTTCATTCCTTCCGCTGTAGGGTATGGTAACCAAGTGATTTTCTGGCGTCTGCAATGGAAGCTCCTCCGGCGATCAATTCTCGGATGTCGGCTTCCGTTTGCTCGATCTTTCGGGCGACTGCCGCTACCTCGTGGGCTCGCTCCCGTGGTACGATGACCACGCCGTTGGCATCGGCAACAACAATGTCCCGCGGTTGTACACGCACCTTGCCAACGCCGATGGACTCGTTGACACCCCCGACTTGGACTCGATCTTTTCCAGTTCGCATCCAGCGTCCTGCGGTGAAGAGCGGGTAGTCATCGTTGATCGCACGGCTCACGTCACGGCACACGCCGTCAATCACTGTTCCCGCAATGGCTCGCAAGCCCGCATACTGAGTCATGATATCTCCCCAGACAGTGCAATCTGTTCGGCCACCATTATCGATGACTACCACATCGCCCTCGGCAATGTCGTCGATGAAATCTCCAACACTTCCAGGTGGGTCGCTGGCGGGAACATAGCGCACCGTGAAGGCCGGTCCAACAGTCACCTTTTGATAATTGGCCAAGGGCATGACGTTGAAGACTTGTCCGTTGATGCCGAGCTTATCAAGGGCATCGGAAACCACAGGGGTATCTGCGTTGGCAAACAGAGCACACATCTCTTGGTCCTCGACCGCTGCTCTCTTCGGACTCCGACTGGAAGAGGATGTTGTTTCTGTGGCGACTGGGGTCGATGTGTCCTGCCGAATGGCTTCGAATTTGGAGTCATGCATGACCTCCGACACTGGCTTGCCCGCTCGAACGTCCTGTACCATCAGCGCCTGGCGCTGATCGATCCGCTCTCCCAATGCCAGCACCTCCTCAATGCGCTGGGCAGGGACGAAGACGGTCCCACATCGATCGGCAACCACATAGTCGTCTTCGTGAACAGTGACGCCTTGTACCTGCAGGGGCGTTCCCGAATTTATCTGCACCAGCCGATTACGTGCACTGACCATAGTCACACCTCGGCCGTAAACGGGATATCCGACGTCGCGGCTGCCATCGATGTCCCGACTCATCCCGTCGATGATGGTTCCACGGATCTTCTTCACTCGGGAGGCATTGGCGACAATATCTCCCCAGCACGAGATCCCGTCCGTCCCGCCTGCGATGACCAGGACGCGATCATCTGTCGTCACAGCATCAATGACTGGGGTGAGCAGATGGGCCGTGGCCGTCGTATCCTGCTTGACGCCCACTTTCACGGTACTGGCGAGCCCTACGATCTTGGGGCAGTCCCAGAGAGGACGCAGACCATATGTCGCTCCTTTTAGCTGTAGAAAATCCAATGCATCGGATACGGTGTTGGTGTCGAGCGCGGCCAGTCGCTCCAAAATTCGGGATGGGCTCATGATGTTGGCTTTAGTGGTTGGTACGTAGTCGTGAATTCAGAGCAGGCCGCAAGCGAATGCAAGTTTCTGCTTTGAACATATGGAAAACGTCCCATATTGAGCTTTGTACGTTTCAGTGGTGGTGAGATGTAGTTGAGCTCGGCGAAACATCAACTCAGCGAGCCCATTGCGCTCGGCGACTGGGTGATATTTGCCACGCCGTTCCCTCAAGCTGCGGCAAGTTCGCATTTCCCCGACGCCCGAGATCACGTGCACTGCCCTCCCTTCCCTCGTGGTTTGCATCTTCGATCTGGCCCGACTGTGCCTCCGTCCTCAAACATACTGTAATCCTGACCGGTGAATTGCGGGTTTGCCGATTCTCGCAGCTGTTGGTTAAGCCAGGCACTCGGCAACAGAGAGAGATCATGAATCTCGGCCAGGAGAAACGTCCCGACTTACTGGTATCGAACTACTCTGTGCTGAAAGGCCATGTCATGGCAGGTCAAGGAAAATGGTCCTGCCGAGAGGTCGGAGGGTGATGCACTATTCGCCAGCCCTTGCCATCATTTAAAACGCTGGCTCCAGCGAAGGTCAACCGAGTGTCGCGCCTCACTGCTCAGCACACGCGTGAAAGAGACATCTTCTGAGCTATCGCCAACACCAGTCCTATTTCCAAAATGACACAGGAGTTTCTTGGCCTCTCCGTGGCGCCCGCGGACACTGCGTTTGGACTGATGGCCGAGTTTGAGGCCGACACGCACGCGAACAAAGTGTCCTTGGTTGCCGGAGCATATCGCGACGAAAATGGGCATCCCTGGATCTTGCCGAGCGTGAGGAAGGTATGGTCTTACTGATGGAAGCCACACATAATTTTGCAATCCGAGAACACAGTTGACCACTCGGCTAGGCAAAGGAGCACCTTCGCGATACTACCCATGAATACCTGGGCATCGCCGGCTCCCCAGCCTTCCTGCGCCTGGCAAAAGACCTCATCTTCGGACCGATCGCAGCACGCCTGAAGAATAATGCCGCATCTATTCAAACCGTGTCCGGAACCGGCGCGAATCACCTGGCCGCGAGCTTCCTGGCGCGCCACCTTCGGCCCAAGCGCGTTTTCATTCCTAGCCCGACATGGATCAATCATCACTCAATATGGGCGATGGCTGGGGTCGCGGTCGTCGAGTATCCATACTACTCACCGACGACCAAATCAGTGGATATCGTCGGCATGTTAAATGCATTGGACCAGGCTGAGCCCAACGACGTCGTCGTCCTGCAAGCCTGCGCGCACAATCCCACCGGAGTGGATTTATCCCGGCCGCAGTGGGCGCAGATCGCAGAGGTAGTTTGGCAGAAGCAGCTTTTTGCGGTCTTCGACAGTGCATACCAGGGCTTTGCGACAGGCCACGTCGATAGCGATGCCTGGGCCGTTCGTCATTTCACGGAGTGTGTCCTCGCGTGGGAGAATCATCCGGGTCTTTGCGTCGCCCAGTCTTTCTCCAAGAACTTTGGGTTGTACGGCGAGCGTGTCGGGGCTCTGCATCTGGTCATCCCGCAAATCCTGTCAGCACAGGGCGCCCGTGGTTCCCTGATGGCGATTGCGCGCGCCGAGTATTCTAATCCACCGCGTTTTGGGGCGAGTCTTGTGGAAACCGTCCTGGCTGATCCCGGCCTTCGCGCGCAGTGGGAGGCCGATTTGCATACGATGAGCTTCCGCATTCGCACAATGCGACGAAAACTGCGACAGAGGCTGGAGGCAGCGACCCAGCTGGATTGGGCCCACGTGGAGACGCAGATCGGCATGTTCAGCTACACCGGTCTGACCCCGGAGCACGTTACTCGACTCCGAGAGAGGTACCATATCTATTTGCTGCCATCTGGTCGCATCAGTGTGTGCGGGTTGAATGAGGGGAATGTGGAATACGTTGCACACGCGATGGCCGACGTGATGAAGAGTTAATGCAGTTATATAATGTAGTGGGGGGACCAGCATGCCCTATCACTGTGAGCCCTGCACAATGACCACACCGCCGTGTTCCGTGCCTGTGTCAAGTATACATATATTCAGTGAAGAGGGGAACGCTCGATGGCAGCACCCGCTGAGACGTGCGGGTCGATTCAGCAGAAAAACCATCACAAAACACACGCGTAGAAATCAGGAAATAGCGAGAAACCCAAATGTAAGTGTCAGGTCGGGGAGGTGTAAGCAGGTGTATTCTAGAACTAGCTATCCGGCCACCGTATACCGCCGGCTATGTCACATAGCCTGGATGGCACCCATGTAGTAGGGTTAGGGGGTCTCCCCACTAAACCAGGGAAGTCAAAATGAAATTTCAAAATTTCGAGATTTTTGAAATTTGGCCTCTTAAAATGAAATTTGAAAAAGGCCTTGGAATTCCGAAGTCGTTCTAGTCCCAAAAAGGCAGAACTACACTTCGGCAAAACCCATTTTGGGTCGGAGCTTCTAGAGGTTCATGTTGCGTTGTTTACAACTGCCGGATTGACAGGCGCGTACGTATACAGTTCAATGTGCATATGTGTATTACCTAATGGTGCAGGGTAATAGACCACGCGAAAAGGTGGTGATCGGATACTTGCTGGAACTAGATGTCGGGATATATCCTCCTGTCAGAACAAACTAGCGGTGACCCACTGCTAGCGACCGATGGATAACATCCCTTGCTTGGTGTACGCATCCTTGCGCTGGGCTGTGGCCCCGGTGTTGCGACCGCCGAAGGCCGGCGTGTGGGATCTAGGGGTGTTTTTCCAACTAGACTGAGCATCAACATCTATCTACATGAATCAATTGACTTTTGCTTTGGAAGCATACACACTGTCCACTTAAATGTGTACACAGTACCTAGCTGGTGATACCAACACTAGATTAAACGGTTATTTAATTGCTTATCGGTCATCCTGTTGAACGCCGAGGTGCGGAAAGACAGTCTATAAACGAAGATCTAGGCGCCTACAAGCTTTTCCGCTTCGACCAATGACTCTAGTTCACCGTGAGGATGACCATTCATATTCACTTGTGCGTTTATATGACTGATATGAAGATTATCTGGCCAAAGAGACATCTTCGGCCCGAGATTCTGCACATTCCAGTGGACGCTCTTGGATGATCTCAGCCTTACTTTCAGAACATACTCAGTGATCAAGATATGGTGCTCAGGTCGAGCTTAGGGAGGTCGATCCTGAAGCCTGAGCCGGGTTCTCTGTTTGACACTTGATGTATCCAAGTCTTCGGGACATGCCCGTATATTGGTCTGGACGTGGTTTGGGGCTCGCATTTCGATTATGCCGACCTTAGAACACTGTCACGCATCCCAGCATTTTCGACGTCGCACATAACTACTTCTTTCTAGAAAGTTTCGCGGAAATTATAACAATCCAGATAAACACTACAGCAACTCGGCTACAATCACTTGAGAATACGCTCAGAGAAAACCCTCCTCTTTAATAAGTTCTTCGAATAATCGATTTCACCAACCTTTATGGAGAAATACTTCAACTGCCAAGCTTGCGCGGCTACTTCATCCGATACTCGAAACGCTTCAAATATCCGCATCCTCGCCCATCCAATTGGCGGGAATACTATTAGACCACTCCAGGAAAACTTCCTCATGAACCCTGAGATATTCTCTGGCAAAATTAAAGAAGCTGCCTAGCGCTATTCCAATGTCCTTCGTTTATTTTTATTCCATTCCTATTGTGAATCAATCTACACGGTTTCTACCACAACGGCTCTCGAGACACCAGACAAATTAAATCTTCGCAATATCACATTTGAGAAAAGCCATTCAGACCAAGCTGTCAAGAGTCTTTTGAGCTGCCTATATATGAAGTCATTCATATACAGTATGGATGAATTGCCCTGAAAGGAAGGAACAGAGTGGAAGGGGTGATGCTTGGAACACCGAGTGCCGTGTTACATTTACTTGTACACGAAAAGTGCAAAGGCATATTGTTGATAAGTGGTCTTCTATTTCGACACTGTGTGGTGCACAAGCAGAATTGAACGAGTGACTGGAAAACAAACAGAACAAGCAAATCACGAGCTATTCATCCCAACCAGTTTAGAAATGCCGCGCATTGTCTATCGATAGATACAGTATCTCCGTGTGACGTTGAGATGCTCACGAATGTGGTAGGAGCGGCTACTGAGCGGGAAGAGCCGTCGAGGAGGGGGGTCCCCAGGGAGGGCAGGCAGCGCTGCCCTGGAAAGGAGGGGGGACAGAGAACGGGGCGTCGGAAGGAAGAGGGAATCCAGACGGGTAGGGGCACGGATGAGTGGGAGTGCCAGTGGGCAGCGGGGTGGAGGTGAAGCCCGAGGGAGTCACACTCACGGTGGGCACCGGGGTAGAAGAGCCCGCCGAGCTCGTGGGCACAGAAGACGACTGAGAGGAGTATCCCCAGGCGGGGGCCCAAGGAGGGGGCTGGGAACATTAGCTACTATGGTTGGCGCAAGATCCATTTCCAGGACTTACCGCAGCCACGGCCGCCGAAGCGAGACCGAGAGCGATAGTAACAAGCGAGACGGTCTGCATATTGGACGAGTAGTTTGAATATGACTTTGAATACGCGGGCTTTGATAATCAAGTAGGGAGTCAGTGAGGGCAGCGCGACGAACCTTTATAACCTACATGGCGTCCAAAATTAATCATCCCGATAAAGTTTATCGCCCGGGCGGCATTTCAAGATTCTAGACGGTCATCGCCGCGATCGTCGGTGGGTGTGGGTCAATAGCGCCAGGTACAGGACTGGCCTAACAAACCGATTTGGAGAAAGCTGCCACATGGCTCTCCGCAAACGTTGCCACTAAAGGCATGTTATTAGCCCTCCGTGATTCGGATATGAAAATCGCAAGGTGAAATAGATAGCCCCATTAGTAGCTCCAAGAAAACGACTTTTCAATGTCTGTGGGAGGCTGTACAGCCATGCTTATCACAGATTGTGATTTCACAGCATTTACTATGGAAAGTTGTCATGTTCCGAAGCAACGACTGCGGGAGTTAGAAATAACACTGAGATAACACGAGAATCCGATTTATCTGAAACGTTAGGTAGATATTTGTCCGACTTGCAGATCAACCCCATTTGAGTGCAGACTTGTGTAAATTGTAGACAATTAACTTTATTCGACTCTTTTCCTATATTAAATCCGGCGTCTCGGCTAGCGACGACGTCCGTGCGAGGTGATATCCATGATGTGGACAGATCTACAGAAACACGACAAAATAGGAAGGTCGGCCGGTGTCAAAGTTTAATTACCGTCTTTAACCACGGAACTGGAAACGCTGATAATTTTCTATTGGTCTTGAACACCAGTACCACTAATTCAACCATACTCTGCCCAGTAAGCAAAGGGGTGAGCGAAACCCCTTCCAGATATTGTGTGGTGTCTATGTATAGAGGTCGATGTAAAGTTGCCCGGGAGATGGGTGCCATGCAGAAGTCGGAATCCTACTTAGACGTCTTTGGCAATGCGCTGGTATAAATACGTAGGAAGCCGAACGGGCACAAAAAAATCCGCTTCAATCTTTTTCTGTTATGTAGTAGATCCGAAGCCTGCGATCCTCATCTTCAGCTTCTCGTCTGCGATCCTTGGCTTCGTTGCCTCCCGCACATATCGAGCCTTATCCCTGAGACGGATGATCCTCCCAGTAGCGAGGCCTGCGTTTAACACGCACGAAACACGGAAGAGGTTGAGTTGACCAAACTTGACAGTCAACACCCAGTTGTTTTTGGGTATTTTGTCACCACGGTGGCTATGCCTGCCAACGTCGTTGTACCAGGCTACCCCTCCAACGTTGGCATCGGTAAAATTGCTCGTGAGCAGAGCCGACCTCGCCTCTGGGTCAATTTGTAGGCCGAGACCCGTTCGTTCCGGGTCTCCGATCCAGTAGACCATGTTTGACGTCAGAATGTTTTGTCACTTGCTGCGATAGCTTCGAGCGACAATACCTCTTCGTGTGTGTTCACGATGTCTATGAGCGGTGTATTAGGACAGTTCCTTCGAAGAAGGTGGAATTAGGGGCTCAAGCCGAAAGAGGATGGGAAGTGCGAGTCTTGAATTCACGCTTATCTTTTCCATTTGCTTTGAACCAGAGCGGGCAGGGAAGTATGCTCCTACCACCGTGGCTGGTGTTGTAGTTCCATCGCTGATTGTTCCATCGCTGATTAGTAACGTCAAGCGTGGATATCCATTATTTTCCAGAGCCTTCACAAGATGGGTCACTGTCAAGTCGTCTAGCCTCTGTGATGACTGCGTCTGTTTTTCCAAAGTAATTCGCGCGTCCTGAATCGTCGCCCGAGTGCCTGTCGAGAATTCAGGGTGAGCGATGAACAATGTAATAGCCCAAATAGTCCCGCCAGGTACGGCTACTACTGGCTCCGGTGATTGTGACAACTTTTGATTATCAGTAGCCATCGGTGGTTGAGATAGAATGGTCCAAAGCGGGTGGAATTGTTGGTTCAAGTTCGGCTGTGAAGGATTAGGCATTCCCAGACACTCCAGTAAATCCACACATACCGGAAATACCTTAACCTGAGGAGATACTCAGACCCAAGATTCTCTCCGTTATAGGCCCCACCCAGTCCTTTGAACATGATATCGGCCAATCTTTCGTCGACAGGCTCGACATTGTCGAAAGTGCCAAAATGGGAGTATGATACCAATTGGCGTTGTGCAACCTCAACTGTAGAAGTAAGCTCAGCAATATCGACAAATCCTTTCGAGTTACCCGACACCCCGGCCGAAACGGACTTTCACCAACCAGCTTCCGGGATGCAGGTCCTAGCTGATTCTGTGACGGAGTCAAGCTCACCGATTGCGGTTGCGCCATGGCCAAAATATCCATGACGTCCGCCTCCAGAGTTGGATGTATTGGCTGGTTATTTGGGCTCTCTGAAAGGCTGTGCTTCTGAAGATTTTTGCTTCTGAAGATTTTTGGAAATCGGCTCTGGGGATGAATGCGCCGTCATGGCGACAGAGATACTCCCCTTTTTCCTGCGTACCCAGAATATCAGTGCCTCGAACGGCTAGAAGTGATACAGCACGTTGGAAGCTGCTCGTGTCGACTTTGCTACTGTCGCTGCCATAGCAGAAGGAAGGGTGATAGGCGAATTGGGTGCTGTTTCTTAATGTATTTCCGGAAACTGGTCATTTTCTAGTCTAAATGTACCGTTAGTTTCGAGGGTGTCATTTTGGTTGGTTCACTTACATCGCTGGTGGGAGTAGTCTTCGACACACTAGGCGTCGAATGCAATCCAGAGACTCTGGGCCTCCTTTATTCTGGAGGTGAGGGCTATCTTCAGAACTTCGAGGGCAAAATCTGGTGAATTTAAAGACGACGAGTCAGATCAATATATATCTATATTCCGGCTAACCTTGAGCGGCTTCATTGAGATACCTTTTCAGCTTACGCTCGTGGGGGCTGAAGTGAAGGCTATTCAGCGACTGACCGAATGCTCCCAGCATCATTCCGACTGCAGTCGCTCCGAATTGATCCTTTGCATGGAATAATCCAATATAAGGATATATAGATACATGAATCAATTCGAACTTAAAGTGAGGTAGCATAAATAATAGCCGAGCTACGCGATGTCCATAAATAATAAAGCGTCCTGCGTCTGATTCGCTGATGCCTGATCCAGCAGGCCAGCAACTGTGCGTTGCCACTGCGATTGAGCCATGGATATCCTAAGTGTGGGAGGATCAGTGAGTGGATCAAGACGGCTCAGGTGAGGATCAGATTCATGGTCACTGAGTGGGTCTGGAATCGCTTCGGTTTCTGCTGCGGGCACCCTTCCGTTTTACAACGTATTTGTTGTGATAAAATTTTCATATTGTACCGGAATCAATTCCTGACATCACGGAATTACCACCTTTGATTGGAAATGAATCTTTGCATGCTGTATATAAATTGACAATTTTCCTGTCTGAAGAATGCAAGCTATCATCCTCTGAATTACAACATATCCAACTGAACCTTAAGAGGATATTCCGGACAACATGGCGAGGCGGCGTTATTGGCCATCTGCGGAAGCTTTGCCCCACTTCCCCCCGTCGCGGCACTGCCCCCTAGGAAAGGCGGGAGGCGGAATTCCGTAGCAGATCTTGCTCTGAAAGGACGGCTAAAGGTCTAGATTTCCATGTACCACAATTAGTTTCCCCCATAGATTGTTCGGTAGGAATAAGTGCCTAGTACTGGAAACAGACAAGGGAGGTTGTTTGATCGCTTGCCAAGTCGTGAGCCCGCGAAATAATCTAAATGAGTTGACATGTCTTCTGGCATACTAATATTCCACGACCCGAAGGACCTCGTCGATATTGATATGTCTGTGGTCTCTGTTCACCGCCTCAAATTGCCGGTCAGACAGACGTGGCCCAAAGCTGGATCAGCATGTGTGATACTGCAACGGAACAAGACCGCAGCATAACTGCATGCTTGGCACTATTCGAGATCTCTGATTCTAACAAGATGGTTAATATGAAACCTTGACCACGAGACTGATGCGAAGGCTTTATATTCTTGCACGTACACTTGGGACTCTTGGCGTTATTTGAAGTGCGTGGATCGCCAGGTCCAGGGCGCTAATATTGTCCCCACGTGGCTGTCAGATAGGCTCCCAGCAACCCAACTTCAGATGGGCATCCTAGAAACTCTTGAATGTGACTTTGTATTTCATGGCAGGTGTGTGTAACTGTCTGCACGAGAGGGTAGTGATAACGGACACCAGGGAGAAAAGATACAAGTGAGATGCAGCAAAGTCCGCCGAAAGCTAGCTCCATTCGACTAATTGCCATCATGAATGGATTCCATTTCGAACATGAAGTCGGACCAGCCATAAATTCTCTCCGTACCTCCTCATCCTTGGTGGGTGGATGCAAGTTCCCGAGTGTCTATCATAGACCGTTTATCTATGCAAAACTTGTCCTTGGATGGCATTATATCATTATTCACGTCGATGCTCAAGCTCGGTCAAGAACGCCATACCTGGAGCACACTCATATGGTGGTTCTACGCCCGCCCTTCCTGTCCCCTCAAATCTACCAGCGTCTCCGAAATCCCAGCGTACAAATCTCCCTGGGCCGGGTGGTGCATCATGTATATAATCGAAACCTGAAAGAAGCAACGTATAGACCATCATGTCCTTGGGATTGTCAGCAGTTTCTTTTTCATCTATGGATTGTTATGGCCTAAGAAGTGACTGAACATAGCGGGAATGCATGCGGTAGTCAAGTTGGAAATTTCATCTAATCTCTACTTGAATGCCCAAAACGTCCTCACTTTCTACCGAATTTCCGCCTCAAGATTATGTACACTTAGATGACTTGTTTGATAGAAATCATGAAAGAATAAGGCAAGTGGTGAGACTGATTCCGATCTTTTCTGTAAAAGAATATAATGGAAATTTTATTTTTCTCTTGCTGCCCTCCCAGAGCTGCATCCAAATAGTCTATATTTACGTAGTTGCCTCATCTGTCTTGCGAACCAAGAAATAGCTTCGCCAGAAGGGACATCAGAATGGTTGTTTTGAATAACCCTCTATTTGCGGTGTTATCGGAGTCATTGAAGACCTTATCCAATTTTACTCCGGACCAGATTTCTCAGAACCTCGAGTGTCCGAGTTCTCCACCGCGCTCTTCAAAGCGCTCATGAGGTCAACGTGGAAGAAAGGTCGGTTTAGACCTTGCACCAATGCCACTCTGAACCGGTTCTGGTAGGGCTCGCTGACTGTGAGGTCGGGCAGCGCCTTGACGTTCGAAGTACTACTGCCACTAGATAAACACTCAGCCTTCTGCACGTCGAAATCTGTTGTTTCGAGTCGTGGCCGAATCCCATCCTCCATATCATGCACCTTGCTGTGATGCTGGTCTACTATTCTGCCTTCTTTTTCGTTGTTCACGATCTCGGCGTGGACGGAAGCAGAAGAGCTGTCTTCAATCTTAGCAACGCTGAAAATGGGTTTCCAGCGACGGATTCCATCTTCCGAGAATGACGTTGGGTAACCGAAGCCTGCAGCAGCAAGTCCACGCTTCGTCCAGCGGTTGTTGATATGGGCAAAGTGCCACTGGACCGAGTCGGGCGATGCATACATATCTAACTGATTGCGAACATCAATCAGGTTCTGGATTGAAGTCACATCGACATGGTTGACAGATGAAAAATCAAGAATAATGGCCTTGAGAGTCGGCAAGTGCGATCGGTCTTCCTCTTCTTTCCCCCGACGAGGGCCAGGGTCATTCCATGGTCTGTTTCCAGGCTGGGCGTAGGCGGCTGTGGTTGTTCGCCGCGTCTTCTGGAATATGTTTTGAACGAGATAGTCCGTGTAGTGGTTGGAATTCGGATAGTTGAATCCTTCCGAGAACCGGTAGATGAAGATACCCGGATGAGGCTCTTCCACCTCAATGTCAGGGTTCGAACCATCAGCGCGGCTGGTGGGCAGGAAGATGGACCGATCGTGACTCGGTGAGTTTTCCGACACTATGGGTAATAATCCAGTGCCTTGTTTTCCATTGCCATCCACCATGTCATCACCCACCACTGAATGAATTGTCACTCTGCCCAAGAACTGGCCACGAGCCTTGGCCGCACGGAAAAGGAACACAGCGAGAGAGAGGCAGATAGTGCAGTAAACACCGTCTTCAATTTTTGTGAAGATGCTGACAATCACCCCAATGAAGAAGATGATGGCGTCAAATGGTGAAACACGCCAGAACTGGTAAACAGCGTTGGGGGGGGTAATCAAGTCACCAACGGCGTGAATGATCACAGCACCAAGGGCAGCTTCCGGAATGTAGAAGAAAAGTTCTGTTAAGGCATAGATCGCCAGCAGAACAATAACTGCTGTGATCACTCCAGCAAATGGGGTCCGGACTCCTGCTTTTGATTTGATGGCAGTCCTAGAAAATGATCCCGTAGCAGGATAGGCGCCTAGGAAAGGCCCAAGCAAATTGGTGGCTCCAATAGCAATCATTTCCTGGGATGGGTCGATGGAATAGTTGTTGACACGGCCGAAAGACTTAGAAATGGCAATATGTTCTATCAGGAGAACAATGACCGCAGCAGGGAGGCGGGATGCAAACAACTTGACGATCTGACCGTCGATAACAGGTACTCCGGCATTTTGGAAACCTGTACGAAGTAAGTATCAAAACCCATATTTAGGATCTAGTTCCTTTCGAAATAAGACGGTTCTCGCAAGTACTCACCTCGCGGGACAGTTCCAATGATATCGAACAGAGGATCATCTTTTCGATGTAGGTTCACCGCGGCGCTGACCATGATATAGAAGAGAATCACAAACACAGTGCGCACAGTCGACAAAAAGAAGAACAGCTTAGCATGGTGAGGGATCTTCTTAGCCGCATAATTGCAGCCAAAGCGGATCAAGTACAGCATCGCCAGCGCAGTGAACCCTAGCGAAGCATCGATCGAAGATGTGGGGAGATATTTGAGGGTCCAAATGATGGTCTGGTAGGTTGGCCCATATGTGCTGAAGTCTGCTGTCTCTCCGAGCAACTTCGAACATTGTCCAGCAATTATATTGATCGCTGATCCTGTCATGAAAGCCGAGATAGCCGGAAGAGGGATAAAGTCAACGATGAAACCAAGTCGGAGAAATCCCAAAGCCGCGATAATTCCGCCTGCAACGATGGCTAGTGCAGATGCGACAACATTTCCTGGGATGTCTGGATTTATCATCTTGGCCTCGTGTACAACCCCACCGACCAAGGTGGACATGACTGCGACGGGCTAAAAGATAGAACGATGAATTAGTTCAAGCTCCAACAGGCGTTGCAGAAAACGGACTTACCCCAATTGTGATGTCCTTTGAGGTGGCAAACAGCCAGTAAATCAACACTCCCATGAACGAGGTGTAAAGACCGAATTGCACAGGTAGCGCGGCCAGTTTCGCGTACGACATGCTCTGCGGAACAACAACACCTCCAACAGTAATACCTGGGCTTGAGTCAATATGTAGGGTCTCCTAAATGGCAATTGAAGAACATACCAGCGACCAAGTCACCTACAAGCCACTGCCAGTTGTACCGGGTGATCCAGCGCCAGAAAGGAAAGATATCCAAAAGATACATGCCGACATCGTGAAGGGATGGAATATGTTCTTGGAGCCACTCTGCTGAGGTCGGTTCTGGTTCAAAATAAGGGACAGTATCGGCGGTGCCAGCAGAGAACGCCGACTCGCCTCGTGTGACCGAATCACTGTTGGCGCCAAGGGGGTCGCAATAGGTCTTCTTGATACCTAGTAATCTTGCGACCCCACTACTGACTCTATTCTTACCCGGCATGGTTGAACAAAAAGACGAAAATCCGGAAAAGGTGTTTGGTTGTGCTTGCGCTTGGGAAGAGGTGATGGAGGCCCAATCGACAGGATATGAGACAATGAATAAGAAAGAAAAAGATCCTGTGCAATCAATGAAACGAGTCTTGAAAAATGAGCACAGGAGCTTCGAAGCTTGCAGTGGAGAGTGACACGACTAGAAAACTCGTGGTGCAAGTGAGGTATAAATAGGTGATGGAGGGGCAGTAATGGAAATACTCGGCAAAAGTACTGGAACTCACGTCAACTGGAGTGCCGCAGGCGAGAAGCAACATCTCGCCACTCATCTTGGAGCTTGACGACCCAACTGGCCCTTCGACTACGAAACATCATGATCAGCCGTATCAGACTTCGTGGGTGTGGAGCACCGTCCAACCCAATTCAAAGGTCCTACCCACCGGCGCCCAAGAACCCCAATGAAAAGCCCGTACGAAGCTAGAATATTCTGCCAATTTCCTGATATCAGTGTGTACTTGACACAGAAATTTCTGTTGTTTCCAAGACTTCAGGCTTCTTATCAATGAATAGCTTCGCCTTTGGTTTCTTCCGGTTCGTGCCCCATAAGCAATCAACATCCTACTCTGCTTCCTTGCAAATCGTAGGCCTAGGGCTAAAGCAAACGGTAATTTCTTGCTAATGGTTCAGATAAGCTCTGCGCCGACATCATTGCCTCCATTTATCAATGCCCCTTATGTTTTACTATTTTTTTTGATGTTCTCAACTGGATTAAGGCCTTGGTAGGTAGCAAAGTTGGGTGGAATGCAAATAAGCTTTTGCCCTGCCGCCACCGTCTATCATAATCGATTCTCTAGCGCAGTCCAGTGGTCAATGATGGCGGAATTTCGTCTGTTGACCGTCAGCCGTGATGGCCCACGCGTCTTCAAATCTTCGCAGTTATTGATGTACATTATTACAGACACCCCCGCCAATTAAAGAGTTCTATATCCGGCGCCCGTACCGGTGGATCTCGTGGGGACAAGGTTCATGTGGGTCTGAACTAACCAATCATAAAACGAATATAATCACGTCATTGCGGTGATTGATGGTGACACTGTCAACCACCGAAGTTGAGATCAAAGTGAGATCTGATTTGCGGTGCGGATTTGGGATCCAGACTCTATTTAACACGTGGGAAGGGTGACTGCGGCAACTTCGAATCATTTCCTTGAATGGCCTCGGCCCCAATAGCAGGCGCAGAAAATTCTTGCCTGACAATTTCTTTTGTCAAAAGAAGTACAAGTGGTTACTAAATTTTCTCTCGATCTGGGAAGTGGTATTCTACCACTACTGTCAGGAATATTCAGCGACTACCCAATTTCCTATTTGTTTTGTATGGTAAACCGGGCAGATGCAGAACTCTCGGGATGAACAATATCATATTAGTGCGTATATGGAGGCCCTCTCAAAGGTGATCTGTTACGCATTGCTATCTGATCACGGCGAGTGGTAGATGCGGCTTGGCACGATCTTACCCTTTGATCGTCACTCTTCGACCTGTGGTGGTCACGTGTCGGTGTTGCTGACAACTCCTTTCTCCCTTGCTGCTTGAGTTGTGCACGTGACCAGGGTTGCGCCTAGTTCCTGGGAATGGTTGGTTCTTGATGGCTTGTTAGTTGGCTGCAGTCCCCCTGTTGGAGGGTTCGTAACATGATCCCGGGGGTAGTTTTCATCCATCAATCGATCACCCGAGATTGATTCCGTCAATATACTAGCGCGTACGGATAATCCTGCGATCCGACACTCTATTTAACCCGTTTCCTGCCCGTAGAACCGTGTCTCGACCAGTGATGACGTATATGCGAGCTCCCCAGAACGGGTGGGTCCACAGGAACACGACAAATAGGGAGATCAGCGGCTCCCGCGTTAAAGTTTAATTACTGTTTTAACCCCACCCCCAAGGTTGTGCAACCAAATGCCTCCCCATTTCAAGTATTCCCCATTGCAATCTCTTCAGACGCGGTATGTAATTGGAAGCTAACGATCTATCGTGGATGCAGACCGATAGTGGGAACATATTACTCTCGCACACCAGTATCACTAATATATAGACTCGGTGTCACGGGCCAGTGCCCGGTATTGGTCACGTGTGTCACGAGACCTTGGCGTGTTGACGTGGAGAACGCTCACGGAACTTCTCTCTTCAATCTCTTTGTACACATTTCGTGGTCTAGTTAGATTAAATTTAAGTCTGGCTTCAGCCCTTCACACTCGGAGCACTAAGGCGGTAGCACCCTCCCTAATAAACCGAATATTACGAAACTTGTGACAAGCACAGCCAACTGAGGGGTTACGACCTACCGATGGGCCACCGAGAGCCAACCGATTCTGGAACAGCGCATTCGTTCCATAGGTCACGTGATCATAATGGGAATCTCAAATGCAAATGTCACGTGATGGCCCATCCTATCGTAGGATATCCTTATCAGGAAATGGGATCGGAGACACTGAGGAATAGGACCCGATCCTATCGGGAAATAGGAAGGATTATATATATAAGGACATTCATTTACGCACATTTATTTAGTTCTTCGCGATCAATCATACATTGTTACTTGGATCTAGACTGTCAAATTCCTATGGGATGTTACGCGTTGCTATTGTGACGGATGAACCTGGGAATAGCCTCATCTCGTGGAAGGATGCCTGAGGCATAATATTGGGTCGTTTGCACTACGCGTTTTCTGGGGACCTAACCCCTCTTTTTCTGGCGGACTTTCTTTCTTTCTCTCCTTCTTCATCTTCGAGGTTCTCGTCCTGTAGGCACCGAATGAATCTGTTTCTTTCGAACGGCCTGCAACGGCTATCTGGTCACGGTGAGTGGTCAACCGTTGATCAACAACTTACCAGTCGTTGATCGGTACAATAACGATATGTGCCGGTGTGTCCAAAAACGGCCCTCTGAGCACCACCGGTAATCCTTAAGTATCGACTCGCAACCGTACCGTTGCCGTAGTAGGCCTTATACGGGCTCGGGTCCTATTGAGTAACTTCGAAGGATGTGCCAGATAGAGCGCTAAGTAGGTCAGTCTGAAGAGCCCCCCTACCTGTAGGATATTTGATCTAAGTAATAATGTGTAATTGATCGCGAAGAACTAAATATCTGCGTGTAAAGGAGTGTCCTTATATATTGAAGAGGGGAACGCTCGATGGCAGTACGCGCTGAGACGTGCGGGTCGATTCAGCGGAAAACCACCACAAAGCACACGCGTAGCTGTCAGGAAATAGCGAGAATCCCAAATGTAGGGGTCAGGTGGGGAGGTGTAAGAAAGTGTATTCTAGAACTAGTGTTGGTATCACCAGCTAGGTACTGTGTACACAGTTAAGTGGACAGCATGCGTGCTCGAAAAGCAAAAGTCAATTGGTTCATGTAGATAGATGTAGATGTGTACCAGGTCCGGTCCAAAATACCCCTGAATCCCATACTCCGATACTCGGTGGTCTCAACACCGGTGCCGCAGCTTGGCGCAAGGTCACCCAGCACAGGAATGTGATCTATCAGTCACCAGCGGTAAGCTGCCGCTAGCTTGTTCTGACAAAAGGATATGTCCCGACAACTAGCTATCCGGCCACTGTATACTGCCGCCCATGTCACACAGCCTGGATGGCACCCACGTAGTAGGGGGAGGGGTCTCCCCACTACAATATATAGTCTTTCTGTATACTCCTGCGGCTACACTTAGAGTCACTGTGGGAGTCGACGTATACTCTATTGTATACCCCCGGTAGACCTCGCCACGACCCTGATATTGGGTCCCTCCTACCGACTCGCGTCCCGGACCTGGACGGTTCCGGTTCCGAGCCTTACGACCCGGACCGACCCTCAGGGTCATAAAATCTCGTCAGGGTCACCCTGACTACGACCTTGACTACCCTGGATTGCATTATTCTTTTACGCCTTTCCTGGTTAGGATGAATAAATTGGCTGACATATCATTATATATTACTGTTTCTTATAGTTACCTGTTCTGTATGTCTATGATTCCATCAATTTTCATCCACCCCCTATGTAATTCTTTGAATTAAGTCTTTTGAATACGTCTTCTCGCTTGGTAATACTAAACTTGCCCTCTTTTCTATCTAAGAGGAATTGTTGTGGTGTGTTTTATAGAAAGTTGGTGAAATTGGTGTGTAAGGATGCGGAAATATATTTCGAATGTATGAGATAGTTGCACTACATTCCGCAGAACTTAAACACTATCCTAACTCCTGTGGTGATGGTCTTCAAAACCTAGTCAGTGACCTAGGAAGGACCGTGGCTATCGCAATGAAAGGGAAATCCTATGGGAATCCTATCCTATGCCATAATATTCGGGTGGGATTCGGGATAGGAAATTCTCTCCCACGGTCAGTCTGACTACCCTGAGGGTCACCCTGACTACCCTGAGTGTTGAAATATCACGGTTACTGGGATAATCATGGGGGATGGGATCACGTGCATGCATATCTACCTGTTCACCAGTCTACTTGTATCTTACACAATCAACTCCCCTCAACAACATGAACACTGAAGCATCACTTATAAATCAAAACTGAGGGTCACCCTGACTACCCTGAGGGTCACCCAATTAGCTTGAGGATTTGAATAAAAAGCGGGGTTTAGATGTGATCTATCAAGCAAACAATCAGATAATGCAGAATCAGCATGTACCTCTACCCCTAAGTCCTTTCGCCTAACACCAAAGAAAAATCTCGGTAAGTCCTTCCTTCTTATACACAGCTTCATCATGTCTCAGTCATCTGATATATTCCTCTCCTCTATACATGATGCGCCACCTTCGGATTTCCTTGAATACGTTGCTAATTCTACACCAGCTCAGCCTTTCTCCCCCGTCCCCTCCGGAAGCCAACAGACCGTGTACGAGCCTCTGAAAGCCCCCGAATGCCTTAAACTCGTTTGCCCGGACCGGATCAGAACATACATTCTATATTCTCCAGAAATGAGTGATGAATTTGTGACTTGGTGGCTTCAGACCGACTTTGGGAGGAAGAAACGGATGTCTTGGGATGGGAAACGCGCAAAGTGCTGGGAATACTTTGACCAGGTCGCCTTAGACAGAAATGGGAAACCAGGAGTTATGTGCCAGCAATGTCAGAAGGTTCTTGATCACCCTGGTTGGGCTCATAGCGGAACAACTTCAATGAACAAGCACTATAATGGGGTGACTTGTCGGAAAGCTGCCCTAGCCAAAAGGCAGAAGCCAAATATCAAGCTGGCATTAGAGCATGCTGTATGTTCAGCATCCTATTATCGGCTTTATTTTACTAACTTACTTCTACGCCTAGGCTCAGAATACACCCGTACGAACATTCGATACGCGTATTTGGCAGCAGAAGCTTGCGAAGCTTCAAAATTCAACGAACGCTAGCCTATCAATCGTCATAATATATAACAAAAGGCCCTCTGTAATGGGAACTTGGCCGATGGTCATCATTGCTTTTGACGAGCGAATGCAGTTGGCTCTAGCACTGTTGCCGCCCCCCCGGGACGGTCTCAAGCCATTGCTCCCTACCCAACCAGAGATAAACAAAATGCTTCAGCCCTCAAGTGCTCCAAGTGGAAATCAAATAGGCCAAACGACGATCCTCGAACAAGCTTTATTCAGTACACCATCCAGTGGTCCAACCGAAGCTTTCCAACTCAAAATACCATTCTCACTCACTCTGTTACGGGCCGTTCGAAAGAAACACATTCATTCGGTGCCTACTTACGAGAATCTCGAAGATGAAGAAGGAAAAAGAAAGAAAGAAAGAAAGTCCGCCAGAAAAAGAGGGGTTAAGTCCCCAGCAAACGCGTTGTGCAAACGACCCAATATTATGCCTCAGGCATCCTTCCACGAGACGAGGCTATTCCCAGGGTCGTCCGTCACACACTCTCGGTCTTGATGACCGGCCCACGACCAGACGACGCGGGAGAAGGTTCATTAGGGAACGGCTTTCGTGCCCAAACGCGACGACTAGATCTCATCAGCGACATCACAACAGAAACAGGAAAAAAACTCACGCGCGCTCATAGATATGATGGCGAGGATTCTGCAGCTCAGCCCTCAGCTTAGCAACATAAACAATAACTTCTTCCTGGGTCCATGGGTGCGGAGCACCGTATTTCGTAAGCAACCACATTGCCCAGCCCTCCATACCAGACATCCAATGCTGATAGTTGACTGTGCCAGCCTCTTTGTACTTCTGATCGCGAGCCCATGGGCCAATGGGCCACTTGTACTGTTTTTCATGGATCTCAACGAAACCCGCATCACGGACGGCATCTTGCATCATGTCAATTGTTTCGAGCGGCCGGCCCGCGCGCTTGCCGCATTCAGATAAGGCGGGACCCCAGGTCCGCAGGACATTGTCGGCCGGTAGGCTATCGTCGTCACATTCGATGTAAGGGCTTGCTTCGAGTTGCTCAATCCAGCCGCCCGGGCGAAGGTTGCTATAATTTCATTTTAGACTGAGACTTGTGTGGAGTTCAATGTTGGGGGCTTACTCGAAACATTGCTTGTACACGCGGGCCCATTCCGCTGCGTCGAAGGAGCCGATCATGAGGCGCATGTGGATTAGATCTTGCGGTTCATTCCAGGTCCAGTCTTCGGCGATATTGTCGACTTCTAAGATGCAGTTCGGTGGCATCCAGGTTACTGGTGGTGGGAAGAGGTCGACTCCGCGGACCGTGGCTGAGATCTGGTCAATTTTTTATGCATTTAAAGTCAATGTCGGTTTTAATCTGACTCACCCATGGGAAACATGTCGGCAACATCTCTTAAGAAGGATTAATATGATTCTTTGCGATGGCTAAAAGAGGGCAGGTCGCAAGGGATATTATTTTTCACTTACACAGCCCAATTACCCTGACCTGTTCCAATGTCGAGGATGTTTTTTGGGTGGTCTCCAATAGGCGAATGGAAGAGCGGGTTTTCTCTCTCCGAGTCCATGACAAGGGCAACCAAATGCCTGCAATGGTCAATATATATTATGAACATAAGACGAGTGCACATACCCAGCTTCATAAGTTTCGAACATTTTATCGTCCGATGGATTGCTGATCAAACGTAAGCGGCGGTGCCTCTACCACGGAATCCATGCTTACAGATATTCTTTGCGGCTCAATGTTTGATACCTGAGACAGAATGAGCTATGAATGGGAGCCATGATACTGAATGCCTACCGACGACCATTCTCTTCCAGTCCGCGATAAATTGAGGAGCCGATCGACGTGGTTTCCCTGAGATTGTCAGACTTGCGACTCGCGAATTGAGGGGACACTTACGATTGCCAGTCATTGTCATAAGGCTGGGCGCTGCAATAGAGATCGGGATCCTAGTTACCGGTCAAAGACTTAGAAACATTAGACAACACAGCTAAAGAAAAAAAAACATACGATGGCGATTTCCGGTTCCACGACCTCGTGTCGCTTGGCCATTGTTGATTTCTTTTCCGTGCAAAACGGGACAACCACCTAGGAGGACAGCTGAAGAGCTATAAGTATATATGTACAAGGGAGACCATGAGAAGGACGAGTGAACACAAAGTGGAAAAAGGGGAAACGTTGGGGAGAGAAGTGGGGTAACTCCGATGATGCCTGAGGCACAAATGTCAGCCACGTACTTTATTTGCATGTGACGGACGAATGGGATGGCGACCTAAGAAAGCGCCAGTCCCCGCGCGTGAGAAAAGGGACAGGTGTCTTGTCAATGACAACGCATGGGAATGCTCCATTAGTCAAGGTGCTTACTTAGCTCCGGAACTAAATCCCGCGACATCCGATGGGCGGTGATTGGGTGTTTACTCTCTCGGGGCGGCCACCTCACCGCTCGGCGATCGCGCCGCACTGCACCTCAACATGTGGTCTCCGGTCCCGTTCACATCAATCACCATCAAAACACCATCATCACCAACCCTCACCATCAACACACCATCAGTTTTGGTATCTATACAACTCTAAGAGGGAGTTGACTGCCATGATTGTTCAACTCCAAACTTCTTATGGCGAGCGAAGGCTATGGCTGACCCGAAATTCCCGGGCGGAGCTGAGTGGCAAAGGTCCATATTGCTTTCAAGGGAAGTTTGATGAGGACCTACAAATTTCTCCATTCACACCAATCGCGGCGAGCTATGTCGTTGAGTCGTCTGATCCGTATGCTGATCCTTTGAACAAGCTTAAAATTATGGTTACATTGAAACAAGGAGACAAGAAAATCATGCACCCTGTAGTAAATTCTACTAGAGCGCCTTTCGATGCTGCCTCTGCAAGCCAAAGTTCCCGTCTGCTTTTCCTCATGAAATGGTGGTGGTCCAGCTCAGCAAATTGCATTTCAAAGGGTTCCAACAATTTCAGGAGAAAATCAAGAATGCCTCCGCGACTACGTGCAGACTTTTCGATCAGGTTCGTGAATTTAAAAGACACTCCTCCCAATTTTGATATACTTGGAAGTATAAAGACCCGATTAATCGTCGTAAGAGACATCCTTTCCCAATGTGGGCGCAGGAGGGTTTTGCAAGTTGGTACTAACCGGCCCCACATAATAATTTACGAATATTACAGTGGGAGGTCATAAGTTTTTAACACGCTGTTTGCCCCACCCTCCTCACCGCTAATACCGCCTACCTAAATCGCGTACTATAGAACACGCTAAAATAGTTCGTCGAGGTCGCGTTAGTTGAAAAGACATATTTCCTCCTCATTTGCCTGCCATTTGCCTGCCATTTGCTGCTTTTTGCTGCTTTTTGCCTGCGATTTTGCATATTATGGCTCGTTCGAAAGAGCTTACACCTGCTATTCGAGAGCGTATCTGCGAGCTCCATGCGATTGGGTGGGGATATAGACGTATTCACCAGCGTTATCCCTATATTCCAATCTCTACTATTCGATATTCAATTATCAAAGAGCGTGAGAGACACGAAGGTGTCTCGAAGCCTCGATCTGGCCGGCCAAAAAAGCTCTCAGAAGCTGAGAAAGATCGTCTCTTGAACGCAATTCATGGAGACCCAAAGATTCAATATGAAGATCTCCTTGCTGAGGTAGATTATAAGGTTAAAAAGCGCTCTATTCAACGCCTTCTAAATGCTGAAAATATGCGGAAATGGCGATGTCTTTGGCGACCATATTTAACTGATGAGCATGCAGCAAAACGACTCGCCTGGGCATATCGCTATCGCTATTTCACCTCTGAAGATTGGGCTCGAGTCTTTTGGTCCGATGAATGCACAGTTGAACGAGGAATTGGTATACGCAGAGAATGGTCCTTTATCCGCCCCAAAAATCAGCCTCAAGAAGGGCAAGTCCAGGGCCTCCCGTATAAAGGAAAACAAGTTAAACAGATGTTCTGGGCCGCCTTTTCAGGGGCTGAACGACGGACTGGACTTATCCCACTTTTCGGGGATCCGAATTCAGAACGACAAGGTGTGAATCGCTTTGTTATTGAGGAGTTATATCGCCGAATCCTTCCTATTCTAATGCAGAATGAGGATGGGATATTCCAGCATGATAATGCTCCTACACACACCGCACGCGTTGTCCGAGATGCCCTAGCTGAGATGAATATTGAGGTTATGGAGTGGCCACCTCATTCGCCAGATTTGAATCCTATTGAGAATCTTTGGGCTCTTCTTAAAGCAAAGATTTATGAGCTTCGACCTGATCTTATTCATATTGTGATAACTCAACAGAAGGGATTGTCTGGTTCTGAAAACTATCTGGGGCATACGGTCTTATATACACTAGCGTACTGAATCGGAGATTCAGTATTCCGAATGGAACTTAGTAAGCCTGTTCCACACTGTACTGACTGACCTAACCAGGGTTGTCAGTACCAGACCATACCGCGTATTCTGTGCCAAATATCACAATATGAAAAATAATGATGAGACTAAGGTTATTTTAGTGGACACAGCTCAGCAAGCGTGGGGTGAATTAGAAATACGTCATTTTCAGCACCTTTCAGCTACTATGCCACACCGTGTTGAAGCAATTATTGAGTGAGAAGGGTGGTATACTAAATATTAGGTTGCTATCGGGGAGAAATATATTATACTGAAGGTTTTTGACTGGCAGAATCTTATATAATCTAGGGGGTGTGGGGCGGGTGTGAAAAACTTATGACCTGACACTGTACTCGACCCTCCTACGGAGGGTCCGCCACCCAAACGCTAGCTACCACCCAAACGCTAGATTTTCAAACATTTCAACTTCAACTTCAAATTACATCAACACACATCGTAGATTTACATATTTTATTGGATAAAAGGTTATATTAGGTCCTAAACTATACAAATCCAAAAAATTGGGGTTTTTCAGACGTTTTTGAGCTCGCCCGTACTTCCTGATCTCTACTAAGACCTTCTTCCACCTCTGTCTCTGCCGCTTTTGATCAGCTTCCTCACTTAATTTATACTCCTTTCGCTTTATTTCCTTGACTTGACTAGGAGATATAATACCAGTGATTCTTGCATGGCGTCGGGAGGCATTCCGCCGAGCAAGGCGTGCAGCTGTAGCAGCTTGAGTTGTATCAAACTGGCGCTGTAATTCGGATGCCAAGGTCACAGTCATTTCAGCACTTTTTCTGAGTTTTTCCAAGGCCTGTTTGTAGTGTGAAGAAGTAGGATTATGAGTATCAATATAATCACTAATCCTTCGCACTTTTTTGGCTGTTTTTGGGGTGCTGAAGTCGCTATGTTGTGATGTTGTTGGTGGTGTAGTATCTCGAGATCGATCATTATCATTGTCATATAAAGACAATTCATCTGTAATTAGGTTTGAATTAATTGGCCAGAGGCCAGTTAATTTAAACCCATACTTGCTTGTTTGAGGACGAAAGGTCTTATGACGAATTTGAGTAATTGCATAGAGAAATTCATCCTTTGTGAACTTTGTGCAACCAGTCGCTGTTGCAGCTTCAATCGCCTCACTATGCCAGTGCTTATAAACATTAAAAACACCAACATCAAGAGGTTGCAGGATATGACTTGAATGTGGAAGTAAGAAGAATAATACTATATTATTCTTCTCACAAAACTGGATGAACTGCCTAGTCAAATGGGATCCAAAACGATCACATAAGACAAGGCGTTTTGCCCCTTTTGTACGACTAACTGTCCACTTATGAAAGAGCTGGATCCACTGGTAGGCTAAAACATCATTCATATAGCCAGTGTCAGTGACAGCAATATGCTCATCACCATGTAAGCCTTCAAACCATCGTAGTAATGCCTGTCTTCCACTCAGAATTATAAGTGGTGGACAGGTAAAACCATCAACCGAGATTGCCTCTAAAACAGTAACAGATTCACGATTTGTGATAGAACAATTAAAGAGTTTCTTTCTTGGCTCTCTTGTGATGATATATTGATCTTTTCCAACACCAATTTGGAAGCCTGTCTCATCGAAATTGTAGATATCTTCAGGTAGGATACCATGCTCAGTCACAACACGTTGATAGTCCGTAAACCATCTTTCAACCACTGATTTGTCTAATGCAGTAGCTCTTTCGATATCGATAGCTCTCCGGCGACGACGGTAGAGTTCAGGATGGCGTTGAAGAAATCGTGCTAGCCAGTGTTCACCGATTTGTGGTGGTTTTGTGTTCTTGTCTGAATGAGCTTCTTCAAGAATTGAATTGGCAGCAATACTGATTTGCGCACGGTTTATCGATAACCCGACTGTATCAAAGTAATTGATATACTCGCAGAGAGCTAATTCTTGTGCAGGATTGAGCTTCCGACCGTTAGGTTGTCGAGTGAAAAGGGATTTTTGCCCTTTCCAGCGCCGACGAAGCCGATCCACAGGAACCGCGAATTCTCGCGCAGTTTTCGCGAAATTGGGCTTTGACTGATCTTGAAGTGATGCCAGGGCTTTGAGGACTTGATCCTCGATCTCTCGATTATTTTTAGGCATTGTTGGTGGAGTTGTTGATGATCAAAAATATGGTGTAGGTAAAAGTGAAAATCTAGCGTTTGGGTGGTAGCTAGCGTTTGGGTGGCGGACCCTCCTACGGAGGGTCGAGTAATATTCGTAAAATATTATGTGGGGCCGGTTAGTTGCTTCATGGTCGGATTGAACAGGTGGTGATTTCTTTCTTTCCGACCTCATCAGGTACAAAACAGCCAGCGCAACCGTTATTGCGCTTACCGGGCTGTTTGTTTGTAGCATATTAGCATTTCATGTGACGTATTTTTTCAGGCAATGTATTTTTTGTATTATCGAACGGTGAACAATGATCAAAGAAAGCGAGGTATTTGGAAGCAACATTTGGTTTCGCTTTCCGGCCTCTGATGACCATTTCGTGGAGAAATAGCGTACGCCAAATGGCTGGTTGAGTATCTTCAAAGGAGCCATGGGTTCCCAGACACTCGTGGCGATGACTTAAATGGTAATGTCAACATTTCGTTTTGTGACCACCAAGGAGAAATTCATCCTTTTCTGATCGAAAATGTACGATGCATGCAGTAAGGGTCTCCGTTGAACTCATCAGATAGAATTCTCCACGGTGACTAATACCATGCTTCCGGTTGGGCTTTCACAAGACGCCAAAAAGCAAGGTAACTTGATAGCCTTCTTGATTCAAGCATAGATGGAGAGTAAATTTATCCGACTGCAATGCATGACCGCAGGCGCAAAATTGTATGTCTGTTTCCAATACGAAAGAGAAATGCTAGCTTTCAAAGCTCGCGGGATTAGGTTGCTCTTCATCCACTTTACCTGCACAATATCAAATACAATAAAACATCACTAATGTCAATTAAAATTACCATGAATTCTAACGCGCTTTCCTTTATTTGTTGAAAGAGACTCGAAATTCGAGCACGCAGGGCCTGCGGTGCTCAAAGAAACACCACAACTGTGTCATGACACGTTATGAAAACTTGATTCTCAGCAGCTGCATAAGCTCAAAAGATTTGCCAACCCTCCAACACAACGCCGAGATGGGAAAATCTCGCTGAAGCTGTCACCCTGATAGAGCAGCAGAGGGGACGACCGTATGCTACCTTGCAGTATTCATGTTGTCATTTCATTGGAGGAACTTCCTGATTATGTGCTGGGATTGGTTCATAAAAAGCCCAACTACCACCCCTTTATCGCTGATGTGGCTTTCACAGTTCCTTCAAGTAGTCTGTGGAGCCCTATGACAAGTACAACGGTGACGACCAGGAAGTTGAACACATTTGCCCCATCAAATGTGATAGCGTAGTATGTCCAACCTAACGTAGGCGGAAAAGAGATTTTGGTAACCACAATAGCCCAGGACATCATCCAAAGGAGGTTTGAGCCTAAGGCTTGGTAAAGATACCAACGTGGCGATGCTGCTAGTAAAACAGCTGCTAACTGATAACCAAGACCATAAAATATATAGGTCCAGTCAACCACCTGTATGCATGAGCAAACAATCTTCTTATTCAAACGTGCGCAGATCAGCACTCACAATCCACATTTTCTGAGTAACATCAGCTACAGACGTGGAACGAGAGAGATAATATGCGAATGCGCTAATTCCATGTTCCAGAAGCGAGGCGAAAAGCAGAAGTTCAAAGAAAAAGGCGAGTAGACAAGATAAAAGGGCGGGCCGCAAGATTTCTTTACTGGGTTAGTATTGCCTCTCAATCAAACCATCTTGTACTTGCCCATGATTTCTTTTCGAGACGCTGTGGGGTATTCTGTATTTTTTGTCGCTCGGAAGTGTCCCCAACTGTGACCAACGAACGCGAGCGTAGATGCTTCGAGTACTTGCACAGGGACCATTACCAGACCCCAGCGAACGGTGTTGAAAACACCCCAGGCTGTTGTATAAAGGTCACCGAGTTGTATGATCTTATGGACAACCCAGAGGTAGATAGCGTTCCTGATAGCGGACTCTGTGAATGTATAAATGCTTGGTCGAAACAAAGTCTTGAGTGCCGACATCTTAATCCCCAATCCATTTCGTTCGCCAGATGCCCTCCTGTGGGACTTGACAATATAGACCAGATATGCCATACCTGCAAGAGCTGAAAGACTATCACAAATGAGTCGAATAATTGCTTGGAGTAAAACAGATGGCCTGGGGTGTTCGAGATGAAACCTTGAAATGAGAAGCAAATCCAATACGATATTGATGATGAACTTGGTCGTGTTTATCAATAAAGGCACATCGGGATTATCCAATGCGCGTGTTGTTGATGATACAGCCGCTTCCACCGATGAGGTCAAAAATTGGACAGATGACAAACGCACGTATTCGATGGAGGCTCGTCGAACCTGTTCCGGAACGAATGCCGATGCAAGGCTCTGCGGGTAGCTACATAAGGGAAGCCATACCGCCGCAGGACAACCGCCAGACCTGGCTTCCGTCAATGTTGCGTTCCGTGTAGCTCCCGGTGTGCACACAGTCCTTCAATTCTTCTGTCTCACCTAGGAATTCATTTGGATTCAACCTGGATCTGCACTATCGGTACATGATTCCGACGATTGGATAGCGGCTGTCGAATACCTAATCTATCCGTCGCTCGTGCCTGTATGGTATGCCTCCCGCTCTGTTGAATAAATACTTGAAGGCGAAAGAGCTGCCACTCAAACTGCTTCCGAGGCGTCACACTGGCCTCACTCCAAGTGTGTCCCTGATCAGTACTAATTTCAACTCGCACAATCTCCACTGCGCCCCATGCACGGCCCCAAATCTCAACATAATCAGGACAGGAAAAGCGGTCTTCCGGACGAGGCCGTACTATCATCGAATTAGGCTCCACCTTCCAGACAGGCCTTTTCCGTATCCCCGACGCATCTGTGGGATCAATCTCATTATAAAAAGTCGTCGTGAACGGGCTTGGAGATCTCGTCTCCTGCACAGACAAGCGACATAGCCATTTCGTCGAATTCGTCCCGAACCATCCTGGTACAACCAGTCTCACCGGTCCACCGCGCTCCTTACCCAGAGGCTGGCCGTTCATCTCGTATGCCACCAGGGCCTCCGCTGATAGAGCCTTTTCAATAGGCAGGTCCTTTTGGTACCGGTCGGCAGAGACTCCAGCGAATGTGCCTGAATCCAGCCCATCAGACCAAACAAAATATCCTCGCGCAAGATCTGGCCGTGCAATTGCAAGTAGATACCGTAAAGGGACTCCCTTCCATTCGACGTTCCCGATTCTCCAGACATTCTTCGTTGGATCCGTGAGCGGGCTTCCGTAGCACTCATGGAACGACATGACTGATGCGTGCGGCATCTGCCGTAATTGTCTCAAATTTATGGAGAAAGGACGCTCGACGAGCCCGTCTAGTATGAGCTTCCAGCGACTTGTGTCCACGACTGGAGCTCCCATGTGGATTGTTTGGAATAAGCATCCTTCAGGTGTAATGTCTTCTTCGAGCTCATGGGGTTTAGGGGGTTGGCGGATGAAGAGGCCATTCGATTGAAGTTGGATCAAACCTTCACGCTCTGAGCCGAGGCGATAGTCACTGCGATCAATGAAATCGACCGGGGCTGGATAGATATCGGCCATGATGTGCGAATTCTGAGGGACAACATGTCAGACGGTGGGAAGTGGCGAGAAAGATGTCCAAAGAATGGATCGAAATATATCCGTCAATACAGTATTCTCTGGTCTTCCACGTTACCCGCTGCTGCCGCATTATCCGTTGCGCCTTCTGATAACATGGCTCCACAATGAACTCAATTAGAATCAAAAAAATATCCCTGATCTTAAATAATCTTCAGTTGCTATTCATAAGCCGTAGTCAAGCTTTCGATATCTCTTGAATCTTATGGAGGGAAACCTCTCCGCGCGAGGCAAAGCCTTCGCAGCACAGAAGCCAACATCCCTCGAGGTATTGAGTGATTTGTGGGATCCGATATCTAACCCCGATGGGATCGTGAATATTGGTCTTGCCGAGAATGTGAGGAACAAAATTCGCCCTCAACTTCGTCGACATTAATAACCTTTTAGACTCTCATGCACGCGGAGATGGAGAGGTTTATCAATTCTAATGTAAGTTTCCAAGATGACTTTCGTAGTCCACGCATGATTGCCTGGGCCTAGGTTTTGGTATTAAGTAGCGTCCGGCAGCTGCGAATCGATGCACATGCATTGACCTATGGAGACGGGTTCAGCGGATCGCACAAGCTCAAAAAAGCCATCTGTCATTTCCTGAGCCGTCTTTTTTCTCCCCGGATTGCGCTACGGCCCTCCCATCTTGCCATTACATCCGGCGTCAGCAACGCAATAGAATGCTGTGCCTGGGCTCTAGGAGATTCTGGGGATTACATTCTGGTTGGACGGCCGTATTTCAATGCATTCAAGACAACGTTTGGAACCCGACCAGGGTAAGGAATCCCCATCAAAATTCCGGATGACGCCGAACTGACTTTTGCAGAATTAACCTTATCGAAGTCACGTTCGGAGTAACAGATCCATTTAGCATGGCTGCAGTTGAACGGTACGAGAAGGCATACTCTGAAGCCAAAAACAAAAATTTTCGCATCAAAGCTCTTCTACTGTGTTCACCACATAATCCCCTTGGTTTGTTTCTGCGTCTTGCTTGGGTACATTTTGAGCATCAATTAACAAGAATTTAAGGACGCTGCTATTCTGAAAATTTACTAAGAGAATACATGATGTTCTGTACCAGACATAACATTCACCTAATCTCTGATGAGATCTATGCTCTCTCAGTCTGGGAGAACCCTCGTCTGCCAGGCGCCGCAGGGTTCAGATCAATCTTGTCTATGAATACAGATGGTTTGATTGAACCAAGCATGGTGCATGTTGTATGGGGATTAAGTAAAGTATGAAACGCTCTTCAATTGAACTAGACGAAGCTTGATTTATCATTTGCCTAGGATTTTGGCGCGACAGGCCTGAGGATTGGTTGCTTGGTTAGCCAGTCAAATATGAAGCTTTTAGAGGCTGCTGATGGCATTTCGTGAGATTGTACCGCGTACTTGACCTCGGATTATGTGCTGATATTCCCTCTCTCGTTAGCCTCCACAATTTCCCCTCAAGCCTTGCAGACCAAGTTTCGACATCTCTCTTACTGGATGACACGTTCACAAGAGACTACATCGCGACTAATCAAATTCGCTTGGCAGAAAGCTACCATTTCGCGACGGAATTTCTCCAGTTCCACCATATTCCATACATTGAGTGTAATGCCGCATTCTTCATATGGATGAACTTGGGAGCCGCAGTCAAAGATCGGACAGCCACTGATAAGGATATTCTGGCAAGACTCCGAAAAGAGAGTGTGTACATCGCGGCTGGGACCATCTATGCCGCCGAGGAAGCTGGGTGGTTTCGAATGGTGTTTGCGCATCCTCAGAATTTGTTGAGTGAGGGACTCAATCGAATGCTTCGGGCTATTCAATGATAGGTATTTCTTGCAAGAGACAAGGGAATCCTGCGTATGTGGTCGTGCAACTTTACTATCTGCCGCTCTGCTCGCCTGGGCTGAATCTGATCGATCAAGTGTTTTGCAGAGCTCAAAGCGACATAAATCATAACTAGAGCTTAATATGGAAAAGACTTTCAACCAAGATTTTCCAGTGTTGCCATGTTCCACATCAAATTGCTTCTTATCCAACAAAGAAAGTCTTTATCCGCAACTCCATTGACCTTGCAGAATGACGGAATTAAATTCTTTTAATACCACGTTCCATGATTATGCAAAAAATACTGTCGATATAAGGGCAGTATTTTACCACTAAGGACAGGCTGATCCAGCATCTACACTTTTCTCCATATTTTTTGTATGACATCGGGTTAATTCGGAATACTCGTGTTGTAACATGTTACGGGCCGTTCAGAAGAAGTACATTCATTCGGTGCCTACTTACGAAAATCTCGAAGATGAAGCAGGAAGGAGAAAGAAAGAAAGTCCACCAGAAAAAGAGGGGTTAAGTCCCCAGCAAACGCGTTGTGCAAACGACCCAATATTATGCCTCAGGCATCCTTCCACGAGACGAGGCTATTAACAGGTTCATCCGTCACATAACATACCAATACTAGGCTGCACGGCTATAAGAGGCTCCGAACGGCGATCTCATGGATAGTTCCTCAAACAATCATCCCAATTCTTACCTCAGCACCAGTGTGTACGTTGTGCTCATCTCTTCCTTGCATGGGCTGATGAAACATAGGCATCATTTACCATCCTCGTTAATGGTTGGAGAGCCCGGAATCGGGGTGCGTGCATGTCCATTGGCTCTGAATTCGGGTTGGATCAAGACCAGATTTGCGAGTAGATGGCGGTCTCGTCATAAAGATCCCGTAGCTCTGGACAAATGGTTGGTGGGTAATAAACGAAAGTGGCTAGTGAAGAAAGGAGGTATGGCATGGAAGCACAGTAGAAGGTGTTAGGATGAGGAATTGATGTAGTGGCTAGTACTGAACATGTCCAATAGAATCAGATGATTGATTGAAGGCGTTAAGATCGGTTGAGCGATCTCAGGGGTCTCTATATTTGAACTATGGCGTGTTATGACACCATACTAGGTGGAAATTGCGTGAACGATGAATAAGCCGATCCCGAAGGGTCCTAGTCGTATTTGACCACTTCCTCAGTTCGTCAACATGGATTAAAATCCTTTTCATTCATCAAAATAATTCAGCGCAACCTTCAGACAACTGATATACCAAAAAAAGATCAATATTACAGCTGCGGATGTCATTTATATATCGAAGAAAGGAATTCTCGATGGTAGCACGTGCTGAGACGTGCGGGTCGATTCAGCAGAAAAACCACCACAAACACACGCGTGGCTGTCAGGAAATAGCGAGAAACCCAAATGTAGGGGTCAGGTCGGGGAGGTGTAAGAAGATGTATTCTAGAACTAGCTACCCGGCCACTGTATACTACCGGCTATGTCACATAGCCTGGATGGCACCCATGTAGTACTGGGAGGGGGTCTTCCCACTACAGTAAAATATAGGGGAACTCTGCCGCCTAGATGTGGGGCTAAAGTGGCAACAACCTAGGTGGATACGCAGGATAGCGGATCTATTCGACTCTTAGGGTTTCTCCGACGGTTCAGCGAGAATGATTTGGTTTGAAGTGGACCCTCGTACCTCGTACCAAAGTTATCAAAAATGATTCCTTGGATTTAGCAAAGGGGGTTTGCCACCGTCACGTACCTGTTGGTTTGAGGTCCGATAACTATCAATATGAGGTACGAAGGATCTCACAAGTAGTTTCGGTCTGCTGGAAACCTAATTACACCTGTCATTAGGGGCCACCTGGCCATATGGCAACATCGGGGCTAGTTTTGGCGATCGGGTACTTATAATTTTAGATAGGGGGCAAAGTCTTAAGGTTTAAGCTTGTTCTAACCCAGCAAGTAAGGTTTCACGGAATAGCAGACGCAGTTAGCCTGGCCCATTTCGCGTGCCATATTTATCTTGTCACCCGCTGTGGCCTCCCCGCTGTGACCTGGCCAAGACACGCCACCTCACACACGTCTCCACCATTCTTCTGTACCGTAATCCTCCCTCTACGGGGCTCTCCGCGTCCACAATTATTGTCGCAGCAATCCGCTACATCGCCCCCTTTATATTGCTATTAAATTGAAAGAAATAGGAAGTTGTCTTGTGCCATGGAACTAATTCTAGGTAGCAAAGTAAAAGTGCTCCTTCGCAGTGTTGCCTGTATCTACCTTCTCCTTCTCAAAACATTTTCCCCCGAAATTTTGACCAGAATTCAGAATATCAGTCTTCGTATCTCTACAGAATTTTGCAACCATCGCACATGAGGAAGACGACTGCCTGGGCTAGGGCCAGGGAAAATGTCCTTTCAAGACGGGAGATTGAAGGCATGATTGCCGAAAAGAAGCATATCATCATCCTCGACGGTAAAGTGCTTCAACTGGATTGTTGGATCAAATTCCACCCCGGCGGCCCCCTAGCCATTAAGCACATGATAGGCAGAGATGCCACAGACGAAGTGAACGCGTACGTACTCGATTTGTCTTACCAGTTGCCAATTTACTGACAAAGTCTGAAGACTACACTCACAGAAGGCACTTCTGAACATGAAAAGTTTTCAAATCGGTACCATCGAGGGAAGGTGGGCCAACTTTCTTCCTCCTATCCAAGGCGGCAGCTTCCGCCTATATAATGAATATGGGGCAGAAGAAGAGCTCCTTCTGAGCTCTGAGCTCTCAAGTGAAGACCCGTCGCCACCGCCATCTCCGCTTTTTGAAGCAGAGGACGCCGGCTTAAGACACAGGCTTTCAATATCTACCATATCCTCTGCAGTCAACACTGCTCTCCCGACACAAGAAACCAAAGGAGGATATACGATGGACGCCCGAACACAGGAGGAGATCCAGTTAGATTCATCCAAGTATCCTCCCATCACCGCCGAACACCAAGAGAACATCACCCAAAAATACCGCCAACTCAACGAGCGTATTCGTGCAGCTGGACTGTACAACTGCAACTATTCTGCCTACGCCATGGAAATATGCCGTTACAGTCTTCTTTTCGGTCTCTTCGTTTTCTTTTTAAAACGATCTTGGTTCTGCTTGTCGGGTTTCTTCTTGGGATGCTTTTGGCATCAACTAGTCTTCTCCGCCCATGACGCCGGCCACATGGGTATCACTCACGATTTTCAAGTCGATACTGTCATCGGCATTATTATTGCGGACTACCTGGGTGGACTTAGTCTTGGCTGGTGGAAACGAAGTCATAATGTCCACCACATTATGACTAATACCCCAGAGCACGATCCCGATATTGAACTAATGCCATTTTTTGCTCTATCACATCGCTTCTTTGGTAGTCTCCGCAGCACATACTACGATCGGATCATGGAATACGATGCGGTGGCTCAGATTACCGTTAAGTATCAACACTATCTTTATTACCCAATTCTCCTCTTTGGCCGTTTCAACCTCTACTTTTTGAGCTGGGAGCATATTATTGTCGGCCGTGGCCCTCGAAACGGTGCAGGCTGGTGGCACCGTTGGTTTGAGCTAGCTGGCCAGGCATTCTTCTGGATATGGTTTGGTTATGCAGTTGTCTTTCTTAGTATTCCTGACTGGTGGAGTCGAATCGCCTTCGTCATGATTTCTCACATGGTTACTGCACCGCTGCATGTGCAGATTACTCTCTCTCACTACGCTATGTCCACCGCCGATCTCGGTCCTCTCGAGTCATTTCCTCAGAAGATGCTTCGCACAACGATGGACGTGGACTGCCCACCTTGGCTGGACTTTATCCATGGCGGTCTCCAATTCCAGGCCATCCATCATTTATATCCCCGCATCCCTCGCCATAACTTGCGCAAGACGCAGATACTAGTCAGAGAATTTTGTGTGGATGTGAAGATTCCGTATGCTGTCTTTACCTTCTTTGATGGCAACAAGGAAGTGATCAGTAGACTCGGTCATGTCGCAAAGCAGGCAAGGATACTGGAGGAGTGTCGAAGGGCGTGTGCAGAACAGGGTGTCTTTTCAGACCACCACCATTCGCACTGAAGATACTCGCATAATGTGAGATAAATTTAGAAGATGGAGTTCAAATGTTTTATTCCCGGTGTACTAGCAAGTAGTGTTGCCGTCGCCTAGATTAGTTAAATCATATGTAGTATTAGAAAAATGTGAAAGCTAGGAAAGAAAAAGAAGTTATGACCTAGTCGCCGGCTACCTAGCTGTTAGGATCACCTAAGTAGTAAAGTCTTACTTAGTAGTAGTCACGTAGGATAGTATATACTAAATATAGTCTAGTTGGATACTAGTTATATAATAGTATATAGAGCGCCTGTCTGATAGAGACGTTAATTACTAGTTTTAACCATGTGGCGGCCAGCGCGATGCATGAATCCGCCGAACTTCTACCGTCACCTACATTACAGTATTCCTTTGGCATATGCAGGTTTGCCCTCCACTATGAGACATGGTCGTGCAACCAGGCTGTAGGATCTACTGCAACGCCATCTACATGCTATTTGACCCATCCATCCCCAAACCCTCGTCAGAAAATGGATCGAACAACTGACCTATCGATGTATTCTGAAGTGCAGCCTCCGCACGTGCGCCCGGTCACCATGCTATGGTTATGGTGAAACATTTGGGGCGATTGGAGCAGATAAATCGCCTATTTCGAGGATCTGCTAGCAGTTGACACTAGCCACCTGCAAATATCACTCGACGCCGTCTCCCGAAGTCAGGCTATCAAAAGCCAAAATACTAGGATTTGGAAATCTCAACGCAGTTGCAGGCTTGGAGCTGGTGCTTGAATCATTCAGACCAAATTTGGCCCCGGATTTTCCCACAGCACAAGACAGTTTGCGAAAATTCCCAACAGCATGGTTGATAGGAATGACCACAAGTTGCGCTTTGTTTCACGACTGAGTACACGCAATACACAGCGTGTATTTGGAAGAAACCGTAGTCCTCGCAGAGGGAGGATGCTGCGGCACGGCAGTTCTGGTCAGTACATGTCGCCTAATGGAGCCGACAGTACGGGAGGATTGTCCTTTATATGTCCAGACCAGATCTTCATCCCCACAGCTTGTAATGGTCTGCAATATCGGCCATACTGTTGACCATCGACCCGCAAGGATCGAACTCCCTTCCGACGGGGACACTTTGTCATTCCACTGCCAGTCTTCTCGATTGGGCGGTTCAGAGCCGTCCAATTGAATGTGGCGCTCCGTTGCTTTTTTTTGTCTTGGCACATTTCTTGACGGGAAGGCTGAGGGCGCATTATGCGGTGCGCTTGGTGTTGTTATGCCAAATCGTAATGGGTCATGATTGCTCCCATTCTACATTCAGTAAAGCGCTTGCCTGTTTGAGGCCGTCTTTCTATGTGTGGCAGACGTGATCCAAAGTTGCCGGTCGTTGTCGGCTTCTAACTTTCTGTCGATCGGAGAGACTGATAACTAGTTAGTTACAATCAGGAGCAGGATGATTCAGCAGATACCCAATCTCCGACCTGTTTTGTATGGTAATCGGGTATTATTGGAAAAGCAGCGCTGTAACACACTAAATACCCCTGAATAGATGGCATCCTGAACGGGAGCCGAGAGATAGTTCTTCAGCCAATCAATCGATCGCCGAGATGGTTCAATTGGCGCCTCGCGAGTACTAGTCGATACCGATATCCTAAAGTCCGACAGTAGTTTTCGTCTTTAGACGCGAGAGAAACGCGTGAAATAAATTACAATGAAATACTATTTGTAATGGATAGGTATTATCCTATCTATAACAGGTAATTCTACCCTCTAAAGAGTAATCGATAAATAATAGATACTAATTTATTATATAAATTATTTTTATAGTCGGAACCCTCTTTTGTAAAGAGTTCAATTTTTTTGATATTTGTCAGAATGAGGAATTGATGTACTGGCTAGTACTGAAGATGTCCCAATAGAATAAGATGATGGATTGAAGGTTGTTGAGATCGGTTGAGCGATCTCAGGGTCTCCCTTGTTGAACTGTGGCATGTTGTGTAAACATATTAAGGCAAATTGGGCGAACGATGAATAAGCCTTTCCCGAAGTGTCCTAGTGGTATTTGACCACCCCTTCAGTTTGTCAATATTCTCTAGTAAAAAGTGGTCCTGCAACCTGGTGGGGAATAAATATACTTTCTAACTCACCTTTCAATTTTTGTATTACATACTTTATAACTAATGTTTCTTTAGTTATTGTAAAGAATTTATATATACCCATCCAGCATCAAGATTGAGTTCCAATCGATCTTGGTAATTCCGTAAGGAAGGGAATTGATTTCGATATACAGTTTCATATCACAACATGGAGCATTAGTTGTTAGCCGAAAGGGAAACTGATCCAGAATGCGTGGATGCGGAACAGTCACAGCATCCGCAGGTATCAACGTGATACCGAGTGTATGGCCGCCTATTCTTGCAGATGGGGAAAGGGCGGTCCAGGGTATCCATAGAAAATCCACAGTCCAATTAGATGCCGGTTGGCGATTATGGCGAGCGGAGTGAACACGTGAAGTCGATAGTGGGCCCAACCTTGCCGGATACGATTAACGAGCATTGCTGATCTCAGTGTCGATCAAACAAGTGAGCTGAAGGGGTTTAAAAAAGATACTCTAGTCAAATCCCGGGAAAAATCAGCAAACTCAGATTCAATGGCTCCACTGCGTAGAGTTGCATGAAGTTCCGTATTGTTTGTTGAATTTTGTGGGCCTGGAGGCCGTGGATGAACTTGTCCTCGAAACAAACTTTGAGTTAGTTACCCCTTTTACCCCTTGCGTTACCGTGTCTCCCCCTCAAACCGAAGATCTTGGTTTAAAGAGGTGAAAAGGAAAAGTAAACTCCATCCGACTCTATTGTCGCTTCCACTCAAGTTGCGAATGCCTGGAGCCCTTGACAAGATTCACGTTGAAAATTTCAAGCCCAACCAGGTCCCAATTTTCGATCAATTGGCTCAACAAGCCTTTTTTTTTGGATCAGTCCAAAAACTCGATAGAAACGTATCCAACCGAAGAGATTATTTCTCGAATCAGAGAGTTTCCCGTCCGCTATTATGGCCACCGAACCCATCAACTTCGAAAAGATATCCTGCTACGCTCAGAGCCAGGTAGAGGCGGAGTTTATATACAAGGAAATCTTTGAGGATCACTGTTACGATCTTCCGAATGCCTCGATATCGCCCTTCATCATTGACGCCGGTGCGAACATTGGCTTAATGTCCCTCTATATGAAGCAAAGATACCCATCATCGAAGATTCTCGCATTTGAGCCCGCACCCGATACATTCGATATCCTCCGACGCAACCTCGACTTACACAACGCTGGCGATGTTGAAATATTTCCATTCGGACTTTTTCCAAAGCGACTACGGCAAAGTTGACCTATTACCCGAAATTGCCCGGAAATTCTACTCTCGTCCCGGAGGAAAAGCAGCACATCTATGGCGAGGCTGTGAGAGTCCACGGCCAAGAAGCCGTAGACCAGTTATTTGGTGATACGTTCAAGACGGCCCAGGAGGTCGATGTTAAGTTGCAACGGCTTTCACATTTTCTGCATAATCGCTCAGGTATTGAAGCAATTGATCTGCTCAAGATTGATGTCGAAGGTGCCGAACTCGACGTTTTACGTGGGTTGGATGATGTTCACTGGTGTTTGATACAAAACATCATTCTAGAGGGATGTGAGGCTTCTGGAACCCGAGCGACCATCGAAGAATTGTTGAAGTCAAAGGGGTTTAGCTTTACAAGGGAGGCGGCTGCATGGGCTCCGAGGGACTTCTACATGCTTCGAGCTTATCGTGAGACTGTGTCAGGTGTTCATTGAATTTTACAGTATCTAGTCTGCAGTAAAAATATCATATGAAAATACCAATTTAAGAGCAGAAATGTGAGCTCTGGTCAAGAGCATACTATGCGTGGAGAGGCAGAGTGGTGGTGTAAACAGGAATCAGCACATGCATCTGACCAACACTGTTAATTCATAACGGCACGGGATCGGGTCGATACTATAAGTGAATGCGTTCATCTTTCAGGCAAGGTCCTTGTCCCGATGCGCGAGCAAATCAACCCCGGACTCTGCACGCTTCCAGTGGGATATGATGGTGAAGACGGCGAGTGGGCCGTGGCTCTTGGACAGGATGAAGGCTGCACGAGATGATGCTGGATGAACAAGTAACAAGCTGCGGGCGACAATGCGGAAGCGGAGACCCGAATGACCGGGGGCAACCCACTATCGAGTGGGTCCTTCACTGCCTGTGTCTCGAAAAACAGCCGATCTGAAGCTTGCCCGTGGCTGAGCCTTAACGAGGCCCGAGTCTTAACTAGGTCTCTGGGCCTTGAACGATGTCTGTCCAATATCAGCTTGACTGCCTGTGTCATCGGTTCACTACCCTCGCACGATGCGATCCCAGACCGTATGCACGCTCAGGGGTTTCCTGTCTTCCTCTTAGGGCGACACCACTTTCACTGGTAATGTAATATCAGCTTCTGGGCCTGAGTGAGAGTCAGGTAAAAAGAAGTCGAATGGTTGTCATCCCCCGTTATCCGCTTATCCCCTGATTTTGGTGTGCGCGGTCGGGTCCTTGTGCCCCACAGCGGACCGGACCACACAACCACGGCGGATTCACTTTGGTCTCCCAAAAGGAGATTAATACCGGACATCACGAGAAGGTATGAATCCATTGTCCCAACAGCCTGGCGAGGACTGCTGCCCAGTGCGAGCTCACTGGGGGCTCTTGGTTACAGTACAGGGGTTATGAGCGCGAGAAGCGGACCAACACGGAGAACTGCGCGCCTGGATGTTTACCAAATAACTCCGGTCTTAAAAAACCAAAAGGTGGTCCAGAGACCTCTGCGAAAGGCTCTGGTCAAATTCTTATAATGGTTTAAATGTGCTCGGCCCAGAATTGCTTCAAGAAAAGCATTCCCTGGTAATACTCTAGCTTGCGAAGGAAAACAGTGAGCAGACGATTATGGCTATCATGAAGATCGGTATAACTCGCCATGAACGCATCGGCTTCATCCAAAAGAAGAATAACGTTGAAATGCTTTGTAATTTTGGAATGATTTCAAGTTGTGATACAAGTGCGTGGAAGTCCCCATGATCGACAATAATAAGCGAACCCGCAGCGAACCACGGGTTCCCAACCCACCAACGTGATATCCACATCTCCGATAGCTCGGTAGCCATTTAATTTTTTTTCTTATGAAGACAGCGCCCCTGAAAAACACGCACCACATCTCGACTATAATTCTGCAAGAGGCAACTGCCAAACCTGAATTCTGAGCAGCTGAAATGGATAAGCAAAATCAAAATTCTAGCATGCCGGAAGACATATATCCCTTGCACATTCTGGACGACACCAAGCTTTACCGCTTTTTCGTAAGTGGATTAATGCACTTTAACGACGTCCTCGACACCAAAAAACTACATAATGCTTTATCGAAACTACTTGAAATTGGGGATTGGAGGAAGCTTGGGGGTCGGCTTAGGATCAAGGTATAGAGATGATGGGGGGCTTCTTTTCAGGCCAGGCAGAATAGTGACTGACAAAATATAGCGGAATGGAAAGCTCGAGATTCACGTCCCGCGGCCGTTTACAGCTAAGCAGCCAGCTGTCGCGTTTACCCACGATATTTTTGATATGACAATCGAGAAGCATCCGGTGGCCTGTCGATTTCCCAAGCCGACCGATGGCCCGTCGACTCAACCAATTTCTTCTGACTTCCAGTCCTTTGTCATGAGGCCAGACCATCCAACGACAATTGAAGAAATGATACGCCAGGATGTACCCCAATTGTCCTTGCACATTACTTCGTTTAGTGATGCAACCCTTGTCGCGCTCACCTGGCCTCACACCATGATGGACGCCGCAGGCCATCAGGCGTTACTACATGCATGGTCGTCAGTGCTAGCTGGTCAGGAAGAAGAGGTCCCACTGGTTCTCGGTGCACACAAAGACATTCTTGAGGATGTAAGCTCGAACTATGATGGGGACCAGGAAGAGTTTGGGCCTGACCGGATGCGAATGAGGGGAATGGGTAAGCTCAAGTTCATGTTCCAATATTTATGGGAAGAGTTTTGGAATTCTCCCCGGGAAACACGGGTAATTTTTCTTCCAAGAAATATATTCGTCCGGCTGCAGAAGCGAATTCGAGCGGAAGTCGCCGAGAGCGCTCACACTAGTGACCAGAAGTCTTTTGTCAGCGATGGCGATATACTCGCGGCGTGGGCCACTCGCGCGGTGGCATCAACTATGCCGAAGCCACGTCCGATAACTATAGTGAGCTTCGTGAATGCCCGGTTCCGACTTCCGCCGCTCATTGAATCTCGAGGCATCTACCTCCAGAATATGGTACTTGCGGGATACGCATTCCTCTCCGCGCATCTTGCCAGGGGACCTGTTGGACCTATTGCTCTCAGTCATCGACGTCATCTTGACGAACAGGGCACGGAGCAGCAGACCTTTAGTCTACTGAAGACCGTGCGTCAGGATATCGAGTCTGATGGAAGCCCGAACGTCTTCTATGGAGAGCCACACGCTTCTTTAATGATTGTCAATAACTTGACTAAGCTGGGAATAATCAAAGCTGCAAACTTCGGCCCAGCGGTCCTAAGCCAAGGTGACAAAGAAGAGTCCAGGAGCAATCCTCCAGGGACTATGGTGACAGTACAAAATTATTTCCACCCGGTGTCGGGGGGTCCAAATCTTTTCTGCATTCTTGGTAAAGACTACGGCGGGAATTACTGGCTCCAAGGATGTCTTTTGCCACGGGTATGGGAAATTATTGAGAAAGAATTGGAGGACATGTAAAGATATGTTTTAAAGATACTCATGCTTTATACGGCTGCACGAGATGATGCTGGATGAACAAGGAACAAGCTGCGGGCGACAATGCGGAAGCGGAGACCTGAATGACCGGGGGCAACCCACTATCGAGTGGGTCCTTCACTGGTGGGATACGAGAACCGTGTTATTGACCCCACCGACTCGGAGAGTGGCCGATTGATCAGCAGTGCAATTGATGTTCGCGGTCACGACTTCGTATTCAGTGGTGATCTTGTGCATCAACTATACTCCGTAAATTTATCACTACGCTTTTGATCACCGGTTCGCCTTGCCCTATAATGAGCGGAGATCACGATAGACCCACACAATGTCTCCATAGTTCAACTACCGAAGAGGTGTATTGCGGGTTTTTCCAGGCACACGGTTGAACCTGATTCACTAGTGGCTTGGCACAATGCTAATGTGGTCTCATGATTGTCGGTAACTCTGAACTTTAGCAAAGTCATACTCGATCTTCGTCACAACAGTTCGAAGTTATCGCACGTAGACGTATCTTTAATTTGGTAGTTTACCATCTACTTTCTTAATTGTCCCTCAGAGCTGAGGGATAGATTTTTCCTCGATAAGACAATGGCTAAATATCGAGTCAAGGACTTAGAGGGTGTCTGGTTAAACGTCCGCTGTCCAAGGGCCATCCCTGAACTTGGGGCTCGCCGCGGGGGCCAAGCAGCTTTCAGCTATGCGTAGGAATCGTAATCGATTCTTACTAGGCGCCCCGTATTAGTTGACATGTTCTTCATGGAGGCTTAGTCACCTTTTCATAGGGTCAGCCCAACACTTTTCGCTCCTATCACTCCAATATCGGTTGGGTAAGCTCGAAACTGGTATCAGATTTTAGGCAAGTAAGCGGCTGCTTGGATCTGGTGCTCGGAAGGGTCCCGCAGTGGCGGTAAAAATGGCGTTTATCCTTCAAACTGGACATCGTCGGCTGTCTTCGTGAGACCCACCCGCTATATTTGGCCATAAAGAGATAATTCACTCGCTCTTCTGCAAGAATGAAGCCCACGCCGGTCTTCCACTCATCACCGAAAAAAGCCAAAAGAATGGCAGGCGAGTCTTGCGCTGTAATAACCAGCTGTTGAATATATTGTCTCAGGGGAGCGAATGGGGTCATCTAATCCGATTAGGTTTCGTGCAAACTATCGATCGAAGACGAAAGGCAGGCCATGGAGGGAAATGGACGAAGAGGGAGCAATTCGGAAACGGGTAGAACGAGCAGCTTTCGTTCAGAGGGCAGAGGGCACTCGGTAAAAAAGTAAATGATCGCGCATCACCCAGAACATGCTCGCCCAAAGACTGGGCAACATATTCACGGCGCCACTTGCGTCGAGGCCAGATAATCCCGATACCAAGAACAACGGCGCAGCCGCCATTTGCGACCGAGAAGGCAAAAAGGGTGGGGCGGAAGGCGGGTCCGATTGCAAAAACGAAATTGCAGGGGGCAGCGACGAGTGCAAGATAGAGGAGATGGACGGAGGGAAAGATGGGGAGAAGTGAAGGAGGATAGGAGGTCAGACAGGGCGAGGTTGGGTCTTTTATGTTCAGGGTTGACAGAGGTTATGTTGTATCAGGGCGCTAAACCGGAAAGGCAAAAATAACACGAACAGGGAATTCACAGGTCCAGTTATTACAACTCTTGTTGATTCAGTAAACGTAGCTAAAGCGGATGAAAATTTGCAGATAGTATATTTATTATTACGGCAAAGAGTTTTTCAACGATCCCATAACCACATTCAATAACCCCCGAAGATTCTCCATAACACCATCACTAGGAATTCCACCATTACAAACGACGATATTGCATTCGGGGCTCGAGACAAGGCTATTGAGAAGGACAGTCGCACTGAGATAGTTGTCTGGACTGATGTCCAAATCCAGCGGATCAACCTTGAATGGGCCGGGGTCTGGAACATCCGCATCCTTGACACCACGCATCAAAATGCGAAAAAATGTATAGAATCGATCAGCCCCCGGAGCGGCACCGAGAAGAGCAGAGAGGTTTGGCTCCGAATCGCCTATAATACCGGTCCAAGTGACGGTCATGTCAAGGCTGGGAATCATAAAGTTGTTTTGCAGCACCGCACCCGCCATAGCATAGAGATCATCAGGTGCAGTAGGTATAAAATGACGATCGTATGTCTGTGCCGACGGGAAGTTCACACCTATACATGGCTTCGCTCGGTTTGTCCAGAAGAAATAGCCGTAGCAAGGATTTAGATGGCTCGACTGCGATACCTTGGAGACCCAATCTGAGGAGATGACTTGCTGTCCGTTCCAGGAGCCATCATTCTGCATAAGCAGGCCAAGTTTTGCAAGCTGAGTGGGCGGAATATACAGGGAAGCAAAGCCATAGGTGTTGCCAGATCGATCTCGAAGCCAGAAAAATGTGTCATTGGCTATGCCAATTGGATCGAACAAATGCTTTTGCGCAAAGGTTTGAAGGTCTTCTCCCACAGCTTGCTGTATGACGAAGCTCATCAGGTCAGGTACCCTTTGGCTGTAGTCAAACTTAGTTCCAGGTGGATATATGATGGGTTGAGCTAACGCCACTTGAGGAGCACTAGCATCGAGTCCGCTAGTAGCGATCTCAGAGAATAGTGCTTCATCGAGACCAGAGGTCTCAGTAAGGAGCTGTTCGACAGTGATTGCGCGGTGAGCTTCATCTCCCCATCCTGGTTCCCTGGGAAGATATTTGCCAATTGGATCGTTGAGCGCAAGCAAATTCCGGTCGTATGCCAATCCAGCAATCATAGCAATCACAGACTTGGTGACACTAAACACATTGTTCGCGATCCCGTCTGTAAGGGGGTCTAATGGCCCCTCCGCAACTTTACAGTTATGGCGAAAGATTTGGACTGACAAGCGTCCAGCAGTGGAGGCGTACTCAATCGCCTCTTTGACAGCGTCCGGTTCCAAATTCACTTCCGCAGCGGAAGCGGCATGAAAATCCTCGCCTGGACCAGGGAGGCTACATTGCTTGATAATGGTGTCTGCCCTATCTTGGAGTAGAACAGGTGTCTCTGGTTTAGCGGCCACTCGGATAAACAAGAGTGCTATGCTCAAAATTGTAGGCAGGATAGGGAAGGTCGGCATCGCAGTTATGATCGGATTGGGCTGGTAAAAAAGAGCCTGTGGCCAAATGAACAACATCGAGGGTATGGATAGATGATTTCCGAGTCTATCAGGCGAGATTCCAAATTCCTGTCTCTAGACAGCCAAACAGGTGGCAGGAGGCGTTCATGAATTTCAGCCTGAGCGTCGATCTTAATTCCCAGCGACTAGCTAGGCAATGCCTAGGCTACGAGTCCCCTATCCGCTTGCGTACTTTTAACCAGCTTCAAGTAGAACCAAGCCCGTCAGCTTGCGAGGCTTCGACAGCGATGGTGTACTACGTACCTTTGTGGTTCTTCCAGTGCGTCTTTGGAAAGGATGAAAATTCGTTACTATGGCATGGCAAATGAGGAACTGAGAGATGTCCCACTGCAAAGTTAAGGGGCGACTAATAGATCGAATCGATTGGGTTTTCCTGCGCTGGAGATCCGTATTGGCAGAGCGACTTTCACGAGGTCAGTGCCGGCGCCTTCAATGAATCCAGCCCTCGTGATTGGACCTGATGAATCTGACGGTTTGCAGAATGCTCCGTATCTCAGTATTGAGACGAAGGTTACTCCGTACTCCATAGATTAACGCTAGTTACTTCATACTCCGTACTACATATTGTAGTGGGGAGACCCCCTCCCCCTACTACATTGGTGCCATCCAGACTATGTGACATAGCCTGCAGTATACGGTGGCCGGATAGCTAGTTCTAGAATACACCTTCTTACACCTCCCCGACCTGACCCCTATTTTTTGGGATTCTCGCTATTTCCTGATTGCTACGCGTGTGTTTGTGGTGGTTTTTCTGCTGAATCGAGCCGCACGTCTCAGCGCGTGCTGCCATCGAGCGTTCCCCTCTTCAATATTTAGAATCCAAAAGCGTTGTTCCACGTGGTCACCTGAGCATTTTGCATTGAAGCGGTGAAGGAACCAGAGATCGGCAAGCGGGTCGTTAGGAGACGTGCGCTGGTTCGATCAAATAGTACAATCAATAATAGTTCGATCTGCAAAATAGCCAGGTGGAATCCCATCCACCAAGACCTATCATGAAGGCAAATTCCGTCCTCCATCGGTACGGTGTACCCACTTATGAGCCCCGAGATAATGTGATTCGGTATGCTCGGCCCCGCCGGACAGCTCCTATCCTTAATGCCACCGTGCATTTGCCCGAGTTGCGTTTTGGAGCAACACTCTAAGTTCCCTGAGCCTACGATAGGTTGAAATATGTAATTTCCTTTTTTAAACCCTAAAGTAGCGTCGAAACAAGAAACGAAAAAGAAACGAAAAACCGTGGTGGGCAACGCGGCATCGTCTATGCGAAGCTGCGAAGCGAAATCGTCGTGTCGCAGACGTAGTAAAATAAATGCTCACAGACTCTCAAATGCTCTCGTCTTCCACTGGTCGATGACTACTCTACGAGGATTCATCATGGCATTTCTGATTATTTTGGTCATTTCCATGCTCGTCTACCGTCTATACATTCAAAAAAGTTCTAAATTCAAAACGCACACTGTCCCTTCCCCTTCTGGCCTGCCTCTGATCGGAAACACTTTCCAACTTTCCTCCCAACCGCATCGCCAATTACTTAAATGGGCTCGACAATATGGCGAGATATATCGTGTCCGTCTGGGCTTGATGGACTGGTATATGCTCAACTCCCCTGAGGCAGTAAAGGAAATACTTGACAAGCAGTCCGCCACGACTTCGTCGCGGCCACGGATGCCTGTTGTATTCGATGCCTTGTCTGGAGGGATGCGATTTCTTTTTATGCCGTACGGCACCGAATGGCGGCGGCTACGGACAGTCAGCCATAAGCTGTTGACTCCGCGAATGTCGGACACATTTCAGCCTTCACAGGAATTTGAATCAAAGCAATTGCTGCACGATTTATTGACAGACAACGCCAAAAGCACTGAGTTCTATATGCATATACGCCGATATACTGTGTCGGTGCTGATGACATCGACGTATGGAAGGAGAATACCGCAATGGGTATGTCGAGGCACCCATACGTATGGAACAATGCTAAGTTAGATCTGTAGGAATGCGATGATGTACGTGGAATTTACCAAATTGTGAAAGACTTTTCCTACGTATCTACCCCGGGACGCTACATCGCTGACGGCGTACCTGGGTTGGCCGAGCTTCTTCCAGTCCGATTCCAATGGTGGCGCAAATCTCTTCAACCGATGCTAGCTCGACAAGAGTCAATTTGGATGGGCTTTTGGTCCCGTCTACGAAATCAGATGGAAAAGGAAGAAGCACCCGAGTGTTTTGTGAAGCAATTCATCGAGTCTGAGTATCACGATATGGGGATTACAGAAATTCAAGCGGCATTCCTAGCAGGGTGTACGTTCCTTTGTACAAACAAGCGATTATACATGGAACAGAGCTAATTCACCACGATCAGCATTGATAGAAGCCGGCGCGGAATCCACCTCTGCGGCAGTTAACAGTTGCATGCTCTATCTCTCGGGCTATCCGGACGTTCAGCGGCGTGCGCATGAAGAACTTGATAATGTAGTAGGCAATACCCGTTCACCTACTTTCAGTGACATGGTCCAGCTTCCCTACATCCGTGCTATTGTCAAGGAGACACTTCGGATCCGCCCTCTCACCAGCACAGGTATACCACATTACGCCACCGCTGATGTCAATTATAAGGGATATACAATCCCCAAAAATAGCATCATCGCCATCCAGCAATATCCTATTCATTATGATCCAAGCATATTCCCAGAGGCGGAAATCTTCAAACCGGAAAGATACCTTGGCCATCCACACAGAGCTGGCGTATATGCCGCATCGGCAAATCCTCGTGAACGTGATCATTGGGATTTTGGGGCGGGCCGACGCATCTGTCCCGGTATGCACCTGGCGGAGAATAGTCTTTTTATCACAATCTCTAAGATATTATGGGCATTTCAAGTGGTGGCGCCCGGAAAGGTGGATTTATCGCATAACGCGTATGAGCCTGGCTCGATGACCATCCCCAAGCCCTTCTCTGTGAGATTCATTCCACGGAATCAGGAGATAGAAAGGCTGGTGAAGATGGAATGGAAAGTGGCGGAGGCCGAAGGATATACATTGAGAGATGTCAAGGTCAATGCGACGGGTATGACGATATAATGAGAATACATATACTTCCGCCACTTACCTTTGTTCATTGTACAATGCAGGGTTTGTTACGGGCCGTTCGAAAGAAACAGATTCATTCGGTGCCTACAGACGAGAATCTCGAAGATGAAGAAGGAGAAAGAAAGAAAGTCCGCCAGAAAAAGAGGGGTTAAGTCCCCAGCAAACGCGTTGTGCAAACGACCCAAGATCATGCCTCAGGCATCCTTCCACGAGACGAGGCTATTCCCAGGTTCATCCGTCACAGGGTTCAACAGACGGCAATTCCTTAATTGAACTGTTGTAATAGCTGCCAGATGTTAAGATCGTGCTTTCAGGCATCAATATCTTCATGCCTTGCACATAATGCCCGGTCGGCATGACCTCCAGGCAGATATCCGAAACACACAGCGGTGTTTTAGAGATCTCGGTTTCGGCTGCAGGCCAACACCTTCAAAACACCAAACGAAGATTTGTATGCTAGCTGTATTGACTCAGAAGCAGCACGGAGGCCTACATGGTGCACGAAGAGCAGGGATACAAGCCGATTCTATGTGATTCTTCACTCTATCGGCCTGACCGCTGCTCCAAGTCAAATATCCTGGGATATCCCCAGCTTCAGGAGATCTGTATCTCAATTCAAATCACAATTTGCAATATCGACGATCTTCGTACTTCACAATTTCCTCGTTATCGCCTGCTGCATCTCAACACCAGACAGCGTTTCGATATAGAAACACTTGAGCTTCCAACAAGTATTCCAAGTTGAATGCTATCAACAACACTTTGAAGCGGTAGACAGTTTATCAAGCCGTAGGTTCCTCACCATCCATCTAACGGAGTCAGTATCGCCAAGACTCCATCAGCTGGCACCAGAGTCAAAGTTTCATGAGTCCGCAACTCAGCATCCGGATACTTGAGCTCCATCTGAAATCGACCAGCCATGGCAGCCACCATGAAAGCAAGTTCAGCTTTAGCAAAGCCTCGAGCAATGCAGCTACGAGGACCATGCAGAAAGGACATATTGGCGAAATTGCTGGTCGCACCTCCGACATTAGCCTGGCCAGGCTTGAGGAAGCGTTGTAGATCGAACTTGTCAGCATCCGGACCCCACATTTCGTCCATATGATTGATGACTTCGGGGGCGAGAACGATAAGCGTGCCCTCAGGAATACGTTTATCGATAACGGTAGTGTCGTGGACTGCCCTCCGCACGGTCTTTGGGACGGCGGGGTAAAAACGAAGAACCTCGTTGCAGAAGGCGCTCAAATAGGGGAGATTGTCGAGTGTAGAGGCACTCACGTGCTCTGTATCTGAGCCTGAGATTGCTGGGAGGTGTGCGCGGACTTCTTCGCGTAGGTTCGTCTGAATATCCGGGTGTTTGCACAACGCGTAAATCGACCACTGCAATGATGCCGCTGTCGTATCGTGGCCTGCTCCCAGGAAGGTCATTGCTTGGTCGATTAGGCTTTCTTCATCAAACAGCCCACTTTGCAAGGCGACCGAGATTATATCGATGTCCGTCTCGATATTCGTTTTTTTGGCCTTTCTCTGCTGGATGACCTCTCGTGCAGCACTACGAATACGCGCATTGCACATCTTCATTTCCCTATTTCGTGCTGTGGGAAGATTGAGAGTGTATCGCGGATGGGTCAGTACTCCCAGCAGGAATAAAAGCTTCTCACTGAGGGTTTGCGAGACTAGCGTCTTGTAAGACTGATGTAGCGTGTATTCCGGGCTTTTAAGCGCGTCAAAGTCGCAGCCCATACCTGCCACGCCAATGATGTCAAGCGTTATGCGGCTGGCCCAGTCGCCAATGCGAACGACGTTATCTTCGCCAGTCCTTGATAACAGGTCTTGTTCAATCATCTTGACCATTTCTACGCTTTTAGACCAGAATACTGAGTACAGATTCTTGATATGACGGTAAGAAAAAGCAGGCATCAGGTTTTTGCGATGTATCTGATAGGGTGGGCGTTAGCATCGTAAAGATCACTCCTCTGGGATAGTTACCTTATGCTCTTCACCTTCAGCAAGTAGAATACCGTGTCCAAGGGTCTTCTGTAAGCCATATTTCATGATCTCCGGTTTTTCAAACTCGTAAGCTTTCGTAACAAGTATTTCCTTCAAAGCCTCAGGACTAGTGGGCATAACCCATTCAAGGTTCCCGACGATATAGTAGCGTAGAAGGCCTTCATTAGGGAAATCCTTGAGCCATCCTCTGATCAGTACATAGGGAGTTTCTACCAAGAATGACTTCGAGTTCCCAGTGAGCAAGTTCCGCGACTAAGCCACATCAGCAAACGCCAAAAATTGTTTGCACAGAGCCTAATGAGAATCAGCGCTACTCACAGACGGTGTCTGTATGTGTCTTAGGGGTGAGAAAAATTGAGGATATAAGAACAGCTGATAAATCACTTTGGACAAGGCGAGAACCACGCAAAAGCCGACGGCAGTCCAAATCCTTGATTCCCAACCTGCATATTCTGGCCCGAAATAGATTGCGGTCACGCCGAGAACAAAGATGCCCAAGGTGCCCATCACGCGTGGATTGGCGAGTGAAAGGTGTCCTGGAATTGGGAATGAGTTCTCCAACTATGGCGGAGTTGTCACTGAAGTTCGTTTGATAGTAAGATTTGGGGGAACGACACTAAGTGGATTAAAGAGATTTACTGTCAGCTTTGAAACACTACTTTTTTCACGAGCTACGGGCAGCTATTGATCCACCGCATCCACTAGACCCACTTGTACATTATTAATACGAAGGAAAAGGGGCGCGACTAACTTCGTACTAATCCTTCTTGTCGATCCCCTTGCCGATCCTTTCACAGCTTGAGGTCTCTTGGATGAAACCGGCTCCGCGGGTGAGATATGTATTGGCATGAAAACAGACTTACTGCATACGGTCAAGACAAATTGGGGGTACTGGGACCTTCGCTTGCGTTTGTCAGTTTAGACTGCGAAGGCGCCTTGTATTTAAGGCCCCTACCCACCATAAAACAAGCCTTGGCATCGGCGCTAATGAGACCGCCGAGATCTCCATAAAAACAAACGCCCTGTTTATGCAGTCGCCCCACCATACTTCGTTTGTTGGTGCGCCAGGGCTCAACGCTAAACCCGGCCTCAATACAACTTAGCTATCTACTCAGTACATTGCATCGTAGAAAAGGGTCTGCGACCGTATCAAACCAGTAAAGTAGCTCTGAAGGGTTATTACGGGGTGAAATCTTCCCTGATTGGGGGTCAGACGGAACGCTGAGCAAATTAAACTCTGCAAAACCTGAAGATCTTTAGCTATTTTGGTTAGTGATTAACCAAGTTCATAAATTAGGGGCTCGTGTGCCCATTATTCATAATATCCGCTAAATTAGCGACGAAGGGAGGCTCGGGTTCGACATAGGAGTGGATTCTCGTGGCTCGCGTCATTTAGGAGAAAAGAGACAGTCTCTTTGACGTAAAACAGTTTCCCTCACATCCTCACTTTGTTGTTTTCATGCACTTGCTTCTGCCATGGCGCTACACAATTCTTCGCGACCAAGAAAGATCCTTCTGCTCACCAACGTTGAAAGGGGTGAAGCCAATGTCTTCCTGGCAACGTCTCATTCCCTCCTGCAACTCGAGCCCAATGTCGAGCTCCATTTTGCCAGTTTCACAGGTTTGGAAGACACCGTCAGTGCGGTCTCAGAAGATGTGCGCCGCAGTGTGCCTGAGGCGAAACCAATAATTTTCCACAAGATTGAGGGTTTGACATTTATGGAAGGCGTCCAAGATCACCTCTCTAGAGAAGAAGGCCCAGCCCGGAAACATTACATACCCGAGTCCTTTCTTGTGCAACCGAGCTTCTCTAATACGAAATGGGCCATCCGAGACACTATACCAATATTTGTCCCTTATGACGGACCGCAGCTAGTCCAGCTGGTCTCGTCAATTATCGAAATCATCAACAAGGTCGATGCTGATCTTGTGGTGGTGAATAGTTTGATGACTGCAGGACTGACAGCCTCCTATCATCTCGGAGTAAAATTTGTGTGCCTTAGCCCAAACGCCCTCAGAGACTTTGCGGCATCAACTCAGCCACGGGCAGCGGGTCTTTGGAAGTTTCCTGCGTAAGCACAAAATAATTACACCTGACTGTCTCGCATCTGACTGAATAACAATTATAGGCTTTTTTCGGGATATCCATACCCGGTACCTTGGTACCGCATACCGCTCAATATTTATTTTACTCTCTATGCGGTGACGAAGTTTGTGACAGATAAACGCAGGCAACCAGTTGAGAAGTATCTGGCGGAGAAAACTGGCGCGGCCTTGAGAACACCCGTCGATCTCATTCAGAGTCGCTCCCAGGATCTAAAAATCCTCGTTAGCACTTTTCCGGAGCTTGACTTCCCACTGATTATCCCTGAGCATGTTATTCCCTGTGGACCAATTCTTCGCAATGCTTCTCCATCAGTTGCGGAGGCAGACCCGGACCTGGGAAATTGGCTGGCCCGTGCTCCTACGATCTATGTGAACTTGGGCACTATATGCCAAATCGCGGAGGATCAAGCCATGGAATTGGCATTGGCCCTGAAAACCGTTCTGGACACATTGAAAAAGCTGCCTGAAGCTCAGAATCTCCAGGTCTTGTGGAAGATCAAGAAACTGGGGGAGTACAGCGTGTCAGAGCCAGGCTGCGAAATTGAGAAAGTCCTTGGTGAATGCATTCGTGCCGATTCTATGAGAATTGTGGACTGGCTCCAAGCTGAACCGATTTCAATTCTTCAGTCTGGCCACGTTGTGTGCTCGATACACCAAGGTGGTGCAAATTCGTACAATGAAGCAGTGAGGTAAGTCCCTTTGTTTGCGTCCAACAGATATTTCGATCAGTGACTAACAAGGTCCTAGTTCCGGCGTCGCCCAGGTGGTCTTGCCGCAGTGGACAGACTGCTATGACTATGCCCAGCGGGTCGAGATGCTAGGTATTGGTCGACTGGGAAGCAGAAAGAGCAAGCCTCAGTGGTCAGCTCCGGAGCTTTCGGAGGAACTCCTGCATGTTTTGCATGGTGAAAGCTCAAGGGCCATAAAACAAAAGGCGACTGAGCTAGCAATAATGTGTGAGAAAAGGGGCAGTGGTGCGAAAACTGCGGCGCTGGTCCTCCTGGGAGAATGTCCCAAGGTCGATGTTGAATGAATTTTTCTCCATAACTAGTTTCAGCTAATTTTGTCTCTTCCGTTGCCTCGGAGTTCCCCACTGGATCGGGACAAAATTGGATACCCGTAAAACTCCTATAGTTGCCTACCACAAGATGGGGAATTGATACATCCACAGCAAAAAAATTGATAAATCCACAGGAAAATGGTTATGTAAGCACCCGCATTAGGTGAGATTCAAGCACCTTTTTACCAACAAAACAATTGCATTTCTATATAAAACTAATTACTAGGCGGATTAGGACACCTAACCCTAGTATGCCCCCGAATATGACAATTAGAACACTGCGGTGGCGCGCGTACGCGTAGTCCAACTGCAGGAAGCCCTGGATCCCTAGTCACAGTATCTTGAGCTTCAAAGACCTGATTCTCCTGTAGAAATCGTTCCTGGCCCTCCTGAATAGAAAAACCCTCAGCAGCAGTAAGCTGCCTAGTAGACTTCTTCCGCTTTTGAAGCTGTTTCTCATGTACAGCTCGTAAATCGCGAATTTCATGACGCATAAGAACTGCCTCATTAAAGCAATTTCATTGCTTTTAATAATTTTGTCCAATCGAACCTCTAATGAAGAGGTAGGACTTTGGGAGCCTTCCTGTACGCGTCTCTGAAGCTTTCTTTTCACTATAGATGCCTGCTTCTCGAGCTGCCTGGTGGTATAGGGTGTCTTAGGTACTGAATTGGTTGACCGACTGCCTGGTGGTGTTGGCGTATTCAGCTGAATATTAAGCTGGCTAAGCACCCTCTCCGGGTTATATAGAACTAGCCCAGTAGCAGAGAAACCACTGCAGATATTGCTAGTAGTATAGATCTCTGTACGCGCCTGAGGGAAAGCTTCAAGGAAGTCAAGCTTGTCGATATGATTAAACCCAAGGCGCATTCTCTTCTCCACTAGGTGTCCGTATGCACGCTTTAATGGTGAAAAACAGCCAACATCCAGAGGTTGCAGTAGATGCGAAGAATGAGCAGGCATACAGATAGGAATAATACTATTCTCACTGCATATCTGGTCGAATTGAGGTGTTAGATGACTGCCATGGCCATCAAGAACTAGGAGGCGATATTTCCCAGTTGTACGGCCAGTAGTAGCAGGAATAAAGAGATTCTTAAGCCTGCGAAGGCTTATTTCATCACTAGTCCAGCCATTTGGACTAACTTCAATCCTCCAGTCATGTGGTAGATTGTTCTGATACCAGCCCTCTATATGGACCTTTCCTTTGAAGATAATGCATGGTGGAAGGGCCCATCCAGAGGCACTAATACACTCAATAGAAGTAACCCATTCTCGATTCCCAGGCTGTACAAGAGGCGTTCTCCCATAGTAGTCAGCTCTAGTAACTACTCGAGCAGTAGCTACTAGGCCCATAGCAAAGCCAGTCTCATCAAAGTTGTAGATATCTTCAGGTACAATCCCATGCTGCATTATGGTAATTTGTACGCGATTAAACCACTCCTTTATAACTTTGGGGTCCTCACATTGAGCACGCCGATAGTCATATCGTCGAGAGAACCATGTCTTTAGTTCATCACGTCGTTGGATGAAGTTGTACACCCATTTCTCTCCTACTGTTTGAAGAGGTGTGGTATTTCGCGCAGTAAGAAGAATATTGGCCATTTCTCGTATATGTGACGGTCGGGGAGGTGCTCCACGTTGAATAAGCGATAGGACCCATCGTACAAGCGATTCCTCTTCATTTTGACTCATTTTATGGGAGTTGGCGCGTGATTTATTGCGAAATGTCTTTCCACGTAATCGGTCTTGAAGAGTAGAGCGAGGTATATCATAAGTACGTGCTGCTTCACGAATATTCGAAATTTCGTGCTTTTTTAAAGCTGAAATAGCAAGTACGATTCTTCCTTCTTGCTCAGTTGAATTTCTTGACTTTTGACGCGCTTTTGGAGGCATGGTTGGTGGTTGAATTGAGTGAGGTTTTCGACTGAGGCTAAAAACGCGTGACGTGGCCGACTCGCTTACCGAATACGTTAACGTGGGATTTTTTACGGACACTACAGGATGAGGGAGGTGGTGGTGTAAGATATATATCTGATACTACACCTGCTCTAGAACCCCAGGTTGAACCTACACTTCCTGTTTTGCCCCCTGTACGTCGGCAAATTACGTGTTCTAAATGTGGCGGAAAAGGGCATAGGTTTTCTAAATGCCCGCAAAAGATTTAATTTGTCAATTTAATGGTGTTTTGGTTGGGTAAATGATGTTTAAAAAAGGGTAAAAATTTGAAGTTTTGATGGGGTGACGGACCGGCAGGGATGACGGACCCGCCGGGATCCACTGTTAAGAATGGATGACATAATACAAGGGCGCATTTCACGACACTAATTTCAGGAGGTACCTTATCGTTCGACTTGGATATTTTTGTCTTAACCATCTCTACCACCACCTTCAAACCAGGTGCAGGCTCCTCTCTGTTTCTTAATTTTCTGAGCAATAACGCCTATCATGGGGGAAGGGGATACTTGGACGACTCTATTTTTCTCTGGCAGCCGTCCAAATATTCTGACAACGAACGAACTTGACGGCAAAAAATTCCGACCTTTTTGTCCTGAAGACGACAACTGGAAACTAGGACCGCAGGCCGACGAATCGAGAGTATCTGATGCGAACACTATACAGGTGCTTTGGCTCCAGATCAATGGACGCAGAAAATATATAGGCAAAGTCGTAAGTGGAGACAATACCTATATGCGTGCTCCGAACTAATTATACTCCAGTTCCCTTGCTATTCTAAGCAAGATGCCGAGATACAGCTTGGTCGTATTGGAGTGTCGCCGACTCCAGAAAGGATAGACGACGCTGTGTACGAATTTGATAGATTTTATCGGGAGGCTCGGGCATATAGCCATATTGACCTATTCTGTTCCGCCCGTGAAAGGGTCTATTTCCCACAATTCCATGGAGTGATCACCAACATGCCAAAATCTCGATTTTCTTCTGGATATTGCCAGGAGCGAGCGGTTGTGCTTGAGGCAATAAGACCGGACTTGTGCTCTCGACGTGTTCTTAGTGAAGATGTCAAACACCTGTCTAAAGGCTTCCGAAATAACCTTGAATCGCTATCTGGAAAGCTTTGCACTACTCCTGAAGTGATGTCTATAAGTTTGTTTGAGCAGGAGTGGTATCATTCTTTGCTGAAAGACCGACTTCGTCGCCTGGATGCTCTGCATCGAATTGGGATAACCCATGCTGACATCCATGATTTTCACTTTCGACTTCCCAATGACATTTACGACACAGTTCTATACGACTTCTCCGAATCGTATACATTCTCTGAGAAGCGGCCTTTTCGGGTGAATTTTGGAAAACCTCGGCCATTAAGCCGTATATCAGCGGGTGAACGTGACCGTGTCCTTCTGCACATCCAAAATCGGTAAGAAAGAAGACTTCATCCCTTATATCACGCCTAACATACGTGCAGAGCCGCCTCACGAGATCTTCGCTCCTATCTTATAGATTTCAATCCTGAAGCTTCCGTTGACAACGCACTCTGGAAGTCTCTCGATGGAGAGGAGGAATTATTAGAGTTAATCATGCTGAAAGTCTCCTGTCGCCCAGATGGTCGGTTTTTATTGACACTTTCCCACATTTTAGATGTTGATTACTGACTTGCCAGGTTTTTCGATGCCGACCTTGAATTCCATTTTCCCTTTTCTGGAAGCCGTGTGCCCAAAATCTGACCTCTGCTGGCATATTCGTCGAGGCAGGCTTTTACGTCACTATGATTCAATTTGGGCAGCCTTTCGCGACGATGAAGCCCAACCCCTATCAATAACATTTGATTGTGAGCCGCAATTTGGGACAGTCGAGACATTGAAGGACTCTCGCTTTATGCTTTGCTTAGTACCATGTTCGTGGATTGTGCCATTGAAGATGAAACCTGATTTCGCCGGACTTTTTCAGCTACGGGAATTTTGCTCACGTCTTGTTTCAACGAAAACGCCCGGTGTCATATTAAAACGAGACGAATTTTTAGAAAGAGGCGGAGAGTAGAGAACGGGGGGATAAGGAATCATGGGGGCACCCAGCTGATCGTGGTCCGGAAAGTAACGTGACCTGACCCACCGTGTGTCGGAATTTCGACACACGCTCCGCCCAGCCACCTGAGCGTGTGTCGAAATTCCGACCCATGGTCGCTTAATTTTAGCGTGAAATTAGCGTACACTAGTTATAAATACCCCCTTTTCAATGAATTCTAACAACTCAATTGTTACTTGCCTTGCAAAATGGCTTCACAAATATTTCATCGTCCTCCATTTGCACGACCTATTGAACCAATTGATCTTGATGATCCATTTACTGAGAGATCTTTCGATTCTGCACTCTTTCATGATCCAATTTCAGAATTTCGTACATTGGCCTTCAATTCATGTGAGGTGTGTTTATTATGCATATGCTAAACATATGTACGTCTGTTAATTATATAAATAGAATAATGAATTAGAAGATGACTTACAGTCAGAGGGTGAATCAATCTATGAGGATTGTGTGGAGTCTCCATGTAATGATTTGCCTACAGTGGCACTTGCTATGGGTTTGAGAGATCAAGATCTTACAACGGAAAACGTCATCATTAGTGCATCTGGCCCACATACTGTCAAATGTGGACAACTGCAGGAGCACCTTCTTATTCCAGCGTATCCAACCACTTCAGCAAACGGAGTTCTACATCTCGTTCACCTTCGGAAAAATCCATTGGCAGGAATTGAAAACAATGTTACTGCAATCAACGAAAAGTTTCAATACTTGATGTCTGAGGTATGCCTTACATATGTAATACATATGTTAACCATATACTTATTCTCTGATAGATTCAATTTTCGCATAAACATACTGGCGGTGCAAGAAATCAGATAATGGGATTACTTGCACAACGGCCTAAGGATACAGAGGGTCGTGCCTGGCATCGATCATATCGTTGCTCTGGAGTTCGATGTTGTGAACATGCTCATCCTGACATCATAACCTCTTGCAGTGCATATGATGATATTGATCCAAGACTATTTCATGAAACTCGGAAACGCGCTGCCATGCCAGACCTAAGTGGAGTCTCTCATACTCTTCAAGAACGAACTCGCGAGTATGTTCATGCCTATTTACTAATGTTTAAATATTAATTATGAATATAGATTATACTTTGGATTCATGCGAACATGGAATTTTAAAGGTCCTTGTAAACTGCCAAGTGGCTCTTTCACATGCACAAATCAACATCCTTGCCTCTGGAAAGATTCTTTAACAAATCTTTGGCGAATCGGATGTCCATCATTCCATTTTCAGTACGGAAAATGGCACTATGTTCAAACTGTTGATCCAAACAATGGAATCGACATACGGTTTTTGAACATATTGGTTGAGAAACATGGTATTCAAACAACTGAATGTCGACAAAATGATTGTTTCTTTGTTAGACATCGCACGTGTCAGAAGCCACATTGTGGTGAGTATAATATCTATAACTATGATTAATATATGCTAAATATATGCTAATCCTACTTGAAATCTAGATTCTCTTCATACTAGAGGAAATGGACAAATGAGGGTTCGAGAATGTTCTGTCAAATTTGACATGTTTATTCCAGGTTCATGGGATCGTTTTCCATTTCTGATTCTTGTTTGTCGTGGTAGCCACACACATTTTCCGCCCCCGCCTACAAAGCTTCCTGGAAGCATTCGGGCTCAGATTGTCGAAGCAATTACACCTCGTGATTCAATTTCATTGACCGCTCGAAATTTGATGATTTCTCCACTCTTCAATCATTTACGCGGCCGTCATAATGGACCAGGTCTACGTGCATTACACTGGGGATTGCATATTGAAGATCGAATTACTGGGCTTATTCGAACTCAACGGCTTCTTCATTACCCAGAAGGCACTGATATTGCTGGAGTCTGGCGTGAGTTTTGCTTTGATAAAGCCAAACCAATTGAAGAACAATGGATTCGCGATGTTCATTTCTTTGATCAAGAACGTCAGCGGTTTTTGATCATATGCTGTACATATGAACAAGCTAAGCTTTTTCAAACCGTACGACATATTGAAATGGATCTTGCATTCAAGATGGTTTCAGGAAAGACTATGGTCTTTACGATTGTTGGATGGAATGCTGAGGCAAATAGTAAGTGATTTCTTTGTTCATTTTATTGTTTATATATACTTACCATCTATAGAAACCAATGTCTATGCATACACCTTCTTGAATTCGGAAACTGCAGAAGCATACAAGATAATGTTTCAACGACTTTTCCGAATCCTAGGTGATGTAGGACGTAAACCAGTTTCTTGGGCATATCAATTTGATAATAGCCATGAGGCTGAAGGCATTCGAACAGTTACAGTGGACATGTGTAGGAAGCAAGCAGCTGGTGAGTTTATTATGAATTATATATACTACACATATGCAATACATGTGCTAAACATATGTTAAAATAGGATTTGGAGGCTATCTGGCTTCGATCGACCCACGTTTGACATGGCGAGAGCATCTGCAATATATCTTGATCTTCTGTCGAACCCATATCAAGCGTGCGTTCAAGAAGAAGTTTGGACCTCATGCTGCTACTCCCATATTGGCAATGATTCTGCAATCAAATTCAAAGAGCGAAATCCTTGCATATTTCGATGAGGCTATTGAAAAATGGCCTGAAACGAAGGCTTGGTTTAATTCAAAGCGAGCAGATTGGATCCTTGCCAGTCTATCCCATGAAACTTCAAAAATTCCGATCACCTGGTGGCAGCTTGCACCACATCATACTGGACTTTGTGAAAGCAGTCATTTTGTCGATAACGAAGCCATTGGACGTAAGCAAACGTTGCTTGGCGCTGTTCTGAAGTAAGTTTCCACCCCATGTTAAACATGTTTTGTGCATATGAATACTCTATGTGATTAATTGATAACACATATGTCTAATGTATTCACATTAGGACCAAAGATCGTGTTAAAGAGATGCTTGTTCAAAACAAGTTTGCTATTGAGCATGGTCTCAATTCAACCTGGCGTGCTTCAAATAATGTTAATCGCATTGCTAAGGCATACCGTCGCAAAGGTAGACCCTTTTTTAACATATGTCTAGCATATCATACTCATCTTCCATCTATAGATCAACGCAATCGTGCCCGTGCTGAATATCGACAAAGACATCCACATACACCTTATAAACCAGCAAACCCATACGATTCAATTGAGACAACAACACCATTAATGGGTCCCCCTTTAGGTCCTGAATCGGATATTGATTCAATGGCCGACGCATACTCTGTCGTTGAAACAACTACAGATTGTCAATCTTTTCGCTCTCGCTCTCGTTCACAATCAAAACAGTCATCTCGTTCACAAACTTTAAGTCAAGCTCAACGATTGAAACAAAAATTGGAGCAGGAAGTTGCAGCACTCAGAGAACAAAAGGAGATACAAGAACTTAAGAAAGAACGTGCTGAACTCATGGCTGCATTAGGCAAACAATAGATTTGGGTTATTCAAGAATTATTTTATTCATTTCAATTATTGATTATTATCTATGGAAAACCCCACCCATTCACCTAACCATATATTCAAGCATTATTTAACTAAGAGGTTCAAAACCCTCACTACTACTAGCAGAGTTACTCTTATCATTAACGGACTTTCCCTCAGCTAAGGTAGCATTATTGGTTGACTCCTTAGATGAGGCCACACTAGAGACCCTAGAGGTTACACTGTCAGATGGCTGATTTAATAAAGTGAAATATTAGGGGTCGATCTAGTAGTGATAGATGTTATAGTCCCAAACCCAGCAAATGGCACAGGGTTAGGGGGCGGATTTTGTCCTCGCTAGAGGTCGTTAGCATATGTCACATATATGTGTAAACAAACAACAACTTACGCGTCTAGCACGACCACCACTAGTAGCAGTCACGGGTTGCTGCAACCGATGGAATCGACGACCGTGTTGATGCCGAAAGTTGGCATCAGTACGAGCGATTCGCTCCATATTGTCTGCCCAATGACCGATTCGGCTTGCGGGAGGACCACGGCCAGGCTCGTTCATGAAGAGATCATTTCGCCAGAGGCCATTGCGTACGTAGTGGATCAATTGAGGTTCACCCCAAGCCCTTTCCTCGCGGCGGATGGGCGGCGGTCCGCATCAAGCGGCTTGAAGTATGCACGGGGGAGCTGCTCCGCTGTAAAGGTGGCAAAGCTGGTATGGTCGGCCATCTGACATAAGTGAAAAAAGGGTGAACAGTGAGGGGAAAGAAGAGAAGACGAGATGGCTAGAGAGAAAAAAGGCGCAAGTGGTGGGTGGTTGTATTGATCGTTTATATATTTTGGACGAGCTTTGTTGATGTACCATCAATGAATGGGACGCGCTTTATTCACTGATGGCATCAAAGGAAGGAACTCTAGTGAAGTAAGCGCGGCCTATTCACTGGCGCAACCAGACATATGTAAAATTAGGCCTACGCTCGTGTAGACATACTCGAAAACTATATATACAATATACACTGTATATAGAGACACTGAGGTTATAGATGGGTCGTTCGACTAGCGCGTGCTGAATCAGTGGTGGCAGCCAATAAAATATGCGTAAAAGTGGGGAGCGTGTGTCCAAATTTCGACACACGCTCAGGTGGCTAAGCGGAGCGTGTGTCCGGAAATGGTGAAAGGTTGTTCCGTATGGGTGGGTCAGGTCACGTTACTTTCCGGACCACGATCAGCTGGAACCCGGAATGGGGGATAACAAAATTTGTCATATCATCACGTGACATTGACGACACAGGAAGTCCCAAATTATTTCCCATTCGATGCATTTCGGAACAAACACCGTTTCGACGGTAAAAGTCCATCATGTAAAGTTCAATTCTAACGGGTAATTCATGACTAGGACTAGAGCCACCCCAGGGTCGCAGGGATTTGGTCTCGTAGATAGAGGTTAAAGAAGATCTGCTTAATCAGAATCCACACTTGAAACTCCTTGCCCTGAAACGAACGAAGTGAGAGGAAGGGAAACGTCCCGCACGTGACAAAAAACTATGCCCTGAAACGAACGAAGTGAGAGGAAGGGGAAACTTCCTGCACGTGACTGGTCCTTATAAACCTTATTTATCGTGAGATATTCGTAAGACTGCCAAATCCCATACAAATTTTGAGGCGAAATTGGACCAAAATCGCAATGATTGGTTTGTCGTGCTTCTATGTTATTGGACAAATGCTTTCAGTACCATTGGACAAAGGCTTATACTGGAAACGACTCTAGTTTCTTGTTCTTTGCCCTGAAACGAGGAACGAAGTGAAAGGGGTTACTAACCTGCGCGAGCTGCCCGCAAAGTTTCGCTGCGTTCGTCTCACTGTAAAATCCTCGCCCGTTCTCGCCGCTGATTCGTCGATTTTGGCTGCCAAGACTTGTTCTTGTTCGCCCATGGCTACGTTGTCTTATTGCTCATCTACTTCTCCATGCTCTCTTTTGATTGCTGCTTCCCTCTTTCCATGCTCTGTTTTGATTGCTGCTTCCCTCTTTCCATGCTCTGTTTTGATTGCTGCTTCCTTCTTTCCTCCTTAGGCATCGTACTTTCCCATATTCGTATTCAGGCTGATCGTAGTGGTCTCCGACAGAGTCGTGATATCAATGGCGTTGAGCGAAGAACCTAACTACATCAGCGTCTTGGTTCTATATACGGCATGACCAGCGATGCTAGGATGGCCAATAACTTGTTTAAAGTTGCGGGGAACAGGGTCCGACTGCCGGAGCCAAATTGTCAACGCAATTGTCGCTGGGATGAACCTTATCGGACGAAAAGACGAAGTAGTCCTTATGGCGCCGACGGGTGCGGCCGCCGATAATATCGGCGGTAATACGTACCATACATCTTTAGGGATATCTATCAACCGTTCGCGTGAAACCGGTATGAGATCCAGAGTGAGACGGCTTTGGTCTCGCAAGACTATCATGATTGTGGACGAAGTCAGCATGATGGATCTACGCATGATCAGCGTGATTGATAATCAATGCAAGATCGTCAAAGCCCTCGACAGATCCTCCCTGATCTTTTCGGTGGCCTTCCTGTTGTCATCTTCATTGGTGACTTTTTCCAGTTTCCACCTGTTCTGGGCCCGGCACTATGGAGGGAACCAAGAAGAGGCATAGGTGAGGATGATAACGGTCGGCTACTCTGGCATCAATTCAAAGAGGTGATCATTCTGGATGAACAAATGAGGCACGCAGAAGAAGACACTGCATTCCGCGATTTGCTATCACGAGCTAGATCAGGGAATTTAACCGAAACCGATCGATCCTTCCTTAATAGAAAAACCGTTACGTCCCTAGTCAGCCCTCAACTGGAAGATGTCACCACTGTGGTTAAATTGAACTCTCTGCGACATCAGGTGAACCGCGTTCGATTAGAAGAGTTTGCCCGGACCCGGTGCCAGAACATATATATCTTCCCCGCGCTTCATAAGCGCACCAAGTCCACTGGCTCAATGAACCTACGACTCCATGCCGACGACTTACTCCAGCAGCCGGACCAAGGCACCAAGATTCCTTTCCCAGGACTCTTCCTATACACCCTCAATATGCCAGCCGTCATACTGACCAATATCTGCACCCCACTGGGCCTAGTTAATGGCGCATCGGGGGCTGCGGTAGGCATCGTGGTCGATCCCACAGGTGCGTTCATCTTTTCTTAGAAACAATATAGTACATAACCACCTCATACCTTATTACTAGCCGAATTCATTCAGATCGACAACCTTTACATCATGTGCACTAAACCACCGTCGTGTGTTATATTTAAACCGAACAGATCAAAGGCAGCCGTATTTCAAGACCTTGAACCTACAGCTATGCCAATCTTTCCATTAGAACGATCTGTCAGGATGAGGAATCGATGTACTGGCTAGTACTGAAGATGTCCAAACGGAATAAGATGATTGATTGTAGGTACTCCGATCGGTTGAGCGATCTCAGGGGTCTTTATAGTTGAACTATGGCGTGTTATGACACCATACTAGGTGGAAATTGGGTGAACGATGAATAAGCCAATCCCGAATGGTCCTAGTGGTATTTGACCACCTCCTCAGTTTGTCACGATCTGTTACGATAAAAGGCTACTCGGTCCGAAGGAAGCAGATCCCTATGTGCCCAGCGTTCTGCCTCACCGACTACAAAGTGCAAGGCTCAACACTTTCAGCTGCGATCCTCGACCTCAAAGATGACCCCACCATCCGGGGCCGAGATCATCACCGGAAGTATTGCTCGATGTATATCCAGCTATCCCGCCTTCAATCCTCTGACGGACTTCATCTCCTGCAGAAACTCGATATGCATGACGTCCGATTCGGACCCGATCCTCGACTGCTAACTGAAATGGAAAGACTTCAAGAACGAGAAAAAGAGACGATTACTGCTTGGAAGGAAACTTCTGATATATAACGTCACTTTCTATCAGAATAGAATTTCGTATATTCAACATCTATGCTCATCCAATCACATCTTACACTACATAATTATGACGAAACTTATCTAAATTCACGATGATTAGCTTCTGTGCTTTAACTTCATTAGATTCTGGGTTTGCCGACAAGTTCTGTTCACTTACATACTTCGGACTACTGCTTAGGATAGGATGTCTTAGGGTTATGCACGGGCTTGGATAGAATTTCAAACTTTATGACCTAAATCACTCCTATCGGATTCGGGTTGTTGTCTTCCGCAACCTCAACCACGCTACGACCTACCTAGCTATAGCTGTCGCAAATCCCGCTATACCCGACATCGCCTATTATTACCTCTTAAAGGAAAGAAGCTAGCTTCACCCTATGGCCCTTAACATCATATCATATACATTTAGGGTCTATATTTGCTACCTTCATTTAGCAATTTTCGCTTATAGGGATATGATTTGGTTAAATTCTCTAATAATGTTCCCTTATATATTATATTTAAGTGCTTCTTGAAGTTCTTTTGTCGGTGTGGTTTGTTGTAGTGGTTAGATTCATTAACACAGCACCATCGACATCATGACTCCCATCCACTTACGCGTCTTAAAATTGTTTCAGTCCGGTAAAGTTTACCACTTGTGCATTTCTACCTAAAAGGTTTAACTTAAAGCTTATTCTACTTCCCTATACTCACAGAATATATCGAGACTACCTTTCTCGCCTTGTCTCTCGTACTATGACATCAGCCGCTGCGCGTCTTCACATGCTTTTGTTGCCTAGTATGCATGATCCACCTCCCGTTATGGCGAGGAGATAATACTAAAATACTACAATCTTTCACTCGTCCTGAAGCTTATATTAAATTGGTGTCCTATGCGCTTTGCCTGCAAACCTTTAGTTTTCGCTGACACCGTCTGCATTCAATTTGTCGTCCTTATGCCAACTCAGGTTAACTCCCCAGCTATTCTCCATTTGAGAGACTTCATAAACAGCGTGGGACCTGACCTGTCTCGACCGGAGCAGGGACTTGCTCTACAAATTGAGGCGTCTTTACATCTCCCTTTTCAAACGAATCTCTACTCAGACGATGTTGAATTGAATGAGCTTCCAACTACCATACACTTCTTCGCCTCGCCGGGTAACCCTCAATCCTACGAACCCAACAAGTTTATCTATGCTTGGGGTTCTTTCTTAAGTTCTGTCGACCCAGATGGGGCTCTACATCTAATTCTACACGCCCATGAAGTTGACTGGTAAGATATGAATCACAAAGCCATCTTTATTTCCTCGCCGCTAAAGGATTCCTTAGTCACCCGGGCGATCATACCAATTCTCATACGTACAATATGCACTGCCCAGAGGCTGCTCTCCCTACTGTTAGCTTACTGGGAATAGTCCAAAGTGGAGGTGGACAGTTAAACAACGGACCCACTCTGTTGTATTACGACCTCGAGACTAATGTCTATGACCCCTCTAATAAGGCGTCTGTGACATTTACAGTTTCTATTTACTTCAGGAACGGAAACCGTTGGACAAAATTTCCCGTCCTTTCTACGCAATCTCGCATATTTATTACGGGGAGAATTTTCGGCATCACTACCAACACGCCTCGGCTCGCAATTGGCGTGGATGATGTTTTTTTTATTCCAAATCTCAGCTTCATTACTACAGCTCCAGTGACCCCTACCTCATCGGTGGGAAAGCAGAAACAAGCAAATAGATGGAACAGTCGTGCCAACTCAGCTACTCCAACAAAGAGACCTTATTCCGGGAGAACGGCAATTGGATACGCTAGGCAGAACGTTATCGATTTCTTGAGTAATACTTTTAAGCAAAACGATTCATGTATTTCACAAGCGAGCCAGCCACCCCAAAAACACCACATAAGCACGGTATATTAGAGCTTCATATCTTAAAGACCGCATCTGATGTAGATGAGATATTAAAATCAGATGGACTAATAGTATTACTGATCTAAAGATCCATATGAGATAATTACAATAAGTGCTGATGGAGACATTCATATTCATATCTGTCAACTCTGAGAGAGGTAAAATACTGTGGATTCTCCACTGCTCTTGGTTATTCAGCATCCACCCACATTGCAATAGTAATTGTATGGTAATTCGGGTCATTCTCGGAAGAACTGTGATGTAATACGCAGTTTATAGCCCCTGGATCATTTTCAACAGATCGGAACACACAGACACACTCTCGTTAATCCATCTCATGCATCAATTGGCCGTCCCTCGATACTAGATGATACACGTATCCGACATCCTGACAAATGACATAAAATCGATTATACACTAGTATTTTAGTTCTCAGGTTCCCCCACTATCTCGGTGCAGATCCATTCCTATTCCTTCTGTTGCCCCAGTCTTGTTTCTTAGGAAAGGAGCTAAAATGCATGAATTAAGAAAGGAAAATACTAACTCTCGATTAATAGCCCCTCTGTGGCAGAACAGATGGCTGCCTTGCGACGAGCCTGGCAGCGAAGATGTCACCCAGCGCCGCTGCAAATCTCATCCGCATGGGATGGTCCCATGTTTTCTGCGCCAATAATGCCTCCCGGCTAACCTGCATGACTTTAACGTCAATAGTGGCATGTTCATTACCCTGGCCTCTTCCAAGCCCGACAACTGCATGTTTATTGATATACCCACAGCTGCGCCCAACATATGTGACTCCAGTCGCAGGATCGTGTACTTCGAATCCAAGCATCCACCGTGCACCGTCACTGTGACTGGGAGCTGAGATTAACGGAATCACATCATGCATTTCAAACACGTTGAAGCCTTGTCGCGACGCATGCACCTCTCTTGCAGCCACCTGCTCCCCATCCTGTAACACCCTCCAAGAGAAACCTTGGTGACGATCCGGCGGCTGAGAAACCGGGGTAGCGCGGGCTGAGTATTGAAAGTTGTGCAATAGAAGAATGGGAATGGTTTCAGTCCCGGGTAGATACGCCCAGCCGGTGCAGATCTCATGCGCGACTCTCCGCCCGAGCGTGGTGTGGAGCCTCTCAAAGGCATCTGCCACTGTCTGTGGATCTAAAAAGATTTCCCCACCATCTGAGATTGCGAATCGGAGGAGCCGATTGAGGGGCACGGAAAATGTCTCATCAGTGGGTATGCTCGGATGTGAAGTGTGCTGCACCCTGGTGCATGCGTCTCGGGCCATCTCGTCCCAGCAGCCCCAGAAGTGGTCGTGAAGAGAAATGGTGCGCTCGGTAAGGTGCGATATGATCGTCGGGAAATCAGGCTTGTGAGGCAGCAGGGAACCCAATAGGTGCTCGAAGAATCGCATCGTATAGGGGAACCATTCGAACACCGGGGCTTCACTGGCCACGTCGAAGCGGTGGTGGTGTAGATCATCGGCCATGGTGAACGTCGTCGGGCCACTACAGACATTGGCCGTATCCAAATCGACCCCGCTCGGCTCAAAAACCAGGTCGTAGAGGACCTCGTCAGGGTCCGCTGAGCCGCCGTCATGCACCTCCAACACGTCCGGAGAAATGCGACTTGCAGGCAAGGCTTTCCATGAAGGGTTTAGCGACCGAGCGCTGTCAGGATCGACAAACTTGAGAGCGAGGCTGGTAGGATGAACGTCAATCAAGGGGTGGGTGTCGGTGAATTGGATCTGAGGGGCTGCTCGGTACGAGTAGAGGGTGCGTCCAGCTCGTTTGGGCCTGCTGATGAACGCAACGGTTGACGTACTTTGCAACCGTCTGCCTCCGCTGAAGACGTGGGATTGGACACGGTCGCCTTCCTGTATCTGGCTGATCACTCTGGTGGTCCCATCAGCGAGAAGCACTGGTGACTGTGCCGAAAAGCAGGAGGAAGTGACGGGATTCTTGTAATACTGGCACTGCATTACAAACACCTCCCCAACGGGGAAAGGAGGCAACTTAACGACACAGAGATTCTGGGCTTTCAAGTCGGCGCAGCCGAGATAATCGCTTTTCAACCAGCCCCTGTATTGCAACCATTGGTCTCCGGTGAGGGAGGGAAAGTAACCAGGGTCGATGGCATCTTCACCAGTTGTGAAGCTCTGGTAGATTTCTTGGACCTCCTCAATGGAAGCTCCACAGGCCAACAATTTGACCAGATGAATGTAAACTTCCAGTGTGGGGTTTTTCCAAGACCCGTTGGCTAGCTGAGCCCTTCTCAAGGACCGATAGGCTCTGGAAAGAAACAGGGATCTATACTGGGCAACGTAATCTGCGGATGGCGCCAATCCTGCGACCTGTCGGAAGTACTCGGCATACAAAGCACTGCATTGCTTGTTGAATTCCGAATTCACCCAGCGGATATGCTCCTGGAACTTATCTTCATAAAGATGAGTGAAACCAGCGTCATAGCAGCTGTTGGCCAAGAGGGCGTTGGAGCCATACAGGAAGGCTGCCTGATTGAGATCCCCGATAGTGAAGCTGGGTGGAGACAGGCCCCTGTCAATGCTAGGGAACACGACATCTGCATACCTCCAGTTTGAGAGCTTTTGCATCATGCTCACCACCATCAGCACTACCGGGTGGTCGTGGAAGAATGTGGGTCGCTGGGCATCTTGCTGCGTCGCATAGAACATGCCCTGAATCACCGCATCAACATGGGGGCGGCTGGAGCGATCGAATTCTTCATGGCTCTGGAAAGCCTGAAAATGAGAAGAGGGGTACCGGTTCAGTACTTCGATGGGATCCATGACTGAGGCGTAATGGGCAAGTCTTGTATGATCAAGTGCAGGTTTGTCGTAATGCGCGAGGTGGATGGACTTTCAGCTGGCCACACGTCTTAAATATGGGTGGTTGATGCAACTGCAGGGGTAGGATTTCCGTGGTTGCTCCCGATCAAGCGTGGTGCAGCACAGGTCACATATACTCCTCAGCTGCCCGCTGCACAATGTAGAAGTTTGTATGCATAATGAAACAAGGCAACACGTCATACATGTAGGTCCATCACTCGAAGATCTCGGTCCCCCCATTAGGAAAGGTCTGTAGCGGTCCTGCAACCATATATCTGCCCATCTGCCGTCGCCATCTGCTCAAGGTTACCAAACCTGTCTTGTGTCAAAGCAGAGTACGACGATTTTACATCGCTCATATTGAATCATGAATGACTTGTTTGGCTTGACCTCTTTGTCTCCTTGCAGACAATCCTCCAATGGATCCACCACCCACTCGACCCGCGCGCAGCGCAACCGTCTATACAGGTCCAAGATGAAGGCTCAGTGGTTGCCACAAGGTAGGAAATTCCCATATAGCACCCAACAGAAACGTGTAAAATCTAACCTTTCTCGCCGGGGTTTGACAGGTGCTCGAGAATTCCACCGGACCAATCCCCGTGTCCTTGGCCTCCCCGTGCCTTCAACCTGCAGTTTGAAAAGCCCGACGAGACCCCAGAAAGTGCGGAGCCCGTGGAGAATGCCAAGATTACCTTCAACGGGTTTGGCAATCCGGCTCATGGACTGAAGCTTAATGGTCACCACGTTGGCCCCGAGGACTTGAGTTATCAACCTGGAACCAGTGGCTGCACTTTCGGCAGCACTGTTCGGGTTGATGGACGCCCTGATCCCACTCCCGTCGTGGGCCACTTCGACTTCACGCCCTCCTACACCAGTGCGCTTGGCAGTCTGGAAGTGGGTGAGCATGACTATCCGGTCACCCTGGAGCCCGCGTGGGTGACTTTTAATGCGGAGGTCTCGGTCAACGCAGGCGCGTACTGGGACACTGCCGCCAAGAAGTTGGTCTGGGACGAGAAAGGCGAGGCATGGAAGAAGGCTTCCTGGGAACAGTCCATGCAATTTGCATATCGGACAGTGACGGATCCTGATGACGATGACGATGACGAACCTCTGACCGTCATTGAGAATTGCTTCACCGACACCCGTAAGTCACATATCGATATCATTCTCCGCAGTGTAACAACTCCAGCTAAATGCTACGTTTTTTCCCCTAGTCTCTAAGCCACCCACGCGCTTTCCTCTGATGCTGAAGGATCACGGGGACTTCAACTGCGCATTTGAGACTGTCAATGGCCAAATTACGATGGAGACCACCGTGTGGGATTCCGAGATTTTCCCACCGACTTCAAGAAAGAACTCCCCCGTCAAGTCCGTCTTTCCGTCTTCCTTTGTGGCTCGGTTCGATTGGGGTGGGATGTCATTTACTGGTGCTTTCAAGGACAAAGACGGCAATGTCGTCGCGGTAAGAGGCGATGTATCCGACGATGACGAGTCTCCTCTGCTCCCTGCACTCGCGAAGAAAGAGGGAGCATCCCTGGCGAAAGACGTTAATTATCCTCTCAACTATTTCGTCGTGCCTATCAGCGCCCCAACAGCCAGTCCCCCGATAGGTTTAAAAGTGAAAGGGCTAATGGGGAACGACACTATGATCCAGGACGAGAAGGATCCTACCGGGTGGGCTGACTCGGTGAGCAAGCTGGCCATGCAGGATTTCCACGATATCATCATCTTCTACATGGATCAGGAACTCAGAGACACCTTCGTGGGTAAAAACCCAGCGCTGAATGCTAACATTAAGGCTATTGCGCTGAGTGGCGGAGATGAGACTGCAAAGTTCTACAAAAGCCTGCAGGTTCCGTACCTGACTGCGATGCTGGCAAACAGTAGGAGCTCCGCTGCTAGAATGGATTAGAGAACGAACCGCTAATTTTCAAATAGCTACGGTAGACGAAGCAAAGAGTTGCAACGGTGTTCGAGCTGAGAAGCTCCTCAAGGAAATCCCCGCGGACAGCAAGGTCTACAAAGCCCAGTCCGCAGCGTTGTATCGCTTCCGGTACCTTGAGAAGTTTCCGGACACCAAGAGGTTTATTCAGGACCAGAACGACAAGGACTATTCGGCGGCGATTGACAAGACAACCGAAGTAATGAAGCGGCTCTTGCGCAAGAATACCAGCGGTCTAGAGGCCAGTAATCCCAAGGGTGCCGATAGTCACAAGGCCAGCGTGGCCAAAGCAGAAGCAGACATCGACAAACTAGGCAAGTGGGCAAAGCAAGAAAATCTTTACTGGGCGTTGCGTCTACTTTACATGGTCCAGAAGAGTCAACTGCCGCAATGGTATGCCATGTATATGAATGGCAACCTGAGTTCCAGCATCGGCATGAGAATCAAACAGCTAAATGGTGTGTTTGAAATCCTTGAGAACAACAAGATCAATAAAGACGGGATGAGCTTTTCGGAAGCATACAACGACACCATTCGGGCCTTTCAAATGCGTTCTATTATCCCTCAGTTGGTCGACCTGGACGGCTGCTACAGTGATTTCGACTCGGTCCTCAAGGAGAGTCTCAATCAATTCTGGCTTCACTACAAGGATAGCAAAGACCCCAATCTGGCCGAGCAGGCTAACCAGGCCAAGCAGCTCTACATGAATGAAGAGCTCCGACATAAGTTCATGACCTCCCTCAGGGCCTCGAGTCGATTGTCCAGTGCAGCGTCATCGTGGAGTGTGATCGTGCAAATGTGGGAGGAGACCGTCCGGACGCAAAGCTGGTTTAAGGCAGCACTTGTCGTAAACGAAAAGTTCTTTACATGCATGAAGTATGTTGCTGCAGGCGCTCTATTGGTGATGCCTTTCTTACCCTTCTGGTCGACGATGAGCACCGCGGACAAGGTGATGTGGGGAATGTAAGTAGACATCCCATCCAATCTTGTATCACCCGTGGCTGAACTGACACAACACGCGCACACACAGATCTGTAGCCGGTGTCGTTGCAGCCGTTACCATCCGAATTGCAACTGGCGCATTCCGGTATGCTCTTTTCTTCAAGGAGATATCTGGGTGGTATGACACTCTCAAAACCATCTTTGGCTTCGAAACGGTGATCGACAAGATCCCCCAGGCGGCCCAGAAGGTAAGATGGCATGGAAAACGCATCTTTCGCTGCGGAACTGACCATAAAACGATAGATCTCCAGCAGTGCCGGGCGCTATTTCTTACGCACTGCCAAACAAACTGCAATTCTGGCGGAAGAGGAAGCGGCGCTCCCATTCGGGGGGATTCGGTATTTCTCTCGCTTTTCTAGGATGTTTGGACGCAGTTTCTCAGAGCTCCTTGGAACTGTGGCAGGGTGAGTTGTGGACAGCATTACGTCTTGGAAGATAGCACAATGTCTAACTGCCTCGAATAGCTTTGCCTTGGCTGCTGTGTGTCTGGGGTTAAGTGCCGCTTCGCTGGCCAAGGAGACGGACCCACTTCTCATTGCCGTCGATGTGCTGATGATCCTGTCCTCTGCGGTTCAGATACTCGCCATTGTTGCAGGTTGGGCAATCGCCGCAGGAGTGTCCAGTAAGTGAACACTGCCCCAGTGCCAGGGAAGAAACCCCCTTATCTAACTAATGATAGCCGCTCTCGGTACCCTTTCTCTAGTCGCTACTTGGGGAGGGCCTCTTGGCATCTTGTTGGCTGTAATCGGCATCATCATCGTCATCGTATGGGCGTTCACCCACAGTAAGAATCCCTCTTCGCTCGGTTGATTCTTGCCCTATCCCCTCCACTGACCATTTCCTAGAGGAAGAAACCCCTGTCGAAAAATTCGTGAATAACTACGTGAAGCCGGCCGGGCTGTATATGAATTTCAAGGCTATCGACTATATGGAAGGTCTCGCAGCCACTGCCACCACTGCCTCTCGATATGGGGTCAGTGTCTGCTGGATGAATGACACCAAGAAAGCGTACCTTTCTCTGGACGCACCACGGGCGACTTCTGGCAGTGTTAAAGGCACGAAACTTCTAGACTTTACGAGCGATACTGTCTGGGCATTACGGACAGACGGACATGGTCGTAGTCAGATCTACACGCAGAAGGCTTACCAGGATCCGCAGGCCGGTACTTTGCGCCAGGTGTGGTTTCTCTCGGCCACGGACAATGAAAAGGGCGTCTGTGCCCGCAGACTCCCCAACAAAAGCGAGGATGAAGCGAAGTACAAGGAAGCTCAGAAGCTCACACACTGGGTGGTATCGGTCATGGCAAAGCCGGTAGAGGATGCCAATACCAAGGCCCCGGTCAGCGCCCTTTGCTCCGTCTGCTATCAGACCCGAGATGGAAGTCAGAAGCTTGCTCTAAAGATGGACGAGAAACAGCAGCTTACGCTTACTGCGCCTTCACTTGCATTTAAGTTCGACACCTGGCTCTTCGAGATACAGTCCCTAGGGCCTCTTCCGTTCCACTACAGCAGGACACCATGGACCATCCATACATCACACCGGGTAAGCGGGAAAAAGCATCCACAGTTGTACGATGATGCTAACAGTCAGCAGAATGAAAAAAATAGAGCCATTTTCGACGACCCTCTGGCCACCAGCACGGGGTACAAGTGGACTATTGAGCCGGCTCTAGATGATCGGTTCTTGGAGCTGGTTACAACCTCAGGAAACGACGAAGGAACAATCCGACTGAAAGAGGGTGCTGAGCCAAAAATCATGTCCAAGACTTCGTACACGGTGAAATGCACCTTGATGGTGAACGGCACGCCTCATGGACAACAGCAGGCAACAGTGGAAATCGAGGTAGTCTAGTTGGTGGCTAGATGGACACCCTAAATGACTAGGGTGCTCGAAGAATATAACCTCTGGATGGCCAATCCGACCAAACGCCAAGATACAAACAAAGTCCTGGTCTGTGTTTCGTCTGAGGTTTTAGTGCAATTAAATTTCAAATATATTAGTGCTTATTATATCAATCTTAGATATCCAGTTTATACTGTGCATGGCAGTTTAATTCTCTTGTAGCGTTTCCACCGATGCATGTCTTCCATGACCTGTCCCATTATCAAGGGCTATTAATTTACCCTCCCACATGGTATTCCGGGCCTGGTGGGTGGCGCACCTTCCCGGATCCCACGGGTCCCATTGGCCGATCCGGGCTTATCGGGCCTTATCGGCGGGCGGTGCCCCACCGGAAGGCACTCAGTCGTCGGGAGGGGAGGCTGGGGCCGATTTCCCGCCTTCCCAGGGGCCCACCAGTCCATCAGGTTTACCTGTAAACTTACCTCCACAGGGAGGTCAGGGAGCAGCAGGTCCGTCTTATCTTTGAACGATGCATACCATTTGTAGTCAGGCTGGATTCAGACCAAATCGTCAGCTTTCAGTCCCGTTTCACTCCCCTTTCACGTAGAATCACGTCAGATGGGCTGCTGGGCATCGTTACTCACATTGTCCTTGACTCGAGGCATCTTGCGCAGTAGTAAATATGGTAGAAATGGATGGAGAAAGGTCGGTGAAAGAGGGAAGTAGATGTAGATGTAAGGTAATGTAAGAAGTGTAACAAAGAAAGTTGGTGCCTCAGGTTGAGAATTCCACTGAGGTCTCAGGGGGCAGAATCCAGGTGAGCCCAGGGTGCTCTCAAGCTGAGCGCAGGGGGGTGGGGCAAATCACATGACTCTTGGCGGTGCTGAGCGCAGGGGGATTTTGTATCATATAATGTATTTATTATAGTTATACCCGTGCCTTAGTCAGTGCCCCCACTCGCTCCAGGTCGTCGCCAAGTGGGTGCACCACGCCACGCCGATAACCACGCCACCCCAATAAAAATTTCACCACATTGAAGCATTTCATCACCTTATTCACCAACCATGTCCTCCGACCGAGTCAAAATTGAGCAGCAGATAGCGAAGGCAGTAGAGTACACTGCCTCGCTTAAATCGAAGCCAAATTTGTCTAAAATTGCGCGCGAATATGGCGTTCCGTATCAGCGTTTTAGGGCGCGTCTTCAAGGTCGGCAGGCCTTACACGCTCCTAAACCCTACCAAGAGACCCTAGATCCCTGGCAAATTCAGGGCCTTGTTCACTGGTGGAAATTCTTTGATTCAGTAGGGTACAGACCCTCCCACCAAGAGATTATTGCTGCTGCAAATCATATTCTCGCGCCTGAGTCAGTAGGCAAAATGTGGGTTTATCGCTTTGAGGAGAGGCATCTTAAACCACTTGGAACGCGTATTGCGCGTCACCGACCTGTGAATAAGAAGCGTCTTGAGGCAGAGGATGTTGGAATGCTTGAAATCTGGTATGGCAAGCTTCGTGAGTATCTGCATTGCGATGGCAATAATATGATACTCACGCATAACATTTACAACTTTGATGAGACTGGATTTATGCTTGGAGTAGGCAAGACGACTCGAGGGCCCTCACAGTATAGTGATAAGCGCTTTGCCTCACTTGAGAAGGGTACACTTGTCTCTGTCATTGAGTGTGCCTGTGCCGATGGAACGATGGTAGAGCCGCCTTATATCATATTTCCAGGTGCACGTCATATGGAGTCGTGGTATGAAGGCAATGTGCCTAATTACCCTGTCAATGTTAGCGAAACTGGTTATTCGAACGGCGAGATTGCACTTGACTGGATCAAATTATTCGATAAGCAGACATATGCAAAGGCAGCAGGCAAGCAGAGGCTGCTATTATTTGACGGTCATCCATCACATATTACTGTCGAGTTTCTCCAATATTGCCAGGATAACAACATTATTGCCTGGAATTTTATGTCAAATTTGACACAATTATGCCAACCACTCGACCAGAAGCCCTTTCTTGTCTATAAGCAGGCATATAAGGCACAGACATCGCACCTACAGGCAGAGGGGGAGATTCGATGATACTATACACAAAGGCGCGTCTCTACATCAACTACCAGATCTCCGCAAGCGCGTCTTCCAGCGCTCTACAATTCGTCATGCCTTCCGTGATACAGGTCTGGTTCCATATAATCCAGATCTAATATTAGATAAGGTTAACCTAGGCCTTACCTCTAATATTACTGTTACTGTTGATGAAGGCTGGCTTGCCAATACACCTTCACCACCTCCACAGAGCAGTTCACCACTCCCCTCAAGTCCTATCAAGACCCCTCGCTCTGCTCGCCGTGTTGTTAAGAAGATTCTAAATAAAGATATCTCTAATAACCCACAAGTCGTGCGAGGTTTAGACCTACTATGTGATGGTCTATTAGCAAATGTGGAGCGGAACCGTCATCTTGAGCAGAGCTTCCAGAACCATTTCAGCGCTCCAAAACAGCGTACAAAACGGCAGGTCCAAGGCAAAGGCCTCAGTTCTATCACAGGTCGTCTATATCCTCATGATGCACAAAATTCAATTATAGAGCGCAAGGCACGTGAGCAGAAGGCAGCAGAGGCTCGCGCAGCAAAGGATGCACGACCAAACTTAGGTGAAAAAACGCCGATTTCTCCTATCTCTCCATGTACCGGCCAGCATTTAAGTTTGTGACACCAAACACCATTTGAATCCGCCAAGGTTGTTCTAGATCATTGTCTGGTCAATCAGGAATGCCAAACAATGCGTCTCATGACACCAGAATAGATTCTGCTGTCGCACCTCACCGTCGAAAAGTTGGCTATTTCGACTCTCTTGCCAAGAGCGTGACGATTTCCTGATTGAGATAGCGTAGCGTGACGATTTCCTGTTCCGGATTAGTGGATAGACTCAAGACCAGGCCAGTACCCCAGATCGCTCAGCCGCAGCCAATAATACCGATCATATCCCTGTCAACGCCTGAATCCCTGCCAAACTGGCTGACTTCCTGCGATGATTGGCTGATCTCTGAGCCACGTGTTGTTGAATAAGGGGTTCGATTTGACGTATCAAATTATCCTTTTCTAGCTTCGTGCACTTTCGCACTATCCCCTGAATGAAAGTCTCCGTACGTACTTTTCTTCCTGTTTGGCGTTCTTCAAGATGCCCAGAAAGCACCCGTCTCAATTGAATTGTCCGCAAAGATCTCATCCGCGTTTTAGTGCCGATGACGCAGAGGAGCGGACACGGGAGCGCCAACGCCAAAATCGAGCCCGTCGAAGAGTAGTGAAGACATCGAACGACGCGCTGGTTACTCCTGTGGAGGATGAACGTTGGGCTGAGTCCCCTCACGTACTTTCGGAAGAGGAAGGCCCAGAGCATCCCAATGAGCGCGAAATTATCGCCTCCGACTTGGACCACGCGAGACGTGTGAGATTTGCCCATGACAAAGATGAAGATCCTCAAGTCACCCATCGCCGTCGTCTTGATGCTATCCGAGCCAAAAAGTACCGAAAGCGCCGCAAGAATGCCCTGAAACGAACGGAGTGAGAGTAAGGGGAAACGAATGCACGTGACACGAACTATATATTTTTTCATATTTTCGCGACTCAACAGACTGCCAAAAGTCCAGACAAAATCGTGGCGAAAATGGACCGAAATCGCGATGATTGGCTCGCCGTGCTTCGGTATCATTGGACAATAGGCTTTCCAGTGATATTGGACAATAATTATACCGGAAACGACTCTAGTTTTCCGTTCTTTGTCCAATCCGCTCCCCTGCTGGCGTTTTTGTAGCTTTTCAATGTTGTTGCTCACTCTGACTCCATCCGCACCATTGGGTTTTTGCTGCTAATTTCGTTTCGGGGATGGCGTTCGCGCTAACATCACTGAAAGGATTCTTATTGGGTTCGGCTTCGCGTTTCCGGAACTTTAACACATGCTAGCACCCATGCAGCCCCCTTTCGTCGTGGACCTCGTATCCTTGTGATGGGGACCGTTGTCTACGTTTTTGGCCCAACATTGTCGACATCATCATTCTCTTTTAGTGAAGATATTCTGGCCTTATTATTGGTGTTGTGATCATGCGCTCTGCACTTTTACTTTCCCAAGCCTTGGTTGCCAAATCCCTGTCGCTGATCTACTACGTTACCAATTACGCTGCGAAGGACGACGTTTCTCCATGGCAGATGGTTGCGAAAGCTGCCTTACTCAGACAGTCACTTGAAAAGGCAAGAGTAGCGGATCCTCCAACAGAAGCAGACCTGCGCCTACGCGAGAAAGGTATGAACAACTTTGCCCTGCGATGCTTCAATACCCTTGCACATGACCGTGAAGTCAGTGGCGTTCAGGTGGCTAGTACTTTACTTCACCTCCCAAGCTACTACACCGTCAATTACAACTTCGTCAGCGTCAATCTTTGGTGGCTAAGGCAGTATATTCGCGCTATGACTCATCCACAAGAACTGCAAGGTACTGTAGGAGAGGAAGCCTGCACGTATAAAGTTGGCGACACTGCTCCTGTGAGCTTATTCGACAATTATAAATGGCGAGGGAAAAATCTGGCCACTCTCACGTTTTTTGAATATTGCATGCTAGTACGAATGAGAGATAAACAAGGCGCGGCCACCACCGACCTCGATTTCGACGCGGCACATCCGAGATACACCACACACGTACAGCATCTCGCTCAAAAACGTGCTCACGTGGCTACTGTTACATTCAAGGGACAGCTAACTCAGTTCCAAGAAGCCGAAGATGCCATTTCTGGAGGACATCCCGCAACAGAAGCCATTCTGAATGATGTCGCCCAGATCCTATTGGGCTTGTTTGTTCCATGGCATGATTTATCTGCGATCTTGAGCCAGTTTACATCTCAAGAAAACATATACTCCATAGTGTGGACCATTGCGCAACCAACCCTCGCACCGCATAATCGAGAATTCGCTGCGAATATTGAGCTTCTTCGCAAGTCTAAAGGAGACTGCCAGGCAGATGCGAAGTTACGTGCATCGACTCATCTGGACGACGATTTTTTTGACCGACAGATTGTTGATCTCGACCAAGGAAGTTTCGATTCTGATAGTGATGAGCACGATGACGACTTCCAGGCTCAGAGTGAGAACTTTACCGCAGAGACTCTGATCGCCGCCTACCACACAATCAGACAAGTCTGGAGCCGAGAGTCAACTATCACAGCGCACCGAATCCCTGCATTAGCCCGCGGAACAACACCAGGGCGGAATATCCAACACTTCAACCCGCGACCAATTACCATTCCCACTCCCTCTGCCAATGATATCTTGGGTGTCAGATTTCTTCCACCTTCCGTACTACAATGCTGGGAACGTCGTCTCAAATGCCTTGCGAGCACGAAAGACAATGCTTCCATCGCTGAACAGCAGAACTCGTCCTTCCAGCTAGATGATTTCGACCAAGATATTGGAGATGGCTTCCTACAACCTATGCTAGTAGGCTCGGACGTGTTCCACTCTCTACAGGATCGTCGATTTCAGCTTGGTGAGAATCCAACAGCCGCCTCTCTGGTATCTTCAGTTGGTCAAGATATTCCTCTCAACAGCAAGCAACGATTGATCGTGGAAAAAATATTAGCCGAAGCTTTGGCATGCGCAGACCATCCATATGACTCTTCTCGACGGAAGCAACTCCTACTCTGCATCACAGGAGAAGGCGGCACAGGGAAATCGCAGATTCCCAAGGCCATTGTCGCCGCCATGGACCTCCTTGGTCGCAAGGATGAGATTATGCTGATGGCCCCGACAGGAGCTGCTGCAGACACCATCGGTGGGAATACGTATCATACATCTCTGGGCATCTCTATCAATCGCCTGCAGAAGAGCTCAATGGGCTCCCGCGTCAGAAGTCTCTGGGCACACAAGACCATTATGTTCATCGACGAAATGAGCATGATGGACTTGACCATGCTCAGTGTGGTTAACAACCATTGCAGGATTGCTCGTTCACTGGACAGGTCCTCCACTGAACTTTTTGGGGGACTACCCGTGGTCATTCTCATGGGAGACTTCTTCCAATTCCGTCCAGTGCGAGGTCCCGCTCTGTGGAAGGAACCAAGAGACGGCAACGATGAAGATGTGAACGGCCAAATGATTTGGCATCAATTCAAACAAGTCATCATCTTGGACGAACAAATGAGACAATCAGAAGACCCTTCCTTCCATAGCCTTCTCACGCGAGCGCGGCGAGCAGCTCTCACACAACGAGATGTAGATCGACTCAATTCCAAAGCCATCAGTTCACTTCTAGAGCCTCGGTTGGAATGTGCCACTGCCATAACCAAGCTAAACTCCATTCGACATCTGATAAATCGCACCCAGATAGAGCATTTTGCAATCACCAGATCTCAGCCCATTTGTGTCTTTCCTGCCGAGCACAGCCGTATCAAAACCAAAAACGCCACCAAAACGCGGCTACGGGCCGAAGACCTGCTCCAGCAACCTGACCAAGGGACAAAGATCCCATTCCCTGGTCTCTTTCTCTATACCCGAAACATGCCAGCCGTGATACTGACCAATATTTGTTCCCGTATTGGCCAAGTGAATGGCGCGTTGGGAACGGTGGTGGGTGTAGTACTAGACCCGACAGGCAAGTCGTCTTTCTCCCGAAAATAGTTTGCGCTGACCCAAATTTTCCAATCAGCACAATTATTTGAACTCAACAACCTATACATGTTTTGCACCAAACCGCCCACATTTCTTTTGTTGAGATTGAACCGACCGCAATCCGCCGAATTCGACAACCTTGAGTTTTCGGTAATGCCTGTTTTCCCATTAGAACGATCTATCTCCTTCAAAGGCTTCTCTGTACGAAGAAAACAAGTACCCATGTGCCCAGCGTTCTGCCTAACCGACTACAAAGTCCAAGGCTCAACCTTCACTGAAGCCATTCTTGACCTCAAGAGCGATCCCACCAGACGGGGCTGGGATGCTCACAGAAAATATTGCTCCACTTATGTCCAACTGTCTAGACTTAGGTCATCCAACGGACTTCATCTTCTCCAGAAGATTTCTGTGGAAGATATTGAATTTGCACCTGACGTTCGGCTAATATCTGAGATGAAACGACTCGAGAGGCTTCAGGAAGAAACTATCGGTACCTGGAATAAGACCAACTTCCAGCCTTGTTGAGATATGTTGCTGGAAGTATTAGAAGTATACACAGACACACTCGAACATTACAAGCACTTGCCAGTTTGACCTACTTCATTGCTCTTTGGAAACACAGACCTTCCTATGTAATTTCCAGTCCGCCTTCTGATGATCTCTTCCACAGTACGCCACCACCTTGCAGCGCCCGCACTTCTTCGCACCTTCTCTTCTGCCACAAATCTTACAACACAGTATCTCCTCAGGTCCCCAGGTGCTGTTGGAATGGCTTTCTTGTGCGACTTCGGCCATTATAATCTCGATTTCCTGCCTGGTCTGCGTTTCACATTTCTCTTTCTCGCATATAGGATGGACAAATACTGAAACGAAAGGTTCGTCCACATGTAGAAAAGACATCGGAGTTTGCAGGACTCCGACAGTAGGTGAGCCACAATTTCCACAGTGAGAATCTGACGCCCGACGACAATCCTTCTCATGTGCTTTCATAATAGGCGTTATAGCATTGAGAAAGCTATTCACATATGCAGGACGGTGCTGCAGGGATTGAGATTCGACTGTGATCAGGTGACTAGGAATATTATGGTAGAACATAAGTTTGTTGCTCGTATTTTCGCAGGTGAATTCAAAGCGAACTGGACGTGTAGCCATTACGATCGAATTCCTTCCTTGGAAATTTTATTTTAGGAGGCCTACTAAACTGAGTTCCACAGAGATCTTGGCCTATATATATGTTCAACTGATAAAGTTTCAACAAACTTGGGCCTTACCTATTCCGGACCATATAAACCTTCGATTCTTTTGCCCCTTATGGCTGTATCCAATAACATCACGTTTCTCCTATACTAACCTTCGTTTCGTTTCGTTTTCCTTGTCGTTTCAGGGCATCGGCGTGCGAAGCTTGCGAAGCTTGCGAAGCGCGCGTCACCAGTGCCAAATCCCATACAAATTTTGAGGCGAAATTGGACCAAAATTGCAATGATTGGTTTGTCGTGCTTCTATGTTATTGGACAAATGCTTTCAGTACCATTGGACAAATGCTTTCAGTACCATTGGACAAAGGCTTATTCTGGAAACGACTCTAGTTTCTTGTTCTTTGTCCAATCCGCACCTCTTTTGGTGTTTTGTAGCATTTCAGTTTTTCTCGGACTACAGTCGGAGCATTAGGCTTTCGGTGCTATTGTCGATTCGGGGATGGCGTTCGCGCTACCATGATTGAACTGAATCTTATCGGATCCGGCTGCGCTTTTCCGGAACTTTAAACATGTTAGAACCCATCCAGACACAGTTCCTCGCTTCGTTATGCTCGTATCCTTGTGATGAGGAGCGATATTTAAGTTCCTGGCCCAGCATTGTCGACATCATCACTCTCTTGTTGTGACGATGTACTCTGCATTTTTACTTTCCCATGCCTTCTTTGGTCGTCGTGCAGGATCAAATCCCTTTGTATGGCTTGGGAAATAATACTGTAAAGGTTTCCATTTGACTGCATTGACTACCTTGTATCAATCTGTTGTCCTGATACTAAATGTTCGTTACATATTGTAGTGGGGAGACCCCCTCCCCCTACTACATGGGTGCCATCCAGACTATGTGACATAGCCGGCAGTATACAGTGGCCGGATAGCTAGTTCTAGAATACACCTTCTTACACCTCCCGGACCTGACCCCTACATTTGGGCTTCTCGCTGTTTCCTGATTGCTACGCGTGTGTTTTGTGGTGGTTTTTCTGCTGAATCGACCCGCACGTCTCAGCGCGTGCAGCCATCGAGCGTTCCCCTCTTCACTAGGTACTGTGTACACAGTTAAGTGGACAGTGTGTATGCTCCAAAGCAAAAGTCAGTTGGTTCCTGTTGATAGATGTGTGTGTCGATATTCAGTCTAGTTGGAAAAACACCCCTAGATCCCACACGCCGGCCTTCGGCGGTCACAACACCGAGGCCACATCCCAGCGCAAGAATGCGTACACCAAGCAGGGGATGTTATCCATCGGTCGCTAGCGGTGGGTCACAGCCAGTTTGTTCTGACAGGAGAATATATCCCGACAGTTACCTTATTAGTTAATCAGACAGTTCTATCTGGGAATTGTTACGGACACTACAGGATTTACTAACTAGTTAGACCTGCTTGAAAAGCATAGGATCAAAGAGCGAGTGTTAGCTGTCACAACTGATAATGCGTCTAACAATTCGACTCTTATTTCATCTCTGCAAGACTCTCTTCAGTCTCAGGGCCTTCGTTCTGATACTCTTATTATCCGAGTACCATGCCTCGCCCATGTGATTCAGTTGAGCCTAAAGCAGCTCCTTGGTCAAATGAAAGCCAACCCAGTGAATGAGAATGTCGATACGGTCTGGACTGAAGAGCATACGAAAATAGCTCGCCAAACAGCAAGAGAGTATAGTATGGTGAACACACTTAAGAAGGTTTGATCTTAAACTATTCTTTCTACCTATCAAACATATACTAATTATACAATTGCTTAGATCCGAAACCTCGCTATCTTCATCAATGCAAGCCCTCAGCGCCGTGAATCCTTCCAAACCTCCAGTCTAATACACCTCGATTATTCCCAATCCAGGATGTCAGGACGCGCTGGAATTCGACCTTCTTAATGCTCCGCCGGGCTAAGAAGCTACGACCTGTGTTTGATACGTTCTGCTCCGAATTTCATCATTCTCATCTTCAGGTTACATCAAATGAGTGGCGGCGGGTTGATTACCTGATCTGTATCACCCAGCCTTTCTACAGATTCACAACTGCTCTCTCAAAAACAAAAGACATAACAATTCATACTGTTTTCAGTATTTACAATCGTCTCTTTAATCATCTTGAGAGCCGGATCCGCCAGCTACAACGGAAGAAGATCGGATGGAAAAGACAAATGCTTGATGCTCTGAGAGGAGCCGAAAGTAAGCTCAGGGATTATTATATGATGACTGACCTTGAAGGTCTTAGTGATATATACTCAACTGGGACTATTTTGGCGCCGCAGTATAAGCTTGAATTCTTCCAGACCTCAGATTGGCGGGATGACGAGAAGGACTTTGCTGCCCAATTCAGACAAGCTCTCGAAGCCCGAGTTATGCACTACGAGGTTAGTGTATATAGCTCTCTCTCACAGACTGGAGGTTTACAGACTGTGAAGCCTACGAGTGAGATTGATCTACTACTCGCTTGTGGTAGTCGGCCTACTGCCCCAGTCCCTGAGCTCACTCAGTATCTCGAGAGTAGTAATTGGTCTTCTATTCTTAAACCAAACACTCTTTCTAATTTAAAAACCTTAAACAGGCACGGTATCAATTCCTCCGCGCGAATTCTGGAGAGATCATGAACACAGATTTCCAGTACTCGCAGCTCTCGCTCGAGATTTACTTTCCGTCCCAGCCACAGGCGCAGGCGTAGAGCGTCTCTTTAACTCCGCGCGTGATATCTGCCACTATCGCCGTGGCTCACTACAATCGAGTACTATTCAGGATCTAATGCTTCTTATGTGTGGGATTCGATTTGTTCTAGAAGAGGAGCAGCTTGCTTTCGTTCGGGAGTACGCAACTGAGACTGAGATAGAATTCCAACAAGAAGAGATGGATGAGCGTACGCAGGAGGGCATTCTGGAGATTAGTGATAATGAAGAAGGCCCTGCGCAATATGATTCGAAGAGGCGAAGGAGTGTTAATGAGCCTGCCGAAGAGCCTGAGGGGGAGTCTGAGCCTGAGGAGCCTGATTTTCCTGAGCAAAACACACAGCGTGTTTCAGGAAGAGTTCAAAAGCGTTCAAGGTTATTAGATGGCTATGAGATATAGTTGATTTCTACAGTAATATCAAAATGCCCTCTTTTAACTGAATATCGTATATAACTAAGAGCAATCAATCATTCTTGTTACCAAGGCATTACAGCCAAGAGCACGCGTAAAGTACATAAATTATGAAAGTCACATGTACACTAGTTTTCGCCGTAAAATGGGTCGAATGGGCCAAATGGGCCGGCCCATGAATGGGCAGAAAATCGATTTTTCGGCCCATGGGCCCATGGGTTCTGCCCAGGTCTAGTCACAATTACATGACTGCGATTGAAGAATCATATCTGCAAAGGTAGAACAAACATCACGGAGAACGCTGGAATAAGGAATGCCTTATATGGCAAAATAGCGATGTTTGATCAGACATTAGAATCACGAACATTCCATTTACCTGCATCATTCCAGGTACGCAGTAATCAAGCGTTACATGTTGTATTGATATTGATGAGCAGAAAAGAATTATTATACTTTGATACTTTTGTGATTTTGTGTCGATAATTAAATGCCGGTAGACTAATAGAAACGGTTACTGTGGAAGCCCCCGTAAGGGATATTAAGTAATGACCGAGCAGGAGACGGCTAGCAGGTCATAGGTGTCAAGCAGAGGTATTACAATCATTCTTTGGGAATTTACCCTCCATAAAGACGGATGAGGCGCCATTGGCGAGGCAGTTTAGTGCTACAATGAATTTAGTCAAGGGAAGTCGAAGGAAAGTGCAGAACTGGCAGGCTCACCCATTATCACGTTCATGTAAAAATATCCAACCGTATCGACTAAAGAGCCGCAGAGCAATGGTCCCAGCATTAATCCAAGGCTGAAAGATACCCCACACAGGGAGGAAACGCGGGAGGATCCCCCATGGGCTCCGAATATGTGCGGATTCTTGGCTTGAAGGTCTTTGGCAATAGCTAAGAAACATGTCAGCATGGCATCTGGGGATACGGCAAGGGAAAATGCATAAAGGCAGCAGAATTACCCGACATTTGCTGACCGCCAGAACCGCGCACCAAGCAGAGAGCAAGACCAATTGACGATAAGGAAGTCAGATAAATGGCCTTCCCACCAGCTTCATGACTAGCCCATGGGAATCGATTGTCTCCGGGCATACCCAGGATCGTAAACAGCGGAGTTAGGATGACCCAGCCGCAAACAGTGATTGATCGAACGCCAACTCGGTCTCGAAGTGACCCGGCCACAGGACCCAGGAGAATAGCAGGAATTTGCAGGCAGAGAAACATCATACCGGCAGGCAAGCTTTCCCAACCAAATGCATTGCGTACATGAAGAGGAAGAGTAGTATCAAACCCAGCAACAACTGCAGAAGTGGTCAAGCTGTTTGTGAGACTGCAAAGGACTCTAGGATCACAAAGCATAATGCTATAAAACCCGAGGCCTGATGCATCCTTCGAGTCCGCGACCGATGGACCCCCTTCGGGGGCTTGATCAACGTCTGAGGACTTAGACAACAAGGTGGTGGTCTCTTCAGGTCCGATTCCCGTGACAGAGGAGCCAGGGGAATATAAAGACTCAGAGGTGGCTGGTTGCTTGATAGGTTCAATCATCGTAAGACGGGAGACCATATCTAGGATAAGCACCGCCATCGGGACGGACCACGCTGACCAGTATCCAAGCAGCTGTAATAGCACACCAGCGACAACGGGTCCCCCAATAACGCCCATTGATGCAAAGGATCTGGCGGTACCCATAACATGTCGCATCTTGTCCCTGCTCGTCATATCAGTTAGCGTAGCGAGGCCAATGATCCATGTGGCAGATCCCGCGACACCTTGTATGACTCGTCCTAAAAAGAGCGCCCATACTGAAGACGACCCGAGGCGGGAACGGTCAGCCAGAACTCATACCACTATGGCTATTGGAGGCTATTGGAATGAAACATACGTGAAGGATTGTACGCGACGAGGATTGTGCCTATCAGACATCCAGTCAGAGCAAGGAGTAGCGGGGTCTTCTTGCTGGGAGATTTATCGGCAAAGTGGGCGATGATAGGACCGGAGATCAAAGAGACGAGACCGTGAATGGTGAGCAGCGCAGTGGTGAGGCCCTGAGTGTGTGAGGGATCCAGTTGCAGATGGTCTTCGAGCATGTATCCTAGTATGGGAACGATGAAGCCGAAAAGTGTCAGGATGTCGGATACGTGTATCATCTAGTATCGAGGGACGGCCAATTGATGCATGAGATGGATTAACGAGAGTGTGTCTGTGTGTTCCGATCTGTTGAAAATGATCCAGGGGCTATAAACTGCGTATTACATCACAGTTCTTCCGAGAATGACCCGAATTACCATACAATTACTATTGCAATGTGGGTGGATGCTGAATAACCAAGAGCAGTGGAGAATCCACAGTATTTTACCTCTCTCAGTGTTGACAGAAAGGTTTCTAAATTGATACTCTCCGGTGAGCGTAGAACAACATGGAAATATGAAGAGCGACGACAATGACTTACCAGCAAACAGGGCGATGTACATAGACGAAGTTATGAAGAGCCTAGATGAGCGCAGGCCATAGCCAAAAGGCTTGGGACCATCCATGTCGGCCATTTCGATTTGGGAGACTATGAAACTGAGGGCAGAGAAAGCGTTGAAAGAGCCGGTAACGAGACAAATCAACTTGACATACGGCTTGAAGAGCTAGATGCGAATGGATGGCGATCTTATTGCAAAGATTTCATAGCCAATTCTCATGATCTCGCTTGCATTATCGTTTCTTCCACTGAATTAAAAGTGACCGCTACAGGTATTACACAGCCAATCGTATCAATACACTACGTATTAGGCAGTGACAATGACAAGACATGTATGGTAACTGTCAGGATGAGGAATCGATGTACTGGCTAGTACTGAAGATGTCCAAACAGAATAAGATGATTGATTGTAGGTTCTCCGATCGGTTGAGCGATCTCAGGGGTCTTTATAGTTGAACTATGGCGTGTTATGACACCATACTAGGTGGAAATTGGGTGAACGATGAATAAGCCAATCCCGAAGGGTCCTAGTGGTATTTGACCACCTTCTCAGTTTGTCACACCCCCTCAGCGTTCGCACAATCTCCAAAAATCCTCTGCTAATCGAGCAGGTTTCCGATATCCTCCATGCCCATCAATTGAACGAATTCTGCGTGCTTTTGACGCGGCAGTAGCTTGGTGAGCCCATCCGCAGCCATGTCCTTTGTTTCGCTCCATCTGATGAGAATTCTGCCTGCCTGGACCTCCTGACGGAGCCAGTGGTTGTGTACATCAACGTGACGTAGCTTCGTGCGCAGCTGAGGAGCTTCCTTGGTGAGAAGCCGGATCGTCTGCTGGTTATCACATCTGATAGCGAGCTCGTGCTTTGGATCAAAGCGAATAGATTCAAAGAGACGTTTCCACATGCTAATATTCCTTGCAGTCTCAGAGATCGCCAGTAGCTCCGCTTCGGTAGTACTGGTAGTCACTGTACGCTGTTTGCTAGTTCTCCAGTCAACTGGTCCTCCGAAAATGATGCATATGTATCCCTCCGAGCTCTTCCGGTCAGGATTATCAGCGAACGAGGCATCACTAAAGAGAGTGACGGCTTCGTTGTCCTCAGATCGGCGTGGCCGGTAGGTAAGGGCAAGAAAACGGGTGTGGTATAGGTAGGATATCACACGGTTGATCGCTTCGAGATGCTCCGGTCCCGGGTTCGTGAGGAATTGAGCTAACGCGGAAGTTGCTTTGGCTGCATCTGGCCGTGTGATGGTAGTGGCATACTGAGTGGAGCCTACCTTTTCCTGGTACTCATGAATCTGTTCCTTCGTGGCCTGCCCAGCGTACGGCTTCAATGTAGCTGGTGGTAAGGGTGTATCGAAGCGGCGATATGTGGTAAGGTGATATCTGCTGGCCATAGAGGAGATGTATGAGTCCTGACAGAGCCAGAGGGCCATCTGTTGTCTGTCACGGACGATACGAATCCCTAGGAACCACTCAGCTTCGCCTATGTCTCTCAATTCCCATGTTACATTGAGTTTTTCTCTAATGTCTGCCGCACGCTGGCGCTGAGATGGGTGATTGACAATGATTATATCATCCACATAGAAGAATATGATAATGCCGTCCGATGCGAAGAGACAAAGGTCTTCTTGAACGACAGTGAGACCTAGCTGAGTCAAGACCTTTGAGGCCTCGCGCTGCCAGAGCCTCGGAGATTTCCGTAAGCCGTAGAGAGCTCTTAAGAGCTTCCAGCAATGTCCAGACTGTCTGAATCCCTCTGGCATCTCGGTTATCACTGTGTCATCCAGTGAGCTATTGAGAAAGGCGTTGACGGCATCAAATTGGCGTGTTTCAAGGTCAAATGCAGCGACTAGGGCAAGAACGGTGCGGGCCGTACGGGAAGCGAGGGTAGCTGAATATTTCTCTTCTGTAGAGAGCTTCTGGAGATCTCCTCGCACACAGATTCTCGCCTTCAGCTTCGCGAGATATCCATCGCTATCGAATTTATAGTTGAATACCCATTTCAACGGAAGCACCTGCACGCTGCGGTCATTTGGACGCTGTATGACATCAAAGGTGCCTTTTCGTTCGATAGTTTTTACCTCAAGGCCGGCGGCTGCTAGGAAACCTTCGTTGAACGGGTGATTTATCATCTCTCGCCAGTTCCGGGGTTCAGGGGGAAGATCATCACGGTGAGGTCTCGTGTGTGAGTGAGATCCGTTGAGGCCAGTTGCAAAGGCTGCGAGTATACCCTCTTCAGCATCCTCGTCTGCCGAGAAGGCTAAATTGCTGATATCTCTTGATGTTCGTTTACGTGAGCCTGACAGAATGTTCCGAGTCGAGATATCTCCCACGATGTCTCTAGGCGCAATGCGAGTCCCTTGTGTAGGTGTAGCGGCTGAGAGCTCTCTCTGAAGTTGTTCAGTGAGTTGATCTTGAGAATCACGAGTTGGTGGTTCCGGAAAGGCACCTGGGATTGATTCTGGTGGTATGCGAGGCATCGAGGCCTGTATAGGCTGAATGGATGGCGTGGGTGACGGTGATATCATCTGTTGAGGCTCCACTAGCTTTGGAGTGGCTGATTTCTCTGGCTGAGGTATATCCAGACTTGGTCCAGAAATAACCTGGTCAGAATCCTCGTTGTCGTCGATAACGAATGGCATGGATTCCAAGATATCGCTGACAGGCTCCTTTTCTAGCTCTTGAGTGTTAAAGAACACATTCTCATCAAAAACAACATCTCGCACTGATCGTACGGCTCCTCTGCGTGGAAACCACACCCTCCAGATATTCGAGGCTTCATAGCCAACGAGATAGCCTATTTCGGCGCGTGGTTCCATCTTTGCTGCGTTCGGAATAACTTGCTTCCTCACATATGCTCGGCAGCCGAAAATCCTCAGATTCGCGAGGTTAACACGTTGTTGTGGCTGATTAAGGAATGCCTCTTGGTAAGGGACTATCCACCGGCCGTCTGGCAACTTCGTGGGCGATCTGTTGATGATCCATATCGCGGCTCTAACAGCTTCTGGCCATAGATTCTTCGGAAGGCCTGCATCGGATATAAGAGCACGAGCCATGGTGATTACCACCCCCCAGATCGCTCCGCGAAGCCATTCTGTTCCGGGGTACCCACGACACTGTGTTCAATGATAAAGCCTTCATTTGACAGGAAATCCTCTACTGTACGACCCGCAGAGCGTTCGTTATCGTATCGAAAGGCATGGATCGGAAGATTCCACTGCTTCTTGGCTAGGGCCACAAATTGACTAACCGCGTCTTGACAGCCGTTCTTCTTCTCATGAGTATAGGCTGCATGGAGGCGTACGCCCTCGAGGTAGAAGTGCGTCATCCAGCGATCTCCATTATAACCTGGGTCGATCTGGACAAGATCAAAGTGGATACGCCCATACTTGCCGTACGGTGTTCCAGTAGTCCTGCGAGAGATCTGACGTTTGGCCTTGGTTAGCTGACAGACTTCACATCTCTCAGGGTTGTCATGACGGTTATCTTCGCAGATCCCATCGATTTTGACTCCATCAACCATCTCTGGTAGCTTTTCAATCTTCTGGTCAAAGGCGTGGCCTAACCGACGATGCCAGCGCCGCGCTGAGGCTACTGAGAGATGGGGCTTCTCCGAATGCCGTACCGAAAATGCTGCTCGGTGATTCGGATCATATATGACTGTGTAGAGACCATGATATCTCCCTATCTCAAGAACAGCCTCTTCGCCTTTAAAGATCGCTCTTTCAGCAGATTTGAAGCAGAATCCTTTGTCTTCGATCACAGAGAGTGAGATCAAGCTTGTGTGGAAGCCAGGCGAGTACCACACGTTATCCAGGGTAATAGGCACTGTAGCGCCTGTACGAGGGTGTCTCCCAGTGATCCTGACCTGCCCATAGCCTATCATCGGCGTCACTGTTTGACCGGTTTTAACGGTGCTATTTCGCGGCGTATAGGTCAAGAACTGTCGGCGGTCGTTGCAGATATGACAGGTGGCTCCGGTATCAAGAATCCAGCTGTCTTTGAGAAGCTCATCGTCCACTGCTGACGCTGCGATAGCTCGAGTATCATTAGCGAAGAACGCTAAGGACGGATTCTCTGGCTGAGCCGAACCAGCAAGGTGAGCTGATTTAGCGTTTTTCTGCTGTATTTTGGCGATTTTCTCCTGATCTTGAGGACTCATCTGCTTTATGTATTCAGGAATGCGTTGAACAGTTCCCTCTCTTGGCTTCCATCCATCTGGTCGAAGTGATTCGTCAAGATAGAAGCATTTTGAGTAGTGATGCTGAGGATGTGCGTTACCACACGGACATTTCTTGCGATAGGCCTTTTCTGCAGGCTTAGCCTCAGGTTCACCATTCAGTGAAGCTAGAGCTATCTTGGGCTGCTTCCGTCCTCCAGAGACTGTAAGATCTCCACGGCGGCTGCGATAGCTAGCTATAACTTCATCAAATGTGACAGATTTATCCTTATCTGCAAGCTTTTCGCGCCAGGTTATGCACCAGCCATCATCAATTGGTTGTATAGCGTCAAGAAAGTCTCGTATCGCGAAGTGATCTCCAAGTGAGCAGTCAGGTATGCCCGCGATCTTGCCCTCTTCGAATAGGCTAACCCACTGAGTTAACCAGTGGTTTGTATCACCTGAAGGCTTTTGTTTGATCATCTCTCTCCAAGCACGGCGAAGTTGTTGCTGTCGATTCTGAGGTTTTGGTTTGAACGTTTCAGATAGCTTCAGTAGCTTCTTCCGCGGTGAGTCCTCTCCCACAATGAGATAGTGATGTTCTGTGGCTAGCGAGCGGGTGATAAGGCCATTCAATCGTGACATAGTCTTTAACAACCTCTGCCGGCGCTGATTACGACGATCGTACGCTTGAACAGCGAACGTGTATCTCTTCAGCTCAGCATCATCTAGCTCCATAATATCTCTCTCTCGTTGGCGGTTATCCCGGGGTAGTGAGGGCTCTTCCTGAGCCTCGGGCACTTGTAGGACCTCCTCGTCCGTCTTCTCAGGATCAAGGTAATCCCATACATCTTCTGCAACAGCCGCTGACTTGATATGGCCTATCCAGACCCTCCACTGCGCTTCCGACTGAAGCTTTTGGTCAAGCGGGACCTGCATCAGATCTTCCCTCGCGATATCAGACATCTTCGCACAAGATATAGCTCAGACACTCGAATTCTCCTCATATAACGTTTCCGAAGGATGTTTGTCGGTGCGGATCTCGCTGTGTGCTGAACGTAAGAGCTCACAAGGGGTGGCTAAGCGTTCAGGGGTATCCGACCGTGTTAGGTGCTTCGGGGATTCGTTGACTGCGAGATACAGAGCAGGTAGGTGATATATCTCTCTCATACAGTCAGGCAGTCCGGGCTCATAACTGTCAGGATGAGGAATCGATGTACTGGCTAGTACTGAAGATGTCCAAACAGAATAAGATGATTGATTGTAGGTTCTCCGATCGGTTGAGCGATCTCAGGGGTCTTTATAGTTGAACTATGGCGTGTTATGACACCATACTAGGTGGAAATTGGGTGAACGATGAATAAGCCAATCCCGAAGGGTCCTAGTGGTATTTGACCACCTTCTCAGTTTGTCAGTAACTTATCTATAGGCAACTGGGCGATGGCAATACCAGATCCTGAACATTTGTCAGAGCAAGCTAAGACAGTGTGGACTAGTATGTATGCGGCAGACCGAATGGGATCTCAGATGTGCGTATTGGTGACGGTCTACCATAAGACAGAGGGGCGGGAAGATGTGTCTGTAACGAGAGGAATCTAACCGTATTTGGCTAGTGGCTAGCTGGAGAGACTAGAGGTATCATAATCTTGACAAATTCTTGTTTCATAGAGTGTAAATATTGCGTAAGAAGTTGAATATGACCGTCGCTTTTATGAGGATGCTCCCAATGTCACTACGGCCTTTTGGGCGTTCATGCCCTGTCGCACTCGGTCCAATGCAAGCTGAACTGATCCCAATCCATGGCCAACAATCAACGGTTCCGGTGTAGCTTGGAAGATATTCTTCTCCAATGCCTCAGGCAAGAAACCCCTGTAAATAACTTCGCAGACTTCATTCTCTACAATGGTCCCTGCCAGCACTATCCACAGGTCAGTCAAGTTCATCAAACCCAGTGAGCAGCACTTACCAGCTTTAGCCTCAATGCCATGAAGCGACACCTCTTCTGGGACTGGGTTTGTTGTGATGACCTTCCTGTCTTGCTTCAACGCGTGAACAATATCCACACAAATCTGCACGGTTGACAGCTTGGAGATCGAATCAAAAACGCCCGCAAAATCCGTACCACTCAGAGCCCGGACAATGTCGTCTTTCGCGGACTCGCTTCGGTAGTCAAACACCTTGGACGCTCCAAGACGCAGACATTGCTTATGGTTCTGTGGACTGGCGGTTGTCAAGACCTGATAACCTGACGCCTTAGCCAGTTGAATGGCACAACTTCCCACGCTGGACGCGCCGCCCCAGACCAAAAGAGTCTTACCGGTCGGCTTGGGATTCACAGAGGGATGTTGTAGATGAAGATCATCCTTCTGGTATAGTCCGGCCGCGGCAGTTGAAAGCGCACAAGGAACAACAGAGCCTTGTGCGAACGAGATATCGGCGGGCAATGGACAGGTTAAGCTTGAGAGCAAAGCCGTATAATGCTGGAATCCGCCATGGCGAGTGAAGGTGCTATCCATTCCAAAGGCATGTCTAATTATAAAGCGAGTCAGTTGCCTATCCGCGACATCCTGAACAACGTGACGTCAAACCCAATCACTCGCTGACCAACTGTCACATCAGTGACGTTCGACCCGACTTCCACCACTTCGCCTGCGACATCGACGCCGAAAATATTGGGATAGGGAATATAATCCAGGAACGCGGTATCCTGTAGCATATAGTCGCACGGGTTGATCGCGACGGCATAGTTTTTCACCACTACCTCATTTGCCTCGGGGGAAGGATAGGGTGCTTCTTTCACGATGAATGGCTTGGCTTTGGGAGTGAGTGCCCAGGCAGCCTGGTTCAGAGGCTGGCTGTTCGAGTGATACTGTTTTTCTGTCATGTTGACAATAATCGAGGTAGGCAGACGGATAGAAAGAAAAAAGACCAAAATACTGTCAGCATTCGCTGGTATGCGATGACAAAGCAAACTGACTGTTGCTAAATCATATCACCAGGAATGTGTAGAAGGAGGAGAAGAAGAGTAAGATCAGTCAAAGAGATAGAACTGTCTGATTAACTAATAGTGTAACTAAGTAGATATATATAGACCGAAAATAGAACAAATACTGCAAACAAAATATGCAAGAGAAAGGGGTACGAACAGGGGTAGTTCGATACATTGAACGCCATGCATCTAATGTGGCTTCAATATATTGTACGCCATTCGGATGAACTATCGGCCGTCACTCCCAAGGGTAATCACGTGTGATTTCCCGACAAATACTATGAGATCTACTGGATCGGCAGGAGACAAAGTACTCCTTACAGCTCCCCTAATTGGAAAACAATCCATTACGAGATTTTAATTCAGTCTTTAGTTAATCAGGCAGAGATCTCCATGATAATTTTTTAAGATCAATTCCCAATGGTGCAATTGAGACGTTTCACAATTCCGAAAACCAGCCACTGCGTTTAGTGGAGTTCAAGTGCTCCACATAACAGAAATTACTGTGTTTTCTGTGCCTGTATTGTAGATATGGAGATGAATACGGAGTACAGCCACGAGATCTGGAATTCGTTGTTGTCAGCATTCGCTGGTATGCGATGACAAAGCAAACTGACTGTTACTAAATCATATCACCAGGAATGTGTGGAAGGAGGAGAAGAAGAGTGAGATCAGTTGTCTGATTAACTAATAATGTAACTAAGTAGATATATATAGACCGAAAATAGAACAAATACTGCAAACAAAATATGCAAGAGAAAGGGTACGAACAGGAGTAGTTCGATACATTGAACGCCATGCATCTAATGTGGCTTCAATATATTGTACGCCATTCGGATGAACTATCGGCCGTCACTCCCAAGGGTAATCACTTGTGATTTCCCGACAGTTGTGTATTTCGGGGTTACCGTTTCCAGTATGGACAATCTAGTTCGATAAATTCCAACTACATAAGATGAATTCTACACCCATCCATGGAGATCATTCAGCCAATTTCTAATCTATACATCTGCGCTTGTTGATTTACGGCCACGAAGACCTTTGCTAACTACCTGGAAAGCTCCTCAATATATCCTATCACCATGTTGCTTACTACCGAGCCCACCGAGTCTACCTTTCTCTTCACCTCCGAGTCTGTGGGTGAAGGACACCCTGATAAAGTCTGTGATCAAATCGCAGACGCCATCCTCGACGCCTGTTTACAACAAGATCATTTCTCCAAAGTCGCTATCGAAGCCGCCGCTCGACCAGGCCTGATCTTCGTGTTTGGTGTTCTGGACACTCAAGCCCAACTTGACATTGAAGCAATTGTCCGTGTGGTTCTCAAGGACATTGGGTATGACTGCCCTGATCAGGAGCTCGACTACAAAACCTGCCAGGTGATGGACTATGTGGAGCGACGAACTGCTCCCGAGGTTGCTGCGCCATCGGTCTTTCTCAGTCCAACAGATACCGAAGCTGCTGGTGACCAGGGCATCATTTTCGGTTATGCCACGAATGAAACCCCTCAATCACTGTATGTTCCAGAATTGAGTTACCATGTCCATAGCAAATTTACTGACTACATTAGGCCATTGACCATCGACTTGTCACACCGTATAACCCGGCAAATGAAAACTGCCCGTTTGGACGGGACTCTCCCCTGGTTGCGACCAGATACCAAAACGCAAGTTACGGTTGAGTACATCAGACGCAAGAATGGCGAAACCGCCCCGCTACGGGTGCATACTGTTGTTCTCACTGCACAGCACACCCAGGATGTGACGGTCGAGGAGTTGCGCCTGGCAGTCTATGAGAAAGTTATCTGCAAGGCCATTCCCGCGCAGTACCTGGATGACCAGACCGCTTACTACGTTCGTTTTCCCAGGCGGGAGATGCTTCACCCTCCGAATGCTAATCTGGAAATAATAGATCCAACCCACTGGAGACTTGGGAGTGACTCCGTCAGGGAAGTTTGCCGGTGTCACCGGTCGAAAGATCGTAGTCGACACGTACGGTGGATGGGGCGCCCATGGCGGTGGTGCCTTTTCTGGCAAAGATTATCGCCAGGTATGACTTATTGTTCTTCAATTCCGTATCAGGCAGATGCTCACTGTTCTTACAGGTTGATCGCTCCGCGGCATACATGGCACGATGGATTGCGAAATCAATTGTCAATGCCGGTCTCGCAGACCGATGTCTTATCCAGCTGTCATACTCAATCGGCATTGCTGAACCCTTGAGTATCTTCGTCGAGACCTACGGAACAGGCAAGACGACTGATTTGCAATTGGAAAAGATTGTGTCTGAAAACTTTGACATGCGACCTGCTTCCATTGCGAAAAAACTGGGGTTGATGAACCCTATTTACTACCAGACGTCGAAGAACGGACACTTTACCAACTCACTGTTCCCATGGGAGAAGCCCAAGGATCTCGTTCTGTAGCCCCAGGGTCTTTCACAGCTTTTTTAAAATGATAAACGTGTGTTTAGGCATTAATGCATTCATTTTTGATTCTCATATCCAACAGGCAAATTGTGGCAGGTGACCACAACACCACAACGCGCGGATGGAGATTAGTTTAGCATGATTAGAAAGCCCGCATCCGCCAGACTCTAAAGCCATTTCTCTTTTTACATATTATTGAAAATTGGTGGCAGGAAAGATGAAATACTCTTAATCCATAATGCCTATAACTAACATAAGTTTTAGCGTCCGAAGTGAAATGAACCCCGCCAATTTTGGGTACGCCACATGACGCATGTCGATCATCCGAGCCCGCAACCTTTTGCTGAATTCGTCCGTGGTTCGCCATCCGCGCTTGCTCATCTACCATGTCATACTCCCCTTGCATGTAGCTGATTGGTATTAAAAGATTTCATGGTATCGCGAATTACCCCGACCTCACTTAGCTTGGGAGCTGTAATCCAAACGTCATCACCACCAGCAAGAATATGCTTTTCATCTTTCAAACTTGATAAAACATAGCAGTTCGAAACTAGTATGACAAATCACGAAACTAATTGAAGTAGTCCATCGCCAAAGGTTTATCCTGACGTCACCCCACCAGCGGTTGTCAGGTGTCTAGTGTTGAATATACCCCTGCGTGTTCTAGTAGAATAACTATCAAGAATAAGCACAGACGTGCGTCAATTGCAGCTATTTATTAGGGTACAAAGTTGGGCCAGAGAACGCATAAACAGTATCACAACACTATTCTAATCCGAACCCTTAGTTGTGAAGGACACGGTGTGGAATGCGTGTTAATGTATGATAGAGTAATCATAGGAATTATCTGGCAATTCTATTTATTAGAACAGAATATTGGTATGAAGTGAATCAAGTAATGCCCCTGGTTCCTTTTCATGAAAATACTGCTTCTCACATTCAATATTCTTTTTACGCCTATCACCAGAAGGGGTTCGTGCTAAAATGGCAATTCTTATAGGAAACTAACCTATAGGAATTAAGTGAAAGATAAGTAGATCGTGCATAATTTGAACACTGGCTTATAACTCCTCAATCTAAGCTCAAAGCGTCCATTGCCTGACCCAAAATCAGGAGTTGAACAGATTAACTTCAATAGCTCGCCTCTTCACCAAAGCTGGGATCACAACGCCTCCGCCCTTAATATACTCCTTCATTTTACTAGTAGCACCATCAAAATCACCCACATTGATTTTCGATGTGACATTTTGGAGGCTGTTACAGCCTGTATTGTACGCGAAGGAGACAAGGGCGTCAAACTGATTCTGTGAGAGCTGTGACGAAATGTCAGAATAAAGGCATACGGATTCAATTGTCAGAAAGGAAGGGGTATAAAAGAAACGTACTTCAACGTCGACGCGGGAATTAACACAAGTTTCTTTTATCTGCAAATCATCCCTGAGAAGGGTTTTTTCTAACGGGTAATTCATGACCAGGACCAGAGCCACCCCAGGGTCGCAGGGATTTGGTCTCGTAGATAGAGGTTAAAGAAGATCTGCTTAATCAGAATCCACACTTGAAACTCCTCCAACATCTCTGGTTGAGCCAAAAGAAGGTAGAGAAGTTGGTGACTTTTTGAGGTTCATAATTTCGGCGACAGTGATCGATTTTCGGCGACAGCTAAACCTATTTTGGAATAGTGCCAAGTTAAACCTCTTTTGGTCATTAGTGTAACTTTCTTACTCTTTGATCAGAGATGCATTTTCTGACCTATCGAATCTTGTGTCCTCAATTAGTGCCGCGAACTTATTCATTGCAGCCCCTATTTCCATCCGCCCTGTTGACCATGCCTTGCAGGGGTGAATCCAGCGCTTCTCATCCCCACGTGCGATCGACCGCTGAGGAGCCAAGTTTAACATGACATTACTAGCCACAGGTCCTTAATCCATAATGCCTTAAAGGAGCGAGGGCTCCCTCCGACTTCTCTGCACACCTATTGGTCCCCTCCGTGTGTGGCGGCCCCACCCCAGTAATTTCCACTGACTCTGCCGGGAATCGCCACGCACGCGACGCGTAGGTCAGGGACGAGCGCGTCCTAGTAAAGTTTGTTAAGGATGATCAACCGATCAATCGAGGTTGTTTATGAGGATCCCGATAGAAAAATGACCTATCAACGCCTGGACCACCTCATTATCTGCCTTCTCCTCCTCTCCGGTCTCCTACTCTTGGCCAAATAAATCGCGTCATCCCCCTAAACCGCAGTCACTTGCTGAACGCGTCCACCCTACCAGCGGCCACCCTAACAGCGGCCATGATGGAGCATTTTCGCTATCTCCCGGAATACCAGGTGCTGGTGTGCATCCCCTGTGGGCATGCTGTCCCACCTGCTTACCTTGATACCCACCTAAAAGGCCATCGTAAAGAGTGGCTAGGCCTGGACTCGACCATGGCAATCTCCGTGCTCAAGAAACAACTGCAGGAATTCACATTAGCCGATCCTTCTCAACAGCAGATCCAGATTCCATCCCCTTCCTCCTTAGCCTTGCCTGGCCTGCCAGTAGAGGAGGGGATCGGATGCACGCAATGTCAATTTGTGACTCGCTCCGAGGGTTGGATGCAAAAACATGTCCGGACCCATCAGCTCACCCCACGACGGCAAGGTCGACCTCGGAAGACTAAACCCACGATTGCATTGACGCAGCCCCAGGCGGGCTCAGATCTCTGGGAAAAGGTCTATTGCCAGCGCTTCTTCCCCTCGGGCCCCCAAAGTCGATTCTTTCGGGTCGCTCCGCTTCTTGAACCTACTACAGCAGACCTAGTCGATCCTATTCGCGCCCAGATCTACGAGCAGATCCGGCAATGTGAGCAGAAGGAGAAAGAATACAACCAAGTCATCACGACAGATCGTGACTACAGTGAATACAGTCCTTGGCTAGAAAAGACTCGATGGCGTGACTACATCCACGGCTATACTTTCACGGAACTCACTGCACTCGCATATATGCCTGATCCTGTACGAGAACCTATCTTGCAGCTATGGATAAGAAGCCTAGACACCGTTGTCGACCAGGCTCTCGAATCCGTGACTAACCACCGGATCAATGTGTTCGACCAAGCCCGGATTAACAGCTTCGTTGACGATGCCTACCGACGACCGAGCCATCGACCGGTCTTCTTTCATCTTAAGCCCTCCACTGACCAGCGATATCGGCGCATCTGGAAGCGCCTTCTCTGTTTTGTGTATCGTGTGGCCCAACCAAGTCAGCCAATCCGACTCTCCCACATCTTGACTGCGGACCAGAAGGACCTTATCCAACGAATGGTAGAAGCAAGTCAACAGGTGCGTAGGCTTACAACTTCTGCCGCCGCCGCCCTTTCTATCATCCAGACTTCTGGACCACCACTTGAAGATGCCATCCGAGACGCTTCGGTGACACTGAACCGCACCTGCCTTCTGCTCTGCATTGCTCTTCTCGATCATATCCTGCGGAGAGATCCGTTTGAGAGTGTGGTCGTAGGTTTCTTCGCGATCCTGGGAATTGACGAAGGGAAGGAGACCTTTCGTGACGCCCATCAATATACCCCGATTCTTTCAGGATTCATCAAGATCGGACAGCTACTCGTGATCCAAAGAGCCGTCCTGGCCGTGGACGAGGGCACAGTGGATGAACCATCGAGCATCTTAGATGAGATGCGGCAGCGATTCCTGATCCATGGATGCGCTACCCCAATGGGCTGGGCACTCCGGCTGCGGACCTATGGCAAGAAGATCAAAGTCCGTCAGACTCCGATATTGCCGGGGCATGTAGACTGGTCCGATGATGGTAGCACCCTTAGCTATCGGGGCCAGTCCCTATACTCTAGAGGGTGTTCCACCCGGGGCCCGCTCGACTTCTTCGCCCTCTGATTGGTCCCCCGTGCGTGCTCCCGGCGCCCTCGGTGCGTGCCCGGAGGGCCCGCGCCCCATCAGATTCGCGCAGTCCGCGACCGCCGACCGCAGCGGGACCCCACCCCATGGGCGTAAATTCAATGTGCCGTAGGGTTTCTAGGGTTTTAGGGTTGCCGTCGTAAAATGGGTTTCGGGGCCCATTGTGTTGACATTTTTGCTGACAAAGATACCCCAAATTTGAATATGTTGTAAAAGCAATTCGGTTTGATAGTCAGATCAAATTTGAGGCCAATCCATATTGATATAAGCTTGGTTTCTGGGGTTCGAAAACGCCCGATGTTTTTGCAGGAGCGCGCATCACCCGCCGACCGTGGTCCATCCGCCGTACTCCGAAAATCACCCCCATCAGGTTTAGTTCACAGGACTAGTTTTTCGTCGAGATGTCAGAGGTTAATTGCCAGAGGATTGATTGATATCCCATATTTTAAGAGCATCATAGCCCCCATCAAATTCGCGAAATCCGCAACCGCCGACCGCAGCGACCCTGCCGGGCACAGCCATAGACTATTCACGATTCATTCGGCCAAGGATTGCTATATGATGCAGTTGGAGAATCATCCACACTCCGGTCGCACGATCGTACCAGACCTAAGCTTCACCACACCGAATTATCACATTTAGAGTATAGATGTGTATCCCCGTCTTTACAGTATATGTATTGAAGAGGGGAACGCTCGATGGCAGCACGCGCTGGGACGTGCGGGTCGATTCAGCAGAAAGACCACCACAAAACACACGCGTATGTAGGGGTCAGGTCGGGGAGGTGTAAGAAGGTGTATTCGAGAACTGGCTATCCGGCCACCGTATACTGCCGGCTATGTCACATAGTCTGGATGGCACCCATGTAGTAGGGGGAGGGGGTCTCCCCACTACAATATATATCTTTACACTGTCAAGCCCAGTTTGCCGGGTGCATTGGGCTCATATGTGATCTGCCCAGATCGACGTGTTCCTGATAATTCCGAGGCCATATCTGATTTGATTCCCCAACTATTGATCTCTCGATGTCGCTATTTGTTGCATTGCGCTGGAATATCTAGATCGGTCAGCCAGACCTCCGGCAGTCCCGCACCCGCGTGTCAGATCCCGAGGTACTCTCCGGGATGACCTATCACATCGGCCCCAGTGCCGTTCAACCCCTATTCCCTGCCTCCCTAGATCAAGTTCTTTGAATCTACACCTTGTGTTTTTCTATATCGACCTCACTCACCGCTGCCTTCTCCACTAGCGCTCTCACCATGGACGCCATCGGGGTATTCTTCACATATAATGCCACATATCGGTTATGGATCTGCAAGACCTGTCAATATGTGGTGGATGTCAAAACCATGATTGCCCACCTAGGCGCAAAGCACCGACAACACCCTATGGCCCGCACTGGCGACCAACGGGCAGCTATTCATGCTGAAGCCATGAAGGCGAACCCATGGAACCCTGACACGGAGCCATTCACCCCACCACCCCCTGACTCCCGGCCAATTCCTGGATTAACGGTCCATCGTGGCTACCGCTGTCCCGCCGACGGCTGTCGATACGCGTGCCGCACCCGAAGCACTATGGGCAAACATCGTGGAGATAAGCATCGCGATGCTGTCTACCCCCGGGGGAGGCCACCAGTCGACCCAGATGACGATATACTCCGACTCCGGGCCCTGGAGCCGGTGTACTGCCAGCGATTGCATCCATATGGGCCGCATAGTGTCTACTTCGCTGTCACGCCCAATCCGGCGGAGCTGGCGGACCCCAAGGCCCCGGCCCCGGAACTCGATGAAGCTGCATATATCCGATCCCAGGTGGACTTGGCGCTCCTCCGATCTGATGGGATCGCGGATGCAGAAGACCAGATGGCGCCAACGGACGAGAATGCCACCGACACGTCCCCGTGGCTGGAGCTCACCCGATGGCCTGAGTATGTTCGAGGGCATGCGTTCCGGGACATCGCCCAACTTGCCTCCCACCCGGACCCCATGACCGAGCCAACCTTGGTCGCGATTGGCCTGAGCGTGAAAAGACTCATCGATCGGGCATTTGAGTCGATCGTCTCTCATCGTATCAACGAGTTTGACCAAGTGCGCATCAACAGCTTTGTCCAGAAACCCGGTATCTGGCAGCGCCCCATCCAGATCAAGCTCCGGCCCAAGACGTATCATGGCTACTGCCGGACCTGGGTCCGTCTCCTGAGTTTTGCGTATCGCACGAGTCAGCCCGACCAGCAGCTCCAGCTTCGCCACCAGTTCACCACCTCCCAGCTCAGCGCCATTGACGACATCCAAGGCTCCCTCCAGCGGCTGTTTCATGCGAGGGACCCCGGTTCTATGCAGGACGCCAACGTCGATCCAGGTCTCCCGCCCCGCGACCAGACTCAGACACCCACCAGCCAGGCCATGAAGGATCTTGACCAAGCCTGCCTGGACCTGTCTCTCGCGCTCCTAGACCATGAGATCCGTGGCGATTTCTTTGAGAGCCCTGTGGTTGCCTTCATGGCAGCGCTAGGTGTTGATAGCAAGAACCAGACTTACTTCGAGCCTGGCAGCTATACCACATACCTGTCCGCCTTGGTGAAGATCTCCCAGATGCTCGTCACCCAGCAGGCAGTCGATCTGGCCGATCGGAACGAGGTCAAGCACCCTGGCGATGCGCTTGAAGAGATGCAAGAACGTTTCCTGATGTATGGCGTCCGATATCCATTCAGCTGGATCGCCCGTCTCCGCACCTATGGCAAGAAAGTGCAGAATACATCCACCAGCCTTGGATTTCTCATCTGGAGTGGTGATCAGCAGTCACTCCACTACCGGGATCTCCAGCTTACTATGGATTCCCTGGCCGCCTTTATCCGCACGCAAGTGGAGCTTGCCCAATATGAGCTTGAGAGACTCTTCCTGCTTAATGAAGGTGAAGCACGCGCTGGTACGATCCCAGAGCTGCCCCTGCACCAGCTCACTGATGATCCAGTCAACAACCAGCGTGGGTGGAACTTCCTGAAGCATAGGAAAAACCGCCAGCTTCTCTCCACGCGTGGTGACAGATGGATGCTGGACCGCATTATGGCCACCGAGGCCCTTCGCAAGGACTTTGTTGAGGTCGGCCCAGCCACCAGGACTGAAGTTCGTCCGGCTGTGAAGTGGAATAAAGCTCTCCTCCTGGAATATCTTAACTGGGTCGATGAGTTCTTACAACGGCTGCTACTGCTGGTCCACATGACTTCCGGCCAACCCGCGCGTGCCACTGAACTGATCTCGATTCGGTATTGCAACACCCCGGAAGGGAGACATCGCAACGTCTTCGTGGAACATGGACTGGTCTGCATTGTCACTAGCTACCATAAATCCAAGAGCGTCACCAACTCCATGAAGATCATCCACCGATACCTGCCACGAGTGGTGAGCGAGCTTGTGGTGTACTATCTTTGGCTGATCCAACCATTCGCAGAGCAAGCCGCTATGTTTGCCTGCCAAAGCAATACCCGGATGCGGTCGCCGTATTTCTGGCCGAAGGGGAGGGGGCATTGGGATGCGAAACGTCTTGGAGCGGTGTTGAGATCACAAGGGGAGGCCCATCTGCAGACCAAGCTGCATGTGCTTAACTGGCGCCATGCAGCGATCGGTATTTCTCGCGTCCACCTGAAATGTGGTGGATTCAAGCGCGACTATGGGCCAGATGACCCGATTGTGGATGAACAGGCCGCGCATGGGTCCTGGATGGCCGGAACTACTTATGCACGTGGCTTGAAGGAGGCGCCCGGAGTTATTGAGGCGAAGCGGATCCGGTTTCGGGCAATCAGTTCTGAATGGCATAAACTGCTGGGTTTCGACGCTCCAAGAGGTCAGAAAAGGCGTTATGGTCAGCTCAGCGATAAAGAAAAGGTGCTATCTGCACAGAAACGCCGAAAAGAGTATATCACTATTGACTATAGTGATGATGAAAGCTACTAATATAGAACTGCGAGGTAGATGGCTAGTTAGAGCTAGGAAACCATGCGGTAGAAGCCGACCTGACCTTGCATCACCACCACATCCTTCGAGGCTAATTCTTGGGATTCTAGTACAATTAATACCGTATACTTTGATCGTTTTATCACAATTTTGATTCCTTGTGTGGTTCATGTAGTATAATGCGTTGAAGTTGGGCTTGGGCGAGTTCGTTGAACTGGATTACTTAATCACGGAACCCCATGTTTGTCCTCAAATTAAGCCCGTTTCGCGTTAAATACTCAAAACGAAACTCTTTTGCATGATGACTAACACACCAAGGCCATTGGAACAAATGTATCCTTAATGTGATAGATCTGAAGATAAAGCTGACAGACATCCTCATAGCCCCAATTCTGTCGAAGGTTGGTGACCGGGAACCACGCTAACCCGGTCAGGCCTAGTTCCCGCACCCCGGAGATAAAGTTGAT